TGTGCCGCTCGGCCGTGAATTACGTTAATTAGATATCTAATTTACTAAGCACCTTATTCAGATTAAATAGAACTAAACTAATACTTAAGTTATTTTAAATAACTTCTACCTAAAAAGTGCATTCATAAACTTATAAAAAGGCGTCTAGAAAACTAAGCTTATTGATTAAATTAATTTTTAGATATATTTTCTGCTCCACTAAGCTTCTATATACCTTTTTTAAAGGCGAAGAACAGCCTATATCCAAAGGTTGAAGCTTATGAGAAAAATATATAAATATAGAGATAAGATTATTCTTACTATATATTTAATTAAATTAAGGTATAAAATGACTACTATAACTATCTATAATTAAAAGATAATATTTCTTATTTATATAACTAATAATATCAAAATAAAAAATTTTTAAAATTAATAAAAGTTTATCTTCTTAGTAGTCTATTTATTAAGACTAACTTTAATCTTACTATCTAAAGAAAGCTTTAGATTTTGATATTAGCCCTCTATATAAAGTTGTTTTTAAAAATGATATATAGTGAAAGCACCTATCTAATAAAATTAATATATTTTTAATTATCTAAATATACAAGAACTGCTTTCTTATAATAATTAATTTTAATAATTATTTAAGCAGTGGCTACTAGGCCTATAGCAAAACTGATTTTATTAAAATTATAATATCTTTTTATGTGATCTTATACTATATTATAGTAATTATATATAATTAAAACACTCTTTAATAATTCTAGGATCTTCATATTCAGTATATCAGTAAGTATATTATTAAAGAAAGTAAGATTTCACTTCAAGATAATATTCTATAAACTTAGTAGCCTAGTTCACTTCAACTAATTAAATAGGTGTAATACCATATCTAGCAAAAAGAATATTGGCCATTTCTTATATATCAAAGGGTCAGGGAGAAGCTCCACATTAAATTAAGAATCCATCATACAAGCAATTCCTCTTCATTTTTAGTTAATCTATGGTCGTTGGCGCGTCGTTTCTAAATATGAAGTGACTCCATTTTTAATTGCTGCTGGAGAGTCATATAAAGAATATTATAGACATGTGCAGCTTCACAAATATTGTAAATTTCCTGGTTTTTCAAAATTGAAATAACAAAGAGTCTTCCCTCCTGTTCAGTAGATTTTCGAAGATTTTAACATGTTTTTCCGATCATAGTTGGTAGTTGAATTGTGTGAGGCAATAAAACGCGTGAAATTTTGATGAGTTGGCCCGCTCGTGGGTTTGGCCCACTCATAGGTGAAATACGTTAATATAAGGCCTATCATAAATCTAGTCTTATTAAAGTTATATAAAATAAATATACTTAGGTTAAATATTATTTTCATTAATTATGCATTATACAGTTGTAAACCACTCTTAAATTAATTTTAGATCCTTATTTAGAGCACACTGGTAATCATAATATCTTAAGAAATATAAATAAATATTTTTATATTAAGCTATAAACCTTGATGGCCAATTCTTGTTAATAGTAGATAGAGGGTGGCTATCATATATAGCTAGTAGGATATTAACTATTTCTCATATAATAGCTAGCTTAAGGGCTGCTTCATATCAATCTATAGACAATATCTATTTAATAAATAGATTCGCTTCCAATCGTGTCAGTTTATAGCCATTTAGGCATAAATTGACATATGTCTTGACCCTATTCACATGATTTGCTAAGGTTATTATATATAGGGTATGGTGTATAGCTTTGCTGCTGCACGAATAGATTAAATACAGCCATTTTTGTTATCATCAAGGGCTAATAAGATCTTGCCCTCTTGATTGGCTGATTTCTGCCGAGATTCAGTGCTAATTGGTGGCATGGTAGATGGTTGAATTTAGTAGGTGGGTGGGAAGACGCAATTTTGACGGGTGTACGGCTCGACCGAGAATTGCGTCATTAGTAACCAGGTAAATAATATAGATAGTCTGATAACTAAATTAATTTTTAATAGTAATTTTTATGGGCAGAGATAAATATCTATTAAGCAGCTGATATTAAATAACTATTATAGGCTAACTGATACTATATAGCCCCAAAAAAGTAAGAAGAGATTATAAACTAGATGTATTCTATTTATAAAGGTTGCTAATTGGCAGATAAAACCAAGTAAGAATATTCCCAAAAAAAACTACATAGGAAAGTAAAGAAACAGATAGCAAATTTTCTCTTAAACTATCCATTTAGGCTAAATTTGGGGAGGATACCCAATTTAAATACCCCGAAAGATATCGGTCTACTTTACTTAATTAATACTACTAGTAGGTGTTGAGTTGTGATTTGAATTTGAAGTTGATTGTATCATGTTGAGGTGGAGAGCACCTACATAGGGAAGTTGTGTAGGTGCGTTTGACAATGTATAGCTTTTATTATTAGCTATAAGTTTTTAAAATAATATTATTAAAGATTTTAAAAGTAGCCCGAATAATTATCTGGAGAAAAAATAACCCGGTTTATTTTATTTAATTAAAAAAATGGATCTTATCTATTGTTATTAACAATAAAAATAATAATTTACTTTTTAAGCAGTACAGGAGGTACTTTAGCTAATAAAAAGATCCTATCTTTTTATTTAACTATTTTCTCTCAACCTAATATAGAGAGAGGCTAGCTAACAGAAATAATCTATCTTAAGTAACTCTACTTTTAATAGAATTTATCGGAAATTTAAAATCCCCCTTTAGAGACTTATTTATAAAAATACCTTTTATCTTAAGATAATCTCTAGGTGGTTAATTTCTCTTAAGTCTACTTTGAATCTTACTAAATTAAATTAATAGATACATATTATTTAAAGGCTATCACTATTAGTAGGTCTAGGCTAGGATAACAGAAGGTTCTGAATCAATTTATTAAAGATAAAAGATTAATTCTTATTATATAATATTGTATCTTGATAATCTGAATTTTAAGTTAGTTCAAGATCAGATCCATGACCAATTCTCATATAAAATTGGGCTAGAAATAATATAGTGATAGCCAGTATTTTTAAATATAAATTAAACCCATCTTTAATAATTATTACTCTGCTTAGCTGTTTAGCTAGATCTCTAACTAAATATCTAATATTTAAAAAGTATAATATATCTTTTAAAAATTTTTATATAATTTAGTATCGGATAATGTAATTAACTACCAAGTCAGCACTACCACCAAGCTAGCAGTTTTTCATGCCTTGAGTGATTTAGAGCTTCTTGACCAGCAACGCCATGAAATTTGCCCAATTAAATATATAAGATATTTATATTTAGTCGGTTTATGACTATTGGCATATGTCTCTTTTTGTGAATATTACATAGCTGAGCTGATCTTGATATATATTTCCCAGGACCCTAAATATCTCAGTAGCTTTTAATTGAGGGCTGGTTTTTCCAGTTTTATAGGATGACATAGCCATTTGAAGACAATTTTCTTGGGAAAGCAGCGTTTCATATAGTAGAGAAGAAGAAAATATGTGTTTAATGATAAATGTTGGTGTGCGTGAAAAGACTGCTGGCTCAGTGGTAGTGCTGACTTGGGTAGTTGATTATGTTAAAATTAGTGGTTTATGATGTAGAAAGAGGTTTTAATTACAAAAATAATCTTATATATCTAAAAGAAAAACTAAGTTTTTAAGATCTAAAGTTTACTAGAGAATCTTAATAACTTTAAAAAAGTAAGATTTAGAACCTTTTATCTTTAATTTTTATTTAAAAATAAAAAACCAATTAAATAACCCTTTTTAACCTTTTATCTCTTTATAATTAGAGAATAATATAAGGCTGTAAATATTTTTTATAATTTTCTTAATATAAAGGATATTAAAGATACAATTTTTTAAAAATTATTATAAAAAGTTTATTAATTATAATATTTATATTCCTTATACTGGGGGGTAGTTGGCAGCGTATACTAAACGTTTATTGTTTTTTGGTTGATCACGCTAAACCAGAATAGGAAGTGGTTATTGACCACCCCCAATTGCAGTGTCTGATCAAACATTTAAACTTGGCATGGAAAAACCACCTACCTGGCTAGTCCTTTAAGGATAATATGCTGGCTGAATATGGCAGATTTACACAGAACTTTAAGACTTTATAACTTCTCCAATACACTATATTTTGGAAACTTTAAGTCATAATTGGATTGTAGAGCTCTTTAAGTATTACTAACCACCTTTTATCAATTTAAAGGGCATCGGTGTTGTTAAATCCAGGCAGGAGGTTGAATATTGTAGACATATATCTAACTATATATCTAAGCACTAAATAGCTGAATCTAATATTATAAACTTTTATTTTAGTCCTTCTCCTATATATTATATTATTTGAAAAGAGTACTGTAAAAGATGACATAGATTCAATAATTTTTTAAAATTAAGACTATATAAGGATTAATTAAGCTATTAATTCTTGATAATATTATTTATTTCTATTCACTTAATTCTATTATTCTAGTCTCAAACATTATTAGTTTATCTTAATATTTAAATCAATATATATTTAAGCCAGTAGGAATATTGTAGATGCCCAGTTGACACCTATGTTTAGAGAAAAAGTAGAGCTATATTTCTGAAGCAGTATCCGGGCTATTTGATATAAAAATTCCGGATAAATTGAAAATACCTATTTATCTGTATTTCCAAGCTGCTTAACAAGCACTTCTTGAATAGATGATAGTATATGATTATTTGCATATGTTTCTGAGTGTGGCTTTCTTTGAGATGTTCGCGAAGAGTAGTTTCAGATACCCCAAACACCTTGGCAGTTTGGACTTCATTTTTATTTTTCGACTTATAGGCAGATATGGCCACTTGAATGTTAGATTCTTGAGATATAGGCATTTTGAATTGAAATGGTGAAAATATAAAGTGTTGAAGGAGTAGGTAGTTGAATATGGGATGGTCGCGGAGAAAACGCGCCGCTCACCCGTGAAATACATTATAATAAATACATGTGCGTTAATTAGTCATGTTCTAGTACGCCGTACAGTTCACACACAACACAGTACACCTAGAGTCCAGATAGCATCTGGCCTCGAATTATGCCAAGGGGGGAGGAAAGAGACAACCAGTGCAGACTAGTTGCATGCGCCTATTACCGAGACCTATTACCGAGAATTGCGGTAGTATTATTTTCATCATTGTTCTACTTCCCCGACACCCGGACAGATATCATGCGGCCATTTTTTAAGAGACCGTCCTGGGCAACTAGAGGAGATGAAGAACTGCCCTCTGATTTCTATCGCCGCTCAGAACAAATATACACAGACATTGTGGCAGCGAATAGGGGTGCATCATTGCTTTCAATTGATGCATCTTCATCAGAGCACAGCAAAGAAGTTAAACGTCGTTGTATTTCCCCTAATAGGTGAGTGAGGAGTGGCATGGATTCAAGTTTTCATCATGAGAATGTTAGGACTGCTGATACATAATCAGCAGCCAAGAATCGTCATATCTGAAGCCAACTCGTGGCGTCCGAAATTTGCTATTAGAAGGCGATGAAATGAAAGTTCATGATGTTTCTGTGCTCAGTGATTCTCGATGCAATGAATCAGCTGATCTTAAAGGATACAAATCCCACTTGCCGGAAGCATTGCTCAGAGTCCATGGGGAAGTGAGCGAGCCCCGCAAAGACACCCCAAACCTGAATCAACCTGCTGGATTCCGCACTAGCCCACCACAGCCCGTACAAGAAGATACTGCCGTCCAAATACTTATAACATCCGAGATTGAGAATACAAAGCCGTTAATCATTCGTCGAAAAATATCTCAATGCTTGAAGGATGTTCGCCTGGCTTGGTGTAAAAGGCAAAACGTGCCAGAGGAAATGCAGTCGTCTGTGGTCTTGACCTGGAAGGGAAGAAGGCTGTTCGATGTTACAACCTGCAAAAGCTTGGGAATCCATATGGAACACAACCGCCATACTACACCAGGAATAGACAACAATGATGATAGCAGTCTACGAGTGCACATGGAAGCTGTCCTGGAGGGCAATATATTTCAGTCTAGTAATCGACGAAAACCACCTGACCCCAGGGATGAAATAGCTTCCCAATCCGGCGGCGTCGAGCCTGGCCAACTGGGTACACAAATAAGGGTTATATTGAAATCCCCCGGACTGGATGAACTTAAGATCAAAGCTAGACCAAGGACACAAATATCACGGCTTACAGAAGCATTTCGAGATGCACATCACATTTCGGCGGAACATGATGTTTATATTCTATTCGACGGTGACCGCTTGCAGCCTAACACGTGCCTTGAGGACCATGACATTGCAGATCTAGATCTGCTTGATGTTCAAATTAAACAGAGCATATAGCATATAATTCTGATAAATCAGCATTAATGTCGTGTCGGAGATATGAATTGTGTTAGCGTCAAATTTTTACGGAGTACGTATTATGTAGCGGGGCTTAGTTAGGGTTTCGCCACATTCGGTTTGGTAGAGAGCATGCATGATAATTATCCGGGATAGTGTTGCTCTTTAGAAAAAAAGAACACGCATCCTACATTTCCTATACTTTGCCGGATGAACAGGGCAGTGCTGCTTCTAGCCATCACCAATCGTCGCCGAAAAGGAGAGCAGAAAGGAAAAAGTCTCAAAAAGGGACTGGTTGTGTGAAATATGAAAGTACTTACTGCTAATTTCCTTACCTGCGCCATCAAGGAATGCAGAAAATCAACAGCATCATTTCCACTTCATTTTTGTGATGCCGAACTAGTGCAACAGGATTTAGACTTCCAACCAGATTTTATACGTAATGTTCTTTCTCGGGTTGATTGGGACAGCTTGCGGGTGAGCGCTAGTGAGGTAGGTGTCAACGCCGTATCCTGCAGCTAGCTGATGACTTATACTCATCTTTGTCCGGACGCAGCTTGGATTTCCAAAGATTCCTGATACCAAACCCGAAGGCAATGCTCTTAATGATGAACAAGTGCTGAGGGACCTACACCGACTGTTGTTGGAAACGCAAGTCATGGAAGGGAAATTGATATGTGGAAATTGCGGTCATGAGTACATGATCAAAGAAGGGATTGCAAACTTTCTCCTCCCTAGCCATTTGGGTTCGGAAGCCTATCTTCAAGCCTTTTTCTTTCGGACTGATTTGCTGACTTGTTTTAGTTTGATATCAAGGAAATCGATAACTCATCACCAGCTACGGGATGGGCATGTTGATTCTAAATACTGTGACATTGAGGAGACTACCAGGAGTCAAATAGGGCGGCCACTAAGCCCGAGATTATGCTGTACATGGAACTCATCCATATAAGGGATGAAATGTTAAGGATCATGAAAACGAAGCAAGCGTGAGAGCGCCCGTGAATTCTATCAGCCAAAACACCAATGTATAGTATAGTACCAATGCCGTATCCCAATACCATATTCTGTTGGAGGAATCTATGAGAATAATCATACATTGAATTTGAAGGGCAGTCCTCGGCGTATAAAATATAGAGATTTCAATTGAGAAACCCCTTACAGCCGGTTGAACCGCACAAGCATGGAATCCTATCATCGCTATCCCACTCCCTTTCAAACTTGTAGTCGTATGTGAGTTCTTCATCTGTACGTTAGAGTCGTCAGCATCCCAGATCCATTGAAGGCTGCAGTAACAGCGCTTACCTCTTTCAATATCTCTCAAAGCATATATAACGATCCGCTTGCTGCCATCGACCTTGATGATTTTCGCGGTGCAATTGGGCGTACAACTGTGGTTGATAAACCTCGCAATTCCTCCCCGTTTGGTAGCATCTATGACCGTGTTCTCGTCGATTCTAAAGAGGTAGCTGCTGCCAATACCGCTCTTTAAATACCTCCTTTCTCGCATATCCGCGACCTGTTGCCGCACCTTCTCACCGACATATTCAATTATCATGTCGTTTGCAGATATGTTTTCTTCTGCATAAAGGCCCCAATTGTGGATCGCCGATCGAGCAAAGCGCACAGGCTTCTTTCGCTTTTTCAACTGGTTGAATCGGAGAACGTCCCCTTCTCCACTTTGAGTGGGAAGAGCCTGCTTCTGTGCATTAATATCTGCGATCAACCGTCGATTATTCACGCGTGTTGACCTAGAGGTCGATTTCGAGATGGTCCTAGCAGTGGCGATCCTTGAAGCTTCAGTAGCTGCTGCATGTGGATCATTCTTTGCTCTGGCTTCTCGTTCTTCGCGGGCCTTTTGAACTTTGATACGATGAGGCAGATACTTCGATTTCTCTGCTTCAAGTATTCTTTTCCGACCTTCTGTCCGCGCGGCACCAGTTGAATTAGGTACATAGTAACCATGGATGTTTACCACTTCACGCACAGGTCCTCTATTCCCAGGGTGATTGAGAGCCTTGATTTCTTTTTGTCTCCATGCCCACGCCGCAAGATTTCCAACATCAGACCTTGACTGACTGAGTAAGATATCTCTGAGGAAACGCAGATCTTCTTCATCCTTTAGGAGATTCTGCCAACCGTCGAGATCTAATACAATTGTATCATCGTCCTCAACCGTCGGGCGGGGCCGGTCATTAGAGATTCCCCATTCAACCTCTGTTTTTGATGCCTCGTATTTACCGTCGCTGACGTCCTCCAAGAACGGTGTTTCCGGAGCGAAATCTTTTTGGTGCTCAGGAGTTTCTATACCTATCTGTTTGACCTTCCCCTTTAACTCTTCCGTTTGTCCTTGCTCTAAGGAACCTTGATAATGACCTGGGGGAGGTCCCAATGTCGCGAGACTAGCATGGTCAGATGTAGAAGTGACTGAGAGCTTTCTTGAATGCTGCTCCTCAGCCTCTTCCACAGAATCGATGCCAAAAAGCTCATCGTCTTCCCTCCGTCTCTTACGGGACTGAAGTTCATTGTTTATCCTTTTCCTCTTGAGAGATGCAGGAGAGAGCTTTCGGAGGTGGAGTTGAATCTGTTCAGCGGTCGGGCTTCCTTGAAGATCAGATTTGCTAACTTCAACTTCAGTTTCATCAGGTCCACTGCGGCCGGACATCCGCTCAACAACAGATGCAGACAGGATCCCCGGATCAAATGCGTCATCATTATCAGAATCACAAGGACTCAAACTCATCCGACTTGGATTTCTACTGTCCTGTTCATCAGTATCCCTAGTGAATGGTGTTCGCTGGTCATCGTCGGAGTCGTCGACCTCGTGCAGCTGTTGCAAACGGTGGTACAGTGGTCTGACTTCTTTCCTCCGCAAGGGCTGCCGGCGCCTTTCATCTAAGAAGGCAGCATCCGCACGATCAAGCCCATGAGCTTTCCGAATGCGAGGAAGCGTGAGCACGTTGAGGTTGGAGGTTCCAAATGGCCGCCGTCCATTAGCTTGAGAGCCTGGTATCTCAATCGGACTATCCATGTCGATCCGGAAGGAAGGACGCTTGACACCCTCCGGATCAGGAATGCCGAGTTTCTTCCTCTTTGCTGCATGCCGGTCAGGCTCAAGATAGTCATACAAGGCTGGCGCACCGATGCGTGACTTGACGTCCTCGAGCAACTTCTCCTTCAACTCTCGGATAATGATGGATAACACCTCTCTGCAAGGATCCAGATTGATTGCTCTTTGCTTTTTCTCTTCTTCAAGGTCTAACTCCGCTTCCTTTTTTAACCTTTCCTTATGGGATTTTTCCAGTTGCTCTGCTTTAAGTCGCTGAGGACTCGGACTGCGTTCATAGTTTGGGTTCCCGTAAGGCTGGCTTTCCATATTCATAATATAGGTAAACAGCGGTGCCATATGGCACATTTTGTAGCACCGTTCTGTCTCTTGTTCGCCCCGTCTGGAATTCTCAAAGATGACATAATATCCAGTCTTGTCACAGCGAATATCTTTCCATTTGAACAATTTGAGTCTTTTCATCAAGTGTGGCACTGTTGTGCTGAGTACCGGCACGTAGCAGTGGGCTATAAAAATGTAGGGATCGCGCTTGATTTGGCTCAGGATTGGAGTCTCTTCGACCAGTGATGGTGGCGCAGGCTTTAATGCTGCTCTTGGTCCTTCAGGCGGTGCAGGAACAATGCGCAAGGAAGACCTACCCGATGGCCCTTTTGGAGCCGTCGGTGGAGGCTCATTCTTTCTCGTCTGAGATTCGATCTTCGTTCCTTCGGTGGCCGAAAGACGAGGTTGTAGTTCGGTTCTTTGGGATTCAATAGCTCGCGAGACCATCCGCTCCGACACAACACTGTCGCGATCCAACTCAACCCTGATTCTGCGTGTTCCAATGCGGTGTTCCTTCCTACACTCATAATAAGCTCGCCTAGCAGCACTGCTTGCAAGGAGAGGACCTCCATGTCGAAACGACAGGCTATCTTTGTATTTAATGGAGCATATCCCAAGAAATCTTCCAGTGATAGGATCGGTACGGTTGTTAATTTCTGCGATTTCCCCAAAACTGGAGAACAGGGTGCTGATATGAGCAATGGGGGTTAAAGGGTCAAACCCCGTGACCACTATCTGCGTGGGTGGCCCTGGGCCGATGGTGGTTGCTGCATCGTAGGGCCATGATTTCAACGTGTAGGGCGCTGGCCGATATTTCGTTTTTTGTTTACAGCCGCCGCCCCGTGAATAATTCGGTATACCATGTCGAGGATCAGAGGGGATGATGTCTTGAACATTCGCCACGATATTTGTATACTGTGGCTTTTTCCTCTTATCCTTTGACAAGGGTCGCCTGTCAAGGTCTGGGTCATACACGATCTTGCATCCTCTGACCGTCTCGCCAATTTGACGTGTCTGTGACTGTGGAGTGGGAGGGGTGTGGAGGGATATTACTGAGGTTCTCTGGTCTTCAAGACTGGCTTTCTGTGAAATTTCTTCCACAAACTCATCGGCTGTCTTTGTTCGTAAGGGACTCGTCGCTTTGCATAAAGGGGAAGATTCGGCGTTTGTGAGTGGTGTGAGGGAATCAAAAATCAACCCATTGGACGTTGCTGCGCCAGTTTGGTGAAGAGAGGGACTGGCTCCCGAGACGCCAGTATTTATAGAACTCGTCGACGCAGTTCCAAATGCCTCAGAAGCTGGTTGACTCGATTCACTTTGAGCTCCTATAGTTTGGTTATGGATCTTGCTGTTGTCATTCGGCGGATGTTCGGGAGTCTCTGGCCCTGCAGGAAATGAAATAGGCCCGGTATTATGTTGACTATCAAGCAATGGCTTCGCTCGTTGTCGCTCCTGACTCGCCTTGAAGCGTTTCTGTTGAAGGACAGACGGAGCGGTCGGGAAGAAGTCCGCGAAGCCAGCAGATGAACGCGACATAGTTCGAAAATGGCTACAAGCCAGAGGAGGTGGAGTCACAACCAGTAAACACCATCCTTGATGGCTGCTGCTTACTGCAGAGACATAAACCAGGGTGTCTCCCCTGAAGAGAACAGAGGGAACTAAGAAGGGACGATGGAAATAGAGAAGAGAAAGATGTGAAAGAAGACGTTGGATGAATAAAATAAGAATGTGAGCAGTCTCAATGGAGAGGAAGAGGAACTATAGATGAAGGAGGACTGCGATAGAGAAGAGATCCAGAAGGACATCCGATCTGAGAAATACAACAATCAAAGGTAATAACTACCTAAATTAGTGAAGCTGGGAAGGTTTAAAGATCACTTACAGAATGCGTGAAAAACAGCGAATCATGACAGAGCATGAATGGCGGGGAACATATTCTGCAGGCAGAACATGACCGCACTCTGAAAGCTCACAATTATCTTGTGACACAGGTGAAGGGTACAGAAACTCTTCTCATTTACTGTGGCCTGCAATGGAAAGGCTCAAAATAAGATGTCTCTTGGAATTGCTATACTACTGAGTATTTTCTGATTATTTCATCTGCAACAAGCAGCTATGCCATTGCAGCTTTGGATAAATATTTTCGAATTTGCCTGGAATACGTACCACTAGTGTACTTGGCGAAGTCTTTATTCTCTGCTTCTCAACATTGCTCTTTGTGAACTTGAAGGGAAAAAGGGCCTAACCACATCCACATGGGGCCTTCTGGTATTGTTTCCAGACATATAACAGTTTGCGATGACACTGCTGAACAGGGAAAATCTGGTTGCAAGGTGGGTAGGCCTGGACGCAATATCACTAAACCTATGTGCAGACTCTGCAGTTGAATTTAAGCTAGCCAACAGTATCATAGTAAGGTACTTGACACCTACTCCTATTTAATTACTACATGCGGAATACTAAATTATCCTACATGCTTCGCTAGTTACGTACTCCGTGGTTATAAACCAGGAGACATGGCAAGGCACCATACCTATATACTATGTATGCATCCTCGATACTTGAACGTAATAGTATATGCCATGGGCTATGATATTTATATGATGGGAAGGGCTATTTTTAAATGGGAAGTAGTAGCCTCATACCAGAAACCCCAAATTTCAATCCAACATTCTGATGCTTCTTTTTCTGGTACTGTATGTAACCGACCCCTACGGTAACCTTCGGGGTCGCGCGTATTGCGCGACCCTGACAACCACCCGAGCACCCCAGCCACCCCGAGCACCAATTTTAGACCCCCTTCTAGCTTCAATATCTCAACGAATTCTATAGTATTTAACTTCAAAATATATTTAAACTAAAGCTCTACTCTTCAGCTTGGGCCCTAGCATGTCGTTGCCTTCGTATAATAATTCCTCGTCGAATGCACACATCCAGCAGCTCTGGTAGGCAACGCTTATACTTAGTCCTCCACCTCTTTATTTCAGCCTGCTCATTAATATTCGCAGTATTTCGATTTATAGCTTCAAGCTCTGAGCTTGATACTATGCCTCCCTTGCGAATCCTGCGCCTAGAGGCCTGTGATCGAGCTGCGCGGTCCCTAGCAGCTTTAATATACCGGTCAAGCTCAGCTTCGATAGCAGCTGAATATGATGCTAGCATACTACCACCACGAATAAGCAGCTCTAGGCCCTCATTAAATTGATCCTTGTTGATATCATGAATCTCCCATATCCTATCACCAATCTCCCTAAATCGTTCAGCTTTTTTTTGGCGTACTGCCCCAGGAATCAACATCATTGGTATTGGTGGATGAAGAGGATGGACGATGTGGTTGAGGCATTTGATTGAGTACAATTGATGGATTGAATGGTATGATGCCAGTCTTTTGGAATCCATGCCGAATAGTACGCTTTTTGAATGTCTTCTTGCGAATTGCTCCTAAGGCATGAAGGAATTCAACCTTAGTAAATTTACTGCATCCTGAGTAGGTTGCATCTGCAACTGCTTCTGAATGCCAGTGCTTATATGCATGAAAAACACCAACATCCAATGGCTGCAAGAAATGACTTGTATGTGGAGGTAAGAAGAAGGTGATGATATTGGTCTTCTCACAGAATTCAACAAATTCATGTGTTAGATGGGAGCCGTATCCATCACATATAAGAAGGGTATATTGACCCTTCCTATATCTTTTAGTATGCCGATAGAATGACTGAATCCATTGGAAGGCAATTGTATCAGTCATATAGCCATTTTCTGATACTCCAATTGAATAGTCTTGTTGAATATCAGCAGCTTCAAACCAATTTGTAAGTATACAGCTACCACTCATGAGAATAAGTGGTGGGCAGGTCCAGCCATCTGCATTGACTGCTTCAACCACAGTAACATATTCACGGTTTGAATTCATCCCAATATGAGGCTTATTAATATTGAAGTCCCTGGTAATAATCCATTGATCACGACCAACACCGATATTGAAGCCAGTCTCATCAAAATTGTAGATATCCTCCTTTAATATCCCATGGTTCTGGATGGTCTGATGGAGCTTCTGAAACCACTCCTGAATAACCTCACGATCCTCTGCACGCTTGCGGTCAAGCTCTATAGCTCTAGAGCGACGTCTTTTATATTCAGGATGCCTTCCTAGCCATCGGTTTAACCATTTCTCGCTGACAGTAGGTGGAGGGGTGTCTAGGCTGGTATGGGTTGATTTCAGAATAGAATTGGCACTTGATTGGATCATTTGTGCAAGTGGCTTTATATTTAATTGCTCTAGAGTATCAACATAGTGACACAGAGCCTTTTCTTGCTCTTCTGATAATCTGGTGTTGGTTGGTGGTCGTTCACATAGATTGGACCGTCCCTTCCACCTTGCGGAGAGGGTTTGCCGTTTAACTCCATATTCACGTGCAGTTTTGGCGATATTTGGGGGATTTTGTGTGCTTAACGCGTCAATAGCTTTGAGCATTCGATCTTCATAATTTTTATTGAATTTGGGCATGGTGGTGGTGGTTGAATTATATGATAAAGTTGATGGGTTGGAATTCTACGAAGTTCTAAAATCGGTGCTCGGGTGGCTGGGGTGCTCGGGTGGTTGTCAGGGTCGCGCAATACGCGCGACCCCGAAGGTTACCGTAGGGGTCGGTTATTTGTATTTATAACCTTTCTATAGATAGTGTCCATGCTTCAATGGGTCAGAGCGATAATTAACTAATTAGTTATTATCTATTAATGAATAATAGGGAAGAATGCCATAATATCTACACTGTATTATGTAGAATACTAGTAACTATGATCGACAATCTGAGTTTTAGATCATATCTAGATACCCATGCTCTAAATTTAAATATATATGGAGTCCTCTAAAGAATGCCAAAACCGCCTAGGTACCAAATTTAGACACGCGGAAAAAAAAAATCGCGGTACATACATTAGTACCACATACGGTGGCAGTGGAGAAGCCATAACAGGCCACTCCAGGGACATGTCTTCTGTGATCCGAAAACTAGTACCAATAACCTACTCGTAAAAATAGAAACTTCAGCATGGACTTCCAATGGATCAGCCCTGGCGTAGGCGCTTACGCAGATAGGTACGGAGTACGGTGTTGTATGTATGCAATGGTCATTGTCAGATATTAGCATATTAGCAACAATCACAGGATATTGCATACTATGCCTGCGCTGTGGTACAGCCTCTTGCCATTAATAATAATAAGCCCCATTATTCTCTGGCAGCCGATGTTCCAAGTTTGGCATTGATTGCTGTGGCAACCATGACCTGCTTGGTGGAGACATCCGATCCAGGGAGAAGTTAGAACAGCCAGTGTCAGCCGCCAGGCCGGCTGAGAAGGGAGAAATCCGAGACATGCTGACCGGGAGGCATTGATTGCTGTGGCAACCATGACCTGCTTGGTGGAGACATCCGATCCAGGGAGAAGTTAGAACAGCCAGTGTCAGCCGCCAGGCCGGCTGAGAAGGGAGAAATCCGAGACATGCTGACCGGGAGGCATTGATTGCTGTGGCAACCATGACCTGCTTGGTGGAGACATCCGATCCAGGGAGAAGTTAGAACAGCCAGTGTCAGCCGCCAGGCCGGCTGAGAAGGGAGAAATCCGAGACATGCTGACCGGGAGGCATTGGTGTACCGTACGTGGGCGGCCTTGCGCTGTACATAAGTAACCGATCTGATTTGACTGATAGACCATACAATACATATTCCAATTATTATCAGTTTCTCCCTTCCTTCCTGGCCACGGTTCACCCCGTTGACTGCAACATATAACAACGCAGCTTCCCCTCCTGCCAATTTCTTTCCTTTCTCATCCTTCGTTTCTTCTCCCCCTCTCGTGTCCCGAATCCATCCTCCCGCTCGTTTCTCTTGCCCACTCTACGCCTTCTCTGCGTTTCCCCAAACTCAAACCAGCTTTCGAACTTTCAGTGCGTGCTGCTCACTTCGAGACCTCATTTTCTTCCAGCGTTGTTCCCCCCGCATATCGTACAGTCGCCGACTGTGATCCTCTCTCTACACAACTTGTTTTCTGCGTTGTATATTCTTACAGCGGCCGAACATGTGGTGAGTTCTTGACGGACAATCCTCCGTTACATGTTCGGACAACTGACCAAGCCCAGTGGTATTTTCGGCTACATAAACTATCTCATCGAGAGAGACCGGAGATATATTGTCGATACATTGCTCAATGGTCAGTGGACTACTGATACTGCTAGGGATACCCCTGTCGCTTTCCCATCTAACTCCGAATTAAAGGACTCGCGAGACTTGAATATCGTGGCTATGACTCTACTGGGCTAGCTGTCGACGGCGACAAAAAGAATGAAGTCTTTGCGTTCAAGGAAGTCGGAAAGGTTGCCAAGTTGAAGGAGCTCATTGAGGAGTGTAAACCAGATGCGGATAAGACCTTTGAATCTCATGCCGGAATTGCCCACACTCGCTGGGCTACCCATGGGCCGCCTTCCCGTCTGAACTGCCACCCGCACAGGTGAGTTCAGCTCCAAACCCAGTTTACATGGATACTCTGTGACTATTTAGACGGACGACATAGATGCTAATGGAAACACCTTCTCCAGGTCCGATGTCAATTGGGAGTTTTCTGTCGTCCATAATGGCATCATCACCAACTACAAAGAGTTGAAGGCTCTTCTAGAGAGCAAGGGATTTCGCTTCGAAACGGAAACAGACACGGAATGTATTGCTAAACTTGCCAAATATCTATACGACCAGCATCCGGACATTGAATTCACCGTACTAGCAAAGGCAGTGATCAAGGAACTCCAGGGCGCTTTTGGCCTCCTCATAAAGTCAGTTCATTATCCTTATGAACTTATCGCTGCCCGCAAAGGTTCACCGCTTGTGATTGGCGTGAGAACATCGAAGAAGATGAAGGTTGATTTTGTCGATGTTGAGTATTCGGAGGATGGTGCTCTTCCCGCGGAGCAAGCCTCACAAAATGCTGCTATCAAGAAGTCCACTGCGAGTTTACTTGCCCCACCGGACAAATCTTTGCTTCATCGGTCGCAGTCTCGTGCATTCCTCTCAGATGATGGCGTCCCTCAACCAGCAGAATTCTTTCTGTCATCGGACCCTTCTGCCATTGTCGAACATACCAAGAAAGTTCTATATCTTGAAGACGATGACATTGCGCATATTCATGAAGGCCAACTTAACATCCATCGTTTAACTAAGGATGATGGCACATCCAACGTTCGCGCTATCCAAACCATTGAGCTCGAACTGCAGGAGATTATGAAGGGTAAATTTGACCATTTCATGCAAAAGGAGATTTTTGAACAACCTGAATCTGTGGTAAATACTATGAGGGGTCGTTTGGATGTTGCGAATAAGCAGGTCACATTAGGTGGACTCAGACAGTACATTTCTACGATCCGTCGCTGCAGAAGGATTATTTTCATTGCATGTGGGACCAGCTATCACTCATGCATGGCTGTGCGCGGTGTCTTTGAAGAACTTACTGAAATTCCTATCGCTGTCGAACTAGCGTCGGACTTCCTGGATAGACAGGCTCCAGTCTTCCGGGATGACACTTGTGTCTTCGTCTCCCAGTCCGGAGAAACTGCCGATTCGCTCATGGCCCTTCGCTACTGTCTCGAGCGAGGTGCTTTGACAGTTGGTATTGTCAATGTTGTTGGATCTTCTATTTCCCTTCTGACCCACTGTGGTGTACATATCAACGCTGGCCCTGAGATCGGCGTTGCATCCACCAAAGCCTACACATCCCAGTTTGTCGCTATGGTTATGTTCGCCCTTTCTCTCAGTGAAGATCGCGCTTCCAAACAGAAGAGGAGGGAAGAAATCATGGAGTCTCTTGCTAAAGTGTCAGACCAGTTCCGCGAAATCCTGAAACTCAACGAACCCATCAAAGAAATGTGCACGAAGCTTTTCAAAAACCAAAAGAGTCTCCTCCTCCTGGGCCGAGGCAGCCAGTTTCCAACGGCTCTTGAAGGTTAGCGAGTTCACACGCATGTAATTCTGATTTCGCTAACAATTTCTACAGGTGCTCTGAAGATTAAAGAAATTTCTTACCTTCACTGCGAAGCTGTCATGTCTGGCGAACTCAAGCATGGTGTTCTCGCCCTGGTAGATGAGAATCTCCCCATTATTATGATTCTCACCCGTGACAATATATTCTCTAAGTCCTTGAATGCCTATCAACAAGGTGAGTTTAACGATCTATATTGTCCCCTCCTAGGTGGCAGTAATCTGATTTAGCGATAGTCATTGCTCGTGGTGGCAGGCCCATTGTGATATGTAATCATGATGATCCTGAGTTCAGCTCTGCCCAGACAGAGAAGATTGAGGTCCCGAAGACAGTCGATTGCCTACAAGGGCTTCTCAACATTATTCCGCTGCAGCTAATTGCCTATTGGCTTGCCGTGGGAGAAGGACTTAACGTTGATTTCCCTCGCAATCTTGCAAAGTCTGTAACTGTCGAGTGAATTGCTCTAAGGAGTCATGCAACGGAATATGAACTGGGTGACCCCGGGTAATTTTCTCTCAATGTCACCCTTTCCGGCCTTTCTCTTATGGCACTGTCGTTGTATGTTCTTCTTCCCGGATCTGAAAGTAATAGTAGTATTACCAGTGTAATCGATACCAAATAAAGCATCATTGACTGAGAATGCTGCTCAGGGGTTTCAGATGGATTTACATCCCATGAAGTTGTGACTCGACTATCAAAAAAGAGAAGAGTCAAAAAGTAATCTGCTAGACCTGCATATGTGCATGTCTGACAAGCTCCTGCAGTGTCCGAATTCTCCACCAGACACTACAGCAGCAACTCCTTGTATGCATGATGAATTGCATACTACTGTTAGCCACTACGAAAATAAAAGGAGCAGTGATATCTCTAAGAACTAGGGATATTATGCAATTCTACATGGCCAAGCCCACTGTACAATGTACGCTCTCTGATAGTTGGCTTGTAGTGAAAATCCTTATTGTTAACAGGCATGATAAAGCTAATTAATATCAATAACCCAGACCACACCATCCCTGCCGATGTTTCGACTTACAAGAGCGCCGGGTCTTCTTAATTGAATCCTTCTGTTCCATTATAACTGCAGCAGTCCAACATCGGAGTAGGAGTATAAAGACTGCCATCCTGCACGGACTCACTCTTTACATAATCTCTTATACACCCCACTACAGCAGTACCGCCAGGCATAGCTTCTGACACATCGCTACTACAACTTACGATAGATTCAAGCAAGATGACATCTATAAAAGGACCGGGCGCTGCTCAGACATATGATGGTGAGACAGTACCGCTATTAGCCGGCAGCCGTCAGTGATGATATTTTGCTTAATCAGATCTCTTCTAGGATCCGGTCTCCGGATTGCCATAGTTCACGCGAGGTGGAACACTCAAATAATTGAGGCTCTCGTGGCAGGGGCCAAGAGAAGTCTTTTGTCAGCTGGGGTTTTAGAGGAGAATATTGCAGTCCAGAGTGTGCCAGGCAGCTACGAATTGCCATATGCTGTTCAGCGGTTAGCCACCCTAATGTTCCTCAGCGACAACCACAGAAACATCAAGCAAGACCCAAAGAGCGAGCTGCCGAATTGGATTTATCTGTGATTTGTCTAGATATGAAGTAGCTAACAGGAGTCTCACCAGGGTCTACACGGCTTCCCAGCTGCAAGCGGCTCCCTCGACCAGGGATATCAGTGCAACTGACCTACTCTCATCCTCTACGTCGGACCTAAGTAAATCAGTAACACAGCCATCAGCGTCTGCTGCCAAGGGCCCCTTTGATGCTATTATAGCAATAGGGGTCCTCATCAAGGGTCACACCATGCATTTTGAATACATCGCAGATGCTGTCAGCCATGGATTGATGCGCGTACAACTCGATTCTGGAGTCCCTGTTATCTTTGGCCTGCTTACTGTACTTACTGAAGAACAAGGCTTGGAGAGGGCCGGCCTGGGAAAATCAGGGATGCACAATCATGGCGAGGACTGGGGCAATGCTGCTGTCGAGCTTGGCAATAAGAGAAAGGGTTGGGCGGAAGGTAAATTCATTTAGGTGCTTTTCTTTTGAAGAATTGGACTTATCTATGTTTTGTTTTTGAGGTAGTCTTCAAGACAGAACCTTGTGATATTACATTATCAAATATTTAGGGATCTAGGTTGCTCGCCACTGATAATGGCCGCAGAATCATAGACTTCATGTTTCCAGATGGGCGAAGATAATCTGACTCCCTGGGAGAGACAATTGTAACTCACTATGAAACTATTCCTCCATTCGCTCAGTCTTTGCTCCCTCATCTTCCTCCTCATCTTCTCCTTCCAAAGCCTTCTTTGCGGCTTTCTCTGCTTCCTCAAGAAGCTCCCGTGGAACTTCTTCATGCCTTCCTTTCGTGGGCCCACTTAGTGAACTGATCCATGTCATTTCAAGCTCAAACTCCTTATCCTTGCTGTCCTCATGTGCAATGTAAATAATGCGAGCTGCCTCCTTAACGCCGTCAAGTAGACTGAGATTGCCAGAGCTTAACTCCAGCTTTTCGAGTTCGGCTTTCGCGGCCTGTCTGCCCTTCCCCGTAGCGGCACCGTAGTAACCCTTTCAGCTAGTTAGCAGGAACATATGGAAATCAGGAGTACTATAACATACCCAGTAGAGCCCGCTAGGTTCAATCATGTATAAGAAAGGTCCCCCAGCTTTAGCACCTTCGACCTTGCCCCCAGAACCAGACTTCGGTCCGCTTCCAACCTGGCCATCAACGGGGAGCTCGGCTTCAGAATCCCATCCTCCGACGATAGCAGTTACTCCAAATGGCCTGACGCTGGAATATAGGGTGTAAGCCTGTACATAGCCGCCTAGGCGACTAGCAAGAGCTGAACCTGGTATTGGTCCCTTGTAGACGTTCCGCCACGAAGCTGCTTCGTCCCTAGCCCGAGAGACAAAATGGCGGCCATCAGGAATAAGCCCAGCTGATGCCTACATTTGAAATGGGTGGCATTAGCACAAGGGGAACTTGCACTTGTGGCACTGAATGGAAACTCACGATGCCAACGTGGCGATCAACCGTCGCTATCTTCTTATTTGCGCCTGGTTTTAGAAGCTTGCTGGTAATAATTTTCTCGGTAGCCAGAATAACACCATCCTTGCACCTAATCCCAATGGCGGTTCCTCCGTTTTCAACTGCCTTGGCTGCGTATTCTACCTAGGACGTTGTTAGATGTTTAGATCGTGGTTGATGCAGTAAAGGAGTCAGCACCTGAAAATTTCGGCCATCAGGAGAAAAGACAGAGTTAGAAAGGTCATAGCCAGTGCCGATGGATGTCTGTATAAAGAATAATGGTTAGCTCTAGTAGCTGTCATATGAACAGCTTTAAAGGGAAGCTGGAGATGGTAAACCGCACCATGATTATTCGGAAGACAGCACCAACCGAAAGAAGGGGAAAAAAGTAACAGGTCTAAGGGTGCAAAACTTTCTGCAAGCAATAATACAGTCGATGTTCGGTGGTAGGAATAATAATCCCCAATCCGCTGAACTGGGTTGACGCTGAGATAAGATACTATGTAAGCTGTCAATTACCTCTAAGCGCGCGTCATGGGCCATGCGTCACATGATATATGGTGATCCATTGTTAGTACACGTGAGGTTCTGCCGTCCTAGACCGCCCTCGCTACCTATCTCACGGCACAGGCAGGCCTACCTAGTAATATGACCATACATGCGCCTATCCATTAGGTTATGAGCCCGTTTTAGCTCTACGATATTGAGCTTAAAAAAAAAGCCTTTCAGATAGGCTAAATTGTGACCTCTCATTGGTCAAACCAGAAATCGAGCGCTTCTAAGCGACTCTGAACACCAGGACCGCCAACAATCGGCCCCTGAACCCCAGGATCCTTCGATCGATCCCATCCAAAATGGTGGTGCCTCGAACGCCCCCTACCACCGCTAGACGTCACCGTCGTCAGCCAGAATCCACAGATCCTTCATCAGATATAGGCTCCTCCGCCTCCTCAGTAATCTCTGAAGAAATGGACACCCCAACTGCCCCTAGAGCTCAAAGCTCTACTACAGCCAACACCATGGCATCCACACCAGACATCACAGCTCTGTTCCAGCAGATGCAGGAACAGATGCAGGAACAAATGCAGAAGCAGATGCAGGAACAAATGCAGAAGCAGATGCAGGAGCAAATGCAGAAGCAGATGGACCAGTTCATGACTCGTTTTAATGCCCTTGAACGCCATCAATCCCAATCCTCCACTCCTACAGTCCGGCATAACGCTACTCCCTACAATCATATTCAAAATAATACAGCTATTCCAGCCTCAAATCCAGTACAAAAAGATCCTTTTGATCATGTACAAGCTCAAGTTAAAGCGCTCTTACCAGACCGATGCCGAATCACACTGTCTCATGATAATTACGACCCCTGGAGTTCAGCCATTCAAAGAGAAGCCAATGTCCTGAACGCTAGTACAGTCTTGCATCAGGATATACCTCCAGCAGGATACTCAGCTTATGATGCTGAAGTATGGCATTGCAAAGCCACTGTCATGAGAGCCCGAATGCTTCATGCTATGACTGCCCAAGCCATTGACAAATTGGGCAACACATATGACCTATCAGCCCATGGTTTATGGGACCGAACTGCTACCTTTTTCGGACGTTCTACTGGTGAAGAACGAATGCTTCTCATAAAAGAGCTCAAGGAGCTCTATATAAAAGACAATGACTACCTATCCTACCAATCTGCGTTTACTAGGATAGTAGACCGCCTTCATGCTATAAAAGAAGCATCATTTGACAACCTTATTCACGACCTATTTTTTATAGGCCTCCGCGAATGGAACAAAGCATTCATTAAGAGTAAACTTGATGAAGTATACTCAACTGGACAAGGCCCTGTCATCAATCTGGACCTAACTACCATTCAAGCTCAACTCTCTATCCGTATGGGCACCCAAGCCCGTGAATCCCGCTCCCAACACGGAGGACGACGAGAGAATCTATCCGGACGAAGCTATTCCAAACAAGCATCTAACCCCATTGCTAGCTCTTCCGCCTCAAGTTCCAACACTAAATATAAACCTCAGGACCAGGACTCACGCAAACCAAAGACCCGTTGTGATTGGTGTGGTCATTTCCACCCAATGCCTTGCCTCTACAAGAACCCTGAGAAAGCCTCTGAGCATTGGCACCGAGCCAATAAAAATACTATTGAAGCTATTCGTGCTTTACACACTGCTAAAGAATCTTCCACTGCTTCATTCTCTGAAGCAGAAACCAATGAACTGGTACCATGGACTTCTTCAGCTGCAAAAACAGCCATTGCTAAATCAGCCCAATCTCTCCAAGCTTCATGGTATCTTGATAGCTGTGCTTCATTCCATGTTACACCCCACCAAGCTTTCTTCACGTCCTATAAAACATTGAGAAAGGAGGACCTTACTCCAGCGGATTATATTGAAGATGCTCAAGGGAAGATTTCCAAACCTCATGGTATTGGCACCGTCGTCATTGATATTGGAACCGGATCCTTGATCCTTAGGGATGTACGACATGTTCCATCCTTCAATTCCAACTTAATCTCCATGGGAATGCTTCTCAAACAAGGTTTTCATATCGAATTCCCTTCCAGCTCTCAAGTAGCACAAATCACAACCTCTTCTGGTGCAGAATTTGAAGCCATTTTGAATACCAACAATGTATTCATCCTATCAGATTGCATTTCTCCCGACGAGAGCTCCTATGCCTTTGTCACCACCCGGTCTGGCAAAGAGGCCAACCGACCAGGGGACCCTCCCAGAAAGAAACCTACAACATCCCCAAAGACTAAGAGCTCCAAAACAGCTCTACCAATTATGACATGGCATCGCCGTCTATGCCATTTAAACCAGCAGGATCTTTTACGCCTTGCCGCAGATCCTACATCAGACATTGAAATCAAAGGTTCCAAAGAACTACCACTTTGTGAAGCCTGCATCCAGGGCAAGCAAACTCGCCAATACAGCAAAACACCAAGATCCCATATGACTGCACCACTAGCCCGAGTCCACATAGACCTTGCTGGTGGCAGCCGAACACTAGATATAGAGAAGCTAGATATGCCTCTACCTTCACGTACAGGAGCCAAATATGTGATGCTTATTACTGATGACGCTACACGTTACCGTTGGATCCACTACCTAACTGAAAGATCTGCTGCAATTGATGCATTTCGGGGTTGGCTACAACAGATGAAGAATCACCATTTCCCTGCCCCAGCCTATATTGTCTCTGACAATGAATTCTGTTCAGCTGAATGGCAGAAAACCTACCGTCAGGAAGGCATTGAATGGCAACCAAGTTCTCCATATTCCCCTTGGCAAAACGGTGTCAGTGAGCGCAGCATACGCATACTCTTTGACCGTGCCCGGACATTAATGCTTGACGCTCCCCATATACCACAGCGATTTTGGGTTGATGCTTTAAAATATGCATCAGATATAACAAACCGCCTCCCAACATCCACAGTCCTATTCAATTCACCTATCCCTGGGGGGGTCAATACCAACACCAAAATCAGCCCAAGCCCATATAAATCGCCTCTGGCTGCCTGGACCAACTCACCAACTAGTATCAACAAATACCGACGTTGGGGCTGCCCTGTCTGGGTTCATCGACATGGCTCAGATAAGCCTATAAACAAGTTCGATTCCCATTCTAAATGCTGCTTCATGATCGGCCAAATCAGTAGCCAACAATATAGAGTGTGGGACCCTAAAACAGACGCCATTTTTTCAACCAATGACACTATATTTGATGAAGAATATGAGGATCCCACAACTACACCTCCACAAGCTACTGTTCCTGAAGATCCAAGTACTCCTAATAAAGAAGATACAAACCAACCTGTTGAAGATGAAGACCAGGAAATATGGCTTCGACCCGCCAAAGGCATGTCCCTAGCCTATCTCACCACTTCAACTACTCCTTCGTCTGAAGATGACACGCCTACTTCCTATAAGCAGGCTATATCTCATCCTGATGCCACCAAGTGGCAAGCAGCCATGCAAAAAGAAGTCAACCAACTCAAAGAAAAAGGCTGCTGGCAACTTATCCGCCGCTCTGACCTACCACCAGGGACCAAGGTCATCCCTGGCTGGTGGGTATACAAAAAGAAAGAAATCCCTGGTACCCCTATTACAAGGGACTACCAAGCTAAAGCTCGCTGGGTGATCCGTGGAAATCTACTTGACAAGGACTTCATGGAATTATACGCCCCAGTGGTAGATGAAAATACCACTAGAACCCTTACGGCACTGGCCACTCTACTTGGCTGGCATACTCGAAAGGCAGATGCCATCCTTGCTTTCCTAAATGGAAAAATGCCCACAGATAAACGTGTCTTTATGACCCAAGTTCAGGGATTCAAAGAAGGCTATGGAGACCTGGTTTGTGAACTCCGCCAGTCCCTCTATGGACTGATCCCATCTGCCCGTATCTGGTATGATACACTAAATGCTTTCTTACGACAAATCGGCTTCAAAAGCTCCGAATACGACTCTGGTCTCTGGATCCATACCACCCGGACCCAACTCTATGTGACTACCCATGTGGATGACTTCAAAGTCTATGCTAAGCATGAGAATGATGCCACTTGGTTTATGGAGTCTCTTTCTGCTAAATTTGACATAAAAGAAGTTGGAAACTCTACCAAATACCTTGGCATGGCCACCTCTCAATCCAAGACCACATATACTCTCTCCCAGGCCAATTATGCTGAAGACGTTGTTGCCTCTTTTGGCCAAGCACAAGCACACCCTGTTGGGATCCCCATGGATCCTAGTTTAATAATTGATGATGACCCAAACCCTACAGTGAACATCAAAGAATATCAACGTGGTGTAGGCTGCCTTACTTGGCTAGCCACCAAAACCCGACCTGATCTTAGCCGGACAGTTGGCGTACTATCCCAATATCACGCCAAACCTACCCAAAAGGCATGGCGTGCCCTTATACACGCTATACGCTACCTTAAAGGCTCCATTAACCGACAAATTACCTACCATAAGGCCACGGAACCCATTACATCTGACCTCCTCATGCCCAGATGTTATACTGATTCTGATTGGGGTGGTCAACTGACAGGCAATCGCCGGTCAGTATCTGGATATATATTTCTGCTTGCCGGGGCCCCAATTGCCTGGAAAAGCCGCAAGCAAACGTCCGTTGCACTTAGCTCCAACGAAGCTGAGTATATGGCTCTAAGTGAAGCCAGCCGAGATGCCCTTTGGCTCCGGAACCTCATCAACGAGCTCAACGTGCTCCCTACTGAATGCCCGCCAATTACTCTCTATATCGATAATCAAGGTGCACACGCCATGGCTGAAGCTGAGCTCACCACCAAGAGATCCAAACACATCGATATACGTTACCATTACGTTCGGGAGAAGATCCAAGACGGTATTGTTAAACTCCAGGCCTGCCCTACCAAAGAACAAGCAGCAGACGGCCTGACCAAACCTCTCCGAACTGAACAATTTGACCATTTCCTACAACTCACTGGCATAAGCTAAGCCGCGTATATCTCCCCCATTTTGGATATATTTTCTATTTTGATATACGGCATTCGATTGGCTAAAGCAGAACCTTCATTCCTCTGTTTATTTTTGCATATATTCACTCATTTGAAGGCCCGAATAGAGGCCGATTTCTGTATTTAGATTGATTCCATAGTTTGTAGGCTGCTCGTGCGTGGGGGGGTGTTAGTACACGTGAGGTTCTGCCGTCCTAGACCGCCCTCGCTACCTATCTCACGGCACAGGCAGGCCTACCTAGTAATATGACCATACATGCGCCTATCCATTATCCATTACGGAGTACATGCTGTTTGCACTACTACTAAGTTAATAGTTAACTAACTATACACCTAACTTACCTAAAGTACCCAGTTAGATATTGAATAATACTCTCTGGATATTAATGAGAAGACAACGAATCGTCCACGACACGATGATCACCTAGTACTTAGTGCGCTTTACACTGGCCATGAAATCTCATTATTGGCCTAGAATGCCAAATCATGAGATGTGGTGCTAGCCTTCAATTGAAGGACGTGCCCAATCTGACTATTCTGCAGGAACTTTGGGCACCTATATAGGCTCTGCCCCTCCTCCGGCTACTGGTGCGCAATTCAAGAACAATTAACCGACCTTTTTCACCTATATCAAAAATACTCTAGAAGGAATCTTTCAGCGTTCAGCATCGAAAGCAAAGGAAAGAGATTCCTAATACTGATTTCGAATACTCTCCAAATCTCTAGCTGAGAATCGGAAATCCTTCTTCCTATTATTTAATACACGATATCCACTGCAGCTATTGTTGTGCCATCTTTATCAGTTGTTGATTTAGTGCCCAGTCCCTTCTATCGAAACATGTCTTCGTCCATACGACACCAGTGTCGATACTCCAGGCATATCATTGGTGGTCGTCCAACTTCTCTTGCCGCACTCGAAGAGAACTCACAGTGTAACCAGGTAGCTCTTCTCTCTCTTCTATCTATTGCTCGAGTGTTTGACTAGGAACTGCACATGCAGTGTTGCTTGTCGATTACAGAAAGTACCTCCATGCAGGATGACCTTGCGATTCTCTTTACAAAGCATATGAACATAGAAGCATTGACGCCAACTGCTGGCCAGCAGTTCTCTACGGCATCTCCTTCTAAGCCTTTGTCGATTCCATACAGCATCAGTCAACATTACCATCATTCTTCACATTTAGCGCCGCAGGCGACAGCAGCTTCAAGATCTCCACACGGGGTACTGCAGTTTGGTTCTGGGCAACCTGTTTTGACTATAAGTGATATTCTGAGAAGCCACAATATCGATCCTCTGCGTTTTACTCCAAGCCAGCTTGCGCTTTTCGAAAATGCTGGGGATGAGCAAAGATCTCGATTGATACAGATCTGGCAACTTTTCCTAGAAGGTGGCGCAAATTCCAGCCCTGGAAATGCAGGAGAGGGAGGCTCTGGCGGTTTCAAGCAACCGATGGAGCCTAGGGGGAGCTCAGGCTTTATGGAACAATTCTGGCAGCCATCGCAGCCTCATCCTGAAGACTTGGAAATGCAAGATTCTCACCGGCAAGGAGATAATGACGATACACAGCAGTACGCCGAGCCATATATGGCCTCCGGCTATGAAAACACGATCTCTCAGAAGGGATATGACCACAGTGGAACAAACACCGAACCGGAATTTGCTATGTTTGGATCTGCAAATCTGCCGAACGAGCCTACATCTGGTTTCCCATACAGTGTTTCAACCGATCCAGTCTATCAAAGCCAACGGTGGTGGGAGTTCGCCTAAGCGGGGCGATATACGCCATTTCCGGTCCGAGACTTAGTCTTGCCTTGATAGTTTGAGGTCAAAGTTGGAGAAAGTACCTTAATTGAAAAGTTGACGAACAAATTTGGCGGCGATGACATAAACTGATAACTATACAAGATCAATGAAACGGATAATCCGATAGTTGGAACCCTTGTCTCGTAGATTTTAGCAAGAAAAGTAGAAAATATGATTATCGGATATCCTGGAGACATATAAACCGTCTCGGAAGTACATGACCGTGTCGCAAAGAGATTTGTCAGAAGTAATAGATTGTCTGCAATTGTCACGATGACGGCCAAATAACCGAAAAGTCAGGCAAACCAAAGAGTGGTCTGAGGCTAAAAGAAGAAAGAGTCGTCGCCAAATATCCATTAGCGTTTCAATTCCACCGCTTCGCCATATTGGAACCAGGAAGCGCGAAAACGAAGAAAGATGGGCCCGTAACGACTGTTTAAAAGAAGCATATATTAATGCATATCCCCGTCAATTTCTTTCGCTGTATCTGCTAGAGAGGCAGAGAGAAGCCGTGTTCTGTCTACTGTGATATTTCGAAACAGGATACTACCAAGTAAGAACCTACAGAGTGTCAGCTAAGGAGAACAAGGTAGGGTCACTAAATAGAAAAATATTTTTGAAGACTAACACGACATAGATCGATTTAGGCCGCAACGGAGTCCTCGAGAAGGTCCTCGGAGCGTTTGACCTTAAGCGGCTCGCAACCCTGACCTGGGCGAACGCACCAACTGGTGCCAGCTGGACGATAGGTATTTGACTTGTGATGAGGCTCAGCAACGGGCTCAGCGGAGCGTTTGAGGTTCGTTGGAAGAGCCTCAACTGCTGCAGCCGCCAACATCACGGCGATGATCAAGAAGAACTTCATCGTAGAGACTAATAAATAATGTAATGACGAGAGAGCTGCACGTTTCTTATATCTTGGTCCCTTTTCCTTTATTTATTCGCCTGTGTGTTGACGTGTCCCCGCGGCTAGACAGGAGAGGCAGGGCACGCCTCTTATAGTCATGGAAGATAAACTCAGGAATAAGTGCATGGGTCTAAATTCATAGCTCAATAGAATGTTCTTTTATTCAAGCATGCTTAAGGCAAGAGTAAGGTAAGCCTCAATGCGAAAGTAGCCAGAGTGACTGGTCTTTATTGAGCCGATGCCACAAAGCTCTATTTGCCTCAGCAAGTGAGGAAGCTATGGGGGACTTGGATGAATAGATGGACCTAAAGCTGTTATTGTTATTATCCATGGCGCACGGAAGTATGGGATAGCGGAACTGACTTGAGAGGTTGCGGATCAATCGCCCTGGGTCTGCAGCTTCTGGCCGAGTTCGGTTCCATCCTTTCCCCTCGCCCGGTCCTTGATGCTGGAAGCTATCGGCCTGGGAAGTGAATAGACATGGAGTAGTTGCTTTGTTACCGCAAACAGGCGTCAATGAGCATTGCATTGGCATTGGCAGCCGGTCAATAGGACCACTGCGGCAGAGGAGACCGCCATCTCTTCCTCTATTTCCAGCGTTTCCAGCTATTTATGGCATCTCTTTCTTCCCAGCATGCGCGGCCAGGGACAAAAACAAGCAGCCCGGATGGATACAGGCAAGAAGCCAAAACGGAGAGTGACAACCGGAGAAAAGGAAGAGACACACAAGGGCCAATTGGAAGCCCGGGACCGCAGTAGATGCGACACTATTACTACCACAGCTGTAGCCACACAACAATCATAATCTTTCCCACTGACTTCCAGTCTTCCACCGGTCCAGAGTGCCGAATCGCGCTGCTAAGATCCGCCTTTTCCGGGACTCGCATATTATCAGCTGGCTCTCGTCCTTTGGCTTCCTGCCTTATCGCCGTCTTCTACTCTCCTCTCCCATCTCCATTCTTCAAAATACCTCTCTGCTCTTCCCTTTCTGTCTTTAATTGACCGGACAAGATGTTTTCTCTAAGGACAGCGCGCCCGGCACAGGTAGGCAAAATGAATTTCCCTGTTTGCATACTAGTTGAACTGCCACCTTTTTTCCCTTTGTTTTCTTTCTCAATACCCCCTATCCCTGTTCTAGATTTGCTACTTTCTTGCTCCAGTCTGTTCGCTGACCTGATCTTTGACTAGTCTTTACTCCGTAAAGGAGCGGCCGCTTCTTTCGCCCGGTCTATTCCTGTCAGATGTACGTTTGTACATTTTTTTTCTCGTCTTTATCTTGGAGATAATGAAGCTAATCATAATAATAATGCACACATTTAGCCCTGGCAACTGTCCAGTCAGACATTTTCAAACCGACAAAGTATGGCGGAAAATATACTGTTACACTCATTCCAGGTATTCCCACTTCTTTGCTCCCCTGCTGATCTCAATTTTTTAACCCGCGAAATAGGTGATGGTATTGGCGCCGAGGTTGCCGAATCCGTCAAGACTATCTTCAAGGCCGACAACGTGCCCATCGAGTGGGAGCAGGTAGACGTCAGTGGTGTGGATACGGGCAACAAGCACTCGGAAGAGCTGTTTAAGGAGTCAATCGAGTCCCTCAAGCGAAACAAGCTCGGTCTCAAGGGTATTCTTTTCACTCCTGTGGAGCGCTCCGGTCACCAGTCATTCAACGTCGCCCTCCGCCAGGAGCTCGATATCTATGCTTCCATCGTCCTTATTAAGAACATCCCCGGATATAAGACACGTCATGAGAATGTCGACCTCTGCATCATTCGTGAGAACACCGAAGGAGAATATTCTGGCTTGGAGCATCAGTCTGTGCAGGGAGTGGTGGAGTCGTTGAAGATTATCACGCGCGAGAAGTCCGAGCGCATTGCAAAGTTTGCCTTCAGCTTCGCTCTTGCAAACAACAGGAAGAAGGTTACATGTATCCACAAGGCGAATATTATGAAGCTTGCCGATGGGCTCTTCCGCAGCACGTTCCACAACGTTGCGCAGACATTCCCGACTCTCGAGGTGAATGACATGATTGTCGACAACGCATCTATGCAAGCCGTCCAGCGACCGCAGCAGTTTGACGTGATGGTCATGCCCAACCTCTACGGAGGCATCCTCTCCAACATCGCCGCTGCTCTCGTTGGTGGACCTGGCTTGGTCCCTGGCTGCAACATAGGCCGCGACATTGCTGTTTTCGAACCCGGTTGCCGCCACGTTGGCCTTGATATCAAGGGCAAGGACCAGGCGAACCCCACTGCTATGATCCTCTCTGGCTCTATGCTTCTCCGCCACCTTGGTTTGGACGAACATGCCAACAGAATTTCCAAGGCTGTATATGACGTTATCGCTGAAGGGTATGTGTTTTCCGGGTTTAAATATGCGCTTAATTGTTTCCATCTAACATCCATATCTGCAGTAAAACAAGAACCCGCGATATGCACGGCACTGCAACCACCCACGAGTTTACTAGGGCTGTTCTGGATAAGATGGAGACTGCTCTATAAGCGTCTGGAATATAACCGAGTGAATGGTGGCCTGCGCTGGTTGGCAGTATACCCACTTTACTTATCCTTGTCGAAACAATCATGAAAGAACACATTCTACCAGGCAATAGGTAATGTATCTGTGTGGGGAAGGACATGTAAGATTATATATCTAGTCTATACACAAGTGCGTTAGATTTCATCATCTTTCTTGGGAGTTTGGTAGAAGGAACCCTCCGAAGCTCACTCACGATGGAGCCCAGGGATTTGCCATCGAGGATTGTAAATTTTTGGAACCGAAAATAGGTAGTGTGCTATCATTCTTTTGCTTTCAAAGATGAAGCATTCGTTAGGAGCTTGACAAGACAAATATTGTGAACATGAGAAGGCAGATAACGGCGCCTAGTAGCGAACTCCGAAATGCGCCATTGGACTTGGTTTTATCTTAGTGTCTTCAGTATCTTCAGTAGTAGCGCTGAATACTGGATCAGGTTTTCAGATTTGTCGGTAACGGGTTTATATGCAGGGTATTGCGAGAATCAAGGTTAGGTATTAGAAAGCTGGACGTCTCTTCCTTCCGGTGTACTTCGAATTTGGTTTGACAATTTTCCCTTTTCGTGCCATTTGTTCCTTCTTTCTCAGAATCCAGGCTCTGTCGCCTCTCCTGGCTGGGGTTGCCTTCTCTTTGGCCATTGCCTTTTTCCTGGCATCTAAGACATCCACATCTTCCATGCCGTCCACGACGCCTGTAATATCGCCTTGTAACCCACCTCCTCCAACGGTGAGTACTAGGTAAAGTTTACTGTTCTTCGTCCCCGGGTCGTCTTCTAGAATACCGGCCCCAAAACCTGCTTTGATAGCAGCGCCGCTGATCATACTTCGCTGGGCATCATTCTTTGGATAGAATTGACAAACGGCGCGCCCACCGCGACGCAAACTGGCATAAAGACCATCGAAGAATCGCCGTAGTCGGCCTTCAGGGCTCACTTCGCTAGTCTCCGCATTGCAGAGCCATTGGATGGCACTTATGCTGATGGCAGCATCAAATGTTCCCGGTCGAAACGGCACTCCTTGCCCGATATCAGCTAGGAAAAGATCACCCTCTACATCTCGTTGAAGGGCCACATCAAGCATGCTAGGGGAGATGTCCATGCCGATCCAAATATGCGGTCCGCCTTGTTCGGGAGACGCTTGAGATAGAATTTCGCCAGAGAGACCGGAACCGCAGCCTACATCGAGAATTAGTGAAGGAGACTGAAGATCAAGGAGCTCAAGAGCTCGGTTCGTCATGTCAGACTGGATGTTGCGAATGCGAGAAGAGGTAGTGTATTTTCGAGATTCATTGTCATTGTAGAAGAGATCAGGTGGTCTGTTGCCGTAAAGTTAGTTACTCACTAGGTCCCTTTTCTATAGTGAAGCTTCGAAGAGATCTCAGAAATTGTGATACGCACAGAGTATCTTCGGGGCGCGACATGGCTGTGAAAGAACTACCGAGTAGAACTTTGACAAACAAAAAGCTAGGAGAAACAAGCGTATGAAGTTTTTCTGCCTTATAAATGATATGAAAGGCAAGATTCGGCTATCAAAAATTGAAGATATGGAATGAAATTCGGAGAATAAAATAATAATAATAATAATACATGAAGCGCTTTGTACGCTCTCTAACATTGCGCTTGTACGGAGAAAATTTAGTGTGGGGATTGTGGCCTGAGGCACACGTGCAGACATGGCCTGGGTTGTTGCTGTTTTCCTATTATCTGTTCTGGGGTATGCTGTTTCTTCGAAGGCCCTTGCCGATAACAACTGGGAGTTTCAAACCGGGGTTGTGAGAATCCTGCCATGGTTGTCTTTCCATAGTCAATTGCAAAGCCATTGACCCCACTCTTTTCAAGACAAATATTGGCATTTATTATTACTGTATACACTATATAGGTCTTTCTCCGACTTCCCCCCCAATCCAACCTCCTTACCACTGCGCACAGATTGAATCCAGACAGCTTCATCAAAATGTGGATACTGCCGCTACTAGGATATTTGGGGGTGATTGTGGGGTTTGCGTTTCTCACCTTAGCTATAGGTGAGTTTTCGAAGACTAAAACCGGATGAGGCTCTCCATGAGAACTGCTGGCTATCATCCCTCAAGTTAAATAAACCACTCTCCGTGACTAATATATGCATGTTACTTAGCCTCCGGCCTCTACTACTTATCCGAACTTGTGGAAGAGCACACTGTCCTCGCCCGCCGGTTACTGTCCCGGTTGATATACAGTGTCATCATCATCCAGATCCTGCTACTTTTCATCGACCGATTCCCGTTCTTCTTAACCCTCCTCAGTGTTGTCTCGCACCTCATTTATGCGAGCAATCTACGTCGCTTCCCCATTGTCAAGCTATCGGATCCTCTATTCGTTCTGTCTTGTATTCTAGTTGGTTTGAACCATTGGCTCTGGTTCCGTCATTTCTCAAAACCATCCCTTCAAACCGCGAATAACTGGCGTCAACCATACCAGGTTAATATCGAGGACATGCCCACTTTCACAGAGGTGGCTTCTTACTTCGGTCTATGTGTTTGGCTGGTACCATTTGCTTTATTCGTCAGCCTGAGCGCCGGGGAGAATGTCTTGCCTAGTATGGGCTCTGAATATGCCACAGGCGACCGAGTTGCTACCGCTGGTCTGAGTGACAGGGCGCTGTCATCTGATAGTAAAATCAAAAGCAAGGGAATGGCAAAAGCATTGGTTGATAATATCCGAGATTGGGTGAGCGAAAATGGGGAATTGATGGGATTCTGGAGAGGAGAACGGACAAGAAGGTTCTAAAAGAAATGCCAGATTTACATTTAATGATGTATCTCGGGATTTATGTATGGTTACTTTTCAACTGCATTTATCCGCAATTCAAATTCCCTGCAAGTACTATTCCACAGGGCAGAAACCCACAGAACCCCAAAGGTGAAAGAGGAGCTTTGCTAACGTACTACCCCACATGCTACGGGTGGAATGCTGGTAGAATGAGAAAGAGAAAACCACTGGGGAGCAGATTGCTTTCGTCCAGCCCAGGGAGAAATAATTCAAGGAGAAACAAAAACCAATCAGTACTAATAATAAAGAACAGTCTGTATATATCACAAGACTGTCTTGACAAACAGCATGGCAATCATAGGAAATAGCAGAGAAGGGGTATATCAATCCTAAAGAATTCAAAAAGAGTTTAGATGAGAAGCGACAAAATGGCCTGAAAGACAAAGAAGAGAAAGGACGAGAATAGAACACAATTGGCTCCTTGCGCCAATTCAAGCTGTGAGATAACGATGGCAACTCGCCTTCGACATCGAAATCCCTACTTCCAATTACCATTAGTATTGTACAGTCCCTCAGCTAATTCTGAGGGTGGTCGGTTTCTTTATGCTTGTGATCCCACGCCAGTAGAACCCAACATATGACTTTCCAGCTCTGCAATGCTATCAACGAACACATGACAGCTATTCAACAATGTGAAAGACAGAAACTAATGCGGATATGATGAATATGGAAATGCCGCAATGCTTGGTTGCACATGGCAGCCTCTCATATCATTGATCAGGAGACTCCTCGGCTACTAGACTCTCCAATTAGTTAGGAATAACATAACCGACGCATTTGCTGAAACATCCTCAAAGGTTGTTGCTTACATTTGCATCGGAGGAATAGCCATGGTTTGTTTCCATGAAAAACAGAGAGCTTTCTCTCCGTGCCGCCTTTGTAAGGCGGGAACTATCGGTATTGGGTGATAGCATACTATTCATGGATGAGAATTGAGCATAATTTGGCTGGCCCGGGTTGGAATTCTCCAGTTTATAAAGAGATTGACGTCTATAGCTCGGTTTCATAGAAATGAATCCCGTCTCTTGATGCACATTGGAACCATGATCAGAATGGATTGGGAAAGATGCTTGGTCGTAAGCGGGCGTAGGGATATCAGAGAATATCTGATGGCGTGGAGACCGAACATCCTCGGATGATACAGGAGACTCAACTGTCAGTACAACAGGATCTGTGTTTGAATCCGGCACCTCACCAAAGATGCTGTCGAAGTCAGTCAGGAACATCGAGAATACGGGCGCCGGAATGTTCAGGGTTGGCGCGAAGACGATGCCAACATTCCTGACTGTCATTTTGTTGACATCTGAATTGTTGACGATCACAATCAGGAACTCCACTAGTGCTCGCAGTAACGCCAAGTTTGGCTTTGGAAGCTTATGTACGAGGGAGTTGAAAGCCACCGTCTTTGTCTGTCGTCCATCGAGGTCTACCATAGGTCAGCCTTTCATTTAAGATAGGAGGGATTAAACACCGTATGCCTACCAAGCACGCGAAGGAAATCTAAATGGAGCTCGCGAGTCAAGACTGTTGTGGGAAGCTCCCGTAAATACTGTTTGAAGAGGGAGGCTACAGCATGAACGTCGTAGTACTGATCTCCGGCCAAAAAGTCGAGGTCGCCTTCAGTATTGAATCGTTCCTTCAAGGCCTTGACAACAACGTTAGATCCACTCAGTCGAAATATTCCCTCTTCCGACACTGCTCCTTTCGCTTTAAGGTACTCAATGCAGCGATAGACAACTGCGGGTAAGTCAACATCAACGCCTTGTGGTGGACAAAACTGCACTGCTTCTGCTAATGGCATTCCAAAGACAGGTTTTACATGGTCCTTCTTGTCTGACTGCGAGTGGTGATGAGCCTGGAGTGTTGGTTCGTGGCTGGCTTGCAGTTGAGAAGCAAGATCAGCCGACGACCTTGTGCGGAATCCCCAAATGCTACGCTTTCTCTCTTTCGCAGCGGCTGCTGTCTTGTTGCCCCATGCTCCTGCATCCTGAATCACCGTGCCATTCGTAGGTCCAGATATCACTTTGGAACCGTGAGAAGCCGTATGTCCATGCTCCACAGTTGTGTTTGGTATTTGGCTCGTGTCCGACAATTCCGAAGACGGCCCAAGCTGTGTTTGCGAGAGTTTGTGAACATGTTTATCTTGGGGAAATCCAATGATTGGGGGTTCAGCAGGAACAGCATCCTCGTAGCTAAAACCTTGAACTGTATCTGACGGCGCCGGTTCTGCACTGTCGATCCCTTTGCCCTTGCTCTTACTTCCATTGGAGGATGACTTAGAGAGCTTCGCGTTTGCGTTTGAATATGGTTTTCCATGCCCCGGGGTTTGATTCTTTGACGGCTGCTTGGCAGTCCCTTCGTTTTCCGATTGTCCCTCAACATACTCCAAGAGAGCTTCGACCCAGGCATCTCTTTCTTCATCACTCTCGGCGCACAAGACATGTCGAACAAGCGCTGAGGAGTCCTTCTTCTTTGGCTCCAAGATAAGGAATGCATGGCGGTAATGGTTATCAGAGTCGTCGTCGCCTCGAGAAGGAGAATTACTCTGACCGTCCGAGTTCTGCGACTGTTTACCGATCTGGGAGTTATAGACCTTGATCGTACCCAGGTGAGGACCACCTGGAGAGTCATAGTATTTGAGCTCCGGACCATGTAGAACAAAATACCTCGCTTTCCAGCCTCCGAAGTTTTTACCCCTTTTAGTGAGATATCCTTCTTTTCTGGGCTTTCCATCCGCCCCGCGTGAAACTTCAAGTTTTGTTTGACCATTACCTCTCACTAAGCTTGTCTCATCATCACGCGGCTCAATAGCGTCAGATGTAAGAAATTGGCACAATATGACAGCCGCCTTCTCATCCATGGGCGTATCTAGGAGAGTATCAAAGTAGGAATTCAAGGCCGCACGCCTTGCATCTACTTTCGCTGGAGAGTGTCCACTGAAGATGCTTCGGTCGGGCAACTTCCCACCAAAGTCCGTCAACTCTTTCATCTGCTGATCCAGCTGAGGAAGAGCCCCAATGATCTTCTCTACGCGCCACAATTCCGATGCTTCCGACCGCGAAAAGATGCTCAAAGTGAAAACAGGTTCCTCATCCAATGTTTTGACCCCCATATAGCTATTTCTCGAAGGACGCAGTCGCGACGAATACACTCTTACTTCAACCAGAGGTAGAGCGTTCGGTGGTAAAAGTAGGTTTGGATAATCCTCCGAGATGAGGCCTTGGTATATGCCCCCGTGAATCTCCCGTGGTGATCTGGGACTGTCTATTCTAACAGAAGCATCAATAGTGGGAATTGGCTGATTTGCAACGTCGGCTGCACTGTGCGCTAGAGAACCATATGAATTCGTAGTCAGAGTATCAGGAGGACCTGGGACGAGAGGTGGTTGGAAGTTCATTGCTTGAGGTGGAAAGCCGTCGTTTGAGGGCGTCTGTGGAATAGGTAGAGAATTGGCGATCTCCCTTGGTAATCTTGGCAACGGAGAACCAAGTGGGCGATCTTCGGGACGTGGGCTCAGAGGCAAGCCAGGACTTTTTGGAGGCGGAAATGCGAGACGATCGTTTAGCGACGCTCCGAGTGCCATACGAGGAGTCAGAACAATCGCCGGAGTTTCTCGTTCTGTGATTAGTTGCGGCCGTGGGCTTAACGGCAATCCAATAGGCATGTTCGAAGCAAGCAGGTTTCCTCGATCAGCGGGGGTCTTTGATGTTTTAGAAGCCTTCTTCTTTGATAGACTGCGCGCTTCCCGCTCCTTTATTAGAGCCGCCTCGCGCTCTCTGTCATCGTCTTCTCTCGTTTTCCTCCTCCCACGGCCGGTTTCCGGCAATTCATCTACTTCAAGAATATCATCGTATTCGGAGCCAGAGTCATATGTATTGGCGTGCTCAATATTAGAGCGTTCCATCCGTCCAAGATCCAGGGGGGCAGGGGGCGGTTTGCGACTTGGAGGCGGTATTGCATTTCGTTTATTATCAATATATGATGAGTCTTTCGCAGACCCGAGGCTTGCAACAGAATGCGACGCTTCGCGTTCATCGTGGGAGCATAGTTCCGGATTTGAGCTTCGCTGGTCGGAAGACCGCACAGGCACTTCTGCACGAGTTGAAACGGCAACAACCCGATCGACGAGGTTTGTGGGAGAATCATCAACGGCTGGACTTGGCGAACTAGTAGCATCAGATGTCAACGAGGCCAATGAGGTCTGAACGTGCAATGGCTCCGACGCTGTGTCAATGTTTTCGAGTCCACCTCTAGCGTTGGCGTCCGTTGCCCGATCACTGCTCTCGGAGGGCGACTGGGGGGTTTCGGAGACTGACTCCTGAATAGGGTGTTGCTCCTTGTGATTTTCCGATATGCCATTGCCATCGGCAAGCCTTGTCGGTAATGGAGGTGTGTGATTTTGCAACTCCCTCAATTTCTTTCTGTATCTCTCTTTCTCCTTCAAAGCACGCTCAAGGTCTCTATTCAAGCCTAGGATGAGAGTCCGCTGTTTATCAACCAACTTCCAGAGCTGAGAGTTTTGGGATGTCGTATGGTGTTTCTCCTTCAAAAGATGAACTATCACGGCCTCGGCGGATCCAGCCGCGCTTATAAGATTATTGATATTCGAAGAACTCAGGATATTGGTATCTAAGGAAGTTTTGTGAGAGTGAGAGCCCGAAGTTAGAGAGGAGATAGCTGAATCAATCGACGAAGTCCGAAGTGCAGAGCCGTGTTCTTGTCTGCCGTCGGATCTGGACTGCAAGGAGCGCATCGGGGAATGTCTGGAGTCTGCAACATGCGAACTCGCATCAGACGTGTCTGAGGTTTTGCGCATCATATCTCCGATATATTTCTGACGATCGCCGGGCTGCTCCATCTCTTTTACCCCTTGTGGCATGAAAAAGGATTTACCAACGCTGGATGAAGCGGTCGGAAACCGAGCATTAGCGACTGGGCCGTCTGTGATGCGATTCTTGAACAGGGAGTGGTCGACAGTAGACTTAGGCGAAACCGGACTCTGCGAGGGGTCTAAGTCGTCTCCGCGGTATGACAGAGGTTGGAAGCTCGTACAAAGTGGCGAAGATGTATGTATTCGAGGGCCAGCGACAGTAGGGTCGTCGGAACGAATGGTCGGCACATCAGGCCGTGTTCCCAAATAATCACGGGGTATAAGACTGCCGGTTAAAGGCGAGTGGGAAGACAGTTGGCTCCTAATGGAAGAAGAAAGGGGGAGCTTTGGGGAGTGCTGACTACCATCACTGTCTTGTCGCCGAACCTGCGACATGGTTCGCCTAGCAATGGGTGCTTGGTAAGCATGGGAGGACAGGGGGGAAGTTGCGAGGAGATGTCTTATTGCAGCAAGATTAAGTGAAAGCGACACTAGCCAACAGTCAATGGTGATCAATGAAGGGTAGGATTAATATAACTGAGCAAGCAAGGGCGGCAGGAAAGGGGAAACCTGGCATGAAGCATGAAATGACAAGGCGTGTGGGGGGCGCGAGGGAGCATTGAGATATTATTAAGGAATGTGATACTGGAGCTCTCTGCCTCTCATTGCCTGGGATCCTTCAACTTCCCGGACCGTGCCATGGTCGATTGCTTGTTCCATTGGCAGTTGGCACCTCCGGCTGGGCCGCGGACGATGCATTGCCAAAGTCTAGATACTTGGTCTTGACGTTGTCGGCACTTGGACAGTTTTGTCCATTATTGTTTCATATTAGATATTATCCCCGATCAGGGATGCCCCGTGGACCCTCCAACGGTACCTTAGTCAATGCACGATGGACATCCATGCTCCAGGGCCTTTATCGAGACCTCATTCCAGCGTCCAGCGTTAGCGTCCAGTGTGCTGCTGCATCGTGTGCATCTCCTGGATCTGCAGACCATGACTGCTTTCTGTGTCGATCCACGGATCGTGGATGATATGATCGATTGTCTAGATCATTCTGCGTCTGCGCTGCACCGGGATGTCCGACAAAAACGACTGGGACATATTAATTGAATTAATTGATATTTATTCGTTACCCACCCACACACACTTCCAAGCGAAATAAATATACTCGCTGCAGATCCATCGTACTCACAAAGGTTCGTTAACTCTTAAGGAGCGAGGAAGATTTTCGCTTATATGCTGCTGACCTATATAACTACTCCATACGCTTAATAAAATAATAATAGCTTCATAGTACATGCCCTTCGTAGAAGAGAAGAAAAAAATTCATAAGGAAACTTTGCCCTATCCATTACCTTTTCAGTTCCTTTTCTCTTCATAGAAAAAGTCGAAAACAGAAGAACGAACCCGCCCCTTTCTCCAACGCCTTTTCCGCATCAGAATCATGAAAAGCCCGCAAAGTGCCAAAGCCATCTAGAACTACAATGGTCATGCTATTATATTCCCCGCCATTCCCATGAAAATGGCCTGCGCAGCCAACTGCAGTGACCAGAATCCGACTTTCTTAAAGCGTCGTTTGCGCGCTTGCTCGTCCATCACGTCTCGTGCAAATGCATCGTATGTCTATCGAGTACATCAGATACTGTGTAGGTGGGACAGAGGCCAATAATACTTACTACCGCTGAGAGATCATCCATCAAGCCGCTGTCAAAGATTGTCCAGCTGCCGTTGAAATCACTAACCCGCTTGGCCAGGCGGCAATTTATCGGTATAAAAGTGCGTCTTGAATTGATATACGCAACGATCGGGCGGATAAGGGCATTGTTCATATAGGAAAGATCCCGGGTAAAGAGCGGGACCGCTGCCCTGACATTATTGAGATTAAGACGAAGATCCATAACCAAGAACCGTTTATCTTCGTCTAAAACCTCCTCCAGCTCACTCTGCTGTTGCGGTAGAGTCATCGGCTGCTGGTTGGATGTCACCGTCGCTTCCAGCCGATCATAGAAACTAGCCATCACTTTCGCAAGGCTTTCATCATTGTCAGCAGGAAGCATGATGTCGGCAACTATATCGACCGTTCCCTCATGTATCCATGAAAACGGGCCTTGTACTCCACGGTTCAGATGATCAATATTTAAACCATCGACGCGTATTCTGCTGTGTTTCTTCCAAGGATTCGGCTTTCCATCCTCCCCAGTTCCATCAACTAACTGTTCACCAGTAAAACTGTGGGTTTGCCGGGGGTGAATAGTGAACAGCGAGTTATCGACCGACCCGGACACCATATTGGCTGAGAGAAAGTCATAGAATAACCACTGCTTCCTCAGCTGGGGAAGATCGCACGAGAATATGCTAACAGAGAACGGTCTGAAGTCATCGGGTTGATAAATGGTGACCAGCACATCGTGCATTTTGAAGGAATCGATTTCGAAGTCTCCAGGGTTATGTTCGTGGCGATAGGATTTGGGATCTATGTCATCATCTAACCAACGGACCTGTCGACGGTCCACAACTCCGCGGATGCCCTTTACTTCGACATCACGAAGTAGCCCCTTCCCGTTAATCCATTTCGTGAACGATAATGTAACATTCACCGAATCAATCGACAAATCAAATTGAGTATAGTTTGTATCTTCCTCCTCATCGGAAGCTGATCGTTGCCCCGACGCATCTCGAGCAGGCTGATCGCTCAAGGCTGCGGCTGCGGCTGCAGCCGCAGCAGTTTTGGAAGATCCTTTACTTACATTTCCTGCCCCTTGGCCAGGTCGCCTTGAGACGAAAACATTTTTGAACGTAATGACTCCATTTTTCCATTTGGGTACAATCGCAGATTCGAAGACAACCTTTACACCGGATGATTTCGTAAGGTAATTACCTACCCATCCAGCTAAAGTTTCTGTGGGGTGTCAGCGATAGTGATCGAACTTCGAGGATTATTTATCTTACCCTGAGCAAAGACAGTATTAATCGCAAGAATCACCAAGGAAAAGAATGTTGTAGTTCCCAATACGACCCAGACAAGGTGGCCCAGAAGTACCCACGAAAATAGCGCGGCTATCTCATCCAGATTGAAAGGGCGAACGCTTCGAATTGAGAACCATTTAAATCGTATTTTCAAACGCGACCAAAACCCGGTTGCAGCAGCTAGAAGTTCTTCCTTCGTCGGACGATGCAACTGTGGTATGTGCGGCAATCGATTGATCAGGTGGCGATTCGGTAAGTCCGATATACTCTGATCCGGTATTGAGTTCTTGATCTTAAAATCTTGAGTATCATGGCTCTCTGTCTGTCTGAAATTCCGGGAAGACACGATATCATCATCTGGTTTCCGTGGATCTTTGGGTGTTTCTACCCTCGACTGACCGCCGTTCATTGTATGTAGACCCCGTCGCCATGCACTCCTTGCGAGATTGTGGAAAAGTAATCTATCGAAGTGATGATGACTAGCGTGACATATTATATTTTCCGGTACCATTGCGCATGTCGTCCCAGTTTCTACTGCCGAACTTGGAGAAGCGCCGAGTATGAGGAAGCCACCGGAAGCAAACCGTCTCGTGATCTGTCTTGTTTTGCCGGTTGACGAAGAGGACATCCTTCTCGTATATCCTTTGACAAATACATCATTGACAAGCCTTTTTGAGTCCGCTACGTCAGCCAAAGAAGGGACGCGATTCACTCGTAGGCTGCGAACGAACAGCGGGTTCGCTGTTTCCCAGAAGCTGGCGTACAGCCTGCGTCCCAGATTGCCGGTCATGATTGCCGTCACATCCTGGGCTGTGCGCCAAGCAAGAAAGAGAATGTAAAGTCCACGAAGATATTTCGGGTGGACCTACAACCGGAATGCTTCGAGGACGAGAGTCTGGAACATGAAGACTCTCACTTCTGTCACGGGTAAAAAACGGAAAAAAAAGAACTTGGGAAAAGTGAAATCATTCCGTCCAGCCGCAAAATAAACTTTGTTTGTCCTGTTTGCATTAACTACATTGTCCGCTAATAAAATTTGCTATATCGGGCAATCCACACATTTGCTGGACAAGATTTGTTCTCGAAGTTTGTGCAAAGCCCTCTCACACTTCGATATAATCCGGCAAACTTCAATATACAGGCCGAAAATACGAAAAGACAACTAAGGGAAGGGGCAATATAAAAGGTAGAAAAATGCCTGCACCCACAGCACTTCAACACTCGGGTGAGCAAATAGGTCCCGAAATGCCCATAGCTGCTCCGTCCGTACCAGGTATGCCTTAACTCATATGACAGCACTGGAGCTATCGATCAGCCTAACAGACAGCAGTGCAGGATGATGAAGTTCTGATCGACGCTTCAACTTCGCTTGAAACTCGAGGAGCGAATTCTGCTTCCCCAGCGACCGAAACAGCACAGGATAATGATATGCGCATTGATGAAGAAGGCCGACCAGTGTTCACACCGGCAAAGGATAGGAACGACACATATCGAATTGAAACACGTAAGGTACCAGTGCCACCGCATCGTATGACACCACTCAAGACATATTGGTCGAAGATCTACCCCCCCCTTGTCGAGCACTTGAAATTGCAGGTTCGGATGAATGTCAAAAACCGGGCAGTCGAGCTGCGTACTTCTAAGTTTACGACAGACACGGGAGCATTACAGAAGGGCGAAGACTTTGTGAAGGCTTTTACTCTCGGATTTGATGTCGACGACGCTATCGCACTGCTGCGATTAGATGATCTGTACATATCGTCCTTCGAGATCAGAGACGTCAAACCACTCAATGGTGAGCATATTAGTCGCGCCATTGGACGAATCGCCGGTAAAGATGGAAAAACCAAATTTGCAATTGAGAACGCCAGTAGAACCCGTGTTGTTCTCGCGGATCAAAAAATACATATTCTTGGTGGATTCAAGAACATACACATTGCAAGGGAAGCCATCGTTAGCTTAATCTTGGGTAGTCCTCCAGTAAGTCTCGACTTGTTGACTTTACAGTATAGTATAACTGCTAACAACAACAGGGCAAGGTTTACGGTAACCTTCGTACGGTGGCCTCACGCATGAAGGAGCGCTTCTGATACCCCTATACTTGAATATAGCTTTTCTTCTGTCCCGGCATGGTACTGGCGTTATGGGGGAAAGGGATGAAATTAGATGTTATTAGCATGACAACTTGAAAGGACCGATCCTCACGGAAGCTTTTCGGTTTAGATATTGGAAGATAATGATTTGGTGGAAAAGTTATGATATGTCTCGAAAACCAATCGATTTAACTTGTGTTCTGCCCTTTAGTCCTTCTTCAATGGGGTATAGACCTCCTCTATCCCACTCTTGCTAACAATGAGCATCTGTAAGCCATCACCAACTTCAATATGTCTCTCCACTGCGCTGGTGAAGGCATCCCGGACTAGCTGTTCCACTGTCTCCCTGGGCAGAGGCTCTTGTTTCTTCGGCTTTAAAGCAAGTCCTTCGCCGCTTCCGGGAATGTACTGGTTTTTGAAGTCGACTTGGTTGTCAAGGAACGGCATAATCAAGCTCGCTGCAGACCCCGCTGCCTGACACTGCACTCGCTCATACGAACCCACCGGGTCGTAGCTGTACAGAGCTCCCTTGCCTTCCTCATCTAGGCCTGCTAGAATAGCATGGACGTAGTACGGGAAGAATCGTTTTTGGTACAGAATTGTCGCCAATCGCTGAGCACATGCTTTGACAGACATGGGCTTTCCGTGTTGGTACTTGTACATCTTCACGATCGTGTCTAACCGCTCTTTGAGAGCCCGGCCATCTGCCGCAAAACCGACAACAGACAGAATGATATTTGCCCCTTCACTAGTTTCCTCGTCACCTCCAATCTTGAAAACTTTTGGGACGTAGCGAGAGTTGATGTTGTAGCCAGCGACGGACCGGGTATCACCTGCTAGAATCGTGAAATCGGAGCCAGCGATACCCAAGGTAGAGCCACCATTGTCGGTATACCTAGAGAGCATACATCAGCCTTCTTCAATAAAAATTGCACATATGCATCTTCATCATACGGGTAAAACGAGTGCTCCCTAATTGAGCCACTAGTTGACGGATGGAAGGAATATCCAACAGTCTCAGCCTGAGACGGGTTGTCCCAAAGCGACGTCATCTTCGGTGGGATATTGGAGTAGGGGAAGATGGTGGAAAGAAGAATGCGCAAGAGAGATCAGTATACGTTGCAACCTATTAGGATTCCCTTCAATAGTATGTGGTTTCGTTGGCAAAGAGAGAGCACAAAGTCAACTTGGGAAGGGCAACCTGGAGCTGTTCATCTGACGGATGCTGGAGCTCACTCCTGCTTATATAATACCACGGCTCAAACAAAGTTAAGAATCAAGTTGGAAGAACCTACGGAGTAGCGCCGCAATATAGCATGTTCCCGATCTCAATCTCGAAATTTACTACTTTTGAGAATATAGCATCGATGGCCAGACCACGACAATCGCATATGTGTGACTGCTAGAATCCCCAAAAAGCTGCTCCTTGGCTTTGTCTACTCTGTCCTTTCCCCTCGTGCTTGGAAATATCGTGGACGGACTTGAAAGACCATATCTCCATACCGTACGCTGCAGCCGAACATTAGAATCTGTAAATACCCCTGACAGAGAACCATGCTCGGGCTCGGAGCCTATGAAAGCAGCAGTGAGGATGAAGCAGAAAACAAGAAGTTTTTATCAATCTCTCAAGTACGCCCATTTTGTACAACATTTATCAGCAAGAAACCGGGCTAACTCATATTCCCATAGGAAGGGAAAGAGACTCCAGTAGATGCCCATGGAAGATCAGCTAATGGTAATATCCTAAGACTTCTACTTTACACTCTGAATTTCCAGATATTAACTGCATGCATGTTAGACCAGATGCCGGAGACACAACCTTCGCCCAGTATAACCACCAATGTGCTTACCACCGCGCCCGTTGTTGGACCTTCACATCCTCCCAAAGAACATATTGCTTCGGAAGAGCTCTCTTTTGATGCCCGGTCTTCACCTGCTTCGGCGTCTCGCGCCCTTATTCATGATTTAACACTACCACCCGTGCCGAATCTCGATATACCTCCATCGCCCCCTGGTTCCCCTGAGACAGCTACGAGTGCGAAATTCGCACATTTTCTTAACTTGAAGAAAAAGGGTGTACATTTTAACAAAAAGATGGCTATTTCAGCATCATTGAAGAATCCTAGCTTGCTCCAAAAGCTAAGGGAGCATGCTGGGATTGACGAACAAGCCCAATACTCCACTTCATTACCGATTGACGTATGGGACCCGTCTAATCTACCGCAATGGGGGTTTAAGGAGGAGCTTTTGAAGACACAGCAGGAAGTACGCCGAAATGAAGAAGAGAAAAGGTTAGCAGGGCAGAGGACTTCAATCGACTTTGTGAGCGGAGCTAGTCACACAGAAAATGGAACCAGAGCAACCTGAATCGCTAGGTCTTTGTTACTCCAATATAGGTGAACCAGAATCTTTATTGTAACACCAATGTGCTTACGCCGTAGGTTTAGTATTCCAAGATCAACTTGGCTGTTCTGCGGTGTGGAGACATTGCCTAGTTAGGTAGGTTAGGTAAGCTTAGCGGTGGTCCGTAGGTTAGTTAATGGGAGCTGGTGCCGTCAGCTCTACTGGCAAGCTAGAGCTACGTACCACTACCGCCCTTGCTACTTCACCTTGTCCTCTTTTATCATCTTATTATCTTGACAACCGAGAGGAATACAGGGTTGATAACTTAAAGTCAAAGTCTTGTTATCTTGAGCTTTTACTAACCCAGTTGAGAAACTTAAATCTCTTCTGGATATTCTTGCTCATTCATCATGAACCACTACCCTGAAGCCTGGGGGAGAGTAAGTGGACTACTACTCAGGTCTGTTGGCCTTTCTAACAATAATATCTAAGCCCAGGGATGATGTTTATGGCCGTTACGATCACTCTTACCTGCAGACTTCTGGCCCCAAGGCCCACACCCAATCACCTGCCGTAACTGGAACGTCTGTAGTCGCAGTTAAGTTCAATGGAGGAGTTGCGATAGCTGCGGATAACTTGGGTATGTCATTTTCGGTCAATACCCAGTTCACGTTTCGGAAAAGGTCAAGTTGCAGGCTCTTAATAACGTTTCAATCTCACTGGACAGCATCGTACGGTTCCCTTGCTCGCTTCTCCGACGTCAAGCGTCTTCGTGTATTTGGAGATGCCGCGATAATTGGGTTTGGTGGCGATGTGTCTGACATGCAATATATCGACCGCCTTCTTGACTCCGTTGACATCAGGGAGAACTATTCGTCAAATGGTAACACCCTCAACGCGAAGAATATCCACACCTACCTCTCGAAGGTCTTTTATAAACGTCGCACCGATATGAATCCTCTCTGGAATCATATTCTTGTGGCAGGCTTTGATGGAGATGGTAAACCATTTCTAAGCTCCGCCGACCTCCTTGGAACGACCTTCTCCAGTCCGCACTTGGCGACCGGGTTTGGCGCACATCTTGCGGTCCCGATCCTCCGTCGACTGTTCCCGGAAGAAAAACCCATCGAAGAGTTCAGCAAAGATCAGGCTGTTGCAGCACTCAGGGAGTGTATGAAGGTCCTGTGGTACAGGGATGCGCGGAGCCACGACAGATTTTCGATAGCGACGATCACCAAGGAAGGTATCGAGCTAAACGAGAATGAGCAGGTTGAGGCTCAGAGCTGGGCCTTTGCAGAAGTCGTAAAGGGATACGGGGCACAAACTGTTTAGCTTTCCTTTTTGTTCTAGAGTCTGGACTGACGGAAAATATGCCTATGAATTCGAAAGTTCACAGCAATAGAGACATCTGTCATTGCTAGCTAAGGTCTACAAAACAGAAGTGACCCTCTTCGTAAACAGAACAGGTAGTCTCCACTAGTATTCAGGTGTCTTTAGAGTTTCGAAGACAGCTTTTCAAAGACAACTTTATTAACACAGGACCCTACACCCTCAAGAGACACCTCAACCTGATCACCGTCCTTCAGCCAAAGTGGAGGCATTCGACCCATACCGACTCCCTGGGGACTGTCCAGAATGTAAGTCACAAGTACGCACATAGAAGTTTTTCCGATGCAGGTAATAAACAAAGCATAGATATCCCGTAGGGAGATGCAGGGGACTACTTACGTCCCAGTGAATATCAAGTCACCAGGGAAAAGCGTGGTGCCTTTAGATAAAAATGATATGGTCTTCGCAACACCAAAAATCATGTCCCTGGTCGAGGAAGATTGAACGGTCTTTCCATTCAGTTTTGTCGAAAGATGCAGCGAATTTGGATCACGGATCAAATCTGACGACACAATTCCCGGACCAAATGGTGCCCAGCCATCAAAGCTTTTACCCAATCCCCATTGTCCTCCGCCACGTTTTAATTGCCAGTCCCGATGGGAGACATCATCACCAACTGCGTAACCAAGCACGTAGTCCAAAGCGTGGTCCTCTGAGATATCCTTGGCTTCCTTCCCGATCACCACAACCAGTTCACATTCGTAATCCAAGCCTTCACCTTCCTGAGCAAGCAGTGGAATAGGGATATCATCGGTTGGCCCGGTAATCGAAGAAACCGGCTTATAGAAGAGCACTGGATATTTGGGTTCTGGGAGATTGGACTCTTTGGCGTGCTGTGCATAGTTCAGTCCCAGACACCGTACTGTTCCAATATCCTCTCTTGACAGAGGCGCTAGGAGGAGTTTCACTTCAGCGACCTGTTCGGTGACGTGGTGCTGACCAAAGATATCACCTTTGATCACTTTTGCCCTGGTTGCTTTGGTGATGTCGCTGGTACCAGCTGGGATGATGGCATCTCCGTAGTAAATGTGGCCATCCTTGGACAGGAAACGGATCAATCGCTGCAGTAATTTGTCATTCATAAGTCCAAGAGAAAAGATGACGTTGTTACAGTGAGGCATGTTTAACATGGGCTTTCATGGATGAAGGCTGCTAGACAGTAGATTGGGCCCTTTGGTACATACAGAGAAGGCTGGCATTTTCAATGAGAATTTTTTAGTAGAATGGATAAGAGTTATGGCCCAGGCTTTATGTCGACAAAACCTTGAAATTGGGGCTATCGAACTGCGTTGGCTCAGTTGTCTGGAGTAGACTTCTGATTGATAACGACTCCGGACGGAGATTAATACCTCGGCTTAGAGGAACTTTCGGCCGAGTATCGGAAGACTAGTTTTTCCAGTGATAATGTTGTTTTACTAAGTATGATAACATAAATTACAGTATAATTTTAAGAAGAATCGCATAGATAAGAATCTATCTAATAAAGATTTTATCGCCATAGCCATAGATTTGATGAGCTATCGGGGTTTGAAATATCATAATTTCTACTTTGTATGGATATTTTGTATGGACGGCTCGGTAGTCTGGAGGTTTGTAAACTGCCTATACCCGTACTCCGTAAGCTGTAATCAATCTCTGGCAGATCTCGGGAAAGCTTGCAGCCATCTTATCACCATCCAGGACTCCTTCAACTACTCGGTCCAAGTAACAAGATTAAGAAGACCATGGCTCGACTTTCAGGGCTCCAAAGGGAGGTCTTGTCATTATACCGAAGCTGTCTGCGTGAAATACGGAAAAAGCCTCTAGTGAGCCATCTCATTCATTCTTTCCCCCCCAGTCATAACGAATTGACAGCTCATGTACTTCTTTTTTGCCGCACAGGAATCGAGAAGTAATTTTAAATCGTATACTAGGTAAGTATTCGAAATCATCCTACGGTTCACATCCTATTGAGCAGGGCAAATATCATGCCAGCTGGATTTCTAGAACAAGCTGACCCGCAGCTTGACAAGATCGGAATTTCGAAAGTATCTCAGCTTGAGCAAGAAGGATTTTACCGCAATAGAATTTCTATTAAGAAAGGGGCGAAGGCAACTCGAAATGTATTCCTCTCCTGGAATTCGCAACATTCTATAGCCAAAGGCTCCGACTGCGGTAGTATCGATTGGTCTGAATCAATTGGAAGAGCCACCAAGTACCCTATATCTTGGAGAACAATACAGATAACCTGCCAGAGCTCAACACAAGATCCCTGCTTACAAGAAATGAAAGCCAATATTTCCAACTATTTCCAACCTTTGTCGTCACCGACTACTTAACCAGATCACGTGACACTAGAAGGCGGAAGAACGTTCGGGATGGATCTCGAGTAACGTCGTGAGATGCGAGCAGTCGCTTCGAGAAACCTTTAGTAGCTGCGGGATCATTCAACTGCTTCACATAATTCAGATACTGGTCTCTTCTAGAATGAATTTTGCTGGGTATATAGGGATGGATTTCACAATGTCAAGTCCGTCATCCCTTCTTCAGCACTCGTCATATCAAAACCGCAATTATAGATCGCTTTTACATAAAAGCAAATCATCCCTCAAACCTCAATTAACCAAACCCGAAGCCTCTTGAATACGCAACTCATTCCCCAGACTACACACATAATGGCTTTCTTTCCACAGTTGTCTGGTGATTTTTCACCCTTGTTTCGCATGTTGGATGATTATGACATTCACCGCTCCAGCCGTCCCAAGAGTCGGACTCCACCTCCCCGTTCTTTTGTCCCGAAATTTGATGTCCGGGAACTGAAGAATGGCTACCAGCTTGATGGAGAATTACCGGGTGCCAACCCACAGAACATCGATGTCGAATTCACGGATTCACAAGAACTTGTCATAAGGGGACATGTGGAGCGAGAATACAACCACACGAGTCCAGACGAATCTGACAGAACAGAAACCGCTTCCAATCAGAAGGCTCGCCAACCTACTGTTGAGGATGAAGATGAAGAGAGCTGTAAGACCGCCGCTGCACCCATTCCGACCGAAATGCCGCCTAAGAAAGTCAGGAAAAGCAATCCTTCACCCAAGCATAAGTATTGGGCCTCCGAGCGCATTGTTGGCGAGTTTCAGCGAACATTCACCTTCCCGGCTAGAGTCGACCAGGATGCTGTGAAGGCCAGCTTCAAAGATGGTATCCTCTCGGTAATTGTTCCAAAGACATCAGTGCCGAAAACGAAGAAGATCACTGTTGATTAGGAGGATCCTTGGAACGCCTCAACTACTTCGTATTGAGAAACTCGGGCGTTTTTATGAGCATAGCTTCATTGTCTCTATACGTTTTGAATAGCGATTTTCGACATGTTCGGCATGGGCGTTTCGACTCCGAGTCTGCTTTTCTGTGTTAATTTTTGTACCGGAAATTTCGCGGAAAGATGGCTTTTGAGGAGGCTAGGAATCATTGTATTACTACTAATGAGCATCATTGAATTTAAGAAATTCAAGCTAACGGCATTATTAATCCTCGTTGATAGTTAATAGTTAGTTAATGCAAAGGACAACTGAAGTAATCAAATATCATCGCTGACTTCACACTGACTATTAAAAGAGAATCGTCCCTAAATATTAATAAATCTAAATAAGAGAGCTACTAACTATCTGAGAGACACCGTTAAGCCTGAATATTATATTGCTGTCATTATAATTATAATATAATACCACTACTATTGTTATTAAAACTTCTCTGTGAACAGGCAAACACTCTCAGTATCATCCTCCTGTGCTAATCCCATACTACCTCGTATAGAACGCAAAGAACACTCAGAAGCATAGCCACTGTCAGTGAACGATGAGGATCTACCCCAAATGTTACCTTCATTATCTTTTGTCAAGGCCTCCCCAAGCCGGGCCAAATTATCGTAAGTACAACGATCAAGAAGTTTTTCGTACCCATCATCGCTAGAATGAGCGATGCCAGTACCGAGAGTCTTTTCAAGAGAGACTGAACTGGACGCAGGAGATAATTCGAACGAAAATGGTTCTAAATAACCATTCGCTTTGGCAGAGGGCTCGGAGCTAAAGTCCAGATCTCGAAACAACTCTGCAGTTAAGATTTTGTCCATGGGACCCCTGCATTCTTCATCACCGCTTCCACTTGACTGCATCGTATTGTCGCCGCCTTGCCTGGGCTCAGGAGTTGGAATTAGGGGTTGGACCATGGAGGTCCGGTCGCTGGGGCATGGAGATACGGCACCATTGACTACGCGCAAGGATCCCAGTTTGAGTGCCCCTAAATAGGTGTATTCACATCCGTTTGGAGTCTCCGCGCGGGCGACTGGTTTGTCCAAAGTTGGAAGATCGAGGTCCACATCGTCACAAGTAGATGACCGCCATCGTCTAGACGATTGATCAAGTCTAGATGAGAAGTCGCGAATGGAATCAACTTCTTGATCAGTCGCAAAGGGAATCCTGCCGCGCGTTTTCCTGGGTCTTCTGGTTGCGACCCCTGGTTGCGTTAAAAGAGACTTTCGGCGGATCAACGGGGTAGAACTGCGATCTATTAGGGAACTGAAGCAGGGAAATCCTTCAGTCGTGTTATCTCCATGAACAATACATGTCGTGTATTGCGGGGTTGAACGGAGCGAGTAAATTCTACTCGAGCGTTCCGACAACCAGGGCAGCTGGGAAGGACGCCGGGAGGTCATTGGTCGACGAAAAGAAGCTCGTCGAAAGGAGAATAATGAGGTCTCCGAACGTGAGCGAGGTATATGGTGGGCTTCCTCGCGACGCCCATCGAAAGCCGCATGGAGGGCTTCGGGTTCCAAAGGCAAGTGGGAAAAGGTCCGAGCCTTTTGACAATTGCACGTCAAATACGAAGTGTCGTCAGGAATAGAGACTGTAGGTGAAGATGGGACAGATATGGATCCATCTGACTCGATATATTGCGGGCTGATGGACTTTAGACGAAGAGAATTCCCGGGTGCTTTTGAAAGGCGATTCCTTTGACAGCGCTCATTTCGGCTAGGAATGGATATTGGGTTTCCCATGACTACTGCGTCTCCTAGCTTAGAGCCAATTGGGCGAAGTGAGTGATAAAGAACTCATGTATCAGTCGAAATCCCACGGCTTGAAGAGAATAGAGGAACCTAGGACAGAGCCACTATGAAAAAAGCGGTGCGCAAGCTGCTTCTATAAGAGAAGCACACAAAGAATGAATAGAAAAGAAAGGAAGGAGCGGGAGGAATGACACAAATCTTCTGCGCACCAGAGAAATTTCGAACCGCGGGACCTTGGATAAATAGGAAGAGCTATCCCAGGGAGCCATCCATGGTTCTATGAGAAAAAGAGCAGACACAATTATGACGAATGAAGCAGCCGGGGACTCATACTCCCACCGATGGGGGATGCTCTCATTGGGAGATGGCTCGACGAGCAACGGTAGGGAGAAGTCAATGCCATGGCTGACGATTCTCCGCTAAGAAAAAGGCAACCTCACCAGGAAAATAGTTGGTGGTTGGTGGAGCGCGTGGGAAATCATGGAGCCCAAGCGTGAAGCCAAAGCAAGAAAAGGCTGCGGAGAGAGCTTGGAATCGGAGCCAAAGCGAAATACCGAGTTTGGCAAAGCGGTACCACCACAAACGACCCGGGAAGACAAAGATCCTCGGAGCGGACGATCGCAATGCCAAATGGGCATGTCTTGAATCGACTCTTCTTCTCCCTACGGCCGTCGGTGGCTGGTACGGCCCATGTTCTGATAGATCGACTGCCAGAAAGCATAAGAAAGTGTACTACGCACTCACCCGGCCGTCATCCCATACCACATATGGCCGATGCTTCCAGTCAAGGGATGCTGTCGGCTTTCCCTTTCCTCACAGAACCGGAATTCGACCACGCCTGTGCGACCTTTTTGGACCGAGTGCAAGCGCTGGAAAGCCTGCATGCCTCGGGCTGGTCGTCCGTTCGACTCGAGAAACAAGTTGGTTATCCCCTCCTATCTTTCTCTCTATCCCCTCGTTCTCTTGTGGCTGGTGGGAATTTTCTGAAAGCCGAACAAGTTACTGACAATCGAGTTTTTCCGTTATAAATTTGCGTAAGCTACTAGGCATGCGGCACTGTTCTCAAGATATCAAGAGTGATTGACAGTCCCACCACACTCAACAGGGAAAAAGCTACCCTCGAAGATACTCCGGAATCCCATAAGTCCCAAGCCGATGCTTTCGAGGATGACCCTGTTAGTACCCTAAAAGGCTCTTCCTCCCTCAGGCATCCCTTCCCCTGTTCCCTGACTGTGCGGTAGGAAGCTCTGGCCCGCACGGCCGATCCAGACCCCTACTTCCAAGTAGAATATGACATCCTCCTCTCCCCCACATACCAGGTCCCTGTGCTGTATTTCGTCCTACGAGGGTCTCGCGCAGGCCCTGTTGGGATAGAAACAGTTTACCAGTATTTGGTACCGGATCAGTACAAAAATGAAGTGAAAAGTGTCGGTGTTTTGGGCGGTATCAGTATGGGTGTATGCGCCCTTGGCTCCCAGGAAACAGGTCTACCAAAGCTCACATTCCATAGTATCATCCAGAATCTGGCACTCCGGCATTCTTCGCTCATCCATGCAATACCGCGGACGCCATGAAACACATCGCCCATGGGCAGGATGTCCATCCAGAGCTTTATCTCTTACTCTGGCTCGGTTTGGTAGGTAGCCGCGTCGGCCTGCATGTACCACGTGAGCTTTTCGCAAACAAGAATAAGTAACAAATTCTATAATGCACCTGGTGTACCACACCAGCTCACACTAAGTAGAGCCATTTCATTTCCCCCAAAGCGAACCAGAACCAGCTGAACTCGCCTAATCCTCATCGGATGATGCTTCCATTGACACATCGCTTTCTTCATCCATTGGTGCTTCCTCCTCATCACTCTCCTCACGCGGCCGTTTCACGCCTTGAGCTAGTTGCTCGCCACTGACTGGGGCAGGCTTGCTGGGTAATGGTGCTGTCCCAGGAGGAGCACCGAATATCGATTTTTGGAGTTCCGTAGATACGCCACCACCTGGTACACCACTTGGTGCGGTAGAAACTGTCGGGACACTATAGGTGCCGCGAAGTCTCGCAATCACATCCGAAGCACCTTTCGCGTAAACAATTTTCTGGGGTTTCGTTGTAAGCATGCAGGTGGCCAAATAGGGTGATAAACGCTACATACAATTTCCTTGCCAAAGAATTCAAACCCCTGAAGAGCCCGCATTGCTTGAGTGCTAGCCTGCACATCCTTAAATACGATATGGGCTTGACCGCGCATCTTCTTCGTTTTCACGGCCACCACGTCTAGAACAGTACCGTATGTCGAAAAAAGCGTATATAGCGCGAGTCGCAAATCATGTTTTCGAAGTTTATCCGGTAGATTAATGCAGTATAGTCTAGTTTCGCATTGTTAAAATGTCATAGGAAAGCTAGCATGCTAGAGACAGGTACTTACGTTTGATTTGGAGGCCCAGTTGCCGGACCGTCGCGCGCGGATACTACCTTCGCAGCCATCACTAAGAGAAGAAGGGTGTGATTGTATAGAACAAGCAGGTTTTGAGTGAGTAAAAAGAAAGAAACAGTTAGTAATTAACACAAAATTAGCCCGTATAAGAGAATGCCAGCAGCTTTGTGACTTGAGCTTTGACGCGCGATAGGGTTGCATTTGAGCTCATCGAAAACAATCTGTGGGGGTCGGTCAGGTGACCGGTCTATCATTATCTAACGCCGTCGGTTCTCCAGCATCCTACACCCCTTGCTCACTTCCATACGCAAGTCGACAGTAGAGAGCTCCTCCTGTCAGATAACCTAAAATGGCCACCCCAGAAGTACACCACCTTTTCCATAACCCAATTGCTGATCACTCGTTTTCATCCGATAAACATACGCTCGCTGTTGCGCGGGATAGCAATGTCGAGCTCTACAAGGCATCAGGCAACAGGTTCACCTTGAATGATGAACTGAAGGGCCATGAGAAGACCGTCACCGGTGTGGATATTGCCCCGAATAGTGGACGCATTGTTACTTGTTCCCAGGGTATATTTTGCTCAACTGCTAGAATAATCCGACATGGAATAAGCTGACTCTGATCTTCTAGATCGCAATGCATACGTCTGGGAGCGCACCCCTGCAGGTTGGAAACCGACTCTGGTTCTTCTTCGAATCAACCGGGCTGCGACATTTGTACGATGGTCACCGTCCGAACAGAAGTTTGCCGTCGGTTCAGGAGCCCGGGTGATCTCGGTGTGTTACTTTGAAGAAGAAAACGACTGGTGGATATCGAAGCATTTGAAGAAGCCAATTCGGAGCACTATTACCACGCTTGCGTGGCATCCGAACTCCGTTCTGCTGGCTGCAGGGTCGACAGACTCTCATGCAAGAGTCTTTTCTAGTTTTATTAAGGGAGTCGACAAACGCCCTGAGCCGAGTGCCTGGGGTGAGCGTCTCCCATTCAACACAGTATGTGGCGAGTTCCTAAATGATTCGGCTGGATGGGTTCATGGCGTGTGCTTCTCTCCGAGTGGGGATGCCCTTGCCTTCACCAGTCACGATAGCAGCATCACAATTGTGTACCCAAGTGCCCCCGAACAGCCTCCTCGAGCGATGTTGAACATTCCTACCCGCTTCCTACCGTTGACTAGCCTTATTTGGAACGGAGAAAATGAAATAATTGCTGCCGGCCATGTGAGTTTTGTCTTCCCCTTTTGCCGTGAGCGACACATTGACAGTTGCTTGTTCTATAGGATTGTGAGCCTTACCGCTTCCGCGGGGACGAAAGCGGATGGCAGCTTGTAGGGTCTATTGAAAGCAAAAGGGGTCCGGGAGTTGGAGCTGTCCGTGAGGAATCTGCTCTTCAGATGTTCCGTCAAATGGACCTAAAGGGACAAACCCAAGTCGACACTCAGCTCAAAACGACCCATCAGAACACGATTAGCACAGTTAGAGTTTATGAGGAGTCAAATGGAGTGGTTCGCAAATTTAGCAGTAAGGATTACCCCCATTGCCGCACAGAAACAATGCGAAATCTGGCTAATGTCCCAATGATAGCGAGTGGGGTTGATGGGCGTGTTGTCGTTTGGTCGATTTAGACCGCGATGCTCGAGTCTGCTCATCTCCATGGCCTGCGAACCTTCTCTACGACGAGCGTAATTTTAGTATAAGTTTTGCATAGATATAATGCAACTCAGATGCAGAATGTCTGGGCAACCGTAGGATAATATATTATTACAGGGATGTACTCCGTATACGAAGTCGATAGTAATAATTGCCCTCCGCCTCCGCCCTTGAATCATACCGAGGCAACTTGGGAGGTGGCTTTTGCTAGCCTAACCTCACCGATCTCTCTCTTACCAGGACCTTCCTGGGCCGTATCTTCGGCAGGATTATTCTTTCATTATGAGATTTGATACTTCCCGTCTCTTTTGCTTCGATGTTGTCTCTCTGGGTCACTCTGCGGTTTCTTTTAATACACCTCACAGTATGTTGCCTTCTTTACCTGTCCGGCGCGGAAAGGACAACTACCCAGCGGAGTGAATATGGACGCACCATTACGCGTGAACTCTTTAATTCGCTTGAGGAATTATCGCGTATCGTTGACATCTCTTACTGCGTCGGCCACACTGGAATTTGGAAACCTTTCGAGTGTCTCAGCCGCTGCGACAAGTTCCAGGACTTCGAGTTGATAACTGTAAGTAAACTGTATCTTGGACTGGGGAGAAGGAGAAACCAGATGAAGTTTGTAGTTTGCTTGCTAAAAAATGATGGTTATGCTCATCAAGACATGGAATACTGGTCCCCTAATGTCAGACTCATGCGGTTACATCGCTCTATCTCATCCTCCATCCCCGAAGCGTATCATCGTTGCATTTCGGGGGACGCATTCGCTCGCCAACACGGTTGTTGATCTCTCCGCGTATCTGCAGCCATATGTCCCATACACAGGAGTGGGAAATGATACAGGAAAACCGGGATGTTCGAACTGTACCGTTCATGCCGGTTTCATGGCTTCCTGGCAAAATGCCCGATCTATTATTCTTCCCTATCTTCTAGCAGCGCGGAAACAACACCCAGACTACAAGTTTGTACTCGTGGGTCACTCGCTTGGTGGGGCTGTAGCTGCCCTGGCCGGTCTCGAAATGCATTTAAGAGGCTGGGAACCCCAAGTTACGACTTTTGGTGAGCCACGAGTTGGGAACGAGGCCTTTGTTACATATCTTGACGAGAGATTCGAACTGTCCGATTTAGTATTATCAAACTACGAAAAGCAAGACAATGCAGGTAGGTCTTCTGTTGAGCAGCCCAGATTCCGCCGGGTAACACACGTCAATGATCCTGTACCTTTACTTCCCCTTGAAGAATTGGGCTATAAGATGCATGGCGGTGAAATTTTCATTTCCAAATTGGACCTTCCTCCGTCTATTTCAGACGTTGAGGTCTGTGATGGCGATCAAGATCCACGATGTATCGCGCAGTCAGATGCGCTGAGATTGCTGCTCCATGAGCTGAATGAGAGTCGCTCAGTTGATGCCGGCCAGGTCAACATCGGTAACCCGGATAGCCAGGTAGTACTATCTGACGAAAGACGGCACCGATCAATGATGAGCTCTGAGCATAGTAATAGTACATCGTTGACATCTTCTGGAATTCCATGGCCGCTCATTCCTTCCAAGTTTAAGTTGTGGGAACTTTTTCTCGCCCACCGCGACTACTTCTGGCGTTTAGGACTCTGTGTCCCTGGTGGAGATCCCACTAAATTCAGGGACATGCCTGATCTTAATCCAACGTCAGTGGACAATATAAGCTGAGTGTACTGTCCAATCCATATCCAGGCATCTTCGTTGCTCTTTGCATGGGTTGTCCTCCCATTGGCTTACTAGTAGTCAATGTCTACTATGCTTAATCTCAGGAGTACTCCCAGGAACAATTGAACACTTTTGACTCGATATGACGTCTGCTTGTGCTGTAGGATTAAAGGTCCAACAGAGACGGCATGATGCATGATGCATGATGCATCATGGATCTTCGAAGAGCCATGATGTCATCGGTCTTCTGAGCTGTCTAGAAGCCAGCCCCTGTCAGTTGACGGAGGCCAAGGAGTATTTACCTATCCAGTACTCGTACCTGCAGATGTGAGCGTACCTGTCATCGATTCCGTAGATACATCCATGTGGAATTTCCAGTGCTGAACATCAGTGTTACGAGTCCAGAGATCCTCTGCCGTACCATGTAATAACGGACAGGTCATGTGTCATTAATGACAGCAGCTGGCGTATTGGCAATACGCGTCGATACGTCAATACAGGCGCCGAGGGGTCACGCGTGGCGCTGGCGCGCTAATCCCGATGTGGGTTCAAAGTCAACAAACGCGCGCGTGGTCTTCTCTGGGCGAAAAACATCGAGTCGAGACGTCGCTCAGTCAAGAAGCTCCCAGCGTCTTCTCGCCCCCAAACTCTCATCCTTCGATCGGCCTCTTCCGGAAGAAGTCGCACAGGAAACCCAGAGATACTCACTCCAGAAGAGGCACTGCAATCACCCAGATATATTCAGCGATCCCCCTCTTGTTTACCACCGCCAACTGAAAGCAGACGATCTATCTATCCAGTGAGGGGAGTGGAGTTGCTTCACATACCGCAACTTGACTCTTGCCCCTCCACTTCCACACGTCTCCCTTTTAGACTGTTTTTCATCCAATCTGTCCGGGATTCAAGCAAGAGAAAGATCTGTTCGCATCTCAGTGCTGATTGTTCCCGACCTTGTTCCTTTCTGGGCTTTGGCCACCGACGCGTCAAGCCTTATCCCAATCGTATCTCGCGCTTGCTCCTTCCTCACCACCCGACAGCGTCTTTGATTTTTCCCCCCTTGTCTCAATATTTAACACGCTTTTCACTGAGAAGAGGCGTCACCCTATAAGCCCTCATACGGCACCTTGTCTGTGCGAGAGGTTCTCGACCGAGCGCATGGAGGCCCCGACGTCCCTGTATCTACAGTGTTCGCCGTGATTTAGCAAATCCAGTCGCCTGGCGTATTCGGTATCACTACTCTATCCGACAAGCTATAGCAGGCTTCTGAAGGCAAGAGGAAGAGATATTCGATTGTTAATTTTTTTTTCGCTAATCTCCGTTCTTCGCACGCATACTGAAACCATGGTTGCGACTTTCTCTCCTCATCGCGACGCAGGCGGTCCTATTCATTTTCCTTCGCACAGTGCGATGCATGTTGATCCCAGCTCTGCCATAAGACAACTGCGCCGCTCATTGTCACGTTCACCTTCTAAGAGCTCTAGTTTCTTTCTCTCTTCGAGAGTTCATTCGCCAGCCAAAACCACCGGATACATTTCTTCTCCCCTCTCCCCCTCACGAAGATCCGCTCAGGGTAACTTCGTGCTACTTCCAACTGCTGCGCATCAGTCTCCATTTGCAGTTCCATATCCACCAAGTGCGAAGATTGTCCGACCTGTGATGCGACGTACACGAACATCGCCGATAAGTCCCATGAAACGCGTCCTCAACGTGTCAACGGACCAGGGAAACGCAACGCCTTGTCAGTCCGTTCCTTCACCTGCAGGTGAGGAGAATTTACCATCGACGCCGATTTTTGGCCTTCGGGGCGATAGCTCTTCAGAGAGTACATTATTCAATCACGCACTTGCTTGCACAGAACCTACATTAGCGCCTAAACCTTCATTGCCCAGAGTTGAAAAGCGACGAAGTGAGAACTTCGGTTCCTCAACTGCCAGTCCTTTGAAGCGCAGCGACGGCACTATGAATCTAGACCAAGTATCCCGCGGCAGCCCATCTGCGAAGAGACGCAGCATTCAATTGACTGGTCATGCGGAGGAATTCAATGTATTCGACAATGAATCTTCAGCAGAGATTGTTGACGGACCCATGGATCCGTCTGCAATGGAGAGTGATCTGCAGTATGCGGGGCCAGCCCAGCAGTTCGGTCCTGCATCTGCTATTCCAAGGCGCTCGTCTTCACTGCGACGATCAACTGTTCAACAGCGTCAGAATGATCGCTCAATCTTCTCTCGATCGAAAGCATCTGGTGAACCCCCTGAGTCCCCTACTTCCGGGACCGTTGCCTTTGCACGCCCACGGATGTCCCATGACAGCAATCTGCATCAACCCAACAATGACAGTCCATTCACTTCGCGCAAAACTCCGGGAGGCACTCTTTTCTCAACAAATGGAAACAATGCAACACAAGGCTCTCACGCCGCTCATCCACTTTCCAGAACCATAACACAGTCATCTTCCAGTTCTAGTTTTGCGGATGATTCTCCAACACACGAGCCTGCTCGCAAGAATGAACACCCGCAACCTATGCTCAACTTCTCCAAATCCCTTCCAGTGGGTGCGACGCGGCCTGCTTTAGCTCAGCAGCTTAACCGAGAGGATTCGACCTCTTCTACGGATTCATTTGCGACTCCGGAGAACTACAAGCTCGCAAAGCCTCTCCCCGCAGCTTTCATGTCAACAGGGCTCATATCAAAGAAAAGCCGCAATGCTGAAGATCCTCTTGGCACAATTGCCTTCAACAAGAATATGCCGGATACTCCTTGTAAAAGGCCAGTCAATTTGTTTCCCATGGGATCAAAAGCGCAGCCCGACCAGCCGCTGCAAATGCCAAGGCTAGTCCGCCAATCCTGCGCTACTCCTGCATCCCCGTTCAATCCACCGACAACCGCTCGTCCAAAGCCAGGACCTTTTGCGCGTGGCATGGGCCTTTTCGAGGGAATCTTCAATAAACCAGACCTCTCCCGGCGTGCTAGCATCGCAAGCCTGGATGATGATGACCATGCATGGTCTCAGTCGCCATCTGCTATGCGTGATAGCCAGGCCCACACTGAGTTCGACTTTCCTCCAACACCCACGAAACAAGCGTTCTTTCCATCGAAAACCTTTCCTCCAGTATCTTCTCAGATCGCTTCCTTTGATAGGCTAGGGAGTGTAGGAGCAAACTGTAAGTGGATCCGGAACCCCAAAATATCATTGGATTCGTTTCGTAGCTGCATAACTCTGGCGGCAACGTCTATACATTCATTGCAATGTCCACATGTCGTTCTAATCAATCAATTACAGCGAGCCCGTTAAATGATAAGTTCCAGCGAGCGTCACCCCGCACACCTCAGGACCATGCCTATTCACTAGATCCCAGTGGTTTGCCTATATCTGGAGTGAATAACCAACAATCAGTCAAGCCAGACGCCAATGCTGTCAATCTTCCAGCGACTCCAACTGGACCGCGTGATTCATATCAACAGCCGGGAAAGCGCCAAAGTCTCCATCTAAGCGGGTATCATGTCCCAGATGTGGATGCGAGCCTAACATCACGTTTTGAAAAGGTAGAGCTTATTGGTACTGGAGAATTCTCACAGGTGTATCGGGTCTCCCAGTCGCAGGATGCTTCCTTTTCATCGATATTCTCTTTTTCTAGTGAGCCCAAGTCTCCGAAGAAGCTCACTGAACAGGTCTGGGCAGTGAAAAAATCGAAACAGCCATACTCAGGGATGAAAGACCGTGAACGGCGTATTCGAGAGGTTGACATTCTCAAAGGACTGACCTATTCGGATCATATTATTTCGTTCTTTGACAGTTGGGAAGATAACGGCCATCTCTACATCCAGACAGAGTTTTGCGAAGAAGGCAGTTTGGATGTTTTTCTGGCCGATGTTGGATTAAAAGCAAGGCTTGATGATTTCCGAATCTGGAAGGTCCTGTTAGAGCTATCACTTGTATGACTTCCCTTTTCTGTTTCACTATTCCCTTATCCTTGCCGGTAGAGGACGCACTATCTAACCTGAGGCTATATAGGGGTTGAAACATATTCACGACTCAGGCTTGATTCATCTTGATTTGAAGCCAGCCAATGTCCTGATTACCTTTGAAGGCATTCTGAAAATTGCCGACTTTGGCATGGCAACCCGCTGGCCGGCAGAGAAGGGCATCGAAGGTGAAGGAGACCGGGAGTACATCGGGCCCGAGATTCTGAAGGGTCAGTTTGACAAGCCGGCGGACGTTTTCTCCCTTGGTTTGATTATATTTGAGACCGCTGGGAATGTTGAACTTCCGGACAATGGCGTGTCATGGCAGAAGCTTCGAAATGGCGACCTTAGCGACGTTCCTAGTTTGACTTGGAGCTTGGAGTCAAGTATTGCCCGGGATGCGACTGGGAATCCCATATCGGAGGAGCCGTCTTTCGAAGAATTATGTGCTTCTGACCTTGACAACGAGGACTTTGGTAACAGCTATTTCCATGATGGCCACAAATCTATCCAACATAAAGCTTCGCAAGTTTCCCGAAGTGGTGAACTTCTTGAGCCCCCAAATTTCATGGTTGATGCAGAAGATGAACAATCATTAGACAGAATTGTGGGGTGGATGATTTCTCCAGAACCAAGTGCCCGCCCCACAGCTGACCAGATCCTGCAGACCCTTGGGGTTCAGTTTGCCAAAAATCGCCGTCGCGCAGGTGCTACCATTTTTGAAGGCAACTGGGGACCGGCAGATGAAATTCTGGTAGAAGATGCTGAGATGATCGATGTATAGTCACAGCAGTTGACCGTTCTAGGGTTTGAAAACCGCCTGCATACTTTTTTTTCTCCCGTTCATGATGTCAAGGTGATAGCTCCTTATACCCATTCCATTCCTGTTCGCCTTCCTTTTTCCTTTTGTCTCTCTTTTTCTTTCTTTTTGAAACAGAATCTGGTGGTTTAATTCTGTCCTTTTCCACTGTAATACTACAACACGATTTGAGTTCATGTTCATGTTTATGTCACGGGCTATCCATCTATGTACTTGTGTACATGAACCTAATGATGGAATCTCCGCTGTTATGGTTTGATGAAGGAAAGCCAGACCCCTTCCAGGCTGGTACGGCGCTTACGGTTTTTGACTTGATTCCCTTCCTAGCATTTCTTCGTTACAGTTGATGGCCTCATGACTCGGCGTTTGATATGATCTGTGAGATGATTCTGGAGTTCGGCATCAATTTTACTCGCCTTGCTGGAGCTTGTTCCATTTTACACAATTTACCCCTGGCTCTTTTTTTTTTTTTTTTTTTTTTTTTTTTTTTTTTTTTTTTCCTGTGAGAATGATGTTCCCTGCATTGAATCCTGGGGTCTGAATTCCTGTTATTACTTAATATCATATAGCCCCTTTGTATTATTATTATCTGAATGATGGTGTTTGACTTGGATGGCAAAGTGATAATTCTCTGCACGGTGTATCTATTTATTAAATAATTTGGTCAGATTCTCGGTGGTATTCGTGCTCCCTGATAATAAGAGCCAAACATGGGAGTTGGTAAATATCTCGAAGGGGATCTATGTTTGTCCTTGATCCATGTATATACAGTGCAGGTGGCCGATAGGACGGTCTCAGACTTTTGCAGTTGGTTGCCACCACTGTTCCTTTTCTTGGCATGGACCCGATGCTTGAATCTCGTTATAGCTATGCATCGGAGTCATTGAGATCGCTGCAGTTAAGTTTTGTCTGCTGTGTTTGACTCTAGTTGTCTAACCTTCTCCTATTATATTAACATTTAATTTTCTCTCTTCGCAGTCTGCGGATCCATCTCGATTTTAAAGCCCCATTGCAATATGCGCGGTCCTGACCTGCGAGATCAAAACAGCGAACAATAGAACATCGGCGCCACCAAGTACAAAAGGAACGAAAGCAGGGAAAAAGAGCCTCTACTTTTAGTTTTATTCATATATATTTTATTTTTTTTTTTTTCAAATCCCTCCTCACACCATGGATAACAAGATATTCGTGTCCGACTCTCTTATCCGCCTTACAGGTGCCTCTGACGCTACGGTCGTTGACTTCGTGCTTGCAACCGCTAGTTCTACCAAATCAGCCTCCGCATTACAAGACAAACTTCTACCCTTTTTGGATGGCAGTCAAGATGAAATCAGTTTATTCTGTAGAGAGCTATACGATCGAGCTGGGGGTGGCGCGAAGATCGGCTCGAGTAAAGGGACGGCCGCGCAAAAGACAAAAGACAGCAGAGGGGACGCGTCGAAAAAGAAATATCGATTAGTCGAAATGGAGGACGATGTTCCAGACGCTGCGGCTTCTCTGGGTCCTCTGAGTGTCGAGACTGAAAGCGAGAGGCGGAAAGGAAAGAATGCCGATAAAAGCAGGGCCAAGGACAGCAGTCGATGGAAGAAAGATGAGTACAGCAGCAGCAGGAAGAGAGATCGTAGCCGGGATGTTCGGGATCGAGATCGCCACAGGTCCAAGAAGCTGCGCAGAAGGGACGTGGAGGACTTTGAGGATCGTTGGGGCGACGAAGAGATACCGGACGATGAGTTGCAAGGGTATGACGAGCAGAATGATATCCAGGAGTCTCCGTCTAAACGGTCTAGGCTTGAGGATAGCCCTGCATCGCCTCGTTCCACCTCATCCGCCGAGCTGGATCCAGAGACAAAACGGGAGATGGAGCGACAGCGGGATCTGAAGGAGAGAGACGAACTTGCTAAGCGCTTGGCCAAGAAGGACGAGGCAAGGTCGAAAAAGATAGTCGAAGACCGGACCAGAACGGGGGAGGTCGCACGGAGAAGGGCCTTAGCCGGTGATGCAGAGGCTAGAGCAGCCGTTATGCCTGAACTGAGGATCCGTTCTCGACAAGAATATCTGAAAAAGCGAGAAGCCGAACGGCTAGCACTTCTAAGAAGACAGGTTGCGGAGGAAACCGCAGAGTTGCGAGAGAACCCCAATCTGACGCGCAGAGAGAAGGAAGAGTTTGCGAGGAACCGGGAAGTCCTCCGCATCGCAGAGGAGAGGCTGCGCATCGACGACCATCGCGATGGCTATATGATGCCGGAAGACTACATTACTGAGAAAGGGAAGATTGACCGAAAGAAAAAAGAAGAGGCTCTGTTCAAGCGATACGTCGACCGTGATGAATTGGGACAGGAGCGGTTTATTACGGAGCACGAGGAGTGGGAAAACGAGCAGACGGCCAAAGCAAGGGCGCAAATCCAGAGAGCGGAATTTGTCGATGAGGGCGACTACGAATATGTCTTCGACGATACCCAGAAGATCAACTTTGTTGTGGATACCAAGCTTGAAGGGACCCGGAAGCCAATGACCAAGGAACAACGTTTGTTGCAGGAGCAGCTTGAGGCTGCTGAGAAGAAAGCCACGACTATAGAGGAAACCAGGAAGAGCCTTCCAATTTACCAGTTCCGCGATGAGATCATTCAAGCTGTTCAAGATCACCAGATCTTAATCATCGTTGGTGAAACCGGGTCCGGTAAGACGACTCAGATCCCGCAGTATCTGCACGAGGCAGGCTACACGAAGGGTGGCATGAAGATTGGATGCACGCAACCGCGACGAGTTGCTGCCATGAGCGTTGCCGCTCGTGTTGCCGAAGAGATGGGAGTGAAGCTTGGTAACGAGGTCGGGTATGCGATTCGGTTCGAAGACAACACGAGTGATAAGACCATTCTTAAATACATGACAGATGGAATGCTACTTCGGGAACTTCTGACGGAGCCTGACTTGGGCCAGTACTCCGCGTTGATGATCGACGAGGCCCACGAACGTACTGTGCCTACTGATATTGCCTGTGGGTTGTTAAAGGACATCGCCAAGGCCAGACCAGACTTGAAACTCCTCATCTCTTCGGCAACGATGGATGCACAGAAGTTCCAAAAGTACTTCGATGATGCTCCCATTTTTAATATTCCTGGGCGCAGGTATCCCGTCGATATCCATTACACGCCGCAACCTGAGGCCAATTACCTGGCGGCGGCAATTACGACCATCTTCCAGATCCATGTTACTCAGGGCCCTGGTGATATCTTAGTGTTCCTGACCGGCCAAGAGGAAATCGAGGCAGCGGAGCAAAGTCTGCAAGAGACTGCCAGGAAACTGGGCAGCAAGATTCCGGAGATGATCGTATGCCCCATCTACGCCAACCTACCATCTGATCTACAGACCAAAATCTTTGAACCGACGCCTCCAGGTGCGCGGAAGGTTGTGTTGGCTACTAACATTGCCGAAACTAGCTTGACCATCGACGGTATCGTTTTTGTGATTGATCCTGGCTTCGTGAAGGAGAATGTGTTCAATCCTCGAACCGGCATGGAGAGCTTGGTAGTGACCCCGTGTTCGCGGGCTTCTGCGAACCAAAGAGCTGGTCGCGCAGGTCGAGTGGGGCCTGGAAAATGCTTCCGGTTATACACCAAATGGGCCTACTATAATGAGCTGGAAGAGAATACAACGCCGGAAATTCAACGGACAAACCTGAGCAGCGTCATCCTGATGCTAAAGTCGCTGGGTATCGATCAGCTCCTTGACTTCGACTTTATGGATCCCCCTCCTGCCGAGACTATCATTCGTGCGCTTGAACAGCTCTACGCCCTTGGGGCTCTCAATGATAGGGGCGAACTGACCAAGGTTGGGCGGCAGATGGCCGAGTTTCCTACGGACCCGATGCTTGCCAAGGCGATCCTGGCTGCGGACAAGTACGGCTGCGTGGAAGAGGTCCTGTCGATCGTGTCGATGCTTGGAGAGTCCAGCGCACTCTTCTTCCGGCCCAAGGACAAGAAAATCCATGCGGATAGTGCACGGGCTCGATTCACGATCAAGGATGGCGGGGACCATCTGACGCTGCTCAACATCTGGAACCAGTGGGTGGACTCGGATTTCAGTTATGTGTGGGCGCGGGAGAACTTCCTGCAGCAACGCAGCCTTACGCGGGCACGCGACGTACGGGATCAATTGGCAAAGCTATGTGATCGGGTTGAAGTGATGATCAGCACATGTGGATCGAACGATCTCATCCCCATCATGAAAGCTATTACAGCGGGCTTCTTCCCGAATGCAGCACGGTTGCAACGTGGAGGCGACAGTTATCGCACGGTCAAGAATGGGCAGACGGTGTACCTGCACCCGTCGAGCACGCTGTTCGAGGTGAACCCGAAGTGGGTGATATATTATGAACTGGTCCTGACGAGCAAAGAATACATGCGGAGCAACATGCCTCTGCAAGCGGAGTGGTTGATCGAGGTGGCGCCGCATTACTATAAGAAGAAAGATCTGGAGACGCTGGGGCTGGACCGGAAGGTCCCGAAGGGCCAAGGGGCGGCTGGAGAGAAGAGCAGGAACTAGGATGCTCAGGATGCTCAGGATGCTCAGGATGCTCAGGATGTCTCTGTACATGTACATAAGAAGTTTCCCTGTCATAATAGTAATAGTCAAGGATCTCTTTTAAAACCGCCTCCTGGACCAAGGCACGTGCAGAGCCAATCGGAGAACCCCCAAATGCAGTTGGTCATGACTTACCGAGGCTGGACTCTGTCCATAGTTATATACGCTCGTCTCCCCGCACTCTTTTCTCCTTACTTGCTCTGCAGCTCGAATAAGAAAAGGAAATAAGAAAAGGAAAGGAAAGGAAACCTAATCCTCGAATACGAACGAATAACCCACCATGTCCCAATCCTTCACTCCCACGGAGGTCTCCGCCTACAAAACCCCCGAAAAGGGCCTGTACATCATCATCGACAACAACGTCTACGACGTGACCAAGTTCATCGACGACCATCCCGGTGGAGCGAAGATTCTCAAGCGGGTCGCGGGGAAGGATGCCTCCAAGCAATTCTGGAAGGTAATACCATGTTATTTAGGGACACATATATATCTCTCTCTTCCTGGCTTAATATTTATCTATCTGGTCTATGAAAGTGCTAATGTATACTCTGCGATTCTTCATACAGTACCACAATGAGGGCGTTCTGAAGAAGTATGGGCCCAAGCTCCAGGTCGGGGTTGTTAAGGAGTCGGCCAATTTATGACTGGAGAATTTCCATCCGTCTATCAATCTGAGGTTGTTGGATATGTCCTGAGTCGAGGGGAGGATGAGGTTTGGTTTAGTGATGAGTTTGAAAGATGGATGGATTGAGCCACAGTAATTAATATGTTTTCATGGGGAGTGTGGCTTGAAGCATGTTGGACTTGTGCTATCAATATACGTCTGAGACCCCACACACACACTCATATATACACATACTCTCTGCTTAGCCATTACATTGTCATTCAACAGGAAACCTACAGTTTCGCTTTGACTTTTCCTTCGTTCCGCTTCCGTTCTTCGAAATACTCCCTAACTCTGGTCCGCGCCACTTCGACTACATCCGTGTCTTCCACCGTCGGGGGCACGTTCACAGCGGCATCGTACTTCCCTTGTACGCCATTCTCGACTAACTCGCGCAGGACCCGTCGTAGCGTTTTGCCGCTCCGAGTCTTGGGAATCATGCCGCGACCCTGGATCATCCCGCCTAATGATGCGATGGCCCCTATCTGGTCCCGCACGAGATGGTTGATGGAGTCGAATAACTCCTGAGTCGGAGTGGCAGGGATGTTGCTGGATCCGCAGCGGAACTGGATAAATGCGAATGGGAGATGGCCCTTGAGCGTATCTGGGATACCGACGACGCTGGCTTCGCCTACCTCTGGGTGGGATAAGATAGCTTGTTCGATTGCGCCTGCGAGATTGAATGAGTCAATCGCATTTGGAAAAATGACTGTTCAGATACTTACCCGTACTGAAACGGTGAGCAGCTACATTAATAATATCGTCTGATCGTGACATGATGTGTATGTAGCCATCGTCGTCGATCATACCTGCGTCTCCCGTGTCTATCCATCGCCCGTCGAATCGTCTTAGGTATCCTCGGTAGAACCTGTCTTCGTCATCGAAAAGAGTCCTGAATGCCGTTGGCCCTAGTGGTACTGCCATGACGATATTTCCCATGGTTCCTCTCGGGACTTCATGGCCATCGTCATCCACGACTCGGACATCGAACCCTGGCATTGGCTTTCCTGCTGAACCAGGCTTGGCTAGTAGAGGCTTGACTACTACTTCATTTCCTTGCTGTTGCGTCTCCTTTCCCGCACTTGTCGTCCCCACGGTGCTTCGCAGCGCTAGCCCCGAGATCGGTGATCCGGATTCGGACGACCACCAGTTGTCAACCACTATAGAGCCCGGCGCGGCATGTTTGGTCAAAAGCCCTTGGTATGTTTGAACGATACCGGGCTCGCTTCTCTCGCCTGCGAGGAAGAGAGCCCTCAAGTGCTTTAGGCCGCCCCGCCTACCGACTTCTTCGAAGAATCGATTGTCCGGGTCACTTCTGCAGATCGCACGAAGAGCTGTAGGTGCTGTGAAGAGTACATTGACTTTATGCTCTTCCACAATGCGCCAGAAGGTACCTGCATCTGGTGTGCCCACGGGCTTTCCCTCGAAGAGAACAGTCGTGGCACCAACGAGAAGCGGTCCGTACAAGATGTATGAATGACCAACCACCCAACCAATATCTGAAGTGCAGAACATGACGTCCCCCGGGCCTTGAATACCGAACAAATACTTAATCGAGTGATAGAGTCCCACGGCATGCCCGCCTGCTTCTCGGAGGATACCTTTCGGGAGCCCAGTTGTACCTGCGTGGTGCCTTCATTAGACGCACATCACGATACTCTTGAGAGGCATTTCATTGATTGATACGTACCGCTAGTGGAAATGACATAGAGTCCATCGGTGCTCTTTACTGGCACCCGACCTGCCTTAGTGCCACGTAGGCGGGCATCCTTGACAAGCTCTTGCCAGTTCCGCTGCCCACTCGCCTTATCTGGCATCTCCCACCGTAGCTGGTCTCTTTCCCAGATTAGAATTTTCTCCGGCTTGAAACTACTGGCTTCGATCGCACCCTCAACGAGTGGCCGGTAAGCAAGTGGACCCTTGGACGCTTCAATGCCACATGAGGCGGTCATGATCACCTTCGGCTTGGTCGATTCAATCCGCTGCGCAAGTGATTTGGATGCGAATCCACCGAATACAGCCGTGTGAATGGCTCCCAAATGGACAATAGCTAGCGCGGCAATAAGCGCGGCAGGGATCATGGGCACTGTTCCAATAAAGTTCAGTATGGGCTAGAAGGGAGGAAAGAAAGAAGGATCATCAGCAAAGCATACTGTAGATAAGTACGACATCCCCTTTCTGCACACCTTCCCCACGCAACACCCCAGCAAGAACCTCAACTTCATCTAGGAGCTGACGATAGGTAAGTTTCTCCTTCGACCCTGTCACTGGGGACTCCCAGATAATAGCGAGATTGTCGCCATTGCCGCGTTCAACGTGCCTGTCAACACAATTGTAGGTAGTAGAGATTTCACCGTCAGGGAACCAAGCCCAGTGGTCGTGGATGACCCCACTGGAGAGGGTCTTCGAATTGAGGGTAAGGGCTCGGGACGGTCTTCTGTGCCATGACACCTCTTGTGCATGGTGAGACCAGAAATTCTCCGGGTCCCGGATAGACGAGCTGTGGACCACATCCTGGTGGTGACGTCGTGACAAGGCAGCTGTGTCGGCTGAGAAGAAGGATAATAGTGGATGTTTCGATTGACGGTTAAATCGAAGGAGACTGCAACAACTATGATAGTGATGGTAATGACGACAATGATGACGGCCTGCTCCTCCTGCTCCTATTCCTCTTCCTTCCCCCATGGTTAATGTAAGCCATCTCAGTGCCCTCGGATGCATCCGTAGATCCGACGTTCCCAACACGGGTATGCCCCTCTCACAGATGCGTAATCCGTTAAAAAAAGACGAGGGACTCCTCCGATTCCTGGAACCCCCCGTTGATCGCCCGTATAACTGTATAGCAAGTTCAAAAGAGAAGGCTCTATCTAGCCTCGGACGTCAGGATGTCGGCAAACTGGGGTTAGACAGAATTATTGGCCCCCTCCTTTCTTTTCATTCGACCCTTTTCTCCGAATGGAATGTAGCCAGACTTTTAGAATCTGTCCCGGTTTTTACAGGTATTGTATTCTTTTCCTGCATTCATCCATTCATTCAGATTCCTTAGTCACAGATGATAGGTAGGAGTAGTAAGTAATAATATCCGCTTCCGGATACAAGCTGGCGGGAGAGAATTCTCTCTGATGAGAAGAGTGGGGGGAACAGAGTATTTGCATTGCAAATCATCATCATCCAATGGTCTCGCCGGAATAAGATCTAGAATATGAAAGAATGGGGAAAAACAGGAGAATATAAAGAGCTTTTCTTTGTCTTTTTGGGGCTTCATGATGAAATGATGGTGATGATGACGTCCTGCTCGGGTTTACCCGAGGAAGAAAGAAAGCTTCCCCGCATATTCGGCATTATTGCTCTTAGAACTCCTGTTATGGGATGATCCTAAGACTCAAATACAAAGACAAGAATGAACATCAGATTTTTCTGTTCTTAGTCTATTTATATTAACTAAATTGCAGGTGATTTTGACATTGCAAGAGGATAACTCGAAGCTCGGTCGTAGGGTATCAATCATATCAAAAGGCCCGCTAATGCGTACTGCGATGCTTCTTCCCATATTTGTGGACCTTGTCTTTTCTTTTCTTTTCTTTTTTTTTTTTTTTTCGACGTTTTCCATCCATCCCTGTCGCCGAGCCCACTCCCGTCCTTTTCATCAAGAAACATCACTTGACAGTGACAACCCGTTGCTGGAACCAAGGGAGAGGAGGGAAGGGAAGGAGGAACATAATAAGGTAACAGCAGTGCCAATGAACAGTGAAGGGGGTGAAAAAAGGAAATAAAACACAAAAAGATCTATAGGCCAGTATCCCCTGGTACCTTAACCAACCCCCCCCCCCAAAGGCAACGAGAAAGGGGATCGAATTTTCGGAAAGAGGACGTTCCCTGAGAAGCCGAAACAAACATGCTAGACCAAACCAGAGCGCCTCCAAAACAAGACGACAAAAACACTACCATGCATCAAAAAGACATTAGCCGTACATCGATGTCCACATACAAGGTGCCCTTTGGGCGCGAAGAGAAGAGACGTGCGAAGGATGCGGCAAAAGACATATCGCAGCGCCGCTGCTGTTCCTTGGGCAAAAGAGGGTGACGAAGCAACTTGCCACCGTGAGGATCCATTATGGACAAGAGAAGGATCATCACTTAGCCATAGTTGTAGGGAGTCTGCGGACCACGACGGTGAAGAAAAGGAGATGGAGTAAGAAAAGATGGAAGATCCACCAGGCTTTCGTGTACACACGGAGGCGAATGAAGGGCGTATAAACTTAAAAAAGAGAAAAGGACACGATCCGCAAAGGGCCTGTACATAATGGACCGGGAAAACTCATAGAATGACACATTTGAGTGAGCTGCGGTGTCGAGGTCGATCAGGCCGGAAGGATTTGGGATATTCTGGAGCGGCATCCCGGTCGCGTGTGGTACCCGTTCGTCGTTCTTGCCCTCGTCCCCCTTGTTGCTGTTGTCGCTGCTGCCGGAGCATCCTGACAACATCATAGAAAGCCTTTTCCACGTTGACGCAGTTCTTGGCCGAAGCTTCGACAAATTCACAGCCTAGTTCCTTAGCAAGGGCCTGCCCTTCCTGTGCCGAGACAGCCCGCTCCACAGCCTTGTCGCACTTGTTGCCAACCAGCATTACTGGAACAGGCAATGAAGGACCTGGAGCAGAATACATCGTGGATCCTAAGTAGCTTGCCCCAGACGGCGATCCTGAATTTGCAGACTCTTTGACCAGCTTGATCTGGTTATAAAACTTCTGTATCCGTGCGAATGACGCTCGCGATGTGATGCTGTACACGAGCACAAACCCCTCTCCATCGCGGATCCACTGGTCTCTCAGTGCTGTGTACTCTTCTTGGCCTGCTGTATCAAGCACTTCTAGCATGCACGACTGTCCATCGATCACCACTTGTTTCCGGTACGAGTCCTCAATGGTCGGGTCATATGTTTCCACGAAGTGATTCAAACATAGCTGTCCGAAGAAAAAGGGAGGAATTTTAGCCAGAGCCCAAGACGAGAGTAGAAGCGATCGAGGAGAGATGCAGACCTGAATTGTAAGTGCGGTCTTTCCAACCCCACCATCCCCCAACACCACCAACTTGTACAATGTCATCTTCCCTGACATGGCGACTGAGTTTCACGCCCTGGGCAGGTTGAAAATGAAAAACACGACGTATGAAAATGAGGGGAGAGAGACACGAGAAAAGTACAGTAGGAAGGGAGGCGATATATTTTTCTTTTCCTGTCTCTTATTTTTAAGCAAGATAGCTGCGGTCGAGATCATTAGCTTTGGAGGCGATGAGAAATGGCGTCCAAGCAAGCATGCCGCGAACCCCACACCTGATGAAGGGGTAATTGGTACGTACATCAATAAGTTATTCCCGAGAACTTCAATAATCCGAATCACTTATTCCGGGGGGTTGGGAATATGGGAAAATGATCAAGGAAGACCAGTTGGTGATGCAATTCGTGGTCTATAGGGAAATTTCAATAGTTGATTGTGGGGAGAAGCCCTCGAAGTAGGAATCACGGCTGAGACCAAGGTCGAGACAAGGACGACAAGTGGGGGAAAAGAGAGAAATAGACGGCAACGGAAATATAGATCGCACAACCGATGAGAAACTTTTATTACTTTTTTTTCAGCTCCAGGAAGCTCTTCGTCCCACTACTCAGCGCGGCAAAATAAAAAAAGTATAAAAAAATTAAAGAGAAAAAAAAAAAAACCGGGTTCGTCAGAGCTTCTCGGAACAAGTGCGCAAAGACGTTCTTGTCTCGAACAGCTTGTCGCCACGTAGGAATCCTTACGGATGATAAGTTGGGATGAATCCTGTCAGTCAACTTCGTAGTCCGTAGTCCGTCGTCCGTACAGAAGGGATACCTCAGGATTCGGGCGAAAAGAGGCGCGGATAGTCGGCTTGTACGCTGTCCGCTGTACCAGACTAGAAAAAGACACGTTCGTATAAACGCAGTCCGGCTGATATTGGAGAGTCCCGAGGGGGAAGCTGGGGAAGGAAAAAGCAAAAAAGGAAAAGAAAAGAAAAAAAAGAGAAGCAGGGAAGATAGGACAAGGGACAAGGGAGGGAGAAGACCGAGGGAGAAGAAGTGGGAAAGGCGAGAGAGATGAAGCGGCAAAGAGCTGATTTGATGATTTCCGCTGCTGGGATGGAGAAGAATGGCTGTGGTAATATTATTTATTGTCATTATCATCATAATAATAAATACCGTAGCAAGGACCATGACTGGATACTATGTACAAGTAGCCCCAGAAGCTTAAGGAAATAATATAATGGATAATATAAGGCAATAAAAATAAATAGTGCCCATTATTGGCACAGAGCTTGGGAGCTTGGAGGTGGGGGGGAATGCTGCTACTGCACCACGTACAGATAGGGATAGGCCATACGGAGTGAAAAAAGGGCTCTTATTGACAGACGGGAGGCGATGTGCCATTGCTAATACTAACACTATGCGCTTGTTCCCATCTAATCCTGGAAGAAGCAGCCGTCAACTCCTCGGAGAGGAAGGAGGACGACAGTGATAGACAGGAGGAGATGGGAGAGAGCCTAGGTTAAGGACCCCCAGCGCCTCCCAATGATAACGCGGTAGAGCAGCACCAGCAAAAGGCTAATATATTGACTCAGAGGACCGTCAGAAGGGAAGCAGTGAAAAGCTTACCGCAGTATAGGGACGCCAGCTAGCTGGGCTATTGCTGCTGTCGTTGCTAATCTATGGATCACCCGGTCGAGACGGTTATTTCCTTTAATCATAATAATAATAATGAATAACAATAATAATATGGCTCTTGGCCATATGTATTAATGCCCTCATATATTGCTGGCTACCCAATGAGCAGAAATCACATCATATTATCCCCCTCAAGATACTGGGGGATGGAACCCGGAGAGCTGGACTTGGTTCCCAGCAAAAAGAGGTTGCTGGAGTGGTAATTATCATATTGAAGTCATAAAGTTGTAAACCCATACCCGGTGGTCCAAGTGGACCGATTCTCTGATAACTCGTGAATGGCGCCTGGGACATGGACCAGAGACTGGCCCAAGCCTCTCTCTTTGACATCCAGCGGGTATTATTCATTACGTATCATGTGGTTTATGTAATTACAATACGGGTATGATATGTAACAGGTAATATGTAACATGCCAGTTGCCGTATAAAAGCGCGATCATGTGATCGCCATGCGCACAGTTGAGTTCAATATAAACAGACTCGTAGTAACATATATTATTATTTATTATATGCCGCACAGCATATATCAGGGAAGGCTGTTGTCGTATGATCAGTCCAAGTCTCCTAGAGCATGTACGCTGTATATATGTGCATACGGAGTATGACATGTTCCACTGTTGGATGCAGCATAGCATCCGATTGGAATAACCCGAATACGACAGACTACCCTAGGTATGTATTATTATGTTATGTATGCTATCTGATAACCCAGACCGACTCGACCTTCATGAAATCGGCCTTCCTCCTGCGGTATAGCGGCTGTCATGGATGTCCTACCATCGTTATTCCTCCTTCACCGAATGCATGGAGGCCTACTCCGTATATTTAATTTTTATTCTGCAGATGACGCTGGCTCAATTGCGTCAGACTCGAATATTGGCGGCAAATTCGCTTTGTCCATGATACATCTACCTAATCTCCAGAGTTTGTCTATCTGCCATCGATTGTATGCCGTGCAATGTTTCCTCTGTCGGCTATTACATGCGCGAAAGGTTACATGTGTCTGAATGGATTATATTCTAGATTCCTGTCTAGCACAAAGTGGAATAGCAGAACCTGTCTTCTTTTCAAAGTCAAACTAGTGCTGTGGGTAAAACCGACAGCGTTAGTTCAACATGTCAAGACTCCACCCTCATTGACATAAGTCTACACCCTACGCTCTTGGCGAGAGGAACCTGCAGTTGGCATCTGGAGAGAATACAGTCGTACTCTGTATAAAAAAGAGAATACAATAACCAGACATCGCAGGCCATAAGGGCCTGTTGTCTCAATGCTCTAACACTGTGGCTTGCTCTTGAATCTTCCTCCTGGACGTGTTGCATCCATATTACCCTCACAACCTGGCCCAAGAATCAAATTTGCAATATATTCTAGTAGTCCCAGTTATACCCAAAGCATCTAAAGTTCAGTTTCCACTTAAGGAATTTGCTAAATTTCCATGATAATTTGAATGAGTGCAGACTCCTTAGATCATGGGATCGCAATTGGGTTATTTTGTATGGGTATACCAGGATGAAAGAAAGCAAAAAAGGGCAATACGTCCTCAATCAGTTTGACCACCGAGCATATAGCTGAAGGTAGATATACCAATATACCGCAGACAGGATGTGTCCTGCTATCGCATCCCATGAATCGCTGAATCTCAAGAAGCATCAGACTTATGACCAATCTGGCATGTATGTACAATACGTCCAACTCCTATGGATTCGGAAATAGGCAGGCTATAATACCAATTTGCCACTTGTTGAAGCATGCACTGGCATTCCATTTATTGGACTCGAATTCCAAACCGCCTAGCAATCTCCAGGAGCCCATCTATGCCCCGGCCGACCTCCATGTCAACATACTGTTCTTGTTCCACTTCAGCCGTATGCACAGGCACCAAGGGCTCCTCCACTGGCCGTCCGACAAAGACAGTCTGGAAGCCCAGCGCCTTGGCCGCTTTGAGGTCATACAAGTGTGATGCCTCCAGGGTGTATTCTCTGGGGTCAACCCCAAATCGCTCTGCGGCGCCCAAGTAGGCCTTGGACGACGGTCTATAGGCACCAAACTGCTCCGCACTGGCGATATCCGTAAAAGGAAAGGATGGGTACAGTGCGAGGCCCTCCAGCAAAGAGACATTGCCATTGGACAGAGTGTAGGTTCTGAACTTGCGGTTGAGCTGCTCTAGCCCTTGCGAGCTGTCAGGCCACGGGTCTAGCCGGTGTCAGCAGAAAGCTAGATCCCAGGTTTCCTCTTCGGTGAAGAACGCTGGGATATTCCATTTCCGAAGCAGTTTCTGAAGATACGTGAAATGGTGCTCACCCACTGAGATGAACTCGCTACTGTCAGGGTCAAAACTCCGTATGAATTGATCGTAGGATCACTGCCATTCCTCAACAAAGGCCGACCAGTGTTTGGGAGTCACTGAGGAGGCGGCCTCCCGTGTCTCTGCAGAGAGATGTCTGCCTGTGTCGGCCAAGACCTGCTGGGTTGCCAGGCTGAGGGCCTTGGTGACGCTGAAGCGCCATTCTACGACGGTGCCAAAGACGTCGAAGAAAAGGATGCAAGGTGGCTGGTCCACGGACGTCCCTGGATTGCCGGTACTTGCAACAGTACTGCTGTTCCTGTGATGTTTTGGGACTTTGGAGATCTGGCGGGACCTCTGTGCAGGATCTGCCTGATACAATGTTAAGAAGATCGGACTGATTATGGCATTGCTGGAACCGTCCAGCTGTCGCAATTTCGCGGGCCCGAAGTAACTATCATAGAGCTGCCATATGTCCTTGAAGCTTGAATGCGTTTTCAAGCACAATATGCCATCAAGGGAGCTCACTGTGGATAGTAATAATTACTCGGACGGGAGTGATTATTAAATTACTCCGTACTCTGTCGGGGATCCAACAGAAGGATCATGGTATGGTTTCCAGAACCCCTTCATCATATTATTATCATCACCATCATTATTATCACCCTGCTGCGGTGTCCAAGCTGTCTCTTGCGGAAATACGCTAATCTCGCGACAACGACTGGATGACGGTGGGCAATAATTGGAGATAAGACGAGGTCGCCTGAGCGACAGGATGATAATTTGGTTAAGGGCTAACGGACCGTCCGGCAACCAACGGGTCGCCTTCGCTGGTTCCGGGAGCTTCCTGAGAGTCTGGGATGTCTGTCAGCCTGCGTTCTAGGCACCGCGTGCAATATTAAAAATGCGACAGTGGTAATAATCTCATCCCCCTTGATTCGGAGCAGTTATATCAAGCGCCAACGCGGATTCTGGAATCCGAGCGTCATCCACCCAGCTGGTTCCTGGCTCGAACACTTCATTGAAGAACCTAGTGGGCCATTATCAGGGCAGCTCCACCCTTCCCGCCCGTACTATTGATTGCCCTTCGATGGAGGTTCAGCCTGTCGCTGGTTGAAATAGTGGAACGCTTCCAAACGAAGGTTCGAACCTGAAACAGCCTGTCGAGGCTAGCTTGATCGGACTATTTGTTTTTGGCTTGCGATTGTCTATACGTTTACGCAGAAAATCTTTTTTTGGGGCATAATAATATCGTCGCGTCGCGGTAATGCATGCAGAGCCGTTGGAGAAGGATGGCATTTCTCTACAAAGAAACGTGCAGAAAGGCTTGAACACGTGGCATGACAAGGCCATCGAGACTCGATGGAAGGAAGAAGGAATGGAAGAATGAAAGAATATGCATGCAGTAAGTATGGTTTGCTTCCGAGAAGCCAATCCTGCCACTGTCATACGAGGCAGGACGCACCGAGCGACACGGACCACAACGCGAACCTTTTTCTCTTCTTGTTGTTTTCGTTCTTCCTTTACCCTTTTTCTCCTCGTCCCCTAATGCGAAATTGCCATGACGATCAATTCACGCGCTAAAATGCGAGGCCAGATATGGAGGAACGATTACAGGGTAGTCCTGGAATAATAATAATGATAATAATAATAGTGACGACGAAGTCCGAAACAACGGTGGACGGCAACGCTGGAGCTGGGAAGTAACAAGCACTGTGGGATCGATCCTAAATCATGCTGTCTCAAATCCGGCCCCATTGATTCTGATGTAGCCTCTACGATGCATGGAGTATTATAATCCATCACGGAGACGGGGAGGCTTCAAATTTGGACAATTGCGTGCCGGACTGGATGATGGAGTTGCAGATCAGGAGAAACAGAAACATAAAAACATAAAACAAAAAGAAAAAGAGAGAAATGTACTCCGTAGCAACTATCGAAAGAGAAGCATACAGCGTCCAGAATATGTGCCATTCCCATTCCTTCTGCTTCGGCCCCTTGGTGTGCTGTCATGTTCGATGTGGCGACGACCTGCATCCTTCGCGGCCGTTGTTCCTAGATTAATAGCTACTTGATGCCCAGTTTCGATTATATTTGCATCTTCAACTTCGTCGTCTCTGGGATTGTCATCATTGTTATTATCGTCAATTATTATTATTATTATTTTTCTTATTACCTCCCCTATCTCCAGTTCCGGATCCCGCACTTTATATTCAGCTCCCCCGAGCTTCCACAAATCCTACCTAACCCACAGCGTAAGTGTAATCTAACCCACTGCCGTTCTTCGCTAGCAGCTCGAACATCCCTTTGCCTAGTCCCTGCTCCTATCTAGCTGTGGTGGAGCGCGTTCAACACTCCTTGCGAGTCGGAGTGCCCCCCATTACAGGCATAGCTCACTAGCATCGCTCATCCCTTCCCGGTGACGAGGCTTGCATAAGCTGTTTAGCAGCGTCTTCTTGTCTTCCTTTTTTTATTTTTTAAAGATTCTCGTTCGCGTTTCATTTCTCGAGTTTTGCATCCCTGTCCTATCACGTTCTGTTCTTCCCAGCAATAATAAAACCGTACTCGGATATTTCCTCTCAACATTAGGCTGATCTGGAGGTAGTCTAAACGCCGTTTGATGCACGCCCTGACCTCCCACTAAGCTCTTAATTGGGTCCCACGGCCGCAGGATTCAGGCTCCTTATTCTCCAGGTGCATCACCGCACCTTCGGTCCATGTTTTGCTCTGCTTCCCTGATGTGGCAGCGCTTGAATTGTTTCCTCCCAATTATCCGTCACCCATTCAATATCAGCCTCGGGGCACTCGTTCAATCCCGTACCTGTTGAATTCTTATCTTTGTTCGATTGGCTAATCTGGGCGAGCTTGTTTCCCGGAGACATTGACCGGGGCGCAACCAGTCTGTGGCAGCTCCTCCCTTTTGGCACTTCCTCAACGTACATTTATTTTTCACCACTTTCCTTCCCTCTGGCAAGGTATGGACTTTTTAGTAATATCCCCCATCGCGACCTTCATGTTGTACGGCGCATCGATTCCTCCGTTTCATAGCGATCTCTCCCCTCAATATGTCATGTAAGGGGACTGAGCTAGCGCTAACTCGATCTCCGGAAAGTTTTCACTAGGCAAGCCCATTCAACGATTTAGCAGCAGCCAGTCAGCCTTTGTTGCGTTAAGTCCGCGAGACGCAGTGCAGATATTTCTAATCTCGACGCCGTTCCGCTTTCTCCTCCCTTCGCTCATTCTAATGGCTCGCTGAGTTAAAAGACCGTTCATTTCATGATCCATGGCTCTGTAATCCTATTCGTTTATGGGAGCGACTTTCCGCGTGCTCTGGACAGTACGGTTCAAAACAAAAACCGAATATCAAAGAAATTCCTGCAGTGATGACCCATGAGATTGTTGTGAGCGCTTGTTAGAAGTGATGGCCACCGACACCGAGTCCCAGTACATTTCTGGGGCGTACGATTTTCCTTCAAGGATGCGGTCCCGTTCGAGACGCAGGACCGCCTCGCGGCATCGTAAGGACGCTTCGTCCCCTATTCCGTCCTCCCCACCATCGCCGCCGGCTCGTAGTCCGGCTATCGATGACGATGCCTCCGATCACGATGAGCTGTCGCCGCTCGATCCCCGCAGGTTCACCCCAACGCTGCATGCATCACTAGTGTCGGAGATTCTTTCTCTACGGCGAGAGGTGGAGAGTAAATCCAAAGTGATTGACGATCTGGAACAGAGTCTGCACGAGTCCCGGATAGAAAATGAGGACCTTAGCGAAAAGCTGTCGCAGAGTACGAAAGAAATACGGTCCGTCAAGCACCAGATACAACTCTTGGAGGGTGGGACATCATCTGCACTCACAGAGCTGGCGAAAGAGCGGGACCAGGCCCTGGAGAATATTGCGGACGTTCGTAAGAAATTAGATCAGGCCCAGAGGAAGGCTCGGGCCCAGGAAGAAGATCTCAAGGCTACCCAGCTGATTTGGAATCAAGAAAAAGAAGCCTGGGAAGAAGAGCGGAAGAATCTCGAACGCAAAGTTCATGTAGTCGAGAGCCGTCTGAAGACTGTGCTCAATGAGGTGGCTGCTGCTCGAGAAGCCGGTTCGTTCAACACCGTGTCAAACGACTACTCTGTCGATCCGACAAAAGAACCCGCAGCGAACAGGGAAAGCGACTCTGCGAGCGTTCACTCCAGCAGCCAAGGCCGACAACGGACCAGTATCACCAGCCTGAGCACCGATGATGGTTACGACCGTCATAACGGCAGGTTCTCCGTGATGAGCGCTGTCAATGGACGAGTAGTCAAGAATAATACACTCAATCTTGCTCAGGAGCTGGAATTTGATGAGGAGGATGAGGGAAGATACGACTCAATGGACGATGAACAAGCACCCATGTCACCCGATGCCCTCCCAGAAGAGCGACCGGCGTCAGTCAATTCTCAAGCGTCCTATGCCTTGTCATCAAAGGCGAGGAAAATCCTTGGCCTTTCATTCGATGGCAGTTTAGACGGACACGTGCCGCTCGCTTCGTCAGAGCGAGTATCGGAACAGAGGAAGAGGGTGAGTATAGTCGCAAGGGCGTTAGACTATCGTGATGCGAGCGTTCAATCCTCTCCTCCTGTGTTGCAGCCTGTGGAGTTTGATGAGAAGAAGTCCGTCCTAGCGTTTGTCAGCACCGCACCATCGTCCGCAGTTCAGGCCAGGCCGCCGCCGATGAAGGATATTGGTACTCTAACGTCTGTAATCGACATGGTTTCTGCGTCTTGTCAGACAGTTAGTCCACCAAGTCCTCCAGAGACTGAGAGTGAACCTGATTCTCCAAGGGCGGACCTTGTTCGTGTCACAATGGCCACAGTGTCCACTCAAACGGAGGAAGTGACAAACGCCGACGGAGATGCTAAAAAGCCCGGTTTGACTGCGGATGAACCAGAGTCACCGCGAATACCCATCCCGACTATTGCCATTCATCCGCCCGGATCAGAGCCCTCCTCTCCTCGAGGAAGCGTGGTCTTGCCTCCCCAGACCAAGAGCGTATCTTGCCAGACGCTCTTCGAGTCGATTGTTGACTTGCGGTCCGTGGGAATGCAAACGGAAGAGATTCGTATTGACACGCGGCCCGTCAAACTGCCACCAAGCCTCCTACCGTCCGCAATTCCTGATTTACCCTTGGGTGCCAGCAGCCAGGAACCTCCAGCCTCGGGCTTTCCTGCGCCGCCACCAAAGTCAGCTCAACGACCGGCTTTTCGATCAGTTTTCGAAAAGCAGACGAAGGCCTCAAGGGGCAAGTCTCCGATGGCCGTACAGGCTTATCCAGGAGATAATGACAATGGTCCTCTGTCGGACGATTCGAAGCCGGGGATATGCCGCCCGTTGCGATCGAGCAGCCTCTTTGCTGGATTCGAACAACTGAGCGATGAAGAGGTATCGGGTGTTGAAGAATCTGACATCTTCACAGACGAAGAGCTTCTCAACCGACCTTTGACCCATTACACCTTGAAGCGGGGCAAATTAGTTTCACGGCGCAGCGTCGACGAGAAGGACACGCTCCTGGAGATAGATGAGCCCTTATCTGATCCCGAAATAATGACAAACGACAATGGCGAGGAATCTCTAGGGGCATTCAACAAGGCCAAATTTGGATATTCAAAGTCACGGAGAAGGCATGACGTAGCCGCTTCTGGCACCAAAGATCAGGACATCCGAAGGACCGCCATGATTTCCAGAGGGGCAGCTGCTCACCAGAGGACGCATGCGCGTAGCTCTAGTGATATCAGCAATGACGCCAACAGCGCCGGATCCAGTATCGCTCCCCCGTTCCCCGTCCCTGTTCGGCTCAGTTCAAGGAAACATCCACGTAGTCGGGATGGCACTCAAAGCCCTACTCCATCGAAACGCAAAAACGGATTGGATTCTCGAAAGTCGTCCATTGTTCGACGACCGACTGTTCGGCGAACCCGCTCTGCCACAGTCATATCGCAGGAGCAGCATGAATATTCCGGGAGTGGGTCCTCTTCTGCGGTGCCAAGTTCGCCGTATGCCCCAGACAGCCCACCATATCCCCCTCTACCTCTTGACGACATAACTGCACCTAGATCGAAACGGGCAGGCAGAAGGCCATCGTACCCAGCTCCTGTTCCTCCGCCCTTCGGTCGTGATCGGACTGATTCGACTGCTACTATGGTGCAACCGACAAGTGTGGTCGATGCTATAGCCCAGACTATGGTTGGGGAGTGGATGTTCAAGTACGTACGCCGACGGAGATCTTTCGGGGTCGGTGAGGTACGGGAGAATTGGGATGGCAAAGCTCCTGAGGATGTATCCGCGAGCCTCGGGGGGAGCGGAGTCAGGCACAAGAGATGGGTATGGCTTGCACCGTACGAGCGTGCAATTATATGGAGCAGCAAACAGCCGACAAGCGGTCCGGCATTGCTAGGAAAGAGTGGCAGGAAATGTAAGACAGCATTGTCAACCGTGATGTACCGATTTTCTTTCGTTTTTGATTGCGATTGCTGATGTTATGCCACACGTAAACAGTTACCATCAAGTCTGTCCTCGACGTCAAAGACGATAATCCCTTACCCAAGGGGTTCCCTCCTCAGAACCAGTTTAATAGGTCCATTTTGATTCTAACTCCCCAAAGAGCATTGAAATTCACAGCCATGAGTTTCGATCGCCATTTTGTCTGGCTTACCGCGCTGTCCTTCCTCAGCGATCCCACGATGGGCATGCACGAGCTTGCTGCCCTGCCCCCGGCTCCCCGAGAAGAATTTCCCGCTCCCAGACAAGCTGCCACGCTGCGGAGGAACCCTATCCGTGACTCAATTAGGGTGGCAAAGGGCAAAACTCGGCCAGCTCCCAAGGGCAAGCACTCATTCATGTCGCAGCCAGAACCAGTTCCAGAGCTTCCAGCGGATGAGGATGATAACTTGAATTCTGTGATGGATGCAGCTGATCCGCCATTTGTGCCAAGATTCTCCAACCACGCTCGAAAGCGTAGCAGGACTCTGGGGCGACCCCCAACGATCCGTAGCTTCTCCAGCCAGGCGACGATGCCATCGTGGAACAACGCGGGTTCACCCGACGCATACAGTCCTGTCGGACCTAGCTTCCATAGCGGTCAGAGCAGCTTGAGTTACCGGCCGTCGGAGGCTAGTGGAGCCTCAAGTCCAGTGCCAGGCCAGGGCACGGGCAATTTCTTCGATGCCATCGGCACCGTACGTATGGAAGCATTTATTGATCGTACTGATCTAATCCGGTATCACAGTCGAGCGCAACGTCGTTCGCGGCATTTTAGAAAGCCTTCGAATTACTGGAACCACGAAAGTCGTCTCGGAAGTTTCGACCTTTCTTCGCACGCCGATAGTAATGACATTTACTATCGGAGCGATAGCGGTGCGCATTGAGTTTCCTGGGAGTCGGGTGTTAACTCTATTATTATAGCCGCGTTACTGGAGCCTTTTTGTTTAACTTTTGCTCCTCCTCTCCTTCCTTGTTTTTCGCCTTTACGGATCCGGATATTTCATCTTTCACTTATCATTTGTTCGATGGTACATATCTACGTCTTTCGGATTTCTTCGCCGGCAACCCTAGACTTCGATACTCACCCATGAATACCACCTTAAAACAATCCTTTGTGATCTACTTGGAGACACATACTCTTGTCGAATTTGTTCTTTTCTCTTTGTGGATACCCTTATCGCCAGCTCCTTTTCTGTGCTTACAAAAAAAGCGTTTCCTCTTCTTCCGAAAATGTTTGCGGTGGGGCGTTGTGTGTATTATGTGCATAGGTACATAGTAGTATATAAAATATATGAATGTCTAATTGATCTTTATTTGACTTCCAGTCGCAGCCAACGAATGTACAGGTACATCACTGCAATGTGCATATGGATACAAAAAAAGAAGAGAAAACTCACCAGTAACAGTCCTCTCACTAGTAATTTTGGAAATAACAACAACCTCATCACCAACTTTTATAATAGGACCGTCACCATCGATCCAAGCACCACTACCCAAAAACGCGTAACGTCCAAAAATGGGACTAAAGGGGATACCCTTATCGACGCGGCGATCCCAGAAATCTTCGTATGCAGACTCTGCTCCGGAGATAAAATGTTCAGGCGGAACTTGGTGACATCCATTTCCCCATGTTGCGCTTCGTTCCTGTTTCCATTACTGATTACGGAGTCACGCTAGTCGCGGAATTTATGGTCGGGTACCAACCGCCTCGAGACGTCGTGTAGGGATGTTTCAGAAACAATGAGGTAGGGTGCGCAGTCAGCGAAGGAGATTGTTGGTTTTGACCCATCTGCATCTGTATCTATGCTCGAGAACCAAGAAGTGAACGCGCGAGGGATACTGGGGTAACCTCGATAGTAATGATCCTGCATCTGCACTTCCTTTACCTGTGCCCGGCGCTGCACTCCCCAGAACCTCTCTAGAGTTATTCCCCAGATAGGCCAGAATGACTCTGAACTCGAAACGATTACTGAACCAGTTATTGGAGGAAGGTTCGCATTATAGGCCTTTGTGGAACTTCTGTGCATGTCGACGTTATCTATCTCTCGCAAACCATCTGTGGAGGGGGAAATGGATATGCAGGTAGTCGTCTTTATTCTTATTATTATCCTCGCCTGTTTCAGGAATGTCCTGTTCCTGCTCCCTAGCAGGAGCAGCAGCAGGAGGTCTATACGTAACCACGACCGTCCCCTTTTCAGCATCCAAATCCGTCAAGAGGAGCGTCATCTCGAGGAAATCGGGAACATGCATATTCTTAAGCCTCGCCCCGTCCACGGTTCTGTCAGGCATTTGCGGTCGTCTCTGTATTTGCCATTGTTGCTGGAGTCGTCTGGGAGGACTTGGAGAAGAACATCAACTTAATGCTCCACATAGCATGTACAATGGGGTCTCAAAAGTTTTCAACACTCAGAAATACTCTAAAAGACCGCCTTCCTATTTAGTACTAGATTGCGCTATTTGACCTCTTCGCCTAGCATTTGGTATACCAACCATCTGCAGATAGTATCGCCTGAACACGATGTGGAATAGTGTTCGATAAATTCTGCGGTAGCCCCATCCAATTGAATGAAGCTCGCATAGTAGGGGCTAAATCCTTATTTTCAGCCATAGGGAATGTACAGAGGTTTGAAGCCAAACATGCTCGTGTTGTTTTGCCTGGCAGAATTTCGGGCGGTGGATTTAGCGTGTTTTTGCGTGTTAAAAACTTTTGAACCTGTACTAATGTAGTATTATGTATTGTATTATAACATGTACAATACGCTATTCCATTTTTGACAAGAGGCACGTGCTTTTCTCATTTCTTTTCCTTTTTTTTTGTCTTTTCCTCCTTTCTTTTTCTTTCTTTTTTTTCTCTCTCCATCACACAACTAATTCCAAGATGAAGAGATGGCGTGTTTTATCTTCTCTAGCACTCGTCGGGCGCCGACTCTTCCAGGTTGCACCCACGGGCGATGCTGACATGTTCTGCGCCCAGTCACCATCCAAGTAAGGACAGTTTGAACCATCTGATTGGAGACGTGTGTGTACGCTGTGATGAATGCAGGTACAGCATGCTGTACATAGAACAACAGAAATCCAAGACTTGGTAGACAACGCATAATAATAATAATAGCTGACGCTGATCGCTTCTTGGGCTGGAGACGGCCTGTTACATTCATTTGGGCCGTGAAATGAGCCCCCTGAAAACGCCGTTGTGATTAGCCCCGGCCAACGACTAGCAAAATAAAACACCCCCAAAGCGAAATGAGATTGCTTTGGCATTCTCCGTAATTAGCATTAATTAAATTAAAGGCTCGTGTCTCCCTCTTCTAGTCCTTCCTTTCTCTTCCCCTTGTTTTCTTCTCTATCTCTCCCTCTTCTGCTCCCACAGACGCTCCTTCATCGCCATCATCATCACCATCCCCGGTTGCTATACCGAGTACATTCTTTCATCACCACATTCGCCATCCTAATCGAGTCATTCCTTTAGAAGAAAACAGTCATATATACATCTACCAAACCGTCATAATGCGTTTCTCTGTTCTCTCCGTCATCACAGCCCTTGTTGCTGTTGCTTTTGCCGAGGATACGACCACCGACATTGTCACCAAGTACGAGACTTACTGCCCCGAAGCTGCTGGCAGTGGTGGTTGGGGTTCTGTGCCCGCGGTGACGCCCTCTGCGTCTGTGTCTGCAGTGACTCCGGTAGGCTGATTCGCCCGCAATTATATATATACCTAAAAACCCACTCGCTGACATCGTGTCGCATGCCCTTCAGCCTTCCGTGGCCACCTTCACCAGCGGCTCTGTTACTGTCATCCGGCCTGTCTCTTACTCGGTCGCCACTTACTGCAACAGCTGGTACGAACCCTAATCACACCCCTCTCAGACGGGACAGATTGAACTTCTCAAACAAAATGAATGAACTGACAGTGTCGTATCTCTAGCTCTAGCTCAACCCCCGTCGCTTCTTTCGCTACTTCTTTCCCTGCATCTTTCCCTGCATCTTTCCCCGCGTCTTTCGCCACGTCCTCCCCATCCAAGCCGACTCCCCCTGCCAACAGCAAGCCCGCTGTTCCCCCTAGCTCGGTCGTCGTCACTCCCTCTCCGTCGGAGTCTGTATCTCCTCTCTTCACCGGAGGCGCTGCTCACCATGCTGCCGGTGCGGGTGCGGGTCTTGCGACCCTGTTCGGATTGGTGGCTTTCTTGCTTTAAATTTAAAGCCCCTCTATTCCAAGTACCAGTGGACAGCGGATGGTACTGATGTAGTGCACGCGGGAGGTAAAAGTGGCCAATTGGGACTTTATGAACCTTGTCAACGAATTCAGCTCAATTCCCATTGAGCTGAATTCGAATATGGAGTCTGGGACCAGCATTCACATTGGCTTGTTAGTGTAGGGGGTTCAGGTTCACGGTAAACAAGTCGATTACCTAGAATAATTTCGGAACCTTTTTGTTCTTTCTCCTTCTGGAACCCTCTACACTACATGCACCTTACATTTTGTATTTGTGTATCTCTTTTTGATCTATGATACCTTCTTGTGTTGCAGGTCTGTTTCATTGTATATATTTCCGGCACTCACTTTCTGTACTTTTCCAGAAATTCAATTAAACTTCTTTGTGAGTGTCATACTCCTGGTAGCATGGTATTTCCATGGATCCAATTGTATACCTACCTAATGGATATATGGATCTATAACCGCCAATAGGGGCTAGTACCCCTTGTGGGGAACCGTTCCAGCAGGAGCCGCTATGTATGCATACCTAACCCTCGCTAGAGAAATTATGAGAAGGGCACTCTTCCTGCAGGACGTTCCCAGTTGCAAGTGGATGGTACCAAGATCCCATAGGGCTTATAATCACCCTTTCTGACAGCCCATGCATGGGTTCTATCATGATTAACAGAGTGACCTTCACTGCACAGCCTCACGTATCGCCGGAAAAGGCAAGCGGGGCTGGTCAGTATGACTTCATAAGTATTGTACCGCCACAATAACAATACCTCTGGTATTAATAATTACTTGTACAAAAATACCATACGGCTCTGCATAGATTGCACAAATATTGCAGCAACTGAAGGGAGCGAATGATGATGATAATAATAATAAATACTGTAACAATCAAAAGCAAGAAAAAGAAAAGCAAGAGAAACATCATCCTGCCGACGCCAGCTGGACGCAACGCCACTGCATGCTCGCTGAATAATCGAGCAATTCCAATGGGCAGTTAGTTCCACTGGGTTTCTAGAGGCTTGCCGTGATCCTTGGAAGAAAGCGGCTGTACCTCTCTTCCTCTTCCACACGGGTCCGATGATGAGTCCACCCTCCACCGTCGAGGTCATCCGGTTTCCTTCTTTCTTGATCCTTACTTCTGCTGTATCACCAGACTCCCTGCATCTGCTCTTCACGAATCGCCTGTATTGATTTCTCCTTCTGGGGATCTTCCCTCGGCAGTTCGTTATCGATCACCGATCGCTAGGCTGACGTTCAGAATTTAAAAATAGCAGCGTCATCTCATCTCATTGCCTTTGATCTGTTCCTCGTTTCACAAGGCTGCCCTCCCACAACAGGAAATAGAAAGGATTGATTATCAATCCTAATTCTACTGCTAACTCACTGAGTTCTGATCCTGCTACATCTTCAGAGGTAATCTCTGGTCTTTGGGCCATGGACTCAGGTACCGTCACTGTGCGCCGTCGCGACACGACAAAGGGCCCTCCGCTGAGGATCCTGTCTCTTGGTACGTCTCCTGCTACCTCAAGATTCCAATCCCTGCAACCCCATTTACTGACGCAAAATTTGCCTCCCTTGTCCAGATGGAGGGGGCGTTCGAGGTTACTCAATGCTTGTTATCATCCAGGAACTCATGTACCGCATCTACGTCGAATGTGAAGGCAAAGCTCCGCGTCGCGATCAAATCCCCAAACCATGCGATCATTTCGACCTGATCGTCGGCTCTGGCACCGGCGGACTAATCGCTCTCATGCTGGGTCGTTTACGCCTCGATCTTGAGACTTGCAAGGACGTCTACGTGCGCATGACCAGAAGGGTGTTCGAGACCGATAAGACCTTTGCCGGTATCCCTTACCGCCACACGTTATTCAAGGCCTCCAAGCTCGAAGAGGCGATCCGAGAATGCGTTCGGGAACACACGATTTTTGAATCCGAAGGCAACGACATGTCCGACTCCGCCGCGCGCGATTCCCTTTCCACTCCCATGTTCAGCCCCGCCTCAGCCCCTCATCGCTCTCTCAGCCGCAGTAGCGCCAGCAGCCGTGGGTTGTCAAGCCCTTCAACACCGATCGGTCATAGGAGTTCATTGTTTGTGAATGGTCTGCGTTGGGGAAACCCGGATACTCTTCTTTACGATAGCCGGGAGTACCGGACAAAGACGTGAGTGCCGGTTAAAGGTTGGAACTCTATGACCACAATTGAGGCTAACTCGGCTACCAGTGCTGTCACAGCTGTATACAAAGGCACAACACGACCGGGCTTGGATATCCTCTTGCGATCATATGACTCTCGAAAGGAACCCCCTCCCGAGTTCAATTGTACTATCTGGCAAGCCGGCCGGGCCACATGCGCCACAGGCCTTGCATTCAAACCGATTCAGATTGGTCAGCACTTCTTCACGGATGAGGGCCCAGGTACATTTAATCCCTCCCCGCTGGTCCTGGATGAGGCGACCGTCAACGAGTGGCCGGGAAGAGAAGTTGGCGTCTTCGTCAGCATAGGCACTGGCAAGCGACCGCCTGGCACCAACCACCGGCAGCATGAGTGGTGGGAGAGTTTTTTCGGAGATTCCCTGGGTATATTCGCGGAAGCACGACGGCGTTTAATTTCCAAGATTGAGAATTGCGAAAACGTCCACCAGGATATGCTGCGGGAGCATCTGGCCAAGCGGAATGTGAGCCAGGACAATTACTTCCGTCTGAATGTGGAAGTTGGCGTGGGTGAGTTTGGCATGAACGAGTGGAGCCGGCTAGCGGACATCAGCACCAGCACCCGTCGTTATCTCTCAAGGCCAGAGGTGAAGAAGAGTATCTTGAGCGCAGGCGTCAAGTTTGCCAAGATTGAACGGATGCACCGTCGACTGGCGGCCCGTGGGAATGTTGGAGGAGTCAGCACCACCTCGGACAACGAGGAAGATATCGTGCTGTCTCCACAAGCGCCTTCATTCTCGGTACCTCCCCCATCCAACCCTATTGCCATCGAGCTGCCTGCGGAGGTTCCCATGGAGTATGTGCAAGCACCAGCGCACCCACTCTCGCCGTCTCCTCATTCTTCGCATGCGCCATTGTCACCAACCAGCAATGTCCTCTCTACGCATCCCACATCCCAGGAGACCACATACATTCCGGGACGCTATTCGGCAAGCGATGTCTCGAACTACCCTGTCGGTGGTCATGGTTCTCCACGCCACAGTGCTGATGCATTCATCAATGCTGGTCCACCCCCAGTACCGCCCAAGACGCCTATTCCTTATCCAGAAGATCCAGACGATGTCGCGAGAGTTGCGCTTCCTGTGGTGCCGCTCCCCGAGATCCATCCTCTTAACATTACGAAAGAGAAAGTTACGCCGCCGTACCCTGTGGACGAGCCACCTCCAGTAGTCAACCGGCAGCGAAAACCCAGTTATCATGTGCGATGATTTGATGAGAATGATTTTTTTTCTTTTGACGCTGATGTTTCCCATGTCCCTTCCCATTTATTTTATTTTTTTAATTTTTTTCCCGCGAAATCTTTTAGTAATCCCTGTTTTTCCTTACAACCGTGACACGTTCTGGGATATTGGGAGGAGTTCTCAGATATAGGTCAGGTCTATGGAGCGGGTCGTTTTCGATTCTACTAGGGGTGTTCTTGGCCAGGATTGGGTTGATTTATTGTGATACCAGGAATGCAAAAGGGATGCGCATAGATAGGCCTACTTGTACCTGTTTATTATTATGCCTGATAGCATGTTTGTAATGTTCGTACATACTGCGTATGATGATGTATGTATTATGTATTACCCTGAGGTATCATACATACCATACATGCCATGCCTTCTGCCCAGAGCTCGAATAATCATTAGATACAGCAGGTTTAACAAAGTTGGCAACATCAACTGCATCAATGTCTCCTCATGGCAGCATATAACAGAGAATAAAAATGGAACAGGGCGCTGCATCTTCATCTGCACCAGCTTCGGGTCTAGATCGATTGCATGTGGGCTGTCTCTCTTGGCCCGTATGCTATAACTTACCGTTGGTAAGCTTGAGATATGCAGAGATCATGCTGACGCTAATCGAATGCTCAGCCCAGCCTCCTCATTCAGCGTCGCATTTCCCCCTTCACCATGTAGCCATTCTTTTGCTCTCCTGCAGGGCCATCCTCGTGTGTCTTCTCAATTGCATAGAATACTTCTGTAACCGCGAGCTTTTCTTTGGACTTCAGGCACGGAGGAAGCTCTATTTACCGCTGTTTCACTTGATCGCGCTTAATCGCACTCAGCCCCTGCTGCAGGTATCGAGTAATACTACTTCAGATCCTCCCAGTCCATACGCGTTTTGATGACCCCCGCCAACCTGCTCATTCTCGATCAATCATAGCTCCTCCAAAGCGATCTCAACTGCCACGTTGTGCGTCCGACTCGGACAGACACTGGACGGACTACCACCACCACTCAATCCCCTTGGTCCATGATTTCCGGCGCATTCTCTTTCACCGCACGTATTCCTTCTCAGCCCCTGCCTTCTCGACAATCTCCAAGGACAGCAATTCCACTGCGAGAGCTCGTCCCCCTGTCCTCTTACCTGAAGGACTCGTCTGGTTGACCAGTCGTCCGTGCTGAGATCTCTATCCCACGGACGGCCCTGGCGCCTGACACACTCTTTTTCTTCCGCTGCCGGTCAGTGGTTTTAATTTTGATCCATATTCAACCCACTGCTGCCATGGACACTACCATTGCGGTTGTGTCGCATGCCGCTGATATCTATGCCCGTGCCGAATCCGACAGCTCCAAGAGCGGACGACCCGCCTTGTACAAGGCAGTGGGGATCTCCTTGGCTGTGGCTTCCGGTCTTTTTATCGGCGTGTCATTTGTGTTGAAGAAAATCGGCTTGCTCAAGGCAAATATGAAATACAACGAAGAGGCAGGTGAAGGGTACGGTTACCTTAAGAACTTCTGGTGGTGGAGCGGCATGACCTTGATGATTGTTGGGGAGATTTGCAATTTCGTCGCCTACGCCTTTGTCGATGCCATCTTGGTAACGCCCTTGGGTGCGTTGTCCGTAGTCGTCACGACGATTCTATCCGCTATCTTTCTCAAGGAACGCCTCAGCTTCGTCGGCAAGGTGGGCTGTTTTGGCTGTATCCTTGGCTCTGTTGTTATTGCTATGAATGCACCTGAACAATCATCCGTGAGCAATATCCAGGAAATGCAGCACTATGTCATTGCGCCTGGCTTTCTGACATACGGTGGTATCATCATCGTCGGCGCTATCTTCACTGCTCTATGGGCGGGGCCTCGTTATGGCAAAAAGAACATGTTCGTTTACCTTAGCATCTGCAGTATGATTGGTGGGTTGAGCGTTGTTGCAACTCAGGGTCTGGGATCTGCTATTCTCGCTCAGGCCAATGGCGAGCAGCAGTTCAATAAATGGTTCCTTTACGTGCTGGCCGTCTTCGTGGTTGCTACACTTTTGACTGAAATTATCTATCTTAATGTAAGCTTCCCCTTGCTTTCATTTGTGGATATATTTCCTCCCTTCCTCTCTCTCTAACTTGTCTTACAGAAAGCGTTGAATATATTCAATGCTGCCCTTGTTACACCTACTTATTATGTCATGTTTACGACTGCCACCATTGTTACATCTGCCATTTTGTTCCGAGGCTTTAAGGGGTCTGCTGTGCAAATTGCAACGGTTGTCATTGGATTCCTGCAAATTTGCGCAGGTGTAATCCTCTTGCAGTTATCCAAGTCTGCAAAGGATGTTCCCGACGCGGCTGTTTTCAAGGGTGATCTCGACCAGCTCCGGGAAGTGGCAGCGCAGGAAGAGCCCGAAACCGAGCCGAAGGCAGATTCCATTCGGGGTGCGGCGGCCATTATCAGACGGCTCTCGACGCCGCGGCGAAATATGGAGGTAGAAGAAGCGCGGAGGTATTTCAGAGAAAGACAAGAAGACCTATTGAAACCACCGGCAGAGAATGAAATCATCGAGTGGGACGGCCTAAGAAGGCGAAAGACGGTTATCGGTGAGGGCCCGACCATGGCGCGGTCAACGACTCCACGTACGCCATCAATCAGAAAGTCTCTCCCGCCCTTGGGCATGTCTCGTTTCCCCGAGGAGCAAGCCGAGCTGGAAAACGTCGAAGCCAGAACTCCCATCCGGAAAAATAGCCATTCCTTCTTTGACGGAATCCGCTCTCGCGCCTCTAGCGTCCTCTACCATCGGCAGTGGAATCCACTCCGTGACGATGATGATACTCCCGTGAACTTGGGCAATGTTTCTGTAGATCCAAACAAGACGGTTGATACAAGCTATCACGGGCCACAGTTACAGTCGCCATTTCAAGTAAGAAGGGAACGCAGCGACACCTCTCGAACGATATCTTGGGCGGACGATGCTCGATCCATTGACAGGAACAGAAATCTGTCTCCGGTGCCTCCGGCGGATGGCGCGCGGCGTCAATTTTCCTTCAAGTCGGTCTTCAACAGAACTAGATCTGGTGAGCATAATGTTACGGGAACGGCAAGCCCCGTGAGCAGTCCACCCCGCGGCATTCTCAAGCGTCCGCACATCCCCAGCGGTAGCTTGGAGACTGTGACGGAAGAGGAGCGACTGGGCCTCTCAAAAGGTGACTCTCGGACTGGCGGTGGCGATGACAAACTTGAGCGGAAATGGTCGTCTTCTAGCGGGTCGAGTTCCGGCGATGTAACCGAACTCCTGAAGGACCGGTATACACACGCCCGACAGCAATCTGTGTCTAGTTCATCGAGCTCCGCACCACCTCCATATGAAGAAGAGCAGTACCATAATCTTTTCCCGAATGCAGACAACGACTACATCCATCCGCCTTCGGGGTTTGTGACGACAGCACACCAAAATGAAGAAGTTGAAGGAAGTTGGCAATTGCCAGTCTCCCAACCCGGCGCAACCACCACTCGGACTGCTCCTCCTATGAGTCCAGCTCTTATTCAGCCACTACCTTCACGATCGAACCCGCTTCCACCGTTACCCACAGAAATCCCAGCAGTTGTTTCCACTGGGGATGGTTCGTACGTGCGCGTGGGACTACACAGCCCAAGCCCGAGCAATTCAGATATGGGAGTCATGTCGATATCCTCGTCATCATCGACACCGAGCCGTCGATCAGGCCTAGGCCGTCGAGAAAGCGGTTGGCGTCGCCATGGCTCGGCTAGCAGCGGAGGTACCGAAGACGGGAGCATGAGCAGCACGAGCGATACCCGAGGACATGAAGCTTTTGTTTGAATGAGCTCTTGGTGTTTGTATGTGCGAGTGTCGTATGGCGTATGCATATTCTCTAAGACATGGGCATAGACGGCGCAGGCGCAATTGGGTTGGCGGAGTTTGAATGATAATGATGTTTAATGTCTTAGTACGATGGATGATACCAGACTATGCTTGATATGGATTTCTTGTTGTCTTGGGCCTTGGAGTTTAGAATTGACGGAGTATTATATAATGGTAAAGTTTAGGTCTATCCCTCCCTGTACATCAAAGTATAACAGAATGCGTTCACGATGGTTTCATCACAACACAACTGCTTAAGATTGTATATATCTATCTATCTACTATGTAAATTCTATAGAATAAAACCCGTTCAAAAATTGTCTACTTACTCCATACACAATGAAAGCAATCGTCATCGACAAATATGATCCCATCGACAACCTTATATCCAAGGAAGTTCCTGGCCCCGAACGACCGCAGGGTCGAGATTTACTCGTCAGGTAAGATTGGTTATCGTATTCCATCTATCCATCCACATATATACTGATCTGTATTGTACGGAATATATATAGGGTGGAAGCCTGCTCCGTAAACCCGATCGATACCAAAGTCCGCACAGGTACATACGATGACTACCCAGGTACATCCTTCACCCTAAATATGAACGTATATACAGGATGATATATACATAGATACACACCAACAAGAAATGAAAAAGACCATCTACTCACGCACGCCAAAAGAGCAAATAGCCGGCTTCGACGCCTCAGGAGCAATCATCTCCACAGGCTCAGAATGCAAACTACCTTTCCAGACAAACGGCCAAGTCTTCTACTCGGCAGTCCGATCTTCCAAGGCTCGAGCGCGGGGTACCAATTCGTCAACGGGCGGAGCGTGGCGCACAAGCTGCGCACACTGGATATGGGGGAGGCTGCCGCCATGCCGTTGACGTATGCCACTGAGTACGAGGCGTTAGTGGAACGGTTACAGATTCAGCGCGGGGAACAAGCGGTGCTGTTGATTATCAATGGAGGTGGTGGGGTGGGATCTGTTGCAAGTCAGATTGTCCGGGAGGTTTGAGGGGTGCCTGTTGTTATCACGACGGCGTCCAGGGAGAGTACGAGGGCGTTTCGTGAGAGGATAGGGGCGACGGTTGTTTGAATCATCGGGGGGATTTGGAGGGCAGATTAGGGGGTTGAGGTTGGATGTTCCGTTGAAGTATGTCTCCATTGTCCTTCCTACGTAGATTATTCTGTGTTATTGCCGATGATTAATGTTGAACAGGTACATCTCCATCACTCATTCAACGGACAGATACATGGGTCTCTGCGCGAGTCTGCGCCCCCTTTGGTAAAGTCTGCTCTATCGTCCAGGCCGGGAGGAGATGTATGGAGCCGAGTTCATGGCCAAATCGCTGTTGTTCATCTGGTGTCTTTTAGGCACAAAGCCTTATTATAGCGTCGATCTCGATTCGCATCATAGAATATTAGAAGAGCTTACGCGGTTGGTCGACGAGGGGAGAATCAAGTGCCATTTGGCACGTAGGCTGAAGTTGACGCTCGAAGGTCTGCGAGAGGCACATAGGCTCGTCGAGAGTGGTAAGTCCATGGGGAAGATTGCATTGGGGACTGAAGGCGATGGACGGCCTTTTGGCTGACATGGCCTGTGACCATCTGGGGTGTTCACGATATCCTGTAAAAATTATAAGCCACTTGCACCACAATAGTAGAATTCAGAGTTAACTCGCAGTCATACTCTCACCATCACCCAGCAGATGCTTCAAACATCCCCAAGACACTCCGTTGAGACTGTGAGGCCATCCTCAACACCGCGAATCTCGCCTCAGAGAGACGTTTCGAAGCCTTAATACTCTCCAGAGCCCTGAATTAGAGTAGAGAATCAATATCACCTCACGACAATATCCACGAAAGAAAGAGCAATAGAAAAGAAGTAGATTTGGTAAAACACACCACTCAACACCAACAATCTTCACAACTCTCCCTCTCCCAACATTTCCAATCTCCCTCTGGGACTTCCCAGCCGCGAGTCCCCCACCAGCCCCAGGACCAGAAGGCTTATGCTTATTAGGTCTCCCAATGATGACATGTGTAACGCTCCGACGAGTCAGGGAGATCGCTATCCTCGCCCCGTGGGAGACGAGAAGATGTCTCAATTTGTGATCTGATATAAGGGGCATGGTGGACCCGTTGATGTAGATGGTTAGTCCAGCGAAGATGCGACTGGCAGTACCATTACCAGAAGCAGTTATTATATCAAGCGTAGAAGGATGATGATGATGCATGGCAGAACAATTCTCTTCCTTCTTAACATGGACAACAGCAGTCCCTGTTCTTCCCTTGACATCCACTTTCTCAGAACCAGAACCGGAGTCACTGTTAATACTAGTTCCACCCTTCATTTTTCTCACCATGTAACTCCGAATATCGCGACATCCTAGTCGATTCCTACTACCATCCCTATCACCAGCACATGGGACTTGTCTTATACTTGTATTGGCGTTGACGTTTATGAGACTGGGGGGGTCTCCTCGAAATTGTCGCGTGAGTATGTCTTCCCTCGTATTCCGCCAGGCTGCCGTGTTGTCTGGACCCCTGCGTTCGGCACGTTGGTGGCCTGTGGATGCTGAATTCCAGGGATCGAAGATGAGGTGGTTCCTTGGTGTTGGTGTTGCTACTGCTGTTGATGATGATTGTGGTGGTCTGGCTGTGTGTGGGCGGGGGTTCATGGTGCAGTGCTTTGGTGGACAATCTCGAAGCTCTGTCCATGCAGTAGCAGTAGTATTTTCATGAGCTGCAGAAGATGAACCAGGAACCATGGATTGTTTCGATTTTGCCGGATTGGGTTTAGCATATTCACGTGTTTAGCGTCTAATGGGTTTAGGGTTTTGACTGCAGGACATCAATCGTCAATCCTCCGGATGCTAAAAAGCATCTAAAAGCAAGTGTCATTCAGCGTTAAGAGACCAACGCGCTAAGGTCATACCATGACAGAGAGGAGATTCAGAATGAATGTATCAATACGTCACTCATCAAATGCCTAGAATAAAAACAAAAAAAGCAACACGCCATCTCAAATAATAGAATAAGAAACAAATTAGCCATTCATTATCATCACCATCGTTTCTTTGGTCTCAAGTATTTTTTGAAGGCAAGCGTAAGAACCGAGCCGACTCAAATTAAACGCAATTGCGCCTTGAGCCGACTGTCAATTTTTTTTTGGTGTTTTCTTTCTGACTTTTCAAAAAAGGTAGTATCCAATATCTCAAAAAAATCAAGAAAAAATGCAAATGACAAGAAGCCAAAAACATAAGAGGGGCTGGAACAGCCCCTCGGACATGAAAGAAGTACAAAACCATATAAGTCGTTAAGAAAATTCGTAACATCGTGGTCGTTAATAAGTCTCTCCCAAACAATAAGGAAACAGCACATGCCACAGGTAACCAAAAGTTCGTGACGCAGACCCCTCGTAAAAGAAATAGATCAAAATCCATAAACCAATACACTTAACGCTGCACGTTGCTCCGAGCGCAGGTTCAACAGGCCAATCAAGCCAAAGCCCCTTGGCCGTCGTCGAATAAGATGATGCATTGACTCCGCACGCCTATTTCGACGCGGATTCTAGTCCACATCATGCCCGTGCAGTCAAAATGAATCAAGAAAAAGGATAAAAAGCACCATGCGAAGGCAAAAGCCTCGTGCTTCAGCGCTCAAAGTGCGCGGTAGGCCAGGAGCGGTGCAAATGTGTAATCTATCGAGAAAGAAGAGAATAGAAAAAAAAGGGTAATTCGAAGTAATAATGCTGTGATCCTTCATGTACGAAGAGTCAACTTATAAACCGACAGGAATAAAAGAAAAGCTCCAGTAGTCGTTCGACTAGGAACATTGTCAGATAGGAGGGAATCAGCTCTGACGAGATACGATACCACCCGCTACCATGGGCTGCAAAGCCAGGGGAGCACCGCCACCGACAGGGCCACCCATGGTAGAGTCGGTTATCGTCTTTCGGCGCTTGTGCTCGAAATCTGTCCCACGGCTAGCGGGCCGAACCGACCGGTCAACATCATTGTCCTCACGCATACGCTTGGTCCCCAAGGAACTATTGATACCAGTGGAATACGTAGGGGTCGAGTTGGAAGTTACAGAATAGGTATCTGCAGAACTTCCATTAGAAGCCGTTCCCCGAGTGTCACTGACAGCATTGTAAAGACTGCTGGTGGCGGTCCTGGGAGGAGTGGCATAATCGGAGGGCCATTGGGCATGAGCTCCTCCGTTCGCATGAGCCGACATGCGTGCAGAAGTGCTCTGCTGAGGGGGAGAACCCGCTATATCCGAAGCAATCTGAGCGGTTTCCCCAGCCAAGGTACCAACAGAAGGGTTGGTACCGTAAGTATACGAGCCTCGGTGGGCCTGGTAGGCGGGATCCTGCATGTACTCCTGCTCCTGTTCCGATACTGGCTCTCCCGATCCTGTCGCAACATGCCCATTAGTCTGGGGGTACCGATCCGATTTAGCATCGGCAGTCTCCGCATCCGGTTGTCCTCCAGAGGTGCGTCCTGGGTTTGCTCCCATTTCATTTTTCATGTATGCACCGCCCGACAAAGACTGGCTGTAAGGAGCCATGCCAGACTGTGCCAGTGGTTGTTGTGGGGCATACTGTGAATGTGATGCAGGCGCAGCGGAGTAATATGGCTTCGAGGTTTCATAACTTGACTGGCCCTGGTACGCAGGCATCGCTTGCAGGTTGCTTCCTGGAGGAGAGGTTGCAGGCGTAGCTGGCAGAGACCGCGCGTTGGTCAGGGCCCCATCCATTGACAGCGACTGGGGGTTTTGGATGCCAGAGTTCATGCTCTGAGACCCCCATTCATATGGGCTACCTTGGCCAGTGATACTCATGAGACTCGACGTACTAGTAGGTGGCGTGGGGAAGGTGTGTGCACGCTCCATTCCAGGTCGACTATGAGGCGTTTGGGCCAGATGAGATGGGACCTGAGCCTGCATGGAGTGATGATGATGCAAAGCTGGTGGTTGCGAATCTTGCGGTGCCCGAGCATGAGGGTTTTCCAATCGCCGTTGCTGAGATTCTTGCACAATCATCTCTGCCTGGGGCCTGTTTGTGGGGTGATACAGTAGAGTGCCAATGTTGTGGACGAACAGGGGATACAACAAGTCCGTAATCTTTTCTTTGTTCGCAAATTCCAATGCACGCTCATATGGAATCCTAATAATTCTTAGAACTTTTGACGTTTGGGTGAGCGGGGCTGCGATGAGGTGAAGACATACCAGACACCTTTCAAGTGCATAGGACCAATCTTGACAACATGGCGAAGTTTCTCGCTTTTCAAGATACCGTCTCGGCGACCTCTGGTCATGCCTGCAACGTTCAACAACTTCGTTCCATTGATCATATGGTTGTCTAGCAACGTCAGCGAGAATTCCAATCGATTGGCCGCGTTGATGAAATGACAGGGCGCGAAACGCTTACCTTCGCGTCGAGCCACACAGATGCCCTTTGCCTCTACTTGATAGCACAGACTACCTTCATCCTCCCAGAGAGTCGCCGTCACACGCGGCTTGGCACCAGGCGGTTGCAGTTGACCAGTGGCATCGTAAACAAAACCCTGCATCGGGGCGCCCGTGGTGTTGCCATATCCTGGAGTTGTTACAGACGGATTTGTCACAGCTGGCGAAGACATGATTAGCAATTGGACGTACTCCTCAATTGACAAAATAGAAAAAAAAAAGGCTTACCCGGCAATGGCAATAACTGAGTGGAGACTTGACCGGCCATCGAAGTTGCTGGTGGATGGGTAGAGGATTGGGGAGATGTAACGCTATTACTGTATCCATAATGAGAGTAAGAGCCCGCGGGAGCGTAGGTTGTAGATGCAGGCTGGAGCACTGGCGGCTGCGGGGGATACTGGTGATATTGGGGAATCCCTCCTGCAGTCGCAGCATGCGAAGCATACGGCTGTGCAGACGACAGATGAGGATGATGCACATCCATGTATGACTGTGTTTGATTCATGCTGCCGACGGGGCTTGCGTTGGAATAATAACCGTCGGTGACCGACTGCGCGGGCAGGGGATATTCCGCGGGCGCAGACGAATCCAAGGAGAGCCGTCCCTGGCTGCTGGTAACAAGGTCCGCAGCGGGCGGCGGACTCCTGCCCTCGTTTACCGCTGAGGAAACACTGGACAGGCTCAACCGACCACTGCTGGATCCCGAAGACGAGGTCGGACTTGAGTAAAGAGCCCGAAGGGGCGGTTGCTGGAGGGGGGTCGGGAAGCTGAGAGCCGGGAGTTTGTCGCCAGACAAAAGAGACCGTTCAGCTGCGTGGTGATTGTACCAAGGGATATCAACAGGACCTTGGGTATGGACCTGGGAGATCGACGGTAGCTCCAGCTTTTCGGTTGGTCTGGAAGACGGCTTGAGCTGGGCGGAGGGTGCAAGACGGACCGACAAAGAGGCGTCCGCGCTGCGATTGCAGGGATCGAGTAGTCGATAGTGGATACGCGCTAGCGAGCGCGTGTGCGAATAAGCAAATGCAGGAAAATGCTAGAGAGAGAAGTGATCGTTGCGAGTTCGTAGAAAATTCGTAACCGTAAAGCCAACTCGTGAACCGCTCAGACAGCGGGAATGATCAAAAGATAGCTATGCAGTATGTGCTCCGTGGAAAATTTGAGTCCGATAAGAAAAAAAATCTACAGAAAAGAAGCAGTGTTCTTTTGCCTTTTTTTATATTCCTTTTTTTTTGGTTGAAAGAAGTTGGGTCGTCGTTCGAATCGTCTGAAGGGGGATATAATCATGAACAAGATAACTGGAAAACTCGCAGAGATGCACACATTCGTAGGCTCGTTTCAGGTCGTCAAACTGAGGAGATCGCGACCGTACCACATAAAAAGATGGCGCGGACAGCAAGAACTCCAAGCAAACCAGGGGTTCCTGGAGGGAGTCTTGAGGAGAGACGCGACAGCGGTCGGAGGAAACTCAGTTCGCAGCAATTCGTGATGGATAACGACAAGCGTGATGACTGTCTAGAGACTAAAGCAAGTAAGAAATGCAATTCAGGCCGTTAAGAGTCGTTCCACATCAAGCGTGAGAAAAGAATATATGAAAAAAAAAAAAGAGAAAGAAAAGTCGAAAGTCGAAAGTCGTAACAGCGAAGGTCGCTTGATTGAAGCGAAGAGGAATCGACAGCGGGAAGAAAAAGCGGAAGAAGACGGATAAAAGAAAAGAAATGAGAAGAGAAGACAAGGCACATGGACAGAAGAAAAAGCAAGCTAGTGTGAAGAAGTTGGAGCAGGCAAAATCCTGGATGGGAGAGAGAGGCTGGAACAAGGGAGGTAGACAGTGTCCTGTCGGGAGTAGATAGAGAGAGGGCCTTGGAAGAAAGGACAGACAAGACAAGATTGGCATGCATACATACCTCTTGCAGCAGCAGCAGTAGACCAGTCATATAATAAAAATAAACATACGCTTTATAAAAAAGAAGAGGCTGGGGAAGTGGTCCCAAGAGAACGACGATGGCAGCCAATGCAGAGAATCCAGAGAACAGAACAGAACAGAACCTGTTTGCGAGAGCGCAAGATCGGGAGCGTTTGGGTTTGCCTCCGATTCCTTGATTGTTGTTTAAGGTGGACGGATGGGGATGGGGAGCTGCAGAAGAGCTGCAGGTTGGAATGAGAAGAAGCGAGCGAGAGGACGGCTAATATGCAAGGAGAGGAAAGATGATGGGGATGATAATAATAGAGGATATCTACTCCGTGCGGTAACAGAGCAAGTGGGCGCACCGTTCAGCTCCCGCGTTTTAGAGGGTGGAGCAGGCGCAGGCGCTTGATCGTGGAAAGCGATTCAGCTTTACCAATCCAGCAGAGCGTCGATCGGGCTATCACGAGCGACGGGCGATGATGTGGTCGAAGGCGATTGGGATGGCCAGCTGCAAGCAAGGAAGGCCAAAGCTAGAGGATAATAATATGATATTTGGGCTTCTGGATGAAACAGAAATCACACCGTTTTCTTTTCTCATTATTTATTTATTATTATTTATCCATAGATTTTATTATATTATTGACTTGATATGCTTTGGGGGCCAAATTCTTCCACCGATCCGCACTCCGAGCAGGTCGTACTGGCTTGTAACTCCCATGTAACATCCTTCTTCTATTTATATCCGCGTCTTCCTTTGCAATGTGGCCCGGGTGGATCGACCCGTCGGTCGTGGAAATCGATGCCAGTGAGTAACCGTGCGTTAGAGCGGAGGAGGTCCCATGGTTCTTGGAAGGCCCAGAGCCATAGACACCTCCGTCCATACCTTGATATGCTGCTGCGTAATCAAGTTGCGGCCAGGGAAATCGGATTCTTCCCAAGGATATCGAAAATAATGATGAAGGCGATAGCGATGGTGATGAGGATGATGATGATGAGTGGATAGAGAAAAGAGAGAGAAGATGAAGCGAAAGGAGGGGTAGCCTGCCAAGTCAGGTGTTTTCCATCTCCTCTTGGACGCAATCCCAACACCCCTGTAGCACTATACTGGCATTATGATTAGACAGAGGGAAAAAGACGCAATTCTGAAGAGAAATAATAATAAAATAATGATAATAAAATACTCTCCGTTCACAGCACACTAACTGCATGTCATTGGATGCTTCAACTTCTGATCCTGCCACTTTCACCACACCGTCGACGCCTTTGGGAACCCCCCCAGAAATCTAACCAAATCACAACTGGAACAGAACAGAACAGAAATACCACATCCTGCCAGATCAGACCGTGCTGCTGTTGGATCTATCATCCTTCTGACTTGGCACTCCCCCCCACCGTCCTTCCGGCGCCCCTTTCGCCAATCATCTCCGAGACAGTTGTTCCTGAGCCCCTCTGTGTGCTCCCACGAAGCTTACCAGGGAACGAGATAAAATGATCAGGATTCTCACCTGCCGCTGCTTTTCGTCCGTCCGGAAGCCGCTGCTCTTCATTGGCTTAGGTACCTCTTAGTCTTTCCCTGCATGGGCAATCCGGAAACCCACCCCACTGTGATTATGATAATCATACATTCCCGCTATCTACGGAATATCCGTAGTGCCCTGCGGATACCCAGGGTCTTCCGTACTCATGCTGGACGGATGCACTATGTGCGGAATACAGCACCTTACTGCAATGCTGATCTTCGAAAAGTGCAGCAGTCAGGGACAGACAGAACAAGGCATATCATCTGCAAGATCCACGGAAATATATGCGACAGTGAGTGGATCTCCGGAGAAAACATTGCCAACCGGTACTTCTCCCAAGTACGGAGTAAGTAGGAAATATGGTAGAGTCTCGATAACTAATAATCTATCAATATCAAACAAACCAAAAAGCGGTGACCGCGATGGCTCTGTTGGCCATCTCCTCAGGGCCTGACCGATACGAATCCCTGCTAGGTCGTCCGGGGGCATCCTGATTCCTGCTTCCTGCTTCGCTTCCTGGACGCCTCAGTGGAACCCACGGAGCAAGCAAGTCCAGATTCCATTGGTTGCGGCTCCGGCTCCGAGAGGCCAGGAATGGGCATGATGATGATGACAATAATGCTCCTCCGTGCGACGGTTTGTTTTCTCTCAAGGGGCAGGAATTCCATTTAGGCGAACATCCCTGACAAGTCAAATGCAAGCAAGCGAAACCTAGAACAGCAGCTTCATTGGCGATCATCACGTACTTGTGGCTTGGACGGACGAAGCCGTGGTCCAGGAACCCTGCCACATCTTCAGCCAACTCAGTCATCCTGGTATACAAAGTAGAGTAATATAGATAGTACCGTTGCAATATTGACCAGCAAGGTCCAGAATCCAATGCTTCTTTTCGTTCAGGTAGAGAATTTCGTGGAGTACGTTCTGGGTTGGCATGACACATCATGAATACAATTACAGCCTGATACAACGGCCGTGTGATCGGTCGCAAAGAATGTATTTTTCGGCGAGGCTGTCCACTCCCGACGGCCCAGTCATATCGGGATCTTCATAATATTACATCCAAAATACGGACTAGTATGCAATAGGAGAGTAGGTCCGACTGTTATGAAGCAGTTCTCGACCCGATCAGCACTGAATGCGCATCTTTTATCGCGAACTCACCACTTCCAGAAACATCCAAGAGCTCTACGTCTACGACACGTCCCTTTGCAAACTCCGAGATCTGGACCAGAAGAGCCTCTCGGAGATAGAGAGTCGGATATCTTCCGTAGGGTAGTGGACACAGGGACGATCATGCCATTCGCATGTGGTGTTTTGTTTTCTTTTGTTTCATAAGAATAAGAGGCTCAATGCAAACTCCTCGTCGAGCATTTGTCCGTGCCTTGCAGGTGTCACGCAGAGGAAGCTTGCTTGACGCTATGATATTGGAAATAGGGGAGCTTACTCCTGACCTCTTGATGAGAACGGAGACATCTACATAAACTCTCCATAGTAGTACATAGACAGACATATACATGATACGAGCTTGTCCTACATGTCCTGACAGCCTGTTGCACGAGATTGGACTTTGCTCGTCATGATCCTAAAATATTAATTTCAATTCATTCCAAATACATACTGTTTCGCTTGGCTTACTGGTTATGGGAAAAGGAGAGATAACAGTGTTGCCCATAGCATATGCAAGTGTATCATGATTTAATCTATGATCTGGAGAAGAGTTTTAATCCATCACGGACATGGCTGAGGCTCAGTGCAGCGGATGCAGGGGATTAACCTCACATAGCATATGGCATATCCGTGGTTCATTATGCATGCACTTTGACAGGATCAGAGAATATCAGATCTCAACCGTACCTTTAGTCTTTTACAAGTCGCCGTGATAACCGAGGAATATCACTCTCACATGGATAAAAGCAAAGGAGTGAATCAACCTGGTCGACTCCGTTCTCTGCATAGACCAGGAATCATCCCTATCAGGCGGGTTCGAAAAATAGCATGAATTCCTTACAGTAATAATGTACTAAATGACCGACTGGCCGTTGCGACGACCACGTATCCTGGCCCGAGTGGATTCACAGCTGAGTTGGCTGAACCCTAAATGCATGCATGTCCCACGGATAACTGCTGCTGCTTTTCCTCTTCCAGGGAGAAATAATCATGCTATGAATAATCTCCCCCAGCCGCCCCATCTAGACCATTCCATCTCTAATTACGGACAAAGTATTGGCTACGGAACCTACGGATAGTTAGTACTGGGATATGCCAGGATCGCCACGCCGTTCTGTACATACTACACACTAACCCTTCATTGATTTGATATCATATCTCATACATACTATGATGTATGACTATGTACCTACTACGACAAGGTTTGCCTCCGGGCCGTGACGGTGACACAGATCCCCCTCCCCAGACCAATATCGCATTGGCTGCAAGGATCAGGCTTCAGCTGCAGCAACCCGTCGCTGCATATGCGAGTGAGGGAGCCTACGTACTTCCCCTCGGGCCTGAGCCAGAAGGCCGACACGGCAGCCTTGAAACTAAACTAACAACCTGTCTCCGAAGATCATGATTCATGGGCGTGGGGCATGATCACAGGATTCATCGAGAGTCTACGAATTGATCACAGGTGATCATGGCTCTTAGTGTAGGGGACTGGCTAGTCGGATATTACGGCATTTTTTGGCTTTGCGGAGTATACGGAGGATTCCCATTACGGACTCCTTGAGGATGGTATACTATACAGCGTCCGTTGTTGTCTTTGTTTGTCCGTTCTTCTCTCAGTTTGACGTGGAAGTAGAAGTATTCTGGTTAGATTCTTTGTATATTCCTAGTATTGATCACAGAACTGCACGTTAGGACTCTAGGGAGTCCTATATAGCAAATGCGGAGGAAGAATTCGATGTTCTGAATGCTGTCGGATGTCTTTAGGTGATGTCCTATCACCTTCCTATCACCTAAAGACATCACAGCATCCACCAACCTTCAAGACAAAGTTATCAACCGCAGCAAGCTCTAGACACATGGTTCATTCTTGGATCCATGGAATTCATAGATAGAAAAGCTAGCCATAACTCCCTAACCACCTGTCCATATGTACTCTTCTATTGCTGCGTAGGAGAAATGGATGTCATTGTCATTCTTCATGGAGTTACTCCGTACCCGACGGTCTTTCCCTGCATGACGGGTATCTAGGTAGATGTCAATGGAGTAAGGACAACTGGCTTAGCAGGCGTAAAACCCATCAGCAGATATATTGATCTGAGTCCGTATTATCCGTTTGTCCGGTGCCAAGCGGGTTTATATTGAGGGAATATATATATCATCTCGATGTGCATAGTCTGCTACAGGATGCAGAGAAGGAATATAGCAGTTACCCATGCAGGCTAGGATTGAGTCCAAGGTACTTGTAAGTAGTCTTTCTTTCCATCCTTTTGTTTCTATAACCGAGTATCGAGGCCAGGGAGCGCGGGGCTAACCCTACATTTGCATCATGCAGGGTGTATACGGTACATGATCTTTGTCCCGTATGGACCTATTGATCTCCCTGCTATTTAACGAGGAGCTGATTACCAACTACAGTGCGAATCTATCTGCCGCTTCAATGATTTCAGGAAGTAGCCAATTGACAACGATTTTACATGTTCTCCCCTGAACCTGCTTCCTTGTAGAGCGATCTTCCAGCACTTATTTTTGATATCTGCATGCATGCTTAAGACAAAGTCTGCGGACTTAGCTGCAACAACATCTTGGTAATCCACCTGTTAAGTAGATGGGGTCATATGATAACGGGCTTTGCTTTCTCACGGGGGAATACCGTCTTCGGGAACTGAACTCGAAAGCAAACCGTCGGCACTGCCCGGAAGTGTTCGAAACTTCAAGTGAGGCGGATCATTATTCATAGAGCCAAACCAGGGAACCCGCTGGATCGAGGTGAACTCCCGTCAGGAAATAGATAGCCCGATGGAGTGATATCAGTGAGGTGCAAAAGCCTTCTACCCGTCAACGATCGGGATTTGGTGGACAGTGTCGTGCAACAACCAAATCCCCTTGCAGCACATCATCTTCACCATTGTGGAGCACGGTACTCTCTGTGCACTCAGAGTGATCTACCGATAATATACCCCGTCCCAGAAAAGCAAACCCCGAACTTACCTCTTCGCTCCTCGTCGATCAAACCCTGAGGAGACTCGTTGTGCATTGTGGTACGGGATGAACCGCGCTTACGGTGGCGATTGCGAGAGAAAAAGCAGAAACCGAAGACCGCAGGAGCCGAATTGAATAACATTGAGATTGACATGCGGAAGAATATGGAACTATATATGGACGCCGAGTGGTGCGAAGCCAGATATAAAAGGGACTTGATCCTCAGTCTTTCACCGGCCATTCTCATCACATCAACATCCCCTCTGTCTGCCAGCTCGAGAACAAGCAATTGAACTGTTATATACACGCTATTTTCATTCTCCGAAGAATCTTCAACATGGTCCCTGTTCTGAAGAAGTACAAGGCTGCCGCCGTCAACGCCGAACCGGGATGGTTCGATCTGGAGGAATCCGTGAAAAGGACCATCCACTGGATCAATGAAGCCGGCAAGGCTGGTTGCAAGCTGATTGCTTTCCCTGAGCTATGTCCGTCTATATAACAGACTCGGATGCGGAGAGGCACCGTTCTAACGAATCAAACAGGGATACCCGGCTACCCTTACTGGGCCTGGAAGGTGAACTACCAGGAGAGCCTCCCCTTGCTCAAGAAATACCGTGAGAACAGTCTACCTTCGGATTCTGAGGAGATGCGCCGCATCCGCGAGGCCGCCCGCAGCAACAAAATCTACGTCTCCCTGGGCTACTCCGAGGTCGACCTGGCCAGTCTGTACACCACGCAGGTCCTGATTTCGCCTTCGGGCGATATTCTGAACCATCGCCGGAAGATCAGGGCCACCCATGTCGAGAGGCTGGTCTTTGGAGATGGTACTGGTGATACCACTGAATCCGTCGTTCAGACAGAAATTGGTCGTCTCGGCCACTTGAACTGCTGGGAGAACATGAACCCATTCCTGAAGGCCTACGCCGCTTCCTTGGGTGAGCAGGTCCACGTTGCTGCCTGGCCCTTGTATCCAGGCAAGGAGACGTTGAAGTACCCTGATCCGTACACCAATGTGGCCGAAGCAAATGCCGATGTAAGTAGATCATCCTCCTGTCCATGTGTAAAAATTGTCAGTGGAACCGACGGAACTGAGTATGCCCAGCTTGTGACACCAGCATATGCCATCGAAACAGGCACCTTCACCCTGGCACCCTGGCAGTCGATAACCGCCGAGGGAATTAAGCTGAACACTCCCCCAGGCAAGGAGCTGGAGGATCCGCACATCTACAACGGACATGGCCGCATCTTTGCGCCTGATGGACAAAACCTAGTCCCTCACCCGGATAAGGACTTCCAGGGCCTCCTCATTGCGAATGTAGGTTTCTTTTCTTTTATTTCATCCAGAGTTTTCCGCTGACGAAAATTTACTAGATCGACTTGGATGAAATCCATCTCACCAAATCCCTGGCTGACTTTGTAAGTCCACACACTTTTTTTTTTTTTTTTCATAAAGCTAATGTTTTCTCCAGGGCGGCCACTACATGCGCCCCGACCTCATCCGCCTTCTTGTGGATACTAACCGTAAAGACCTGGTCGTTCATGAAGACCGAGTCAACGGAGGAGTTGCGTACGTGAAGACGGTCGATCGGGTTGGGCTCTCCACGCCGTTGGATGCTGCAGAACCGGAGTAAGCAGACCAGAACCAGCTGGAAGTGATGAATTAGACTAGAGAGCAAAATACAGCAATATATCTTGGTGTTAAGATTGCAAATAGGCTTTCCACATGGGCGCTTCGTCTGAAATCACGAAATGTGTGGAAGCATGCTACTCTACCAACATAACCAGCAGCAGCTCTCCTGTTGAAAAGACACATTTCTCCTGACTATCAATAGCCAACTACGGAGAACACGCGGAAGACCGGGCCCGACTGGTGACAACTATGTTGAATCTCACGAGGTTTAGTACGAGAATGGTATGATGGATATGAATACCATCGCGCCCGAATCTTACACGCTGGACTACGCGCTCCACGAGCGTCCCCGGATCATAGAGGTCCAGTTGGATCTTTTCTGGGATTAACAGAGTAATATAGAGCTTTATCCGAACTTCCATGAGTATTTCAAGATGTCGCAGGTGCCCTTGCTTGCCATCTGGGGGAAAATGATATCTTCTTTGTGCCGGAGGGGGACTGGGCTTTTCAATAGCACCTCTCAAACGCTGATGTCGAGTTGATCCAAGCAGGAAATTTTGCCGTTGAGAGTGATTCTATCTTGATTGCTAATAATATATTGGAATTTTTGAGTAAGAATGGATTTGAGCTGTTTAAAAGAAGGGCGCGATGCTGCTTAATGAGCAAAATGTTCCAAGTGAATGGCATCTATTGTAAGATAAAACCTAAGAATTCTACTAGTATATCTCATTTCCTCTTCCAATGGGAATGCAACAAGAGAGGTAATATCTATTTTCCCTATTTGCAGTGGTGGAACATGAAGGACCCCTCATGCTATACTATGCCTTCCGCTCCCTCTTTGAATCAAGACTCCTCTTCCCTGCTCGTGAGAAGATCTGCTGCCAGATCTCAATCCACTGCTGTTGTCGATATGATAATGCTTTGTGTGGGTTGCGGAATGTACCAGAAAGGATATCTCGCATGCGGGAGTTAAGGATTTTCAACGCAAGCATGGGTTTCCAGTTGCGGACTGAGAACCGGATCCTGCTCCCGTCTATAGAGATCACACCCGGATACATCTGATGAGAGTGTATTAGTCCCCAGTGGTTATGCTAAAAATAATATAAAAAAATGAAAGCAGAAGGAAATACCTTAAACTCGGCATCGCCGCAGAGTAAAGCAATCGCGAAATCCTCAACAGCGCTGGTTTCATGCGCATGGTAGGCCCTGTTACGCGCTTGCATGATATTATAATACGATAGCCACCTCACCAACGATTCTGATTGCTTGTTCACGGATGTTGGATGAAGGGTTACTGTCTGGTTGTTTGCGATGTTCCGCCAGCCTTTGCCCTCGCGGGTGAGTAGCTTGGGGTAGAAGCTCCAAGCTATTACCGAATTGACCACAACATCATTCGTGCTGTTTAAGTCGTACTCTTCGGGTATTGAAAAGAACTGTCGTTGCCGGCCGCTATAGCGAGCCCTATTAAAAGCAGCTCGTTGCGTCGAATCTAAAGAAATAAGTCCGGCATCGGCGATGGAAACAAGAAGTTGCATCTTGATATCTTCGATATTCAGGAGAGTCTGAGGACTGAGATAGTTTTTCCTGCAGAATGCATATTCATTCGCGCCATGAGTGCTCCTTGTGCGTTTCCAGGAGCAGTAAGCGTTGTATACAGTCAATAGATCCGAATCCCCTGGTAAGGGTTGATGTCAGCATAGAAGATTTGAAATACAGAACAAGAAAAACAAATACCTTTCTTGAAAGAAAGCCTAGCCAGCTCCTTCTGCGTGTTGGACCCCATGACGTTGACAAAAGGTGACTTGGAAGACATAATGGCCGCGATGCTAACGCAGACATCCAGGCATTTAAAGAAACAACCGTAGATGATGAGTTTCCCGAGGAAAACATCCAGAGGTAACTTGGCAAGCTGCATCCCCAACGGTGTTAAGGCCTCCGCATTTGTCAAGGCCTTCACCTCCTTGAGAGAGTCAATCGCTCGGCGTATATTTTTGGGTGACGGAGGATCTAGAGCTTCAAGGAGGGTCTGCTCTACTTCGCCTAGTTTGCAAATCTTGACTCTCAGAACCAAGTCCTGCAGGGATAATCGAAGCATTTCAGGAGTTTGTTGACCTGCGAGCTACAGTATATTATTAGCGCAGTCATAATCTGGCTCAAAAGTTACACCAGAGCTTACCAAATTATCATGCCGGTACTTGGTAAACAGATGGAAACAGATGCCATTCTGGACTCGTCCTGCTCGTCCTCTCCGCTGTTTAGCATTAGCACGAGAGATGAACGTTTCTACAAGCCGAGACAGCTGTCGCCGTTCATCAAATCTGGGCCGCCGTCAGCAAATTTTCAATACCAGTCTGGGTCCTCGCATATAGTTACCGCATTGTCTTCTCTCTACCTGCATCGACGACAGCAGTTATATCGGGAATTGTGATACCTTTTGGAAGTAAGCAGTATTCACAAATTAAATGGGAGAAGAAAACCCACCTGTCTCGGCAATATTCGTGGCAATCACAATTTTCCTTATACCCTCAGGAGGCACAACAAATGCCTTCTCTTGGTCATCGCTAGCGATGGAAGAGTGAAGTGTGTAAACAACCCACCCTTTCTGAAAAGCAGCTTCAGAGAGGATCTCGTCATTTAGCCGACGGATTTCTGCCAGTCCAGGCATAAATACCAGGATTGCTTTGCTATACTGCGCCAGCTCTGGTGCTAATGCAATCTTGAGAAGAAGCGTCTTAATCAGTTGATAGTCGAGGCGGTATTCATCGAATTTAAGAACCGTGTCTTTGGTTTGCTTGGAATAATGGTCGAGTGTTGCCAGCAGACCACCAGAAGATGCGTTCTCAGCAGGGGCCTCCTCTACATCATCTTCAGATAACGTCGACGAGTTGTCTTCTGACAATCGGTATTTTGTCGTTTCGATGACATCCTCCAAATATTTGATCTCCACAGGGAATGTCCTTCCAGGTATGTTCAAAACAGGGACGCCGCCAAGGTATGATGAAAATCGTTGTGCTTCAAGAGTCGCCGACATCAATACTAGCTTCAGATCTGGCCTCTGCTGCATCAGTCTTCGGAGGACAATGAGAAGGAAATCACCGTCAATTGAACGTTCATGTACTTCGTCAAGAATGACGTGCGAGATGTCTTGAAAATCCTCGGGGCGTTCCAGCATTCGTACTACGACCCCAGTGGTCCTTTGCAAGGTCAGCTAGGCATCGAGGTTCCAGTAGGGGAGAAACATACGCATATACTAGTCTCGTTTGCTGGCTGACCTTGCTTTCTAACCTCACAGCGTATCCGACAAGAGACCGTGATGTTCCTACGTCATTCTTGCTCTCTCCCAATTCCTCGCTTACCCTTCTGGCCAAAGAGATTGCAGAAATCCTTCGAGGTTCCGTGACATAGATCTTGCAAGGACGACCGTGTTGAAGCTCATTTTCCAATATGAACGACGGCACCTGTGTACTTTTACCGCTTCCTGTTTCGCTGCATATGATTACTGCCCGGTGCGCGTCAAGAGTGCGCAGTATGTCTTCCTTAAATCCCCATATCGGTAGGTTTATTCTTCCTTGGATCATGTGCTGGAAAGAGGAGGTTGAAGACGTGTCAATCCAAAGCTTCTTCAACACTTCTTCAGAGAAGTGATTGTCTCGAGTGCGGCTTTTAGAAATATCTGGCTTAGCAGAGGTTCCATTTCTTTTTTTGAAGTTGTCCGACAAGACGACATCGTCCTCGAAAGTATGGCGATCTTCCTCTATCATATTTTTTAAGCTTTTAACTGTCTTCTTGTCAATTTCGTCCTCCTGTGCCTTTCTCAGGCTTCCGAGTTCAGTCCAAAATTCCCGCCACACGGCTGGAATCCGCAGATACGATTTGCTTTCCTTTGGACTCTGTGAGAATAAAAGGAAAAGAGCAAGTGAAGAAATATAACCTTCCGCTTGTTGGGAGGTCGGCGTTGCAATTGTATCCATGGAAGCAAAAGTGGCATAGGCGTTTGACTTGATAGTTACCATATCCACTGACAGCGGAAACGGGACATCCTGAGGTTTAGACCATCTTACTTCAACAGCCTTCCTGTTCGAGTAGCTTGATGACGAGAGGTCCTTATAAGTAACGGTACATCCGGCATCCCTAGACGTTGATTTAGCTGAGGCGGCCGCTGGATGAACTGTAGGATATCATACCTCGCTTTGCAGGTCTCTTCGAGTACACGCCGTGGACTAATGCCCGTCCATTTGCCAAAATCACGAAGCGTTACTCCAGTATCCGATTTAGACTCTATTATTGCATCTAAAATGGGTGTCTCGGTTTCGAACATGTCTCCAAGGAGGTCTACATCTTCATTTTCAATAATATTATCGGCAGGCAGCGTATTCGCCCCCGACTGTGCCTTGGTTTCTTCCAACCTCCCCTGTTTCCCTGGATCTGTTGCAGAGGCAGAAGGGATACTCTCCTGTGTATTAGGCCGGGAAAACACAGCTTCTTTCCTAAATTCATCAAGCTTCTCTTTCCACAGATATTCGGCTTCTCGACGGTCAAAGAGCACATCATTCTCAATTTTTGAAATCTTTCGCTGGATTTTTAAAACCTGAGGATCTTCCTCAACTTGTCTATTATCCTCGTTGGTTGATTTCTTCCCCTTTTTGGACCGGTTGAAAAGTCCAGGTTTGAGGTGGTAGAGCCTAGACTGTAAGTCCACAAATTCTGTGACAAAGTTGTCAGGGTCAACAGAGCTATCAGAATCATAAGGGCTTCCGCTCGGAATGTTGGGCGCCTTGGGTGCGCTTGGAAGTTTGGGTGCCTTTTTACTGTCACCTTGAGGCGAAAGTGGAGTTGAAGATCGTGAGGGCTCACGATCTAGTCGAAGTTAGCTCTCCAGTAGTGTGAAAGATCCGAAAACTTGGTTTACCGGTGATCCAAGAAGAGACATTCTCTGATTCCTTGGGAAGCTGGGCATTCGTCCGCGTGTAAGATGGCATATCATCTGGATTGCAATGCATCGCCAGCCAGTCGAGCGACTCGTCCAAATTCCAAACCATATCCCTGTTGGCATTTGTAGCATTCCCGGCGAAGTGGAACAAGATATATTTTAATGCATCGTCTACTTTCGATTCCGGGAAACCCGACTTAAGGAGCGTTTCTTTAAGGGTCCAAAGTCTCACACAGAGCTCCTCCTGAGAAGCTGACCGTCTTACGCCATTTGACGGCTTCTTTAGTAGCGGGCCAAGCTCCGCTTCCTCTGTCTCTGCTAATTTAAGAATCTGGTCCAGCACTTCAGAAGGCATCCATTCTAAAAGGTTCAACGAGACAGCCTGCTGCCGCAGGACGCGTCGATCGGTCTCCAGTTTCGCAGCCTGGCGAGCCGCGTCACTTTTGCACTTAGATGCATATTTTTCAACAAGCAATTGTAGCTCCGAGTCCTCCAGGTGCCTTTCTAGCTCCTCTGGTGAGTACTGCTGGAGAGATGGAGTCCTCTCTCCACCTTGCACTTGCGGTTGTTTCCCTCCAGCAGGTGCCGGCCTGTCACTGACCGGTGCAGTTTTGGGAGGCTCCCTCGACGGTGATTCAGAGGACTCAGTGACCTTAGGTTTCGATGGGATGGAGACAGTAGCGAAACCTCGAGCAGGATTAGCGGCTGGCTTCTTTTTTTTCCTGTTTGGAGGCATATCGACTTTCTTTCCCTCGAGGTAGCAAGAGACAGAGTCAGGCCGTTCTCACGGAACAGAAAGAGCAACTCGTATAACAACAGGAAAAAAAAAAAAAGAAACTAGGGACACAGCTCCCAATGAGCCATGTTCGCTGGTGCTGGAAACAGAAGATAAGAAGTTGGCGGCCCAAGTTGGAGGCGGTTAACGATTAACCGACCCCTACGGTAACCTTCGGGGTCGCGCGTATTGCGCGACCCTGACAACCACCCGAGCACCCCAGCCACCCGAGCACCGATTTTAGAACTTCGTAGAATTCCAACCCATCAACTTTATCATATAATTCAACCACCACCACCATGCCCAAATTCAATAAAAATTATGAAGATCGAATGCTCAAAGCTATTGACGCGTTAAGCACACAAAATCCCCCAAATATCGCCAAAACTGCACGTGAATATGGAGTTAAACGGCAAACCCTCTCCGCAAGGTGGAAGGGACGGTCCAATCTATGTGAACGACCACCAACCAACACCAGATTATCAGAAGAGCAAGAAAAGGCTCTGTGTCACTATGTTGATACTCTAGAGCAATTAAATATAAAGCCACTTGCACAAATGATCCAATCAAGTGCCAATTCTATTCTGAGATCAACCCATACCAGCCTAGACACCCCTCCACCTACTGTCAGCGAGAAATGGTTAAACCGATGGCTAGGAAGGCATCCTGAATATAAAAGACGTCGCTCTAGAGCTATAGAGCTTGACCGCAAGCGTGCAGAGGATCGTGAGGTTATTCAGGAGTGGTTTCAGAAGCTCCATCAGACCATCCAGAACCATGGGATATTAAAGGAGGATATCTACAATTTTGATGAGACTGGCTTCAATATCGGTGTTGGTCGTGATCAATGGATTATTACCAGGGACTTCAATATTAATAAGCCTCATATTGGGATGAATTCAAACCGTGAATATGTTACTGTGGTTGAAGCAGTCAATGCAGATGGCTGGACCTGCCCACCACTTATTCTCATGAGTGGTAGCTGTATACTTACAAATTGGTTTGAAGCTGCTGATATTCAACAAGACTATTCAATTGGAGTATCAGAAAATGGTTATATGACTGATACAATTGCCTTCCAATGGATTCAGTCATTCTATCGGCATACTAAAAGATATAGGAAGGGTCAATATACCCTTCTTATATGTGATGGATACGGCTCCCATCTAACACATGAATTTGTTGAATTCTGTGAGAAGACCAATATCATCACCTTCTTCTTACCTCCACATACAAGTCATTTCTTGCAGCCATTGGATGTTGGTGTTTTTCATGCATATAAGCACTGGCATTCAGAAGCAGTTGCAGATGCAACCTACTCAGGATGCAGTAAATTTACTAAGGTTGAATTCCTTCATGCCTTAGGGGCAATTCGCAAGAAGACATTCAAAAAGCGTACTATTCAGCATGGATTCCAAAAGACTGGCATCATACCATTCAATCCATCAATTGTACTCAATCAAATGCCTCAACCACATCGTCCATCCTCTTCATCCACCAATACCAATGATGTTGATTCCTGGGGCAGTACGCCAAAAAAAAGCTGAACGATTTAGGGAGATTGGTGATAGGATATGGGAGATTCATGATATCAACAAGGATCAATTTAATGAGGGCCTAGAGCTGCTTATTCGTGGTGGTAGTATGCTAGCATCATATTCAGCTGCTATCGAAGCTGAGCTTGACCGGTATATTAAAGCTGCTAGGGACCGCGCAGCTCGATCACAGGCCTCTAGGCGCAGGATTCGCAAGGGAGGCATAGTATCAAGCTCAGAGCTTGAAGCTATAAATCGAAATACTGCGAATATTAATGAGCAGGCTGAAATAAAGAGGTGGAGGACTAAGTATAAGCGTTGCCTACCAGAGCTGCTGGATGTGTGCATTCGACGAGGAATTATTATACGAAGGCAACGACATGCTAGGGCCCAAGCTGAAGAGTAGAGCTTTAGTTTAAATATATTTTGAAGTTAAATACTATAGAATTCGTTGAGATATTGAAGCTAGAAGGGGGGTCTAAAATTGGTGCTCGGGTGGCTGGGGTGCTCGGGTGGTTGTCAGGGTCGCGCAATACGCGCGACCCCGAAGGTTACCGTAGGGGTCGGTTACGGAAAGCTCCCCACAACAAAAACTTTCATGACACACTGCAGGCCATAATCAACGGGACCGTCCACGCCAACAATGTCCCAGCCCTGCTAATATGGAGGACACTCTATGGGAAGAGGTGAAATCTGGGAATCTGGAGAGCCTGCGCGTCGTTCTCTCTTCGAGTTCGACTGCTCGCAGGACTCGTGCTCTCCATGAACTCCATGAGAGAATTGGTATATGCCCTCAGAACACACTCATTCCCGCACTCTCGCTGATTGCTGTTCGTCCTGCCTCTCTTTCAGGGTCTAAATTACCGCAAAGCGCCCACAGAACTATCCTAGATCTTCTCTTCAAGACGTACCCTCTCTACGTCGATCGTCCGTCTCGCCAAGCTGTTCAGCAATGTCTCCGCTCCCTCCTCAAGGCCCCCACTCCGATCGAGGACCTCAAACACTTCACCCAGAAGTTACAGACAGAGACTTCTAAACCGGGACTGGCTCCAGCATCAGCTTTCGTCTTGCTGGAGTGGTGCTCTGTTTTGTTGCAGAACCTACGGGATGACTCCACTGTGCCCATGTCGAATGTGCTGGACATAATCTCAGTAGATGCAAAGGCGCTGGAAAGATGTCTTGCCGGGGAGCCCAAACCAGCGGTAAAGCAGTCTGCTCTCCGAGTCACAAGACGGGCTTTACGTGCTGTTTTCTCTTCCAAGACCTGGGGTGACGATGCCATAGGCCAGTCTGTCAATCGGCTAACTAGCGATTCGACTGCTGGGCAGGGGAATATCCCTTTCCTTGGTGTGATTTCCGGAGTGTGCGCACGCCTCCAAACGAAGAAGCCTATTTTGGAGGAATACAAAAAGACAATCTATGCGTTCTACGCTAAGGATGTCATCGGCTCCCGTACCATTGTGCCAGCACATGTCGCAAATGGGCTGTCCGATTTCTTCTTGTCGTTTGCTACCTATGATGAGGTAGCATCGGAGTTGATACCACCTCTCGAGAAAGCTATTTTAAGGTCTCCAGAAGTAGTTCTGAATGGCGTAATACCAGCACTATGCTCCTCGTTGCCCGATGTTGATCTGTCGGATGTTCTTTGTTCTCGCCTTTTGAAGCACCTACTTTCCAGCATGAAGTCCAACAATGCTGCTATCAGGCAAGGAGCCGCCCAATCTTTTGAATCACTCCTGTCGAAATGCAAGACCGAGAGCTCGCTCTTGAAGATGGCAACTGAGACCATCAGCCCCCTCAAAACTCAGAAAATCACCAATCCTGACCAGCGTGCTGTGTATGCTCAGGTACTGGCTGCAATTCCATCTTTCGTTGATATATCTGTGGAAATTATACGGGGCTTTGTTCCGGTATTTGCGCGGGAATCCAATGAGGTTGCTCTGGAACAAGAGATTAAAGCGTTTTGCAAGCATCTTGCCTTCGTCGTTCAATCGAGGGTTAAGATTGCCGATGATGTCGTCAGTGCAATTGTAAAGGGATCTTCTGAAAAGAGAATCCCGTTCCGGAAGCTTTGGCAGCTTAATGTTGGAGACGTCTTGTGGAATACCAACCCCGAAGCTTTGATTGCGCCTGAAATTAAAGCGCTCGTTGACAAATTTAGCAGTAAGATGAAAGAATTATCCAAAGAGGTAATCTCTAATCCGTTGCCATCGGCCCAGAATGGTTTCCTGTCGACAGCGTACATCTTTGTGGCGCTGTTTGAACGGCTCTGCAAACTCCAAGACCAGGATGCATCCGATTGGGAAGATATAGTGGCTCAGTCGATGCTTCTGAGCCCGAAACCTTCATTTCTTCTGAATCCAAGGGCTTACTCGAAGTTGACTTCCAAAGAAGAAATAAAATGGGCTGTACGTGCGCTTGCTGCAGTCGCATCCTGTTCAAAGTTCGAAAATGCAGAAGACGCAGCTCAGAATGCATGGGCCCAGGCCTCTATTTACACCATCACAGGACCTGAACTTCCCACGAATTCTAGAGAGGAGGCCGCAAAGTCGCTGTCGGGCGTGATCCTCAAGAACCCGGCAAAGATAGGCCGAGTTGTAATTGGCGCTCTCTGGTCATGGATCCTGTCTTTTAGGACGGCGGAAAGGGAATCGGCTTCTTTGTCCGCTGGTCCTCAGAGCGAAAAGTATCTTTATCTAGTCGCAAAGGCAATTGGTATTTCCTTGTCTGATCTCCGGGGAGCCGATGGACCTACTACTGGTCAGACCGTCGATAACCTCTTGCTCGAATTTCTTGTCCTCTGTCGACCGGAACTGATTCCCAATGCATCATGGATTGCCCTCTGTTTGAGAACTGGTACAGATCCAGGTAATCTTGTCCGTGAACTACCTGATGACTGTATGAAACAGTTGACTCGCGTAAACGAGGTTGCTACATTCCCCTTCCATCATTGCCAAAACAACCCTACTAATCGTGTCTAGGATCCTGTACAGTCAAAGGTACCCCAAGTCGACGCCGCTGTTTGTGGCGCGGCAGCGGACCTAGCGTTCGTGGCTCCTGATGTAATGGTTCCGCATCTTGTGAAGCAGATAGAAGACGATCTGGACGTCAGGCGTATATCCAGGTTTTCTCCAACGGATGCTGCTATAGCGCGGACTGCTGAAGGGACAGTTTTCGTTGATGTTCTCAGCAGCAAGGCGAGTCAGCCTGTCTTTGATAAGAGCAGCAAAGACTATGACACCCTAAAGTGGGAGCAAGAATTACGGGCTCAGCTTGCTGAGAAGAAGGGACAAAAACAGAAAAAGCTCACTCCTGACGATCAGCACAAAGTTAATGCCCAGCTAGCTAAGGAGATTAAGATTCGGCAAGAAGTACAGGGAGAAGTGAAGAGAGTTGAAAGAGGGGCTGGAATCGTTAGGGCTCTTGCCACCGGTCCCCTTACCGATGCAGATGGATGGATCAATTCTGCTGTTAACTGTCTTTTATCCTTGGCAAGAGCTGGAGCTGGCATATTTGTTGGGGATACTGTGTCGAAGGCGTACATTTCATGCTCTGAAAAATTGTCATCCCGCCTGGGGGCCCTCCGTCCTTTTGTCGGCATTGCAATGCTGCGAATTATGGGGGGAGCCTATCTTGCCCCTGAATTGGAAGCGGAGCCTCTTGGGGGTAAGTCCTCTGCTATTGAGACTGACTTCGATTTGTGACTGATCCACTACAATGCAGAACTTATCACAAGAATTCTTTACCGTCTTCGTTTTGCATCCGAGCAGCGACCCCTTGACGCGGTCTCCCTGGCCTATGTACTTCCTCTGATTTTTGTAATTGTTGGCCGAAACAAAACCGAGGGGACAAAGGCCGAAGAAGGAGAGGAGCAACTCCTACTAGCCCTTGAGTTTTTATCCTTCCATTCGAGTTCATGTGAGCCCCATCCTCATCGCAGTAAATCTAATTGATATTTGAAGCTCACGTTTAATAGTTTCTGATAACCGTCTTCCTCGAGCCAACGTTCTGAACCACCTTCTGAGTTCTATGCAGAGATATACTCAACACTACAAACTGATCAAGGATACCCTATTTGACTTCTGCAGATGCATCTCTCAAAATATCAGCAAGGAAGAACTAGAAGCCCTTCTTCAAGGCAGCATCGTCCCAGAGATATCCGTCAGGACTTCGGTGTTGCAGGTCATCTCTGCTGAAATTGATCTGACAGACCTCGACTTTTCTGAACATATTTGGTTAGCTTGCCATGACCACGTGGAAGAGAATGTGGATATTGCGGATACGATCTGGGAAGAGAACGCTCTTGAGGTGGATGATGACTCCTACAGAAGTATCTTGAAGTATCTCGATTCCAAAGACTGGCAGCTCCGGGGAGCTGCCGCTCGCTCATTGGCACATTTGATTGAGCTCATTCCAGCTGTGTTCGGGGATATCATCCTGGAATTGCAATCCAAGTATGAAAATGAAATTAAACCCAAGATACCTGCAAAAGACAAGTACGGCATGCCTGTTAAGATGGACTTAACGGACCATTGGGAGAGTCGAAGCGGCATCGCGTTAGCGTTCAAGGCGATGACAAATGCTTTTGAGGGAGAACAAATCGTTTCGTTTATAAGGTTCCTGATCGAACGGGGGCCTCTTTTGGACAGCAATGCCACGGTGAGGGCTCAGATGTCGGACAGTGGAATATCTGTGATCTCCGCGAAGGGTCAGCAAAAGGTAGAGGAGCTAATGAGACTCCTTGAAACGGCACTGGAAACGTCAGATAAGGCCACTCAGAGCTCAGATCTGCTCAATGAGGCCGTAGTCGTCCTATACGGTTCTCTGGCCCGACATCTGAAAGCAGACGACCCTCGATTAGAGACGGTTATCAAGAAGCTCCTGGCTACGCTTCCAACTCCTTCCGAGACTGTACAATCCGCCGTCTCTGCCTGTCTACCTCCTCTGATTAGACTCGCTGGCTCCGAAGCTACTTCAAGTTACGTGCAGGAAATGTTGGACCAGCTTCTACAGTCAAAGAAGTATGCTACTCAACGTGGTGCAGCCTATGGTCTGGCCGGAATTGTCAGCGGGAAGGGTATCTCGACATTACGTGAATTCCGAGTCATGGCTCTACTCAAAGCAGCTATTGAGAACAAGAGGGAGCCACATCAGAGACAAGGCGCTCTCCTGGCATATGAGCTCTTTTCAACGATCCTTGGACGTACTTTCGAGCCATATGTTATTCAAATAGTGCCCCAACTCCTTGCGGCATTCGGAGACCCCAGCGTCGACGTTCGCGATGCCTGCCTCGATGCAGCCAAGGCATGTTTTTCAAATCTCAGCTCTTACGGTGTGAAGCAAATCCTTCCCACGCTGCTCGACGGTCTCGATGACTCGCAATGGCGCAGTCAGAAAGGTGCTTGCGATCTTCTCGGGGCCATGGCTTATCTCGACCCGCAACAACTTGCAGCAAATTTGCCAGCGATCATCCCTCCACTCACCGTTGTCCTCAACGATACTCATAAGGAGGTTCGGAACGCTGCCAACCGAAGTCTCCAACGATTTGGTGAAGTTATCAGCAACCCTGAAGTGAAGAGCTTAGTCGGAGTGCTCCTGAAGGCTTTGAGTGATCCGACGAAGTACACGGATGAAGCTCTCGATGCCCTTATAAAGGTATCTTTTGTTCATTATCTAGATGCTCCCTCGCTGGCACTGGTCGTTCGCATACTTGAGCGTGGTCTTGCCGATCGCTCAGCTACCAAACGCAAATCCGCCCAAATCATCGGTAGCTTGGCTCACCTTACCGAGAGGAAAGACCTCATTTCTCATCTTCCAATCATAGTCGCTGGGCTACAACTCGCAATTGTCGATCCCGTGCCTACCACCCGTGCTACGGCATCCAAAGCTCTTGGGTCCCTTATTGAGAAACTCGGAGAAGATGCGCTTCCAGATCTCATTCCCAATCTTATGGCTACTCTGAAGTCCGACACCGGAGCTGGCGACCGATTGGGATCTGCCCAAGCTCTTTCAGAGGTTCTGGCTGGCTTGGGAACTACCAGACTGGAGGAGACGCTGCCAACCATACTACAGAACGTGTCCAGCTCGAAACCTGCTGTTCGGGAAGGCTTCATGACGTTGTTCATATTCCTCCCTGCTTGCTTTGGTAACAGCTTCGCGGCCTATCTCAACAGGATTATTCCGCCTATCCTTGCTGGATTGGCTGACGACATTGAATCAATTCGCGAGACAGCTCTCCGGGCAGGTCGCCTGTTGGTCAAGAATTTTGCCTCGAAGGCTATAGACTTACTGCTTCCAGAGCTGGAACGTGGCCTGGCAGATGATAGTTACCGTATAAGACTGAGCTCAGTTGAGCTGGTTGGTGACCTACTGTTCAGCGTCACCGGTATTACAGCCAAGACGGACATGGAAGAGGAAGACGAAGAAGCGGCTCAAGCCGGGCAATCGCTGCTTGAAGCTCTTGGAGAGGAGAGGAGGAACAGAGTACTGTCGTCTCTCTTTATCTGCCGCTGCGATACCTCGGGTCTTGTCAAGAGTGCCGCCATGGGTGTTTGGAAGTCACTTGTCGCCTCGCCTAAGACACTTAAGGAGATGGTTCCTACATTGTCTGAGCTGATTATCCGTCGCCTTGGATCGTCAAATATGGAGCATAAGGTTATTGCCAGTAACGCTCTTGGAGATCTCATTAAAAAGAGTGGAGAAAGTGTCTTGGCTTCCTTGCTGCCATCTCTCGAAGATGGTCTTCAGACGTCTCCAGATGTAGATGTCAGACAAGGTATCTGTATCGCCTTACGGGAGCTTATCACGTCCGCTTCCCCCGAAGCTCTTGAGGATTATGAGAAGGTCCTCATATCCGCCATCCGGGTGGCTCTCGTTGACAACAACGAGGATGTCCGTGAAGCAGCTGCTGAGGCATTTGACTCTCTGCAGCAAGTTTTGGGCAAGAAGGCCGTGGACCAAGTTCTTCCTCATCTTTTGATGCTTTTGAGAAATGACAAGGATGCCGAACAAGCCTTGTCAGCGCTTCTGACTCTGCTCACAGAGGAGACTCGTGCGAATATCATCCTTCCCAACCTTATCCCGACGCTTATCACCTCGCCTATTTCTGCGTTCAATGCCAGAGCTATTGCTTCCTTAGCCGAAGTAGCAAGCTCCGCAATGACACGCCGACTACCGGCTGTTCTCAATGCCCTAATGGACAACATCATATCAACGTCCGATGATGAGCTTCGACTTGAGCTGAGTAACGCCTTCGATACTGTGTTGGTATCTGTCGATGAATTTGATGGTCTCAACGTTGTCATGAACGTCATGTTATCTCTCATGAAGCATGATGATCATCTACGGAGGGCTAATGCTGCATTGCATCTTGCGAAGTTCTTCTCTGATGCAAGCATTGACTTCTCTCGGTATTATCAAGACCTGATTCGCGCTTTACTCATTTCCTTCGGCGACCATGATAAGGAAGTCGTGAAGGCAGCGTGGACCGCATTGAGTGGCCTCACAACTCACTTGCGAAAAGAGGAAATGGAGGTTCTGGCTATTCCCACACGCCAGATTCTTCGGCAGGTCGGAGTTCCCGGTGCAAATCTACCTGGTTTTGGTCTACCGAAAGGTCTTACTGCTATCTTGCCGATCTTCCTTCAAGGCCTCCTTAATGGCAATGTAGAGCAACGTACACAATCTGCTCTTGCTATCGCCGACGTTATCGATCGTACGGGCGCAGATTCGTTGAGGCTATTTGTCACTCAGATCACCGGTCCGCTGATCAGAGTCGTATCCGAGCGGTCTGTGGAGATCAAATGTAAGTTTTCTTTACTTTCCCATGGATATACAGAGCTGACAGCACTGTGCGCTAGGCGCTATTTTCTTCACACTCAATAAGCTGCTTGAGAAGATACCACTGGCCGTCAAGCCGTTCTTGCCACAGCTACAACGGACGTTTGCACGAGGATTGGCAGATCCATCTAGCGAAACTCTACGCAATAGAGCCGCCAAGGGCCTTGGAATCCTAATTACATTGACTCCAAGGGTGGACCCCCTCATTGCGGAACTTATTGCCGGTTCGAAGGTCGCGGATGTTGGGGTTAAGAATGCCATGATGAAGGCTCTTCAAGAGGCTGTCAGCAAGGCCGGTGCCAACATGAGCGAAGCGTCGAGAAATGCCATTCTTGGCCTTATTGACGAGGATTCCAGTGACCAGAATGGTATGATCCCCAGATTCCTGCAATATACACGCATCGGACTGACTTTTGATTTTTTAAAGATTCGGTGGCTATTACAAACGCACGCCTGCTTGGTGCCCTTGTTAAAGTACTTCCTCCAGCAACTGTGGTTCCACTTCTCAAGTATGTCTCTTTCAGTCTTTCCGTTAATTCAAGTAGTGTTGGTTTTCCTAACAGCTCGGCCATAGGAACCGCGTGGTCACAACTCATTTCACGCATGCGTCAATTCTTGCACTAAATGCTGTGCTCGTGGAATCTCCATCTTCTTTGGCCGAGCATTTTACTGCTGAGACGCCTTCGCTCATCTGCCAAGGAATTTCTCACAAGGATGTAAGTTCGGACCAAGTCCCAGTAAAAAGAAGATGACAGAAGCTAACACATACGACAGGTTTTCATATCTGATAATAGCATCCTCGCCGCAGGCAAGTACCTTCTGACAGGAGATGAGACTCACAACTTCGAGACCAACAAGTCGATCTTTGAGGCGTTGGCGCCTATCATCCAACCTGGCAACCCTGGCGATAGCCGCCGGTTAGCTCTGGTAGTAATCCGAACTGTCAGCCGCCTTCATCCTGAACTGGCTCGGCCTCATCTGGCTCTCCTGGCACCGCCGATTTTCGCCAGTGTTCGGGACATGATTATCCCGGTCAAGTTGGCAGCGGAGGCGGCTTTCCTGGCCCTGTTCTCTGTTGTGGATTCCGAAGCCGCCGTCTTCGAGAAATACATGACTGGCCCAGGAGCAGAGCTGCCGCCTGGACCCAAGCGGAGCATGTCGGACTACTTCAAGCGGGTCGCGCTACGTCTTGCCAACCAGGCCAGAGAACGAAGAGAAGCAGAGGGTGGACAGGGAGGTTTGGGTCTGTCCAATGACGAAGTCGAGGATGAGAGAGAAGTATGGAGTATCGGGAAAGTCGATCTTGGAGAGGCCTTTGGAGATGAATGATTGTCTTTCCCAGGAGGTATTCATGCATCTACTCATTGTAGTGAAAAAGCCCGTCTCTATATTTTGTATTCATTCCGTCCATACATTTTCCGCTCTGTCGGTTTCTAGTTTGTCTCTATTGCTATGTTCATTGCTGTACAGTGTACAGTCACGTGGTAGCGTGCTCAAACAGAGCATCACTACAAATAAATAAACATTTTACGCAGAAGGTATTCAGGGATATCAATGATGAATATAGTACATGTTTAATATTAGTTGCTGCTGCGCTATGATTATTGCTGCTGTTGTCAAGACCTAAAGTGCAGAGTAAACCCGCCAAGGCGGGCATCCGGGGCACAAGCCCTAATGTGGATTTGCTCGCTTAGGAGCACATCGCTTAGCTAATCAGCCCGCAGCTCAAACTCCTCCCAGCACTGAATTCTCCCCGTCGTCGAGTGCTACGAAACATCATCCGCCAACGACCGTCGATACGCCGACATCAAGATGTGAGTGTCATCTCCAAACCTCTGTCCCGTTGCTTTGCCTCCCTCGAGAATCGCTTGTGTGCCGATAAATTTTGGTCACACCGTGTGCTGGCGTTGGAAACAAGACCTCACGCACCACATCACCTCTTGCCTGGCTGAGACTCCATGCTGACCGAGTTTTGTTCTCAACAGGGTCAACCTTCGCACCCAGAAGCGCCTTGCCGCCTCCGTGGTCGGCTGCGGCAAGCGCAAGATTTGGCTCGACCCCAATGAGATCACCGAGATCTCTAACGCCAACTCTCGCCAGACCATCCGCAAGCTCGTCCGTGATGGCCTTATCATCCGCAAGCCCGTTGTCATGCACTCCCGCGCCCGTGCCCGTGAGCTCACGGAGGCCCGCAGAATCGGTAGGCACAGGGGTTTGGGTAAGCGCAAGGGTACCAAGGATGCCCGTATGCCCAGGTACGCATGACAACCGAGTTCCCCGTTCGCTTCCCACACGTTATCGATCGGTAACATACATAGTACGCCTTTTTTATGGAGTTTATGCTGATGGCCTTTGTGTGTTTTAAAGCCAAGTTCTCTGGATGCGTCGCATGCGTGTCCTCCGTCGTCTCCTCGTCCGGTACCGTGCCGCTGGCAAGATCGACAAGCACCTCTACCACGAGCTCTACCACCTGAGCAAGGGTAACACCTTCAAGCACAAGCGTGCTCTCATCGAACACGTAAGTAATTTGGTGTTTAGATACACCATTATATGTAGGCCTGGGAACTTGATTGATGGACTAACGTATCTCTTCCCAAAATACAGATTCAGAAGGCCAAGGCTGAGAGACAGCGTGAGCGCCTGCTCAAGGAGGAGATGGACGCCAAGCGTGCCAAGAACAAGGCCACCCGCGAACGACGACAGGAGCGTCTCGAGGCCAAGCGTAATGCTTTGCTCAACGAGGCTCAGGCGGAGTAAAGGCTGTTCTCTTTGGGTTTTCTTAACGTTTCTTGGCGGTGCGGAGGTTGAACTGGAGAAAATACATCAATCAGCCAAACGGACCATTCCGCCAGGTCTGGCTTCGAATGAACAAATAAATGGCATGATTCTTTGTCCGGGACGGGTTTTATTATTTTCTACTATCAGGAAGTTGCGGACTGGCGACTTTCGGAACTGGATCAGAAAAGAGGAAAAAGAAATATGTTTCCCTTTTCATAACATGAAAGGAAAACCTTATCAAAACCATAAAACTGGCATGGCGCTCTGTCTGTGTGTTATGGGCTTTTAACTTTTTTTCGAAGATTTTCTTTTCTCTTCCAGCTCTCGAACGAAGCCTCGAGTCTTTAATCCTTTCAGCCCTTCAGCCCCGTATGCGTCTTGGACGATGTGACTTGCTTGGTCTAGATAGATCAGGGTGTCTATTGTTAATGTCGTAATGGTTCTAGTCAAGTTGCTCGAAGTTCATGTGTAGTAAGTTCGAAAGCTCGATTGGGCATGTAGTGTATATCATGTTCCAAACGATGTATGCTTCAAGCACATGGCGGCTTCATGGTAGCATACGTTGCATACATCGCAAGCATTCGGGATATTTATATCTACGCTATTCACTTCTCAAGTTGAACAAGATGAAAGACAGGCCACATAACATTCTACAAGCACTGGATTGTGTTGTCTCCTGTAAATATGTACAAAAAAAGAAGAATATATCGAATGTCCAACACAAACTTCAAGCTCGTGGCTTGGGCACCTGAAATGGAGAGATCAGCGAAGAAAGCTCTAGTTCCAAGTCGAATGGATCGCTCCGTGCCCTGGTTCTCATATTTTCATGGCAGGCTTGCAATCCTCTGGAGGAGCCTGTCGATGGGGTTCGCTGGTAATAATCGCCATCTCTCCAGAAGCCGATGCCCAGGCTGTTCTCTCCCGATGGAACGCTGTGGTGACCCACGCCTTCACTACTGGATCCGTAGTAGCTGAGGCTACGGGTCGGGGACGTTCGCGTAGAAGCTGGGGAACCTTCTTTCTGAAGAACAGTGGAGGGAGGAAAGAGTCTCACTGTCGGGGCCGGTTTGAAGGGTGCAGGAACCGGGTCTGAAAATTGATTCTGTTTCTGGATCATACAAAGCACGCCAGGGGCATGTCCGGGATCATGCTCGTTCTCTGCTAAACCAGAGAGCGGATTAGAATGATCAGTTGGTACGCAGTTGCGAATGTGGTTGTGGAAATCTGAACTCGCTGTCTGTCTGGATACCAATAGTTGTCCTGAGAGATAACTCGCGTGACTAGGCCCAAGAAGTGAAGACACGGGAGGATACCCAATTGGGGTTGCGTCAAAGGAATCTACAGAATTGACCGGCCTCTCTCTTGGACCACCGTGCAGATTGTTGTGCAACATGCGCCGCTTGCGACGCAGCAAGAAATACCATATCAGAACAGCGAGAATGATCAAGGCAGCCACGCTAAGTGTGCTTCCTAGGATGATGCGGATCTTGGTCCAAAAGTCATTGTTTCTGGGCAGTGTTGGAGAACTTTGAGATGATCCACCTGTCGAACGGGTCCCTGTCGCTGTCGCTGACGTTGTGAACGAAGAGATTGGGATAAGAGTTTGCGTCACTGCAGTCTGTTGCCCGGTAGATCTCCTTGGGCTTATAGACGATGGGAGTGCCGACCAGGTCTGGTCTTGAACGGTGCTCGATGACTCCGAACTGGTCCTACCGGCCACGGTACCTTGGTGAGAAGAGGTCGAAGCTGCAGCCACAGTGAATGTTGTACTGACATAGGGATCGTCGACTGATGAGGACAAGGGTAGTGTAGTCAATGTGATCGTCTCGAAGCAAAATGTCGTATGGGATGCGGAGTCTGTGGACGGCTGCGATTTCTCAACAAACAAAACTGGACTCAAATATATCGAGGACGACGTCAATGGAGCCCAAATAGTCGGCGTTGCTACTACGGTGACTATGACTGAGATTGAGGTTTCCGGAGAATTCTTGCCCTTGAAGGCAGCGACTGAAGTATTAAACATCTCGCCCAGATGCACAAGCTGGATCGAGACCACTGCAACCCTTTACAGGGATACTGGTGAATCCCACATGAGGTAAGGGTCTCTAACACAAATGAGAAAGCCAAGTCGGATAGTTAGATGAAGCAGTCTCCCATGCGGGAAAGCCCAGGTAGAAGAATGTTCACATATTTTGTCTAGCAGAAGAGAAGAAAAGAGGGATAAAAGAAGCAGGAAGCAAGTGCTCTTTTGGCAGGTGAACGATCGGATTTTAGATTCCTCTACGGAGAGCATACCAGGGGAGATAGCATTGTATATTTGCGGTTCGAGACAGCAGCAAGTCTTGCCCCGTTTGGAACACCATGTGCTGCAAGAACCATAATCGAAGACACACAAGAATGCATGTACATGTCGCCAACAAGAAGAATAGAGACCATTGGCTACCTTCGTTTGGGAGGGCCAGGGTTGAATCCAACGGGGGCGCTTCCTGAAGCCGTGGCTGAAACGGAATGGCCCTTGGATGTTGGTTGGGGGAACCTTGATGCATGGGCGCTTGCAGAAGACCATCCACGCTTACCAACAAGCTGCAGAAGGTCCAATAATCGGCAATAAGAACCCTAGAGATCGTGAAATAGTGCCAAAGACAGCAAATGGCCCAGCAAAGCCCGTCTGGGGAACGTGACGATGTGATTCCGGCAGCGCAAGAAGGGGTTCTTCTCCATTATAGGCCAACAGTCTGCATATATCTGGGCTGTTTGAAGCAACCATGTTCAGGACAGGCAGGACGATGAGTTGAGGGATGAGCTGAGGTGGGAATGAGAAGAAGCAGGAAAAGGACTGACAGGTGATGCCACGTGACTGGAACGGGAGCATCGAAAATACTGTCAATAATATCGAAGTGATTATTATGGCTGGGACGCGACAGCTGCAACGGTGATGCCAGTGCATGCATATCCTGGTTCCTGAAACCCAATAGTGGCCCTTCCGACACGTCCATGCTCCCACGGAGTGATTTCGCGCAACGTCTGTGACCCCGGGATGCTCCCAGCGCTCTCTGCCGACTACCGACCAGGCCTGATTGTTTGCCAGCTCGACTCGACTCCCTCGTCCGTCGGTCAGAACGAGCGGGACCATAGACGTTGGACGATCACTGGTGTCAAGAAAGGGAGGCCGTGGCATCTACGGGGCTCATCAGAAATAATAGATACCAGCACCGCTGCACGTACTTATGCACGACCGATGGAGGACTAGTAGCAGCTAGTGCCGCGTTACAGCGCAACAACACATGACAATCCACCTCCCTCCCCGGTCGACTCTCCACGCTGGAGTCTCTCTTTCTCGTCGTTATTATCATTGTTTTTCTTTCATTTTTTTTTTGTCTGCTCGTCTATTGCGAATTTGCATTTCTCTGCATTCTTCTCTCCGCCATCCCTCGACCGTAGTTCACTTCGCATGCGTCTTGGGTTGATGCCCCTCAATCCCTCCGCATCTCCCCACCCTCATTTTGCTACTTCTTTTTCTGTTTACTGGTTCAAATTTCTACATCCACTGAACGTGAATAGTCTGCCGTTCAGACATTAGTTTCTTTTCGTTATGTTTGCTTGGGGTGGTTTGGGTAAGGTCTTCTTCCCCCTTCTTTCTCACATCGCTCAGTCCAGCGGTCTCTTTGAATTAGCCCCTTCCTGCTTTTTGTCAGGATAGGACGATGCTGTTTGACCTCTATATATGGCTATATCCTTGCTGAATAGTTCAATTGGCTTGATGGCCCATCTTGTTCCTTTGCCCCGCTTGGATATCATGCTATACATGCCCTATACCCGTCCTATCTTCAAAGTGCCAATGTTTCACGCGTCCTCCTTTAATATTTGACCGATGAATTGTCCTACGTGGAAGTGTTTCTTTTTCAAGTGGCTCCTTCATCTATACTCCCCCCTATTACATCATTGGACCAGTTGCTGATAGTCAACGTAGGCCTGCCCACGGTGGGAACGGACCCTGAAAAGGAACGACGACCCCCAGCCGATCCCACTCCTTTGGATTTTCCTGTCTATGATATTCCAAGTATCTCGGAGGATGATTCGGAATCTCCCGCGAATCGTCTGTATGGCCTCTTGACATCCATAAAACGTCCTCAGGACATCACGGCCGCGAGCCTGAAGGCCCTCAATTTGAAGCTGGAGACGGATATTGCCGTCTCAAATATAGTCCCTGAGGATCGCATGAGCTCTCTTCCCTCGTTGCCGTGGGAAGATGCACCATCAGCAGAAGGGGAACAGCAACAACCAGAGGATCATCCACCAGCTTTAATGAGTAATGGCTATCCGTATCCTCAGAAGTCTAGGTACGAAGTCGTCAGGAATGAGCTCCTGTACGATAATGACGATGCCTTCCGGGAGGTTGTGCGATTGAGTCCTCGTCCCGGTCGCCAGAGGATTCGATTGACTCAGTCAAGGAATTTCTGGGTGGGGTTGGAGCGCATGTCCCAGTATTGGGACAGTAGCCTGGATAACTATTATGAACGTCCTGCTTCTCCAAAACAGGCGCCCGCGGACCAAGCCGCGGATAAAATGCAGACTGACGGGCAGCCCCAGGAGGACAACAAAGCCAAGGAAGAGGATCGACCGAAGACGCCAATGGAGCTTGACCATCCTGCATCCTCATCGAATCCCTCTGAAGGACCGAACGAGGGTAAAGAATGTAAGGAGCAGCAAGAACAGCAGCAGCAGCAGCAGCCAGAAATGGTAACCATGTATACTGGCCGTCGCATTGGCTCCGGAAGCGAAATGCCGGATGAGATCCGGGATGATGCTATTCGAGGGTTCCTAGAGATGTCCGCCTGGCCATTTGGGTGTCAAGTCTCTGTACCCAGCCTGCCTCCAAGACTTGCCGTCAAAAATCTGCTCTTCCCTGTCAGGCAGTCCTTTCACAGCGGTCGATCCCCAAGAGACCGGATGGTGGCCCGGAAGGGTGTTCTGGAAGGCCCCGTACTCATTGCACAGTGTCGACCTGACACGACTTTCCGGGGGCCGGATGATGCGCCTGGGTCCGGCAGCGGCGAAGTATGTGATATTCTCCGTGAAGTCGGGGCCATGCTCTTGGCGGCCGAGGAACGAGCGCGGGAGGGGAAAACCGAAGTGAAACCTGGGGAAGGAAAATGGTGGACCACAACCCCTCGATGGGGCGGGGCTCCAAACGACGATGTTGGAGACACGGCAGGCAGTAATTCGGATGAAAAACCAGTCCCGGAGTCTGGAAACGCGCGCAAACGCTCCAAATATGAGCACCCGCTTATGTCATCGCGGCGGTCGGGCACTTCGCGGAAGCTCTCAAACGCGGAGAAGTGGAAGCTGATACAGCCTGGACCCAGTCTCTGGGACAAGCGAATGGTTTACATGCAGATAGGGAAGGCGAAGGAGAGCCTGTTTGACGATGTATGTATGCTCCGAGGAGTCTGGAAAGCGGATATATGGCTGCTGACTAGATATGGACATAGATATACATGGTATCGTCTATCAACCACCACGTCTCGATTCTCCACCTTCGAGTGCACCGCCGGTATGTGGAGCTGCTTAGCAGCGGACTGAGCGATGTTCCGGGTGAATCAGACAGCGTGGACCAACCATGGCATGTGCTGAAGCTTCGGCGGACGAGATGGCTCGACTTGTTCGATGGCAGGGACCGCGTGGAAGCGTTTGAGGGGGCCTGGCGCGTCTTTCATTATCTGATGCGAAAGGATGACAATGGACAGGCATAGATCTGGCGGTTATTTTGCTGGAAATGCATAAAAATACTTGTTTTGTGGTCTATATATATTTTTTTCCTATCTGATATCTTGTCTTCCCCCCTTCTTCTATAGCAGATATCTAGCAGCGTTACTCGTAAGCAGACGAAGGTTCCGTAGTATAGACGCAGGCGAAGATCCAAAAAAAAAGAGAATGTGGCCAAGTGTACTGCCCCTTCCATTATCATTATCATAGTCCATGTTCGCTGTCATTGTTGAGACATGTTATTCTCTCCCAACAGCATGCAGGAATTATTAATAAGCAACCCCAAAGCAGGGCCCTGCGAACAGAAACAACGGCAACCAGTTGGATTAGAGAAGCGGCCAAGAAAAAAAGGAACCAGAATGGGATCTAGCCCAGCAGCGGCAATGTCTGAGCGCCGGAATTATTATTATTTCGTGCCAAAAAAAGCACGACATCAACAATGATCCTTGAGAGGATTCTTGTCTGTGTTCACTGCACTGTTGCAGCGTGTTAGGTAGCAATGTGCCTAGACAAGGGTCCAGTGGAGAATTGATTAATAGTGTTATTTTCTAATGCTTCTAATGTGAGATCTGAGGATAGATGGAATAATTAATGCCTAATAACACTGCTCTGCTAAGAGAAATCCGTAATTATGGGTCGACTATGTTACTCGATGCGGTTAATGGTGGACGAGATGCTTGTATTTAGGATTATCATCTATTTGATGCCAGAAAGTGTATACTTTCCTAGATAGTGGTATTTATCCAATGGCTCATGCTACGTTCATGGGTATTCTTCGAGGCCATGAATAAGAATCAATACTGAGTCGGACTGAAGAACAATGGCCATGATAATAAAAAAAGACATATCACATCGAAATAGAACGAACCGTCAGGACTCGGGATTAGATCCAGCGTAGATTCTCCAATGATCCCAATGATTACATCATAGCCCGAAGCTAGATGGCCTGTTCGTTTCCTTTTTTCCCTGTTTACTAGGCGATGGCTGCACCGACGACCGAACAGGAGCATACTATAGGTCTATAGAGGAGAGTACACGGGATGGGATTATCGTCTGGTGTAACAGCCGCCTCGTTTACATTTACAAGCGCGCGTACGCTCATCCATCGCAGAAGCATAAATATGGATTAAACAGGGCAAGGTGGCTAATTGGGCATTCCGCATGTTGTAGATTTGCATTCCTGCAGCCATGCTCACACCTGTTTATTCATTGATCGTTTAAACCAGGAGCATTGTATATGCGAGGATGTACGCAGGACATAGCGGTAAAGACTCGACGATCACCAGCGGATTGGAGATATGCCGTTCGCACGGAGGAATAATGGATTATAATAACGACAACGGCACGACGATGAGGCGGCGGACGGTCCGGGATATGCTATTATCTATTTAGATTTTACAGTATTACAATTATGATTATTTACAGTAAATTAATTAACCACCGTTTCCTAAGTCTGTATATTAACTGCTGGGATCCGCATTGTGATCCATACACTGTTATCCCCTGGTTTCATTCCTCGGTGGGTTCGCCTCGCAGGACGACGGGTCGTTTGATTTTGCCGTGGAAGAGAGAGAAAGCATGAAACAAAGGGAGAAAGGCATTCTCCTACTTAGTACTTACTACTACTTGGTACGGAGTAAAAACACTATTATAATCATCCAATGCGGCATAACAGACGATGATCGGGCTTCCCCTCTTTTCACACAATAATAATAATAATCACCATAATAATCCTAATAATATCAGTCATATGCGATCATTAATCCGCTTCTCTTGTTGTTATGGCCCCTCTCTTCTGACCCAACAGCTTGGACAAGCTGTTGGTTGACGATGATCGGATGCACGCCGGCTCATCCGTCGAAAAGTACGTTATATCTCTATCGTCTAGTCCTGTCTATCTCTGTAAATGTACAGAGGATCACCTCTGCTGCCCGACAGCGACTCTGTGAACAACATCTGCCCATCGGTCACGGGTCCTCTCTAGTGACTAGTCGCGACGCTGTAATAATCTATCTTCGGACGAGCTCCTGCGGCACTCTCCATTGTTGCGACTCGACTCTCATCCCTTCACCGTCAATCCCGTGCTGTTCGTCATCACCATCGCTATCATCGCATCTTCGTTATCATCAATTGGTAAGAAACAGGCCAACGACCGATCGTTTTCCCGTGTTCGTATCTGCCATGCTCCTCCCGACGATCGGGTTCTGTCCGCTTTAGCCCTGGCCCATGCGCCTCTGCTGCTCGCTTTTTTACTTCCATCTGCTCCGTCTGGTCGGTTCAAAGTTCAACCTTCAGGCGTTCATACTGACTTTCCTCTTCCTTACCGAACCAGACTTCTCTCGCCCGCGGATCCGGATTGCTCCCGCTGATCCAGACTTTGAGCATAGCCTTGCTCTAAGGAAATTAGAGAAAAACAAAAATAATACAAAAACAAAACAAAAACAAAACAAAAACAAAACAAAAACAAAACAAAAACAAAACAAAAACAAAACAAAAACAAAACAAAAACCAAAAAAGAGATTACAAACCAGATCCAGGCCCACCACCGTCAGGGACCGAAGCTAGCTAACGAAGCTGGGTTGGCTACAGCTCGCCTGGCGCATCAGTTTGCTACAATCGAACTCTCTCCCTCACACGCAAAAGGGGGCACCAAATCCCACGGCACGGTGGAGAGAAAGCCGGAAAAAACCAAAACCAAATACAAACAAATACAAAAATACGCCATGCCTTCATAGTGCTGGACTGCCTATTCTGCAATTGAACCTAGGCCCGAACTGCCACCTGGTGGTCTCCAGCTTTACCGCCATAGCGGCGGTCCTGCTGAATGACTGAGATGATAGGTCCCGACCAGTCCAAGCTGTTTTCTGGTCCTTCGCCATCCTCCATGCCGGACCCTTCGGTCGCTCATACTACTATGTATGGGCCCTCCTGGCGCTCATATCCCCCGTCCTTCGCCTCGCAGAGCGCTCCTCCTCCTCCGCCGCCGCCGCCGCGTCGACCATCCTTACCCTCGCCTGCCTATGCCGATTTCCCCAATCGAGTGCTGCCCGACCTTCCTCATCACGATGTCCCTCCTCCGTATGCACGCACAAACAGCTTCTCCAGTACAACTCAGCCCTCCCCGCCGCCTCGAACACCGCGTCCCAACACCTATCCGCTCATGAACGGCTCCCAGCATGAACCTCCCCCTCCTCCTTCTACTCCCCACTCTGTCCCTCCCGACTACAGATCCCGCATGCTCTATCCACCGCAGCAGCATGTCAACGGGGAGGTTCCCCACCAGCCTCCTCCCCCTCCCCCTCCTCCGCCTCCGCCTCCGCACTCAATTCCTCCATCTCAGTATGCCCATCCGGTCTCGCATCTGCCTCAGACTCCCGGCCCTTACGACCCAGCCTACTACTCCAACCAACCCTTTGGCTTACGTCAACGGAAAGCTACGCGGGCTCAACAGGTGAGGCCGGTTTGAGTGGTCGGATGTTAATTAGGCTGACGTTGAACCTAGGCCTGTGACCAATGTCGTGCGAGAAAGGCCAAATGCGATGAAGGGCGCCCTTCATGTAGCCATTGCAAGGAGAACAATCTGGCCTGCGTTTACAAAGAAGTCCCTCCTCACAAGTCTGTGTACTCCCCACCTTCCCTCTCTTGGTAGAGCAAGTCTCACTGACATGGAGAATGTAGGCAGGAAAAGGCTACACAGGCCCTTCTGGACCGGATGAATGAGCTAGCTCGCAATTTACAATCGGTCGAGGACGCTGTGATGAGTGAGTTTTCTACTGTGCAGAAACTCCAATCTCAGCAGGAAGCCAGCATGAACCAGAGCATGAGCCAGGTGCGCCAAGAGATAATAACTGAATTGAAGAAACGTCTTCCTCGGAATGGCCAGCCGACTCCTCAGGATTCAAGGACTCCCTCCGGCATGGAGCGAACACTCTCCCAGAAGCCACTAGCCGAACCCCAGGGAAGTTCGCAAGATGATACAGGGTCAAGCACTGACCCGACGGTGACAAACAACACAAATAATGACGAGGATGGAGAGCTTTCAATTCCAGTGGACCACAGTACAGCCGCCCATAAACTACTCCGGTGGCCGTCCATCAGAAATCTACTTCAGCCTAAAGAATACCATGAGGATTATGTCATGAGACTTGAAGAGGATCGAGGTCTGATCCGAATATACGGGCAAGGTGAAGGGGATGACTCAGCCGAGGACCCTGAGACTCCTACAATCTCATCCACCGTCCGGTCCTCCCCTAGTCTGGAGGAGACTAGCCTTGTGCGCAACCACCTGAGCCCGCCACACGGCAAGCCTGGGGAGAGTTTAGCTGGTATCACAGAGTCAGGCAGGATGATCACAAATGCCGAAACAGTCCGCCGCTACCATCAGAGCTACATTGAGCACATGCAGAAGCTGCATCCATTCCTCGACCAAAACGAGATATCGGCGAAACTGGAGACTTTCATAAGCCTATACTGTCCCTCCCAACCGGGTACTCCAGCAAAGCCCTTACTCGACCCAAATACAGGACAGTTGCCGCGGGGCGCCAAGCGGAAGCGTTCCAACGAGGTTCTGTACGACGTGAAACCAGAACTCCATGCCTGCCCTGCACAAGTCAAAAAATCCATTGACAATGCCATAATCCTCCTGGTTATTGCCTTGGGTGCCATCTGTGAATGGAGAGAACGTCCCATCCCTGGTCCAATTGGGGTGTTTTCCCAGGACCTTCAAAAGGAACGGTTCGCGGGTGTCGCCGCTGTACCTTCCACTGCCCCATCTCCTGACGCGGCCAGCCACTCTTTCTCGTTTCTGGCAGCTGGCGATAAGCATAATGTCTCAAGTTGCACGCCACCCGAATCTAGACCAAGAAATCTGGACGTCATTCCCGGGCTGGCCTACTACGCGTATGCCACAGAAATACTGGGCGCCCTTCAAGGTGGAAATCGCCTGCCTAATGTGCAGGCGGCACTACTTGCAGGGCTCTATGCAGGCCAGTTGGCGCATCCATTTCAGAGCCATGCTTGGATCTTTCAGGCCGCAAGGGCATGCCAAGTACTTATGCGACCAAACTCTTATGCACGAATGCAAAACAATCCTCGTAAGGATCTTTACGAATTTGCGTACTGGACATGCCTACAGCTAGAGAGTGATCTCCTGGCGGAGCTTGATCTCCCTGCCAGCGGCATATCCCGCTCTGAAGGTCGCATTAGCTTGCCAAGTGGGCCGTTCACGCTTAGTGTCCCTAATGAGATCCATGCGCCAAATACCATGATGATGATGCTGTACTTTTCCCAAATCCACCTGCGCAAGTTTCTTAACTGCGTCCATACAGACCTATATAAAGTCGAGAAACAGGGCCATGCTAGCTGGTCCACCAGCGTGCAATCCGTACTGAGCATGAACCTTGAACTCTGGCGGAGTAACCTGCCGACTGTGATGAAGTGGAATGACTCTGATCCTCCAGCAAGCGACATCAATGTGGCCCGCCAGCGGGCCAAATACTATGGTGCTCGGTACATTATCCACCGACCCCTCCTCTATCACGCGCTGCATTTGCCGGTTAAGCCAGAGCAATGGCAGTCCTTCTCGGATTCCCCTAACCGCAGCGCGTCGCCATCGTTGGCACAGAGTCAGAGAACTCCAGGCCAAGCTGGATCTCTGGCGGTGGATCATTGCCCTGTCTGGCCTGGACCTAAGTACCGGGAGCTCCCGCGACAGCTTCGAAGAGCCTGCAAGGTATGCGTGGACTCGGCAATTGCAAGTACAATAGCCTTTGATGGCGTCAAAGGTCGGCCTATCGTGACGAATATCTTCGGAACCGCCCATGCGTAAGTGAATTGGGAAAAGCTCCAGTTGGTTAGCAATACCGCGACTAACATCATGTCAAAATATTTTTAGACAATTCGGCAACGTCCTTGTGCTGGCTGCCACATATACATCCGGTCTGTCGGAGCTCGTTGATCGGGACCTGCTGGAACATCTTTTCAAGCGAACTATCAACTTCCTCCTTCAGAGCCGATACATCTCGCCCAGTTTGCTGGCAGATGCACGGATTCTGAAGGAGATTTATCAGAAGATATTCGGGAAGCATGTTGTCCTGAGTGATGACATTGGGGTCAGGAGCGGGGGCGGGAGCGCAACTGCAAGTGGCAGTGTGAAATATCCCAGTTTTTCATCGGAGTCATGACTGATCCTGTTTTGATATTTGCCCTATTTCATTAGATTGTTTTTGTTTGATATTAATACTCTTGTTCGTCTTCGGCATCTCGCTTTGGGTTTCTTTCTTTCTTTTTTTTTTTTTTTTTTTTTTTTTTTTTTTTTTGTCTTGGATCTTCTTCTCTTGAACCTCACCTGTGCTCCCATTTGGCGGCTATCTGTGCGTTCTATACCCGGGTGAGTACGCTGGGACATGGCTTTATTGGGCGGCTATTGTTTTTTGCCCCCTTTTCTTTTCTTGGTTTTGGAGGGGTCGATTCATGACCCCGATGGGGTTTATGTCTGGCATTTCATAATGTCCTAGATATTGATATCGGACTATGCATGAAACATATAATTATTGCATGCCTAGCTCTGCGGAGTAGGCTCTACAGCGTCCATCCGATTCCCTGCTGCTGCGTTGTCCAACGTACTGATGACCATGTGCATATATCCATGGATGTGTAGTCTGGTCTGCAAGCGCATTGCCAACCAGCAACCTTGTGTCCTTTCCATTGAAATGAGGCACGGTTGCCAGCTGGCGGGGATACTCCCAATCGTCTTATTAATTGCAGTAGTGTGGCTGCCGAGGCGAGAGCTGAACATTGATGGCACGTGCACGCTATTCCGGAACAGACATAGCTGTATTATTTCATAACACTCGTACCAATACGGCACGTGCATCCCAGCCTCGCTGATTTCGAACTGTCGTTTTCCGTTTTCTGTTACATCGCGCAATGCTCCTCGAATCCTCCTGGCTGCGTTCGAGCGTTTTCCTTTGCTTCGTTCGAACCGTGTTCCTCCCCCTTGCTCCAGATACCGCTTTCAGCATCCTCGAGAGGGAGCCAGGACCTTGACTCTTTGGAGTTGACGGGTTCCGTGGATCTATCAGCCTACAAGGTGTGGTCCCTCCCGAGGACCTCTAGTGGGAACTCAATAACCACGGTTCAGCTTGTGTTTACTCTCGATGTATCCATCGCCGTCATTATAACAACAACAACAACAAGAATTATCCCTCCCTTTTCCATTATTTAATCCTTTCGCTCTTTTTCTTTTTTGATATATACATACATATACTGTCTATAAATATAATATCTGCATATAAAGCAAGGGAGAAGAGAACGCCAAAAAGAAAAGCAAAAAGGAAACAAGGAAAAGAGAAGTGTCCATAATTCACCGTTCCCCATCCATCCAATCCCCACATGTCTTTCTCTTTCTGTCCCCCCTGATTCTTGCCCTGATTAATCGAAGACAATGCTAAAGGCCCTTTTGGGCGGGGGCAAGTCGTCCTCCTCGGACGTCCGCAGAAGCTCCAGTTCCAGATCCTCCCGTCGCGGCGAGCACAGATCTTCGCACTCCGCTGTCTCTACTTCTAGTCGCAAGTCCAGGTCCTCACGGGGTGACGACCGTGATCGTGGTCTGGGCGATTTGGAGACCAGCTCTTCTTTCGCTAGCCGGGGCGGCTATCCTTCCAGCATTGCGGACGAGTCTGTCGCGTCTACCTACTTGACCGCACAATCGGGACGAGTACCGTTCGAGAGGAGGTCAAGAGACAGGGATGATCTAGACGGTCGTTATCGTTACGCTTCGTTCCCAGAAACATACGATCCGGATGCTAAAGGCACGCGCCCGCGCCCGCGCGCCCAGAATGGTGGGGAAGAACGACTGGAGAGGAGACGGGAGAGGACGCGAGCCGGAGACGATGATTATGGGTTAGACCGTCGAGACAGTGATAGAATGCGCAAGGAAAGGCGACGTACCCAGTCTGGCGATATGTACCCGCCAACATCTGGCCCGCAGTACGGCAATAGCCCTACGCTTGCTGCTTCCCAACCTCCCCCATCGCCTGGGCCCTCCGCGCCCTATGATCCCCATCTCCAGCAGCAGTTCCCGGGCCAGATGTCAGACTTCACCACCCCGCCATACCTACCGGAGAACCCGGCGGCGGCTGCCGACTACTATGGTGACCAAGGCGAGTCGGTGTCAGCGCAACCGGGAGTGCGTCCCAATCCTCCAACGGTCATCCCTAATAGCCAAGCGCACCTCACCACGGCCTCTGTCACTCCCAATCCACCACCTGAACCGAGTAGCATGGGGCAGGTTGGTGCTGCCGCCGATTATTATAGTGAAGGCGCGAATCCTGGACAACTGCCACCAGGGCAACCAAGCCCGTCAGCTCAGCCTCCCCGGCCACCAGCCCCTGGTAAACCTAGCCAACCCGCACAGGGTTCAGGATTCATCGCTCCCGCCGCGGCAGCTGCAGCGGCCACGTACGGGGTTGGAAACATTGCCTCTTATGCAGGCGCTAACCCTCCTCCCGTGTCTGCTCCTGGTGGCCCTCCTTCCCTGGGACCGGGACCGGGACCTGGCCCTAGTTCAGGCCTTCCTCCCGTTGCAGTTTCTAGTTACGGCGTTGGAAGCAACTCTGCGTCTCCTCCCGTATCTTCTGGGCCCCCACCCCCGTCCCAAACTCAGTCTAGCATTACAGGGAAACCCCCGCATTCCTATGGCATATCTCCCGCACTGGGTGCTGCAGCAGCCACTGCAGCAGCTGGCTATATCATCGGACATCACCACGAGGAATCTTCGTCTAGTCACAGTAGCCAGTCGCATTCCAACGCTACAGGTTACGGACAGTTTTCCCATGGTGGACCGAATGCCGGCGGTTCAACCTACGTTGGCTCAACCTATGGCGCCAATCCCAACACAGCCATGTTAGCAGCCGGCGCTGCAGGAGCCGCAGGATATGCAACTACCCAGGCGGCGCAGACAAGCAATACCTATTATGGAGCCTCTTATCCCGGGCCTGCGTATCAGTCGGGTCCACTCGCCTTTCAGCGACGGCAGCGTGGCCCTTTGTCCAAGTTTATAGATTTCTGGAGAGATCCAGAGGGTGTTGGCCAGTTTGAAGATTACACGGAGACAATTGGAGTATGCAGAGACTGTTTCGAGCCTGGAACAACTTCTCGAGATGCGCCCCGTAAACATCACTACCGGTCGCGCCGCTACTCCGTAGATCGCTACAGCAGCAGCGGCAGTTCAAGAATTGGAAAGTCAAGCCGATACGAATATGCATCTTCAGGAGAAGAAGGGCGACGCCGAAAGTCGTCTAAGAGAAAGTCGTGGCTGACCGGAATGCTAGCTGGTTATGCCGCTAAATCTGTCCTGGGCAAAGATGATGACGATCGTGGCATCTCTAGTTCCCGCCCCGATCGAGTATCTGGCTCGAGGTATTCGTCATATGATAGTGAAAGTCTCTCGACGTTGGACCGGCGGGATTTCAATTCCCGTCCTGGCTATGCCCCTTCTCGTGCCAGTCGGTCGTCTGGTCGTACAAGCCATGACTATTATTCTGATGCCACCAAATATTCTGATACGGAAATCCGATCCTCGTCCGGAGTCGAATCTCGTTCTGTCCGTAAGGGGACGGATCTAAACGTCGTTGCGGGTTCAGCCGCACTTGCAGCGGCCGAGTCTCATCGTCGTAACCGGTCCCCAAAGAAGGTTCGTCGCAGAAAGGGCTCGTCATCGTCTGATTCGTTGTCTGTTAGTGCTTCCAGACGTAAGCGGGGCAGTTCGAGAAGCATGGTTAGCAGTTCCGGATTTGGCTCGTTCTTCACGACACCGTCCGACAACCGGAAGAAGCGCCGCTCAAAGAAGCGTGGAGGTTTCTTCTTTGCCAGAAACAATTCTTCCTCTTCGTCTGTTGATGCTGACTTGGCCTTTGGAAGCGAACTTTCCCCAAAGCGATCAGGGACGTCCAAGAAGCGCAGGAGTGGCCATGACGTCGATGCAGCTCTCATTGGGTTAGGCGCTGCTGGGACGGCGCTGGCGGCGTCTTCTGTTAGCCGAAGGCGACGGACCGGCGAAGTTCTCGCTAAGAGAGATGCCCGCTCCCAACGAAGCTCCGTTTCAGGTTCAGATGATGATTGGGAGGATGCCGACTCAGACCGGTCTTCCTCTAGTGTCAGCTCAGGTCTAGCATTTGGAGAAAACGGGGTCTTTGGCAGCGGCGACTCGTTATCCTCTTCCGCCTCGGGCACATCAAGATGGAGCTGGCGGTGGAGAAGTAAAAAGAACAAGAACGATCGACGACAATCGTCTGATGACTATCTTCCTGCTGGAGCTGTAGCGGCGGCAGGTGCGATAGGTGGTGCTGCATTAGCCTCTGTGTACGACCGGGATAGGCGTGCAGAGGCACGCGAGGAGGCGCGAAAAGATACCGGCGACCTTCAACACGTTTTCCCCGTTCCAACCTCTGATCCTACTCGCTTTGATGTCGCCAAGCTGTCGTCTTCATCATCCTCCGGCGGTCAGCCCCCTCTTGTTCGGCCTGGAGCAATTCCGCTTCAGCAGCCGCAGCCTGTGTCTCCCGTTTCTCCAGCTGTATACTATACACAACCGGAAGTGCAACATGCCCAGAGCGCGCCAGTTGTCCCTGTAGTACCGTCCGAATCTGTTTTTCAGCGCTATGACTACCGGCCTCGAGATTCGCGTACGGAATACCTGAACCAAAGCCAGCGGTCGACTTATCCAGATCGCCGAGATATAATTTCTGGTTCTGATTTGGACCGGATTTATCGAGGAGATGGATCATCTGTGGGATTTCCCACAAGCTCACAACTGGGAGCCTACGCCTCTAGTCTCAAGCGCAGTTCCGCCGGTAGTAAGGAACCGGCCACTGTACAATTCGATCTGACTAAGGAGCAGGAAGAGAAACAGCGCCGGGCAGAACGTCGTGAAAGACGTAGAAGGCAGGATATCGACCTGAATGAACGGCCGCAACTACTACTGGTTGATAGGGAGCAAGAGGCGCTCGATAGGGAACGAGAACTGGAGGAGAAGCGGAAACTACTTTTGCTTCAAAAAGAACAAGAATTACAGGCAAAAGAACGTGAACTGGCGCGTCGAGAGGCTGAACTGCAAGCAAGAATTCTCCGGGAAAAAGAGGAAGAGGCGAGCCGCGTAAGACAGGAAGCCTTTTATGATCCGTTCAGTCAACCACCCACATGGCTCAGAAGGAAGGATGAGCAGGTCGAAAGTCCCAAATCGGGCCCGGTAGTCTGTGAGCCTCCCCAGGAAGATAAGGGCAAGACCAAAGCATCCTCCGAGTTACCTGGATTAGGTACGGCGGCAATAGCAGCGGCAGCCGGCGCGATAGGTACCACTGCTGTCTCCTCAGAACTCTCCGGCAGAATTCCAGACGACACTGTTGAGAGAGACAGCCAACGGCGACACGAAGAGCGGCGAGAGAAGCGTCGTGCAGAGAGGCGTAAGCGCTATGCGTCAGACCTTGGCTCTGAGGTAACCAGCTCATCCAGGTCCGAAGAACCATCTAAGGTTGCCGTGCCTCCCACCCCAGTGCCGGAGGAACCATCGCATGTGAAAACTTCAGTGTTCCGTGTCGTTTCTAACACGAAGCCTGTATATGATGATTACGCATCATTCTTTGCCCCGGAGGAGCTACGGCATGATCCCACTATTCGCACGCCTCGCCATAGTGATGGTTCTGCCGTCGTTCCCGCTGTTTTCGAAATTGAACCGGCGAGCGAGAGCTTCGCTCGCAGAATGCTTCCATCAACAGAGCCCACTCAGGATTATGGACGTCATCCATGGCCCGTTCCTCAACTGATCCTTATTCCGCCTACCCCTTCGGAGCACTCAGTTGACGACTCCTCGGCGTCAACTCGTCAAGAGTCAGCCAGCGAGGAAGTCGAGCTGACGAAATCTGTCGATCACTCGACAACTGGCTGTCGAGTATCTTGGGGCAAGCACCACACCCATGAATATGAGGTACAATCGTCAGCTTCCGAAGCGGATCGCGGTGAAGATACTACTGCGAATGCACCAGAGTCGACAGAGCGTGTTAACCAGCCTGAAGAGCCTCTTACGATATACTCCCATGACACCTCGGTGACTGATGTGCATGACGAAGGTCACCTAGTTCATGACCACGATATTGAGTTCGAGTCCATCCTCGGCGTCACGACTGCCGCTGCAGGTTTTGATCCTGAAATCGTCAATCAAACTTACCGTGCTGCAACAAGCTCCCCGTTTCAGGCTCAGGTAATCTTTGAGCAACCGCCATGGGTTCAATTCGGCCCTCATAGCAATGAAACTCATGGGTTTGTTGAAGGCGAAGTCGAGACGTCTGGCGATTCGGATGAGGAAACCAAGAAAAAATCATCAAAGGAAAATCTCCATCCGGAAGCCAAACGGGAACCCATTGAAAACATCGAGCCTGAACGAGATGCTAAGGAAACATTATTACTGGAGACAGATGTCAACGAGCATACTCCTGAGACTTTTGCTACGCAGAATGCTTCAGGGTCCAGCGAAGGCCATATTATTTCCATGCCTGGAAGCTTTGAAGGAGAATTTTCGGAGGAATCTAAGGCGTATGATGACTCCCGTGCCTCGAAACGCAATGTCGAGGAAACCCAAGACACAGCCGCCTCAGCTATCGTTGGTGCCAATGGCGTGGATGATGAACAGGGATCTATGACCTCCGCACCAGCCAGGATACAAGAGAGCGCCAAGGATATCGGCGCGAAGGACTTTATGGAAAAGGAGAAATCAGAGACGGCGAAGGGTTATGATGGTTTAATCTCCTCGGTTGGCAAACCCACGCTACGCGAAGTACAATCCGAGGCTGGGGCTGAGACATCGGAGTCGAGACGTCGGCGTCAGGATTCACCCTCAAAACGTCGCAGTTCTAGCGGTCGTGATTTATACCAAGATAATGATAGGACTGGAGGCAAAGATGAGGATAAGATTGCAGGCTACGAATCTCGAAGGCGACGAGAGCGTTCAGGGAGTATGGGATCTAGGAAAATGATGGACTACGTGAAGGTATAGCAGCTATGATTTTTCTTTTCTTTTCTCTTTCTGTCTGAACGGTTTACGACATGTACTACTATTTCTATTGTTCTGTTGGATAGGCGAATGATCTAATGTCATCTATACTGAATTCTTTTCGCTTTTTCTTGCACAGGACCGTTCAGTATCAGACGAAGCGCATGCTGCAGAGCCCCCCCTAGAGAAGAACCCCGAAGTCCCAGAGTCAGCTATAGGAGTCGACCATGATGCGTCGGAACGTCCCTTGGCGGATGTCGCAGCTGCAGCTTTGGGATTGGGAATACATGCCCTCTCTCAAGAACAGCCCGAGAGTCGTTCGAGATCACCTTTTGTATCTGAAAAGACTGTCAAATCACCAAAGAAAATGGCTTCGCCTGAGTTACGCCAAGAACTCGCTCAGACACCACGACAACGGCGGCTGTCCACTGAGTCTCCTACGGCAATCCCGCTGCATTTCTTCCGTCCACCAACGTCGCCTCGAGTCCGCCTAGATTCAGTGTCTGGCAGTAGCCAGGCTGCAGCTGCTCCCCCAGAATCTCCCACTCGACAGTCTCGACATCGAAGGGGGAAGTCTACCGAATTCAAGAATTCGCGTGAATTTCGACCCTTGTGGCTCGTAGAACGACATGGTACTGCCAGGGCAGAGGCTGTGCCAGATGAGCCGTTGCCATCTCTTCCTTCTTCGAGGAGCACTTCCGCTGCCTCCGTTCCTGGAGATGATAAGGCGGATGAGATTTCTTGGGAGCCGGTCGACTTTCCTGGCTTGGCTAAAACTCCCCGGCGTCCAGAGGCATTGGAAATTCTCCCGATACGTCACCGGCACCACTATTCTGTGAAGGAATCTGAGCCTGAGCATGAAGATGAACGCGAACCTGGCCATGAAACTGAGCCCCGAGGCTCTCAGGAGGTAACCCCTACAGCAGCAACATTTGGGGCGATACCGCCTCTTTCCCTTTCTTCACCTACTGCTACTACTCCCACCACTGCTAGGGAGAAAAAGCCACGCTATGAATTGCATTCTCCATCTGAGTTACTCCACAATCCATTTGCTTTGGAGTTGACTGCACCGTCAGAATTGAGAGATCTTACCACCTATGAAGATCCGGGCGAGGCGGCACTCACTCAAACAGTGCCAGGTCCTAGCACCGCTGCAGAGAGTGTGAAGGACGATATCGAGCAAGTTGTCCAGCATCTTCCACATCCTGCAGAACAGCCTTTAGAGACTGAGGTGGGAACGCCTTCTCAGACAAAGGAGTTGCCTGGCAGTTCTGATGGTTTGGACAAGGACCGCCATGAGTTTGATCTTAGGAATCTGCCTCCCCTTCCCGACTCCCAGCCTTCTACACCTTTTGAAGAACAACAACCTACCACAGAGACTGTCATAGATGAGGGAGTATCTACTCCACCCGAGACTGGCATTTCAGAAAATGTGGAAGTTGCTGGAACCGCAGCTGCTGAGGATCCAGAAGAGACTAAGAACAAGGAGCAGTATAGATCACCTATACTCGAAAGCCTTTCATCATCCTGGGAAGAAATTCATGAATCCGATATAGATGTGCCACCAACTGTTGAACATGTTCCATCTCCTAGAGACGAACATGTTCCCTCGACCACTAGCGTTTTACTTCCTCTTCAAGAAGCCCCGGAGACGATCAAGTCGGGCGTGCTAATTGAGAGTTCCAAGTCTTGCGGTGTAGCTGTTGAGGATCCCACCCGTTCTGTGGGCCTGCTTTCTTCAAGTGAGGGTCTGCGTGGCGCTGATAAAGCAGAAAGCGAAGCCGAGTCGAAGGGCTACATTGCTGGTCCTACTGCTGGAGGAGACGAGCAGGGGAAGGTCGAAGACATAGAGGAAGTTCCTACTGGAACAGCAACGATTTCTTCGGAGAAAGTAGAGGAAGTTCCCCATGTTACTGATGTGGTTCATGAGGCAATCTCTGAACAGGATTCAGGACCGGTTACTGAGGATAAGGAGAAGGCCCTTCCTGGTGAAATCAAGGCACTACCTGAGGTGCCTGATATTTGTGATACAATTCAGGGGACAATTGCTAGGTTGGATTCAGAACCTGTTCCCGAGGTCAAAGAGAAAGCATACCCTGAAGAAACTGAGATGTTGCACCATATTCCTGATACTGTTCAGAATACAATCCCTAGATCGGATCCAGAGCCGGTTCCTGAGGAGAAAGAGAAGGCGCTTTCTGAAGAGCTTTCTGCCGTTATGCCTCCTACGCGGCGATCTTCCAAGAAAAAGAAGAACAAAAACAAGAGAATTCAAAGTCAGGAGCCCGTCATTGCAGTACCAGAAGCAGAACCCGAACAATTTACGACTGCTATACTACCTTCTAAGACCATCGAGGTAGCGAAGGATATTTCTGAACCTGTGCAGGAGGCAGGACCCATTCCTACCGAAATCGAATGCAAATTTGATTCCGTTGAAGGTATCCAGGACGAAACAAAACAAGAAATCTCTATCCAAGAAGCTGATGCTGAGGGGGCAAGTACTGCAACTGCCAGTTCATCGAAGAAGGCGAAACGAGACAAGAAGAAGAAGAATCGAAAGAACAAGGGCGTTGTAGCTGACGAGCAGAAGGAAGAACCTAGCTCAGTGGATGCAACCCAGGCTTCGCCGTCTGTCGCTGAGGCCACTCCTGAAGTTGAGACTCCACAATCCGCAGACCTTACAGCAATATCTACCGGTACTACTAGTCAGCCCGTTGAAGAAGGGTTAAGGTCTGTTGTCGAGTCTACGCCAGCTACATTGGGAGAGGAACGTGCTGGCCCTTCTGTAGAAGGATTAGGTAAATCTGGACGAGAGCCTTCAGAAGAGCCTCAGCAGTCTTTGCAGGAAATCCCACAGGAGCCTGTCATAGTGGATGAAGCCCATGCGTCCCATGAGTTAGGAGAAGCTACTGATCAGGTAGTGGAGGTTTCTGAAGAGACTCCGGCAATCACTGAAGAGCCTATTAAGCCTACTGGACTCGAGCAGCTTGAAGAAGCAGCTGGTGATGAGCCAACGACGATCTCTGAGGACACACTAGAACCAGTAGAAGAACAATCTCTAAGGCTGGATGAGCCGGATTTGACTCCTGAACCACTTGCTGAAGCCACTGGTGAATCACAGGAGATCTCTGAAGAGGCTCCATACCCATCTGAAGACAAGCCACCTGGAGATCTAGAGCAGGATACGCCATCAGAGCGACCTCCAGAAGCTACTGTGGAGGTCCAAGTTACTTCTGATGAGATCACTGACTCTAAATCCAGTGAAGGGCCTTCAGGGCTGCTTCGGGAAGTAGGCCTCGAGCCTAGCATAGAAGAAGCAGTTTCTACGTCTGAGAAGCCTACAGCAGAAGGGGATAACCGGGATACTGAAAGTCTATCAAACTCCCGTGAACATCCAGCACAACCACCTCCAGAGGAAAAGGATGCCGTCTTGAAGTCCGAAGAACTAGCTGAGAGGACTGGTGGTAGAATGGATACTTCCGAAGACCCCGTGAAATCTTCAGCAGAGGCTTCTCACGGGCCTACCGAGCATCTCTCCACGACCCTCGAAGAGTCTCCTATGCAAGATGAGACAGCTGTGCCCTCCGAACCGACTCAAGCCACTGAAGACGTGGAGAAAGTACATCAAGAGACTACCCAAACAGAGACAGCAGAGCACATTAAACAATCTCCAGAATCTTCAGAGGACGTGCAACGCAGCGTGGAGAATACTCCCACCATGTCCGAAGAACATCAATATCCTGAGGAAATAGCTGATGTTTCGAAAACGCCTTCTCAGTTTGTGCAGCAAACTACTTCGCCCAGTCATGAACAATCTGCGTTACCCGAAGAAGCGCACCACGTTGGGGAGGGCGCCGTGACTGAAGCTGCAGAGGGTGCGCAACCCTCTGGAGAGAACGTGGAGACCGCCAAAAAGACGATTGAGCGTGCTACTGATATGGCATCTTCTCAGCCCATCGAGATGTCTTTAAAGCCTTCCGAAGAAATCTCACATGTGCAAGCGGAGGTTATGATGTCCACCGAACCTGCACAGCCTTTCGAGGAAGCGCATACTTTGAACGAGCCGGTTATACCTCCTGAATCTTCGGGGTCTTCAAGGGAACCTACAATGGAAGGAGACCACCCGACACAGCCTGTTGAGGAGTCTGATTCTCCATCCAAGTTTCATAACATGCCGGGATCTGTTCCGGCCTCTGAATTCGAGGAGCAGGCCCCTGCGGTTGGAGTACAGGATCAGAGCCCGCTTCCGACTGAAGAGCAGGCGCTGGAATCCGAGCCTACCAAACTTGAGGTCCAGGGTGAGGATCCAGTGCATGCTTTAGAGGAACCCGAGCAGAAAACGAGCATGGAAGAAAATGCCCAAGTCGGAGGAGAGGAGGTTACTGATACGAACCCCTCTTCTCTTAGCGGTGACGAGGGACTTCGAGAAAACACTGTGTTTGCGACGACTGAGAGTCCTAAAATCGGAGAGCCGAAGGATTTCACTACGTCTGACCAGGACACTTCAGATGAGAATAAGACCGAGGCAGAAGTCGCAGTTACGATGGCCCCGGAAGTCGTCGAACACAAACAAGAGTCGTCTACGGAACCGTCTACAGATTTTTCTACGGATCTTGGAACGCAAGAGAAACCTACGCCGGAGTCTGATGTGGACAGGGGAGCCGATCCTCAAGCAACGGATGTGCCTTCGGGCGTGATAGAGCAGGCAGAGATGGTTCCGGAGGATCAGCCAAAGAAGAAGGACAAGAAGGCGAAAAAGAAGAAGAAGAAGGGCAAATCGTCTATTTCCCAGAACGAGCCTGAGCCGAAAACTGAGACTTCAGGCGATGTCGACAGCGAAACCGCGCAAACAGGCGGTGAAGAATCGACAGCTGTTAGGACAGATTCAGAGAAGACTCGGAATGTCCTCCAAGAAACGGGTTCAAGTGACGATGTCCCGGCCAAGGACGTTGAGTTTGCGCCGCTAGAAACCGTCGATCCTTCGACTGCTCTTGTGGAGAAAGATGAGACCAATGACAATTCACCACATGTGGCCAGCGAAGCTATTACGAGTCTCGGTCCTAATTCTGCTGATCCTCAGGGAGCCAGGCCAACGAGCAACAAGGATGCAAAGGACGAGGGAAGCAAAAAAAGAACACCTAGCGCAGATGAAGCCGAAGCCATCCGTGCCGCTTCTCGGGGACCTTCCTTTGCTTTGGCTCAAGAACCTTCCGAGCCAGTCAATGAGTTGTCAGCTGAAGCAGACATCCTTGTTGGTTCGGAGAAAGTCTCCTCTGGCTTGGACAAAGAACAAGGACTAACAAAGGTGGAAGTGCCATCCGAGAACGAGCCGCAGATGGATATTAAGCCCGAAGCCCCAGATACTCAAGCTGCGGAGGTGGAGGAAGTCCCAATGACTCCTGCACAAAAGAGAAAGGCAAAGAAGGAAAGACAGAAGCAGAGGAAGCGTCAGACCTCTTCAGTGGATCAACTATCTAGCCAAGAAACTGCCAGATCAGAAGGCGACTCGGCACCTGTCGATGGGGCGTCCTCTGCGCAGGAGACTGCGATAGTGGCTGATACTGCAAGTGAGCAGTTACCAATGGCAAGGAAGGGAAGTGCGCCAGTGCAAGCCGAAGAAGGCGCTAGAGAAGCTCCAGAAGACGATGTATCTCCCACCAGCGAGCCCTCCATTGTGAAGAGTGCAAGCAAAGAAGAAGATATCATGACTGATAATCAGACTCAAGAAAAGGTGGAAACTGGCGAAACTCCCAAAGATGATCCCGATCTCGGCAGTGAGCCTTTTGTTCCAGAAGTCAAGGAAGATGATGTGGCTACAACTGAAGACGTGGTGACAGCAGAGACAGAGGAGATCCAAGTGGAGACGGAGAAACCCACCGAAGAGACTAAACCTGCGAAGTCCAACAAAAAGAAAAATAAGAAAAAGAAGCGCCGGCAGTCCATAGATGAGGTGCAATCTCTTACTGTGAAAGAGTCGGAGATCCCATCTTCCTCACCAGAACCTACTGCTACTGCCGAGGGTACAACTGTCGTAGCTGACATTGATGTCGCTCAAGCCCAAAGAGATGCTATTGCAGAAGAGCCTACTCAAGAAGGCCAAGCTGGCGAACAGGACGAGATAGCAACAACTGGGCCTACAGAAGAAATTCAGCCTGCGGCCTCCGAGGAGAAGGCTGAAGTTGATAAAGTAAAGAAACGCAAGTCTGTCTTTTGGGCGGACGAAGATATCCTAGCACAGAGTAATGAACCAGTGATACCCGCACCAGAAGCCGAAGACAAGACGCAGCAGGCAGAAGCACCGGAGTCCCAAGAGACTGCCCTCACAGTTGCTGAACAGGATGAATCAGCGACTCCGGCAGAAGCTGTTGAGCCTCTACATGAATCTGCAAGAGAGGCGCTGCTAGACATCTCTACGGAGTCTCTCCCAATGGAAACGGAATCTGGCGCCCTACAATCAGAACATGGCACATCTCTGGAGTCGACGAAGGAGCAGGAAACTGGCAGTGCCGAATTTCATAAGGCGGAAGAAGAAGAAAAGACCCAGGATACTGGATCACCGAAGGGAGAGGCCAACACACCATTTGAACCAGAGATAACGACCTCCGTCCAAAATGATGAACAGGTCGAGCCCCCTACTGAGTCCCCCGGAGCAGATAAGCTTTCCACTGGCCCAGATATCCAACCATCGATTGACGATGCAGATCAGGCGCCCGTGTCTTCAAAGTCGAAGAAGAAAAAGAACAAGAAGAATAAGAAGAAACAGAAGGCCTTGGAATCTGAAGAAAAAACGCCAGCCGTCACCCCCGTTCCCGCTAGTGATGCCCAGATAGAGTCTGACAAGGATTCTGAGTCAAAGCCCTCTGTAATGGAAGAGCAGCCAGTCGAAGAGTCTCGGAATTCGGGCAGGTCTAATGAAGAAGAAGATGGGTTCATCTCAGCTGAAGATACTAGAGATCCCGAGGAGGGACAAGCCCGTCAACTGCCAAGTCCGAGCATTGATGCCATTGCAGCAGCAGCAATTTCCTCTCCGGAAACTGCTTCGAAAGAACCCAACAAGGGCTCTCCGGTGGAAAGTCCTTCTGCTGAGCAGGCTTTTCACGATGTGGCTGAAGATCGATCTTCGATTGAAGCAGAGCAAATGGATGAACCTGTTCAGGAGCCGGAAAACCGAACTGCCGACAACGATGCACCCATCGATGCGATTCCTACTTTGGACGCGACCTCACATGAGCCTGAAGAAGGATCGACAAAGAGAGAGGGTATCGCTGCCGAACAAGCTGCCCATGAAGCGTCAGAAGACCTCCCATCGATTGAAGAAAAGGTCCCAGAAACTGAACTCGATACAGCAGTCGAACCTCATGAAAATGATCCAAACGCAAGTCAGTTACATGGAATAGGAGAAGACATTGGAGGGGAATCGGAATTAGTTTGGGCTGATAAGAAAATATCATCGCAGGTAGAACACCAGCACGAAGAGCCTCCTTCTTTAGCCTATTCTCCCAGTTTCGCGGCCCATTTCGTTCCTGATCATTCTATAGAAAAGGCAAGTCCTATTTCATCCAGCGAAGAGAAAGAGGGAAAGTCACCTGAGGTAGAAGAGGCAAGACTTGCAAGTGAAGTGGATAGGCCGATTCAAAATGAGCCGGAGGCACCAGTTGAAGAAGACAGAGCAGCTGAATCTGAATTACATGAGGATGTCTCCAAATATGGAAAAAATGATCAGCTTGAGGCAAGTCCATTAAACGAGGGAACGGAAACCACGCAAGAATGGGTCGAAGGAGGCTTAATTTCCGAAGGTTCAATGTCAGCGCTCCCGACCGATACAACTGAACAGCAGGAGAGCAAGGACCAGAGCACGGACGTTATAATGGAAGGTGAGCCAGCTGCGACGGAGGCTTCAGTCGAAGCCGATGATCCTGGCGTTGCCGACACTTCGAAGTCTGAGGAACCTCTCATGCCGGAAAAAGAGGGCTCTTCTAAGGGAAAGAAAAAGAAAAAGGCCAAAAAACAAAAGCAGCAAGAAAGGGCGGCGAGCAAGGTTCAGAACGACAAGCCTTTAACTGAAAATACACCCGAGGCACCCGAGGAACTTCCTACTAGCACAGTTGAGTCCCAGGCCCCGGTTATCGAAACTGAAGTAGCGGCAGCTCCTGGTGAGCATATTCAAGTTTCTCAGAGCAACGAAAATGTACCTGCTGCGAAAGACCTGAGAGAGAGCGAGGGTCCAAAGGAACCCTCGAACACGGACGTGAATCCAGATACGATGGTCTCCGAGTCGACAATGTCATTTATGAAGAAGAGGAAGAATGACAAAAAGAAAAAGAAGGGCCTCTCTCTTGCACAGGAAACGGAGACCGAAACGGCTCCAGAAGAACAACTGCCGACGGCTGAACCAGAAGTGGCCCCTGCGCCTACCGCCGAAGATGTAAGTAGCACTGCTCGATCAGCGTCCCAGGAGGAAGAAGTCGCCCATTCTGAACCCGATCTACCAACCCGTTCACCTTCTAGAGATATCGTCCCTAACGTCTCAAAAGAGACGGTTGAGTTACAGTCAACACCTAGGGAGCCAGATCTTCCCTCCGAGAGAGCTGCAGAAGAACTAGTTGCGGCTCTGGCCGATGACACAGAAGTAGAGCCTGAATCTAATGAAGCATCGGCCGTCGTTGATGTGACTGGAGAACCTCAAGTGCACGCGGATGCAGAGGTGACTACATCTGAGGAGCCAAAAGTCGATGAAGCAGTCACTGGTGATAAAGATGAGGTGTCAAAAGAACGTTCACCTGCTAAGGTCAAGACAACGGAAGAGATGGATACTACTGAGAAACCTTCCAGCGACAAAAAGGACGAAGAGAAGTCTCCGGATAGCCCAAAAGAATCAATAGTCCTACCTACAGAAACTCATGAGTCTGAGCTTGAAGCTGGCGCCGACACTGCACAAAGTCTTTTTCGAAAATCAGAAGAAAATCCTATTAGTGCCCCTGAAGAGAAACCAGAGGAAGTTCTGGGGCAAACAGAGCATTCTGTCTCAGCTGAGTTTGAGCCCCGGTCACCGTCAGGAGGGGAGGGCATGGAGACCGGAGCTCCAATGGACGAAACTGCTGCTCAAGAACAAACGGAATCAGATATAGCCTACGGCAGCCCTTCGGTCAAAGACATTAAGCAGGAGAAGCCAGTCTCAGATGATGCCGAACAGAAAGAAGAACCAGAGCCAGCAACCAAGTCGGAATCATTTGAAATGCAATCATCCGATCCGGAAGGAGCTATGGAGAGATTAGAGCCAGCTTCTCAAAAACAGTCTCTTTCTGAGATACGATCCGGCGAACCAAAAGCAGAAAAGCAAGAGGACAAAGAGAACACTGACGCGGAACAACAAACAACTTGGAAAGTTAGTGAGCCGTTAGACATAAACCCTCTTGAACAAGACGGCAACAATGACGGACAAGACAATGAGCTCCGGTATCTGCAAAAGACACAGCCGGGCTCAAAGGACGATGATTCATGGCCTTCGATTGATTGGGAGAAGCCTGACTTCGATCCATCCAAGCTTGAAACGTCTGACCGAGAATCACCGACAACCAAGCCCATAACAACGCCTGGAGTGGAAATCATTGAGGAATTTGATGAGTCTGTTATGCCAGATGTGCTGAGTGGGCCAACAGACGTCCAGGAGGGTTTGGCGGAAGAAACAGCCTCCCCTGTGGCATCTCCGAGCAAGAAGGACAAAAAGACTTCACAGCAGAAGAACATTGAAGGACAATCTACGGAGATACCTAAAATGTCCCAAGAGCTGGTCGGCACTCTTCAACAAACGCCTGGTGAAGCGATGGAAGGTATATCTACTTCAGACAAAGGTCCTGATCTAGAAACCATGGTGGAACCCCAGACAACAGTTGAAGCGGACCGCAGACTAAGTAGAGAACCCGTTTCAAATCAAGATGCGGACTGGGAAATCGTTTCAGCCCCAGCATCAAGCCCCGAAGATGTCGGGATCTCTTCATCTGATAATCTAAAGGGCAAGGAAGAAGACGTTCGCTACAAAGAGGTCAGCTTTGATATGCCTGAGGGATCTTCTGTAGAACGTGCTCTGGGGGGACCTTCAAAAAACGATTATGCCGAGGAAAAGGTATCTGAGGATATCTTGGAGGCGTCCATTACAGCAAGGAAAACCACAAACAATAACTACATTCTCAGCCCTACAAGTTCCATGCATGATAGCACTCCGGAAGGGCCCGTATCTACATCACTACACGACAGTTCACCTATGAAGCTGCCGACGCCGACTATGCCGGCTGGGAAAGAGACCGGGACCGCACCTCTGGACCTGGCAATTGACGTCGAAGTCGATCCTTCCTTCGACGTATCCGTGCGAGCTGATCGACCGGGTGAAGAGACAAGATCAGTCGAGATCCATTGGAAAGACACGGACAAGGGTGAGGAATATGACAGTGCGACAGTCGAACGAGAAATCCCGTGTCACAGTGATGATGTATCGAAACCAGCAGACCCAGGACAAACTTCAGACTCGCGACAATCGGCCCCAAGCGAGGTCTACGATTTGAAACCAAGGGAGTTACAGCCAGAGTCCTCCGGAGAGCTGAGCCCATCGCCGTCAACCCAGGAGCAGCCGGCTCCCTCCGCTTCAGAGGATACACTCACCCAGAAACAACCGGGTTCGATTTTCGGAGGGCCTGTTGGAGATCCGGTACCCATGTCTCCGCCGCAGACTCCCGTGCGTGCACGGGGGTTAGGTGTACTACAGGGATCTGAGAGTATGGCCATTCCCCAAGACAGCATGATGCCTCAGCTGGGGATGAAGCCCGAACAGACCTTTCCACCACCGGAGACATCATGGAGCAAACCTTCCGACGATGTCGCCCGACACTCTCATGAAAAGGACGAGGGCCCCTTTCTCGGGGCGGACTCTAAAGATGGTGGCAGGCTTAAGGCACGGCGGTCGATGGGCGGTTGGCCCTCCGAGATGCTGAAAACGCCGGAGCAGGACATACCCATTCTCCGACCAAGCAGCGCTGGGAGTATAGGCAGCGTGGGCAGCGTGCATAGCACAGACAGCGTGCCTTCGTTGAAGCGCAGGCCAGGAGGAGATCTGCGGGCGGCCAGCCGGCTCGGCAAGCCTCAGCGGCGCCACACCCAGCCTCCCCTCGACGACGTCGACATTGAACGCATCGCATCCTCTTCCTCCTACGACCCCGTCACCGACAAGGGCAAGCGCCCCGTCCGAGGAATGACGGATGTATATGTGAGTTATCTACTTGTTTGTTTTTCTTTTCTTTGTTTCTACCTAGGCTAATTGTTTACCCTACCAGGAGGCATGGGGGGAGACGCCCGCTCAGCCCCGGTCGCCCACCCGACCGCCGAGCGTCCGCCACCGTCGGAGCATGCAACATCTACAAGAACTCGAATCCAAACTCGATCAACTCATTTCTGAAAATCGATTACTCATGGCTGCGCGAGATGCTGCCGAAAAGAAGCTTAAGACTGCTAGTGTCGCCCGTCGCAAGAGCGACCAGGCCCTTTACACGTCTACCGCTGACCTGCGAGACAAAGAAGCTGAGGTGGAACAGCTGAGGAACTCAGTAGAATGGCTCCAGAAGGAAGTGTTGCGGTTGACAGAGGAGAACGAGCGATTGGCTGTGACAAATGCAGACCTCGCCGCTGCCCACGGAGAAGAACTCAAGACCGTTCGCGAGAGCTCGGCACACGAACTCGACAAATTGCGCTCGGAAAACGAAAAGCTGTCTACTGGTATGAACGACATTGTGCGACGCGAGGTCGACGCGGCTCTGTTTGAGAAGAATTCTGAACTGCGGCGACTACGTGAGCAGCTAGAGACGACACGGGAGAAGGTGCGAGAGCTGCAGCAGCAGATCGCTTCTTCGCTTCACGATAATGTTCTCGCCTTTCGTGATCAGGAATACTTTGAGGCTGCGTGCCAGAAGTTATGTGGCCATGTACAACAATGGGTTCTACGGTTCTCCAAGTACTCCGACCATCGTCGGTGCCGCAGGCTGAGTGACCTTCATGACGAGAAGCTGGCCGATCGCTTTGACAATACCATCCTCGATGGCACCGACGTCGAGATCTACCTTGCCGACCGGGTTCTCCGGCGCAATGTCTTCATGTCGGTGGTCATGACCCTGTTGTGGGAGTACATCTTCACACGGTATCTATTTGGCATGGATCGTGAGCAACGACAGAAGCTGAAGGCTTTGGAGAAGCAGTTAAGTGAAGTTGGCCCGCGTAGCGCCGTCCTCCGTTGGCGCGCTACGACACTCGCACTACTGGCGAGGCGGGCTTCCTTTACAAGACAACGTCAAAATGATACTGAGGCTGTCGCACTGGAGATATTTGAATCCCTATCTCGCCTGCTGCCGCCACCTTCCCAATTTGAGTCTCAGCTTTTGGAGTCGCTGCGCAAGGTGCTACGGGTAGCCGTCGACTTGTCCATAGAGATGCGAACCCAATTGGCCGAATACATCATGCTGCCGCCGCAGCAGCCAGAATACGACATCAATGGCGATTTGGCCCGTCATGTGCACTTCAACGCCTCGCTGATGAACGAGAGGAGCGGGGAGACCAGGTCGAACGAAGAACTGGAGGCACAACGCGCAAAGGTGCGCATTGTGCTCTTCCCACTGGTGATCAGAAAGGGAAACGATTTCGGGGAAGGGGAAGATGAGGATGTCGTCTGTCCGGCGCAGGTGTTGGTGGCTCGTCCTCATATGGACAAGCGGGTGGCCAAGATGATGAGCAGTGACCGAATGTCCTTGGATACGGCCAAGTCGGCCCATAGCACTGCTCCACCATCGACCATGGACATGATTTGAGGCGTCACACTCAAGAGGGTGACTATGGTCGAAGCCGAAAGCATCTTTTCTTCGATTCACCAACCCGGACATTGGCGATTGGATTGAAAAAGAAAAAGAAAAAAAATAAAAAGATCTACTAATGATTGACGAATTTCCTGTTCTTGGTTACTTTACTTCTGTTGTGTTTTATCTGGATATATGCTTCTGCGGTTGGCATGTATGTACGCATATACCCGATGTGTGACGAGTGATGATAAACCCTATAATAATTGAATTGAGCCAGGCAACAACTTGTTGTGCTTTTTAGCAAGAATCTCTCTTCAGTAAAGAATTACAACGCTTAGAAGAGGGTAGCCATGCAGACATCTGGAATGTACTACACCGCAGACCCGAGAGGGCATCCTGTTCTAGACCAGGACTCTCCCTTATGGTGACTCCACCGATGGCTATTATTATCTTATTATTATCAGTCAGACAAAGAAAGAAAGAAAGGAAAAAGAAGACATTCGATGCATCATGAAGTGACCTCATCATGACCGACAATGGGCGCGTAATTTCAATACATCCTGTGTCACGGGTTTTGATGCATTTTGCGGGGATACGTTACCGTGCGGCGTAACAGACGTGTCAGGGGCATCTCCCATTCCGACTTCTTTTTCTTCTCTCCAGCTTCATTATCATCTTCTTTTTCTTTTTCTTCTTCTCCTCTCCATTCTTCCATCGTCAGCTGCTGTTTCCATCCTTTCTTGATCTCTCCCTCCTCGTGCCTCGCTCTGCCGTTGACCCTCACGCAACTGCGGCCTCTGGCCTCTTGACGTGGGCCGCCGCCATTGGCCTTTCGCCCCTGAGTGGATGCGCCACAGCAGGAGGTATGCAACTAGCCCGAAGGCTGCGTCGTTCTCTCCCCTTCTGCATTGTCAATAATCAATAATCCACCATGGCAACCGCTAATAATAATAATGCTGATTAGACCCTTGTCGGTAGACAGTTGTGTGCCCTCTTCTCCCGCCGGATCGGCAGACCCGTTGGAACCTGGCAGTCGCCCCTGTGACCGTGTCCAACGAGAGCCTGAAAACAAGGAAGACGCTGTTCAACTCCGGATCCCGCCGTCTATTATTCTAGACCCTTACGATTATCTAAGTCGAGAAGGGAAAAAAGCCCTCCTTCGATTTCCATCCGACTGGCCGCGTGCCACCCTTCAAACTCCGGGCTTTTCTCCGTCCACGTTTTTCTTTGCATGTACGACGGGACTATCTACTCTCGTACGCCAGCTGGGTACAGAGACGAAAATAACACACCCATAAACCACGGAGGCCACCTGAAAGAGACGAGTGTTTTTAATCCATAATCGTAATACCACTAATCCTCACTCACTTCCACCCGTTCGTTACTGCTTCAGCATGTGGTCTTCGGTAATTCGCCCTCCTGCTCTTTCGTCCGTGTAACGAGTTTGGTACGACTGGGAATATATTCGAAAAAGGCCCAATCCGTTTCTCTCCCTCTGTCCCGAGTTTACCCCCGTACCTTCAGTCTCTTTTTGTTTATTATTATTTTAGCTACTTTTTTTTTGATTTATTACTTTTTCCTCTTTGCTCACTTCCTCTCGGATCTCCTGACTTGCTGGGTCGTATTGTCGGCCAATCTAAACATGGCCATGGCGTCGGGAACCGAGAGACCAACACAGTTCAATAATAATGGTGAACTGTCTGGTCGATCTACAGATGGCCAAATTGAGGAGACGGTGTCCACTACCCCTGCGCGGCGGACTGCTAGTGAAGCTGGCATGTCAGAGCTTCCTCGTCCCACATCCACTATTAAACGCAGGGCCCATACCCAACCTCAGGTACCTAGGTTATCCTCCCCTGTCTCTGCCCCGGCCTCGACCACCGACTCCATCGTCTCTTCACGCGAGACTTCACCGGTTCGTGATTCTCTTCGAGCGGTCAATTTGACATCCGTCGATAACGATCTGTCACGTTCTCGCCAAAGTAGTCGAAGCCGGGAACGCAGCTCGCCCAGACTTGGTACCCGCCCCTTCGAGCAGAAGACGCCGTTGACGACAGCGACGACCACAACCGAACCTCCTTTCAATGCACCCAGCCTTGAGAAATCCAACATGGCGCCATGGACCCCTGGGCGACGGACATTTACGGAACAGAATCAGCCGAATATGTCGAGCAAGCGATCCGCAGTGCTGCCGGTGGAGGAACAAAGTCCTGACCACACTCCCAAGGCGGAGTCTCATCCATGGGACCGCAGCACGCCTCGGGCGGTAGGTAGGGTAAATGCCGGCGGGCCGGGTTCACTCGAGACGGTTCAAGAGATGGCTAGCGACCCGTCGACTCCATCAGCCGACACTATCATAAATATGCCCCCGCCAGATGAGCCTCGGTTGCAGAAGATTGAAGAAGATCCGCAAGCAAAGGCATCCAGGCAGAACGTCGAGAGTGGCAGTGAAAGCGGTGGCAATAACAGGGGATTGGAAATGAGGGAACAACCACGCCGTCAGCCATCCGGGACGAGACCGAGGGGTGATATTTTGCCGAAACGCTCCACGACATCTTTGAGTGGTTCCCGTGGTAAGCCCACCGATGGATCCGTCAGAAACATGATTGTGGAGACAGAGACGGTCAGCTCGATCCCTCAGGTATCTTTAGCGACGGTGACCGGTGATCGTGGCGTCTCGGGTCGGACGGAGCCAAACACTCTCCGAATGAAGCCCAGCACAGAGACGATTCGGCCAAAGAAGGAAAAGAAGAGGACTCGCAAACCCGCTGCGGCGGCGTCATCGAAGGCGGACATTTTTGAAGCCAAGGTTGCGAGCGCCGTTGATGAAGCAGACGTTTCAGACTCGGATGAAACATTTGTCTACGAGTCAAACCCACCCGATCCGTACCCTGCCAGGCAGCACCGATATCACTCGCGTACTCCCAGCACAACATCGATGGCGAGCCAGGCCGAACAATATACAGGGCGACCGCGCCCCGGGCTACGGGATGGGAATCACAGTGTGACGGGCAAGCGCAGTATGAAGTTTACAAATAATACCTATAATGGCAGCAGTGTGGATGGAGACGCTGGGGATGTGGATGGCGGCGGTCGTGGCAACTCCAGAGTCGACGGAAGCACTACCCCGCGTCATCTCCATATTGGGCGACATGGGCGGAGTGGGATGTATCCGTCCCTGTTCGATAGCGATTCTCCCTTCGACCAGGCACAACCGCCATCGAGATCTCCCCGACACTTTCCAGGTTTCCGGCGGGAGAGACATGGAGGATCTCGTGCAGCCCCGAACTATCGCACCATGGGTGGTTCCAAGAAAACTGGCGACGCCTTCGGTTACGACTACGATGCAGAAGGTGCCGATGATGAACGCACACCACTTGTGACTCCACGACCGACTCGCAGCCGCCACGGTCGGCGACCCAACAGTGCGGCTTTCCGACACATGGAGCATATGCGATATCGTGAACGGGGGTTCCTTTTCCGATATGGCGCTTGCATCATCATCAGCCTTCTTCTACTATTGCTCGTCGGCGGCTCTACGACATTTATTGTTGCTGTGACGAAACCTCTGCTTGACCTGGAGGTCAATGCTATCCAGAACGTGCTCGCATCGGAGCAAGAGATCATGTTGGACCTCAACGTGCAAGCTGTAAATCCAAATCTCTTCCCTGTGGCTGTTGATGACCTGGACGTGAATATCTTTGCCAGAAGCCGTTTTGTCGGAACTGACAACGCCTGGCGTGACCGCTCGCAATTTCCACGTGAAGAGCACATCGAGGGCTCGAGCCAACTGAAGGTCGACATTACGCGTTGTCTTGACCGCGACGACGACGCATGTCGAGAGGAATCATCCTCGGGCTCTGTGCACATTGTGGACGGTGTTGACAGAGGAACCGACCCTATCAACCCGACTGATCCTGTGGGAGATTCACAGACCATGTTGCTTGGCCGGGTTTTCCTCTTCGATTCGCCTATCATTTTTGAACCGTCCCCTTGGAATCATGTGAAATCTATTTCCAAAGGTCAGATTCGCCTAGCACGACCTGGTAACAAGACTGAGGAGGGTGGTACGGAACGGTGGGAGCGAGTCCTGCAGCATCCATTTGAGCTGATTGTGCGCGGTGTAGTCAAATATCAACTGGCTCTAAGCTCCCGGATTTATTCGTCCCCAATCAGTTCAAGCGTCCAGGTGATCCCTAACGACGATAATCATCAGGGGAACGGCACCACGTTAATGGAGACTGCCATAAGGGTTCTGCCTTCGCCCGACTCGTCTGACGGTGATCTTGAGGATCATGGGAATGAATCGTCAAGGAGCGCAGCAAGAACAACCGCGACGGTTCCCCAACGTTTTACTGCTTGAGGACCAGCTTACTGGCTCTGACATGTGATTACGACAATTGATTTTCTGTTTCTCTTCATTCCTCATGAGGACCATAAGGGATGCATGTGGGATTGTTTTCTCTTTCTTGTGTGGCCTTAGTATTGCATTGTTCTGAGCGATCAGGGAGGGTCTATGTTCACTTTTTTTAAGCGCTGTGCTCATGGGACCTAAGTGGCGTGGGACATGTGGAGTTATGCGCCAGTTCATTTCGGTTTCCTTCTGTCCCTTTCTTCTGGCGTCTTCTTTAAAAAGGCACTGAACCTTGATGGATACCATGGAGTTGTCTTTTTTTGTTTTCCTACCCCTTCTCGGTCTTGCCGGGAACCTCGAGGCCAACGGGATATTTTCGGCATACTATTTCGCAGGACGGATATTGAGATCGATCTTTGCTTATCCGTTTTGCACCCACACTCTTTTTTGCTTATCTATTTAAGATACACTTTCCTTTGTTGAACATTTTATGTGTTTTTCTTTTCATTACGACCATGGATAGACCGAATCACTATGGTCTATGATGAATGCCTATATTTGACATGAAATCGACAAAATAACAAAAGGGAAAAGCGAAGAAAAATGGATGTTTGTATCGAGCATGAACACTGTATCTATATATGTCGTGTTCTCTGTTTTTCTTTAAATAGAGGGTTGTCCGGCAATACAATATTATTTATATTGTGGAGGGCCGACGAGGAACCACACTGGGTTTTTTGAGGGGGGAATGGGATGATATGAAAGTTGTATATAGCCATAGCATATTCATGTTCATATGGGCATATCCTGAAATGAGACATGTATACTCGGATCGGACAGTCTCGTAAACGAGCAAACATCAGTGCCAATAATTCGAATCCATAGACTATAGACATAGTCGTTTCGGTAGTCTCTACATAGTTCACGCAAATCAAGTCGATCTATCGTTATTAGATATTCGTTAGAGATCATGTAAAGCATCCATCTAAAACACGTAGTAATCACATCGTATCATAACATCATAATCGATATCAGTCATCCACTCATCATCGTCAAAAAGAGAAGACAAAAATTACAACAAAACGGATCAGGGAAAACATATACGGGACGTAAGAGCTTCGTTTTAAAACAATACATGACTGATGCCTCTCAAAAGATCCTTGAAATGGCCCGCAAGCGGATCATCCTCACGTTGCGGTAAGAGTCGTCCCTGGGAATCAAATCGATCGGGTAAGTCAATCGTCGAATCAGATTCAGACACAGATCCCTTATCTCCATAAAAATGATGATTTTCTGAATGCTGGTTATTAGAATAACCATGGCTACTACTACCACCACCCGTAGTGGTGCCATGTTTCGATGTCGAGGGGGGACGAGGCAAAGAAGAGGAATGATGCTGCCCATGATGATGCGTGTGATGATGATGATCATCATCATTATGGCTATGGTGACTGTCTGTGCTAATCGTAGACTCGCTATCATCTGTCTCATAGCCCGGGTCCCCTGGGCTATATTCCGGGGTAAGGTCAAAAGAAACGGACTTAGATTGCAGGGACTGACCGTTCGGTTCGGGTCCCCGTTTCTCCTCGCGCACCTCGAGATGAGATCGTCTATGTTCAACAGAAGTGCGTGGTGACGACTGCCCTCCTAGACCTAAATATTTACAATTTCTGTTAGACTCCAACTTCCCTTTTCGCCATATTATTCTTGATAATATATTCTTGGAACCCACCATCACGTGCGTGGTCCTGATCGGGGGATGGGGTAGCAACGCTCTGCACGGGACTCACCATATCGTCGGCCGAACGTGGCCGGGATGCGTATAGATCTGCCCCTGGAGGAGGTCTAGGATAACCATAAGGCTGCGGCGGGGGGGCAGCAACAGGTGGTGGAGGGTAATCCGCAGGATATGGCGCATTGGGGGCCGCAGGCGGCGGCACGTAACCCGATGGAGGAGGGCGGGAATAGTAATTACGACTGTCGTCCGCCGGCTGTCCCTGCGGTACCTGCGGCAGCGCGGAGGCTTCAGGCGGAGGATAGGGTGCATGCGAAGGCACAGACTCATAGGGCTCCTCGAATGAACCGCGGCGCCTGTACTCGCGCTCTGTAATCGGGTCAGCACTAGGGCTTGAAGGAGAACAGAAAATATCATGATATATTTCACCCACCTTGTCTCTCTTTTTCGGCCTTCTTGTGCTCCTTATGCCCAGCATACTCATGCGCTGCATATCCTAGACCAGCAGCACCAGCAGCGACAGCTGCAGCCTCTTCTAGATAGCGGGGGCGGCTATGTCTCTGATGACGGCTTCTTCTGTGATCATCTGAGTCCGAGGATAAGCTACGGCTATTCCGGCGAGCACGGCTGCGGCTGCGGCTCCGGGTGCGACTGCGACTGCGAGGTCTCGAAGCACGATATCCCGGACTGAGGGGAACAACAGAGTCAGAATAGTACTCATGCGGGCTCGATGGCCGACCGAAGTAATCCTCGGCAGGAATGCGGCCGGAGACAGGATGTTCCCCGTACTCGATTAGGCCAGCGGTGTCCCGAGGCGACGAGCGATCAGAATTGCACACTGACCTCGGACGACTTCGTGATCTAGACTCGGACTCGGGCCTTGATCGTCTCCTGCTGCGCTCTTCTCGCTCCAACTTCTTTCCCTTGTTCTTCTCATAGTATGATGCCACAGCAGCAGAGCCCACGCCCGCTGCAATAATCGGAAGAGCCTTCTGCAGAGTACTGCGAGACCGAGACCGGTGACCGTGGCGGGACCGGGATCGACTTCGAGCCTTTTCTACAAGACCAGCTACTGCAGCTCCGGCTAGGCCAGCTTCTGCCGCACGCTTTCTCCGATGAGATCGGCTGCGAGCATCATCCACGCTGCCACCGTGGCGGTTTGAACTGGAGTGATGGTGGTGACGCGAGCGGCTGCGTCCTCGTCCACTATGCGACTTGCTTCGGGCTAGCGCCATGGCGCCTGCGACGGCGGCAGCTCCCAAGCCAAGTTCCGTCAAGGTCTTGGACCGAGAATGAGAGCGGGAGCGAGCACGACTCTTGTGACGGTGGCCGCTAAAGGATGATATATCATCGTCAAGTGAGTAGGAACGACGTCGATGTCGGCTCTTGCTACGATGATGCTCTATTGCATTCGCAGCCACAGCACCTAGGGCACCGGCACCTATATCCCGACCAATACGGCCAATACCGTGGGACACGTGCTCTCCTTCTTTCTTGTGGTGATTTCGGAGGAGTTCCGCGGCACCAATACCGATGAGAGCGCCAGACATAAGATGTCGTCCATGATGATGGCGGTCATCGTACTCCTTAGTTTTGCGGACATAGACAAGGCTATCGTCGCTGCTGTAGCCTTCGTCGTCATGACGACGGCTGCTCTGCGAGACTGAGTCGTATGGACTGAGTTCACGATCACGGACCCGACGGCGATGATAACGCTCGTCATCCCTCGGGTCGAATTCGGATCGACGAACAATCTCGTAGTCAGATTCTCGCGGATTGACATAGACCGGCCCTCGAGCTTTATGAATAATTACCGACTGGCCATCGCGAACAACGATAGGTTTGTCCGGTCGATTGATATAGACAGCCGACCGGGAACGACGAGTGTCGTAGGGTTCATAGTAGTACTCACGTTCGTAGTAATCCCTCTCGGACCTATAGTCCCGGTCGGATGGTGAATCGTAGTAATCTACGTCGCGCTCATAGCGGCGCACCATGACGGGCTCGTCCTCTCTATCGGAAGAGTGGCGAATCACAAGCTCTCTGTCCCCGGAGCCAGAATCTTCGTGTCGATAGACGAACTCGCGGCCAGGGGAATGGTCCCTGGGAATGACATAGCGCTTAACGGAGACGGAACGAGGTTCATCCCAATCGCTTTCGCGATCGTGCTCTCTATAGACGTAGGACATGAGAGAAGGAAGGCGCTTGCTTTAAAGGAAGAAATTGAGGAATGAACAGAAGTGGAATTGAAAGAAGAATGAAAGGATGAGGAAGGGTGGCAGTTTGCCGCCGGAGGGCGCGGGATATCTAGTGAGTAGAGGGGCAAGGAGATGGAGGGGCAACTGTCCAGCGCAATCAAGATAGAACCGATGACAAAGACAACGGAGATACCAGCAAAAGTGGTTAATATGATGAAGAAGAAGAAGATGATGATTATGATGCGAGGGTGAGACGGAACAGAGAAGAGAGAAAAGAGAAAAAGAGTTTATGGAGGAAGAGGAAAACAGAACCACGTGAGATCCAGTGACCAGCAAAAAGTGACGTACCGTCTGGAATGTCTCGATCTTGTCTTGATCCTCGACGAAATCCACAGTTGAGATGTTACTGCACGGAGGATTCCCCTTCCAGTGTCTTTGGCCCGGGTCAACGGGGGCCTCTGCCCTCCTTTATCCAGAACAGCGCTCCATTGAAGCAGATTCACTTCCGCAATGCCTATCTACTAGCCTGGTCCTGGACAGACAACGTTCTGCATTGCTCTTAATAGACGGATAGTGTTGCCGAATCCGGTCAGCTGGGTTGCCCTGCTCAGCCTGTCATAAAGAATAGGCGCCCGACGTTTAAGCGTTAACTTTATTTTGAAATCTGGCCAGCGCCATCGATTGGCCGTTGCAGTCCCGGCGCACAATGCTCCTTTGCCCTGGTGGAAATGACGGCGACGCGAGGGGGAGAGATAGACTGTTGGTCAGGATATTGAAGGCTGACGAGAAGACCGTTGTTCAATTTGGGTTGGCATCTGAGTTGCAGTCATCCACGGACTGCATTCGGTTCTTATCCATGGTTCGCAGCCTTGGATCCTCGGGAAATTCAGCATATACGAGGATTATGCGTGTAGGAACCTGGTCGTTGGAGGATCCTGGAAGTTCTCACACCGGTCAAATCTCATTGCTACACCTCCAGAAAAGATGGATGCAGTTGTCCGTGCTGACCACATGGGTCCTTGCTCTCTTCAGACCTGTCCTGGACTGTCTCCGCATAAGAATCTAGTCCATCTATTTGTTCTTCGCTTGATAATACCCTTTATGCTACAGGTTCAGTCATAATTTCGATCGGTACATACTACGTTTGGGCTACCTCCAACTCCTGAATGCCTAGGTTTGAATATGGGCTGCCTGGGCAATATAGAAACGGGTACGCCGGCCTAGCCCTCGTACTATCCATGCATCAAATGACCCTCAGCATCTGAGGTGGCGAACACAGTTCCAGGAGAAGCGTCAGTACCGTACCGTAGGTGATCCGGACCATATGTCAGCATCCCCTGGCCTGCAGGGCGACCCGGATAGCCGACTTGCCAGGCACGAGGATATTCGTTACGAAGTCATCTCGGGTGTTACAGAGACAGGTCTAGATGTCTGGCAGAATAAGGATCATGATCATCATCATCCATGCGTGCAGAGCCCATTGGCTACTATACTGTACATTTCCCGACTCCCTCCACCTCATGGTGTCGATTCTACTGTCGAGCTTGAGGCTCAATTGACTTCCTCTTTTGAGACACCATCATGACCCATCAGCATATGAGGCTGAATGACCTCAAGAGGTCATTGTTCAGCCTGTAGGATGTGACGATTCAGTGGTTACCTGGCCTGTTCTTCGAAGAATGCTATCCGATTAGCATTAGCACGGGGCAATAGCTCATGCGGTCATCTAGATAGCCATCATCAGGGCCGATTCATTAACGTATCCAATTTTATATGGCATGCTATTTACAGGATTGAGGCTTGGGCAAACTCCAATGAAAACCCAAAGAGCCTCATATTCCTGGTGATCCGGGCGGATAGTGAGGTGAAACTAAAGGGCGAAGCTCAGAATATTTCTCTCGGGGCTTAATTTGGCTTGTGGCTCTAGACTTGAGAAATTTCATGGCTGCATAGACATGTAGAATTCATAGAGCACAGATTTCTTCTAAGATTGAATGTTTAAGGTCAAAAACAAAACTGCGCTCGTAAAATTTTCTCTTCACATTTATATCTGGTAACGCTGGAATTAATATTGACTTTTGGTACGGTCCTCACTGCATCTCGTGTTCCCGTCTCGGAATCCTACGAAGTCAAACGGACTCGTCTGAACAATTCCAGATCGAAGAGGACCCATGAAACTGGAGTCATATATTTTATGAATTCTTATTCATTATTCTCCATTGCCCACGTCGTACGCCCTCCACCGTTGCAGAGAGTTTTCGCAATGCAAGAAACCCAGAAACCAGATAAGGAAATTGCAAATTTAGAACACCAGAGCAGCACCCTTGGTCTTCTTGTCACCACTGTAGAAGAAAAGGTTATAATCAGTACTGGTCACCCCAAGGCAAAACGGTAGCACAACGGAACGGAACAAGACGTACCCCAACTCGAAGTGCTTGCATCTCTTCAGAGCCAGCTGCTTCTTGGCCTTGCACTTTGTGCACTCCATACGCAGGACGATCTTCTTAGTGGTCTTGGCCTTCTTGTGGAAGACAGGCTTGGTCTGACCACCATAACCGCTCTGCTTTCGGTCGTAACGACGCTTACCCTGGGCGTACAGAGAGGCCTGCATATTATATTCTTATCAGCACCAAACTCCCGCCTGTGTTCACGATGCCGATGGTTGGGTGATATTCACCTTTCCAGCCTTGTACTGGGTGACCTTGTGCTGGGTGTGCTTGTGGCAAGCCTTGGACTTGCAGTACGTCCGGCGGGTTTTGGGAACGTTGACCTGATTGATGCGGGAAAAAAATCAGTTTCTGATTCTGCGCTGGAGAATGTGTCTTGCCGATGCTGCCGATGCTGCCGATGCTGCTCTGGTTGAATAAATCATATCTTGCCCCTCTTACACGTCAAAAAAGAAAAAGGTCTCGGTCGCCGCATGGTAATGTTGTAGACAAAATGCTATGGTCTGCTCGGCTCGAAAATTCATCGTAGGTATAATTTTATCCCAGGATTCCTCGTCACTCGACAAAGTGCGATTTATCCATCGTTCTCGATCGACACGTTACCAGGAAACTCCATCCCAACATTTCAAGTCGAGTAGTCTTCATTATGAGGCGATCCGTTTAAATTCGAGTTCTCGAAATCGTTCGGCGACCCGAGCAGCATCAGCGCGAAAAGCGAGAATCCTCATTTCCTCCCAGGAAAAGAAAATTTCGCAGCAACAGCATTTCAACGGTACAGTGAAGTAAATGCCTTACCATTTTGACTTATTTGGCCGGATTTCAAACTGGTGGTCGTTGAATTGTCGCTTGTCGGGGAAATCAAGAGGCTTAACGTGGGTTGTGGGAGCTCGTTCGCTTAGGCCCTATCGGGAACCACGCTAACCGCATCAGGAAGGCTTAAGGCCAAGGGCTTCCACTCCCTCATTCCATACGGAGTATCTAATAACAATGAACGGTGATGATGGTAATAATTAATTGCCAAGCAAGTCGGTATGGCTAAAAATCAGAATCCTTGGCCCAAAAGTATCCTGTCTGATTTCCCATACCACGACGTTCCTTTGCAGAAATCCAATCCTTGCTCCTGCCCGACAACCCATTCACCCGCCGAAGGCACAGATGGGTCTTCTCTTGGCCAGTAGTTATGCTTGAGTGTCTGGTTGATTTCTTCAATTTTCTCTATTAATGCTAAAACACGGCCGTGATCAAGGTCATTTCTGCCCTGGCTTGGATCTCCAAGCGAAAACCCGTCCTGTGAGACGAATCGGGCAATTGTGATATGCGCTGAAGGGACGGTGTATCTAGCAGCTATATTGACACCACTGGCGGTGACCTTGTCGAAGAGGTCCCGCCGCAGATGATGATAGGTATATTCATTCCCTGGTGCGCCAGCAATCCCTTTCTTGGCAGCAGGAACGAAACTCAATGCCATTGCTGTAGCATCGTAACTAACAGTGGGGTTGATCAGCCGCGCACGATGATCGAGCGTGTAATTGACGATATCCGGTATGGTGCCGCCTTTTTCAAGACTAGACACGATTTTTTCAACCTCAAACGGGGTGCGCGAGTTTGCGATTTCTAAGGTTGTTAGGTGTAGGCAATCCAATGGTGTAAACCAAAGTGCTAGTATCCGTCAGCATTCTTTAGTGAACGACCTTGCATTTTTAAGATGTAATTTGCCTGGCTACAGTCGCCTCCGGTACTAACCTGGAGCAACTTTTCGAATCTCGTTCTGGATCTCGCCAACTAATTCCCTGATGTGCTGTGGTGGCCGTGCCCAGAATCCGACATTATTCCGAGGGTCGACAAAATGGTCACCATCATTGCCCTCGTTCTTGATCAACTTCTTCAGGATCTCGTCGATATACCATCCGGAAAACTCCCTGTCCAGGATCTTGGCTTTGGACTGTACATTCCTTCTGGATCGGTGGAGTTCGTACTCTCTTTGTATCAAGCTCTATGCAGAATTAACAATCCCAATGGAGAACTCGGAAAGGAGAGGTAGATTACTGGATCATCATCACAGGCGATAATTAACTGCTGGAATGGATTCTGTACTGGTTCTTGAGATTTGGTCTTTGTCATGTTGCCCGGTTATGCCGGTGCATGGATATATATATCTCTAGGCGTTAGCCTGAGGAAGCCAATGAAGACAGTAGAGGGATCCAAAAGAGCTCTTCATCCGAATAAGACAAGGAGTTGAAGAGTTGAAGACAGCTGAAGCAAGTCTATAATTATCATCATCTATTGCTTTGCAATCTGCATGATGTTGTCGCTCTCAGCCAACCCCACTATTTATCGCCATTATTAACCCCGCCACGGATCCTTCCATCCTCCAGATCCAAACAGCAACATTGTCGATAGTTATTACTACTACAATACGTTCCCTGTCTTTCTTCGCCCCCGCCTCCCCCCACTTTCACTTTCTGTCCTTTACGACATTTTCTTTCAAAATGCTAATCAAGTGAGTCCCGTCGTTGGCAGCATTGATATTCGAAGCAACCGTGGTGATAACTGACCGACCTCCCTGCATCTGCCTAGAGTCCGTACCCTGACCGGCAAGGAAATCGAGCTGGATATTGAACCCGACTACAAGGTACTTGATCTTCCATCTTCTGAGTCGAACCCATAATCCCTCAGATCGCTGTTCGTCTGTCCGTTGCCGCACGCTGTCCAACGCTATGCTCTTGTAGTCGTCCCTTGAAATCGCAGTCATAGACACAGCTACGATCGATGAAGTATTGATGCTAACCTAACCAACAACCAGGTCTCTCGGATAAAGGAGCGTGTCGAGGAGAAGGAGGGTATCCCTCCTGTCCAACAACGACTGATCTTCGGTGGAAAGCAGATGTGCGTTTTCCCCAGAGCATGAAGCAAGAGAATACCAATCCTCGAGTAGTGCACTTGATGCTTACGCTGATCACCAAACGAAAAAAAGGGCGGATGATCAAACGGCCTCAGAATATAACCTTGAAGGTGGTGCAACACTGCATCTCGTCCTTGCTCTCCGTGGCGGCTGTGGAGCTCTGTAAAGTGGAGGATACATCCAACAAAGTCACATCGTCAATGTACCATTTGTTGGAAAGTTGACAGATTATCAATCTTATTATACAATTCACCTTTGTGTCAGGCCGGATGGTTTCAGGGATTTGTTTTTGAAGATCGTGATCGTTATTTAAATGGGCTACGGGGATGAGTCGGAGCACACGAAAACATCAAAGTCGGCTGTAACCCGCTGTAAGGAACAGTATTCTTGAGGCTTTGATGTTTCCGATGGGAAAGTATCGTGGAATATTCTGCTGTTACAGCTCCTGGTCCGGTTAATGCCTGGTCGGACTGAGGGTCTCACAAATTTAAGCTGTGCTATTGATGCAGCAGCAATGACAGATTCTAATATTAAGTTCTATTAAAGTGACTCTTATCCATCTCGTCCCCTTGGTATCATATCTCGTTATTTTCAGCCGTCCTTTATGCGAGAGAACCATCGAATATTTTCGGAAATAGCAATGAAGAAGAAAAAAAGAGATTGACAACTCGATGTGAACTGAAGGACGCCCCCATGGGTATCCCTACTGATTGATGAGTGCTGTAGAATGTGACACTACTGCCCGAACACTCCATCCCAGAATGCAGAAAGGTCAGAGCCAGCTCTGGCGGCTGTCGGCATCATCCATGTATCCTGTGCACGCCATCCCTTCAGACGATCCTACAGAGAGAAAAAGAAATACCCGACCTAAAAAACAGTTAAAGCGCCCGAATCAGAACCGAAACTAGTTATCTGCTGCGCTATGCATATGTAGCTGGCAAAACATGGGAAACAGTTAAACGGAAAAAAAAAAAAAAAAAAAGAAAAACATTAGCCTGAGGAAGCATGTTCCCAGATGTGTGATGCGCTCGACGTTACGATACTTTCTTCCTTTTCGGTTGAATAAAGACGCTCGGCGGCGGTCGCTTTCGCATCACCATCGGGCGAGGTGATTGTTCGGACGGTGATTTAGACTCTGTGGTGTTAGAACTTTCGCCAGTCTGATTGCTCTGGGATTTGGAGAGAACGTGGTTAGATACTCGCGATAGATTCTGGGGTTTCTTTTCCATAGGGAATGGTATGGTAGAGTTCCGAGTAACTGATCGTAACCTTGCACTTTTCAGCGGCGGACTTGAGGTAGGAGGAGATGCTGCTGACGGCTCTTTCGACACTGCAGCTGCAGAGGATTTAGCAGGAGAGATGGTTGACTCTTTTGAGCCAGCATGGTGACCAGAGGTCAGGACCCGGAGTCTTGCCTCTCTTTCTTGCAATGACGTCGTCATTGGCACACTGCTAGAGCAGAAGTTGCTGCTCTGAGACCTCGATCGTCCTGGAGCAATTACTCTGGGAGGATCCTTCCGAGTGCTAGCAAGGGCAGGCTCCAGGGGTCGTCTGTGATCCTCGATGAGAGATAGAGGCGCCTTCTTGACTTGAGTAGCCTTGTTGCGTAGCTTGCTCGTCGGAACTGCCAATGCCGGATTCCTTTTCGCTACGGCGAAGATATTGTTTCTTTTCGTCGGCGTGGTCTCAGACCGCGGGAGTTGCGGCCTCTCGAATGTCCATGCAGGAGCACCCAATGGATCCGCGGTGGCAGTCTTAGATCGTGAGGTAGAGACGAAAACAGGCGTGATACCGCCCATTTTCCGATCGTATGAAGCATATCTCTGCTTGGTGGTTGGCCGTTCTCGAGGAAGGCGAATGCTGCGCCGATCGGTCACGAACTTGGCACTGTGTTTTGTACGCTCTGAGTTGATTTTTTCCAGAGCCATTTTCATCTGCTCTGCGTCCTCCTCGACTGACTTGCGGACTCGCTCCAAGAGACCGCAATAGACGTCATACCAGCTATCCGGGTTCTCGGGAAGGTCGTACTGCTCCCATTTAGGTATGTCTCGCTTTATGAACTCGAGCCACAATTCGCCGTCCTCCTTCATGATATGAGGCGATGCCAATTCCAGAGATCTCTATGAAATCACTTCGTTAGTCGCCATTGATCATGCGGGAGCAAGGCCAGCAATGGCTTCTCACCAACTTCTCAGGACTTTCAACTTTGAGGAGAAAAGGTCGGGCTAATGCGTAGGGGATGTTTCCAATATCGTTTAGATCTAGCAGGAACAGAAATCCGTATTAGTAGCAAGCCTTGAACAACGGGGGACTCAATCACTAAGTGCTATATATAGAATTCACTCGACTCACACTTCACGTTCCTGATGGCTGTCGCCGTGGCAAGCTGCCTGAGTGATAGCACTGGCATTCTGGTAAATCTGACTGGAGAGTAGCAAAGAACAATGGAGAGGACATGAAGATGTTTTATTAGCAATCAGAGACCGTAGAGCCATCTGATATTAATGCGCAGCCAACTTGATTAAATAAACCGGGGAGCGCGAAACGTTCCTTGACCGGCTCTGACGTAAGTCACATGAGTGTTAACTAACGTTTTCAACGGGTGAGTGGACCACACGGACGAGTGGTCCATTTTTCCCGCCTTCCCCCACCGCTAGAATAATTATCTCTTCAACGCGTCTTCTTTCCATCGAATTCATAAAAAATGCCTCTTTCTCAAGAAAATAGAATTCAGATGGCGATATCTGCCTACAGATCAAGAAAAATTCAACCAAAAACAGGCGCTGCTGCAATATTTAGCGTACCTAAATCAATGCTACTCAGATGGCTAGATGGAACGAAACCACGCTCAGAAACACGCGCTAATAACCACAAACTTACTGAACTTGAAGAAGAATTGCTTCAGAAGCGATAATTAGATGCAGATCAATGAGGATTTCCAATTTGACCTGAATTTCTACATGGAATGGCAGAGATATTACTTTGTTCACGTCTTCAAGATTCTACAGCAATGATTGGAGTCAACTGGCCCTATATCTTTAATACCATCCCCAGATACATACGCGATATACAAGACAAATGACATATCAACGCGCAAAGCAGGAAGATCCAAGGGTTATTAAACTGTGGTTCAAGACTGTACAAGCCACTATTCAAAAACACAGCATACACAAAGATGATATCTGGAATTTTGATGAAACTGGCTTTGCAATGGGACTTTGCTCTACCTCTAAATTGATTACTGCAGTTGATCAAAGCAAGTGACCACAGAGAGTTATTCAGGGTAATCATGAATAGGTCACAATTATTGAAACAATCAGGTCAAGAGGTTTACATCTACCACTAGTCATTATATTGAAAGCAAGCTATCAGCAAGCTGCCTGGTTCCAAGAATCTAAGCTTGCTGGTGATTGGTGGATTGCAACTAGTCAAAATGGCTGGTGTCACGACCTGGTCGTTCGATTTTGATTTGATTTTGATTTGATTTGATTACTATTTAACGTCACTCGGCGGATCACGTGGCACACGTGACCCGCGGCCTCCCAAGGGGCATCCGGACGTGCTACCTAAGCAAAGACTCACTAAAATAAATACATGCTTGAAGCAACAAAGCTGACACTATGTGTTGGAAAAGAGTGGAAGAAGCACCAGGCGCTACCCTGGCCTGGACTTCTAAAGGTGAGGAACCTGCTTTGGCTACCTTCAGTCGAGCAGGGGTGCCTTTCCCGTTCGTCCAGGTAGAAGCGTAGACTGTTGCACTATTCAGTGCTTGAGCGGGCCCAGTTTGGGCATATATCCTTGAAAAAGGATGAATCTTGCACGATGCGGCTGAACTCTTCTGCCCCAGCAGCTGTACCTAGTAGCCAGTCAGTCGATAGGTAGTTTAGCTAGGAAGTATACTCGGTTGCGTCACGTGTGGGACATGTGACGCACGAGAATATCTAATGGAGGTGTATTGTTGGTTGGTTACTAGCTAGATAGGCCTACGTGGTGAAAAGGGTCAGCGAGGGCGGACCTATGCGGCAGAATCCCACGTGATCCAACACCCCCCACGCACGAGCTGGCCTAAAGACTAATCTAAAGAATTTAAATACAAAAATCGGCCTCTATTCAGGCCTCCAAATGAGAGAGTAAAAGCAAAATTAAGCAGAGAAGTGAGAGGTTCCGCTTTGGCCAATCAGAAGCCGTAAATCAGAATAGAAAGTATAACCAAAATGGGGGAACAAGCGCCGCTTAATGTATGCCGGTGAGTTCCAGGAAATGATTGAATCGTTCAGTTTGGAGAGGTTTTGTCAGGCCATCTGCTGCCTGTTCTTTGGTAGGGCAGGTCTGAAGTTTAACAATGCCGTCTCGGACCTTCTCCCGAACGTAATGGTAGCGTATGTCAATGTGTTTGGATCTCTTGGTGGTGAGCTCGGCTTCAGCCATGGCGTGGGCACCTTGATTATCGATATGAAGAGATATTGGTGGGCATTCAGTTGGGAGCACATTAAGCTCGTTGATGAGATTCCGGAGCCAGAGGGCATCACGGCTGGCTTCGCTTAGAGCCATATACTCAGCTTCGTTGGAGCTAAGGGCAACGGATGTTTGCTTGCGGCTTTTCCAGGCAATTGGGGCTCCGGCAAGCAGAAAGATGTATCCAGAAACTGACCGGCGGTTGCCTGTCAGTTGGCCACCCCAATCAGAGTCGGTATAACATTTTGGCATGAGGAGGTCAGATGTAATGGACTCCGTGGGTTTATGATAGGTAATTTGCCGATTGATGGAGCCTTTAAGATAGCGTATGGCGTGTATAAGGGCACGCCATGCTTTTTGGGTGGGTTTGGCGTTATATTGGGATAGTATGCCAACCGTCTGGCTAAGATCTGGCCGGGTTTTGGTGGCTAGCCAGGTAAGGCAGCCTACACCACGTTGATATTCTTTGGTGTTGACTGTAGGGTCTGGTTCATCATCAATTATTAGGCTAGGATCCATTGGAATCCTAACAGGATGTGCTTGGGCTTGACCAAAAGAGGCAACAACATCTTCAGTGTAGTCGGCTTGAGATAAAGAAGATGAAGTCTCAGACTGGGAGATGGTCATGCCAAGGTATTTGGTAGAGTTTCCAACTTCTTTTATGTCAAATTTGGCGGAGAGAGTCTCCATAAACCAGATGGCATCATTTTCATGTTTAGCATAGACTTTGAAGTCATCCACATGGGTGGTCACATAGAGTTGGGTCCGGGTAGTGTGGATCCATAGACCAGAGTCATATTCAGAGCATTTGAAGCTGATTTGGCGTAGAAAAGCACCCAGAGTATCATACCAGATGCGGGCAGATGGGACCAATCCATAGAGGGATTGAAGGAGTTCACAGACAAGATCTCCAGAACCTTCTTTGAATCCCTGAACTTGGGTCATAAAGACACGTTTGTCCGTGGGCATTTTCCCATTTAGGAAAGCAAGGGTGGCATCAGCTTTTCGGGTATGCCAGCCAAGCAGGGTGGCCAGTGCCGTGAGGGTTCTGGTAGTATTTTCATTTACCACTGGTGCGTAGGATTCCATGAAGTCTTTATCAAGTAGATTGCCACGAATGACCCAGCGGGCTTTAGCCTGATAATCCTCTGAGATAGGTATGCCGGGGATTTCTTTCTTTTTGTATACCCACCGGCCAGGGATGACTTTGGCCCCTGGTGGTAGGTCAGAACGGCGAATGAGTTGCCAGCAGCCTTTCTCTTTGAGTTGGTTGACTTCCTTTTGCATGGCAGCTTGCCATTTAGCAGCATCAGGATGGGATATGGCCTGCTTATAAGAAGTAGGCGTGTTGTCTTCTGATGAAGGAATGGTTGAAGTGGCAAAGTAAGCTAGGGACATGCCTTTGGCAGGTCGGAGCCATATATCTTGGTCATTGAGAGGTTCATCTTCAACTAATTGAGTTGGGTTTTCTTCGGTAGGGGTGCTGGGACCTTTGGGAGTGGTAGTTGTAGGATCTTTGTAATCCTCATCAAATATAACATCATTGGTGACAAAGACGGTGTCAGTTTTAGGGTCCCAAACACGATATTGATGGCTACTAATTTGGCCAATGAGGAAACAGCAGTGAGAACGTGAATCAAGCTTATTTCCAGGTTTATCTGGTCCATGCCGATGGACCCAGGCTGGACACCCCCAACGGCGATATCCGGGGAGTGAAGAAATGGATGAATTAGTCCACGCTGCCAACGGAGCGCGATAAGGGCTGGGGTGTATGTCCTTGTTGATATTCACCCCCCCAGGAATTTGGGAATTGTATAAGATGGTAGATGTAGGGAGCCGATTTGTAAGATCTGTGGCATATTGGAGAGCATCTACCCAAAAGCGTTCTGGTATATATGGGGCATCAAGCATCATAGCTCGGGCCCGTTCAAAAAGGATCCGGATGCCACGTTCACTAACGGCATTTTGCCATGGTGAATATGGCGAGCTTGGTTGCCATTCTATGCCTTCCTGACGGTAGGTTTCCATCCATTCAGTGGAGCGGAATTCATTATCAGAGACTAGGTAGGCAGGAGCAGTGAAGCCATGGTTCTTCATATTTTGAAGCCAGTTCTTGAAGGCGGTAATGGCTGCACTTTTTGTCTCAAGGAAGAGGATCCATCGATAATGTGTGGCATCGTCGGTAATAAGTAAGACATATTTTGCCCCAATTCGGCCAGTGACAACATCATTAGGGTTGTCAAAATCAAGAGTTTGTCCACCGCCGGCGATATCTAGATGGACTCGGGCAAGGGGTTTGGTAACTCTGGACCTAGGGACCTTGCTATAATAGCGTGTCTGTCTAGCCTGTATACAGACTTCACAAAATGGGAGTTCTTTAGAGCCTTTGATTTCGATGCAAGACTCAGGATCTCGGGCGAGGCGGAGGAGATCGGCTTGATTGAGATGGCATAGGCGTCGGTGCCAGGCCATGATAGGTAGGGATATCTTAGTAGTTCGCGGCTTCCCTAGAACCGGGGTCTCTTTTGGAGTAGGAGCCTCAGCTGGTGTCTTAATTGTGGGAGCCTTTGCAGGTGGCTCTTCTGGGCGGTTAACTTCTTTGCCAGACCGGGTGGTGACAAAGGCATAGGAATTTTCTTCTTCTCCAGGAGATAGACAGTCTTCAAGGAGGTAAACATTGTTTTTGAACAATCGGGCTTGGAATTCAGCTCCAGATGGTGTGGTAATCAGCTTGACTTCACAATCTAGTGTATATTGAAGCCTAAAGCCTTGTCGTACAAGCATGCCTTCTGAAATGAGGTTGGAAGTAAAGGAAGGAACATGGCGGACATCTCTTAGGATCAGAGATCCGTAACCAATATCTATAATCACGGTGCCAATGCCTTGAGGCATAGAGATATGGCCTTGAGCACCTTCCATATAATCTGTCTCCACCAGATCATGCTTCTGCAAGGCCTTATAGGTTGCAAAAAGTGAACGGTCAGGTGTAGAATGGAAAGAGGCACAGCTGTCAACAAACCATTGATTGGAAAATGAGAGAGTCTTTGCAGACTTCACAATGGCAGATTTGGCATTGGAGAGTTTCTTATGCAAGACAAGTTCCTGTGAAGCAGGGTGATCCTGGTTTGATTGTGGGTTTGCTTCAGATTGTTGCTGAACACGGAGAGCATTAGCCATAGTAGTATAGAACTTGCGTCTATACTCTGGTGCTTTCTCAGGATGTTTAAAATAGCATATAAGTCCATGGCGATTTCCGCAGTGATCACAGTCTATAAGTGTATGACGAGATCTATCTTGGTTATTGGAACGTTGAGGAATTGTGTATTTGGTTCCAGATGCTTGTTTTGAATAACTGCGGTTCTGGGAGTTCTCTTTCTGTTGGTTTGACCGGTCTTGAGAATGAGTATCACGGAATTTAGTGCCGGTTCGAGTAGATAATTGGGTCTGGATAACCTTAAGATCCAGGTTGGTAACCGGAGCACGGCCAGTAGAGTAGACATCATCTAGTTTACTCTTGATAAAGGCGCGGTTCCAGTCCCGGAGACCTATAAAGAAGAGGTCATGTTTGAGATTTTCAAGAGATTCTTCTCCAATAGCGTGTAGGCGGTCAAAGATTCGATTAAAGGATGACTGGTAGGTGAGATAATCGTTATCCTTTATATAGAGCTCTTTGAGCTCCATGGTAAGGGCCATTCGCTCTTCACCGGTGGATTTGCCAAAAAGTGTGGCAGCTCGGTCCCAAAGACCATGGGCAGAGAGGTCATATACGGTGCCTAGTTTATCGGAAGCAGGGGTTGTCATGGCATTGAGCATACGGGCTCTCATGACAATGGCTTTTCTGTGCCAAACTGCAGCATCAAGTGGAGATGATCCAGCAGGAGGAGAGTCCTGGTGAAGAGTTGTAATAGCATTGAGAATACCAGCTTCTTTTTGTATGGCAGAGCTCCATGCATCGTAATTATCCAGTGTCAAGATGACACGGCATCGGTCAGGCAGTAGCGTATCGACATCGGCTTGGACAAGGGCAATAGCATTGCTGATATTTGTGTCTGAGGCATCACGCAGAGGCGGTTGGATATCCATTGGTGTAGTATCTTGGGTTGTATTTGAAGGCAAGGAAGCTTGTGGAGTATTAGACTGGATGATAGATGCCAGTTTTAGCTCCATTCTAGCTTCACGGTCTCGCATATCTTGTTCCATCTGATTCTGGCGAGCAAGCATTTGTCGCATCATATCAGCAAGATCAGGGGTAAGTTCGTTTGTGGAAGCCATGTTGGCGGTATTGGTAGAGCTCAGATTGGCTCCGGAAGGCGTTGGGGTCTCTATCTCTTCAGAGACAACTGATGAGGAGGTCTCGTCTATATTCGAGGACTTGTTTTGGAGATTTCGGCGACGTGATCGTCGTATAGCAGTAGCGGGAGGCGTAGTAGGTTCTCCTGACATGCTCAGGTTCGGACCGTATCTGGGATCCTGGAATTTTTTTTTTTTGGAATCTGGGGTATGGAATTTTGGTTCAGCCAATCAGAGGGCTTAAATTGACCACTTATACGGGCCTAAAATAGCTCATATTTCCGAGCAAGAAACGGGCTCATAACCTAATGGAGGTGTATTGTTGGTTGGTTACTAGCTAGATAGGCCTACGTGGTGAAAAGGGTCAGCGAGGGCGGACCTATGCGGCAGAATCCCACGTGATCCAACAATATCTTCGCAGGTAGGAGCTGGAGCCGAATCCCTTCCTCCTCTCTCTCCCATGCTTGATATTCTCCTCGATAGCTGCCATGATAGCCAAATAGCATTCTCTATTCTATCTTGATTGAGCTCCATGACAGTTGGACAACTGATGAAATAGGCCTTCTCTGGCTGAAAAATGTCTTTGAACCTTTTTCTAAGTGCTATATGACTGGTGTTAAGCACTTGCTTATTCTTGATGGCCATAGCAATCATTTAACTGCTGAATTTAATGATTTCTGCAAGAAGAATACAATAATCTATCTTTGCATGTCTGCTCAGCTTCACATCTTCTTTAACCACTTGATGTGGGTGTTTTTAGCCCACTTAAAAGAGCATACAGAAAGCTTCTTGAAAAGCATATGGAAGTCAGCAACAATCATATTGATAAAGAAGACTTTCTATCACTGTATCCAGACGCACGCGCTAAAGCCTTTACTTTAGCCAATATCTGCAGCGGTTTCGCAGGAATAGGGCTAAAGCCATTCAATCCAGAGCATGTTCTCTCTAAGCCTACACCAACCATTACTAGTGTCAGGGCCCTTGCCATGTAGACCAGGACGAGCACGTGAGCTTCCTTATTTGGATTAGCGTGGCGCGTGGATAGGAGTACGTCGTCCAGCTTCACGTAGATCTCTTCCCTTTTTCCTTCCTCTCCATGCTTGAAGTTCTCGTCGATAGCTGCCTAGATAGCTGAATAGCATCCTATTCATCGTCTAGTTGAGTTCCGTGACAACTAGTTGAAGGCTCTATTTCCTCTGCTTTTCAGACTCCGCAGAATACTTACCAACTAAATTAAAAAGCCTAAAGTCTGCAGAATAGTCTTAACACAAAACAGCAGCTTTCTAGCAGCCTTATTGCTCATATTCAATATCTTGAAAAAGCCACACAAATGGCGATGCAAACTACCCTTCTTTTGCAGCAAGAAATCAAGGCATTACAAGCTGAAAATGGGCAAAAACATCAGAAAAAGGCAAGTAAGCGTGCTGAAATAGGTAATGACTATCTTCTTAATGTACAGGAAAGTCAAAATCGCGTTCAGCAGCTTGATACGCACTTTAATGAGCAATCTGAGGAATCTACTGTTATGCCTCGTCAACGAGCTCCGCAACGCTGCAGTGGCTGTGGAACAGTGGGACATACAATTTGAAATTGCCCTAGTAAATAGCTATCAATTCGTATATTTATTTAGTTAATTTAAATGGCGTTGGTGGTTGAAGAGCTTGAATTATTATCTATATGCGGGAACAAATGGACCACTCGTCCGTGTGGACCACTCACCCGTTGAAAACGTTAGTTAACTAGTTACTTAAGAGAATTGATGCCTTAGTGCCTTGGCATCTTCGTACTCCTACAGACTCATCCCATCTCATCCATTCACTTTCAGACAAAAGAGAATCAATTTGTATACTGATAAACGTATAGGAGATATGAAACTGTCAAGTAATTTCACGTATTCCAGAAATGCAGGAGAATATCAATTCAACACAAGGAAAGTCAGTCAGGAAGAAACATCAAACGAATGCCGCAATCAACTATTATTATCAACTTGGGATTTCTCCACATCCATACTTGGGGTCCATATAGCCATTCAATAAGAGAGCAGTTATCAATGCCCAGCCACGAGACGTCCTTTGCCGGTGCGCTCAGGGACGTGATTCGATGGAGATTCAGTGTCTGTCGGAAGCTGAGCCAGCCATGACGGAGGTGCGATGCCCGTCTGCTCATGGATTGTACTGAGAAGAGGAGGGAGGTTCTGCATAATGTCGTGCACGGAGGAGGCGACGCCACTTGAACCGCTTCCATTGCCTGCTGTGGAATTAGCATAAAACTGCCTAGGAGTTGGGAGCAGATTGAAGATGCATCACGCTTAGCTTACCGGTGTTCCATGTGGTAATCTTGGGCTGAAGACCCCTGATGGCGTTGCCATTTGCCTGGGCCAGTTTTTCGTAAGTGCCTGTCTCCATCATCTTGTACTGCAAGAACGCTTGGGGTCCTCCCAGGACATCGACGAGGGCACCATAGGCCTTTGCCATTTCCAGCATTCCCTCAGCCTGGCGCTTCTGCTGATAGAAAGATGCATCTGCCTCTTTGCTCTGACGGTAGTCTGAGGAACGGTTAGCTTAAATGGAGCAAAAAGATCTTAAAATGAGAGATAACTTACATAGTGCATCCGCTTGCATCTTCTCTTTATACAGCAGGGCATCTGCTGATCTCTGTTCAGAGTAATACGTGGCGTCCGCTACTTCCTGTTTGGCTTCTCGAGCAACTTTGCTCTTGATGACCTCATTTGCCCTCTGGCGCTCCAGCTCCATTTCTGCACGCTTTGCCTCGACCTGTCTTTGCAGCTCTGCATCTCTCATATCCCGCTGGCGCTGGGCGGCTATCTTAGCCAGTTTTACGCTGTTGTCAAGCTCTGTCTGGCGGTTGGTGAGCTCCGAGTCTGCCTTGGCCTTTTCAGCTTTGCGCTTTGTCTCGAGTACTGCTGTCTCGGCATCTATCTTGGAAATTTCTTGCTTTGTGCGTCCTTGTTTCTCGGCCTCTCCTATTTGGCCCTTCATGCGCGCCTCTGCGACATCAATTTTGGCTTGATTGAGGGCTCCTTCATGGGCCTTCCGGCTGAGGAGCGTGAAGTATTCACTGCCAGGGGTGTCCTGGAGCTCCTTGACGTTTGCGTTGTAACTGCATAGAGGTATTGTTAGAAAGCATTCCCGAGGAAGTTACAGGATTTAGGAGAACAACTTACATTTTCAAGCCAAACTGTTGCAGCTCGCTTTGCACGTTCTCAATAACTGCTCGATGGTAAGAAGCCCTGCCACGGTAAGAGATTGACTAGGGAGACCCGCATACGCACCATTTACCTTGAATTTGTGCCTCTCCTTGAATACCTCCTCCATCGTCATCGTGGATACAATAGCCCGTGTTTCACCCTCAATGACAGCCCTCACGATGTCCTGCACATGGCCCTTCTTGGATCCTCCCTCATGCAGTTTGAGCCCTGAAGGACCGTCGGATTCCCCAGAAAGCAGCAACGCATATTTCCGGAGTGCTTTTGGCTCATTGTCAGGGCCGATGGTGAATATGGCAGGCAATGAGAACTGCAGTTTTTCAATGGTCATTGCCTGGAGGTCGAGAGCCAGGTCGAATGGCGACACAGAGATTCTTGTACACTATACGAGTATCAGTCTGGCTTACTTGTGATTATAAGGAAGACCAATCTGTTCATGGCCAGGATTCACATACACGCTGCCATGGGTAGACGACAGCCTTCTTGGTTATGCGAAGGTCAGTAATGCCCGCACCTGTGAGTACGAGGTACTCGTTTGCTTTGGCAATCGCGTATCTGCATTAAGATATTGTGGTTAGTGGTTGTCATTGGAATTTGATTGTTTCAGCTCCATACCTCATTTTGAATAGCGACTGAATATGTTCGCCTAGGATATGCTGATCTGATTGTAAGGAAGAAGCCAAGCAACACTGAGTCAACGATGAAAAGATATGTTCAATTTAGGAGAATGAGAGGTAATATATAGACTGAACAAAGATAAAAGGAAGAACTGCCCTTGCACCCCAGATTTGGGCCATATATTTATACCCAAACTCCCTTCTTCCAAGAAAAACCTCACAACCGAATCAAGCCATCTACAAGCGAAACGGGCACAGGAAGCATGCCAGGACCATGCCTCGGAATTTTCCCGCTCTGCAATTTCATTCGGGATCGAACGGGGCGCAAAAGGACAAGGACTGCAGCGGTATCATTATGTACAAAGCGAAGATCGATGAGGCTGAGGATCTGGGCAACCTGTGCCGTCACTGCCGCGACTTGGCGTCCACAGAAGAATTGTATGGTAAGGCAGATTTCCAGAAAAGCCTTGTCGCATCTAATTTACCAATATGGCTATTAGAAACGATGGCTTGCTCCGTACCTGTGCATTGTCACAAGCGGTTCATATTGTGGCTCAGATCTGGGTATCAAAGACTAACCCCTTCTAATGCTTTGTTGGCAGATTCTCGGAAGAAAGCATGAAGGTGCCGGATGCGTCAAAGGCCCCAGATTTTGTTATTTGACTTCCCCCGGGCTCCAATGGTATTGGCCTTGTGCTCATATAGTGAAGGATTAGCTGCTTGGCGATGAGGCTGCGCCCGGTTGGGTACGCCTGGAGACGGGATGAATCGTGTACCTACCACAAGTACCGGCTTCGAACATATGATTGATTAAATCCATCAAGTAGACTTTGGCAGAGCAGAATGTTATAGATTAATACGAGAGACTGCTGTGGATTCGTTTGCCCATGTCTCTGGATGGTATAATTTAGTCATCTCTGCCACAGTACTGCCATGCTGTGCAAGAGATATTTGGCGTATACTGTGACCTGAAGTATATTACAAAAGACCAAAACTAACACTGATACGAGTAACTAGATGTGCTATGAAAGAGCAGGCGCAGATGTTGTGGTCGTTGCGCTCGGTCTACTAGTAGCAGCAGTCCACGCGACATGAAGACTGCGGCAAATGTGGATGTAATGAGTCGGCAGAGACTTTACTACAGGCTCAAGGGGCGAATATTGAATGATTAGTACTAGGTAGTAGGTAAACAGAAGTTGGATCAAGCAGAGGTACAGCTTCAATCAATGGCGGGCCAGGAAGAACAGATGCATGCACCAGGCATGCATGAACCGCAGTACAGCCAACATCTAAAACCCGGTTAATTTGGCTGCAAAAATAGAATGAGGACTAGCCACAGCCTCCCCCATACAGCCAAGATGAAGCACCCTCCGTATTGCGGTGTAGGGAGGGAAGGCAGGACAGCATATTCTCTGCCAAAAAGTCAATTTAACTGCATGGCTTTGTATACTGCCTGCCCAACAATGTCAGCCATTACCTAGCAAGGCAAGACACAGTGCAACTGCAGGAATTCCTGATCATAATTGAACTGGTGTGTGGACTTGAAACGTTGCCCATAATCTCCCATAGATCTCGATGGTGCATCATAATGGATAAACTCGGCAGTGTAGAGACCGCATGGCGGAAATGGCAGTACTCTGTGTCGAATATTCGTATGCACATGCCATCAATAATAGAAACAGAAGCAGTGGAATTGCTTGCTGTTTGGCATAGTTACGGAGTATGGATTTCATACCAAGCCACTCCTGTTCCTATGAAGGTTGGAGTCATGTATACCGCACCCAAGCAAACACTGCAAACAACATTTTTCTCAACGGTGTTGGAGGGGGAGCTCCCTGAGCTGCAGGACAGTCTTCTACCCTCACTCTCTTCCCTCAGTAATCACCTTCCTATTGCCTGCTCACGCTATCAGCCTTGCAGAACATATTGCCAGTTTAGATCCAAGTCCTCGAAACTCCAAAGCAAGCCAGGTACGTGGAGATGCCGCTCTCTCGACCCCATGACATCATTTTGTATCTGGCGTTTGCATCTCCTTGAAGCAGATGATAAATACATTCACCCTATCTAACTAACTGCAAGTTTTTAGAAACCAACGGTCATAATGGCTCCCCGGTCCCAATTAGAAATTCACACAGCCTCCCTTCTGCGTCTTGTAAAGGAGGAGGCATCCTACCACAAGGAGCTCCAACAGCAAACAGAGCGGATACAGAGGCTAGAGGCCGCCAACGGCTTCGACGACGACGATGGTAACAAGGAGTATACACTAAAGCAGGAGGTAACAGACCAAGGTCTCTGTCATCGGAAGTTTAGACGACTGATATGTCTTAATTTTTAAACAGCGGCTGGCGCTTGAGGAGACAAAGAAAGTCCTCCCGACGATGAAGAAGAAGATTGATGATGCAGTAGCAAAGCTTGATTCCCTAGTGGTGAGTTGCTAGCAACATATTTCTTTTTGTATTTGATCCGCTGTCGAGAACGTGAATCTGATCTGGAATTTCATTTGCAGGTTGAGGAGGGCAGGAAGGGCCCTGAGAGCAATGTCGAACATATTACTGCTGCGAAAGAAGCCATAGCTAAGGCTAAGACTGCTGAGAGGGAGGTCTCATAATGGATGTTTTCATTTTCATTCAACGGACAGTACATGCACATAATACATGTCTGCAAAATAATGCAAATGAGAAAGGAAAAAGGGTTCCGCCTTGATGCCGAAGACCGCCAAAAAGAAAACTCCTTGCTTCTTTACATAGGGAAAGGAAGAGAAAGCAACCCTGCTTGGAGACCACTATGTAGTGTCCATTCGGTCGGCCGTGTGATTATCAGGAGCTTCTTCCCCTTCTTCTAGATCGTCAAGTTGTCCGGAATCGTCCTCCGCCGTTACTTCTCCTTCATCTACCATGGTGGTGTCCTCCTGCAATGGCTTCTCGTCGCCAACAGTAGTCGCTTGGCGTAAGGGTGATGCAGCTCTTCTTACAGTAGAGGTCTTCTCAACTTGTAGATTGTGTTGTGAGGGAGTCCCGGTATCAGACTCAAACCGAGGGGTGCCGGCTTCGCTCGATTTACCCTTTGAAGGCACATCGGCTTCGTCACCCTCTTGGCCATCCTGCATACCTTCACGACGTTCTACCTCTTCTTTCTCATCGCGAATCAACCGCCGAAGCTGCATCCCCTCCTCAACAATACGACCAAACTGCTCTCGCCGTTCGGCCCATGTCTTCGCATACTCCTTACTCTCCTCCTCCAACTCGGTGATTTCTGCCCGCAACTTCTGCAGATTGGCCTGCTGGTCTTCACGTGGTTTAAGCAACCTATTACTCGTAATCTTCTCGGCCAGCTCATCGTAAGTTTTCCGTAGTGCAAGCGCCCGCTGTGCCTCCTCCAGCTGTCCGCGCAGTTCATTCGTACTGTCTCGGACCGCTTGCATCGTAGACAGAATTCGGTGTTTCTCAGCTGCATAGCGTTCCCGTTCCTTCTCGTTACTGGTAAGCAAAAATTGGATGCGCGATACGCTTCCTTCAAATGCGGCGAAATCAAGAGTTACATCGTCGCGGAAATTCCGCCATGTCTCGAGCCGTCTCTGTCCCTCTGCCTCTACCGCTCCATCATCTTTTTCTGCTTCATCGGGAGGAGGCGTAGGAAGGAGCGTCGCGTACGAAACTGTCAAAGAATCCGGGTTCAAAAGGCGTTTCGAAATACGCTTGAATGGTTTCTCCTCGACGTTTAGAAGGCGAGACTTGTGGAGAGAATCTGGTAGGTTTGAATGTACGTGAGCTGCGCTGGCCTAAGAATCATGGGGAAGATCTAAAGAAATCTTGTCACAGTAGCTCTGTACCTTCTTCTTGCTGATCAAGTAGCTCATAGGATGCCATTTTGAGGCTAAGTTGTTTCTTCCTTTGGCTGTATGGTGATGTTGAGATGTTTCTACTGTCTCAAACTTCCCAAAGCGGCGTTTTGCCCGCGGAAGATCACGTTCTCGCTAGCGCAACAACATAGAGCGTCTATGCTGGCTTTTCCATCCCCTCTTCCCAAGATCCTACTGAGTTCAGTCGTCTGATGGGCTGTTTTACACTAGGTCCTCACTGATGGAATTGCGATTTGGGGTCGATGTTCCCTACGGATTTTACACTAGCCGATTCCAGTCGTACTTCCAGGCGAAGGAACTGGACATGAACAGTCATATATGTCAAAGCAGCAGGAACCTGTTGCGACCCAGATACACTGGAGCCACGCATATGCAGTCCTTGCCCAGGGAAAACCGGAAGTTTTTTGATATGAATCATAGGATCAAAGACGAATAGGCCGTGCCATCAAGTGCTACTATGGGTAATAAGATACCAATGAAACAACCCAGCAGTCTCAAGAAATTGCAACGATGCACCTTCGCAGGATGGCCCTTGATGCAATGGGTAGCAGAAATCTGCAGACTCAGCTATCTGGGTACGGCGTATATTAGACTGAGAGAGCCTTACTGTACAGCAGATCATCAAGGCTACGAATGATGCCCAGTGTCATTCCAATCGCTGGACAAAGTGTATAGCCATTCAAGTCCAGATTGAATACGACTGCATATCAGAGACTACCCGCAAAACCTTGAAGAGATGCATTTTTATCTTATTTTATGTTTTTTATTCTTCTGGCCCCGTCTTCCCAGGCGGAAAAGATAATTGCCAGTCCAAGGCAATGCAATGCGATACAATAACCGATCAAAACTCAAACTTAAACCATAAGCAACCTATTACTCATCTTCAAAAGGAAATCAGTCTGCAGAGCACCATTAGCAGCGAATAATGCGACAGTTCCTGTGCCGAACACCCGCTCTCATATCTATTCTTTCGTGTGGATTGCGAAGTCGTCTTCGGGAATCGAAAATCACCCCTGCGGAGAAGGTTTTCGGCCTTGTTCCGCTACATTTTCAGCAAGGCCAGAAGGGCCTGTTTTTGTGTCATGGCCGGGCCGCCATACTCTCTAAGGAAAATAAGGCCGGCGGTTGCATGTGTGTGAATCACACAGTAGCATGCCCTTGCTTCCAATATACAGGCGAATTGCATATTTCTTACTTCTTCTTCATCTCCTTCTTTCTCTATTTCCCCTGCTTTGCTTCTTTCTCTCCTTTCAGAGAAACATGGGACAAACCTCAGCGACAATTGTCAAAACCAGCCCTACAGTGTTGAATCAGCAGGATGAACCAGCAGCGGCAGGCAGAGAAGGCTCTCCATGACCAAACCAACATCCTCCCAATCGGACAACTGCTCGTAGTTTTTGCAGGATTGTCAGTGTCGCTGCTTGTTGCTTTTGTGGATCAGAATGGCATCAGCGTCACACTTCCTACCATCGCGAAAGACCTCAACGCACAGAACGCCATCTCCTGGGCCGGTACTTCATCCTTGATTGCCAACACTATGTTCACGGTGCTATACGGCCGCCTGTCGGACATCTTCGGCCGGAAGGTCGTCTATCTCTCCGCACTGGCTATGCTCTGCATCGCAGATCTGCTCTGCGGCTTGTCGCAGGATGCGCCCATGTTCTATGTCTTTCGAGGCATGGCAGGACTTGCAGGAGGCGGAGTCACCTCACTGACAATGATCATCGTGTCCGACGTCGTCACCCTCGAAGAGCGTGGGAAGTATCAAGGGATCCTGGGCTCTGCGCTGGGACTCGGTAATGTCATCGGCCCCTTCATCGCAGCAGCGTTCATTGTACGGTCCACCTGGCGCGGATTCTTTTGGTTATTGTCCCCTTTAGCAGCTCTTTCTGCAGTGGTTGGCTACCTCTTGATTCCTAACAGTGCGCGCAAAGACGGATTTTGGAACAACGTGCGCAAGATCGACTTCTTCGGATTGCTAGCATCGTCAACTGGGATTATCTTCTTGCTCATCCCCATATCTGGGGGTGGATCATACTTTCCTTGGGACTCTGCGATGGTCATTAGCATGCTTACCATCGGGACCTGCTCTCTGATTGCATTTATCTTTATTGAGTGGAAGGTGGCCACCCTCCCTATGCTTCCAGGTACGCTGAACAGGAACAAAAGAATTCCATATAAGACAAGAATCTACATCCCACACTTTGAACTGGCATACTATTGAGAATTCAATCATAAAGTGGTCTTCTTCAGGAACCCAGTTATCACCACTTTTCTCGTTCAGAGTTTTCTACTAGGCGCCGTGTATCAGTCGTATCTATACTACTTGCCTCTGTACTATCAAAACGCTCGAGGTTGGTCACCTATCGTTTCCGCGGCCTTAACGACCCCCATGGTTTCATGCCAGTCCATTTTCTCCATTCTATCGGGCCAGTACATTTCACGCTGCAAAAGATACGGGGAGGTGATATGGGCCGGCTTTGGTATTTGGACATTGTATGTCAATCTTGATCTCATTTCCTCTTTCCTTTCTCTCCCGGAGAATAATGCTGACGACAGACTACTCTTGGCTCCCATAACCAGAGGCGCCGGCCTAATTCTCATATTCTCCCAACACACACATCCGGCAGTCATCGCCGTGATTGTTGCCGTAGTTGGCATCGGCCTCGGCTTTACCTTCCAACCGACATTAGTTGCTCTCCAGTCTCACTGCACAAAGTCTCAACGTGCAGTCGCCATCTCTAACCGAAACTTCTTCCGCTGCATGGGTGGGGCCTGCGGACTGGCTGTCTCTGCAGCACTTCTGCAGGCGACTCTCCGATCAAATCTCCCGGAAAACTACAAGTATCTAGCTCATTCCTCGTATTCAGTCCCAGCTAGGTCGACGATACCAGATGCGCAGTGGATGCAAATTCAATCCGCGTATGCCAAAGCGTCGAGATCTGTATTTACTTTGCAGGTCCCGCTGATTGGTGTGTGCTTCCTGGGTTGTATTTTTCTGCGGGATAGGGGATTGGAGAGACCGAAGGAAACCGAAGATGAGGAAACTCATCGTAGAGGGGTGACTATGACTCAGACAGCTCTTGAGGGAGGAGAAGAAAACGGAGCAGATGGTGATGCGGCCATTGCTGGAAAGTCTCCATCCTCTGATTTCAACATGCATGAGGAGAGATCGCAGGGTGTAGAAGGTGCCGCATTGCCCAGTTCAGATCCTTCATCGACGGCGAAGAAAACTGAAAGCGAGAAGAAAATAGTGCTTGGAGGAGAAGACAGACTAGGTGTAGCCATTCCGACTGGGGAGTGAACCTTTTTTGCTCATCTCCTTCATTCAGACGGAAACACATTTATACATCTACACAAAGCATAGAGAGAATACACAAAACCCTAACCTGGCGCATCTGGAAACCAGCCTGAGAGATCGGGCAAATCAAAGCGTCCCAGGAACACAAATTCATCCGGATCAGAACCCATCTCATCCCAACCCATAAGGGCATTACTGAACCGGCTGAAGGATTCATGATCTTTTACCCCATGAATCTCTCCACGAACGTCGCGGATCCCTGCACTGGACTTAAGCTGATCTCCTGAATATCGAGATGCCATGTCCCCCTGAACTGATGCAGCAGCCCCAAGTTGACCACCATTAATCCCGGGGGAATCCTCATTTACAACAGCCCTGGAGGGTGAATAATATTGAACAATTTGAACATAAGTCGCCCGGAGCAGATCAAGCGAATTCCTAGCAGACAAACTGAATGTAGCCATATTATCCAGAATCCGCTCGCACTTATGCCATGTCCGATCGATGATGTCTACGCCGATACGTTCCAGAATCGAGCGACATGAATATGACATGATGAGGAGGGTTCCCGCGGTGGAGGTGTAGAAGCCGTTATACCACCATGCGTCTGTGGCCGGGGTCTGGTACGTGTCGTAGATGAGGGAGATGAGGTCCACAGCCGCCATGACGCAGGCTACAGCGCAGTTTGAGGCGATAGATGAGTAGACAATGTTTCTATTTAGGGTTTTATTGGCGTCTGATTTCGAGGAAGCCGACGACGACGACGTCTGCGTTGAGGATCGTGTTTCTCCTGCATTTTCGGAACATAGCCGAGTGAATATGGGACGGTAGAGGAGTAGACGAAGATGAATGAATCTGATGCGAAAATAGTCAGGCTATATTAAAAAAAGAAATGAAAAGGGAATGGGAAAGAGAAGATACCTGGCGTGCAGCACGTTCCTCTGCAGTTCGAAAACCCGTGCATTATCATAATCTGTATGTTCCAAAGTTCCAGTCGCAGCAGACCAACTCAGATTCGGAGGCAGGTTAGATTCAAATGCGGAGAGCTTGCTGTCGAGTTCAATGATGATATCCAGACCACATTGTCTCGTTTCTCTGCACGGTGATCGACCATGCCACGCATTGTAAATATCTCACAGAATGCTGTCCAGGATTCCATAGAGCTCTATGGTGGACACATAGAATGTCATGAGCGAGTAACCGACACCCCCAGCCCGGCCATTAGAGTCTGACAATAATTCGGAATCGCTGACCGTAGACGGCAGAGGCACCGGTGGGATATGCGAAGTCATGCTGGGCCGACCAAAAGTCATACTAACAATCAGATCTATTATGACACATCCATGCCACGTTCGTCGTCGGATCTCCGTCTCCAAGAGGGTAGATGAATCCTGAACCGTCGCTTCATGCAAGCCCAACCCTTGCGCAATCCTACACGCTATCCCGATTGAAAACCAGCACCGACCGGTGTACGAGGTGCTTTGGAGATAAAGCGCAACGATCAAGAGCACCTGGACGATGCCTATGGAGCCAATATTCAGAAAGCTAAGGCAGACGAGGCGTTCAGAGCGATGGAAGAACGAACGGGCGAGCTCTTCTCGCTCCGGTCCTAGGTCATTGGAAAAATGGCAGCCCAGGGCAAACATAATGTTCAGCGCATTATAGAGAACGAGAGGATTTGCGTTGGAGTCGAATGCACTTCCGAGTCCGATGTTTAACTCGCTAAGTTCAGCCTGTTCCTGTGTATTGCACCGGAGATTCTTGTATGCCTTTTGGAAACTCGGTCAGTGGAAGAACGGGTACAAACAGTATACTCTCTTCCAGAAGCAGTAGAGAAGATGGTCCGCTAAGGGACGAGGGGGTAAGGAGAAATTGTCATATTGAAAACGGCTGGACGGCCCCGCAATTCCTTGTAACAGGCAATGGATTCCATCGGGACGGCTCGTTTTGCAGTAATAGCCACTCCCTCTGCGAGGGCTTCCGTCCTTGATGGGGATTGATTGATTGATTTTCAAGCAAGGCGCATCAGCGATGCGGCGGAGGAGCTCCCGTAGTACTCCTCCTGTGGGGAGACTCTTGATCCCGCATCCTCAGCGGCAGATATGGCCCCCATGGCGGTGCCGTTCCTGTGAGGGTCAAAGCCAATGGCCTACGGTGAGTTGAAGCCCTGCAGCGAGCTACTTCCAGAGGTTGAGGTTGTTGGCGAGGTTCCATAACGACTCTCATTCACCGTCTGCGCTGCACCATCAAGAGATAACGGAACTGTTTTGACTGTGATCGCCGGGTTGATCTCGGAAACCACTGGGTCCTTGGATTCACACTGAGTGCTCACTGGTGGCACCGCAATGCCGGCTTTCGAGCATGCTTCTTCCAACTGTCGAATCCGCCTATGGAGGGTTTTGAGATACCTGCACAACGGCGTAACGAAGACGTTAGAATAAATAAGAAAATAAAGAAAAGAGAAGAAACAGGCCAGTTCCCAACTCCCTTTGCCACGTACTTACTCATCACTGATGGCCGTTCGAGCACTATCAGTGCGGTGTATACAGCGATCGATGCCATACCCGGGTCGTCGGCAGTGGCTGCAGATAGGGTTCGCCCCGTCGCATCGGATCTTCTTCTCTCTGCATCGCTCACAAGCAAGGATTACCTTGCGACGCGGTTGGCCCCTCTTATTAATCCCGCCAATATGGGCGGTGGTAGAGGTAGCAGTCATGCTATTTCTGTCAACCAAGGTGCCTAGACGCAAGACAGGATCTCGGGCTGTGGACATATGACATATGGCAGCCAATATTCTCTCGAAGAGATAGATATAATGACAGCTTTTATTATATGCTTAGGAGAGTACCATATCACCCGATGCTGTGAAAGCAGAGAAATAGAAGTCCGGGGAAATGTGGAGAGAACGCGGGACCCCGTAAAAAGCACGTTACCTTACTAACCGCCTTGGGAATAGCTATCCCTACATTTGCTTTTGATCTTGATTACCCTGTATTATTATTATTATTATTTTTGTCAATTATTGTCAATATTATTACGCATGGCGTGGATTCCTCTGTCTCCGGGACTGCGACATTCCTCGGGGTGGATCCTCTTGATGAGATGTAAACATCATTCTCCCCGGGTCAGTTCCGGCAGCAGTGTTGATACTCGCTGGCTCCCAGGTGTCTGACCACTTTACAGAATATAAACTTAGGATCCTATCCCCTTCTATAGCTGTCTTGGGAAACGTCAGAAAAGCAGGGCGTGTCCCTTTCCAAAATGGGCGCGACGCTTTCACCCATCATTTGTGATCCAAGAGACCTCGCTATCTGTTACATTACTTGCTTGTGAGCTGTAATATAATGAGCCGGGTTGAGCACCTCCCGTTTGGACGTAAGCTCGTTGGTCCTCAGAGTATTCCTTTGGTTAATTAACAGTGCTCTTCTCTAGTCGAGATTGTCTACGAGAGCCTTGCTGGCAAGGGTTACCCTTTTGAATTGAATTTCCAATATGGAAATCTCCCCAATGAAGCAACCGTCATCCCCGAGCTGGAAGCAGAGCGAGAGCGAGAGCGAGAATCTCCCTGAGAGACCACCAGTACAATATTATCCAATCGACACGACAGCGGTACTCCATCAGTCTCATTAGGTTCCACCAACGAATACAACCCGCGCAAGCAAACTGACCAGTTATCCGATGAGCTCCAATGGGGTTCGGACACTGATTTCTGCTTGCACGGTTACTCGCTTCCTTTTGGACAATGTACGGAGGATTGGATTATCCAGGATGCATTGCAAGGGATGAAATACTGGCTCCGGAACACCGAAGTTGTATCTCTTGAAGCAACGGTCGACCCGGAGGCTGAACACGAACATTCCAGGGGGATTTCTCCGGATTGGTTTTCCCTAAGCGGGGAGGACCAGGAAGAATACGATTTACAGAACTTGTGCAGTTCGTCCTCCGTGTACTGGAACGCCGGAGATGATACTGCCCACCAATGCCCCAACTACGAGTACAGCAACAGGTCTCCAGTGAGAAGTAGATGTCTCCAGCGAAGGGGATATTCGGAGTGTCCCTGTGAGAAGGAGAAGAGGCGACGGCGAATAGTCCGGAGCTGGTTTGATGAGCTCCGCAGCCTGATACCCGGGTTGGACGACAGTCGACCATGTAGCCGGAGGGATATCCTCAAGGGAGCTGTAATCTGGATTGAACGCTTGGTGAGTGGGAACAAGGACTTGCACCGGCAACTCGAGATGATCAAGGCATCTTCCGAAGGAAACGGCATAGATAAAGGCGCGAGGTAGGTAGGTTACTTGGATTTCGTGATTGTAGCAACAGCGTCAGGGCGATTGTCCGCATAGAACATACTACATAATACACATGTAATTTTCTTTCTAGGTACCTTGGAGCCTTTTCCTTTCTGTATTGGTGCTCACCTCACCCCTTGCCACTTTTAGCTCACTGAGCATATCCTGTGCATGGGGTGAGTACCGGAGCAGTGGGGGTAAGATGTAGCCTCAATGATGGAAGGTCTCTGTGATGGTAGGATAAAAAGCCTGTATAGACACATACATGCCTCCATATAAATCTGCCTTGCCCTAATCCCTTGCCCTCTTGCCAATCTAGGTTAGTGCAACCCCAGAAACTTCCCCACAAAAACTAATCAATGACGATCCCCGTAAGACGCCCCACAACAGTTGCCATCGCCCGGATCTGTCCCGATATTCACCTGGAAATTGAACAGGTCAGCCAGAGGCGTAGGACCATCGCCTCCGCGCCAACGATATTGAAGGGGAAATGGGTTTCCTGCAGATCCGCGTTTCATGCTCGGTTCGGTTTGAGCAGACTGGTCTCATTGCCCTCGAATGGTCGAACCTCGATTATTGCCTGTCTGTGGTTGAGAAGGAATGAATCGGCAGGGGTGTGCATTTTCTGTCCACGTTGAGCCATATAAACACAAGATTTACCATGAAGTTACGGGGTTCAGCTGTTATTCCTCTATCTACACTATCCTTATCCTATATATCTAGTAGAGAACTCATTGTGTTGATTGCTATCCTCATCCAGATTAACGGCGTCATGGCAACGAAGGAACAGGCCCCCTCGTATATCAGGGTTGCCTGTATTGGCGCTGGACTGGCTGGAATTGCTCTCGGGGTGCAATTGAAACGCTGGTATAACCTCGACGACATTCAGTTATTCGAGCGCAATGATGACCTGGGTGGAACTTAGTACGTCAATTCGTATCCGGGTATGCACTCTTTACCAACAGACAGATGCCAAACAAAGGCTGATCGTAAACCTCTCTTGTCGAATAGGCTGTGCTTGTGATATTCCGAGCGCTCTCTATAGTTATTCCTTTGCCCCCAATCCCAACTGGACAATGCTCATGCCGCCCTACAAGGAGATCAAGAACTATGTGGACACTGTGGTCGATGCATACAACCTGCGAAACAAAATTACTTTCTCAGCTGAAGTATACAGGTCCACCTGGCAGGAGGATAAACGGACATGGCTTCTATATCTTCGAGACGTCAAAACTGGCTGTGAATTCACCCATGAATGCCAGATCCTTTTTCCGCCATCGGTGTCCTGTTGGAGCCTCGTCCCTGTGATATCCCCGGCGCTTCATCTTTCAAGGGTGCCATTTTCCACTCCGCAAAATGGAACCATGATGTGGACTTGACGGGCAAGAATGTCGTCGTCATTGGAAATGGATGTATGTTCTTCTGTCTTCTCCGGAAGGAGATTCTAGCTAATAATTTTCTTGTATTTTTCTTACAGGCACTGCGGCACAAATAGTCGCTGCCATCGTGAACAAAGTCAAGTCCGTGACGCAAGTGATCCGAACCCAACACTGGACTGAATTCGGCGGTCCAGAAGGATATAACTGCTCTGTGATGCATGGATTTCCCAACTTCTTCCTCTTGCTTGGTTCGAACTCGATCACAGGACATACATCTGCCATTATGGCTATTGAGAAGTGGGTTGTTTCCTTTACTATAGCTCAAGGCCGATTGTAGAACACAGAGAACGTGCTGATACATTTTGAACAGCTCTATAAACTACGCCTTTCGTATCCTGAAGCCTGTTTTCCAGGAGGAGGCGACAGCTGTCGAGATCAAAAAGGAAGCAGAGGACAGCTACGTCAGTTGGATGCAGAGTGCTCTCCAGAACACCGTCTGGAATACAGGGTGTCAATCTGTAGGTAGTCCTTGTCCATAGCAAGAGATATTACCATACTAACCATACAATCTGCAGTGGTACGTAAGTACGAACAAACAGTGGAACGCCATTGCCTACCCCCGATCTCAGCTCCACTACTGGTACCGGAGCCTGTTCCCTGTGTGGACAGACTGGAACATCGAGGTGAGGAACGATTGTGTGCATGCATTAAAGTATTTACGCTGTTGGAAATCATTTAACAAGATATTAAATAGATGAAGCCTTCCCGGAAGTCTTACAAGGGACGCTGTATACTTGCTCTTCTGACCACCGGTGCACTGGCTGCAGTAGGTTCACTGACTGTCTTGCACTTCCCAACGCCATCATTGGAGACATATGTTTCCCGTATCCCAGATTTACTTCTGGATTTACCTCTGGAAAGCTGGCAGTCGACAATGAGGAATGTGACTGAGTATATCCCGAAGGTAGGGTGGTGGTGAATGGATGGTATGGGCGAATTGATATCATGTACATAGCGCCTCCTCTCTTTGTTTATATGGCTCGATATCTCCTTGCTGTTACTGCGTATTGTGTTCCTCCGGATTATGTTGAAGCGCATAATGAGATCAAATTAATGTCCATATATTTTATTGCCAACGCCGGAGGAGGCTGAATATAGGGTTACTCTCTACAACAGCAAATAAGTTCACGTCATATGAATGGATTACATTAGCCCTTCTAATACTAGGGAAGAATGGGAATATGCAGTAAGAATTATTGAGAAGAGCAACTCTTCACTTGCAAGAGTCAGACAGGATAACCTTGACAGCATCCCCCTCCCTCACCTCCGTCTTCTCAGGAGGCAGATGAATCCAGCAATTCGCATTGAGCAACGGCTTTATCCTCCTAGAACCATAATTATCCTCAACCAGACATACTTCCGCCCCGTGTCCAGCCTCATTGAGCAAAATGCCCGCCCGAAACACATCTGTCTCCGGTGGAAAACTCTCCAGAACCCGATTACGATCCGGCAAGACCTCTCTCCCTATACCCTCCCGCCAGCCAGGAGTCCTAATAGTCGCCTCACAATGTTCCCTACTGCGAGTCAGTTCCAGTTCCTGGCCCTGCAAGCGTCTGAGATAGGGTAAGACCAGAAACCGAAAACAGACTGCGCTATCGACGGGGTTTCCGGGGAGACCGAAGAATGCTGTATTACCGGTATTCCGTGAAGACAACCCGGCAATGTCATCATCGTCTTGTTCGATCTCTTCCACCGGCGCGTGTATGTCAATATCAACCCGAGAGAGCATCGCGAAGAAAGCTGGACGACCCGGTTCCATGGCAGGACCATGAAACAATACATTCCCACCTAGGTGTTTCTCGACTGCCGTCCGCACCCAGTCAACGCCGCCGGTGGCCAGAACCAGATCGTACCGATGGTGTGTGAGATGGGTTTTGATCAGATGTGAGATGGTGAGTGCATCGTCGTCAACGGCACCCAGGAAGTCCACTTCGGCTCCCCATTCCTCCAACACGGACGTCAGGTACGGTCCGTTGACGTCGGGGATTCTATTATTGCTAGTAACCGTACTTCTGTCGTGATCTCTTGAAGATGACGCCGTGACCGGAGTATCTAGCAGTAGTTCCCTTCCTGTGGAAAAAACCGCTACACGCGGCTTGCGCAGGACGGATATCTCGCTGATCCCGACAGACGACAACGCCATGATATGAGAAGATCGCACGACCTCATTGTCGCGAAGGATCTCATCGCCAGCCTGGAAATCCGTGCCGGCAATTTGGATATTCTGTCCTGACCGCGCCCATTTCATTACCTGGATGTACCGTGATGCCCCGGCGCCAGTCTCAACAACTCTTGTATCCTCAATGCGCACAACACAATCAAAATCAAACCCCATCTCAGCATCAGCTTCATCGACAAGCGGCACTTTTGCGCCCCTCATAACCTCCACACACGGATAGATCCCACGCTCACCTGGAGCACCAGAAACCCTAACCGGCTCCTCACCCGCGGCAACGGAATCCACCACGCGAAGCGCCAGTGGTGCTTCCGACGAGGCGGTTAATGTCGCCGCTGAGTTGAGCGCGTATCCGTCCACGAGGGAGGTGTTGAATCTCGGTGTTGCGGTGGGAGAGACATGGGTGTGTTTTGAGATGCGGTGGAGGGTTTTCGAGATGGGGAGGAGAGTGGCGTGGAGGTGGTGGTGCGTTGCTTGCGTGGTGAGGATTTGGAGAGCTTGGGCGTAGGGTATCATTTTATTTATTGTATTTTCCTCGGTTAAGGGAAATTGTTCTTCTTCCTGTTGTTGTCATTGTTGTTTGTTTCCTTTTTAACATTTATAATTTATAGATGAATGTGTTCACCATGACGTACAGGTTCATCCCATAACCGTGGATATTGGATAGAATAGGGTGGTCGATGAACATCTTAGACGCTAGACAATGGCTCAAGATTATCTATTTCATAGAATCCTTTATTGTAGCAGTACTCTAGATTCCCTAACCATAGAAGAACATGATCAATCCCGAATTGGAACAAGCAGCAACTGCGGCACCTTGATACTCATCACATACCGCATCCACTCGAGAATCCTCCGAATAGACTTCTGCGCCTCCAAGACAGCATCCCGGAACTCCTCATCGCCCATGGCCTCGCTGGCCGCCTGCAACCCGACCAACTGCATCTCCACATGGCACCCGGGCACATACAATCTGCGCAAGACGATAAGCACATCCGCCCTCTCGTTCATCGCCTCGTACGTGCTCAGGTTGTACGGGAAAAGAGTAGCCCGGAGCCGGCGCGATATGGACTCTCTCGGCATTTCACGGACGCCGTATTTCTTCGCGAAAGGTTGGATGAGGTCGTGGATCGTCATTGCTATGTGGCTTAGCACGCGGAAACCCTGGTAGATATCCTTGTCGCTGACCAGGGAGGAGCAGTCAAATTCCTGCTTGCAGATCTCGAACAGGTCTGTGGCTGCTTGGACGGTGAATGCTAGCCAGGTTTCCAGACGACAGGTGCGTTGGTGGGTGTCTTTGATCTCGTTTGGGACAGAGTGGGCTTCACGTTTGCTGTTTTCCACCCTATGCATGGCGTCAGACTGCCGTTCTCGAGCGTGAATCTTGACCTGGCCTGTGTCTGTGGCATCTTGTGGGAGTTTTTCGATCCGCACTGTTCCTCCTTTTAATGTGGGCTGTTTCGATACTGGGTCCCATTGATCTGTTTGTAGTTAGTAGATAGATCCATTGTGACGTAGGGATAAAGTGCAACAAAACTCACCAACAGTCAACTCGTTGGCGGCCCTTGCTCGACCATCAGTGGAATCGAAATATCCAAAGTGAAAAGGGATAAAAGCCTGCCCTGGCATAATATCCCCAATGGACACGGGCATTTCAACCACCCCCCTTCTCGAGCGGACAAGGACCATCTCTCCATCCTTGACATCAAAACGAGCGGCATCGGACTCAGAAATCTGAACACGCGGTTCAGGGCACGAATCCTGCAGCGGCTTCGATCGTCCCGTCTTCTCGCGTGTGTCCGAGTGAAGCGCCTCCCGTCCCGTATTGAGAAGAAGCGGATATTTTTCATCCGGCGTCTCAATCGGAGGGACATACGGCGACCACTTCAGGATAGCTCTCCCGCGCGGATTCAACTCTAGGTATTGGTCCTTGGCAAACGGAACCCCGGTTTCAAGGTCATGTCCGAAGCTCTCACAGTAGTCGATGTCTGTGTTGAAGATTCCGTCCTCGAAAAGCCTTTCCTTACCTAGGGGATACTGCTCGTTGCATGGCCACTGGATGCCGGATCCGCCTCTCAGCTTGTCGTAAGTGAGTCCGCTGTAATCGCAGGGTCGACCTTTGGATACTAGTTTCCAGGCTTCGAAGACTTCTTCCGCCGTTCGCCACGGGAGAAGACCGTTCCCGTCTTTGTCCTTTAGGGTCATTCGGTTCCCGAAATCTAGGAAGATCTCTAGATCCGATCGGGCCTGTCCCGGTGGATCAACTGCCTTTTCAGATAAATGCACCGTCCGGTCCGCGTTGGTATACGTGCCTATCTTCTCCCCCCATTGAGCAGCGGGGATGACTACGTCCGCGATAGCAGCCGTCTCTGTTAGGAAGATATCCTGACAGACGAGAAAAAGATGGGGACTGCTGAGGATTTCCCGGATCCTAGACAGATCGGGCAGGCTCACCAGTGGGTTGGTGCCAGATACCCACAGCATCTCCACGGAGCCCTTCTCCATGTAATCGAGCAAGGTCATGATGGGTGTAGGCTCGGCCCAATGAGGCAGGTTTCTGTACTCGATGTTCCACAAGTCCGCGAGCTGCTGCATATGCACTGGGTTCTTATGGTTTCGGAACGCGGGGAACTCGCAGTTACATCCTGCTTCCCGATTGTTCTGGGCAGTAGGCTGGCTGTTCATCTGGAAGACGCCGCTCCCTGGCTTCCCGATGAGACCACGGAGAAGGTTGATGTTGTTGATCTGGCACGCTGCTGCTGTTGCCTGGTTTGATTGATAGACTCCCTGCAGCGCCGTCGATACCAATGCCTTGGAGGTGCCAATGATCCTAGCCGCCTCTTCGAGGTCCTTGCTAGGAACTCCAGTGATCTCCTCGACAACGTCCGGTGTGTATTTCTCCACTACCTTCTTCAACCCTTCTACTCCGCAAGTATGCTGCGACACCCATTCATCATTGACCCAGCCATTTTGGAAAAGTAAACACTGAATCCCATTGAGCAGGGCAACATTGGTCCCGACCTTGGGAGCCAGATGAACATCCGCCCGTTTTGCTGTCTGTGTCTTCCTAGGATCTACAACAACAAGTTTAGGCGGTTTGGGCCCATCCAGTCGATCGAGAATTCTGGACCACAGCACCGTCTGCGTCGAAGCCATATTGTGGCCCACCAGCAACAGACAGTGTGTACAGTCGATATCAGAGTATGAGGCTGGCTGACCATCTGACCCGAAAGACTCCCGGAGAGACGCAGCAGCGGTTGCGCTGCATAACCGTGTATCGCCGTCCCTGCTAAATCTCTTAGCAATGTCTCTTTAGAAAAAGGCTTTCCTGGAACTCGAGACATGCATGTTTAAAGTGTTCAGCCCTGCCTTCCCAATAACCGCCAGTGCGTAGTACTCCTCCAGAAACAACTGTCCGGACGTATAAAATGCAATGGCATGCCCCGTCATCCGACGACGGATATCCTGTGCTTTCTCAACAATCAGCGACATGGCTTCATCCCAGGATGTCTGGACAAGTTGGCCATTTTTCCGCACGAGGGGATGCGTTAGCCGGTCGGGATGATTGATCGATGCCCAGCTGAAGACAGACATAGTGAGTGAGCACATTTACGCAGACGATAAGAATAATCCGAGAAAGCCTTACCCCTTAAGTCCCTTCGGACCCAGACGACCCTTATTTACACGATCAGTAACGCGTCCTCGGACACCGACTACTCTGCTCTGCTTCACACCGATATCAAGGCCGCAGCCATTACTGAACGGTCCATTGTTAGTCTGAATCTACAGTAGGTATATGAGTAACATGCCAGCAACATACCTGCACAAGACACATGCGCTCTGGACCCATTTATCCGGTTCTTCTTCAATGAATTTGTCTTCTCGATGAGGCCATTCGTGGAGATAGGGGGTTCGAGGACCCCAAATGTCTTTGATGGGATCACGCGATTCGAAGGCCATTGAGACTATCGTTCATCTTTCTTTGCAAATTGGCAAATTGATTGATCGTCGGAGATGGACATCCTGGTTGCAAGTGAACATGGTATGACATGATGATGTCACTGGGAGTTGACGTTCCGGTCGATAGTTGACAGTTAAATGGGAAATTATTGGATAATATAAATTAATTTGGGCGAAATACAGAAACGATCATGAGCAAGACAGAAATGAAGCACCAAAGAAGCGATTATTATAATCGCGGTGCAATGGGCAGAAGGCCCCTCGCCAAACGTCTAATCTGAGCCGCATAATACATCTGCACATCTCGATTAAAGAATGACCAGATATCAAAAAAAAAAAAAAAAAAAAAAAAAAAAGAGAGAGAGAGAGAGAGGAAGGGGGATACTAAAAATGAAAAATCACTTACCGTCTCAAGTCCAGCCCCCAAAAACCGAATCGGAAGGATCCTCATCAGAAGTGGCTTATGAGGTGTACCCAAGATGAGACTCGCCTTGTCATCAGACACATTCTCATCAAGAAGCAAATGTGGAAGATCAGGACAAATAGCTGCCGGACGGCCGATACCGATCAAATCACACGCGTTGTCTTCGAGGGCAGCATTCATGCCCTTGCGCGTCCGGAAGCCACCCGTCACCATGAGAAGGACATTGGGGAAGCGGCTGCGGACTTCGGAGGCGAACTCGAGGAAGAAGGCCTCGCGAGCCTTGGTACGAGCTGATTTCACGCCTATGGTCATCTGCAGATATGCTTTAGGACAGTTTTACTTGTGGACTGGGGAATGTATACATACCGTTGGATTCTCGTATGTCCCACCACTGATTTCCAAAAAGTCAATGCCAGCTTCCACAATTAGCGCGATCTGCATCATGACATCCTCAAAGTTCCCGGACTGATGGTCTGCGGAGTTGAGCTTGATACCGACGCAGAAGGTCGGCGGGACGACGTCTCGAATCGCCTGTATGATGTCCAGGACGAATTTGGCCCGTTTCTCGGGGGATCCTCCATATGCATCTGTACGGAGGTTCGTCTAGTATTCATACTGTCAATGGCAGGATGCAGGAGCTTTCAGTTGACGTTCATCATACCTTGGGATTCAAGAATTGATCTAGACCAAGATCAGCGCTTATTCGTGGAACCCAACCCAAGCGAACAAGGGAAATAGAAAATAACCATACCAATAAGATACCCATGCGCTCCATGAATCTCAACCCAAACCCAGCATCAGCCATCACCTTGGCCGCATCCATAAACAAGCTCACAACACGATCGATATCAGCCTGTGTCATCTCCCTAGGTGCAGGGAAAATGAACGGCCTAACCAACCGCTCCAACCACCCATTGCCCAGGTTCACAGGAACCGCACTGGGTGCTATCGAAGGCGCGAAGAGCCCCCTTCTTCCCGCGCCGCGCATTGACTGTCGTCCGGGATGGTTGAGCTGCACGATTGCCGGCGCGCCATGTTTCTGCGCAGCTTCCGCGTACTTCTTCCACGGGATCAGGAGGTCAGCATCAACTTCTTTGCCGCGATATTCGCGTGGCAAGGCAGTGTCGTCGGGAGTTCCGAGATGGTTGATGTCGACTTGGACGTTTCCTGTTAGGAGAGCACCCCAGTTGCCTTGGCCCCATTTGTCGTATGCTGCAATTAGGCTTGGGTTTGGTTGTTGGTTTTTCGTTGAGAGGGTTTCTGCCATTGCGGCCTGGGGGGTATTGTTAGCTGCTTTGTTCCCCTTATCATATGAAAATACATACGAACCTTGACGAGCCGATTAGGCAAAACCAAGCCGTTGGGCAGCTTGACTGCATCGCTTAGGGATGGAGACATGTTGGCGAGACGAGAAGCAAACAGGCAAGTGTGTTAATAGCTAAATTCAGAACTCGACACGGAAATTGGAAAACGGAGGTATTATATACTGCCGTCAGGCCATAAGCCGAGGTATCTCCATACAATTTCGCACCAGATGGATCACCACATCATTAATAATATGGGCCTTCAGCATGAATGCACATCCTGAATTGAAACCTTGGTTCCAACTGAATTTGGAAACAAAAAGAATAGATATGTGAATAATTCCAAACTGCTAACAATAATGCATGCACTGATTTTTAACCATCGGCCAAATGTTCGCCCGGTTTAGTAAGAATTTGCCCGAGTCCGACTGACGACTCATCTATTGTTGAAAATCCTACCCACTCTACCTAAGGTACCCGAGATTCATGCCAAAAACCCACATATCCAAAACCAGGATCAAGACCAAGACCAAGACGGAACCAACATCACTGAACGGGGGTATACAGGATAAACGCCCTTGTTCCACCCATCCAGCCCGCAAGAAGGAAGGAGGGAAGGAAGGAAAGGAAGATGTAAAGAAACCACAGGCGCTCACGTGGACAAGAAGCTATCACAATGACTCCCTGGACGAGTCCCTGCATTAGATCGCGGAATACCGAAGGAGTAAGAAAAGGAGCGAATGAGAAATCGGTGCAAAAAGGGAGGCCGCTGGCAATGGAGGGGGAAATAAAGAAAAAAGAATATCCCTGAAACTTACAGCCTAGAATGCGGTTCAAAATAACTTTGACCGTTCACCGGGGACGGTGTACCAAGACTGGATAGCAGAGCTCCGACTTCCCTCTCCAGAGAGCGAACCTCGGCATGCGGGTCGTACATCCTAGCTCGGATCCAGGCGTCGAGGGCGGCGTCATCAAGGTTGGAGAGGGCATTCTCGCGGTCCACCTTGTCCTTTTGCGCGGCGCGGATGACCTTGCGGGCCACCACAACGCTCACGTTGCGAATGCGGGTGATGTCGGGGTAGAGATAGCCCAATTCGATCTCCTCCGGCGTGAGAGCTTCAGCCACGGCTTCACCCGAGGCGTAGATCATGGCGTCGGTGACCTCAACAGCCTTGGAAAGGATGGTACCAAGACCGATACCAGGGAAGACATACATGTTATTCCCCTGGCCCGGATAGTAGGTGCGGGTTTCTCCGGCGGAGTTGGTGAAGAGGAATGGCTGGAAGGGAGAGCCAGAGGCGAAGAGGGCCCGACCGTCCGTGTGGGTAATGGCGCTCTCGAAGTCGCATTCCGACTTGGACGACGGGTTGGACAGGGGGAAGATGATGGGGTGCGTGTTCCACTCGGCCATCTTATTGAGAATCTGCGGGGTAAAAACGCCCCCCAAGGTGGAGAGACCCATCAGCATGGTCGGGTGCACATGCTCGATGACTTCCTCCAGCGTCTTGAACTGCTGGCCATTGTTGTCCGTTCGTGCGAAGTAGATCTTGTGGTCGGCGAGTTTATCTCCGCGATCCGCAGTGACAAGGCCTTTGGTATCTACTAGGTAGAAGCACGCACGGGCCTCATTCTCGGTCATACCCTCGCGCATGAAGAATTGCACGATTTGCTTGGCGACTCCCACACCGGCACTTCCCGCACCCAGGAAGACGGCGCGGTGGTCCTTGCACGGCAGACCAGAGCGCTTTACTGCATTGATGACGCCGCCGAGGATCACAGCGCCGGTGCCCTGGATATCGTCATTGAAACAGGTGTATGTGTGTCGGTAACGCTCCAAAGCGGGGAAGGGATTCTTGAAATCCTCAAATTGGATGACGATCCTAATTGACAGTCAGTCGATGAGTCAGAGTACGGATGAAAGGGATAATCGAAGGAGTCGAGTCGGAGAGACTGATCGGATCCACTTACCCAGGCCAGCGTTCGGTCAAGGCGGTCATCAGCTCATCCATAAACTCTCGCTCTTCCTCGGGAGAGATCTTGTCGTGACGACTACCCATGTACAGGGGGTCTTCACGGAAGGCCTTGTTGCCTGTACCCAGGTCCAGGGTCAGAGGAAGAGTAGCCTCGGGCCTAATACCAGCACAGGCGGTATACAGAGCCAACTTGCCAATGGGAATGCCCATGCCGTTGATCCCCAGATCCCCCAGTCCGAGGATACGAGAACCATCGGTTATGCATGTGATTTCCACATTGGGCTGGGGCCAATTGGCGATGACAGCAGCCAAATTGCCGCGATCTTCCCAGCTAAGGTACATACCTGCAGGAAGCGGAAATGGTTAGCGGAGCACGATTCCCATTCGGCGGTGGGTCGGGCCATCGGTCGACGGGAAGTCGACAAAAGCAGACTAAGGCAGACTAGAAACACTGCCATGCTTAAGCTTACCTTCAGGCTGCTGATAGATCTCGGACCATCGCTGGCACGCTTCACCGACGACAGGTGTATAGATCAAGGGGGTTAATTCCTACCGGTGTATTAATAATTGAAACCGCAAAAATACCGTATTTTTAATAATAGGACGAACCTTAAGGTGATCAGTCACCAGACGGTAGAAGAGATGCACATTGTTTTTGCGAAGAGTGCTCAGGTAGAGGAATTTGTCAATATCGGTTGTCTTGAGAGCCAATTGTTGCAGACCTGCAGGGGAACAATCAGCGCGGATGGCACCAGTAGACTGGGTAAAGGAGGGAACGCATACATCTTGTCTTCTGAACTTCGTATGTCTCTCTGCGAGGAGGAGTAAGGCCGTATGTTCGAAGGTATTTGCGAATATAGGCAGGGTTGGCGGTATCGAAATTGGGACTCCTAGAAAGATGAGTCACACGACAGGTTAGCTGGGAGATGAAGATAAGAAGGCGGGTGAAGGAAAAAGCAACAACAACCACGAAGATAGAGAATGAGGGAAGAATGCATGCAGTAGGAGGGTCACATACGCCGTGCCAATGGTCCTATTTTGTTGACCAGGGATTCTCGCCATTTTGGTTGGGGAAGTAGATGCAGTCCGAGCAGCAGTCCGAGTAGTCGCAGTAGCAGCGGCAGTAGCAGCAGCGGCGGTACTGGAGAAGGTGTATGAAGAAGAGGAAGAAGAATAAGAAGAATAAGAAAAGAAAGCGACTCTGGACAGTCTTGCAGCTGGCGTCAGCTTATTTTTATAGTTGGATATTCGAGGCAACATTTGAACACGGGCACAACGACGACGGAAAAGCCCGAAACGATCAGCAGCGAGACCCCCTTGGATAAATACGAGACGTAATTATGGAAATTATAATAGGAATGATAATAATAAGGAGATTGGGGGAGAGTCGCAATCATCTGGTCGGAGGAGGAAGAGTGACACCAACGATACCAAAAAATAGAAATGAAAAGGGACGAGCGCGTAACAAGCTGCACGGACAAGGGAGAGGCAGTTTCTGGCAGGCGCAGATCGGGAAAAACCGGGATTCAGGAGGCCAGGGATTCTAGAAAGTCAGAAGGAGAAGGTTAATAGTGGTCGAGAAGAGAGCTGCGACGAAGCTTTGAAGAGTCGAGTCACTGCAGTTAGTAGTAGTGATACTAGGCGGAGCTGCTCCGTTGGGTCGGCCGGTATTACATTACAGTACGGCTAGCCGCTTTGGGCTGCGGTCTATCACCAGAATTATTCAGTTGTTGCTTTCCGCTGTCCATGTCTCCATGATCATTCAACATCTTCAATATTGTTACTATTCTACACCGTTGAGTAGTATTTAGTATCTACTGAGAATCAGAATCTCATGATGCTCATATGTATCTACCGACTGCTGGCATTGCCCTGCCTTATCTATCTAATCATCCCACGTGTGTCATTAATTTATATTAATACTCGCCTTCTGGAAAGTTACCTACATACCTAGGTACCTATAATAATATCCTACCCACGCTGGTTGTGTGATGCTACCCAGGTGTTCCATGATCTCTCAGATATACTGTACCTCCCCTGTATCACTCCTGCTACGCTGTACTCAGTATGCTGCCTCTCCTTTCAACCTCAACAATCCAGGCCAACAACAGGAAAACAGGCAAGCATACTATAATAATACACATATCACAATTTATTACTCTGTGTATTACCTGTACAGCATTCCCCATAAACATTGAACACACTTTCCTAGCGCACTGGAGCCTCCCGCTGGATGGCTAATCGCCTTCTCCATGCTTTGCTCCCATGGATCCTGCATACCGAGATCGGACGCGAGTTCTCTTCCTGGTGGATTCCGGGGTTGCTCCTAGGTAGAGAAGAAATTATAATTATAATCATCATCAATGGCCTGGACTGCAACGGTGACTAATCCTCGGGTATTAACTAACTAATAGTTAACTAGTTAACTAGCGAATACCCCAAAATGACTCGTCGTTGAGGCATTTACTGTGCAATGAGATCCAGTGATGGACGCTGTACACCTCTTCTCCAACTGCAGAATATCTCGCAGGCAAACACTTGATGCCCTGTGTTCTGCACTTCTACCTAGCAGTGTACTGCTAGTCTTGCCGGATCAGGCTAGGCTTAGCTTTCCTGCCCGCCTGTCGTCATCATGCTACAATCCAACCCTTCAACCTCCTATCTTCCTGCCCTTCGCAACTCCACGTTGTGATCATCTCTATCTGCCGACCTGAGACGTCGTTCTTTCTCCCCGCATTACAGAGTAGTTCTTTCAATCTATCAACTTCCGTCGTCATCCGTCATGCCGCCAGACGATACGGAACCCCTCCTACCCACCCACGAGGATGCCCCCTCCCAGGTCCGTCCTCTGCATCGAAAGCTACATTCCTACCTCATGCTACGTGCCCTCTCCGATGGTTACATGCCATCTACTGAACAGGCCATTGCCAACTTGCGTGCCCTCCTCGCATCCGATGCTCTGAACTCCAACGTTCCAGACATCAGCCGCTCCGGTCGCCAACTCCTCCAAGATTCCCGCTTGTGGCTTCAGACATTCATCGATTTGTTGAGAGAGAAGAACAGTGACGATAAGCTGCAGGAGTTTCTATGGCGACTTTCCCAGCAGTCTCGAGCGCTACGCGATACCCCGCGTGCCTCGCAAGTGGGCATCGATGTGGACCCCAGAGCAGGTATCGTCTCCCTTGGTTCTCTCTACTCTCTTGAATTTCATCACTGACGACTCCTTCCCCTGCAGCATATGACAGTCTTCATGCCTTGGCTAGCCTACTGCTTACCAACGCCGAATTCCGTCTCTTTGTCGATGATCTGGCAACCGTTGGCCGTCAAATATTTGCAGATACATCCTCCGCCGTATCCGAAGCTTCTCAGCAGGTCGCGTCGCAGGTTCGACCATCGCAGCAGGAACTAGATACTGCCCACACCGCTGATGTGCCAGAGGGTCACGGTCCATCCGAAGAGGATGTTCGCGGAAAGGCGAAAGCTGTCGCTGGCGCCACCCAGAACGGAGTAATTCATGCCCGCCAGAAAGCGGCGGATAGTACCAAAGAAAATGTATCTGGAGAGCAGAGGGAGATCCTGTTTTCTCGGTTGAGACGAGCCGTCGCAGCCATCCGGGAACGCCCCGGTTACTCTGACACATTTGAGGCCCTCATGCAGCTAGGCCGGCGCTATGTAAGAGTATACTCTTCTGCAGCAGAGAAGACTGTGTCAATCTCACAAGAGGCCGATGCCGATGAAGAATTTAAGCAGACGGTGCGGCAGTTCTGGGCTCTACTCCGATCGTTTGGTGATCCGCAGGAGTGGGAGAGTCTCGAACAGAAGTTCAATAAGCTGGTACAGCACGCCAACAGCGATCCAGACTTCCAGCAGTTTCTTTCGGAGATCGGAAGCGCAGTGCGGGAGATGATGACGGATCCAAGCTTCTTTCAGTCTGCCCCACAAAAGATCGACGAGCTTTCGGAGAAATCAAAACAGCTGGCTTCTGATTCTAGCTTGCGCCAAGACGTGGATGTGTCTTTGGAGCAAGCAAAACGAACATTGCGAACCGTGTCAGAGGACCGCGGGGTGTCCCAACTGACCAATGCGAGCAAGAAGCTCTATGAGGATGCGTGGGCAGCGTACTGTGATCCAAAAAGCCGGCTCCCAGAGGACATTGCACATATTATCCTTCCTCGTCTGCTGCGCACCCTCCAATACATTCCCATTCCGCGATTGGAGATGGCCTCCCGTGAAATAGACTTGCTCGTGGAAAATCTGGTTTTCCAGCCAGGCTACATAAACGAATTTACGTCTTTTCTTCCATACCGCATGCACCTTACCACGCGGAATGATATTGACGTCCTGAAGAAGCATTCGAAGCGAGTTGAGACCGATATTAAAACCACCTTCACTGCCACGGTTGTTGGGCTGAATTTCGCTGCCACGGACTTTGGGTATTGGGTCAACGCCCATGCGGGTCCTTTTCTTCGTTTCCAGGATGAAGGTATTGCTAGCTTCTACCTAGACAAGAGGGGCATCGATATTTCCCTGGACGTGGAGGTGGGCCGGCGCCGCCTGGACCAGGTCTTCCGTCTCCGCGGTGTGCGTGTCCACATCCACAAGATCAGTTATCAGCTACGACGGACCAAACACCGATTCCTGCTGTGGTTGCTTAAACCGTTCCTCAAGCAGCTAATCCGACGTGTGTTGGAAAGGCAGATCGCGGAGCGGATCGTTGAAGCTGCGACCTCGCTGAATCGGGAACTGGTGTTTGCTCGAGAACGCTTGCGGGCCGTCCGCATTGCCCATCCACCGGACTTGGCCACCTTCGTCCGTGCTGTTCTAGCACGTGGGACTGGCACTGGCAGATCCGAAGCACGTGTGGATGTCGAGGACGTCTTCAGGGGGATCTACACACCCAGCAGCGTTGTTAAGCTATGGCATGAAGAAGCGGAGCGGGCCGAGGCTGAAATTCAGCGAGGGGATCACAGCCCTGAGGGGGGCAAGACATGGCGGAATGCCGCGTTTGATGTCACAGCGGTTCCATTGTAACTTGGACTTTGTAGTGATGGTGTATCTGCTCTCCCCTCTTAATTATGATGCTGTCTTGATGGTAGTACATGAGAGTATGATCGTTCTATGGTCCATAATAATAATAATAATAATAATAATGTGAATATGGAGTACTTCATTGCCTTTATAGTGTCCGTAGACCTGCGCACGTGAGCTTACGATGAGGGCGGAAAATAATTACCCCGACTGTTCCGGCCACCTAATCGATATCATAGCTCAAAATAGCTGTGCGCCTGGATGAGCTTAGCATCCTTCTTCGTCTTCATGTCCATTCACCCCGGACCCTGAGAGCTCAATACATTGGCGATAGGGAGCTAATTGCTAGAAAGAAAGGGCGAACCGTCCAATTGCCATATAATCTCACTCCTTACTTGTCTGTGCATTGTCCGATAGCCTGCATGAACCACAACGGGAGCTAGCTGATACCTTCGCGCAAAATGCGTCTTCCTTGTCTGCTTCGACTTTTCTTTGCAATAGTTCTGCTATTGGTTCCATTAGTACTATGCGCATCTGATTACTACAAAGTGCTAGGTCTGGACAAGTCAGCGTCGGAGAGGGATATCAAGAAAGCTTATCGGACGTTGAGCAAGAAGTTTCACCCGGATAAGAACCCGTTAGTATTTTTTCTCTCGTGTTAATTAGATTTATATTATAGATGGGAGCTGACACTTATGGTATACCTACAGAGGCGATGAGTCGGCTCGCGAGAAGTTCGGCGGAATAGCAGAAGCCTACGAGGTTCTATCCAGCCCCACGACGCGGAAGATCTACGACCAATACGGACACGAGGGTATCGCACAGCACCGCCAAGGCGGCGCGGCAGGTCAACCGGCGCACGACCCGTTCGACTTGTTCTCGCGGTTCTTCGGCGGCGGAGGCCATTTCGGTCATGCACCAGGCCATCGGAGGGGACCCGATATGGAGCTTCGTCTGGGGATACCGTTGCGCGATTTCTATAATGGGCGGGATGTGCAGTTCTCGATTGACAAGCAGCAAATCTGCGAGGCGTGTGAGGGCACGGGCTCAGCAGATCGACATGTCGTCACATGCGACAAATGCAGTGGGCGGGGAATGATCGTCCAGAAACATCAATTGGCGCCAGGAATGTTCCAGCAGATCCAGATGATGTGCGACAAATGCGGAGGACAGGGGAAGACGATCAAGAAGCCATGTCCCGTGTGTCACGGACATCGGGTAGTGCGGAGAGAAGTTGAAATGTACGTGACCATCGAACCAGGTATGGACCAGGGAACTCGGATTACGTACGAGAACGAAGCGGACGAAAGCCCTGACTGGGTTGCGGGCGACCTGATATTCATCCTGGAGGAGAAACAGCCAGAACTGGGTGTCAACGATGACGAGCGAACAGATGGCACGTTCTTCCGTCGTCGGGGCAAGGATCTATTCTGGAAAGAGACGCTTTCGCTTCGCGAGGCCTGGATGGGTGACTGGACACGCAACCTGACACATTTAGACGGGCATGTGGTCCATCTGGGCCGGAAACGGGGCGAGGTCGTCCAGCCATTGGCCGTAGAGACGGTCAAGGGGGAGGGCATGCCCATATGGCGGGATGGTCACATGCACGAACAACACAGGAATGATGAGGAAGGCGATGAAGACCACGGAAATCTCTACGTGGAATACAGGGTGGTTCTGCCGGATCAGATAGAACGAGGAATGGAGAAGGAGTTCTGGGAGCTGTGGGAAAAGTGGCGGAAGAAGAATGGCGTTGACCTGGCGCGGGATAGCGGGAGGCCTGGAACAACGACTAAGCATAAGGATGAACTATAATTTATGAGTCGAGGATAGATCGTTTTATCGCATGCTAATATTTAACGGTTGCTTCTCCATTAGAAAAGGCATAATATGAGGAACGATCAGAATAAAGTAATTAGGGTTATGCCAAGCGGTGTAGATAAGGATTATCCGGCAGAATTACTGACCGCCCAAATGAATTTTCTCAATCTTTGATACCACCAATACAGCAATTATCTCCACTGACCTCAAATTCAATCAATAATAATATCATTGAACTCCAAGACCACAGACAGAATGGTCCGGCAACTAAAACACCACGAGAAAAAGTACCCTCTCACCACATAATATAAAAAAGAAACGACAAAAAACTAATACGAAAACAGACTCCTCCGAAAAGTAGACCTCCACACCTACAAATCCGACGCCTCCCACCGCGAACACCACATCCGCCAACGCTACCACCTCCAAAATGATCGCGACTACAAGAAATACAACGCCCTCTGCGGCTCCCTCCGGCAGCTCGCACATAAGCTGTCTGAACTAGACCCGGACTCTGATCCGGTGCGGAAGAAGATCGAGTCCGAGGTACTTGATAAGCTATGGCGCATGGGGATACTCAAGCAGAGTCGCGAGCAAGGAGCTGGATTGAGTAAGGTCGAGAGGGAGGTGACTGTGTCCGCGTTCTGTAGGAGGAGACTTGCGGTGCATTTGGTTAGGTGTGGGATGGTGGAGACTGTTAAGGCTGTTCGTTTCTCTCCTTCACTTCATTTTTCTTCCTTTTCGTTTCTCGTATATGCGTTGGCAATACTGACGTACTGACGCAAATCAGGCTACCACCTTCGTCGAACAAGGTCATGTTCGTGTCGGTCCGGAGGTTATTACTGATCCTGCCTATCTCGTGCCGCGCAATATGGAGGATTACGTGACGTGGGTCGATTCCAGTAAGATCAAGCGCAATATCATGCGCTATCGCGATAAACTGGACGATTTCGATCTTTTGTAGGATTTGGGTTTCGGTGCATTTGTTCCTCTTGTATACCCTGTTATGCATGGTTGATTTATATGTCTATGTACTACTTTCACGCACTTCCACGATTCAAAAGCATTCGTATTCTTTTAATACTACTTAATTAAGCGATAATTCCAGTATCAACTAAACAACATGATGGCCGGGTATCAAGAATGCCATCAACAAACACCAGCAATGCAAATGCTGAATCCCATGCCCGCAGGACCATACATCCGAGTATTAAGAACGCTGCATACCGTACGTAAAAGCGTAGAGGATCATATTAAACCGTCAAATCACTCAGTCCACGCGCAGAACCATCGTCTCTTTCTCCCCTTGCTCGGATTTACTGTCTTGGAGAGGAGGTGGCTCCTCACGCTGGGAAAACTCCCCGTCCGTCCGACCTGCGGTTGACCATGTTCATCGTCATCAGGGAGATCCATGCGAAACCGGCGCACGCTTCCCTCGTAATTAGCCTTGCCGTTCTTCTCCTCGAAAAACGGTGTCCGTTTATCCTGACGCCGGCACCACTTGGGCGCTACCCGTCGCCACCAACCCCTGACTCCGCGGTTGGCGCGGTCAATCTTCGCATACTCGCGTCGCCGTGTCGAAGGGGTCATCCAGTCGATCACGGTGTCCTGGGTGTTGGTGGAGGGTGCGTTGATCGGAATGAGTCCAGAGTCCCTGCGGGCCGAGTCAACGTCTGATTCAGTAGGGCCGTCGGCGAGTGGACTCTCCTCGGAAGGGCGGACGGGAAGAGGAAGAGAAGATGACTGCTGGGGACCGCTGTTTGACATGTGTTCGTAGCCGTCGCTGATTGGTTCGGTTAGAGGATGCGAGGCGATTTCTGGTGGAGAAGGTTGGGATGGGTTCGAGTGCGGGTCGTCTTGAAACAACCGACAGGATTCCCGATGCAGGGCTAGAAGGTCCTCGCGCCTCCTGTGCGGGACGGCAGCTACAGGCTTGCGATTGAGGGAAGTCGGCGACAAGGACGACTCCCTTGCGCGGCGCAGGTTGGCTTGCGCAGGGCGTTCTGCTGTGCCATGCGATGATGAGCGACGATGATAATGACCGGTTGGAGAATGCGAGACGGATGAGGTTCGGGAGCTGGTGTGTCTGTGTTTGGGAGTGACGGGATGCGGGGATTTGCGGTTTGTTGAAGAAGGGACGGTAGGTTGCATGACGGCAGATGACGAAGCATCATCCATAACCAGGCCAGTCATGCAGCCAGAGTTGGTGGTTTGAGAGAGATCGAGAGAGAGCTATGTAAAAGCAGGAATATAATTAGCAACATGGAGCTGACAGGCGTTCCTGCAGGAGAGAGGAGGCAGTTGCGACGGCAGCGACGTCATGACATACCCACCGGATTGAGGGGTTTAGATGACTGCTTGAGTAGGAAATGGAGTTAGCAGAGATGTCCTTCGGGATTGAAGAACAAGGAGAGAAGGAAGGGACACGGGATATAAAGCAGCGTCTGGTGATGGCCAGACTCGGCTTGCAAGGAAGCAACAGCATCGTCAGTAAAGAATAAGAATAGTCCTCACCAAAAACAGGGAGGGATGGCCTAGAATAGCCTCCAACCTTGCATTCCGTTCCCACTCCAACACGCGTCCAGCATGAGCCATGCAGCGAATGATCAGCGGCTATTGACCCATCTGCAGCAACAGAGCCATGTGGAGTCTGAGCCACAGGATGTCACTGCTGAACCATGGCTGGTTGCGCATCGTCCAACACGTTGCCGCCCATGCTGATCCTCACGGTTTCAGATAAGGCTGCGAACCATGGCCCGTGGTGCGCAGGGCGGTTGCGTGTTTCGCGAGGGTTCGCTCGAGGCGAAACCACTGGAGATGCAGAATTGAACAGAGTTTGCGATGCGAACTTGGAAATTTTTAAGAAATTTAGCAAAAATTGGCAAATTTTGGGTTCTGACGGTCCCGTGACGGCCTACTGAGCTAAGCCACACTCAGCTAGTGCCGCCTCACCGCCACTTGCAGCCACGCCTAGCCGCAAAGGGAAATACAGAGGCTTGGCGTTTCTTCTTCTCTTTTAGCCGACTCTTACTTATGCTTACTTACTACTTAGTAGTAGTTACTCTTGACAGTTACTACTATTGATGATAGTATCATACTGCTGATGCTGATACTTACAGACTGTACACAAACTCCGGGTTCTCGCGGTCCGTCAAATCCAGCCATCTGCCCACAGTTAGTTTCATGTCTGACAACACGGTCCGGTCCCATGGTCACTTACTCTTGGTTCTCCAGTCGCACATAGTCCGGACTCGCCCGGATCCGTGCCTTGTTCTGATTCTCCCGGCGGTACCACCAGGCGATGAACAGCAGGATCAACACACACACTCCCATGCACACAATGATCGTGATCTCCGCCGGCACGTACCGTGGTGCATCTTTCGGCCGGAACGTCTGCGGCCCGATGATGTTCCCAACGCAGTAGCCGATCAGATACAGCGCTGCTACCGTCGTCTTCTTCGTGTACCCAGCGACGTTCGTTGAGATGAGCGACAGCAGTGCAACAAATGCCGTCGGGCTCGCACTCGTCAGGTAGTACGCGATCAGTCGTCCCACGTTGTTCGACAGCGGCAGTGCGACCACCAGAATCATCCCCAGCATTGACACCAGCAGACCCAACGTGCCCAGAAGCACCCGTTGCTGTACCATTCCGCTGATGTATCCATTCAGCACCAGAGCGATCACCTCCACTGCTCCCGACGGTACGCCTAGCAGCAGGCTGTCTTCTGGGCTGTATCCGAAACTCGTAATCTGCGTCTGTCAGCATGGATCGATATTCCAAGGAAAGAGCCCTAGACAAACCAGCTGGTTGAAAAAGTTGCTCATTCCACCGTTCGGAATGTCTGCGATCAACGCGACGAAGAAAAATGCCCAGGTCATCGGATCCAGTAGAGCTTCCTTGACCTGGTACCACTTCAGATGCTTATTTCCAATCCCCTGATTGTTAACCCGGACCCGTGCCACCGCCAGGATCCGGTCCTCCTTCTTCAGCCATCGCGCGTTCAGCTGGCTATCCGGGATGATCTGCCAGAATATAAAGCCCAAGGCGATAGTCAGGAGCCCTGTGACGAGGAAGACGATCTTCCACGGCTCGATGGCCGACCCGTGCTTGTCAGTTCCCTTTGCAATGCCATATGCGATGAACCCGCCCAGGATCTGGCCCCAGCCGTTGAAGCTGAACCAGTAGTTGACTCGATTTCCCTGTTCGGTCTTGGTATACCACTGTGGACAAGATAGTCAGTGGGATATCCACACAGCCCTATATAGAGAGACAGAGAGACAGAAAAGGCATATCTATACTTACCTGAGACGTCAAAAGAGCGAACCCTGGCGTGACAGATGCTTCAAACACACCCAGGAAAAATCGGACGGCTATGGCCCCGGAATAATTGTTCACGGCGGCAAAGCACGATATAATCACTCCCCACACGATGATGCAGAATGCGGAGTACTTCCCGAGGGGCAATCGCTGCAGGAGTCGGTTTGTGGGATACTCCCAAGCCAGATAGCCTGGCGATGGTTAGAACCGTCAAAAAGCCCATCTCATATCGCTATAGCTTACCGAAATAGAACAAACTGCCTAGCCACTGATAATTGTCGCCCTTGAGATTCAGGTCCTTTTTGATTCCCATGACGCTCGCATACGACAGGGTGGTTTCTAAGTACCGCTTGTTAGTATGTTTCCAGAAGCAAGTGGCAGGCACTTCATACTATCCAGGTAATTCATTCCATAAACACAGCACATAATAGGCATCAAGTGCCAGTCGATAATCTTCAGGAGCCGTTTATTCGTCTCTTCATCAATGGTGATCGCCTCGCCTTGCAACGCTTCCATGGCCTGTAACGCTTCATCCGCATCGTGTGCATGCTTCTCAAGACTCGGATTGATGTCTTTCTCTGTCGAAACGGGATTCTTTTCAACGTCCATTTCCGCCTCCTCATTCCCATTCATGGGCTGGACGGGTGATTTTTCATCCGTCGCCGTCGCCGTCGCCATAGTTACGTGCAGGATATGATATGCCAGGTGCCAGATGAAGTTGAGCAGTGATGGACAAACAGATTCTAGCGCGGGAGAAAGAAGATGTTAAAAAGACACGCAGATCAACTTATCAACTTCAACCCCTGCGGTTTCAGGTGCAGTCAATATGTATCTTTGCTAATCAACACCCCTCACTCTACAGCATACTCAACCTCGGAACATTATACCGGAATCTACGCATATCTTGCCTATCAGTTTGTATCTTGGTGGCGCGATTGCCCTATCTATCGTGTCAATGTCACCTTCGGGATTGACAGTCCATGCACTCGCAAAGTCGGAGTGTACACGATGTGATTTGTGATGCTTTCTGGTGGCTGCATGGTGCAGGGGGGCTATATATGCTAGCAGTATTATCACTGGTATAGAGACATATCAGGAACGAATAAAGGCAGTCAAGAATGCGGATCGTCCGCTTGGCTGATAGCGCCGGGGTTGATCATTAGATAATGTCAGAGATAAGCCCTAATTACATCCCACTGGAGTTACTAACTTATTACTTGCTACGTATCTAACTGTCAACGCTGCAGTAAGCCATCAACCAAGCCGCATCCAGAATCCCTGCAGACGAAGTTGGGAAGCTATCAATTGTTGCTATGAAAACAATTTCCTAAGGTATCCTTGCTCACTCGCGGAATTATTATCATGCACTGCTGGCATTGAGAGGTTGACTTCCTCACGGTCTTTGAAGAGCATTCATGTTCGCTATAACTAATTCTGTCATTTGTTTATTCTATACCTTCCAACTGCAAATCCCCTCTACCGATCGCCGAATAATAAACATCGTATTCTGCCAAACTCTCGTCTTCACGGTCGAGGCCATGATACGTGACTATGTGTTTACACGATGCAGCGACTCCAAACAAGCCTGTACTATTAATATTAATTAATCAACATCGTATCTAGTATCTGGACTCGTCAAAGACGGCTGTTAGTCGAAGATGAACACCACTGAGAGCCAACTTGAACCCTGAATGAACGGCTCCTGCATTGGCACCATGCAGAGTACGGGTAATAGAAGCACCCCCCATGTATGGCATGCAGCTAGGGCTCGGCATAGTCTGGACTCTGCACCTCGGCCCTTTCCCCTTTTCCTGGGTTCCTGGATAATGCAACTTGACAGACAGACAGACAGCAGAAGACAACTTTAAAACAGAGCCTCAAGTGTCTGCCGTGTTAAAACAGGGTGTAGAATGCAGGCATTCCCCGTCGTGAGTCAGACTTCTCGTCATGCTAGGCATAACTATTACCACCAACGTCAATGATCCCAACGGCAAAACTCTCCTACCCCAAAATATGTCCTCTACCGTCCCACTCAGAGTAGCCATCTATGACAATCCAGGTATCAAGCACTGGAGCCTATTTATTAAAGCAGAGTCCGAATCTGAAAACACTATAATCCATCTCCTCCGGGCTCGCCAGCGTTAATTCTGCGACGTGAGAACTCCGTCAGACACGCGCATTTCTAATTCCCTCCTCGAGATGTGTTTTCTGTGCTATATCGATGCGAGCAAACAGTCATGGTGGTAGCAAATGATCATCTGCACAGATTGCTTCAATAGCAGTAACCTATTCACAGTTCCCTAGTTATAGAATAGAGCACTGACTATAGTATTCTGCTTAAGTAACCACCTTTTCTGCTGATATAAGGCCCATCACGAATCCAGTCTCATCAAAGTTGTAGATATCCTCAGGTTAAATACCATTCTCATCAATTATGCATTGTACGGTCGTAAACCACTCTTGAATCAATCTTGGGTCCTCATTTAGAGCACGCTGGTAATCATAGCATCTTGAGAAACATAAGTAAATCTCTTCATGTTGAGCTATAATGCTTGATGGCTAATTCTTGCCAATGGTAGGTGAAGGGTGGCTACCACGCGCAGTTAGTAGGATATTAGCTATTTCTCACACAATAGCTGGCCTAGGGGCTGCTCCACATGAATCCATAGATAATATCTATTCAACAAGTGAATTCTCTTCCAATAGTGTCAGTTTATAGCCATTTGGGCGCAAATCAACGCGTGCCTTGACCCTATTCGCGCGATCTGCCAAGGTTGTATGGGTATGGTGTATAGCTTCGCTGCTGTGCGAATAGATTCAATGCAGCCATTTTTGATATCATCAAGGGCTAATAAGATATTGCTCTCTTGATTGGCCGATTTCTGCCGAGATTCAGTGCGAATTGGTGGCATGGTAGATGGTTGAAGTTAGTAGGTGGGTGGGAAGACGCGATTTTGATGGGGTGTACGGCTCGACCGGGAATTATGTTAGTGGATTATCATACTTAGTAATATATCACGTGATATATATGCAACTGCATAATGCAACCTTCTGCAACGATGTGAGCAATGAGTCTTTCATTGTTCTAGTTGTTTATGCAAGTTTTACCTTCATTCACTGGTTCTTACAGCCGTAAAGACCATCAATATAATTTTCTGCAGTGGTTGAATCGACGTGACATGTATAGAGTACAGCCTCTGTGACGATATTATCGTCATCTGGAAGGCATGATGCGCTTCGCAAACCTTCTTCTAGTGGCTAAGCTGCCCCGTTCTTGCCAAATACGCTTCCCACCCCTCCTTCTGATACTGTTTAGCTGCCTCTACCGGATTTTCAACAGCATAGATCCCGCGTCCGGCGATGATGAAGTCTGCCCCGCGCCCAACGGCCGACTGCGGCGTCTGATATTGCTGTCCCAGCTTATCACCCTTTGACGAGAGGTTGACCCCGGTAGTAAATACGATGAAGTCTCCTTCTTCCTTCTCCGCATCAAACTCTCCCAGAGACCTAGTTGAAACGAACCCCAGCACGAAATCCTTGTACTTCCGTGCATACTCTACAGATGCCCTCGTGTATTCACCCGTAGCTAGGGATCCCTTCGATGTCATCTCGGCAAGAATAAGCAACCCCCTCTCCGAACCGTAAGGGAAATCCGCCGCCTTGGCGGTCTTAGAGAGGGCCTCCACAATCCCCTCGCCCGGCAGAATGCTGCAGTTGATGATATGTGCCCATTCCGAGATGTGCAATGCCCCGCCATGGTACTGTTTCTGGACTGTGTTGCCGATGTCGATGAATTTGCGGTCTTCAAAGATGAGGAAGTTGTGTTTTTCAGCGAGGGCTTGAAGTTCCTGCGTTGTGGCTGGAGTTAGGTCGGAGAGGATGTCGATGTGGGTTTTGATGACGGCTATGTAAGGACCTAGGCCTGTTGGAATGAATCAGCATTCCTTCTTATTTTTCCATCCTGGTTAATACTTACGGTCCGCCAGCTCAAGTAGTTCCTTGCTCGTTGTTACATCCGCGGAGACGGTCACATTCGTCTTCTTGGTTTCTGCGATTTCGAATAGTTTCCGGGCAAGCGGGTTCGGATGGTTCTTTGCACGCTCGCCATAGGGTAATTGTGACTTAGAAGACATATTGATTGGCCTGTGTGGTAGAGAGATGCGTCGACGGTGGAAACATCCCACCAAAGATACGAAAGAATGCGGGCTATCAAATCCTATCGGAAAATCACCAGCCACATGTTAACGCCATGTGGCGCAGCCAAATTCCCAATGACCAAAGCTGCAATGTATGATTGAACAAGAATAAGTATTAATAGCAACCTACTACTAGTACCTAGGTAGATTATTATTGCTTTTGCAGTACAGTAGTATTGCTCTATACGATAATCAATAAGAAATCAATTCCTTCCCAACCCCAAAAACACTAAGCCCCCAAAGCGCCCCCTGCACCAACCAAAACGCACCCCCCAAGAACCTTCCCTTGCCTTGCGCCTTACCGCTATACACGTACCCGTACAAGAACAGGACGCGGAAGAAGACCCAAATCGCACCCAGAGTGGCGGATAGATTAGGCCATTTGACTCCCGCGACGAGGAGGTAGAGCATGGTCTGCGGGGCGTTTTCGAGGAAGTTCGCGTGGGCGCGCTGGGCACAGTTGAATTGTTCTGCTAGGGCCTTTTGGTATGATTAGCATCTCGGTTTCTTTTTTAAGGCTGGATTCTCGATGTAGAGGCTCATTATATGAACGGGCTTACATTTTCCTTGCATTGCTCTATCGACGCATAGGAGTGCGGATAGGGGACCTTGGCTGGCCTGCGGAGCTTCGTGACGATGGCACCATGGATCCAGCTGAGGAGGGGGATGGCGCCTAGGGAGACTCCGAGGACGAGTCTAGCGTTGATGATATGTTAATAGGGGCATGAAGTGAGCTCGTTCAAGCTCGAAATGGGGTAGACAGGGTATTGATTAGGAGTTAGGCTGCTAGTACTCGGTTAACGAACTTACCCGTAATTCTGAGGGAGGGTGATCGTAGTCATCTTGACAATTGGTACAGATGTATAGCTGCTATCTCAGACTTGCAGTTTACGTTTGAGTGCAGATGGCACTTGTCTTGGACAGACTGAAGCTTCGGAGACAAGGGCCGTTTATAACTAATACCCCGACTTGACTAATAGGGAACAATGAAGTCGGGATGCGGAGGAATTGGATTCTCCGGTTCTTGTTTCCATTGCATATGAGAATAACAGTTGCTTGGGATTGTGGTCATCACTATGGAATTATGCGGGTCCATGTGATTATTGATCCTATTTAGTAAGCAAAATAAGCCTAACCCCAGACCATCACAGTGCATATATAATCTATCTGGTCGAACTTGGTCTCAGGTACAGCAGAATATATTGTAAGTATATTGCAATCGAACGGCAAATCTTCCTGTCTGCGTTGATTACTAATCATCTGCTTCCTCGGGCACTTGCAAGTAACCATCCATTATGCGTTGATCTTGCTGACACTGCCATATTTTGCTTGCCATGCAAAGAAGTACAACAACGCGCCCAGCGGCTGTCCCACAAGACAGAAACTCACCCAGAAGATAGAGTTCCCAATGACTTTGCCCGACTTCATCTTCTCCAGTGGGAGGGTTACCGCGATGAGCGGTATCTGGAACATCATACCCGCAAAAGCAACACCTGCAAGAATGTGTCAGTAGGCGCAAGGAAAAGGGGGTGTGAATATTTCGACGTACCGATGATGTTGTGCGTCGGTATCCCGACCAGCATCTCATGTAAAATGGCCGAGAACGTATATACCACTACGCTGGCCGTCAGATGGCCGCATCCCCTTCCTATAAGAGGAGAGAATATATGTCTCTTCATGAAGAGGTACACCGGCCTGTTCCATGAGCGCCAGTACACCCCGACGCTCGGACTGTTCCACCAGTCCGTGTAGAACTCGCGATCGCCGAACCGCATCACTTCCGCCAAGCCGTTCAGGAACGACTGGAAGAAAGCAAAGAACCCTGCCAGCCAGATCACTAGAGAAATCGTCGAGAGCTTCATGATCCGCTCAAGGATCGACGCAACGTCCAGCACCGCGATTTTGTCGATCGAGTTCCTTAAGACGGGCGTCGCGTACTGTGCCGAAAGGATCCATATGACTACTGTCAGACAGACCACCTCGAACAGACGTTTTGCCACAAAGGACCAGCGTACCCGCGCAGTACGAGGGTAGACAGGCTGGTAGACTAATGTTGGTGCCATCCAGAAATACACCAGATTGCCCAAAGTGATATTCCGGGGGTAGGGGCACGACGCATAGATCTCTGGGAGCGCTGAGTCGGCGGACGGGTTCAGCATCGCATGGCGGAGATCACGGTTCGTGAAAGCATATGAGCAATTCTTCAACCACACAATAAGAGCATGGAGTTCACACATAGTGCCAATGCCCGGATGATGGATGTAGTAATACACGACATAACTCGTGACGGCCAGACAAAGGGTCGCATTGATAGTGTGGCAGACAGAGGTGAAAACCCAGGTCAACTGTGACGCTGTCTGTCCCCTTTTATTGCTCTCTTCGATCTTCCCATTAGCTACATCCTTCTTCTCGAGTCCAATGGTTTTCTTCGCCTGCGCTGCTGCAATCAACTCTATTATGTATGCCACAAACAGGTGGCAAGGAACCAGGGCAAACAAAATCAATCCGAGAACGACATCTTGCTTCCGATAATCATGACATCTGATACAGATGAGAACTCCATACTAAAGTAAAAGAAAAGTGCTCGTCAGCATTTAGGTCATGTACGATTTCATACTAGACTTACTCACTTTCATAAAATTCTCGATTATTAGCCGCAAATTCATGGCCACTATTGATTATAGAAAGCTGTTAGTCTTCAGTGTACAATATATTGAATTTGGATCCTTTTACCCAGGACGATGACCATGAGGTTGCGAAACCCAAGGAATGACGGAACAGTCGAGCAATCTCGACTGAGGCACGAATGCCGCAATTGAGAGTGGTAAGCAGCGAAGTGTCGATATTTACTTCTCTTCGGAGTCGTCTGAGGTGCTTTGAGAATTTGAGGCATTTTAGTGGACCCCTTACCGGGGAGCCCGTTGACCTTGGGCCCCTTCTTAGGCGAAGACCGCATTGCGACAATGGACAACTTGCTCTCGGATCACCCGGCGAAAAGATTGCTACTAGACGATCACAGGGAAATAAGCAGTGGCAGGATAGGATTGAAGCATGAGCTACTATCCACGTATCAAGAATAACACGCTGATTCGGAGCTGTTGTGCATGTGTATACTAGCAATGGTTAGATGAAGCTTCAAAGAATGGGATGGATATCCCGGCTGCCTAGCATCGTTGCCAGCTCAACCATGACAGAGGCGACTTTCGGAAGAATGTAAAAAGATGATGAAGAAAGACAAGGCGCGAAGAGACAGATATTAAATAAGAGGGAACCCGGGAGGTTCTGGACTGATCAACGAGGGGCTTGCAGTGGGCGTCACCAACTCAGAGAGAAGAGAGCTTGGGCCTTCGATGCTGAGCAGAGTTTCGGCCAATTGAGGATTGCGGACGGACGGTCACTGCGTCCTTGTCCCCAACACTTGCTATTATTACGTTTGGATATCGTTGATCGCTGTTGTGATACCGTCGGTTCGAGTGTCAAAGAAACAGGGACGGTGCTCTGCTCTGTCTTCTGCCATGATTGCCGTTCCGCGTAATTTCCCGTGACCTTGCACTCGCGACTCGACTTTTTCCTGCTCTCGTCTCGTTCCCCTGCAAATTTCATCCACTCTCGCTCTTACCAGCGAGTTCTTTGGCCATGGCCTTTTATGACGACCATGGCGCGGACTCTCAGTATACTGGGAGGCCTGCTGGGATTGCCGGACCGCGGCGACCGCGTACGTGGGAGCTTCCATCCATGCCTGACCTGTCTAGATGGCAAATGCTGACCTTTTGTTCTCCTCTTTAACACTTCGCAGGGCTCGTCACCGATTATGGTTCATCGCTGGTCCGATGGATGCGCACTCGACGCCCACGGTACAAAGGTACCCATGGAATGGAAACAGAGAGACCGAGCGCAAGCTACATAGTGGATGTGCTGCCTCCCTTGGCACGAATCCACTCACCTGTAGATACAATCCCCGTCCGTCATCTGCATCAGTCGATCGGGAAATCAAAAAAGCCCATTACGGTAGTGAGATGGACGCCGGAAGGCAGGCGCTTGCTGACCGGTGGACATACTGGAGAATTCATGTTATGGAATGGGACAGCGTTCAACTTCGAAACGGTTATGGATGTGCGTGCAATACGTTTCCTTGACTCTAACATTATGAGCTTGAGTCCGTCAGCATGCTAATTCACGATGGCAGGCCCATTACGATCAACTGCAAGCGGGAGTGACGGCGTTGGAATGGTCTCACAGTCACGATTGGTTAATATCAGGCGGGCAAAAAGGTGATATCAAGTACTGGCGCCCCAACTTCAACAACGTCGAAACTATTGACGACGCACATCACGATGCTGTTCGGAGTCTCGCCTGGGCACCGAGTGATACAAAATTTTTGTCTGCGTCTGATGATACGACGCTGAAGATCTTTGATTTCACAGCCAGGGTAGCGGATACAATACTGACAGGCCATAACTGGGACGTGAAATCGTGCGACTGGCATCCAACCAAGGGACTCCTAGTGTCCGGGTCCAAAGACCATCAAGTGAAATTTTGGGATCCACGGACTGGAAGATGCCTGACGACACTTCATACGCACAAAAATACCGTTACCACCACACGATTTTCTCGAGTGAACAACAATCTCCTCGCTACATCTTCGCGGGATCAGACAGCGCGGGTCTTTGACTTACGGATGATGCGTGATATTTGTATCCTTAGAGGCCATGAGAAGCCCATTTCTTCGCTCACGTGGCACCCTATTCACAGCTCGCTCATATCAACCGGTAGCGAGGATGGTTCGCTATACCACTATCTTCTTGACGAGCCCAATTTGCCTCCTGGACAGGTTCCTACAGTTGCTCCCTACGACAGCCCTGATCCAGCAAATACTCCTGCGCAGGTAATATACCCTGCTCATCGCATTCAATTCGCCCATAGTGCAACTATCTGGACATTAGATTGGCATCCGCTAGGCCATATCCTGGCATCAGGCTCAAAGGATAATTTCACGCGTTTCTGGTCTCGGGCCAGACCTGGAGAGACTAGCTACATGAAAGACAGGTTCCACATTGGGGAAGAGGCAGCAGAAGCACAAGGAACCTGGAGTCGTGGGTTCGGGAGACGGCAAATGCGCGAAGAAGAGGAGCAAGAGCTTCTGGATGAAGCAGAAGACCTCGGTGATCAGAGGAAGCCTGTTCCATCTTTGCCTGGAATCCAGTCACAACCGGATGGCACTGGCTCGCAAGGTCTTCTACCTGGCATTGGCGCAGCTCAGCCTCCTGCGACCCCTTCTGGATTAGCCGCTTCTATGGCGCAGACGGACCCTAGTCGCTTGGCTGCTCTCCTGTCCACTCAAGCGCCACCCCAACCAAACAACTTCGCTCCCAATACCGGCATTCAGGGTTTCCAATTCCCTCCTGTCCTAACTGGAACACCACCGTTGAATATTGACTTGGCCGGATTGCAGAAGCAGCTCCTCCAGGGGGTTTCCTTACCTCAGAATTTCCCGCAACAAAACTTTCTCGCAACCGCCGGCATTAATGCTCCATTTGGAGCCGGAGGCCTTCCTGGATTACAAGGCAATTTTCCTCCTAGTGGGGGACGGCCTGGCCATTCTGATGGCTCAAGGGAGGATCCACGCAGAGATAACTGGCGTAATCATAGGTAGCCTTGCTTCCTTTCTTTTTGGTTTTCATTTCTCCCCACGTTCCGCGGTATTTTGATCGATGGTGGCGTTTGTTGTGTGAATAACAATATCCTTCGGCGCATGTATTAAAAGTCAAGTATTCAGAGTGTTCCTTCGAACCGTTATTTGGCACGGAGGCGCATGTGTTTCTGGGGCATGATACCCAAGAAAATGCACCATTCAGGTTGCTTCTGATTTAGAAAAGCGAATACGGCAACATCGTCCTTGAATCATTGAATTGTACGTAGTGATCCGGATCCCATTCGTGCAAAGGCCAAATGACGGACGTCGTCACCATCAGACCACCAGGTCAATAGAGAGATCGCTTCAAAGCCCACCTTGAATAGGGAAACTCGAGAGCGCCAAAATCATCACGTTAATTCCTGCCCAGATCATAGGCGTCCAAGTTGACATTCTGAAATTTCCTGCCTCATAGGTCGCTCCGACACTGTAGATACAATCAGGACCAGCAGTTCAAGTATAATGGAGAGAAAGGCCACTTACATTCCACCGACGATACTCCCAGCTAAGAAAGCTTCTAATCCTCCTATGATAAGGTATATGATCGGGAGAGCCCAGAAGATCCTCCAGTTTCGGCATTGGATGGCCATAGCACAGGCAGCCACAGTAGCATGGGTAGCCGCATAAAAAATAAACGACCAATACAGAGTGAATCTCCAGATATCTTCTGTGTAGTAGAGGTAGTATGCCTCGTAGCGGCCGGGAGGAAGAGGGTTGTAGAGGGATGGGAAAGGCGGGACTTCGTAATCTACAGGGACACGGTTGGTCGCCATTTAGCTGGGGTCTGTGAAGACCACTGGTTCGAGGTAGCTGGATGAGGAGAGCACAAGAAGCATGATCTTGTGAATGGAGCGGATTCAACCGAGTTGCATTGTTTATTATTGACCTCGGAGCAAGACGATGATGCTGTTTGCTGTTCATCTTGAAGGAAGGGTCTGTTTGCAGTGTTTGCACGTGGAGGATTGACCTCGGCATGTGATCATCTCCGCGTTATGCTTCCTCCCTGCTGCGAAAGCCGATGTGGAAATGATGCTCCTTCTTTACTCTCTCTAGGACGAGCTGCTCTACCGACGCATGCAGACGAATAATGTCGACTGAGCGCTCTCTAGCTGCTCTTCTGCGGTCTCTACAGACCATTTCAGATTTACAAGATGCTTTTGGGTGAGACACTGTTCCCTTCACTGCTGGAGAGAAGAACGCGGAAGTTAACCGGGTAGCAGTTTACTTCCAACGGCGGCCAGTTTTCTATCCCTCCTCACAAATCCCCTTAATGTCAGTTTACTTGCGTCGCAGCTACTCATAGCTCCGGCGATATGGGACCACCGTGTGGATTTGCAAGTCTGCCGAAGGGTGCTCGGTGTCTTCAACACGGCAGCGATGACGGTTATGCGAAATGATGAAGTGGATGAGCCTAAGCCGAAGGCACCATATGGGAGACCAAAGGGGATTGAACGCGATGCATGGGTCAAGGCAGTTGTAAACGGGGCCGACGAGAAGTCGCCTCGGTGGAGACATATGTTGTTGATTGGAGGAGTTTTGATCGGGTTCGAGGGACAGAACAGACAAGGGCTGCCGTTGCGTATCCGGAACAAGCTCGAGTCGGCTTTGGTTAAGGCTACCCAGCTGGCTTTGGATGATCTGAGCAGCGTGGACGGTATTGATGCTCATTGCATCACCATGATCCTGAACTACACCTTTGATCTTTTTCCGGATTCGGAAAAGAGCAAATTGGACTATGATAGGTTGCTGCCGGTGATAGTTCGGACTACCTTCTTCTCCCGTGAAGGCTTAGAAGGAGGTTACTTTCTCGGCGCCATTGACGAGGATATCATTGAGTACCCTGGGAGACGATTCGGATGGCCACCTCAATCTGCGAGCTACGATCGAATAGTGGCAATATCATCCAGCCCTCTTGTGTCCTCACTAGGGCCTTTGTCGCGACTGACCGCTCATGCTATTGATAAGGCCCAGGATCCGGTGCTTGTCTCCCAATCAATGGATATTCTTGCGGATTTTGCTCGTACGATGACAGTACAGTGGCGCCAGAACAAATTATCGGAAGTTGATGTGTCGGAAGAAAAGGAGTTACTCGACCCAGAATCCCTGAAGAAGACCATCCCGGCTCTGTGGAAAGTTCTCCGTAATTCCTTTTATTCCGTCGTCATTGTTCTGCGAGCGGTTCTGGGGAGAGTCATCAATGACCCTGTGCTTGCAGCGGACCGACGTAAGTGTTTTGGTAAACAATCTGATATCCAGTTTCATTAACTTTTTTATTCTTCTCCAGGAGCTCCTTTCTTGTCTATGAAAGCTATTCATATACTGCGCAATTTGTACTTCGTTTCGTCTCGGATTGGCCCCAATTCTTCTTCTCAGTATACATTCGCTTTGCTTGCGGCTATTGATATCCTTACCCAATATCCCGATCTGGTGGAGAGTTTTTTGAAAAGTATCAAGCCAGCGGAACTCGGACAGATCCCTAAGCATCCGCTTGAAAGATGCCTGGATCTGTTTTACCTAAATACCGCAGAGCATTTCAGCCTCGTGCTCTCGCCGGAGTCAAACGAGGAACTACTCATCTCGGCTGCGACCCCTTATCTCTCATCTGGAGCCAGTCGCAATCTCCTCGAGATATTCGAGGCCGCCCACAGCGTTGTTTTGGCTGTATTCGCTGTTCCCGCCAATGCGAAGATAACAGCCAAGTATCTCCCATTCTATGTCGATACTCTCTTCACTGTATGTTCTTTCCACCATCTATCCTAACTCGCAATTGACACCCGTCATGCTAATTCCGCTGCAGGTCTTTCCCGAAAATCTGTCTGCGCGCCAATTCCGCCTAGCGTTCAAGACAGTCCTTCAAGTTACGGCCCCGCCGTCACCTTTGGCAAACAGTCAGCCTCTTCTGCCTTCGATCCTACTCCAAGTCCTCTACGACCGTGCTATGAATGCACCTACAACCCCCCTACCATCCAACCCCCAAGATTCAACGGATGCTAGTAACCCTTCCCCTCCTCTCTCAGAACAAGCCGTTCTGACTCTCGCCTTGATCGATTCACTCCATTTTCTCCGGGTCAGCGATCTCGAAGAATGGCTCCCCATGACAGCGCGCCTGGTAAACATGATCCACGACGCCAAGATGCGAGGTATCTGCACAGACCGCTTCTGGGAAGCGTTGAGCAGCGGGGAGATGGATGTCGAGCAAGCGCATTATTGCGTTACATGGTGGAGCACTAAAGGGGGACGCGAGATGGTTCTCTTTGGATACGACCAGGGGGTTGTAGCGGAGTTTGGGAATCGGGACGGGCCGTACATGAGTGGTGCCATTGGGGGTGTTGCGAGGGAGAATAAACTTTGAGTGTGTGTTTATTTATATTGGGCATTCATTCTGTTGCGTTGCTTTGTATTGTATCGCATTGCCAGGGCGTTTGGCTGCCTTTTTGATCTCTGCTTAAGGTTCTGTTGTGGGATTCGACGATGCGCTGTTGTCGAGCAGGCGATTTCTGTATTGATTTATATTTCTACTCCTTGTGCACTAGGTTGTAGAGGAAAGTTTAACAGGACAATATTAGTATTGACTTATGGATAATGAAGCATGACTTAGTCTGGTATAAAAGAAGACGTCTGGACGCATCCAACAGTAGCATATGTAGCAACCTAGCAACCTGTCTCTCGCCATGGGATCCAACTTAATGAATTCCCGGAATCCCTACGATAGTACGCTTCCTGTAGTTGACATATTCGTCACCGAAGAAAGCTACCAAGAATTTCTCCTCCCCTGTTAAGGTCAGCAATAATATCTAAGAAACAAAGAAAAAAAAAAAAAAAAAAAAAAAAACTAACGGTGAATCCTATTATTGAAGAACCGCCACAGCACGACAGCATGAACAAGACAACAAATGACGTTCCTCAGTACAAGCTGCGTACCCAACGCCCACCAGAAGAAGCCGAAGTAGCTGGGATGTCGAAAGATGGCATAAATCCCTGTGGAGACGAGCGTGTGGCCCTCCTTTCGCTCAACCTGGACGGTATGGTTGAAGTTACTACCAGCCTGGGCCATAGCTAGAGTCCTCACGGTCTGACCCAGCGCAACTAGAAGCAACCCAAACACGACCAGCAGGTTGACACCGGGGACAGGAGCGGTCCACGTCCACGGAAGATAGCTCTGCGGATGGAGAAGATGGGCGAGAATACATTCCACAAGGGCACTGATATTGGCGACATTGTACGGCCATCCGTTGGAGGTAAGGAGATAGGCAGATACCGACGCATGCACGGTGTTGTATCTAGCCGTCACGTAGAACTCGAGGAAGTGGAACAGACAGAGCGCTGCTAGGAAAAAAGGAACCCGCCATAGAGGGGTGTAGAAGCTGGTGAAGAAGACGAGACACACTGAAACTCCGAGCGTTGTTCCTAGGAGAAAAGCTCGGATGGAGATCCCTGACAGCGACTTTTTCCCTCCCGGGTAGTTGGAAGGGTCGACGGTCGGTAATAGATTACTCCTGGTTGTCGCTGTGCTATTTCCTACTGGTTTAGGTGGATACCAGCCTGGTTCCCCATGGTCTGTCGTGGGTCGTTGGAGAGGCCATGAGATGTAGGGATCATCAGCCTGGTTGAGCTGGGAACCGGTTGACATTGCAGACGAGGTCATGGCTCTTTTTTTTTAAAAAAAAGAAAAAAGTGAAATGGGAATTACAAGCAAGCTGGCAGAAATCACCTTTGCGAAGGGCTAGAGGGAAAGATGAAGGACGACCTTGGGGATGGGCACATTATAGAAGAAGAATTACAAACGGGTTTTTATAGCTTGGGAGAATAGAAGACTGGTCTCCGTCACCGCGGCAGAGAGAACAATAGCAGTGGAGAGGCCAACAATGGGAAGATGCAGGATGCCTTCTTGAATGCATATTAACTGTCTAGATTGATTGATGTTCCAAATTTACAGAATAATGATAAATAAATAGTAAGAATTGTCTCCGACTCCGGTATTATTTGGCTGCAGTAATGTGATTACCGTGTCGGGTAACATCCCGCCTCTCTCAAACTTCTCAATAATGATTCCTCTGTTGACGCTTAATTAGACCACATAGAATTAAACCAGTTCTTGACGACTAGCATCAAATTTTCCCAATCAATAATGGCGCAGCCATCCGACAGAGAGAAGATGCTTCGTGGAGAGCTCTACCACGCCTTCACGCCCGATCTCATTGCTGCCCGCACACGCTGCTCGCAAGCCTGCCGTCGCTTCAACAATGCGGGGGATGTCTCCCGCCGACGCATGGTCGAGCTTTGGAGAGAGTAGGTGAACTTGACACATTCCGTATCCGGCCCTACACTAGCTCTCCCATCCTCTGGATACGAGACAAGGAGGCTTTGCTTTAGAATGTCAGGCTACATGAATGGTCACACTGAAATCACTTGCAATTATCCACAGCATAGTCGAAGACAAAACCCCTCTTCCTCCACCCAAGGAGGACTCCGCAGAGGATGAAGCGCTATTCGCGCAGGAGCCCACGATCGAACCGCCCATCCGGATTGACTATGGCTTCAATGTGAAGCTGGGCGAGGGAGTTTTCATCAACTCCTACTGCGTCATAATTGACACATGCCTGGTTACTGTGGGAGCACGTACGCTCTTTGGCCCCAATGTCAATCTGTACAGCGGGACTCATCCGTTGGACCCTGCTGTGCGAAACGGTATCAAAGGCCCTGAGACGGGCAAAGAGATCCATATCGGCGAGGATTGTTGGATAGCCGGCAATGTGACTATCCTACCCGGAGTGACAGTAGGGAGGGGAGCAACAGTTGGCGCTGGTAGTGTCGTTACAAAGGTACTTATCTATCAAGCCCAACCGATACTTCTGCTCTTTTCTTCTCCAGTCCCGTATACATGCTGACGACTGAGACTCAGGATGTTCCCGCTTTCCACGTGGTTGCCGGGAATCCGGCGAAGGTTATCCGCAAAATTGAAACATCAATGACCGAGTGATGCCTTTTTTCAGTGGTCTTTCGCATATGATAGAGCTGACGTTTTGGTTTTAGAATAGAACTGTGACTGCATATTATTGGGACCTTCCAATGATCTGAAGTCCATAGATAGGACAAACTTGAAGGCAAGGGAAACTCTCCGGATATGAAGAATCCGGCCAACTTCCTAAGGGACTGCTTCCATGGCGATATAGATGCAAATACTGTAATGTTTTGAAACATTCGGTGTAGCTGGACCTGAACTATGCAGAACAGCTCCACGTGATCTCGCTTGCGTTCAAAAAAAAGCACACATCTCTGCCCATAGAGGATATACAGCGCAGTGTCTGCTCTCTAAGTGAACAGAAAAATGACCGCAAAGGACAATTGATGTGCTTCGTGAGAGTTCATCACAGTCCATTGCTGCAATCCACGAAGTTCTGGAGCAGGCTGGGCATGACGTAGTTGCATGTGACCGCGAGGGCCACGCAACGACTTGCTTGCATCGCTCGGTCTGCTCTTTCTGTCTAGCTTGTCTCAAGATGATCGCATACATGCTGCTGTCCTCAGGCCTGCTATAACGCATGGATCCCTTCTCTGTCAGACGGGTTCCCACGTAGACCAACGACCGGCTCTCTGGAATCGACGAGCTCGGTCGCGTACGCGCGATCCCAGGGTCCGGTAATCCCATGCCATTTTTGCCTTTTGAGAAAAAGTTATGCATTCACATTGCCGGCGTATTATACCTATGCTATCTTTATTGGTAGATGTCCATTAGTAAAAGGTAGAGCTGCAGTCAATCGGCAGACGGTGAATGGCCCCAAACAAACCGCCTTGTCTTCTCCCATCTGCTTCTGCTAGCGGAGCATCCCCTTCCAACAGTAAGACTTAATTGAATCCATCGTTCAATAGAGTCGTCATCATTGGTACCAACATCATTGTCGTTCTGTCTCATCCAAATGGAAAGACGCGTTGAGAGAGTCAGCGTGTCGTGGTAAACCTCTTTACGCGTTCAAGGCTCAGCGATAGCCGTTTCTCCGCTCAGAAAAAAAGGCAGCCTTGACTCCAGTTGAATTGGCCTGTCTCTCATCCACCTCTCCTTTCGCCATTTAAACTACTTTTTTTTTCTCTATCCCGTCGCTTCCATCCTCATCTTCTCATCCTCTTCTTCCCCTCCTTACCTTTCTTTTCCTGTATAATTTCCAACCGGCATCTGGAAAATGTCATGGCAGCTGCCCCGCTAGACAGCTCTAGCACCCCGCCTCGCCTTCGCTCGACAGAATCCTCGACGTACGCTTGCGACGATCCCATGGAAGATAACGAGCTGCAGGAGACCAGGAAGCGTCCCCGTCTCGATAGTGGAAGCGGTGCCTGCGAGTCTATGTCCATCGACCAACCCCCGACCGGTCTTACTCCCGATCCTGTTGCAGTTGCTCCTGCCGCGGCTGACCCGTCACCTTCTACACCGAGTCGCTCTGCCAGCAGAGTAGCTATCAATATGAAGTCCACCGTACCGGCAGAATTGGCTCCGGAGCCTTCAGGTGCGGTGCCTGAGGAGCCCATTCCCGTCCTGCCCGAACAGATTGTAAATACCGGCGCTCATTCATCAACGGCCATCTCGATATCGTCTTCGACTGCACAGAGCCCCGAAATAGAGGTTGCTGAAGTGGAGGATATGGATCAGGACCCGGCTACCTCGAATTGGAAATCTCTGGAAGAAGCACTGCGGGATCGAGCTGCCCCAGAGGTCGTTCAACTCCAGGAGCCGTTATCTCTGACAGAACTCTTTCCCAAGCTATCAGGGACGTCGGGCCTACGTGAAAGCCTGGAGGAGATTTGCTCGATGCTTGAGAAAGGTAAGTAATGGTGACAATTTGGCACCCATTGTGGTTCACTGGTCTAACCCAGTCTCACAGGTAGTCCACACGACGGCGAGCTTTTCATCGCGATAAAGAATTGGATGGATGATTGCTTGGCCAACCTCAACCAGTTAACTTATGGCGAGCTCGCCAACGAGAGAGACTTCTGGGAGGAGTTCCCTTGCGTAATTGAAAGCTTGCTACGCAGAGTGTAAGAACATGCCAATGGACTCATCCGGAAGGAGGACCAAGGGGCGTATTTTGATAGTTGCTAACATGGATACAGTCAAGATTTCCTGCCCGATGCTGGCCAAGGGCCATGGAATTCCCTGGAGGAATTTTTTGTTGGCTTTGCTCGGCTTACCCTTCATCTGGTGCACTTGGACACCATGAGCCTATCTCACTTGGTAGACAAGACTGATGTTCCGGCCCCGGAACAGCTGTCCAGATGCTATCTGCCGTCGTTGGGATGGATCTTACAGATATACCCTATTCCTTTTTTTCGAACACTGGAGAGATACCATGGCGCCGAAGTTGTAAATCTCATTGCTCGCATCAATGACCAGATTGCAGCTCCTCCAATTGGCGCCTTAAAGTATCTCTCCGAATACGCCGCTTGTGTCTTGACCCTTCTTCCTCGATGGCCACAACTTGCTTCGATTCTGGTCTCAATCTTGACCATTGCTCAAAACATGATAGAATCTGGGAATGAGCGGAAGAAATATCCAGCCGATGAAATGCTCATCGAATCACCTGTCTTTGCGCGTACTATGAAAGCCATCTATACCCTTTTTCGAGCTGTGGATGAGGAGTACCAACAACACATATCTAAGAAGTCCCCCTGGCTTACGAGTGATATAAGCGAGTCTATCATACGTTCCACCTCCTTCACCTATCTCAGTCTATCTCAGCATGATCCAAACATTGCTCTGCAACTTGCAAAGGACCTATCTATAGAATTTCCCGAGCGCGCGACACCAGACGAGTACCCGACAATTATCCATTGGGCCTGGAAGTTTAACGCTTTGAAGAAAAGTATCATGGAAGGCCGCATGGAACTAAGGGTCTATTGTATGGAAACCATGCAGAGTGACCTAGTTAGTGTCTGGAGACAATTTATTCAAACGAACCCCGCTGGTATTGAACACCCAATTGTTCAATACCTCCTCAAATTCCTGAGAGAAAACAAGATCGTTGAATACGTGGTCGGAATTGGTTCCCACCCCCAATTGATCAGCAGGAGCGGTAACATTGTGGGCTTTCTGGTCGTTACGTCCACATATACCGATGCAGATACCGATACGATATGGAGGACGGTGACAGAAAGCGAGGACCCTAGGGCAGTATCTGAGGTTTTGGGGATGCTGTCTAGAACGATCCCTATGCACCAAGCTAATTCCACTGCTTTGTTATATCTTTGCTCTAAGCTTCTTGAACTTCCGTTAAACCGGTTTGATTCACGGATGCTCGAATTCTGCGATCAACTTCTCCATCAACTGCGCGAGAAATATGGTGAGCGGAGCCGCCATGAACAGTTGGACAGCCTCCACGTAGATACCATCCCTCTGCGTCTATGTGTCCGTCTGATTCGCGAAAGCACCGCGTCAGGGGATTTACCTGTTGAGAACAAGGCGCTTCTACAAAGATTTGCTGGTTCGCAGTTGGGCTCATTTATTAGTGTCGGGCTGAGTGATATGGATAGGATGGAGATGTACGAGCGCTGCATCCAGGATATTGCAGAGATGAACCAGTTTGCCGCAGGGAGCATACAGGCACTAAATGCCCTCTTACCCCCTCAGGATTCCCAGGAAATTAGGAAACTGGCTACTGACTTTGACTTGGCGCGCCTAGCGATAACGGAAATTTCTTATGCCTTGGAATCAAACCGAACCGATTTTGCCGACCCCTTCTCTCGAAATGGCTTCATTTCACGCATTCAGATGCTCAGCCGCATCATCGATAAGGTCCCGGACACCATAACACCGGATTTGAGTGATGTACTTTGGAAGAAGATTTTCATGTCAAACGAACTCGTTGAACAAGCCCGCAGTGCCTTATGGGATATGCTTTGCAGGACAACCAGTCGCTCTTCGAAACGAAACCCATTTATTGACCGTTGTATTCAGGAGTATCTCCCCCAATTATCACCCGACGATTACTCTCCAGAGCTATTGTCTTTTGCCAAACACACGATGACATACGAGATCCGCTTTAATCCCCCGCCATCTGCCGGCGAGAATGAGGTTGTCTGGATCCCCGGCATGGACCGGATATGGACTTTTATCTTGACTGCTCGGCCGGGTTCAATTGAGACAGAGGCAACGAATTTTGCAATTGAAGTTTATCTCGACCATATTCTGATTAACAAAGCTCCTCGGTCAGCTGTCGAAGCCACCCATATTGCTATAGTCGATCGCTGTGTCGAACAGCTGAAATCTGCTGCCGCAAACTTAAAGTCCTCCACTGGCAGTTCTACTGCAAATGGTGGTACAGCAGTTGCCGCGCCCGTTTCTCAAGAGGACATTAGAACAGAGGAATTGCGATTTTCCCGGTCTTTACTTTTTCTCCGTCAGCTGCTTCAGGGTTTGAGGGCAAGGCCCCAGTACAGCCCGCCGCAAGGCCCACCTCCTGACTTGCCTGAGAGACCGGAGAAAGGTGACCCGGTTGAGATTTCTTACCAGGCTTTCAATGGCGGTAGTCAGTCGAAAGTCAGTACTTTTCGGATTGGCGATCTCTCTACTGCATCCGAACTAGTCGACAGGCTTATTCAACTTACAGGCTTTTCCAAATTCAGCACAATATACGGCGGCCAAAAGATTGACTTGCTCGAGAACCCTGGTCTTCCGGTCAGAGAGATGAAAGTGCATCCGGGATTGCTGATCGTGCGCAAAGTCCCTGAAAGCGTGGATATCTCATTCAGTAGACGCCAATCTCAGACCTTGGTGGATTCCGAGGTTCTCAAACATTTTGATGATCTGTATGACCTTCTTAACCTCGATGACCACTTGGCGAGAGAGGTACGTAGTAATATCAGCAGGCATACTCCACCGTGTCTTCCACTTTCTCTTAAAGCAACACCGCCTACTCACTTACTTCGTTTGCAGATCTATGACTTCCTTGTTGTGTTTCCACCCCAGGACCGGATTCGACAATTGGTGAAATCCGAGAAGACCGAACAGGATATATTTCCTATACAAAAACCCTTTAGCTTCCTATACTCGCTCAACACCCTCTCGGTCTGCCTACGAGAGGAGGCTCTCGAAGTTAGTTTCTAATTCCACTAGAAGGTTGTCGTTCTCTGCTGACCAGTACTCACTAGGTAACACCGAATCAATCTTTCGTGTCTCACAGCATTAATACCCTGGTTGCCTCATTAATCCGCCCAGGAACGTCGGAGTCTATTTCTCAAGATCCTATCAAGCTCCTGCTTGCTTGCAATTCGGTGGAATGTCTTCTCTTGGCCTTATTGGGTGAGCAGTTCCCTTTGAATGACAAACGTAAGATGATATGGTGCTGAAATCATTTCCAGTAAAACCTCGCCTTGGAGATGGCTCTTCCGTCGTCCTGGATCCTGCGCCTTTGATCCGACAGCTACTCAAGATAATCGAGACGGTACGACCTCTGTCGGTTGCGCCGCTCTCTCAAATCGGTACTCAGAAGTTGATTTGCAATTCCTTTGCCGTCCTGATGGAGGCTTCTGTGCGCGATAATAAATTTTGGACTGTGCTCAAGGGACTTGTTCAACTTGACCGCCTAGTTTTTATGCTGCTACTGGACGAAAGTCGCCAGCCTATACGAAAAGGAATCGCAGAGAATATAGCCATCATCTGTGGCGGTCCAAAATCTCTGAAGAAGCCAAACAAGCTGGGGACTCCAGGCCCCACCAGTCCCGAGAACCCTGCCAGCATCGATATACTTGCCACAATCTGGGATGGCTTTGTGAAAACCTTTCCTCAAACTCCAAACTATGCGCAACAATCCCAAGAATTCTTCGAAGTTGCTCTCTCAGTTTTTTGCTCTGTTGCAGATATGTCGCCTCACGACCTTATCTTCGGTGATTATCTGCGAGAATGGAGTAGCATCATGTTAAGTCACCAAACCGAGGAGGTCTGTTACTATTTCTATTGTCTCTCTTCTCTTCTGCTAACCATATTCATAGTTTGTTGGACGAGAGCCGGTGGACCCCTTAGTTCTGGGTTTCTGCCGTCTCCTTAAGTTGTGTCTTGATTTGGCAGACTCTAATAACACTTCATTAGACACCTTGTGAGTAGTCTTTCGGGGGATTGCTTTTTTCTTTTTGGCTTTAGCATCTGACATCTGTTTGCTGCAGTGACCTTGCTGAGAGCCTGTTTAACAATTATTTGTTTCCTGACCTCTCTATGCCGTCGGATAGCCCCATGGCGCCCCAGGTCCCCGTTATGAACACGCAGATCCGCCAAGAGCTGTACGCCATACTCATTTTGCTTTGCAAGTATGATGAAAATTATTCGAAGATGGTCTCTTTCCTAGAAGATCTTATCCCACAAGGTTTGGAATACCCGCAATCATTGTATCTTCCTCCATCGATTCTGACTGTATTTCTACTTTCCCCACAGATTATACTTATTCTCCAAACTGGGGATTTGAGCGTCAAAAAATGATCAGGTCCCCAGAGGGTTACGCTGGGCTTAAAAATTTGTCCAACACTTGTTACCTGAATTCTTTGCTTACGCAGCTCTTCATGAATGTTGGGTTTCGTGAATTTATGTTGCAGCTTGATGTTCCAGACCCAGGGTCTACCCATAAGCTGCTCGATGAGACGAAGAAGGTCTTCGGATATATGCAGGAGACCTGGCTCAAAAGCGTTGACCCACAAGGCTTTGTGGATACAATCCGAACTTATGATAACGAGCCAATTGATGTAACCATTCAAATGGATGTCGACGAATTTTACAACCTACTATTCGACAGATGGGAAGCGCAGATCCTTGATCCGGAAGACAGGAAGAAGTTTCGATCTTTCTACGGAGGTCAATTGGTCCAGCAGATCAAGTCTAAAGAGTGCCCACACATATCCGAACGCCTAGAACCCTTCTCTGCTATCCAGTGTGACATTAAGGGCAAGTTATGCCTGGAGGATAGTCTTCAGGCTTATGTAGAAGGCGAGATCATGCAAGGAGGTGAGTTTGCATCCCCTCTAATCGTTAAGCCTATATGCCAACACTTACTACGAGACAACAAATACTCTTGCACATCTTGTGGACGCCATGTGGATGCAGTGAAGAGGTAAGCTTGTCAAATCCTGTTTGCTTCTTCCGCATTAAATTGACTTGTATGTAAAGGGCTTGCTTGAAGGATATCCCCGATAATCTGATATTCCATCTGAAACGATTTGACTTCGATATGCTCACGATGCTGCGGAGTAAGATCAACGATGAATTTCAATTTCCGGAACACATCGACATGAGCCCTTATAAAGTTGAATCTCTTTCTGAGCCCTCTGCAGACGTTCCACAGGATATCTTTCAATTAGTTGGAGTATTGGTACATAGTGGGACAGCTGAGTCTGGCCATTATTATTCTTATATCCGCAAGCGGCCAACAGACGGCTCAAAAGGATCCTGGGTGGAATTCAACGATTCGGATGTTACGAGTTTCGATCCCTCTAATATTGCGGACCAATGTTTTGGTGGATTTAACGACTCGCATAACGGTCCACCCTATGGCCAAGTCCGTTTCAACAAAGTCTGGAATGCTTACATGCTGTTTTATCAACGTGTATCGAGCATGGAGACAGCGAAATCGATCTACGAGCCCATCAAAGGTGACGTTCCAGTTCGTGTTTCTTTACCGGTTCCTCTTGGAAATCATATAGCGATGGAGAACGAAATTTTTATCCGGACATACTGTCTGCTGGATCCCTACCACATCTTCTTCGTTCGACATCTCCTTAGTCAATCTATCGATGCTCAGTCGGGTAGCCGGAAGGCATCATTGCTAAACAAGACCGTCATCTTTATTGCTTTGGATACCTTGGAGCAGCTAATATCGAGAACAAGAGAGCCTTTTGGGCTTGATAACATTGTGACCGAAATCATGAGGGCGATTACAAGTACCCCGAAAGGTGCCTACAGGGTCCTTCAGTGGGTCTTGGAACGACCAACTGGGGTCCGCAATTTGATTCTGAGGTGTCCATACGCAGCGATCCGAAATAGTTCGTTGAAAATCTTCGCATCAGCTCTCACAAAGCTTCAGATGCTTTCAAACGATGTAGATCTCCAAGATATCGAGAGAGAAAAGTGGCGGATGCGGTACCTGAATATCTTTGACGATACTGTAGCCACACTGGCGGGGCTATGGTCAATTCTTCACACATCTAATCGCTCGTGGGATGACTATTTTGATTTCTTGCTGCTGCTCGCAAACTTTGGTCCCCATGAGAGCGGAGTATTGCTCAACTATGGGTTTCTGAAGAGGTGCCTGGAAATCGTCTGGCTTGATCGGGAAGATCCTAAGAAACTAAAGCGGCAATACGTGGCCTACTATAAACTAATGGAGAAGGGTCGGAGATTTTCTCATAAGAAGTTGACAGACTTCTTATTCGTTCTTCTAAAGCACATCAATCTCACAATTCCACCTACGCCAGATGGTGACGAACGGACCATGCATGATGGCCAGTGTTCAATGACAGTGTCGGAGAGCTACTTAATTCGACCACTCGGAAGGAACAACGAATTGCTGTTACTGAAGAAACTCTTGCAGCAATATAGTAGTCCTGTTGCGTGCAAGAACATTCTTACTCTGTTCTTACAGTTCGAACCCGAGGCTCAGCTGATGGAACCGATCTGCAAGACCTTGGAGGATGGTCTGAGAGTCGCCCCAGCTGCGCTATGTGCTCCGTTCCTAGACGCAACTCTAGTTTTCTGCAAGCAAAGCCCAGATGAAGAAAGGATAGTTGGCTTGATTGACTTTGTGGCCAAGGGAGTCGAGTCCATCAACAACAGCGGTGGTAAAGAGCACCTCTCATTCTTTACGAACATCTTGACGGTTCACAATGAAATTATTGAGAAAGATGATACGTGGTTCTCTTCTCAAGTCATAAATAGAGTCGCAGACTGGGCGCCGACATTGCTCATCTACGCCGACAAGACGGTTAGGAATATGACGTTCGAAGTTCTTCGCCAGATCTTGTTTGCCGATGAGGGTGAAGAGACGGATGATGAGTGGCAGCTACATATCACAGAAGTCGCCAAAGATCTCGCACAGGCATGTGTCGACAAGCTGAGGAGAACGTATCTCTCCATCTCTGAGCAGAGTGTTGAGGCGCGGGCTGTAGATATCATTAACATGGTGATATCTCATTGCTTGGAGAATTACTTCGGGGATAGCGAGGAAGACCAGGAATTCATTCGACAGGCAAACGGTTCGTTTTTCTTTCTCTTTGTTGAGAATTGCGGTATGCTCGAGTATCACTAACGTAGGAGGATAGCCGTTGGCACTGCCATCGAGGAACTTATAGTCGATTTGCCTGAAGAGCTGGCTTCCGGTAAGGCCGGCCCTTTCCTATGTTTGCATCAATCGTCTAACCGTTGCGGTCCAGAATCTGATCTACCGTCTCCAGATGAATGGGAAGATAACTCGGTCATGGCAAGTGAATCCGACATTGGTCTTGCCGAATCTCCATGATATTCCCGCTTTTCTCTCTTCTTTGTTTGCTAGAAAAGAAAGTTGTGATCATATCATCACACATGAGCGATGGATTTTACGACAAAAAATTATCTCTGTTCCTTATACGTCTGCATAAATCGGCGTCTTGATTCAACTTTTCAGCTCTTCTGAATGAATATTGGTTCGGTCAAAGGGAACTTTCTCGTACTTGTATTGCTACAGGGTTCAGTCTTGTCTGATAGGCATGCCATGTATTTTAAATTGGTTGTCTGTATCTCCGACAAGTTTTGTTATTTGTGGTTCGCATTCTAAGCCAAGGCGGATTTTCTTCTTTTCTTCTTGTTATGCCGGCAAAAGATAGATACCAGTGCTCGAGGGAAAATATAAAGACGGACTGTGATTCTTTCAATTGTCGAAGATTATAATAACTTTTATGTCTATATCCATGATTTACGCTATAAAATATCGAATGTCTAAATCGAGCTATATCTCACAGCATCAAGTGAGCCCTCGAAAAGGATAGAAAAAGTTCGAATCATACATCAAGCGAAGAAAAATAATATGAAACGGAATGCCATCACTTCTCCGTTGGAAATGAACATACCATAGCCAACCCAGTGAGAAGTAAATAAGGAATAATCACTGGTGATCTTTCTTTGCTGGCGCCAGCGCCAGCGCCAAGTCGGACTTACCATGAAAAAATAAAAAATAAAAAAATAAGTGAATAAATAAAACAAATAGAAATGGCTTGCGGATCAGTAAGTATAGCTAGAGGACAAACTGGGGAGGGGGCGAAAGTATCAAACGTCCTCGAACTCCTCATCCTCATCCGATTCTTCCTCCTCTCTTTTAACTTGAGGGCCTTGTTCTTCGATTTTCGGCTTCTTTACCGCCGGAGCACCGTCCTCTGCTGCAGAAGTTGATGGAGTAACTGAAGTAGTTTGCGGGACACTGGTGGTACTGAGGATAGAGTCCGCGTCAAGTTCACGCTTGATACCAGTGACCATTGTTGTTGTTGCTGGCGGTCCCGCAGCAATAGGCGCACTAGTCGGACCGCCAGCAGGAGCAACGGCTGCAGGAGTGCCAGGTACATCGCTAACGGAAATAGTACCGACGTCCTCAAATTGCTCGTCAAATTCTTCGTCGGAGTCGTCTTCCTCGGGGGTGCTTGCGTCTTCCTGGGCCTGCAGGGCCTGCTCCCTGGCCATTTCGGCGTAGTAGGCAGCAACTTTATCATCAAGAGTGTCAATGGCAGGTTTAGTTTCTGCTTCTTCCTCCTTCATTTCAGGCTTGATGGCCGCATCGGATTCCCGTTTGATGGTAGTGGCCGTATTGATGTTGCCAGCCGTCGTGGAGACGGTGGAATGCGTATGCCATACTGGAAGGGCATTCTGCTTTTCCAGCGCGGCCTTGCGTGCAGCTTCGTCTGCTTGCTCGGCAGCGCTCTTTTCCTCAGACGAGGTAAGGGAGATCTCGAGAGCAGCCGCATCAGTCTTGGCATTGCCGCGGACCAGCTCTTGCTTCTTCGAGGGCACAGCGATAGTAGGCCTTGTGGGATGAGTCTGCTGGTTTCGGATAACATCGACTTTGTGATCCCAAGCCGTTTCGAAATCATTAGGCGGGATCTCGGTCGAGTCAATCTGTTTAAGCAACTTCAACATTTTGTCGAGCTGGGCCATGAGCTTGCTGTTCTTTTCGTGTCCCGTTCGATCGATCCCTTCGGTGCCCTTCACATCCTCGGTCCGTTCGAGGATGGCTCCGCAGCTCTGGCACTCAAAACCTTCTTCAGAATACAGGCTCAGCACGTCTAGTTCTGTCCATTCCGCTCCACAGCGCAGACAGATGTATTCCTTTCTTTCCTCGCTGGGCGTGTATTGAGCTTTGATCGTTGACGTCAATTTCGAAACTTTGTACTTGATCGCATCAATGACTGGGTGTAGTGGGATGTAGTAGTATTCGCGGTTGACGGGACGAGTAGATCCATCTCGGAGTTCAGCTCGCGTGTGACTTGCAATCAGACGCTCCTCGCGCAACCGGGCACAGAGTTTCCGGAGATCTTTCTGCTGCATGCCCAAGAGGAAGGCAAGGTCCTCTGCATGAAGCCTGCAAACGAGTAAGTCAGATGAATCAGAAAGAAAGGATAAAGAGGGAAGTCAAAGAAGAAAGAAAGCATACACTGAATGTATGAAGAGCGCATCAATCACCAGGATTTGGCGGGTCTCATAGAAAGCGCGAGCCACACTACGAATAAGCGTATTTGCAAGATCCATGACCGGCGAGGGAAGATGGAATGAAGCAGCACCCAGAGCAGATCAGCATAAAGCTAGCGAAGTCCGAGTCCTCACAAGGCAGCGCTGCACTCGACGTTTCTCCAGCTGGAGCTGGATCCTGATATTGCGCAGGTTAGGATCCTGGGAGGAGGAGCAGGAACATGCTTCTCTTTCAAGCAGCAACGAGGCTGAGGGGAAAAAAGAGAGTTTGAAATGAGCAAACAAGGCCTGTCTGAAGCGCCGAAGGATGAAAGAAATGAAGAGCTCGCGCCGTAAGCTTTGGCGCAAGGCAGGAAATATTCTGCCTGAGGCTGTTATTTTACCGTGTTGGGACTAGGCCAGCATGGCAAGCGCTAGTCCTAGACAGGATTAGTGCTCTTCGGACGTAGACGCATTTTTGCGAAATAAAATAAATCGCATCCGCAGTGAGTCTTTCTTGATGCGCCATTACGCTGTCACACGTCTGATCCGGGCTGGGATTTCCCCAGTTACTAGTAACTTGCCAATCCGTTGCTACGCTTATCGTGCTTCCAACAGTCTTCACCGTATTCCTTCGCGATTTCAGAGCTTCTTCGCAACTAGAACATCGTCTTCGTACCCTGAGCTGTCTGATCCTGATCTAGAGATACAATGGAGGACTCTAAAAGACAACAATCTGGAGAAGGAGCTTGTGGAAAGCGTAAGAGCAGAGATCTGGGAAGGAAGGATTTCAAGTATGTTCAGAACATCCCAATCACCCGTTTCTGTCATCGACTAACTAAGCAAGCCGACAATCATTAGATAAAAGAGCGCGGAACGAAAAAGCGCAAGCGGCCAAGCGACGAAGACTTGAGCAAGGGGAGGAAGTCACGACTCCGATCTATGCAACCAATTTCTCTCAGGAGGACATTGAAAACGAACAAAGACGCCCCAAGAAGAAGGCCGCGGTGCTTCTTGGATATTCAGGAACAGGCTATCATGGGATGCAATTGTGCGAATCCTACCTCCTCTATTGAGAGTTTACTTTTCTTCTGGATACTCCGGAAACTAACAAAATGTGGCGATCTGTAGAAGCGCTACTGAGAGGACGATTGAAGGAGATCTCTTCCCCGCATTGGTGGCGGCAGGTGCCATTTCTAAAGCGAATGCTGCTGATCCGAAAAAGTCATCATTTGTACGTTGCGCGCGCACAGATAAAGGAGTTCATGCGGCAGGAAACGTTGTCTCTTTGAAGATGATCGTTGAAGATCCCGATCTCGTTAAGAAGATCAACGAGCAACTCAGTCCCCAGATCAGGGTGTGGGACGTGCTGGTTGCAAGCAAGAGTTTCAGCAGCTACATGATGTGCGACTCTCGTGTTTATGAATACTTGATTCCAAGCCATTCCTTTCTACCACCTCATCCAAGCACATACCTCGGAAGGAAACTGGTTGAGGTTGCGGAGCAATGCGGAGACTTAGACGGTTTCAAGGCGAGGCAGGAAGAAGTTGATGGGTTCTGGGATGAGGTTGATGAGAAGTACATCAAGCCGATCCTCGAAAATGTCCCCGATGAGACGCGTAGGATCGTGCAGAAAGCACTCTACATTGAGGAGGAAGAAAATGCAATTTCAGCCGGAGAGGAACCACGAGAGCCAAAGGTACGAGCAGAGCAGAAGAATACCGAACCGAAACCAGACAAACCCGTCGAAGATGCAGAAAACACAGAAACGGACAAACCCACCTTAGAATCTGATACAAAAGAGTCAGATACGAAACCAAACAATGTAGACCCAGGGAAATGGCAAATTATTCGGACTGTTAAAGCTATCAAAGCGGCTTATCTTGATGCAAAAAAAGCATACCGCATCCCAGCAGCCCGGATGGCCCGCATTCAAGAAACGCTGGACAAGTTCGTCGGCACGCGGAACTTCTACAACTACACGATCCAGAAGGCACACAATGACCCATCTGCCAGACGAGTGATCAGATCCTTCAAGCTCAATCCTAATCCCATCATCATCGACGGCACCGAGTGGCTCAGTCTCAAGGTCCATGGACAAAGTTTCATGATGCACCAGATCCGCAAAATGGTCTCTATGATGGCTCTTATAGTACGATGCGGCTGTGATCCCCAACGCATCGTCGACAGCTACGGGTCTACCAAGATCGCTATTCCCAAAGTCCCAGGCTTGGGTCTTCTATTGGAACACCCGGTATTTGATACATACAACAAAAAGGCACAGTCTCTGGGCAAAGAGAAGATCGAGTTCGACCGATATTCCAAGGAGATCGATGAATTCAAGCAACGAGAGATCTACGATCGGATCTTCCGGGAAGAAGAAGAAACCAAATCGTAAGTAGCCCTTCCTCCCGAGCCTTCTTTTCTAGGTAAAATAAATGAAACTAAATCACTGGAAACAGCTTCGCTTCTTTCTTCAACCACGTCGACAACCTACCCAAGGAGACCTTTTTATACATTAGCTCCGGTGGAGTACAAGCTGCTGCATCCTCTCAGCAGCCTAATGCCTCTTTATCTGATGAACAGAAACAGTCTCTGGCTGCCGTTCAGTCAGATTCAGGGTCAGGGTCAGAAAAGAACGAGGGAAACGGTGAAGAGGAAGGATGAAGAAAGGTCATCTTTATCCGGGATATTAATTGCATTAATTCTTCCTGTTACAGCGTCCATTTAGATAAATGCCTGAGGCAGAAACAATATAGATATCTTCAAATCACTACAGAATTTCTTTTCATCTTCTACTTTGTAAGCCAGGTCATCCAATGTCTACTTAGATAAAGAACAATAAACTTCCAAACAATTACAACACGCCTGGCTTAAGTCTGCTATGAAAGAGAGATCTCCGTGAACTTTTTTTTGAAGTATGTGAAATAAGGGAACCTCCTACTCCGGGATGCAAAAATATAACTAGTTAGTTATTTGTGGAACTGAGTAATAGAGAAAGAATAGTTAGTTAATACAAAGACTTAGGTGATGAACTTTCAATTAATCCCCCATAAGGGAATAATAAAGTAAAAAACATAAAACCCGAGATGATGGAGCATCGCGGAAGACACAAGAAACACAAAAGAAAAACAAAGAAAAAAGGACATGACCCTTCGTTTGGCATTAGGAGATTGCTTCATTTTCTTCTAATTCCAATAATGCCCAGGCTAGATGGAAGGAGAGACGAGAAAGCGGAAATCAGCTACACAAAACGTTAAGGAACATCAAACACTCAAAAAACAAAAAAAAAAGAAAAGAAAAGAAAAGAAAAGAGGTCTCATCAATGAAATAGGGAACAGGAACAAAATGAGAGGGTGACATACGCAAAGAAAGAAAAGCGACGAGATTACGATTCAGCACCAGCCATAGAAGCCAGCTGGGAAAACAAAACAAAGGTCCTGTAACAAATGACGCCGCCTGTAGCGATGGTTGGTGAATCAAAACATCAAGGAACGTGTCTTCTGCCTGCGAGCTTCGGCACTCCGGGCTTCTGGCTGAGAATGTGCATGTTTGTGACTGGGCCGCGGCAAATTAGATGGAGACGCAGACGGCGGCAGCTGCATTGACGATCTCGAATATGCGGAAGAAGTCAGAAGAGGAGATGCCTCCTTCCTAGAAGTGGACTGGGGAGCCGTTCCTGCGCTATTGCCAAGGAGCCGGTCGGCTTCTCTTTTCATTTTCTGTTGCCGTTCGTACTTAAGGACTAGTTCAGTCCATGCCCTGGCCTGCCCATTTCCAGGGGTGGGCCCTTTTCCAACGGCGTCGGCAAGCACGTCTAACCATTTTTCCTTGTCCGCTGCGCTGTCCGCGTAAAAGTCGATAACCTCACCATTACCGAAACGGATGCGGAAGCCTTCTTCGACGAACATATACCCTTCTTCTTCTTCTGCGAAGGCTGATTTTCGCCGGCCACCACCCTTTGTTGTCGTTTCCCTTTGAGTCAGGATAGACCTGTCGTCAATCAACTTCGCAGCCTTGGCGAGGTTGATGGTGGCACGAGGTTGACGAGTGGTTTCATGGTAAGCAGTTAACTTAGAACCTTGCAGTTTGAAGAAACGCCGGCGCCAATACTGTCGCAAAATAATGAGCATGTCGAGGTCACGAGCTTCTTGGAAGGGGACTTACTGGGCAATCACCGCCTTGCTGAGACAGGAAACCTTCAAAGCTTCGGGATGCGACGCTTTCTGCTTCACGCATCTCCCGAACACAAGCGTTCATGCTCTTTGGCATGTCTTCATCCTTGGCACCTTTCGGCTTCGGAACAAAAAGAAGCTGCAGCTCCAGCTTTCCAATCTTATAAGGAGGTCGTCGTTGCGAGCAGTTGCTGGCAGTGCTCTTCTTGCTCTTGACACTGCTTGGCTGGTCATCGATGGCCCATTCATTGAAACAAGAAACATCGACAGTGTATGGGCGGCCAAAGGCCTGCTTCTCATGATCACTCAGCGCAACGTATGATCGGGCAAAACTACCGTCACGAGCTATCAATGTCCTGAGTTTGTCCCATGCTCCGGGATTGGCATTGTTGCTCTTTTGCTGCTGCATCATGAGCTGCTGCTTCAAGTCCATCTCCTTACGTTTTCGTGGGCTAGCGAACACCCGACTGAACGTGGATGGTTTCTGCCGGGTGGGGGACGCAGTGACAACCTCCGGCGTATTGAACTTGGATTCGTCGACCTTCATCTGGAGCGTCAGTTGAAATTCAAGGTCATTTTGGACAATGAGCTCGAATTCCTGTCCAATCGGGGCGGATTTTCCAAGCTCTAGCCAAGATGTAGTAACACAGTGGAGACCATTATCCAACGTCAATGAGAAATAAGATCGCTCGCCTTTTGTGACTGTCAGAAAGGTATGGTTTAACAGGCGTCAAGATGAACATACCTTTAGGGAGCGGCAGGTCCAGGTATTTTATACCTACAACCTTAACAAATAGGCGCCCTCTCTCTTCCCCTTCCTCAAAAACTTCATTGAAAGGGGGTTCGGATTCCTCTGCACCGGTGAGTACATCTTGTACATTACTTGCGTGTCCTGGCAAGGGAGGCACTGGACCTGGAACTGGTTTCTTTTTGGGAATACCGCCAGCCATTTTGATGCTTGCACGCCGCGGTTGGCTATTCCAGGGCACGGTTGTCCAGGTTTGCTGGCTCGCCTTCCGGGGAGAGGAGCCTGCAGACCTTGTACTACGTGGTTCAGATGTCGTCCCATTACCAGACGAAACGGGTTCGTCATCCACGTTGCTGCTGCTGGCGACAATGACTTTTGTGTTGTGTCTCATCAGATAACCTCTCTGTTTGGAAGCATAGGTGTCAGTGGGTAGTCCAGAATTACTGGTATTTGCATCTTGCGAGGTCACGGCCTCCTGGGAATGGGTAGCAGCGTGGGTGTAAAAGAGTGGGAACCGGGACTGGGAAAGGGCTTTTTCAAACGCCACCTTTTGGGTCTCCATGACGCGATCGAATTCCTTGTCAAGTCCGAAGCCAAGGCTTTCTTCCTGAATGCTGAATGGGATATCCAGCTTAACCAAACTACTCTGCCGCTGGGACTCCTTTCGGCTGGGAGGGGGCAGTCGCGGTGCCTCTTGTAGGGCCTCCTTGGTTTCAGGTTCTGAATCATCTGCGGCCGATTTCTGAGATTCATTAGATACCTGCTTGCTCAAGGCCGGCATTGGAGGTTGCTGGCCGCTGATTCTCCGACGGGTAGCAGCCATAGATTCTACGTCAGCTGGTGTCAGTGATGGGCGTGTTTTCAGTTTACCCCCAGGGGCCTTCACGGTGGCGACAGGATCGGGGACGCTTTCATCTGTATGGTTGTCATAATCAACGGAATGGTGAATAACAGATCCTGGGGTTGAAGGCTCTTCATCGGACAGGTGATACTCTTTGCCTTGAGGCGTCTCAGGACGCTCAGGGATCTCTTGATCAGCAGCGCCATCTGGAGCTGCAGTCTCTTCCCCACGGGGTTCTTCTTGGTCCTTATTAGTAGATTCGTCATCATCAGCCTGCTCAGTCTGTTCTGCAGCAATGGCAGTGACTTGGCTATCATCAGAACCTTTGGAATGCACGCTTTCTTCGTGAGTTTCCTCTGTTGACAGTCGTGAGTACCGACTCTCATCATCATCATCAGGTACGTGGTGCTCATTATCTGGTAGGGGGTTTTCGTCATGATCATGTTCGTAATAATCGGGAATCGCGTAGATATCATCATCTTGTTCTTCTTCTTTAATGTTCACGCTATTTTCTGTGTTGTCGGCCTGATTCTCGAGAGACTGGATCGGGAAATCTGGGTCATACTGTCCGTACTGGATAGAGCTGGACTCTATCTGCGACGAGCATTCGTACGAGTCATCCAAGTAGCTATCACTTTTCCGAATATCACGCAAGATTGACTCTCTGGAGATCCGTGGTGAAGACAGGCCATCCAACGCGATGAAATCTACATCCTCGTGCTCGCGTGAGTCTTCCATCCGGAGGGTCTCCTTCCGTTCTCCTTCAGCGCTACTCTCCTCTCGAGATACCTGTTCGTCATGCTGCTCCTCATGACCCGCCTGCTCATTTTTGTGACCAGTTTCTCCCAGCATCATCAGACGCAGCTTATCCTCTAAAGACATGGACGCTTGCTCCAGTTCTCTTTCGCTGCTCTCCGACTGACCAAAGGACGCTGACGCGGGGGGAGAAGGTAAGATCCTCTTGTTATTGTCCAAATCAAATGCGCGTGATAGCCTGCCTGCCGAAGATGGACGAGGAGAGGCCATCCGAGTTGAGGGGAGAGGTGGGAGTGGACGACGCTCCGCATTGGAATCCTGCGAGTCAATATGGGAGTCTTGAACGTCGTCCAGAGTGCGCTTCTCCACATGCTCAGTGAAGGGATCCTCATCCTCGTTTACAAGGTCGTCATTAGCATTGCCTGGACTCACGAATCGCCAATCCTCGGGGAGAACCACGGGAGTTTTTTCGATGTCTTCCAGCGAGGCGTCAAAGCTGTCGTCACGGTCAATAGAGGAGTCGTGATCGAAACTGATATTACCTTCGTCTTCTTCAGAGTCTTCGCTCCCCTCATGGGAATCCGATGCAATGGTTGATGGGTCTGGAGTCGTCATTTCGTATTCATTAATTTGCGGAGGAGCAGCGTCGAACGTGACACTCTTAAACTGTCGATTGCCGTCGAGCCAGATCTCATTGCTCGGGTTCATAGCAGCCCCCTTCGGGCCAAAACGGCTGCCCTTTGACAAGGATGACTTGGCAGGAGATGTCTGATCTTTGCTTGGTGAGGCAGGCCTGGCTGGATTTCCATTTTCTGGCTGTTCACTAGTTTCTCGGGATTCCAATTTCTGATCCTTGGGAGCTGGCTGGGAATCGCGACCTGCGCTATCTTGACTCTTCCGTTGAGATAGTCCCCTGGCGACCAAGGGCCGCTGGGGAGCATGGATATGGGCAGGATCGTACTCATTGTTTTGCTCGTGGGCGAAGATGCGGCTGTTCCTCACTCTGGAGAACTTCTTCAGGTTCTCGACAGATGGGCGTTTTGATCCTGAAAATGACGCCTCCGGGTCGTAAGGGGCACGGTTTTCTGAACCTTGGCTGAAAGGAGAAGCAGACTCACGCCCCTTCCAGAAAAGACGCGGAGAAGCTGACGCGTTGAAAGAAGAAGAGACTTCCAAAGGCGAGGAGTTGCCATGGGCCATCTTCTATTGGAACATATGAGCATGACTGACGTTGAAAATAAGCCAGCTGCTGGACAAGTAAACTTACTTTCGTGTTTTGGTTCCAGACCGGAGAGTTTCGTCTTTGAGCTACGGGGCTAAGCTCGGACAGTGGGCGCTGTTGTCCTGCACCATTGACCATTTTTGCGACTTAATACGCGTGTCACGCTTGTGGAAGATGTCTTCCCCAATCCAATAGGTTGATCAGTCTGTGAGTAATAAACAACTAAACAATCAGCAAACGCGAAGTCGGTTGAGGAAGTCATGAACTCCGCTTCAGACTTCAGTACGACATCCCACCACACCCCATGTCTACAACCAACACCAGACCATTGGGGAGTGCCAGGAAATGAACTCCAGTAGGTCAGGACTTACCGATTCGTCAATTGTGTTGGTCGTGAAGGTAGGTCGTTACAGAGATAAAGTCCTAACTGAGCACCGAGTCCGCGCAACTCCAAAGGATTTCCAAAACGCAATTAAACCAAATAAAAGACGGTAAGGTAAAATAACGATCAGGCCCTACAGGGATATCGTGCAAAGTGAGAAAATCATACAGCAACTCATAGCCTCCCCGAGGGAATCAAGAACAGAAGCGAAGGATAAAGGCGCAAACACAACGAGGACGACAAAGACGATACGGTTGAGGAGAAAGACACGATGAGGACAAAGAAGAAAACAGAAAAAGGAAGATGAAGAGGAAAGAAACAAAGATATTATTGTCTGGACTGTTATTAGATACGGGCTAGGGCGTTGCTCGCGAGGTAGTGAAACTTGATGTTGACGTTCTGTTTCTACAGCAACGTTCAGCTGCGGCCGCTCACTGTTACGGGAGTCGCCTGTAATTACGCTGCCAGTACGCGGTACTGCACCGCACGTGATGTCTGCTGCTTCCTGTTGCGGTTAGCGCAGCCAGAAGCAAGAATGGCCATGGACAGCTCGAATGCTCTGCGGACACGAGTGGACAGGGTACGCTGGTAATAATTGGCATGTTGACCTGTGTTATTTGTTTCATGCGTTACTATATATAGTCGTGCCCGAGGAGACGGGGTAACAATCGTCTACATAGGGTCTCCACCTTCGGAGCACTGGGGAATATCTGGTGTACAGAACTTCAAAGTATATGACCGTTTCCGGCAGCGACTTCATTTCACAAACGACTGTGAAAATACACATGGAATAGAAAACAATTACATCTTTTAAATCGCCCATACCACAAGCCGACCTGGCGCAAAACTCCAGAGCAGGTATCAAGAACAGCGCTCTAACATAAGACCGTTACCCCCGCGAGATGTCTAACTCGTAATATTGAGCGATGAAGGGAAAAGATTTGGAAAGAAGTAAAAAAATCCTGGTATAAATAATCACATCATTACGCGAATCTGTCGAGTTCGTCGTCTGGTCGTTCTCACATTTCGTGTATCATCGGTCCGCTCGCTGCCACCATCCGTTTCAGTCCGAGTATCAGAAAGATCAGGTGTAGGAGTAATGCCAAAACTAACTCCACGGCCTCGATGTAAAATCTGAGCCTCTTCCTCGGGGTATAAGAAGCGGTGGATGGTCCGGTGATCCATGACTCTCTCTTCGTCATCGAGTGGTCCTTCTTTGTCGGTCTTGGGCCAGCGGAATCCATAGAGTTTGGAGTGCCGTTCGCAGCGAGGGCATTCTCGCCGGGTCAAGTACGAGTTTCCTTGTACAAACCAGCACTCGCATGTGCGGCACTCCACCCAGCGATCGTATGGTTGAGCGAGCAGTTTGGACGTTTTGATGTAGTCACCGGGAACTCGGACGCGGTGCGCCTGATCCTCGTCAGACGGGACAAGAAATCTTCGACGTTGGTACTTGCGTTTCTTTCGTTCCACAACGGTGCCGGGTTGTTCGTCTAATTCCAATGAATCAGATAACTCTGAAAGCGCATCTGCTTCGCTACTGGTTAAGTGTGGTTCGATGACTGGCTGACCTGTAGGTAACTGCTCAACGTTGGTAACAGCAGTCGAGATTGGTTTCTCCTCAGATGCCTCCGCTTCTTCTTCTACCTTGACTTCTACCGCTGTTCCGCAAACAGATGTTGGTGAAGTCAGAGTCGATGACTGTCGTGATTCTTCCGTTGTCCCTGAAGTGGGAGATTCGCAGTCGGTAGAAGCAGGCACAAGGCCATTGGATGTCGAAGGATCAGTTTCAGTGCCTGCGCTTTCAGCATTAGTACCCTTCAACTCCCCATGCACTTCGGGCATGGTAGAGCTTTGGTGGTGATCCTCCGGAGCAGAATCGATCGAAATAGCAACCTCAGGAAGCGACATCTCCTCTCTCAGTTTAGAACTCTGCGGTTCAAATTTTCCTCTCTTGCGAGGGGTTGGAAATGGCGACTCTGAATCTGAATCCTGCGCGTAGATACGTTTTTTCTTAGGTGACGAGTCAACGCCTGCAGAAGCATTCTCGTCGTTCAATGCTGGACTGGGCTCCTTGCTTTCCGGCTCGCTATCCACATGCGGTGCCCAGCCATTTCGGACAACCCTTTCACATGACAAACAAAGGCATTCACAGTTGTCAATACCAAAATAATCTTCGCCATAGGAAACAGTGACCTCCTCTCCAATATGGATGTCCCGGATGGCCACGACCTGCATTCCCTCGGAACCACGAGTGACCAACCGTGCATTCGCATTGCAGTCATGATTAGCAAAACGAGCAGGACCGAGAAAAAAGGACGGGGTCTTTTTCCTGCTCGACATAACAATGCTGAAGTCCTTGCGAGTCAGGCCTAAATCCTGTTCTTCCTCCTGAGTCATGGGCACAAGAGTTCCGCTTAAGTATTTGATCTCTTGGCCCTGCTTGATAAATTTCCGGGCGCAGATGGCGGCTTCATGAACCATGATCGTATACCTGTTGGTCGTGGTGACCTCAAACGGACAGTCAGGAAGATAGATTTGGATGTACTTGCGGAGGTGTCGCCGAAACCAATCTTTCTCCCGGTCATTAGGCAATCTCGCCATGTATCTCTTCAATCCTGGAACCGCCAGCAGGGCTTGCTCTGCTTTCATCACATCCTTGGCAACAACAACATCGTGTAGGAGGATGCGCGCAACGTCGTCGTCGTTAATTCCTCGCACCGGAATGTACTTTGGACGGTTCTTGCGTGTATTGGTCCAGAAATAAGCCTGTCGATAAAAGAGAGGTCAGTATTCAGTTCTAATAGCAATAGAGCGGAGTGTCCCAGGACGTACGCGGTCAACCATGGCATCCGTTGCGACATCATCATAGCTGGCCAGTTTCGAGAGCGTCAAGCGCTCGCGTCGGTCCGATGGACTGGGTCTCGTTCCGGAGGGTGGCATTCCAGCAGAGCTTCAGTTTTGAGGATATGGGAGGAACTGCAGCATGGAAAAAGGATGCTAACGGTATCGAGACCGTCCTACCTAGTGCGAAGCAACAGCACGGTATAAGTAGGGGCGGAAAGAGCGTAGAAAGCGGAAGAAGGGATGCAGTGTAAATGAATATTTATTTAGTGAATGGTGAAGACAAGGACCAAAGACATGATGGGATTGAAAACAACCTCCCTAGGGAAGAAGAGGGGCCAATTGACCCGGCCAAAAGATATGCGAGAGGCGCCAGGTTAATAATGCTCAGCCGTATCGAGAAATAATCACAACGAACTAATTAATTCATAGATGCAGACAAAGAGCGGTTGGTTCTCTCCGGGGCGGGCTGACTCCGGGGCCTGCGGATCGGCGAATATGATGCCGTCCCGGTGCGGCGCAGGGAAACCTGTGAAAGTGAATCGCAGGACAGGCAGCTTCACCCAGCCGCGCAGCCAAAATGATTCAACTAAAGGTGAAGAGAATATGGACTGAAAAATGCAATTCCGTTTACTGACGCTCTCCCCAGACAATGCTTAATTGCATCGACAACTCCGGTGCCGCAGTTGTCGAATGCGTTAATGTCTTGAAGAAAAAAAGGCCCGCAACAGTCGGTGCGTGTCAAGGCTCCTTGTCTAAAGGTTACCAGCCTTCCTCTAACCAGATGATCTCACTCCAGGTGATCGCATCGTCGTTGTCGTCCAGAAACAACGGAATTTCGGCCCCGACAGCTCGAGCAACAGTGGTATCGCAAACAAGGTCCGTCGAGGAGACATCCGACACGCCGTCGTCGTCCGCGCAAAGAAGGAGATCCAAAGACCAGATGGAAGCTTAATTAAATTCGACGATAATGCTTGCGTACTGGTGAACAAGTCTGGAGATCCAATCGGAACAAGAATGAACGGTCAGTCTTCTACAGCCATGGTCTTACTACCTAGTTACTGACTATTGTACAGGAGTCGTGGGGTCGGAGTTACGAGGGAAAAAATGGTCTAAGATCTTGTCGTTGGCGCCTATGCATGTGTAAATTATATCCAGTTTTTAAAGCGAATACATTTATCTTCAATATCGGGCTTCTCAGGACCTGGTCATTTGTAAAGGGAATTGCTATTATCCCCAACCATACCACGGAATAATAGAGAACCTCATACCCTATACCAGTTATCTATTTTTTTTATAAAAAAATGAGAACTGTAATAAAGTAGAAATGTGTTGAGGCTAATAGTATATCTAGCGTCATCCAACCTCGTTTCTTGTCGGACAAGTGTATGGTGATAGACAAGATAATAATTCAAGATTCACGTATTTATACATAGTTCGCTTCAAACGAAACAACAAAGGAGACGATAAAATAGAATGGCCGCAGCTGCTCGGCTTCTAGTCGAAAATACTAAGCCATATTGGATCCGTATATTGTCCCAGACCGCAGATTCGCTTTCATGCTAATAGAACATCCATCCCTTTCGGACCGTATAATGGCCATATCCCGCCTTATAAATCCTTCTGGTCATTGAGTGAAGATCTAGGCAGCTGATAGCCAAAGTAGCGGGCTGAAGAAATTTCGACACCATGCAATTCATCGGCTCCACAGTCAAAGGGTGGAGAGAGACTGGGTATCATGTATAGATTGAGGAAGGTCGTAATGAAGGTCGTGATGCAAGAAGGGATCATGTGAAGACGTTACCGCAAGTGCAGCAAACATAGTAGAGTTTCTTTCAGATGACCTGTCAGCAATGCTCAGACGACAAAAACTAAAGGAAATAGCATCTCTCACCATCCCAGTTTCGGCCGACCGCTGTTGGGACTGAAAGAAGACTGCTTCGTTTTCACCGCAGCTAGGGCACATTTTATTAGACCGCGGAAGCTATAATGGAAAAAGGAGTCTGTCAGCCAGGCAAAATTCAAGGTACTTCTTGGGAATTCTGGCCAGCATTCAAGTCTTCCTGAATCCTCTGAGATCCATCACTCTCGCATTCTGAAGTTGCAACCTCATTCCCATCCATGACTACTTCCCCACAAAGAGTACAGAGATATTGGAGACAAACCGTAGGATCTGATATCACATCTTGAGTCACGCCGGCAGTATCTCCCACTTGACTGTTCAAATTGTTCTGATAGACGCAGTATGAGGTGGCAGGCTCGGAAACATGGCATGTTCGGCAGGAATACATTAGTTGGTTCGTAACGCGATCCTCTTTCGGATAGAGTAGATTGGAGCTACAACTAGTTAGCCAACTTCACGATCTGAAAATAATTGGATGGGCAACAAAGAGACAAGATACATACCATTCTCGACAGAAACGAAAGTGAACCTGGTCGGACTGCTTGGTGTCGCCACCAGCAGAAGGAGACGGGCTTGCAGACATCTCTATCAAGAGATGACGAACGTAGTCTGGGTAAGATTAAGATATTCGGATGCAAAGGATATTAAAGCCTAGATCCTCAACGGTCTCTGCCGGTTCTGGGGTGAGAGAAGGCAAAGATGTTCCTCGAACAAAACAACGCCGGTTTCGAAGACAGGCGGCTAATCCCGTTTTGGTGAAGAAAAGCGCACGGTCCATCAGCCCTATGACCTGCTTTCTTCCATGCTTCCCCCGCACCTTCGAGGCCTCAACATAACACTGCTCTTCTTGTGTTTCTCTCTTCCATTCGAGTTACAGGAGTGGACTTCTATTGTTTTGTTTGAATAAACAGCGGTTTCTCCCAGCTTAATCTACTATCTTCACGCCCGCCACCAAACAACCATCATGGTATGTCTGCTCAGCTACCCTCCTCGCCTTTCCCCTCACTGGGACAGTCATAGGAAACTATAGTAGGAGCTCTGACATGGCTATCTAAAGGCAGAGACAGGTCTTCCTCCTGGCTGGGAGGTTCGCCATTCTAACTCGAAAAACCTACCTTACTATTTCAATCCCATACTCAAAGAATCCCGATGGGAACCTCCTGCAAATACGGACACGGAGAAGCTCAAGATTTACATGGCTCACCACCACACTCCTACCGCAATTCGTCCTGATTTTCCGAGACAGAAGGAGGGCCAGATTCGTTGCAGTCATCTCCTGGTGAAGCATAGGGATAGTAGAAGACCCAGCAGCTGGAGACAGGCGGAGATCACTCGGTCCAAGGAGGAGGCGATTGATATACTGCGTGGTTATGAGAAGCGCATTAAGTCTGGTGAAATAAGCCTGGGAGATATTGCCATGTCTGAGTCAGATTGCAGCAGTGCCAGGAAGAAGGGTGATCTGTATGTGCCAGTCCGAAACAACCTGTATCCTGGTGTTGAATGGCCGCTGACCAACCCGAAAGAGGTTTCTTTGGACGCGGAGATATGCAAAGGGAATTTGAGGAAGCAGCTTTTGCCCTGCAACCTGGACAAGTTAGCGGTATTGTCGAGTCTGCGTCAGGTGTTCATCTCATTGAACGGTATGCAGTCACCCAGTTGAGTATACTTGTTGCTGTGGGAAGCTAATCGGCCTGATTTACATAGAGTGGCATAAAATTGGTGATGTTTTACATTATAAAATGGAGGAACATGGAAAGATGCATCTTCTGGTCTACACAGCTATCAGGCACAGTTACCTCATTAGAACCAAGAACAATTACCAATTTACGGATTGTTATGATTTACTTTCTATCACTTCCAAAAAAGTATTGGAATACTTTATAGGATCGACCATTTATTTCCTCCGGCCCGTTTGTTGATATTGTTTTCCTGTTGTTTTGACTTGGGGGAACCGTGCCTGCTCGTACAAAGTCTTTGTTGAGTCAGTATCCACCAAAAATAACCATCTCTACCATGGAAATTGCAAGCGCTTGGTATGGGGAATCTTTAAAGCTGTTCATGTAGCAGCAAACAGCAGAGAAAGGGGAGGTGTCATGAAATTGTGATGTTTGGCTCCAGGCACACTCCCTACCTCCCTATCGACACCCCTCTTGTCCTCTAAACGTCCACCATTCTTTCTTCTCAGCTCACCACTCAAGCCATCTTTGAATTTTACATTTGTCTCACACTGTCCACTCAAGTGCTTGCTCAATTCGGCAGGATTTAAAAAAGAAGAAAAAAAAAAAAAAAACCAAAAAAAAGGAAATGGTGTCAGTGGAAGGCTACACGTTTGACAGACAGAAGCTCACTGTCCCTCTTCACCTCCAACATATGATCCCCGTTGACACCCACGGTGCGATGCAGCGAATCCGCACCACTGCCATGGTTGCCCTTCACCATCTCAAGCTTATTGAAAAGCTTCACAGAAAGAGACACCAAGCTATGTGCCCCCGCTCCCTCATAGAGCATTACAACCTGCATGTGGAATCTGTTGAGCGCCTTTTCAACTGGAAATCCAGCCCAAAATCACACGACTCTAGCCTCACTCCGGTATCGAAGATCTCACGCGATGTTCTTCATTTCCATATCAACCAACACGCCTACGACGCATACGCCCGCTCTTACACTGCGACCCTCGAGATGTACATATCCGGCCCTTATAAAGAGTGGCTCGACGCGAAGCGTAATTTCGAGAAACGAATGGCCAACGCCGGTCTTAGTGAGAAGGATTACCACGAGTGGCAGAAGTGGTGGACGACAGTGTTCCTGGCTGAAATGGCGAAGTGGGAAAACCAGTTGCCCAAGTTGGCTCTGCCATCCTGGGAGGAAGCCATTGATGAAATCCATCAGGTTTTTCTGGAGAGGGTTGAGCCTGGAACTTTTCCCGAGTTCTATATCAGTTCTGATGTCCAGGTGCATGGGGTGTAATCGGTTCGCCGAGGCTTTTTCTTCATTCTCGGTCCTTGTCTGGTTTATTTCCCACGGACAGGCAAAGCGCTCTTTTTTCTTCTTCCTTCGACTGGCGTTTCGGGAAGGTGTTTCCAATAAGTTCTGCCAATTTCCTTTTTCCAATCTAATTTGATCCCCTGCCTATTCAGGAAGGGTCTAGGGACTACCTAGGGGTACCTGATACGGGACTGACTCTGCTGTTTGTGTTTTCTGGCTGTTTGATTGATTGATATCCACTATATCCACGCATGCCTTGTTAAATAAACTAAACTGCAATGACGGTGTTACTAATCTAGATGGGTGTGCTGCCCAGGCAAAAAGTTCGAATCCATGACGTTGAATCTAGCAATTTATAAATAGTAGGCACCCAGTGGTACATATCCAGGCACCAACTGTCAGCCTGGGAGGCTAGAATAGCACCACCATGACCGTGACCAGCACGCATAACTTGTCACTTGACATTATTATCTCACATCCAATTCTTTCTCCTTAAGACTCTTATATAACTCACGTGATGTCTCAACCCTACATCTAGAAAACTCAGGAGTGATAGCTCAGTGGTAGAGCGAGGGACTGCAGTGTGCCATCTCTAGGTCGGGGGTTCGACTCCCTCTCGCTCCTTTAAGATATTCTTTGATGCATGCCAGTGGAGGCAGACGGACCCAGTGTGTCTCCACTTTTTCTTTTTGCAAAATCGAACAATGGAGCTTGTCAAGCAGTGACCTGGCCTTACTACCATTTTGGGATTAGAGCATTTCAATATTAATTCCATGTTTTCTCTCCACGCAGCCATTTTTTCTAACTTCTACGCACCCTAAAAACTAGTTTCTCTGACAGATTCAAATCTTGAAATCTTGAAAATCTCCAATTCTCAATATGACCATGCCCAAAATGATGAACACCATACCATAGCTGAGCGTGACAGCCCCATTTAAAATAGTATTGGGAATGGATTATATGTCACTTCCCGTACAGCTGCAGATGGACCACTGGTAAGTATAACATTTTATATAAACTAGTTCTTTTAAGGCCGCAAAGTCAGAAGCCTTAGGCCACCCAAGATCACGTGTACTTAGCACTTAGGCAGCTGAACTCCGCACCTTCTTGTCTCCTAATTCGTGGCCCATAGCGAAGTCAGCGGTTAGTTCTTATGCAATAAGGACCCTACGTTTCCTCCCTGCTATCGCATTTAGCATTCTCCGTATATTACCTCTTCTCACCGTCACCGCCATCCAGCCCTTACAATGGGGGAGGACAGGCTTGTCAAGCTGTCAAGGATCTTCCCAAAATAGGGATAGCCATGTTAGTCAACCTGGTAGATAACAGACATGTCTCATCTAAATATATATACATTGGTTGAGCACCGTTCTATCTATAACCATAACTGAATGGAGTCTACAATACCAATAGGGAAGGCAGCCCATCTTGACTGAATATATCCCGTGCGTTGTACTGGGTATCGGTAATATACCTTTCTGCAGCGAGACAAATCTTTGTCGTCAAAATGGGGCGGTCGTTTGTTGCTTTCACTGTTGATCAAGGCCCATATCCGAGAGAATATCTTCAATTACTACAATTTTTTTATTACTCAGAGTAGAAGTTCCGGAAGCCTATCTGAATTGCCAGACCAAATGACAAAATACATACGGACTATCAACAAGTCCTCTATATGTGACAATGACTTGCTGGAAATAGGTTTAGTAGCTAGATATGCTCGTATTGAGGCGTTCCAAACGAGATGTAATGGCATCAATAACAGCGGATCTATATGAAAGTCAGTATCAGTGTTGATCCTGTTAAGATGGTTCAAAATCAAAGACTCACTCTCGCTCAACCATCCTCATTGTATCAGCGGTCCTTGCACGCTGTAACCTCTGGGGAATTCCCTTTGCAGAAGGAGTTGAAAGTCCACGTGCGGGACTTCCAGGTTCAGAGGGAGGTGCTTTCGCGGAAATGGACTTTGCTTCACTCAGCAGGCTTGAAGCAATTGTTTTGATCTGATATAGTTTAGTCGACATATTCTCACCGTATGAACTTGATCTTCCAAGCCAGGGGAATGAGCAACTTACGTCCTCTAATCTCTCTGAAAGTGTTTGACGTCCTCCCTCTGACGTCTGATCCGGTTCGCCCACCGACTCCGATAACACGTTCACCTCCGAGATCCAAGCTTCTTCCTTCCTGCTGAGCGGTCGACCACCGGAATTTAAGATCCTGTTTCGCAGATTCTCATATCTCTGTACAAGATTCTTCTGTCTATCTTTGGCGGCTTGCAGTCTCTTATCCAAAGCATCGCCACTCCGGGACCCTTCTTTCCACTTCCCATCCTCCTCGAGTTCACTCGACACGCCGTGAATGCGTTCAGCTACATCACCTAATTGCTTCAGCTGATCGCGTATCTCCCCTCCCAATAATTCGCAGCGACGGAACAAATCCGACGCGGCTCTCTCGAGAGCGTTGGTGTGAGCGGACAGGATCCGGTGCGCAGCTGCAACCATATCCAAGGTCGCTGGTGATAGGCGAACTTGTTCCTTAAGAGTATGTCGCTGGCGGTGAGGAACATGCTTTTCAACGAACGACTCCAAAGGTGAACCAGAATAAAAGATTGCGGGAACCTGATAAGGAGGTCTCCGAGGAAGAGGAAGAGATGGGCCGGGTAGTTGTCCGGGGGCCTCCAGTGCCGGGAGATCTGTTAATGACGGGAAAGAAACCTCAGGTGAATCCAGAATGGCAGCATAAGGAAGCGAGGAACGGTAAGTGAGCAGCAGATATCCAACATCGTAATCATAAAATACAATAGAGGATGCCAAATGAGCCTTCTGGCTTTTAACCACGGCGGAACTATCAGCTTCATCATCCACTTGGATGACTCGTTCTCTCGAGGACGCTAGACCCTCGCAGAGAACTTGTAGTCGAAAAGCCGAGCCAGACGTGTCCTCTGATTGCAGTTCGGCTTCGAGCCTCTGAACCCACGGAGAAAAGGAGATGCATACCACGTTATTCGCATTCGTGACATAAAATTCGTAAGCCGAGCGGACATCCTTTGTAAATATGGGCCATGAGTTTGATTGACGGCGGTCTTCCCTGACTGTACCCAGTGACTCGACGAGGACCAGTTCGGAAGCATCCCAAAAAGGCATCGAAAATGTGTTCGGTTTGGTCTTTGGAAGCCATTGTCCCTCGACACCGTCAAGGTTCAAGCATATATGGACCACGCCACTGGCAGTTGACAGGCAAAGAACAGTTACTGAAAGTTTATCCTTTCCGCTCTCCTCTACAACTAACTCATCTTCCTCGCCTATCATAAGATCAGCGACGTCAATTTTGGCCGGAATTACAAGAAGATCGCAAAGGTCCAAGTCATCAGAAACATCGTCGTCGTCAAAGCGGAAAGGTCCTTGCAACCTCGGGACGGCACTTGGATTCGCCGGACGAGTGAAAACTTCCGCACCAGGTATGGTCGCCAGGTCGGATGAATTAAATAACGGTCCCTCCTCATCGATTGTTCTCAGCCACTCATACTGTTGACGGCAGTAGGTTAACTGATCTTCTGAATCCTCTGGGTCTTCCTCTAGCGCGCCCAGCTTGGGAACAATAGTTGCAGAAAGCGAGGGAATAGTAGTCGATGGCGCTTGCCACCTGGAGGGCAACAAAGGACAGAGAGCGTAGAGATCACCAGGCCGCATGGCGACCCATAAAGTCATGGGTGCCCAGACATCTTCTGATTCGTGTCCACTACCCGCAAAGCAAGCCGAGACAGTCTCCATATCAATACCATCAGCAGAAAAGCCTTTGCTTTGGCCAAATGCCAAAGGCGAGAAATCTTGATCCGACGACGTGCCGTCCACGAGCTTTTTCAAGTCAATTGCCAGCGTAGGTCGATCAAACGACCAGTGATTGTTCCTGTCTAGTTCCCAGACCCGAACTGCTGAATCGGCAGTGACAGTCACTATGCAGCCCATCAAATTGGATTGAAGTCCCAAGGGATGCCATATCGCTGAGACCACAGGTGACTGGGGAATCACATGAGTTGTCGGACCAAGCTGATATGTCTTGAGACGAATGGGGGATGTGTCTGAACTGGCGAGATGAGAGGAATCCGGAATTACAGATATGTGAACGGTGTGATCCGTGATAATGGCCATAAATGCACCATTTGGGGAGGGAATAATCTGCCTGATTTCGTCGGATACAGGTACAGTTAGAACCTAATCGCGTCAGCTAAACTTCAAGACAAGACCTAATTAACATTAGCAATATCGCTCACTCGGTAATATTCACGTTTCTCCTTCGCTTCCTCATCTTGAGCTTTGCCATCAAAGCCCTTCTTCAACTTTGATTGCTGCTGCCATTCATCCTTCAGCCGCGTGAGGCTCGACCAGCGAATTTGGTTGTCCACCACAGCAAACACTTCATTCCCTCTCCTTGCCAATGTTCTCCTTGGGCCCTCGTAAGCTGTCTTATTCTGTCCATACAGCTCTTCTTCTGCGATCTTCGAGGGCGCGCTGGAAAAGAGGGTGGCGCCCGGAGATGGTCGAGAAAGCCATGGCGGAGTGTAACTGACCACTTTTGGCATTGTCATAGCGCTTGTGGCGTGGTGTGGATGTTGGATGCACTAAAGCGAAAAGAAAATCAAATTTAGCCAGTTTTCATGGTCGACAGCTTTATATAAGAAGGTGACGAAAGCTTTCGCGGAGAGACGCGCTGCGGATCTTGAATTGAATCCTTGGATTCTGGCGAAGACCGCGCCAAGACTTCTATTTCCTTTCTGGGATTAGCGCAATTTCCAATCCAATCCAAAGAACCTACAAAGTGCTCCATCTATGCTGTGTCAAGGTGCCTGAAAAGCCTCGGAGGCAGCCTCAATCTCTTCACTTTGGATCTCGAGTGCTAGCTACTACCAACAGGGGTTGCATTCAAGTTTCAACCCTTGAAAATATCAGCGATATTAAGCCACCAAAAATCAGCCTCTTGGTCCGCACAGCTCAAGCTTTGATTGCCGGGTAGCTTGGACGACAACGACAACAGGGACCGACGAAATTGATAAACACGCGTCATACATCTCCGTCATTCGCAATGTCAGGATATCCAGTAGCTACAGTGGAGAGACTTGATCGGCCGAGTGCCTACTATCTGGGGAAGGTAATGCTTTATGCGCCTCAAGGCGCTACAGCCTGGCGCAATGTACCTTATCGCTGACGGTCTCAATGCAGAATAAGAAGCGGAGGTATAACCAGGACCGCGATGAAGGCGACAAGCCTGAGGACCCCTTCGAACCACTGAAGAATGCCACAACACTCTATGTTGGAAACCTGTGCGTGGCTAAATTCTGGTCGTTCACGATATCCGAATTCTTGCTGACAGGTCACAGTTCTTTTTACACCACAGAAGAGCAAATCCATGAACTTTTTTCAAAGTGAGTACGGTAGTCTTTACTTTGCTGTTATTTGTCTTTTATACTGACAAGTAACTTGATGCGTAGATGCGGCGAGATTAAGCGACTCGTTATGGGACTCGATCGATTTAACAAGACACCGTGCGGTTTTTGCTTTGTTGAATATTACACTCATCAGGATGCTCTTGATTGTCTGAAATACATTGGTGGCACCAAGCTCGATGAGAGGATAATAAGAACCGATCTGGACCCTGGGTTTGAAGAAGGACGACAATATGGGTACGTGATTGAAGCTTTCACATGTGGAATTTCGTTGCTGACGATGGCTGGTAGGCGAGGGAAATCTGGTGGCCAAGTCCGTGATGAATACCGGGAAGAATACGACCCAGGCCGAGGAGGCTATGGTAGAGCATACGCAGAGGCACGGAGATATTCGGACGACGATTATGGGCGAGGAAAGTAGGCGGTTTCTCGTGGCTTTAGCCTACTAGCGGGCGTTGTACAGGTATTTTGTTTTCTCCTCTATTTTCTCTATTAAGCGATATATGACATGGACAGTGTCTACCCTATATCCAATCTATAAACAGAAGCGAAGAAATCTCAGGCACAATGATCATTGTTTAGCTTCACGTCTTTTCTTCAATGCTTCCTGTACTTGGTTCAACCACCATAAATGGATCCTGGAGTCTCCAGTTAACTCTGGATGGAAACTCGTCCCAAATATATTACCCTGCCCTAACTGCAAAATGCCTCCTGCTTCCTTGTCAGCGTTGATATTCACCCCCTCACTGACCAACTTGACTGCCCTTTCGGGGAGCGTTGCCAGCACCTCCACCTGGGATCCCAAAATGGTCTCGTCGCTTTGATTGTCGATGTTCTGAGTTGCCGGTACATTCTCCGCTACCGGTGCTCGAATGAAGATTGCAGGACAGGGGGAGACGGTTCTGACGACGAATGACCCTCCGGCCTCAGAAACGGCAGGCCTAGCGGCGTTTGGAAGCTTTCTGTCTAGCGGCCGAAATTGTTAAGATTCACCCGAACATGAAGTCCTCCAATCAATTCCTGGCCTCCATTTTTTGTCTGATTCGGAGAATCTGCTAGTAATATAAGACCGACACATGTCCCCCATGTTGACTTTTGATGGACCCTAGTTGTTAACCCATTAGCAAAGTGGCGTGGAAGTGTGGCCTTCTCATATGTGCGCTAAGCATACTTGACAATCCCTCGAAGGCTCTAGTAAGCCAGATCAGGCAGTAACTAGCGACATTGTCGTACAGTACTTTCAACTCCAGGTATGATAAGGCCGTCACATCTTTCTAGCTCCTGCGGGGTCCGCACCTTGATAATTTTCCATTGTGGGGCAGATGCTCTCTTCAAAAGTTGTATATGCTCATAGAAGGCGCCTTGCAAGACAAGGACCCCGACGATGATGGCGATCATTGAGCCCGTTTGCTCAACAGCGATGCTCGATGCCCATTGTCCAGCCGGATGATATAACGTAATTGGTAAGCGAGCGCGCTACCTACCATGCCTCCAAAAACTCATAAAAATTTCAAAACACTTAGATGAGCAACGAGGGATAATCTTGCTAGCAATATCTGATATTCATAAAAGGCAAAATTTCCATATATACCAACTGCTAAAGTTGTTTGTGGTGTTAAGATAAGATCAAGTCATGTTAAGGCTTTATAACCTAGAAATAGAGAATAGGTGACTGCTATTGTGCCGGGGGCACTGCGAAATCCCGGATCTCTCATATTTCCTATCTTAGAACGCCGTAGGGCCGCGGCCTCCGACATACTAATGTATGGTGGAGCTCGCGGCCGGAGTATACTTAAGGAGGGCTTCCTCCCAGATAGTTACGAGAAATTGAGCATTCTTTTGGTTTCTAGGTTGCTTCGCTAGTATCGTCATCATCGTATAGAACGGAGCGAGGCTCCTTCGTTGTTGTGTTTCTTCTTTATTATATCGTTTCCTTATTAGATCGTTCAGTGTGTCCATCCCTGAGATCCCTCGACCACAACCCGGTTCCTGTCGCAGGGAACAACGCACGTACGCCGCCCTTTACACTATTATCTCTATAAATACAATTGGATAAGCTTTATATCCTTAAATTATTCTTGCTGCAGAGAATCATCAATCTCCCTAATATTATGATCTCCCTGATAATTATGTTATCAGTGTGAGTAAGAATAGTTACAATAGATGTATTAGGATTAGAATGGCTTCAAATAGTATTTGAGCCTCAAACAGCTTTATAGATGATTGGCAGATACAGATTATTAATCATAAATAGGCATAACAGTCAAGCTACAGCAGAACTTAATGAATTTTGTATAAAAAAAAATTATCCTATTATATATGCCTCCACGTTCTTCTCATCTTCTTCAGCTATTGGTGTCAGGGCCCTTGCCATGTAGACCAGGACGAGCACGAGTTTCCTTATTTGGATTAGCGTGGCGCGTGGATAGGAATACGTCGTCCAGCTTCACGTAGATCTCTTCCCTTTTCCCTCCTCTCCATGCTTGAAGTTCTCGTCGATAGCTGCCTAGATAGTTGAATGGCATCCTATTCATCGTCTAGTTGAGTTCCGTGACAATTGGATGTAAGCTGCTTCTCACCATTCAAGAATCTCTATGGTCAAAGAATCCAAGAGTTGATTTGGAAAGGGATTCATTCAATTGGGAAAGAGGATTTTCTCTATATTTATCCAACAGTCCATCAACATACTTTATCACTATTAAATATTAAGAGTGGGCTTTGCAGCAACTGGCCTGATTCCTTTTTCTTTAGAAAGAGTACTTTCAAAAATTTAAGATTCAATTGAAGATACCAATATCACTACCCTCATCTCATAGCAATCAGTCTTTTGGTATAGAGAAAACACCAGCAAATATATATGAGCTTAAACAGCAGAAGAAGCATATTGAGAGTCTTAAAGGTGTTGTATCTCTATCTATAGTGGATGAAGCGATTCAAAAGGGTATTAAAAATTTAGAGATAATCATATAGAATACTGTCCTATTACAACATCAAATAAGTTTGCTTCAATCAGAAAATCAATAAAAAAAGAAGGCAAAAGAGTCAAACAGTTTATTTAGAATAGAGGAAGTTTAACAGTTGCTGAAGATAAAGAAAAGATTCAAGAGAAGGACAATATGATTCAAGAAAAGGCTCAACAACCTAGGCAGCGCCAGCCACCAACATGTAGTAATTGCAATATATTAGGACATACTAGGGTACAGTGTCCTAGTAAATAGATTTAGTCTTCTTCAATGAAAAATATGCTTGTTTGTGGTGTTGAAAAAGGCTGGAATCCATGGGATTCATAGATTTCGTAGAATTCGTGGAATTCGGAGCCACTCGGTGGTGGATTAACCTCTATGTAAGATGACTAATCAACAATAAAGACGTAGTTAAGCTTGGAGTATATCCAAATTGTAAATAGTTCTAAAATATTTCTAGATTTCTCTCACTATTCGTCCTGCAGAGGAAAAATATGTAACTAAATGGCAGCCGGGGAATGATATTCATCAACCCTGGCTCGTGCCTCGCATAGTTGTTTCATCTACTCCATAGTCTGTTTGACCTGCAAAGCACTGAGCATATCCGGCACGTGCGATCTGCTGACGTCTTGACTGCTGCAATCCAGCCGTGTATAGGCAATTAACAGGTAAGTTAGAGTGGAGATCATCATTACAGATACGGGTTACTGTCTTTTGACTGAAGCTCGATGTGGACTCGCTCAGATGTACGTGGGTGACTTCATGGCAAGGACTTGCTTACACTTCCTGTCGCGCCAAACAGCCAGGAAGTCCTACCATCTCGTTTATGGCCAAAATGAAATTGAATAAATTGGATGAAGCCAATACGAGTCCGCTTGATGCCGCTTGATGCCGCTGAAATTTGGCTATATAAAGCGACCAAATCGACAGAGACGGAGACCAATATTGCAGGCATTGTCACAGAGGACTCAGAGCATTGCCGACTATCTACGGGCTCCCGACTTGGGACAGTTCCAAGATGCATCCCAAGCCTCTTCTGGGGCTCCTCGCTCTTTCTGCAGTGGCTGTTGCCGCTCCTCCCAGAAACCCAGCTCCAGGATCTCCTCAATCCGTCCAGAACCTGAAGGACAAGATCAAGCACATGGTGCTGCTTATCCTGGAGAATCGCTCGACAACCTTTTGGGTGGCCAGACGATCCGGGGCTTGGATAATCCCATCAACAATGGACCGTTCTGCAACCCAGTTAACCTGACTGATCCATCGGCAGGCCAGGTCTGCAGCAAGCCGCATGACTTCGACTCCGTCATCAACGATTCCGACCACTCCATTCACGGCAACAATATCCAGTTCTACGGCACCTTCCATCCTGATCAAGCGGCTATTGAATCTGGGCAGCTGAAGCCAAGCATGAATGGATTCGTTCATGAGCAAGCGCGCCTATATCCCACAGTCGATCAATCTGTCCTAGACACCCAGGTCCTGAACTACTATACTGAGGATCAGGTCCCCGTTTTCACTGAGTTGGTGCGGAACTTTATCACTTTCAACAACTGGCACTCTGATATTCCGGGTGTAAGGACAACATTCTGCTATCCGCAGCCTCTCCCGCTGAAATGTGGTCTTTCTGTGCTAATTCATGCCTTCTGCAGCCGACCGATCCAAACAGAGCCGCTATGTATCCGGAACCTCGTACGGACATGGTACCAATGATGCTGGGTTTGGCAAATCTACGCTCCCCCAACGGTCGATCTTCCAGCAGTTGACAGAGACCAACCACAGCTGGGCCAACTATTGTACCAGCGGCTCGGGCGATTCCCATTATTTCTCCTGGACTGTTAACAGCGGCTCCACTAAGTTTAGCAAGCCGATAAATCAGTTCTATCAGGACGCCTATCTGGGGCGGCTGCCGGAGTTCAGCTACATAGATCCATCCTGTTGTTCCGTGGGAACGAACTCGATTCACCCTTCCGGACTGGTTTCCGACGGGCAGATACTCGTCAAGCAGATATACGACGCCCTTCGCAGCGGACCACAGCGGGATGAGACTCTTTTCATCATTAGCTTTGACGAGACTGGTGGCTTCCATGACCATGTGCCTCCTCCCAGAGCCCCGCGCCCAGACAACCTCACCTACACCGAGAAGACTCCTGATGGAGGCAGCTACACTTTCAATTTTGACCGGCTTGGCAGTCGCGTCCCCACCTTCCTCATCTCCCCGTGGGTGGACGGTGGCGTGGTTGAAAAGCTAGGCACGAATGCGGACGGCCAGCAGGTCTCCTACTCTGCGACTTCAACTCTGAGGACTTTAGGATATCTCTGGGACTTCGAGCCGTTCAACCCTCGGGTTGCTGCGGCGCCATCATTCGACCACCTTATTGGGACGACAAAGAGGGTCTTTACTCCTGAAACTTTGGTCACTCCCCATGCATTTTAGGAGCGAGCAATACTTTTCAGAGGAGCAAATCATACTCTAGGCCTGTGAAGTTTTCTTAGCATGGTCAGCTATTGTCTCTCGGGTATATCGTTGTATATAAATGTCTGGGGTTTCCGGCTTCAAATTGAACTAGGTATAGAATCTCTTATGTATTCCTGTTTGTATTGAAAATACAAGCAATACCTTATCGTTATCAGATCTTATAAACCACGTGGGGTGTATCATGTGATTCTAATGTTGATGGATCTTCGAGGAGCAATTCCGCTCTGAAACGCCAATTCTGCGTTGTTGCCTTGTATTTCTGCAGTTCGTGTGAAATACAGTCGTCTATCGAGGTGATTCCATGGATATAAAAGTGCCACAGATTGTTGACTGAAGGTGGTGTCCGTATACAAATAAAGCAACGCCATTGGTTCCATGCACCGCATAGGATTATGTTTCTCACCTCGACTGATCGACTCACTTTAACCCAACACATGGCATCACAAATCCCAAGGAAAAAGCGAAAGGAACAATAAAAAGAAGAGGACGAAAAAAATGTCATCTGGAAAGAACTCCCCACCCCCCTGGTACGATGGTACATAGACACCCGCAACCTAACCTCAACAACCTCCTCCCTCCCCTTCCTCGATACCCTCCAACAATCAGACCAGGAGACGATAAAGAAATACTATCACATGAAGGACAGACACATGTCCCTCGCATCGTATCTTCTGAAATACCTATTCATACATCGATCCTGTCATGTACCCTGGAATGAAATCCGACTCAGTCGCACACCACCACCACATGGCCGGCCGTGTTTCATTCCCCTGGACAACGACAATGGCGGTTTCAACGTCGAATTCAACGTGAGCCATCAGGCGTCATTTGTTGCTCTGGCTGGAACTACATTCCTGTCTTTGCCTTCATCGTCATCATCATCATTCTCGTCCTTGTCACCATCTATGCCTCTTCATCTTCCCGACGAGCTGCGGGGGCCTCAAGTAGGTATTGATATTACCTGTGTCGATGAGCCGGGACGTCGAGGCAGGAAACATGCCGATATCTCCACCGCGACCGCATTAGCTGAATATGTAGATATATTCGCCGAGGTATTCTCTGTGCGGGAGTTGGAGACCATTAAGAATCTAGCCAAAAGCAGCAGCAGCAGTCGCAGCCACGACGAAGACACAAAAACAGTGGCCAGGACCGAGGAAGAGGCCGTGAAATCAGCCCTTCGTCTCTTCTACACCTACTGGGCGCTCAAGGAAGCGTTTATCAAAATGACTGGTGAAGCGCTTCTGGCACCATGGCTACGTGAGCTGGAGTTTACAGATGTGCGGGCGCCGGAAAGGCCCGGCCATGAAGGTAGTAACCTTGACCGGAGCTCTTCGAGGTCGAAATGGGGCGTTCCGTATACAGGGACACAGACATGGTTGTACGGAAAGAAAGTCCAGGAGGTCCGGGTGGAAATTGTAGGATTCGAGGACGATTATCTGGTTGCGACTGCTGCAAGGGGCGGGGGAATCGGAGCTGACAATCGTCCTGTTCGAAATGGTCTGATATCTGATCCGTGGAGAGATTTGGAGGAGGTTGATATTGAACGGCATATTGCTCCCTGCGCGACAGGACGGTGTCGTTGTTTATCTGACCCGTTTCCATATTGGCAGTTGACACCGTCCTGATGATGTCTTTAGTCTGCATGTCATGGCAAAAAGAGTGCATACGCATACAACCAAATGGTAGTAGAATCATAAGAAATAACTTCGTAAATATGTACATGATACCGAATTCTTGTCCCATTATCCGCTCTATCATCTACTGACATCGGAACATGCAACGAGACAGCTAAAGGCAAAAGCATTAAGCAAGTTTTATGCACGCTCAAAAAATAACAAAAATCCGGGAGGACAAACATCATTATCTAAAGGCAAAGACAAGGGGAAGTAAATATAGAGAAGAAGGATAACTCCAACTCGATCGAGACAGAGCTTTTTATACCTCAACGCCCGCCTCTGGGCTTCCATTAACCCACAACTTCAAAGAAACTGCCTATAGCGGTTCTATTGAGACTGGAGACGCGCATGCGTCAGGCTGCGTCGGAACTAAGCTGGAGGAATTCTCAGACAGTTAACTCACTGCGTTTTCCTTGGCCGTCGAGATATTTCGCATCGTCTCTAAAGGGAATGGGTCAAAGCTCCACAGCAGTGGACGTGGCATTGGGTTTCACTTTGCCATCAACTTCTTTTCGATGTTCTCGAGCCATATCCAGAAGTGTCTTAAGCATGCTTTCCCGGGTGGAGTTGACAAGATTATCGACATCGGCCGGAGTCATTCCAGTGGTGCTGATAGGTGGGAGGACTGATTCCAGTTAGTTATATGAAGGACCTGCAAGTCTCTTAAGATTTTGATGTAACACACTCACCCTTCACATTGATCGTACCAGCTTCAAACCTCATATTGCGAGGCGATAAGATATGAGAGTAATTTTCCGCAACGATGGGCACAATAGGCACACCCGCCTTGATAGCAAGATGAAAGGCACCTTTCTTGAACGGCAGCAGCTCTGGTTGATCCGAATAGCTTCTCGTGCCCTCGGGGAAGATAAAGACACTTTGTCTATGTGTGCGCATTTCCTCCGCGGCACCGTCAAATGCCTTCACGGCCGTCTCGCGATTAGCACGATCGATAAATACCGTCCGTGACAGTGTCATGAACCAGCCCAGGAAGGGAACTTGCTTCAATGATTTCTTCGCAGTGACACTGCAGTATGGAGGGAAAACGGCGCCAAGCATGAGTACATCCAACTCGCTCTGGTGGTTCCCGATAAACACCGCGGGACGGGTAGAGAGGTATTCGATGCCCTCTACGATATTGAACTCGACACCAGTGGTATATCGCATGACCCATTTGAAGCTGCGCGCGGTCGCCCACTGTGATACTCGTCCATAGCCCACGAGGCGAAGAACTACCGACGCAATCACTCCGTAGGTGGCGCAAAGTAGCAAGGAACCGTACGAGGCCAGACACCGGGCAAAGAATGCTGCGCGCGGAGCCCTCTGACCCAGGGCGAAGAGGGAAACAGTGAGGACAACGAAGGAGCCAATGCCCGATGCAACATAGGAGAAGAATGACATGGCGGGCGTTCGGTTTGACTAAGTGGTATAATCGAGTTCTTGACTCCCGTCAGCGGGGCCGCTGTCGGACACGACAGGAGACCTCAACAAATGCCAAAACCTCTAGAGATGCTCACAGATCGATCGTCAGTGAGATGAACTATGTATTAAGGAGAACAAGCTTTCGTAATTCTTACAAGGCTTTTACTCTTAAGAGTGGTGGCGGGGAGTGAGAGGGGCTTAGGAACGAGAGAAGCAGAGAAGCAGAGAAGCGGTCTAGATAGAAGTACTGGAAGAGGCCATGGCAGGAAAAAGAAGTGACGAGAGGAGAGATTCTGAGCCTGGACTGCGACCGGGCAAATGAAGTAAGGGGCAATTGGCAGCAAACAGTTCTACGAAGCAAAGAAAAAGGCCGGACTTTTCTTCCCAACGATGTCGCCGTTGAGCTGCCTGACCGCCTTCTGTTTCTAGCGACTTAAGAAATAGCCAGAACTCCTCTATTTTAAGAATATCAAAGGCCGCATCGAGGGTAACAATAGCATTTTGATGATATGCGATGCTATGCAATAATGCGACTTACGTCAGTCATTGCTTATTATGTTCATCAATCCGTTTCCTGGGCTGTGTCCATCATCTCATATGCATCCAACGAAGAGAATAATAATAATCCACAAGCAAGCCAAACCCACGCATGCTAATATACAGGATGTTTGTCCACTTTCGACACCGTATTGAGAATTTTCATGCTTGTGAAACAACCCTTTGAACCAACCAGTCTGCAAAACGCCTGTTGAATGCTGAACGTCCGAGGGAAATTTCGATTCGTAGGAAAGAAGAGAAGAAAGACGCTGATGACCATGGATGTGGTCCTCGCTTGGGCCAAGAAATTCAAAGCAAGACATACTCGGATGTCAAAAAGTGAATAATGAATGGGGAACAAAGACGGAAACAGAAAAAAAGAAAGGATCAGTCAGGCCATGTCCTCGTCGTCATCGTCTTCATCTTGATCTAGCGATTCCATGGCGTCTTTGATATACTGCGCCGCCTGAACAAAGAGGAAATAATCAGCATAGAAGTCTTCACAGTTAACATTCGACATAAGCCTTTCTTACCTTTGGATCCAAGTTCAAGGCAGTGGTGAAATGTTTAATGGCATTGGCTTTATCGTGAAGCATTTTGTACAGCTTTCCAAGTAGGTAATGCACATTCGCTTCATCCGGTGCCATATCCTTGAGGATCTTCAGCTCTGCTAGAGCTAGTCGAAGCTCCTGCAATTTCATCAAGGCACGAGCCTTTCGGAACCGTGCGAGGACAGAGTGAGGTGCCAACGAGCAAGCACGTCCGTACTGGATTAGAGCCGCTTTCGGATTGTCCATTTTCTCTAGAAGAAGGCCAATGCAACATGTGAGAACTGCATTGGTAGGGTTGATGCTGGCCGCGTTGCGGAAATGCTGTTCGGCAAACTCCAGCTTGCCCATCCTGTCATACACGGTTCCTAATCCGTACCAGGCATTGTAGTGTCGGTTATCGGCATTGATCCCACTGCGATAAGCATCCAGTGCCTTGTCATACTCCTCATTTGCAACATATTCATGACCCTGAAGAGTAAACGCGTATGCAAACTTCGGATCCAGCTGTGTCGCTCGCTTAAAGCATTTTAAGGCCTGGTCGTGATCGCGTTGGATAGAGAAAGAATTACCAATAGCGCACCAAGCCTGAGGAGACAATCGGTCAATCTCCATCAACTCGTGTGCTAAGTACGCCAACTCAACGTCGTTCTTCAGATGCCAGAGAACAGTAGAGTAGATCTCCATATCTTCCAACTGTGATGGCGCCAATGTCTTCACTCGGAAGAAATATTTCTCTGCCTCCGCATACATAGCCTGTTCATAGTATGATCGTCCAATTTGCGATAGAACCCAAGGAGTCTCTCGCTGCCCTGGCGAGAGAGATTCGAAAACCTGAATGGCATCTGAACATTTGTACCGACTGAGTGCAAAATATCCAGACGCAAGCTTGCAAAAGAGTTCCAATAACCAACCAAGTGCTTCGATTTCTTTCGACCGGTCAATACCAACATTCTTCGAAGACGGATGGTGTGCTGTGTGATGGGTGGAAGACACTGGTTTAGCGTCTTTACCCTCAATATCTTGGCTTTCACTCAAATGCTTCCTGTTACCACTGACAACGCGACCAACACTCGAGGTTGTGGCAGTGCGCCCCTTAGCACCTGTGGCTCTCACTTTCTTTAGTTCACGACCATCTTTTGCCCCCAGCGTAGTGTTTGAAAGCTTGCTGGTGGTCGGCTTGATTTGATTAAACAGTCGTACACTTCGGCGCTGTGGTGCCCCTGGCTCTGGTGGCTGAGATGGTGGGGGATGGGCAACTTGACCCGATACAGTCCGCTTACGATCGCCCGCTCTGGCGATAGCTGCACTTTCTCTTTCACCATGGTATCCATTCTGTTCCTCGTGCTCGGCCCTGGAACGTGTCCGCGACCTGATGCTAGTCGGCTTCATTTTTGGTGGGGAGTCGCCGGAATAATCCACACCCGCGGTCTGGATACTCCTATTCTTCCTTAGAGGTGCTAAAGGTGGCTCCCATGCACCTTCTGCACCGCTTGATCCATTTGCAAGATGCAAATCATCCGACTCGCTACTCTGACCACCTGGGGTCTCTAGACCTTCATGAGGAACACCCACAGACGCAACACTGACATTGCTCCCGTTGAACTTCTCCCACAGAACAGAGTTACCGGTCATAGGAACAGTATCAACACGATACGTAGAGGACGTAAAAGGATCCACGGTTGCGCTTCCATTGGAGTGCATCTGCAACGGTGCATTGGTAGGGAAAGTCTCAAATTCTCCTTGCGGGGACGCCGAAACCATGGCAAGTAGTTCAGGGTTCATCTTGTAGATGTTTGGAACACGAATGTTGACACCTTGGCAGACAGTCAGTCCGATGATTCGCTCCATGGCCAATTAAGATCCAGACTTACCAATCTCGCAGAGACCAAGGAATGCATCCCACATAAACGGATTCAATTTCAAAGACTCAACATAGCATTCTACAGCTTTGTTGAGATCTTTATGGGCCTGCCATAGTTTCCCCTGCAGACAGAGGATGGCAGCTGCATCTGGTAGGTGTTGTCGTCGACTTTCACTGTGCTTGTCTAGAATTGGCACAAGAGTCAGAATTCGCAAATCACTTACTGGATGTATTTTTTTATTTGTTTTTCTTTTTGATCGAAATATGAATGCTTACTCCAGTTGTTTTTAGAGATCCAAAGCCCCTTGCTCCGTTCCAAAGCCGTCACACCGTCGACATACTTCCCCAAATCTAAACATGCCTGAGCATAGACATATGAGCAGCCAACGTGGGTGCCTCTTGAACCGGAACTCCGAGAATAATCCCATGCTGCTTTCACTTGCCCGTTTTGAAGATGACAAAGGGCGAGCAGGTACGACGCTTCCGAAGACCGGGGTTCATAAGCATGTAAGCGACCGGCGAGAAACAATGCATTGCGGACAAGGTTATTGTCAAGGTGATAGTATATGAGCTGCCTTAGCTGGCTGGATATGTGAGGATTCGAAGGCGACATAGCTGAATGGATGTAGGTTTAGAGGCGCTAGGACGGGAAAAGAATAGTATCATAAACAGCGGCGACTTTTGAGGCTTGAGAAGGAGCACGTAAAGAGCGAGAGGTTAGGTGACAACTTAGGGTGATGCCCACTAATAGCACAACCAGAGCGTCAGTTGCGACGGACGCGATTCTCCGGGATCAAACAAGGCAGATATCCAGCCAGAAAACAGAGAATCAACCGTGTACCAACCCTGCTTCCCTTGGACCTGATAGATACGAGCAGTCACAAAATGCTGAAACTCAAAAGTCGCTAGACAATCTGAGGCAAGGGCCGGATCAGGGACCGGGTAGATGACGTTCGAGGACGACCTGTGACGCCCTTTGGCCCAAGGAGGAACTTAGGAGTAGGCAAAGTGCATGTCGAGCAGTATCTTCAGAGCGTAGCCGGACTCAATGAGGTCCACTGGCGAGAACTTGGCAAAGCCAGGGGCCTGGACGCGACAATTCAGGTGGAACTGGGGGAGCAGGTCTGTCTGCAGGTAGTGTAGATGTTTTGGGGCTGTTTCTCCTTCGCGGCATGTGGCTGGTGGTGTATGTGGCGCCTCTGTTGTGGTAGGCAACTGCGACACCGCCACAGGTCACGTTTCCAGTCATTCATCTCTGTTACTTTCACGTTAATGAAGATAATGAATTCATTCATCCACAGCACAAGGTGTAACTAACCAAGATGGCTCAGGTTTGACAACCCTCTTCAATCTTCAATTATACTTTTCATCCCTTTATTGTCCTGTAGCTGACTATCTCAAGAAAGCATCCAAAACCCTAGCTGCGCGAAATGCGTCACGCCTATTCCAAACACACATAACAACACTCTGTCTACATGCAATCTTCCTTCTCCTTCACTGGCTCTTCAACCGTCCGCGATCCTTAATAGTGTACCTTGTTTTTACCGCTCCGACTCTTGCCATTGAGTTCTATCTTGAGCGCTTAGGCCGTCCAAAATACAACCCCACTGACGGCTCCCTTCGCTCCCCCGGCGAGGATCTTGGTGCGTCTGGGCTTGCGGAATATATGTGGGATGTTCTTTACTGGACCTGGGGCTGCCTAGGTGCTGTGTGTATATTCGGAGACCGTGCTTGGTGGTTGTGGACGGTGATTCCACTATACTCTGTTTGGTCGGCCTGGACCACTTTCAAAGGAATGAGGAGTGGATTTGCTGGACTGGGCGCGGAGGGAAGTGAAGGTACTACTACGGAGAGCAAGAGGCAGAAGAAACTGGAGAAAAGGGGAGGCCATCGTGTACAGTATCGGTAAATTTTAACAGGGTTGGAATCCTGATTAGCATGACATCAAGATATGGTTATAATGCATCTTGCTCTTTCCCAAGAGCAAGATGTGTTACATAGTAAGACTAGGATATCGGCCGAATCTTGACGAATTCACGAAAGGAAGCCTGCCCAGTGGTTTGCTGAGAATTGCTGGGTATCATAGCACTGAATTCGCTTCGCACAACAAAGATGGCAAGGATGCCAAGTGCCATATATAACAGAGAATGCGCTATAATATACACTTGAATAAAGCGAGAGATAACATATCATAATGAAAAAAAAAAAAAAAAAAAAAAACGTCACGCAAGATAGAAAAGATAGAAAACCTCCGAAGATAATAAACGACATTTTAAGTGGCAGCACTGTATACCTTTCCATTTTCGACATTGAATTATCAGTTTCGGATACCAAGATCCCAAGCCAATGGGGACATAACATCTGTCATCTTCTTGGTGTGCTTCTCAAAGCTCTGGTGTGTGTTTCGGAGGAGCTTGGGAAGCCTCATTCTCTGATAGGTGGTTCGGCACACCCGTGTTTTCAAAAGCTTCCTCCGTGGGGGCAGTAGAAGGAACTAGTGCTGGTTCTTGGGTCGGCTCTGCTTCTTCACTTATGTGAAGAGGATGTTGATCCTGAGTCGGAATCGGATTATCCACGGGCACCGTTTCATCGAACTCCGTACCAAGAATTTCATCCTCAGCTGTAGTAGAATCAGCATCCAATGTGACATGAGCGCTTTCAAAAACCGGCAAGGTCTCAAGTGTCACCGTGTCCGAAGTTGAAATGGTATCGTTAGACTCTTGATCGGATCCATCGACTGGTTTCGGGAGGGGTGGAGGAGGCTCGAATCTTGTCTCAAAATTGTCGCTTAACTCGCGAGCTGCAATCTTCCAAATTCCGACATCCCTGAGCCTAGGCAACTCCCTCGCAGCAGCCTTAGCTATGTCCATTCCATGGTCCAAAATTTCGCTAGCAAGCGTCCTTGTCTCATCGAGCTTCTCGTGCTGCAGACCGGCAAGTCTAACCTCATCCCGCCAGTCATCAAACTGTGACTTGATTGCATGATATCTGCCCCAATCTTCAAAGGTGACACCATCAGTCCGCGCCCATCGCATTCCAACGTCCTGGAGTCCTAAATCGCGTATGCTATCAAGGACATGCAGCGTAGAATCAATTGCTGCACTAACACGATCAGTGAGATCCTGATCAAACGAATTGTACCATTCCCTGAGAGCATGGGTGCGATCTCTAATGGCGATTGCAGCCTCTTTGATAACTCGATTAAGATCCTCCTGCACTTTCTTCTCTTCTTCAGCGGGGACCTCTTCAAATGGCAGCGATTCAACAGAGGCATTTATTCGAAGCTTAATAGTAGAAAGTTCGTCACCAACTGCGTTTTCCAGCTCCAGTACAAGATTCGCACCGTGGCTTAAAGCACTCCTGGCAACATTACCGTCCACAATTTCTGTCACGCGCTCTCGAAGATCCTCGGCGCCTTTGCCAGCTGCAGCAGTAAACCGCTTCTGCCACTCTTGAAGAGCCGATGCAGTTTCCTCGCGACTTTGCCCAACCCTATCTGAAGGAGAACAGGGCGTCTTTGTTGAAGCAGTCTCTTGGGTCAAAGTCTGCGATGTGATTTCCGGCTCGTGAACAGCTTCCGTAGACACAGTTGCAGGCACTTGTGGTTCAAATAGGCTTGGGTCGAACATTAGTGTGACTAGTAACGGGTGTTTCTAATTAGGCACCCATCAAACTTACCTCTCGGCCTCATCCACGACTGGCCGCAGTCTCTTGCCCTCCTTGTAGCTCGCTAACTTCTGTCCGATTTTAACTAGTTGGGGTTCAACGTTCTTCGAGTAAAGGCCAGTGATGATAGGCCATAAGGAGTTGTTCACAAAATAGACAGTAGAAGACCAGAGGCCACCAACGTGGGGGAGAACAGTTGTTGCCAGCACATCTTGGCCAGACGCATATGTCTTTCCAATAAAAGGCCCAGCATGCGCGTATAGTGGTTCAATGACTCGCCAATAAGCTCGAGAAAGGTAGTCGCTGAGAGTCCGGTAGTACGGTGATAATTCGACTCCCACATGCTGAACGTACGGGCCAACAGTAGCCTTGTAGGCACCATGAAGGCTTTCTTTAGTAGACTCTAATTGTGGCGCAACATAAGATTCCCATTTTTCGTAACCATATTTTTCGGCGCGTTCTAACGCTGGCGCGCCGTATATATCGTATCCCTTCTTGGTGGCTTTCACAGTGGGAGAGTAGACTTGTTCATTCAGCACCTTAACGTACGGACGAGCAAGATCAACATACGGTGCGGCGTATGCATCATAGTAAGGCTGAAGATGGGGCTCGATGCAAGATCGGGCAACAATATAGGGTTTGCAAACCCACGGAGAGGAGTCTGTCAAGCCGGAAAGTCGTGATGGGCATCGTAGAAACGGCGTGAGTAGCGTGTACCAGATGCAAAGCCTGCAAATAAGTAAAAGACATAAAACATTAGCATAATGGGTACGGAAAGAGAGTCAAGAGAAGAACGTACCGCACCACCAGTCCCACTGTCCACCTTACATAACTCCTTCGCTGTTTAATTTCCAGGTCCGTTTCAAAATGCCCATGAAGCTTTTCAAGGCCAGATGGAAAATCGTCATTTCCGGAACCAAGCGTCTCCATTGTCGCAACTTAGGGTCGACGGTCTTCGTAGAGTGTAATGAGCTTCTGGATTGTCTGCCTAGTTCAACCTCGAGGTTTAGGAGTGAAACAAGGTTTGCTAGTAGACTCCGTGTGGTAATATTCAACCATCAGACCGTCCCAATTGGATCAGTAATAGGTATCTGTAGCGAGACTCGGTGTAGAGAGAGAAAGCGCAAAGAAATTTATCTGTCGCGTTCAATCCACAGGAGTAAACATGGATAAACTAGACTCAGATCGGGTGGCGAAAAGGATTAAAAAAGGAAAGAAAAGGATAAACAGAAAGTATGCCTAGCAGAAATTAGATAATTAAACGTTGTCTGGCAGACTGCAGTCGTTAATCATCAAGCCACCAAGGGAGGGGTTGCTGCTTCAGAGATCCAACTTCAGAATGAGCCTAGGCTCGCAGGAAAAGGAAATTGAATGTGCTTGAGGGATGGGCGGTGAGGTCATATCATATCATGGAAGATTATTATTTTTTGTTGCTGCAGGTGGCACTCGATGACAGCCAACCTCGACCCGATGGATATGCATGCATAGCCCAATAATATAATATAACAACTGACAGGAGGACCGCCAGTACGACGCATGTTTTCACGTGAAGGCTACCCTTTAGTCATCCCTCCCTCCGCTGAGCCTGGCTGTTGTTCGTTCCGCTTGTCCCCCCCAACCGTCTCGTTCAGTCAAGAAGGTTGCCACAACGCAGTTCATCTCTCTGTTGCTTGGATCATCCATCTCATTCCCGTGTTGAATGACATAGGGATTCCTGTTGGAGACTGTTTCCGCTGTCAACGGTCAGAGATGATTGCCGATTGATTTCTTTACCTACCACCGCTGATCACGCATTCCCATACTCTGTACCTACATTTCCATTGGCTTTCTTCGAATTTATCGTGCTTTTGTTCCGGAGACCATGATACCTGTCCTCTATTAATGGAATAAGATTGGATATTCAACTCAAGACGTGGGAAGAAGGATGGATTTGGCGGAGAAGCAACCACGCCCACATTCGGACCTTCCATCTTCCTCAACCTCCGCGGACAGCCATACCTACGCCAACAATATGGAGGCAAAAGAGAGAGTCATTGAGGAACCGGATACCTGTCGAATATGCCGGGGAGAGGGCTCAGAGGAGGAACAGCTCTTCTATCCCTGCAAATGCAGCGGCAGCATCAAGTATGTCCACCAGGCTTGCTTGGTGGAATGGCTGTCGCATTCCCAGAAGAAGTACTGTGAGCTTTGCAAAACGCCTTTTCATTTTACAAAACTATACGACCCACATATGCCACAGGCCCTTCCGACTCCCTTGTTCATAAGGCAATTGTCGATTCGTTGTTTTCGTACCATTGTAACATGGCTACGATTCGTCCTGGTCGCCTTCGTCTGGCTTGGGTGGCTACCATGGTCTATGAGGGCAATCTGGAGGGGTCTCTTTTGGTTAGCAGATGGCCACTGGTCGGACACCGAAATTTCCAGAAGGCAAGCCTTGGGGCGCCTTAATCAGCTGGTATCGAATGCCACTGTGTCTGTGGATGCTGTGATGCTTGCAACGGGTAGTTCTACGCGAACTGGTTTGCCTTCAGCAGAGTCGGATGCTTCGTCAATCAACACGATCTCTGACATTGCCGAGCCCCTTATGCTCTCTCTGGTGAAGAGGACGCTTTCTGCCCTGCTCATCCCCGCTAGTTCATCGAGTGCTAGCCCAGTTAACTCAAGCTTGTCAGATATGACAACTGGGTCTGCTAAGTTGCGCCATCCGTCTTGGCTATCTGATGTTAAGTTTCTAAACACACTAACTCCATCACCTACTATTAACAATATTCTCATTGATACCTTAGAGGGCCAATTGATAACTTCACTCATCGTCATATCATTTATTTTAATTTTCTTGATCCGTGAGTGGGTTGTCCAGCAACAGCCGATGGCCAACATTGCAGAGGGGGAGCGCGAAGCAGCGGTTCAATTAATAGCCAATAACCGTCCACAACGGGAGGTTGAAGCTCCCGAGCCTCAACGCGAGCCTCCGCTGCCGCTCTTGCAAGGAGAAGAGCAATCCCTTGATGGGGAGATGGATGAGAATGTCGAGCATTTCCCTGACGACGGTGAACATGATGCTCAACCTGGCAACTCAGATCAGTTCGATGTGCATGCGGTACCCCCGTCGCTCGGAAGTAACGACCCAGTTCGCTTGAGAGACATGTATTCAGCAGGCTCATCATCGTCTCTTGTACGTGGTGTCACTGTCGATGACGAATCTGACATTGGGCACTTATTCGGACAGCCACCTAACCAAACCGATTCTGTATGGCCAGGTTTGGAGATGTTCAAGGATTTCTGGACCCGTGGCAACGGAGACCCCGAGGAAGTAGTTAGAATGATTCGGGAAGAAGGTTACCAGGAGGAACTGGATTGGGTTATTACCGCCTTGTCAAGACCTCACCAACAGTCTATGTCGACATCACAGACTTTTGACGTCGCTGGCGCCATCGATGCAGCGGAACATGACGATGCAGGAATAGCAGTAGTTGGGCAGTCTTCACAACTAACAGCTCAACATGACCCGAGCAATATCGCTATTGACGCAGGCAGTGGCCAGTTCTCAGAACCCTCTAATAACCCTTTTGCCGATGACCTGGGCACGGGTTCGTTGCTTCGTGCCTCTCACGAGCAGGAACCGCCGGAAAGCGATCGTCCGGCTTCAGGGGCCAATGAAGTTCACGTCAACCAAGAGGATCACGTCCCCGATGGTAGAACCGTTGATGAGCTACCAAATACCAACGGAGAGTCTGAAAATACACAACGAAACTCAACAACGAATGCCCCTCCTGCACCACCAAAGAGCTTCACACAAAGAATTTTCGACTGGTTTTGGACTGATATCACCCCAGCTGGACCCACCGAGGAGAACCAGAACCGGGATGATGAACATGTGGTCGAAGATCCAGCTCTCGAAGCCCCTTTCATACCGGTACGGAATAATCAACATATTGCGAATGCGCGTGTGGCGGAAGAGGCAGATGCAGGTCCGATCTTGGAGGGCGCTGGAGCTGATGCGAACGATGTGGATGTAATCGAGGATGGTGACGATCTAGAGGGAATAATGGAACTTATTGGCATGCAGGGTCCAATATTCGGACTTCTACAGAATGCTGTTTTCAGTGCCCTCCTTATCTCTTTCGCAATGGCGATCGGTATTTGGCTTCCTTATTTATGGGGCAAAATTGCAGTCGTCCTTTTGGCTAATCCAATCCAATTATTTTTTGGTGTCCCTATGGCTGCCATTTCGGTCGTTGCAGATATAGCACTTGACACGCTTATCGGAATCCTAGGGTATATCATATACTGGGTCAGTCTTACTTTCAGGGTGCTAGTTAGTCCTCTGAGCTCTCTCGTTCCTCTAGGTGATTGGATTCCACAAAGCAAGTCCGTTACCAGCGCATCGCTGTCCCTCATTGATGCTAGCAGTCGCCGCTTGGGGAAAGTTGTCAGCGCATTTTTCATGTTCCACGAATCGGACATTCCCATGTTTTCGGTTATTTCTCATCAGGCATTGAAAGTGCATGAGGCCCGCGTTTTGAGTGTCATTGGGGCGACGTTTGCATTCAGTAAATTTGTTTTCTATGACTTTCCTCTTTGCATCATTTCGCTCGGATCTCAAGGGCTAACATCAGCCGGAAACGGTTTCGATGTGAAGGATCTCCTTGACCTACTCAAGCAGTCCTGCAGTCTTGGTGCTTCCTATCTCGTTTCAATAGGAAGAAAAAGCTGGCTCAATCTAAGAACATCTTCGGTTGCCTCTGCAGATGTTCCTCTGGACTATGGACTGGCAGTGTGGGACACGAAGGATCGAGTGATAGCCATAATAATGGGCTATGCGCTTGCTTCTGTCATAGGCATCTTCTATCTTCGAATTGCTGGCCTACTTTCCGGCACGGGCCATGGGCAGAGAATTGAGGGTCTTGTTGCAGAGACACTTCGGCAAGCCGGCGGAGTCATGAAAGTCATCCTTATTATCGGAATCGAGATGTTTCTGTTTCCGCTATATTGCGGCTCACTTCTCGATCTTGCGTTGTTACCTCTCTTTGACAATGCCTCTATTGCTTCTCGGATGGATTTTGCTGCATCATCTCCGGCAACGTCCCTTTTCGTTCATTGGTTTATCGGCACTTGTTATATGTTCCACTTCGCTCTTTTTGTCTCCATGTGTAGAAAGATCATGAGAAGTGGCGTCCTGTGTAAGTCGCATTTCCTTCCATTTCATCCAGCGACTCCAACTAATGTTGAGAATTCAGATTTCATCCGTGACCCCGATGATCCAACATTCCACCCTGTGCGTGATGTCTTGGAGCGGAGCATTACAACGCAACTCCGCAAGATTGCTTTTAGCGCCTTGGTCTATGGGGCATTGGTTATTCTTTGTCTTGGGGGCGTTGTGTGGGGGTTGTATGCTGCATTTGACGGACTACTCCCTATTCATATGTCCTCTACTGCCCCCATTCTCGAATTCCCCATTGATTTACTGTTCTATAACTTTGTTGTGCCGTTGGCTATTCGGTCAATCAAGCCCTCTGATGGGTTTCATGGTGTATTCGATTGGTGGTTCCACAAGTGTGCTCGGCTCTTGCGGTTAACCGACTTCTTCTTCGGCGAGAGGCGGCTGGACGAGGAAGGCCATCATGTCCGACGAACTTGGAGAGATGTCTTATTACGAAAACAGGGAGATGTTGAACGCCCTGTCCTGGATGAACAGCAAAAAGCCCGTGCTGATGAACAGGGTCACGATGCATACTTCGTCCGAGATGGGAAGTATGTCCGAGCCCCAGCTTCAGACCAGGTCCGCATCCCAAAGAACCACCTAGTATTCTTGGAGGTGACGGAAAGCAACGAGCCCATTGACGGGGAACCAGATCCAGATGAGGGACTGCATGGTCGGGCTAACGACATGTTCACCAAGGTCTATATTCCCCCGTCATTCAAAACGCGAATTGTAGCCTTCATCATTTTGATGTGGCTCTTTACGGCCGCCACTGGGGTAGGCGTCACTGTTATTCCGTTGGTTATTGGTCGGAAGATGATATCGTCATATTTCCCCAGCGAGGTATCTGTAAATGATGTGTACGCCATATCCACCGGTCTGTGTATGGTTGGTGCGGTTGCCTATGCAGTCATATTTTGCCGCGACAGATCCGCCATGATAATCGAGCGTATACGCCCGTTTGTACGCTCTCCGCAAGATGCCTGCCTTGCAGTCGGTGGAGTTGCTCTACAGGGAGTCCGCTTGGTCTATATTTCCTTTGCCTTCTCCGTGCTGCTGCCATTCCTTTTTGCTATGGTCATTGAGCTCTACGTTCTGATACCCTTACATACGTATTTTGGTCCGGGTGAAGGGCACGTTATTTACTGCATGCAGGACTGGGCACTGGGTGTTCTGTACCTCCAAATGGCCATCAGATTCATCTTGTGGCACTCCACCTCACGGCCTGCCGCGGCCTTGAGGGCCATTTTCCGCGAGGGATGGTTAAGACCTAACGTGACACTGGCCACTCGGGCATTTATCCTCCCTGCCTCACTCCTGGCGGAGATTGCGGTGATTATGCCGCTCATTTTGGGATTCACGGTCGAACTAGCGGTCTCGCAGTGGGTACGTGGGGACAAGCCGTCGATAATTTACCGCTACTCATATCCGGTGACATTCGCTTTGGGTCTGGCTGTCTGGCTGGGCTATCTCATTCGCCGTCAGGTGGATATTTGGAGAGCTCACATCAGAGATGATGTGTATCTGATTGGGGAACGACTACACAACTTCAGCGACAAGCGAATAAGAGACGATCGGGTCTCTCAGTGAGCGTCGTGGATTTGTAGGTGGCGAGTCCGACTGTTATAGTAGCCACGTTAGCCAGGAAGATATTCCTCTATTGAGTCTATGTATATTAGGTAGCTGTACTCTGGAACTAGTCAAATAATAGGCATTTACTGCGCATTTCCATCCTGATCTGCCCTGTAACTGTGGATTGTGGTTGCCTGCTCTCCAGACGTCCTGATCGGGCTAGGCAGCACCATTCCGGTCCCGTGACTTTGCTGCAGGCTCCCTCGTTTCTTCCTGCTCCATCGTCATCGCATTAATATCTCATCCATTCCTACTCTCATCAGAGGGTTCACGCTGTTTCAATGTCTTGTACCGGGTGTAGTGCCTCTGCATCGGGTTTCTGTTGAGTCCCCTTACATATTTTTATACTTCGTTCTGGACCCTTCTCCCAGCATGTCCGTCCTCCACCATGGAGGGTCCTACCTTCAGCGACGCCTCACCAAAATGTATTCGGATATGAAGACTTCGTGCGAGAGTGTCACTACTTCGACCGCATACAAGTCGGTCGATGATCCGGAGTTTCTCGCGCTCAAAGCGAGCATCCGCACCCAGACCGATAGACTCCTGGCATGGGGCTTAGATTGGAGCGATGCCAGTGCTGCCCAGCCAAATGATATCGATGAATCTATCACGCGGGCTGGTTTTAGTGACGTCGTCGAGAGTGTCATGTCTTCTATCCAGGATCTTCTTAATGAAGCCGATCGCCTGTTGAAGAGCAACCCGACTGATTCGCCATCTAAGGAAAGTCTGGGCAGTGTAGCCTTGAAGACTCATTGGACCACTGAAGATATAAAACGTTCCAAGGCCTTGGTGAGCGATTTGACTTCTTGCATTGACACCCTATATGACCTGTCGCGTTCTCGTCGAAATATGACGGCCAACATGTCCGGTGGGCAACAACCTGCGAAGAATCGGCCAAAACTACCCATGCGACGGAAACCGTTGAAGAAGCAGGACGATGCTGTGTATTCGGCTTTTGCGGACTCCAAATCTCGCCACAATAGCCCTATCGAGTCCAGTGAAGGTTACCAAGATATCAAAACTCTTCCTCAAGGGAGCTTTGAGATCTCACCTCTCTCGAACCTCCATGTTGCTCAAGTACCATTTCGCGAGCAACACAAGATGGAGCATTCTTTTACGAAATACTTTCTGTCAACAAAACGCTACCTGATTGATCGCTCGGCTCTGCAACTCTCCGGTCCTTCCCATGATATGACTCCGCCACCATATGAGGTAGTCGCTGCATCGGCCAATTCTCGCGTCGTTGGCCGGATAAAAACCTCAGCTTCACCATTGCTGAGCTCGACGACAGAGCCAACTGTCTCTATCCTGGTTGAGTTCACTCCCATGATGTTGGAGACGCAAAACGCAATCACCATACCGGCAAGCCAACGACTAGAAAAAGTCAATCAGTCGCTCGATCAACTAGTCCAAAATGGCAGAGTATCTCATCTTGGTCTACTGAGATTCCTCGGCTACTACATCGATATGCCCAATGCTCGATACGCTTTCATATACCAGATGCCAGTCGACTATTTCCCTTTTTTCCGTAACCCAACAGATCTTTTGAATGAATGGAAGCCCAGGCCACTGGTTTCTTTTTTCCAGACTGGTGACCATCAGGAGGTTCCCAATCTTGAGACTCGTTTGCACCTAGCATACGATCTTTTGATGGCCGTACTCCACTTGCGAAGTCAGAACGTCGTGCATGGCAGCATCAACAGCAGCAATATCCTTATCTTTCCCGGGCTGGCCAGTTCACAAAATGACGAAATTCGACTTGCAGAAGATTTCCGTCGTCCTTATTTAACCTCATTGGCCCAGTTTTCTGGCGATGGAGCATCTCCCGAGCCGCTTTCATCAAGCATGTATCGCCATCCAGATGACAAAAGGCAACTCGAAGATGAGGCCGCTTGGGCTTACGATCTCTATTCTCTCGGTTTGGTATTACTAGAAATTGGTCTATGGTTGCCTATCAGCAAGTGCTGGAAAATGAAATATAACAATTCCATGTTCAAGCAAAGGATCGAAAACTTTTATGTTAAACGGCTTGGACCAAAATGTGGTAGTGCTTATCTGCATATGGTTCAATTATGCCTCGATGCACCAAATTTCCACCTCTCAACGCAGCCTATGGATGACCTGGGTCTTCGAGTACCTCAGATCTATCATTACCCGGTGCTCGACCTGTCAGAACCGGATGGGATGTTCTCTTTCTCGATGAATTTCTTATACACGATCTGCAAGATTGCATGGGCATGCTGCCGCATAGATATATTTTCTGCCCCTCCACCAGAGGATCTCGACGATTGTCTCCCTCTTGCGCTTGTCCCAGCCTCACAAACAGCAGCCGCTATGAAGCAACCTATTGAAAATACGGTGTCCAAGAGAGCCGATTTGACATCAGAACAGTCCACCAAAGTACCTTTTGAGGAAATGAGGGAGCTGAAAGGTAAAAGAGCTTTGGAGGACAGAAAAGTGAAGAAACGTACCATCCGGAAACTTACCGATGTTGAAATACCCCCGGAACATCTCCAGGAATGGAATTTCCAGTTGATGCCCAAGTTGAGTAAGCTTCTGCAAAAGATTTTCAAAGAGTCATCGGAACCATGCAGCGCCACACTTATGATGACTGGGGAAACCGCTGAAGCCGCGAAAACGACCATCTGCGTGACCTGCTCCAACGTCAAGAAGGTCAGGTCAGCCCTAAAAAGGCATTTTGAGCTTAACAAGGAAGGCTGGGACCTGGTAGTTCTTCGCGGAGATGTTCAACGATCGAAAGCCCCGCGGAGAAGGCGTCGCAGGCCGGCAAAAAAGGGGCAAGAGAGTAACAATATGACTTCATTCGAACAGTTGAACCCTTGTTATCAGCAACGACCTATATGTGGTGCCTCCATAGGAGCCTTTCTAAACGAAGAACATTTCCCCCCTGTCTCATACGGTGGAATGGTTCTCGTGGATGGCATACCGTTTGGGATGACGGTTCATCACATGCTTGAGGCGCCTAGCGACAGTGAGGATTATGAGGATGAGCCATCGGATCTCCCCTCGCGCTCGGCTGCAGGCGGTTGGTTTAGGAATCTACCGATTCCAAATGCGAGTTTCATGCATAACTGGTGTGAGGATGATGATGACCTGTCTGAGGATAACCTTGAGTTTGAAGTCACCGACGACGAAGATGGGGATGATAACTCCGTCTTACAAAGCCTGGATGAATCTGGTGACGACTACTGGCTATCAGACGACTATTCTTCGGACGAAGAAGGGATCGATTCGAACGACAAATATGTCGACGAGGATGCCGCTTCCGTCGGAGATACATCTGGTATTATACCTGGTGAAGAGCCACTGCCTATGGTAACCCAACCTGCAATCGACGATGTGCACGAGGATTTCTTTCCAGTCCCAGAAGATCGTGACGATGAGCACTTGGCTTCACATTCCCTTGGGTACGTCTACGCTTCTTCTGGTGTCCGACGCTGGACACGGAAGGGGATTAAACACGAAATTGATTGGGCGTTACTCAAGATCGACGATAGTCGCATGGAGGTTCGCAACATTGTCCTTGACAAAACAGCGATGACAAGTCCTTCAGGAGTGCCTGGTGAGAGCGACTCTGTGACAATTCATCTCAACAAGGTGGCACGGATGGAAGATCTCGGTGGCCTTGACGTCCATTGCTGCGGTCGAACTAGTGGTCTTCAGAGTGGCCGGATATCCAAGGCCCTGACCTTAGTCAAGTTTAAAGGCCGGAAGTCTTTTTCAACAAGTTTCTGTGTCGATGGCAATTTTGGAGGTAAGCAATTAGCTACTCATCATTTGAACCTCCTTCGCCCACTCTTTCCCGGTCAAAAACAAATATAAAATAATGCCAACGATCTTTTTTCTAGCTCCTGGAGACTCCGGCGCCTGGGTGTTCGACAAGTCATCGGGCCGTGTCTGCGGTCACGTCCTCGCCTGGTCCGAGAAAACTCGCACTACATATATCGCCCCTATGGAAGTCATTCTAGAGGATATTGCTCGCACCCTAAACGCTTCCCGGGTCACGCTCCCCGGTGCTCCGGACGCACCAATATTCCCCATGTCTCATCTTCCCTCGTCGCAGCCTATTGAATATGGTTATGGACGCGTACATAGCTATGAACCGCATAACCAGATTCCTGCACCCGGCCATCCAAACCAGCAACAGCAACAGCAACAACAGCAGCCAAGAGGACTTTTCCCCGTCAATGCGAGACATATAAATCTCAACTTGGATGATCCTGCCCTCCCCAGTGTAGAAGTAGGGGTCGGCCGTTCGTCACGTGGTTTCAAAAGCATTCCTCCCTACGTCCCTCCTTCCACTACCCCTCCTACTACCACAAATACGATAGCATATGGTGGTTCGATGGCAGGACTTATCAGGCCGACAAGAGGCTTGGGAAGGCAAACTGCATGACTCTTTTTACTCCTCACTTTTTTTTTGTCGGCTGATTTTGGAAATGGCCTGATTCCGTTTCTGCATCTGCATCTGCATTATTCTTGGCGTTCACCTTTGGTTCATTGGTCTTTCTTTGCTTGCATTGCATTGTTATGAGAAATGGTAAATTGATGGGCTGGAAAAGAAAAACAACTATATACCCCTTATACCCCTTTTGCATGTATGGATCGTTGGGTGGATTGGATCTGTATTTAAGTTGGGATATCGCATGTTCTAACATTGTGTTCTTGTATTCGTCGAAGTATTTCATATTTAAGCAACATCTCCATGCCTAGGCAATACTTATTCGGATATATTTATTTTATAATCGTGCCCACACCGCCTACCTGTGTTCCCCGTGTAGGTGCGCCCAAGTTCAATGTTACTTTTTTAAATTCATTAAATAAATTCAATTATCTCAACACCAACATGACCAATAAATATATTGACGAAGAAGCACGTATTTCAAAGATAGAAGCCTACAGAAGTGGAAAAATATAGATCTATCCCCAAATTGGCAAAGGAAATTGGGGTGGATTACCAACAACTCCGCTGAATCCAGGGACAACCTTCACGATCTACGCGCCCAAAACAGACTGGATCACTGAATAATGAGCATGAAGGGGCTCTATGGGCTGGATTAAATGCAACTGTTGAAATGATTCGCAACCGAGCAAATTCAATGATCAAATGGTCTAACCCAGAAGCTGATGATGGTGGAAAAATCTGACCATACAACTTCATTAAACACCTTGGACCTGAATACAGCTGGGTCAAGCAGAAGATATTGGTGTCCTAGAGACCTGATTTGATTGGCTGAAGATTCAACTTGAACTTCATAAGATTACACCAGATAATCTCTATAATTTTGATGAGGCTGGCTTCCATATAGGCCAGGGGAAGAAGGAATTAGTTTGTGAGCTTATTCCCATAGAGCTAGTGTTCCTAGCTCTCCATCCCAGATTTTAATCACTATCAGGGCCCTTGCCATGTAGACCAGGACGAGCACGTGAGTTTCCTTATTTGGATTAGCGTGGTGCGTGGATAGGAATACGTCGTCCAGCTTCACGTAGATGTCTTCCCTTTTCCCTCCTCTCCATGCTTGAAGTTCTCGTCAATAGCTGCCTAGATAGTTGAATAGCATCCTATTCATCGTCTAGTTGAGTTCCGTGACAGCTTCAACATTTTGATGAAGCTACATAGCAGCGAGCTCATGGTCGAAAATAGCTTCTCCTAATGGATAATTATGGCTCCCATCTCACCTTTCAATTCATTGAATTCTTCCAGAAAAGCATATAATATTATAGTGCTTTCCGCCTTATACTACACATCTCCTTCAACCTTTTGATGGCAGTCCATTCAACAGTATAAACACTATCATGGGAAGGCAATCAACTCCATGGCCCGTTTGGGAGTATATGAGATTGATAAACAGGAGTTCTTATACCAAATAATAAATATTTAGAAGGTAAGCGAGATTGATAAGATTGTTAAATGGGAGATCTTATACTAACTATTGGATTCCTATCAGAATACCTTCAAATATCATACAATCAAATTCAGCTTTAAAGAATGAGGAATACAGCCATCTGAACCTGATACTGTAAAGGGGGGCGTACGTGCGTTGTTCCCTGCGACAGGAACCGGGTTGTGATCGAGGGATCTCAGGAATGGATATACCAAGGCGATGCCGCTATACCACACGGCACCGAACGATCTTAGCAAGAAAACGATATAACGATAAAAGGAAACACAACGACGAAGGAGCCTCGCTCCGCTCTATACGACGATAACGATACTAGTGAAGCAACCTAGAAACCAAAAGAATGCTCAATTTCTCGTAACTATCTGGGAGGGAACCCTCCATTAAGTACTTGCCGGCCGCGGGCTCCACCATACATTAGTATGTCGGAGACCGCGGCTCTACGGTGTTCTAAGATAGGAAATATGGGAGATCCGGGGTTTCGCAGTGCCCCCGGCACAATACTGTGCTTCAATCACTATGTGAACAACATATCCCTACTGGACCAGAGCTTTGCATATATAATGGGGATTCAACGCCACCACCCCATTCCTCATCTTCAGTATCTCCACCTACTACTGTTAATCAGCTCTGGACTTCAATCAATAAAGCTCAGAAAGCGATAGATAAAGCATCTAAGGAAGTTCATGATATTATAAATGACCACCTATGAGGCAGGTTAAACCATATATTCACAGGCAGTCTCATTCAAGCTGAGCTGGCAGCTCAACACCAACAGGATATCAAGGAGTTGCTTTAGGCTAACAAATGCCCAAACAGGAAAAAAATCTCAGCAGTCATTGCAGACAGGAGGTGATTTATCTATTAAAGATGCTAACCACCGCCTTAAAGCTAAGGCATTGGAGCAGATGAAAAAATATGTTAGACAGGCCCAACAAGACCAGAAGATACTGGAGAAGGAAAAGGAGCGGCTAGCCGACCAACCGTCATTAAATGAGGCTGAAAAAGAAGCTCTAGAAGGCTTCATAGTGGGTTCAGATAGTGAGCCACTTATTTATAAAGATATCACTGGTTTAGATGTGTAGTTAGGTATTGAATTCAAAAAAGTGACGTTGAACTTGGAATGCCATTGAACTTGGGCGCACCTACACGGGGAACACGGGTAGGTAGGCGGTGTAGGCACGATTAAGGGTCAATTAATAATTCATACCCCGTGGAAGGGCTAATTTAAATTGCTCCGAGTCGACCACGAAGGATACTTGCACCTATTTCAAGGATGTTCACCACCTTAACAGTCATACTTCTCAATAAACCCTAAAAATGAACAGAAATACAGAATGAAATCAATAAAGTAAAATGCATCCATCATCTTAATTGTTTCATAAAAACGGAAAGATAAGGGAACAAAGAAAGCATACACAAAATTCTCATAACACCAAGACTCAATCCATTCCAATCCAATCGATGCTTCGAAATGCATGACGGGAAAAGAGACAATATAATAGCATGACATCAAAACAAAAAGAAGCTCATTAAATTCCTATGAATAATTCCTCTCTATTCCCTTTTCAACCCCTTCAGACACTTCCCAGTATTCTTAACCAGAGGCCAAATACTTAAGCACTGCCTCCTTTTCTGCAACGGGCAGTGTGCTCAGGACTTGTTGGACGCCCTTAAGACCACCTTCCTTGTTGTTGATTAGGAGCTGTGCAACTTCGGTCGCGGCGCTCTGAACCTTGAATGAGTCGATTCTCGACTGGATCAGTTTCTTATTCTCCTCGTACCATGTGGCTACCTTGCGATCATCACGCTCCAGTTCCTCGTCAAGCAGGCCAGTCCAAGCGTAGAGAGTACGAAGATGGATGCTGCGGGGTGATGCAGTGGCGGGGAGAGAGCCGCCAGCAGCGCGAGGATCGGGGTTTGGACAGGCTGTGATCAGACGCTTGACAATAAGTTCCTCACTGAGACGGCGGCGGAGACGCCAGTAGAAGAAACGCCTAGCGTTCTTCCAGGTCAATGCCTCGCGAATCGTGTTCTTGGCCTTCATGCGGCCGGCACGATCGTGGAGGTCAGCAAATTGCAAGGCAATCTGCAGGTATACTGGGAGCAGTTGTTCCTCGCGAGTGGCCATCTTGGCTTTGATGTCTGAAAGTTGTTCCTTGCTAAGAGACGGGTCTTCGAGAGAGCGGCGGAGTTCACCATACGCGGGATCTAGACGGGCCATGGTGTCCAGTTGCTTCTCACGGCGGAACTTGATGTTGACGATACCCTCGGGTTCAAGGACACCACCACGTGCATCTTCATCAGCATACATTTCCATTTGGTCCGGGTTGATTGTAGGATCAATAACGACCTGTTGAACTTTATTAGTATATTGCTGTTAAGCATATGGTTCGTAAAAACTAAACTTACCCAAGAACCACCACGGAGTTCACCAAATGGAGGAATGTATACGAAGACGGGCTGCTCGTACTTGACCAGAGCGTCAACAATGTAGGAGCCATACTTAAGGACCTCATTGTACATGTCACGCTGTCCACCCGAGAAACCTCTCCAGTTGGCAAGAATCATGACTGGGAGCTGTTCTCCATTGTTAAAGTCACGGAGAGCTTGGGCAGTCTTGAAGGCAGAGTTGGGGTACCACACGCCACCAGCTTCAGTGGTGATTACCTCCATCGAATCAGGATTGGCCGGATCAGCTGGCGTGACATTATCGACAGAGCGTGTCTCAACAGCGATGACACCCATGGGAATGCCACCGAGTCTTGCACGACCAACAACAACGGTTCGAGCCCAACCGCCAAGAGCTTCTTCGAAAGAGCCTTTGTCAAACAGACCAGGAAGGAAGCCCTCGTCATCCTCCTTACCACCAATGAGCCACCTAACGTCATACGGCTCTCTAACTGGAGGATAGTAGGTAACATCGCGATCCCAGTTGTCCGACCAGGGACGGATGGGGATGGGTGCGCCCCTCTTGTCGGGGACGAAGGACATCCATTCAACGATTTTCTGTACACCCTCGAAGTCGTCGTTGGCGGTCATGTGTGAAACACCGTTCTTGTACATGATCTGCGTTCCACCAAGTTGTAGGTTCGAAGAGTAGACTTCCCTGCCAAGAAGCTTGTTAATGGCAGGAGCACCGGTCAAAATGATCGGTTGGCCCTCGACTTGAATGGCTCTCTGTCCGAGACGGACGAGATAAGCACCGATACCAACTGATCGACAAGTCACTAGAGTAATCGTGAAGATGTCTTCGTAAGCCCTCGAGGTCGCGCCAGCGATGAGACCGGATCCCCTGAGACATTCAACGCCCAAACCATCTTTGGCCCCGATAACGGTAGTGATCTTGTGGCGCTCTTCACCATCCTCATGGATGGGCTCTGTGATAACTTGTTTCTGCTTGGTTGCATCGAGGTGCTTCTTGACCTCTGGAGTCAAATATAGATATTTGAATCCAGCTTCTGGCTTCTCAGGGTTATTCCATGCCACAGAGAAGTAAGGGATGAGCTCATCGGCCATTCCAATACGTGCACCAGAGTTTGCAGAGAGATAAATGCGTGGAATACCCATCTTCCTAGCAAGTTCGGTACACTTATGGAAGAACTTATCTTCGGCGGGCCCGAAGGATCCAATCTGGTAGGTGATATCATTGGCAACGATAATGAAGCGTCTCCCACGAGGGTACTCTGGTGTGCGTGCAGTAACAATCCACCCGACCATACCATGTGTGTTCGTACCAGGCTCCCGAGCGACTTCAACGAGGTTGTCCTTGTCATCAAGAACGAGTTCCTCGTAGTCAATACATTCACCCACTGGCGGTCTGAGGTCGGCTAGCGATGGGATTCCAGCAATGGCCTTGGTCCAGCTGTTCTGGAAAGCCTGTCTGAAGAGTTCCGGGAAATCGTACACATATTGTGTGCCCATAATGTGGGCCTTGTACCGCTTAGGCTGCAACCACTCCTTGGTTGGGTAGGGTGTCGAAACTGGGCGCATGTGCATGGAACCAAGTTTGTTGGTGCCGCCGATGCTCTGGAAGATCCATTCGCCCTTCTCGGACTTCCTCTCAACGTACAACTCCACCTGGATGATGAATCCATATGTATTGGAGATGATCACACGAAGTGGGTAGGGGAGGCCAGTTGCCTGGTCAGTACACAGAATACGGATCTCAGCACCTGTAATACGTAGTCTCCAGAGGCGGCGACCAAATCGTTCCAAGAAGCCGGCCAAGGCCTCCTCCACATCAGTTGGTTGTAGATTGAAGACAGGAGAGAAATTGATAAAGATGTGATTGAGGTCAGAGTTATTGTTACCAATGATTTCTAGTGCATCGAGGATATCGTTCATCAGGCGGTCCGCTTCCGAGATCAGATATTCCGCTGTAGGAATATCATCACGGAGGCGGCCAGGGCGCACCACAGCACGGACAAAGTAGCGCTTGTCGACAGCCTTGTCGTTCTCTGGGCCCTTGCCAATAGCCTCGTAGACGTGAATGTTATGGTTCTCGGTGAAAACGGGTTTAATACGGAATTTGGACAGCCTGCCTAGTTCAAGCTGGAAGGCCAAGGCAGGCTCGCTGTGGCGGATACTCTCATCCTCCTCGTACTTGGGTCCTCTGAAGGTGAAATAACCCGGGTAGACTCCATTCTTCCCACATATAAAAGTGACTCGGCGGATCCGGCGAGCAAGCAACTCTTCTTTGAAGTTGGCTAGTTGAGAGTTAATCTGTGAGACAATCTCCTTGTCATCAAGATTTTCTATATCGCGAATCGCAATGTTGCAAACATTGGTAAGCTCATTGTCGTTCTCGGCCCTAAAACCAGGTCTCCGCTTGGCTTCGAGGTTAGCTAGAAGACCATTTTCATTTCTACCCTTCAGGCCAAAACGCGGGAAAGCCTCTAATGCCCGAGAGAAGTGCTCCTCGACATCCTCAAGATACTGGACAGGGAGAATGACACCCTTCCTCATCGGCTCATTTCCGGAATCATTAAGTAGATAGGACATGTCGCTAATGGAACTGATCCTCTTAAGCGGGTTGCTTAGTTCGGATGTTGGAGTGCTGGGAGTTGAGGTATGCGTCGATGAGACAGTGCCGAATTCAGGTTGTCCAAGTTTCCCAAGCTTGAAATCCCAGGAAAGTAGCGGAGGGTCGCTAGAGGCATTGTACTGTATCCCTTTGACAATGTACGCTCGATACGCGCGTCGCACATACACTTCGAGAGCGGCCAATGTGACCCAAGGATCAGGATGACAAAAGAAACGTGGCAGGACATCGAAAACGGTATATTTTGAATCGACCACCTCTTTTAGGATGCCAATGTTAGGCTCACGATGGTCCCAACCGGTCTCGCCATAGGTCGACTCTACAACAGAGGAACGCAAGATGAGTTCCATCTGCGAGAGCCTCTCCTCCAAAGACGGGAGAGCACACTGGATAAGAACCTCACGTGCCTTGAGTGCGACTTTTGAACAAGCCCGAGATTCCAGTTCTGCGAGCTTTTTAAGGATCGGCTTGAAGTTCTTCTGAACATTACCAGCTTGGGGCTGGTTGGGGCGGTACATGTCCAGAATTGCAACGACAAGGTTGTTCTTTGCACCAATCTTGCTGTGTGATAAGACATTGCGGAGAACAAAATCAATATCGTCCCTGTGCTCATCTCTCAGCGTCAAAATGGCATCTTCATCCCGCATATGGCGACCGGAAAAGAGGTTCTCAACTTCGTAGTATTGCTCCAACAGGTCAACGAAAACCTTGTGCTCATGTGTCTTTAGCCCGTCCAAGTACTTATTGATAACCTGGGTAAGAGGAAGGAGAGTCGTTTTCAGAATCTCCGCATCAGCTGCGCTGATATTTTCTTCTATAAATCGAGAAATCGTCTTCTGGAGCTGCTTAGCGGGAAATTCGGTCTTCCGTGCTCTCGCTCTGTCAATGACGTGTTGAAGTTGTGCGTGAAGCTTTTGAGGCATGCGAGAATGTAGCGCAGATGCCTGGGCATTCCATTCGCCGTAAGGAAGCTCAGGATCGCGGAGAACTTGGACAAGTTCTCTCAGGGTGGCATTCATGATCATCTGGTTGTCATAGCCCTTGAGAATATTTTCGAGAATACTATTCAGCAGGAAGAACCTCTGCGGGGGCTTGTTACCCACCACCTGAGGAGGGCCGAGATCAGGAAGCTGTCCGGTGAACGGCTGGGCATGCTTGACCCGGGACGGGTCATCCAAAGCAAGGATTCCGAGAATATCACCGGCCTCCAGCGTGGCACCCGGCTGCTTGATGAGCTGCACAATTCCATCTTCCTGCACAATCAGAGGCATGTACATTTTCATCACTTCGACTTCGGCGAATGGCTGGCCCGCCTTGACGTGCTCACCACTCTCTACGGTGAACTTGACGAGCTTCCCTGGTGATGGTGTACGGAGCTGGGTGGGGTCGTTCTCTTGCTCAAGCAGACAGGTTTTCCCATCTACGCTCAGGCGGGTTGCAGCAGCTTCTTCCTTTTGGTAGACGTTATGGCTGCGTCCATTCAACAGTACCAATAAACCGCCATCCGCTAAAGCACGCACACCGACAGAGCATTTGGAGCCATTAATGAAGAGATGATAGCTGTCCGTGCTCGCCCTCGTGGCGGTGAATTTATACCGCAAGCCTTCGTAAATGAAGTCTACGGGGAAGACGGTCTTTAAGACATCCTTGGAAGGCACTTGACCCTTCTCGAGCCCCTTACGGTACTCCGCGATGCGCTCCTGGCTCGCTGTATGGGCCTTGGTGACTGCTCCGCAGATGATGGCGACTGTTTGATCTGGCCGCTCTACGGTCAGCTTGTTAGAAATGAGCTGGTCCAGCCATCCAGTTGTAATGGTATTCTCTTCGAAGGCCGGAGTCTCGAGCAACTTGATTAGATATTCGACGGTCGTCCTGAAATCTCCACGAATGCTCAATTCTTTCAAGGCGACAACCATGTGCTTGCGGGAAGCCGAACGATTCTCGCCGTAGGCGAAAATATGACCAAACTGACTGTCGGAGAAACTGTGGATACCACCCGCAGTACCAACGGAGAAGTAACCCCAAACGTTGGATGAACTCCGGAAGTTCAACTCGTGCATGGTACCACTGGACGGCTTGAAACCCTCACCAGGGTCTTCAGAGGTAATCCGACAAGCGGTTGTATGACCCTTTGGCTTGGGGCGGCGCTGTGTCTTGAAACTTTCTGGGTTGGAGAAGTCGAAGTCAATTTCCGAGGAAGTATTGGTGTCAACACCGTAGAGAAGACGGATATCACGAATGCGATGCAATGGGATACCCATGGCAATCTGGAGCTGAGCAGCCGGTAGGTTAACACCTGATACCATTTCGGTGGTAGGGTGTTCAACCTGGAGACGCGGGTTTAATTCAAGGAAGTAGAACTTGTCATCTGCATGAGAGTACAGATACTCAACAGTACCGGCTGAAACGTAACCGACCAGCTTTCCGAGGCTGACCGCAGCGCGTTCCATGGCCTGGAATGTGTCTGATTTTGCAATTGTGACAGGGGCCTCCTCAATGATCTTCTGATGTCTTCGCTGAACGGAGCAGTCTCTGCCGAACAGGGAAATGTTATTTCCATACTGATCAGCAAGCAGTTGCACCTCCAAATGCCTAGCGTCACCTGCGAGTTTCATGATGAAAATCGGGGAGCCCGGAATTTCATTTGCAGCCGCATTGTACAAGTTAATGAAATCTTCCTCCCGTTCCACCTTCCGGATACCCTTTCCTCCGCCACCCTCAGAAGCTTTAATCATTACTGGGAAGCCGATCTCCTTAGCTTTCTGAAGACCTTCCTGCGGGGAGTGTGTGCATCCCTTATCGTAGACGTCATCCTCGACGGTGACAATACCATCTTCGTCGATTCTTACCGCGTCAACGCCAGTTCCCGACCATGGTATGCAGGGGACGCCGGCATGTTGGGCAACAATGGTCGAGGAGATCTTATCACCTAGTGAGCGCATAGCGGAGGCCGGCGGTCCAATGAAAAGGATCTTCTTCGGGGAAGCGGCCAGTGCTTCTGGTAATCGAGGATTCTCGGAGGCATGACCCCTACAATTCCGTCAGAGAAGGGAATTTAAGGATGAATAAGGGGCCCTACCATCCAGCCCAGACGGCATGGACATCCATTCTCTCCGCAATATCAACGATGAGTTCGACATTAGCATAGTTATTATTGTTGGTACCTCCCGGAACCTGTATGAAAACGTAGAGTTTAGGAGGCGATCCTCAATGCGAGCCCATTTTCTGGAAAGGGGGAAAAAATACGCACCTCAACATATTTATCTGCCATACGAATGTAGTCTGCATTGGCCTGCAAATCTTCCGGCGTTGCCATGACCGTGAACTGAATAGCCCGCTCATTTCCGAATGTCTCGTACGCCCATTTCCGTACCGACCGGATCTCCTTGACAGCGGCAATACCGTTGTTTGCGATGAGAACCTAGAAGTGCATGAGAGGATAGATTAGCAGGTCGTTGGAAAGAAGCCGCGTTTGAAAAGATTTTCGACGCGGAATAAGACAGAGAGAGATATATATATATGTAAGGCAAAAAAAGGGGATAAAACCAACCGAAGTGATGACGGAGTGCCCTTCATGTTGGGCAACAAAATCTCTCACAGCACTGGGAAGAGCCACATCGAGGCGATTCCCACCGATAAAATGTGAAGGGAGGTTATATTCTGCGGCCCTGGGGCTGGCGTGGCCATTGGTTTTGGCGGTTCCGTTGGGGACGCCCATGATGCAGTAGATGGATTATGAATTACAACCCTCCCATATAGGACAAGGGAATGAACAGCCTTAAAAGCGCGATCGTGGGAGATGCAAGAACGAGAGTAGTTGGTGGGGAGGTGATAGTGGAAGGACGGGGAAGTATATACGGCAGGTGAAGAGGCTAGCCGGAGGAGACGTAGAGAAGCGGATTGTCAAACTAACGGAAAGGATGAAGAGAGTAGATAATGCGGTGGTCAGCAAAGAATGAGCCTGTTCAAGATGGGAGAAGTGTCAGCAGCATTCAATGGCATTGGCAGCTGGTTGGACAGGGTAGCAGTAGAGGACCAGGGGGGGTGCAGCAGGCAGAGGGAGCATACCACCACAACCAGACGCCGTGCCAGAGTTAGATTACCAGGGATTTCAGGTGTCAATACACGAGAAGAGAGGAGGAATGGACTGGTAAATATTCGAGAGCCGGGAGAAGAGAGGAAGGAGAGAAATTAAAAGCCAGGTGAAAAACGAATAACTCCGTACTCCGTGAGTCCATGGAAGTGCCTGTCCCACCAGTCGAGTCTTCCCCCATTCCGCAGCTTTGTTGAGCCCCATGACGCGCTTCTGCTGCGTCTTTTCCCACCACTTTGGCCAGCCCCATAATAACTTGGGCTAACTCTCTTCATGGCAACGGGCCAGGGGAACTTTTCTACAATACGCTTCATCTGGGAATTCTACACTGAAGTTACTAGTTCTTACTCCATATACGGAGGATTACTGGAATCTGTCTGATGCTCCGACGCGGGTCCGGCCTGAATAATAATTGAATGCGACATGCCCGAAACCCCCCGAAGCCCGACGACAGGGATGTCTCCCGCAATCGTCGGCCCAAGCGGTAATGCGAGCTGCAGCCTCGACTTTATTATTACTGTAATATAATGCCATATTTATCGATCACGATCAGACAGCCCTGAGATCGGGCGCTGCACGCTAGACCCGATGCGGACAATGTTGACTGGCTGGACCCACCCGCCTATCCTCGTTGGGAATCCCCCTGCCGACATTCTGCGCCTACTGATTGGCTAGACAACTCCCGGCAGTTGAATTTTCAGCATTTGTTTCTACGACGGGCGCTCTCGGCCAACTGCGTAGTCTCAAGGATAGAACTCTTAGTGGGTATTTATCTAACGCCAACGGGCAACAAATATGAACAGGAAGAAGCAAAAGAAATTCTCGCTGAGTCACAGCTTGGGACACTGCAGGTATCTTGTGCCTGCCAGCACAGGGCGAAAAGAAAAGGTCACAAAGCAGTTAAAACAACCCAACTCCCCCTCTCCAACAAACCATACTGCACATTCCTGCAGGACACAAAGATCCTTGTCAAAATCTGCAAATCAAATTAGGGGTAGGGGAAATGTAGGACCATTCTATGAAACCCCAGAAAGTTCCTCCAAAACAAGGGCGCCGATGCTCCAACTGTGCAGACCTTTCAGTAGCGAGAAACGATTGAGCAAAGGTGAGGAATTCAAGATCATGCAACAAAAGAAAAGAAAAGATCTGTGAAATCAAAGCCACAATGCGAGCTGTGCCTGCTAGAAAAATCGAATAGCACACCCACATTGCCCGCCATGGGTATCCGCGAGCTTGTCAAAGTTGCCATGTGGGTAGGGTAAAAGGAGCTCAATATGTCTCACCCAACCCATTGGTTTTATATTTTGGGTCTTCCCGATCCAATCCGACACTGGTCTTTAGGCTCCGAGGCGTGGGTATGGCCGAGACCCCGCTAGCGGACCGCTTCTTCAACGCATGCGAAACGGAGACGGACGGTCGACGAATATCAATTTTACTTCGCACAGGAAGGACTGTCGTGGCATTTCCATCTTCCTGAATATCGGACATTCCACTAACGGGTGACTTATGTCCATTGCTGAGGGACGACCGAAGCTGGCGACTCTCACCGGGGTTCGTCGAATAGTGACCTAGCGCTATTCTCGAGCTACTAGCGCTCTGGCGACTTTCGGAGCGTCCAGGAGGAACGATGCTAGTATGAGTACTCTGGCTAAAAGAGCTGAGGCTGGAGTAACTCGTACGACTGCTTGGCCGACTGTCGCCTTGAGTTCTGGAACTGGCCGACTGCCGGCCTGGGATATATGACGGCGTGCCATCACCGTCTCGGACAGACGAACTCAAGGACTGTCGACTACGAGAAATATAGGATGGCGTGGTTTCACCTTCTTGGATAGAGGAACTGAAGCTGGCACCGCTCAGGCGTTTCTTCCGCATAGTTATCGATGAGGGGACATTGCTCTGGCTGGAGATAGATCCCGAGCGGGGCGATACACGGGAAGGCGAGTCTGCTGGTGCAGGAAGTCTTGACTTTGCAGATTGTACTCTCTGTTCCAGTCTCTGCATCTTACCAATAAGACCTCGAATCTGGTTCAAAGACTCCGATTTGGGAAGCGGGGACGAACGAGTGGAGTTGCTAAGCTTGGACAAGTTGCCACGAGAGGAAGGAGACGCTGTAGAACGGTTGTGATTGGTGAGCCGGCCATTGGGAGTAGAATGGCTTTTGTTTACGGAGCGGCCGTTGCTGGTAGCAATGGAACCCGCGCGCGAACTGGACATTCTATGATTTCTGGAACTGTGTAATGACCGAGAGTTCATGTAGGAATCGGCACCCGACGCTCTCTGAAGTGGAAAGCCGGGCATGGCGGTAATCGACTTGCGCAAGCTCGCGGAAGACTCAGAGATAGGCGGCGACGGCGGTGTTGCAGTCGCAGACAGTAACGGTGGCTTGATTGGAGTATGGAAGAGAGAAGGTGAAGGCATCGAATCCCCTGACAAAGTTGCAGATGGCTCTGGACTGTGTGGAATGGATGGACTGCGTGAAAGGGAGATAGGCTTCCTGTGTCGGCCACCGTTTAGTTCCAGATTCCGCAACTTATCCTGAGTGATGTCGGCTTCAATCCGCAGATCAGACAGCTCATTGCGAAGGCGTTGGTTCTCAATCCGTAAGTTCTCCCGCTCCTGTTCTCCATCCCTGATCTCCTCTTCGAGTAACACCCCTCTTTCAATGGCTATGTTGTACTTGGACTCCAAGTCCTCCAGGGACGAGGTTGTATTCCGAGCCTGACGTTCGTAATCATCGTTTGCCACTTCGATATCTCGTAGTTTCAACTGCAAAGTCCTGTTTGCATCCCGCAGAGTGGTGATCTCTTTCTGTAATGAATTCTGGGCCGTGTTGGCTTCTGACTTGGCTTGTTTGTACTTGGTCTGCAGCGAATTGTCAGCACCTGACCTAAGGCTGGGTCTAGACGACTGTAAAATCTCACTTTCCACTCATCAACCTCATATCGAAGATTGTCCACCTTCTCCTTCAGCTGACGCTCTCGCTTCTCAGAAGCCTCGATATCCTTCTCCAATTCCGCTTCGAGCTCCCGACTGGAGGACTGAAAATCTGCTAGTTCCGCCTCCAACTGTTCATACTGCGATTTGTAATACGCCAGTTCGTCTCTGGTCGACCCAGAAGCGGTTCCTGGCGCAGGCTTCTCCAACCCCGGCATCGTTCCCACAGATTGACCTCCACAGTCAGCGGATGTTTAGGTGCAATATGCAGGGTGCAGGATCCAAAAATAGTAAAATTTCCAGCACCGGAACGTGAGCAGATGGCCAGAATGTTAGAGGATCAGGAGGAATGCGCGCAGCATTCGTGTGCGACGAAGCCGTCGAGGTCGGAGTTCGAGGCGGTGTCGTAGTCTCAGAACGGATATCGGGGGATGGATGATATGACGATGGTCGAACTGCGGAACAGGTGGACTTGCGAAGCACAGGCCCAGTGACTTACCTTCTGTTGCGAACAAGGGCCCTCACCGAGGGAGATCTGTCCACTGTGCCACGCTGGGGAGTTGATGGAAGAAGACGGAGGAGGGGAGCGCTGGGCCATCTTCCCATCGGGCTGTTTGCACATGACGCTTGGGCTTGTTGATGTTTCCCGTGGTCGTCAGGGGGCACGGGTAGCTAGCCCGAAACGGCTAGCGCTTCCGTATACGGTTAGCGAGAGCCACCGGTCACGCTCCGCCCCTCGGCCTCTTTCACAGCTCTGCGTGCGTATCCCCAAGTGCTGCTCAGTACGCTGGAATGCCTGCTGGGGTCGCTCTATGACAGCGCCTCGCAAGAGGATCTGAACTTATATCCCCTTGGCGCCAATTTACTGTCTGGTGTGTATGTTTGTTTCTGCACTTCTCGCATCGCCTGTCCTCTAGCCATGCCTCGAAACCCGTCACATCGTCGTTGATGGCTTTCGTTGCCCCCTTGGCTTACCCTCTCCTAAACCGTCTGCTGATATTATGCCCACGCACGCCCGTTGCTTTGGTGTTTCTCACTGTCAATCACTGCCGTTCTTTCCACGCACCTTGATTCTGTTGCTGCTGAAGCTCTTGCGATTCGTTTCTTTACAGAGTGCCTGCTTACGATACTGGCTGACCGTTTCCTCTACTGATTTCCAAGTAGACATTATCTCCTTTGGCATTATCGAGCAGCAAGATCCGTCTGTCGCGATGGCCGACACCAGCGATTTGAATCTCGACGCGCCTAGCGATCTTCAGGATATTCCTGACCTGGCCATCCAGCTAGTTCCCCCGCCCGAAGGAACGTATCCTGATAAGTGAGTCCTTCCTGGTTGCGATATTCGCTGTATGCTGGAGAATCTCGTATGGTTCCAATGTGTTTCGGAGACATACTTATTCTGTCATGGCGCGTTGAAGAGACTCTCTTATGGCTGCCGTGCATGCCCACGGGAAAGCGCATGGCTATAATGTCGTGATCAAGTCTTCGAGCATGCCAACAGAAAAGAAGCCGGGGCGGACGGCGAAGATATGGCTCCGATGCGACCGCGGAGGCCACTATCGCCCTCGCAATGGTCTAACGGAGGAGACACGAAAACGAAGGAGGACCTCTCGCCTTATGGACTGCCCTTTCATGATAGTCGCAGCTGGTACACCCGGCATTTGGACGTTGACTGTTTTGAATCCGACACATAACCACGGTCCCGTGATCGATCGGCCGCGGCAGGCCCCCCAACCAAAGGTCAAGAAAGGTCAAATTGCGGCGGTGCCGTACGATTGGCCTCATGATGCGTCGATGACTCCTTTTACAACGGCGCTGGTCCTAATCGACTTGCAGAAGGATTGTACGTCCGCCATATTGTTCTCTCTTCTCGGGAATGTACATTGTTTGGACTAACGAAGGTCCTTAGTATGCTCGATTGGAGGATATATGGAATATCAAGGTTATGATATAACGGGATCTCTGGCAATCATTCCCAAGTTGCAACGCCTTCTCCATACATTTCGTTCTGCCGGCTTTCCCGTATATCATACTCGTCAAGGCAAGCCGAAGTCCCTTCCCTGTGCAGTATGCTTTACCGACTCTTACTGACCGCCCGCTGAAGGCCATCGACCTGACCTATCAACACTTTCTAGCCGAGAGGCTTATCGCTCTCAGAACAGCAATGGAGCAGGTCTCGCGGTCGGCTCTCATGGCCCTCTAGGCCGCCTGCTGGTCCGCGGAGAAATAGGACACGATACGGTGGACGAACTATACCCCATTGCAGGAGAGCCTGTCATCGATAAACCCGGCCGTGGAGCTTTCGCGTACACCGATTTTGAACTTCTCCTTCGAAACCGAGGTGTGAAGAATTTGGTTCTGGCTGGTATGGGCACCGATTCTGGAGTATCCACTACCCTACGCGAAGCCAACGACCGGGGATTCGACTGCGTTGTCTTGGAGGATGGCACCACGGCCAACGATCTGTCCTTGCACGTGAGCACGATCAATTCGGTAAAGATGGAGGGAGGCATGTTTGGGGCTGTGGCCAAATTGGAAGACATGATACATGCGGTGGAGAATTTCAAAAACAGCACGGTGAAGAAGCTCGCCCCTCAGATGGCGATGTCATAAACGCGCGGCTCTTTCCTTTTGATGTTTTATGTCGGAGTTTTCAGGTAAGACAAGTATGAACTTGCGTGTCTTTCGGTGGGAGGCGTTTTATCGGAGTCGCATTTTGATTTGATTTGATTTGGCTTGATTTGGGGGCTGTTGTCCAAGTCCTTTAAGTCGTATACAATTCTATGGACATTTCTGTACTTGCTTACAGCTTTCATACATTGCTTGCCTCAGATAACTACACCGCTGGCTTACGTGATGAGGTATTTCCTCGGTCTTGATAAATTGAAGCCCTACATATTATATATATGTCCTCAGCGTTTTTGCTCACTGAGTAGTATATTCAATGAATACCAGGCATGAGTGAGGAAAAGGGAAACAAGAAGAAGAACTGATGAACGCGTGAATGCAGCATAGTATATGTTGACGGTCCAATAGTGCAGTGAAGGCTGAAGGCTAATGCCTTGGCATTTCCTTTTTACTTTGCTTATCATGAAGGGCCTTCCTTTCTCAGCTGACATCTTGGGGTTTTTCCAACATTAGGCTTCTAGGCCGTATCTATTGTCTTGATAAAGTATCGTTACCAAATAATTGAAGGTTAGAGTGAAGTTGGATAATTGTGCGTTCACTGCAACCAGCAGCTTTCGCCATTTAAGAAGTAGTTAGGTCACTGCTGATCAACATATCATGAATAAGACCGAGTGTTGATCCAGCTAAATCAGGAGCTATTGCCTTTGTCCTATTACACCGCGAGCTATCTGTTTCCCGAGCCTGTTCCCTAATTTCTGAACCTGCACCTTGGCACTTTGGAGGATAGCCCCTCAAGGATCATTTGATCCCCATCAACTTTTTGCTTGCGTCATTTCTCTCATAGGCGAAATGATGGGCATGGGTAAATTGAAAATGGTTAACCTGGGACCATTGTCATGCTACCCACACAAAATAGAGATACGAAGCTCATGGTGACACATGCATAAAAGTGGTGGCATCCAGAAGAGGAAAGTCTCTGTGATGATAGAATAAAAAGTCTGTATAGTGACATATCATTGAAGAAGTTACGCTGCTGGATAATGGTTTCTGGTGCGTATATTAGCCTCCTTTTCCATAGGCGAGTTTTAGACTTCTCTGCGCAAGGAGCTTGCACGATGTAGATCGGGAATCCTTAAATGACGACAAGCTCGCATATTCGCAAGGGAAGTCGAGGTCGGATTCTCCCATTTCCCCACGCCATTGCTGCACCTGCACGTAATATATACTGAAAACCAACGCTGGCCATTCATGGTCTGAGCTTACACAAGGAATATAGCATCAACACCATGTAACTACTAGTAACTATCGGAACTAGATTGACCGAGTAATACTGCGTATTCGTTTCCTACCTTGGAATCTATATGGGAAAGGAGGTATAAATCACACTGGATCCTTGGTGTCTCTAACATAGAAACTCCCTGTCATAGATGGGTATCAACCACGAGGACGAGACTGGCCCCTTAACCAATACTGGTAGATGCAGACTATAAGAAAACACCACAACGCCAAACATATGCTAAGGCTAGAAGATGAGGATAGAAAATGAAAACCCACCCCGTCATTCATCCTAGAACCGACAACAAGGATGAACAAACTACAACCACTTCCTTCCCGCAGCCGTAACCCTCGACCGAAAAACAGGACTGCTGATCTCCATATCTTGCCGATAAAACGGACTCATAACCGCCTTGACATAATTCTCATAAACCTCATTCATGAACTGTCTCACCGCCTCCTCCGTCTGAGGCGACGTCGGATTCGCCGCGACGGAACTCGACGACGCACGCGAACCCGCACCGGAGAGGAGGGAGGATGCTCCGCTGCCGCTTCCGGTGCCTCCAGTAGAGGGGAGCTGGGGCGGTTGATGGAGGAGGAGGAATCTGGCGCCGGAGGGGGTAAGGAAGGCGGAGATATATGCTGATGCGGGGGGGTAAGTGTCGATGTGTTTGAGGTATCTTTTGAAATAATTGTTAGAATTGATTGGCTCAATCAATTGTAATGTATTCTATATTAAATGAATGTGAAATAGAGAGTTAATGGGAGGGGAGATCCTACAGAGCTCCGCTCGTCCATTGTGCTTCTTCCACGATGTCCAGACTGGAGTGGATGATGAATTGGTTCATGTACGGCGCCGCCTCCGGGAAGCGGAAGCGGGCTATGCCGTCGCCGCCACCCTTGGAGGTGCCGAAGGCAATACTGAACAGAGGTACATCGGTTGGGGAGAGGATGGTGAAGAAGTACGACATTCTGTCTGTTGTGATGATTATCGATGAGAGGCTCCTGGATGGATACAGTACAATCTTGATTACGAAGTGCGCAGTGATCACGTGACATGCGATAAGATGGATGCTTCGATCGCGTTGTCTCCGCGACAAGAACACTACCTAAACCAAACTATTGGCAATACCATCCAAATGCCTCCCCCAACGCTTTCGTACGGCCTCAATCTCCCAAACAAAAAACTGCCTCCGTCCCTGAACAAACCAGGCCAGAAACGAAAGAAAACCATATTCGACTCGGACTCCGATGGCGAAGATGAACGACGAGGCGAAGACAATGGCGCCGAGGAAATATCGACGATAGGAGGGTTAGAAGTTTCCGTGGAAAACGAACAAGCGGATTATGCACCGAAATTGAGATTATCACCATCAGGAGGACCACCTCCGAAACGAAGAGTGGGTGACGGAGAAAGAGAAAGAAGCATAAACACAAACGCACATAAACCAGGAAAACCAACCTTCAAACCCCTAAGCAAGAAGTCTATGTTCGCGGATGATGAAGAGTACGAAGGCACAACGGATATAATACCCGGAATGGACGGGACGAGACCACAGATGACGAAGAATAAGACGCCAACAGAACCAAGCAAAGACTACACGAACCTCTCCACGATGCACAGCAGCAAGAAACACGCCAAAGAAGCCGAAGAACTAGATCCATCTATCTACTCCTACGACGCAGTCTACGACAGCATCCACCGCAAACCAGAAAAGACAACAGCAGCAGGCAAGGACGCCGACGCGAAAAGCAACGAAGTACCAAAATATATGGCCTCGCTGCTCCGCAGCGCGGAGATTCGGAAACGCGACCAGCTGCGCGCGCGGGACAGGCTGCTAGCCAAGGAGCGTGAGGCGGAGGGCGACGAGTTCGCAGACAAAGAAAAATTCGTGACGGCAGCCTACAAGGCGCAACAGGAAGAGCTGCGGAGGATCGAGGAAGAAGAAGCGCGACGGGAGAAAGAAGAGGAGGAACGAAGACGGAAGAATGGCGGTATTGGGATGGTGGGGTTCTATCGTGATATGCTTGCGCGGGGAGAACAGCGACATGAAGCTGCCGTCAAGGCTGCGGAGGAGGTGGCGAAACGGGTACAGGCAGGGGAAAGCATACCGGAAGAGGATGCAATCGAAAAGGAGCAAGAAGAGAAGACGGCAGCCCAGATCGCAGCGGAGCTCAACGCTCGCGGTGCTCGTGTCGAGGTCAACGATGAGGGCCAAGTCATCGACAAGCGCCAGTTGCTATCGGCTGGTTTGAACGTTGCTCCGAAACCGAAGAAGCAACCATCCGCGCCCGCGACGGCAGCAAGGACATCTCAAACACATGTTGGACGGCCAAGTCGCGTATCCGACGCCTATGCAGCTCGTGCCGCGCAGCGGTCGCGCCAGACGGATATGGTCGCCGCGCAGCTGGAAGAGCGAGCCAGACAGGAAGAAGAGGCTGAAGCTGCCAGACAGAGGGAGCTGGCTGAGCGGAGTCGCAGTCATAAGACGGAGAAAGACGTGTCGAGTGCTCGCGAGCGGTATCTAGCGAGGAAGAGAGAACGAGAGGAAGCGGAGAGGAAGCAAAAGGAGAAGGGCAATACTTAAGAGGTATTCCGTATTTGTATATAGGCCTTCATTGTGAGTTATAGATTTATGGATAGCACCTGGTGTGTATCATGTGTCATAGCGGAAAAAGGGCGTTACTCCAGATCATGTTCGACGATATATCCAACAAGATATAATGGATAGTTATGATAATATAGAATCACCACATATGTCCATAATCAAGAGCACGAAACTTGAGCAATAGTCTACCATTATTTTTGCACGATGGAGACATGCTGTGCCTATGCTATATAATGCCACGAAACATACCAAAGAATGAACGCTAAGCATGCGGATGTCCTATGCCGCCCTTCTTGTCTATCCCATAATGATTTCCGGAAGCAAAACACCATGGACAGATACAAAGCTATTCGTAACTCGTCTAAACCGGGCCACGTGAATCGTCAGACTGTGATAATTAAGTTGTTCATGGAAAACTCTTCAAGTATATGCAAAAGCCGGAGGCCATAAAGATAAACCCGACAAAACAAGGGTCGGAGGAACCGAGTATGTCAGAATTCAAGATCCCTACGCCGTCAGTGCAAAACTAAACCCCATCAAGCCCATGCCTGCGACGGCACATCCGATGCAGAGGTTGCGATGGTGAGACAGCCCCGAGCCCTCGCTGAATAACTGTAGCGCAACAAATGCCATAATCCCTGCAGTAGCTGCGAACATGCCTCCGTACACGCCCCACGACGGACCGGTGGCAGAATCGCCCCGGCCTGCTTTGCGCGATGCCCAAATCCAGAGGGCAGCGATACCTGCGCCGGCAGGCTGGCTGACACCACCTAACAAGCTAGACCACAATATGGCCTTCCCGCGGGAATGGAGAGCAAGATAAAGGGGAAGAGCTAGGGCAAAGCCCTCTGTGATGTTGTGGATAAAGAGAGCCAGAAAAACGGTCATACCTAGCTTGGGGTTCGCGTGGTTCGTTGCATAGGTGATGAATCCTTCTGGGAGCTTGTGGAGAGCGATAGCCAGAGATGTCTGGAGGCCAATGGAGAGAAAGGCATTCTGCGGGACATGGTGATGGTGTTTATAAACGGCGTGCTTGTGAGACTCGTCTTGGACAGGATCGGAAATGCGGCGCGATAATTCCGGACGCATGGAAGCTACATCGGAGGATTCAGAGGAGGATCCTCCATGCTGATTTTCCTGCTCATGTGGCAGTTTGCGCTGGTGTTCCACTTCGTGCTTGCGTTGTCTGACAAGGGACGGATCATCGTACCATAGCCCTTCGGAGACAGCATTGGGCGGGTGAGTATGGTCGGAATCGCCGCCATCGCTATGGCTGTCATCGTGGTTGTCTGACGGTGGAAAAGGAGTCATATTATCCACAGTGGCAGTCACGTTCGGCGCGATCTTAGCACACTCGTGGCCACAAGTCTGGGAAACCCCATAGCAAAGACCGTTGTCGTCACAGGTTGCTTTGGGATTGCCCACAAGTAGACTCAATTTCCGGGATAGGCGTAGGCGCACGGGTTCCTCGTGATGTTGTTCATCGTCATCTTCAGCTCGTCGATCTAACCTTGTTTGAATAGCCGCCGGAGTCGACTTGGCCGTGCGAGAACCAGAATGGCCCAGGAGAGGTGTGCGCTCTGTGTTGCCGCTGTTTTGGGCCAAGACCTCTCCGCGCTCGGGGTCTGACTCCTGCTTGTGGGTATGGGTACAGTCGACAACATGCGAAGGAATATGATTGTGGATATAACTAGAAACAACGCTGATAACCAGGACTCCCGCAAGGAAGAGGCCGATAAGCGTATACGCGGCAGCGCGAGGAGAGAATCCGGCGCGAGTCAGGTTTGTTTGAGAGTTAGGAAGCATGCTGTAGAGGGAGGTGAAGAGCTGGTTCAGTCAGTCCAGAGATCCACCACACAGGAGCACTTGGGATGCTCACCAATACTCCGGAGCTCAAGCACAGAGATGCTGATAGAAAGTCACTATTATTGACAATCTGGAAGCTCTTGCGCCGCGTGCAGCTCTGAATCAAGAGGTCGAAGCAGACAATAGCTGAACCTAGAATGCAGGCTAAGCCGGGCAAAAGTCAGCGCAGGTCGACACAAGAGACCCTCCAGAGAACCAACCGATGCCTGAGACACCACTCATCACCCATCCTCTAGCATCGTTGCTCAAATCCATTATGCAGTTGGGACTCGGGAGATCGCAGGAGGGCAGCAGTGGGAGTCCGTCTGGGGCAGGAGAAACGAATGATGTAATGAAGGCGATTCAGGCGAGAAGCAGAGGAAGGGTAGCAATAGAAGAGGCGATATCAGCACGGCCCCGGGAGAGAAGGAGAGAGAGCAGCCATGTTGAGAGGGAGGAGAAGAGGAATGTCACCTTGCTGCAGGGAGGAAGAAGGAAAAGAACTTGCCCCCAAGGTCCGCAGCGTCCGCATAGGCACCTCCTTCTCTCTCTCTGTCATCCGGTCTAGCGCCTAGTGGAGACGCGGAAAGTCTCCTGAGTGCATCCTCGAGGACAGAAACGGATGCAATGCACGCTGGAGAATCTCATTCTGTTCTCTGCAGGCTCATCGAGACAGTGAGAAACAGCCTCTGCATTACCCATCGTGTCTGGTTTTGTGGACGCGGGGGGATGGTTATTACCTCATGGCAAGGAGGAACGGAATAGGCAATGCTGTATGAAGATGCCTCATCGTAACCACGATGATTTCTGCTTGATTCGGATTGAACTCCTGATACCACTAGATAGATAGTATTCTAATACAAAGAATCTCTCGCTCTATCGGTAAGTACCTTTTCAAATGCGCCGACAGACTAGTTTAGTTCCTCGCTCATCAACTGCTCGGCGATTACTAACGCCGCCTGCAGAACTCGTTCCTCACAAATACACCGGAAATAATTATCCCACCGCAGGAATGCTCAAAGATCCAGGTTTTTGATGCCCATCCCCCGAAGCACATTGATCGTGTGGCGCGTCGCCCGTTTCTCGTCCCATTGCCCTTTGCATCCGTCCAGCGCGGCCATCGCCATTCCCATAATCGCACCGCCTGGCTTCAGTTTCTCCTCGTCGTCCGTCGGCTTATTTAATCTGAACAGCTCGGGGTAGCGCTTCTTGTGCTCGCGTAGGAGAATACGTGAAATGTCCAAGAAATCATTCTCGGGATCAATGCATTTCTCGCGAACAGTGCGTTTCTCTCGGGCAGTGCATTGCTGCTCTCCGCCATTACGCTTTCTCTTGCCCCTGCCCATCTTCGTATCAGGCAGTATCACCGGATTGTCTTCCGATGAGGGTAGTACCACTAGATTATCTACCGCTGAATGCCCTACATCGTATCTCGAGAGTCGAACATAGTCTTTCGGTCCCCGGTCAGTCATGAAAAGAATCCTGTTGGTGAGGGCTGGGTTCTGTGTGATGGTTTTCCATTCGCTGCGGCTGGAGAGACCGCGAGTTGTGGCCCCGAATCCTGGGAGAAGCTCCGGGCAGTCCTGCCAGTTGAGTGTCTGACGATGGAGATACCCGAACGGGCCTTCGACCTTGAGGAGCGCTTTCGTCGCCTGATGGAGACAGTACATTGCCCGGCCCAGATCAGAGTGGTACCCGGCTATAGCAGCGCATTTTCTCCATATCACCCCCACGCGTAGGTCTGCGATACCAACTTTCTCGTAGCCATTCACTATAGCGCGAGCTGCATGCCATGCCAGCGTCGGTTGCGCGTGGACTACCCTCGGATCATTCAGGATCTTATCCAGCTCTGGGTGCGAGTAGGTGAATTCCTCCAGGCCCTTTATTGGGTTCGTGCAGTACGTGCAAAGGCAGCGGAATTTGTACGTGGTCTCGAAGTACAATTGTCTGGCAACAAGTGGCATGGTTCGATGGCTGTATGCTCTGGTGATCTCCGTACCCTTAGGGATATCCTTACAGGCACGAAGCATCACGCTACAGCGCATCCTTGAATGAGGATTGCTGCGACTCTTAGGGCCTTTAATCGCTCGGGAGATGATACTAAGATGGGCATTGGGGAAACAAGAATGATTCACCCAAGCCACATTGGGTGAGACCAAGGCTGCTCTTAGCGTGTTACGTTTGTAAGGCACGCTGTTTCTGTCCCATATAGCTGAGTAGCGCGGGAGATCCTTCTTGTTAGACGAGGGAAGGCTGAGATATCTCTGGACAAATTCCTGTCCCATGGCGTCAACTCTCCCCTTAATCACCTTCTCGATCGCATCCCGGTCACCATGGGGGAAGTCCTGCGTCGATTCAAGCGAAGCGAAGCAGTCACTCAAAATATAAGAGCCAGCCTTGATTAATTTCGTAGCAACAAGGCCGTAGCCCTTGGCGTCATTGATGAATGCATGTTTAAAACACTTTTCCTTCATCTGGACCTCCCCAGCATTGGAGGATGATGCTTCAATGAGCATTTCTGTAGATGAAAAACATGTTAGTATTCTGGAATATACACAACCCAATACTCCTTATCCACAACATCTGGGATGATTCTAAAGCTGTGAAGGAAGACACTTGGACACACTCACGTGATGGATTGTAACCTAAAAAATGATGGACATCCATGACTGACCGCAATTTCTTATGCAGGGACTAACTAGCATAAGAGTGTCAGTCCAGGATCCAAATCAATCAGGACATAAGACTTACAGACTAACCGGATTGGTGCAGGATAAATCCTAGCAATTAAGCAAAGAAAACAACAAAATCAGATGAAAAGAAAGAAGATCTTGAAGAAACAACCCCAGGCCAAATCACTTCCGATGCAAAGCAATAATTACAGGAGAAATCCTACCTGAGATTATGTTAGATAAAAATCCCAGCTAGTAAAATCATGAAGTGGTAAGATTCTCAATGGCTGCTCACCTTATCCACCGCGTCTCTTTCTACTCACCGTGTCCCAGCAGCTCCCTCCTAGTCGCGACAAAATGGCCGTGACAAAGAAAAAGAAAAAAGAAGCCGCTTAAAAGAAGAGAGAGAAGAAATACAGAAAACAAAAGAGTGAAAAGAGAAAGAAACAGATGAAGCAGAAAGCAAGGAATAGAAGCAGGAAGACAACAAGGTACCGCACTTGCATGTCCTGCAAGCAAGGGTTGCAGGAAGGGAGGTCCTGCATGTGCTGCTTGTTTTTTTTCCCCTTCCCTTCTCGTAGCTGCTTGGTTGTTGTTTATTGACTGGAGAAAGGGGAGAGATGAATAAAGTAGATGGAAGGGTTTGATGGGATAGGATGGAGAGAGAGAGAGAGGAAGAGAGAAAGAAAGTGGTGGGAGAAGAGGTGGGCTGCTCGACAGTGTGACTGGGCATGTGAGACAGGACAGAGGAGAGATCACATTTACCACAATGAGATCAAATTCACTTGAAATAAAACCAGAAGCGGATCAGGCTTCTTCTCGGCATACCAGAGCAGAAGAATCTGCTTGATAGTTTTAGGGGGTGGAGTGTGCTAAAGAAGAACAGGGACTCTGGGATGTTGTGACAGGCTTCTAGGAACATCTACAAAGCTCTATATGTGAGACCATGTATCTATCCATTCTATTATTCTCAAAAAGATCTACTAATATTTTTAGTTTAGAGCAGCTCTATCTGTGTCTTGTCTTCCGTTATAGTTCAGGTTAATATCCAGGGGATGGTATTGGCAGTTTGACAATGCGCGAATATCACGACGTATACCACATTCAGATAAGAGCATAAGAATACCAGGACATAGAGGAAATGAGAGAAGAGCTGAGAAGGAGCAGCAACCAACGGCGTTTGGATCCCATTCCAGAGCAGTCGGACAGGGATGGTTGATTGGCATGGGAAGTTGAAACTGGGGTCCGTCCTCTCTAAGGGCGGCTCGCAGTATGAATGCCACGAGGCATATAAGGCTGTAGTACATATCTAATGATCCCACGCAGTAAGCTTCCTTTCCGTCTTCTATAGACTAAAGCCAGAAGACAAGGGACAGGTGGAAAAGATGCAAAAGGGACAGAAGCAGGGTACTTAGGACCGTGGCATATGGCATATGGCCTTCTCATCCGAAGTTAAAAAAGGAAGTGCAGCTGAGAAGTATCAACTCACAAGGTAATATTCCCCTGACTAATATTACAGGACTTGGAGAAGCAGACGATAAAGAAGAAAAAGGCGTTAGCGCAGGAGATACGGAAACATAGAATCATCAAAGGGGTATACAAATCATAAACTTGGCCATGTCTTTGCCCAACTCTTTCAAAAACAAATCCAATCAAGTTTATGCCGTCACAGCCTGCTCTGCAGGGCTAGCTGGCAGTTTTTCATGTGGGGGATTTTGGCTGATGGTGGTTGCAGTTACGCCACTAGCCGACGCAGAGCTTGATGCTGGTCCTTCATGACTCGAAGGACGTTGTTCATCATTATGCTCCGGGTTTTGAGAGACGGGCATGGATGTAGAAGCCTGGTTAGAGGCTTTGGGAATATGGATGACGGGCCTATTGTTCGTCAAGTCCAAAGACTTTGTTCCTCGTCCCGTTCCCTCATCATCGTCATCATGATGGGGGAAGCTCCATTTGGCTACCATGCTGGAACGCCGTAAAGACTGCATCTGTTCAGCTGACTCTGGGACGATGGACTCCGACTTCTCCGAAGCCGCAGGATCGGAGGGTGTAGGCTTGCGCAACTTCAGCCGCTCTTCAGGTGACATGGTCTGCCACTCCGATCCAAACGTCACGATCGAGGCCTTTTTACCATGAACGGTGAAGCTGGGTGTCTTCCGTGGCAGCCCAGCCTCGTCTTTCGCCGCCTGGGCTGCCTGGGCTGCCTGGGCTGCCTGAATAGCTGTTCCATCTGGTACTGAACTCCGTCGTTTCCTGCTGCGATGGTGGTGCCCAGTGTGGGAATGTTGGGAGTTTCGCAGAGTGCGGTGCAGGCTGCGCCGTTTTCGATTGATCTGATCACCCTGCTCCAGCGAAAGTTGGTCGTCCATCTTCTGGTCCGCATCAGTGTCATTATAAGAGGCGGGCTGCTTTCGTGACCGGGGAGAGCTGTCCAATTCCAGCAAACCAGCCTGTCGAAGAATGCGCTCTTCACCATCATCAATACTACCGGTTGAAGTCAACTTAGACGCAAAGGATGCCAGGCTAGACACGTCCATTTTGCTCCCACTACCGAAAGCAGAAGTCTCCCGTTCGAGAACATTTGTCGCCCGATCCGCAGATTGAGATTTTGCACGCTCCTTTGCTTTGTCTACGGAGCCCTTCCGGCCCGAGCGAACAAATTCCGACGAAGTCGTGGATACTGGAATGCTAGGTCTCCGCACATCGACAGATGCAGGCGGTGCAGACGGCACACTGTCGACTTGGGTAGACTCATCAAAGACTGTTGGGTCCTCAGGAGGAGGCTTGTCGTTGGCGGTGTAAGAGGATTCAGGCCCTTGGGACAAGTTCACTTCTCCTGTTGGCACATTGCCTGGATCCAACGCAGAAGTGCCCGCCCCAGTACTTGGGAGTGGTTCTATTTGCTCAGGCGCTGAGTTCCAGGTTTCCTCGCCCATGTCGCGGAGAAGGACAGACTTGTAAGACCTGATGCGCCAGATATCTTGCCTCACCCACTTGACTTTTGCAGCCATACGTCCTGCAGCCATTATAACTTGTTCCCGCGTTCTCGGTTGAATCGGAGTCAATATCTGCAGGTGCCTAGCGTTCCTTAGAAGATCGTCGAGCTGTGCTTGACAGACGAAAAGCTTCTCATTCGCTTCGCGGACTCTCTGCGCCATGAGGTGTTGACAAGCTATGGCTAGATCAGGTGAAATGCTGGCCTCGATATTAGGGGATGGTGGCTCGTAGTCAACAGATTGCGCTGATGCGTCCACAGTAAAAGGGTCCATGTTGGAGTTCCGGTATTTCTGAGCGTCGTAACTGGCGGCCATCATTCCCCTAGACCGCACCCCAGTGGCTCTAAAAGCTGCTGCATAGTTGAGTTTGGCTACCCAATCTTCCATATCAGCTTCTGTATTGGCGAGGAAGACCTCCTCCAATGCGTTATGACGAACAAAGAGAAAAGCATGTTTATGTTTCTTGTACCCTGAATCCAGCAGGGCTACCGCATCATACGTGGACATGATAGCATCCGGTTTGAACTCGGTAAGAGCAGGCCGGAAGATCACAGTTCGCCGACGGCCTTCGTTCTGCAGTAAATCATGCTGGGAGATCAACGACCTCACCCAGTTGATATCTCTAAAGAAATAAAGTTGCGAAAACGTGAGAATTGCACCCCACTCTTGCCAGGGAGACCTGGCTCTCTTCTTTTTCGGGTCTTTCCGCCAGAGCAGACCAACCTTCGCCACCCTGATATCCACCAGACCCGGTTGAGAGCCAGCAGGATTATCGATACTTGATGGCGACATGAAGGCATCTGGTCTGGACCGCGGTGACAATATCTGCAACACGCCAGATTTGGCAAATGCCTCATGCAGACTCTTCATGTCGGCTGGACCTGAAGGTCCCGTACAACTGTAGGTATCATCCAGATTCATAACATCTTTGAAATTTGGCTTCAATGTATCAAGTTTATCCTCCAAGATCAGAGTGTATGGGTCCACGGGTTCTCTTGACGGTCGAGGAAGATTTTCTGCACTAGTAGTCCTGAACAAAGCCCTTCTGGGCTTTGCAAGATACCTGCTACTAACATTGGTGTCTTCAATGTGGATGAACGGGGTATAAGAGACATTCTCGTAAAAGTACTCGAGAATATCATCCGATACGCTCTCTCCCCGAGTGTTCTTGACGTAGTCTTGCTTTTGCATCTTTCTTTTGTTGTTCTTGTTGAAGACGTCCGTGTGCAAGATTAGTATCGAAAATGCAATGAAATAAGCTTGTTCTAAAAACAGAGAGGAATTAGACTTCATACATGGTAGTTAAAAACAGGGAATAGTTAAGCATACCCGAGGAAGCAAAGATGCCTGGATTGCATTCATGATACCGATCTGCGAATCCTTGCAAAACACGGTCGATCTGCTGGGTCTCTTTAGGCAAGACAACTTCCATTAAGAGCTTTCGAATGGCCATGTCAATCGGATCATTGAAGAACGAGAACTCTCTCATGTACTTTCGCAATGCCGTCTGGTAGAATTCGTCATCGGACTGTGCAAGAGCACCTGCTATAGCACCCCGAGGCGAGTGCTCCCGCAAACGGGCAAGGTACGTGGCAGGGGTATCATCTTCCTCGCGTTGGGGGACAAAGAAGGAACCGGCAGTCGAGACTGGAGTTGCCGCACCGCCTACCGCAGGAGACCCTATTCGCGGGACAGGCGGTTCGGAGTTTTGTCTTAATCGGTGGGAGATACCAAGGAGATCTCCAAAGCTTTTCCGCCCACTTGTCGAGGAGGACGTACGTCCAGACGAAACCAGATGAGGGGGCTGTTGCTGATGGTCATCCTGAGTCTCCACCGTAGAGTCTAATGTGGATGATCTCTGCCGGGGTTTTTGGGGGTTTTGGTGCGGATTGGAAGAGAGAGACCTGATAGAGGGTGCAGATCTCGTTGAGCTATTCCTCAGCACAGGGTGTGCTGGAGAAGATGGTCTTGTTGTTGAACGAGATGGAGACGGCAGAGGAGAAACTTGACCAGGTTCCTGTCCTTCCAAAGCAACGGACTTTGGGGTAGCGCTGGTGGAGACGGACTTCCGGGCTGCGTCCATGAATTTTGATTTCGAGTTAGGTCCAGTCCGGGGCTTTTGAGATATAGGAAAGACCGAGGAACGATTCATCTTTATTTTCGGCAAACGAAACCATTTACTGTTGAAAATCGAGTCCTCATGAGCAACCGGTCCACCTTGGTCCCCAACACTCTGGTCCGACCGAGAGGACTCTGAAAGCCGCACGTCTGTCGAGGTATGTTGTGAGTCGTTTGGGCGGCGGTCATCGCCACCGCTTGTTCGCGGTGTAGCCACATGGCGGCTTCGTTCTTCAGTACTGGCGCGAGAAGTTGCTAGGCTAGAGTCCGCGGAAGCCTGGACCACGTGCCGTGTCTCTATATCTTCACCTTGACTCAACGCGCCTGTATAGGAGTCTTCCTTCGATCCCGGAGCGAATTTGAGTTTATTATTCCGTTTGACCGGGTCGCCTTGCTGTTCATCGGCCGTGGGTGACGTGGTAATGATCATCGGAGCTGCAAAAGGAGAAAAAAAAACGTTTAGTTACGTCAAAACACTGTTTGCTGAAGGCAAGGTGTTAACTTACGCGGTGGTAAAGGGGGCACAGGAGGAATATTTTCCCCGGCCTTCGTGTAAGATTCATTTAAATGCGGGTCCGATGCATGACGGAGTCGCCAGAAACTAAACCGGTTCCTGCGCAGGCTCTGCGTCTCCGAGGATGATTTGGGAGGGTTAGAGTCGTCCTGATTGGAACCATCCTGCATGCCCCCTTCCGGGGCCGAAAGTCGTTTCTTATCATCGAGGTCCGCTAAACGGGGCGAACGGGGAGCGGACTCGGAATGTCTCGATTGAACCTGCGGCGTGTGGAGGCTTGAACTGGGCTGATGCTCTTCCTGGTCGGACTGGGCGGGTGATTCGACGACGGTATGCCTCTTGGAATCATTGCCATCGAAAACGCTAATCCGCAAACCCTTCCAATGCATGATTGAGGGGACGCAGAAGTGTCCTTCAAGCTGTGTGATGGTGTGGTCCAGCCTACATGAAACCCATCTGAAAGATAGCCACTTGCGTCAAGGGGTAAACAGTTGCAGTGCCGCGGAAAAGAAACCCGGTGACAGATTGCGATTTCGAATCCGACAGAATGAATCGCATGGGTCTCAGTAAATTGTCATGGCCAGAGGCCTCGAGGGTCAAGGGATCAGACACAGCTGGAAATGCGTACGCCTATGGTTGTGAGTCCAAAAAGGGGAAAAGGCGATATGATTTCGGGATGTCCGGGAGGACTAGATGGACAGCAGCTGGCTAGCCAATTCCCAAACAAATCGCACGGATAGAATCCTCACAGCGTGGAATTGTTCACAGAGAACTCATCGTTGGAGAAGAGAGGGGGAAAAGAGTAACGGTCGTGGTAACAGGGGCGGGTCGGGAGGAGGGGGGCGGAGGCGCCGAGACCGATGATGGCTAGGTATGGATGGCGGCGACAGTAATAATAATTATGGAGACGACTATGACGACGACGACGACGGACGATTGAAGGGAGGTGTGGAAGAAAGCAAGGGGGCAGGACAAGATCAGCCGGTCACCAGCCTGGACAAGGTCTTGGAATTGAGCGAGTCTCGAGAAGGACAAGACGAAGAGGAAGGGAAAAAGGGGAGAGCAATCCTCCGCCGTTAGAGAGAGCAGTGAACACTGAAACGGTATGGTACTGTCTGTACGGTACCGTGGCATCCACACGCCAAGACAAAACGTCAGCAGGCTGTTTGCAGTGTGTTGTGTGTTGTGTGCACTGTGCATCTGGTATGGTACTATGTATGGTAAATACAGTACGGTTGCAACATACCACTGCAACATGCACATGCAGACGAGACGATGCCCAGAATAATTAAAAATAATCTAAAAAAATAGTGATGCCTACGGGGATGGAGATAAGGACGTGGTCCCTGCTTCATCTGAATAGCAACCCTCTGTAAAGGGTGCAGCTCCACGACTGCCGTTATTAAGGACGGGCGACATCCATGGATCGACTCTTGATGGAGTATGGGGAGTGTAAACGCTCAGGATCATAGGAAGGTAATGCACTGCATAAGCCAGTGAGCCCTTTCTATAATTAATCCACTGCCTCGTAGAACGCGCGTCATGCTGAAAGGGGGAAGAATCCATCGAAAGCTCCAGTCCAGACGGTGATCCATCCTGCTCCGCTCATCCTGATTCTAGACCTACAATGTGGGCTCATGGTTGATGTTGGATTGATTTAACCAGGATTGGCTTTGGCTGTGGTGGCTACTCTGGATCTTCCCACCCTCATTCTTTCCAGGGAGAGAGTGTGATCGATGTCGAAACAGAATAAAATATCGTACTCCGTACACTGGTAGTACTCCATGCAAATGGATGGTGGCATAGCAGATAGATCTCCGTACAGCTAGCTGTAGCCTGGAAACGGTGGTTACCTGATTGCACCGCCACTGTCGTGAAACTTCCCTCCACTTCAACGCCCTTTACGCCGCAACACTTGAACATGCCGGTGCAGCTCGAACCGTACGTGCCCGTCTGACCGGAAAATGCGTCCTCTCTTTCCCATCGTCCTGGTCGGGTCCATCTTCCTGCCCATTAGCACCGTTTCCGCCGTCCCAGCCGGCTCCAGCATCACTCCGCCGCCGCCCGTCGAGCCCGTCCAGTTCCTGTCCCAGACATCGGACCCTCGACGGCCATGGATTCGTCTGCGAGACTGGGCCATTGAGACCATCTGGGGCATCCCAAAGTCCTGTTCGCGACCATCTCCGCTGAAACTCCCGACCTGTGACCGGACGCCTCCGCCTTCGAAAGTCCTTGCTCGGTATGGCAGCGATGTCGTCCTGCGGTTCCATATTCGCAATGCTGCGGAAGCACAGGCTATGCAGGAAGCGACTGAAATTCTCTTCCTAGATGTATGGGCATCTACACCTGAGTTTGTGGACATCAGATTGGCGCAGGAAATGGTTAGTCAAGCCAATCGTGGTCCAAATCGCACGAAGATGCACTGACAATTACCCCAGGTTCCGTCCTTGTTAGGCCTACTACCCGAAACCCTTCGCAGGGCCTATATTCCAATCATTGAAGACCTCCCGCAGATGATCTATGCCTCGTATCCGAGCCCAAAATACCCTACCGGGCTCCAAGACCAAACCCAGTTGTCACCGCCCGTGAAACAGCCTACCGAGGCTGGAGATCTCTTCTTCCGAGACTACCAACAATTGTCGGTCATCGTCCATTGGATGCGCCTTATGGCGTCCATGTTTCCATCCCATGTTGCCATGACCAACGTGGGCATTTCGCACGAGGGCCGCGAAATTTCGGCTTTACGCATAGGCGCCCACTCCGAACCGCAGGATACCCCTCGTAAAACAATCGTCATAATCGGCGGTATCCACGCTCGAGAATGGATCAGTACGTCTACAGTGACATATCTTGCGCGCACATTAATCACTCAGTTCGGCAAATCTAAGGCGGTCACAAGGCTCCTGGAGGAATACGACTGGGTGCTCGTGCCGACCGTGAACCCAGACGGATATGCCTACACATGGGACGTAGATCGGTTATGGAGAAAGAACCGGCAATCGACAACTCTGCCTTTCTGTCCAGGCATAGACCTCGATCGGTCGTGGGATTTTGAATGGGACGGCGAGTCAACTCGGATGAATCCTTGCTCGGAAAACTACGCAGGTGATAAACCCTTTTCAGGGACCGAGTCTCTCCAACTGGCCAAGTGGGCACTGAACCAAACGCAGAGCAACAATGTGGAGATTGTCGGCTTCCTTGACTTCCATTCCTATTCTCAGCAGATTATGTACCCGTATTCCTATTCTTGTTCTTCTGTCCCACCTACCCTCGAACGTCTGGAGGAGCTGGCTATGGGACTCGCTAGGGCCATCCGTCGTACAACACATGAAATATACGACGTGACATCGGCTTGCGAAGGTAGTCTCGTCTCCGCTGCACGACCAGAATCCAAGCCATCCTCTTCTTCCGTAGACGCCGGCTACGGAGGCAGTGCACTAGACTGGTTCTATCACCGACTCCACGCCAGATACTCGTACCAGATCAAGCTGCGGGATCGTGGAAGTTATGGATTCCTCTTACCATCCTCATACATCATACCCACCGGCAAGGAGGCCTTCAACGCTCTCCTGGTATTCGGTCAGTTCCTCCTCGGTGACAGCCGGGCTGTAACTCTGGACTTGGAGCCTGAGTTCCAGTATTTGTATCCGGTCAATGGCGATGATGATGATTATAACGAGAGACAGAATAAGGGACGAGAAGATGACGATGCGGATTTGGAGATGGAAGATGATGATCTTTGGGACGATGAGCACTGGCTGAAAATGCGTCGACGAAGGCGATGACCGTTCTGTCTATATTGTAATGATAACTACGGAGCAATGTATTGTTATGACCTATGGCATGCTGCAAGCATCCATGGATAGATGAAACAATGCTACTGATAAGATTCATGCCCTGGATTCTCATAACATCAGTGAGTAGCAACATCTAATATCGTTAACAGTAGTCATATTCAAACCATCCCTAGGCAAAGAAAACATGTAAATAAATAAAAAAAAGGTCATAGTTCAGCACTGCCACAATGAACATCAAAACAACCATGACACAAAAGTCCGATAAAACCAATTCCTCCCATTAAGCTCTCCGTGCTCGGCCGCCTTCCTGGCAAGATACTCCTGCTCCTCACGATCAATCTCATCCTTGCCCGACCACAAATCAGCCGTGTATGGATCAACAGTCTTACACTTCGTAACAATCTTATACCCGAATATAAGAATAATATATAGCGGAATACCGAGATAAGCGGTGATGAAGGTCTTGTAGTCGAAGTCGCCCCATTTGGGATTATGCGTAAAGACATCATAATTCTTGGTGAGGGAGATGATGATACAGAAGACCAGGGCGCCGTAGGAGCCTGCTACACCAAGGGGGGCAGTATACGCCATGCTTGTTGTGGGGACATTCTGAGCCTTGCGGGCACGGACAAAGAAGATGTGCGTAACCAAGATGGAGATCCAGGTTAGGAGGCCGAAGATGGTGACTAGGTTGACGAAGTAGCCGAAGACAGTCTTTGAGTCTGAGGAGACGTTCATGTAGGCGAGTAGGGCGAAGAGGGCGCACAGACCGAGTGCGTAGACGGGGACGCCGCGGGAGTCAGTGCGGGCGAGGAAGGACGGGGCTTTACCTTCCCTTGCGAGGCCGTAGATGGTTCGCGTGGCGATGTAAAGGTCTGAGTTTGCGGCGGAGAAGACGAAGGCGAGGATGCATGCGTTGATGATGTGGGGGAGGACGGGGATGCCGGAGAGTTTGATGGCGACGACGAAGGGGGACGCGGACGCCGAGCTGGAGGCGTTGTTGGCGAAGACCAGCTCATCCGAGTTGTAGGGGACCAGGGTGCCTAGGAGGAAGACGCTGAGGACGTAAAAGAACAGGATCCGGTAGAAGGTCAGTTTGATGGCGCGGGGGATGGTTTTGCGCGGGTTCTGTGCTTCTCCGACCGTCACTCCGACCAGTTCTGTTCCAAGGTAGGCGAAGGTGGCCGTGACCATGGTGGCCCAGAAGGCATAGAAGCGGCCCGGTGCACCGTCATCGATGTATGTATTGAAGGCGCCGGGGTCCTTCCAGTACCGGAAGCCCTTGCGGTCATGGTCTGGTCCGCCTCCTAGCATGAGGATGAAGGAGAGGAGGATCAAGCCGATGATGACGATGACCTTGAAGGAGGACAGCCAGAATTCGAATTCGCCGAAAAACCGCACGCCGAAGTAGTTGATGCTGACGATCAGAACAAGGAAGACCGTGATCCAGACTCCTGCATTAACGCGGTCCCTGTCGATCCAGAATGAGATAACGAGTGCACCAGCGGTTAACTGATTCGGCGTGACGATGATGTATTTAAACCAGTATCTGGATGGATGGCGATTGTCAGCGGGATTTCAGCAACAACAGGGAAAAGAAAAGGCTCACGTCCAGCCCAAAGCAAACCCGAGAGCAGGATCGCAGAATCGGACAGCGTAACCGGTGAAACCAGAGGGCAAAGGGAGCCAAGCAGCCATTTCTCCAAGAGCACACATGACGAGATAGACAATGAACCCTACGAAGGAATAGGAGATCAAGATAGCTCCGGGCTATAGACTCAGTGGTCAGAGAGGGCCACGGAGGAGACAACAATATCAATGACAGCAACTTACTCCGGCCCTGGAGAGAAGTATGTAAGTATGTATTCTCAGCTCCAATCGCGTATTGGGGGGTTCTACTCACTTTTCAAGAGCACTTCCCGTTCCAATGATCTAAAGTAAAAGCGTCAGGATGCATTGGCAAGCATTGGGTGAGTTTGCATATTGAGCTCCTACCAGACCAGTTCCAATGGCTCCTCCGATAGCTAATGGCTGTCAGCGATTTCCATCCTGCATTTATGAAAACAGCGCAAAGGAAACCCACCGATCATAGTAATATGACGAGCCTTGAGGCCCCGATGTAATTCGACATGGCGATCATCGGCCACAACACCCTCTTCTTCCAGAGTGACTGGAAGTTGACCTGGCTCATACTTGAAGACGCCATCTGAGACTCGACCTCCTGGATGATCCTTCTCGATCATGATGAGGCTGCTTCAGAAAGAAAAAAAAAATAAGACAAGACAGAAACGTGAAGGACAAAGGCGAACGGTAATTAGAGGACAGATGGACAGGACCGAACAGAACAGGACGGCAACCGACGGCGCACCCCAGACGTTTTAACTTATATTCCCCAAGACAGGAGGGCCAGCTATGAGAAGAAACACGATCGGCTACTGCAGGAGCATTGCAGAGGGCACAAATGCACCGCGATAAGCCGTGATGGGAGCCATGTTCATTGGCTCGCGTTGGGGCAAGATGGCACCAGAAAAAGGCAGCGGACAGCCTCGGCAATGTCCTAGTCAAGATGGAGGAGGCTTAGGTTGCATTCGAGGGTTGCCTATCGATTCGGAGTCTTTGAAGAGTGGGAGATCTGAGGCGGATTTCGGATTGGATTCTTGGTTAGGTGTCGTGCGGACTGTACAGGACCCCATGATGCCGTGCTCAGTTCTCAGTGGCATTGCTTGCTGCATATCTCCTGCGATAAAGACATTTGACTTTGAACGAGAGAGCGAGCAGCGATGCAGAGCCGAAGCTGATGCTTCATTGCCCACTGCTTGGCGTTTCTTGGCACGGAGGAATCTTCCAGCCAAGAATCACGCGATGCGAAGAGATAACGTTAGAGAAAACTGTTAGCACATAGATAGATGCGAAGAGATAACGTTAGAGAAAACTGTTAGCACATAGATATTGTTTAGACGTCATTAGTCTGTGTCCGGGCCTGCTCCGACTGGAGTAGCAGAGTTATAGTTATTATTATACTGTGCAGCTGTCTTCTAGAAGCATTCCCCCTGCTGTACTAATAACTGCCCCAACAACGGGAAACGCCTGTGATGCCTCGGAAGACAATTTCAAAGAGCTCTTCAAGCAGGATTCGAAAACGCCTGGTTCGCAGCATAGCCGCATGCGAAGCTGCCTGTTCTGCCTGGATCGTTACTGCTGAGGCCTGATGTGACTGCATTCCAGCAAAGCCTCGCTCGCATCCAGGCGGATTTTCTGCTACGCCTCAGCCTCGCAGAAACGTGTGCAAAAATGGCGAAACAAAGAAAATGCATTGGGCGCTTGGTTCCTTGTTTCCTGTTCACTGCCCTGCACTGCAGATGCAGATGCAATGCAGATGCTTGTTATGATACGGCAATTTCTCAGACCAGGGTCTCTAAACCCCGAGGAACCAGTCAGCTCTCCCTCCGGCAAGAGTCAAGCTCTACAGGATCTGGATCGTCGGCCTTGAGCTTTCTCCGCTCTGCTGTTCTACTGTTCTACGCCGTACGGGCCTCGTCTGGCGCTTGGTGACCCGAGGACTTGGGACGGAGACACCCCAACTAGGATGAGCCCAAAAAAAGCATAACCACGTCATGGAGAGACATGTACAATTTAATCTGATCATAATGGCAAGCTCTAAGCTGTCTAGGGATGACAAATGAGCATTACAGCTGTGGGCCGTGCAGGTTGATGGGATGGCGAAGCAAAGGGCGTCGGCGGCTAATGCTCTCTACCTATAGGTAGCCAGAATGCCCTTTGTTGTAAAATTAGCTTGGCTCCCAACATGTAAACAAAATACAGAGATGCTTTATTAGCCTCTTTGGATGCCATAGTTTCTATCATTAGATGCAGATGGAAGTTGAAACTCGACACGCTCGCTGTTGCAACTTGGCTGTCGACCTGATCCATCTCCAACAGCCCTGCAGCTCATACTACCTACTTATATTTACACCATCCCCTTCCTCTTTCTCAAATGCCTGGATAAATTGTGATCCTCATTCTCTCTCTCTGCTCACTCTCCGCCTCAGGATGGGCATCCATCTTCCCTTTTCAGTTCGTTTTCATCCATTAAGAACTCGCACTCTCACTCCAGACATGATCTCGAGGCCTCTACCCCCGGACCTAGACTTCGATGCCGGTACAGTGGATTCTTCGACCATTCCTGCTCTCAGAGACATCGCTTTCAGGCTTTATCGCAAGTCGATACACGTTACCTTGCTGGTGGGTTGGGGCAGACCCTCATCCACCGAGCATGCATCCAAACTGATGGTCATCCCTACGACGCCTCTCAACCGACGATCCTGGAAGATCCTTCATGCTTCCATGGTCAAGAGTGCCAGGAAGTATTCCCTGGGCCAGGGCTGGACAGATGCTTTGGCACGCAGCCGGCACGAACGACTCGCCAACGAATACCTCATCGAGCAATCCATCCTGCAGAATGAAGTTGCATTCAGCCACGAAGGACTGACGGTGTTGAACATGGACCGCATATACATTTTCAAACACAAACTATACGTCCTGTCGCAAGAATCCACCGCCATCTCAGAAGGCAAAGTCGTGGCGTCTTGTGTGGACCTCCTCCATCGCGCCATCATGGACCTGGATGGTCATGTCTTCAGCGGCACCTTCTTCCACCTCATCTATGAACATCTTGACGTCAAAGATAACCTCTTGAAAAAAGTTGCCGCAGCATATCAAACAAAGTATAACCAAGAAGGGGTCATCTTTCCCGAACCGAGACCAGGACAGAATGCGAGAAAACAGACAGTTCGCAAACCGCCACCACCTCCCATTATACTGGGACCGACAGGAGTGAAGAGGATACGAAATTCCATCGTTTCTGACTCCCGGCAACGACTTTCACTTGTTCCCGGACCAAAGACACCACATACTGCTGCCGATTGCGATCCCACGACGCGAAGCGAGTGGAACATGCTCATGGACTCCCGTCTCCGTCGGTCCAAGAATGCCACGACCTGTGGACTGCGTACCTTTCTGCCACAGTTCGTCGTGAGCTGATACGTCCACGCCAAGACAGCACAAAATATCCATTGAGCAGAGTCCTAGGTTACAGATACGAGGATTCCGTCCTCCTCGGCAAACGTAGCCGTGAGAATCCTTGTTCGCTCCCGCCCCCCATGCTCCCAAGCAAGTATCAAGGCGGACAGCAAGACCAGCTGGGTTGTCATCGGGACTCGGAGATGTCCTAAATCCTGACAGTGAAAAATCTCCACTGAGCATCACTTCCCCGCCAAAGTCACGTGGCGGGGTAATTAGACTGGAGATAGGAGAAGACACTCGAATTTACAATTATAACAGTTATCATTTAGTGTCTATTAGAGGATTTAAATATGAGAAGTATTCCTTATGTAATGGACTGGGGACCTTAGAAAACAACAATTCGAGTTCAACTTCAAATCTGGACGAAACGTTGGAGGAACTACTGATCTCTTCCGGTTGTCTCTGACCAGACTGCCCTTCCTCACTGGAATCGATTAATTAAGATCTATCTATCCTGAAGAAATCGAAACCCCAGGAGCATCCGGAACTGTTAACCAGCGTACAACACTGAACACACCCGACGAGACTATAATACCTCTCTTCAGCACTCGAAATGGGAAATGCTCCCTCCCCACCTCCCGCCCCTCTCCCAAACATTGCTACAACAGCAACAGCATACACTATTGAAGCAGATTCACCACCGGCTATAGAAGACACGCTGGAAGACAACAGCAATAGCAAGAAATGGTCCCTCAAAACGAGAGAGATCCTGCATCGCGTGGAACGCTCCCATGATCGTATCCCAGTGCTCCGCAAGATCCCGCTTCGTGCGATCGGGATCATCCTTTTTATTGCGTTTTTGAATGTGATTGTTTGGATTGCTGCTGCTATTGTGTTGGTACGTTTTGTGCTTCGTTAAGCTTGTTTGCTGCTGGCTAACTCGGTTTGGAATGGTTGGTAGCGGTATCATCCGTAAGTCTTTTCAGCATTCAATTCTTGATGTCCGTGTATATGAACACTGACAAACTGCTTAGGTCTTTGGTTTCTAATGCTGTGTTGGCATACACGTTGGGCCTGCGACATGCCTTTGACGCCGATCATATATCGGTATGATTCGGCCACTCCGAACAATATAGCATATGGGCTAATGTACCAGCAGGCAATTGACCTGATGACCCGGAGACTCCTGGCTACCGGCCAAAAACCCGTCACGGTGGGAACATATTTCTCCCTAGGACATTCGACGTAAGCCGAATCCAATCCTCTCTCCGGAATCCCCGACTGACAGCTGAGCGCAGCATCGTCGTCATCACCTCCATCGTGGTTGCAGCCACTGCTGCCGCTGTATCCAAACGCTTTGATAGCTTCAGCACCATAGGAGGAATAATCGGCAGCTCTGTGAGCGCCGCTTTTCTCATCGTGCTGGGTCTTATGAATGGATATATCCTCTACAAGCTCATTAAGCAAATGAATAAGGCCTTGAATCTCCCAGAGGGATATGAAGATGAGGCTTGGAAGATTGAAGGTGGAGGTGTGTTGTTTTCATTGTTCAAAAAGCTGTTCAAGATTATCAACAGGTGGGCATATCAATCCCTACAAAATTATCTTAGACTGATCTTTTAGACCGTGGAAAATGTACCCCCTTGGGATCTTGTTTGGACTGGGCTTTGACACGTCTTCCGAGATTGCCCTTCTCGGTATTTCATCCGTGGAGGCTGCGCGGGGGACCAATTTCTGGGTCATATTGATATACCCTGCTCTTTTCACCGGTGGGTCTGCTATATGAGCATGTATAAGAGAGATAACAAGCTAATAGCCCGCACGAAGCCGGCATGTGTCTCCTCGACACAACCGACGGAGCGCTCATGTTCTCCCTATACATCCAACCATCAGCCAACTTCCTCCCACCCAAACGCGCCAGCACCAGCACCACATCCACAGCAAGTACGGCAAGCGAGCAAGAAGACGAAGAACCATCACGGAACCACCGAGATCCAATCGCCTTCCTGTACTACTCGATCGTCCTCACGACTCTAACCGTGATCGTCGCCATCGTCATTGGCGTAATCCAGCTCCTCACCATGATTCAGAGCGCGGCCCGACCAACGGGTAAATTTTGGGACGGCGTCGAAACAGCCGGTGACTACTACGATGTGATCGGTGGGGGCATCTGTGGATGCTTTATTGTCTTTGGTATCCTTAGTGTTGTCTTCTACAAACGGTGGCGGAGGTGGGTAGCGAAGAGACACGGAAAAGACATGGTCACGGATGAAGAAGGCGGGGTTATGGAAAGGTACCATGATGATATTGTTGTTGGGACGGAAAACAGGAATGATATCCTTGATGAAGAAGCTGGAGGTAGTACGGAGGTTGTTGGAAAGGGCACTGCTGCTTCTCATGTTACGCAGAAGCCAGCCGGGCAGGGCCAGAGTCAGGCTGTTTTTCTGGAGTAGATTCTGAATTGGAGATGCTAAATATACAGCGTACTCTGCCACGAAAGACGAGGACGAATGATAGATCCAGCAGTCACAAAATCTTGAGTTGCCACTTGTTTAGGGTTGCTGAGCTTTGCATTACATATCCATTGCACCGATATTAAACCTAAATACAGACATTCACCATCGTCTTGTGTTATATTGAATATGGTGGATAGATGGATGCCTCAGGCATGCATAGACACGACGTCATCGCGAACACACCGTTGAGCCGTCAACTTCCAGCGCTCAGTTCATCCAGAAACACGAGTCAGGCATCTTCAACCATCTAGATTACGTTATTCAGACAAATGCAACGATAAATCCACTATTCTACGTGCTGTCAATTGCTTGCTGTGATCATGATGCCCTGGTGTGCGGGATGCGTCTGGATTGAGCTTCGACTTACCACTGTCTCCTCTGTCGATAGTACCTAGTATGGTGGATTCCGGTTATCTGATGGCTCTTAAGAACTTCTGACTTGAATGAGCGATATATTTATTATATATATATTTTCGCTGTCCTCGCAAGCTACATATGAAACAGCAATGGGCATCACAGAGAAACCGCAAGAATAATGTCTGGCGCATCAAACCATCCGCGAACCAGCACAACTGACCCCCCCAAACCCAGTCTCACGTCCTGTCCCCCTATCTTTGTCCTCTCGACCCATTTGTCACTGGAAGAGCTGCATGATGTTGAAGAAAATCTTGAGCTGCGCGGTGCATCGTTGACGTATGACCCCTCCGAGGCAAGGCTGGTTCTGGGGAGAGTTCGGCAGAAGAAGAGGGCCGCATTGGAACTGAGGGCTCATGGTGTCTGGACGGAGGAAGTTCACCCTTCAAGTGCGCTCTCTGATCATGAGCCTCCTGAGAAACGGAGGCGGGTTGATCCGAAGACTCGATGGGGTCCTGTTGATCTTACTTCAGAGGGGCGGAGATCACCGTCACCGGATGGGCTATCTGTCGCATCTGGTCCGTCGGTTGCGTCGACAGTCTCCTCTGATGGAGCTATGGATGTGATCAAAGTTGTTAGATTGGAGTGGTTGGATAAATCCATCGCGTCGGGGTGCCTGCTCCCCGTGGATCTGTTCGTTGTGTACCAGGCTCGCATTACGGAGCGCCCTGAAGAATTCGAGCACCATCACGAGGGCAGTAGATCAAGGAGAACCCCAGTCACTGTTGTTGGGGGTCAGATATTGCAGCGAGCGAAAGCGGATGCCACGTTACAACCCTCTGCGGCAGTTTCTTCGAACCGGTTTTTAAGTCGTCGAACGAAGGAGCAAGACCACGGTCAACGTCCACCGCCGAAACTACATCGACAGACTACATCCGAGCATGATGAGGCCATTCCAATGCCGCCGGCTCCAGATTGGGTCAAGAACCACGTCAAGTACGCCTGTATGCGCTCTACGCCACTCCACCCACCGAACGAGACCTTTATCAACCAGCTCTTGAAGATCCGAAGGATCAGAGAATTAACGCTTGACGAAGTTGGGGTCCGAGCCTACAGTACCTCTATTGCTGCCATAGCGGCATACCCTTACGAACTTCGAACGACTAAGGAAGTCCTTTCTCTACCGGGCTGTGATATGAAAATTGCCAACCTCTTTGCAGAATTCAGAGATAGTCCCAACGACATCATTTCGGCAGCAAAGGTGCTCGACACCGACCCCACTCTAAAAACCCTGAACAAATTCTATAGCATCTGGGGTGTAGGCGCCAAGACAGCCCGCGACTTCTACTACTTCCGCCACTGGCGTGATCTAGACGATATCGTGGAGTATGGCTGGAACACACTCCCGCGCGTGCAACAGATCGGCGTCAAGTACTACGACGAGTTCAGAGAAGGGGTTCCTCGGAAAGAGGTCGAGGAGATTGCAAGGACGGTTCATCGACATGCGAATCTTGTTCGTCCGGACTCGTCGTATGACGGACGCGGAGTCGAGTGCGTCATCGTCGGCGGCTACAGACGAGGGAAAGAGGTTTCAGGAGATGTTGACCTCGTCCTTTCCCATCGGGACGAGCCAGTGACCAAGAATCTTGTGGTGGATATTGTCGGCAGTCTTGAGGAAGAAGGGTGGATCACGCACACGCTTGCGTTGCATATGACGAGTTCTAATAGAGAGCAGCAGACTCTCCCTTTCCATGGAGGGGGCACCAGGAAGCATTTCGACACTCTGGATAAAGCATTGGTTGTCTGGCAGGATCCTCGTTTCAACGACGACGATGGCGGCGGCGGCGAGGAGGAAGAAAAAGAAGAACAAAAAGAAAGCCAGCAAGGCTCACCCAAAAGAAAACAACCTAAACGCAACCCTAACCCCCATCGACGCGTCGATATCATCATCTCCCCCTGGAGAACAGTCGGCTGTGCCGTACTGGGCTGGTCAGGCGATATGACCTTTGAGCGCGATCTACGGCGGTACACGAAGAAAGTGCATGGCTGGAAATTTGACTCCAGCGGTGTGCGGGAGCGAAGGAGCGGCGGCCGTGTCATTGATCTTGAGGGATCTGGGAGGACATGGGAGGAGAGAGAACGGCTTGTTATGGAAGGGCTGGGGGTTGGTTGGAGGGATCCGACAGAGAGATGTTCACGGTGATTGCATTGTTGATATTATGATAGAGCTGGCTTCCGTTCTCATATGCCATATCGTATTTTTATGGTGTTTCTACTTCGCTTTCCGTGCTGTTTTATCTTCATAGGCCGATCTATGAACTACACATAGGGCTTGCATAATGTCCTCCAACCACGTTCTCGCTCCCTCCTTTCCCCAACACGACTCCTGATGCACCTTCAACTGATAAATAGATATTACATATACATCCACAGCCGTATCCCTTCCAGCTACACTATATTAAGATTTCTTACTCAGCCTGAGGGCGTAAGCACAGTTTATTGCCGTGTCACGTGGGAGTGGCTGAGTTTTGAAGGCCTTCAACAGCTTCTTCCTCGTTTCTCACATCATCAGCAGAGTTGAATATGCCTTGTATGAAGTTCTAGATCTGTTCCTGACAATCATCGCTATATCTTTGCCTTCAGAGTAGCTTGTTGAGTCAGTGTGCAACAGCAACGAAGATATCTATTCTAGGGCTACACTACACGATGATGCAAAAGAAAGACGTCTATACAAACATCACCCCTCTCCCCTCCTTCATCCCCCGTCAACTCGCCATTGACCTAATACACAGCCACAGCGAGATCATCACTCTGAACCCTCTTGTCCTCACTCACCACGCGATCCCCGCCCCGCGGGATGCCCCAGCAGATGAATACTACTCGGCATGGTACGAGATCGTGCAACGCATCCAAGTCATGCCGGGAATGGGCCGACTAGGGTCCAGCAAGATCAGCTTCCGCGGCTGCTTTCACAATGTGCCGTGGGGTGTGCAAACGCACATCTATGCACCCATGGGCATCGACCTGCGCCATAACTACCGAATCGGCGGGAACCAACCCGGTGAACCGCCTGAGTCGCGGGAGTTGGGTCTTGATATCCCCGCTGAGGGACTGTATCTGCGTGAGGATATCCAGATCCGGTGCAATTTCACCATGATGCCCTTCGTAAGGGGGACGCTCAAGTCCGCGACGAAGGTGTTGGTGGATCGGTTGATCAGGAAGGCTGAGCTGCTTGATGCGGGCGTGCTGCGCGCCATGATGGAGGATGGGAGGTTGAAGACAATTAATCCCGCTGATCGCACAGCTGAGTCACAGAAACGGTTGTGGAATTTGGAGTTGCTGGCATCGTCGCCGACGACGATGCAGGAGTTTCCGGCTTCACCGACTGGTTCTAGAGTGTCGTCATACGGGCTCGATGAGAAGCCATATCCCTCTCTGCTGCTACCCAGCACTAGGAAGCCATTTACCAGTGAGCTTCCGGGTGATACGCATTTTCAGCCTTATCACCATCAGGGCTCGAGGAATTCACGGTCAACGTCATATGCGCCTTCAAGTTCAAGTGGGAGGCAGTCAGCTCTGATAGCAAAAGGACTTCCTCTCGCTGCCGAACTTCCCACCATGCAAGAGCGAGACGAACGTGGAAAGGAATGAGTTTATACGTGAGTTTATACTCTGTTTGAGACTAATAAGGTTGGAATGATTTTTTATGATTTCGGAATTGTGTATGACTATAATGGATTATTTTTGTGTCTGTATATTCTTCGTTGAAGAATGATGCAGGCTTGTTATTGCGCATTCATCTCCATATGACTGTCTTGCTATATATCAATGATTGTCTTGCTATTTTTATGAACTTGAATTAATTGCTTCTGGAATTGTATAGTTCTTGACAATGGCAATAAGAGTTGTAAAACAAAGCTCTTTGGTCAGTGTAGCTGGACTGTTTCTGCTGTGAATGAGATAGCAGGATCATCTTCCCTAAGCAGTGAATATACTAAGCAGTCAATATACCAGACAGTAGTTATAAGCAGGACAGGACTCTTCCGGTTTTAGATATTTATCCCTCTTACATCCTTCCTCTCCCAACTCCACCTCCACCAACTTCTGGAAGAGATCGACCTAGATCCAGTATAGGAATCTCCATAAAAGCTGAATGGATTCAGCCCTTCTGATACAGCCTGAGTATGTGTTTCGTCTCCTGCTTCGATTACGATTTAGGCAAAGGTACATGTTTGTTGATCCTTTCTCCAGTTCTCAGGTCAGTCAGGAGGAAGTCATATTTTGAGAAAACTGCGTCGAAGTTTCTCACTCTGAACATCCTGTTTTCTATTCCTCGTGTTGATCGCCTACGTTAGACAACAAAACGATCCTTACAGACGGAATCTGGAGTGTTCATACTGTGATCATAATCCAGCTACCTGGCCAGACTGGCTAGTTGGAACTTTCTTTTGCCGATTCGAGCAATGACCACGGAAATCCATGATGCCCACCAAAGGGTAGTTTGGCCTAACCAGTCTTTTAGTCTTGGGACTTGACGGTTTCACAGAGGGCAGACAGTAATGCCCTCAATCAACCCAACCTTTTATACACCCGGACACAAATGGTTCACCTTGGCTTGTTATTGAAAGCGGACGGAGCAAATCCTGGCCACATTTGCATGCTAATAAACAGCAAATATTGTCGTCGAATGACAGCCTTTTCAGTTCATTGTGATTTACTTTGCTGCTCAATACAGTCTGCGGCAGGAGTGCATAACCATGCTTTCCATTACAATTTGGTAGTATGTCCAGTGCTCGACATTCTCAGGAACTTGCTCAAGGAAATCAAAGAAGACAATGGAAGGTTCTTTCTTACTGCATGCAAATAAGAGAGAATTGCCACGAAAATTGGCATAGAGGGTCCTCAGTCGGAAATGACTTCAATTGTCGATCAGAACATCATCATCAAGACTCCCTGGGCATCATGGCAACCTTTTCGACTCGACTATTACTATGACACCGCTTCGAACAGTCTTCCTTCCACGCAATATCTCTGTAGAGAAGACGCAGAGAGTTCATGATGACTTTATTGCCGCCACAATATCCCGACTGCTTTGTTGACTGGAAGAGACCATGGTGAAAAGGGCCGGATTGGCCAAAGATCAGGCCAGGCCGTTCTGGGAGCAATATGAGTCCTTCCTGGTTGTTCAGGGAGAAAAGCCTTGCAGACGTTGAAACTAAGCAAATTATCAAACTGAGATTGTCTGAGGACCTTTGGGGGTTTTTCTTTTTTACAGTGTAATGAAAATTTGGTTTCTTCTCTTCTCCTTTTGGAAATGAGCAAACAAAATAAATAAAAATGAAAATGAAAACAAAAACCAGTCTCCTAGCTCGGTCGAGACATACTGAAAAATGCAAAATATAAGCGAGCAGAACACCATACCAAAGTGACAAGAGACATTGAGCGAATCCCGGAAATCGTGGTATAAAATTACTAAAGGCGATGAGTATTATGGCCTTTAGGTGTTGCTTGAGCTTCTACGTACAGTGCAATATGCTACAAAAAGACATGAAGAGCAGGTCATCATGACAAGAAACAGACACGGCATTACTCACATTAAAGCAAAAAAGAAACAGGACGCTTAAACCAAAACAAAGTTGTATGACACCTCACCCAACACAGATCAAATCAAACCTCTAGAACTAGACATCTCGCCGTAGCGCCCCCTGCCTCTTGTGGTATCGTAAGCACCGACAACCCTCATCTGTCCACCTTCATCGGCCTGACTGAAAGCGTATCCGCGCTGTTTGCGCATACGCTGCACCTGACGGACCTTCCTAATAGCCTTCTGGAACTGTTCCATGCGCGGACGATAATCCTGCACATTGTACTTCTGGATCTCCTGGACATGGTGGTAAGCCTGGGGGTAGTACATGCGCTTGGCGTATTTCCAGGTAAAGTCGCGGAGAAGGCAGAGACATGGGAGAACGATGGCCATCAGATAGAAGATCGGAGACGAGAAAACACGTGGGATCGTGCCATAGTATTCATTGGAAAACCCGATGGCCGGCGCCGCAAATCCATAGGCAGGTAGAAATATGAGCCAGAGGACCATAGATCCTGGGATGGCAATAACTGTGTACTTAGTCCAGATATTAGTGATCAAAGCCGCTTTACCCAAAACGGTGCCCAACGCTGCTGTGTAAAGTATTTCAGCCCAGACCCAGTGGCCAGCTGTCTTGCCATCCGTCATGGGTAAGTCCCAGAAAAAGATGAGCTCCGAGACTATGTATAAGATTAGAGAATGGTAGAACCCGTTGGCGACCCAGGACCAGAAGCTGTGCTTCTTGAAAAACAACCCTTTCTGCCCTAGCTGATAAAGCTGAGGGTACCGGTCCAGCAATCGAGCCGAAATGAACTGGTCGCAAATCCCCATGGCGAAAGGAGGAAGTACGGTGAAAATGACGTTGTAGAACGACAGTGTCCAGGACTCGTAGATAACTTGACCAGAGAAAGCGTTTTGGAAAGAGTACTGGAAGAACGGTTAGCCCCAAGAAAACGAGGCAGATGGCTATAAGAGGTAACTCACCCAAAATTGTGTCATATAGAGCGCAATGTTCTTATAGAACGAATACAGGATGACTCGACTGATCCGATGATAGTTCCACGATCCATGGACAAGCAACACTTTACGCAAATAGCGAAATTGTCCAATCGCCACGTCGGCGGCCCGCGCTGCTTGAAGACCTTCAACACCGCTGATACCGACGCCCACATGCGCTGCCTGGATCATGGATACATCGTTCGCACCGTCACCAATGGCCAGCAGTATGGACTTCAGGTGTCGTTTCACCAGCTTGACGACAAGGGCTTTTTGAAGAGGGGAAACACGACTTTAGGTAGTTTGCCAACAATCAGGACAGTGCAGTGTAGAAGGATGACAACGGAGAACTTACCAGCAGACCACAGCTTTACACATAACAGCGAGGTCCAAAAACAGCTTTTCCATATCCTTCTCGAGAGCATATGTCAAAGATTTACCATCGATAATAAGAGCAAGGGCTTCAATTTCACCAGAAGCAGATTGACTTTGAACGGCTTGAAGCTTCTTTGCCAAGTTGTCTCTCGTTGCTAGAGCGTTTTCCTCATTGACAATTAATAGAGTCATGTCCTCCGAGATGAGCTTGCAGGACATTCCTATGTTAATAGCAGTTTCTTGTCTGTCACCCGTCAAAACCCAGATCTTAATTCCAGCCGTCTGAAGAGTGTGAATGGTGTCCGGGACCCCGTCCTGTAATCTATCCTCAATGGCCGTCGCACCTAGCAGAAAGAAGTCCTTCTCGATGAGCTCCGCTGCCTTATCAAGTTCCTCGGCACGATTTCCGCTGACAGTCGTAGCAGCTTTATCATAAATATGATACCATTGCTGGAACTCCGGTTCTGGGATTTCTCGCATTGCCAAGCAAAGAGTTCGAAGACCTTCCGAAGCATAGTCTTCCAGATGCTGCAATGTAACTTCGACGGTCGGGTTATCAGGATGCAACCGTTCGAGTATTACCGTGTCCGCACCCTTGCAATATATTCGAATTTTTCCATCCGGGCACCTGAAGATTGTTGACATTCGCTTCCTGGTAGAATTGAACTCGCACACCGCCAGCAGCTCATATTCAAACTCCTCTGTGCCAACCGTGAAAAGCACAGCCCTAGGTTTTCGATTTGTAAAACGGTATCCCAGATTGGCGGCACCTTCAACCAAGGCGCCTTCATCGGGAGATGCTGCCTGGTACTTGATTTGTCCAGGCTTGCCATCCGACCTTTCCGGAATAACAGTGTGACAGGTGGCAAGGAGGACGAGAAAATGATGGATTGCGTTCTTGGAAGAATGTGACTGGAGGTTTCGATGAAGAGTTTTGAAATCATAAACCCCGAATTCCATACTACCGTCCATCGCCGCCCGTCGGTCTTCAGGAACATCGTCACCGTATTGGATGCCCGCAATAGAGCACTGTTTAAACTCCATAACATTGCAAGTCAAGGTCCCAGTTTTGTCAGAAAATATATATTCTATCTGACCAAGTTCTTCAACTAGAGATGAGGTCCTGCAGGTAGCGGGGGTGTCGGTCTTATCGTAGTAGATATCAAGATCGGAGTTGATGAGAAAGGCTTGGAAGTACTTGACAATTTCAATGGTAACGAAGAGCGATATGGGGACAAGATTGGAATATAGGACCCAATACGTAAATATATCAAGGACAAACTGCTTCACAGGATTAGTAGAGCCGTAGTCAAGGTAGCTTAGATGGTCGGAGTCTGTTTGTCGAACAATCAAGTCCCCGACAGAGCTGATGACGCTCAGTGCCACGAGGATACCAACAAGCATCAGAATCTGCACATTGACCATGCGTTCAACTGCAGTTCGCTTGATCGGAGTAGCAGTCGCGTTCCTCATGAGCTTCGTTTCATGACCCGTGAAGACAACAATCCCATGGACCCAAGGGGTATTTCGAAGAGTAGCCCCACGAAGCAACAGCTGGTCAGGGGCTAAGGGAAGTTCCTTCTCCCCACCGCCCGTCTGCATCGTCAATGTCGCCTCATATGTATAAAGGCTGCTGTTTGGCTGCTCTGATCGGATCTGTCCACTTAAACGGCCCAAGTCACTCGGGTTGACGAGGTGTGCCGTTTCTGGGATTGCCTGTTTGATCTTGAGATTTGTTTCCCCGTCTAGATTTGCAGTTTCAATATAGCATAGACCTTCCGGTTCCGAACTTGCAAGTAGGACTAAATCGGCCGGGAACGGTTGCTCAGACTCCACCCGGACGATATCCCCAACCTTCACATCAATCCATTTTGCCTCATGAAAAGCAGATCCTTTCAGGACCTGAGCCTTGGAATGGTTCAAAGACTTGTCCGAAGCTCTCCGTTTGTAATCCTCCGCCGACTCTTTAATCGCCGAAACCAGTAGTACAACGCCCAAGGGAACAATCGTGGTATATCGGTTTGTAGGGGAGACGCTAGGAATTTGCTGGAGAATGGCGGTGAACAAGAAAAACAGATTGGCGTATTTCGAGAACTGTTCATACAAAAACTTCGGCAGAAACGTGACAGCATTGTATTTGGCCGTTGATACATGGTTGTCGATGAACCTGTGGACAGCATTGGCTGGTGGATTGTTGAGCGCGATCAGACGCGGTCCCAGTGTTGACGGATCTGCCTTCCTTCGTCCAAAACCAAATTTGAAGTCTCCAGCACTGAACCTCTTCCTTGGCGCCGAGGGTGTTTCTTCTGAGACCGCACTATCGATCCTTGCATTCCTTGCTCCCGCTTCCGTTAACGGGAGATCCATCTCAGAGTAATCATGGTTGTTCATGCCAAACATGCTCTTGACTCTCCCTCCCAGACCAAGAAGACTGCTTCTTTCCTTTGTCATTCGAACAGGTTGCGCACCTGCCCTCTCCTCGTTGAATAAATCCCGCTCATCATCGTAGTCGTCTAGCGAATAGCGCGAGTAATTGTCTAGATCGGACGTTTGCGAGTAGGTTCGACTGGCTGGTTCCCCAGAATAGGGACCAGAGACGTGTAGGCCAGGTTGGGCAGGAGGGGGGTGCGCCGGCGCCGCGTAGACACCGGCACCTTGCGGCGGTCTACCTCCGACAAAGTCATCGTAGGAAACGGAGGGTCGCGGTTGTTCAGAATCGTCAATGTCGTACTGTCGCAACAGGTGGTCATCGTCCACTGGTGGTCGTTGTCCGGTACTGTACGTCGGGTTCGAGTCCTCCAGCTGTAGCAAGTCTCCATCGCGAGCACCGGCTGGAAGACTCCCGGGAGGCCTACCGCTGGCCATGGTACCTGGAGCGGGCGGACACCCTTACAGCTTTTGAGTCGCAAGGGCTGGTGTGGCCCGGAGGCATTGATTGTTTTTCTTCCTCCTCTTTCCTTGCTTTCCTTGGATTTTTCTCAGGGGGGAATAAAAGCGGTGAGTATAAAGGGGTTCAGGCAGAGCACTGAGCAAGCAAGGCAAAGTCGGTTCGAGATGACAAGTAATCGTTCAAAGAAGCGTGAACGAAGCAACTGATGCCGACTAAATGGAGTTACCTGGAAGGAAGAGGATACGGAGAACCGCTGCAGCTGGTTTAGCGTCGGGCCAAAAATGGCTGAGCAGCGAAACGCGACTGGGCAGATCTCCCTGGCCACTGTTCGTGTATCAGTTCTTTATTAAAAGCAAGGATGGAGAAGAGGGAGAAATAGGTCGAAAATGAAAGTTATGGATAACTATTTTGCCCTGATGCGATATTATGGCGGAGGTAGTATCGTTATAGTCCCCAACTCCGATGGTATGCGAAGGCTCAATACTCCTATGCGTATCTATTTGAACACAGATGGATCGGGACAACTTGAAAGACTTGTCCCACACATCTTATGGCAATAGCATTAATGCGCAGTTGTGAATTACACACTATAATTCCTAGTTGTACACCGTAGCCTACATCAACCCTTTTGTATTGCCCTGGACTCCGTAGAAAAGCTTCAGAATCTAGGAGTTACCTCATCGATCATTCTCTGCTCGGGACTCTTCTATCTGACCACTCTTGGCCCGCTTGGTCAAGTCGGCCTGTAGTGCCTTGTCTATAATGCTGCTGATCTCCTTGACTTTGTCAATGGCCGTAGATGACTTCGACACAAAGACCACAGCATCGACAGGATCACCTGCATATTTTGACATGTAGCAAATATCTCCCGCACTATTGACGCCGATGACAACGTCTCCCTCGGATGCTTGTTCTTCCTTCCTGGTGGCATCGATAATCACGCGTTTACCCTCATCAAAGGTATGGAATGTGATCGAGAGCGGTTTGTGGGTAATATTGAGTGGCACAGGCACCCTCTCCTCAGGGCTGTAGACAACTACCTGCCCATCTCTTACGACAGCATCCGGGCGACGGAAGTGCTGCAGACCGGCCATGATTCCAATGCAGGCGGCATCGATCAAATTGCCGTCGTAGTCAACAACGTGAGCGTCCGCTCGGATACTCCAGCAACTGACGCCTTTAACGACGCAAAGTGACTCGGTATCGAGGGCATTCGAGTGACGGATAACTCGGTCCAGGACATGTGTCACGTATGTTTCCAGTTCACCTGGGCTAAAATTCGACTAGTCATTAGCCATAAGAAGACCCCCAAGCAGTACAAAGCATACCGTCCATTCTCCCAAGCGGGAGATCCCATAGCGGTCAGCTCCATGGCGATTGTGAAGATACCATCGAATGGCCGATCATCGCGTGGTTTCGTTACTTCTGCAGAAATCCGGACAACAATACTGCATGTGACAGCACAGTTAGCAAGAGCCTCCATGGTTAACTGAATCTAACAGTGAGAAGAGGACTGACCAAGTTTTGCCCAGCTGCACCTTCACATGTCCGTATTCATCTCCGAAGGAAACATTCAATGGACGAAGCTGGTCGGGCTCACGGCCGTCCAGCCGCACACCCTCGCGCAAGGCATCAAGGATGAAATCGCGCTCAGCAATGGAGAGCGGTGCTTCTCTGGACATGATTCGAGGCGCGATCTCGGCCCCAGCGGGGACAAAGCAAAATGACTCCTTTGGGAATTTGCGGATACTCTTTTCGGAAAAATATCGTCCTAGCGGGGCTATTGTTTCTCCGGGAAATCATATCGGTGGGCGGTGAAGGACTTCGATGTTTCCTCTGGTCGTCCGGACTCAAGACGTTCCATAGAATCCGTACATTCAGCATCACGATAGCATTTTGTAACTAGCGGCGCAAGATGACTACAGGTACTGCCAATATTCTTGACACTATAACTTAGGTATTTCAGATTTGTTAACGTCTGGATAGCTCACAGGCCTACTTTCGACCCTGTACGCCCTGATTCTCCGTCCTCCACCTATACTATACTACTATACTGACTTCGTGATAGGCGCAAGGGAAGGAGGCCCTCCGCGGGCCGGCTTACCACCAGCGACTTCTTCCTGCACACATGCACTTGAAAGTCAGGTACGTCAACGGCATTGAATATAAAGGCGATGATGTCTCTAAACCATCCGCAGACAACCTGGTCAGGGAGGCGAGGCCGAGGCCAAAAGACGGGATCTACGAGCGGAGCTCCTCCAAGCCGAAGCTGCTCATTTTGCGAAGACGAGAGGCGGCCAGGAAGCTGAGCCAATTTCTGATCGCGCTACAACCCCCAAACGTATTTTGGAAGCCCCCCCACCTGGTGGCACTCCCGGCGGAGAAGACGAAACAGAAGATCCAGACGCCAAACGGCGACGCATATTAGAGGAGACTAGGGATATCGATGCAGATTCGGACCTTTCTGAATCCGACAGTAGCGACGAAGATAGGTGAGCTAGTTGATTTCTAGCTTCAAGACGTCGATGTTAACGGTATCCAGCGATGATGAAGAAGATGAAGCAGCTGAATTGATGCGAGAATTGGAGAAAATCAAGAAGGAGAGACTTGCACAGAAAGAAAAAGAGGTACCAAGTAGTAACCCTACCATTTGCGTGACTATGGATGGCCACTCATATACAATTTTTTTCAGGAGCGTGAGCGGGCTGCCGAGGAGCAGGATAAACGAGAATACGACATCGCCAGGGGCAATCCACTACTAAATCCGCAAGATTTTAACATGAAACGACGATGGGACGATGATGTCGTGTTCAAAAATCAAGCTCGAGGAACAGAGGAGAAGCGGGGCAAGGAGTTTGTTAATGTAAGAGCTTCTAATCAACAATTTTCATATGGCGGTACACTAATTTATCCCTAGGACTTATTACGATCGGACTTCCACCGAAGATTCATGGTAAGTGAAGACCCATCAATGCCGTGTTTTCAGGGCAGCAAAGCCTAGTGGTGGCTAACTCTGGTCCCTAGTCTAAATACGTACGATAAACTTTTGGCGGTTCATAGTGGGAGAGCGTATAATCGCATAATTTCAGTTTGACGCAATGGAATTTTGTCTTGGTCTGACTCATTCCGATCTGGCCATCACGTTGTGACCGACTATCTGATTCTGTGGCGATTCGTCATCGACATATCCTGCTGTCCATTGAATAGCGAGTGAGATTCGCGTCCCTACCACATCAAGGTATTGGTACCCGGGATGCGGTGCATCTCCCGATCCATTCCCCCGTCGTCATGGCCTCGGTATGTTGTTTGTCAATTTAAAGTTGCGGATGAGTTCATAGTTGTATCATGGACCATTGCGCGGCGGTGAATTAGATATGGTCCATCCGACCTAGTCTCCTGTTTCTGTATTTAAAGATATGCATGACCTCTTTTGCCGTCGCGTTGTTCTATTATTGCCAATCTGTTTACTAGAGTAATACTCAAGCCTGGAGAAAGCCTAGTGAACAAATACAAGAACGAGTGTGTATCCATAGAGATCAAAATGTCCCCCCAGAAGACTGCCGACAAATATTTTGTATGTTGGGATGCGTCAGTGTGTTAATAGCCTCTGCAGGATATGCAAGCTGACTGCCCGGCAGAACACCGGTGGTTTGAGCCAATATAGCGAGACTGCCGACAAACATATGAACACCGACTTTGTAAGTCTATGACTCCCTGTTGTCAGGATACATTTCATGGCCAGTGAACTAACGGCGAAGCCACTAGACTCAGGACCAGCCAAGAGTATGTATCCTGGTTCTATCAAGCTAGACCATACCTTCTAATACTCATCAACAACAACTTAACAGTCCGAACAAGACCGCGACTATGGAGTAAGTTTGGCTATAGTCATGATCAATGCTAAAAAAACGCACGCTGACATCCAATTTTCATCCATAGTCTACTGGACGTAATATCAATGCATGGGGCGAGCGTGAATCGCAACCTTACTCAGGCGAACGTCCCACAGAGATAAAGCAGGGCGACGAGAATCCGTCAAGAGACAGAGGCACAAAGAAGGTCACGACAACGAGAAGGTATCATAGGAAGAAAGAACGCTTTCCTGGAAACAACTTGGACGACAACCGAGACTACGACTCTTACGGATCAGGGGAGGAAGAGGCTAGTCCGGAGCGAAGGGGGAGTTTCTTGAGCCTTCAGTGAAAACCTTTTATTTGCCATGATCACGATCTGTGTGTAGTATTGAACAGACAGGACGTCAACCACCCTGTTTTGCGGTGGTATGGCTGCTGTTCCATGTCTTTTGAATTTAAAGATGAAGATTATTCTTGATGATGTTCAGAGATGGTCGGTGCCAACTGAGACGTCCCGATAGAGTTCCTCTTTTTGAAACCTGCAGGAAGCAGGTGAGGCAGAAAAGTCCTGTGACCCCTCCTCGGCACAGCATGAGGCGCGAATAAGGGCGATGATGCTATGATGCTGCAGCGTCAGGGATGGCGCGGGCGATCTTGGCGGGTTCTCAGGCGGGGTTGAACAGCCGAAGTTGCTAGCCTGGAGACATGAGCAGCATCAGCTGTGCATGGGTGCCGATGATACAAGGTGGCGATCTGAATGCAATCCAGGGAAGACGAGAGCAGGGCGCAGAGGAAGTTGAGGAACACAAGACGATGGAATTGGGGCTAACCCTCTTCGGGCCTACGTCATGCGTCTCCGTATCAGATGATGCCGTTGCGGTCACTAGCTTAATTTCTCCTTTCTTTATCTTCATCGCTTCTTCTCTCCTTCCTCTCTCCCACTTCTTCGTCTGTTCTCCCCGTCCCTCCTTCTTCTCTTCTGTCATCCCTCTCCAACAGTGATCTCACAGTGATCGCTATGACCGTAGCACGTTAGCTCCGTCCCGAGTCTGAATTAAACCCGTTATTTCTTGGCGATACGCCCGTTCTTTGTATACTTACAGTTAGTCTTTCCCGTCTGGTCTGGGAGAGCTCTGCCTCCTTACCAATCAACCACGTTGACAGTCGTGTGTTCCTTTTTGAACATTGGCATGGGAGACATGCTCGTCAGTAGATGTAGTGCTGCTCAATCCATTGGCCTCCCCGTTAAAAGGGAGCTCCGACCAGCTCTGCCATAGCTTCGAGCTTTGATCCGAGGCCATGATCGCCTGTCGGCCCGACCGCAGGCGATCGCGTTGTGCACTTGCTAACTGCTTCCAGTACGCAACCTCTAGTTCTTTGAAGCCGACGGGGAGGCTTCCCACGTTTCACCTCATCCAAGCATGTCTCGTTTCGATACCGAGGAAGATACCGACTATGATGACGTTCGAGGCATCGGCCCACTGACCGCTCCTCCATCTCCCTCAGCCTTTAGACGAATGGCCACCCATACGCCTGAACCACTCTCGGAATATGAGTCTCCGGGGCCTGATCCTGATGTCAACGAAACAACCAGCTTGCTGGGAAGAGGTCAGGGGAATCGGAGACAACCCCCGATACGTTCCTATACCAGTATGTCGGTCAATTCAGGGTTTGATGCGCATTCCAGACACAGGAACAGTCCTGTAGCTGGTAGCATGCGTCGTTCGCGACATCCCAGTCGCAACGTAAGTCGACGGGCTAGCATGGAAGCGGAGAGGCCTGACGACCTACCGCAACCATCAGGCAAGGATGGCATGAGTGCCTCTGTTTTCCTGGACGAGAGGACATGGTATGATCAGTTCACCTCCACCGACTGGGTGCATGACAGCATCGCCGACGGAGCCCGTCTTCGCGTGCTACGGAGTAGGAAGGACCTCCGAGGTCGCCTACTTTCCAGGATCGATGGCGCGCAGGGCTGGATCCTGGTTGCGGTAATTGGCTGCATCACAGCTGCGACTGCCTACTTAGTCGATGTGACGGAGGATCTATTATTTGACCTGAAGGAAGGTTTCTGCACAACGCGGTGGTTTCGTAGTAAAGGAACCTGCTGCATGCACAGCAGCGATGAATGCCCGGCTTGGAAGTCGTGGTCCTCGATTCTCACCCCCTCGGGTGTGGATGAAAAATGGGTTGACTATGGGATGTTTATTCTTTGGGTGCTCATTTTCTCCATGATCTCCTGTGGCTTGACACTGCTTACGAAGACGGTCGTCCCATCGTCGGTTTCTTTATCGACGCTGGATGAGAACCTAGGTGCGGAATCTCGTGGATTGGAGCGCCATGATGGAGAAAACCAGTCCCCTGCTTCTCTGGCCAGCGGACCAATGACCTATCCAATGATCCCGACGAAACCTGATATGGTCTACTATTCAGCAGCAGGAAGTGGAGTGGCGGAGGTGAAGGTCATCAACAGTGGATTCGTTCTTCACGGATATCTGGGTCTCAAAACGTTGATCGTCAAGACCGTTGCCCTGGCCTTCAGCGTTTCTTCCGGTATGAGTCTAGGAAAAGAGGGCCCTTACGTGCATATTGCGACCTGCATAGGCAATATCTGCTGTCGTATGTTCTCCAAATATAATCTGAATGACGGTAAGAGACGTGAGGTCTTGAGCGCCAGTGCTGCCAGTGGTGTTGCAGTAGCTTTTGGTGCACCTATCGGTGGTGTTCTCTTTAGTTTGGAGGAAGTTAGGTAGGTTGGGTTTTTTTTTTTTTCCACGACAAGTAATAGTACTGATAGTCTGCGTCTTCAGTTACTACTTTCCACCAAAAACCCTATTCCGAACATTTTTTTGCTGTATTGTAAGTCACTTTCTGGCTTTTGCTTGGTCTTTTGCTTGGTATTTCCCCCTCTTTACCCTAACACCATAATAGGCCGCTGCCATCTCTCTGAAATGCCTTAATCCTTACGGCACCGGAAAGATTGTATTGTTCCAGGTTCGCTATCTCACTGATTGGAAATTTTTCGAGATTGGCCTCTTTATCCTGCTTGGTGTTCTTGGTGGTGCAGCGGGGGCCATCTTCATCAAAGCTTCGAGCCTATGGGCACGCTCTTTCCGGCGCATATCGATTATCAAACGCTGGCCAATGCTGGAGGTTGTCCTCGTTGCAGTGGTGACAGGTTGTCTAAGTTTCTGGAACCGCTACACCAGACTACCTTCGGCTGAGCTCATGTTCGAGTTGGCTAACCCCTGTGGCCACGATGACATGGCGACAGGGTTGTGTCCCGAGGAAGATGGAATTGGCGAAACCATTCGTTATCTGTTTGTGGCCTTCGTGGTTAAGAGCTTCTTGACTGTCATCACCTTTGGAATCAAGGTGCCGGCAGGTATATACATTCCATCCATGGTTCTCGGCGGTCTTATGGGCCGCATAGTAGGGCATGTGGCCCAGTACTACGTCACGAAATATCCGTCTTTCTTCCTGTACAGTTCTTGCCCAGCAACTGCCGGTATGGAGTCCTGCGTGACGCCTGGGGTATATGCGATGGTCGCAGCTGGTGCCACTATGTGTGGTGTGACGCGCTTATCAGTGACCCTGGCAGTCATTCTCTTTGAACTGACAGGTAGTCTTGATCATGTGCTTCCATTTTCGTTAGCGGTTTTGTGCGCCAAATGGACCGCGGATGCTATTGAGCCTCGCAGCATATACGTATGTTACCTTGCCAGTTGCGTTTATAGAATTATGTGCTGACTCGGTTCTAGGATATGCTGACCGATATGAACTCATACCCGTTCCTTGACAGTAAACAGCAAGTCCTGTCCGATGCCGAGCTGGGAGACATTGTTCGTCCAGTACGAGCGAGTCGTTTGATCGACATTTCGAATTCTCCTTTCATTCCCGCAAGAGAACTCCGTGCCAAGCTCGAATACTTGCTGATGGCAGGTGAGCTTGACGGCGGCCTTCCCATCTTACGCCACAATATTTTGCGTGGTTTGATTCCTGTCCCGGACCTGGAATTTGCTCTGGATAACCTTGAAAGTGAGGAGAACACGTTATGCCTGATGGCATTAGATGAATCCTGGACTGCTACCGGCGACGACGGCGAGACGGAAACTCAACGAGTAGACTTTGGCCAATACATCGATCCGGTACGTATGCAGGGTGGCGGATTATTTGCATTGTGCTAATGGTCATTACACAGGCTCCCATCGCACTCGACATTCACTCGCCAATCGACCTAGTTTATCAATGCTTTACCAAGTTAGGGTTGCGGTATCTTTGCGTGCTCGATGAAGGCCAGTACGCTGGTTTAGTGCATAAGAAGAGCTTCGTGAAATTCATGAAGGAGAATGAATAAGCTGGTTGGTTATTTCTTCATGCATTTCAGGGCCATCGGTCGGTGGTCCTTGAGATATACTTTCATGTTCGTAGACGATTTCCTTGCACGGAGTTACATATGTGTGGACTGCAGCTTCATCGTGATATGTTTGTTTTGGGTCTATTATTTTGAGAGTGCCACGGTCTGAATTGTCTTCATTTGCATTGCTGTATTTATATAAAGCATGCGCGTCAGGGATTACTTCTTGGTTTCAGATATATCCTGTCGCGGGCGTTGGAAGTGTCATTGCATTGGGATTCGGCTTAGCATAAATTGCATCGTCGAGAAGTGCATTTCCAGACACCTTCAATAGTGTCATATCAAAGAGTATCAAAAATCGAAATCATACCCTTTCATATCCCACAATCTTGATCGAAATATTACCTTCATCCTTCCATTCCGAACTGACACTCTCACCAACCCACTCCGATACCTCGCCAGCACTGGCCTCCCTCCAGCCATGTTCGGGGGTAAGATGATGCGCATCAAGCGGGAAGAAGGTATCACACTCAAACAGGGAATCATCCGCACGCGCATGTAAATGCAGAGGGACATCCGTATCTGTGTCCGTATCCGTATCCAACCGGATACAGTTATTTGTTTCGGCAGATGTAGATGCTGATCGCCTCCTCACAACCGTCATGACAATCCGCAAATGATGGCCCCATTCTTGTCCAAATCGTAATGCGCTCGCGTAGATCTCTCCACCGCCAATAATGAATATCTTGCCCAGGTTTCCATCGTCTCTGTCCTCACCGTTCCCGCAGGCATTATTATATACCCGATTCAGCACATCAAGAGCATCATCTAGCCCAGAACAAACGAATGCATCCGTAACAGGCTCTTGTGCCTGCTGCTTATCCTGTTCTTGTAGAGGCTGGACAGTTCCCTCCTCTTTTTCTTTCTCTTTAGCAGCCTTCCCCTCCAAATCCAACCTAACGCCCTCTGAAACAGCACCCCCCTCATCCCTCGAAAGAACGACGTTAACCCTCTTCTTCAACGGCCGTAAATGTTTCGGTAAGGACTCGTACGTCTTTCTTCCCATGACGATCGCATTTGTTTTCGTTCGAGTTCTCGTGGAACCAGCAGCAGTATTCGTATTAGTATGCTCTGGGGGCCGCGATGTGATGCGCGCAAAGAAATTCATATCCGCTTTAATCCGTGGCCAGGGGAGGGTGCCGTTGAGGCCGATGCCGAGTTTTGTGGTTGCTCTTGGTCCTCGGGTGGGGGGTTGGGATAGGGGTCGTTGCCACGATGAGGGTTAGGGGGGTGAGCGAGGTGGCATTTTGTTCTTTCTTTTGTTTCTTTTGGTTTGGTTTGGGTCGAGCTGAGTTGAGTGTTGCTGTGTGGGTTGTGGAAGTGCCAAGGTTGGATTTGAAATGAAAGAAAACGGTTGAATATCGCGTTCGCGTTCTTATCAATCTTATCGATCAGTACGGGGTATTATTCAGGTACAGGCACGCTGGATATTTCAGTTCAACGACAATAATGTAAAGAACGAGAAATGCATGTTTATATACCGATCATAAGTATACTTTCAAAAATAACTATACCATAATTCTACCAACCAACAGATCCCATAGACAAGGCCCACCGGAAAGAAGAGAACGCCATCACATCGAAAATTATACCAACCAAACACCGTGAACCATATAAAAAAGCACACCGGCATCAGATCCATAAAGGGAAGAAAGAATCCTCTACCCCCCCTCAACAACCCACCCCTACTCTCCCCTTCACCAAACGCCGCCTTCTGTACAGCAAGAGCATCCCTCTCCAACCCCTCCCTCCGCTTAACATCCCTCTCATCTTCACCGAGCGTGTTAAGTTTCCCGAATAACCATGCTTCTTTCATGCTGCGCGTCAAGGAGAGGATATCTTCTGCTGCGCGGATCTATATAATGACAGCAACAATAATATAATTAGTATTCATTCCTTCATTCTTGTTCACTTTTAAATTCTTCCTATGAATGAAGTACAAGGAAGAAAGAGGTGCAGCTCACCAAAGCAGTCGATTCAACATCCAACTGATACGTTTCCACGGCGGTGGATGCGTGATTGGAGTTTTCAACCTATGTCTGTCAGTTTTTATTTATTTTATCCTATCTTATCTTTTTTTAAGCTTTTCATAGTTTCGTAGACATTTTAATTCAAGATAGAAATAAGAGACGTACCGTAGCTGTCGCCATGATATTCTCGAACCGTTGAAGAAGCTGTGAAATGTCCGTGTTGATGCGATCTGGATGTAATAGAGTTCAATGGAATTAGCGTTGTTTATCTCGGCTGTACATGATGTACATCAATAGGCTATGGTTAGTATTATCCATGGGACTCACTGTGCAATGACTTGGACGTTAGTTGGGAGTCCATTTTGGTGAGTTGCTTGTGGACAGTCTTGTATGCTGGGTGCTGCTGAAGCGTTGATTGCATGCCAAAATGAGGCGGAGTGGAAGGCGGAGTCAAAAGCGGTACACTAAGCGGTGAGCCGCATCCATTCTGCCTATCAATTAATTACTACATACCAACAGCACTATTATCCTCATTCCAGCTTCATCATGACTATCTACAAAGTTGCTATCAATCAGGTCTGCGGAGTTCACAAACTAGCCGTCTCATGCAGATCATATAATTCCAATGACTCTGGCATCACATCTCAAATGCAAAACGAAGGGACGGAAAATGTTCTCATACTAACAGGACAAATGCTGACCCAGTTGCGTCAAGAAAGATACAACCCGGGTTACGTTAGACGTGGTTTTCTTGAAGAAGTTACTACTGTCTCGATATCAGCAGCGATCTCCCTCTATTTCAATTCGGGGTTCGTGACGACATGTTTGGGCTGCTGGGACGAATTAAGCCAACCAAATGCAGACGCCCCTCCAACCGGGTTGGGGGCCCAACTTTTGCCTGTTCTGGACTCTTCAGTCAACGCACGCGAAGCTGGCTGGTTCGCCTGCTGAGGAGACGATGCTTGCATCTCTACGGAGTCTGCGGCGGAACTGGTCTGTGGTGACGCGGACGATGTGTTTATGCGGGAGAGTGGCTTTGACGGTCGTAACACTTTCATCGTCCTCCCATGCGATTTGGCCGTGGCAGCAGCACTAGAATCAGCCTTGGCATCACGTCTCCACGGTCCCCAGACACCGGTGCCTTCTGCTTTTGTTGTTGACCATGGTTGAGTATTGACTCCGGTGGATGGCGACTTACCCAGGCCCTGTTTCGAGTTAGTCTCCCGCGCTGTCTCTGTAGATTCCGAGCGTGGCTTTTGGCTATCATGATAATCTGCAGGGGATAGTCCAGTCGAGTCAGGAGCAGATGTAGACTCAGGGGGAAGGCCTGTGCGCTGTCCGATAATCCCAACTGTCGTATGCCCATTAGTATGAGGCTTTCCATTCACTTGCCATGCCACTGCATGTTCTACATGGGACCCTTCCGATGCGGTGGACAGGGACGTGAAGGCAGCATCGTTCTCGGGGCGCACGAGAGGAATCGAAATTTTGTTTCTTTCATCGTCGACCATAATGATCTTGTCCAGAGAAAATAGCACATCCGCATTGTGCGACCGCAGAACATCACTCCCAAGAATGATCTGAATGGAACTATCGTGGGGATCACCATCGCGAATAAGGAACCGAATAGTTAACGTCGGGAGCTGAGGTATCGGACTGCTTGCCCGTGAAGAATTCTGATGGACACTAGCCTCGGGAAGGTAGAGTGGAAGCTTTACGCGTTGCACTCCTTCCTCCCGTTCCACGAGATCCTGCAAACCAAATTTCCGAATCATTGGATAACCGATGAAAGAAGAATATGACCCCGAGCAGACAGCAGCGTACTGGAGAGAATCGTTGGAGAAGTTAGTGGTCAGCCAGCAGCGAATGATTGAAGGAACGGGGCCCAGCAGAAAGAGGCCTGGCGGAGGAATGAGGGGAGACCCGGCAGCAGAAGAACTCATCATCCTGCTGGTTGTCTCTAAGCCCATGCTATTTGTCCGCGCCGAATGGTGTGACTGCCCTGATGAGCTCTGTCTTCCATCGGACCTATGCGAAAGCGACCGCTCAATCAACGGATGGCTTCCCATTGAACTGCCTGTTCTCAATGGAAGCTCGCTGGCGGATCGATTGGCCTGTCCGTAGTATCCATGGATAGCACTTTCATCGAATCGAACGCTATTCGCTCTTGACACGCCCCGTCTGGGCTCTTCGTCGCAATCCAATCCCATGGTACCGACTTGAGGCTGTCCTTGATCGAAGTTCTTGAAAGCGTCCGCACCTGCTTGAAAGCCCGGTTCTTCATACATCAGTCGATGACGATCGCAGGACAGGTGAATAGAAGCATACCTGCTTGTATCATTCCTCCCACGGAGGTAGGAAATGGTGAGAGCGGACCCCAAACACTCTTCAGGCGTGCATCTTCTTCCCTTCGTCGCTCCAGTCTCGCGATGCGATCCGCGTGGTCGAGCTGTGATGCGTGAAGCTCTTTCAACTCCTCAAACACACGCCATATATCGTCGCGCGAGGCAAAGGGATACTGAGCATCCATGGCGACCGTTGTGAGTACTATGTGCAACTCCCTTCCAGAATTCCGGTGTTCCACCTGAGTTCGTTCGAAGAGCAACTACTCCCTTTCCCCAGTTTTAGCCAGCGCGACTGGCTTTGCTTATCGGCTTTTCTTCGAGCTCCCTCCTCCCACGTGCTCTGTGAGACGGCCTTAAGGCCGTCCACCCAAGCTTGTTCTTATATACCGTAGTATCCGTTTCCTCCAACAGACCATGCAGAGAAGGGGAAGATGCCGAGGAAGAGTATCTGAAACGACAGGAAGGCAAAGAGCGTGGGGTCGTAAGCCAAAAGGTTCGGATGAGAAGACACCAGACGGCTCGAATAGATGATAACAGACGGAGATGGTGATTGAGATACTGGATAGGCAGTGTCTTCGCCCTACACAATTTGCTCTAGAAGATAAGCGGTTAATAGAGGTTTAAATATTACATCTCAGAAGAAGCAACTAACGAAAGCGTCTCCTGGTAGGAATTTGGCAGGTTCGCTTGAAGGGAAAGACAACGGGCGTAGAAGCGGTTTCGGACAGGAAGGTAGAGAGCGACTCGAGTCGGCAATTTCGACGCAATTTCGAGGAAATGTAGAGATTGATGGGATTAGTCCGGGAGGTGTGATACTTTAGATGAAACGACGGCCAGAAAGAAGGACCTATAAACGGTGTGAGACGTCAAACGGCTTCGAGGATACTGAGAGAGTTCGGAGAATGCGGAGGGGATCCTTGTTCTTTCTTGTTCTTGTTTGGGGGCATTGACCGCTTTCCTCATTTTACTAGTTACTTATGCATACAATTTACCTATTAAACTAAATACTTGAACAAAACAATCAAGCAAGAACCTTGATCACCAGAAATTGGGACTATTCAAAATTGAACAACAAATTAGACCAGTGAATTTTAAACTGAAATTGTCAGAAAAGGATATACGTAGTTTTTTATCTCTTATTACTAGAACCAGCACTGGACAATACTAAATTAGATGATGAAATTGAAATTGAAGAATTAGAAGAAGAATGTAAAGTAGAATAAATTCTACAAATGGCAAACCATACCACTTAGTGAAATAGGAAAGATTTCTTACCAGTGAAAATATATAGGAGCTTATTAAGAACTTAATAAACTGCTAACTAGCAATAACTAGTTAGTTAGCTTTAGATGTTTTACTAATAATTATATTAAAGTTTAACCAGAAAGAAGGTGAATTCAGATAATCTACGTTACGTCCTGGGATCCTTCGTACCTTCCGGTTGGCTTGACTTACCTGACTTTTCTGAAACCGGCGACAACGCGGTCATATCATAAAGGCCTTGTGCCACTGTATGACGATATATTTGAAGGGTTCTCGAAGAGGTAGAAGAAAGCAAGGCTCCGTCAGTACATATACCTTAGGGTTATAGAAGTACTGACAAATACAAATCTCGAAGTTGATACTTAGTAACAATGATAGGATTGAACGTGAAGGAAAGATCAAACTAGATGCATGATGGTAAATGACAGTCCTTATATATTCCTTCCCCTTATCCCTTAGCATCTTGGTTGATCTGCCTAAGGCATATTAACTGCTATGTTCCAAGCAGGTCACTTGCTCTGCTTTAAAACATGTTGGTGGTTCCCATGGTTCAGCTCCTTCCTCCTAGTTAGGCTTAGCCCATATTAGTCATCATACGTGTAGATAGTTCGCCCGGGTGTCGTGCAGGTCCGCCATACCGTAAAGCCAATAACACCGTAAGACCGTACTGCCCACCATGATGTCATCTAAGCAAGCAGAAATTGAAGACCAAATCCAGAAAGCCGTTGCGCGTATGAACGCGATAAAAGTCGAAAAATCAAGCCACTGGCACTAAAATATGGGGATGGAGAGAGAGGTTACATAACAGTGTATTAGGGTGCTAAGCTGGGAACGGCAAAACTAACCGATGTAGTAAATTACAGGTCCTTACTTTACAGCCAAAAAAAATGCATGTAGATACTAATCAGCCCAACCAGATGAAACAAAAACTCATTTCGGGGCATCCTGCCATCCAGGGAACACCCTGGACAGCTGTTCAGGCGTCTGATCCGGCCAGTTTACACGAATCACCTCCATGACCTCCTCGTACACAATCCGGTATCCGTCTGGAGTCAAATGCAATCCTGTCAAGCAGTTAACACCTAAGTCTACACAACATAAGGAACAATGACACCAGGAATAAACAAACCATCAGTCAAGAAGCTCTGCAGCTTTTCACTCTCAGGTACATCCCTCGAACCTAGCAAGGGCTGCCCCTCCTGCCACCCAGCTGCCTCCATGAAACGCGTCCAGATATCCGCAACAGGCACACCAAGCGAGCCTGCGACTTCACGTGCAGCCTCCGCGTAGAGCTTGGTGTTACTTGCTATCCTGCTGGGATCATCCATGTCAAAGAACTGGTACTCGTTCACCGGGGGTGGGGTGATGATGATGATCCTGGGATTCTGCTCTTTTACCGCGGGGTGTTCGATGAGTTTCTCGAGATTCTTTTTGTATTCGCCTAGCGGGACGTGTTGGAATTTTCCCGGGAGACAGGCATCATTGGCGCCGAAGAAGATTGTCTTTGGTTGTTAATTCATCTCCTTTACCCCTCTTTTGAGTATTGCTGGGATGCCATGTAGTATACATACCATTAGCCGGACCTTTGCTGTCCGGGGAGTCGGGAAGAAGCTTGGGAGCACCTGGAGGGCATTTGCAGATGTATAGCCACTGCATGGTATGTGCATTTAGCCGATGGCTTTCTAGTCTTTCATAAGAGCTTGGTCTTGCAGCACGTACCTGAAACCGCGGTTTATTACATCCAGTCGGCGTATATAGGCTGGCCGATGTCAGCATATCTTGCTGCCCCTTTTTTTTGGCTATTGTGGATATCCATAAGAGGAACAGAGAACATACAATTCTGAAGCGCCGGATGGAACGCGAATCCCATCGACTGGTTACAGGAGAACTCGGTGATCGAGTCCCCGAAGAGCATGAATTGATCATATGGCTGGTACAGAAGCCCTTGCGCACCGGATGCCGACGTACCCTCCTCGATGGACGACATGGCTGGGGTTGTCTCTGTAGCAACTGCTACTCGATATACTCCAACTAATAATATGATCTGCTGGCGTCTTTGTGGTGATATTAATAGAACAGAGAGGAATAAAGATCGATGAGATGAATAACGCGGGGAATATTTCGTTTTATTGGCCTCAACCGAGGTACGGAGTGCTTATTAACTTTCTCCTCTTGCGGTGCCTGGTATCGTCCCGCGCCATCGCAATTGATACTAATATGTAGAGCTGCTGGATCTTACAATTTTCAAAAGGTCCGGTAAAACAGAAGGAAATCCCCGACCTAAATAACTATATCCTAGCAAGAACCTCCAAGGCCTTCTTCGTTTGCTCTTTGGTCTCCTTGACCAGCCCACTAGTCGCCTTGAACTCAGCTCTCTTCGCATCCTGCAGGATCTCGAACAGAATACTCTCACTCGTCGTCACGATGACCCCGGCATCCCGCAGCCTCGCCAACGCCACCCCTCTTTCCTCCGGGTTAATACTGCTCACCCCATCAACGATGATGTAGACTCTGTGCCCGAGCTCAAGGAGATCGAGCGCCGTCTGCGTAACGCAGATATGCGTCTCGATTCCAACAATGACCGCGTCCAGCGAGGTCTGGCTCTGGTTCTGGACGGTCGGCAGTAGGGTTTTTATCTCGGGTGTTATCATCGAGAAAAGCGTCTTGTCCACGTCGGCCCGAACGTTGACGTCGGGCGATTTTATGTACTGCTGGAGCTCGGTGACGGTGTCGCCTAGTCGGGCGCGGTTCTGTGTCGTGACATACACCGGGATTTTCAGGGGCGATGCTGCTCTGAGCAGCTTGTCGGCGGTGGAGATACTATCATGATTCGCAGAAATGGCTGTATTAGTTGAAGCTCCGCGGTAGCTCCGGTGGGAGGAGATCACATACACCTTGGAGTATTCATAGATGGCCGGTCGGAATTTCTCCTGGATGTCACAGATACTGCATTGGGCCGGTCAGCGTTGGGATAGCTGGAAGGAATGCGATTTCGACCTACAACAAGGCCGGATTACCTACAGCAAAACCGAACTGGTTAGCTTGATGCTCGGAAGTACATAGATGCATCCGATCGATCAAGATGGGAGAATTCTCACGGATCCGGCTGGCTCTTGCAACTGCTGCCATTCTGACGGGGAGATGGTTTATCTGTCAACTCGTACCCCGCAAATGCGGAGGAAGGACAAGCAATGGACTGGCGTCGAGATCACGGCATTCCCGAGGTTATATAATCTACTCTTTCTGGAAATCCGATGTATGATCGTGAAGAGGCAGCTTTATTTCATTACTGCAGACTCAATACTTGGCAACATATAGAATAGTTTTTCATCTCATTCCCATGACAATAGAATCAATACTCGTACGAAAGGCATATGATGTAACTCCTCCATTACTGCATTGCCCTCGCCCAAATCCCATCCACATCCTGATCCGGACTCATGTTCTCGACAATGCCCAACGAAATGGTCGGCTGCCTATACCCCAGCAATTCAAGCATCTTCGGACTCATTTCCCGCACCTTACTCCGGGGAATGGCGAGGAACTGGTTCTCCTCTGTGCGGAGGTTGCCCCGGCAAAAGAACAGGCTGTAAATCGTCCGGAAGGTGTTGGGGACCGAGTTGTGGCCGCCGCCGTGGTAAGCGGAGGCGAGGAAGATCAAAGCCGATCCACGGGACATTTCTTTTTGTTGTTGTCATTGTTGTTGTTAGCGTATATATATAAAAGGAGATGAAGAGGACGGAAAGGATGAAGAGGGATATACCTGCAAAACAGACTTCATCCGCAGTCGCCCATCGTTCATCATCCCATTTATGACTGCCCGGTACAAACATCGTGGCCCCGTTTTCCCTCGTCACGTCGCACCCGGCAATCAAACACCCAAACTGGCTAACCTGCTTAAAAGACCATGGCTGGAAAGGATTCCGCGGATGGCGCCAGGCATGGATAACGTCGTCCCGGTGCAGAAGCTGTCTTGGTGCTCCGTATCCGATATTCATTGACATGCTCAGCCCCAGTAACGGATAGATGACCTCAGGCTGCACATGGCCCTCGCGGTTGGCCGTGAATTTCTCCAGCAGGATCTCCCGGCGCAGGTCCTCCAAGATCGGTCTCTCGCATATCTTGGCCACCGTCTTGGATTTCCCGACCAGGCCCGGCAGCAGGAATGTCTGAGGGGGGATGATGTGGAAGGCGTGTTTCTGCTCGCAGCCTTGGTCTTTCGTCCAAGGCTTGAGTTCTTCTTCAATCGCAGCTAGTTCTTCCTGGCTTGCGAAGTCCTTCAGGATCACTCCACCGTCTCGTTCGAGGATGGCGAGGATATACTCGACTGGGGCGTTTGCTGGGATGGTTGTCACGGCGGTTTGCGGCTGGTATGAGGAGTCAATTGGAGGAGGGACTGGGAGAGGAATTCGAGTCATCTTGATTGATTTTCTGTGGCGTTGTTCGTCTTCTGGGTTGACGGGTTGACGGGTTTGTCTTTGCTTCCCAGCACTGCCAGTCCAGTCTGAAGCTCACGACCCGCTATATATCATCGCAAGCAGGAAGCCGATGCAATGTCCCAGTGATGATAGTATCTGTCGGATCTCGGGTAGGTTCATACAGATATCGGCTTCGCATCCGATACGGGGGCTGTCCGAGAGAAGGTATTCAATACTATCTGTAGTGATGCCCGCGATCTATGGATGCTGAATTAGGAAGGGATCAAGTGTCTCGAGGGAGGAGCCGAGACGAGGCGGATGCCCTAGGTTGATCATCATATCGGGTGATAAAGCTAAAGTAATTAATCCCCATAATCCCAAGGGCCATATTCCACTCTCGATGATCACGGCATTTGGAAATTAGTTGCATGTAAATGCGCCGTTGCGGAAGTACTCGAAGTCCTCAGGTTTGATGTTGTCCCTACCCTGTCCTGGGAGAAATGCTCGAACCGTCCCCGTCCCAACGTTGGCTCGACCGAATATTTGTCTAGAGTGGTGATCTTTGTGATGCCGGGGTGGCTTGCCTTGCAGTGGTAGCACTATTCAGAAGGCCGGGAATCAGTAGGACGCAGGGAGCAAATGAACAGTGAGGTGTCTTATTCATTGTAGTTGTCACCGACCAACTTCTAGTTATATTTCCCATTCGTACTCCAGGTCCGGTGGTAGACATACTTGTCGAGTGGAAATCTTTTCAAGCGCGGCTGTTCATCGGTGTCAGCGTTCAACTCAGGGGGCTTCACAAACCATGGTATCTGCAGCAAGACGGTCTTCTTCCCTTCAGAGGGAGCATTCCTGTCCGGAAGCGGATACGCCCAGGGCCGGCATATGTTTTCCCTACTCACCAGCCCCAGCGACATAATATTCCGTGATTGATTGCATCCCAAGCCTTCTCTCAACCAGTAAAGGAGAACTCGTGATGCGTATCTATTTCAGGCTTATACTGGAGTTTCACCTGCATGAAGATCCACGGTCTACCTACTACCTACTGGTGCTCTAGCTATGAGATTATTGTTTTAAATCAGGCTACCAGCGGCCTGAAGATGCCAAACCTGAAGTTGATCGGTAATCTTTTATTATATTGTGATTGGATTGAGATAGTTGAGAGCATTGAGGCGTGTCTTCATGGACTACAGTGGAGGTGATGCATTATTCCATTGTAAGCCCTACAACGCTCAACCATGCCGGCATATATCTCAAAAGAAGTTTGTCTCCGGCTTCATTAGGCGTGCTGAACATTCTCTCTCGCCACGCTAATCCGTCCCCAGAACTGCCTCCGGACTTCATCATGTCAATGACTCTGGAAGACTGCCTGACTCCCCGGCCTGGCCGGCCAGTTCCCGATATCCCAAGCGATGTTAAAACAGGCAGGCAAGCTGTGGAAACCTTTCGAGCCTTGCATTTTGCGCGGTCACTCTTTGCAGAACAGGAAGAGTTCTAATGCGGTTGGGGGATCTGAGTCCACGGTTCTCATATGGAGGCCTACAGTATTCGCATAAATGCGAGACGCCCAATCGTACAGTCGAGACTTATCTTACAAATGTCTCTGCAATTTGGATTAGACATCATGGCAGCTCCATTGAGGGCCGATGCATTGTGCTTCCTTGCACGAATATCTGAATTCTGCGGTGATATTATCCAATCCGACCTCAAACCAAAAGACCCTGGTATATGAAATACTTTCCACTACTCAATAATTTCAGTCAACATAGCGTCCAGGAACTTCTTCTGCTCCAACAAAAAGCTCCTAGCCTCAGCAACATCGAACGAGTGCTTCGTCAGCTCACGTCGTCTCTCCGTCTTCAGTCGATCCCGGATACGCTCTTCGAGTATCTCTAGCCGATATATCGTGTATTGCGTGTACATCTCATCTACGTTACTGATTCCCCGAACGCCCGTGAGGACAGTCTCGTCCTTGATGAAGGGGGATTTGGGCCGGAAGCAAGTGACCATGGTGATGCGCTCGCGGCCTCCGTGTGCTTTCAGGGCCTGGTGCTCGATGTATCTGCCTTGCATTACCACAGCGGTGCCCTGTAGAATGTCAGCAGAAGTGTTGACAGCATTATAGAACTCGAATTACGGTTAAATAGAACATACCATGGTTGGTCCGCGAACTTTCATAATCTCCCCATCGGGCTTCCTCAGTGCAGTCTCCCCGCCAACCATACCGGTGCAATCAGACAGCATCGTCACGCAAACAAAGGGGAAGCTATCATAGTGCCACGCAACGGCAGATGTCCGGTCATGATCCGGCTTGTCTTCGTAGACACCCAGCTGAATGTTCTGGTCGTTGATAGAAATGTTGATGTTGGCGATCTCAAAGTCAAACGAGGGGACCAGCTCCACGCCCGCAACCTCTGAGACCCTCGCAATGACCTCGGGGGAATACCAGGCATCATAGGTAAACGGAGCTCGTCTGCTGGCGTTAGAAAGGAACGCCAAATGCATACCTTGAGCTGGAACTTACACAGGCCCCATCCCCCGAACCATATTCCTAATAAAGGTCGAAGTGTACTGGCAATTCTCCAGCACCGCTTCACTGAATATCTCCGCTCTCATCTGCTTGATTGCCTCCTCGGTAAAAAGGGGAAACGGCTCCGAGACCGCATTGGGGGAAATTCCATGGCCCTCCAGACCGATCTCTTTCATGGTATAGATCTTCTCTGGGGGCTGGAAGTCCAAGTGCTTCTTGGGATCGAATGACTGCTTCTCGGTGAGACGGGCCCCATCGATTAGGGACTGGGGTAGCTTGTCTGTTGGACGTGTGGCCTTCTTGGTTGCAGGGCCAACCACCACGGGTGGTGTTGGTGTCATGGAGGAGACGATGGCTGCGGGGGCCATGGTTTTTCAAGGTAATAATGATATATAAATTCAAGGGCCCAGTACGTGAGTCCAAAGCGGTTGAATGCACTCAATAATGTGAGGGTCGATTTTATGTCAGGTCACCCAGACCTGGATGCATGAGATACTTATGAATTCCTCTTCCTCCCTTTGGATTATCAGAAAGGAGTCCTGCCCCGCAATCCTGGGCATCTAGCAATTGATACGAGCATATGGATGAGCTCCCGAACCCTTCCTGCTCCAGTCGTGCTGTTCATGTAGACATCGAGCAATGATTGTATAGGCCATTTCTCCCGGTATCAAATAACGGACATACGGAGGAGGCGCTGACTTGTCTCTTTATGCACAGATCGGGATTGCTCGGCTGGTTCCCTATCTCCTTGAGCTCTATTCTATATGTCCAGAGTTGATTCTTGGACATCCGATTTACTCTATCTTCTTATCACGGGCTGATCGGGTGTCTCGTTCGGAAGTCTGCGGGCCAGTGATGGAACGTGGGACAGGACGTTGTCTGTAGATGAAAGATGGATAACTGTATGTTCATGTGAGAGAGAGAAATGGAATATACCCTCAGTACTGGTGATGAGAATGCTGTACCGGCAGATCTATATGGTGGTTGTCATGAGCCCCTAGACTGTCAGTGGCTATAGTTCCATGCCGGAGTTCGTAACACTAGTCCTCGGAGCTGTATCAAAAGAGTGGGACGAGATTATATGTATATTGAGGTGAAATGTGTCATTCTATAATTTCTAGCATGGCTAGCCTCTTCAAGACTCTGAAAGGACTTCGTAGGTGGTATCCTTTTGACTCGACTGCCGTTGCGTTTTGTACAAATGTCATTTTAGAATCATTTATCTTCCAGTCGTAACACTCAATATAGATAGAACAAGTCCATACCTAATTTCTAAATCCCATGAAAACCATGTAATTGAGACGGGAAACCTTGAAATATGAATCATACAAAAAAAGGCCGGGGAAGACCCTACCATCACCACTCGTCAAAGTGGCTACACCTGCGAGCGCCCTGATGAACGACCCTTCGCTCCTCTGATCTGAAACACCTGCATGACTTGTCTATGGAGCCCGGCACAATCTTCCTCACCCATCATGGCCTCATGCGCATCCACAGCCGGACGAGCCCAAACCAAGTCCGCTTCCTCCGGGCGCACAAACCGAGTGCGCTTGCCAATCTTCCACACGAAAAAGATGCATATAGCCAGGAATATCATCGTGTAATGAGTGAAGAAGGTCCCGACGTCCCACTGGCCGTGTAAAAAGACCTCATAGCCGTAGAAAACTTCGATCCCGATGAGCCAGATTAGGGCTACCCATGTTCCCCATGGTTGGAAATATCCGCGGTAGGGTAGTGCGTCACGACTGTGGCCTTGGGCTTTCAATGCCCGGTAGAAGAAGAGGTAGTTGACACACATTACGAGGTACGATACGAGGGTCCCGCCGGTGATCAGGTTAATGAGCCTGGGAGATACCACCATCAGCAGAGGTCGTGGCTGACTGTTAACTACTAGATTGGCTTACCAATTCAGAACCGTTGCCGAGCCATGGCCTAGTTCCATATAAGCCAGACAGGCAAATGCTAGCGAAACAGCCAGGCAGTAGATGGGCACACCGTTCTTGGTACACTTCCGGAGGAACTTGGGAGCGTGGCCATGCTGAGCGAGGGAATACAAGCTCCGGGACGAAGTATAGACATAAGTGTTTCCGGCTGAGTAGATGCTAGTCAACAGAAGGGCGTTGACGATATGGGGCAAGACGTCGATCTGCATATTGGTCATGGCAATGACATATGGTGATGCTGCACCGCTGCCCGACTGATTGGAACCCAGGATTCTCAGAAGAGTAGGGTCGTTGGCGGGAAGGACTATGCCGACGCAGAGCGCACCCCCGATGAAGAAGATGCCAAATCGCCAGTAGACTGATTTGAAGGCAGCCTTCATCGTTTTCCGTGGTCGTTGTGCTTCTCCGGCTACGGCAGCGAGGTATTCGGGACCGACAATTGTGAATGCGTCCTGCCACAGTGCGGACAGGAAGCCCTGGAAACGCCCTAGATCGCCAGTTGAGAGATACTCGACAAAGGGGCTCTAAGATAGACAGGAAACAGGCATTAATCAGTCCATTTAAGAGGTGAAAAAGGTAGGCCACATACCGGCTTATTCCAGTTACGAAAACCATAGGCATCATGCTGCGGATTCCCTCCCACCATGGTGATAAAGGCGAAGAAGAATAGAATGATAATGAGCAGCAATTTCCCCCCGGAAAGCCAGAACTCGGCTTCTCCGTAAAACCTCACCGCAAGTAAATTGGTGACACTGACTCGCCCAGTTCAGTTCAGCAGGAGTAGACTCGGCACTCAGGAGGGAATAATAATAACGCGTACGCATAGAGAACGAGACAAGCAGAGATGACAGCTGCAGCCGGTATATCGTCACGCCAGAACGTCAAGACCATATTCATAGCCGTGATTTCAAAAGGGATATTGAGTCCTTCATAGAGGAAGAAGTTCCATCCAGCCATAAACCCCCATGCACTGTCAACCCAGGTCGCAGCATGCTGAACGAAGGCTGCGCTTACTGGCATGAATACAGTCATTTCCGCGAGGGCATTGTTTACCTGGGCCATCATGAGCGAATGCAACGTGAAGGCAACTAAGAGGCTCCCTGCTCCGCGCATCAGAGCATACCCGATCGTCACAAAGAGAGCAGTGCCTATGGAACCCCCGATGGCGATGAATTGAATCTGGCGTGGAGTAAGACGACGTTGCAACGCTTCTGGGCTCTGGATGATCTCGCCATTGCTGCAATCGACCGGTTCTTCGTCCGCAACGGCGCTCTTGGGTTCATAGTCGGAGATTGTGTCTACTTCTGTTGTCGCCTTTGGATCTGCTGTCAAGGGCCCCATGTTGGTAATATAGGGTATTCCGGTACTGGCTAGGTTGCGATGCGGGCTTAACAATACTGACACTGAACGGATGAACGCATTGGTGGACCACTGGATTGATTGCAATTTGATTGATTTATTTTCCCTGTATTTTTGACTGGCTTTTTGCTCTGCTGCATGAAGAACTGCAGGTCGATATTAAACCGGGATTTGCATCTCTGTACCGGCCGGTACTTATACTCTCCTGGAACCCCGGAAAAGAGTACCACCTTGGGATAAAATCATACAAGTATGCCTAGGCAACCCTAGATAGGGACTCGGGGGCTCTGAGAACCCGAGATAGACATTCCAATATCTGTGTTTTGACGTCTTATCATGCTTGTGTTCTGCCAGTGAGGATGGTTGATTGTTGATCAACCCATCCTCATCGGCCGATTACCAGATGCCTACTTTTTAGGGCAAAAAGATCGCCAGCAATGAACAAGGAGCAAGATGATACTCGTAAACGGGGAAAACCTGTAGGCTACCCTCAATATCGACAGTGTCTTCGGGGAGCCGGAGGACACTGTAAAGATCAAGTTCAAAAACCAGAGAACTTACAGGTAGGCGTTCTTCGACAGCTGGCTCAGGGCATGATTCCAATGCCAGATGGCGTTATAGCATTGTACGACAAGCACAAGGCCAAGGGAACGAGACTGTCATTCAATGAAACCTACCTCCACAGCCCTACTGCCAGTCGTTAGTCGGGAATAACAGGGCTCTATTCTTGGTCAATATTGATCTAGAACTTGGCTAAATATACTGAAGTAGGGTAGGGTGGTATATGATACAGTCTGAGAAGAATGGAAACATGCTTCCGAGTCATGTACAAGGTGGACCTGGCCTATGATAACCTGGGTTGTAGTACTTAGTAGTAGTATGTACAGAACAAGAGCCAACTCTCCAAACTTCTCCGAGCTGCACTGCAGAGCAACCTTTCAACCAGATAGAAAGGAACACTATAATTAGACCCTATCTTTTTTATTGCGAGCTGATCGGAAGCGTTATCCGAGACCCGAGCTACCGAGCCGAAGCTGGAAGAAGATAAGCATAAGCACAGCAGTCGTCTCTCGAGCTCTGGATCTATTGTAAATACAGACATAGGGCGCGGATACCTGATACTGTGTAGGATTATGTCCATGTTCTCGTGGCCGTCCGCCCTGCATCCACCGAGTATGTTGGATGGTATACGGCCGCGTGTGGCACGTGGCTGGCACGAATAGCTTCATCTTTTCCTAATTAGGAACCGAACGCCCTTGCTTCTATTTTTGCCTATATTAACACCAGGGATATGTTAGGAATATGGTGGACCAGTAATTAACAATGACAAGTTAATCTTCTTGGTCAGCAGCTAATCATTTGTGCATCCCCAGCATCTCCACAACTAGGTCATTGCTTCGGATGTACGAATGCAGCTCAGCTTGGACGGAAATTTCCACATAGTAATGTAGCCCATCAAAATACTTTACTGAGATTTCTCCATTGTTCAACTTCACCAATGTCATTGTCATCGTGATTTGTCGAAGCTCCCACATTCTTGATGGCCCATTGTAAGGCTGTGAATAAGCAGCCTCAGGCCACATAATATCACGTGTACTTAGCACTTGCGTGATCTTATTGAGATATAGTTTAACTAGTTACTACTTCGGACAGGTGGATTATCTAATAATCCGGTCCCGTGATACGGAGTATATATGTTCCGGGTAGAAAAATGACCATACCCGAGTATCCCGGATCTATATAGGAGCTCAAGCAAGCAATCGCATGAGCTTAGCGATTAAGCGCATGGTTTAGAGCTTCACGATGCACTAGAGACGGCAGTATATCGGTATAGAGCATTCACCACCATCTCTACGAATCCTACGGTATCCTTTTAGTATCTGGTATCCAGACGCCGCACCTGATCCACATCAACTTGCGTGATCTTATCATAGCGAAGACAGCAACCTTTTCTCCCCTATTATCGTGCGCAGCATTTTCCATATATTGGCTGCCTCTTCGCGCCGTCACCGCCACCCAGCGCTTACACCCATTGTCCAGCCTGACGGGCTCTTCATCAGGCCCCGATGACTTTATCATCATAAGGCTGCTCACAAAAAGGACTGGTGATTATGTAACGGGCACCAAGTTGCAGTCTTGTTCGATCCTGACCACATAACACCCAAATGATCGATATGGGCCTGGTCCAGTACCACTTGACAATCTCAGGTTACAGGCAACTGGCATGGTCAGGTGAACTTGGGGATGTCGTGAATCTCGAAGTTATGCTTCACGGCAGGTGTGAGATGGCTTTTTGCCTTCTAGGAGTGAGAGGATGGAACGGATGAGTGCGAATTGTGTGTTGATGTCCTCTTACTCAGTCCATGGTTCGTGACGCAGTAGAAGCCTTGTACACAATAGTGTCTGGAGATGATGTAGGGCTTATCAGACATTTTATATTCTCTTGAGAATTCGGCTCCGGGTAGTCATATTTCTAGTGCCTGTACATATGGCAGAGCCAGCATCTCTGTTGTGGGAGCCATGAGTTGTGTATCGAATAGATGCCAGCTTTAAATGTATTCCTTTGTGTCGAATAATAATCATATTCTTGTAATTCTCCGCACATTCCTGCCAACATGGCATTAGTTTAGATCACGCCATTGCAGTATTTGTATCAAAGTTTACGAAGCACTGAATACGATGAAGTCTCTGCAGCGTAGTCTCCACAACGTATTCAGAAGGGAATATTGGGAGCAGCCTGAGCCCAAAGGATTCAACCACCAAGCCGTACAGCGAAGAGAAGCGAGCACCAAGAATGAAAGCCATCCTGTTTGATTATCTCATTTCCATTGCTCGTACCGTGTTATTAGGGTTGACTCAAACGTCGTCCGGTGTGGTTAGTCAGCCCCACAGGTCAGTTAACTTAAAAGCTTGATAGCAGAACTCGTCCGCTGCAACTTTAAAAGAGAGAGAAAGAGAGACAGAGAAAAGGGTAAGAAAGTGCAGGACTATCCAGCATAGCATGACAGCCACGACAATAGACAGTCATGAAGCGAACTCTCCCCGGGGTGAGACTGGGGAGAAAATAGCCATTGCCACAGACATAGTGGGCGAAGAAGCCAGGCTAATTGATCCCCAAGAGGCGAGGAGAGTCTTGTGGAAGATCGACCTCTTTCTCATACCGGCCATGGTAATTGGTGCGTGGTCATCTCCTCTCCTGTTGTGTATGCGGCAGGTAATGCTGACCTGGCTTTGTAAAAGGATATGGGCTGGTCTATTATGACAAGGCAATCCTAGGAAGCGCCGCTCTGTTTGGCATGACCAAGGATCTCCAGCTCTCGGTCAAAGACGCTTCAGGTAAAACAGACACCTCGAGACTAAGCTGGGCTACGTCCCTCTTTTACTTCGGTCAGCTGGCTGGCTCCTATCCCATGACATACATCTTGCAGCATTTCAATACGCGATATGTCCTGGGACCGGCTGTGATGATCTGGGCTATCATATGTGCGGCCACGGCCGGCGTAACTACGTGGCAGGGCCTTTTTGTGCAGCGCTTCTTTCTAGGTCGGTCAATTTTGCCTTTAAGTTCTGAGCAGCACTGACGATGACAGGCTTTACCGAGTCCGTCATCCCAACTGCCTTTATGACCACTATCAGTGGATACTACACTCAGTCGGAACAAGCACTGCGACAGAGCTGGTGGTTCTCGGGCACCGGTTGGTTCACGATTATTGGAGGCGCGATGAACTACGGCTTCGCACAGATCCGCGGCGCCCTAGCTCCCTGGCAGTATATTTATATCCTGGCTGGTGGATTGACATTCTTGTTCGGGATCTGGTGCTTCTTTCTACCAAACTCGCCCGTGAATGCTTGGTTCCTCAGTCCGGATGAGCGAATCGTGGCCATAGAGCGGTTGAGGGCCGGACAGACTGGAGTAAAGAACCATACGCTTAAACTATCCCAGATCAAAGAGGCGATCTTCGACATAAAACTCTGGCTGGTGGCGGTGACTATGGCGGCTGCGTAGGTTTCGATTCTGACAATCCACAAAGTCTATATTGCTGACAATCTACGCAGCTACACGGTGAATGGCGCCGTTTCTGGTTTCGGGCCTCTCATTGTTTCCACCTTCGGATACTCCTCACTGGAGAGCATCCTCTTCCAGTTCCCTCTTGGAGCAATATCGGGAGTTGGCATCGTCCTAACGGGATGGCTATGCTCACGGTATCGAAATATTCGGATTATAACCCTCCTTCTTTGCTGTCTCCCTGTCATTGCGGGATTTGCAATCATCTGGAAATCAAGCTGGGGGTATCAGCCTGCCGCCCCCGTCGCGGGTTATTCGATAACCGGATTCTTCGGTCCTGTGGTCGGACTCACCGTTACGCTCGGAGCAAGCAATGTCGCCGGCGAGACCAAGAAAAGTTTCATGGCCTCCGCCGTCTTCGTCGCGTACTGCGTGGGCAATATTATCGGGCCACAGTTGGTGCGGAGCCAGACGAAAGACCAGCATTATCCGGAGCTGTGGACGGGTTTGATCATTTGGTAGGTTACTATCTGTTTACATGTCCTTGGCCTTATACCCTTGCTAACTGTAGCTGTAGCTATTGTATAACCATGCTGACTGCCTCGATTCTATGGGTGTTATTGTCCCTGGAGAATAAGAGGCGGGACAAGCTGGAATTGAATGAGGAGGAGCGTAACAGGCTCGCTTTCAAGGACTTGACGGACAAGGAGAATCCGTACTTCAGATACGTCTACTAGGAGCTAATTGATGATGAGACACCGGCTGCATATTTGAAATGGCAATTTTTGTATAGAGCACTTGTAGGGATAGGCTCAAATATAGCCAATATATACTCTAGACAGCAAGAATAGCTCCCAGAAGCCAAATCCACTCCAATACCAATGATGGATGTTAGGGAGCACACTTTGAAAGTATCAGGTTTTATGGACAGAATCACCTCTTTCCGAGGCCAACAATGCTGTAGACCCTACTCCTTGTGCCTTTTGGCAAGAGACCCTTGGAAGTTGGCCATTAAGGGCATGGCATGTCCCTTTAATATTCTCTATATCTTGACATTGTTCTGTTTGGAGAGAGAAGTTCCATTATTCATTCATTCACCCTCGAGGCTCATTCCTCTGCATAACGGAACTGCTGTATTGTCAACTAGCTATAGGAGTTTTCCTCTTCACTCTTCTATATAAACTGGAAAGTTCCACTGTGATACTTCTCACAGGATCCCATCTGTGTATATAAATACTGTCTTCCTTAGCCCATTCCTTTTTTCTTCTTTTCTCCTCTTCCCTAGCCTCTCTAGACAGTCAAGAGCATCAGATACTCCTGACCATCCCTCTACGAATCAAGATCTCAATTACATAGACAAAATGACCTCCCGCCCAGTGATCGAGTATTACTTCACCTTCATCTCTCTCTGGTCCTACATGGGCAGCCACCAGCTACAGCTCCTTGCCAAGCAAACCAACGCCCAAATCATCTACAAACCCATCGATCTGGCGTACATGTTCTACGTTTCCGGTGGTATCCCCGTGAAACGGCGCTCACACCAGAGACAAGCCTACCGACTCCTCGAAATAGAACGTTGGCGCCGCATCCGCGACCTACCCATCGTGCCCGAACCAAAATGCCACTCCGTCGACCCATCGCTGGCGCACCGTGTCCTCCTGGCCGCCATTGAAGAAGAAGGATATGACAGTGGCCTTGTGCATGAGTATGTGCGGCGTGCCCAGCAGACCGTCTGGGTTGATGAAGCGAATATTGCGGATCCGGCGACTATTGTTCATGTCGCGAATGAGGCTGGTTTGGATGGTGGCCGTCTTTTGAAGAGGGCGGAGTCGGAGAAGCAGTTCAAGGAGAAGGAGGATGCTCTGACAAAGGAGGCTGTGGAGAGGAGGTATTTTGGGGCGCCGGTTTATGTGTATCGGGATGAACCTTTTTGGGGGCAGGATAGGTTGGAGATGCTAGAGGAGGTTATTCGAAGTGGCAGGGAGGCGATTTTATTGCCCTCTGTCTAGTAATGGATTTGCAGATCCTGGCGTTTGAATTCCAACTTGAGGGGAGAATAAGACGCATTGTTTGAGCAGGCTTTCTGGGCTACCCTGGTTGCAATTATGTATTCTTGTATTACATACACTAGATATCTTCAGGTGCAAGCAATGACAATAGCTACTTGAAAACCAGAAACATCATGATAGATTCCCCTCAGGCTGTCATTGTTGGATCACGTGGGATTCTGCCGCATAGGTCCGCCCTCGCTGACCCTTTTCACCACGTAGGCCTATCTAGCTAGTAACCAACCAACGAGACACCTCCATTAGTCATACCCAGGACTGTCACGTGTTGATGCAGCCGGGAAGTACTAGTAACTATGCCTTGGACCAAACTTCCCATGGAAGCATCGTCTCTGATAAAGACCTCGTCTTATCTTCCATGGAAAAAGAGCTTGGGCCAAGGAGAGCCTCGACAGCTTAATGCTCGCCTTGTTATCTCACGATCAGCAAAAGATAAGACCCGTCAGGGTGTCAAGTCAATCCCTTCAGGAGCATCGAGGCTTTAAGCAAGGACCGTTCTTCCGGAGATTCCGCCATGGATGAGCTCGACCAGTGCTTTCTTTTCCACAAGCTGATATTATCGACCTGGAGGATCCCTGGAGCTCAGCTGGTATCTAGAATTCTATATATCTCGCTGTCTTGAAGACTTCCCCGCTGCGGGGTGCGGGGTCGAGGCCAGGGAGGCACGAAGAGGAGGCCTTTAATATAATATATCCATCGTCTCATTGCTAAGGCCGTGGTACAGTCCAGTGTTATGACAGCAACCATGCAGATCGAGCCTCGCAGGTTGAAGAGGACTGCAAACGCGTAAAGAGTCCCTGCTCCTCGTCTCCTCATCCTCCATATTGGATCTGTACTAATCTCGATCGTGGCGCAGATGTGTTCCGTGCCGGCAGAGTAAGATAAAGTGCTCGGGCGATCAACCGTGTGCAAACTGCCGACGTCGTGCTGTAAAATGTTGTTTTATGGAGGGAGGAAGCAGAGTCACAATAGGGAGAAGGTTGGTTGATTCTAGACCCCATTATTTTTTGCTGATAATAACAGAATCTGCGGGAGAATAGACATGCACGCATGCTGCAGCCACAAACAAGAGAGCGCCGGCTGGGATCCCTTGCGACGAAACGTTCTGCTGACGATGCTTTTGGATCTGAAGGTGAAGGCGAAGGTAAGTCTGGATTGATGTAGCTGATCTTTCGGCTCCTACCTAATAATCACCTGTACCCAGAGACACCACAACGGGAACATTCATCGTCATGCCAGTCGGTAGACCACGCGCAGAGCATCTGGACGAATCCGTTTACTTTACCTTCAACGACTATCCAGAATATGCAGAGGAACAGACGCAACTGGAGTGAGCTCATATATGACCCAGGACCTGCTGTTTCTACTTTCTTGAGCTGATGCATTGGATGCAGTCTGGCTGGCCCCGTCGTCTATGTGGTCGTTCACTGCTCGACTCACCGTCATGCTGTCAGAGAAGTTGCACCTCGAGTCTCCCTACGATGCCCCCAATTTCTCAGACAGAGACATCTATCCTCTAAAATGGAAATCTGCTGCTTCCGATGATCCCCCGGATATCAGCGGATTGCCTTCCATCGACCATGCTCTCTATCTGTTCAATACTGTCAAGTTTCACCTTGGTCAGAACTATCGGTTCTTTGACGAAGAAGCATTCGTCACTGATATGCAAGAGTTTTATTATGGCAACGCTTTAGAGAAGGCGACCAGATGTCGTCTTTGGTTTGTGCAATTCCTCTTGATCCTATGTTTTGGAAATGCATTTCTCTCACGCTCCAGGAATACGAGGGATCCTCCCGGTGCGAAATTCTTTGTGCGCGCCATGTCTCTCATGCCGGATCTTGCATCTATGTGGAAGGATAGTTTGCTGGCTATCGAGATCTTAGCTCTGGTCGGCCTCTACCTGTATTCTACTGACTACAGGGAGTCGGCTCATGTTTATGTATGCATGAATCATGTTCTCTTGGCTGCTTTTTGCTAATGTCCCAGTCTTGTTCAGGTTGGCCAAGCAATACGTATTGCACAGATGGAAGGACTCCACACTCAGCTCCCGGAGGATGAGCTTGGTGCTGGAACTTTGACCCGTTGCCGTAACCTCTGGTGGACTCTGTATATCATGGATCGGCATATCTCATCCTCTTTAGGGCTCCCAATGACCACCCCAGACAGCGACATCACCACTGTGATTAATCCCCCAAGCACATGCTTGCAGCGGGATGCTATTCTCAGTCTCAATGTGAGACTGTCCCACTTGCTCTCCTTTATTCTGACAAGTAAGCTCAACTTGAGGCCTCCATTATGCCGATATTCTCTGACTTTCACTCGACAAAGCTGTCTACAGGACCCAGAAAACGCATCTGGCTACCTTCCTTGATAAGACGAGATCAATATTACATACTATGGCTGGGCATGCGCGAGAGATCGAAACCATCATCTATCTCAAATTCCAGAATTCCGTGGACACGGTCCCCAAAGGGACGCGCCATGTAACTTTGCTCTATCACCAGGTTGGTTTACTGAAGTTGATACTCTTTTTTCATACTCTTCACACTCTTTCTGATATCTGATCACCACCACTTTCCACAGTGTGTGATTGTTGCTACACGGCCTCTGCTTCTGTCCGTTCTCGAAGAACGATTAGAGAAATTAAACAACGGCGCAGGAGAAGATTGGCAAAGCTGTTTGGCTCCTATCAAGTCTTTGATCTCGACGGGCATCAAATCAGCCGCAAAAACCCTTCAGATACTGTCTGACGAAGATAGCCTTCTCGGTAAGTATATTACCCCTATCCAGTAGATACCACCGGGAGGAGTTCAATTGATCATATCCTAGAAGCCTTCCTACCATTTGACTTGGAATTTGCATACGGAGCCGCCGTACATCTGACCATGGCAAATACACTCTTCCCACGCATGGCAGAAGGCCAAACATACAGTCAAGATGCGCACTCAATTCTGGACGAGATGATCTCCGCGGGAAACCGCTTGGCAGAGGCACGAAAGGCGGAACTCACCCATCTTGAAGCCTTGTTCAGGGAACTTACGACACAGACGGAACAGAGAGATCGTCAAATTGTAACATCCTCCAACATGGAGCAGGGTAAGAGCCCGACAGAGGGCGGAATTAGTGAGGTACAGCAGGAACAAACAGCATCAACAACTGTTGCGTCGGAGATTGGGACGACAGATCGGTCTCTGGACAGTGGTGATAGTGCGTCCTCGCCCTCTGTTCTTCCACGGACGGCAAATGATCTTGAATTTCTCGATGATATCGGGATCTCATCTTGTGAGTTTCTGTCCATTGTGGACCAGATTGGTTGTGAGCAGGAAGGTGGCAGTTTACTGGACCCTGGGCAATCCTGGAAGAAGGGTATATAAGTATAATCGGGAGGTTTCGTATAGATAGAATGGTACTGGCACTTCTATACAGACATTGATAACCTGAAACACCACAGGAATGGCTTTCAAGGCAGCTCGGTAGTTTAAAGCGGGAATATACCCAGCGCTATTGGGTTAATGCAGGTATTATAATGCTAGCTTATGAACAACAAATCCAAATTCTCGCGGTGTCCCTTCGTTTCTGCAGCTTACTGACACTACTACGTGTATGATAGGTCCACTGCGGGGTTCAGCCGGTTCCAATAAGCAGACTGGCAATCCATTCCATGTTCTTAAGTCCTTTCTGTAAGGTCTCCTGGGGATAAAGGCAGGAAATAAATACTACTATTACCCTATAGAATGAACAGGAAAATGCGCGTAGTTTCCAGACGAAAGTGGCAATTTCTTGCCTCAGGCTGCCATAGGCACCTACCGCGCGAGGTGACATTATCCCCAAGCGCTAGTCCTGTTTGGGAAACCGCCACGGCGCCATCGGAAGGGCACTGAGTCAGCAATCTGCTTAGTCACTTTCCTTCAGGGTTTTCTGCTTTATTTATTCCTGCACATTTTCTTCTCTTGTTTGCCTTCTCCCTCTTCCTCATCTCTCCCAACCCCGTCTTTATCCATTTATCCCACAATCTGTTTCCCAAACGCTATCTCATCAACGAGATTGTCCTGTTTGACCCCGCTACTCTATTTTCTTTGATCTCGACAACTTCAGCGTCAAAACTCTTTTGTTTCCACAAGGTCGAGCTGGTTAGTTTGTACGACCTCAGGACTTTGTTGTCTATCAAGTACTCATCTTGAGATCTGACTCTGGTTCTTGCTCTAGAAGAACCCACCCTTGGTTTGTCTCACCCTGCCAGAGAAAGCCAAAGAAGATTCGTCGAGAAGTTGTCTATGTATTCGCCCTGCGTCAAAATTTCCGAATATCATCTGCCGCTCAAGCTGCAAACGTTTCGAACCGTGTCGAAACTTTGTAGTATACACTCCAGATCCTGTGGTTGAAACCTTCGGGGCTGCCGTTTCCGCTGTGATACACCGGTGACTACCTCGTTCCTTTCCGAACACTCGTGCAGAATTCGTGAAGATACTCGCTACGCATGTCTTGTTTGAACAAGAGCAACTTGGTTCAGATTCCCTCCCTTGTTTCCTTCCAAAAATATACCCTCCAGTCTCAGTAAAAGAATTACGTCGACACTATCACAATGGCGACCATCAATATTCGTCGGGATGTCACTGATCCCTTCTACCGCTACAAGATGGAGCGCTTGCAGTCTAAGATTGAGGGCAAGGGCAATGGCATCAAAACCGTTGTCGTCAACCTGAACTCGGTCGCTCAATCTCTCAGCCGTCCTCCGGCCTACGTGATCAAGTACTTTGGATTCGAGCTTGGCGCTCAGGCTAACGCCAAACCGACTGATGATCGCTGGATCATTAATGGCGCCCACGATGCCCCCAAGCTTCAAGACTACTTGGATGGGTTCATCTCCAAATTTGTTCTGTGCAAGAAGTGCAAGAACCCCGAGACCGACGTTGTGATCAAGTCGGACAAGATTTATCTTGACTGCAAGGCCTGTGGACAGCGCTCCGAGGTCGACCCCCGTCTGAAGCTGAGCACTTTCATTCTACGAAACAACACGTCCACTAAGGGAGGGAAGAAAGACAAATCTACTAAGAAGAGTCGTCGCGAACGCAATAAGGAAAAAGGCGATACCACAGCGAATGGAGACAAGGATGGCAGCCCGGGAGATAGTAACAATTCCGATAATGGTGATGAGAATGGCGATGTTGGTCTCGAGGCAGGTAGCGACGATGAGCTTACTCGTCGCATCAAATCTGAGGCCCAGGGCATCGAGGCAGATGGCGAGATTGATGATGACAGCTGGGCAGTTGATGTGTCGGAAGAAGCCGTGAAGGCTCGTGTCAAGGAGCTTCCTTCGGATCTTAAGCGCTCTCTGGCCCTCGAGGATGCCGATGAGGATGAGCCGGATGGCCCTTCCGCTTACGATCAGCTTGGCAGCTGGATCCAGGACACCGCTGCCAGCAAGGGAGGCGTTGCTCAAATTAGTGATGTCGATATCTACTTGAAGGCGAAGGAATTCGGTATTGAGACGAAGCACAAGACCTTGGCTGTGCTCGCTCAGACTATCTTCGACGAGAAGATTACCAAACAAATTGGTAACCGCGCTGCATTACTTAAGAAGCTCATCACGTCTGAACGCCATGAGAAGGCTTTTCTTGGTGGTACTGAGCGTTTTGTTGGCGTGGACCATCCCGAGCTCGTCTCCCAAATTCCCGCAATCCTCCTCGGCTACTATCAGCACGACCTTGTTTCCGAAGATGTGCTCAAAGCATGGGGTTCGAAGGCTAGCAAGAAGTACGTCGACCTGGCGACCAGCAAGAAGGTCCGCAAGGCTGCTGAGCCATTCCTCGAGTGGCTTGAGAATGCCGAAAGTGAGGAAGAAGATAGTGATGAGGAATAGGCAGGTGCTATGGGCAGTGCTAAGCCTCTTGATTGTGGTTTATTTCTCCAGTCCTTTCGGTTAATTGTCTGACATACGCTATCTGGTTTTTCCAATTTGGCTTTGAAGTATTTCTACTGCGCTTCTGCTTTTTCATGTTCACAACCCAGACAGGAGGCTTTCCTCACCCTGTTGACAGCTGTGGTCTGTGGATAGCCTTAGTTTAGTAGCCGCTTAACTCAATCTCCACTCGTTGAACTGTTCTAAGGATAACATTCGAGATCTTTGGCAGGTCTATAGAATTCCTCATGCTCTGACCAGTTATTGTGCTCACTATGTCCCACGAACGTACTATTCCAAGAGCCTCTGTAATTAATGAATGCATGGCACAAAGTCGAGAAAATGGAAAACACCTTTGATCCCGTCATCTCATGATATTATTCCCCAAGCAGCCTAAATACATACACATGCACTGCAGATGCTAGCTAGAAGACAACCTCCGCAAATTTCACCTTGCCACCGAATAACACCACATGCTCCTGAGACGACGGAGCGAACACCTCCATTATTTTCTGTCCAGATACCGGGACCGGCCTTCCACCATTCTCTACTATTTCACGTACTCTCATCCGCTGCTGCTGGAATATAAACCATGTAAGATCGGCATTCCAAGTCTCCATCGCTTGGATGGCGTTTTCCACGGCGTTGATTTCTGTCCGCGTGGATTCTGGCAGTTCCTTCAAGGTGGCGGTATGCTCCTTGGCTCGTGTTTGGAAATAGTAATCAGGTCCGGCGAATCGTGAGATCCATGCGGCTAGGAACGAGCAGATTTGGTCGCCTATGGATAGAGGAAGGCGGACGTGCGTGAGGATGGTGATGAATAGGGAAGCTAACGCCCTCCATATGCTGTGGTGCGGGGTGAATGGATGCGCTGTTGATGTTGTTGCTCCAATTGTGATCAATGATGATGGTGATTGAGAAATGCCGAGCCCAAAGAGTAAGTCTGGTTCTTGGTCTTTTGACCCTCGTTGAGTTGTTGTTGTTGTTGCTGTTGTTGTTCGTTGTCGTTGTTGAGAGCGTCTCTCGATTGTCCTTTCTGCATCTTTGTTGACTTTCTCCCAGACACGCATGTAGATGCGTTGCCAGTGTGGGAATGCAGATTCAATCCGGGAGGCCATGAAGTCACCCGCACCTCTGCACATAGCCTCTATTGCGTTGCAAGCGGCTACGATGACGAATGTTTCCTCTTGAAAGTCCAAGTCATGATTGCCTGTTGATGATTGCGTGGTAGAAGTGATGGCAATCTCTTTCGTCGTCAGGGATGTTAACGAGGATGGGTTGGTGAAAGAAGATGGAAAAGTCACCCTCGCGACAACAGAAGGCCACAGCTCGTTAATGAGTGGCAGGAAGCTGTTCTCATTTAGCGCGAGTACAGGAAGGACTCGTATGAGAATAGAAAGCAGGGAGCGACGAAGGTATGGAGAAGGCGATGTTAGATGCGATGGGATGGATTTGACTATGTGTAACAGAAGCGAATGGGATTTGCTGGGCGGCTTCTCTGCATCTTCGGGTTCACGAGGTGGTGGTAGTGGCTCGGTGGACTCCCTTTCCAAGATATCCGACATGGAATCCACGTCTACTTCTGGTTCATCTTTCGTCTCTGATTCTGCCCAGGGCCGTTGAGGATGCGACGTTCTTTCATCGATGTTCTCAGGTAGCTCTTCCGAATACCTAGCGCGCTTTGCTCGATGGGCGGCGAAATCTTTTGCGAGAGTAGAGATAGGTAGTACTTCGTACTGCCGCTTATGATGGTTAACATGGTCATTTTCATGGTCACTTGTAATTGCCAGCATAGACGGTTTCTTTGCCCCTTCTTCCACTATGGCAGCCAAGGTCTTGAACATCAGCTCGACCAGCCTGGGATAACCATGGTACATATCCAGTATCCCAAATATTGAGTCGACCAGGTCATCCAGATAGGGGATCAATCCAGCACCACACAATTTGACCATAATAAATAAGACCTGCGGTGGATAAGGGGATACATCAAAGATATTCAGCTTCAAGGAGACTGAGTTAACAAGGTAATCCACGTTCTCGATTATCATGGAGCTCGTGTCTGGATAATTGCAAGAGGCCGTGAGTATATTAAGACAGACCATTGCATGTCTTTGAAGATTAGGATTCGCAGACGTTAAAAGTTGGAGGGTGGGATATAATGCATCCATAAGCTCCGGCCTGAAAGCCTCCCCCAGCTGCCTTGCTTGAAGTGCGACAGCCTCAAGAGCAAGCGCTGAAACGCGCCAATCCGATGATGTCTCAGCTGGAGATTCCTCTAATAACGGTAGTGCCACGTAGTAGAGCTCTTCAATTATGCTAGCCCGCGTGGGAGACGTGGATGATAACTCAACGTCGTCAAAAGAGATGAACTCATCGAAGTTAGCAGTAAATTTCTGGGTATCACCAAGAAATGTCAGAGCAAGCCAGAAAGGTGGTAGTATGGCATCACGAGCACTGTAGATCCGATTCATAATCGAACGAGTAACGTCACTGCCAGAGCTGGATAAATTAAGCTTAGAAATCATAGAGCGAAGATCCTTCAACGTCTGCTGCTGGCTTCGATGTTCCAAAAGAATTGGCGGGAAAGATACCGATCCGGTCTCTCGGTTCAGCATTTCTATATCCAGACTGCCCCTGTCGCTGTAGGAGCTTAGTGGTTGGAGGGAATTAGCCCCCTTGTTAACAGCAGCAGCTACACTGTCACACAACCCTGAAGCCAAGCTGGACGTGAGAATGTCAGACGCTGACTGTAGTTGGGAAATAACTTGGAAAGCCATCGATATTTGCTTTATCCCCCATTGTTTTGCAGTCTCATCGTTACTCTGCATAATCCGGGGGAAAGAAACAATCCAATTGTGAAGGGACTCCTTCAGAGTGTCAACAACTACCGGGTAAGTAATAGAAAGATGTTTTAACGTTGAATATGCATTGTTCGGGATCTGGTTCTCATCAACATCTGATAGCACGACGATAGTCTCCACAGCTATGGGTATCGAATCCTTCAGCGTTGTTTGGCAGTCTTCGATTACCATGATGCAGAGCCCTAGAACTGCGTCCTGCACCTCTGGTCGCTCATGGCGTCTTATCTGAATAACATTCGCCAAAGCAAGCTTGACCTGAGTAGCTGTAGCTGTAAGCCATGATACATCAAGGACAAGCTTATCGCTCGGCTGCTGAGGCTGGGGACTTTGCTCTTGCGAGGATCTGGCAACATGGTCGTTAAGCACCGCTTTTAATAGATTGGTTAGTACCTGGAGGCATATCTCAATAAGTCTATAGGGGCGTCTGGTTTGCGTTGTAGGTTTCAATGTTTTTGTGAGAGAAGATACTGTCCGCGGCATAATGCTAGCAAGAACCACTCGATCTGTGACCCGTGCTAGAAGAGCTTGGAGTGCCCCAGCAGCTGCAACAGAAATAGCACCTGATCGGCTATCTGTGACCCCTTCGAGAAGAAGATATACGATTTGATCAACGACAGTTGCTGTCCCAACCTCATTGTAAATTGTCCTTTCTGAAACAGGGTCCCCCAAGACCTGGAATATGGCAGCAAAGCAATTGAAGCCTGCTATAGCAAGCTCTTCTGGCTGAGAGTGTACTTGTTGACTTGTGAGACCCGGATTTGGCGTTCCACCAACAATAAATGTCAATAATATAAGAAGCTGCTTGCCCATTTGTGGCGACAGACTCTGCCGCCACGCTGCAGCGATAATTATCCGCAAACAGTCCACAGCGACCTCCAAACATCGTGCAGGCAATCTCCTAGTCTCATTGAAGATATGAGAAAGTGGGAAGAACACATATTCCGCCAATTTCGCGTCAAGTACGTCTTTGTTACCAAGTTCTGCTAGGACACTATGTACGCGCTCGAGCGCATGCAAGACCTCGCTGGCAGTGGATTGATGGCCACGAAATTTGAGGCCAATGGAGCTGAGTTCAACGCATGGTGGTCGCAGCTGTTCCCCTCAAGTTAGATCTGGCAAGTCCCTCAATTAAATGACAATCTGGATTCTTCCTTCTCCAAAGTGGTAGAATAGGTAGGTACCTTCTTGAATGCTTCCTGCCTTGGATTTTCCATCAGGAACACTTGTGGATCTTGCTGAAAGAAAATGATACGGATGCCTCACAGATATGTAATATAATTATAGAACTCGCAGCATCCCTACGGCTTGAGCAGGTTGGCTTCCGATGAGTGAGTCCTTCGGCTTCGCTGACGTTGATGACCTCGTCGCCGGTGTTCTTTTCTGTCGGCCATTTATGGGCGGTGAGGTAGATACGACACCGCCTACATTACACCTGCCGGACTTCCCAATTCATTCTTTCTGTTGCTCTAAACCTTACGGAGTGTTTGAACACCTCTTCTATCCTATCAAAATGCTATTGTTATCCGATATTGCTATTGCCATCCGATATGAGATAGCGAAGTCATCTAACTAGACAGGTAAGCCTGTTTTCTACGATGCCAAATATCTAATAACCAGATGCAAAGCTGTACCCTTTCCAATGGTTCATACAACATCCCGCCAGCCTGCCTTTTAATGTATACTCACGCGTGTGAGCATCTGCTCCATGTCATACGCTTGGGGCGCTCCTGGTCCTGTATGTTCGCCCTCTACTGTTTGCTTCAATCAGGCAGGCCACTAGCTACTTTGCACACCAACACTCGCCAATAGTGAATGGGATGGCCATTCTCGCAGTAATACCAGTGGCCGGTGCCCAGGAATTCGGGTGCCATAGCTGAACCATGGCCATGCATTCTTCACTGGTGACAGCCGTGTAAAATGTGGAGCCCCCGAGCATCTTTTCCGCGTTATCAACCACCCGAGAGAGGTCCTTAGTCTGTCGCAGATATACATTGCACAGGTGTCTGGCTTCTTCGGCGGCAGCTCGACCGTGTTTCATGTGATCCTCTAATATTTTAGGGTCTATGCTGTGGGGTGCTTCGAAGGCGTGCAGTTGGGCAACAAAGAGGCGGCCCTCACCTGCTGCACAATTCTGTGTGACTCTTGGGCTTCGCTGATAAGAAATTAACACTCATTTCTGATGTGCTGTAAGTCAAGATGCACTTCACTGCGGGTGGTCCTAAGGTCGGCACTCCTTCTGAAGTTCAGAATCGGCAAGCAGGGCGATGTCCAGGCGGAGAGAAAGAGCTGTCGCCAGGAAAAATCCCTTTGTTTGGAGCACACTTTCATCGGAGTCGAAGTTTCTATCAAGTTACGGACCTGGCTGAAGGGCTCTTCCAGTTGCACTTTCCGACGGCATTTCGCGATGCGTCTCCGTAGTTTAATTGCATCCCTCCATCTTCACGTTTCCCATTTCAGAAGCCCGTACATAAGCTCAGTCTGGGACTCACGATGGACCTTGATATTTATGGCGATCCTGGATTGGAAAGTTCCCGCAACAACTTTTTCTTGCTGATCGCGCTGACGTTCGATTTTCTTGGGTAGTTCCTGGGCGAGTAGCATATATTCCCGGTTTAAGTAGAGACGGACTTTTCGTTGCCTCGTCTAGCAGGGCCCGACGTACAAATTATCACGCAAAGATCCCCTGCATGTCGCACATGTTTTGATATCGCTCATTGAAAATGGCTGTGACGAAGACGAGATCACAATCGGCCTTTCTTCTGAATCGTTTGCATTATATTCCTTGGTGTCCATTTACACATCCATCCTCTCCATTTTCGGTAAGCGTCTGCATTGAGAAAAGATACATGGCTTCTCGTCCAAATTGATATCCTTGTATTGTTCATCCAAAATGAAGTCGAATTTGAAGCCCGGCTTCAATGCGTTTTCTGGCAGCAGCACGTCTGCGCGGCCCCATAACTGAGCCAAATGAAGAGGTGCAACGAATTCGGGAATGGTAAATCTGCTGATCTCTTCATCGTTTGAAGGCGTGGAGCAGGACTCCAGGGAATTCGACCATGGACAAGCCCAATGTTGTACCCTTCATTCTACAGCGGTCAGGAATGTACTATACGTCATTTTTATTGGCAGGCATTTCAATGCTAACCACTATTCCTCGCGCTGTTTCGTCTCAGCCTGCGGAGATTGCGGGCCACCCGGGGTTCGCGAGGGACTGTGAGACTGCTGACTTCAACTTGCTTCGTTGAATTGGAATGATTATTGAACAGAGCTGGCAGAGAACTCCCTATGTCTAGTCGGCGTTGTATACGCTCTAGATACATTCGAGCTCGGTAGAGGGTGTGCGAAGAATCAGACGGGAGCTTTGTTTAAGAAGGTCTTCAAGCCTTCTTGATAGAGGCTTGAGGGCTCGTGGATGAACGCTGTCGAATTCTTTTCAATTATCTGGCTGAAGACAAGAAGTGACGCTTCCAAACGCCCGACTGACCCATCGTTCTCTTTTTCGATGGCTTCACCGAGATATTGCTCTACGGTGGCAGCCTATGTTCAACATCTGAGATGTGTGCGAACTTGCATGTTCTCCAAGAGCAAGTGCCAGTCCTTGCAAACTCACGACATACTCTTTTGAATAACCAGTGAACTGAAGTTGCCAGTACCATGTACTCTTGGATAAGATCTCCACTTACCATTGATTCTCCATGGTGACGACCTTGTAAAGCGGTCGATCGGTATGGAGTGCTGGAAACGAGTTTTGACGGGACTACATAACAAGTTCTCCCCTTCTGGTATGGATAGTGGTGGAGAAAAGTTGGTGATCGGGAAGACAAGAAAGCTGAGGATGAGAGAGAGAAGAAAAGATGTATAGAGAAGGTTGGGAAAAAATTTCAGCCATGTAAGTAGAGCAGGGCCTGCTCATTCCCTCACATTGCTAGTTATACTAGAATTGCAATCCTGGATACGTTGTAAACCAAAACCCCTCTGGCACTCCTCAAAGCCACCGCTCGAACCAGTTCAAAGCCTGCTTCATCGAATCCTCCAGACATGCCCTCTCCTGGGGGTCATCCGGATTGCCTCTCACAGCAAAGCCATGGCGTCCAGGCTTATAGATCTTGTGCTGCATCTCCGGCAACTCCCTCCCAGCTTCCCTGATTTTCGCATGAACCTCCTCCACTTTGCCCTTTTGCTCAATCCTCACGCCCACATCCTCCAGCCCCCAGCCATAGCTAACAGGCACAACTAAATCTTCAACATCATCCGGAACGGCCACATGGCTCGGATGCAAAGCCACCACCGCATCCACCAGTGGCACCTTGCTACCATCATCAATCTCAACCATGTTGCTCCCCAACCCGGCTCGAAGCGCATACTTCCCACCCCAGCAGAATCCAACCATCCCGATCTTCCGCATCCTCGGAGTCGCACATCTCAAGGACCGCAAGAAGTCCATACAGACTTTGTTCGTATGTGCTTCCCTGTGTCTGGTCATCCACATCATAAACGACGGCACCATAGCCAGCATGCCCGTGTACTTGGCGAATGTCGACTGCTTGGTCGGATCAACTGGAAGCAGAACGTCGGCGCCCTTGAGCGGCACAGGATCGTCCTCGAAGAAGTCCGGGAGGTAGACTAGCCATTCGCCGCTTTTGGCGTAGGCGTCGGCGATGAGTCTGTTGTTGAGCAGTGGTAGACCGAAGATGTCGGAGTAGATGACTATGATGCCCCGTGGATTGATGCGGTTGCCTATTACGTAGGTATTCAGGCCGTGAATGGTTTCTTCTTTGCCCTGGGGCTGGCCCTTGTGGATGGTGCCCTGGGAATTGTGGTAAGTATGGGTGGTTTTGTAGAATGGATGGATGGATGGATGTACCTTGATGCACTCGTTGCATGGAGAATCCATTAGACTTGAAGGCTCTGGGTTTCGAGTTAGGTCTGATGACTTGAGATACACGATTGTCTACATGTTGCATTCTTGACGGAGCGACCGGCGCCTTATATACGACAGGAATCAGGGCAGTTTTCTTGCTTCTCGGGGTGTTCTCGCGCAGTCCTCGGAGTCGTAACTGGTAAGCGAGTCGGCCACCTCGTTAGTTAACTAGCATCGGCATTGCTGATTAAGATCATCGCCTGGAACTCAACTGACAGCCGAGATGGCAGCGAAGATCATCATCACCAGGTAACAAGTTTAATAATAGTGGCACTCTCTATCCCTGTTGCAGCATGTCACAAGCAGCAGCAGCATCATCAGCCTCAAAGTCCGGGAAGAACGCGGGGCCACCATCGTCAACAACACCAAAGCTGCGCAGCTGCATCGTATGCCGCAATCGCAAGGTCCGCTGCGACAAGCAGTCACCATGCTCCAACTGCCGTCGCGCAAATATCGCTTGTGTCTTTCCACCGATCGATCGCCCTCCAAGATGGGCTCGCCGACTCGAGCGTCTCTCCAGCAATACCGCAGCATCGAATCATCCCGCACCACGGGACACCGATCCGGCCCTTGGTAAGGTCATGGAGAGAGTGCAGAATCTCGAGAACCTGGTCAAGAAGCTGAGGGGGCAGCTGGAACAGGCGCATTCAGCCGGTAGCCCGCCTGGCGATGGCTCATCTGGAGTCAACCCTCTCGAGAGCTCTACCCAGCAGAACGAATTGTCACCCGCCACAGATACCAGCGGAGTGCACAAGCGGTTTGGTCGGTTGGTCCTCCAGGATGCCCGTTGCAGCCGCTATGTGAGCAGTGGATTCTGGTCCCGTGTGAACGACGAGGTAGTTCGGTTTCTTATGGTGTTCGTGCTATCATCTTGGCTGGATAGCTCTCTAACTTTCACTATAGCTCGATAGACTGAGGATGGATACCCGCGACCTGGCAGGGGACGAGTCCGACAGCTCAGAGGATGAGGCATCGTCTGCCCAGGAATTTGAGAGAACAGCTGCAGAACGCAATGCATTCCTGTTTGGACACAACCTGGCTCTTCCGGCCTCCGATGTCCGCGAGTTCCACCCTCTACCGTCGCAGATCCCGTTTCTCCTCGATGTATTCTCGGAAAATGTGAACTTCTTCCTCCGGTGCGTCCATATGCCGACCGTTTCGAAGATGGTTCGCGATTTGCGCCACAGCGGTATGAGGCACCTCACGCCGTCCAATGAAGCCTTGCTGTTCTCCATCTACTACGCTGCTATAGTCTCCATGGAGGAGGACGATGTGAGTTTGTGACTCAAGCCGTGCATGATTGAAAACCGTGTTGATGTATCTCCCTGGGCAGGTCATGACGAACTTTGGCTCCCCCAAAACTGATCTCAGTCTCCGGTATCGTTGCGGCCTGGAGCACGCCCTGGCAAAAGCCGATTTTCTAAATTTTCCGGACATGGTTCTTGTCCAGGCACTGGCTATCTTTCTCTGTCTCACTCGCCGGCACAGCAGCCCGAGGTTTGTATGGATGATGACTGGACTTGCTATCAGGATGGCGCAGTACCTTGGGTTGCAGCGAGATGGTGCCCATTTCAAACACCTGACGCCTTTCGAGATTGAGACCCGACGGAATATCTGGTGGATTCTGTGTATGCTGGATGTGAGAACGTCAGAGGACCAAGGGACGGATCTGACCATCACGAGTGGCAGCTTCGACACGAAAATCCCATTGAATGTCAACGATGCAGACATCGATCCCGAGTCAAAAAAGATGCCCACGGAGCGCCGTGGGGTGACGGATATGTCCTTTGCACGCATATCTGCTAAAATAACTGATATCATGAGACAAATGATGACCCCTGGTGTAAGAGACGGTGTAGCAGGTCTGGAAGACCAGAGTCGTCTGCTGAACAAGATCTACCAAAACTTCGAACAAGAATACTTCCAGCACACAACAGAGTCGGGGAACATTGCCTACTGGGTCGCAGTCACCCTTGCGAAGCTTGTCATGGCCAAGATGACGCTCATCGTATTTCTCCCTGTTCTCTTCTCTCCTCCAAGCGAAGAGTTCTCGGACGAAATAAGAACCAAACTGCTGCTTTCGGCAATCGAGGTCGCAGAGTACAACCATGCTCTAAATGCTGAACCGATATGTCGGCAATGGCGCTGGCTTTATCAGACGTGTACCCATTGGCATGCTATTGTCTACCTCTTGATCGAGATCTCCCGGCGCCCCTGGTCTACTATCGTCGAGAGGGCTTGGATCGCCCTTCACAGCCGCTGGCTCATTCCAGCACCGTCTCCCATTGACAAAAACTTGCGCATATGGGTTCCGTTACGAAGGTTGATGCACCAAGCCCGCAAGCATCGTGATGCAGAACTCAGTCGGCTACGAGCCGATCCACAGGCCGCTACTACGCTAGACATGGAGGACCAGAAGATCCCCTTGCCGTCAAGCTCTGGGCTGTTTCAAACCGGGTCAAGTGGTGATATCTTCCGCGCGCGATGGCACCAGCTTATGATCATTCCAGAGCGACCCAAAGAAAACACAAAAACGTCTAAAATTGCCGATACAGAGCTTCTCGATCAGCAGATACATACGGTCTTCACAGGCCAATCGACTCTAAGCTGTGGTTCTACATATAGACCAGACGATTTGAGCTCCAATATGCATCCTGGTGCGAACAGGCAGCAGGCTGGTCAAACGATAGAAGGTACCTGTGAATTGAGTTTGGACCAATCCTTTGGTTCATGGCCATCCATGGTGCTTGTGGACGGGGCAGATGGAGCCACCATGGAACCTGGATCTGTGCCTCTGCTATGGAATGATGCCGAGAACTCCATTGGTGTGTTTCCCGACTTGGATCTGGGTTCCATTGACGTTAATATGGACTTGGATGGGGAGGTGAATTGGTACGATTGGATTGAGTCTGCCAAGGGGATAGATTGATGGGGCATAAGACTAGCTCTTGTTAGATATCCTGTTGAGTCTATGCGAAATTTCCTCTACATTAGAATTCTCTACATTGGTGTATGCTATTATCAGCAGTCCTAATTATTCTCGGAGTAAGACACAGTGTAGCAGACAGAATCATCCGTGTTCCTGAAATAGCGTGAATGCCACAACAGGCACGTGTTTAGCCAACTTCTGCACTCAACATCTTTGCATTATTTCACTCTCCACAGGAAGAGAACAGCATCTCTCCCCTTCCACCATGGACGCCCTTCCTATTCATCCATACTACCCCCTCGATGTTGAAATAGCCGACTACGTCGCGAATGAATGGGGGACGCTGACCCTGGTCTCGATCTTCGCCGCCGTCTGCACTGCCGTCTTCACAGTGACCTACGCGGTGGTCAAGAAAGCACGACCAAACATAGCTGCAGGCGAAATATGGACAATTCTGTGGTTCGTCTTATGTATGAGTTTCTCCTGGGCAGGGAATTGTGATTTCTCCAAAGCATCGTGATAACAACAATAACAATAAATAGCCGGCTGCATCCACCTCATCCTGGAGGGCTACTACGTCTACCACTTCCAGCACCTAGCCAGCAAACAGACCGTCCTGGGCCAACTCTGGAAAGAATATGCTCTCTCAGATTCACGATACCTCACCCAGGACGCGTTCAATCTCTGCATGGAAACCATCACGGCTGTCTTCTGGGGTCCGCTGTCGTTCCTGCTGGCTGGCCTGATCACGACGAACCACCACCTGCGACATCCCCTGCAGTTGGTCGTATCGCTTGGTCAGCTCTACGGTGATATTTTATACTATGCCACTGCGCTTTTCAATCATGTTGTGCATCGCATGTCGTATTCTAGGCCCGAGGGTTGTTACTTTTGGGGGTATTTTGTTTTTATGAATGTTTTCTGGGTCGTTATTCCTTCTGGTGAGTTGCATCTTTAAGCTGTGTTCTGGGTAGTAGTTGCTAATGGCATTTAAGTCCTTCTGTATCAGAGCATCATGGCTAGCGGTAGGGTATTTCTGAAGACGCAGGCTGGGTCGAACGGCACAGCAAAGAAGGTTAACTAGAACATCCATGATTCTGCTCGAGTTGCTGACCCAAGAAGGATCATCTCATATCAGCATGTCTAATATCCGTGAATGGAAATATCCATAGATACATAGTCACAATGAGATATCCCAAGAGACCATACGTGTCCTGTTGTCTACGGATTGCCTCCAGGCTTCGTTCTGCGGTCGAATATTTCCAAAAGAGGAACTAGGGCATTCACCACAATTGCATCTTCACCAATACAATATTGTGATTTCCAGGTGACACATGAGCAATGGGATTATGTATATGATGGAGAAATATGAGGAGAGTGCAAAAGGAAGTTGCCGTCTTCTTTGACAGAAGCAGGCATACGTATAGGGCTCCACTGAAGTCATGGAGTTAAGCGAGTCAAATGTCGAACATAAATTTGGCCTCTTTTCCCCTTGCAGATTGTACTGGTTCTTTCCATATCTTCTCCAAATCCTATTGTCATTGAGACAGACAATCTGTTTCTATCGGCTTTCAGCCAAGCTACTTAACCCAATCCCAAATCAAACCCATACTATTGCATGAGACCAACGCCTCAGTCCAATGTCCAAGCAGGACTAGGACGAACAACTCCCAGATATCCATGCCTTCCAGCAATACCGAACCGGCTCAGCCTCCTCATGAATCCTCCAGGAAGTCCCAGCCCAAGGACCTTAACGAAAGACTCCGCCTGACAGACGAAGAAATTGAAGCCATAGTTGCCTACAGAGCCCGAGCCTTATACATCAGGCATTCTATCAACCATGCTATTACAGAACGAGAAGAAAGACTGGTGAGAGCTCTCATACGCAGGCCCGACAGGAGAAAGTCTTTGGCCAGATTCGGGGGTCATGACGCCAACGCTGACTCCCTCCATATGCTTATGGCATTGGAGCAGCGTAAGTTCGATGCTACTGATAGTAGTCTTGCTGGAAACGCTTTCGTTGACTGGCTGCATGCAAATTTTGCTCTTGTCGAGGCTGTTTTGGGGGCGGTTATAGCGGCTATTATTCTTGTTGTTTTTGGCCTTCTATTCTTTCTTTCTTTCTGAGGTAATGTTGAGATTCTATACAGTTTAGCTTGCTTCGGGTGCGGTATTGCTTTCTTCTTGTCTACTCTGAAGCAGATGGGCTTTGTAGTCACTCTGCAGAGCGACAGAATAAGATTCATAGCTACAAAAATCTTCAATAGTTCGATCCATTTGACGTAAGGATGATCGAGTAGACACTAAAATTTCTTGTCCTCCTCTTCTCTCCCTAATCCATATGGTGAGTACACGGTAATGTTAAAGAGATCCCGGCGGAGCAGATACAATAATTGAAACATGCATATCGTTAGATACCTCATGAGTGAGCCTTGCTGGACGAGCAAATTCCGGGCAAGTCAGTAATTCTTCTTCTCGCGGATCTCCCTAAGTCACGCTGTCCACGAAGAGCAAGAACCCGTCGATATAATAGAAAAGATGGTGAATAGAGATGACTGCTTTGAAAACCTGCCGGCTGAAATCAGAGAATGATAGCGCAGCTGTGGTCTTGAGAAAGAGACTGCTTCTAGAGAGGTGGATTCTATAATTTTACATTACCATCTCATGAGATGACTCATTTTAGTGAATTATCAGGCATTCACTGCCGGTAAAATCTCTTCCCTAGGTTAATAACGCAAAATCAAGAAGAGCTCACGCCAGGCCTTGATACAATTCCATTTCGGCAACCATAGGGCTAGTGTCGACACGTGATCATGCAGTAACGCGTCACGTCACGTCGCGCGTTTCCGCAGTGTTGCCTGCAGGACAGCCTTCATCATCCTGCGGCTCAAAAGATTCGATAGATCCCCATAACTATCCAACGTTATATAATTGTCCGGGACCCTCACCTTACCCCCGAGGCCTGCGTCCCGCACTCTCCCAGTCTATGCCCACTCTCGCGCTCCGCATCTCAGGTACTTCTGGGCCTTTATCCCGTCTTCAGAAGCATTCGATTCTGAACACTATACTGCCTATATCAACGTGGAGACTTGGGTGTTATCGTCATTACCATTCGTTACCCGCTTTTTCGATTCGAGAAATGGTAGAATCCAAGGGAGGGAGAAAACAGGCTACGCTGGGGTATGTTCGTTCTCCTCAATTGACTATTGGGTGCGTCGTTGTCTGGATTGTAGGTGTAGATACAATGTTTAGTGACTGACGTCTTTTCATTCGTGTTTCTACAGTAGGTTTTTTGGTTCGGATGCCAGTTCTTCGAAAGATGCGCCTAAACGGCAGACAACGTTAGCTTTCGGCCGTGGGGATAAGAAGGGTGGGGATGAGCAGACTGCCGGCCTAAATGCAGTGCATGAGCCTTCAACCGCGCCCAAGACCGATATCGATGAAATAAAGGCTGAGGATGACCCTAGCTTGAAATCGGAGCTTACCCAGGTGAATGGGGCCGGGGAAATGAAGACAGTCAAGAGAGAGAAATCCAGCGAAGTTGAGAACCATGACGGATCCGATGAATCCGATGTCCAACCCGCCTCTAAGAGACGACGGAGGAGTCCAAAGGGTGATTCCACTTACCCAAAAAAGAGGTCCCCATCTCCAAAGACTTTGAAGGCGGAAGAGGCTGATGCCAAAGTTGTTTATTCGGAAATCGAAGTGACGAAGGCATCCGGCGAGCGGACGCCAACCGAGGTGGAAGGCAAATCCAGTGACGATCAGGAGGAATATCAGTCTGTTAGTGAAGAGGAAGAGGAAGAGAAGCCAGAAGTAATGGAGGAAAACATGAAAAAGGTACAGGCCGTTATCAAAAGCAGTGGCAAGGATCCTTATCCTGACTGGAAACCGGGTGATCCTGTTCCATATGCGGCACTTTGCACTACGTTCTCTCTCATTGAAATGACTACAAAACGTTTAATCATTCTCGCCCACTGCTCACTTTTCCTTCGCCAAGTTCTTCGCCTAACCCCTGCAGACCTTCTCTCTACAGTACAGCTTATGATCAACAAGCTGGCAGCAGATTATGCGGGCATCGAGCTGGGAATTGGAGAGTCTTTGATTATGAAAGCTATTGGCGAAAGTACAGGGCGTAGTCTCTCTGTGATAAAGGCAGACCAACATGAGATTGGTGATTTGGGTCTGGTGGCCGTCAAGAGTCGATTGAATCAGCCAACCATGTTTAAACCAAAGCCTCTAACTGTCAGAGGAGTGCACGAAGGGCTCCTTGCCATTGCGAAAGTCCAAGGCCAGGGCTCTCAAGACAAAAAGATCTCAGGAATCAAGAAATTACTGTCAGCGGCAGACGCCGCAATTGCGGGGAAGGGGAGCAAGGCCATCGATATCACCAAGGACAAGGGCGGTCCTAGTGAAGCCAAGTTTATCGTCCGATTTTTGGAAGGGAAGTTGAGACTGGGGCTGGCTGAGAGAACCGTTCTAGTGGCTCTTGCTCAAGCAGTCGTCACACATGAGGCTGATCTCAAGGGGAAAGTCCCTAGTGCCGAAAAGCTGGCCGAAGGGGAGGCTATTTTGAAATCTGTCTACAGCGAACTACCTTCTTATGAAGTCATTATACCTGCAATGCTTGAGCACGGAATATTCCACCTTCGTGAAGTCTGCAAGCTGCAGCCCGGTATCCCCCTCAAACCCATGCTTGCTAAGCCGACCAAGTCCATCACTGAGGTTCTTGATCGCTTCGAAGGCAAGGAATTTACATGCGAGTACAAGTATGACGGTGAGCGAGCACAGATCCACTACGTTGCGCCTGAATGCATCCATCTGTATCCGGGTTCGACAGCAACACTGCAGAAGGATGGCAAAGGGCTCTGTGCAGTATTCTCTCGTAACTCGGAGGACCTGTCGAAGAAGTACCCTGACATTCTGGCTAAGTTAGAGAACTGGATCAAGGACGATGTCAAAAGCTTCGTTCTAGACTGTGAGACGGTCGCTTGGGACGTGGCCAACAAGAAGGTCCTGCCGTTCCAGCAGCTTATGACTAGAAAACGGAAAGATGTCAAGGCAGAAGACATCAAGGTCAAAGTCTGTGTGTTTGCTTTTGATCTGCTCTTCTTCAATGGAGAGGTAAGTGGGGTCGAGTAACTTCTTTCCTGGAGATTGGGAAGACACTTATTGGGATATAGCCTACGGTTAAAAAAACGTTCCGCGAACGACGTACACTATTGCACGAGTCATTCAAACCTGTTGAGGGCGAGTTCCAATTTGCCCAACATGGGAACACCAGCGAAATCGACGAGATTCAGAATCTCCTTGATGAAAGTGTCAAGTCGTCATGCGAAGGGCTCATGGTAAAGATGCTTGATACTGACGAGAGTGGTTACGAGCCTAGCAAACGAAGTCGTAATTGGTTGAAAGTAAGGCCATATCCAACCCTGTTATTGGTGTACCATTCACTGACTATGGATACAGGTTAAAAAGGACTACCTTGCTGGAATTGGCGACTCGCTTGATCTCGTTGTGCTTGGAGCGTATTACGGGCGTGGTAAGCGCACGTCAGTTTATGGTGCATTCCTTCTGGCAGCATACAATCCGAATACTCAAAACTATGAAACAATATGCAACATCGGCACAGGGTTCTCCGAGGCCGTTCTGGAAGAATTATACAAAGAACTCACGCCTCTGGTCATCGATCGACCAAAGCCTTTCTATTCGCACTCAACAGTGCCCAAGGATCAGCCAGACGTTTGGTTTGAGCCGCGATTCGTGTGGGAAGTGAAAACGGCAGATTTAACTCTTAGCCCGAGATACAAGGCGGCAGCAGACGAATTTGTTGGAACGACCGGTGGAGGGAAAGGCATTTCGCTCCGTTTCCCGCGATTCATCAAACCCAGACCCGACAAGAATCCAGATCAGGCCACGACAACGCGCGCAGTCGCGGAGATGTATCGGAGACAAGAAGCTGTAGCGAAAGAGAATGCTGGAAAGAAAGGAATTGACGAAGATTTTGAATATTGAACTACACCGAAGGCACTTTTTGGTGTTGACTCGGTGAGAACCTTTTTATTGTCAGGAGTTTCGCATCTGGATATCTCACGGCGAATTCATTTCATCTATTTCCGTCACAGGCAATGACGGTGACATCATTGCCTGCATACATGCGGCTCATTAAGCCAATGTTGAACTGAATTGGATCGGGGTGTTTGGCGAGTCAGCGTTCTGCATGCAATCTGCAATGCGATACCTCTTCACGATGCAAATCAGACTGCTCGGACAGTCAGTTACGCTGTACAGATTTTACCAATGGACACATTCAATTACCATCATCTGATTTTCTGCGTCTTGGAGAGTGGCATTATTTCTTCATGAGCGTCATAATATGTACATTTATCCTTGAGAAACCAGCACATATTTACAAAGACGAAATCGGTCCCCTGGAGAGAATTAAATATAATACAACAAAAAGCACAAGAAAAGAAATCAAACCAAGTACGCGGGTTCGGGCCTGCTTATCCCAGACGCAGACCAAAACCTCGAACTCGGATAGGCATTCCGAGCCAGCTCGGCATCCGAACTATTTCTCGACGATTCGGTGAAAACAATCGAGGGTTTTTCCACGCTGGAAGTGCTCCACGGCAAAGGTTCCAAGGGCTCAAGATCCCTGTTCTCCCATATCCACGACCACGACCTGTAGGTCTGCCTCCGCGCGAAGGAACTGTCGCTGAAAGAAGAGGCCTGCATGCCTCGCGGTGGGGAGTCGAGACTGGTGCCGGAGCTGGCTTTGGAACGTTGACCTCGCGAGAGCCTGGAACCGATCCAGCCGGCCGGGAGGATCTTGGCGATGATGTTCCGTAGAAGTGGTAGGCTTGCGACGAAGATGGCAAGTTCTTGTTCGATGAGGCTCCACATGAGCATGGGACAAAGAGTGTATGTTACGTCGTTGTAGTCCATGTGGAGGATGGCGACGATTCGGAGGATGCTGATTACGCTGACGCTGTTGGATATTAGAATTGAATCAAAGTGATATATGCAGGCGCGTCAAACGAAGTCCACGACTTACACCAACCCAACAGAAAACACACAGACCAAGCCCACCTTCCGATAAAGCCTCAACTGCAAGATGACGATATGCGGGACAGGAACGAGCATAATCATGACATCGGTAGCGATATTGATAGCGCCGGCCGCGACGAATGCGACGTTCCGGTTTGAGCATTTCCCGCCGTGGTCCGACATGGAGAGATGAGGATCCTTCCAGTTATAGGCGATGGGTGAGCAGAGAAGGAAGGATTTCAAGACGATCGTCAAGCCCCAGGCCCAGATGATGGCTAGGCCGAACCAGATGGTTAGACGGAGGCTGCGACGGGTGCCGAAGAGACGGAGGTAGAGGACCATGAAGGAGGATTTGACAAGAGCTAGGGAGATGCCGTACAGCATTTCGATAGGGATGAGCATCTGTTCGTTGTGCGTCAGTGTCAGTGTCCGATTGGTTTGGTATTTTGGATGAAGGTGCAATCATGCCTTCAGGTCATATACGAGTTGGTGTTTGGTGATGCTAGTGATGTGGTTTCCCACACCTCCGTGTGCGATGGCTATAGTAGCTTGGTCAGCTATGTTCAGCACATCTCATTTAAAGCAAGTATAACCTACAGATATCACATAAGATGACCGTGACAATGACCAGAATCTGACACAACATATCAGTGTCTCGCTCTCCGCAGTGTCAATTGAAAGCCAATCTACCATTGCACCCATAACGAGATAATCATCCACGGCCAGACTCAAGCGCCTCATTTTGCGCGACCAGATGCGAAGGAAGACGGAGAACAGGGCCAGGAAGCCCAGCACGGCAGTGACGATGACGGTATTTCTTCCATGGTGAGTGTTGAGACCGGAGTCGGTCGTGGCCATGGGCTCTATCAGTGAGTCTCAAGCTGGCAATGGCAATGGCAATGGATTATGGATGTATGAATCTTGCTCAGCCGGACATGGTCTGTTATGTGTTGAGCACCGTTCCAGACGGTATGGATGGATATAGAGAGTGACAGAGACCAGAGACAGCACAGAGAGAATAGCCTAGTCAAGAGAGGGACTGCTCGAGCATCCTACAACACCATGGAGGAGACGCAGACGCAATCTCTATATACAAGAGAACAGCCGTGATCCAGCCCGGCAGGAATGAAATCACAATGCATCACCCCATGCCGTTTAATCACTTTTGCAGCGAGCCAACGGTCGGTTATTCCCAGCTGTTTTCAGCCCCATTATTGTGACCGCCGCAAGAGACAGGGAAAGTGGACACAAAATTAGAAAAGAAATCGGAAGCAAAAGCCGTTGAAAATTAAGACATAACATCACGCAACACGAGGGCTTTCTGGAGAGGAGCCGGCAATGCCTATCACCATCTACCGGGGATGCTGTAATATGTCTGTGACTCGGCACGGAGAGCAAATCAAACGAAGTGGAATTGGACGAACTCCGATCTGAAGGACCCTTTCTCCGTACATATTCATAGTACGATTTCCTACTACAGATACAGATTGAGTTCGGGGAGTTCCTGAGGCGAAACTCAGATTCGATTTAGATGTCTCCCCATTGCATGCATGTCAGGGACCGCGTTAAAGATACATAAGAGGCTTGAGCAAGCTAGAACTACGTATATTATGTACTCTGCTATTCTCTCTCATCTGCAAATAATGGCATTTGTATTAATATCCAATATGATGCGTCTCCCGAGTCACAGCAAGGATGTGACAGTGCCTGATCACACCCGTCAGTCAGCATTATTGAATGGAAGTCGCCGAGTATTGCCCGCGTATTTCTCATTGATTATTCATGCTTTTATAAAATCACCCCGGATGAACCGCTCCGAGGGAATTATGAGTCTGACGGGACAAATCGGCGTTTCATTTATCTCATCATCTCATTTTATTCTCCTGCGTGTGTTCCGGGTCACGAGAACTTCATTTCCCCGTCCTGCCCTGCGTCATGATAGGGAGCACAAGCAGGGTCCATCCGGGGTTCTTCTGCCGTTTACCCTACTCTATCACCGGCTTTGGCTCATGGCTATCATGATGAATCATATTCATACATTTACGAATAGAATGTAACAGGGTGCCATGTGCTGCCGTCACTCTTTCAACTTCATCCACGGACCCAGAGCGGCCCTCGACGCTCGATAAACCCTCCATGATGAATCCGCAGCCCAAAGTTCACCAGAACGATCATCACCAGCCCCATTCCCAGCACCGTTGGCCCCCATTTCTCGTAGTACACTCGCTTGACGTCTCGTCGCTTGCGGATCTTGTCCACGCGTCGGATATATAGCACTAGGCTGTACAGGAGTGCTAGCGCCGCTAGGATGGTAAACGCCCACGCCGATGCAAACGTTACCATGTCGTATCCAAAGTTAAGCAGAGTGGCCGCAATCGAACCCAGGATAATGCAGAATTCCAGCCATGACAGGAACGTTCGCTCAGCCGCAAAGTAGACCTTGGGTTCGACCCGAACGGGGACGTAGATGCCTGGTAACGTTAGCAAGTGTAGGGGGAAAAAAAAGACAGTAAGAAAACTTACGCTTGCCCTTGGGGGCTTGGAACCGTTGGACGGTCCGGTTCGCTCCCATCACTGTGATTCCTGCTCCGTCTGGAGGCGGAAGCGGCGTGGCTCGAGGTCGCGGAATCGCTGCGATGAGACCGCGTACGACAGCTTTCGGCACTTGACGCGCGCAGTGTTTGGCCCATGCCCATGCATAGTGTGTCCCGCCAACCCTTCGCGCTTCTTCCAGCTCGTCTTCATCCGAACTGACTGGTTCTTCCTCGTCGGAATCGTACAGCGGATAATCATCGTCGCCCGGGAGAGGCTGCGCGGCGATGCGTTCTTCGATGTCAAGCGCATTGCCTTCCGTGCCAGGGAAGATACCGTTCTGCTCCAGTGGGAACTGCTGCTCAGGCGTACGGGGCGTCGACCCGTTCACACCGCCATTCGCCCTCCGACTGGGTTGGCCGTTTCCTGATTCATCTGAATCATCGTCCCCGAACGTGTCTTCGTTCGGAGATAGCGACGTACTAGTCAGTGGCCGCTCGATGCCGAACCGCCGAGTCGCCGGTTTCCGAATGTCCACGTCCATCTGCGGCATCCAGTATGGCAGAAGGTTGATGCGGTCCGGAAAGAGTATTGCAGTGCCGTGGATGAACTTGCTGAACTTCGGCACCGCTTCCACCAGGTGACTGGCCGTCAGGTCGCGAATCCACTGCGGCGGTTCCTGGCCGGCCTGGGTCTGGAGCTTGACTTCCAGCACGGCGTAGGGGAATCGTTCGATGTCCTCTGCAGGGAGCTGGGAGAAAGGCCAATCCACACCGATATCCATCCGTCGCCAGTTATTGCCAGCACGCGTCCGACCATCCAGGTTGTCCTCGCGAATCATGGTCAACTCTGTGTCGAGCGAGATTCGGACCCTCGCATCGCCGGGGAGTTGGAAGGCAGTGCGATGGTAGAACGAGCGAGTCACTGGCACCAGTCGACGGGTGATGACACGGTATTGAATCTCCCGTGCCAACTGCTCTAAATCAGCGATCTCTTCTTCGCTCTTCCTGCCCTCCTTGCGCATCTTGTCGAAAATCTTCTCCACTGTTAACTCTCCGGCGAGATAAGCGTTGACATTCTTCTCCTTGAGCGAGAATCGCGCCTTGACCGACTTCTCCCCGGTCCAGTCCTCGCGGTGGGTCTTTCTCTCGACGAAAATCTGATCGCTCTCCATGCCGCCGTACCAACGAAGGCGAATGGCTTCAGCGCCTTCTGTCTTCTTCAAGCGGCCTTCGTACAACTCCCACGTATCAGGGTTGTCATAGTATATCGACGAAATAGCCGTGTCTTTCTCTTCAAATTCCTTGCTTGGATTGAATACGAGTACAGGGAGGTGCTAACGGTGTCAGTACCGGTTCGATGGCAAGGGAAAGTTTGACACAAACACACCTTCAGAATGACGAGCTTCAGTTCCGTGATATTATCCCGGTGAACCCAGTATTTTGTCGTCTGGCGGATAAAGTTCTGCTGTGAACCGCCAGCGGCCGAGTCACCCTTGACGGGGTCGCCCTTGTTGCGGACCAGATCGTACAGCTTTGAGAGTTTCACCACAAAAGCATCGTAATTGTCCTTGAAAAAGGGCTTCGCGTTTAGCCGTGCGGCAAAGACCGGTTTCAGATACCAGCCGGTTTGTTTCTATCAGGCGGCTGGAATTAGCAAGCACTGCATACCACGACCCAGACACACAGCAACGCACATCATGTTTTTTGACGATCTTCTGGAAACCCGTGTAATTCAGTTGGGTGAATTTAGCCAGGTCGTGGACGTCGGCGATGATATCGCTCAGAACCTGTTCGAGAAGCAAAAAATCCTCGTCGCTGGGCAGCAGAGCAGCGGGCCGGTGGTCACTGGGGTGTCGCGCATCGAGAGCGGCTCTGTTCATCCGGGAAACGACATCGTTGACGTCCTTCTCGATCGCCTGAATGCGACGTACAATCTCCTCACTCTTCAGCCTCTGGAAGTTGAACACCTTATCCAGCTCGCTCTCTAGCAGGGCGACAAACCGCTGCTCGTCATCCTCGGTCCAAGGCCTGCGGTCGGGCTTGGGGTTTGCAGGGGTGGGCGGAGAGACAAAATCGATCTTCAGGGCTTTCTTTAATTCATCGTAGGCGATGTAGTACCAATAAAACTCCTTAATCATAGACGACCGTAGGTGTTCGCCGAACCTGTGGTGTGACGAGGACGGCCGGTTAGTCGATGACGTTCTGCGGTCTCGGGAGCTCAACTCACTTCATGATGGGCGACTCAGCACTCCCAGAGGATTCCGGATGCCAGTAGTCCAGGAGAGGATTACAGAGAGTACAGAGATGGATGAGTCCAAAGCAGCAGCGCCCCTTGAGGAACTTGAGGAGGAATTTGAGGAATCGATGCACAGTCCGATGATAAGCGATCACCACAGCTCGACCATAACGCAGGGATTCCGCAGCTGGTTTGCTGTGCAGGCAGTGCGTCCACGGAGACAGGGAAATATTACAACCGAAGAAGAAAAAAAAAAAGAAAAAAAAAAAAAAAAGAAAGAAAGAAAATATGAGGAACGCGGTATCGGGAGAATCGAGGGGCGTTGAAGGCTTAAGCAAGATGGAGCAGCAGCGGCAAGCATGATAGAAGCCACTGGCAGTACGCACGAGATACCTCCGGCGCCATAGCAAATTGTAGGCAACACGAGGTACCCACAAAGTACTCTGGATGCACCATCCCGGTCGATTTACAGCTAGCCGGAACTCAATTCGTCTTCCGTGCCAATTACACCTGCGCGCCTTTGCATGTGCTCTGTCTGTCTCTCTCTGTCCAGCCACAAGCGAAAATCACTGTACGGACTCCGGAGTATTGTTGCGGTGATCCCAAGTCTACCTACGTGGGTGCTGGTATCCATACCCCTACTTTCTCGGCCTGCTCTTCTCAGCCTCATCCGCGGTAGAATCAATGAGTATCTTATATTCCATGAGCCCACGACAGGACGACTCCTTTTAATTTATGAGTCCTGTCACTGTCTTATCATCGCCCGACCGTGCTTGCATCGGCCTGATTGATCCACCAAATTAGCTGTTACTTGGCTCTCAGGATGGAGCTTGATCGCCCCCAGACATTCGCCAATCTAACAAACAATTACCAAATCGCCCCAGCGCGAAGGAAATAGAGTTTATAGTCCCAATTCAAGAGCTCGGTGGCCGTCTGACAATTGCAAAGCTGGTTGATGGAGGAGTTGCTATGGGGACTGTTGCTCATGGGTTCCGTACCACCGTCGAGATATCCCCTCGTTCGGACTCACTCACTTGGCGAGGATATCGTCGAGACCTTTCGCATCAATTCCAGGCTTAATTGGGACCCTGGGGATGTGCGCAGCCTCCAGCTCTTCTGTTGTTATGATGCAGCCATAGCGAACGTGAAGTCCAACACAATAAGCTGTTATCTGCGAAGGTACACGAAGCCATTCGTCCCGGGATATGTCTGCGATCTGGCTGTTCATAAGACAGATATGGCATCAGAGGTATATGCCCTGATATCGTCGTCTTGTTCACAGCTATGGGTTGGCTCGGGGGTTGCGCTATGCCACACAACCCTGCAGAAGGAACAGCAAAGAACAGCAGGACCTGCTGTGTACATGTGTCCTCCTTATGGTTATCGAAACACCGGACACTCTAATTTATGTTCTATCTCCCCCGGAAGATCATTATCAGCATTATTGCCCGGCGCCTGGTAAGAAAAAAAGTAGGCCCATCCCAAGACTGACCAAAACATCTACCCTGACAGGATTCATATGCCCGTGAACCAGGCATCTTTATTAAATAACCCTATCCTTGGAGCAGTCCCTAAACACCTATCGCCATGGCATACACCCCCCCTTGTATATTCCATCCAGTAACTATCCCGACCCCCCAGGTCCATTATTCGTGGTATAAAACAATATCCATCCATCATCGTAAAAGATACAGTTCCGCAGCATCCACCTATAGAAGTGTCCCAGCAACTCGTCTGATACTCCTGCGAGCGCCCTCACCGACCACGTTCACCAAGCCCTCTGTCTGCAAGGACTGGACTGCATCTGCAAAATCGGCCCCGTCGACGCCAATACTGCTCTTATCACTTAGACTACGGTACACGTCGGCCCATCGAGCAGCGCCAGAGCTGTTGCTGAGTTCTTCCACCATGGAGATAATTGCGCGTTTGAGGTCTTCTCTGCGGCGGCGCTCGCTGGCGCTTGTTCCCTCCGTGAGCAAGCCCATGTCGATTAGACCAGTGCGAGAATCCGTGGCCGACTGTTTGATGGCCGACCGGATAAGGCGCACGGCTTCTTCGACGTCGTCAGCAGTGACTTCAGGAGAGAGCCGCATACGGGCATGTGCCTCTGATAGCCGAATCATAGACTCGAGCTGACGGGTGGTAGCAGTAATTCGGCGGTCGTTTGACCGGATGTCATCTCCCAGTTTGCGCATGGCAACATACGCATCAGTAAGTGCCTTCCCAGCTTCTTCAGTCAACACAGGATGTACTTTCGTTTTTGCGTAGGTAATGTAAGCCGTGAGGAATTCGATGGGCTAGGAACGCGGAACGTTAGCAAGCCTCCTTTTTTAATTTCATCTTCAAGACGGACGTAGGGGATAGTCGGAGTTGTCTGCACTTACCAGGACCTCCTCGCTGCTTGCATTCTCGGGTTGATCTTCCAGATACATGCCGACTAAGTGCTTTGCTAGCCGGCGATCCTCCTGTTCATCGACACGATCGAGCACGAGGTACACAAGGTCAAATCGGGAAAGTAAGGTGGGGGGCAAATCAATATTCTGCGGAACTGGTAAATTTGGGTTGTATTTGCTGCCGATTGGGTTGGCAGACGCAAGAATGCTAGTTCTCGCGTTCAACGTAGTTATAATGCCGGCTTTGGCAATGGAAACTGTCTGCTGCTCCATCACTTCGTGTAAAACAGACCGTGTAGACTCGTTCATCTTGTCGAATTCGTCAATGCAGCAGACACCTCCATCTGAGAGAACCAAAGCGCCGGATTCGAGAACGAGTTGTCTTGTTTCGGGATCACGCGTTACATACGCTGTCAGACCGACGGCAGATGATCCTTTGCCGCTCGTATAGACGCCTCGAGGTGCAATCTTGTGAATATATCGGAGTAACTGAGACTTCGCAGTGGACGGATCACCGCAGAGAAGGATGTTGATGTCCCCGCGGTAGCGTGGGTTGCCCCCTTTCTGGAAGGTCTTATTGGTACCTCCGAACAGTTGAAGCAGGATACCCTTCTTTACATCGTCCATTTCATAGATACTTGGTGCCAACGATCGAGCCAGAAGTTCGTAGACATCCGGTCGGGTGGCAGTCTGTTTGATATTCGCTTCTTCCTCGGCCGTGATCTTCCGCGTCTCTTCGACCTCAGCAGCTGCCTGTTCGGAAAGTTCCTGTTCAACGGTCGACACATCAATTCCCAGTTTCTTACGGTCTGTTTTCTGCACATGCAAGACATCTACATAGGTCTTGAATAGTGATTTCTGCGTGCGCTGTCGGGGATTCACGCGCACAGGGTTGCTGCGAAAGATACCAGTGACCTCAACCCGATCACCGGCTTTGCAGACATCCACTAATTCATCATAAACGCAGAGGGAAACTGAGTGAGGCGTCTGTCCGTCGGGGACGTTATCAGGAGTTTCCTGCAGTTTAATGACCTGCTTGTCGGCAAAGACGCAGCGATTGTGGATGAGCTGCATTGAGTTCCGCTCTCCACAGACCGGTCGAGGGCAGATGGTAGGTTCCGCGATTTTTCCTCGGTCGATATCGACCTGGACCCCATGGTTGCAGACCTGGCAGCGGAAGAATGCTACACGGCGGGTATCTTAGTATCCGAACACCCAAGTACTTCAGAGGACTCAGTTACCTTCTTTCATATCAGGAATGATAGGCGTCGCTCTAATAACCAATCCTTTGATGCTGATCAATTTGTCCATATCTAACGTGTCGATCAGTAATAACTTCTGGATGTTTTAGAGGCTTAACGTACCAGCTGGATCCAAGTCTCTCATGTTCACGGTTTCATCCAGTCCAAATGGGAGCACCTTAAACGTCTTGGTTTCTACCTCTCCTACAAGATCCGGGATATCGACCTGCGGAACCCGACCAGCCTCGCTCATAGCATCAGAGCTGGGAACTGGGGGAGCGGAGCCGAGGTCTCTTGCATGTAGTTGGTTTCGATGGTTTTGGCTGCGCAGCTGCTCCATCTCCTTGATTGCAAGCTCCACCATCACATCCTTCACGGTCTGGTCCATCAGAGGAATGATTTCTTGTGGGTAGTCTTGGAGTTGGTGCCAGATCTTCAAGGTCGAAGGGTATGCCTTGAGATTCTTAACATCCAAATTCAAGCTGGTAATGCCCAGCTGTCGCATGTTGTTCAACGCAATGATATACTCCTTTGCCTCAGCCTCGGCTCCCATTAGACGAGTATCCCCCTCTGCCACACCCTCGGCCCAAAGTCGGTATTTCTTTTGAAAGTTGTAGAGGAAATTCTTGAATGCAGACATGGAATCTTGAATGGAGATATTAGTACCCCAGATGACGCGAGTTGAGCTCCCTCCCAGGGCTTCAGCTTCCGATGTGTCCGGGTGTATATTCGAGAAAGTCGCATCTGATTGCGGCTCTCCGTCTCGTACGGGCATGCCATTAGCATCCACAAACATTCTCCGTCTGCGACTCGGCGAGGAACCGAAGCCACTGGAGTTAATATCGCTACGGCGAGACAACACAGCACGGTGACCGCTAACTTCAGGTCGTGAAGACACAAAAAGCCCACTGCTACTACTAGGAATATCTGAACGAGGATCTTGTCGCCCATGGCCGCGTGTTGGACTGGAGCTGGATACGTAGCGGATCGGAGAAGAATCTGACGATATTATCAGCGATTACTAGTGGCGTCGACAAAAAGCATGAATTGAGCAACTAGAAACCCTTACCTCTCATAAGATTGTTTGGTCGGGGAGTAGTATCGCCATCGTTGATGGGTGAACTAGGTTCCATTCTAACATCAGGTGTCTCAGCGTTGCCGTTTCCTCTCGTAGGAGAAGATTGGAAAAACATGGGCGAAGAGGATGGAATAGCCGCTTCGCCTCTGAGCCTTCTCGATGCGCGAGGGGTTGTCTGAGATTGTGCGGGTGCAGGACTGCTCATTGTGGGATTCTGTCGAGACCTTGTTGAATGAGCCGGGGAGGCAGTGGCCGAATCTCTAGCCGGTCGACCGCGGCGACGAGAAGAAGCTGGAGATGACATGATGGAGGGTTCCGAAACAGTGGTTTTATCGGAGTGAGAATGAGGAGAATGAGGAAAATGCGAAGAGGAGTAGGTGTTTGTTTGAGCTGCGCTGCCGAAGCATCGGTGCAGATAAAATTGGAGTTTGATTGCCGCGACGCGTTTTAGCGCGACTCCGTTAGAGACGCGTTAAGTACTTCCTCTTTGGGGCAGCGCGTCTCAATTCTACATCACGTGGTTATTTAGGCTTGTTAGACGTCACCTGGTTTCTGCCTGTGTAGACCGCCCTCGCCTGGCCTAGCACGGTTTAGGAAGTGCGTATCTAGATAGCTTGCAATAAATATCCATCTTGCACAGCCACACGCTAGCAAATCTAAATCACGTGGAGCCCTATCCCATTATGGTTAGCCGATCTGTACTCTACGCTAACCCAGTCCGGTAATGTACTTGTTCCTCGTTCATTGCCTGCTGTAAAGAAAGAAAAGAATGTAGCTTCAAGAAATGACAAAAAGAAAGCAATTCCAAAATTAGACATCCCAATGGATGGCATTTTGCGCCTACGCCAGTCCTTGTGCTCTAGCTGAGCGACGTGAAACAGACTATTCCGTTGGGCTACTACGCTGTCCCACCGCGCGTGTTCGTCGGTTTCAGAAGGCGCCGGGCAACAGCGCTCAGTCTCTGCTGGCGATTGGGGATCTGCACGCCAGAAGAACCCAATCTCATCCTTAACAAGGCAGGGAATCGTTACGGCGAGCGGCACAAAGCAGCCTCGGCTGTCGTCATCTTTCTTGTTCGCTCTTCGTGAAGTTCGTCTTGTCTCCCAGCGCTTGCTCCTGTCCTACATCACAACGGCAGATGTCTTTTTCGAATTATCTTGCTGACAGTGCTGTATATTCTAGGATAGTCTGACTATTAAATTTTGCAGCTTGTAATACTCGCAAATTTGTCTCTCGCTGTCCACGTTTATCTGCCCTGGGATTTGTGATGTGGTAGTATACCTTCTTGTTCTTTCCTTGAGAACAGCCCTGTCTTCAACCCCTTTATTTCATGCTTGTTTGCCATTCCGACACACAGTTTGGCCGTTCTTCAGGATTGGTGAAGACACCTCGCTCCCCTTATCAACATGTCTGGTGGTCTTGAAAGCGCACTGGAAAATGCAGGTGGTACTGGACACTCCAGCGAAGGTGTCACTGTCAAGACCTTCGTTGCTTCGCTAGCCACTGCCATCATTGTCTTTTCAGTTGAATTCCTCCTGTTCCTTGTTTTGAAAGGGAAACTTACCCGCATATAGTGAGTCTGCATGGAACTACCTGGACTACCTGACCGTCTCTAACTTCAAGATCCCTCGCAGTCAACCACGAACGTATTTGGTCCCTGATCGAGAACGCACTGCGCCATCGCCTCCTGGTCTGTTCCGATGGATTGGTCCTGTGTTTCGCACATCTGATTCAGAGTTCATTCGCAAGTGTGGAATGGATGCATATCTATTCTTAAGATACCTGCGTATGCTTCTCAAGATCTTTCTACCATTGGCCATTCTTGTGCTACCGATCCTACTTCCACTGAACAAAGTCGGTGGGAAAGACACAAATTACCAAAATGGTACCGACACCTCTCCTCGCTGGAATGTCACCGGGCTAGACCAGCTTGCTTGGGGAAATGTCTCCCCGGAGCACACGCACCGCTACTGGGCACATCTGGTGATCGCTGTCATTATTGTCGTATATGTCTGCGCTGTATTCTTCGATGAACTGCGCGGCTACATTCGTCTCCGACAAGCATACTTGACTTCCCCACAACATCGATTACGGGCATCAGCTACGACTGTTCTGGTAACAGCAATACCACAGAAATGGCTTAGCCAAGAAGCTTTGCTGTCTCTGTACGACGTATTCCCCGGTGGGGTTCGCAATGTGTGGAATAATCGAAACTTGGACGAGCTTAACGAGAAGGTGAAGTTGCGAGATTCAATTGCCCTGCAGTTAGAAGCAGCAGAGACGGAATTGATCAGGAAGTGCAAGAAAGCCCAGTTGAAACAGGCAAGAGACGCGGCTAAAAAGACTGGAAGACATGGAGAAATGGACGGCGCTAAAGAGAAATCGGATAATGCGTCTCCGATGGCCTTGAGCCCGGGAGTCAGTTCTGGGAATCCGCATCAGGTCGTCCACACTATCGATGAAGCCTTGCACCAACAGACCGATACGGCCGGCCCAAGCATTTCCGATGGTGATGGACGTCAAAACAATAGCCATCGACCTGCTGCAACAAAACTAGGAAAGTCGGTTCTCGGGAGCTTCAAGAAGGTCGAAGGCGGTTTTGATCATTTTCTAGCGGGGGCTCGAGGCTTTGTTCCACCAGAAACAACTCCTCCGCTTGGACAAGGTGATACGGTGGGAGCTGGCATAGGCCCTGGCTATAACTTCCACAGGAACGACCTTAGCAGCAGTGAGGATGCTGGACATCCACATCAAACCTCGAAGAATGATTCAATGGGTTTGGGTCTCAGACGGCTTTCTTGGAGGAATCGGCTTCCATCCCAGTCGAAGATTAACACTGAGGTAAACCCCCGGGAGGACGAGTATCCTTTAACAAGGCTCGAGACCCCTGCCAGTAGACCGACGACACAAGGCTCCGGGGCGTCCAACTTGCGAGAGGAAGAGAAAACTCGCAGCCGAAAGGAAACAGAGAACAACGATGGAAAAGAATATCCCATTGCATACAACGAGAATTTTGACAACGAGGACTTCGGGGAGCCACTTTGGAGGAAGTACATTAAAGAAAAGGATCGCGAGACGATGCGTTTGCCTCTTTTTGGTATCAGTTGGATGCCATCGCTTTGGCTCATTGGCAAGAAAGTGGACACTATCGATCACTGCCGCAAGGAACTGGCCAGACTGAATCTGGAGATCGAAATTGATCAACAGCACCCCGAGAAATTCCCGCTGATGAACTCTGCCTTTATCCAGTTTAATAATCAAGCGGCTGCCCATATGGCTTGTCAAGCTGTCAGTCACCACCTCCCAAAGCAGATGGCCCCTCGCGTAGTGGAGATATCCCCTGACGATGTGATCTGGGATAACATGTCCATCAAATGGTGGGAGCGTTATATCAGGACATTCGGTATCCTTACGCTTGTATGTGCTATGGTGGCTGGGTGGGCATTCCCTGTTGCGTTCACTGGCCTGCTCTCTCAGCTTGCATATCTAGAAAATGCTTTTCACTGGCTGAGGTGGATAAGCACGCTACCAACATGGTTCATTTCCGCTGTCCAGGGTATTCTGCCAGCCCTTTTCCTCGCCATTCTTATGGCCCTGCTACCCTTGATTCTTCGGTTTCTATGTAGAGCTCAAGGCGTCCACACGGGCATGGCGGTCGAAATTACCGTCCAGAACTATTACTTTGCCTTCCTCTTTGTCCAGTTGTTTTTAGTCGTTTCGGTTTCGTCCAGTTTCTCGACCATAATCGACAATGCCACAGATGTCACCAGCTGGGCCTCTGTCTTGGCGCAAAATATACCCAAGTCTAGCAATTACTTCTTCTCCTATATGATTCTCCAGGCATTATCAGTGAGTGCTGCCGCGTTAGTGCAGTTATTCAATCTAGTCAGCTGGTTTGTGCTTGCACCGTTGCTGGATACAACTGCAAGGAAGAAATGGGCGCGAACGATGAATTTGAGCCAGATACAATGGGGTACCTTCTTCCCAGTCTACACAACCCTAGCATCGATAGGTGAGCTCCCCCCTTCTCTTACAGAGAGATGTTCGCCCATAGTCTGTTACTGACGGCAACAAGGGTTGATCTACTGCGTCATCGCGCCCTTGATTTTGGTCTTCAACGTGATCACATTTGGCCTTTTCTGGATTGTCTACCGCTACAACACGCTTTATGTTACCAAGTTTCGATTTGACACTGGGGGACTGCTCTTTCCCAAAGCCATTAATCAGCTGTTCACAGGGCTCTACGTGATGGAGCTTTGCTTGATTGGACTGTTCTTCTTGGTCCGTGATGTTGACGGCCGTGTTGCATGTAAGGGCCAGGGAATTTGCATGGTTGTTGTCCTCATCCTCACGATTACATACCAAATTCTCCTTAATGAGGCTTTTGGTCCTTTGATTCGGTATCTACCAATTACTCTGGAAGACGATGCTGTTCGACGAGACGAGGAGTTTCAGCGCGCCCAATGGGAAAGATTAGGTCTTATTAACAGCAGCAGAGGAGGACATGATTCCACTGAACACCAGATAACAGAGGTCGAGAGCCGAGAACGACAAGGTGGCCAAACAGCTCAAGCTATAGAGCTTAAAACCCTCGAAGATGCCAATTTAGAGAAGAAGACGCGGTTCCCAGAGCCACAGATGCCTGCCCCCAGGCGCCAGTCCTGGGCAGATCGTTCTGTACACCAGCGTTCTAGATACTTTGGAGGCCACAGAGACGCAACTATTCCCAGTGTCCGTCATATGCAAGAGAAGTTGGCTCATGATGCTGAGGCGCAAGGGCCCGCAACTAACACGGTTGGCCGCGCATTATTTGCCGGCATACATGACGAGCTAGAAGACCTTACCCCAGACGAGCGTGATCTGCTTGTGCAGCGGGCGTTTCAGCATGAAGCACTGCGGGCCAAACGACCAGTAATCTGGATCCCGCGAGATGACCTCGGTGTCAGCGACGATGAGGTGTATCGGACACAGCGGTTCAGCAAACACATCTGGATCAGCAATGAATATCAGGCACTGGACGGCAGGTGTCGTCCGATCTTCAGTCGCAGTCCTCCAGACTTTTCCGAAATCGACCTGATTCAGCTGTAGTCTGTTTGATGCCTTCACCGCGAAATGTCAGACAAGCCAATATCCATTTTCCTTTCCTATTTTTCATTGCCAGCACTGTTTAACATTCTGGGGGATTAGATTTGGCGCATGGGGAGCTCTTTTTTTAACAAATTTGTATTTCGAGTTACTGCTTTCCTGTCTTTTTGCGGCATATTCGGTCAAGATACCCCAATACAATACAACATATTATGATGGTGAACGAGTTGTGTAGCTGTACATAGCATGGTTAGGAGTTGTCTTTGTAGGAATAGCTTGATATGCAATGGGACCGATGGATTGCATTTAGCATATACGGGTATCTTTGCAAATGGTCTTCATTCTTTTCGGGTATCAGACCAGAAACACCATGTCTTAAGCATATACAGATCAATCCATATACCTACACACAGGCAGGCGATAGTTCTCAATAGCCCAATACGGCCTCCTGACTCCTTCCCACTCTCCGTCGAGTTTAGGCACCTCGAACTCCTCCCATTCCACATCAAATCCAGCCTCGAACAGATCCATCTCTACAACCTTCTGATAGACATCATAACTGATCTGCCTATCAGCCCCCATCCCATTGAAAAATCCCCATTTCCCACCCTCCTCCAACAACCCAATGACCTGCTCATTAAAGAACTCCCGAAAATCACTATAATTCTCTGCGAACGTATCGTAGTAGATGGCATCAAACATGACGCCCTCCGCTACAAGCGAGGGGAGAACATCCTGCCACTTCCCCTCGTGGATATGGACGCCCGGTTTCTCGTGCCAGCCTTTGCGTTTCATTTCCTCCACGACGGACGGGTGTGCCTCGACGATGTGGTGGGCTGAAGGGGAGAGGGATTGGATGACGGTGTCGATTATGCCCATGCCGTGGCCGATGTTGAGGACGCGGAGGGATGGGTTGGGGAAGAGCTTTTGGGCGGATTTGGTCATTATGTCTGTTTCCCAGGACATCATGACGCCGTTTTGGTCTTGGTCAAGGAGGCGGTCATTTCGGAAGGTTAGGTTCGAGGAGAGGTAGCGGGGGTTTGTCACGGAGGGGTTTGTTGTTGCTCCTGCTGCTGTTTGGGGTTCTGATGCTGATGCTGATGCTGGTGGCTGTTGGGTTGTCGTATCAACTAGGTCAGGGATTGATTCACCATGTTCCTCTGTTTCGGGGACAGGTTCGTTCTCGTCTTCATTTTCATTCTCATTCTCCTCATCGTCATCATTGTCGTAGTCATCGTCGTCAAGCGGCTCATATCCATCCAACCGATTCAATAGCAACTCAGCCCGTACTCCAGCATCGACCATGGTGTCATATAACTCCATTGCCCCTAATCGTCTCGCGATACACCCGGGTGTCTCATCATTCAAATCTAAATCATTCCAAATAGCCCCCTCCTGGAGGAGAAACCGAACCGTTTCCACCGCAGACTGTAGTACATTTTCCTCTTTCTTCTTATTATCACCTCTGCCATCGTCGTCGCCAGTCCCATTGGCATGATTCTGATCCTGAACTCCATTCGTCTCGTTCACACCATTTGCAGCGGGCTTTTTCTCTCCTTTTTCTTCTTCCGCTTCTTCAGTTTCGCAGGCCGCAATGGCCGCATGGAGAGGCGAGTATCCCGTTTCAGGATCTTTGACGTTCACGGGATTGCCAATGTTGCTGTTGTTCTCATTTGCGCGGATTAGCTGTCGCAGCTTGGGAATGTCGTGGTTCGATGCCGCGAGGAGGATCTCTTGGACGTCTGTGTCGACGTTGATTGTGTCCAGGTCCATATTGCTTCTTTCTTTCTTCTTTCGTTAGCGACGTGATTTTTTTCGGTAAAGGAAAACGACTCTGGAACGTACACTGCATATGCTGGGTATAATTGTGGTAGAATTATTTCTTCGACAATGGAGAGAGACAACGATTGCACAAATATTTTTTGCGGTCCCAAAAAAAAAGGTTATCTCCGCTCCCGGGAATTGGGTGGCATCGCTGGTTCCAATCGTCATGGATTACCGTCATTCTCTTGTTCCGGATAGTGCTAGGATCTAACGAACATGGAGGACTACTTCAAGAGAAGAGAGTTATTCAGTCGCTGATTCAAATATCCCTAAATCCACTATTTGTACATATGACCGCAGTATTCAGCACGATGAGTTAATCAAACAGACAACCTGCAACTGATCCACGCCCTGTCGTTCCTTTTTTGGGTTTTCTATTCCATTTCCTTTCTTCCAATGGCTCCTGTTCTTGTTTCAGACATTCATTTTGAGGTCTCCTCCCCGGTTGCGTTAACATTCAGACCCAGGTTCTGTGTGTCCAAGTACAACTTGTTCTTGCCACCAGATTCCTGCAGGATCGAAGCAATCTGTCTAGCATTCTCGATCCGACGAAGCTCAATATAGCTCTTGCTCTTCTTGATGGCCTCTCCAATGAGTTCTGCTGAACGGGCTTCACCCTGGGCACGGACGATGGAAGCTTGCTTCTCTTGGCGCGCCTTGTCGACGAGGAAGGCAGCCCGCTGAGCCTCCTGTTGGGCGACCTGCTTGGCTTCGACGGCAGCGGTAAATTCGGGAGAGAAGGTCAAATGCTAAAAGAAAAGAAAAGGTTAGAACTGTTAATCATCCTTTTCTCTAATGTAGTTTCGTCATAGAAGGGCACGTACAGTGAGAGAGACATCATCCAGAGCAATGTTGAAGCGAGCTGCTCGTCTAGCAAGGTTGTCCCGGACTAACCGCGCGACATTCTCTCGCTGCGTGATCAACTGACTAGCGTTGAACTGAGCAACAACGCTCTTCAAGACCTCATTCACGATGGAGGGGAGCACCCTCTCATCAAAGTCTTGTCCAAGCGTGCGGTATATCTGGGGCAGCGCATCTACCCTAGGTCTCGATAGAACACGGCAAGTGATGTTCACCATCTGCAGATCCTTGGTGCCAGTGAGAGAGGCGATGCTTCGGGGCTTCGCGCGGACGTCGTAGATGACCGGTGTCTCCAACCACGGAATCCTGAAATGTGTTCCTACAGCGAAGTTATTCATCAGCTCCTTTGTAACTTTTGACGATGCCCAAGACTGTATCATGAATAAGGATTCCACTCATACCTTCATTGTAGATCTCCTTCTTCACACCACCTATCCTCGAGTATTTGATAGCACGATGACCACCGTCGACTGTTCCACAGTGTCAGCAAACCAGCCATGATACCGCAAAGCTTCATAAAAGCAGCCCAATCTCTCACCGTTGAAGAGTGAATCAGAAATAGCCCATCCTCCGATACCCAGCACGATCAGGCTTCCCAGAGCTCCCAAGCCGCCGCGACCGCCCGGCAGACCACCACCGCCAAAGTTGATCCGCGGGCGAGCCCCTCGGTTCTGTAGAATGATCTGGAGCTTCTCCCAGTGATCTCCGGGTCCTCGAGACATGATGCTGGGTGTGGACGAAGAGGTTGTTTGGGGTGATTGAGGTTTGCGGAGAACGAGGTTTGAGTTCCGGCTGGACGTCAAAACTTCGGACTAGCACGGCGCATTACCCGAATAGGAACTCTGCCAGGTCAAAGAACTCTGCTGCTTCTCCTCCCGCCACCACGCGATCCTCGTCTCTCCTCAGCTCTCCTCGTGAACTGAGCCCTTTATTCTTTACCTGCGAACAGATTCAGAACTATTCTGACAGATTGTACACCTCGTGTTGCTGAGATCCGCGACTCAGATCGCCTGCACGTCACACGAAGCTCTTCTCGCCGCCCGCCTAGCTACTCGATTATCTCTATTCAACCAGCTTGGGAGCTTAACAACCGGAGAGTTTCAGCTATATCACAAACATGGCGCCCGAAAGGACAGGAAAGAGCGTCTTTCTCGGGAATATCCCGTATAGTATGTCATCTGCGCGTGCAAAGGAGAACCTGTCTTGAAAAATTTATGCTAACGAAATGCGTCTTCAGATCTCACCGAGGAACAGGTCAAGGATATCCTCAGTTCCGCCGGCACAGTTACAAAATTCCGCCTCATGATGAACCCGGAAACGGGAAAGCCAAAGGGATACGGATTTGCTGATTTTGCTGATGCAGACGCTGCCGCGTCTGCGGTGCGAAATCTCAACGACTACGAGATTATGGGACGGAAGATCCGCGTGGACTGGCCACATAATAATGAGAAGGACTCGATACCTCCAGACTACTCCCAGCAATCGCAGATTGGGCAGGATGGTCTTGGAGGTGCCCAGCAGCAGCCTTCAGCGGCTCTCCCTCCTCTGCCGCCCGGCGTCGAGCTCCCTCCTCATTTAGACTGTCCCAACGCCATTTCTCAAACCCTCTCGTCTCTTCCTCCAAACCAGTTACTCGAAGTCCTCTCGCAGATGAAGTCCCTAGCCACGGCAGATCCCGCGCGAGCGACGGAATTACTTCGACAGGCTCCTCAACTCGCCTATGCCATCTTCCAGGCCCTCCTCCTTATGAATCTCGTCGACTACACTACTCTGGGTTCCGTCGTTGAGCAGGCGACGGTGCAGCCTACAGCTCCTGCGGCTGCAGCACCGGCTGCAGCACCGGCTCTGCAGCCGTTCGGCGTAGCTGCTCAGATCTCTACTCCGCCCGTGGCCACATCACCTTTCGCCCCTCCACCTATTCCGCAACAAAATCCGGTCCAGCAACAGATTCCAGGACAGGAAGAACTACTACAGCAAGTCCTTACTATGCCCCAAGCGGCCATCGATGCTCTGCCCCCATTGGAACGGAGCCAGATTATGCTTCTAAGACAGCAGTTGATGCAAGGAGGTTTGCGGTGATCATTTCTTTTTCTGAATCTACATTTCTTTTTTATTTTTGATTGTTCCGGGATGGTTAGTATGGAGATGGGCAAAATAAAACAATCTAATTCATCGGCAATGGGACAGCAGCGATGGTGAACGGTAACGGCGCAAGCGGCGAGTTTTATTTCATTTCAACAACATCTAGAATATAAGGTTCGCATATCTTGACCCAATGGATGGGCAAATGTTCTTGTATATCTGAAAAGAGAGGGATAGCAGAGCTACAATAGGATCTGTGGCTTCTCTGAATTGACCTTGAGTCTAATACCCAAAAAAAAATTTTTTTAAAAAAAAAAATACATATCTACTCCGTAGTAGGTAATATCTTCAGATCCCAAACCTCCCCCGAAGACAAGGCGTCAGCAAATTCCCCTCGATAATCTCCTGCTTCCTTGCCAGCATCTCATCCACATCCCACCACGCCGTCATAACTCTCCCAGACAGAAACTTCCTATCACCACTAGACAGCCATACCGCAGTATCTCCTGCAAGTTCTGGTGTATCCCGAATGAACGGGACAAGAATGGGAATATTCGTCGCAACCTCCGTGGCAATGAAACCTGGGTTAAGCGCAACACAAGTAATACTAGGATATTCCTCTGCTAGGTGGGAGTTGATTTTGATGCTGGCCAGCTTGGAGATGCTATAGGAACTCAACCCGGCTGCGACATGTGTGGCTGCCTGCGAGGTGACGTTGATTATGGTTGTTGGCGAAGTTGGATTTGTGCCTGTTACACCTAGAAAGGCTTTCGTCGTTATGTATGTCCCTTTGACATTTACCTCCTTTGTATTGCAGATAGTCAGCTAGTGAGTTCCGCGTACATAAATGCATCTAGGTATACTGAGCAATAAAGTTCCACTTACTTGAATCTTCCACCATGATTCACTGTCGGAACTGGCAATGTTCTCCATGGTCATGGCTGCTGCATTGTTAACCAGGACGCTTGGAATGCCGACTCGCTTCACAGTCTCCTGCATGGCATTTTGGATGCCAGCCTCATCGAGGATATCCACGGCAAACGAGAGCACTTTTGTGTGTGGATTGATCCGTTTAATGAGATCCTCTGTCTGGGCTAGATTGGAAGTAGACCGCGCAATGAGGACGATAGCAGCAGCATGGGCACGGGCAAATGAGGCAGCAAATCCCTTGAATAATAGATCAGCAAGGAAAAAGAGTGTTAAAAGTGTTGGAATTAACCCTTCCTAAATAATCAGACGGAGGCAATATGTATGCAACGGACCTGTTTTCCTATCCCACGACTGGCACCAGTAACGATGACAACTTTTCCGGCTTGAGAAAGCTCTGGCTGGGTCGGATCTATGGATGGATACGTATCTCGGTAGTACTTTTTGGTAAAGCATTCCATTTTGGTGATTAAATCCGGGTCTGGGATTGTTTGAGGTTGAGCCATAGTTAGGCTTTCCTTGCGCTGTTGGGTTGTGATGCTGTTGATATGTACGACAGTAAAACAGTAAAACAGAACAAATCAAGCAGAAATAGAGGGACAGCACCTTAATATATCCAACGATCTCCATATCACAGCATTTACGAGATGATCAGCGCATAAGCTTGACCATTTTGGCTTCTGATAAACTTTTTGTAACCATAATCATATTAATCGGTATCAAGAATGGCTGTCTGATTCGAGTGAGAAGATCCCATAGCCAAGTGCTTATGCATAGCGCATACTAAGAATAGCTATCCCAGTCAACGTTACAATATTCTGAGTCCAGGGCTTACTGTAAGCAGTGCCTTGAATATTTCTGAATTATCCCAGAGCTGCAATTCCCGAGGACCTCCCAAGTTGCCATATATATACGTAGACCATATACATATCGCCATGGCATGGACCCAGCATGATGATGGCTACTGGACTCGGCCACTAGACTACCACGACAAAACCCTCGAAGCCGTAGGCGAGGTGGGAAACCCATACGATCATGAGAACTGGTTGATTATGGTAACCACACGGCCTAGATCTAATGATCTAATGCACAAGATGCCCTTGAGCCGGCTACAGAATGTATGGAAGGCACTCCGATTCCAACACCCCGACATAGCACCGGAGCTCCACGACGCCTGGTGTAATGCAACGTGCCGGGTCCATGCCGACGTGCGTTCCGCCGATGAGCTCTTCGCTGGCCAGCTCTACGCTGCAGCGATTGACGCAACCTGCCACTGGGTTCTAGCAAGTTGTCAGCTCGTCCTAGTGTCTTCCTGATACTGCACGAGCTGCTATCCTAGCTGGAAAATGCGAGACGACTTCCCGCTATCTTCAACGGCAGCGAGGTAGGTAACCCTGTACCCACATTGGATGAGGTAGTCGCAATGCCAGCCGTGCAGAACATGAGCTGGGATAGGCAAGCGGATGAGCTGTTGGGAACGCTCCTCGACGGTCAGCTGTCCATCGGGCTGCGGAAGCCAGTCGGATCCACGTACAGCTGGCCTTTGCAGAAGTGGTTGGGGGCTTTAAGGGATAGTTTGCTGGGGAATCTTCGGATGGGGGCTGGGTCTTAGCTGTATAAAGCTGCAGCCTCAGTTAGCTCGTTCCCTTCTTCAAATCACAAAGAAAATATCCCCTCTGCAGTCAGGTCAGCCTTTGCAATGTTAGGGACTGAATGCTGAATGAATACGTGTGAGTTTAGGCGTCTGAGTGTCTAACAAGAGTAAACTCACATGGCGCAGCTGGACAGCCAACAGTGGCAAACTGTAGAGAGGATATCTCAAGTTCCAGTGTAGACATCTGCAGTCTATGCAGCATCATGAGGGAAGGGCTGCATTCGTTTATCTATGGCCTGCTGTCATTCAGGTTACAGTGTAGATTGGAAAGGAAAGACTTCTCCAAGTCGTAAGAGTGTCCACTGTAGAATGATGTGAAAATAGACAAAGAGTAGGGCTATGCTACTACAACAAGGGCCCACCCACATTCACTTTCTCCATGCCCTGAAGCACACAAACACAGACATGCAAAGAGATTTCTCCCTCTAGATCCTTTATTTCCTTTATTTCCTTTGCTTTACTTTGTTTCTCCCCTTCCAATACACGTGACTTGCATGTGCCCTACTGTCAACACATACCTCTTTGCCTCCTAAACACGTAACAAAAACAGTCAAACAGTTAGGAAAGTTCATTGTATCCATTTGGCACGTCTTGTGCCTCTTCCACTCTCATCATGAATGAGCAAAAGGTGGTTGTCTCACTCAAGAGGAGCAACTCGGCCATGTCATCTCCAGCAGGAGAACGTCCCTCAAAGCGTGCCGCCTCAGAGAGTGACGACGACTGTGAATCCCTCGGAGTATTGACCCCTAAATCAAATTCTCCCCAGGCTGAAATCGAGAAATGTGAGGTGTCAAGGGAGCGTGAACAGCAACTAGACAGCGATATCCCCGAGGTCTGCAGATCGCAGCCATATTCCGGACCCAGGCGACAGCGAACGCAGCTAGCTCTCGGTCTCCCCCCATTGAACAAACTGGAGGATATCTACAAGAGCTTAACCGCGCGTGCAATCGATCTGAAGTTCGACGACTTCCTGTCCCATGTCGGATCGAAGCCCTTACGCGTCGTAACCATGTGCTCAGGGACTGAAAGCCCGCTTCTGGCGTTGGAAATGGTGCGACAGAGTAAGTCGTCACCCTTGCAGGAAGCGCGTAATTCCTTGTCTTGTTCTAACAGCCAAAAAAAAAAAAAAACAAAATTCAGGTCTTCAAAAGCATTTCAACAGGGACTTCGTCTTCAATCACCTGTTCAGTGCTGAAATCGTCCCCTTCAAACAAGCCTACATTGAGCGAAACTTTCACCCGCGCTTCATCTTTCGTGATGTCACCGAGTTGAAGGACAGAGTCGCGTAAGTGAAAGATAATAGACGAAAGAAAAAAAACGGGGCTGCATCTCTTTCTCATGCTGTAACTAACGGTAATCTCCCAAATAGACAAACAGCATACGGCTCGATAGAGAAAATACCCAAGAATGTCGACATGTTAGTAGCCGGATTCTCCTGCGTCGACTTCTCAAACCTCAACAATAAAAGAAAGACCCTTGACGAAAAGGGAGAGTCTGGTGGCACGTTTTGGGGGATCGTTCGATACGCGAAGATATATCGCCCTCGTCTCGTTATTTTGGAGAACGTCAAAGGTGCCCCCTGGAAAGCCATCCGAGAGCACTGGAACGAGATCGGGTACTACACCATCCACAAAGATGTAGATACCAAGGCATACTACCTCCCCCAGACTCGTGAGCGAGGCTACATGTTCTGTGTCGACAAGGGACTTATGAAAAGGAACAACCTGTCACAGGACAGTATGTCCCAGTGGTCGTCGGTACTCGATGACTTCAAACGACCGGCAAGCTGTCCCGCTGGAATGTTCCTGATTAACAATGACGACAGGCGCCTCGAGCAAATCGAAATGGAAATGCGCAATATCCAGCCTCCTTCACGAGTGATAAACTGGTCCAAGTACCAGATCCGGCACCAAAGCTATCGGCTGAACCAAGGTCTTGGGTATAAGCGTCCCATAAGCAGATCTCAGGATAATGGTGTTTGTCAAATGCCAGACTTTGCGTGGCAGGCATGGATGAGGACATTGCCAGAACGCGTGTGGGATACCCTTGACGTCAACTATCTTCGTAAGCTCATCGAGGGATATGACATGAATTACAAGGAGTAAGTGAATACCGAATTTTCCGCACACACACACACACACGTGAGCCGGATAGGAAGAGAACACCGGCTGATGGAAACAAATAGACGATGCATTGAGCTTTCCCAGGGCCTCGATCGAGAGATGGATACTCGAGCCTTTGGAATTGTAGGATGTATCACTCCAACTGGTATCCCTTATATTACGACGAGAGGTGGCCCACTTTGCGGTCTCGAATCGCTTGCCTTGCAGGGTTTGCCGCTCGACCGTCTCATCCTGACGCGAGAGACGCAAAGGGAACTCCAAGACTTGGCTGGAAATGCTATGAGCTCGACTGTTGTCGGTGCAGCAATCCTCTCAGCGCTGATTGTTGGGCACAAAGTCCTGGATCAAGGCGACCAGCAGCATGAAACTCTGAAAGAGGCAAAAGGTCCCCAGCATAAGGAGCCCATCTCTGAGAGTTCATACACTATGATACCGCAGGATCTCAAATTAGGCGAGGTCTCAGACATAGACCTGGAAAAGATCCTGCTAGAAGCCATGGCCAGCGCGAGATATTGTATGTGTGAAAGACAGTCCACAGTCCAACGGAACATCTTGAAGTGCACACTGTGCCAGCATACTGCTTGTTCGGCCTGCGCGGGAAACCCGTCTCACTCGTTTGAACGCCTGCAGGACATTTCTCGAAGCCAGCCGTTGGACTTTATTCGGAAACTCGGACAAGTACTTCCAGCAAGGCTAGTTCTTTCGAACCTCTGCCGTGACGATTATGATCACTTTAAAGCGGATCCATCGTGCAATGTCACTGGCTCTTTGTGGGAAGATTTCTTGCATGCTGTAACGCAAGCAGTCGACGACGAGCTTCGGTTTCGAGAAGTCAAAAGAAACGATGTTTGGACAGTCATCTATGAAGGCAGGTTTTCTATCTTGAACCTCGTTATCAACTCTTCCGGATTCAAGTGGCTGCTCTTCGCAAAGCCTTCCGATGAAGAGCCTGCCTTATGTCTTAACCGTGAAATATTCTCTAAGCCCATAGCAAAAATGGCACCTTATCCCGGTTATCTTCTCCAAGGGAAATGGGAAATCTGTGCGCCTCTGAGCTGCAGAACCACATTGAACATCGCGGGAACCGGGACCCAAATCGAGTCCTTGGAATCAAAATGTGGGCTCGAAGGGCCTGAATTTTTTGGATCGAAAATCTGGAGTCATTTGACAGTTTCAGGCTCAGACGAAGCCGCGCAAAATTTCGAGGTTGATGTTCGAGGAACTTATGAGCTGCTGCCAAACTGTGGCACAGCTAATGCGGCTCTGCATAAAAAGGAAGCGACGGACAACTCTCCCACAGTATATCTCTTTTTGGATCCCACGAAACTGGGGCAACCGGAATATGATTCGTTTGTATTCTCTTTGGAGCACAATCGAAACCCTGGATACTCATCGAGACAAACAATTGCCGAAGTTTCCCATAGATGGCGTTCTTGGAAAGCAACTAACAGCAACAAAACAGTCAATGTGTACTATCGGAAGTGGTCAGAGATTCCCAAGGTCACTTTGGAACCTTATCTCCCTCAGGCAGAGATAGAATGCGAGATTCTTGATCCAAGGATAAAATTTCCAATTGGACACACGGAATGCCACAATGCAAATATGACCCTGCTACAGTTCTCGGCCCCGGCACAAGCAGTCGAGTCCCTCTGGGAACAGGGTCCCTGGAAGGTCACTGATCTTTTGGATTCTTCAGCATCATTCGGGGACTTTTCTTGGTTGCTCCAAAGAGGTGCTTCATTTTGCGAGTTTTACGATTGGAACAACATAATCATAACTCCTGACAGCGAAAGTGGCCACATATGTAGGGTTTGTGTTCCGAGGAAGCCTCGAATCTTGTGGAGTCGTCACAAAGATAACAAGCTGAGGGCATACGAAGATCCTCACGATGCGGCTCTGTATGAACGTCAAATGAAGGTGAGACCAGCCCTATTTTTGGCTTTCAGGAGAATCAATGAATTGGGACATGGGTGTTTCCGTGTGACTCTTAATATCCAAAGTCTCCTGCACCGGGCGTATGCGAAACTGGTTGACTCGGATAACCAAAATATTTCTCTATCATGGCGGCTCGTCTCAAATGTGCACAACGTGAGAGACTTAGGATTCCCCAAATTTGAGTTGAAAAGCAATAGGAACGATCCACAGTCAAGCCAGCCACCGGGCATGCAACTAAACCTGAGACCGGAGCAGTTGCGGTCTCTCTCATGGATGATAGCCCAAGAAGCCGACTGCATTGCACCTTTCGAAGAGGAAGAGATTGAAGAGGCCCTACTCCCATTGATGATGTGGCGCGCAGAAGGACGAGCGACGAGAGAGAAAACCGTCCGTGGAGGCATCCTTGCGGATCAAGTAGGGTACGGCAAGACAGCGCTGATACTAGGACTGATCGATGCGCAGTTTGAGAAAGACCATCGCCAGATGCCTGAGATTAAAGACGCCCTCATTCCCACAAAGGCAACGCTCATCATTGTCCCTAGGATCATGATCCACCAGTGGAAATCGGAAATTGAGAAATTTCTGGGCACCAAGTACAACGTCCTCGTACTTCCCGCGATATCCTCTCTAGCCAGCAAGACAATTCGTAATATCCAGAACGCGGATATCATTTTGGTCACTTCAGCCATGTTCAATAGCCCAACTTACTACCGAAAGATGCAAGCCTTCACAGGCGCTCCGCGGGTACCCAGTAAGGCAGGTCGAAACTTTGATCAATGGTTCAGCGACACGCGAAACACAGTTAGACTTCACGCACAAATATTGCAGAATCAAGGACCAAATGTGCTCCTGGAGTCAATACGTGCCAGACGTCAAGAAGTTAGGGCCGCCCAGGCAAATTTCACGTATGTTCCATCCCGGCGTCTCAGAGGCAAACAGCTGGCGGAGGCCAATAAAATGCGGGAATGTGGCAACCAGAAAGAGGTGCAATATGCCGACATATCAAGCGGAGAGGAATCAGACGATGAGAAGATTGAAAATGCCGAGACGATCAATGAGAAGGTGGACATATTGCTGAGACTCCGCTCAACGACCTCATTTGCTTCCAACCATGATAGCAATGACACGGACACATCAAACACAACCGAGGATGAGTCTGATACTGTATACGAAGATTCATCGATGGAGGATCACACCGCAGAGGCGAGCCCCAGAACGAAACGCAAGCGTAAAGGTTTTAGAGAAGAGTACAAGTCTAAAACCAGGACATGGAACGACCGTAAACAGTTCAATATCAGGAGAGGCGAAGATCATCAGTCCTGGGCCGACGTCAAAAACCCCATCCTGCACGCATTTTCGTTCACTCGGGTCGTGGTAGATGAATTCACATACGCTGACCCCGGAAGGCTGGCACCTCTGCTATCACTCAACGCTCACTCAAAATGGGTTCTTTCGGGGACGCCGCCACTCAACGACTTCTCTGATGTAAACACAATCTCTCCATTCCTCGGGATCCACCTTGGAGTGGACGACGATGAAGGAGGCCAGACACAGAACAGACGACTGAAGGCTGCCTGCAAGCATCAATCCGACGCCGAGAAGTTTCAGTCGTTCAAGACCCGAGCCAGCGAGGCATGGCACCGACGCAGACACCAGCTAGCACAGAAATTTCTCGATCGCTTCGCCCGCCAAAACGTAGCTGAAATCGACGAAATCCCTTCCACGGACCATGTGGTCTTGATCTCCCAGTTGCCAGCCGAAAGAGCAATCTATCTTGAACTGTACAAGCAATTAATGGCGCAGAATCGGCAACTTCGACAAGGTGGTAAAGGCAGGTTCAGCAACGACCAAGTTCGCCGACTCGAAGAAGTCATCGGTGGAAGCAAAAGTCCTGAAGAAGCCTTGCTCAAGCGGTGTTCCTCTCTAGTGCTCCAAGACCGCTGGGATAGTAAGGGCCAGCCCGAAGTCATCACTTGCAGATCGATCCTTGATATCCGAGAAAGACAACTCTCCGATCTCCAACGAGATCTCAGAGACAAGCTCAAACTGGCTGCTTGGGTTTATTCGAAATGCCAATGGCGCCATATCCACTTCGACAAATTCAAGGAGAGCGTGAAAAAGCATGATTTCGGAGACGTCACAGTGACTAGGCAAATCTCCCCGTTAATCGATACGGCAATTAAAAACAGCAAGGAGAAAGATTGGATGTTATACTTCGTTGGCCCCGCAGACGCCAAGGCCAAGAGACAGAAGGACGATGATGATGAAAATGAAATCCTCGAAACGGTTGAAGACGGCGAGGTTCTAGAGGGCCAGAAAGTCTGCAGTACAAAGGATGACAAGAGTCACAGACCGGCTGCCAAGAGAGCGAAAGTGTCCAAACCGACGCCGAATCCAAAGCCGAAGTCGAAGCCCGTCAAGACAAAACAGCCCAAGAGCGAAAGCAAGAAGAGCAAGGGGACTCGCCGAAACGAAAAGGGAAAGGAGGTGAATGATGGTACCGAGAACGACCAGGGATTCGCCCTGCCAAACAAACCCATGAAGACGGAAGAATTTGAGACTGTCCTTCGAGATGTCACAATTACCCTCCGCAGTCTCGTCGTGGAATGGATTGTCCGGGAACGCGCACTCCGGTTCTTGAAAACAGTACGCCTCCTCCAGACGTGCCCGAACCCTCCACAATGCAACTGCTGCAACGCAGAGACCAGCACGTTCAGTAACCTCAGTGTCCTTGGTTCCTGCGGACACATCTTGTGCGAGGGATGCATCTCGCAGACGGTCGAGAACGAAGAATGCAAAGTCGACGGATGCCGTGGCTCCGGAAAAAGATTCAACGTCATGGACGCTTCGATCCTGGGACGTGACGATCAAGACAGGAGCGCACAGTACGGCGGAAGCAAGTTGGACAAGCTTGTTGAATTGCTTCACCGGATTCCTCAGGACGACCGAGTCATTCTCTTCATCCAGTTCCCGGATCTCATGGATCTAGCCTGTAAAGCCCTGGATCTGGCGAAGATCAAGTACACGTCGATCTCGGCTTTGGACCGCCATGCGTCAAAGAAGATGGAAGATTTCCAGACCAGCAGCTTTGGTGAAAGCAAAGTTCTCGTTTTGAATATCGGTTCCGAAATGGCCGCTGGACTGTGAGCATCCATCCTCCCGCCCTTTTCTTGAGGTATACCCCCAGAATAGTTAGCTGACAATTCAACCCAGAAACTTACAATGTGCGAACCACGTTATCTTCTTCTCACCCATGTTCACCCAGACGCAGTACGATTATGACTCGGCAATGACCCAAGCAGTCGGACGCGCCCGCCGCTATGGCCAGACCAAGCACGTTCATGTCTACCACTTCCTAGCCAGCGGCACGATAGACGTGAACATCTTCCAGGAGCGGCACGATAGGGTCCTTGTTGAAAGAAACGGTGAAGCCAAATTGATCCCTCAAGATGAGGTTCTCGACACGGACGACACGCGGTGCCAGGGTTTGGCGCTGGTTGCGGATAACGCTTTTTGAATGTTGATTTGTTCTGAGTCTCAGTCTTGGAACCTGTCCAGGAAGCTCTTTGGTAATTCTGATTCTGTCCTTTTGTTTGCATTTCTAGGAAAAAAGAAAGGGGGGGAAGACAATTGGGATTGTTTGAGTTTGGAAAAACAAGTGATAAAACAAGATGAATATGTTGGAAATATCCAAACAGATATGGTTTTTTCCCTTCCTGTCTTTGAGATATTTTCACTTCCTTTGTTGATCTTATGTATGGGTTGTTTGGTACTCTCACAGTTGTGAGGGAGAAAGAGAGGAAGGGTTAGGCTAGGAACAAGGCAGAATTGAACTGAACTGATGTGTTGTGTGAAGCAAATCCTGAGAACATTAAGCAAAATAACAGCACTTGACATGTACACGTATATGGGTACATATATGTTCTCCTAGAATCTATGGTTTCCTTTCTGTAGATAAAGTACAGCTCTAGCTCTATACTAGCCCTATTCCCCAGTAGTCAGCTCCGAATATAGAAGTAATAATGAATCAATGAAATCCTTGATTTGAGGCAAGGGGATATGCAAAAGGAACCCTTATATTGGTACTGTACTGCTGCATAAAAGAAACATTCCATTTCCATAATCCTTCCGCCGGCAAAGGCAAAAGACTCGAAAACGACGGGGTACTGTACAGGTAGATTTGGTGGTCTGCTTCTCGTCGACATGGATGTCTGCGGCAATAAATGAAACGAATCATCCGCTCTGCTGGTCAGAACCCGTATGAATCCAACACCAGCAATGACCGTCTTGTTTAAAAGTGAAAAAAGGGCATTCCCCCATGACCCGAACCAATTGAATTAAATGAGGAAAACAAATCAAATAAATCAGCCCCCGCTGGGATCCTGATCTCTATTGCTGGTCCAAAGCACCGTCCTTTCTCATCATCGTCTCGGGATCCCACACGGGTTCCTTCAGGCTCGTTAAACCGGCGCTGTTCTCGCAGCTGTGTCTTCCGCTCAATGGACCCGGAGCAGGAACCTTGACGGGCTGACTGGCATCGGTGGCAGTGGCAGCTTCCTTGAGGGCGGTGAGGAGGGATTTGACGGACTCGGGGGTCAGGTCTTCGTAGTAGTCATCATTGATCTGGACCATGGGGGCATTGACGCAGGCACCCAGGCATTCGACTTCGATGAAGGTGAAGAGGTTGTCCTTGGTCGTGTGGCCGGGGGTGATACCCAGGTGTTCTGTGATGGCCTTGACGATCTTGTCGCTACCGCAGCCACCGAGTTGGCAAGGGGTCTACGGACGGTTAGTATTTGCGTTTTCAGGCGTACATTCCATTCCAAAAGCAGGAATTAGGATTGAGAATCCATACCGTAGTGCAAACCTGAACAAAATACTTGCCCACTGGTTCGCGGTTGTACATGGTATAGAAAGTGGCAACCTCGTAGACGCGCATCGGAGGCATCTCCAACAACCGTGCAACCTCATTCATGACGCTGATACTAGTGTAACCATGCTGGCGCTGGCCCAGATCGAGAAGGGGCATGACGGCGGCCTTCTTGTACTGCGGGGGGTAGCGCTTGAGGATCTCATCGATGAGTTTGAGGTTCTGCTCGGAGAACTTGAAGGGGATGGACGGGTTGTTGGTGGGGGAATTGCGGTGCTAGGACGAACAGTTATTACACATTAGCAGCGCGCACATAGCACAGAGCACATAGTAGCCAGGAGAACCAATTCCTCTGGCAACAAAGGGCACATACCACGGCCAGACTCTCGCTGAACCGTTGCGGGCCAGCCGAAAACAGTCTGCATTGGGGCTTGGGAACGTGGGGGATTAATTGGCGGCCGGCGCGAGGCACAGCAGGAAAAAATTTGGAAGCCATTCCCGAGGATACGAAGGAGGAATGCGCAGGGCAGCAGAGAGCGAAGACAGACTACAGAGACTGGAGGAAGTGATGAAGTCGAAGTGAGCGGAAGAGGATGTCCACGGCAGCTACAGCCAATCAGCGCAGGCAGATTACTCCGCCTGGCAGTTTTACTCCAGAGAGCACAGAGACAACAGAAGGACAGACGAGACGAGACGAGACGAGAGACAGGAGATAGATTCATTGCAATACTAGTCATAGATATGAGTGGATCAAATATCCTCAGATATCCTCCACCCGATACACCTCATACGCAACCTCCTCGTACGGATGAGCCTTCACCAGCTCCCCCACAGCCTCGACCATCACCTCCCTCGAGAAACACATTATCTCAACCTTGACCTCCTCCACAGACTCCAACATCCCCTGTTGCCCAATCGCTGGATTCGCCGTGTCCGAGGGAAGGAACTGTCCAGTGCCCGTCGTCTGGAATGCGCATTTGCTGTACTTTCCTCCGGGGAAGGTTCCCGCGCCCGTCGCGAAGATGGCCTCCTTGCATTTCTCCAGGTCGGAGGGAGGGACAAAGAAGACGAGTTTGTAGCGTTCGTTTGCTGCCATTGTGGTTGTGATGTTATTTGATGATGACGGTGTCGCTGTGGTGGTTGGCTTGGTTGTTACGCTTCTCCTTGGATGGAGGTGAGGGGTTGCCGGTGATCGTAGTAGCAAATGCTTCTGTAGTGGCGGGCGGTTTAGAGTGTAGCGCCGGACGAGAGATGGCTGGGTAGTGCTTCTTGCAATCGTACAGATCCTTGTAAATCTCTGGGCTGGGGTGAAGCACATTGCCTTGTATACGCTGTTTCTGATGGAAATAGTTACTTCTTAATAAGTAGTCATCTGACGAGATTCTATTCTATGCAACGTATGTCCCCAAACACCATGCCCCGTGAAAATAAACCAAATGAACAGACACGTAACCATCATAGGGTATCCCTCATGCAAGAAGAGCCTCATACTTCAAAACGTGCTCGTCAATCTTCCTCAGCAACTCCTCCTTCCTCGCCTCATCGATCCAACTGCCCATAACGCTATTCTTCGCAATCAGCCCCCACTCAGCCACGGCAAGCTGGAACGCATCATGAACAGCAAGGTAGTTGTCCAGGATATAACCACCGAAATAGGCCGGATCGTCGCTGTTGATAGAGAACTTGACGCCCGCATCTAGGAACTTCCGAATGGGAACCTTATCGACGGACGGAACACAGCGCAGACGGACATTCGACAACGGACAAACGGTCAGCATGGTCCCCTGCTTCGCGATCTGCTCCAGCAGCACGGGATCCTCGATTAGTCGAATACCATGGTCGATCCGGGTGGCGCCCAATTCCAGCGCCGTGCTGATGTACGACGGATCACCTTCCTCGCCCGCATGCGCCGTAAGACGGATCTGTTTGGACCGCGCCGAATCGTAGAGCTCACGGAACATATCCTTGGGCGGACCGACTTCCGTCGACGACCATCCCAGACCGTGGATCGTGTCTGTCTCGAAGTGGTTCTTAGCCAGCGCTTCCTCGTAGACCTTCCTGGCTGAGTCGACGGGGAGATGGCGCACGAAGCACAGGATGAGCCGGGTCGACAGGCCGAGTTCTCGCTCGGCGCGTTTGCATCCCGCGACGAAACCAGCCACGATGGTGTCGTAGGGAATGCCTCTGTTCTGGTGGACTTGAGGGTCGAAGAAGACCTCTGCATGATGCACGCCGTCTGCGTGCGCCTTCTGGAAATACGCCCAGGCGAGATCGGCAAAGTCAGACTCGTTCAGCAGGACGTCCATGCCCTGGAAGTAGAAGGCGAGGAAGTCGTCCAGCGAGGAGAAGTGCTTGTATCGCTCTTCCAGCGTCTGGACGGACTCGTACGCCGGGTTGTCTTGGGGTGAGGGCAGTTTGACATTATTCTTCTTCGCCAGGCTGAAGATCAGCTCGGGGGTGAGACAGCCCTCGAGATGAACATGGTGTTCGCATTTAGGGAGACCTTTGAGGAAATCGTGCATATGAGACTGTGCCATTTTCTATTATATCTTGGGTTTTGCTTCACTCTTGTGGTTTGGTTTGCTGGTTTTCTCTCCAAAAAACCAAAAAAGAAAATAAAACCACCAGGTACCAGAACGCCCTTATATAGAAAAATTATACAAAAATATGATCTTCAGGCCGAAACTCAAATGGATCCGGGTACGTAAAACACTCCAACGTGGAGCTTCTCTGGCAGTCCGAAAGGCTTAACGGGGCTTGGTTACTGGGAACAGCTCCACCAGCGATGAATCCGCACCGCTGCTGCAGGACGTCGGAGATCTCCGATAGGCGTCTTCCAAGCAGGAGAAAAACTTTGCAGCGGGTCTGTGCATGGAGAGGCAAGAGAAAGAAAGAAAATGGAAGAATGGATCTTCTATCCGATAAAAGGGGGCGTCTTCCTATGACGGCATCAACGGCTTCATCTGCAGATATACTTGCGTACCATTAAAACTATGCGCTAACCATGCCATACACAATAAAAGTCAAGTCAAACCGCATCTATGTCGATACCGGTTTATCCCAGCAGGCTGTTTATATGGCTTTTACCTCTGTTCCAGAGGCCTTCCTCAATCTATTCATTACCGCGGCCGCCAAATCTCCATCCCGGTCGGATATGCCTTCAACGTAAATCACGGCCACGTCCTCTTCATCCAGTGCTCGCAGCGTTGAAAATAGTCCACGAGCGATCGATTCGACGTCTGCCCCCAGCGAACAATCATATACCTGCTTCGTCGTGGTGGAACCGGCCGGTCCCCCCACGACAATCGGGAAGCGGACAAGACAGTCGATCGATGACGAGACAGGCGTGATCTTCTCCTTCAGCTCCTCGTCGGGCAACAGCTCGAGACCTTGTTTCCAGTGACGAGTCCGGACAATCCCAACACTCCGTGCCCCGACAGCCGTATCCTCTAGATCCTTGCGCAGACGTCTCGAGACGGCGTGCTCCCTAGATCCAACCTCGAAGAGAACTACCCGCGCCTTGGGTGAGTAGTGCCTATATTTCATCCCCGGGGCGCGAGGGACCTCCTTTACCCCAAGACTACCGTCATCATACGCAGCACAAACATGCTCCCATCCGGGACACAAACGGATCTGCTCAATCCCGATCCCCCCAGGTCTTAGAATGGCCGGGGGATCGCAGAGACCGTCGACGACCGTACTTTCAACACCAACCCCACATGGCCCGCCATCTAGAATAAGCTCAATCCGACCATGGAGATCATGGTAGACATGCTGTGCCGTCGTCGGAGAAGGTTTCGTAGACGCATTCGCAGAAGGAGCAGCAAGCGGCCGATCCGCGGCATGAATCAGAAGCCGCGCGAGTGGAGAAGACGGCATACGAGCACCGAACGTAGATAAATGCGATGTAACCTCCTTAGCAAGACACGAACCCGGCGGATTCGGGAGGATAATGGTCAATGGACCCGGCCAGAATCGCTCAAGCAGCGGTCCGTAGATGGGTGGAATGCCATTTCGCGTGCTGCCAGCAACAGCAACCGTGCCCTCCCCGTCTCCCGCCGCCGGTGCGGGATTGAGCAGTCGTTCCAGCATCTCCAGCGAGTCGATATGTACGATCAACGGATTATCCGACGGCCGCTGCTTGGCTCTGTAGATGCCCTGCACGGCAAGACTCCGCGTTGCATCAGCGCCTAGTCCGTACACCGTCTCCGTGGGGAATGCAACGGGGTTATCGCTGGTTCGGATCAAGTGGGCAGCCTCCTCGATAGCTTTGGCCTCTGGGGATTGTCGCTTACGCTCCGCCTCCCACCATTCCGGCAGGGACTGGTTCTCCTTCGGGCCTTCCGCGAGTCGGCGCACCGAGAGTACACGCGTGTCCTCCTGGGCTGAAGACATGGTCGCGAGGTATCTCACAAATCTGCCAGAGGAGAAGCGAGCTGGAGAAGCCAGCCGCCTGGTCAGGAGAATGGACAGCGTTATTGTCGGCCGCTGGGGGGATGGAGCAGATGCGCGGGCGTTTGTGAGTCAGAGAAGAAGAGCGAATCAATGCGTCGGCGTAGAATTTTTGCGGTCTATGATGGAATATGGGACATCCAGAAGGAATACGCCAGTCCTAAAGTCTGCTCGACCGCAGCGAGATCGAGGTTCGCAGGGAAGAATCATGCAGTTCTCCCTTCTGAAATCGGAAATCTCCCGGATTTAAGCTTTTGCCGATGACGTTGGATTGCCGGAAAGGGAAATCGCTGTCCACACATTCATGTCAGTAATTACTTACTACTTAGAAAGAATCGTCTTACCCATCATCTCATGTAGATGCATCAGAGTTCAATGGTATTTCTTCAAATTCAACCACGAATTCCTAATTTGGTTTAGAGGTGCTGCACGTGACCCAATGTCACTATTCGGACATCAAGTATGAGGGAGCTATCTGGAGGGCTGCAGATGGTTGGATATACTACTGCAAGATGCCACAGCAAGGCTACTGTATGTGTAATCCTCCATTCCCTTAAAATTTGTAGGAAATTGATAACGGCTAATGAATGTACAGCCCAAAGTCACCTTCCTGATGAGGATTGATTCCACTGAGAGTGATGGATTCTGCTACATTGATGAGTGTTATTACCACCAACTCAATCTTGTTTGACGATTCGCTGCACTTCAGTGTGTATCTTTCATGATAGCCCCATGGGATAATGAGGCTGGCGGTTGAAAAGGATGTGAAGCTGCCAGGTCTGAAAACAGTCAAGGGATTTGATCTTGTCATTCCATGCGCAAAAGATGTACCTGGATACACGCATGGAGGAGGTTCGTCCGCTTCTCTGGGAGCAGCCTAAGGGGTGAGTGTTTGACTTATTTAAGAAGGTGCATCTTCTTTGGATATTCTGGATGTAGTTTTGTCTACTAGACGCAGAGTTCATGACCAGCGAAAGGGATATATATCTATATATATCTATCTACATAAATATTGATACATATCTATTTCTTCTTCCCTCCCTTTCCTCCTTTGCCACCAGCTCCTTTCCCCTTCCCTTTCCCATCTGCACGGCCTCCCCCTCCAGCAGCTCCAAACATTATCCGAACCCCTCCAACAGGCACCGAATTCACAATCTCCGAGTCCTTCCATCCCCGGATCAGCTCCCCTTCCTTAGCACGTAGTTCCTCTGCAACAGCCCGACTGATTCCCGCATCTTCGGCATGCTCCTTCTTGACCTTCCCCGTGGTCGTCTCTGCAACCCACCGTCCGACGATCTCTTTGACGGCTTTCCCCTTCTTCACCGAGCCTGGCTGCAATTTCACTCGGTACTTGTACCGTCCTAATGCTGCCCAGGGTGCGCAGACGGGTATCGCAGCCAGGATCTCGTCTTCGGGTATTGGAGTCCCGATCAATGCAGGGAGCCAAGAAAGGTCGGCTGCCTCTGCCACTGCTGTTTCTTCATCTTGCTCGCCTTCCTCGAAAAGAGCTTGTCGTTTCCGCTCCGCTTCTGCGGCGCGATCATGTTGGGCTCTACGGCGTTGTTTCTGTAGCTCGGCTTCGCGCGCTCGGTCTGCTTTGGTCGCTGAATCGGCGGCGGCCTTTTGCGCCTTGGCGTTATTGGCGCCGAGTAGACGAAGAGCAAGTTCACGCTCTTCCTCATCCTGGTAGGCGTATTTGGACGTGGCCTTTTTGCCTTTGGCTTTCTTTCCACGAGCTGGAGCAGGTGCTGGCTTACCTGCCGGTTGGGGTTTATCTGTCGTCGTGGGCATGGATGGGGCTTCGCCGATCGTGGATGAAGTTTCGCTAGCAACAGGTTTTCCAGATTCAGAAGGCTCGAGTGGCTTTGCTTTTCTCAACAGGCGTCGTTCTCGTGCAGAGAGATGTCGTTTGTCTCCAGGTCGAGGAGCAGCATGTTTGTCGTCTGACGGAACCTCACCATTTCCTGGGGCTGCTTCCCGCTCAGTGTTCCCCTCTACTCCATACACCGCTTCTGTTCCCTCCTCTTTTTCGTGTTCATCTTCTGCTTCAGACTCACTGTCGACTATTTTATCAGCGACACCGTTGCCAGGATCAGAAGGTTCGGAAGTATTTGGCTGTAGTGGATTCTCTAGGCGGCTTCCATTGGGGTGTTCCTCATCCTCTGACTCGGAGCTTTGCTCCTGTCTCTGCTGCTCATTCACACCTTCTGCATGGCCTGTCGTATCTGCCGCAGGGTTCTCCTCAGCAGATGATGTTTTGCTTTCAGCCACCAGGTCTGCTTTCTCAGAATCTGCCATTCTGGAATTCGTGACAGGTTGTTCCACCGGCTCAAGCTGATCGAACAGCTGACCTTTATGATTCCGCACACTCTCTTTGCTTATTTGAAACATGACACCCAATCCAAGAACCAGTTGTGAAGGTGCCAGGAAATTCTTCTCACCCTTAACTGCGAACTCTCCCGTGGGCAAAATACCAGCAGGACCAGCGCTCTTGGATACTTGATCAGCCTGGACCCACCAAGCAGACATCACTGCCTTGGATTCCCAGGCACTTGACGTAGCGATGCAAAGAGTTCCCGCTTGCGAAAGCGTGCTTGGCGATATGAGCGAGTCGGGATTTCCCTGTCTATTTTTGACGATGACAGGTGTAGCGCCTTTCAAATCCGCGTGAACGAAAATGTCGCCCTTTTTGAGGTAACGCCTGTATAGCATTTCGCTCTGGAGAGCGTCACGGCCACTTATTTCCATTTTACGTCAGCGTATCATTCAAATAGCACAATACGCGCGATAGATACTTACCCTAGAACCAAGTAACCCTCCGAGGAGACAAAGAAGATGAACTTCTCAAACCAGAATGGCTGCCTCGAAGGTCGAAGAACCTGCTTTTCCTGTTTCAACGTCCGTTTTAAATCCTGCGTCACTTTCTTCTCGTGGCTTTTGAGTGCCTTAACAGAGGACTCAAGTGTCTTCTGCTGTTTCACTGCGGCGCTTTTCTTCTGTTCGTAGTACTGCGTTGCATTCGCCCATGGAGATAATCCGAGATCAATGTCGATAGCCAGTGGCTCAGGCCTACGTTGCGAGGTTCTGGCAGCATCCTCCTCCTCTTCTGCCTCAGACTCATCCGATTCTTCATCACTTGAGAAGAGTTCATTCTCCTCGTCCAGCTCATCATTAGCTTCTCCCAGGATGAGTGTAATCGTGTTCTCATATAGCTTCAACGGTAACTTGATGAGCCTGGCAACGGGATTGCCCCTTCCTTGCTCCATCTCGATCAGGCGCGCGATCTCAACCCAATCCATTCCCTGCGCGATTAGACCATTAACAGCATCCATAGCCTCCTGTACTCTAAGCATATTGTCGCCGATAGCCTCAGCTTTGCGGATATGTAGTTCCTGGACCTGCTTGAGAGAGCCGATCCGATTTTCATGATCCCGCCGTAGCGATTCAAGCTTTCTCTTCGCCGCCTCTTCACGTTCTGTCAGTCGCGACTCTAGCCTCTGTGATTCCAGAGAGGAGAAATACTCGTCAACTGCAGCATTGAAGCTATCGAATTCGAGAATGGTAAGACCAGGTTGATCCTCGAACTGTTTCGGCCTGAAAGGATGGAAGTCCTCGTAGAGCAAGTTATGTCTCTTCGCGGGCGCTGTCCCATCCGTAGCACCCTCAACAGCAGTCGCAGAACGCGTATCTTCCTTCGCAATGATATACCCAAGATGACCCCCGCCAGTAACAAGGGCATGCGACACGCTCGCTGCCTCCTCCAGGACACCTTTCACCTTCAACAGCAGTCCCTCATCCCCCAGAACCTGCTCTAAGGATGCCCCCCGAATCAACCCCCTAGCGACAAAGGCATGATCGAGCAATAAAGGCGGATACTCAGGAAACTCCGCCGAAAGAGCCCTCCGCAAAAGGTCAGCCTGCTTCTTCTTCGCCTTCAACTTCTTTCCCCCCGCGCCAACTTCCCCCTCCGCCGCCGTAGCGGCACCCAGCGCCCGCTCTATAGCCTCTCGCACCCTCTCCGTCGTAATGGCAGGTACCCCACCAACATTCTGTTTATTAGCCACATTATACTTCAACCCGATCTTCACCTCCTCCTGCCCCTCAGAGGGAGGAACATGTCTGAATAGAGCGAGGATATTATACTCCCCATCCGTAAGGATAATATTGCCCCCCGCGAAGAATTCCAGAAAGAGATGATACGCGCCATCGCTGAGCGTGATGTCAATGATGCGGTCTGTCCCGATCTGCTTGACTGAGGTGACCCGGCGGGATTTGAGAAACTTGCGAAGCCTTGTGACAAAGGGGGATGGGGCAGTAGCTGTTGTTCTGGAGTATTTTGTGGTGTGGCAGCGGAAACCGGAGTCAAGGACGAGTTGTTTGCGGTGGTCTGGTCTGGAGAGTTTGACGAGGAAGATTCTCTGGATTTGTGTGGTTAGTGTTTGGTTCTTTACGGATAGGGGCGAAGATAAGGTAGAGGATGTAGTGCAATGCAACGTACAGATGAAAGGTCGTAGATGTTGGAAATACGCAGGTTGACGAGTTCGGATTCAAGCTCGCGGGTGATGACCTGCCAGGTTGTTCTTTGGTTAGGTCCAAGCAATGTGTCTGTCCGGAAGAAAGGGAACAGCATACCTTGACGTCCAATGATGAGAATCTCTGCTTCATCTTGCCTGCCGACTGTGTGGACTGTCTTACTTCCCTTGATGCGGTGTTGGGGGATGTGTTAAGTGCTCGACTTGAGAATTTTGATGTGAGGTGGGCTGTGAGCCGTGACGTATGCGGGGCGTCCCTTTTGATAATTCCTTTCAGCCTGGGTGTGCCTGGATATGATTCATAAACCTCAAAATCTGGATAGCTTATGCTTGTGCTTGGTCAATTGGTTAGAATAACTATTACTCGACACCACGGCTGTCCTAATGTCTAATATTACTATTGGCGTTCTGCTTTTCAGCCAATGAATAGCAAAAATAAATATAATCGTATGTAAGGTTTTCGAAATAAAAAGAAAATGACAAGAACACAGCACGCATGAGGAAGAGATATGTATCTCGAGTAACGTATGGGCCAGAGTTCGTTCAGAGAACAATAGATATAACATAGAGCACGGTGACGCTCGACAAACAAAAATGGAGGGAAATAATATCGTAAAAAAAGTAAACACAGACACCACACCAGGACCAGCCAGGTATAGAGCAGACACCGGTAAGAAGCACACCCTCATCAGAAGATTACATCTCACTCAAAAAATAATTAACAGCCAACAGCCAACAGCAACGCTAAATGCTGCAAAATCACATCTGCCGCAACTGTTCAGCCAAACGCCGTTTCCCAAACTCCCACGCATTGAGAAGACCCTGTTCCGAGAGATCGATGCTCTTCATATTCGGCACATCCGGTGGAGGGGGTCGGCTGACGCGCGAAGCGATCAGAACGGGATCCGTTTCAAGAATAATTCCATCATCGATAATCTCGTCAATAGCCAGAGCGAGGAGATCGTAGTTTTCGACAATGGTGCGTTTGTCAGTTGCGCCTCTGATTGAGATAGAAAAGAAAGTCAGCTTCCGTACAAGAATCCCAAGAGAATTGCAAAAGAAAGGGAAAACTAACTTGAACAAAATACCCAGTGCATCCCTCAAAGACAAAACAACATTGTACAACAACACCTCATTTTCATCTGCGGGCCCAACAACGTAAAGCATGACATCGCTCTCCATCTTGAAGACCACGACACGGTTATCGTAGAGGATGACATCGCTAGATTGCTTGTTCGTCTTTTCCAAGAGACCCTTTTCAAATGCCTTCTGCTCCTTCAGAGTCGGGTAGGGATTGGCGCCGGGGTAATTCGTCGAGTGGGCAGGAGTCCCTGCTGGGGGGTGAGGTGGACAGTAGTACTTGGCGAAGATGCGAGAGCCATCGTCGGCGGACATGACCAGGACCGCATTGACAGAGAAGAGGGATAGAGAGCCCGGCATATTGGAGATTGTATATTGTTTCTTTAAAGGGGTTTTCTGGAATGTGAGGGATGGGCTTGCGGCTTTTCAGAGCAGGAGATGTCCTGGAATTGACATTCTGGCGGATTGACTGCTTCGGGTCCGCTCCGACGTTGTTCCGTGCCCTGTATTGACGGACTATATACTCTGTACTTCGTACAAAGTAATAATATGTCGCATCAAGATTCTCAAATATCTATTACATCTTTATTCTTAATCCTTGCGGGAAGAAAGAAGACTGAAAGCAATCGAGAGAGTCCATGACATATGTCAGAACACCTCTCATCTCCGTTTCTGAATCAATTTCGCTCCCTGGAAGCTCACTATAAACTGCTAGCTAGCTACACGAGTAGACAATAAAACGTAAGGAGCGAATAGACAACTCTTGGGGTATTTCGCATGATGACAACCGTGCTTCGTGTTCATCAATCACCCAAACGCCACGGAAAGGTAAGTCAGGCAACGAGCGCAGCAAGGTCACTAAAAGATTGTTATAGCATGGCGTAGACGCGTCAAATACAAGATGTACTGTCTAATAAAGTAAATAAGGAGAATAGCAAGAGGAGAGGAATGGGGAAAGATTAAAAAGAAAAATATAAAAGAAAGAAAGCGAAGCAAAAGAATTAAGCCAACCAGATTCAAGGTTGCCTGTTCTCCTTCGACCCGTCATCGGACGCATTCGGCCGGCTGAACCAAGACATCCAGCTTGTTCGGTTGGCCTTCTTCCGAGCAGCATCCTCTTCCTCGGTGGCCTCCTGGACCAGACGCAGGGGGCGTAGTTTGGTCTGTGTCATTACCGCACCGGTGTAATTTGTCATTCCGTTGCTTGTGCGAGGAGGGCTTGAATTTGCCGTGGAAGCCGTGTCACCATGAAGGTCACTGGAAAGACTGTCAGAGCTGCTTAAACGACTTCGCTCTTGCTGACTGTGGAGAGACGCTGCGCGGCCACCCGCGCTATTTCCAGACATGTAGCTTGACCCGGAAAAGACGGTTTGCCGGGACCCTGAGACCATCATAGTTGGGCTGATATGGCCACCTGCATTACGGGGATGGTACATCTGGCCAATGACTGCCGCGGCTGAGGAGTCGGGTATCTGCTCCGACCTGGTCCTGCGATGGCCACGTACAGACCCCACACGGTTAATAGGAATGCTGGGAGCGGTAGTCGGATCCTCATGCGCTGCATTGATGGGCCGTGCCGGTTGTATGAAGCTAGTAGGACGCGAGTTGGGTCGTGGGCGGTTATTAGTGCCAGACACCACAGATTTAGCTCTCTGCAGGAAGGTTGGACCAGACGTGTCGTCTTTCTCTGCAGGCGTGGGTGGAAGATCTTTGTTGGTAGCCTCGGCTTTCGGTTTGGGTGCCGGGGGATCATTCTCATTCCGGTCCAGGATAGTTTCGAAGCCGTCATGCTGAAGAAGACGGCTGATTATGCGCTCGATATAGAGCGTCAGAGCCTTGTTTTGATCCTTAAGGTTTCTGATCTCCGCCTCAAATTTGCGCGTATTGTCCGTCTCCGCTTTCTCATCCACTGACTCGAGCTCATCAGCCAACGAAGCGACGCCGCTGCTTGTCTCCTTCGACTCAGGCTGGACTTCACGCATGAAATTGCCCTTAGTGAAGTCGCCATTTAAGGTTCTCTCACTTAGGAGCAGCTGATAGCTTTCATTATCTTCCATCAAGCGGGCATTTGCCATGCGAGCTTCCAGAAGCTCTTTCTCCAATTCCCTTTGTCTGCCCCCACCATTGTTTTCCATCTCCACGAGCTTGATTTGGGACTCAGCCAGCTCAAGCCGGAGAGATTCGATTAACTTGTCCTTCTGCAAGAGCAGCGTAGAGTTATTCCGAGACGGACTCCGCTCAATCTGCGAGGAGGGAGCAAATCCTTCCACATCTGGTGAGGCTCGGTTACGGAAGCTCGCTATATGGAAAGGAATAGTTAGTTTCAGGTGGTAGCGCAGGGAAAACTCTGCAATCAGACACTTACAGGAACGGGATACGTTACGTTCAGTTTCCGCATTGATGCGCATGTCCTTCTGAGCAAGAGAATCCTTTAGACGCAGGATCGTCGCCTGCATCTCCTCCTCTCGACTGGCCTGCTGCTCCTTCTCTTGCAGCATGGCATTCCGTTCCTTTTCGTGAGTCTGTTCCAGATCACGAATCTGGCGAACATGCTCTCGTATTTCGGCATTTAACTGTTCGATCTTGCTGTCTTTTTCATGGGACTGATCCTCCAGCTTTCCTTGTTCGCTGATGGCCTCGTCGAGTCGCATCTGAAGAACACCCAGCTGCTTGAGGTACTGCTCCGAGGCAGTCTCCGCCTTTTGCAACTGTTCCTTCAAATCCGCGATGAGAGCTACATGCTGTGCTCGCGCCTCATCCTCGGACGTACTATCGTTGTTGTTCACTTTGGGGATGCTGGATGTGCTGAGGTTGGACCGCGGTTTCCTGACAGAGGCACGGGCAGAGACTGGAGTGGAGGAACGCAGGGATGGAGAACGTGTTACACCGTTTGACGCGGCACTGGGAGAACGAGTATGAATCCGGTGATTGGAGCCATTCACCATATGGGTTTCGTGGTTCGGTGACTTGGCCGAATTGACCGGAGTCCCTGGCTTGCGAGGGTGTGCCGACATCCTCGAAGAAAGATCAAAAGCAGCAGAGGATGAATGCTGGTGGATAGAGGACTTGATCTGCAGGGATTTGCAACAATGCAGCTGCAGAGAGACGTCGGGGACTTCTAGAAAAGAAGACAGAGGACAACAGTGCAGGAGACGGTCCAACGTCCCTGTGTTCCGGACAACGCACGGATAAAGACTGATAAAATTAACGGTCGCGCGTCGGCGTAGTAGCGGTCAATAATGTCGACAGTAGCCTGGCGAACAAGTGGGCCACGGAGGTTAGTACGTAGTAGACAGTATTTAATATTATTTAATGTTTCAAAGGGGAAATAAGGGGGAAAGGAGCAGAGGGACCGGAAGGCGATGATATATGATATACCCCGTGCTGTATGGAGAAGGACAATAGACGGCTATTATTGTTGTCCCGTTCGAGGTGCAGCAGAACAACAAGCGGCCCGAAGGCGATTATTCGTTTTATTAAGGGATGTCCATATTATTCAGCCCTCTTCATCCAGGAAATTACAGCAGGTACTTGCTAAAAATACGGCTGATGGAGCCAGACAGCAAACTGTCTCAGCCTGGCAACTTGTCTGTGGTTCAGCCCGTCATCTTGAGATAATCCGGCTCTGGAATAGCAACATGGGGCTGTGTGTACCAAGCCACAAGTGAGCCAGACCAAATGATTGACATGCATTGCTGCATGTACACTCTGTACTCTGTCTGCAGTATACTCTGTGTACTTGGCTGTTGGGATGCATTCTACCTGAAAGACACCTCAGGCAGGGTATTGTAATATTACGATATTTGACACTGGATTTCTCGGTACCGGAATAATACTGCTCCGTCGGGTGCTGCCCGCCAAGCCCACACAAAATTCCGCTACAAAGTGTGAAATACCTCCCTTGCACTGTCCAACCCTCCACCACCTCACAATCTCAGCGGCCGGAGCGCACTTTCAAATCCTCAAGTCAGTCTAGAAGTCTTAGAGACTCCTACAGCGTAACGATGGCCCCCAAGAAGAGCAAGAAGTCCTCCGACAACATCAACTCGCGCTTGGCGCTTGTGATGAAGTCCGGTAAAGGTATGTTGTGATGCTCCTGTGGCTGTCATGGCATTATGGCTCCCTGAAAAAGACTTTCGCTGACATTCAATTGCTTCTTTTGTACAGTCACCCTGGGTTACAAGTCCACCATCAAGACCCTGCGCTCCGGCAAGGCCAAGCTGGTCATCATCGCTGCCAACGCTCCTCCTCTCCGCAAGAGTGAGCTTGAGTGTAAGTTGTTCCAATCGAGTTTATCACAAGAGGGGACTTGTTACTGACAATATCTTCACATAGACTACGCTATGGTAATTGCCCAACCCGTTCCAAATTTGAGCGAGAGTAACCTTGACTGACTCCTTATTCCCACTACAGCTTTCCAAGACCAACGTCCACCACTTCGCTGGAAACAACGTAAGTCTTAATATTCTGTTCTTCTGCTTGTGCTTCTACTCTGCCTCTGTTCCGCATTGCCAGCAGGCGTTAGCGGCCACCCTGAGAAGAAGCCGAGATCTGTGGCTTTGGAGGGTAAACGACAATGGCTGACTTTTTGATATGCAGATTGAGCTTGGTACCGCTTGCGGTAAGCTGTTCCGCTGCTCTACCATGGCTATCCTGGATGCTGGTGACTCCGACATCCTCACCGGTGGCCAGTGAGCGTGAAGATAGCGTGCATGACAAAGTCTCGAGGCAAATGTTAGATAATGACATAAAAATCTACGCTTGATCTTCCACGATATGCTCTTTAAAATAGAAATTCCGAGTAGATGATTCACACTGAGTCAAGTAGGTCATGTAACTAGCATGTAGAGTAGTTTGTACGCTGCAGTACTCCGTAACTACGCAGCAAGGTGATGACAAATCTAAATTTGCCCCGGTTAGGGCTAGGGTTTTGCCACAGTGCGTAAGCGGACTTGCTTTGAAATCATGCCTGTTGGCGCTCCCTTTCTTTTAATCCCTCGACACCACCCTCTTCGACAATCCCCCATCCACGTTCGCAGGAAGTGCAGTCAGCCCATTTCCAGCAGTCAAAATGGCCCGCCGTCCTGCCCGTTGCTACCGCTACTGCAAGAACAAGGTGCGTGATGAGTGACCTGTTCTTTGATGGATTTTCCTATCTTGTGTGTGCGTTGGACGGCCTTTCGGCTGTGGTCTGCCGAGATCTCGATTAGGCTTTTCATCGTCGCATACCCTGAAGCTGCCAATACACCCGTGTCTCGTTGGAATTTCTCCAAGTGTTTTCGGTGATGGGAATGAAAAAGAAAAGCATGCTGACGACATGCGGATATAACAGCCCTACCCCAAGTCCCGGTTCAACCGTGGTGTTCCCGACCCTAAGATCCGTATCTACGATCTGGGACGTAAGAAGGCCAGCACTGATGACTTCCCTCTGTGCGTTCACCTCGTCTCCAACGAGTACGAGCAGCTTTCTTCCGAGGCTCTCGAAGCCGCTCGTATCTGCGCCAACAAGTACGTTCCGTCCTATTATCTTTGGTTCATAATGATAATCATCTGACAAACATCTGTTCTATAGGTACCTCGTGAAGATCGCCGGTAAGGAAGGTTTCCACCTCCGTGTCCGCGCCCACCCCTTCCACGTCATCCGTATCAACAAGATGTTGTCGTGCGCCGGTGCCGATCGTCTCCAGACCGGTATGCGTGGTGCCTTCGGTAAGCCCCAGGGTTCCGTTGCTCGTGTCAACATCGGCCAGATCCTTCTGTCCGTCCGTACCCGTGACGCCAACCGTGCCGCTGCTATCGAGGCTCTCCGCCGCTCCATGTACAAGTTCCCTGGTCGCCAAAAGGTCATCGTCTCCAAGAACTGGGGTTTCACCCCCGTCCGCCGCGAGGACTACGTCAAGCTTCGCCAGGAGGGCAAGATCAAGCCCGATGGTGCCTACGTCCAGTTCCTGCGTGGTCACGGTCTCGTTGAGGAGAACATGAAGCGCTTCCCCAGTGCCTATGAGAATGTCTCTGCTTAGATTGATTTCCTGCAAGAGCGTTAATTTGACGTACGGGGGGGGTTAGAACAGGGAAATAATAAATTGAATAGGTTTTGACGTTTCCTTGTTGTTCTTCCCCGTGCGAAATCACGGGCGGAGTTGTTTCTACATCTTTTTCGAGGGTTATTGGGCTTGTTTCTTTCATTCCCCCTGTTGTCTCCTGTCTGTCATCTACGACAAAAATATGACCATGACCTGCAATGAACCGGTAGTCTTGGCCGTGCGAGTAATAAGTAAAGTAATTACTTATACCATGTGTATAGGTGGAATGGAAGTCTACTACGGAGTACCACGTCCCCCATTGGGCCGCATGCGGGTCTCGTAGCACTAGTACTGCCACCACGATCTTGGTATCACTCACTGCATGGAAACCGCCGTTATGCTTTTCAGGGCAGTGATAGTGATCACGTGCCAGGCATCGGATCTTGTCTTTGTAGGATACCAACATCTACATCTGTAACGGTTCCTGTGGCCTTATCCGGCTATTAGCACTAGTATCTACTCCTCCATAGCAGCCGCGGATCGTGGATTCCCAGGACGCGAAATCCTTCGCAATTGCGCTTCAATCAAGCAGCCCTTCCATCTGAGATGCCTGCCCGTTTCCCACTCCCCACTTACAAAAACAAGCCTCTCCTAGTAAAGATGGAGGAATGAATGAGATTATTCTTCACTTATTACCCCATCGTAAGATAATCTGAGTCAGCTCCGATCGCGTCGTGAAATGTGGCCCGAGTATCCGCATCAGTGAACCGCAAACACTTTGCTTCATCGCAGCGAACACTACAATCCCCGTGCCTAAGATGCATACCAAGCACTGGGAGGACGGGAAACTGGCCTCCGTTGAGGGCTGCGCCGGATCTGCTGCGGGCTGATATCCTGAGCATCGGGAATATATCAAGGCGCGGAACAATCTGTAGCCCATCCCTGACTGGTCGGAGCATCTGTCTCGTATATTTCCACCTGGATATGAGTGACAATTTTTTTGGTATGGCCTTTTTGGGGCTTATTCCACGTCATCGAGGTATCTTTCAACGGTGTAGTTATACAGCATACTTCGTACAGAGTAAGCATTATTGTACTCTGTGAGTCTTCGTTGCTCCATCCGAGATCATGGAAAGACCAACCACATAAGCACATTCCATTTCATAAATTTGTATGTACGGACGCTGTATGCCCATATCCTATCCTATCCACAAGACACGACAATAAAACCCGCAAAAACAAACGCCAACCTCGATCCATGCTGAAAACAGAAGAAAGAAAGCTATGATGGAAATAGTGAATCTTGAATCTGCCGCCGCATATCTTCCCCAGAAACCAAATTCAACAGAGATGCTTCAAATATCAACCACATCACCTAGTCTGATTCAGATATCCCCCCAGGCCCCAGCACCGGCTGCTACAGGGCTAATCGCGCTTCCGCTTTCCACACTGCCTCCAATGTCCCAGTAGTTCCGACTCGAGCCTGTCAGGGTCCTCTTACCAGATAGGGCGGAGAGTCTCGCGCTCTGACTGGCACAGCTGGAGCTGGAGCGGTGGAGGCGTTGGCGCGAGATTCCGTTTTGTGCAGAGAGGGGCGAGCCATACTGCTGTAGCTGGGATTGACGGCGAGTCTGAGCCTGAGAGCGGGAGTGTGCGTGTGCGACGAGTGGGTGGTGTTGGCGGATAATGGCGGCACGGCGCGAGGGGTCTTGGAGAGTGTAGGAGGAAGGGTTTGAACTGCTATGCATGCGAATATGATTATGATTATTGTTAATGGTTTTATTATTAGCGTTGCCGTAATCAACGTCATCGTTACCTCTGCGACTGAAGCGGTTGCGCAGGTAGCGGAAGACCATCATGACGTCCAGTTCGCGTTCCCAGTATTCTTGTTCTTGTTGCAGACGCGTCGATTCCGATAACGGATCTTCAGTAGTGGTGGTATTGCGGTGGGTGTCTTCGTCTTCAATGCCCCATTGGGCAGCGTGGTCTGGGCCACTGTTGGCGTCGCGGAGAGTGGGAATAAAGTGTGGAGAGGGGATGGAAGCCGGATTGTTCGCGCTGTCCGCTGAAGCAGTGGTAATGGCCGCATCTGATGAGGAACGATTTCGGAGGCTTGCTCTCTCCGCCAGATGGCCTACGGGCATGCCAGCGTATTCACTGGATATCCCTTCAGAGAGCTGCAAGTACGTCGTAAATGCCCCCGGATGTCCGACAAATTGATGGATTAGGATCCCCAACTCACGAGCGACGCGTTGGAGAAGCTTTGTCTGCCAATGCTGTTGGTCGAAGTTGGGAAGGGAGTCCAGCTCCCGGTTCATTATGGCATCCAAATCCCACGGTCCATCCAATTGAGCATCGGCTCTAGATCGGGCATTATTTTCTTCTTGTTGCTGCTGATCTTCAGGCAATGACTCGCCCAGGATGACGGATAACAAGGAGTCATCGATGCCGATGAGATTCTTGATAAACTTGCGAGTGATACGCTGCCAAAAGGTCTCGTATTCTTCCGTTTCTGTTTCCGAAGACTGGACACCTTTCGACGTCTCGGGAATGTCCTGCAGGGATTCAGTCGCAACGGGAGAACGAGTAACTCCCTTGTCACTAGTCAGACTGACACGGCTATTCCGTCGTCGACGACGGGTTTCTCGTTCAACCTCACGCAGGAGCGCACGACTCTGATCCATCCTCCATCTTTCGATACGCTCCCATCGTTCCCGCTCGACATCCACTTCTTCGGATTCTGCGACAGTATCCAGCTGTCGACGAATAATCGACATCCGACGGGCTTGCACCTCCGGCCTGCGACGAGGGTTAAACTGTTCGTACTGCCATAACTGTTCCTGAACAGTCTGGCTGGATGCCATGAAACTCCCCAGGCCGTCGTGCGCCGGGAGGACAGCGGGAACGCCCTGATCCCAGCGGGATACGGTCGCCTGGGTCAGGGAAGGGTGGGGAAACGCGTGAAGACCATCATCCAGACTATCCAGCTCTGTGCCATCTTCGTCTACGGAATCGAGTACGTCCTTGTCATCATCATCGTCGTCGTCTTCAGCCGATTCAACGCCTGCGCCCGACTGGGTTGGGGTGCCAAAGGAGCCGAAGTCGCTCAGACGAGACGGACCTGTTGTCCGGGGGGTGCGTTCGGTAGAAGCGGAACGGGTATGGGCAGCGTCGGAAGCAGACTCCTGAGAGGGAGAGAAGAGAACCCAGTGAGTAGACTCGTCATCAGGGGCCTGGGAAAAGGAGGGGGAGGTGTCGAGGGTGGGAGGCTCTTGGGAGTAGGTCGTCTGACGGCGGGGAAGTTGGGTTGGGACACGGAAGGCCATGAATGGGATCGCGGGAAGGGAGATACAGTAGACTGGACAGGAAGACTTGAGAGGGATCAAGATGGGAGAATCAAAGGAAGAGAAACAGAATGAGGTGGAGGAGATGCAGCGACGGGACTGATAGGAAATGATGGGATGGTGATGATGACAATGGCAATAGATTTGCAGCCGACGGGATTATGACATTATATACCCCCCTGGAAATGATGCAAGGAAATGCCGGAGTGAGATCGATCATCCGGGATTATATTAATATAGGAGTCATCGAGATAACCGTAGATATGAGTTCTACTCTCTTTCAGTCCCCCAGTCACACATCTAACTACTGAGTACGGAGTAGTACTGAATCAACTGACCCGAGCAAAAACCTTACACCGCTACATCATTCCTATATCTTCTTAATAATATGGATTCGCCTTTGGATCGCATGAGCTCCGGGCTGATCTCGGTGCGCAAACTTTAATTAATCCCTTGTCAGACGATGCTGTTCAGCTGTATACATCCGGTTGTGGCATATCCAGATATTTGATTATTATATATCGTTATTAAATATCATTTTGCTGCGTTTACAAAGGTCAAGCATGTCTCCAGATTATCACGAACTCCCATCGATCATGTGATCAGTCATTCCATCACTGCGGGCAAAGGACCGTAGTCGTGTCGACTCGGGGCTCTTCTCTATCTATATACACCAAGGAGAATAAAACGCCTCTGGCTGGGTATCCAACGCAACAATCAATCAAACTCCGAATGCAATCGTCAAATCATCCATCCCGTCTACTGTCCCGCCAGCGCCTCCCCGACCCAATCCAACTGCACAGCACTCACCCCCCTGGCATAGCTCCGATTCGTGAAGACAAATTCATTGTACATGATGGCTTCCACCTTCTTCCCAAACAGCACGCTGGACGGGTGGATGGCCACCGTCTGATTACCCACCACCGTCCGGTAGCTGCCGTCCGGAACCAGACGGGCCGTGTTGGTTGCGAATCCACACAGGAACGCTTTGAGGATGAGCACCACGGACGGCTCGGTACTTGCGCCTGACGTCCGTGTTCCCCCATCGGCCGGAGGGAGGAGATTGGCGCGTCGGCATTGCGCCGTGAGTTGTTTGCGTACGTCCTGTATTGAAGTTAGTCGAGTAGAAAGTTTGACTATTCAAAGGAAGATATACCATCACAGACTGCATGGCCCGGTGGGACACCATGTGTGTCTCTGCCCAGGCCTTTCGGTTTGTATTCTCCGCTGCATAAGCTTGAACGGTTGCCAACATGGTGAGATGGTCACCTTCTCGCCGGTAGAGATCGCGGCGTGCCTTTTCGGCTTCCTCTTTCTTTTCCTCCGATGTCGTGCTGAGGAATATGTTCTCCACGCTGAGACATGAGACGATATCAATCACGTCCGCAAGACAGCCCGGTCCATTTTCCGCTGCTGCCAGGAGCACACGTCCCAGAGTCGGTGTCAGAGGTAGCTTGGCGATGTGCAAACCGATTGCGCTGATCTTGCCCGATTCCTCTAAAGCGTTGATATTTAGCAACTGCAGCAGTGCTTTTTCCAACACCTCTCGAGGCGGTCGCGTCAGAAAGGGGAATCCCATGATGTCGTCGACCCCACGGGCCTTCATGTTCAGCAATGCTTGGCTCAAGTCGCACCGCAGGATCTCCGGCGTATTGGCTTCATCCAGGGCCAGGTAGTCCTTCTCCGTGTATAATCGGTAGCATTTTCCGGGTGCTTCTCGACCCGCGCGGCCCTTACGTTGGATCGCTGCGGACTTTGAGATCGGCTTCACCAGCAGCGAGTCCAGACCAAGACGGGACCGGAATTGTTTAATTTTCGCCTTGCCACAGTCCACCACGTACCGCACTCCAGATACCGTCACAGATGTCTCGGCAATGTTGGTCGCGAGGATGATTTTCCTTGTGCGAGGCGGTGCCGGGGCAAACACTCGCTGCTGCGCTGCTTGTGGAAGGGCAGCAAAGAGCGGCAGAACTTGGACTTTGGGCAATGCAGGGTCCATTCCTGTGGCGTACTCATTAACTAGATCTTCCAGCGCCTCGACGGTTTCCTGGCCCGTGAGAAACACAAGGATGTCGCCTGGCATTGGTTCTCGGTAATGAATCTGGAAAATGACCTTGAGGGCTGCGTCGACGAAATCATGCACTGGTTGAGGAGAGTAAATTGTCTGGACGGGAAATTGACGGCCCTTCACATGGCACACTGCAACATCTGCAGTCTCCTTGGGTTCGGTTTGTGTATCAGCACTCTTTTCAACATCCTTCATCTTCTCCTGTAGACCCCCCTTAAAGAAACTCAGCAGACTTTCCATATCAGCCGTGGCACTCATAATCGCGACTTTCAAAGGCAAGCCTCCCCTCCCCTCTTTCTTTCCAGAGACCAAATTCTTTAAAAATCCCAGCACCAAATCGACATTCACGCCCCGCTCATGCACTTCATCCACGACAATAGCGCTGTATTTGGTCAACCACGGATCATTCAGCATTTCCTGCAACAACATCCCCTCCGTCAAGAACTTGATTCTCGTACTAGGCGACGTAGACGTATCGAACCGAACAGAGTAACCCACTTTGCTGGCGGGAGAGGAATTTCCCAACGGCGTCCCCATCTCCTCTGCCACTCGTCTCGCCAGGGAAATAGCAGCCACTCGCCTGGGTTGGGTGATGGCTATGCAGCCACCGACGGTAATCTCCTTGTTCTTCTTCTCTTTCTTCTTCTCTTTCTCCTCAGCGTTGCCGCCGTCATCACCTCCACTGTCGTCCACCGCGATGGTCGTGGTTCGGGGCTGACACCAGAACTCGTCAACAAGGAACTGCGGGATCTGTGTACTCTTTCCGCTACCCGTCTCACCGATTAATAGCATCACGTCATTTTGGCGGAGGTGTTGCCGGATTTCATCGGCGTGGGAGAAGATGGGGAGGTTCTTGCGGATCGGGAGGAGAGCCTTGGCTTTTTCTTTTAGCGACGGGAATGATTGCTGTTGTTGTTGTTGTTGTTGCTGTTTGATGGGTTTCTGCTTTTTCGATTGCTTCTTCTTCAAGTCATTTGGGATATTTTTGAAGACCGTGTTTATGCCATTAGTAGAATTGCCAGCCCCAGCCTCTTTATTATTATCCTTGCTATTCTTGTCCCTTCTTTCTGTACTCGATGCAGGTTGACCGTCTGCATGACCGGCTTCCTCCCTCTTCCTTTTCTTATGTTCCTTCCGAGAAATATAATCACGATCATACTTCGACTTTTCCTCCTTCTTTTTATTCGCTTCCTTTTTTGCTGCGGTCTCCTTGGGCAACTCTTTCCTCGGTTCATTCTTCACATCATCGTCCTCGTTATCGAAGTAGGTATGCATCTTTTCGGGCATTGTAGCGTTTGCGTAAAATACTAATTGAAAGCAATTAAATCCTATGCCATTAATGAGAGTATTAAGATGTAAAAGTGCTCAGAACAGGCCAACTGGCGGGAGTGTCTCTGGGAGGTTGATGTTAGGTTAGTTTATTTTTTTGGCTTCCCGAAGATTTTCTCCGCGAGCTTATCGCTTATCGCTATCTTATCATTCAATATTATGAGCTATACCATATCAGGACTAGCTATACCATAATATCACGTGATGTTTTCATGCCTCTTCGGAGAAACGCCTGGTTGAAGAGACATATACACCAGGAACTGATGAGACATAAACCCCGACAATGCATTGATCGACTTGTGTTTTAACCAGAAATACAAAATCTAAAGGAAAATTTTTTTTAAAGGACTTACTCAACTTTATTCCAACATATCAATCAGCACCGGCGAGAAATTCAAGAAATGGAAACCCTGCATTAGCAAGGCTAATCAGTCGCAGCCAAACCTGAGCTTGTATAGTGCCTGTTGACTTGGAGCACCCTTCAGTCTCCAAATGAATATTGGTAGTGCAGTATGTACTCTATACTCTGTACAAGTCCAAATGAATAAAACATGATATGTATGCCGCATATACATCGCCAAAATAACCAAGGGCCTTATCCCTTTACCGAAGCCCTGTGGTATGATGAGATCTTATGCAAATGGTGGCACATGATCGTCTATGCACAAACCATTATAGACACCCCTGCGGGTATAAGTCATTAGTGGATATTCTAATCCAACCGCATGAAGAATTCCATCTTAATTCATTCCCCAGCCTCGGACGCGTCGGAAGACATAAGCTCGGTCGTTGCGAAGGCCAAATTCGGCCCAATCATCAGTCAACTTGTTGTAACTCCAGTACCCCTTCCAGGCGAGTTTGGTGTTCTTCGATGTGTTGGAAGGCGGCGCGTTGGCACTAGCAGATTTGGATGCACTTGTGGACCGAAGAGACAAATGCATCGTGTAAATGTACTTGGGATCCGCACCTTCGGTTTCAATGACGAGGTCTCGGGGATCGGAAAGGCCGGAAGGTTCAGGAATTTCGGATGGCGGAGACTGTGGGTTCTCCTGGGCCTTGCTGTCTGGGCAGGTTTTGTCTGTCACCGAAGTCGGTCGGGCCAAATGCCAACGCCCGAGATGCGCATACTTCAAAGCCGCCATAGCAACAGGAGGCACAGGTTCGACAGCGCCGGACAGACTCGTGCCTAGGTCACGGGTAAAGTGATGATGCTGTCGATGTGTCATTGACTTGGCAGTCAATACGTTCTCCTTGCTAATATGGGGAACAACATCCACGGGTTCGGTCGTACTAAGCAGGGAGACAACCGTTCCATCTGGGTAGAACCGTAGATAACGATAATACGTGACAATGTGAATGGGAGAATTCCAGGACACGTTATGATATGAAGAGGCGGCACCAGCACGAGTATAGTTGACAGTGCTAATATAAACCCCAGTAAAGCGAACACGAGGAAAACTTTGGAAGACTTGGCTCCACGAAGACAACGGCCGTGGAATATGCACGGGGACTCCAGGAGGGAAAAGGGTATACTGCGGCCCAAGCGTGTAGATTGGATGGCCATAGATGTCACAGACGAAAGAATAGTGCATTGCCCCGAATCCAAACTTCGAATCTTGACAGAGTTGTTTCCAGACGTGCTGCTCGTAGGCAAAATGGTACGCGAGGCGCTTACATACCAGCGCCATCCGACACAATGATGCCGGGTCTATCAATGCTACATGTCTTAGGATCTCGACCAATATGTCTGACGGAACATTGGCGATAGGACACGGGGGTGGCAAGTCGCCCTTAATTATTGGCTCCGCCTGAGGAATGGGAAGATGCGCAAACGTCGCAAGTAGTTCAGAAGTTGGCAAGGGCACAGCTTCGTCCTGCGATTGCTGTGCAGCTTGAGACACGGTAGGCACACTCGGAGCTTGAGACTTCTTCCATGCATGTGCGAAGTGCTTATCGCGGTATGTTTTATCGACGGCCGAGTCCAACTATAGAAAACAGGGAATTAGCATCAACACATACTTAAAAACATTGGGGAGAGGGAAAAGCGTACGCGGTAGGCTTTGCGATAATGCTGCAGACTATCTCCTAAACTTCCCTCTGCCTCCTTCTGGACAGCTCGCTCGAAGTGCTCCAAGGCCGAGCTTGGCTCCTCTAGGGGCTCTTTCCGATGAAACGCATCCTCATCCGTTACTCCCAGCGTTAATTGCTCAACATTCTGCACAAGCTCAGCCTGGTTATGCCGCCCAGCACCATCTCCTTCTTCTTCTTCTTCCTCCTCTTTCCGCTCAGATGCTTCGTGGCGAGTGGGTGGGAAACGCTCCTGTGCTTCAGGCGGCACTGATGGCTTTTTTTCTGGTTTGGCACCAGGGCGCTGTCTCGTTCGACGCGCGACTTCTTCACGCCACTGGCGACGAAATGACTCAAGTTCTGCGTTGTCGGCCATGGTTGACTGCAATGGGCACGATGGGGTCGGTGCGGCACTGAGTCTTGCTGATTGATTGATAAGAGGGTGCGCGGGCTAGTGGAGAAGAGGGTGGATCGGAATGAAAGAGGGACTCATGGGCGCACGGACAAAGGGAAGCAACAGGAGAGGATGGAGGAAAAAATTACAATGAAGAAATAAGACGAATGCTGGCCATATTGCAGCTTGAAGAAGACTACACGGAGAGGAACGAGAGAGAGAAAGCGACAGAGCACCGATAGCCAAATCAGGAATGTTCACGTGACAAATATTACTGATTCATCTTATCTCCGGAGCTAGTCCTGTTCAGGTAATGCGCCACTGCGACCGCCGGCAAACCGAAGTCTGACGCATTTTCAACGGCCTCAGCGTTTTCAGACACAGCGTTCTCCCACCGTCATGGCATCCTTCTGAGCCCTTCAACAATGGCGGCTACTTCTGGAACAGGGACTATCCCTGCTCCAGGCGCCTCTCCACGCAATGATGACATCTCTATTGCCCAGCGGATGGTTTCTGCCAGTTGTGGCAGCGTCTTAACGTCTCTTCTGGGTATGTCAGCCCGTGGATTCGGCAGATAGACTAGAAGAAAGGCTGATTCTGTTCTGTTATAGTCACCCCTCTCGATGTTGTCCGGGTCCGTCTGCAGTCTCAATCTTCCTCAGTCATGAATACGTCTGCCTTTGCTACTCACACAACTCGAAGCCTAAAGAACCTCCCTCCGAGTCTCGGTGTGACGGCTTGCTGCCGTGAAGTGTTTTGGATCGGTGACAATGCCCAAATATGCATGCTTGGTCCCACCACTGGGGCTATAGGGAGTGCATCTACTCCTGCAGTAGCAGAATGTGCAGTGGAGGAAACCCAGCGGAAGACCTTTACATCAACTCTGGATGGTCTTCGAAAGATTGCCCGCAATGAAGGGCCATTAACCCTCTGGCGTGGTCTCAGCCCTACTCTCATGATGGGTATCCCTGCAAACGTGATTTACTTTGCCGGATATGACTGGCTTCGTTACGATGATCGGAGTCCCATCAAGCGACTTTTCTCCGAGAATTCCGCCCCGTTAGTCGCCGGATCATGTGCGCGAATGGTAGCTGCCTCAGCGATCAATCCGATAGAAATGTTCAAGACTCGTCTACAGGCTACACCGGGCCATGGGGCAGGTCATTTCAAGGCCACTTTGCAGAGCTTGCACCAGATGACTCAGGTGAAGGGATACTCTTCACTCTGGCGCGGACTAACTCTCACTATGTGGAGAGACGTTCCCTTTTCTGGAATGTATTGGTGGGGATATGAAGAAGTAAAGAAATACTTAATCAGAGCTCGCGAACGTGCTGAGGACCATATCCTGCATCACGGACACGCAGATGAGACAAACACCTCTACATTCCTTGAGAGCTTCATCTCCGGTGCGGTCTCAGGTTCCTTCGCTGCCCTTGTAACAACGCCGTTTGATGTGGGCAAGACGCGTCAACAAGTGTTTAAACACATGGGCGATGACCTTTCCAGTTCTGTGGCTGCGACCGGCATCCTCTCAGAAACAGCTATTCGACCGGAGCAGCTTTCGTTGCCAAGGTTTTTGTTGCACATATTCCACGAAGAAGGCATGGCCGGGCTCTTCCGCGGCTGGTTTGCACGGTGCTTGAAGGTAGCTCCGGCATGTGCTATTATGATCTCAACATACGAAATTGGAAAGAAGATGGCTCGGGACGTCAACGAAAGTCGCCATTTTGGTCTGAAAGATACAGAATCAGATGCCATATAGTCTACGGCGTCCTGTATGCCTGCATTTCAAAAATTGAAGCGTTAATTCCTATCCGACTGGCGGCTATTTCAACAATGGAAAGGGAGCTCTATCCGAAAGAATTTCGGATTCCTCTTTCTCGATTCAACTTGTGATTTGCAATGCCATTTCGAAATACTCATCCCCGATTGATTGATATCCCACTTTGGTCTTTGTGGTATTTATCATTGCCTTTATTTTGCAAGCATCATTTCAGTATCCCTATTTCCATTTTCTACTCACCGATATATCTGATCTATCATAGGGGGCTCTTTTGTCTTATGTGATTCCACGGTGTATACGGCTAAGGAAGTAGCCAAGGTGAAGACAAAAATGGGTATGTCTATCTTGTCTCTTTCGTGTACATGTATACTATAATTCAAACTGGGGGGAAATCTTCCTAGACTAGAGAAGAAAAGCAAGCGAACACTGGATATCTCCACTCATTAACTGGCATTTGAATTTACCTTTTGTCATGATTTCCGTATTCTCATTTTCTTTTTGTAGTCCACTGTAGCCAACATGAAGAGCACTGTAGTTATTATTTATTCCCCGCAACTATATTCTATACGCAGCCATACAGACTTATAGATATATGGAATTCCAGCATCACACGCGTTGATCCCAGATTCCACCACGGCCAAGTCCCTTTCGAGCGTAAAGCGTATACTCTTACCTTCACAGCTAGTGTTTTTCATGGACACGACCCGCTAGATATTTCTTGAAGAGGATAGGGAAGTCCATGGACGGGTTGCCAATTAATATATTCAACTAATTATGTAGACGCTTAGCCCACACTCTGATGCCACCCGAGCCACCTCTATTTGCTCGCAAGAAATACTCTTCTCCCCTCCATACTTTCACAGTTCAGAGACGTAGAGCTCTCTCCTTCTCCTGACCAACTCCCGGGTGCGGTGATTAGCTTCCCCTCATCTACCTGCGCGTCTATCAGTGCGATGCAGTCGATATCAGCGTCGTTGTCCACGTCCTCGATGCAGTATACTAGAGGCCCACACAAACACAGATTTCATCTTTTGCCGGTTGCGGGGTTGGTGTAAACCTTCCGCGCTCGGAGAGTGAAAGAAAGCTTGATATCTGGGGTGTCTTCTGGTGATGGACGAAGGTACAGGTAACCATTTCGAGCCTCTCCTCTGTGGACAAGCTGGGCGAGTCCAAGCTTGTCCTTCTGGACTCCTGCAGCGTCAGTAGGCGCTACAGTTTGCATAATCATATTGAATTAGCTGTTACAACATTCCTCAGGTGAATGTAATGGGCCAGTTGGCATGACAATGTGCTCAAAGCGGAACTGACAAAATCCACTGTATTTATACCCCGGAGGGTTTGGGAAGCCCTCGTACAATTATCACACTCATGGCTACGTTTCCCGCGAGTGCCATGGCAGCAGACTACATGGTTCTTTCCACACTCTCCCGGTAGCCATCTACCTGAGATCTACTAGGTATTAGTGTGTTATAGCAGGGAGCTCTCTAGGGTTTGGAAGCTTCCCCAGATGGAGCCCAGGGCTGAGTTTCCACGTGAGGTACGAGCGTCCAGCACAGAGAATGCATATTCAAAGTTTCACCTCATTAAAGTAAAGAGCTAAAACATTGCATGATGGTTGCGGTGATTATGGCCTCAGATTCCGGCCTAGGAAGAGACCACGAAGCTTATTATAAGATGCACTTGGTGAGCATGGGGTGAGCACCAACGTAGAAAGGGAAGGCCTTGGACACATGCAGGAAATCAAGTACATATGGAGCTAAACGGTCAGGGCAAATCCATCTCCAGACCCCGACTTCTCACCCTCTCGGCATAGTCGTTCTTCTCGCTCTTTTCCCCGTTCGCCAACGGACTCCCATCATCCTTATTATTCTCAAATTCACGTACCCTGCCTGGTAAGGGTGACAAAGAACGAAATCCTCGCAGACCCGAAGTCGCATCCATGGTTGTTTTATCCTCGTGTCGTCTCCAAATGTCATACTCGGCAGGATGGTAATTCCCGTTCGAGCCAAGATATTTATCAATTTTTATTTTGAGGGGAGATTTCTCCGGGATCAACGAATGTAGCTTTTTGATGAAAGTATCCCAACGCAGAAATCTGCGGGTGGGATCCGAGATGTATTCTTTGGAGAATCCAGATGCGATCTTGTGTGTTGTTGTGACGGCGTCGCGGAGGTGTTGACTGAATGCCATCGTGAGAGCAATGACGATGATTGCGATTGAAGTTGGTGCTGCATCACGAATTTCGGGTCAGATCGTATTATTCAGTAGCACTGGCTGCTTCAAGAAAGGGGGAGAATAGTTAATTACCTGCAATGGCAAACATCTCCCAAAGGGGAAGATTCTGAGGAGTACCGCTCCATTCTCGGGCATTAATGCCGAAGAGCGATGTGAAGAAAGAAAGTGGTAGAAATCTGAGTTATAATATTAGCTGGGGAACGCAAAAGAAGAAATCCAGGGACACCAACACGACACTGAATATTGTAAAGACCATTACCGATCTGGACTGATCTTGAGTCACCTCTGCTTGCCATCGAGCCATCCGGGCTTCGTCCACATTTGCTTGTTTCTGCTTGAGATCAAGAAGATTCTCCACCTACAGGTCGTAACACCAAACATCAGTAACCATACGCGTTCAGCATGAATGAGACCGAGCAAGACTTCGTACCGCTTTTTGAGCTGAATGTGAATCAGTCCTCATCTCGGCAACTTGGGTGTGATATTCCCTGAGTCTCTTCAGGGCAGCCTCCAAAAACCTATATCCGTAGCCCTTATTTCCGTAGTATGACACCATCTCGTTGATAGTTGCTTCTTGTTGGTCAAGCAGTCTCATAATCGTCCCAAGCTCGTCAATTATGTCTCGGAGTTCTAATAAAGCTGAAAGATCCTCCCGCCGTTCTCTCTCATCACGCTCTGCAGTAGCCACTGCAGTTTCCCCTGGATTCTCGTTTGGATCCACGGGGTGGTCGACGAAGCTACGACCACGAAAGCTTTTAAACGATCGGGTGATAGATTCGGTCTACCAGACTTAGTAGGTTGAACTTTCACACAGAAGGAGAAAAGAGGAAAAGAGAAAAAGAGAAGAAATACCAGAATGCTTATGGACTCCTCAAATATCCGAAGGACCTGCAAGTCACGCTGCAGGGATTTGTCAAGAAGGACAGTGACAGCGTGCAAAACTATCAGTGCGGCAAGGTCACCCGCAGTGTCAAATCGTCTGGCAAGATCCCCGTTTAGCTCGTTATAGATGCTGGTGTGTAGATTTATCTGCTCGTATAACTTCTCTTCGGAAGTTGAGGCTTCCTGGTTTGGGAAGAATGTCACGACTGTCTTCTTATCCACAATCCACAGCCACAGCTGGTCTACCATTAGGACTTTCCCGTCCATGAATGGGTGCGTCGAATTGAAACTATCCTGCTGTTCCACATGTGGCTCTCGGGTCTCGAACTGAAAATCTGACCGGATGGGCTTTCTTGTGCGCTTCCAGAGCATCTGGTCATCATCTCTTGCTACGGTTGACCGCAGGTTCGAATAGCCGAACTGATCTAAAGTCCGTCGGAGGTGAATCGGTGGTTCAGATCCCAAATAACTCCATATCAGTTTGGCTTCTAAGCTGGATCTCGAGATCTTATCAGGCGTTGGTCTCGTGCGTCCCTGTTTCAGTCTCTGTTGTACAACTTGACGTCGTCGATACATGTTCAAATACGTGTCCCAGTGAAGCTAGTGTGGCAGCAGAAATGAGTTTAGCGGTCTATGGAAGCAGTTTGATAGACCTCAACTTACGTAGGGGAACTACATCAGAATAGTAAGTATGACTATCCACTTTATAAAGATGCGAACCCTTACATATAATGCCAACTGCGGATCTTCCCGAAAAGTAACTTTTCTGTGATGGATGCAGGCGGGTTGTACGAACCGTGCATGGGGCTGTAGATGGCGACCTCGGTTATGATACGAATACCAATGCTCGTTGCTCAGAAAACTAGCAGGACAGGTAAGTACGAAAGAAAAAAGCCAGTAAAAGAGAATATGAGAACGATAACCCATGCAAGGTCTTACAAGCTTGACTTGGCATGGTCCCAATGAGATGCCTTAGCAAGAATCTTAGGTACCCATCCAGTATGCGTGTACGGAACATGGATCCAGAGGAGTTTCTCAGAGCCCGGCTCGGGTCGATCGAAGCCAGGAGCAGACCTAGGACCGCGTTCTTCATATGGCAGGCCCCTCGCTGGTGTTGGCAGTGGGAGGTAGCCTTGGTTCTTTGAGCTTTGGCTTGTTGAAAAGGAAGCCCTACAGTCGTCATTAGCGCGCTTGTTCAGCATCCACTTTGCAGCGTGTGGGCCTACATTGATTGTCTTGGAGAACTGTGGTCCATGAAGCCAGAAGAACTTTCATCTTCGCCTTCTCCTTCGCCTTCCGCATTTACCCCACGTTGGGTCTCAAGGATCCGGATTTCTGGAATCGGGGGTGATGCCGGTGTAGAATCAGATTTTACGGGAGGCATTGTAACAGTGGACCTTCGAGCTCGCCCGAATGTTTCCTTGATTTGTCTCAGACTGGATCGCATCCTCTTCAATTGTGGGCGAGCAGGAGTCGAGCTTTGTGATTCCTCCGTGGAGGATTCCTGAATGCCGGTTTGAATCCCTTCAAAACTGCTCAACGACGAGTCATCATCCAGATCAGGCTGAATCGCAGTACTCTGCAACCTAGCGCGGAGGCAATGTCCAGCCCCCTTTTCCAGATATTCACGCAACGGAATCTTTGTCGACCAGAGCTTCAGGGGAGATTCCTCGCTCACGCCCAAGGAGGTACTTTCAAAAAACCCATTCACTTGGATCAGGACATCCTTTTTAACATCCAATGGAAAGTCTGGCTTCTGCGACAACGAGACTGCCTTCTCCACGGCTTGAACAAGCTCACTCAAGAAATTGAGTTTTGAAGCTTCTTGATGCTTAAAAGATGCAGTGCCGACATGATCCGTGGCGAGAGGCGTCTCCTTTTCGTGTTCCAACCCCAAAAGGCCAGATCGGATCGACGTGACTGGGACATGAAATTCGACTCCATTGCCGGTATCGGCATCTCTAACCTTGATAATGGAGTCGACCGTCTCCAGGAAAGTCCAGATTCTCATATCCAAAGAAACGGACCTGAATTTATTCGACAGGTACAATAATCGGTGGTCTCGAGGTCTGAAACATTCCCGAAGACGCTGAGGAATCAGGTACTTAAGCCGCATGAGATGGTGGATGCTTTCAGCATAATCTGCAGCCGATAAGTAGCTAGATCCTTGGTGGGGAGTAGCAAGGAAGGCAATTCCATGGCAACTGGTTAGAATTGATGATGACGAGACTGCCTTGGACCGACTGGCCTTGATGATGGCTACCTTGGCCACAAGCCCGCCGGTGCTGTGGCAGATGAAGAAGAGTGGCCGCCGGTTGAATTGACCGTGGGGTATCAACTTCAGGCAGTATCAGAATCTTTAACCTGTCTTGTTGGGTTGGGGACTGGCGGGACAACCTACCGTGCCCTGCCTCTCCTTTTGAAGCTGATCAAGCAAATTTTGCCCCAGGCTATCTAGATCATCACTCTCGCTTAGCTCACCATGGTCGAACAGCAGCACACGGGCATTTTTAATATCATGTCTAAGCTGCGAGACGAGCCATGGCTTTTGCGCAGGACCACTTGTCCACGCCTGGATTGGGTGTGCTCCGACTGGAGGAACCACGACAATACTGCAGTATCATCAGAGCTGAACAAGCGGGCTCTTCGGGAAGCAGAAACGGGAGATTGGTTCACATACTCAACAACAGACTCGGAAATAGATCCCACTATATGAAACCCACATCGCGTGGGCGCATCTGAGTGTCTGTCAGCTGCCATCTTCAAATTCCAACGCTACGCATCTCATCCCGGTCTCTCAGACTTTAGGACCTGATGAACTCCAACCAGCGATTGGAAAACGCAGAAAACAGAGTAGCCCGGCCTCTGCCTATGTTTTTCCGCGCAATCTATCTCCAAGTGAGTTGCAAGCAGCACGGTGCTGTGCTGATTCGAATGAAAAACTTTTCAAGATGGCAGGCAACGAATTATATTTATAACGAGGAGTCACTCCATGAATGACATCCGTGTGGATTGAGCCTCATTAACAGGGGAGCTTGGGGAGGGTGCAACCCGCCAATTATGCCCTGTGTATGCGAAGCGCTCAGCCGCGCAAACGAGCTGCAGCACTAGTGCAATAATCAGCGGGATAGTCACCTGCGAAAGCGAGGGGAAACGATTCTGACTAAAAATACAGTGCATATTATGTTATGCCATGTCTGTTTCCTTGCATATGTCATTATCCTTATTGGTAGAAATCCCCAGTTGGCCTTTGGGGCTGGCGCCGCCCTGCAGCTTCTGGTGCGGGACGTTGAGGACACGGCAGTGCATGGACGCGTTTGGTGTGTCTCTTTCGTTTTCTTGCCTGGGGGCGGCTATGGGATATCGACGGCTTTCATGTCTATAAGATACTCAATTAATTTCCCGCATCTTGTTGAGAAGTGATGGTTTGCGTGATGGAGAGTTGGCTGAAGGTTGCAAAGCCTGCGGAGAGCAAGGAATACGGAGGTCGAAGTCACGTTTTTGATCCTCAATGGTACTTCTGTCTTACATTCAAATATGCTGATATCCGCATTGACCAGGATGTTCTTTCTACGTGAAAGGATCTTTAAATCTCCTAGTCCCAGTATTTCATGATGGTCGTCAAGCCACGAGAAGTCCTGCTATTTCTATGCCAACCGCTCGTCCACCCAGTTGGCAATGTACTCCAGAGACCTAGTTGGTTCTCCAGACTTCATCTCCTTATCGAAGACGGACTGCACATGCGCTTCTCCTGGAGCAACCAGTACCTGCGTATGGGGATTGTGCGCCTGCCTTTGCTGTCAAAACGGAAAATGGAAGGGAGAATATAAACACGACGTTACGTACCTTGATCTTCTCTGAAAAAGCCATGATATCATCGAAGAACAGCTCGGAATCGGAAACAATAATGCCCAAGTCCTGTATGTGCAGATCCTCCCACCACTCTACAGAGGCACCAAGTGGGGTGTTGTAGGTGTCTTCCTTCGCATCCCCCAGGAAAGCCTTTGACGCTCTTTGGAGAGACTCCGGGAGAAGATAATCCGTCTCTCTGTTGGAAAAAATGGAGGGAGCACTGGTGTCAAATGTTACCCAGGGTGATATAAGGAGTGTGCCGCGTAGTTTCTCCCCCTTCAGATCAACACGAGGGATACTTAAATCTGGATGCGGGTGGGAGATATGCGAGAGGAGAGACAGACATAGATTGCCGCCTGCCGAGTCTCCTGCCAAAATAATCTTTATATCCATAGGTTAGCAAAATGGGGTTGCAATACAGGTAGCCACTTCGGAATACATTTGATGGAGCCGCATTGAGCGTCTTGAGAAGATAATCCAGCGCGGCTGCTGCTTGTCGAAGTTGTACTGGATACTGTCCCGTCGGCGCAAGCGCATACTCTAACATTGCCACAGAAAGCTTCTGGCCCCTTGATTGGGACCTCTTCACTTGATCCACGAGTATCTCGACATGTCCAGCGTAAGCAGGGAGAGTGTATCCCCCTCCTATCATCTTTCAATTAGCTCCAAATGCAGACAGAAGAGGAAAGCCAGATAGCATTGATCGAATGTACCGTGAAGATACAGCATAACCTTCCCATTGTTTTCCTCGGGCCTATTCAGCCAGAGAATATTTCCCCCACAGTCCAGAGGCACAATATCCGGAACGAGCTTATGTCGTCGCAGAACAGTCTCGTAAGCCCCAATAGTTGTGACGCTTCCAGTACTATCAAGCGCATTAGTCTGAGAACAGAGAGAGGGCGGGAAGAGGAAAGAAAAAAAAGAAAGAAAGAAGCATCGAAGGCACGAACATACCCCAGTAACCTTTTAGTATCGTGGCGTCTAATAGACCGAACCAAGGAATAAATAACGTATCTCTTATAAGCCAGCCATTTCGGCCTGTTCAAAAGACCCGTCAGAGAAGCGACAAACGTGTCGAGACCTACGATATATCTTGATCAATTGTTGCCTCTTTCTTGCTGTGTCTGAGTTGCAACTTACACACCCGCACCAAGACTATGGGTAGGAGCCAGTATCGTGTAACCATGGTGCAAAGCAATCTATGGGCGCATGTAAAGAATTCTCCTATGCGCAACAAGTGTTTATTATTGAAGCATGGAGCAATTATTATGGCTTCCCGGTCGAATCTATGTCTTTCAACCCCATCCTTAAATCCCCCGTTCAGGATGCAGGTGGTAGCTCTAACCTCGGTTTATCTGCGGAGTATATTATATTATAACCGGAGTTAGCCCGAGAATATGAACCGGCGTTACAAGAACACGAGGTCTGACAATCGGTTGTAGGATATACGGGTAGTAAAAATCCGTTTTCTAAAGCATGGCTTAAAGGAAATACGGAAACATGCTCCCAAATAATTAATCTAAAATGGCAACATTAAAGTACAAACAAACTATAATACAGAGGCCAACGACCCTAATTTCTTTTTTTAACGCTCCAAAACGGACGCCATGAAGGTAGAGTGGAGATGATATCCTGTGAGAACAAGTCTCGATGGTGAAATGGTGGGAGATCGAATGGCAGACAGAAGAGGTCAGTGCCATGAAGGTGTGGCATTAAAATCCATGAAGAAATCAATACATGCTCGTATAATGCAAAAACGACACGCTCAAAAGGACAAAGGCTATATAAGGCTACACGGCAGTCAGAAAAGCTGTGTTAATCAGCTTAGAACATGCCGCCGCCCATGCCACCCATGCCACCCATGGGAGGAGCAGCAGGACCCTTCTCCTCAGGAGCCTCGACGATGGCCACCTCGGTGGTACCGAGGAGAGAAGCGACACCGCTGGCATCAATCAAAGCAGTACGGACGACCTTGAGAGGGTCAACAATACCGTTGGCGAGCATATCGACATACTCGCCCTTGGAGCTGTCGAAACCGCGGTTGAAGTCGCCGGCAAACTCGTCACTCAGCTTGCCAACAATGACGCTGCCCTCCAGACCGGCATTCTCGACGATAGTGCGGGCGGGGCGGGTGATGGCGCGCTTGATGATGCTAACACCGAGCTGCTGGTCGAAGTTGTCGGGCTTGACATCATTGAGGCCATTGGCAGAAGCCTTGAGCAGAGCAGTACCACCACCGGGAAGGATACCCTCCTCAACGGCAGCACGAGTGGCGTTGAGAGCATCAACGACACGGTCCTTCTTCTCGCCAACCTCAACCTCGGAGGCACCACCAACCTTGATCACGGCAACACCGCCAGAGAGCTTAGCCAGACGCTCCTGGAGCTTCTCCTTCTCGTATTCGGAGGTGCTGGGGTCCGCCATAACACCACGGATCTGCTCGCAGCGCTGAGCAATGGCATCCTTACTGCCCTCACCGTTCAGGATGATGGTGTCCTCCTTGGTAATGGTGATAGCACCGGTGGAACCAAGCATGTCCGGAGTAAGCTTCTCCAGCTTAATGTCAAGGTCGTCGGTGAAGACCGTACCATTGGTAAGGACAGCAAGGTCACCGAGGATGCTCTTGCGGTTGTCACCGAAGCCAGGAGCCTTGACAGCAGCCACCTGGAGCTGGCCACGGAGCTTGTTGAGGATGCAGACGGCCAAAGCCTCACCTTCGATATCTTCGGCGATGATGACCAACGGCCGGCGGAGAGTAGTAGAGGCTTCAAGGGCGGGGATAATGTCCTGGACGGCGGAGATCTTCTTCTCGGAAAGCAGAATCAAAGGCTTCTCGAACTCGACCTTCTGGGACTTGGGGTCGGTGATGAAGTAGGCAGAGGTGTATCCACGGTCGAACCGCATACCCTCGGTGACCTCGAGCTCGTCTTCAATCGTCTTACCCTCCTTCACGGTGATAACACCCTCCTTGCCAACCTTCTCCATAGCAGTGGAGATGAGCTTACCAATGTGGGTGTCACCGTTCGCGGAGATGGTGGCGACCTGTGCAATCTCCTCGCTAGTGGTGATGTCACGCTTGTTCTTCTGGAGGTAGTCAACGACAGCGTCGACGGCAGCCTGAATACCACGGCGAAGATCCATGGGATTGCATCCGGCAGCAACGTTCTTCACGGTTTCGGAGAAAATAGCACGAGCAAGGACGGTGGCAGTTGTGGTACCATCACCGGCGATCTCGTTGGTCTTGGAAGCAACGTCCTGGAGTAGGCGAGCACCAAGGTTCTCGAACTTATCCTGGACCTGAATAGCCTTGGCCACGGTAACACCGTCTACGGAAAATCAGCACCACTTTCGGACAGATTGAGATTGAGACTTCTCTAGGTTTCGGCAACAGGCATAGGGGAAAGTCATGAAACATACCCTTGGTGATCTTGGGAGAGCCGAAAGAGGATTCGATCAAAACATTACGACCCTTGGGTCCGAGAGTCGAGGTGACAGCCTTGGCAAGAGTGTCGACACCCTTGAGGAGCTGAGCACGAGCTTCAACACCGAACTTGAGCTCCTATAGACAGCTGTCAGCTTCCCCGGCCCGAGCTTCGGGAGGCACGGAAAACAGATTTTGTCGCAGGATTGATAACAACGCACCTTGTGAGCAAATCGCTGCTGCTGGAGGTTGATTCCTCTGGAGAGAGAAGCCCGCTTGGATGCGGCGGAGAGGACAGAAGTCCTGGCAGAAAGAGCTCTCTGCATCTTGTGTGTAGGTAGAGATAAAGAAGTGAAAAATAGAAGGTTTTAACACAGAAAGAGAAGAAGAGAAAGGTGCACAGCCCAGACCTGAACTCCTGGAGTGACGAGGTGTTGGGACGGATGGGAAGAAGCAAGGGAAGATGGGAGAGCAGCAGCTGGGAAGAAGGAGGATGAAGCTTAAGTCTCGAAAATTTTCCAGGCGGTTCTGTATCCCCGGATGTCGGGGCGGAGAAGCGCCTAGAAGCGGTCACGTGTCGCGACCCGAGGGAAAGCTGGCAAGCTGCGCTTCGGGAGAAAGGGAGCTTTTCCTTCAGGTTCTTATTATTACTTCCATTGCTTCCGGATGGACGTATGGCAGTGGCAGATGAGGCTGTACCGTGACTATCCTGGAATTACTATCATCTACCTTTCAGATGAGCCTGGGAATGATTCCCTGAGTTTACACCGAAAACCATAGCAGAAAACACCAACGACCAACCCAAGAACCGCAGAAGCTAGTGTCAAAAAAAGGAAGGAAACGAGAATAAGAAAGTTGTTAAATCATCCCATCAAACTCCTTGTGCAGATAGTATCTTTGAAATACTTTGGTAGATCGAATGACAGTCAACCAAATCGATCAGCCCTCACTGCCAGTGCACTTAGAAGCAGCGTATGAAAGGAGTATCCCACCAACGCCAAAATGAACGACACAAAAGTTCGAATGAGCCCCATGGCGCAGCACGGAAGAAAATCATGATTGCCATAGAACTCCTAGGCGTCACGTTGACAAGCATGTTAGTTTGAAATTCCTTCACTGGTGCCAGTTTACCATTTAGAAGCCTTCATTCATGCCAATATTCTCACCAAGATGATATCGGGGGCCACTGGAATAGTTGCCGGTGAAAGACGTGTCACCTGGTCCTAACAGTCCGGGGCAGAATATTCCACTGAACTGGCTAGGATACATGTGATTCTGGAATTGGGGATGTACATCGGGCAAGAAGCTTTGGAAAGCCATGCCGCCCAAAGAAACTGCATTTTGGTCGAGTGGGTCGATCTGCATTGAATATCCAGTCTGGCTCGCAGCAGCTTCGTTGCTTGCGGTCAAACCCTGAGTGTCGATGGGGTTGACAAAGTCAAGATTGGAATTGTCCTGATAGAGGTCATCGCAGAGTAAATTGAAAAATGATTCTTCTTGGTGTCCTTCAGGATCATTATCAAAAGTATTGCGATACTGTGCAGCAGCCTCACCCCGTTCTCTTCCAGGGCCTTGCTCACGAGCCTTGTACTTGAGTACAATGACTTTGCAACTCTTGGCTGGTCCAGGGGAAGATGGGAGTGAAGGTGCTTTCTTGTCGTTCGGATACTTGAGAAAACTGGCTCCTGGGACCAAGAGTTTGTCGGGGCTACCTTCGTCGCCGTCAGTGGCGAATCCATCGGTGTCGGACTCGTGCTTCACATGGGTATCCTCAGGGTTGTGCTTGAAGCTCAATTTCTCGGTCGTGCTCATGGTCCTCTTACGCTTAGATGCCCTCTTGCGGCTTGTCTTGCCATAGTCATCATCAGATGAACGATCACAGTCATAGTTCATCGCGGCTTCACCTTCACGGTCAGGGTCTGGGTGAATCATGTCACTCTGTCTAGTTGGCTTGGATTTAGATGTCTCACGGCTTTTAGAGATGGTGTTTCCTCTGGAAGACAACGCAGACGATGCACTCGAGGTTACGGCAGCACTGCGGCGAAGGGGCGGAGGAACTTCTTTACCTGCATCGGCACGCCTAGTCCGGAGTTTCGCAAGATGCTGTACTATCGCCCCCTCTGACGCATTGTGTCCCATCGTACGGGCGACATCAGCCCATGGGATTCTGATAGCCTGGGCATTGCAAACGGATTGCACGGTCAAGAGGAGAAGCTCGTTCAGGTCGTCTAAAAGAACAGTTAGTGTCGGAAAGAAAGCCTCCGAATTACAAGTTAAGGATCTTCTCTCCTATGACAGTTCTCTGGAGGAGACAGCCCAAGGAGATGAAAAGTGGGTATAGGGATGCGTCTCGCAGCGCGTTTTCCGGACAGACACAAGGAAGAACTCACCGTCCCAGCGGATCAAGGTCCTCTTCTTGGGCCTACTGCCGCTATTCCTGGATGGACCCATCGTATTCACTGGTTCTGAACTGTCTTTGTGTGTTGCTTTCGAGTGTCTCCCTGCAGTGACTGCCCTTCCTAGAAAACGCAGAGATATCTCCGAGAAGAGACCACTTGGTTTACACTGTATAGTGTTTAGAATAGGTACAGCCCAGCTAGATGGGTAGATGCGGTCAGGCGAAGGGAAGAGATGGTAAGAGAATAGGATGAGAGTCGGCGAGGTCAGCAAGCAGTCCTTCGAGGACGATTACAGTCTCCGGCAATGTCGAGTAGAAATGATATGGTGACGCGACAGCTCTCACGGCTGACGGGGTTCTTTTTTCAATCCATCTCCTATATTGGACACTCGATCTGTCCGTTACGAGTGTAGCCCGCTAGAGATAAGAAAGTATCAGGAGTGCGGGTACTTCTCTTCTCTTCAAACTATGGTGCTATGTGTAGTAGATCTGTGGCTTAGCGACAGTGGCTATTCACTACTTCGTCCTGTGAATGGCGTCCTTAACACCACTTCCTCGCCACAGTCCAGGTTCAGAACAGATGTCAAGTTGAACACGCTCGAGCCTACTGGTTCAAACTCTTTTAGCAAGCAGTATAGCCAAAATGGATAGATCCAGACCAGTTAAACCAATGTAAGCAACCCTTGTTAAATTGGTTCTTTACAGGACGGTTTCTCAAGAGAAACCAACTTCAATGATTGAGTCCAGACTTCCTGACGGCTTCCTGATATTTAGGATTGACAGCTTTCCTGCAGCTGCCACGACACTCCCCCAGTCTTCGACAGTACACTCTCGGCTGTTCCCATAGGTGAACATGTCCATATCCAATATTCTGGATTGAATTAGCGGTTTCTGGGATTCGAGATGGTCTAGGAAGGGGAACAGCTAATCGACCCCAATACTCACCTCTGCATTCGATCCTCTATGTAGTGAAGTGTACCTGGGGGTGTCACCACCAGTTCCGCCAGGAGAATCCAACCAGATGGCTTCATGGCCGGAACCAAATTACCGCGCAACTTGGCTGCATTGGTATCCGTCCAGTCGCTCATCACCGAAGGCACAGTTGACATAAATGTGCTTCTGGCGGTAAGGCTGACCATCAGCCCAGAACTGCGTGATCTTCTTTCCGATGGCTACTGCTTCCGCATCAAGAGAGCTGTCGGGGTCATAGGTAACAAGAACATCACTATGAGGATGAGCCAAACGGATTCGGGTTTGGGGTCAGGGAAGATGCTCACCATAGGATATTTTCTTCGCGATGAGGGAAGGCAGTAGATGCCGGGTCGACAGCCTTCACGCCCTCAAGCGAACAAGCCTCGAAGACGACGATCGATTGGTTGTGCAACAGCTGTGAAGTGGTGACGTTTCTAAAGTAGTCGTAGATCTGACGAGTGGCAGTAATGTTGTGCTCAACTAAGCCAAGGGGAACTGCATGTTTGTGTGGCCGTCTTGACACATTGGGCTGTTCAAGCCAGTGCCGGTTGCATCGAGCACATCGGGGTAGGCATAGTATTGGCCATTTGGGTATAGAGGGCTCAAGTCTTGGAATGGCTTCAGGTATGGTGCTGCCTCCTCAGCTGAGCCGACATAGTGGATGAAAAACTCCAATATCGGCTGTAGATGATTATTAGTATTGAACAGGAATGGGATGACTCGACGCTCACGGCCTCCACCAAGTCCAGGGCCCATGACGCCCACACAAGCACAACTCCCGTTCCTATGATCATTGGACCAGCATTCATAAAAGAGGGTGCTCAGCAGATACCGGTAACAAAGCCTTTCTCCCATAGGGCATCGATAACTTGCCCGTCCCATACACCTCCACCAAAGAAAGCTGAGGCTTCATCGTCGGCGATCTTAATGTCAGTGAGTTGGGCCATCGAGATCTCAATACCGTTCTTTAGTCTACCCAGAGTCTCGGTAGAACCATGACCTCTGTTGACAGCGTGAAATGGGACGCCGTGTGAATTGGCATACTTGACCTGTGTCGGATTAACCAAGTCAATGAACCATCGCGGATCGTTTTGAGCAAAGATAGAAGAATTGGCAGACAGTTTTGGAGCCAGCTCAGCACTGACCGCTGCAGCTGTCAGACTGGACGAAGCATTAGACCGCTGCTCATTGACAAAAGACGAACGGAGAGCCGTTGCAATTGCCGGCACAGTTGCCAATGCCAGCGACCAGGCGGAAACGCGCATCGTGGGCGATGAAGGATGTTCAAATTTCCCAAGTTGAACCAGTAATGAAGAACGATGAGAGGAAGAGGTTGAACTTAAACCCCGTTTCCTGCTCTGTCCAACACGGATGTAAGCAACATCCAGTGCAATTTACTGCGAAAACTACGTCGAAGTCCCATCCGAGGTGAAGTTCCAGGTATCGGATCATGATCTCCTGCGTCAATCAGACCATACCGAAGGCACCGATCTGACTCGAGAGCTAGAGAATTACTTCGCACTGGGCTGAGCAAGGAGGCTAGGCTAGTCTAGTTGTCTTAGAATTGGCCGTTGGCTTCAGCCTGGATTCCCCGAATCCAACAGGCATACGGCTTTAAGCTCGCGGAAGCATATCAATTAAGAGCTTCACAATATTATCGATTATCAGCTTGTGATTGGCATTAACAAACGGACAAATATCCAGCGGATCCATTCAGGAATATCGGCCACCTGCGTTTCCTCCAGGTACGTTGGAGAACCCGATCCCTGTACGGACTCGGCTTAAGTACCAGATCTCAATGCCCGATTTACTCTGCAAACGTAGAAAAGAAAAAAGAAAAAGAAAAAAGAAACATGATCCACCCCCGGACTCTGTTAGAAACTAGCCCGAACCAAGGAATTAAGTGTTGGAGTCAAACTATCTACTGTGTACATTTGTGCTGACTAACGTGGGCTAAGCCTAACTAGGAAGGAGCTGAACCATGGGCCCTGCTTGGACCCACTGACATGCGTCTGTTAAGGTGCGCCCCACGTCAACACAATCTTCAACACAATTATCACATCAACGCAACTGTATAGAACATGATGCTCAATTGAACCTCAACGCCAGTAGTATTTACTATAAAATGGCTCAGAATCAGCCACTGATGTGAAGTTATACGCACCATCAATTTGAGGTGGATCCTCCCCTGTCTAGTTGGCTAGTCACTCCCTTTTGTTGATGGAACAGCCTGGCAGCTGGAAGACAGATATTCCGGGTGAGTCAGCTCGCCCTGTAGTTATGATAGCAAGAGACAAAAAAATTCAAGTCAACCGTCGAGAAGATCATCCGTTCAATATGTTTGTCGTTCATTCTATTAGCCTAGACTAGCTTGTAGCCTGTACCTTCCCCACGATCCTTACACCTTTCTCTGCTGCTTGCTTGTGATGAAACTGTTGGACATCCTTCTTCATCTGCCCCAGCTTTGGGCGTCAATTTGCCAGTTACCATTCTTAATGCTTGCTGCCTGGATGAGCCCACTGTATCGAGGGCAATGTGGAAGGAGGACCATTGGTGAGCTGCCTGTTTTGGAAGGTAGCGTAGCTCCACCATACCTCAGGTATGGCGGTATAGCATCTATCACTTTTATAGTACCCTGTATGAAACGACTCAAAGACACTTCCCCAAGATTGAATGCACGATTCCACTCTTACATGCCTCCCACCGCGCCGTGAGTCTGGCTCATCTTTGTGCGTCGCAGAAAAACAGCCACCAAAACAGCAATGCATCCGGCAGTCAGATCCAGGACCAGTGCATTCGTAATTGCGTTGGCAATGGCCTTTAAAACAACATCAGTTCTCAATGCGGCACTCAGTGAGTCAAGGAGTTCGGCGTTTGCACCGGAAATGATGGCCTGGATGTTGGTCTCGCTTTCAGTTGGAAGCAGATCCATGATCTGAACGGTTGCACGATTCAGGAAGACAATATTGGCAATAGAGAGAGCAATGGCTAAACCTCCCCACCCGGGCACAAGTCATGAAGCCCACTGCCATGGGAATCTCCTCGGGTGGGACCAGATATTGCGCCACATAAAAACCCAGCCTGTGAGAAGACACCAGTTGCAATGCCGCCGATAACAAGGGCACCATATATCTGACCCACGCTGGTCGTCAAAGTGGTGATTTTGAGCAGAACACCGCTGACAAGGACAAGTATGCTACCAGCAAGGCCCCAGTGGCTTAACAGCCTTGCCAGTCAAACAGTGGCGGCTGCAATGACAGTCTCATCCATAAGAGCTTTCCAGTTTGTCTCCTGATGTGACCATCCATTAGACCGTAGACGAGCAGTTCTGCTACGACAGCTTGCCCCCCATAGAAGGCCAGGGTAGGGATGGATCTCACACTCTACTCACATGGTTCTACTCGGTCAACAGTACGAACATCTTCTTGTCGATAATCTGCCAGCTCCCCTGCCCTTCCAGCTGGACAACAAAGTTCGATGAATTTCGTCTGTGACCGGCCAGGTAGTGACTGGAAAGGTCCAGCCTTCATACTGGAGAGCTAACCTCGAGTCGCCTGTCCGATTCAGCGATGCGGTTGAGAGTCCCATCAAGGGAGCCAAATACCACCTGATAGAACTTGGTCCCACTCAGCTCTGGAGCTACGCATCAAGCAGACCATGGCCAAGTTGAACATTAAGGCTGGGAACTACAACTACTCGCCGCTCTCACCAGAAACAAGAATGCCGTCACTTGCTTTTTGAACACAGTTGGTAATCTTTACCTGCATGGCCATGCAATTGACTTCACTCAAGTCAATTATGTAGAGACCTCTACAACCCATTCAGCGCGGAATACCTCCAAGTATCCCATACACAAGTAGGGCAAGGTCATTACACTCTTCTATGGAGTGGGTGCCGTGCGAGTACTGCGTACCGTGAGCGCAAGTACCCACACCACGACCTTCTGGGCGCGCAGAAGCCGGGAGGCAACGGAATCCAGACAACGTGGAAGACAACCCGTGGCTTCTTGACTACAAACTGGAGGACACTGTTGTCTTTCCAGGAGCAGGCTACATTGCCATGAAAATCAGCCAAAGCTGAGCCGTATCGCTGCAAGGTTCGTCTTCTTAAGCAAAATATTCATCATCTCCTTTCTAACAATATATGATAAGCCTGCTCGCCGAAACCCTATCTCTCTATCGGCTAAAGAAGATTAGTGACAGCGATAAGGATCTGAAGAATGGATCCGGCATGCCGGCTAAGCTGACCCTCCCGCCTAAGGTATGCAGGGGAATGTGATGACTAGTACTACAAATAGATGAAGAAACAACATATGCTATTCGTTACTATTTCAACGAATACCAGACATGAGAGGAGAAAGGAGAAAAGAAGTAGGACTGGTTTGGATTGGATTACTATTTAATATTGTCGGGGTTCAAGCTCGCTGAGTTGGTTGATCTAGCTAGGGAGGCCCGGAGTCGGGCGGACTAGTTAAGAACTAATCGCTGTCTTCGCTCTGGTGTTGCGGAGTTCAGCTCTCTAAGTGCTAAGTACACGTGATCTTGTGTGGCCTAAGGCTTCTGTCGTTGCGGCCTTACAGGAATTCAGAGAATGATGACTTGATGGTATTCCATTGCAGCTTCAAAATGACCATCTCCAGAAAGGTCCTTGGCCTGTGTGGAGAGCAAATAGGCCTTGCCTTCCTCTGTGGCTGAGATAGCATAGCCTGTAGGTATGGTCTGTACTCAAGAGATCCGATTTTTCATCCAGGGAAGCGGTTCCTGGGCGGACGACCCCTGCAGTCGTCCGCCTCTATCGGGTGGAGGATAAGCGTTCGGTATAGGTGATGTCGATCGATTTCAGCTTCGAATTCGCGAAGACCATGATTGATTGATCGATCGTTTTGACCGGGTGTGTCCATTGTCTCTTGCTGAAACTCGGTTGGCACTGAATGTAATGGAGGTGTATTGTTGGTTGGTTACTAGCTAGATAGGCCTACGTGGTGAAAAGGGTCAGCGAGGGCGGACCTATGCGGCAGAATCCCACGTGATCCAACACCCCCCCACGCACGAGCTGGCCTAAAGACTAATCTAAAGAATTTAAATACAAAAATCGGCCTCTATTCAGGCCTCCAAATGAGAGAGTAAAAGCAAAATTAAGCAGAGAAGTGAGAGGTTCCGCTTTGGCCAATCAGAAGCCGTAAATCAGAATAGAAAGTATAACCAAAATGGGGGAACAAGCGCCGCTTAATGTATGCCGGTGAGTTCCAGGAAATGATTGAATCGTTCAGTTTGGAGAGGTTTTGTCAGGCCATCTGCTGCCTGTTCTTTGGTAGGGCAGGTCTGAAGTTTAACAATGCCGTCTCGGACCTTCTCCCGAACGTAATGGTAGCGTATGTCAATGTGTTTGGATCTCTTGGTGGTGAGCTCGGCTTCAGCCATGGCGTGGGCACCTTGATTATCGATATGAAGAGATATTGGTGGGCATTCAGTTGGGAGCACATTAAGCTCGTTGATGAGATTCCGGAGCCAGAGGGCATCACGGCTGGCTTCGCTTAGAGCCATATACTCAGCTTCGTTGGAGCTAAGGGCAACGGATGTTTGCTTGCGGCTTTTCCAGGCAATTGGGGCTCCGGCAAGCAGAAAGATGTATCCAGAAACTGACCGGCGGTTGCCTGTCAGTTGGCCACCCCAATCAGAGTCGGTATAACATTTTGGCATGAGGAGGTCAGATGTAATGGACTCCGTGGGTTTATGATAGGTAATTTGCCGATTGATGGAGCCTTTAAGATAGCGTATGGCGTGTATAAGGGCACGCCATGCTTTTTGGGTGGGTTTGGCGTTATATTGGGATAGTATGCCAACCGTCTGGCTAAGATCTGGCCGGGTTTTGGTGGCTAGCCAGGTAAGGCAGCCTACACCACGTTGATATTCTTTGGTGTTGACTGTAGGGTCTGGTTCATCATCAATTATTAGGCTAGGATCCATTGGAATCCTAACAGGATGTGCTTGGGCTTGACCAAAAGAGGCAACAACATCTTCAGTGTAGTCGGCTTGAGATAAAGAAGATGAAGTCTCAGACTGGGAGATGGTCATGCCAAGGTATTTGGTAGAGTTTCCAACTTCTTTTATGTCAAATTTGGCGGAGAGAGTCTCCATAAACCAGATGGCATCATTTTCATGTTTAGCATAGACTTTGAAGTCATCCACATGGGTGGTCACATAGAGTTGGGTCCGGGTAGTGTGGATCCATAGACCAGAGTCATATTCAGAGCATTTGAAGCTGATTTGGCGTAGAAAAGCACCCAGAGTATCATACCAGATGCGGGCAGATGGGACCAATCCATAGAGGGATTGAAGGAGTTCACAGACAAGATCTCCAGAACCTTCTTTGAATCCCTGAACTTGGGTCATAAAGACACGTTTGTCCGTGGGCATTTTCCCATTTAGGAAAGCAAGGGTGGCATCAGCTTTTCGGGTATGCCAGCCAAGCAGGGTGGCCAGTGCCGTGAGGGTTCTGGTAGTATTTTCATTTACCACTGGTGCGTAGGATTCCATGAAGTCTTTATCAAGTAGATTGCCACGAATGACCCAGCGGGCTTTAGCCTGATAATCCTCTGAGATAGGTATGCCGGGGATTTCTTTCTTTTTGTATACCCACCGGCCAGGGATGACTTTGGCCCCTGGTGGTAGGTCAGAACGGCGAATGAGTTGCCAGCAGCCTTTCTCTTTGAGTTGGTTGACTTCCTTTTGCATGGCAGCTTGCCATTTAGCAGCATCAGGATGGGATATGGCCTGCTTATAAGAAGTAGGCGTGTTGTCTTCTGATGAAGGAATGGTTGAAGTGGCAAAGTAAGCTAGGGACATGCCTTTGGCAGGTCGGAGCCATATATCTTGGTCATTGAGAGGTTCATCTTCAACTAATTGAGTTGGGTTTTCTTCGGTAGGGGTGCTGGGACCTTTGGGAGTGGTAGTTGTAGGATCTTTGTAATCCTCATCAAATATAACATCATTGGTGACAAAGACGGTGTCAGTTTTAGGGTCCCAAACACGATATTGATGGCTACTAATTTGGCCAATGAGGAAACAGCAGTGAGAACGTGAATCAAGCTTATTTCCAGGTTTATCTGGTCCATGCCGATGGACCCAGGCTGGACACCCCCAACGGCGATATCCGGGGAGTGAAGAAATGGATGAATTAGTCCACGCTGCCAACGGAGCGCGATAAGGGCTGGGGTGTATGTCCTTGTTGATATTCACCCCCCCAGGAATTTGGGAATTGTATAAGATGGTAGATGTAGGGAGCCGATTTGTAAGATCTGTGGCATATTGGAGAGCATCTACCCAAAAGCGTTCTGGTATATATGGGGCATCAAGCATCATAGCTCGGGCCCGTTCAAAAGGATCCGGATGCCACGTTCACTAACGGCATTTTGCCATGGTGAATATGGCGAGCTTGGTTGCCATTCTATGCCTTCCTGACGGTAGGTTTCCATCCATTCAGTGGAGCGGAATTCATTATCAGAGACTAGGTAGGCAGGAGCAGTGAAGCCATGGTTCTTCATATTTTGAAGCCAGTTCTTGAAGGCGGTAATGGCTGCACTTTTTGTCTCAAGGAAGAGGATCCATCGATAATGTGTGGCATCATCGGTAATAAGTAAGACATATTTTGCCCCAATTCGGCCAGTGACAACATCATTAGGGTTGTCAAAATCAAGAGTTTGTCCACCGCCGGCGATATCTAGATGGACTCGGGCAAGGGGTTTGGTAACTCTGGACCTAGGGACCTTGCTATAATAGCGTGTCTGTCTAGCCTGTATACAGACTTCACAAAATGGGAGTTCTTTAGAGCCTTTGATTTCGATGCAAGACTCAGGATCTCAGGCGAGGCGGAGGAGATCGGCTTGATTGAGATGGCATAGGCGTCGGTGCCAGGCCATGATAGGTAGGGATATCTTAGTAGTTCGCGGCTTCCCTAGAACCGGGGTCTCTTTTGGAGTAGGAGCCTCAGCTGGTGTCTTAATTGTGGGAGCCTTTGCAGGTGGCTCTTCTGGGCGGTTAACTTCTTTGCCAGACCGGGTGGTGACAAAGGCATAGGAATTTTCTTCTTCTCCAGGAGATAGACAGTCTTCAAGGAGGTAAACATTGTTTTTGAACAATCGGGCTTGGAATTCAGCTCCAGATGGTGTGGTAATCAGCTTGACTTCACAATCTAGTGTATATTGAAGCCTAAAGCCTTGTCGTACAAGCATGCCTTCTGAAATGAGGTTGGAAGTAAAGGAAGGAACATGGCGGACATCTCTTAGGATCAGAGATCCGTAACCAATATCTATAATCACGGTGCCAATGCCTTGAGGCATAGAGATATGGCCTTGAGCACCTTCCATATAATCTGTCTCCACCAGATCATGCTTCTGCAAGGCCTTATAGGTTGCAAAAAGTGAACGGTCAGGTGTAGAATGGAAAGAGGCACAGCTGTCAACAAACCATTGATTGGAAAATGAGAGAGTCTTTGCAGACTTCACAATGGCAGATTTGGCATTGGAGAGTTTCTTATGCAAGACAAGTTCCTGTGAAGCAGGGTGATCCTGGTTTGATTGTGGGTTTGCTTCAGATTGTTGCTGAACACGGAGAGCATTAGCCATAGTAGTATAGAACTTGCGTCTATACTCTGGTGCTTTCTCAGGATGTTTAAAATAGCATATAAGTCCATGGCGATTTCCGCAGTGATCACAGTCTATAAGTGTATGACGAGATCTATCTTGGTTATTGGAACGTTGAGGAATTGTGTATTTGGTTCCAGATGCTTGTTTTGAATAACTGCGGTTCTGGGAGTTCTCTTTCTGTTGGTTTGACCGGTCTTGAGAATGAGTATCACGGAATTTAGTGCCGGTTCGAGTAGATAATTGGGTCTGGATAACCTTAAGATCCAGGTTGGTAACCGGAGCACGGCCAGTAGAGTAGACATCATCTAGTTTACTCTTGATAAAGGCGCGGTTCCAGTCCCGGAGACCTATAAAGAAGAGGTCATGTTTGAGATTTTCAAGAGATTCTTCTCCAATAGCGTGTAGGCGGTCAAAGATTCGATTAAAGGATGACTGGTAGGTGAGATAATCGTTATCCTTTATATAGAGCTCTTTGAGCTCCATGGTAAGGGCCATTCGCTCTTCACCGGTGGATTTGCCAAAAAGTGTGGCAGCTCGGTCCCAAAGACCATGGGCAGAGAGGTCATATACGGTGCCTAGTTTATCGGAAGCAGGGGTTGTCATGGCATTGAGCATACGGGCTCTCATGACAATGGCTTTTCTGTGCCAAACTGCAGCATCAAGTGGAGATGATCCAGCAGGAGGAGAGTCCTGGTGAAGAGTTGTAATAGCATTGAGAATACCAGCTTCTTTTTGTATGGCAGAGCTCCATGCATCGTAATTATCCAGTGTCAAGATGACACGGCATCGGTCAGGCAGTAGCGTATCGACATCGGCTTGGACAAGGGCAATAGCATTGCTGATATTTGTGTCTGAGGCATCACGCAGAGGCGGTTGGATATCCATTGGTGTAGTATCTTGGGTTGTATTTGAAGGCAAGGAAGCTTGTGGAGTATTAGACTGGATGATAGATGCCAGTTTTAGCTCCATTCTAGCTTCACGGTCTCGCATATCTTGTTCCATCTGATTCTGGCGAGCAAGCATTTGTCGCATCATATCAGCAAGATCAGGGGTAAGTTCGTTTGTGGAAGCCATGTTGGCGGTATTGGTAGAGCTCAGATTGGCTCCGGAAGGCGTTGGGGTCTCTATCTCTTCAGAGACAACTGATGAGGAGGTCTCGTCTATATTCGAGGACCTGTTTTGGAGATTTCGGCGACGTGATCGTCGTATAGCAGTAGCGGGAGGCGTAGTAGGTTCTCCTGACATGCTCAGGTTCGGACCGTATCTGGGATCCTGGAATTTTTGGAATCTGGGGTATGGAATTTTGGTTCAGCCAATCAGAGGGCTTAAATTGACCACTTATACGGGCCTAAAATAGCTCATATTTCCGAGCAAGAAACGGGCTCATAACCTAATGGAGGTGTATTGTTGGTTGGTTACTAGCTAGATAGGCCTACGTGGTGAAAAGGGTCAGCGAGGGCGGACCTATGCGGCAGAATCCCACGTGATCCAACAGAATGCAGACGGAGGTCACGTTTACTCACGTGACCGATGCACTCCCGACACTCCGAACTCAACCGCGTCCAAAAGCTTCAGCAGAACCGACGCAGCAGCCAATTCTCTCCCCTCCACGCAATCGCCTCGATCATTATTCGAAATCCTCAAGATGACTGCCGCTTGGAAAGCCGCTGGTTTGACGTATGTTTAGTCCACATGTCGCCTTACCGGGCTCAATTGCTAACTTTCCCCCTTCCTAACAGCTACAACCGCTACCTGGCCGTGGCCGCTGGTGCGGTTCGCAGATCCCTGAAGGAAGGCGCTCGTCTCCATGCTGAGGCCCGCGGTCGGACTGACCTGCGATTTGCCAAATGGAAGGTCCGTACCCGTCCCTGATATGCATTACCCGTTACAAAAGAGGAAATGGTCTTGAAAGTTTCGGATTCTAATCCATGTGTCAATGAACAGAATGGCAACCAGGGTGAATTACAAGAGGCTGCCGCTGCAGCTAAACAAGTTCAGGCCTCTGAGTCCAAATAAGCGGAGATAGTCCCTGCGAAACGCCACGAAGATTGTATGGAGTGGCTTGAGAACAACTTGGGAATCGGACGGCGGTGAAAATATCATCCTGCGATCACCTCTGGGGAAGGAATTGTATGTTGTAGCGAAGACCGGTTTATCTGGCGGACAGAAATTAGAAAATACCTGTGTTCTGTTGCTATTGGATTGGTTTCTTGCTTTGTTTCCTTTCGTAGGGTTCTGTCGTACAACGTAGTTGATGGCGGCCTCAGGCGTTCGTTTGCCTAGCGACAAGTTCTCTTCCGCTCCCCGCCTTGCTCCGACAGAACAACTTTTGTTTTCAGAGCACAGCATACTGCTTCGTGAAAAGTTCCATGGCCCGACGTATATAGAGTTCTTTCTTCCTTATTCAGATTTCCCGACAGGACAGGGTCCGTCAGCCCAAGATGCGGGTCGTCTCACAGGTCTCTCAGATCTCGCAGACTTTCGTATCACACGACATCACCGATAAGTTCAGAGCGGCCGCCTCCAGTAAGACGATATTTTCCTTTCTATTCCAAGGCTTCCTCTATTCCGCATGCTCTACTCGCTGGAAATATCCCGTATCTGATGTCGTATATATACTAGGGCTCAAGACCGGGCAACTCGTCAAAGATGAATACTTCACGCTCTTTGAGGCCGTGGGCGCCCTTGAGGTATGTTCCCACTGTTCTCCTCGCTACCCATAGAGGACGAATAGGGCCCTGGCTGATTCGATTCGCGGAACCCGGTGTATAGATTATGGATCCGAAGATGGACAGTGGATTTCTTGCCCCTGGGGAGAACTATGCGCAGGCCTTGGAAGACGATTACGACGTGGCACAAGACTTGACTCCGGCGGAGGTGCTGGGTATAATGGATCAATTACTTTGTCATGAGGTGGGCGCACCTATGCCAGCGTAGATTTCCTGCAGCTGGCTCGGACAATACAAAGAGGAAGGTCTCCTCTCGCTGACGGATCGTCTCCAATGGGCAGATGGCATGGCATATGGGACACCCGCTCTCCCAAACGCTTTTTACGTCTATCTATCTCAACAAGCTATTATGGCCGGTTCCGAAAACGCTAGACGAGGCCAATTTTGGCGTCGGAAATTCATCTGAAGACGAAAGTGGCTCGCCATTGGTGAACGTGGTCTTGCGGACGTACTGTCTCGCACTGGTCAAGGCTTGTGACTTCGTTCATGCGCGGGTAGCATCCGAGTACTTTTATGAGGTTCATTCCCTGGAATATGTCAAGTGTGCCTTGAGACTGATCTGTTTCAGGAAGAGGATTTTGTTACCCAGCTCTACAACCGCAGTCTTTTAACCGAATTCGGCGTAGATGGTTTTCAAAAGCTAATTGATCAGGCGATTTTATGGGTCGATGAGCAAGGCGGCAATATTGACGACGATCTGAGAGATGCAATAAAATCCAGACTTGTCCTCCGTCGCGAGCTCCTTGCTGCATTGGAACAGGATCTTCGAGTCATAGATACCAGATCCACTGATAACTTTAAGAATTGTCTGGCTCAGCTGTCTCCATTGGCAAAGTCCGTAACTTTGGGGAAGCCCGTATCAGATGCTTTTAGTTTGAAGATTCAGCGCAGACTGGCTAGCACCATCCCTCCCCGGCCGATGGTCAATATCAACGTTGAAGATGCCCTGGCGCATTTGAAACGACTGTGCCAGGATGCGATTGACCTCGAACAGATTCTCGATTATCGAGGTCCACATAATTTCAGGGTATGCGTTTTGTTCTTCATTCTATTCAGTTCTGATCTTCTCGCCTTACATGCTTCTAGGTCGCTATTTGGACTTTGCTGTCGCGAAAACCTCAACCTTCGGTCTATATCCGGTCGCTTGTTCAATCCGTTATCGCAAAAGACACGACAGTTCTAGGAACCATACCCGTCAAAAACTTCCTATATGATGATCTGGCCGAGCTTGTTCTCCCATCCAGTATACTCCTTCGGGCCAATATTGATGAAGTTGAGGTCCCATCCGATCCACGGTTTCAGATAGCTACGCATATGGACAGATTTGCGAGACATTTCGCTCAGGTGCGACCGTCCTTCAAACTTGAAATTTTATGGATAAGTGCTGATTGAGGACAGCCATTCGTGGACACATTCAGATCTGCTTGTTTGAATAGATGCCGCGTTCGCCGAACCATTTGCCATACTGCAGTAGATTGGGACAACTTGCAGATCGAGGTATGCTTAATGCTCTTCTGTCCCCTATCAGGGATTTGTCTGACGTTACGCAGGCCGAGGAACTCGATGCGCAGCTCCGCAGCTTGAACCCTGAGCCTCCACTCACATCCCAGGGTGGCCAGCCGGCATATTCGTATCCTCTTAGCAGCTGGGCATACCACCAAAAGCTAATCCAACTTCGTATGATCCTCCAACTCGGTTTTGAACTCTGCATCTACTCCCCCGAGGAATTATCAGGAATGTATTGGTACCTGACTCACATCTGTTCCACACACCTCGGCCACATTGAGCGCATTCGCACCTTCACCATTGCAGCAAGCAGGCGAAACCTAGTTTCCGCGTCCTTGGGCGGGAATAAAAGCAACACATCTGAAGAGCAGCACGCATTCCAACGAACTCTTAATCTCCTTGAGCGACTTTCGACCCATCTCATTGCTATCGACGCGTTCGCAATCGCCTTGCATGCTCTGTACGCACTCCTCCGCCGTCATAACCTCCTCCCAACCGCATCGTCCGAGAAAGCCTACTCCAGCGAAGCATTGCGGTACGAACTCCGCATGAACCCCTTTATCCCTATTACCTTACCGGAACTCGTTCCCTTCGAGGATTATCGACGTGAAGCCATTCTCGAGGGTGACAGCGATACCGTCGTTCTGGAACGTGCTACGCGAGCTATCTCTGAAGCGCGCAAGGCGTGGGAAGCCATCCTGGCAAATGGACCATTTCTTCCTCCAGTCGATAGCGGTCCACAGGATCAAGGTCGCAGAGCGATCGCCATCGAAGAGGACTGGAAGAAAGACGTCAAGGATACAATGCGGGCCTGTATAGGGGCTAGCATCGGCATAGAGACGCTTCGAAAGTCACTTAAGAATGTGAAGAAGGGTGATGGTCGGATCTCGAATCTGCGTGTTGATATTCCTGACATTGGCTCCAAGATGCGATGGCATGATTGGTGGGCTGTGCCGCAGATTACAGAATTGAAAGTCGAGTCGAAATCTTGACCCGCAGGGTGCAGTTTTTGAAAGGAACAAGAATACCTTGGAATAATCCTGGAAGAGTATATACTTGGTGTGAGGCTGATTAGTTCAATCCGTGGAAATAACAGGGACGGAAGAAACTAAACCAGATACGGCTACGACGCATTTTGTCATGAGACTAATTAACTAGGTCGCGAAGAATAGATTAATCGACGAGACACAAGAATCCCAGTTATCAAACACCGTAATTATTCCGTGGTATCGTGTTCTAGCAGTAGCAGAAATAACAGCATTCAAATCCTAGTCATGAGTTCATTATCATCCCAGCAATTCGTGTCGTATCATGTCGAAATCTCTCGTTAAACAGTATCATAACACCTCGCTCCAGGCTCCCCATAAAACGGCCGATGACACAGCGGACAATGGAAATGCGACCGTAAAAACCATTGCTCGAGACACTTGTCATGGAAGGCATGGTTGCATTTCAGTCCGTGGATGGTATCTGTCCGATCGATTGTGTCGAGACAGATGGAGCTGTTCTAATCAGCATAGATGGCAATGAAGAGAAGGAAAATAAGACTCACCAGATAAAAGTAGTATCAACACCCCCCGACAACTTCATCAGATCGCACCTCTCTTTCCACCACGCCATGAAGGAGGTCTTTGGCGCGCATCTTTCCAGTCTCTTGAGTTTGGACTCCTTGGTTGCCATTGAGAATTTGGCCTTGTTGACGTTGACGTCGTCATCGTGGTTGGTGTTGTTGGCTGGACTGGGGAGTCGGTGGATCATCATGATGGATACGCTGCTTATACATTAGAATAAAGCAACAGATGGCGGTTTAAAAGAAACAGAATATGAACAAGAATATGATGAAATGGAAGTGAATACACACATTGTAATGAATATAAGCATACCTACCCCCACGCAGACGGTGACGATAATACCCTTAACCCCCGACTTCATGGTGAACCTAGATTATTTCTCGTTGTACGGGGTATAGATATCAATTCATTGACGTTCAATTATTATTGTTCTCAGGAATAACAAGGGTATATAACTACGCAAAGCCAGTGATACAGAAGTGGTACAATGTCGGCCCAAGAAACCCAAGAAACCGGGCGACAGGCACATGGTCTAGGACGCAGAAGCACAGTATCGATGATGATCTACGCATTCATACTCTCCTCCAGAACGGACGATGACGTCGAGAGCTTTGGGTTTGGTCAGGTTCCCCATTATCACGGTTGTCATTGTTATTATTATGCTCCCCGTTCCAACTTCATACTTCCCGGGAGTCTCCAACGCTTCGTTCCGGATGACAATGGATGACACCCGGTAGGATGAGCCCGGTGACAGCATGCAATACGAAGGAGTAGGCTTATATTTTGAGTTTTATCGGCGTGGAGGATCCTGCACTGGCCAAGAACTTCGTATCTGCCACATCTCATGATCGTCTTGATCGAGTCACGGCGATCTCCGTGAGGTACTGCGCTGCATGTCCAGTGAGCGTACACGGAGTACACGGAATACGGAGGAGATAGATGCACCCACGGCTTCCTTTTCTGTTTTGGTGCTCACCCCTTTCGAGCACACGCTGCTGCTCCCTAGCATGGGGCAAGTGAAGAAGTACGCCACTCATAGGAGTCTGGATGCGCATGCCGGCTTTATATCCGAATAGGAACATGGACTGTGCATAATCTAGATGCAGCTACTATAAATACCCGGGAACAATGGGCAACCATGGCTACAGTGATTGTTGGCTTGGTACTGGACTGGGGTAAGTAAGCATGGCTGCAACACCGGTGTTACATGGGATGTCCGTTGCTGACATTGTTACTGCCGTTAACCAGGAAACTATTTATACTACCAAGGGAATTGGCTTATTTAGGAGTAAGCACTCCCATCTCTCAACTTCTACTCCCAGTCGTGAGGAGCTGCCATGAGCATCCCATGCGGAACATCCTCTGGCCATTCTTCTCAAGCAAACACTCGTGCGCCCCTCCTCAACACTCTACTGGGGCTGTGGTAATACCAAGATATCGAAGCGCCATGAGTTCTGGGACTGCAGGTGGTGCTGCTGCTGCCCTATATGCTGCGACTGTTAGTACACCAGCCATTTTAGGTGCAGTGCCGGATACAGTGAGTGAAAAGAGCCACTGGTTGAGAGATAAGACTGGCAAAGGAGAAGCCAAGGGCTTTGTGAATCCATGGGAGAGCTCCCATGACTTCTCTTTTCCTGAAATATTCAAGGCCATGGTCCAGTGAGTGCTTTTTCTGCTTTTCCCAGCAGTGTTTAGCACCGGAGGCAGAGAACTCTTGCAAATGGCGGACTCTGAACCTGGCAGACACAAATTCTTCTCTGGAAACAGCCAGAGGCCTGATACCACACCACCAACTGTCTCGGTCACCAAACCCAAGTTCCTCCCATCGAGAACCAGCTCGCAAGCTCTGCGTGCAATATGGCTAGGACACGCATGTTCCTACATTGAGTTTCCCTCTGGTCTGCGCGTTCTCTTTGATCCCGTATTCGAAGACCGCTGCTCCCCCTTCTCCTGGCTGGGCCACAAGAGATTCACCCCCAGGCCCTGCGACATCTCCGATATTCCAATTATCGACTGTGTCAGTCATCATCCCAGTCTTGTCTTGTCAATCATGATAGCTGATACGTACTAGGTTATCATAAGCCACTCCCATTACGACCATCTTTCCCACCCCAGCATCCTCGAAATCCACAAACATCACCCCTTCGTCCAATTCTGTGTCCCGAAGGGCCTCAAAAAGTGGTTCGCAGACTGCGGCATCAAGAACGCCGTCGAGCTCGATTGGTGGGAGGACGTTGACCTCACCTTGTCCAAGCCGGCAGGCGAAAGCCCTCCGACGTCTGGTCCCGCCTCAACTCACGACATTACGGCGAGGGTTTCTTGTCTCCCTTGCCAACATACATCTGCGCGTACTCCCCTAGACAAATCAATCACACTGTGGGCTTCTTGGTCGGTTTCTTCGGGCGGCAAGTCAGTCTACTTCGCCGGTGACACGGGCTATCGCGCAGTTCCACTCGTGCCTAAGGAAGTCGACGACTGGGGCTCGGAGTTTGCCTATCTCCCGATCTGCCCTGCTTTCAAGCAAATCGGCCAACTTCGCGGTCCCTTTGACCTGGGGCTGATTCCGATCGGGGCGTATCAGCCACGGCATGTTTTGAGTCCCGTGCATTCGAATCCGTATGATTCCGTGGAGATCTTCAAGGATACGAAATGTAAGAAAGCAATGGGAATTCACTGGGGGACGTGGGCGATCGCGGAGGAGAGTGTTCTGGAGCCGCCACAATTACTTAAGAAAGCAATGGCTAAGAGTGGACTGCCTGAGACCGGGGTTTTTGATGTCTGTGGTATTGGCGAGAGCAGGGAGTTTTGAGGCTTTGGCGGGAAAGAAGATTTCTACTGTCTGGGTATTAGAATATAAGACGGTTGCAGGCAGCGGTGATGCTTGTTTATTGCAGGGCATTATTACCCTGGGAAGAGAATCCGATAGATACCTAGTGCTGGCATGTCCTCGATGCTTGTTTTGTTGGAAAGAAGTTGGTCTGAGCCGTTTCGAGTACACTGAATGTATTTCTCGGAGAAAGAGCGACAAGCCCTAAAAAGAAAACCTCCGGTCCGTCGGGACGTTCATAAGATGGCAAAACTACCACTGTAGCTCTCGCTCGCACACCATCAGCTGGCATCCCTCCTGCAAACCAGGGCCTGGGCCAGAGTCGTGACAGATCCCCAGGCCGTCAAATCGACTCTCCTCCTCGAGAACGAAGACAACAGGAGGAACGATGAGTCGGTGCCGGTGGCATTGGTAGACCTGGTATTCTGCTTGTGGGAAGGGGTGGAAGGGGAAGGCAAAAGTTGAAGTCTCCCCAGGTACTTTGGAATTACTTACAGACAAATCAATGATCACATGACGATGTTTTTGGGTTAGTGAGCCTGGGTACTTTTGACCCCCATCTTTCGACCAGGTAGGTCGGGAGCGCAAGGTCTCTAGCCCTCCGCTCTAATGCCCTCGACCTGAAGCCCCAGGCGGATCTCCAGAGAAGGCTTCAGACCTGAGAACTAGATGCAGTGTCATGGATTTTAGAATCATGCCAGGATGCTTAATAATGCTCCGGTTAGTATGGGGGTCGATTTCTCATACTGCTGTTTATCACGCGTAAATGGAGTCTCTGCCAGAAGGCTGACTAATCACACAGATACCAGCCTGACTGGCTCGAAGCATAGCATCAATTCTCTCATGACTCTGACCCAATGGTGGTGAGAAAAGCCTTCTTCTGATTTATGAGGAAATTAGGCACATAAGGTTCCCATTAACAAGGGAAACCAGATGGTTAACTAGTTAACTAAGACGTATTTGATTCCGTAAAACTCCTCATCGAGAGGAGTCCGTTCTAGAACAGCGGTCTTCTACCAAATTCGATTCAAGACATGTGCATACTAAGGCTAAGTGCCTTTTCACCGCACGGTGGGAACACTGCGGTGCTAAGCTTTCTTCGCCTTCCATGGCAAGGCCTTCAGTGTCAAGGGCTTGAAGGTTGGGGGGAGCCATCCAAGACTGCGGAAATGCTCAAGCCTGACTTGACTTTCCTCATGGAGAATGGGATCGGTCCAGTGCTGGTGCTCATTGGGATTAGGCGGAGAAGGGGAGGGGAGGCATCCAGGACATCAAACGCTAATATTAGGGAGAAGGGACTGTGCTGGCAGCCATTTATAATCTGATTGACTTGGGGATTTGGGAGGAGCGAAGGGAAAGACGAAGTGAGGACGAAGTGAGGACGAGTGACATTTTATATGGCGCCCGACGGTCGAAACTGGAGGGGAGCTGGATTTGGCCGCAAAGGAGGCCATTTTGGGCGGCGCTCTGGTCGTGAAGTGGAGGAAACGTGAAGCAAGAGTCGTCGCTGAAGTTGAGCGCCTACATCATGACTAAATACTTGGCGGGTGCAGAATAGTGTGCTGCAAAGCACGTGAGGGGACGCTAGAGCGGAGTTACGGGTGGAAATGCCGCCGTATACGGCCTCAATAGTGGTCATTTTCAGCCTCGATTTCACAGGTCCTCATATTCTGGTTGTAATACGTAATAACATACCTAGCCTAGGTAATAATAATAATAGAATGGGGTCGAATCCCGTGACGGTTCACGAAAAAATAATGGATAGGCGCATGTATGGTCGTATTACTAGGTAGGCCTGCCTGTGCCGTGAGATAGGTAGCGAGGGCGGTCTAGGACGGCAGAACCTCACGTGTACTAACAAAAAATGGCAGAACGATGGAGAATTATCTGGTGATTATTATTGCCTCCGCTGTATGCCAGTACGTGGATCCATATGCCAATACTCTGACCATATGCCATATACGCCATATACCGGCACTCGGCTGCATCTTCCGTATATCAACAAAAACGGCCATGTGGATCCTGTCTGAGTCGCTGCATTCCTAAAGGCGTCCACCGTCATGCTGGATCGGACCGCGTTCATCTTTGATTTCTAAATTCTCCCGCAGTTAATTATTATACGTCCTCTTCGATCGGCCGAAGAATCGTCATACATGTCGCTCGCCGCGCCCTCCTCCGTCTCCCCCTCTTCTCTCGCGCTCCGTCTGCGTCTCCCCGTAACCTGACCGTCGCGTAATGCCCCCTCCGTATCCCATCCGCCGCAGACCACGCGAGTGCAAAACATGCCTGCCGTGCCGCGCCAGCAAGGTGCGCTGTGATCGCAATGTGCCGTGTGGCAATTGTGTGAAACGCAGCCAACCCGCAAACTGCGTCTACGGCCGTCCTCCCCGGATTCTCAACCCGCCGCTGCTACGACCACAACCCCGACGGCTACGTCTACCGATGCACCGCAGCTACGGTTTGCGCAACAGCACACCTCCCAGTCTCCAGCACGCTCTGCGTCTTTCAATGCACATTCTGACGCGCCCGCGAACCCTCGCGAGCCTTATCCATCCCTTCCTGCGTCCTTGAGACCGCACAATGCGGCACCCGTCTCGTCAGAACCCATCAGCCTGCCCCAGGAGGAATGGGACCAGATCTGCAGCAAGGTCACTGCGATGGAGGAGATCATCGACAGTCTGTACAAGCTGGTTCGCCTAAACAACCAGTCGAGTCTGCCCCGGGAACCCCAGCGGTCATCACAACCACCGCTGCCGTCGTCGTCCCGTCCACTGGCCGAGGTCGAACGCGAACGCGAACGCGAACCTTCCCCGCAACCCCAGACGGTCTACGGGCCCAGTGCTCTCGATCCTGACAGCGTGCACGTGGGCTCGCGGTCCGCTTTGGCCGATATTCTGGAGAATTCACGCGCCTCGGATGAGATATCCCAAGCGCTACCCAAGGGCGACCTGCTGGCGGATCTGGCATTGGGGAATGAGTCTGCGGCATACCCCTTCGTGGATCTGTGGTCGTCGGATCCGTTCAACTTCAACATTGCAGGAGTGTGTGGGGTCTTGCCCGACGATCAACAGTGTTGCAGGTATTTTTTTTTCCCATCGCGCGCGCCATTGTGTCTTTCTAAACAATGCCAGGTACCTGGCTTTCTACAGAGATATCGGCGTGGTCCTTTATCCCGTGCTACCGGACGTTTCCCGGCTGGAACAAGCCGCGAAGCAACTGCTCCAGGGTCGTGCGCGTGCTGGTGGTATCTACCGGCCCGATCCCGACGGTCCCATCAAGCCATTTGGCGTCAGTCTGGCGTTTCTCGGTCTTTTTCTTTGCCGTCCTAGCGTCTGGCTGCCAATTGTCCGATGCCCCCAGGCACGAAAGGGAATTGACATCCTGGGTATATGGTTAGTTTAGCCCCCTCCTTCGCTTGACATCACTGCTCACGCAGACGTGTCTAGTTTCCTGTTCATATCATTGTCTGCGTATGATCAATTACGTCGCACAGCCCACATTAGAGGTAGTCCAAATTCTATTGATCATCAGTAATGTCTTGTCCTATAATATGAACGCCGGCGCGTCCTATACCTTGCTCGGTAAGTAATTAAATTTCCCTGTAGGCAGACTGCTGCACTTTTAGGGTTGGTACTGATTGGCGGCAGGCATGACGGAGAGGTTGTGCATGAATCTCGGGCTCCATGTTGAATCCACCCAGTACTCGGGAAATCAGCAGGATGTCCGGAGGAGGATCTGGTAAGAATGTCCTCCTTGGACTCACGTGAGTAGCGCGCTGAGTCTTTCCATTTAGGTGGGCTATGGCCTTCCAGAACAGTCATTTTTCGCTCGCATATGACCGTCCATCGATCACGATGGTCAGTCAACCGGAGATTCCCTTCCATCGGAAGTCCATGCCCGGGTATCGATCCTATTTTGAAACATTATGCCGTGTAATCCAATTGTCCCTCGACGTGCTGCGGGGACGGATGACGCCACCCCATCCACGGGGGAAGTACCATGAGATCCGTGAATATCAACAACGGATGCAGCGGATCCTCGGGGAAGCGGTGCCTCATCTTCGTCATCGCGAGAAGTGTACGACTCTTGCGGATCATATCGAGCGGTCGGAACTGCAGCTCCACTCATCGTATGTCATCTCCGTGCTGTGCCGATCGGCGTTAGACTCTTCCACCTCACATCTGCAGTCGGAACGGCAGGTGGCGATCCGGGAGGATTGTATTGCGAGCTTGATCAGCACGATCGAAGCGTTCGTAGAGCTGCACTCGATCAACACACATTGTTCGCGGTCGTGGATCAGTCTGCAGCGGACCATCGCATCGGCCTTTCTGCTGGTGGCCAACGAGCACGGCCAATCGCATCCCCGAACCTGGGGCCTGATCGAGCAACTGCAAGCAGTGCTGACGGACCACATCAGCGGCGCGGGGGCCCCGAGCGCCGGCGGGACCACGTTGACGACGGCGAACCACCTCACCTCGTCCCTCCAGGCACTAGGGAAGGTCAGCGCGGCCTTCCGGGCAGGGAAGATGAAGGGTTCATCTTCGGCGGTGTCGACGTCCACGGCGGCTCCTGGAGCCCCCGTGGTTGCTGCTATGGGACCTCCTCCTACCAACAGTCAGGGTGTCCTGCTTCCTTCACCGCCATCGACGGAGGACAATCCGGCGACGGCAACGTCCGCGTCGACGGCACCGTATTCCGTGGCGGGGAGGAGTTCGATTGCGAGCGCGAATACCGAAGGCAGCAGCCGGTCGGATTGGGACATGCAGAATATCCTGGGGCGGGTATCGGAGGTGATGTTGTTTCCGCGGTTGGATCAGGAGTAGGTCTATAGGAGCGTAGTTGGAGGGGTATTTTGAGATGGTATTTGGATAGATGGTATATTCGGCATATATATATAAGGATTTGCTGGATATGGAAGAAATGCTCTGGTTAGATAGGGGTTTACAATCAAAAGTTCGAAGTTCCGGAGTGAGCTGAAGTAGAAGGGAGAGAGAGAGAGAGAGAGAGAGGTCTGAGCAACACCGACTACGGACTAAGTAGGTTAATCAGTATTATTATTCTACCTGCAGAGCGCATTGACATCCTCCTACTTAACCTATTACTCGGTGAGTTCTGCGTGTCATTTTAGTTTATTACTACGACTGTTTATAGCTGCTTGTTTCTATGCATAGAAAATGAAAAGTCCAAATTACTGAATCTGGTCTAGTCTCGGCCGAAAACCCGGGATTCGGGCCATGTCGGGCATTCGGAGTAGGTTTCCTTCCGGGATTTGCCACTAGCCTGTTCCGGACTAGTGGGTTAGCAGTATCACAGGATCATGCAATAATGCGCGTACAATAATGGTAATGAGCATTATGTCTACCTAATGTATGTATGCCTATGGAATGGATACTAAGTCCAGAAGAGTCTAGGCGTTCGGTCCGGGGGTGGCTCGTGATAATCTATGAAGTCATGCATCTTTCTGGGTATAAAAACGTTGATATATAAACCCTAAGCATAGACTATCTGGTATGCTACGATATGCCATATTCTACTCATCATCTATTTAAACAACAATAACAAGGGAAAAGAAATGTCAAAATACCTCTACGTCCCCGCCTCCTCCCGCTCCTCCCGCAAAGACATCGGAGCCTCCTCCTACACAACCACGCCCTCCAGAACACCCGACCAAACGCCTCATCCGTCGGGGCAGACCTGTCTCTACGACCCCACCAAATACCCCCAGAGTCAAGCAGCCCAGCAAAGAGACAAATACAACTACGTCCCCGCGAGCTCCCTAACATCCCGCAAGGACATCGATGAATCTTCGTACACAACGACCCCGTCCCGAACGCCGGGTGAGCGGACACCGCTGTCCGGGCAGTGCTGCTATGCTGCGTCGAGGTGGGATGCGAATTCTGCGTCATTTGCGGGGTTGAATGATATGACTGAGCGGGCTTGGAGGGGGAGTCATCCAGAAGCCAGTGTCAACGAGCACGGCAATGCTCATGCCAATAACGGCGATGCTGATGAGAAGCATGGGAACCAGGAGGATAATAATAATTATGAGGTGGCAGTTTTCGAGAGACCCGATCTGACAAGTCGGAGGAGTATGGAGATCATCGATTCGCTGTTGGAGGGGTTGCAGCGTGAGGAAGAGAAGGAGGAGGAGGGTTCTGAAAACAAGGCCTCTGAGGATAAGAATATTGCCAATGCCAACGGTGATTGCGACTGCAACAAGAATGAAACCGACAGAAACAACAACATTACTCCTTTCCACGGCAATGTCGATATTGACATCAACGACTGCAGAGACGGGATGCAAACGCCCGAGCCGACTCCTCGTGTTCTCGTGGATCAATATTAAGCCCCATTTGTCATTCATGCGGTTATTTATTATGTCAATTAGGCCATGGGCCATAGGTTATATGTCATAGCGATAGGTATGGGTGGTGTTTAATCGAGGTGTTCGAAGGGTCATCCATCGTATCATTTCATGAGCGGAAAGGAAATAGCGATGACCAAACATATCACCAACATGTTGCGCACGGAAGGAGTTATCTATTATACGGAATTAAACCAATGCAAATGTACGGTGTCTGTGGTGTCTTCTCTCACCTGTTTCTTGATCTGTCCGCTGCAGACTTTCATATCAAGGACAGATCCAAGATCCTTAGGGATAACGCCGGCGTTTACGGCGTCTAGTTAGCACGGCGTTAGCACAGCATTTTCAACCCTAAGCACAGATAAAGCATCCCCCGAATGAAGGAGATACTACCAAGGGAAGAGAAGGAAGGAGAGAAGCATACCCTGATACCCCCACCGATAATCCCCCAACTCCTGCTTCCACCCCCAAAACACCCACCCCAGCGCCCCCTTCTCAAAGGCATGCACCTGCGCCGCAAACCATTTCTTGTAAAACTTCTTATTGGACTTACTCTCGGGAGCCCACGCCTTCGACCCCTCCACCGCCTGCGCAGGACTAAGAGACCACTCCGACACGACGACCGGCGTGTCCTGCGCGTCCGACGCATTCTCCCCGCACGACGCGGAGAGGTAGCTGTCCTTTGTCATGGCAATGGACGTGTTGTATTTCAGGTACCGGTGGTCGTCGTAGGCGAGGTAGGATGTGTCGTTGTTTGTTAGGGCTTGGTTGGGGTCTCCGGAGCCCCAGCTTTTGGACATCATTTGGATGTGGAGGTAGGAGGCTTTAGGGACGGTAGTGTTTTCTTTGGAGCGGATTTTCTATTTTCGTTAGTTTTTTTTTTTTTTTTTTTTTTTTTACTTCATCGTTCATTCAGAAGGGTCTTATTTTGGGGATGGTCATACTGCAATGGCATTTGGGTAAAAGTCCGTCCGCATAGACGCCACCTGATCTGGATTCTGGATAGGCTCATTGACAAGCTCGATCATTCCTACCGTGCTGAAGTTGCTGTTACTGTGGATTTGGGCTGTGAGCCATGCCAGGAAGGTTTCTGCACGGTCGTACTGGTAGGCGTTGTAGAAGCCGGGGCTTGGTGCGTACTATAGCCCATACTCATCAGCAAGCATATCACAACCCTCATGGAGTACAGCAAGAAGAAATCAGACCTGCCCCGTATCAGGATTCATAGCAACCTGCGCCCCCGGTGCCCCATGCAAATCAACAATAACATAAACGCCCTCCTCCGCCGCCCAGCGACAAACCCTCTCAAAAAACTCCCACCCGCCCCGAGGAAAATACTCCGATTCCCTATCCACCAACTCTTCATAAAGCCAATACCCCACCGGAACACGCACGGTATTCAGTCCCAGCGTGGTGATATTGTGGAGATCCTCCCTAGTGATCCACGTATCCCAGTGCTGTCTAAAGCTGGCATCGGCCTTATTCTGGCCCAGATGCAGGACGCAGTCGAATTCGGACTTTGTGTCTGCGCAGCCCATGGAGGACCATTCGGAGGGGGCCATCCAGGGCTCTAGGACAAAGAGGGAGGCGAGGTTCACGCCACGGATTTTGCCGTTGGTTTGTTCGAAGAGGTTTGTGCCGTTGGTTGAGGTTATGTTCTTGTTGCTCCAGGGGAGCCAGGCGGTTGATTTGGCCGGGTAGAGGGTGAGGAGTAAGAGCGTGGCCGACAACGAGAGTGAGATTGGGGGCTTCATGGTGCTGTTGGCTTCATGGCTGTGTCCGATGTCCAGGAACCGAGAATCGAGAAACAAGAAACGAGAAACGAGAAACGAGCACGAGGTTATCCCGATATTTATCAACGGAGCAGCCTAAGCTAAGCTCGTCAGCGCGGCAGTGTCCACAACTCCACGCGCGGAAAGATTACAGGACGGATAAGAAATACAGCCCTGCCGTCTCAGCCACGGAACCCTGCAGCCGCAGGGCCAGGACAGGATTGAAATGGTTTGGACTGTTTCTGTGTTCCGCAGGCATTGGGTTGTTCTGGTCGCAGTCATCCTGAATAGTAGTGGTAGAGGCCGCAAAACGAGTACATACTAAAAAGTTGGATATGGCTAGGTTCTCGGAAATGATGCGGAAGGGATCGACAATGTAATCCAGTATCATAGGCTATGAGGAGATTCCGTACCGCGTGTGCTTCTTTTTCCTGTTCAGTCTGTATATCTTCGGCATGGTCTAGAAAGGAGATATAGTAAGACACAGGGATGTAGAGTTTGGTGAAGTGGAATACAGTAGACATGGAAGCCGTCATTTTAATCCTGCATCAAATGGCAAGTTTTATTCGGACTATTTTTCCCTTCACTTTTCAGTCAGAATTACCAGGATTGCCCATCTGTGAACATGATTAAAACACTAGGAATAGAAATGGCCAAGGTCTGCGCTATGTAAAACACCGCTCCACACAGACCAGAAGAGATATATAAAACAAAAATATATAGTCCAAGAAAGTTAAGTAGAAAAAGCGAGTGAAGAAGGAAAATCAAATCCTAAGCATACAATGGATATTATTCAATCACCATGGCCTCATGACAAAAACGGCCCAACAACACCCATCATACCCAGACCCATCAGGCCGAACGACGCGCTCAGACCATTGGCAGCGCTGTCCTTGGTGCTCGTAGCCGTCGCGGAAGTCGAAGTACCGGAAGGCTAAGAAGAAGACGCAGAAGTGGCAGACTTGGAGTTTCCGCACAAACCGGTCCCGTTCAGCTGGTAGGTAGGGAAGAAGACGTGAGGCTCACCCTTGTCCATGTCAATGGTGATGGTGCCGTTGTCACCGGCAACGACGGTCTTGCAGGAGAGGACGTCGGTCAGGTTGGTGCCCTCCTGGGCGGCACCGTCGATGTCGAGCTTGTATGCGCCACCGTTGACGCCCTGGTTGGACAGGACGCTGACGATCTGGACGCCGTCCGGGCCCTTGCGGGTGGCGTAGGTCGAGCCGTCGTGGTACAGGATGGTGGAGGTGTTGGTGACGTATCTGTCGTCGAGAGAGATGGCGTGGTTGCGGAGCTTGTTCAGCGTGCCGATGAGCTGGTACAGGGGCGCGTTGGTGTCGTAGTTGGTCGACCACAGGTCCTGGCGGTTATAGGGAGAGTACTCGCCGGTGAGAAATTGCTCCTGGCCGTAGTAGACCTTGGGGATTCCGTCGGCGAGGATGGTGAATGCGGCGGCGTTTTTGGCGAGCTGGAATTGCTTAGCCTAGGTTTTTCTGTTATATTTCTGGAGGCAACTCACCGTGAGGTTACCGCCTGCGGATGCAAAGCGCGCGTTGTCCTGGTTCTCGATGAAGTTGACCAGGTACTGGGGCGAGGAGCACGTGGACTGCACATCCTTGACCATGGAGACGAGAGCGTCCATCTTTCCTGCGGTGAAAGCGCCAATGATGTGGTAGTAGTACGGGTAGTTTTCCAGTCCGCTAGAGTACTGCTGGTAATTGCAGACGAACTTTGCGTCACCGTCCATGACCTCGGCCATGGAGAAGACGCCGGCGCTCTTGACAAAGGCCTCCATGTATGGGGTTTCGATCTGCTTGGCGCCGTCGATACGGATACCGTCGACGTTGTACGTGCCGACCAAGTCCTCGATCCACTGGGTCAGGGTCTTGCTGATGGCCGGGTCGGTCGTCTTCATGCGCGGGGTGGCGACGCCCTTGGAACCAAGCCAGCAGTTGGTGAGCTGCCAGCTGTCCTGCCAGTCGTCGATGGGGCAGAAAGGCGTGTAGTCACTGGAGGAATTGAAGGGGTTGAACACGGAGTAGTCGATGTGCGTGCTGTTGGACATGGTGTTGTCTCCAATGTCGTAGCCCATCTCGTTGGACACGACGTCGACCATGAGGTACATGTCGCGCTTGTGCAGCTCGGACACGAGGTTCTTGAGATCATCGGGCGTTCCAAAGTGCGCGTTCAAGGTGTACAGGTCCTGCGGCCAGTAGCCGTGGTATGCCTCACCGTAGATGGTGTTTTGTTCCAGGTTCTTGGTGATGGGCGAGATCTGCAGAGCAGTGAATCCCATGCCCTGGATGTAGTCGAGGTTGTCGGCCAGACCCTTCCAGGTGCCACCGCAGTACTTCATGGGATCGCATGTCCCCGAGGTGCCATCGGAGCGGGCATAACGGTCAGTGATGATCTGGTAGATCGAACGGGAGGCCCATTCCTCGGCGCTGGCAGCGAGAGAGCATCCTGCAAAGCCGGATAGGGCTAGAGCGGCAGAGATTCGGCGGAGAGCCATGGGGAATGAACGGCGAGCACAGCGGTGCTAGAATAGAGAACGAACGGACTGTTTGATAGCGAATGGATAAGAGAGTAGCTCGATACTATCTTTCACTCTCTCTTCTTTTGGTGTAAACGAATGGCGGGCGTTGAGGGAAAGACGGTAGGAAAGGAGCGACTCTAACCACAACACGAACAAAGAACAACGAACCCCGTCGAGATGAGAGAAGAGGAGCGGCACATCAGGAGTTTTTAAAAGAAAGGGACATCACGAGGAACGGCGTGAATCCCTGTTTTAGCGTCGCTGCAGCCACCAAGTCCACAAGTCCACCAGGGCTTTGACAGAGCGCCAAGCGAATATGAGACATTCCCATCTATGCCATTTAAAAGTGACTTATCACTGGTTCTGCGGCGTTTAGCCCGGGACCAGCAAACTCTATGCATCAACAGAGATAGCGAAACTATTAAATACGGCGATCGGCCTGCTGCTCTGGCTTGCGCTGGACAAGTCAATTCGCTGCCGCAGGTACTCCGTTAGCATCACATTATTATTTCACCATCTCGTACTTGGCGCTGTCAGGTCGCCTCACCGCAATTTGCTGCTAGGGCAGTGATGAGGCAGAGCTTGGTGTTATGACGAACTGAAGAAACCCCCTTTCATCGATCCATGGTTGTTCCGAGTCATACGATATACGCTGCTGCTGGTGGCGCCCGGTCGGAGGAGCGGCCTTCATAATTTATTTATATTAGCACACGCGCCGTACAGCTGTATATTATAATGTATTGCCACCGAGTCGTGCGCACCTTTTAGCCCGAAATTAACATCAAGCCATCAGCCACTCCGTAGCATTGGAAATCCTCGTAAGTCGTAAGTACGCGTGCTGGCAAGGGCCTGGTGCCACTGGTAGCGATCTCAGTCTCCCACGACAGCTGTAGTGCGCGATCAATCGAGGATGAAATTCCTGCAGAACCACGCGACATGCAGACTGGATAAAGATCTCACCCGACGATTCCCGAGTAAATAGTAGTATTAGGGTGGATCAGTAAATAGTCAGTGTTGGAGTGGATCAGTAATAAGAAAGCTGCCACTACGACGGAGTACTCCGTGACGCTGGAGGACCGGTCACGTGTCGGGGCGAGTCGCTCATCCGAGTCCCAGATGTGGAGCAAGTTTGATTGCTTCCAACTACTCAACGACCTACTCGCCAAGAGCTTGGCTCTCGCTATATAAAGAAAGTACGGCGTTTCTGGAAAAGCCCTCGGCTCAATTCAGGATGGGGTAAGGGGTAGGCGTGCCTACCTTCCAAGGAACGAAGCGTTGCGTTCCATGTATCTCTTCCTCTCCATCCCTTGGGTATTATATACATGAGATAACATATATATATATATCGATATATTAGAAAGAAACCTAAACAACTAGGCAGGGGTATCAGCCTAGAATAAGATGATTTGAAATCAATAAATGGCAGGATTAATAAGATGAGGGATTTTTTAAGATCTGCAATTGCTATGGTGGCGCAGCTAGATAGGGGACACGGCATAGAGTGGGGGGGACGGCACAGAGTGGGGGATCGCTCAGCTGGACTTCAGGAATACCACCTCCCAGAGGATCCTGAGGATCCCAAAATGACACCACCACAAGTATGATATCATCTTTTGAAACTGAAAGAAATTAAATTTACAACATGGAATGTCTCAAGCTCTTCATATTATAATATAAATAGGTGGTTGACATCCCTTGAGGTTGGTCCTCTAGCTAAGTAATATTGGCAATATTTCTTTTCATATTACCTATATCTCCATTGCTATACTGTCTTCAACTTTCTAAACCCTCTACTTATTTTCCTTTTTGATTTACTATTCACTATGGCCACTGAGCTTCCTGATTTTTTTATTTACTACCCTACCTTCCATATCCTTATTTGTAAGGAATGCCATACTGCTCTTCCTAAGAATAAGGCTGTGGAACACCTTAGGAAAGACCATTTGATGACTCAACATCAAGTTATTAACCTTGGCTATCAGGCTATCATTGAGAGGCTTGATATCTTCCCTCTTACTAGGTCTCTTCACCAAATTCAGAATGACCAGCCAATTGCTCCCATTAAGGGATTGAGCTCTTTTCAAGCTAGGGAATGTAGTGCTTGTGGTGAGCTCTTTCAATCCATGAACAAAGCTAATCGCCATATTACCAAGTTGCAACAGCCCTAATCAAGGGCGGTCTCCCCCAGGGGTCCCCTCTATCCCCAATTCTCTTCCTGCTGTACGCGGCAATGGTAGTTTCTACCCATAAGGGCTCTTTCTGCTATGCAGACGACCTGGGATTGCTATTCATTGGAAACAATCTGGAAGAGACCTCACGGCAACTATTGGAAGCCTATAAATCAATCACGGCACTTGGGGCTGCATCAGGCCTTCCATTCTCCTTTGAGAAGACAGAAATACAGCATTTCTCTAGGCAGCGGAAGCAGTCTATCCCCACAGTCTTTCTACTAGGTGTAGGCAAGATCAAACCATCTCCATATACCCGATGGTTAGGGGTCCTGCTTGACACTAAGCTCACCTTCAGGTCACATATTAATTGGACATTCAGCCGCGGCAAGCAGCTCGCTCAACATCTCCGGAGGCTTAGCAATACCCAGCGTGGGTGCCCAGTAGCCTCCATGCGTGCAGTGGTCATGCAGTGCGTCCTGCCAACAGCTCTCTATGGCGCAGAAGTCTTCTATACTGGCTACAGGCAACAAGGGGTTATCAGCTCCCTTCAATCCCTGCTCCGCCTGGCCGCCCTGGCCATTCTTCCTGCATATAAAACAACCCCTACTACAGTACTCCTCCGGGAGGCAGACCTACCTGACCCTGAAGCCCTGCTCAACGGTACCCTCCAGAAGGCGGCAATCAGATATGCAAGCCTTGACGCGAAGCACCCGATTGCTCGCATAACTACCACTACAGCCCAGAGCTGTAAGAACAGGACCAGACTTACCAGGATCCTCCAACTTGTCCCTGGACCAGCGCCGGAACGCATGCATATAGAACCACCCCTCCCATCACTGCGCATGCTCCCCACTGACTGGGGTAAGCACCTTCCTTCCCCATTGGAAGTAACAGTCTATTCAGATGGCTCCCGTACAGACCAGGGCGCTGGGTACGGCTATGCAATATACTATGGCCCTATCCTGCTTACCCAGGGATTCGGCCCTGCTGGCGCGCGGACAGAGGTTTACGACGCAGAAATTATGGGTGCAGTAGAAGGGCTCCGTGCTGCAGTTAGCCAAGACTGCACCAAGTTCGCTACCCAAATCAACATCCTCCTTGATAATCTAGCCGCAGCTAGCCTGCTAGCAGATGGCAGGCCAGCCCCCATAGACGAAGACTTACTGATACTTTCCACCAACTCTCCGCTCAGTGGGACAGCTTGCCTTCACTTTTATCTCTACCTCGCAAACCTGTAGGGGTCTGTTGGGTTCCAGGCCACTCTGGGGTCACAGGGAATGAGCTCGCAGATAAGCTGGCAAAGAAGGGAGCTTCATTAGCCAGTCCTGATATCCCCCTTCTCCCTCATTCCTCAGACGGGAGGCAAAACAGCGGATCCGCGCAGATACACACGCGGCATATTTTAGAGGCGCACCTCAGGCCTACCGTGACCTGGGCATCAGACCTCATACAAAAAGCAGTCGTGACCAAGAACATAAGCTCCCCCCGCTGGGTCCTGGGCAGGCTCATAGCCGCCCGTACAGGTCACAGGGATTTTGCAGCATATCATGAAAGATTTCAACATGTAGACTACCTAGCAACCTGCTCCTGCAAGAGACAGAAGTCCCCTGTCCATTTCTTCTTCTGCCCACCCACCAGGAAGCGCTGGAAGGATAGATGGAAATGCAAGAGAGGCAGCCCGTCAAGTACAATTGACTGGCTACTAGGTACAGCTGCTGGGGCGGAAGAGTTCAGCCACATCGTGCAAGATTCATCCTTTTTCAAGGATATATGCCCAAATTGGGCCTGCTCAAGCACTGAATAGTGCAACAGTCTACGCTTCTACCTGGACGAACGGGAAAGGCACCCCTGCTCGACTGAAGGTAGCCAAAGCAGGTTCCTCACCTTTAGAAGTCCAGGCCAGGGTAGCGCCTGGTGCTTCTTCCACTCTTTTCCAACACATAGTGTCCAGCTTTGTTGCTTCAAGCATGTATTTATTTTAGTGAGTCTTTGCTTAGGTAGCACGTCCGGATGCCCCTTGGGAGGCCGCGGGTCACGTGTGCCACGTGATCCGCCGAGTGACGTTAAATAGTAATCAAATCAAATCAAATCTCCATCCCTTGCATGGCTGACTACGTCAGGACAGATTTATCGGCGGCCCTCCGTGCCGTGCTCCTGCATCCAATCCATTAGTTTCTGTGCCTCTTGTTGATCCCCCAATTTTTGTAACCCCCGCTCGAGGAATGGCTGTTCTCCGTACTGCGCCGGGGATCTGGACTCTTTGCCCCCCTGCGAATGCTTTGAAATAGGGTACCAATACCGGTCCCGCTGAATACAACAATCCAATCAAGCCCAGACGGGAACTGTCGGGATGCCTCTCGTCTCCTCTGGGGATGTCCTTCTGCCCCGGTTCTTCGAACGCATCGACAAGGTGACATGTGAAGGGCTTGAGGCAGGGAGACGGGATGGCCCCCCTTTCCCCGGTTCCTACGGTACCCTTGGTCGGATCCTAGATGGGGGATGTCTTTCTATCTTGGGCGATACTTAGTCAAATGCTTGACATAGTCAGAAGTGAGGCGGTTACGCTCGGGTGAAGCCATATATCCAATTCAATTAGCAGGCAAGTGGGATTCGGACATGATATCAATTATGGATTGGATTTGAAAGAAGCCGAACAGGAAACACCCTCAATGTCCGTGTGGTTTGGCCATAAGCGTGATGATGATGGCTAATATACCGTCACATGAATTTACTCAGGCATCCACTACACACCCCTCACCACTCCAGAACCAAGGAGGCACCAACCATAACACATCTGTGAGACTATCGGCTCAAAATCCGTTCTATTTGGCGGTAATTATGGTGTTGCGCGTAGCTGGGTAGACTCCAAGAAGCATGGGATGGAAAACGAGCAATAGCTAAATGCCGGTCGCGGTGTGTGCCATTCCCATGGTCAATGCAGTGTATCCATACACAGGTCCCAGGGTTCCAGTGGGCAACTAGGTCAATCCAACGATCCGGGGTAGCACCAGGGGTTATCCCTAGCTTGTGGAAGCACCCGCCATCAAGCCTATGTCAGATAATCTCACAGACAATGTCCTATCTCCTGTATGACATCCGCATCTACCACCAGACGCCATTTGGCCTGGGTGTGGCTCCCTCAGTCGGATAGGGGTCCAATCCCTTTTCACTTGACAGGATTGCCACGGGTTCGACACACACGTACATCACTTTACTTCTTCCAATGGTGCAAATATGCTGGGAATTACGGAGCCAGCAACATCACAGTCCTGGTGGCGATTCCACAGGCAGCGACATTCAGGACAGTCAACCCGTCCATTCCAATCGTGCAGGGAGTCAAGGAGAACAAGAATGCAATGGCGACGTCCTACGCGGAAAGGAGATTTGTCACATGACCACCGAGGTTAATCTATGCCTAACAACAGATTCGCATAAAGAGCCGGAGAACCGCTGAAGAACAGTTAAGCGACCAGAACTGACCATGAGGACCTTCGCAAAGGAAACAAAACAGGTCAGAAGCCCTCCAGCTACTCGAATAGTACGATTCGGGACTTGCCATGCGTAGTCGCGCAACTCTCTCGCGTTTGCTCACCTGTTCTAGCTTCTGCATCGACGCTTGGATACGCTGGTCCATATGTTCCTTATCCTGCTCTAGATTCTCAACAGTGCGGAGGCAATGTTCATGATTGGAGAGATGCAGAGGCCACTAGTGGCAGAAAGTCAGTATACACCTTAGGGGAGATCATTATCTGACAAAAGTCAACTTACCAGGTGAGGTGGAGGCCGCCACGAAGGATCCTACCTCCAGGACACCTTGGTTCATCATTGGGCAAAGACTCCACAGGAATCCCAGTTGGGGACATCTTACAGGGAAGATATAGGTAGTATCTGCCATCGTCGGTCGGAAATATATATTTACTATACTAGGGTCCAGGAAGTCGAATTAACACGGCAATAGAGTCTGTCGGTGGATCTATATATGTATAAGAAACACATACCGAGTGCAGAAGTTCTGTTCAAGTATATAGAGTTATGCTGGTCCCCAGGCGAAGGCAGAAAGCGTGCTGTAGAGTAGTTGTAGATAATCCCGCAATCACGATGTGAAATGAATGGGGATTGGAAGTTAGGGGAAGCAAACAGTGAAGCCGGAACTGACGTGGACGGCTACGATTGCTTCATGCAGATTCGCGAAACTATTATGAGGGTCAATTTTGCCTCACCAAATGTATATGTCCTATTGCAAGTCAAATGGAAGGAGGCGGCATCTAATGTCCTCGGGTCTGATATACTGCCCTCGTAGAGAGGAAATGGAGTAAATATGGTCAGAGTATATGCCAATAGGCGCAACATAGGCCAACGCGAAGTACAACATTCTATACAATGGAGAACGGAGCTTTAGCATTACCTGGAATGATTACAGACCCAGGTTTTGGTTTATTCGGTTATTCAGTCTGGGAGAATCCAAATAAACCATCCTGCAGGCCTCGCCGATGCTGGAGAAGCCAGGCACTCCTGTTCCCTGAAACTTGGCAGTTTGTATTTGTCAGAAAGTTATTCCATCGGTAAGGTCCTAGACAATAGTGGTAATTCTGCCAATGGGTATCTCTGAGAAAAGATTGGGACATCATCTGGGTGACATGCGGCAAAAGCGCCGTGTATTTAGCCCTAACAATCATGTCATCAAGATGTTTGATATGGGATCTGCATTGTGTTAAATAAAGTGCAGAGTATACGTATGAGTTACATACAGGGAACATTACACTTAAATCTCGCCATGAATTCTAATTATGGAAATGGAACTCCATGCAGCGTCGACTCAACCCAGTATCTCCGCGCCACTGGGACAGTCCTTTCCAATTACTCAAAACGTTGGGTGCGGGTAGTATATAGAATATTGAAGTATTGTAGCTTACAACGAATTATCCGGTATGGTGTATCGGTTAGCATCATCGTCTTTCATCACCAGTTGGTGAAGACCACGATAGAGCCGGGTTCGACTCCCGGTACCGGAATTTCTTTTTTTCTTTTTTGCCCTTCCTTTTTTCCTCCTTTTCCTCCTTTTTTTTAAAAAAAGGCTTCCCATTTCTCGCAGCAGTTCGTATCATTTGTATCATAAGAGAGTTCTGGTTCCGTAGCAGGATATTCTCGAACCATTGGAGATCATCTGACCACCTTTATGTATGCTGACGCCCGATCGGCGGGCCAAATTATGAAGAGCAAGAGCTTTGCGCCATTGCTTTTTGGTCCTTGAAATCCTACACGGATACATTGTGCTATTTACATGTCAATAAAATTACCTACAGCAATATGCGACTGACGGGTGGTTTGCTGGCTGCACTGCTGTGCTCGTACGCAGCATCGGTGCAGGCGTGGGATCTTCCTCCATTCGACGGTACGCCACCTGATATATTTATCTGACTCAAAGAGGCAACTTTATACCAACAGCTACAAACACGAGCATAGCAACCATGACACGGAAACAATACATAGATACTAACTAGCCACAGAGACAGTCCTCCGCATCCGCACAGCAGTAACTGATTACATCAACACCGCACTCAATGACGACCCTGACAGGAAGGTCTACGGACGGAGTCAAGACGTCAAGTATGAGTTTCTCATCACAAGTAACGAATGCAATACCAATAACCTACCGTCGATGCTTCACGGGGCCGTCGGCCAGTACCTCAGCAACCCTGCCAAAAGCTTTGACGAAGGAAGCACTCAGTGCTTGGTGTTTGACCAGGGTGGGCCTTGTCATGGGTATATGAAGATTGGGCGGGTAGCGGATTTTGATTCGGAGGTGTACTGTGGACCGGTTTTGGAGTTTGAAACTGTTATTTGAACTAGCTTGATCGTTCTTTGCGAGTACTATCAGGCTGTTCGACGTTAGATACATGGTGGTCTTAATAAATAGGGTCTGGCTATCCATCACTGCCGGTGATTTCACTCTTCCAGTCTTCTCAACAAAGATCAGCCTCTTCTCTTTCCACACGGCCATCATGGCTAAACTCATGAAATGGGCCACAAAGGCGCTTCGACGGAGTCCCTCCCCTCCCTGATGCTTTCCCACCAGCGGCTTCGCAACTGTCTGTCCCTGGGAGGTGCTTGACGAGGAACAGTTTGAGCAGTTCAAACAAGGGCAATATTATCCTGCTAATATTGGCGATGTGATTAAATTCAAATACCAATACCAGGTTATTGGTAAACTCGGTTCTGGGACTACTCCTACAGTATGGCTCGCTCGTGATGTTGAGTAAGTCGGGGTACTTATTTTACTAAACACTGACCACTGACAACCAGAGGTCATCAATACGTGACACTCGAAATCTACACGCGTGACGAAGGTAACCAGGAAGAGTTCAGATCTATAAGCAACTAGATCAGGGCAGTTCACAGCACCCTGGCTATGCTCATATAAGGAAAGCACGGGATATCTTCACAATTCCTCATTCTGGCGGTGACCATCCGTGTCTTGTTCAGAAACCAATGTGGAAAGCTTCAGGGATCTACTCTATCGTGAACCCAGCCTCAAGGATCCGTGGCTGAATGATCAGATAGAGTAGCTTGGATGTTCCATTGCTTGTCATTGTCCCAGAATACGCACCACTCAACGAGATTCGTTGTGCCGAAAGTACGTGTGCGGATTTGAGCTTATCGCGTTGTGCCCACTGGGTGACCACCAGCGAATCCCGGCTGCTGCATGTCTTCTTTTTATCTATTTTTCTCCTTCCAGACTGCTTCTATTTCGTAGGTTGGGTCTGTATACTCTATACCATATATTAAGGATAGTGAATGATTCATCTCCATTAACGAGGCTGACTCCTATGCAACTGAACAGGCCATTTAACACGCACCCCCAAATCATACGCAAAGTCCAGAACCAGACTAGGATTCCTCGCAAACTCGCGTCCAATAAAGACCACATCCGCCATGCCAGACGAAACAACATGCTCCGCCGTCTTCGCGTCCCAGATCTTCCCCACCGCGCTGGTGAGGATACCCGGCACGCCATCCTTGATGGCCTTTGACAGCGGGGCCTGGTAAGCCGGCACCAGAGGAGGAAGCTGCTGGAGCGGCGAGATGCCACCGGACGAGACGTCGATGAGATCAACACCTAACGGCTTGAGCAGCTCGCTCAGCTGGATTGACTGTTCGATTGTCCAGGAGGACTCCTCCTCTTCCTCCTTTTCACTGCTAGTGGCAGACATCCACTCAGTGGCGCTGATGCGGTAGAAGAGGAGTGTTGAATCCGGGATCGCAGCGCGAATGCCACGCGCGATCTCCAGCGCCAGACGGACGCGGTTTTTGAAACTCCCCCCGTACTCGTCCGTGCGCTTATTACTTACCGGCGAGCAGAGCTCATGGATGAGATAGCCATGCGCACCGTGGATCTCGATCACATCAAAGCCAGCCTGGACAGCCAACTTGGCGGCGTTCACCCAGTCGCCGATCGTCTTGCGGATCTGGGCCCTAGACATTTCAGTCGGGGTAGGCCAGCTCCCATCGTCGCGATGAGGTCGTCCGGGAAGCCGTTCTCTTCGGGCCGGGCAGGTCTATCGCCCAGCCAGGGGGCGAGGGTGCTGGCTTTCCGGCCGCCATGGTGCAGCTGGATACCCGCCTTTTGGCCCTGGGAATGGATGAAGCGCACCACGCGTTGGAAGGAGGAGACTTGCGCTGCGCTCCAGAGTCCGGGGTCTGCCATTCCGTTGCGTGCTTTGGGGGAGACGGAGGTCGCTTCGACCATTGTCAGTGATGCGCCCCAGCATGCGTATGCGCTCAGCTGCGCCATGTGCCAGTCCGTCAATTCCCCCGTGGATTGGCTCGAGTACTGCGCCATTGGTGACACCCAGATGCGGTTCTGTAATACTAGGTAGGTCCTGTGGATGAAATAACAATAAAAAAAAATCAACATGCAACAGCCGGGATTCGCTGGTGGTCACCCACCCAACTACTAACCGGCCGGCGTGTGGCTTAAGTACGGCTGAGCGGACGGGAAGCCCTGTTTTCCACACCCTGTGGTCGCATGTGCTAACTTATTCAAGAAAGGGTATCATATAGATGTAATCTTTGGACTATATCTATGAAAACGTCGCCCGATTCTCCTCATCATATATCAACTGAACTGGACCCAGGGAGAGCAACCGTATACGCCTTTGGCTTTTTGTGCTCCTTCACCCTCTGCAAATTCTTCTTCACTGAGAATGTTGCGCCATGTAATTTGAATTTCAGTGTCCATACAACTTGCCGCTTTCATTTTATGTCAAGGCCTAAGTCCACTATTCGTTTCAAGCCCCAAATTGCAAGTCCATATTTGCGGTAGGATGCAAATGGCGGACAATATATTGGACCGTAGTGACGTCCTGCCATACATATGAAGCATGCGATCCCAGGTGATAAATGACTGTCCAGTGAGAGCTTATCTTCCTCTGCAGGCGGAAAAGTGCAAAGCCAATTCGGCTTGGAGTCGTCAAGAGGTCCAATAGGCAGGTGAAAAGGATGGTATGATGGTTGTATCTTCAGTGTTTCCAAGGAGTCATATACAGTCAGCAGCATCTCATACTTTAAGCTGAGGCGCCCTGAGTGCGCCCAGAAGTCCATAGGACTCATGATAGACCAATAATCCAAGCGTCCCTTGATCCATGCAACCTTGAGTTCAAAGAACACCTGTATCTACCACAGATGGGGAGGGGTTGAAAGGGATCTCCTGACATGATTTGGGGAGTTGCTATGCCGTCTCTATTTTGAAAGAGAAGGAGAGGCAAGAAAGAGACAGAGAGAGAGAGAGGAGGGGAGGGCAGGAGGGGAGGGCCTATATACACTATTATTGCCTTGCCACCTGGCAGTGGTTACTTGGGTGCAGCCGCGCCTACGGAGTTGAGCATGGCATGTGGCCAGATATCTTCAAGGGGATAGAACGCGTCCAAACCGGCCTTCAAGTCCACTAACATTCCCCGCCAGCGTCTGCGACGAAGATACCACCAGACAATATCCTACGACCGAAGTCTGGAACACATGGCTTCTAGTTTGAAGGCTTCTCAGGATTATCATGGAATAGTAGTCCTGGTTCAATTCCGCAATCATATTGATCTAGCGTTCTGCCTCTTTTACTTGAAGGGCGGTGTATGAGGGAGGACAGGGATGATGGTGACATGAATAGAAGTCCAGTTTAACCTCTACATGTGAGGGCTCGAATCTAAAATTCATCTGTGCTAGATACACGAAGAATTCCTTGAGAGAAGGAAGGGAACAGGAGACAACGGCATGCCAGCAACAAACAGAACAAATGCAACAAAAGGGACAAACGGAACAAATAGAGCAAATAGGGCAGGTAGGGTACTCAGCGTTGGCCCTGAGTTGCGATATGCCTGGCGTAGCCCATGATAAATGGGCAAATGCCGGACTTTTCTATGGGAGAGAAACCGAGACAATGACATGGTCAAAAGTGATGCATTTTATTGAGGCTACATCTTCCCGCTGCTCACTCCGACACTCCCCATGGCCAGGGAGCAGCTCAGGTTACTGAGGGCATGCTCGGATCTACCCCGTGAGCAAAAGGAGACCTGAGCACTAAAATGGAAAGGAAGGACTTCTAAGTTGATAGAAAAAAAAAGTACATGTGCATCTGTTGGATTCCAAGAGAAGTCAAGCTCATAGCTATGGATCCAGAACCCCAGTAGATTAAACAGAATGTTTAACATGTTTTCTTCCATTTCTTAATATGGTATCACGGTCGAATTGGTTCAAAATCGTCATGTCATGCCCTTGTTGTTGAGAATTAACATCTCAGACCAACAGCTACAGTTTTATATCTCGTGGAAAAACAGCCCGAGATTCGATATTGTATATAACCAAGATAAGTGGCAAAATGCTCTTTTTGACCGCACAAAACGAATCAACAAGAAGAAAGAACTGAAATCAACCGAAACCATAGGGAATCTAGCCATGCCAAAAGCAAGAAAACCAACAGACGCCATAGGTGTATCAGTGCATGCCCATCCATTCGTCCATTGTTATCGTAGAAATGAAAGCCACGAAAAAGTAAACAGCCTGTCCTATTAAGATATGATTAAGGGATGGTGGAGGAAAGAAAAGAGAACCAACGACCCTCGGCGTGAGCGTTGTTGTAATGCTGATTCGGAGGAATCGATCATACGTGGGTTTCCCCCTCGCTGGCATTCACCCGGATTCAGGGGCATGGTATTTCGGCGTCGCAGATCCGATCGCCTTTTCCTCATCCCCCGTATCCAGGCCGCGTTCTTCTTCCTTGTACTGTGCCGGCGGTGTGCCGGCGTTGCTCTGAACCTGAGTTTCGCCGCTGTCGCGGGTCTGAGGAATCGAAGCCTGCTGCTGATTTCTCGCCTGCATTGTCTGTTCGATGATCGTACGCATGAATTTGTCCGACTCAGACGCGAACTTGCAGTACTTGCGAATGCGGTGTCCGTACTTGTAGAAGAGTAGCGGGAACGGGACACAGGCCAGTGCCAGGAAGGCTGGGATAGACGATGCCCAGTGGATACCGAGATTCTGATACATGTACGTGGTGAAGAGGGGAAAGGCCATGCCGAAGAGGGACCTGAGGACTGAGTTGGCCGCCAACACACTGGCTGCGAAGATGGTGTATGCGTCGACGAGGTAGTTCATGATTCCCAGGAAACACAGGGTGAGGCCTGCACCGAAGAAGACGCCGGCAGCGATACTGGCCATGAAGTGCACGGAGGGTGCATTGGTCCAGGCGAACCAGAACAGGCCCGCAGGGAGGAGGACGGAAGCGATGATGGTAACCGGTAGACGAGCCTCGGGTGGAGCGAAGCCATTGTGTTTCTTCTGGACCTTGATATAATGCTTGTTGGTGTAGATGGACCAGAGAATACCCAATCCCTCGCCGACCAGGACACCCAGGAAAGCGAGACCACCCACGCCCTGATTCCAGCCACGTTTCTCTTCGTAGACGATCGGGAAAGCCGCGAACAGCATGTACAAGGTACCGTAGATGATGGCTAGGTAGATGGATAGGATGAGCACGATGGGCTCCACGAAAAGTAGCAACCACGGCCGATAGAGGGAAACGGCGAACGCCCTCCTTACTGAGACCTGGCCACCCTTGTCGATGTCTATCTTGCTGCGATAGACCTTACCAGTGACCTTGGAGAGGGCTGCAGCTCTCCGTCGGAGAAGAACAGGCGCATACGTCTCCGGCACGACCAGACTGCCCACGATCCACATAAAGCCGGAAAAGATGGCCAGGAGGCCCATCAGCCACTTCCACCCCTCGGTCATTCCCAAGAACCCGCCGATAATGGGCCCCAAGACGGGCCCCAGAGAGGGCGCAGCGGCGAACAAACTCATGGCTATGCCTCGCTCAGAGGCCGGGAACAAGTCCGCGATGACGCCGCCGGCATTGGTCAGGGGGGAAGAGCCGAAGGAGCCAGCGAAGAAGCGGAAGATAATGAGCGACGCAGCATTCTTGGAGCCGGTGCAGGCGGCATTGAACACGGTGAATCCGCAAAAGGTCGCACAGTACAAGATCTGCCTGCCCCATAACTCGCTCATGGGGGCCCAAAACAACGGACCCAATGCAAATCCACTTTGTGTCAAAAGAAAAAAGAAAGAAAATATCAGCAGGAAGGCTTGACGATACGGATTGGTGCACCTACAGAACAAACAGCGAAACTCCTAACGTAGCTACTTCAGTGCCGATGTCAAACTGCACCATGAATTGCCTGACGCCGCCAGTGTAGGCCGAAGACACGAGCGCAACAGCCATGGTAGCCACGGCCATGATCAAGGTGTAGGTCCATTTCTGCCACTTGGGCCATAGCATGGGATTCCGCGGGTCATTGGGAATCCAAGTCACCGCATACGGATCTTCTTCCGTGCCCGAGCCGGAATAGGCATGATTCAAGATCTCGTCTGTAAGAACGCCGTGGTCTAGCAATAGACGCCAGTGAGGGATCCTTTCTCGCAAATGCTTCGGAGCCGCTCCGGGCTCGGCCTCGTTGCCCATGTGGACGGTTATCGGGAAGCAGGCGAAGGGGAAGAAACCGTCTAGAACAATGGGATTGTCGAACACGGGGGACGATCAAACGAACTGGAGGAGGAGAAGAAGAAGAAGAGGGACTCAAGCCACCGAAGGAGAAGAGAGAACACCTGCAGGGGCATTGCTATTTTATTTAAGGACGAACTCCCTGCTAATTCCTCTGTATTATTATTAGTGTCATTACATTACTATAAGGCCATCGTCCGCATTAATGCAACCCAAGGTGAAGAATTAGTAAGGGAAGCAGTTCCGAAATCCTCGATTCCGCTCGCAAGATACAGGCGATATGCAATGCGCCGCAGCATAAGGGCCGAGTTATGCATGCTCTTGGACTCGGGGAACGCTCGACAAGTTAGAAACAGGGAGTCCAGCCCATGCGCAAAAATCAGCCCTCACACGGAGGTCAGCTGTATAGGGAAATATGTGGCATGATTGCCTCATCACCAGGGATTTTAATATCAAATCGTTCCTCCGGAGCGACCCCATTGCGATGTCATATCAGATACCTTGTACCGACCGACCGTTCGCCCAACCGGCCCGTTGAGCCGTATTCTGCAAGATAATATCAACCGGAGGGCGACCGTAGCCATCGCCTAGACGGTCCGACCGAGTTCCAAGGATCGGTTAAAGGACCAGGGGCGTTCTGCGAGGCAAGATCAATCGATGAAGTGCTGCGACCGGCTGAAGCCTTGACTGCATGCCGAGGCAGAACGGGCGAATAAAGGCCGAGGTGCCGTTCTCCTTTTCTTCTTCTTGCTTGGATACTTGCTTACTTGCTTACTATTAACTAGGGAACCGGTTCGCTGGTTATTCCATCGGGGAAATCTCGTATCTGATGGACCCCTCTGGAAGGGGTTCGGGCGTATTTCCCTTTGCGGGCGCCTCCGTAGCATTAGACCCCTGGCTATGCCAGCCCAGCGGAATGGCATTCATGGGATTTCTTTCGAGGCTCATGACGCCTGTGGTTGGTGTGGCAGGCCACATGCAGACCGTTAACATCGGTAACGGTTAATATCGTTAGAACCATCTCGATATGAGTGCTAGATCACGCTAGATCTTACTTCACGTAGATTACTTCGTACCCTAGATACGCCTAGAACGGGCGGAACGGGACTCCGCTTGGCAAGTATCAAGGTTATTAGTATTGGCATTAGTAGCATTGTTTTATATCGGAAGCCAAGTATCCTCCGGCGTCTGTCTGCCTGCTTCACCAATTCAAGCTCCGGTCCTGCCCAGTCCCGCCGTGCTTGATGCTGCCTCCTGTCACCACAGACAGAACATCCTTGCCCCATTTCGCAAACGCGGGGGCTATCCCTCCAGTCTCCCAGAGCGTCCGCTCGAGTCTACTCAGGCGGAATGGGAAATCCCTGTTGTTTACCCTCACGACGTCTCTCGCGAGATCAACCTCGAGGTCCTCTCCGTCCGCCACCAGGTCATAGAACTCGTCGTCCTCCATTACGAATCCCAGCAGGCCCAGACTCGGCTGGTTCCGCGCGTAGATGAATGCGAAGGAACGGGCAATCACGCACTGGACACCAGCGCCCTGTAATGCAGTCACTGCGTTCTCCCTGGATGAGCCCACGCCGAATGCCTTGCCGGCCACCACAATGTCGAGCCCGTCTTGGACCTTCTGGCGGAAGTCAGGGTGGGTGTGGTACAGGCAGTAGCAGCCCATTTCTTCTCGGGTCAGGTTGCCCGTCAGTGCCTCCGACGGCGCCAGTGCGTCCGTGTCGATGAAGTCCCCGAGGACTTGGGCTTTTCCTCGGATGTACCTCTGGCTCGGAGAGGAGACAGGGCTGGTGCCGGGGCGGTTCTTGACGCATTCCTGCTCCGTCTCGGGGGACTCTGCAGATCCCACTTGGGCTGGCTCTACGTATTGCACAGGGCTTGTCGTAGGGCTTTCCGGTGTACCTAGCATCTCCTCGAGCCTTTCCAGGTCGATTCCGTCTAGGAGGGATGTGGGATCGGTTATTTTCATCCGGAAACTGCTCGCCGCGACGGTCACTGCAGACGCGATACTTCCAAGGGCCCCTGCGCACTCTTCAGCTGCTGTTCAATCGGTATTTTCCAAATAACCTACCGGGGCCCATGCGATTCTCAAAGTTCCGGTTCTGGCTACTCAACCACACTTCTCCGGGCCCGGCCTTGTCCGCCGACATTCCCACACAATAACTGCATCCGGGAACCCCGACTTCGAACCCGGCCCGCTCGTATATCCCCGCGAGACCGCGGGCCCTCAGATCATGCAGGATAGGCAGCGATCCGGGCACTACTTTGCGTTTCCCGTGCTTGACGGGTACCATTCCACGCTTCAATCCAGCCTCGAGCACCAGGGCTGCCAGGATAAGGTCCTCGCGTGCAGTCGTGCATGCGCCGATGAAGCATCCGTCCAATGCGGTGTCTGCTACGACGCTGGCGGGGACGACATCGTCTGGATTCGGGTAGCGGGCGATGAAGGACTCGACGTTCGCCAGGTCGATTGTGTGTGATTCCGCGTATCGAGCGTCTGGGTCTGGTTTGTAGTAATTCGCCTGTCGCTTGTACTTGGGGTTCTTTCGTCGGGCGATGAATTCCTGCGTTCTTTCGTCCGGTACGAATATCCCGGTGACGCCGCCGAACTCCTGTATTGACAATGGTCAGCAGATGTTCCTATGGGAAGGGAAAGGAGGGAAAGGGTATATTCGATCATGTACCGTTGTCATATTGGAGATTGCGAATCGTGCATCACACGACAGGTGCCTCGATCCCGGTCCCGTATATTCGACGACACGCTCTGCCGCGACTGTATTCCGCTTGAGTTCCTTCAAAATGTACAGAATCACATCCTTACCCCCAAGACCAGGCCGGGGCTTATTGATGAACCTGATCTCCACGGTCTCCGGTACCCTAAACCACGTCTCACCAGTAACCAGGGGCATCGTGACGTCCGCAACTCCCAATCCCACCGCAAGACAGGACACCGAACCCGCCGAACAGGTATGCGAGTCCGACCCGATAACAAGCATACCGGGCTGAGCCCTCTCCCGACAGAACTCGGTATGCATAATGGTATAATTCATCCCCTGATACTCCGTCAGCTTGAATACCCGCCGCGCGCGCTCACTCGCATCGACAAGCGCCTTGATCTTCGGGCTCTGCCGCACCCTCGGATCAACGACATGGTCGCCTGCAATCCAGACACGATCATTACGGAATATCCCCGGTCTCCCAAGGTCATTGTACGTCTTCTCCATCCCGGACCAAGACAGCTCTGACGCAATAACCCAGTCGACATCGACGCGGATGACCTCTCCGGCTCTGACCGCGCCTTTTCTCCGCACATCGTGCGCCGCGAATATCTTCTCGGCTAGCGTCATCCCACGGCGCCCGGGGGGTCTGGAAAGAAGCGGTTCAGGCGGTGGTGTGGCGTGGCGGTCCTGGTAGTTCAACGCTTCCAGGTACGCTGATAGGAGGAATAGGATTTCGCGTTCCTGGTTAGCTTGTAGGTCTAGCTGATTCTCGGAGAGGCCTAGGCCGCCAAAATCCGGTATCAGGGCGCAGTGGGTGACCGTGTCGCGTAGGCTATCTGCTTCACGGGTGTATCCATGTTTCTCGAGTTCGGGGAGGATGATGGTGATTGCGTGAAGGAGGTTCTTGGGTGTTTGTGCGGATGCTTGTGCTGTTAGTGACAAAACGACGCCGATGGGAGCGGATCTAATTTCGATTTTCTTACTGGAACCCTGCAGATTAATTGATCTCACATCATAAAGTACCTGGTGGATTCTATCGAGGTTATCCATGGGGTTGCTTGTGTCCATGATGTCATGGCGTAGCGAGCATGAATAAAGGGAAGAGAGAAGAAGAACGAATTGAGATGACCCCTTTAAAACGGGCTCCTTTTAAAGATTAAAGACGCCGCAGAAAAAAGCCGGTCCTGATTGTTTGTTGAATGTTCATCAAGTCTGACACTTCATGCGGGGGTTGCGTTGCATTGCCCTACATCGATCCCTGTTGCGGAAGGGTTAGGGTTGCCGTAACCGGCATTTATTGCTATCATTTGGACATCTAGTATGTATTTCTAATACCATAGCTGTCTCGTCTACGAAGGCATCTGGTGAAAACCTACACTTGTAATAGGTTTGATTTCATAATAACCATCTCTAAACAGATATTGTACGGCGCAATACCTGCTTCTATATCCATCATTCATCATATCCAGGATAATTGCAATCAATGCAGTGAGCAAACACACAAACGAAAAAATCCACCCAACGAATAGAACAGCTAGTCAATCAAAGCTTGACCTTGCTTTTCCCCGAGCAACATGCCGCTGGCTCAGAGTGCAGCGTGGACTTGTTAAACGACTGCTTGGAAGGCGGGACATCCAAAGCCGGGTTCTTGGTGAAGAAACCATCCGGCTTGAGCATGACGCTCACCCGTTCCATAGGCATGACGGGGAAGTCTTCAACGCGGGGGTTATGGGTGAGGCCGAATGCTGAAAGAATTAGCATAATTAGCATCTCTTTCAAAGGTAGACAGGGGAAAGAAAAAGAAGAAGAAAACATACTGTGCCAGAGAACAATGTCCTCATTCTCAATGTCGTCGTTCCGGCCAACCCATTCCTCAACACCGTGCGAGCTCTGGCTCTGATTGGTGAATTCACCAGCAGCATAGAGCTCGCCATCCTGGTACTTCGTCACCCAGATCGGCTTGGTAGCGTATTTGGCTCGCTTATAGCCGAAGGAGTTCGTGCTTGCCAGCAGCATCTGGCTAGGCGCAGCCTGGAGCTTGTACGCTATCGGCTTGTACGTGACGGGGTTGATGATATTATCGTTGCGGATCTTGAATACCCGGTGGCGAGCGACGTCGGTGTTAGCGGTGCCGGATTTCTTCAGAACGGTTTGCTCTGTGACGTAACCCACGCGGTATGGGTTGTTCTCGTCCTCCGGGAGGGGCACGCTGTCTTCGTAGTAGACAGTGTTCTTGAATCCATCGATGGCGGGATCGACCCGCAGGGAGAACATATGTTGGTGGAACGGTGCCATGACGCCTGGACCGACGTTTGTGCCCCATGGCACTGTCTCACCGTTCTCATTGTCAAATGGAACAGTGGATAGGATTCCGGTTGCGCGGACTTCGAGTTCGACGTTGGCCGCTTGGTCGAAGATGAATGCGAAGATGTACTCGTAATTGGAAACGGTGCAAATCATCTGAAGCACTAGCTGGCGGTTGCGAACGACCGTGGCGGCACCGTTGCGGTAGTTGGTGTGTTTGTGCTGAAGACCATTGTCCTGTTCGTGCAGGCAGATGACATTCTTCAGTAGAACTGGGTTTCCCTTGGCGTCCGTCCTGTAGCCGTCAAAATATTTGATGTGGCCTAGACAGTCGCAACCCAGGGATAGTTCGTTGGCTGTGACGCCGAACCCGGCATCTCCAACGTCGAAGGCCTGCTTGCGATGGTAGGGTGAACGAGGATCTAATGATATTTCAGCAACTGTACCAGAAGTTTCTGTCTAGATGCGGATACATACCACCATATGGGACAGTCATTTCAGAGAAAGAAAGACGGTAGAAGACATTCCGGCCATCATAGGTCACATTGTAGATAACGAGACCATCACGGTTATTGAAACCAACCCTGAGTCGCCACTTCTGCCAGGACACAACATTGCCGTCCAGGGAGAAGGACGGCCCCTCCGGCTGCTGAACGATGTATGGCTTTAGATCCGTCCGCAGAGGCTCATCCAGAAGATCATGAGCATACTGGACAGGCTTGACGGGCTTCCAAGGCTGCGTTTCCTGGGCACAGGTGTGGTCGTTGCCGCTTGGGAGCTGGTCCATACGGACTAGCTCCTTAGTCACAGCGTCGAAGACAGGAGAGAATTTGCACGGCAAGGAGTAATGGTTGTGCTCGGGGTGGTCGACGGAGACAATATAGACGTAGCACTGGAATAGACGTCGAGTCTCATTCGGGTCATCCGTGCCGTAGATCCAGGGGTCATTGCAGATGGTCATGCCGGGGGGCAGCTTGAGTTTCTCAACTTCTGCCAGCACCGCAGGATGACTTAGACAAAGTTGCTCGATTTCCACGAGTTCGTCCACATCGATAGGTAACTATTCGTTGAATGAGTATGAGGACTGCTTTTATTTCGGGATTAAACAAACAAAGAAAGAAAAAACTCCTTTGCTAGAAAGGCAAACGGGCATACCTGGGCATCCTTGGGAAGCTCCTTGGCGTATACCACTCCCCGAGTGTCGGCATTCAGAACAGCCTTGAGAAAGACACCAGTGTCGAGCCGTTGAAAGTAGGCTTGCAAGAGACGGGCAGGCTTGGGAGGAAGAGGCTTCCCCAGACGTTCTGCCTCAATGTATGGGACGACATCCTTCTTGATAGGCTCCTGAACATCAATCCGCTTGTAGCGCAATGATACTCCAGGGAAAGCAGACTGTAGGATCTTCACCACCAGCTGGATCTCCCCTGGTGAGATGGGGTCGAATGGGTGGAGGCCTGTTGCCATTGTGCAAGAGGGGTACCAGACTCGACTCTGCGAGAAAGACTATCCGAAAACAATTGAAGAGCGAAATTTTGAGAGACAGCAGCGGGGGGAATGATGGGGTTTAAATCCTGCCGAGAGAGAGCGAGAGAGAGCTTGCGCTGACATGGGAAGTTGGAAGCGCGCCCGCCGCAGATATCAAGGACAAGCCTAGGGCTGCTGCGCGTATCTCCTGCCCGATCCGGTTAGAGCCGAGTATCCCCGATAAGGAAATTCCATGTCCCGGGCGCATCTCTTTCCACATCAGGACTAGCACAGAGCTTAATTAATTGGGATTAGCGTGTAGTATACAACCAATCATGTTGTGTTATTAGTCATCTAATAGGGCTCAAACCTCTGTATGATACAGATTGCAGATTAACTACAGAAACTTCGATGCAGTACAACAAAGTCGGCCTAGGTACAAATGTTATTCGCATTCCCAACCACGGTAATCAACGACACAAGTCCCTCGTCAAGTTTAAATTCTGTCACCTTGAGGTACTGCTCAATCCGCACCGGATCCCGAGAGGTCGAAATTGAAGTAACACCGTAGCTGAGCATCCACTGAATGAGAACCGCATTCTCATTGACATCGTAGATGTGCGCAATACAAGGCAAGACTCTGTCCAATGGACCACCGCTGGAAAGATTGAGAGGTGCCAGTCCGAAGAATCCCTGCACCTGTATATTGTTATCCTCCAACCAGTACGCATAGTCCAAACAGCGAGCGTACGGGTGGAACTCGATCTGGTTGACGGCAGGCTTAAGCGTGGCTACTTCGAGGACTGGCTCGATATGCTCGCGCTGGTAGTTGGAGACGCCGATCGATCTGGTTTTCTTGGTCGAGACGAGCTTTTCCATTTCCTTCCAGGCATGTTGGAGGTCTTGCGGGGTTCTGGCGAAGCTGGGGCTGTAGATGAGGAAGCTTTATCAATCGGGTTAGCATTGATTACACCTATTAAATCAACGATCCATGCAATGAGACTTACAGATCGACATAATGCGTTCCAAGACGCTTCAGGCTGCGATCCAGAGCTGCTTCGACATCATCCATGCCATCGCGGACCTTGGTGGTAATGTAGAAGTCTTCCCTCGGAATGCCGGATTCTTGGATAGCGACACCGACTTCCTCTTCGGTGCCGTAGAAGTCAGCGCAGTCGAAATGCCGGTAGCCCTGCATGATGACGATCTTGAAGAATTCAACCATGGAACGGGTGAAGGGGCCCTCCGGGTGAGGTTTCTGCCAATAGGTGCCGGTGCCGAAGGCCATCTAAACAGAAAGAAAGTGTCAGTCGTTCTGTGCCCACAGAGGATCGCTCTCGATATGATCCTTAGGAACAGGTGTGTATACACACCATTGGCATGACGCTACTGTCATTCAATACAATGTGTGGGATGCGCGATGTGAAAAGCATGCATTTGGGTATGGATAGGAACTCCTCCACGCTCTCAGCGATGGTGGACGCAGCCGTACCCACACTCCCGATGTCTTCAGCGCCGTCCTTAGCCATGCCGAAGTTGGTCACTGATGAAGGATAGCGATGCGGGTGTTTGTAACTGTTGGAACAAAGCCGCCTGCTTTGAGGCCACCCGAGTCGTATCCCGAGGGATAGCAAAAGGAAGGACAGGAAGGAATGGCAGCAAGGTCTAGCTGGGCTTTATATGTTGTCATGATAACTGCCATCAGGGAAGTGGCATTAACTACGAAGGAGAAGTCCCTCTGGTCATTATGAAAACCCCGGCGCTAGAAACTGTCATGGACGATTCATGCCATATAGTCGTATGGGAAGATGCAACGGAAGTTGTCGAGGATTCCTTGCGTGGAGATTTCCCAAGAGACTCGCTCAAAATGTGCCGTTGAGCCAACTAACAGAGACAAAGCTAAGATGGTATATTCCTGTGGTGGCATAATGCCCCTCGTAAGACTCAGAGCATGCGGGCATTGATGTTGGCAAGAACACCGTGACTGAGGGCAAGAAACCGGGGATCCCCGAATAAGCTGGATGGCCGATTAGTCATAATCGTTCAGTCAGGCCAAACATCAATCCCAGTCATATAACGTTTTAAGAACCGAAGGCTTATTACTTATCTCTATTATTATTACCATTAGTATTAGTATTAGTTAGTATTAGTATTATCCGGAAAGTGCGGGGAAGATAACTAGTTAACTAACAAACTAACCTAACAAGTTAGTTCACTTTGTATTATCAACTGACTCAGCAAGACAGCCAGATACTCGAGATAAGGCGCTCATTCCAGTCACCTATTTCTGCACGGCCAGAACCGGTATCGACAATGGACAGCCCTCCGCAGCGTCTCAGGCGAGCTGCAAATGCGTACGTGCTCCCCCCCCGGGCAATTGGCAGTTCTGTGCCTGCTTACGAGTTCGATTAAGGTGTCAGAGGTGCCGATCCCGCAAAGTAAAATGCTCTGGATCCCATCCGTGCGATAAATGCCAGCACCGTAATGTGGAGTGTGTTTTTGAAGACGACAAGAAGATCCTGGTGTCAGAAGAGTAAGTTAGGCTTTGCATTTTATTTACAAGCCGGGACTCGGCTGATTGTTCACAGGTTATTCCAGTCGATGAAACGGAGGCTGAGCGAGCTCGAAGCACAACCCCCGATCATTGACGGCGACAGCAGAAAGCGTGCGAGATCAAGTCATGAACAGAGCATTGCCAGTACTATTCAGGGTAAGGAGGCCTGGATTGCCATTCGGGGCTTCCGTAGATCCTTGCTGAGCGCATTACTATAGAGGGTCGAAGTCCAAATACCCCCCGGGAACCGACGCCGGCCCAAACAATCCACGCATATCAAACAGGCACCGTCACGGTGTTTGCAAATAACGGTCGAGATGATGATGACCGATTTGTTTCGAACCCTCTTGTGTCGCCGTCTACGTATGTGAAAAACGTAGGGCCCAGACAACGGACGTGGTGTATGTGAAAGAGAGGACAGCCGGCTTCAGACCGTTACGTTCGCTAATATCGGTGCAGTGCTTCTTGCTCCCACGTCAACCTGGTCTTTTAGCCGTCGCGTTCTCACTGCTATCCGTGAGCGGGTGAGCCAGGATAGTCCGAAGTCAGTCCCTGTCGCCCCGGACGGTGACGCGTATCAGCTACATTGGAGCCATGCGAGCTCCGAGGAGCCTCCTGATATCAGTGGTCTACCCCCCATAGACTATGCGATCTACATGCTGAACACGGTCAAGTTTCATCTCGGACAGCTGTATCGTCTATTCGACGAAGAGGAGTTCCTTCGCAATCTCTACGAGTTTTACGACGATGCCGCCGGAAAGGTCCAAGAAGCACGCTTGTGGTATATCCAATATCTGCTGATCTTGGCCTTTGGGGAGGCGTTCTTGACACCGGTCAGGACAACCGGGAATGAACATGTCTGGTCCAGGTATTTTACGAGAGCCATGTCCATGCTGCCGGACATCACGGGTCTCTGGCAGGATCCGGTTCTGGCGATCGAGGTTCTGTCTTTGATCGCGCTGTACTTTCACTCGGTAGATATGAGAGATTCCGCATACTGCTATGTGAGAGACTCCGCAAGAAATAGGGGAAACATCCGATATGGCTAACCAGCATGCTCTAGATCGGACACGCAATGCGCATGGCTCTCGTGGAAGGCTACCACCGGGCCCTTCCGGTTGAGCAGCTGGGCGAGAAACTGGTCGAACGGGGAAGCAACATCTGGTGGACCGTATACATTTTGGATCGCAAGTTCTCAGCACTGATCGGCTCTCCAAACTCCGTGAACGATGAAGATATCACCGCTATCCTGCGGGACCCGAGAACTTGTTCCCAGAGAACCGCGGCTCTGAGCCTCAATGTCAAGATAACACAGGTCACTTCTCGAGTTCTCAGTAGTAAGTGTGAACAGTGCCGGCTGTTATTCTTCTGATCTAATCTGTATCTTTACAGCGGTGTACAGCGTGGATGGAACCCTTGGCGGAGAATTCCTGAAGAGAGTGAGGTCTGTACTGCATGAGGTCGCAGATCTTTCGCGGGAGTTGCAGGACGTCTTTGCGCATCGTTTCAAGAGCTCAGTGGATGCTCTATCCGGGGTCATAACACGGCTGACTCTATCTTGTCATGCGGTAATGCTTTTCGCTATCCCATAGCATAGTGACTGCTATGACGCTAACCTCTGACAGTGCATCATTGTCACGGTCCGACCGCTCATATTGAGTCTATTATGGGAGAAAATAAATTGCTTTGAAGCCGGCGACACACCTAGAACCCTATCTCCTCCAGTTCAGACTCTGATGCAGTCCTGTATCGACTCTGCAAGCAAGTCGCTGCGGATTCTGATAGCTCTACGAGACCAGAATCTTCTCGGTATGAAGAAATCCCCTCCCCTGCTGGACCGACCCAGGCTGATTGCTTTTAGAAACCTTCCTGCCGTTTGACCTAGAGAATGCCTTCTCTGCAACTTTCATCCTGGTCCTGCTATCGATCGTTCTCCCGGACTTACTTCTCGACCAGAGCTACAAGGACCTGGGCCTAAGCATCCTGAACGAAATGATCTCCCGAGGCAACCGAGTAGCTCAGCTTCGAAAATTAGAAGTCGAGCTCCTCGAGGAGTTTGCGCAGCCGCTGTATGAACGCCACCCACGACGAGAGATCCGACGACCAGACCCCCATGAACATGAAACTCAGGCGCAGCATGTTGTCACTCCCACAAGCACGGATGGTAGTAATCTGGTTTCGACTGGGTTTCCGAACACTACTCGCGCGTATAGTCTAGACGTAGAAGGTGCGGCGCACACCCTCGCTTCCGCGGCGGCAGTGCAAGCTACCACGCAGGAGGATGACTTTAGCATGTTTGACTGGAGGGACCTTGGGCTGTCAATGAACCATATGCTATCGGCTGCGGATCAGTTGAATGCGCATAGTTTGGTGGACGCTGATCCGGATGGGATCCGAGGAGATCTTTGGCTTTGGAGCAGTAAATGAGATTATGATATAGTTTTCATATTTCGCAATTGATGCATACTGATTTTTTTCCAGCCAGTAACAGTGAGGACGTATCAAATCAACCAAATGCGAGACATCAGCGGGCAGAAAATGAGGCGATGATGGCAGCCGATTACATTATCAGCTATGGGCGTTCGGAGGATTTAAACCCAGCTTATGCGTAGTGGTAGACACTGATCTGTTCAAGTTGCAACATACAAATCAAATAACAAAGGTCAGAGACAAATAAACAATGGCATCCACAATAAACAGCCCGAAAACCGCCCAAAAAGCCTCAACAAGGGTAAAATCCACCATCCCCAGCCCACCCACCTCCACCACCAAACAAGAAGAACGCGAATACCTCAAAACCCGCCTCGCCCTGGCCTTCCGCATCTTTGCCAAACACGGCTTCGAAGAAGGTGTAGCGGGCCACATCACCGTCCGCGACCCCATCTCCCCGGCCACCTTCTGGGTGAATCCGTTCGGGGTCGCCTTTTCCCAGATCACGCCCGAGGACCTGATCCAGGTCAATCATGAGGGGAAGGTTATCGCCGGCGGGAAGGACGGGAGGAGGCATCTGAATTCGGCGGCGTTCATGATTCATGGTGCGATTCATAGGGCAAGACCGGATGTACTTTGTGCGGCGCATAGCCATAGTATTTATGGGAGGGCTTTTTGTGCGTTGGGGAGGGAGTTGGATATCATTTCCCAGGATGCGTGTTCGTTTTGGAATGTATGTCCCCTTTCCCCTCTTTCACCATTCCCATGATTCTTCTTCATGCCGACTATTGCCAGGACCACGTGGTCTACAGACAATTCAACGGCGTCGTCCTAGCCGAAGAAGAAGGCGAGAACATCGCTGCAGCACTAGGGCCCAAAAAGGCCGCCTTGCTCCAAAACCACGGCTTGCTGACCGTGGGCCAATCCATCGAAGAGGCCGTTTACTGGTTTACTTCTCTTGAGAAGTGCTGTCAGGAGCAATTGCTAGCTGATGCGGCTGCTGCCGGGCGTAGGGGGGAAACTGTCAAGATCGACGATGTGGCGGCCGAGTTCACGTTTAGGACTGTTGTTTCGCCGCGGGGCGGCTGGTTTGCCGGGATGCCTTTGTTTGATGTTGCTGAGGAGGAGGTAAAGAGGGAGAATGCCCTGAAGAATGGCTCTTGGGCGGTTTCGGGGAGCCATAATGTTGTGGATGTTGTGCTTTCTGCTGCTTTGGGGGCTTTGGTTGGGGTTTTTGCTTTGCGGTTTTTCAGATGACACCTTTTTTGCCTTTTCCCCCTTCGTAGGCATACATTCTTACTGCTTCTCTGTATCAAGGGGCTGCGGAAGCGTTCATGCCATGTTGTAGCACATGGAGCATCACGGTAGGACATGCAGAATCTTGAGTTGTACAAGCAGCAGTCACAGGCCACGGACGATTGATCCTGCTAATGTGGGTATCCATCAGTTCGTGTCTTGCTGCCAATGATGGACACAGGCTCTAACTCACCTTTACCAATGACTGAAAGGACTGTTGTTGCAATATATTAGCGTTGTTGGTTTTATTTGCACCTGTTAACATTCCAGGATGACCATCCAACACGTTCGTGGAAGATTGCCACTTCGACCTACCCTCTCCAGGAGATTCTTCTGGCATACGTGTAACCCATGGCGGATACGGCATTGTTTGCTGGTGTCTTGCCTGACCAGGAAGCTTGGAGAAACCTCGCGTTGCAGCATGTAGCTCCCGATGGAAATCCCGATGGAAATAGCCAGGTATATATGTGTGGAGTATGTGCTGAAAACACGGCCCGGGGCATGGCTATATCCTTTTCTCTCCCATTGATCACCATCAGGGCTTTCGAGTTGCCCTAGTTCCAAGATGTTATCCTCACCTCCCTCTCTCTCGAAGAATGTACCCGTCAACGAGACCGAAATACCAATGGAAGACATGTCGCAGGGAGAACGTGCGCCGAGTGCATCCTCTGTTGGCTCAAAGGAGAAAACCACAAGCGGGCGAAAAGATGTAGGGGCGGTTTTGGGAAAGGGAAAGTATTTGCTCTATGCAGGGTAGGCGTTCAGATACTTCGACCCCAGCAGGTGCCATGCTATGCTAATACGAAGGCTCTAGACTAGCCCTGATGACAGTGATATAGTGAGTTACGAACAACGCTTTCTTTACATCAAGAAGCCGCAGCTCATCCTCCCTGCCTGCAAGTGAACTAGACAATTCCACCGTGACCAGTTATCAGACCTACGCAGCCTTCTCGTTCAACAAACTGCCCATGCTAGCCATGCTTGAGACGGCCGGAAGCATTCTGATGGGAATCTGCAAGCCCCCGATTGCCAAGTTATCCGACGTCGTAGGTCGAGGGGAGACGTACATCCTCATGGTTCTTCTCTACGTTCTTTCGTATATTATCTGCGCCTCAGCAGCATCGTTCAGCGCATACGTCGGCGGTTGCGTTCTCTACGCCATAGCACAGTCCGGCACTGGCATGCTCAATTCCGTTCTCGTTTCCGACTTCTCGAGCATGCGATGGAGAGGCCTTTCATGGAATCTGATGTATTTGCCCTTCTTGATCACGGCCTGTGTGTCGGCATTTATCGTTAACAGCGTGGTGCACCGCATAGGCTGGCGCTGGGGAATCGGGATGTTCGGCATGCTCATGCCTATCAGCGCCAGCCTACTCATCATCATGCTCCTTGTATTCGAACGGCGAGCCCGAAAGACCGGGCTCATCCTCACAGAAGGCTGTCCAAGCCTGTACGAATTCTGCTCCCGCATCGACCTGGGCGGCGTGGGTCTCCTCAGCGGCGGATTCGCTATGCTCCTTATCCCCATAACCATGGCAGCGACAACAAGCCATCAATGGAAAACGCCCTGGATCAACGCGCTCATCGGCACTGGAGGACTAGCCCTAGCTCTGTTCTACCCCTACGAGAAATACTGTGCTCGCCACCCAGTCGTGCCGGTCGAATACTTTCAAAACCCTCCCATCATCATCGGGGTACTAATGGGCTGCATCGACACCATCAGCTTTAGCGCAACCCACACCTACCTATACCCCTGGTCGATGGTCGCGCATAACCTCTCACCCCGAGACGCGCAGTTCCTCGTCTACACAAACGGCATCATGCAGTGCGTCATCGGCATGGTCACCGGAGTCATCATGTACAAGCTGCGAACCTACAAATGGCTCGGATTCGCCGGCTCCCTGATCCGTCTCGTGGGGTACGCAGTCATGATTCGATTCCGGACCAACACAAGCTCGCTGGCGGAGCTGTTCATCGTGCAGATCATACAGGGGCTAGGGAGTGGTGTTATCGAGACGGTGATTATTGTCGCGGCGCAGATTGTCGTTCCGCAGGCTCAGCTGGCGCAGGTGACTTCGTTGGTTCTTTTGGGGAACTTTCTGGGTTACGCCATTGGTTCTTCTGTCGCTGGTGCGATATATACGGGGACACTGACGGAGAGGCTGAAGGTGAGGCTTGGAAGTGACTGGGGGGTTGATTCTTTGCGGGGCTCGATTACGGGGACGTTGCCTACTTGGGGCACGAACGAGAGGAACGCTGTTAACCAGGCTGTAAGCTTTCTTTCTTCCAGGCTTGAGATTCGTGCTGATGATGCGATGTGGCAGTACTCCGATGTGATAGGGTACGTCTGGTACTCTGGAAATGGAAATAGACCTAATCCCTGCTGCAGGTACATCACTTACGCTGCTATGGCCATGTGCATCCCGGTCATCGTTCTGGCCCTGTTAATGCCCGATGAAAGACTCGGGTAAGTGTCACTTCTTATCTTCTACTATGCAAATGTAAGGATCATATGGGTCCAACATACCGTTTGACTCTTCAATAGCGACGGCCCTACTCTCCACGAAATCCGCGAATCACCGAATCCAACTCTCGAAACGGAGATACAGGCCGATAGAACGGGTACAAGGCAGCGTAAAGCTGGCTTTCTGTCCGTGGGTTTACTATTTCCTCTATTGTATAAAGTCTTTAGGGTTGGCAAGACAGTATGACTAACTTATTATCCTGGGGAAACAAACAAAAGCCAATTGGACCATGTCCTCAGCGTGAACTTGAAAGAAGAACCGGGTTAACTCAAAGACCAACCCTCGATCACCATGCTCAGTGGAGTATCCAGAAAAAAAGTGCTCTGCAGACTGAAATCTATGCTTGATGGGCGCTTGGAGCTTTCTATGACTTACTGGTTATTTTCATGAGACACAAAAGTTTTTCAGATTAGATACTGCTTGATCAAATAAACTATGTAATTCTACGAGAAGAGGGCACATCTACAAATGCACGTACTCCAAAGGCTCTTTGCAAAGAGAAAGTTAAATTGAATTAAGTACCCGTGTCTCTAGATGTCGACAGTCTTGAAAGAAACAGATCCTAAAAACTCATCAACTAGAACACCCACATAGGTGGATATCTGACCAGGCCATTCTATGGGTTCTGAAACCGCATATCAGTCCAAATGTACGGGGATCGTTGTGCTTTTCTTGGTGTTGGGAACATCACGATCTTGCTTCCATGTCTAGATTAACCCGTGACCATTCAAATTTCCCCAATTCCAACAATAATACTCGCGAAGCTTCTTCATAGTACCCAATTCAACTAGTACAACTACCTCATTAAACCCCCGCAGTCACGGAGATTATTTAATTCTGCTTCTTGGGTGTAATAATCAACTGCTGTGCCCGGGGATCATACCCGAAGCAGCCGCTGAAGTTGCGCATGGCCGCGGCCCAGCTGTCGAACTCCTCTTCAGTGACCTCAAATTTGGTGATGCTAATATAAGACGCCTTAATTTCTGCAAGTTCCCGGAGCACATGTTCGTCGATGCCATGGATTGAGGTGATGTTAGACGGATCCAGTGCGCCTCCTGTTCGGGGCTTACCGTGAATTTTCTCTTGTTGGACATACTTTATTTGGGCTTTCTATGTTCTGTGGAGTTAGTGATTGAAGTAACGTTGTAGGAGAGCAATTGATTGGTCTAGCTGGACTTGTAAGATGGAGGATTTTGAAGAATGAAGGTTGAGTAGGGTAGATTTGAAGCAAGAGAAGATTGATGATCCAGCATCGAGGTGATCGACTTGGTGTTATATTCGTAGGGAGATAAAGGAATGGATTGTACCTTTGTCAAACCCGGGGCATTGCGCTTTAAATCTTACGGTTTCCTTGTCTTCTTTATGCCACCTTTGTCGTTGTCTTTTGATGCTCGTTGATGGAACCAGCCTCAACGGTGTACAATGGCATTTTCAGGATTCACTGTTGAAAACAACCTGTTTTCCCGAGGAGAATACCAAGGTTAGCTTCTCGCGAATTGCCATTGAATATGGAGGTAGATTTCGTCCGTTGGTCAGACTCGAAAAAAACCCCCCTTAGGCATATAGGCACCTTGACCTAAATTTACGAGGCTCACTACGGTACCTGGCACAACTATCCATCCAGGCTTCTACTACATTCCTGCTACCATGTCCGGTGGTCAAGCAGGCTGGTATGGCCTTATCCTTCTTCAGCTGTCCTCGTCATGGCTGCCGGTAGGGCTTTCTTGCAGTGACGTGAAGATTGATACTATTTTCGGCAGTGTTGCGCCACGATGGCTGAGATTCATGTGGCGGTGCTGTGACGAGTGGCGGTGCTATCGTGTAACATAGACACGTGAGGTTCCAAAGCTGTGGATTACGTAATATTACACATGCAGTAACGTAGTTGACTAACTAGTTAGTTAGAATAATGATATGTGCAATGCATCTTAATTTCGGCGTTCACCCTGACCCTGATACTGTCTGACGTTTATTTACCTAGGTACGCTGTGAAGGTGACTTGTTAGATCCCAACAGAAACCGATCTCTACTGCCAGCTCGTATACGCGCTCAGGGTATATGAAGGATTGCTTGGCATCCTTGGCAATGCTTAAAGCGGGCACTTAACATCCAGCGGAATCGCAGCGGAACCAGCATGAGTGACGAGTCCGGGCCTCGGTGCGCAAGGAGTGTTTTATGGAACGTACGGGTGTCTTGCAGACTTTGGATTGATGCATTTAAATGCCGTGTCTGCAGGCAGGGGAGCGCCGATCGATGGCTTTGCATTTCGATTCTCCACACAGCGTCGCTAGATCAGGGGTTAGTTCCATAGAATAATTCTAATTCCTCAGCTTTAAAAGATTATCCGGTCTGCTAAACTGGAAACAGCAAACCAGCATGGTGGCTGTGTAATCAATTAGGAGATCTCATATCGTTGGTCTTGACCCTTGGGCCGGGAAGTTGACAGCACATTCTGCTTGCTTTGTTGTCCCTCATTCTGATGTGTCTGACTCTCATTCCTTCTTTCAGGGACTCGGGGGTCTGTTATTCTCGAATTTCCTTCTTATTTGCTACCGTTGCCATTCATTTTCTCGCCTCTCTTAGAGAGAGCCGTCGTTCCTTTTGGGGTTGCCTCTAGCCTGTCTGACCAGGCCGTTCTGTTCTCTCTGTGCGCCGGGTTGCCTCCATCCCCTGAATAGGAGCTTTCTATGTTATTTTTAAGTTTCTCTTCTGTGGCTGAACGTCCCACTGGTCTTTTCTGCTGAGCCCTGATCCTTTCGGCGCCACATCGCCTTCGTCACCGCTTGATATAGGTATCACCGTTGACCGTGAAGGCACCTATCTAAGACTCGTCTTTTGCGTCATATCTGATTATCTGTGGCTGCACAGTCAATGGGTCTGCGACGCCTCTGAAGGCTTCTTTGTTACGCCTCCACAGCGCTCCTCTGTTAAAACCGGCGCTCTCTGCTCTTGTCTCCCACCCTCACTTGTACGGTCATACTAATAATTGGCCTCTTATTTTCCCTCGAGCACCATGCGTAAACCCAATCACAGTTCCGCCATATCTCTTCTTGTACCCTGACAGCCCCAGATATCTACCGCCGCCAAGCCAGTCTCATGGCCTGGTACGACCGCGATGGCGAGTCAACATCCAGAAACCCATTCAAAAAGTTCAGACGCCAACCACGACGAACCAATTCGCTTCAGCTCGAACGCGGCCTGGACCCTGTTGCCCCCAGCGCGTCCCAAAGCCTGGCCGGTCCGGAGCACGGGGACGGTTCTTCCCTGTCTCACGAGCTGTCGAATTTCCATCGGCCTCCCGATACGGCGTCAAGCGCTCCTAGTAGTACCGCGCCTCTGCACATCCCGACGTACGCCGACGACAATGAGAGCGATCTTCCCTTGAACAAGCCTCGGAAAAGGAGGACTCTCTTGGGGAGTGTAGGGGAGGAGTCTCCGGATCATGATAATAAATTGACCCCTACGTCGTCTGAAGAGTCGGCGTCGAAAAAGCAACGGTTCACCGTGATGGGGCAGCTGAGGGCGACTATTTTCAATTCATGGATTAATGTTCTTCTAGTTGCTGCTCCGGTGGGGAGTAAGTAAACGTCTTCTTCCTGGTTCTGATGTGCTCTTACTAACATCTGCCAGTTGCTTTGAACTATGTCGATGTCGACCCGGTGGCTGTCTTCGTGGTCAATTTTATTGCCATCATGTATGCGCGGAAGAAACCAGTGTAAACGCGTCAAAGAACAAAAGTGTCTGACAATGATCATAGTCCACTCGCCGCGATGCTGAGTTATGCGACAGAAGAGATTGCCTTACGGTAAAGACGACAATCCTTCATCGAATATATCTTTCCCCCCCCTACTGACCATCCTATGATAGAACCGGCGAGACGATCGGTGGTCTTCTGAATGCGAGTTTCGGGTATGTCTCTAAAATCCCCCCCGAGAAAGCTGAAGCCATTCGCCAACACAAGTTTTGCAGAAACGCTGTCGAATTAATCGTCGCCATTATTGCGCTGGTCCAGGATGAGGTCATTATTGTCCAGACCTCGCTAATTGGAAGCATGCTGTCGAACCTTCTCTTGGTCATGGGGATGTGTTTCTTCTTCGGAGGCCTTGATCGCCTGGAGCAGCACTTTAACCCTGTTGTCGCGCAGACAGCGGCGAGTCTTCTTGCACTGGCCGTGGGCAGTTTGGCTATTCCAACTGCCTTCCACACCTGGTCTGGTGGTATGTTTTGATGGTTCTGAAAACGCCTGGGAGTGAGCTTTTTTTTTACTAATTTGTCTGCATAGCTGGAGAAAAGGGCATTGCCCCTCTGTCTCGGGGTTAGTATATCAAGCCATGATTATTCCGCTGTGATTTATCTCCTATGAATGTTCTTCTAACAAAAGCAAAACAGGTACCAGTGTCCTCCTGCTGGTCGTGTATGGCTGCTACCTCTTCTTCCAACTCAAAACCCACTCGGAGATATACAACCAAGCAAGCCCCAAAGTCGAAAAAAGACACAAGTCAGTCAACGAAGGTGATGCCAGTCGGGGCATCGCTCAGATCGGCAAGATGACGGCCACCATGGGTGGCCACTCCGCGCAGCAAATGGAACTATACGAAGAGGAGGAAGAGGGGGAACAGCCTCAGCTCAGCATTATCGTGGCCGTGGCGACACTGATTATTTCCACTGTCTTCGTTGCTTTGTGCGCTGAGTTCATGGTACGTTTCTTTGCACGCCGGATCGACGGGGATAGAGCTGACGCAAGCTCTTCTAGGTTGATTCTATCGACGCACTTACGAAACGAGGACACATCTCGGAGACCTTCGTCGGGCTGATTCTGCTTCCCATTGTGGGAAATGCAGCCGAGCATGCAACGGCTGTGACGGTTGCGTGTAAGGACAAGATGGATCTAGCCATCGGCGTGGCTGTCGGTTCTAGCATGCAAATTGCCTTGCTGGTTCTTCCACTTGTTGTGGTTATCGGATGGATCATGGGTGAGTGTATCCGTCCCTTTGTTCGCCATTCTACCTTCGGGGACCTTGCTAATTCATTGCAACAGGCAAGGATGATATGGTATGTGCATGGGTTTACGGTTTCCGCGATGGCAGGGCCGATATACTAACAGTCGGCTGTGCAGACATTGTATTTTGATGCTTTTCAAATCATCTTGCTCTTCGTTTCCATACTTCTGGTATGTTCCTGGGCCTCCCATTCACCCTGTTTAACCGGCTATCTAACTTGCATAGGTCAACTACCTCATCCAGGACGGAAAGTCCCACTGGCTTGAAGGCGTCTTGTTAATGATCATGTATCTGATCATTGCCGTCGCTGCCTGGTATGTCCCAGGTCTAACTTGCATATGGTTGCAGGAGGACAAACACTAACGATGGTGATGAACAGGTTCTATCCTGCCCGGTCGGAGCCTACGACTTCATAATATCTACGGGTGATAAGTCCTTCTTTTTCGTACGATCGAAAGTCTGTAACAATATCTATATGGACGGATGGTGTGGACTGCTTGTGGTTCTGGAAGATAGCTATATATGTGATACCCTTTATCCACGGCCTGCTTTGTTTCACTACTTCTTCCTTGTGCTTGTATCTCGGGTTCTTTCTTGCTCTTTCTCTTTCTCTTTATTGATTCATCCTTAATATTATCCTATCCTCTCTTTACGGACTCACGGCAGATGGATAACGTAATCCATTGGCACTCGGCAGACAATTCCACTGCCGTTAAATTAAAAGAAACCCTCTTCCTCGCATTCATTCATCCGTGAGTTATTAATTAGTGGCAGCTGTATTCCTGGCTGCTATCGCCAAGATCACTCAATCGACTCGAGTACCAACCATGACCACCCCAAAATCATCCGCCGTCTTCACCCCCGAGAAGACCTTCAATGCCTACACAACGGAACAGGGCGCCACGTACGCCAAAGCCCGCCCGGACTACCACCCCAACCTGTACAAGAGAATCATCGACCACCACGTTTCCACCGGCGGCAGGCTCAATACCCTGGTTGATGTCGGCTGCGGCCCAGGAACCGCAACGCGCATCTTGGCGCCTCATTTCCAAACAGCCATTGGCCTGGATCCCTCCGAGGGCATGATCACAGCAGCCAGAGAACTCGGCGGCGTTTCAGCGGACGGTAAACCGATTCGCTTTGAATGCTCTTCTGCCGAGGATCTGGGGAGAAGTACCAGCACCGGCTGTGACAAGAATGGTACTTCGGACACGACTACTTCTGTCATACCAGATGGCACCGCCGACCTCATAACAGCCGCAACAGCCGCGCACTGGTTCGACATGTCCAGATTCTGGGCTCGCGCGGCCCAACTGCTCCCACCGGGCGGCACCATTGCCCTCTGGACCGGAAGAAGGATGCAGGTGCACCCATCCGTCCCCAACGCTGCCGCCATGGAGGCCAAGATGGAGGAAATCATGGATCGCGAACTAAAGCCCTTCATGGAGCCGGGTAATATCGTTGCGCATGAATTGTATGCGAATCTACCGCTTCCATGGACGATTGAGCCGAATCCCGCGCCGGAGCTGGATCGGGATTCGTATGTCAGGAAGGAATGGGGGACGCCGGGACATGAGGATGCCGAGGCGGAAGGGGAAGAGTTTTATATGGGCGGGCAGCAGGAGGTGGGGTTGGATGTGTTTGAGACTGCGTTGGGAACGGCGAGTCCCGTTACCAGGTGGAGGGAGGCGAATCCCCAGAAGGTCGGGACGGAGGAGGATGTGGTGAGGGTTATGAGGAGGGAGATTGAGCGTCTTCTCCATGAGGCTGGCATTCCTGTGGGTAAAGAGGTTGTGAGGGGAAGAGTATCCGGGGTGCTGATGATGGTGAAGAAGAGGGTATAAGATTTATATACTGTAGATGAGAGTATGTGCGTCTAGGTATGTATGTACATCAAGACCAACCCAGCTTAATCCTTGTTATCCTGCTTGATCAAATCAGCCGCCTTCTCCGCAACCGCGAAAACAGTCGCCTGGATGTTCCCCGTTGGAATCAGCGGAAAGATACTGGCATCGACGACGCGAAGATTTGTCGTCCCGTGAACCAGCAGCCGGTCGTTCAGCACTCCCCCCAGCTCCTTGGGAAGCATGGCACAAGTCCCCGACGGATGGAAGCAATGGTAGAGACGCTCCTTGACAACCCTCTTCGTCAATTCAAGGTCATCGAACCCCGACTCCGAGTCCCTTGGAAGTCGGCTGGTGGGCGATTTCAACAGCGTAGAGAACGGCGCCGTCTGTACGATCTTATCCACGTACTGCGTGTGGCGGGCTAGGAGCTCCAGGTCCATCGGTTGAGACAGATAATTCGGGTCATAGGTCGGCTTTTCCAGCGGATTGGAGGAGCTAATATGAACAGAGCCTCGCGAGAAAGGGTGGTTGTCCAACATCAGGATACTGACATAGTTACCCGGGAGGGTTGGAGTGAGGAGCTCCGCCATCGAGTTCTTCTTCGGCTCCATGTGAAGCTGGTTTGGCAGGAGGAGGTATTCGCATGTTGTATCCTTTGCGTCGAGAAGTCTCTCGCGGAGAATCTCGTACTGCTTCTTCAGCCCTGGATGATCCAGGTGGGCGTTGAGGTTTTCCTGCGCCAGCTTCTCTATGGCGTCTTTGCTCAGAATGCCGTTGCCGTCGACGAAGGGCAGGTAGGCTAGACTCAGCGGAATGCCGCAGAGCGGACCGGCTTGGGATTCCTGATACAGTTTTATTACAGACTGCAGCACGTTCGGATCACGCAGGATATCTCCTGAAACTTGTCCGTCGGCGAGCTCGAAGCTTATTCCCACCAGACTGTGGTCTTGGAGGTTTTCTCCAACCCCTGGGTTGTCGATCACAGCGGATATACCGTACTTCTCCAGGATTTTCTCATTCCCAATACCGGACAGTTCGAGGATCTGGGGCGACTGAAAAGCACCCGCAGACAAGATGACTTCTCTTTTAGCAAAAAGCGACTGCTGCTCGCCTTCTTTCGTCCGGACCTGCACCCCGGTCGCTGACACGGCGCTACCGTTCTCTTCCTTTTCGAGAAGAACCCGTTGAACGTGCGTTTCTGTCAGAAGCTGCAGATTCGGTCTCTGCGCGACTTCAGGACTGTAGTACGCAGTCGCGTACCCACGGGATCCCTTTTTGGCATCGATCGATAGCGGGCACGCGAAGGGACCGATTTTCTGGCCCTTGATAGGATCATCCAACGACTTCCAGCCTAATTTCTCGAAAGTTTCGTGCCACGCCTGGTTGAGCGGGCCGTAGACCTCGGGGAAAGATACCGGAAGAGGCCCGTCAGTGCCCTGATCCCCAGCTTCAATCAAGTCCAGCGATAAAAGCGTGCTCGTCCCCGGACTCGCGGGCGTATAGGTGTGGAACTTGCGCAGGTACGGCGCCAGGTCATCAGCTGTCCATCCATTATTTCCCAATGCGGTCCAGGCGTCGAAATCGTTGCGGTGGGGGTACACGATGGCCGAGAAGTTCAGGGAGCTGGAGCCGCCCAGCACCTTTCCGCGCGGTTGTGCGATCTGTCTATTGTTGACGTGTTTCTGCGTGTTACCAAGCCGCGTCAGCCGGCTGCAGTGCATAATCCTGATGGTTTCCTTGGGGGTCTGCAGATTGCAAGCAAGGGTGGTCTCACTTGAGGCTCAGTCACGAAATTCCAGTCGTAGTCGGCATCGCCGTACAGAGTCGACAGGAAGCCCGGAGTGTCAATTTTAGGGTCTCCCATGCGATTGGCACCGGCCTCGATGAGCAAGACTGTCCTGTCTGCATCTTCGCTTAGACGATTCGCGACCACCAGGCCTCCAATGCCGCCGCCGACGACGATGTAGTCGAACTCGCGGGACGCGAGAGCCGTCAGGGACGAGGTACAGGGAGCATGGCCAGACATGGAATGGAATATGCAGGGGTAACGATACCGAATACTAAATAATCCAGTGTAAACTGGCGACTGGTCTCCTTTTCCGCAGGATTCGGGAGGATTATGTATTCAACATGCGCTGAGGCTCCCGGCACGGCTTTTTATCAAATCCTACTCACACTGCCGAGTGAATGTGACTGTGGCATCAGTCCATACTCGCAGACGCCGAACGGTTTCAGAGTTTCGCTACTGCGCCTTCGCATCTCCGCTTTCTGCCACCTTGGCTTCTGCAACTAAGAGTGAAAACACGGCCGGCTGTCACCAACACATCGCTAGCACAAAGCCCGCGGCCGCTAGACAGGCGGCCGGGCATCCGATTTGATATTTTGCTGATCATGATGGGTTTTAGGATATGCATGGCTACGCTATGGCCTAATAGTGTTGTTATTTAAGTCATTCGCAGAGAATCTCTGAGAGCGGATCGGAATAAACCAGCATCCGTGGCCAAGCGGTAAGGCGCTCCACTCGTAATGGAGAGATCCCCGGTTCGATCCCGGGCGGGTGCATTCCTCCTTTCCTTTAATTTTTTAGTCTATATACACAATTACTAGCTAGATCTCTCCTACTTACCTACCTTCTCGCCTGGACCCTTCTCTCTCATCCATGCTCGATTGTCTGCTGGCCTCCATCCAGCATGTAAGTTCTGAGTGGTAGCGAAGGTAGGGGTCAGTTAGTAGTGTAGTTTACAAGTGATATGGAAAGGTCACGTGGTATGGCGGCTTGGCTCCCTCTCCAACCCCTGAGAATCCGGGCCCCTGATTATATGTAGAGAGAGCAACAGAGATAGAACAGAATGGCATCCGTTCCTTAGGAGGCTACGTACGTGTAGTCGATACAGCTTCATTCTGCCCTTCTTCCCTGAGTTACATGCATATTCCAGAACAACAAGAATACCATGGGATATAAAGAAGAGGAAGTTTCTAGCCACGAACTATCCCCTCTATTTTCCCAACCTGCTCCTGATGCCCATTTCCTTCTCCTGTTTTGCAAATGATTCTTGTACATCTTGCCTATTTTTGCGTGGGGAGCTTGATAAAAGTGTGTAGATATCCCATTCAGTTCAATCAGACGTCACCATGCCTCGATTCGAAGTAATCATCAGAATCCTGATAGAGAAGCTGCTGACTTGATTACAAGCTACTGTCTATTAAAGGTGATATGACATCTTTTAGTTCAGGTGCTGAATCTTGTGAGGCGCCGAAAAAGTTCTGCCAATGAATTAAAACCCAGACTGACTCCTCAAGCAGTGGAGGGTTCATGGAGTTAAGGAATTTGAAACTTTGGAAAATTGCCAACTGGCAAGGGCATGGAGGATGAACCTTGTGCTTCTCATACCCGAGAACAAGATGGCATTCTTGAATGATGCGCTGAATATATTAACCAGACAAGTAGGGTTATATATAATATTAGATACTGGCTTACCTCCAGAGCTCTGGCCATTACTTCGGGAAACCGATCCCGACATCCTGCTGCCCTTCTTAAGGAGTACTGAGATCCCTGCCAAAGAGACGACTGTACACCGAATTGTTTGTTTGGTTGAAGATACCTTTTCTGCTACGGTGCCTGTCCTGTCCTGCCTGATATATATGAGAGAGCAGTGCAGAGCCTCTGGCTTTACATTCTAGTCTTTTGCTTAGCAGCGGTCAAGCTTCTGAATGCCCACAGAGATCGCATCGTGACATTTTCCGCATTCGCGGCCTCTTTACCTGAGTCTCAAGAGCCTGTAAAAACGTTGGGATTCTTCTTGGCTGGGCCCTATAGATGGCGAGGTGAATACCTGGAATATCGAGAACAAAGTTATTGCTGTTCCACCTATCATTCGAAACTGTGGGTTCAACAAAGACAACTCGTTCGTATGGACATACAACCTCAAGCAAAGTCGTATTTGCAGCAGTATTCCCCTCGAAAGACAAAGGAAAGCCAGTTATTTCATCTTTCCATCGCAAATTCATTCACATGTCTACTTTCCGGATAATTATCCTATGTGGAGGGTGGTATCGTGACCCCTGAAATTCTCAGGAACCATGTTGAGATCCATCTTCGAGGGCATGCCCCTTTTGCGTACTGTGAGACCGATGACTCTCAAATTAGGCGGCTCTACATCAGGTCTCTAGGCCTGCTATCATCTGTGCGGTCTGAATATTGGAGAATGTCTCTCCACTTTGGCGAGCTGATTAGATTATCCGCGTTCATCACAGGCGTGGATGGAATACAACGCTTTTTCATTACCAATGAAACAATCTATCATCGCATAATACAGCACTATGCCGATGAGAAACATGATAAATCGGAAAAAAAGGAGAGCCTGAAGACGATCGATCCCGTTTTTGTTGATTGGTTCCCTACCAACGAGGCCAAAAGGGACATACCAAGTTCCACGGCCTGTTCATTATAAGGGACGTAAGTCCAGGAGGGTGTCCCTCTTCAGTTGCGAACAGCTTATATGGGCTAGAAGTTTGTATAGCAAAGTTCACCGTCAACCGAACTGGAGCCTATGTCACCTGTGAATATGTAGTAATTCCCTCGACTAATTAGGAAATGCACGCTGTTCTAATAATATGGCTTTATTTATCGATTGGAAGAAGATTTATGTTCATGGAACATTCTTACAATGGAAGGCCCCTTTAGCTCAGTGGTAGAGCGTTTGACTTGTAATCAAAAGGTCGATAGTTCAATCCTGTCAGGGGGCATCCCTTTTTTTTCGTTTCTTTTTTTTGTTCAGCCAAGTACTGGCCTTCATTCACCATTAATAATTATCAATCCAAAAAACATACTCACAGCATGGGAAACTGAAGGTCAAATGCTTTCAGTGGCCCGTTATATATATATATGAGAACGAGAAAAACTCTAATAGGTTATTCAGGACCGCTGAGCTGTCATAATCTCAACCTGATTTTCACTATGATAGAATTTCTTTCTCTTTTAACTTTAATGGTAAAGAGGTTGTCTGCTAACCTAACCCACTACCAAGAAGTCCAGGGCCAAACTGATGTATTTGCTGCCGTACTCATCAGATCTCAAGCCCGAGTCCGGCTAGCTAGCTAGATCAACCAACTCAGCCGAGAGTTCAGTCTGCTTATCTGCAGTCTGACTAAGCATCCAAATATGGATTAGCTTGGTAGTATGTATTTAACAACCCCTCAGTCTTGAACATTCCTTCTAACAATCTAACTCAAGTGGAAGCCCTCCATTAAGTACTCCCCGGCCGCGGGCTCCACCATACATTAGTATGTCGGAGACCGCGGCTCTACGGCATTCTAAGATAGGAAATATGGGAGATCCGGGATTTCGCAGTGCCCCCGGCACACTGGTTTGTCTGCACATGATCACGTTCCCCTACCAACAATGAACTACTAGTATTATCATAGATCTGGGTAAATGATTCAAATCTAATAATGCAAGTATCTCATACTAAAAAAGAGACAGAGACTGCGAGTTCTATCCCAATAGTCCCCTCTGAACGTCGCCCGGTGCCGGCAGTGGAAGTCTTGAAGGGCTCATATCACGTACAGAATGCTTAGCCGCTGTAATAGTAACACCCAAGCGGCCAAACAGAAGCTCAAGTTCAGGGTACCTCTTCAACGCAAGGCCAATGTACTGCGGGTTCAATTCACCTCGTCGTGCCAGAATAGTGGCGCTATATCGGTCTGCCAACCATCGGAGATCAGCAGAATCATGGAATTTCGACCTAGTTGCTGCAGCACGAAGTTTGCCTTTGAAGAGGAGGAAGGGATCAAGGAAGCTGGAAGGCCCGTTGCCAAGTCTTTGCCCGCTGACTGTACAGACATTGGCTTGTAGGAGTAGGATATTCTTCAAGAGAAAGCTACCTACCAATGGCCAGGTAGGCGCCTACCACAGCGTTCATAAACGTTCAAGTGAGCGACGAATCCGTCAATGAGGTAATTGGTCAAACCAATGGCGGCTATGTTCACCACCTAGGTACATCACCATGCTAGCTATTAAATATTTTTGTACAGTAACACGGAGATTTAAAAGTCAGCACTAAGGGCAAAAGCCAAAACATCAGGATGAGCATGAGATTGTGATACCGGCCAATGATTCAGCAATTACTAAAACCCAGATCCAGGTATTGACCTTGGATCCTGCATCCTGGCAACCCCCAGCTCAGAAAGCGCTCCCAGGCCTATGTTTTCATCATATCGCGGTGTCTTTTCAGCAACAAGCTGGGCAGCTAATTCCTTCACTTTGAGTGTCGCGCTGCGCAGATTACTTTCAATCCAATCTCATCTAAGTTCATCCCATCCACCAGTTGCTCTACAGCAATGCGAGCCATCAGTTGTTCGATTTGAAAAATCTCAAACAGTCCAATGAAAAAAAAAAAAAAAAAAAAAAAAAAAGGCAGACGTGGTATGGAGAGATGCTGAATCTCATCTTGAGGGTCTAAGTCTAGGATCTGCTCACTGCAGGTAGCAGACAGTTTCTCGTCACTGGGTACAATATTTTGGTGCAGAGAGAGACCAAAATAGAATCCGGAAAGATCAGTAATCGGAGGCCAGTATTTGGCGCCTTAAATGCCGGGAATCCTCTCTTATTCTGTGAATATATCATAATCTGTTATATTCACACGTTCCAACTCGCCAGTTGAGCAGACTATGGATACAACCTCAGACAGTGAAGTCTCAGGGACACAAATCTCAATATCCCGTCAACGGTAAGAAAAGGCTTTCTGGAATGACAACATGGTGAAGGCTCACATGAACCACTCGTGGAACATTGTAGTAGTTTAATGCTATCTCCCCAACCACACATGCTGGTATGTCTCTTTCCTCAAGGGCGAACAGTATTGGCTTAATGAGGTTGATGATATCCGTTCTCTTTCTTCTCATGCAGGGGGACAGATTTTGTGATTCCATAGACAAACCACCACGGAATTTAGAAATCGGGGGATACGAGTCGTGGCAAATCAACGGGGGTATGTGCTTCCCTGGAATAATTCAAAGGGGTCGAGGAAAGGTCCGATATCAAGAAAGTTACACATGTATGATCCGGGGTTGCATCTTTGAGTTAAGCTTAGCTCAAGAGCATTCATGCTGCGATAAACAAGTAATATGGACATTTTCTAGTTGATAAACACAGTAGTGAAAGATATACGGCCTCTTCTTCAGTTTCGTAAAATAGTACACCTGAAGTGAACCCTGGCTTCTTCCCGGATATTGCTCTGGGAAGGATCTAGTCACAGTCGACAAGGTAGTCCCTGATCCCTTCTCAACTCTATCAAGAGATCCTCCTCCTATAAATTCCTTCCTGGATCGGTGGCAGGGATTTAGCGGAGGAGATGGCCGGACGCTATGCACGCACACCTCCGCTGGTGGCCGTGCAGGGAGAGGACGTTGCTCTGCTCCTCCTTTGGGGGGGGTTCTCGGAATTCTCACAGAGGCACCATCATGAGGCAGTCTGCCGAGGGAAGAGGGACTACCGATGATGGAGACAGGTGTCGGGTATCGGGGAGGGTTCAAGGACTTGCGTGAGGGGACTGATTCAGCGCGAGAGGGATTCCACGGTCTGAAGGTATCAACGTGGAAATACAGCTTTAGAATTAACAACTGCTTAGGGACATCCTTAGGGATCCCAGCAGTAACATGAAGACCCTGGTGAGTCAGTCCTCTGTGACTACATATGTTGAAAAACTCTTGATTTCACAAATTTTCCTCAACCGACAAGGCCGCCTGTGACAGTCTGCCCACAACCCATCCTTTTTTTATCCTCTATTTTCTGACATTCTTATTTATTTGAATTAATGGCAGGCTTTTCCATACTTGCGAAGCCGCAGGTAGTTATACGGCAAGGGAGCCAGATATCCAGCCGTCACGGACAATACTGCTGCCAGCCAGAATCGTGGATTCCCCAGGTCCACCACTCCGCCGGTGAGATGATAATCCACGATATTCTCAGTTACCTCCATGGCTACCATTGAGACCATGCTCATACCCATTGCCGTACGAGCCGCCATCGGCCATGAAAGCCTGTCGGCTCCATGCCGGAGAAGAATCGTTTCGACGATAATAGATGTGGTGATTCCGGATGCCACTGTGTTCAATCAGCACCCGTTCCCGCTGGAATTGATTACTGGGCGAGAATATGAAATTACTGGATGCAGCCATGATTGCACTCATCCCAAGAGCCGGATAGCAGGTCTGGAGAATCCATAGCATGGAGAAGTCACCGGCTGTACAGCCGATTAGACAACGTAAGGTGTTGATTCCGGCTCGTTTCCATGTAGCCCTGCAGGTCCAGAATGGGAGTTTCATCATTGACGGCGGTTTGGATTTGGATGCCGGGGGACTAGCAGAAGCCTGGTCCTCGAGATTGCTATGACAAGCCGCATGTTGATGACTTGGGGAAAGGACCTTTGTCTGATTGGCGTGGCAAGCTTGCGCAGGAGTCAAGCTCGAAAAGAAGCGATGAGGGAGAGGAAAGGGATGTACGGCCGTAGGGCACGTTCGGTAGGCCCGAAGCATTTGATTCATGCTACAGACTTTTGATCGAGACCTTTCGAGGACATTGGTTCTTGAGTATAATAATATATCGATTCCGAATACAATCCTGGCAGGTTTAAATACTGGGATCGGCCCGGTTTTTTTTTTTTTTTTTTTTTTTTGAATCGGCTTTAACGCACAAATCGCGCATGTCCGACGCCAGAATAACTAGTATTGATGAACTGCCAACTCTGGATTTGAGCCCCTTAATATCAACCTCGAGGAGCAGACTTTTTTATTCGTTTCCCAGCCTTCACTTTCGTACACATTGTTGTGATGGCCGTCAAGTGGTGAAGCTGATGGAGTTCCTCAACCGGTCTAAAGATTGCATAGCGATGATAGAAACAACTAGGAGTGTCTTAGGCAGATCCGGTGATTTGAAGCTGTTTATCTAAAAGTACAACCGTCATTACTGCAAAGAATAGAACCAGGAGCATCCGTTATAAAGGTAGACGCGGGCAAACACATCCAAGTAAGCAATGCCGGGGTACAATCATAATCTAGTCTGTAACAGCAAAATTCAGAGTGCCATTTTATCACCCCCGGGAGTATTCTGCTCTACAAATGTAGATTATTGGCATTAACTGGTAACAGCTGGTTCTGGTTCAGCGTTCACACATTCCCAATAAGGGAAGAAGCGCCTACTTAGGGTTCGGGTTGCACCTACCACACACGCATGTAATCGTCTGGAGTCCTGTGTAGCAGAGCAGTAGTGCTTCAAGAAGTAAATAGACACAAATAATGCGTTAGGAATGTCTCTCATCCAGCGTCTGAGTGCCGTGATTGGGATTTCAGTGTGTTTCTTCGTGGCAGAGATATCCGGTCAGTGTTCATTCTGCGACTTGAGCCTCCTAGCAACCGGACCAGTTGAACTGACATTGCAAAGTCGGGTTCTATACACATTCTCTCGCTCTCATTGCGGATGCCTTCCACTACGTATGTTGGATTTAGCGAAGGAAGTTCGGTTATAAGCCATCGAAACTGACCCAGTCGCATCAGCTAAATGACTTAGTTGGATTTATTATAGCCCTCATCGCTGCGATTGTATTCTATTTCCTCTTTTCTTTCCCCCAGTTCATTGGGTATATGGGGCTAACCTCTTGACTTATTATTAGGTTGCTGAAAAACGTAACCCTCCCCAAGCTCTCACATATGGCTGGCAGCGGGTACACCTGCTCGGAGCCTTCTTCAACGGTGTTTTATTGTTTGGATTGGGGATCAGTGTATTCCTACAGTCGATAGAGCGGTTTATGTCTCTGCATCGTTCGTCAAGCCATAAGTAACCCCCGGTGGCATTAACAGTCAAGCAAATACTGATGCAGCATTCGCTACAGGGATTGAAAGACCAGAGCTTGTTTTGATTATGGGTTGTATTGGCTTAGGTCTTAACATATTAAGCGCGCTATTATTGCGTGGTGAGCATGCTCCACCGTCATAGCTGCTCTGAAATTGACTGATTATGATGGGACCGGGCTGTAGGCCATGGCCATAGCCATGGACACGATTATCACAGTGTTTCCCGGCAGGTTATCACATCTGAAAACCCGGAATGTAATAGTCTGGCCGATGACAAGGTTTGTAGCATTACACTCCCCCGGATTACAAAACGCTTATGCCTGTAGCACCTCAACCACAGACACCATAAGAATGCCCCCATGGACAGTTCCAAGGGATCCCGCCATGATCTCGCCGTGGCAGGAGTCATGATTCACATAATTTGTGATGCTGCAAATAACTTCGGTGTTATAATTGCAGCCTTGGTAATCTGGCTCGCTCGCTATGGTGGGAGGTTTTACGCGGATCCTGCAGTGAGTATGGGTATAGCAGTTACGCTCTTCTTGTCATCTTTGCCTCTGAGTAAGTCCAAAATACAAACATCTCCATTCTCAGCATGGATAACTTACACAGGAACAGTCAAAGATACTGGCCTTATACTCCTCCAAAGCGCTCCAGACGAGGTCAACCTCGATGACGTGAAGCATGACTTGGAACAGGTACGGAATGGGCAGTAGTACTCCCTACAATCTTCTCGTTTTGCTTCACAGCCTAACTAATAATTTAAATAGATACCGGCCGTTCTTGGTGTCCATGAACTTCACATCTGGCGCTTGAATCAGAGGAAGTGTCTTGCCTCCGCACATATTGTCTTGTCCGATGATGATCAAGTCGATTTTAAGGAAATAGCCAAGACTATCAATGAATGTTTTCATGCATATGAAATCCATTCAGCTACACTTCAACCAGAGGTTATCGGAAGGAGGCTAAGTCCCGAAACGGCAGGGCCTTTGGAAGAAGGAAAGGTAAACAAAACAACTGACAAAGATAGAGCAAGACCAAATCTCGAAGGCGTAATCGAACAGTGCCAAATCGGCTGTGGAACGGCGTGTGTGGATTTCTATTGTTGCCAGTGATATTGCAATGGAAGGGATGAAAAGGAGGCTGGTAGAAGGAAGAGCCGTGTTATGCTGCTACGTTTGTTATGTCTCATCTCATGGACATGGACAAGAATACATGGATGGAACTATTCTTAATTATTCCAACGAGTGATTGTAGCATGGTCCATAGCCTTCAACATTTACTTTGCCATCTCCATTTGTAGCCATCCATTTGTACCCAGAATCCATCCACCGACTCGTCCTTTTTCACCAACCCTATTACTGGCAATATTTTGTAAATGGCGAAGCTGCCGCCACTTCTGACAGGATCATTCGTACCCTTGATGTGTACAACCTCTGCCGTCTGGCCGACACCGACGTCATGCAGGTTATTCCTTGTGAGCATTGTGAAATCAAAGAAGCGACATTGTCACTTTTCGCCTGGACAAAAGGGACTAAGTGACATGAACAGCAAATGCATCGAAAAGGAACAGTTCCAGTCAGAATAACATTCAGCAATCTATCGATGCAGTGATGAGAGGAGGGAGCGCTCTTCCAGGCGCTGATTCTCGACGTTGGAGAAAGTAGACGCAGAAGCAGAAAACACTGCAGCTATAAATAAATATCCCCTATGTTAAGCCCCTGGAATCTCTTGTGATTAATATATTGGTTCCCCAAGAAGGCAATAACATGTATTGACGATGCTGAGAAGCTGCCTGTCGAACCTTTCCGCTTCAAAGCAGACACCGACTTCGAAGCTGTGAGAAATGATGTATTATTATTACTGCTAATAATAGCAATAATAGGAACAATAGCAATAGTAATAACCGGACGAGCTATTATATCTATTTATTTTTACAGGACACGGAAGAATCTTATGAGGAACGTTCTGACGACCAATGTTCAGAAGCAACCCGCTACAGCTTGTAGATCTTCTTGTCGTACGTCTCCGGCCAAATACCATTCTTCCCCGGAGCGATAATACCCTTCGGGCCAAGATAATTCTTTATCGTCTCATTGAACCGCATCTGGATGTTATTGTTCCAGTTGTAGGTTCCTGCGATCTGGTCCATGACCGCTAGATGCGTCCTGCACTCGCCCCATCCATGCTTGGCGCAGTCGTCAATGAGCGTCTTGATGAGCCAGTGCGCTTTCTTGCAGGATTCAGGGTCCTTGCGATTGAAAACGATACAGATAATGTGGTGTATTTCCCTCATCCCCACGGTAAAGTCACCGATGAAGTCGAGACCGGCTTCTTCACACCGCTTCCTGCTCACCTGTACTGAAGCATCGCGTCGTCTCCGGTTACTTTGGCGATAGGGGCAAAGAAAAGATGTGTCCCATTGGGAAGCTCGTCGAACGTGAGGGTGCCTCGGAGTGTTTGATCCCGGGTGTGCAGGACACTCTTCTGGCCCTTGAGGTCTTTCGGGAAATAGAATTTGGCGCCCTTAATTGCGGAAAAGGCTTCTTTGATGATCTTCCAGAGCACGTCACGATATTCTTTGGGTCCCTGGTCCTTAGGGTTAGTGCATAGGTTATGTGTCACAGTGGGAATTATGGATACATACGTATAACGCGCGGTAGAAGTTCCAGCGACCTAGGTTTAGCTCCTTGGCAATAGCATCCAGGCCTGCTTCGTCAATTGGCTCGGTCGAAGAGGTGTATTCTGTTTTTGTGCCCAGACAAGCGGCGTCCATGAGAATACTGCGGATAGTGGTGACGTTTTGGAGGACCATTTGCTGTTGTAGACAACGTTGTCAAGTCAAATCAGACCAAATTAGACGACGGTTGCAAGGAAGGCGTACCAATCTTAGTGGTCCAATGATCTCCGCTGACTTGTGAAGGTCTTCGTCTCGCGGGAATGTGATCATGTAGAATTGGTAGCCACCCGGATTGGGCATAAGCTTGATGGAGAATAATCAGCACCCTGGTTCATGAATTGTGTGCTCTACAGCAAGCCTCCTACCCATATACCCATCTTCGTGACAATTACCACACTGTCCCACACTGCCCTGTGAAAAAAGGCCATCGTTGTAAGGTCCAAACCGTAAGGGAATAGCTGCCAGGCCTTGTTCCCTGGCTCCTCATCGAGACGAGTTTCCTTGTGACCAGGATTCTTCGGTTGTGGTAGTGCTCCCATCCCCGTGCGCATCAGCTCGCCGTTGGGGAGAATCACTTCCACTCCGCTATGCATCATCCAATGGTCTGTGGAGAATCCGTGGGTTAATAGACGTCCACCACAGCGGTATTAAGCAGAAGACCATGCCTCCATAGGGAGTATATCCAACCCTCTCTCGAGTGTATTCCCCAGCACAGAGCCACCACCAAGATCAGGGACCCGTTGGCGCATCAGCATCATTCCTTTCGGCCCAAAACAAGAGAGAGAGAGAACATCATGCATCAACCCAGAGCTTATCCTGCAGATTGTGCTGAACCAAATAATCATACAATCCCTTAAAGGTAACCCCGGGCTCAACGAGTGCATACGCACCCTCGACATTTACCTCCAGCACGCGATAGATACATATGCTTTCCCAGATTCAGCACAACGCTGCCTCGCACACGGGGAGCAGCACCTCCGTATCCGGTATTGCGACCGATTGAGATAGACCAGAGCGGGATCTCGAATTCATCGGCCAACTTCACGATTTCTTGTATTTCAGGAACTTTGCGCGGACAGATAATGGATGATGCTAGCATGTATCCCCTGTCGAGGATGTAGTGAGGGTCGTGCGAGTATTGTGGTTCGAGATGGGTGCCATCGTCCACCTTGTCGACTGAGTCGATGATTTGCACATTGATACGGTCGACGATGGTGCTGATTAGGTTGATGAACTTGGTGAACTTTTCCAGGGATGTGTTTGGGGAGAGCTTGTGGTGTAGGTGGGCATTGTACGGTGTGTATTATTCTGTACAGTCTGTGAATAATGGGTCAATGTGAGATACAAAGTACGAAGGGGTTGAGAGGCTTTGGAGGAGAGAAAGAGCAGATGCGAAGAGATCCTTGGACTTTCTTATAGTTGTAATTATTATTGAAAAAAGACAATGCATTGTGTGTATGTATTTCACCGGTAATGGGATTACAGCAGGAACCGAGACCGCGAAATCCCCACCTCCGCAAAATAGGGTTTCTATTAAATGCGGAGGCGGGGATTTAGCGTGACTGCCGAGGGAGCAGACATCAATAGGCTGGTTATTGGCTTAGTTAACAATGATAATTGATTATTCAGTCTGAGAACCATTCTTTTGCTGTCTTAATGCAGTTAGCGTCTTTAGTTTCTGCAACAGCCACCGCCTGTTGTTTACGGGAGCTGTATACCAATGTGCCTAGGCAGCTGAACCTTTCCAATGTTCTGTTACAGGTCAATGGGTGTTACAGAGATTGCGAATTCAACCGACAGATCCGAGTTAGAGAATGTTCCATCAGCCTTTTCAATGTTCTGTCTGTTCGAGTACTTTTCGACGTTTGGAGCACCTCCAACGTCATGTGTTATCGCGTATTGCTAGCCCTCCGTGACCTCGATTGGGAAGTGGAGGCATAAGGCTAATGTGATTACAGACGAAAATGAAAGATCATATCAGTATATCTTCTGCGGCCAGTCCTTCAAACGCAGGTATCACATAGACCCCGGTCTTCAACTCCCGGCTAATCTGGAAGATCTAACGCGGATGCAAATATCAGGGACGTGCTTAAAAGGTACTGGAACACATGCCAAGATTGCCTACAAAGTGGGTTAACAACAAGAGATCAATTGAGCCGAAGTGCAGGGAGGAAGAGATGATCTTGTGATCAACGTGCGCGCCTGCGAAGAGCATGCAGCTTGGGCAAACCTTGTCAGAGCTGTCAGGCCAAGCAGGAGACTTGCACATATTTGCGTGTGCTGGCATCAGACACTAATTTTCAACTGAGAGATCCTTATGTATCAATTTATTCGTTTGGGCAGCTTCGGCCATCTGCTTCGCTCGCATACAAAATGATCATGCCTTCCGAATCGGCGATGGGTGGCATCTCGGAAAGGAGTGCAATCTCAACGTCTTCACCTCCATTCACAGATGATATACCAATGGATATTCTTATTCACCTAGACTCAGTGTCTTGGGATATACGTGCAGCAGCTACCATTGTTGTTGGGGAGGAGCCTTCAGAATCACCTGCAACAACCACACATGGGACCTCTCAGACAACTAGACTTCTTGAATCGAATGACAGGCTCCAACGGGATTCAAGGGTCTTTCGAAATGTGACCCCCAACACAAGAACAGCAACTGGTATCTGGTTAAACTAGAAGCAGCGGTACCCATCCCAGATTATCCTCTCTCAATAATTCCGAATGGTGGATTTGATATCCGAATTCCGACTGGGGGGAGCGGTGCACCAATCAGCTAACCCTAAAGACTGAAGAGATACTCCAAAAAATAAAAGCTGCTCATTGTCAAAGCATAGGAAAGCGGATAATAAGCGCTCCTTGGTCATCGGCTCTAGAGGCTGCTTGCCGACAGTTCTTCGCACCGCTTCAATTAATGCGATTCGCTTTATTCTGTATATTGACGTTCATTGGAAATAATAATACAGTCAGCTTTCCGGTGGTTACTTTGAGGGAATCTCCTCGCAGTGTCTTATAAAGTAATAGATAGGCAGGGCCCCCTTTCCTCATGCCCGGGGAGAAATCCACGGCGCTGAGCCGGGAATTATCACCGATGAGCCGGGTCTGGAGAAGCAAATTGGGGATATCCGGGGTTGCGGGATTTCCCCTCCATTGGAATTCACGCATATAAATGTGGAGAAGATAGATGCTTAGGGCTTACCTATGTAAAGTTTAAACAAATGGATGTAACAAGAATTGGGAGCAGTATCCTATACAAATTGGCCAGTGCAATGCCCTGAATAGAGAACCAAGACACACCTGGAACAAAGTCCATGACCATCACTGTGTCCTTTACTTTGCCTGTAAGATAGGCGCCGAATGCCATGTGCTGGATAATGCTTGATATAGTAGTATAAAGGGTCAAGAATATCCGCGCTGATTCCAGCCATCGGCTCTTAAACCATACATAGACTTGACAAAGCTGGTACCTCAAATTGCAAATACATGCATGGAGCCCTTATGAGGTACCAAGACATGTAATATCCTCACGTACTCCGTAAACGCTATCTATCACTTAAACCAATACCCATTCAGCCCCTCCAACGTTCTCTTATCTACATGATGATGCCTATTCTCCTCCCACACCTTCCCGCCCTCCCCGTACTGGTTCGACAAGTGGCCCAGGAAGAAGTCCAGATTTTCCTTGCACTGTGGAAACTCGTTCTTGAAGAAATCGAACAGGTCCTGCACCTTAGGCTTGGTCTTAGCGTAGGTCACCTTTTCCGCGAAGAGCTTCAAGTATTTCTTTGTATGCGCCAGGTCAGCTTGGGCGTCTAGTTCCCAGCCGCGCTCGAGGTGGCCCGGGATAATTTTTATGGGGTCGAGCAGGGTGATGAGATCGAGTGTTTTGTTCCATGCTTGTAGGAGTGCGGGTGTTTCGACTTCTTCGACCCTTTCCTCGGTTCTCCAGTGTCAGTTACGATTAGATGTTTATTTAGAAAAGAAATAGGCGAGGGCAGTAACTGACCAGACATGTGTACTTCTTGCATAAATGGTATCACCGCAAACAATCGTCCTCTCACTCGGCATCCAAAACAGTGTATGGTCTACACTATCACCCTGCATAGGCCCTAAGAGAACGACCGGACTCTGCGGATTCCCATCCAAAACAAAGAAACTGAAGTCAAAGACCTCCGGCTTGCGAGGCTTCTCGGCCACATCTTTCCCGAAGACGGTCGGCCAGTAACTGATCTTGTCGTCGTATTCACGATTGATTCCCGCCAGGACGTAAGGGGCTGCGTAGAATTTGGCGGAGGGGAATGCATCGAGAATGGTGTTTGCAGAGAAGAAATGGTCAGGGTGGTGGTGGGTTACGAAGATGGCCTTTAGGGGGTTGGTGGTTGTGCTCTTGACCCAGGTGACGACGGACTCTGCGTCCGGGAGCAGGAAGGGGGGGTCGATGAGGATGGACTCCGTAGCACCCACGATGAGAGTGGTTATGCTGGAGAGACCCTTTGCGGAGGACGAATGGTGGTATGTTTGGAGAGGCATTTTCGGGTGGAAGAATGACAGTTGCCCTAGGTGGAATCGAGAGGATTTTAAGACTAGTTTACACCCGTCGTTGAGGGCGCCAATAGTTAAATATTGATAGTCTATTCATGGTATTGACTGTATCATCACCCACAATGGATAGGTTAATAAACAGCGGGGATTCAATTGACCCCAGTTCCCGTTTCCCCTCGGTGAAGCACCGTTTCCGCAGGAATACACGGACATTGGATTGTGGAGGAGTATCCGGAAAATCCCCAGGCAACTACTTGATGTATGCAACTTTATATTGTGGCCGATGGGTCTGTGGTATAAAATTCCCCACTGGCACTGTCGGACTGCCGGGGATTTCCCGGCCACAATGTGATGTAACATCTTCTAACAGTAAGAACCCCGCAGTATCCATAATCTGGGACTGAATATGCAGCCGGAGTGGATGAAATAAGTCCATAAATGGGACGCCAGTCTCAGGAAATAACCAATTCGAGAACGCTGCAGTAAGAAATACAACCCTCGGATCATGTCCCAATTCCGTCCAAACATAGCCCGACAGTCCCTGAGAGACAAAGTAGTCCTCGTCACCGGTCAGGATCATGCCATCTACTGGATGTAACCCGCTAACAAAATCCCAGGAGGAGCAAATGGCATCGGAGCAAGTCTAGTCGAATACTGCTGCGAGAACGGCGCCTACGTCTGCTTCGGTGACACAGGAATTGCCGCAGGAGAGCAGCTCTCCAAAAGGCTTTGCGAATCAGACTCCTCATCATCACATCCAAGAGCCATCTTTCTCCGGACGGATGTCACGGATTATCAATCTCTCCTGTATCTCTTTGACGCAGCACTTAAGGCGTACGGATGCATCGACCATGTCGTTGCCGCTGCTGGAATTATGGAAATTGGGAATTGCTTTGATCCTGCTTTGGATTTGAAGACGGTTCGGGAGGTTCGTCTCTGCTTTGCTGTACTCAAACGTTATAGACAAGGATCAGTGGAGTATTGACTACCAGGGGAAATATAGGCACCAACCACAAAGGTCCTCGACGTCAACCTCGTCGGCTCCATCTACGTCTCCCGCATAGCAAGTGTGTATCTCCGCCAGAGCCGCCCAGCCAACACAGACCGCTCCATTACCCTCTTTTCCTCGCTGGCTGGATTCAAAGAGTCGCCGGGTCTCTTCATCTACCAGACTTCCAAGCATGGCATTCTGGGGCTGATGCGCGCATTGCGTCTCTATCTGTCCAATTCTCCTGTGCACAACATCCGTGTGAATGTGGTTTGTCCTTGGATGACGGCTACGGGGATGGCGGATGGTGTTTGTGAGGGGTGGGTTAAGGCGGGACTTCCGCTTAATACCCCTCTGGATGTTGCGAAGGTTACGGCGGGTTTGCTTGTGGATTCGTCGTTGAATGGGAAGGCTATGTACGTTGAGGGTGGGCGTGCGTGGGAGATTGAGGGTAATTTGGACCGGTTGGAGCCTCAATGGCTGGGAGAGGAGCCGTCAAGGTCGTTGGCGAAGGGGCAGGCTGTGTTGGGGCAGGGGATGGATTGGGCCAAGTAGCCTCATCTTTTTCTTTTTCTGCGGCTTTAGGGCTTCAAAGTAAACTTCCTCTCCCTCCGAGTCCTCACATGCTGCCTTGGTTGTTTTCGGCGCTTCTGGTGTTTCCGAGTGAGTGGATGCAGGCCTAGAACTACCACGTTGGGTGCATGAAGCATACCTCTGGCATCTGTCCACGGCCAGATGACCGTGTTGCGTGCTGATTTACCATGGCTATATTCGCAGTGTGATGTGAGGCTGGGTTGTTGTGATGCCGTGATAAAGGCAGAAAGGGATGCGTATGGATGTGTGCAGATGTGGCTTTTAATCAGATTCTATTGTACATTTATGATATCTGATGCAAGGACTGGTGTTTGGGAATATGATGGATTAGGGTTTGGTGGAAGCCTATTTCCTATGGTATGTCCTGGTTAAAGAGCCTTTCCATCTTGGAATATTTCTTTGCTAGGTTACCACCCTCTTCAAAGCATGCAGCAAGCTGGCTAATATCAGCATCTAGGGCAGCTTTGATGATTTCACTTGCCAGAGTCTGAATAGCATCCCGTTTTCTTTTTACCTTTCGTGTTTTACATTCTCGCCACATGCTCAATTCACGAACCGAAGCCAGGATATTGAATGTCCGTATCACCTGCTCAGGAAATGATGGAAGTTTGGCTAGAGCTTTACTAAACCGTAAGCCATATGCCTTCTGAAAATCATCCTTGTACTCAGTGACGTATGGCAAACCGTTCTCTTCAACATATCGGATAGCTTCCAGATCACCAAGTATATCACCACCATGGGCAATCATATTCCTGCCACGCACTATACGTCTTTGTCTAGCCGAGGAAAGTTGCTTTCGGTTGGTGATACGTCGTTCTTCTAAAACTCCATGGCGAAGAGCTCTATGAGCAGCTTTCAAGACTGAGACCTTCTTTTGGATGTCCGTGATTTTCTCTCGGATTGCTGCGTTTTCCTCTCGGATTGCTGTGTTTTCATTCCGGGTCTCCCAGAGGCACACCTCCAGCTGTTTGAACATGTCTAAGAGCTCAAAACCTTCGTTGTTACCCACACGTCTCTTGGAATGTTGTACATAAACTCCCTGAGGGTGTATTTTTTGCAATAGCCAGTTGGCAGGATCATGCCCATCATAGAGGTCCATCTTTGGTTTATAAATGATGGCATCATACTATTGAATGTTTAGACATGAAAACCCACTTTTCAAAAGAAGCTGCACTCAGGTCTGAAAACAGCACTTGCCTTGTTGTTATTTTGAAAGTTATCAGAGATGATTTCCAGATCCATTTTCCAGATTCCTTCTTCCAGGATCATATACTGCGGCAGGCCAGAGTACAGAGTCCAAGCACAAGACGTTTGCGTATTTGTGGCGTAGATCTTCATATGGGTTTATATTTATAGCTGTAAATGGTTCTATATTCTGTTAATTCCTGGATTGTTCTTGGTGTGCATATTTCTACATAAAGATACTGGATAGAAGGCTTTCAGGGTGGCTTTATTTTGCCTCTCTTTTATTAGAGTTCTAGCAATTTCTTCTGTTCGCTTGGGGGCTGTCACTTCCCAGTTCTTTTCTACTTGTTCTTTTGTAATGACTGCTTGTCGTCAACAGGGAATCTATTTTTGCCTAGTTATCCTACCTGCTGTTTATGTTGAAAGGACAGTGTATCCCACAATACGTAGAACAAAGGAGGAATCTTTATCTTTAGAATGTCTCATTTCACCACCTCACAACATTGTATCTAGAAAAAGATCTCTCTCTACTGGGGTGTATTTCTTTTTGAGACAGGGGTGGTAGTGCAGCACTAATGCGATGGTGCTGAGAACAAAACAATGCTAAGTCTATAACCTCATTAGATGAAATCCTTTTTGAACTAGGGTCATGATTCAGAATATGCAAGACAAGCATTCTATGTCAAGATTATGTACTCCATAGAGGTTCCAGGAAACCCCAAACCTATGGCAAGCTAATTATGGCCAAAGGGCAAAAACTAAATGATGAAGGTCCAAAAAGGCTACTCAACAGAAGGTTAAAGAGTAGAGCTATTACTGTCTACTGTTTCCCCTAATTCTGAGAAGTGCGCTAATGTCACGGAACTCAACTAGACGATGAATAGGATACTATTCAGCTATCTAGGCAGCTATCGACGAGAACTTCAAGCATGGAGAGGAGGGAAAAAGAAGAGATCTACGTGAAGCTGGACGACGTACTCCTATCCACGCGCCACGCTAATCCAAGTAAGGAAACTCACGTGCTCGTCCTGGTCTACATGGCAAGGGCCCTGACAATGGGCGGCGCATACTGTAGCTTTGGCTTTTCAAGTTTACAAGCCTATCCCGATCTACCTCAATGCGAGTGTGCCGCGCCTTAATGAGGCGGTACAGTCCGGCTTGGCCCTTAGCACTGACCCCTGCTGGATTGTTAAGAGCCACAAATTTGCTATTTTGATGGTGCTTGTCAGGGCCCTTGCCATGTAGACCAGGACGAGCACGTGAGCTTCCTTACTTGGATTAGCGTGGCGCGTGGATAGGAGTACGTCGTCCAGCTTCACGTAGATCTCTTCCTTTTTCCTTCCTCTCCATGCTTGAAGTTCTCGTCGATAGCTGCCTAGATAGTCGAATAGCATCCTATTCATCGTCTAGTTGAGTTCCGTGACACTGGCACATCTTAGAAGGTGCCAGCAGATTGAGCAAGTAGGGCACAGGGCTAGGGCTGAGGGCAAGCAGCTGCCCTCGCCTCCTATTTTCCTCCCCACCATATCTTCACCCTCTTTCCTCTCCTTCTTCTTCTCCTCATGCACGATATTCTTAGACAAGTACAGCCAAATAGCGAGTTGCTTCCTTCTTCTTCTCATCCTATTATAGCTGATCGTCACACAATCCGCCTGACAGAAATATAAGTTAGAGACGGGCGAGGACTAGAATGCTGATAAATCCTTACCGACATCGACCCCTCAATACAACACAGCTTCATTTTCCACAGTATATCCTCAATGGTCCATAGAATAACCAGAGCGAGACAAAGATGGAAGTTTCCTGTGAAATTGTGGCTGGTAGCCTCAATTAGAAGTTGAATGATAAGGCCATTCCATATAAGAGCGAAAGTAAAAACGAGGTCCACTATAAGTTGGGACACCATACTGTCTGAAGCCATCTAGAGACTTCCAGTCGTACCCAGAACCTGGCTACTGGGGCGTTGGTGCATTTTAATATCAATTATAGAAGGCCTGTACCACTGTATATTGTACATCCCACACGGATTATATTAGATGCAATTAGATGCACGAATTCCACCCCACTAACTCCAAACTTATCATACATGCGACCCCAATCCACAAGGCCCTTGGCTTGGCTTTAGCCACCTCGCTCATAATTCGCTTGATTCTCAAAAAATCCGAGACCGAATGGAGTCGAAGATACACAGGAAATTGTACAATTCCAATAGTGCCATCACAGAATTCCGCTTCGAAGTAATAATCGTTCGGACCATGTAGCCTGAACGCAAATGCTCGGAAGCCTCTAATATTCCTGATTTCTAGAACGTTGTTCATCTTCTATTAATAATGTTAGAAGTAGAACAAATGTACCATATACAAGCCTTACCGGTGTGGAACCAGTCAGACCAGCCAGACCATCAATCTTCTTTTCGTAACGTTGGTGGGTGTTGTACCTTGGCGCTTGGAGGTGGAGTCGGAAGGATGAGTATGCCTGGCTGGTAGTCGTCGTCGGTCTGAGTTTGACGCCTAGCACCCACGGTATCCCCTACAGCAATAGCATCAGGGGTTGAAGAAGTGTTCTGGTTGCCGACTGTGCCGTCTTGCGTAGCAACTAATCGTTGCAACCAAAGAGGAAAGAGGCTTATAAAGACTTGTTTGTTTATACAGGACATGGTTGGTACCTTCATCCTATCGTCCTATAGACGCTTATTCCCAATTTATAGTTGATAATCGAGTGGAAAATCTCCGTGAGTTTAGAATCATTGACAGTATAATCTTCAAAATGCAGTCTTTGTGGTATATCCAATGAACAGATGCACGGTCCCTTTCTAAAAAATTAAGTTAGTATGACACGAGACTAAACAAATACATCCCTGCATTCTGTTCGAAATCGAACACATTACAGGGATGTAAGCGGTTTGTTCCCATACCTGCATTAGCACCTGTTTTTCGTGTCCAATAGGAATGATCAACCAAGCTCGTTCAGCCATCAATCAATTTATGCTTGCTTTTTTGTTTTCTGGCGGCCAGCGTGGCTCTCTTTCCCTCCCTTTCCTTTCATATGTATTGGCTACGAGATAATCCTCCGGTTTGGTGTAGCGCAAGACGCCGGCCCAGACGGGACCATGTCAAGTCCTTGTAGGAATGCCTTCCCTGCGTGTAGGCTTGAATGGCGATCCAGTCCTTGATGTAAATCTGCATACAGCTGACCAAACCGGCAGAATCGTCTGCCTGACACAAATTGCTCGCGACTGGGAACTATCATATGCACCAGCTGTCAAACATGATCATATAAATTCACGCAGAGATCCCTTTTTATAAAAGACACTGTAGTTCCTTGCTGACGGGCTATTGTGTGTTCTCACCGATATCTCTCGCATACACCTATTCGACCTTTGGACTGGTTGTACCATGTATCCTCTGTACCATGTATCCTCACACAGGCTTTCTTCACCTTCACAAGGAATTAGAGCCCAAATGGGTTGACAAAGTGAATGAAGCCCGGCTCAACGGTCGCTTTTGCTCTTGGGTGTCAACTTTCCACCCTTGCAAGCTCCCATGCCGTATAGAAGGGGGTTTCTTGAACGGATCATACAACCTATGTCAGAAATTTATCTTCGATGATGGAACGTCGTTGGTGTTGCGTCTGCCGCGAGTCTCAAGCGTGAGCCCAGGATACGCCGATGAGAAGATTATGATGGAGGCAGAAGCTGTTCATTTAATTCGAGACAGGACGTCTATACCTGTTCCGGTCGTCAAGGCCTGGGGGTACTCAAAAGACAATCCACTTGGGCTAGGCCCTTTTCTACTTATGGACTTTATTCGTGGCATAAGTCTTACCAATGTGTTCACCGATGATCAATCCGGACTGCTGAAAGAGGATCTTCGTGACGACGACATAGAGCTTGTCTATAGACAAATGGCCAGGTTCATGTTGGAGCTCTTCCAAATCAACTTCGACAAGATCGGCAGCATTCCAACGCCGCAAACTGGATTTCCTGCGCCGGTACGTCCTTTGACATGGAAAGCTCATGGTATTCTCCATGAAGGGGGAGTCGATGTGTTCGGTATGTTTATGAAGCCCATACAAATGTCCAGTAGACTAATTAGTTGCAGGTGATCGGGACCAAGGATTCGCCTCAGTCACCGAGTATTTTCATTATCTTCTATGTCAAGATTACCAGCAGCTCAAAGACCAGCCAAATTCAGCTGTTGATTGGCATAGCGCTTGTGAAGCATACGCATCTCTAGAGGTCTTAAAGTCCTTATTACCGGACCTCGTTGAGCCAAATCATGACCACGGCCCTTTCAAGCTAATCTGCGATGATTTCGGTCTCGGAAACCTGATTGTGAGGAGTCGCGATGATCTCACCGTTGTCGGGGTGGTGGATCTTGAGTGGGTGTACGCAGGTCCAGCACAATTATTTGCTTCAGGACCGTGGTGGCTCCTAGGCGATCGGCCAATAAATGAAGCATGGGATTATCACAACGGAGAGCCTCCTCGAGTTGCCAACAGGTATATGGAATACCTTGAAATGTTCACAACGGTGCTCAAAGAAGAGGAGGCAAACATCCCAGGAAACGAAAGGAAAGAGCTCTCAACACCCATTGAATGGTCCAAAACCACAGGGGCTATGTGGCTCCATACGATACTATCTGCGGGCTTTTTTGACTGTCTGTCATTTCCATGTGGTCAGTTGCAAAGGCATTACGGCTTACGGTGGTGGCTGGATACCTTGAAAGGTTTCGAAGACCGAGAGGAGGTTAAAGAATTTGCACAAGGCAAGGAGCTTGATTTAACCCGATACGACAAGGAGGTCGACCAAATTGAGGAGCTCAAATCTTTGGTGGAGTGTGGGAAGCTGACAAGTGAGGATTTTGCTGCTCAGACTCGGTCGATTCTAGCGCGCAAGCCTGATGATGCGAATGCCTGAGGGAAAGGGGGTAAGATTGGGGGAAATGGGTCAATGGTGCAGTGCCTCCCTTGCTATTGAATAAACTGGTGATATGCATGTATCTTCGAATTATGGCCATAAAAATGACTGTCTTTCCTGGAACACCACCACCACATCGAGAGGTTTCGGTGGGTTGCTCGCGCGGGCCGCGCCTTAGCCTTGCGCGCCCGCTTCTAACCAAATGTCAAGTTTCCTCTATCCATCTTCTGGTCCTGGATACTTCATCATATCTGATATCCTGACGGCGTTGGACTCCCTAAGCGCAGGCAATGAAGAAGAAATAGCGCAATATCGTGAGCATACCCTTCTGGCCACCCGAAGTCGAAACATTCCACTATCTGCGGATACGTCTACGGGAGATGCTCTATCCTCTTCTGTAAGCAATCAGGCAGCTCTTGTCACTATCCGCCGCTGTGAAGAGCTTCTCCACGTTATCAAGAAATCAAGAAAAGGCTTGGCGCGATCGAAAGGTACGCTAAGCAGCCACATCGAGACGCGGTTGGGGAAGCATCGTACAAGAAAGAGAAGCGGAGAATCGTGGATGTTGACGATGATGAGCCGAAGGAGACCGAACTCAAAATCCGATTTCGCGCGCTATTGGAGATTCGGTCTTTTGGCCTTGCGTTCAGGAAGTTTCAACGGAAAGAACGTAACGAAGCAAGGGCAGACACGCAGGTCAATCACCTGCTATCTTCCGCGGATAAGTTCAAGATAGGCAGGATGAAAGATTTCATCGAGTCGGAAGACTATATAATTGACAAAGCCACGACGAGAAAGATGATACACGAAGGGACAAAACTGATTGTCTTGGAAGGCCTTTATGGGCACTGTGGCATCTCTGCAGTTTTCTGGATCACTCCTAGTTGGGTGAGATTATCATACCAGGATTTCCCTACCTTTCTGGAGTTATTGCTGCAGGATCCTGAATACGCTCCCGTTAAAACAGCTATGGAGGAGCTGGCCGACTGGTTCGAAGACTGTTACGAACTTTGTTACCCCTCGGAGGAGGACTCGCCATCCGAAGATAAGTTCAATCAGCAACCACAAATCGTTGAAACAAGGAAACGACGGAGCGCTCAGCCCTTGGAATCAGCAAAACCTTTTAAAGCTCGATGCCTTACAATCCAACGCGACGATCCCCTGGTTAAATTTGATGGAGCAACGCGAGATAATCATCGTCAGGAAGTGACCAGACCTAAGGGTATGTATTTCCCTATGAATAATGGGCATATATGCTAAAAAAGAAGTAGAAACTACAATTCCACAGGCCTGTCCTCCATCCTCGCAAGCCCGCCCTATAACCCAACCGGAAGCATGGAAATGAGTATCGTTCAAGTCAATAGTTTTCATCCAACCCATCATTCAACGCATGGCACAATGACAGGTAAACTATCAATATCAGTGCAAATGCCTTTATTCTAACTTATTCATTTAGACTTCGCGCCTGCATCACTCATCGAATGGGCTGTCACCACTAGAGCACCAGCAATCTAGAGATAGTCGCTACGAAATTGACTCAACCGCTGCAATCGCAAGTGATCGGCCTCAATCAGGTCACGTATTCTCATCAAGACATGTGGAGTCACTTAGCAAAGATGTTGACCGACCTCCACCTGGACTAGCAGAATGACTGGCATTACAAGTGACATGACAATGTTCAGATTGTTGATTGCCATGAACCCTGAACTAAAAAAAAAATCAACATGCAACAGCCGGGATTCGCTGGTGGTCACCCACCCAACTACTAACCGGCCGGCGTGTGGCTTGAACGCGGTCAATACCCGGGTGGGTGCCCTTGCTGGGTGATGGAGGGTGACGCCGCTTGAACCCGGTGGTGATTAGCGTGGGTGCAGTTTAGTGAGGTGGTGATGCCTAGAGAATACATCACCAGCCTGGAGCATACATCACCTGCAGGGGGCAAATTCACCTAAGGAGGGGTGTTGATCCGAGAGGCGCTAAGCTAGGCAACTTAATTGGAGGAAAGTCTAGATTATAAGACTCTAAGTGTTTCACTATGAGTGCATAGCCACGGCCTTTCCTTCTTTTGGAAAATGGGCCAAGAGTTGGGCTGGGGCACCCTTTTGAGAGAGCCTGCTTACCTTATGTTGAAATGTACCCCTCGTACATCGTGGTTTAGCTGTTGTATTTGGAGTTCACCTTCGTTTTAGCGCCGTCGCCGCTTTCTCTTCACCTCCAGAAGCCTGCTCACCTGAAGCTCAGCTGAACCGCCTGAACCTCAAATATTGAACACCCAGTGACCCCGCTCAACCCTTATCCTGATGACATGTCCTCTTTCCCAACGGCACTATACTGGTGTGAGGTACGCATTTAGCTTAGTAGTGCAGTCCTATTACGCATTATTGCTGATTGCTAAGGCTCCCAATGGACCTATGATTATTGTAAATATAGCCAAACGCACCCGAACATCGGCCTTCATTGTAGACCAGACTATCAGTTTTCGGAACACTAATTTTGACTGAAGGTGGAGATGCGAGGCCGTAAAGCATCTGCAGCTTTTAATGTTGTGTATCTCTATTTCTAGTCTTTTATTACTAATGCTCAACGCCGCTGCACCTTCTGTAGCGCCCTGTCAGAGTGATAATGTGTTATCTACTCTAACTCCCTATTAAAATTCTTGTCTATATTTTCAAACTGCTGGATGACCTAGATAAGGCTTTGCACTTTGCATGCTGCTGCAGGCTAATCTACAGGACTTTTAACCCATCAAACACCTGATTAAGAATCTTCCGGTCTATTATTGTATGTCTTTATCACCCTTAGGCATTCAGTTCTAACCAATGGACTAGAGGAATGCAAATCATCATGCACTTAAACTGGACTTATTTCTCCTGGTTGGTCTAAATGAATGATTCACGCTGTATGACGAATCGCCAGTTCTACGTGGGCTCTTATATCTTAAGGAGTTCTTCCAACAGCACCTGGCTGCCAGGATCTGTCTGCATATGTCAGTGGCATGCAATGCGCCTCCTTTTCAATTTCTACTGCGACACATCCATACGGACGTCTTACTCCCTAGCAGACTGGCAAGCAAGCGAGGAAGGATGGGAGGGAGAGGATCCTCTTCCACCACCTATTAGATATACGTGCGGCGTTTTCCAAGAGCTGAATGCAAGAGAGAAACAGCGCTCCTATCAACCATTCTACAGGGCTCTGACTGCTCATTGGGCCATGGTAGAAAATGCTGTGGGTTGCAAGAGTAGCTGCCTATCGTTCGCCAGACCTTCGGGATGAGGCTCACGCATGAATATGGGATCTGTTCACCAACACGTCGCGATCACTGCAGGAGAAGATAGATATTGTTAAGATCATTAACTTCGTGTGGGACTTTCTAGCATGCAGAAATTTCCTGCAGCCAAATAGAAGAAATCATCCCGGATTACCGCGTTGGAGACGGGAAAGAAGACTGGCAATTTTTGTTCAGTGTGTCTTGGAGTTCTTACGACCACCTTATATACTTGAGCTTTTGATCCTCTCAACCTGGTTGTCGAATCATACGTGGAAAGTCGACCGTCCACATATCTACGTTGATTGGGGTTTTTTGACACCTGAGATGGGGTTGTGGAACATGGTGACTAAGTTTATTTTATAGAGACTGTGTTTCCGGTGTCAATATAGGGAAAGGATGTGGAAAATGAACTGCGTCAATTAGACCAAACTGAAGAAACAGTGGCGGATGAGAGTCAGTCAGACTTGGTTTCAAAGTGGGAGTGGTATAGGAATGTGACGTGGGCGCAGAAGGAGAGGGGCCAGTTGGTTCGAAATCCAATGTTTTAATGTTTCAATGTCCTTTCCGGTCTGATGGCTCCAACTTTTTGTGAGCGCTGCAAGCCGTATCACTTGCTTGTCGGATAACTTGTCGCCTGAATCCGATTCCCAGTTTTTGAACCATTTTTCAGGATCCAAGTCTGGGTCAGTGCTTAGAGTGTTTGCACGGAATGATGTGATTAGGCCGCGCGAGTTGGAGATTTTGCGTAGTGTTTTGGCGAGTTTCTGGTCCTGTTAGCTTGATATGAACGTGGATCGGAGTAAGATAGCGGTTTACATCGTCACCAGCAGATTGTATGGCAGCCGCTAGTTCACGGAGTTTATCAGATACCTCTGATCCAGTGCCACTTTCCATTGTAGGGGAAGTGTTTATAAAGGTCAACTGGAAGAAAGCCTGGAGCTTGAAGATCTGAGGCTGGACGGTGGAGTTGTTTCTAGGTTGGCGGGTCTGGCTCAGCCCCTGAACCCCGCACATGTCACGGGAAGGCCAAGTCATATGCCAAGGAAACCTATTAGTAGTCGCCCTTGTCGCCAGCTTTGGTTGTCCTATGCGTCGGGATAGCAAATCAAGCTTGTAATTAAATTTCAATAAAATCTTCAGCAGACTAGTTTAGAACACTTCTTCATTGGTATGGCCACACTTTCGCGTGTAGCTCTCTTTGTTTCTCGTCTTCTGCCAAATTGATAAACTCCTGCTTGAAGTAATTGTTCCATTTCCTGGCATCCTCATATCGCTTTGGAGAAACCATTCCACCCAGAGAGATAAGCCCATCCTCTTGAAGCTGGTGAAGAATCATTGAGACTCCTTCAATTAACTCCATCTCACTTTTGTGCTGTTCTAATTCCTTATCTGTGAATTCAATTGGACGTTTGATTCCACCACCACTTATATCATCCCAATGAGCGACAGCTGTGATTATTGCATTCCGTAGCGAGAATAGGTCCTCCCGGTCCCAGCAACAAGGCACTAGGGAAATGGGTTCACTTTTGATAGCGTGAAGTGGATCACTAAGCACCTTCCATCGGAATGGATCCATATTCTTCAGTCTCTTGAGATAAAATTCCAGAAGTCGCTTTTCGATTACTTGACGCTCAGCCTGTGGGTTCTGAGAAACTTCAAGCATCTGCGGAAACAGCCTCTGTAGAAAAACAGGAGATGCAGAAACATGCTGCCAGTCAATTATATATGTAATATGGTTCGTTTGTGGATCCACAAAAATGTTGTCAAGATGCAAATCAGGGTGTGAGATGGTGATGACTTGCTCATTGCACAATGGAGGCGGGACAAGATATGGAACCAGCTTATTATATTGCTGAAGCACTGATATATAATCACCGGGGGTTTCTGGCTCTTCAGTTGACCGTTGGAAGTTTATTCTTGGCTGCGCGTGTTCCTCAGCCCATTGGATCTCATTCTTCCCAACAGCTAAAGCATAGTCCGCAATGCTATCCCCTAGTAGTCATCAGAACAAACAAATCAGTAATAAGGTATGGAATAACCTACATGGACCCCTATCAAGTTCCATCACTGCTCTTTTACCCTGCCAGTACTTTGGGTGAGTAAGAGGGCCAATCGCAAATTTGGGTAAACCATGGCCTTGGCTTGGCACCGACGCAAAAGGAGGCATAGGTTGTCGTGATTCAAGGTCTGACTGATAGTATATACAGCCGTGCCTCGGGAAAGTCATCGATGCGAGCTTTTTCTCTATGTCGATGATTTGTTTGACTATGTCTAACTGAGAGGATAAAGGCAATTTATCCCACAGTGTTCCCAAAGGCTGCCCTGTCGCCTTTTCTTCAAGGATATACTCAGCATCTACTGCATTTGACGCATCCGCTGACCAAGCATAAATACGAGGAATAGGTATCCCTAAGCGGTCACGGAGCTTCGCGCATGTCAGTTCCGTGCAGACGATTCATGAGGTAAGACACCTACAAATTGACGTGTGGCAACCTCTGAGGCAGTTGTGTAAAAAGCTGGTCCGGCGTTTGGGTTCGGCAGTCTAGCAACTATCTCTTGTCCAGTACTCATAGTCAGGATAAGAGCTTTATTGTATTGCCCTTCCACACATTTGAGAACCTTGATACCTATTGTTAAACAATTAGCTGTGCAAGGGTCTCAAAATGATAAACACTTACATTGGGCATCACTAAAGCCAGTGATTTTGACGGCAGCGTCCAAAAGTGCTGGTAGCTTGAATTTACGATAACGTGCTGCGAGCTTCTCAGCTTCCCGGCTCCTAAGAATTCGTTATTGACAGGTATGCAACGTCGTGAAGGTTGACGTACAGCCATCGGTATCGTTGGTATTCGTAGAGGTCGGCTTCTTCAATTGGTATCTCTACTAACATTGTCAGTGCCAAAGACTGATTGCACGACTGTGGATACGAAATACCTTGCCCTTCTCTCAAAACTCTCCATATTGGCGGCGTCATAGGATGCTGTATAGAATGGCTTTTCTCTAGGTAAGAGAAGGTACTGAACGCTCTCCGAAACATACGGAGATGTGGGAAGGGGGTGAGCAGAGCCAGATAGCTTTGCAAAGGAAGGAAAATCAGTCGTACTCAATCGTCGGGGTGGCGATGGTCAAACTTGGGCGCTTTCATTGGCCCGGCAACCAGCGCACTGGCACGATCCCGACTATTAAGTCTCCACCCTTTCCGTTTACCTACTCCAAAGTGCTCCGTAACAGATTCTGTTTATTCTAATGATGAGGGACCGCTTATCGTCGCAGAGTTGTTCTTGTTATTCCTGAGTATACAGATGTTCAATTAAAGGAAAGTAACGGAGCCAGACGGAAACCTAATCATCGTTTACTACTGACTATTTTAAGTGTTACAGTCATTCGGTTTTCTCAACAGCACCCGCCACGTCTTCAACCTTAAATTGATCTCCCAGACCGAATCGTATCTTTTGTCCAATAACCTGATGAGTACCAGCATGTCCTCCAGTTCTACCCTTGATGAATTCCTTGACTGTTCTGTCGGTTGCTTGACTGTTCGCCTGAATTATTCCCGTGGCCATTGTTGGGTCTTGTGTATTCCGATGCACATCGAAACGGAGGTCCTGTGTCTTGACAGCGGTTTTGGACGTCGCTCCATCTGGAAAGCTAAGGTTTTTGAGTGAGTCCGCATTTTCTCTGATCTTTTTCGCAAGTGATTCGAAGGCGGCTTTGGATATCTTTGACATCGTGAATCTATAAGAGACATCCATATGATTAGCATACTCATCAAAGGGCTGCGGAATATAGAAAAGAACAAACAGTGCTTCTTCGGTGGGATTCTCAGTTCAACTTTTCCAGCTTGGCTAGTCCTGGTGCATGGCTAGGTGATATTGGAGAATGTCTGAGCAGAAGGATTTAAACCTTTGGGACGGGTAAAATGAGGGGATCCCCAGAACGGTTATCTGGGGCATAATCAGGGGAAGATCATATTTGCGGATACAACATAGTTACTGGAGGATCATGGGAAGTAGAAGACTCATTGCGGCAGATACTAGTTACCTAGTGGGATAATAGTTATTGAATGATAATAGTTACTGAAGGATGATAGTTACCGAAGGATTATGGTGGTGAGGGCTGCAGGAGAGTGATAGTTACTGAAGGATAATAGTTACTGAAAGATAATAGTTACTGAAAGATAATAGTCACTGAAGGATAACTGTCACTGAAGGATAATAGTCACTGAGGGATGGTAGTTTGATAATAGTCAGTGAAGGATAATAGTTACCGAACGATTATGGCGGTGAGGACTGCAGGAAAATAATAGGTACCAATGGATAATAGTTACCGAAGGATTGTAGAAGGATTATAACGCTGGACGGTTGCAGGAGACTAATAGTTACAGAGGCAGCTGACGGCGACCATGCCCAGCTCTTAGCTGCATCTGTAGTCAGATCTGATTAGTGACGCTAGTCTGCCCCACAACGCTTGGCATGAACAAGCCACAGCTAACCCTGACTTCCAAGGATACATGTCTTTCTGGATGGAAAAACTGGGATAAGCTTGAGAAGCAGTGGAATGACTTGACGAGTGTGGTATATTTCTCCAGCTGGCTGTGAAGAGCTTGTGTATGAAGTTTAACTTTCCTAATTTGTGTAAGTACCGCACCCAGGACACTACTCTTCGAATTGAGTGGTTCAGGAGCCGCTCGAGATTGGATGATATTGCTCTACTTACCATTTCAGCCAGTCCAAAATAATTCGAGTGTGGGGAGTCCAGGGGTTCTATCTTGCGTCCTGCTTCACTACCAAAAACCATAATTCTAGTCACATCATCAGGACTTGTAGTATAGTACGGTGGCCGTAGGAACCTATTGCTTCCAGGAACTTTCCCAAGGTAAGAGTGAATTGATATTCACTGCCAAGTAAATAACCTGATACAGTCGCGATAACCGCCCATGCGTTGCAAAATGATCTTAAAAGGAACCCCATCTCAAAGCCGTAGCCATTACACCGGCTTTCCACATCCGCCTGGCTGATTCCTCTTAATACCATCAAGTTCTACGCTACGTCTGGCAAGATTCGCCGTCAGTATGGCCTGTACTCAAGTCGTATCTGTCTTACTGTCCTGGGTAGGGGCTGTGATCGGACGTCAAAGTCAAGCTAGCCCTGCCAGATCTCAGCCGAGCTCTGCAACTCAATGCGCAGGACAAATTGTGGCTACTCGAGTGCCAGCCTATATGCCTCCACCTGCTATGAAAGTGTCAGAGGAAGGTATGCCATGCTCTAGTACTAATGATCACATGCATTCACCTGATGCATGGCACGTTAAGCCCAAGTTAACAGGCCTCGCTACCAGTCATTTCAGAACACCATCCCGGCACACGTCTGGCAGAATACGACCAAGACCAAACGGACACTATCCGCGAAACTCAACCAACTGACTCACGTCATGAGGCTATTAGCGGAGACACAGAGGATAGGCCTTCGACTACGTCGTCGATCATAGACTTGGACGGACTGATCGACGAGAGCCCACAGCCACCCAGGGACTCCTTCCAAGTCTGGATAGCACACTCCACCAAAATAATGCAGCCTAAGCACCGAGAAAAATTCTAGCAAGGAGAATTCTAGCGATTGGTTAATCATACCGCGATAGCCTTGAGAAGCAGTGGAATTGTCAGCGGAGAGGTTGACCACCAAGTTCGCCTTTCCGAATAATTGTAAAATTAGAGCACTCAGAACACCAATCAGGAATTAAGTTATTCATGCGCCGCATGAGATGATGCTGCTATACCTACCGTTTTCTAGCCGGTCTAAAATGATTCGAGTGTGGGGAGTCCAGGGATTCAAACCTGTGTCATGCTTCACTACCGGAAATCCGTACTTCCAGTCTCATTATCGGGACATTTAAGGACCGCAACTTGACCTATAAATGCCAGCCTTATCTGGAGTGCTCACCGCAATCTTGCACAGACTAGTTCATCGTTTCAGCATGCTCTTTCTCAAGTAACCTTTGCCTGGGCAAACATGCTCTGCTTCACAAAATCCTGGAAAGCCTCCTCATCCGCATCAGGTGGCGCCCAATCGCCAGCTCATCAGGCTATTAGTGAAATTATTTCAAAATACCACAACGTCCGGCCGATGAGTCCATCAAACTCAGGACAGATGGAAGATACCGTGCCGTCTAAGCCCAGCTTTGCAGATGAAATTTACGATATCTTTCTTAGAGACTACTGCGGCATTGAAATCATAGGGGGCCAGTATCGTATGGTGTTTACAGCTCGTTTCAAAGAATGCCCCGACAAGATCCGTCTCATATCCTGCCCGCAATTTATTCGCGCACCTAATCTGACGCCTGCGCGCCGGGAATTACTTCGAATCAAACTCGATGCTGTTTTGGACCGTATATCAAACGAGGAGTGGGACAAACTCAAGGATCGTTTCAACATTGTTAAAAATGAGTGGTGTATTGTTTCCGATGAGCAGGAAGAACAAGAGATTTAGTTTTATTACCTGGTTTTTCAAAACGAGACAACTTGGATATAGTCAGGTTTTATCTGAAGTGTATTTGGAAAGCTCTGGGACAGGTCTACAAAGGGATTATTGGACATGATTGGAAGAGTTAGCTCCTTTTGCAAAAGCTCATTTCTTTTTACCTTTATACTTTCATGTATTTTACCCTCCAGACACTGGCATTGATAATCGAAACTTACGGGTACCCCAGCCATCTTCTGGGACACCGGAGGCATATATAGGAGCCTGATCCACAAAGCATATAACTCAATGTCGTTCGAAGAGGCTCCCTACATAGTCTTTGTTCTCTACAAAATGTGGTTCGAGATGGCTTTCTACTTTGTCTCCATTCTCTATCTAATATGGTTCTTATTTATCTTTCTTCTTTTATGCGCCTATTACTTTTTAGCACCGGTTAAGAGTCCAAGGAAGCAAGCAAAGCCTGCGTCAACAGATGAGACAGGCTGTAGCTCCTCCGAAGCTAGTGCGAGCACCTTCAGAGCGACTCCTTCAATTACAGTAAGGACCGAGGATGATATTGATTTTGGGCTTTCTCGTGCTGGAGTGTACTTTGCGCACAGTTATCCACCCAGTAAGGCACCCAAGTGTCAGTACATCGCACTTGCTGACCAGAGCTCTACTAGCGACGACATTTATCCTCATAAGTGAGCCAACCTACTACTTAGCACCAGCATCAACATCTCCTGCCGTTCTTGCCGAATGCCAGCGCATTTTTCGAGGTCGTTGGAACCAACTCTCTTACGGTCAATGCTATATAGTGTTGATGAGGATGTCTCGGACAGAAACAGAGGAAGGAGAGCTTGGCCATTTCATTCGGGAAAGGATCAGAGATCTACTTGCCAATAAGGAATTCAAGGAGAGCTTAGACGGCCAACTTGCATGCATTGCCATTCATCTACAACAACCTGTTTGCGTCCAGGACTCTGAAGAGGCTGAAGTTACTGAGGGAGTTCTTGAAGAGTTTCTCCCTGTCTATGACAGCAACAGACCATGGATGATTAGAGTATCTGCACGACGACACTACGAGGGTTCGATCACTTATACTGGGACCATCAGGAAGCTTTTTACCAGATTGTCAAAGACGAAGTCTTTCGAACAAATTCTAAGGCTTACTCAAAGAGGTTGATTATCTGCTACTCTCAAGGCCAAAGCAAAACATTCCTGTTTCTAGCGTAGCAACTTAGACAATATCATTGCCTTCCTTTCCCTGTAGACGTTTCTCTCCGTCCATACCAATTGATCATAAGCACCTCCTTTTCCTCTCGCATTAACCTGTTCCGGTCATTAATGCCGCAACTATACGGAGTAAAAAAGTTAGGTAAAAAGAAATAAGTCTAGTAATGAGAATAGAAAGAACGCTAAGGAAAAAGTAAAATAAAATAAACACACGAGGCCCGAGGGTACAGGGAACAGGATTCCAAGTCATAGCTATTCAGTCACGATGTTTGGCTGGCTGCCAGCACCAAGAATCACCAAGGCCACTCACTATAGGCGTAATGTATAACTGCGCTTAGATCGTCTATGCGCCACGCATGACAATCACACCCCTAATCAAGAAATATTCCCTGCTCTACCAGTGGAGTTGCTAAGGGCGAAAAGCCTCCTACCTTCCAATGCACCAACCGCCCCAAACAAGGAAGCCAAGTTGGAAAAGGAGACTAGGGCGTGGTATGCTTGCTGGACAATATATGTGTTATATACCCTCTATGCCAGAAGCAGAACTGTATTCAACCTGTGACGCAGGGCAAAATCACTTAATTCTTCTTCTGTCTTCTCTGCTTGACCAGAGACTCTCATTCAGACAGCGTCGAGCCACAATCAATCTTCCCAGCAACCTCAGATTACAAACACAGTCAGCTGCAGTATAGCCACAGCTTGAAACCAGGATGATGTCTTCAGCAGCACTCCTAACCTATCAGTCAGTTCTACAGTCGCGCCTAAGATTTGAACAATTGCTTCTTGTCATCAGTTACCTTCTTACAACCTACGACTTGTCATACAAACTTCGTAATTCGAACCAGATCCATGATATCCTTCGCCGTCCAGAAGTCGAGTGGCGACCAAGAATCGGGACTGAAGTTTACGAGGAGTTAAAAAAAAAAAACTTGGAAAGACAGAGATCGGAAGAATGATGAGGCGTGGGACATCCTCTGCAGAGCAGTTACCAATGTCCATGAAGGGAGGTTAAGCCGGAAGGATGCACGAGACAAATTGCGATGGTTGCTGTGGAAGATTCAGCAGATTTCAAGGGACCCAATCGATGAGTTTGTTCTCGGAAATGAACCTCAAGAGGGACCGAAGCTTGGATGGAGATTCAATATTACCCTGCTCGGTATAAGTGTTGCGGTACCTCCCTGTGTACCTGATTTTCCTGATGACTTGACGGACCTGACACCCGAACAACTCAAAACCATGGAAAGTGATCTGAATAGGTCAGATCTCTTCCGAGATGATCCGCTTGATGGGAGACGCCTTGAAGATGCTCTTGAATCGCTGTGGCACATCCTTCAAGATTCGCAACGACTCCAATCCATTCTAAGTGGCTCTGAGCCCCTGCCTCACGAAGAGGCTGGCAGTTATTCGCACTTCCATCCCATAGGACATCGTGGTTAGCAGCCTGCTTATGAGGTGCCAAAGGCCAGCAACAATGTTGAATGCGGATCCAGTCACACATGGTTAGCGGCCAATGTGAATCACGATGACTCAGGCCACCATGGGCGACAGATACTCAGTTCAAGTTGGGCATTAGACCATTTCCATGAATATCGACTACGACTGGAGGACATACAGTATCAGGTTGAGATTTAGTGGAGACTACTTGACCTAGAGAGTGACGTTCGACTCATTAAGAACAAACTGGGGATGTAATTAGAATATCCTTGCTTCCCTCTTTCTTGCTTCCCTTCCTTTTTCTTTTTACTATGTGTGAGTGAGTGTTTTGGTGCTTTTCCTAGAACAATGAAGTGGTCGTGAAAATAGGCTCAAGGGAGTCAATGAAGGAGATTGGCAACAAAGGATCTTGATTAGCCCTAGTGTCCGCATCACCATCCTCCGTGATTGCAAAAGTCGTCGACAGCCAAGCCTTTCCAACCCAAACTTCAATTCAATTCCCGTTTGACGTGGAATATATTGGATTCATAGACTTCTCTACAACAGCCGCTCTCTGTTCCATGATGTACTCTGGACTGTGGCTCATGCTTTTCCTTGAAGCGATTTTCCCTTTCCTCTTTACCTAGGCCACCCTTCACTTCTAAAGACGACCAGATGCAAAGCGACAAGGCGACGCAGAAACCTGTGAGCACTGTGAACTGTGTGCCCATAAGGAGGCCTCTCCAGGACATGTTTCTCTCTAGGTACCAGCAAAGTAGTCCGACAAGATATTCCAGTACGGAAATATCAAGTAGGACTAGCGGTGCCCAGGCTACTGCTAGCTAGCGTTGCGTGGCCTTTTCTGCACCCTTGAACCAGAAGAGCAACATAATGCACATGATGGCTGATGTACTTCGAAATAGTGGGAACAAATTGTGCGAGGTTCATTGAACGTATATGCTATGCGTGCTGCCTGGGAAATTATTAACAATTAAGCAGCCTACTGGCGGAGACTATAGCATTGATGATACATCCACTCTTAGAAACTAACTTTCAAAAATAATACCAGGGGCAGAAGGCTAAGTAGTCCCTCAGTAGTATGCAAAGGACTTTGCCACTGCCAGCACGGATTGGCTGCAACCAACTGTGTGGCTCACAGACCACAGCCGAGAGCGGAATCCTTGTCTTGAGAGAAGGAAAGAAAAAGAAAAAAAGGAGGAATGAATGTCTCAAAATACGGCTGAGCATCTATATAGAGTTGTCCTGTCCCACCCCAAAGTCCTCTACATATTCTACTTCACTTCCACTCCAAATGCAAGCATTAGATTAGTCATACTCAGTCGATTTTTGGTGCACAGATCAAAAATGCCCTGTGAAGAGAAGGTACTTGCCCAGAAATAACTGAGGAATCAAACTAACTACCTGGGGCAGTGTATTTCGTTCCCTGTTCGGTCGCCTTCTATCAATTTTTCCCCTCCCTCGGCTAGGCCCTCGCATTTGCTGGCCACTGCTGCCTCTCCTGGAGGCTCTTACTCTGAAGCCATTGAGAAACAAAACATCGGCCCCAATTCCCGCCCAGTCCCTCAAATACCCAGCGAGCTTGCTACATGTATCCGGGAGGCACCGGCTGGCAACACACACCAGATGGCTATTGAGAGGCTTCTGAATCCTTCCCCGCCACCAGCAGCACCCATTTTCCAGAATTTGCTGCCGATTTCTAAGCTCCTAATTCCGGCAAAAAAAAGTTCACCAAACACAACCTATAGGTGCACAGAGTGCCACCGGATATATCGAAAGCGTGCCTCGTTCCAGTATCATATTGGAAAAGACCATTTGCATATATATCCTGTACGTCATCTGTAGTCGTCTTTAGGGAAGATACGCTTACAGGACTTGCCTAGGTCAAATCCAACTCTCAGCCCAAACCATTGCCACCACTCACTTGCATTTGTGGTCGGTTGGTTTGCTCTTGGAAGGAGTACTTATTGTGCTTCAGCAATCATTGCTGCGGTGAATGGCGGGCCCGTACTGACTCAGACCATCTACTTCTTCATGCACTGGAAGAGACCATCGGTTCCTTCAGAACCCGAATCAATCAGGAATTCCCAAGTCTTACGCATGACCTTGTTGACCGCTTAGCTCGCGCACAACTTCGTCAATTTGGGTGTGTCATCGAAAATATTAGAAAGCACGCACAAAGGGCTGTCCACCATGGTTGCAACGAATATTGTTTTTCCAAAAGCCTGCCCCATGAGGTCGCCGACGCCTCCCGAGGTAGTTTTACCTCCACCTTTTTCCTCTCCCTGGACAAATTATCCGGTATATTCGAATGCCCCTGCTGCTTGCAGGTAAAAGTCAATACATTGTATCACATTTGAGCACACATGCAATTCTTTATTTGCATGCTTCCAGGCTGCAGCAGCACCTTCACAGATAAAATTGGGTGGTTCCATCATGTCTGCAAAGTCCATCGTCTATCAAAAAAATGGTGGGAGTGTGAACTCTGCAAGTATGATACCTATTGGGAACAGTGTATGCGTGAACACCTGTTTCGTTCGCACAAGTTAAGTACTTCAGAGGTACAGTTAGCCCTTACCAAGAACTGCCGGTATAACGCTGATAAAGGTAAACAATCATGCTATTTTTGTCACAATCCATACACTTGTGAAGGCCTACGGGATCATTTGATAGAGCATATGAAGCATATTACATCACTACTATTTTGACCTGATGAAAGAGCTCGAGCTTAATGAAGTATACCTGCTGGACTATTTTGTTTCTCGCTTAGCTTTACCGTTGAACTTATGACACTTGCTACACCTTCTTTTTCACATTGAATGGGTCTACACAGATACTCTGATGGTCAATTTGTGAGGTTGAACTGGGAGCGTTCTACACCCTGATCACGTCGAAGTTGAGATTGTTACACTAGTAATCCTTCCACTTTACAAGAGTCCTCTGTTGTTGTATCATTCATTGTGCACTCAGTGTGCGTTGCCTTCTTCTGATTCTGGCTATTCATGCGCGCTATTCATGGTGCATTTCACTTTGGTGTTACAAGCTTCTGATTTTATCTAAACTTGACCTGTAAATATTAGAAAATTTGGCTGAAAGCTTAGCCTGCTTACCCGTGCGCCGGTTGGTTTTTGCCATTGAAGATGCGAGGGAGCAGTGTCCGTTTCAATATCCTAGGATATCGGAAACCTGAATATAGTCGACAGAACTGACGGGTTAGACGTGGTTGTATTCATAAAGGGGTCAGCGGAGTCGGTCCCTATCTATCTAATGGAGATCACGTGACTACTCAACAATAAGAACTCCCAAACTCTAGAGCCCTTTATGCAACACCTTCTATCGTGTCTTTGGCACTTGATTGAAGGGAATCAGCGGTTCTCACTTTTATCATGGTGCCCAGATCTTCCATTATAACCATGAAAGCATTAGTTATTATAATGATGGCTGCTGGTCTAGCTATCGCGGGAGACTTCTCAAAGTCATGTGATGATATCACCCTGGAGGATTCACGCTACCTTGTCGCGGAATGCCAACGAAAGAACTCTTCCTCCCAAGTCTCAAAGTTAGATCTAAATGCGTGCTATGGCAATAATGGGTTTAGCCTGCAAGCAGAGCCAAGGTTAGAGCATTAATATCAACGCAAATTTGCAGTCACTAAATATTCATAGTGGAGGAGCATTCTCGGACCCTTTCTTTAGGCGCTGTTCTGTTGTGGGCTCGCAACTGTCATGTCAGCGAAAAGTAAAGGGTCCCAAAGGCTCCAAATCCAGCCGAATTCTCCACGATCTGGGTAAGCTAATCGCCGGCAAATCCGTAGGCAAATCCTGACTATTTTAGATGAGGATATCTACAACCAAGACGGGATACTGGGTTGTTTTGAGACATTGGGTGAAGTCCGGTGAAAGCAAGGAAGCGTCCCTGCTCAGCTGGTGGTAATATCGTAGGTGTACTATGCATGCTATGTCCAGGAAGTTAAAAGTAACTCAAAAGAGAAGAGGATTGATGTCAGAAGTTGTATGGTGGACTAGGCTTCGAAATCATTTGCTTGTAGGATCGCTCAGGGACTACCTAGATAGTTCTCACCTCCCTGGCGCTGGGCACGTTGCAATTCTAAGCTTTATTGTCACTCTCTGATTCATATTAAGAGCACGATTGACGAGCCACATTGTAACGGTCATTGCAGGGATTAAGCTCGACCAAAGGCTGCATCAAGCTCATGAGGACAGAGGACCTTTTGAAGATCGCTCGTTCACAGCAATGGAGCTCTGAGTACGTCCTACAAAATGGTGCGGCCAGAATAATTGCTCTCCTCTCCTGGATTGCTGAATATGGTTCCTTTAGGTGTGGTTATTTTCGCTACTTCTCAAACGCTGACCCTCTAACGGATGCGCGATATGGATAGAAAATCGTGACACAGTTATGGTTATACCAGTCCTTTGACTTGAACACTCTGCCAGGCCATGCATCAAGTATTCTACAAGTTCATCGGTATGAACACTTTGTGGATCAGGGTTCAGGTGGAGCATTAGTTAGGGGTTTTGGTCTTGTTATGGTGGGACACCTACAGGATTGCAGAGATAGATTGCTGTTGTATATAGTGTGGCGACATTATGACATCCCTGGGAGTATATATGTTCAAAACCATGCCTTTGCAAGAATTCACTAGTCATTATAAGGTGATCCTTGTTAATGCTAGCGCTGTAGGAGTCACATTGAATTATAGGCTTCCACTTTTGTCAGTCTCTTACTTGCCTTAGAAATATGGAACATACCTTTTCTGCTGCAAGGATGCTCAGATTAAGAATATAGTTAAAGAATCTTAGCAGGCGTATCATTTCCCTTGTTCAAAGGCCTGTGAGGAGGTGTCTGAGAGTTTGTACAGGTGATTAGTATGCACAAAATGTGACCTTTAAGTAAGAATCAGAGTTGCTCTACTTTGCTGCTTCTGGATTTTTCTTGGCGATTGAGTAGGGATGCGAAGTATTAATTACTAGTTGGTACAGCTACTTTGGCTTCATTGGGAACCTGTATCTGTTTTATAGAGCATAATTTACTGTTTAATACACTTAAATGTCTGGTGTTTATACAGTATATTTCATTTCTGTTACCTACAGCTTGTGCTCCACTGGTATCTTTCTGCTGTTCTTTTTATAGTATCAAACCAGAGTCACTCTGTTATCAGTTGTATTACACTGTAATAAGGTTCAACAGGCAGCCGAGCACTAATCTAACACTGGACCGGTCCTTCTCTCTAGCTTTAGCTGGTATATAATAGACAGTGCTTAATATTCACCTCAGCTATGGTTGATAGCAGCAGTCAAGAGCCATGCCGCGGTCAGATAATACAGCACTATTCACTATTTTCTTCATCACCTTCGTCCGTCAAACGAGCTGTCAGGTAAGTTAGGTAGTCAGCCATTGTAACCAGATTACTAAGGCACTAGGCTCTCTTTGAACCAATTGAAGTGAGGGTGTGGGATAACCCTAATTGTACGGGAAGACCTTCTTCAACCATTATCGATTCTACAAATCTGGCCAGAAACATTTCAACCTACTACCGGCCGCTCAGCTTTGAGCTTAAACGGCCACTGCGGGGTCAAGAGCAACTTGATCTTTCAGTCACCCGAGACCTTTGGGGGTTTCTCCCAAGGCAGAAGAGTAACTCGTCATGCGTTGACTTTCTTGAAAGCTACACTGCTCAGAACGGAACTATGGACTGTCACAACACACATGTATTCACTTGCCACAGACTTTGGCTCAATCCAGGCTTATAAACATGACCAGTGTTTGCATACATCCATAGGTGGCTGCGGAAGCAGGGGTGGAGAAAGCAGCCGACAAATCATTGGGTCCTTGTTTCTCGGCTGCATGTTCTCTGTGTCCTGGTTCTGCTTGCTCGCTGAAATCTGTCGGACTCAAAAGAATTATTTCAGTGAAAATGGAGTTGTATAAAATCATTTCAGTGCAGAGACAGAGGACTTGAATAATCATGCCCATCTTTTTCCGTTCTTCCGTCTTCTGTAATCGCATAGCCCCATAATACTGGTCTTTAAAGAAATTAAATGATAGCAGTTGAAGAGAGTAAAGAGTACATTCTGGCCCACCGATCCCGTCCTGTTCCGCCCATTAAATCGAACAAGGCAAATCCGAGCCTGGCGAACTACCCTAGGGATGGTTTCTAAAGAAGGAAGACCAGTACGAAGAGCAGACCAGTAGCAAAGGGCAGACTAGTAAGAGGAGACCAGTATGAAGACTAGTAAGAAGGACATATCAGTGTGGAGGGAAGGCCACTGCAGAGGGAAGCCTACCAACGAGGGCAGACCAGTACAGAGGGAAGACTAGTAAGGAGAGGAGACCAGTAAGGAGGGAAGACTAGTAAGGAGGGAAGAGTGAAATCCTCCAATGAGGGAGCTGGAAAGTATTGACTTGAAAATAACAGTAATGAATATTGGCCAAGCCTAACACCTAACAGTGAAGGCTACTTTAACCCTAACACTCCCCTTCAAAATGTACTTATCCAAAAGGACAGCATGAATAGTAACCAAGATGAAAGCGTGAAAGAACTAGCACAGTTCTTTCATGGTTGTGTTAAAGTCACCTTTGAGCACTTGTCATTCCCCCTAATGCTCTTCGGAGGAAGAATTTTTGATAATAAAAATGTTGATTTATTGAAAAGAACCTTTCGATTAAAGCAGTGCGCACGGCTAGAACCTAGCAACTACATCTCAGCCGTCATAAGCGACGATGTTCTGGAGCAAGCCATGCACCAATCAGGGATTAATGAGGCGGAATTGAAAGGAGCCGTTGAGCCACCTCTATTACTCTTGCCACATGGTTACAAGCTTCAGTGCTTGTATGGAAAGCACCGTATAGAGGCTGCAAAGGATGTGTTATACCCTGGTGACCGTTGGTGGACGGTATATCTCTATAATGACAGTATGTATGGCATTAAGATTCATGCAAGCGCAAGCTAACTGAAGGAGGCCTCTCTGAACCTCTAAAACGCCGTCTCTGTGCGCTCAAGGATAGCAACTTCAGTGCAGGGGATATCCTTCGCAACCTTCAGCATAGCAGGATATCTCACTGTGACGAAAAAGAAATTTCATTTGGGAATCGAAGATGCCCAGCCGCGCAATGGAAGACCTGAGGAGGCTAGAGAAGAGATACCCACGCATTGTACACAGCTTAAGACGATTAATCCCTTATCCGGGGCTTTGGGCTGGTATCCCCTTCAACTTTCTGAAGCGCTTAGTAGAGTGTGCTTCTCCGACAGTAAGAACTTCCTAGCACTGGAAAGTCACAAGATGTCTAACCGTCATTGCAGGAAATAAGCCATTATCGGGACATCATTTATGATACTTGGTCGCCTTTGTTCCTGAACGAACCTGTGCACCTTGATGCCACTTCTGTGCGTCTATTAGAGAATCGGATGCCCCAGATGAGAGAAGATGCAAACTTTATCACCTTGTTAATGAATGCAGGTGAACTCTTTCCTTCCGTGGCAGATGAGAACCGCCGAGCCACATTGCTGAGTAGTCTCCTAGACAGGAAAGGCCGAATACTCAGTCTGCATTCATTAGTCCAGGATACATTGATCTTACAGCCTTGCGCTAAATCCTTGAAGAGACTCGTTCAACCTGGTTGTAAAGACTTGCGGGATGCTCTCATGCGAAGTTTCAATGGTACCGGGAATGCATGGACCATTCAGGTTGCAGAGAACGCCTTCAAGAGCGTACCTGACGACCAGTCTCATTCGACGCTCCTAGCACAAGCAAATGTCTCTACCGCTGCCTACGTGCAGCTATGGCTCTTCTCATTTCGTTTCATAGAAAGCTTGACCGATGTTAGACTCCCGGGCTCTAAACGTACTGACGATGCCTATGCATATAGAGAGACCCCGTCGGAGTCAGCTCATCAACTTGCCATCTTGGCAACGCAGTTGGGCTTTGATTCGCCTCAGATTCGCTCGCTTTTTATGACCTCAACTATAAAACCTAGTGCTCGAGCATACTTAACCGGTCGTCGTCCTCAAGACTTATATGTCTATCCTCCCCGCTGGGAGGAAGAAGCTCCAGAAAAAGTTGTCGATCTCCTAAAGCTCCCTAAAAGGGATGGATATGAAATCGTCGTTCCGCCTTTTTCTATCGACAGTGAGAGTCTCATGGCAAACAAGCGGTGCGGACTACCACAGAGAGAAACACACTGCAACGACCGCCGGTTCCTATTTGCTCTACAGGTGTATAGTGCAGAACAGCTTCCGAAAAAGTACCCTACATCGTTCGCCGTGCTGCGAGACATCGTTTTCAGCTTCTTCGGCCGAAGAATATTACCTTCTCGATCACATCCTATATGGCGGAGGGTAGCAACTAAGCCGCAATCTCCTCGTCAGAATGAAAGTGACATGGTCTCGTCACCAGTTGCATGCGATCCTCACCCTCCTGGGACTCCAGACAGAAATGAACATCCGGAACAGCATCCTGACGCAGGACATGATATGGCGTTGGATAGTCCTAATCCGGCCCAGGACTCTGTCAAGCAAGCACCAATTGCGCCGGGTTTTGAAGATGAGGCCTCCATCGCGCCGCTGAATCAACTCACACATATCTCGCACAGCCGAGGAGCCGATGAAATTCTGGATGCCTGGGACGCAAGGCGTAACAATGATTTAACAGTGTTCTACTTCTTCAAGAATCATCAGTATTGCAAATTTCTGCGTAAGGACCCGGAGCTCCATGAGCAACTTGGAAACTTCATTGGCCAATTCGAAAACAATCATTATTTTGCTACCTTGCGCGGTCTAATCAACTCAAGGGATATTATACACCGTATTGACGCTCTGCCCTTGGTTTTTGTGTATACAGAGACCGAGCACGATCAGCCACCTATGGCAAATCTTTGGGAATACGTCCTTTCTTTTGACGCTAGAACTGGGAAGCGGAAGCAGGGAAATAAGGAGGACTCTCCATCAGCTATGAGTACCAAAAGACGCATGGGTGATAACGGAGCTAGCGTGAACAGAGCTAGCGATGAAGAATCTGAGATTTAAACAAGGGTTTACCAACAAAGGAAACAGATCAGTTCAGATGCGGTGCTAGCTATATCAAAGAAAGATTAAATCATCAGTATGCCAAATATTAGACTAATTTCCTTCTTTTCCCTTCCTCGACCATCTGCTCCTCTGGGGCAGTCTCTGACTCTTCAGGTCCCAAACTCCAATGCCTTTTCCTTGTCACGCAATTAGAGCGAGGTTCCTCGATGGAGTGCACATCAAAAAGATGACGCCGAAAGTCTAGGACGCTGCCATACTCCTTCCCAGAGCAACAGGGATGAGGGCAAGTAACTGGGTTTCCTGACGGCAGCTGGGAGAGATGCCCATCAATATGATTCAAGAGCGTGGCCTTATTCAGCCATTGATTGAAACGCTGATCCGGTCTCTTGTTGCCGTCCCCTAGACAGAAGGGGCAGAACCCAGGAGCTACAAGGGTGTAGCGAAACGTCAGCAGCCCGCACCGGGGTTTTAGATTAGCTAAATGAAGACCACAGTGTTGATTCCAGTCTTCTTCACTGTATGATAGCTGCGCGCATAAGTAGCAGAACTGCACGAAGTTTCGTTGGACACGACGGTGAGCTCTCTTGCCATTCTTATAGCACTGTTGATAAGGAGCTGCATTTAATGCCTTTCTCCGGCATTGCAGAATATGCTTTGCACGATCTTGCAGTTGCCGGGCAACACTAGTAACTTGTCAGACCCTGTAGCTTTTTAAAGCAAAGCAGGGTGCAAACCTTTCTATGGGTTTTTGGCAGACCGGACATTGCCCATCAACAGGGGTCAACCCAGGATAGTACGCAACTCTCTCGGTTGATGTACAGAGACTGACCATGTCCTGAAGGCATTGTCTTCCCACCTCACTATCAATAGCTACTTCTTTGAACAGGTTTTCGCGCAGGCGAGTTCTAGTCGGGATATATTTAGCGTAGATCTCGAATAGGTTTGTTGTATCACGTTCAGTGAATCCCTTTCCAGAGATATATCCTTCGTAGCATTCATTCAACCACTGTGAAATATACTCGGATCGCTTTGCCCGAAGCTTTTTTGCTTTCTGTGTGTATAGCCTGGATCGTTCTTCCGCCAGTGATTTATGAATGCTGGGCTGACCTGCAATCCTTCGCGTAAGGTCGGCGATCCTTGTGTTTAGGCCGACGATTTCCTCGTCGTGTTCGAACTCGGATAGTGTCGCGGCGTCGAGGCGAAGAGGGACATTCGGATCACGATGGTGCGCCATGCTCTGTTCCATGTCTCGACACTCATAGTCTGGTTCCATACCATACATCAAAGCTTGCATATCCAATTGCTTGAGCTGAGCCTGATATTTGAGGAAGGTGTTATGGTTTTGATGGTCAAGTGCTTGGCTACGAGTAGCTTCTGAGGCTTTGGCTATATAATTGATCAGCACCGGATAGACATCGTTGCAAAGGCGAGGTAAAGGAATGTAGTGGGCGGCGTCGACTTACGGTCTACCCTGTTTGCGAGCTCCGCTCTGATTCCGTGGACGCGTAGATTGTCCTTGAATCCATCTCTTTGCGCTAGACTCGTGAAATTGTGTCTCAACGAGGAGAATGTCACTCCTTTGTCCGCTTTTGGTCCGCTTGGAGTGACCATTCGGAAAAATGGGAGCTCTTTAGCTGTGTCAGTCCACTGCAGAGTCCATGATTCTCTGCCCTCCGGAGGTCTTTGGGCTAGTAATTCCTCGACAGAGGATATGCCCTTAAACGCACGATCCGCAATACCGTGGACGATGACCCAAAAAACGAAATTCATTACAAGGATTGGATGCTCCCTGAACCAAGTTTTTGGCCTAGTAGCACGGTAAGCCCCAGATTGAAAACAGGGTTGTGTAGGGAATGAAAGAAGGGAAACAGCCTACAAAGTTGCATCATCCCGGTAGCGCCTTCCTTTAAGGAATTTAGGATCGAGCGTCACCCATCTCTTCACCGTCCTAGCCTGATTGCTCCATTTTATATGGAATGTGAGATGCTTTGCATAAGAGTCAGAGAAGTGAACCCTGGAGCAGACACCACAGTCACTAACCTTGTAGTAGAGGCACTCATTTGTATTTCGATAAGAACTTGATTCTACAATTGCGCCAGCTCTGGACCCTGAACCTGCAAAGATAGCAAGCGCACTTCCAGTTTGGACTCGTGCCCTTTCATGCACATAGTCATGTGTATCATCCCCAAATAAACGGCGAAGCAGATATTCAATATCCTTGGCTGTAACCGGGAAGCGTGCCCTTGGTTCTGTTGGAAGGTCATACTTGCTAGTTAGGTCATTTCGTATAAACTAAGCAGAACCATATTAGCGTTAAGTGTGACAACAGGTGTGCTTAAACCACATACATTACGGACATCGTTCTTTACTTCCATAGGGAGACTCCTGGACGTCTCACGCTCCCATCTTGAGGCGAAGTTGGTGAAAACATGGATTGCTGTCTTCTGTGAGGGTACCTTTCGTCGGGTAGCAATGTAAAACTCCACAAAAAGCTTTAGAATTTGTGGAGAGGGATCTGGTTCATCCTTAGAGAAGTTTTTTGTTCCACTCTCCTTGCGAGAAAGTCTCCATCTAATAAAAGAAAGTTAAGAGTTACCTCCCTAGGCTTAACTGGAGTGGATACTTACAAAGCCCACTGGAGTGCTGCTTGATCATATTTATCCCAAGTCGCCGGTGCAAGCCTTGGGAAACTTATAATATTTTCTTTCTTTTCTTGCTCACTTTGATATTCAAGAGTAAAACCACGTGACTCTGCAAGTCTCTGGTGCTCCTCCAGCAGTTTTTGCAACTTTGCATCATCGGAAGCCATGGTCATAAGATGTCACGTGATCACAGAGGGGGGAAGCTGTGAGGATTGAATCTTGTATAGGTCCATCTTTCGATCTTCAGGGCGCAGAGCCCATTAAAAGCAGCTGAATCACTGTTTTCTTCTGCGGCTGGCTGCTGAGTTGGCCTTCATCACCCCCCGTGGAGCCATCATCACCACCGATGAGCCATCATCACCAGGGGTGACGGGGTCCCCTGGAGTCCTCACCCACATCACCAGCACTCACACTAAAAGCATCATGTCGCTGTTTTAGAGGGAAAAGGGCTTTCTGGGAATTGACCACGTTCTATATGTGGCTTAAGTACGGCTGAGCGGACGGGAAGCCCTGTTTTCCACACCCTGTGGTCGCATGAACTATGTTCATCTGTATGAAGAGTTATATTGCAGTTTAATAGCACCTATAAAAGGATGCAATATAAAAATAAAACTCTTCAAAATTGACCACGCCATAGAAAGCAGGTCGCATATACCCCAATAACCTGGATACCATCCCGCATATTCCCAGTCAAGAAGGCCTGTAACTTTGTCCCCTTCATCAACCAGGATATTTCGAGGCGCAATATCCATGTGCATGAATACACTACAGTCAGATCGTGGGAGCATGCCCGGTAGCTCATGTTCATATTGACTACCTCCGAAGTGAGGAGAGCGCTCGAAAATACGTGCTCGCAAATCCGAATCATTCATCAAGGCTCGGGGTGGATCTAGAGGTGATCCGGGAATAAGAGCTATCTCAATATCGCTATAGTCATTGTGAAATTTGTCAAGAACACTTAGGCGCCGGGAAAGAGGTGTGTTTGGCTACGAGCATCATAATGATCTGCGTAGTGTTGATAATTCAGCCTCGTGTTCTCCGAAAACGCAGTGGATCTGCGTTCAGAACGAGATCGAGACTACTGGCTGCGAGTGGATGGAGTAGACGGCGGAAGAGGTGGAGGGGGCATCAGAAGACGAGCCCAATCTAGCTGATTAGCCATTTTGCTCGTCGATCGAAATGTACGTGCTTAGTTAGCTGGTCTACAAACACTGTAAATCTCGGCATCCAATAAAGAAAACCCGGCGCCTTTGGAAGCCTTGCCTTTATTGTCTAGGTTCACAGACCAAGGATTGCTCGACGGGATTTGGAGGAACTGCACTGAATTCAAAAATGTCATTGTGAACATTACTATGTACAGGATGGATTCATCACAAGTCAACCTCTACAAACCAAGCTCAAAAACCGACGCGAGATCCGATAGCGCGCTAGCTTACAGCTTCTGGTTGCTCTTGTTGTAGCGCTCGAACGAGGACACGGGCGGGGCCGAGTTAGGGTTAGGATGATGCTTCTTCAGCGCCATATTGACATTATACTCGAGGTCGAGCTGGGCCTTGGGATCGCCAATCTTGGGCTTAAAGTCAACGACCAGATCATCTTTCACAGCAAAGACAGAGTCAATCTTGAGATGGGGATCATCGCTGGGATAAATCTGATTGATGATGGTTGCGTAGTCGGGATGGGTGATCATAAGGTGGATATGAGCCGGACGCATCGGGGAACGGTCCATGAGATTGAGCAGCACACCGGCCGGACCATCGGTAGGCAGAGAATAGGGAGTTGGATGATAGCAGTACCAGTAGAACTCGCCCTTCTCGTTGGACCGGAACTTGCCGCGGAGGTTGTTCTCGCTCTGCGCTGGATCCTGGAAGTCGTATTGTCCGTTCGCGGAGGCTTGCCAGATATCGAGGACTGCTCCCGCAATGGGCTTGCCGGTTTCCATGTCCCGGATCACACCGTGCATGTAGGTGACTTTGCCGTTGGGGTTGGGGTTTTGGATGATGCTGTCGCCGAGGTTGCGGAAGGGGGCGTTGGGCGACCAGAAGGGGCCGAGGATGACGTTGGAGGTGGGCGTGGTGCCATCTTCGGTGACGATTTTGTTGGCGATTTCGTCGACGAGACTGTCCTGTCAGCTTGCTTGCTTGCTTGATTTATTTTAATGTTGGTGAGGCTCACGATTCCAGACCGATCACGTCGCAGATCCGGTGGCATTCATTGCGGATGGGCGTGCTGATCTGGCCGACGGAATTGATGAATTCGACACCCAGCATCCACTCGGCCGGGGTGAGTTCGACCTCGCGCGCAAAGTCATGGATGTGTTTAATCAGCGAGCTCAAGATTACGCGAGCGCGCTCGGGGGTCTTGGGCCCCATAGAATTGACGACATAGGGAGTGAAGTTGGGGTTGAATTGGCGCTTGGGGGACATGGCGCTGTGCGGGCACGAGTACAGCGAGCTAGCTGTATGTTGAAATGGCGGTTCTGCTGAGTTTGAGAGACAGAACAGAAGAGGATGAAGCCAGCTTAATACATGGCCAAGCTGGATGCTGCCGCTCGGGATACTGGGGCACGTCGAGAGCGACGGCAAATCTTTCGGCTACGCGAGCGTGAGGGCCTTGGGACCGCTGCAAAGGCCAAACAAAGGAAATCCCGTTGCTACATGCCGAGCGGTTCCTGCAGGTTGTCCGATCGACTGCTGCGTTCGTCCCGTTCGCAGTCTCTCGGGTTCAACTGCCGAGTGGCGGCCCTGTGGCAGAGACCAACGAGGCCGTCCATACCTAGGGATATATACGCAGTGCTATAAAGATAACGATAGAAATATGCGGAGGTGCGGGGTAATTCGACACTTCCCAATGCCCACAACTAATAGGGACTGCACAATTTCTGCTTACTAAGATTACTCACTTTCTGCGAGAGCCGAAACCCCGCGGGGGCCGGAGTATGTCTTAGCCGCCAGGAAGACCAGAGCATGAACCAGGGCTTCAGGGCTTCAGGGCTTCAGGACTTCTCTGCCGGCCACGATGAAGCTCTGCTCGTACCTCTCTACAGCATTAGTATTATTATGATTCCCAACAAGTTCACGGACAACCTTCCCCAACATACAGACACCGAACATGGAACAGGGGATCTTCATCACAGACTGCCTCCGCCCATACTGATTTCCAGTCACGTCGCGTGTCTGTGTTGAAGGTATCAAAGAGCCCGTATGCATGTGCCAGGCTTTCCTCTCCGGGGAAAACCATGGCGAGCGCAGACTTGCCATCATCCATGCCAGCCTCGGCTTGTTTGCAACGCAGGTAACGGACCAGATCCAGATAATCCTTCGCGCACTGGTCGTCGAGGTCGAGCATCAGCCGTCCATCTTGCAGGGTCACGTCGCCAGAAGGCAAGAGCAGCACGCCGCGCAGAAGTTGGATGAAGTTGGGGACATTCCCGCAGTTTTTCCCCGCCCATGAAACAGCGCTCTGAAGCAATGTCCGACCAAATGGTTCTAGGCGGGTGTGGATAAGACTGGGATCGCCTTCGATAAGAAATCGGGCAGCCTTGTAATAGCCCTTGCGAGCAACGTAACCCAGTAACCCAGCCGATTCGTTAAAGTTGAAGATCCTGCGGTCGGGCAGTGGAATTGCAGACAACACGTCTCGCGGCGCCCAGAGAAGTAGCCGTCCCCAAAGTGTGATGCCCCTTTGATCCCTTTGCGAGAGGTCAATGCCGCGGTCAAGCAGATAGCGGACAACGGGAGTAGCTTCTTCTGCAGCGCGGATGTCCCGTCTACGGCAGACGTCGATCAACACATTCTCAAGAGAAACGTCAGCACCATGTCTAATCAAGCATCTAAGGGCCTGTAGCAGATCTAATTTGAGGTCTGTATGTTCCTTGAGAGCCGCTACTACCAGATGGGCACCGAATTGTTCACCCGACCGGAGTACGACCGTACGAGTCCCAATGAGGTATGGATGCTTGGAAAAGATAGCATCCAGAACCTGTGTATGGTTTTCATAGAGAATTTGACGTAGTACACGTTGTGTGCCTTCCAGAGGAATGGGATCAGGATTATCAACATCCAAAGGCTTGTCGGCAGAGCCATATCGCAGAAGTGTCATTGCCATGGACTGCTTTTCACTCTTGAGGGCACAAGAGCCCAGATAAAGTTCTCCTACAACCCAGTGGTTCACTTCTGCAGGTGCATTAAACGTAGCAATCCGAGGACACCTTCCCAGGAGAATCTCTAGCGCTGAACAGGTACGTACGTGTGTGACCCAAGAAGCCCTGTCAGTGTCAAGAAGGATGCTGTCACTGCATCCGTCAACGACCATACGAATAAGTTGTAGGTTGTCGGAGGATAAAGCAAGCTGGAGTGTCCCTGAGAGTGGTTCTGCTCCCAGCTGGAGCAAGGTTTCCACAATCGGTACACTGCGGGCTCGAACGGCATGGTGTAGCGCCTCCGCTAGCATCTGCTGGCCCGGAGAATAGGAGCCAGATGAATAAAATGACTTCAGAACAAATAGAAAGATTTCCAGGTCCGCACTGTGAGCTGCCAAGGCAAGATGCGTAGAGAAATAGCCCATCCGCAATCCCGCAAGGCCATATATGCCCTCTTCTTCCTCTTTGTGACAATCGTCTAGCGCGCCCTGCTCGACACAGTATTGAACAACATGCATCTCCTGTGCGTCAACCGCATGTGCGAGCGCATGCTTCATGGCTTCTGGCAATCTCCAGTTGGTCACTTCATCAAATCGGTCGTTATTAATGGTGTCGTCAAGATTCCACATCAGCTGCATAGCCCCGAGTTTCCCCTCCCGAGCCAAAATTGCCCAGGCCGCCAGCCATGGCCTGGGAACGAAGTAGAGTTCTTCCGTCACCCCACGCTCGAGCGCAATCCTGAGCATCTCATTCGCGGTGTATTCTTCCCTATTGGGGTGGTTCTCGCGATATAGAATACACAGAATCCTCAGCAGATTGGTGTATCCACGCGAGTAGCACTTAAACTTCTTTTGATCCTCAGGTCGGCGAAACAGCTGGACAAGCCTTGGAGAGAACAGCTTATTAAGCAAGCGGCCATTTGTTTTCTCAATCAGTGCTTTGAAGGCGCGTAGATTTCCGCAGATGGCAGCAGACACTAATGAGCGTGGCCACCGGTCACAGTGCTGGTCGGCCAGTAGAGCTTGGCGGTACAGCTCATTCCCAAGCACCATGCGAAAGACCGACGATGTGCGTGACAAGCGGCTTATCTCTGGCGGACTCAGGTTGCTCACTATGAGCATCAGGATATCAAGCGGTAGATCGTATAGAAACATAACGAGGGCTATTACACAAAGAGTACTCCGTTCTTTATCGGGCCAAAAAATACTGTACAGGTGATAACATAGCCGTGGGTAGTTGATTGCGTATAGCAAGGCGTAGAGGAATAGGGAAAGGAGACATATCCAGCACGCGAGGAACCTTGCAGGATGAAGGAGACGAAGGCATGTACCTTGGAAGAACAGTCTGCGTCTCTCAGGAGGGACCTTGATGCGCTTCTTTCCCAATTTGGATTAGCCCTAATTAGTCATCGTTGAAGGTGTCCTATCTAACTGTGTGCACACAGCTCGCGTGAGAAGTGAAGTGGATGAGGCGTGCGGCGTCCGGATATCAAATACTAAAAGGATACCATAGGATTCGTAGGATTCATGGTGAAGCTCGTAATTGACATGCGTAACGCTTAAAGCATCTCACTAACGTAATCCACAAGCGAGTGCCGCACCCAACGCCGCGTTTTCCGCAATCTAGCCTGGTCTATACTGATGATCTACTGGGTTTTATTTCTGCTCAGCCTTGTCCTGGGCGATCCGCCCCCTTCTGGGTAAACGAGAAGACATACTGTCATTTCGGAATTCTAGTTGCAATTTTACTATTTACCCACGTCACCAAGATTCCTTTTTTTGGAATCAAATCCCCAACAAAGTCCTCGGCTTGTCAATTGGTCGACGGAATGACGACTACCCCTTTATAGATGAGCGGTAATGCATCATCATCAACACCCCAGGGTTTGGTCCTTACAGGCACTCTGTTGCCCACGAGATCTACACTCGCCTTTCTGTAAACAGCCATTGCAGGGAGGACGCAGAGCTGTACCTGAGCATGCCTGGAACATCAACGGTTCGATCTCCAGCTCTGCTCTCAGCCTGCATACGGACCTCCATGAATGTTGAGCGTGGTGGGAAATGCAGGACGGCATATTTGTGAGTGCCGACCAGGAGGTCAGATTTGAGGGTTAGTGCCAGATTGAAGACATCAACAAAGCCTTCCTGTACTCCAGACCATTCATCATCCTCAAGGGCCCAGCTGTTGTGTCGCTGCAGATTGGTATGCTTCTCGGGGTTGCTGAAAAAAGGAGCAAGGGCGTTTGATAACCTCGCAGCCAGACTATCTGCGTGGACAGGAATCTCGATGTTCCGGTAGACATGACTGCTGAAGAGGGACCTGTGGGCAGCCAAGTCTAAGTTTCGTAGAGCTAGTTGGCCACCGGCTTTTCTGTTAGTGGTGGCTAGCTTGACGAAAGGCAAGTCTAGTATTGACATGTATCCTTTTCGAAGTGGCACAGCGGTGGCGTCTGGCGCTGTTCTGCGAGCCCTACGTAAAGAGGACGGCCCTGCTCGTCGGATCTTCTCCAGCTATGGCATCATACTCGATGAACCATACGACGGCGACTGCCCCGCGCACCGTCAGCAACGCCCTTGTTCTGATCGACTAGACGGGGCTCCTTGTAGTAAGAATACCGTCTGCTGGTTTGTGAATAAGGTCTGTGGCCATTCTGCAGACGCCTGTATCGCACCGGAAGAAAATTCTAACATACATCCAATGGGGAGACATGCTCGCTCCACTTCAGGAGTTTCCATGTAAAGTCACCAACGTATTCTCCTTGAAGGCAAAGTTCCAACCGAAACTGGAACTTTACGTGTCCGACCAACGGCATAGGTCTCGTTATGAGAAAAGTCACCCAGAGAATGAAGGTAGGCCTCTTTTTTCAAAATAAAAACATCATGGCTTCTCCAAAACAGTCCATTAAAAACCGCTTATCGTGTTTTTAGGTGCCGAACTAGTGGGTCATATTATGGTGGACCTGACAGACCTGAAGACGAAAGGTATCGTTAAACCCAGAGGCTCAGGGAAACGACGACATTATTTTATAGAATATGATATCGTTGCTGTTGTGGATGGCCCCAACTTACGCTTCGAAGCGCATTATCCGCAAGGAGCTAGAAATAAGGCAAGCATCAAAGAAAAAGCGAGCATCTGTATTGCGGCAGGGTTTGTGGAAAACAGGTGGGTTAACTGAAGTTGATATGGGGGCTCCCCGCATTCGATGAAACACAGTATATATATCAAAGCGGAGGAAAAAGTGGAGACAAGTTAGGGCACTATTCCTGAAGACATAGCCACGTAAAGCCGCACTGTTGAAGCACGGAGGACTGATACGAGCCCAAGAAACTCCATGTCCTCGAATATATATTGGCTCTCCGGCTCCATCAGGCCTAAAGCTTGGCATGGAAGAAACCAACCCATCAATCAATGAATAAAATGACCGTTTAAACCGAACACTAGCCATTTGAACCCCTATCAATCTCATTTATGGTTGCTTTACGGGGAGGAGCTTTGTCGAGTACAGGGAACTCACGGCACGGTCTTATTTTCACTAGATCGATACGCACATTGGTAGCCTGGAATCGAAGCACTTGTCGGTGTACTAGCTGACAGGGGTATTGCTTTAGCTGAAAGTATCTGGCACCAAATAGAATGGTGTTCCCTTGCTGCCTGAGTGATTTAAGATACCAAAGGACATCTTTCACAGATTCACTGCTAAATGATTATGTTGGTCCGAGGCGTGATATAACGGTGACGGATGATGCCGTCTCGCGGGTCCAACCGTCCCAAGATAAGAAAATTCAACGCCAGGTACGGAGTTTTGGTGCATGAATTATACAATGGAAGCAATACCGCATACTGTCAGCAAGCCTCTGGTTTCCATATACTAGATCCGTCTGGCCATATAATGGATACTATACACCTCGCGGTCGGCCCCCTTCCTACTTCCCCAATGGGGAAAAGTATGGCTGTACGAGAACTGAGGCCAATGGCCTCAAAATTTAATTCCTTTTCGTGATAAAGAATAACCGATACCCTTCTTACATAATAAGACACTATGGCCGAGTGGTCTAAGGCGATTGATTAGAAATCAATTCTCTTCGGGGGCGGCGGTTCGAATCCGCCTGGTGTCGAATATTTTTTACTCTTTTTCCTTTTCCTTTTTAGAACTACATTCACAGGAGACATCGATTCTTCCGTCTCAGTCAAAGAAAGGGCTGGGAGATATATGCAGTTTATTAGAAACTATGGCGTAGGGAAATCCCTTCCTGGACTTAACTAACTACTTTAAATTGCTGACAATCCCACATGGCATCAATCAATTGACAAGCTACACAACATGGAAGTCTCGATGATGCTACTGCTTTAATGGGTCACTCAGTGAATATTTGTTCCACATCACAGATCACAGCTCATTTCAGCACTTACTATTTGTTTATCTGTTTTACAATTTCCCATCGATCTGTATCCAGAACCACTCCTATTTCACAAACTTGTCTAACCTCCTCCCGGGCCGGTGGTGTCCTGTCTGATAGCATCTCATTCATGCGTGTCCACCAGTATCCAGTCAAGCCCCTTCGGGCACCTGAGACTTGTTGGTGTTATAGAAAGCCTTGAGATAGTACTAGCAAAAGCCAACTGGCTGGTTGCCAAGGGCGCGGACCTGTATCGGAGAACATCAAACACGCCAGCTTTGCACTATTTAGGCTTTGAGCTTGGACTCTCATGCCCAGCAACAGTGGATATAACCTTAAAACTCTCTCAATTGAACAAAGAATCCAGAGAATTAATGCGGAAGGTCTTCCTTGACAGCACTCAAGATCTGTGCCACTGCCATTGTTCTGTCAACAGATGCCGCGCACTGACAAGGACCTTGGATGGGTTCAATGGGTGATACTACCATGCACTATCAAATGTGTCCTTACCCATGTTCTGGAACAATTGTCGTCTACTCCATCCACATCTCGAAAACCTGCATCCCAGAGCCAGCATGAGGGCAGTTTTGGCTCAAAAGCCAGGTTGACACTTCTGCATTTGGTGTTAAGATATAGCACAACTATGTTGATCCGACTACTTTAATGCAAGCTCTTTGGGTTTGTACCCACAGTTCTAGATGCCGTTGGAGGTTTTGCTTAATCTTCTACGGAAAAGGCGACATGTTTTCCCAATCAGATCGATTTTTGGGTATAAAGGGACATACACATGTTGTGGCTTAGTTGAAGGGGAGATTCATGGATTATCAATATCCTTCAAGTGTCTTCTGGAGAACATCTATTTCTCATATGCTCTTGTAAAGCTTCAACAACCATACCTGCATCTTCATATGTTTCTTTCCAACAGTTTTCGATAATTGGACCAATGGTAATATTATGGAGCGAAGGAAATTCCTCTCGGGCATATCTTGCCTCTACTTCATCGTCCTCCAACTTCTCAAAGGGCATTGCCCATGACATTACCTCATAAACAGCTGATCCTAACGCAAAAAGCTCTCTTTTTATTATTGGCCGATCTTGGAAAGCCCTCCCTCGGGAAGGTAATTCATACCGAATTTCCTCATAGACTGTCATGTCGAATTGGTAACCCTCAATGTGTGATCCGCCAAAGTCCCCAATTTTGACATGGAAATCAGGGAAAAGAAAGAGATTCCGACAGCTCAGATCCGAATGTTGCACCTTTTTTGAATGGACATAACTGAGACCCAACGCAATATCAAGAGTCATCTGGAGACGAATATCTTCAGACGGTACTGGGTTTCTTGTAATGAACTCTCGCACATTTCTCCAAGGGGCCAGCTCTAAGTGCAGCGCGTGTATCCCAGGATGAATTTCTCGGAGACCAAAGCATTGCAAGATTTGTGGGTGTTTCCCAAGACGCTTGTATACTGTCTCTCCTCTGACCAGGGCTTCTTCACATGGTTCTGGAATGCTGGCACGTAGTTCACCATCCTCCCATACTTCGTAGCTTTTGAGTACTGTCAGCTTATCGGTGCATGACACAAAACAGGACCCGCCGATGCCAATAATCGACCACCACATTCGAACATAAAGGATGGAATGTCTTTTCGCACCGTTATGTTGGAGGGCTGTAGAGACTGAGGCGAGAAAGAGAGTAGCGAGAATAGCACCCTGAGAGGTTGATTGGGAATAATTCAACGCCAGTGCCGGAAGGTCTCAACCTAGGCAATTTGTCTGATTTTCTTTCTGAGTCAATAGGAGGCTGCGTGCGCTTTGAGATTGTTATGACCAGGCCTTGACAAAGGTCACTAGTGGGAAAGGAGGAATGAGGAGAGTTGGCTGAAGGGGAACAATTGCACTGACTGCCAAGCGGTGGCGGAGCAGTTCCTGAGTAGCCATGGGTATAATTGGCCGGGACGGTGTATGAATAAATCCGAAATCTGAAATCATCGAAATGCGGACTGTCTCCGTTTCCGTTTCGTTTCCGTTTCTTCGTTTCCTTCTCTTTCTGCGCTTTCCCCCCGCTGCGCTCCCCAGGGGGCGGAGAGGAAAAGGGGCAGTCACGTGTTTTGTGGTATGGCGTTCTGTGGTATGTGTCTGGTAAATAGATGTAAATATAATTTATTATTTAGAAGCATGAGAATGGGAGCACATGCTGTAATGACTGCAGTGAACAAACCCACCAGCTTTTTCTGAGGTTGCTTTCTATTTTACCCAGTTCAACACCCATGTTTCTTGCGGGGGTTCAAATCCCAGGTGACCCCACTTTAAAAACTAGTTCTTGCTTCCTCCTATCGGATGAGATAGATGAGCCTGGGTCAAAGCTAGATTGAACTTCAATTTGGCTAAACTGGCCTACACTTATCTCTGGACTCTTCTTTGGCAACGCTCTTCCTATATCTGTCATGACATCATGATGAAGGGACAGCTCTAGAGCCGTTGATTCGCTATCTAGCCGCCGGAAGGGTAAGGATTATCCATGTGGCTACCAAGAAGCAGAATGTGGCGGCTTGGACGTGGTTATATTCACAAAGGGGTCGGCGGAGTCGGTCCCTCACTAGCTAATGGAGATCACGTGACTACTAAGTCAACACACATTACAACAAAGCGAATAACTCGGAGTAAAGTAGACTTTAAATAATATCAATGAATGGGAGAACTTCTCAGGGATATGTGGTCATGTTGGCTTGGTTTAAATATACTTGTGAGAAATGCACCGCTTTAGGACTAGGAACTTCCCCGCTGAGTTTCGTTACGCTCTAAGACCATAATTCGAGCCGGATTGTTTGTGATATGGAAAAGGTCGCGTGGTATGGCGGCTTGGCTCCCTCTCCAACCCCTGAGAATCCGAGCCCCTGATTGTATGGCAAGTGCGCGAGAAAAAGACACAAGATCTGAATAGCATCCGTTCCTTAGTAGGCTACGTACGTGTAGTCGATACAGCTTCATTCTGCCCTTCTTCCCTGAGTTACATGCATATTCCACAACAGTTTGCAACCAGGAAGATTCAGAGACAAAAGGTTCCAGCACTTTTTCAATCCAAAGACACCAATCATCATCCCATCGTAATGCGCAGACAGCAAGAGAATACTCCCAGTAGCCTGGATACCAACCCGACTTTTCCCAGTCAAGAATAGCAATCTGTAGCTTTGGAATATCATCTCCATCACTTTTGTCTACCACCCTTTGGATCTGTATATTTTTCCTTTGAAAGTCACCATGGGTGAATGTTGGACCATGGCTACGGAGAACACGCGGTAGACACTGGCGGTAGAAGTCAGCTCTGTAGGATGGCCGACCATCGTAGGTATATTTCCGCGCCATTGCCTCGATAAGGGCATTTTCCGATGTGAACGGTCCATTAATCATTGGTTCAGGATCGTATGTCCAAAATATTCCATCGAGAAGGCATCTTCTGCCTAAGCTACCGTAGTAGTCTGGCGGCGTTAAGTGTCGTAGCTCGTTGAAGTAGTTACGAAGTGTAGCGACGATAGTTTCCTTTTCTGATGGACTTAGCTGTGGCCACAGGGACAGAAGACTTTGTCCAGGAGGTGTTTTCTTGAACAAACAACATGTTCTCCCCTTCAACAAGGTTCACACCTTTCCCAAACTTCACTACCAAATGTTCTCCGATCTCAACAATTCCTCGTCCTCCATACTCCATGGATATGTCGGGTGCTTCATTAATCTCCGAAGCTGTGGGTAGCGGGCAAGGTATGTCAGGCACATAGTATGGTAATGTGACGGTGGTAGCCATCGATGTTGGTCTGAGGGTGAGAGTGGAAATTAGAACTAGGGGAGGAAACGTGGGTTAAATACAAGGACTTCTTGTATTGAACAGCTGCCATCACAGTTATTGGCTATCTTTTTAGATTTTACATTACTAATGGAATATGGTTCCCAAATAGCCGATTTTGGGCTCGCAACAAGACTCGACAAGCCGGATACTCGAGATGGGATGGTAGGAAAGCAACTTGGCATTTATCCTATCCAACCAGACTTTTACTGTGCACCAGAGGTAATCCTTGGCTGCGGTTGGGATTTCAAGGCTGATATTTGGAATTTTGGTGTGTTGGTAAGTCCCCTGAGTCTATTTATTTCCCTGTTGGTTACAATCGCTAGCTTGGCCTCAATACTAACAGTTCTGTTCGGCAAGTTGTGGAATATCCTTCGGAGCAAAGGGTTATTCCAACAGGTACATGATGCAGATGGCAAATACAACGCAAAGTCACGTCTTGCAGAAATGATTGCTCTACTTAGCCCACCCCTCCCCAAGGCATTGCTCGCGAAATCAAAGACTATGTCAGAGCACAACTGGCCCCAGCCTGTCGCAAACAATACTGGCAGACTGTGCAGTAATGCTCAGTAATTCTTTGATAGTCCTTTCTTTGACGCAGAAGGTGGGTTGACCGACTATTTCATATGTCAATACCTCACGTACTGACTGTTTTAGATGAATTCTGCTATAATGGATTGATCCTGTCACGAAACTTAGAGGATATAACTCCATTCCTCAAACAGGAAGATCGAGAGGCATTTTAATCCTTTGTTTGCCAAATGCTCAACTGGCTCCCGGAGAAGAGGAAAACAGCTCGTGAACTGATGGATCATTGGTTTCTTAAACTTAGGGATTGATCAACTGCGCAGCTACTTTGAATAATGAAACACACCCAAGGGTGTAGTAAGCCTCTGGCTAATCGTACAGGGTCTACATTACCGATCAGAATGTGCTAGCACGTATTTGCAAGGACAACCCCATTGTGCTTCAATTTACAACTCATAGTTCACAAGTCCTTCCAACAACCGCGCCGCCCTATATCGCGACGGCCAGCTGCCGCGCGTCAGAGGCTCCTTTTCAAAATGATTGAACAGGGCCGGAGCCTTCAGGGGCCTCAGGAACGCGCGAAACCTTGACCCGGCTGTACATAGCCTGCAAAAAGACCACCGTCCCATCGAGGTACACATGCACAGATGTAACGCGGGAATCTCCTCTTGCCAAAGTTATAGACGCGTGGAGAGGGTCATTGTTCCGCGGAGTGGGATGAGGGTCGCCCCTAGTCCGTTGGTCAGTCAATTTTGTCAATTGAGGAGCTCTTGGGCTGGCAGTGATGCTTACTGCACAGTTCCCAAATCCACCTTGTCAAGTAGCTGTGGTACGAGGTCCACGGCATTTTCGGCATAACTCTTGACCCACGAGACATCCTAGGTTGTTCCCTTATTACTCCAGGAGAGAGACTTCAATGCCCGGGCTGCGGTAGAAAATGTGTGAGACATGTCTATCACCTGGTGGATAGAAGCAAGGCTTGGAAGCAACTTTGGTAGAGGATCAACAGACAACCAAGAAAAAGTGCGAGTATGAAATTCATAACGAGGAAACCAGGTATGGCTTGCAAGGGTGCGGATATTTATAATGGGTTATCTCTGTGATACTTCCAAGGTCTATACTTTCTAAGCGCTTTGGTTTGTTTAGGGGATGGGGTTGGAGTTGCGCTGGACTGGGGGAGGGGGTCTGGTCTAGGAGCTAACAAAGAGCACCCTCCAATTGAAAAAGTGCATAGAGTTTGGAGTGCATTGCAGCCTCTTAACCACGACATCCTACACCCGGGTCTGGCACCTTGAGGCTGAAAGGGCCGACGGCAATTGCAGGAGAATCCAGAAGCCAGTTTTGAAGCCACCATCACCAATAGAATTACGCGCCATTTCGAAACTCAAACACTCAAGAGTCGGGAGACAGGCTGCTGATCCTGGATTATGAGTTAGAAATCAAATAAAGAAAAATGCAGCCACTTTGGGCCAGTCAGAGGCAAGGCTGCATGTCTTTCAGCGCGTCCAGAAGTCCACTGTTGTGCGCAATATCCACAGCTCACGCAGGTATTTCCCAAATGGATCCTCTCATCACGCATTGAAGCGGCATTCAAAGCGGACATGCTGCTGCAGCGCACCGCAAGACACAGGGCTCCCGCCACCATAGATCCTTGGAGTACCCTGAACCACAAGGGGCAGGAAATATAGCGGAACCATCGACCAGCTCCGCGCGAGGCGCTAAAAAAGCGCAAGACTTTCAGTTCAAGCTTATCCTGCCTCTTGGCTGGAAATGAGTCACGAGCGGAGGGACTGGCGCTTACTCCATGTTCATCAACGGGAACATGAAGCTATTCGAACGCAGCGTTTCTCGTGCTTATTGTGACTGGAAGTTTTTTGAATTGAAATCATGAGTGACCTTGTCAACGGAAGGGAAATGCTACAATTATCTCATTCTTGCGTAAGTGGAAAAGGCGGGATAGCCTCTGGTAGTTTCCATCCATGTTGCAGGTTGCAGGTTGCATACGAAGCCGGGCTGGAAGAGGAAGTCAAACGGCACCCATGGCCCTAGCGTACTCAGAAAACACAAAGTACACTTCCGTCTGAGGCTGCAAAAATTTATCGATGTAATCTTTGCGCCACTCATCCTCATGCCAGCAGGTGAAGACAGCTTTGCAATACTCCCAATAATCCGGACAAGGCTCTCACTTGAGTTGGCGTGGGAAGTTGTCGGTTTGCACCGGCGGTGAAAGAAGACGTATCGAAAAAAGATAACTCTTTTTGCTCAGAATCAGGTAATGAATATAGGACCATCTGGTAAGAGTAAGCCTTGCCAATATGATAATCGACGATTCCTCGGCAAGTTAGAGAAGGTACCAGGAGAAATATGTGCGGGTTAACAAGGACGCGGGGAATGCGGGGAACACGTGCTCCAAAGATTTAAGAAATTTGAATAGCCCGGACTGTTGGAATTGCATACCCGTTATCTTGCGACATTCAAGAAATATGTTTCTTCTTTGAAAGGGATCTCACACCTGGTGAACATGGGGTCAGCACAACCCAGGATCACGCTAAGCACATTTGTTAGGCGGTATTTATATAAAAAAGCCCCGAGTCACCACACCTTTTTTAACTTGGCGGTTGACAAATCTAGGTTATTTCTACTCTTCTTCGCTATTATGATCGTCACACACGTCAAGAACCAAGTCAACAATACGCAGGAATCGGAATAGAGACGCAATCTGGCAACCCTCTGATACTGCACCGAGAGGCAATCGCTGGGCAGCCAGGAGAGTTCCCACAGGTGGAGACCGGCGAGTTACCGATGGCAACTCCACAGGCCTCAGTAGCCGTCATTTTCGGCGCGATTTCACAGGTCCTCGCATTCTAGTTGTAAATCTTGCCGGAACCCAGCCATTTGCGCATCATGCAGGTGGCCGTCCGAATCAGGGCGGGCTTATTTCTGAAGCCAACCTCGTGGCTGTTGTGCAGCAACGCCTCCCGGATCCCAATGCAGTCGGTGTTGGTGTATGGCGGGGGTAGCTCGACGAGGTAGTGCCGTATGCCCTCGACTGAGGGATTTGTGTCCAGCTCAGGCCCAGCGCATTGTAAATTTGGGCGCAAGATGTGTTCTTCTGGATGCTCGTGTTTGAGCTTCGGCCGACTGGCTTCTAACGACAACTTCTGGGCAAACATGCACAAAAGTGGATAACGGCGAAATTCGTCTCGTCCTGAGGCAGATTATCATCACCGGAGAACCGTTTCCATCTTTTTCCTTTCGTTTTCCTGCATTTCTACTCCCGCATTCTAATTTCTATCCGAAGTCGAGTCCCGCCGAAGCCTCTTCCTGGTGTCCCACAACGCTCCCACTGCCGTCTCGGAGAGTCGCCGACGAGTTTTGCCAATTTCTCCTGTAGAGACGAGACGACGAGGCGCAGTCAAAGGGCATCACGCTATTCATTTAGATCCACCCATCTTCTTCCGTATCAGCCCGTTCTATCTACGTTCCTGTGTCTGCTTTCATCCATTAGGGTGGATCCCCGGAAATGTAAATCCTGTCCCTCTCGGGAGCATGAATGATCCCTTTGGGACGAAACCTCTGGCGGGCTCATAGCAAGGTCCTGGAGCAGCTGCGTCTGAACGAGGGAGAGTTTCCGGCATGATATTGAGGAAGCTGGGTTTTCGAAGGCGAGGGATGAGCGGACAGAGGCTATTTAGTTTCCTTTCTCCTGTATGAGCAGCTATTGTCTATTCCTATACCAGATCTACTCTTCAACATCAACATCTCAACTCATCAGGTATACGTATGAAGTACCCGAATGCGCGCGTCACATCTGGCATGGCGAACAAGTAGCCGTTCCTGTCTGTATATTAGGCTTTGATCTGTCTGGAATCATAGCATCCATGCTGTTTTCTTTGCATGTTGTGATCAAGGGAACAAGTACCTCGATTGAACCCAGCACGCACCTCGTCACTGAAAAGCTACCGCTATGGTTCAGTTTGGCACGGATTCTGCACACAGATATTATCCAGGTTCCATCGAGTTTCCTCCCGCCTGGCCCTGTTGCCGGCACGAACAGGACAACGGGTGACATTGACGTGGTCGTATCCGATCTCCAACGCGTGGCAGATATAGGTGCCGCCCAAACGCCTCCAATCCGGTTCGGTTCGTTCGTTTACGAGGCGCTCGTCGGAGGGGACCATGTTGATACATGGGAACAAGCCTGGGAAATTGTCAGAAAGGTTAGCCGGTCCAATTTTGGGATCTGTCTGGATACCTTTGACATTGCCGCGAGGGTATACGCCGATCCCGTACGGGTGGACGGGAAGACACCACACGCAGACGAGGACATCCAAGCATCTATTTTCCAATTACATGAAATAGACATGCCAAAGGTATTTTTACACCCGGGTTGTGGATGGGGAGAGGCTTTCCAGCCCGCTAGATGAGAGCCATTAGTTCCATGTTCACAGACAGCCGGCCAGGATGAGCTGGTCGCGGAATGCGAGGCTGTTTGCTTTAGAGGAGGTTCGTGGTGGGTATCTGCCTGTCTTGGAGATTGCGAGGGAGATATTTTGTCCTGGGTTTCACCGGTGGGCGTCGTTGGAGCTGTTCTCGAGCTCGTGGGGGAGATTGGTTGAGGCGCTTGGTTTGGATGATGCTGTTTCTGGCGAGGTTGATGCTCTAGGGTTGGTATCTCGGGTCAGAGCCGGTTGAAGACTGGTGTCTGCTACTGATGAATTCTGGGAGGATAATTTTTTCAAATGGGAATCCATATTGTCTAGCAATTCCTTAATTCAAACATCCTGCTGTATCTACGAAGATAGTACAGGACTCAGTATGTCCCGAGCCACGACCGAGGTTGCAGAATCCCACTCGGCTATGACTCGGAATAATACCTGTCACTTCCCAAGGCACAACTACAGAATTATGGAATATGGAGTCATGTAAAACAAGAATACTGTCTTTCAGATGACTAGAATTACCCCCGCTGAGCAGTGCGCCGGGTCATGCGGAGTACAGATACCAAGCCTAAGCTTCAATCTTGCACCCCCGCAAGACATAGCAGATGCCAAAACAATGTGCATGCATCTGCTGATCCGGGGAACCGGTGTACTCCGGACCATTAGTATTATCAATCGAATTGATTTCCCGGATGGGACACGAAAACAAAACGATATGCAACCCCAAGAGACTCCTCACGGGCCAGGGAAATTAGAGCGGTGAAGTAATTGCCAGGCTACGCATGCCTAATACGGAGTAATTGACAAGATATTAGCCTGTCCCCTGGGCATCGGCCTACCGTCCTCCGTCTCTCAGCCCCCCAGCTGATTCATAGGCCGGGCTATGCGTACTAGCGCTGGTACCGGTCCCATACGCTGTACACAGACGGGGTCTGGGGTGCAGATAATAGAAACAACAGGGATCAAGCAGGGAGACGTAATCGCCCGATTGCTTCATCCATGTCCAATGTAGATTTCCGTGCTGCAGGTTACAGGGCAAGAATGCAAGTAGTCGTTGAGGAGAAAGTGCAATATAGAGATCATGCCATATTGCACCCGTGCAACGAGTAAAGAGTCCGACGACACACGCTTCTGTCTGTGCTGGCGATACGGGTGGCATATGGGTATGAGCATACTGTGGTAGGTGTCATATGGACTGTAATACAGCGCTGACTCGTTTTGTATTTGGATTGAATTTGGCCCTATCAAACCTTGTCCAGTGTGGATGGATCGCCATCGTCGCATTGGCCGCGGTACTGTCGATTTAGGGAAACCGAAGGTCGGCCGGGAAAGATGGGGACGCCATGGAGGCACTCGCAGATGTTGCAAGCTAGGGTTGTAAATGCTAGTACTCTGTACCAGGGCAAAGATCAACGCGACGTTAGTAATCCTCCTATTTCGGTAATAATACGGAGGAGTATTCCGTAGGAATGAATAGTAATTATGCTGCCGTGGTGCATCGACTTCGGTCGTGCTACTTTCTCATGCAAACTTTAATCCTAACTTGCGGGGCGTGAGACGGGGTTCCGGGGATCCAATCAGGGTCACTAGAAGCAGAAATTAGCCACTCGTCTCGGCGTCGTCTGCAAGCTTTCGTTCCGGGTTTGCAGCCTAAGAGACTCCGGATTGTCGTTCCTGACGGTGTGTGCGCCGCGCATAGCGTGCTACACGTGTTCCCATCCCGGGTTCTGCTGTCGACACTAGATAGATAGCATCCCCTGAAAGGTGCAATTGACAGGGATTGGCACACGAGTCGTACACGTTACCTTGGATTTCTTTGGAGGCATGGGACCTTGTCTATGCCGAGTTTTGTTTTCTTGTCTTCTGATCGACGCCGGAAGAAACCAGGACGGAGTATGCACTACGCTGTACTCCGTAGATGGGACTCCCGTGGGAGGCTCCTAGTCAATTGGTAGAGACGATGCAGGGGATCGGGACGAGGATTATTCGCGACAAATCAGGAGCGTCTAGGTTAATTGCAGTCGGGGTACGTCTCCGGACCCCAGCGTCAGATCTTCTCCGCGCGGGGGAAGTCGGGCAGCTGCGAATGAAGAGGACGGCGTGTGGAATGTGAAGAGCAAGACCCATCTCCAATTTTCCCATCTCATTCTCCAAGAGCTGGCAGAACTGCACGGGCCACTGGAATATCCGAGGGAAGGAGGCTGATGCAGAACGTGATCGTGAGGCCGGCCGCCAATCACGATCCCTGTCAGGGGCGATTCTTGCACAAGCATCCAAGCATCATAAAGCATCATAGGGTTGCATGGACAGTATTATTTTGACCACGGTTAAATTAATTAATTAATAATGTCGAGGATCCGTCTGGAATACGGATACATTGCTGATGGTGACCATTCTGGGGCACTGGGGAGAAACCCCGCATAATTTGCAGTGGTGTGTTTTCCGTTGGACAGGTGTCGTCCATAGCCGATCGGCACGGGCACACGACGGCATGTCGGTATTGCATGAGAGGAGCGAGAGACAGAGACGCAGACACAGACAGAAACAGAGTGTCTTGCCTCGGAAAGTCGCCGGCCATCGCCATCTGAAGGGCTCTTGGACGCGAGGGGATACCGTGGAGCATTCCGCAGGATGCAGCATGCGAATTATCCTCTTTTTCACTGCAGACACCGTCGCACTGTGCGTTATAAAAAGCCTGCGAACCCGAAGACGACCGGGATGTAGCGTGGTGCGCTGACTTGCGGTCGGGAAGTTTCTCGTGCCCAAGGCGACGTTCCACCGGCCACGGGATCTTCGGTCCGCCACAGCGAGATTCTGGCTTCGGAAGGAGCAGTCGGGTAATGACAGGTGCGCCGCGAGTGAGCCTGTAGCAGTGTTTCCAGTTGCATGTGCACTGTCTATACTCTATAGTATATGCAATGATGCATCCACCATGGTAGAAGGAGAGAAAGAGTCAGCCGTTTCGGCCGTACAGTACGCCGTTCCGTATGCGTATCTGACGGTACGGTACGCCGTTCCCTGGCAGTTTCCCCGTACGGCCTGCATCCCCAGATTCGGGTCCGATCCAGGTTCAGATCAGCGTTGCCGTCGAGGACGCTGTCTACGGGCTCTCGTCTATGGTATTTTCTGAGCAATGCGGTTATATTCTGGTCTCTGCGGCAGTAGCGGGTGGATATGCTGTTTTTGGCTCGCAGACTCCCACATTATAAGCGTGGGCGAGCCCACCTGATGACCGTCACATGAACTCGCAGATGCAACCTGGCCGCCGCTGCAGGTGGAACGCAGATTTCGGGCATTCCGTATTTTCCGGGGTTGGTCCTGGAGTACAGTACGGTACTATACGGTACCATACATTCGGGACGCCTCGGTCTCACTTCGGTCACGGTCACTGGAACTTTTGCTTCTCTCTTCCATCTTTCTCTTCCATCTCTTCCTTCTTTTCATCTCTGCATCTTCTCATCACGAGAAGAATATCATCTCATCTTCATCCATCATCTCGTTGTCATCACCATAATCCATCTTCATCCTCCGTCCCCCTGCGTCATCATCTCCTTACTTTCTCGGCCTCGGGAGCTTCTCCACATTCGGTTGCCAGACTAATCACTAATCTTACTGCCACTCATCTTCGGCTGGGGCCCTCCGCAAATGCCATCGCCCTTCTATGCGACGCTCCCATGCCCATGCTCTGACTTCATTTGTGGATTAAATCTAAATCCTTCCCAAAATAATCAACCCATAATTTGAAAATTAACAATATTTCCCCAAAATTCCATTTTCTCAATTCTCCCTGTCCTCCCACCCTCCCGTCGCCTCCCGAGTCGGTCGCTTGCTTGCCCCTTCCGGCTGCCCGATCCTGCACCCTGGTCGACCTCGTCTGCCTCGCTTCCCCAGATCCTGGTTCATTCTCCACGATCCGCTTGCGGATTCCGGCCGTGGGCCTTAACTACCACTGTTCCGGTCCTCATGCCTCTTCTCCCTCCTCTTTCTCTTACTTGACCTTTGCCTGCCGCCTGTCCAACCTACGCTCTTCATTTGCCGTGCTTAGGGCATCCTGGCACCGCACATCCTTCTACCTACCCTCCATTGCCCTCCCTTGCTGCTGCTTCTTCTTCTTCTTCTTCTCCCCCCCCATCTTTCCTCTTTTTTTCTCTTCCCTCTACTCACGCGAATGTTTCTACTTCGTCCTTCGGGAAGACGCTACTACTTTGTGCTTAGGCCACTCTGAATCGACTGAAGCCAGCCGATTTCTCCGAGACAAGCCTCCGCTCTGCTTCCTTCTATTCTACCCCCTCAGCAAACATGCGGTCGAGCATTGCCTGCGCCCGCTGCCGCAGGAGCAAGATCAAATGCGTCAACGCCGGTATTGACACGACTTGTCGCGCGTGCGAGTCCTCCGGCCGCGAATGTGTCTATCCCACACCGGCCATTGGCGCTGGCGGCGGTGCTGCGAAACGAGACATCGGCGCCGTGGCCGACGGGGAGGATCGCAATGCGGAATGGGACGGTCCCAAGAGGCAACGGCCTCGCAGGTCCGTTGGTATGTCCGCCGCGAAGGACGCCGCCAAGGCCCATGTCGAGGCCTTGGACTCTTCGATCCTCACCTTGAAGACGTGGGAGACCGCCATCGACCTCTTTCAGTCTCACTTTGCAACCCTCCTTCCTTTCCTCCACCCCGCCACCTTTCTCAGCCACCTCCGACAGCTCTCTACGCCGGATTCTTCCTCCGCCGGTCGCAGTTCTCATAGTCCTCCCGCCCCCAAAACCGAACCCTCCCCCTTCATCCTCCTCGGCATCCTCACCCTTACCGCCCGCTTTCACCCTCAGTTGGTCGCCTACCACTCCCCCTCCACGGCTGGGAATCCTTCAAACCCTCTTGTCGCCTCCGAGTTCTACGCAAGGACGTTGCGCAGCCGACTGGCCGGCGCTGACGCCGCCGGTCTCTGTGTACCGGATTTGACGCGGGTGCAGGCGTTTCTCATGCTGGCATTGCACGAATGGGGCATGTGCCGTGGAAAGAGCGCCTGGGTTTATGTGGGCGTGGCCATCCGACTGGCACAGGCGATGGGCCTCCCATTTGAGTTGGACAACGACCTGGTGACCGGGGATGCCCAGTGGTCCGCTGCGGGCCTCAAGTCCGACCCGGAGAATTTCGGGTCCACACGACGGGTCGACCAGCGGGAACAGACTTCGGACGAAGTCATCGCCCTGGAGACCAAACGTCGTACGTTTTGGTCTTGCTTTCTCCTCGACCGCTGCTTGAGCACCGGCAAGTACCGGCCTCGCATAATCCGAGTCAAGGACCTGAACATTCAGCTTCCCAGTGATAATGCCTTCGCATTCGGTGAGCGCGTACGCACATCGCGTCTGAGCGAGCCTAGTGGACGCCGTCCGACTGCGTTTGGTTCCCAGAGTCTGCAGATCCCCAGTCTCCGCCATAGCCTCGGCTTCGCGGATGACAAGATGCCCGCCAACGGGCCTCAAGACGCCAAGGCTTGGTCCCCCGTATCCCGGCGGAAAGATTCGGGAGAGGAGGACATCGACCGCTGGGAAACTGGAGCCGAGGAGCCAGTACTGAGTCGGGTCATCCGCATCATCCGCGTTTGGGGGAGTCTTGTGAAGTGGTCCTGTGCTGGAGGGCGACGGTAAGTTTAACGGCGGGATTCTCTCCCCAGATATCGCAAGCCCTAGTTATACTGACGCCCGCCCTCCAGAACCGAACAATATCCTCCCTGGCACCCTGATTCGCACTTCAACAAGCTACGATCGATGCTTGCGGATTTCCAGGATGGCCTCCCGCGCAATTTACAGTACTCGCCGCGAAACACTGATACACACATGTACCGGAATACGCTGGCGCCTTATATGATGATGCATGCGATCTATTTCCTGTCGACAATTATGCTCCACCGTTCCTACCTGCCGTTTCTGCCCTTACGGTGCAGTGAACCCATGGGACCGCTGGACGACCCCTTCTTTCCCATAGATAAGATGATCGCCCCGGACGGCTTCTGGCAAGAGAACGCCAAGGAGCTGTTCAGAACAGCGCGGGAGATGATTGACCTGGCAGTGTCCTGCCAAGAGCGTGGTGCGCTGGTCGAGAATTGTCTGGTTGGGTTTGCCATCTACAATGCTGTCTTGGTTGGCGTGTATGCATCTCATTTCCCTCACATGGATCAAGAGGGCTTTCTCTCTCCTAAGTCTACGTCGGGGGAGGCCAATGCTGGCCAGATACAGGCCTTACGGAAGGCCCTCGACATCCTGCGTCATATGCGACCGCGCCTGAAAATGGCCACGGGGTGGTTTCGGACGCTCAATCGCGTCCACAGCTACTTTTCCAAGGTGAAAAGGGATTCGACACGTTCTGGAGCGCGCAAAATCGACATCAAGTCGGATCCGGGGGATCAGCATGCAAATGGGGTGCGATCTGGCAGTGTCAGTGGCCCGGAGGAGGTCAGAGTGCTTGAGAAGCTGTTTCTGGAATTCGGAATTGCCGAGGATCAGCTCCCTGAAACCGGTGCAGAGGAGGACACGGCAATGACTACGGATGCGCTTCCCGATCAAGTAACCAATGCCAGTGATGCCGGTAGTACGACAGCTAGGAGTGACCTCGGGGACGGCAGGGAGCCTCTCCCATTGATCGACAGCGCAGGCAATCGACGGGAGTCGTGGGTAACCATCAACGGCTCCAATGTGCCACTTCCGGGGCCTGACCTGGAGCGTCGGCCGAGTCTCCCCATGCCTCCGGGGCTACCTCGGCAGTCCCCACCGTATACCCTTCCATCCTTGCAACATCCCGATGGACCGATATTCAGCACAACCTCCCCCAGTCTGCGGTCCATTGCGGCCCCGTCTCCATCGTACGCCTCCCCACCGACCAGCCAGGCTCCTGCTCAGTATCTGGGGGCCCCCTCCACCCGGTTGCAGCCGATCAACTCCTGGCTCACATCTCGTCAACAAGCACCGCCACCACCTCCATCATATTCTCAGTCCCTTCCACCCATCAACGCTTCTTCTCCATCTAGTTTAGCCATGCTGCCTCCGCCGGGGGCAGTCAACTACGGCGTCACATCTCCCCCGGCCACAGATTCAGGAGATAATGGAGCCCAGAATGTCGTCTGTTTCGGGGGCGATGATCTGCTCGCCTTCTTGGACGGCTGTGAATGTGAACAATGGCCGTCGATGACTACATCGGAGATTGGGATCCCTGCTGGCTGGCTCAGCACGGTGTGGGGCGAGTTGGGACGGTAATGGCTTATTGTTTTCTTGCTGTTGACATTTTCTTTGGCAATTGGAAGCATCTTTTGGTGTGGATTCGTTGTATATTATGTGTTTGCACTTCCTCTCACTCCATTGGGTTTTCTTTTTCTGTCTTTATTTATGCTGCACGGATATATTATACCCGGCCATGCAGTGACGACCATCCATGAGGCAAAAGGGCAGCAAAAAAGGTGTATTGGTCATGATTCTTAAGTTGATAGGTTGTACAGTGGCGGTTATCCTATCTTCTCTCTCTTTTTTTTTTTTTTTTTATATAATGGTTGACAGGACTATCGTTTATCTTGTTGACGTTGTTGATTTGGCATGACTGATGGGTATGTATGACTATGGACTGGTCTGTTAATCCTCTTCTGTTTAGTTTGAGGTATGGATGATGATGTATGTTGTACTTGTCGGTGCAATGTAAATATGTACATGCGATATCTGTTTGCAGCAAACATAGTGACACGTCGGATTGTATCCAAGCAGAAGATAAATAAGCGACATGGCCGGCCCGAATAGAATGCCTGGAGCAAAGTCCATGATTCATCTACTATAATAATTAACAGCGAACATGGTCTTCATCCTACTTCTCATAATCCTCCTCTCATCCACCTGCTTTTCCCAGGATGGAGCATTAACTGGACAAAGACATCAAACCCTAGAAACCAAAATCATCTACGCAGCCCATTACTCCGGCACAATCCACACCCTCGCCCTGACGCACCACGAAAACGGAACATACTCGTTAACAGAGACGTCGGTGGTGCGGTCGCGCGTGCTGCACCCGAGCTGGATCACGTTTGATCGTGTTGAGCGTGTTTTGTATTGTTCTGATGAGTTTGGGGGTATTCTCCCTCCTTGCTCTTGATTATGCTTCAGCTGATCTTAACTATGTACGCTGTATACAGTGTCGGACTCAGATTCAAGCACAGTAGACGATCTGATCGCCTACTCCGCCTCGCAGGATGGAAGATTATCTGAAATTGCGGCTGTGAGAGGGATGGGTGGGGTGCACAGTGTTATTTACGGTGATGCAAGGAAGTATTTAGGTGTTGCTAATTAGTATGCCTTCCCTTTCTCTCCCAGCATAACACTAGTACACACTCCTAATGAAAATGACAATGGCAATACTAATGAAATGATGAAGCCACAAATCAACCCTCTCGACAACCTCTCTCCCCCTAGCATCAAGCAAAGAAGGGGAAACCCAAATACAAACCCTCAACTTCACATCCTCAATGCCCCATCCCGGCCCTAATCCCATCCGCCAGGAGCGGCCACATCCGCACCAGATCCTCCTCGACCCGACAGGCATGTTTCTCCTTGTTCCTGATCTGGGGGCTGATCAGGTTCGTGTGTTGCGTGTTCAGCGTGATACGGGCGTGCTCCACGTTTGTGAGGATTCGGATGGGATTGTTGAGGCGGGGAGTGGGCCGAGACATGCTGTTTTTCTTTCTTCTGCATCTGCATCTGGGTCTGGCTATGGATATGGAGACTCGTCTCAGGTCCGGATTAGCGAATCTGGACCTGCACATGGATCTAGATCTAGATCTGGCTTTCAACATGCATATGCAGAAACACTCCTCCTCGCTAATGAATTAACAAATACGCTCTCTCTCATCCAGGTAAGCTACAGCAACGACAGCCGCAACAGCAGCAAAGAAACCAGTCCAACCCTCCACGAAACAAGAACAATTCCCCTAAACGTACCAAACACAAATACGTCCCTCGCTGAGATCCAAGTCGTAAACAACTTCATCTACGTCTCCCTCCGCGGGGATCAGAGTTACGCACCCAATGACTCGATCGCCATGCTGGATCCGGACCTGGACCGCGCAAAGGGGGACGGGATGCGGGTCGAGGGGCTTTTTTCGGCGTATGGGGCTGGTCCGAGGTCGTTTGTTGTTGATCAAGCTGGTGGGCTGGTGGTTGTCGGGAATCAAGTGTCTTCGAGTGTGGTTGTTTTGAGGAGGGATCCTGTTACAGGGAGATTGGGAGAGATGGTCGCTGGGTTGGAGATTAAGGGTCATGAGAATGATAATAATGCCTCAGAGGTCGACGGGATTAGTTGTGTTGTCTGGGATGAATAGTTACTTTCTTACTCTGCTCTAGCCTTATAACCAAGTCTCATGTACAGATATATCCATTCCATACAATCGTAACACATAACAAACACAAATAAACAGTCCAACCAACACCATCCCAGTCCCATGTAATGTATAACATGAAGCCTTCCAAGAAAAAGACCGGCTTTTGTTCTGGTGGCTGTCTTCCAGCATACGCCTTCACTCTGAGCTAAGCAGACATGAGACAACAGCCACATGAATCTGTTTCCCATACATAAATTCCATATATGTACGCATAACGGCAGTAACCAGACAGATCCCTCAGCATTAGTCGTAATATCCGTAAAAGGGGGGAAAAAAGGTCAAAACTAAGCCACCCAAGAAAAAACAAAAAAAAAAAAAAAAAAGAAAAAAGAATCATAGCAATCTTTGATAAATGCAAGGAATGAACGGGTCAGATTCACCTGACGTCTAACTGGAATGCCTTCCACTGGCCCCCTATGGTCCGGCAGCGCGGGCACCCTCTGGGATTTGGATGGCTGGTCGGGCCCTGCGACACGCCATTCCCCTTACCCGGGATGCCGTTGACCGGGCTCGAGTTCACAGCAATGAAAGAAGTCGGTGGACTGCTGATGAACAGTCCCACGCACTCACGACACACGCCGGAGATGCATTCCGTGCATGCATAGCATTCATTGAGCGACCACGGCCGTCTGCAGTTCGCGCAGTAGATCTGCACCTCGTTACTGCGAAACGAGGACGGCGTCGGATTGGAGAAGCGATGGTTCTGGCGCTGGGCCAGCGAAGGCGCAGAGAGATTCAGCACAGGGCTGGAATCCGATTTGGTCGACGGAGCCAGTCCGGACGACGCCGAGAGGGGGAAGTTCTTCATTGAAGTCGACGAGACGGACTCGAGAGACGACTCGATTGACGGGAACGGCTCAACGGGACTGTCTCGGCCACGGTGTGTTTCGTACGGCGGCGGAGTCAGTGACTTGTGCAGAGGAGACGCGGCGTACGAATGCGGCTGGAAAGATCGATGAGGCGAGGGCAGCGCCAAACCCGAGCCGGATTGGAATGCAGGTGGCAGAGAAAATCGGTTCTTTGCCGCCGAGGGGGCAGAGGTGACGCTGGGATGGAGTGGAGCGAAACTCAGAGAGCGACCGGTCTGAATGGTTACTACTTGCTATTTCAATTTCAACAAGATGCTCACCTCCGAGTACCGGTCATCATCAGCTTCGGTGGCTGATGTCGCAGCCTCGATCAGATCCTCCCATCGCTTGCCTTGGGCCCAGGCAGCCGTCTGCGGCTCTGCCGACATGGCCTTGCGATCACCCAGACTGGGTCTCCGGGCGTATTCCTTGGACCTGGTCCGCTCATGTTTGGGCCTCCGGGATTGTGTCAGGGATGACTTGCGCGGGCGGGTGAGCTTGTCGCGTCGCTGAAGGGGCGGGAGGGTGGACGAGCGACTGGGCGGCGAGTGGTTCAGGATGGGGGGGAGAATTTCCCGCGGACGAGGCGATGAAAAAGGCAGCAACGGATCCTGTTTGAAATGGTCTCGCAGGGAAGGGAGCTCGATGGAAGTCTGCATGCGATCTCGACCAAAGTCACTATCGGAGTGGGAATCCTGAGTCGGGACGGGAGCATATCAGCAGGTGGCAATTGTGGTGGATAGGGCAAGGCCTCCGACGAAACGTACCATGTCTGTATCCCAGTCTGAGGTCAGTCGATGATGGTGTAACTGGGCGAGCGCCACCGCGGCCGTGGCGGCCGCGGGGTGGGAGTCGTCCATCGGACGAGTTGCGGCGGGAGAGCTCGCATCAGCGACATAGACGTCCTTATCAGCCGGAGCTGGGAGGATGAGTCAGTTGCTGATACCGGTGGGGCCGGTGGGGGAGGGGGAGGGGGTGTGTGTGCGTATGTAAGAGAGAGAAACGTGGTGAAAGAGGAAAGAGAGAACCAACCGTGTCTTCGTCTGGACTGGGCCGAATCGGGAGGGGAGAGATGGGCGCGCTGGTCGGGAGGAGTGTTGACCATCAACAGGAAGCTCTCCTCGGTGGCCGGGAGCTTCGGGATGTAGTGGTTTGGGTGGGCACGGCGGATGTGCTCCTGCATGGAGCGATAGCGTTTTTCCTACAAGCATTAGCTAGAAGCTTTGGAAGACGGACAGAAGCAACTCACGCCCAGGCATCGCTTGCGACAATTGGAACCGTCATTGTTCTTCAAGGGGCAGACGACCTCGTTGTTGGCGTCGGTGACGGAGAAGGAGCTGGTCAGAGAGGCGCGGGGTGGCATGTTCAGTCATAGGAGGCAGAAGCAAAGGACAGGACAAGCGAAGAAGACAAGATCAAAGCCGACGCGGACTGGGATCCAGCGCGCGACACATAGTCTGAGGAAGATAGCTGAGAAGGAGAGATGGAGATGGAGAAATGCAGCAGCGGGGGAAGAGGGGAGAAGAGAAAAGTTAATCGAGAGAAGCAAGGCGCGGGGCAAAAGAGAACAGGAGAAGCAGAGCTCGGAGCTGCAGACAAATGATGCCGTTCATCCGCCGTTATTTAATATTATTAAAGAAAGCTAGCTGAGCTGCCGTTTCTTCCCGAGCTGGAGCTGAGCTGAGCTGAGCTGCGCTGCAGCTTACAATCACATTCAGCACGATCCTCGACGTCGAATTCTGCACTGATTCCACCGTAAGGCTCTGCAGTCCCTGTCTATGACCTATTTTCTCCTCCGTCGGACCACCGTGGCGATTACTCGCCACTGCCACAGTTCCTCGCGGTCCGGATGATGGCGGTTTTCACTGCCATATCTAGATCTACAGGTTGGTCCAGTGGGACTCAGGAGCACTCCGATGAGGAAGCCTATCCATCTCATATACAACATGACCGTGGAACCTCTGGAAACTCGCGGTGAAGAGTCCATTAGTCTCCGAGACACGGGGGTTAATAATAATGATTGATTCCTGGAAGGCCGAACGTGGATCGAAGTGGACAATCACGTGATCTACAGTGCTGACCACAGGTACCTGCCTGGTCCTATCATTTCCACCCACTGATCAAACCCATCCATCAAACGTCTGCCCTCGTCCTTTCTCTCTCGGCTAGGACTCGTCCCAGGCAATCGGGGGAGCAAGGAGGTTGATCTGCACCATCCCCAACGCGGAAGAATGATTTCAATTTTGCCCTTGCTGAAATCGGCCTCCTGATGAAAGATGAGTTGCCGTGCAGGCGCGAGAAATTACGCCTTATTCTTCAATTCTGGTTATGTATGAACGATTGTGCGAACGAGGATGCTCGAGCTTTAGGCATCGATACGGTCGTTCCCATCGGAAAGTGGACGAGAGAGACGATCGTATATTGGAGAGGAGCAGAAAATAGTTGCAATTGTCCAGGACGCTGGGCTGTTTCTCCAGCCACATACCCCGGCAATGAAAGCAGACGAATGGGGTGGAAGCTATCCTAAGCCAACTATGTACCTGACCCTGGCCAAGGCTCTCACGGCGGCTGGACATGACGTCGAAGGGGTCTCTATGCAGCTGGCAAAGCTGAGTTGATGATCAGCGACAGGCCACCTGGACTTCTCACTCACGGCTTTACTGAGGATTGTCAAAGTACAACGACTTGATACTTGTGCCTCACCGGTTCCGCCTTGGGGATAGCAACAACTGGCACCGGTAAAGGGAGAAAGGGACGAAGGTGTCCAGTGGGAGGGCTCCTGGAAAATACATTGGAAAAAAGATGCTCCGTGCATTCATTGGAGAACTTGGACATGAGCGTGAAGATATTCTGATTGGAGCTTGTCAAAATGAAGTGAGGGGGACCACAGCGCAAATCGCAGCAGGTGATGGCACAGAAGAAAGCGAAGAAGATTTTGAAAATGGTCCGTGAATTGGTACTTGAATGGCTAGGTCTTGCGCAGACGATCAACATGATAACTAGCAGATCCTTTTACAGCATGTATAATGTCAAGAAACACAGTGTTAGTGGTCAACTACGTGCGGACAGTACTTGAAAAGGAGACAGTTACAGTATAGGAAATCAAGCCATTCAGGCTACTAAATACTATGTACATGAAACAAAACAATATCTTTTTACTCTTCGAATCCGACAATCACTCCGCATCCAAAGGCGCTACAGGCGGCTGATTATCCACCTGGATGCCACCACGCTTCTTCTCAAAGCTATCAGCGAATGGAAGTCTCCAGCCGCCCTCATCCTCGGGGACGGACAACCACAGACGCAGGAGGTGCCGGCGGGGCGCAGGCGGGGCGTGGTCCGTGTATGCGGTGCGAGCGTGCAGGACGTGCGTGTTGGTGACGAACTGGATATCGCCGACGTCGAGGATCATGTGCAAGGCCAGACGCTGGGCGGTTTCTTCCAGAACGCGGAGGGCTTCCTGTTGGCGGTCGGAGAGGGGGGGGATGATGCCCTTGTCGGAGAAGCGCGTGAGGGAGCGGACGTAGTAGGGGTCCCATCTATCATCGTCAATTAGCTTGTTTCGTTCTTTCTTTGGATAACTCCTTCCTGGATCTAGGTGGCATACTTGGTGTACACACGGGGGTTCTCTCCCTTTTCAAGGTAGATGACGCTGGTCCGGATCCATTCTTCCTCACCCTTGCTTGTCTCGCCCTTGCGGTCAAAGTACCAGATGGGCTCGGAGAGGGTCCTGAGGACGTCGGGACGCTCCTTGTACAGGGTATTGTAGACATTGTGGGAGGACACGATGTCTGATTCGCCGCCCTCGAGGGCCTTGGCGATGCAGAGCAGGCCGACCATGTCGCCATTGTCGGTGTGGAAGAATTGGCTGGCCACATCAGTCTTGTCTTGTTCCATGGCAGGGGAGGGAGGGGGGCTCGCTCACCGTGCATTAGTACGATAGATACGCACTTTATCAATCTGCTTGGAATCCTCTCCCAGATCCTTGACGTGACCCAGGACATGACCACGACTGTTCTGGCTGACGAAGTAGCCGAGATAGGTTCCCAGACCCATGTAGGCGACGGCGGACTTGTGGTTGCCCCATTTGTCGACGGGGAAGCCCTTCAGGAGGATGAAGCCCTTGCCGTCGATGATGTCTTTTTTCAGGGCGAGGAGGAAGGATTCGAGTTTGGGGAGGGGGAAGTTGGCCTGGTCGGTTAGCACGGGTTGAGACCTTGCTGTCATGCTGTGTACACACCTTGGAGATACCAGTGAGGGGAACGTGAGAGGCGATAAACTTGTCGGCCGTCTGGCTCAGTTCTTCGATCTCCTCCTCAGTGAAGCGATGAGTCCACCTCTCGGGGTTGTTCTTGTAGTCCTCAGCCTTCCAGACCGTGGGACCGGTGATCTCCTCGGGGAAGTCCTCGAAGGGACGCAGCTGGTCGTACAGCGGGGGATGCTGGCCGGAGGTCTTCAGGCCGTCGGGGAAGATGTCGAGGGGGACATTGCTCAGGTTCAGCTTGTGAGGCGCTGTTGGGGGGGTTTCAGTGAGGGCGGGAGCCATTGTATGGGTCTATATGCAGTGCGTATACGAAGTGAAAAGCAGCAGAGATGACTTCTATGATTCAGTAATTGAAAGAGAGAAAAGAAAAGGAAGAAGAGAGGCTATTTGTACTTAGCCCACCGTAGATTATCAGATTGCGACATTGATGCTTGATACTCTGCGGAGAGCGTTGGTTGGCGCTTCATCTCGCCATCCAGCCATGGGAATTGCGCCATCTGTTAGTAGGAGGGGAATACTACTGAATCCTGCAGAAATCTTCGTGGAATACGTACTGGAAGAGGTTTTATCAAGTGGTCTGTTCACGGATCAACTTATTGTCTGCAGCAGAAGATTAGGAGTACAGTCTGGAGAATGCCCTGTGCTTTGTCTAGCCCTAGTTGTTGCATCCTGAGGAAGACTCCGGCCTTATAAGCACTGCAAAGTATACTGCATAGTATATACACCCGACTCGCTTCATAAGACAACCGCCATCAATCCGTCCTCGACCTTAGTATTTAGTATTTAGTACCTACTCCCTAGTACCGTACACTGTACCTGGTAGTAATCCATGGGTCCAGCCAGATTACCCCATTAGGAAACCCAATCCCCTCACAACGGAAACGAACCCCGCCGTTATCGGCCATCTTCGCCCTGATGAACCTCATGGACTCCCTCCATTGCCATGAGAACAGATCACCTACAGAATGGCTCAAACAATCCACGTCGCCGTCCTCGACGTCGACGCCCCCATGCCCGCCGTCTACGCCGCCAGAGGCCTCTACAGCTCCCAATTCAGAGTCCTCCTCCAAGCCGCGGCGGCACGGCTAAACAAGTCCCACGCTTTCTTCACAGATCACCCAGTCACCGTCCATACCTCCGCCTACGATGTCGTCGGTCATTCCTTGCCGCCGCTGGAGTATATGCGGACGAGTCCATATTCCACGAGTGAAAATGCAAATGAAAATGCATCTGCAAATGGACCAGGCCCCATCGACGCAATCCTAATCACCGGCTCCGCGGCCTCGGCATACGAAAGGGGAAAGTATCCCTGGATCCCGGAATTGCAGTCTTTCATCGTTGAAGTGTTCACGAAGTACCCGCATGTCAAGATCTTTGGGTCCTGTTTCGGTCATCAGATTATTGCCCAAGCCCTGCTGTCTACAATACATCCGAATGCACGTCCGGATAACGACAGCATCCGAACATGCGTCGAAGCCTGTCCGTCCGGTTACGAAATCGGCATCCACCCCATACAACTCAACAAAGACTTCACGACCCATTTTGCCCCTTTCTTTCCCAAATTAACCCGAAAAGATGAGTTTAGAATCCAGTTGATTCATGGTGATAGAGTCATTCCTGTCTCTTCTGCTGCTGCGGCGGCATTGTTACCGCGTCCCTGGATCAACCTGGGAAGTACTCCCCTCTGTCCCGTACAGGGTCTGTATCTCCCCCGTCGCGTCCTGACGTATCAAGGCCACTTTGAGTTTGATTCTTTCGTGAACAGGGAGACGTGTCTTGAGTTTGCTAGGAGGGCGGGGTGGGAGAGGTCGTTTGTGGAGGACTCCTTGGTGAATATCGAGCGTGCGACAGCTGGGTCGTGTTCGTTGAGTGATGGTCTTGCGTATGGGGAGGGTGATCGGGATGATTCGAGGTTGGCGGCAGAGATGGTGGTGGTGTTTTTTCGGGGTTGGGATGGAGATGAATTTGGAGATAGACATGGACATGGACTAGGTGTTAATGTTCATCCTCAGACGGGGATGATTACGCCTCCGTTTGTTGAGATTGGATGATCATATACCAATGTCCTAGATTAGCATACGCATAATGAATAATATGCTATAGAGTAGACATAAGAACTCCATCCCAGCCATAGTACCCGACCCGCTATCCATGCTTTTGGAAGAAAGGAAGAAGAATAAAAAAAAATATTCACGAAACAATCCGATAGTTCCCCCCGCTCCCAATCTCTAACTTCCCCTTCGCTACCATCCCCGCCAGAAACTCCCGCAGCTCCTCGTTGCTGAACGGGAACCCCCCCGGCACCACCATCTTCAGCATCATTGCAATCTTCTGCAGCGGCATCGCACCCTGGTTCGTCAACATCCCCATGATGAACTGCCAGTATAGGTTCATCTTCTCCATTGCCGCTGCTTCCGCCGATTCCTTGGCCGCCATCGCTTCCGCTGCTGATGCGGCCGCCGCGGCACGCGCCGCATCGTCATCCTTGCCCTTGGTTGATGTGCTGGGATCATCGATGTCCCCAGTATCCGCGTCCTGCGTTTCCGAGGGAAGGATTTCGAGGACTCGGAACCGGTCACGCGACGCTTCTGTGAGGATGCGTTTGCTTACCCAGAACAGACATGCGCTGCGTACGAGAGAAGGCGTCATCTGCAGCTGTTCCGACAGTTCGGGAACACTAAGCGTTACCGGATCTTGTGCATTGGACTGAAAAGCGTAGATGACGCTGGCTTGCCAGGTCGTCACTTCATCGATGAATACCCTATCCTCAAGATCCAGCTCAACGGTCACTTGTCCTAATCCATTAATCCAAGTAAGCTTACGAGACTGTTTGAGAGACTCGAAGCCAGCTGCATATCGCTGTTGCAGCTGTGACACCTCATCAGGAACCTTGAAGTCCTGGCCCTGAATCTCCGGCCAGAAGAAACGAGATAGTATCTTCGCATGCAATTCCGGCATCCCGCGTTCTTCTTCGATTATATCCGCAGGTCTGCCAGGCGTCACAGGGCCGGTCACTAGTCCCTGATCATTCCGCACCACAGCATCAACCCGTCTGGAGTCGAAAATATCCCGTAGCATGACTTCGCACGCCTGCAGAGCCGAATCGCCGAACCGCATCTTCAGTAATTCCAATACTGACATTTCCTGATCGAAATCTGCACGCTTCCGGAGCAGGCGCTCCGCCAACACATTCTGCATTTCTTTCACAAATGCTTCTTTGGACTCAAACAAGCTGATCAAACTGCCAATCACGTCCGATGATCTCGACTTCCGGTAATCTGGCGCTGCATCAATCGGATCCGGCATCCAATTCATGTCGTCCCAGTCCAGTTCGCCGCTGTCATTGCGCAGGCTAGCTTGGCGATGCGCATTGGCTAACTCTGCTGCCAATTCGACTAGGGTTTCAGTGCTTGACGAATCCGGCTGCCCGGTGGCGTCCACGGGATCCGCCAAAAGGCCACCTACAATTACCTTGATGGTATCATTGCGGTCCCGTAGATATCTGCGAATGGGCCGAGCGACACGGTCCAGAAGAACACCCTTGGGGTCTAGAAGATTGAATGCTCGGATAATTGAGATGTACACTTGTAAGATCTCCACTGTCGAAGCGCCTGGGTGTAATAGCCTTTGGTTTAATACGGCGGTGAATGAATGCGTCAAATAAGATCTCGCCGCAGGATACGTCGTGAAATACCGCAGATCTTCAACAGCGCCGATGCTTACAGGCCATTCGACGATAACCTCGAAGAGTTCCGAGGTTCGAAGCGCACCGAGACGCGCAACGGCAATCTCCTGCCATTTGCTCACATCCCCTAGACTCACGTCCAGACGGTCTTGTGTCTTTATTTCAGTTTCAGGGGCATTGATGATAGCTAGGACCTGAACCACCAGCCGAGAAAATAGGTTTTCTACCCATTGGCGAAGATGCTGCGGCACCGATGTCGGTCCTTCCCATTGACCCGTGTATGCAGCTCGGATGAACGCTGTCAGCATGGCGTTCATTACACTCGCAAATACCTTCTGCGCCTTATTTCCACCAAGGCCAACAAGCTGCAGGTCACGGATGAATGACAGCAGTCTTTCGCGAGCCACAGTGACTCGGATATCCTCTCCCTCGGTCATCATGAGCATCCTCGCCTCTGCAGACGGCTCGTCTCTCCAATCACGATATGAAACCGAGTATTTTCGGTCCACATCCATGTCGTCAGTAGCAGATCTATTCCCATCCTCTTCACTCAGCGTATCAATACCCAAAATGACCCAGGCCTCCCTCGTTAGTTCCCGGGTGAGTAATGAAGAGATCCGAGACCATGGTAAAGCATATAAAACTATGGCATGAAAACTGCGTTGAAATTTGACGAAGGCTCCTTCTTGCGCGGTGCTATCCACAAGAGGTAGAAGAAATTGAAGAAGGGGAGCAAAATAGATCCGCCGCGCCAACTGGAGACAACCGACGACTTCCTGTAATGTGCCTGGGTCTTCTTCGTCTGAATGATCTAGTAGCTATAACAACCACTAGTTAGGAAAAAAGGGTTAACCAAATGATCCCCATAAAACGCATACCTGAAGCAGTCCACTCCGAAAATTCCTCAGAAAATGCCTCCTGACTTCATTCCCATACCATTCTAGTAAATCCTGATCCGGGGACGATGGAAACCCTTCTCTGATCACATACGCCAGCGCATCAGCAGTCTCCTTGGACAAGGAATCGTACCGATTCCACTGCTCCAAGATCTCCACCTCGTCGACTTGTTGTTCCCCCTCAAACCCTGCCAACACCTCAAACCCTTTATCCGGAACCGCTAAGAACTCCGTCGCCACACGCCATGCTCGACCCCAGGTGGCCTGATCCAGCCACGATTCATTCAAGGCGCTAGCAGCTGTGGTGTTGTTGCTGGTCGAGTGAGACGACGCGGTAGAAGGGCGATTCGGTGACGTGGGAACATGTGTCCCTTCGACAACCTCGGATCGAACAGACTGGCCTGCTGTTGTAAAGCTCCAAAATGTCACTGTGGTGTGAGAGTCCCCAGATGTGAGAACTTGAGGCGCTGCGGGCGGGAAGACCGAGTCGAATACACGCTTGCAACTGGAACCGGGGGTAGCTCTGGTCTGTAACATTGTGGGCTGGGCTTCACTTGGGGTTCATTGCGTCTGAAGAGTCGGTGATGCCTGTCAACGCATATTGTTCCTCGTTTTGAGGGAACTGTCACCGACATCTGGCTGCACGCGATGAGACAGCGGCGCGTGTTCACGTGACCACGATCGTTAGGATGTTGAGTTCAAGTACAGCTAGGCCATCTTCAAGGGATCAAATGCATGGGAGATGATAATCAAAGATGTATTTGCAAGAATGAAGAAGAAAATGTACAGATCAGAGCAGCTGGTAGTATAATAGACCTCCCCTATGCACATAGAGAATTAAATGGGCGTCTTGTGGACTGCCCCGCATGGCTTCACCATCTATCATATGTATTGGGTATCTTTCAGTTCTAACACCAAAGGTAATCCATATCGTCATAGATCCAAGGTTAGATTCTTAATATCCCTGACGAGTCCCGAATCAACATGGACTCGATTTACAATGCTATGCATCCTAGCCCACACCAGCGCGTGAGCCGCTCGTCCTCGATCTCACCCATGACTCAAGCTCAAGAGACTTGTTTACTTGCTGCCGTAAATCATGAATTGTTACTGCTATCCACTTTCTCCCACTCGCTGTCCGTACTTCCGTACCCGGAGCTTTCGGCGCCAAAGCTGGGCCGCTTCCTGACCTCCTTATTCTCGGATGGCGGATGGAGAGCAGTCGAAACAGACGCCTTGGCATGTTTCTCCCGCTGGAAGGTTTCAGTCTCAGTATCACTTTCACTTGTATCGATGGTGCCTGGTGGTCTCATTGCACCGACGGACTTCAATTTATCCTCGGGCTCTCCTGGTTCCTCTGCTTCGGGTCTCTGTTCTTTCTCACTCGCAGCAATCTGTGTCTGCTTCAGTTCGTTCGCAAACCAGTTGATCGACCACCATAACGCTCCGGACAGGAAGGACAGGATGAAGAAGTGGATGCTGAAAGTACTGATGAGAAGGATGAAGAGGAGGAGTTGAAGCGCAGCGAAAGTGACGTTTGTCGCGACAAGCAAGGTGGGCGTCGCACCCGGAGTGAAAATACTGGACCAGAGGTCCTCCACGAACGAACCCATTTCGATGGCGCCTTCTTTTTATTCGAAAAGAGGCAGCGATGTGCAGAGAATCTTCTATTTTCAGTCTTCCTCGAATCCAAGGTGTTGAGAGTGATAATGACGTTCTCTTCGGAAATCGGAACCGCTGGAGAGCGTGTTTGGTCGCAGGAACAGGTCACAAGCGCGTGTGTTGCTGGGAGATGACGCGGGCTGAGAGTCCACCTACACCGATGCGGGGAATCCCTGACGATGTACGGAGTAGACGACAACGGGAGTAGCCGATCTAGGTTGTAGGATATAGAGGTAGATTGTCCAACGGAGTGGGGCAACAGCGAACGAAGAGCTTATGCTGTAGAAACCAACTGGCAACGGTCTGTTAAATCTTACGCAAGGGTGTGAATATCATCAATATGCTGCAGAAATCCTGTCAAGAAGAGAATTCTGCATGGTTGCGGCCTAAGAGGCTGACTAACACTTTAGGCACTCATGGATTCAACTACATCGGGTCAATAATCCTTCATAGGGACTGCTCCAAAATTTGATATTAAACATTAATATAGGCATATCAGATGCTGTACGCTGCATTGGGTAACTCCTTTGTAGACCTGTATTGGCAATGGTCATGTGTCCGGCACGTGCCTCCCCCCGGACTGAGCGCAAGCAACTTCATCAGCCATAGCATCCCCGGCCATCCCAGCCATTGAACCATCTCCTGCCTCTGAGCATCTCATATCCTTTGCCATATACACTGTAGGCGCTTGGGACGGTATCCTACTTATCAAGGTCTGTTTACTACCCCAGGTTGACTTGCCGGCCCAGTCCGTCATTCCTTCATTCGTTGTACGGTTTGCAGTGCTGTGCGTTGACTTCTATTTAATAGGCGCTTTTAAGCTTTTATAATGTCTTTGTAAACTATCTCAAAATACGTTCTTCATTATTTGTTGTTGAAAGTTTTCTTACACGAGTGAAGATACTAAGATCTAGCTGAGCTCATTCCTGCTCTGTTGACTTGCCCGTTTATCTATCTCCCTCGTTTCGAGTCGATTTTGCTGAGTAATATCAGTAATGGTTGTTCAAGACGAATATTCTTCCACGGAAGTCTCCCTTCTTGGACGAGACTCCCGTGGCTCCTTGCAAGAAGCTACTAACCATACAGAATCCCTCTTGGGATGTAGAGAGCCTTATGGACCCCCAGGTCTTGCTGGCCTTGTGGCAAATCCTTTTGTATTCCTCTGCGCAGCATGCTCTACCCTAGGTGGGCTCATGTTCGGGTACGATCAGGGCGTGGTGTCTATCATACTGGTAATGGACCAGTTCCTCGAACACTTCCCCCAAGTATCTGACCAAGCATCAGGTGCTGGATTCTGGAAGGGGCTGATGACCGCGATGATTGAACTGGGTGCTCTTCTAGGTGCTTTCAACCAAGGTTGGATTGCAGACAAGATCTCCCGGCGCTACTCAATCATTGTCGCGGTAGTCATCTTCACAGTCGGCTCGATCCTTCAGACTACTGCAGTGGACTACACCATGTTGACTATTGCCCGCCTGATCGGGGGTGTGGGAATTGGTATGCTCTCCATGGTCGCTCCCTTGTATATATCCGAAATTTCACCACCCGAATGCCGTGGCACACTGCTGGTCATGGAAGAGTTCTGTATTGTATTGGGCGTCGTGATTTCGTTCTGGATTACGTACTACACACGATACATGGCCGGAGATTGGGCATGGAGACTCCCTTTTTTATTGCAGATGATCCCTGGCTTTGTTATCGCTGCAGGTGTTGTCGTTCTCCCCTTCTCCCCACGGTGGCTTGTCTCTAAGGGTCGAAACGAGGAAGCTCTTCAAAGTCTTTCGAAACTTCGAAGACTACCCATCTCAGATAAGCGCATTCGGCAGGAATTCCTAGATATCCGAGTCGAAGCTCAATTTCACAAGGAAGTGGATGCTGAAAGGCACCCAGCTCTGCAAGGCGATGATATGAGAAGTACATTTCGTCGAGAACTGGCCTCCTGGTTGGATTGCTTCAGACGAGGCTGCTGGAAACGGACGCATGTGGGAATAGGCCTTATGTTCTTTCAACAGGTTAGTCTGCTGTGAATCTCTCCCCTCCCCGTTCGTAACTCACAGATGGAGCGTGCCAACCTCGATAATAATGTCTGAATCAACAGTTCGTTGGCATCAATGCACTCATCTATTACTCCCCCACCCTTTTTGAGACCATGGGATTGGATAGGGACATGCAATTGATCATGTCTGGAATTCTCAACATGATGCAGCTGGTGGGCGTGGCCAGCAGCGTGTGGACGATGGACTCTGCAGGAAGGCGTGTCCTGCTATTGACAGGGTCTGTTTTCATGACGCTTGCTCAAGTTGTCATTGCAACCTTGGTTCGTCTCTATGGCGAGGATTGGCCAGGTCATAGACAACAAGGGTGGACTAGTGTTGCCTTTCTCCTGTTCTACATGCTTGTTTTTGGATGCAGTTGGGGCCCAGTGCCCTGGGCGATGCCCTCAGGTAAGCCTGGATATCATGCGGCATCCTGTCGCGTCGCATCTTATAACGTGTCATATAGAAATCTTCCCTTCCTCTCTCCGCTCCAAAGGTGTGGCCCTCTCAACTTGTTCGAACTGGCTGAACAACTTCATCATCGTGAGTCCATGCCCCATTTATTGCCAAGCGTATGCCTTATTGACACATTTTCACCATTGTCAGGGCCTAATCACTCCGCCTCTGGTCCACATTACGGGATACGGAGCCTACGTGTTTTTTGCCATTTTCTGTGCCCTCTCATTTGCGTGGACATTCCTCCTTGTTCCCGAGACGAAGGGACGCAGCCTGGAGCAAATGGACGATGTTTTCGGTGATGGCACGAGCGGAGAAGAGCAATCCCGCCGACAAGAGATTGAGACGGCTCTGCTAAGAACTGAACGTGAAGGTATGTTGACGTTAGTCAAACCATGTGAGCTGAAGCCCCTGGGAGAAGAGAAAATTATCCTGATTCTGCGTGGCCTGCTAATGACAAGTGCATTGAAAAAGACCCTCACTTGCCGTTATCGAGATCCGGCAACGCATCACCCGAGGAGCTCCCGTTGTTGGGAAATATCAATCAATAATGAGATCAGCGGGGAAGCACGTCTTCCCGTCCCTAGCAGATGACGAATGCTTTCCAATTCTGGGTTTTGCTCGCCTCGTTATCTCCGAAGCCGACCAGCGCAGGTGTACAGCATAAGTACACTACGGATCAATGGCAGGTTGAGCCTTGCCGTAACATAACTGCAATTTTTGGATAGAACATAGCTGCATAGAAGCGTGTTGTCATTGCTAGAATATTTGCTCAATTAGCGTCGGGGTGGAAGGAAGCCTAAAACCGATTACCAATGCCGGCTTATGTGGCTATTATTAGAAGTTGCTGCCATACTTAAAGAAGAAAATGAGCTGCGCGAAGAAGGAAAAAAAAAAAGGGAAAAAGACTTCCGCACAGTGCACACTGCAACGACGGCGCACACTAGGCTACAGGCTGGCAGGGCTAATGCACCATAAGTGTCATCTTATTCATCCCAAGACCCATTTCGGAAGAGAACTAGACAATCACTGCCAACACAGGGCGCAGTCCAGGCCATACGCAGTGCCAACACGGCGTGATGGCCCGAGATACCCGAAAATGATGGGTTGAAGTGAAACGGCCGTACATAAACCAATGCAGGCCGATTGGCCCTGGTGCTTCCCTTTGGCCATCGATGCGGAGGGTCCGTCCATGCGGCTTTTCGCTCATCCCGCAAAGCCATGAAACGAAGCCATGGACGCAGTCGTGGCCACTGCACAGCCCTGCCTTCGTGATTATTTCGGTATTCCCCCACCGCGAACCCCTGCTAGAAGCTGTCAGGAATCCCGGACTGCTCGACGTGGCTTGGAACCAGGAAATTTGGCCTGCGGGAATGCATGGGAGGCTGCAGCCAGTGGGGGCCAAACTCATTCGGAGCAGCGAAAAAGACAAAAAAATTCAGAATGAAAATTCAAAAAAAGACACCGGTTGATTCACTAAGAACAGACAGATCAGGCAGTGCATAACTGCCAGTGGCTGCCCAGTTCCGAGCGGCCGATCTAAAGCCGATACTTGTCCTCGCCATCCCGGTCTCACCTCAATCTAACCTTCATTTATTTTTACTTTGATGTGATACGGAGTGCGATATGACGATGTCCTGATGCTCTTCTCTTTTGATGGAGTCGGTCTGGCTCTCTGCTCTTCATTCATTTCTGCCTCTGCATATGCATGCACCGCGCTTGTCGGTACAAACCATGACATATGACACATCCACCTGTCAGGTACTCTACGACTTGTGCTGGACGACCGAACAGATCGATCAGGGATGACCCTGTTTGGTTCAGTCCAGAGCTTTCGGAAGCAACAGCAGATCACCAGCGTCATAGTTGCTAAAATGGCCCCCAAAATATAGAGTAGCGGCGGCCCAGGACTCCACCGGTGTGAAGCTTGCGGTCCACGAGAGACCCGCACGGTGATGTCTATTAACAATTACTCCCTCGTGGAGGTGGATCCTGGATGTCCAGAACCACCGTCGGTCCGTCGATGCTGATATGGTTGGGGACAATAGATCTATGAATACATCATCCGTTCCTGTTTTCCAATCAACCACTGCACCGCCCGAGATGCAATGCCAATCGCCCAGTTTCTTGACCGGCGCTCCTGAGATGCAGCCCTCTCACTGGCGGGATTCGCCGTTTCATCTCTTCGTCCTCGTTGCTTAGCTAGCTAAATCCAAGTATTCGTTCGGGGGCCAATGATCGACCCTATCACCCTGCTGCTCAGTAAAATTCCGATCCAGGATTGCACGTATTATGTGGAATACGATGACAGTGAGCACATTTTTTTGCAGCAGGTAATTACTCGTAAACCTGTCCGTAATCTACAGCGTACATTCGATAGTTGTCGATATACTTGGTAAGCCAGTACCGCTGCCTGCATTGGGTGGCTGCGCGGGGATTCTCTCGTCTTTTTTTCATTTTCTTGTTCATTTCCTCTTCTTTCCCCTTTCATAATTTTTTTTCCTTTCCGATCCTCTTCGATTGATCTGGCTGGGCGAATCAGCTAATACTCCGACGAGACCTCCTGCAGTTGATTCCAGCCGGCTCAGTCATAAACGGAGATGCATGCCCTCACTTTCCCACTTTGTATATTAAGCCTCGGCCTGTCCTTATGATTTCGTTTTATTATTTACATCATTGATCTTTTAATCTTCGTTTCCCTTCTTTCGAGTACCCTAACCTGTCAATCATAATAGGCAGATCATCCGTCCGCGACACGATCCCACAGGATCAGAAAGCTTACGGCCTATTTTATCACCATCGCCACGGATAACTTGGCAACCGAGGCCTCTGTCTGCCGATTTCATACTCCCTATATCGCATTCTCCAGCACAAAAAAAATCCATGTCCGGCCCGTAGCTCTAGTTGGAATGCTCTATCTTTCCCACGGCCTCATTAGCATTGCTCGCTGCGGAAAGGCTGCTCCGTCGTTCGTTCAGTCAACACAGTCGTTTCGATCCCTCAATCCGCCTTGAAGAAGAATATCGAGTCTATAGGCTTCACTTTCCAGACTCTAGGGTAGTCAAGTGTGCATAGTTCACGGCGTTTTGGCCTCTACTCGTGGTAGACCCCGGGACACTGCTGAGAAGCCAGTTGGACTGCAAGGCTCGTGAATCTTATGATGTCCTCATTTCATACGCCTGCAAACCACAACGCATATTTAACAGAGCAGATGCATCAAGGCGCATCAAGTACGTCGCTCTCTCCCATGGTATTCTCTTCGCCTATCCTCGTTCTGTGGAGCTAACTTTGGCAGATTATGGCTGGGCAAGTCGGCAGCCTTATAATCTTCAGCCCTCTGTTGCAGTGACCGGGCAGTCTCTGCCGCACCCACAACCTGTTCCTTCTCCCAGCTTTCCTAGCAGGTATGATAACAATGCCTTTCAGAGCAGCCATCTGCAGGGCTACTATCCCCAGACTGGCTTCTCACAGCACTATCCCTCTTCCCAGTCCCCTGGCAGAGTCTACCAGCCTAGAAGGTATGCGTCCTTTTCTAGAATCTACGTGACGACTGGAACCGGGATAAATAAGCTGACTTGCGTGTTCGATAAGGGCGCCAGTAATACCGTCTGTTCCCAGCAATACTCTCCTAAGTAATCCTCCGTCATTTCCAGAACAACAAATGTTGCATTCGTAAGCATTGCCTTACAGCGCATTAGGGTTTTTGGTTCAGCGTTGATAACAGTGTTCTAGGTCACCGTCATACGTGCTTAATCACTCAGAGTACTATTTACCTGAATCTTCTTTGCCGTTGGTCCCCATCTCAATTCTCCTGCGCCATTTTGGAGAGCAATATTAACTGACGTAATAGCCAACCGATCAGTCCTCACCGAGTATCGGTGCCAGCAAGCTCTCATGCTCCTTCTTTGCCGACTCCTGAGACCGTCTACTCTTCGCCCGAACCGGCTCCTACATCATCAGAACCCGAACGCCAGATCCCGGTCACCAGCTCCCGACCGCGGCCCCAATGCTGGGACCACGGGTGCAATGGTCGTGAATTCTCGACTTTCAGCAACTTACTGCGCCATCAGCGAGAGAAGTCCGGTGTGATTGCTAAAGCAGAATGCCCCATCTGCGGCGCTGTTTTCACTCGAACCACGGCTAGAAATATACACGTGGCTCAGGGGAAATGTAAATCTACCGGAAGGGAGGCCCCGGTAGGGTGAATAACTGCAGTTCCTCGACAATGAGAAGATTGACATGGTTCCCAAGCTGTGGAATTCCTCCTAGTGGATTCTGTCATTTCTTATATAATTCTCCCCTTGTTTGAATACATGCGTATATATAAAAAATAGTCTATGAATTATGGGATATGAAAAGGTGTCCAGAGTATTTGAAAAGATGCTTGGAGTACTTCGTACCGTGGAATGCCGTGCTCACTGAGGCAGCAACCGCAATGAAGCTTACGTCATCAATACCGTGCAGGTCAGCTGACCGGGATCCTCGAGCGCATCGCCGACGACCAGAGCTGCAACGTAGACGCGCTGCCTGCCTAGCTTCCTCCACGGTGACTCATTCTTCACCATGCAGTTTCTCTATTAAATAAGGCTCCCCTACCTCTGTACACCCCTTCATTGTTCAATTGAAAGGGTAAACAGTCACAGCCACATCCGGTTTGCGTCTGTGATTCTACTTCAATCCATTCGAAAGGATAGCATCGTATTCTGATCCCCCAAGATGATTTTATTACTGTATTCTATTCGCCAAAAAAAACAAGTTTGCTATCTAGTCTACTGTCTATTAACATCTCGATTATTACGGCGTCGTTTATCTTGCGACCAAACGCGAATACATCGCCTAGGCTTAGTATAAGCTGTCCTGTTCACTGGTTTCGAGTATCCTGCATATTGATCTGTGCATTAGCCTGCTCTCCGGGTACTGCCGTACTTGATTTGGACTAAAGCTACAATCTTGCTGGGGCCATGGCATCCATATTCACATATGATCCTGACCCTCCGAGGGTGTCGTCTCCATGGTCTACTTCGGGGTCTTCTACTCCCCATCCTGCTGCCACGGGTGCTCGAGATGTGGCTGTTAGATCTCGTTCCAGCACGTATCTTGGCCATAATGATCCCGACTACCTGTCTGATTATGGTATTACGAAGCTGGAGCCTGAGCCACAGGAAGGTCCTACGGAGTATAAACTTCATCTTCTCCTGCGTCCGCGAAGGCTGTACACATCTATGTCCACCGGCCACCTGGTGAGTGGTTCCTACCATTCACGGGCGAGCTTGTCGTCTTCAGTTCCATCTCCGTCAAGCTATGAGACGAGTCCGCGGCTCACGAGCGCAAGACCGCAGCCGGCCAGGTCGGCTCAAAGCCGTCAACAGCGGCTGCAACAGTTAACGACGCAACTTCTGTGGCGCTTGCAGCAGTCGTCTCCGTTTCATTCTTCTTCCACTGCTAATCCAGTCCTGTCCGGGTCTCCGGAAGTAACTCCAAGGCTTGGCTTGCCTCCGCAGAAGCCTGTCCGGTTGCTACCTGGTCTTGAGGAGAGCCAGGGCGCTCTGTACGAGATCGGGGTTGCCGATGATGGGACTTTAGTGGGTCTTACACCGGACGAGTTAGAAGAGAGTCTGACCACTCTGCAAACCATGGCAGCCAGTCTGGGCTGCAAAGTGGAAATTCTTCGTAGGGTCGTCGTTGGGACATGTGAGTGGGTTGAAGAGCAGCATACCGGTCGGGAGAATGAGGCGAGTAAATGTCGTGCGGAGAGCCTATGGGTTGCCGAAGCGCTCGTCACACCGGATTTAGATTTTTATAAATCATCGGGTTCATTCAGAGAATCATCGCAAGTGAGAGCATTCCAGGGACAGTCGGCCGAGGAGAGGACGGTATTTCAAGGGGACTACTCCAGCACGGAACAGATTCGTGTCTCCATTACCGGTCCAAGCACCGCTGGAAAGTCATCCCTATTAGGCACTTTAACGACGTCTGTGCTTGACAATGGACGAGGGAAAAGCAGATTGAGCTTACTCAAGCACCGACATGAAATTTCATCGGGAATCACTAGCTCAGTCGCCCAAGAACTGATCGGGTACGCATCCATGCCGTCTAGTTCGGAGGATGTCGACATTATAAACTATGCATCCAGCAATGTTGCTGCGTGGGATGACATCCATGCAGCATCTAATGATGGTCGGCTTGCCTTTGTTTCTGATCTTCCTGGTCTAGTGCGCTACTCCAAGTCTACTCTAAGGGGGTTGATCAGCTGGGCCCCTCATTATGTTATGCTTTGTATTCCGGCTAACAGCGATGAGGAGATTACGCCTGATGCTAGCAGAGATGCCGCTGAACAAATAATTGGGACTGAGCTTTGTTTGTCCTACCTGGTCCTTTGCATGAAACTGGAGGTGCCAATTTTGGTGGTAATCACTAAGTTGGATGTTGCATCTCGAGCTGGCTTGAAGAACACTCTTAGCAAAGTTCTATCGACGCTCAAAGTCGCGGGCAAGAAGCCTCTGATGCTACACACACCGGGAAAGTGCTCAAACCTACATCAGATACAGACGGTAGACAGTGAAGAGATAAGAAAAACGGTGACCGGTGTGCAGGATTGGCTCTCCACGGTACCTATAGTTCTCACCAGCGCTATTGATGGGTCTGGAATAGGCAAGCTACATGCTTTGCTTCGATATCTTCCCATTCCGCAGCATCCTCAGTTGAGATCTATCTCCTTGGATAAACCAACGTTACCGCACTACTCCTCGTCGGATATTTTCGACATCGACGAGGTTTTTGCGATCCCCCCGTCAAAGGTGTATTCCATGTCTGCCGAACAGAGATCTAAGGGGAATGAAGGTGTTGTTTTATGTGGCCTAGTGCGCTATGGGACAATCTCCATAGGCGACAAGCTAGTCATTGGACCTGTTCTGGTCGATCAACAGAGCGACCAAGGCAGTTTGCCGAGTCAAAGAATGCGGCTAGAACAGCATTCGCCGCAATCCTTGCGTAACAGGCAGCCTTCGGGGGAATTTTCGACTTCGTACTTCCATGGCTTTCATTCACCGAAATTGCCTACCCCAGTGCATGCACGCTGGCAACTTGTTCAGGTTGTCAGTGTCAGAAATCTCCGATTACCCGTTCGAAGTCTTACACAGGACCAAGTCGGCACTATCGGAATCGAGCCCGTATGCACCCCTGGAGAAGGCGACAACCCTCCTAGTCTTGGCAGGGTGCGAAAGGGAATGGTTCTAGCTAAATTTCGAGAACCGTCAGTTGAAAAACCGGCAGCATTCTATACTGGGTTTGTCGCTAAATTTCCGTTTAGCGAATTCTCCCCGTCTGTGTCTCCTCCCTTGCTTCTTGGCGGAAACGCCATCGTTTACATCGCCAATGTCCGTGCCACCGTAAAAGTGGCCTGTGTAACTCTCGCGGAAGACGAAGTTATCTCGTCACCCCCCTCGCCTACGGAGCCCGAGTTTTTCAGCTTCGACCATGACATCGGTGACCTGGAACGGGGTCAGAACGGTGGTGGGAATGGCAATGGCAATGGCAGTGTTCAACCTGAATTGAACAAGGTCATATCACGCTCGTCCTTTAATACTACACGTGAAGATATTTGGATTACATTCTCCTTCGTTTCGTCGATTGAATGGCTTGAGGTTGGGTCACGGGTGCTTCTCATGCCTGGGGCTTCCATGGCATCTTCTACCAGTGGTGATCCTGTGGCACTTTCTGGCCTCGAGGGGTTTGTTGGAAGAGTCTGCGATGTTCTAGCCGGCAGCGGTTGTGGAGAGAAATGAGTGCTTTCTTCTACGTTGATTTGTTTCGTTAAATATTCCGTCTCCGTTCGCTGATCGTTGATCTTATCTCCGCGGTAGAACGAGCATGGTTCCTGTAGTACAATGTCTAAAGACGATTCTCTATCCTATTTTGTAGTTGAAGACAATTCTCAAGATGAACTCATCCGGTTGAAGCATCGAATGTAGATACATCAAGGTACACTAAAATAGGCATGGGCACGTGCATCTGGGGTAGACAGGTAGATTCCTGAAGAACAAGCCAGCCTCTATGTCGACTGATGTTCCTTTCCACCGATTCCAACCACCACCATCAACGCACGTTCTTTCACGAAGAATCTATCTCCTTGCTTCGCTTATACTAACTGTCCAGCCGCAACATAAATGCCGGAGCTACTGTCTCGTCACGTTATTGCTTAACTCCATCGTATCCGTTCCGCCCAGGTGGAGCCTCTATTCGCTCCGAGCGTTTTACCTTCGGCGTCATTACCTCGAGATCTACGTCGTGTACCTTGAGTCCAGAACCCAGAAAGAAACAAAAAAAAAAAAAAAATAACGAGACAATTGTATCTGGTGATGCCATCAGACACGTTCGGAAATTAACGGTAAGGGAAAGAGATAGAGGGAGAGAGTGAGAGGAAATAAATAATAGACACAGAGAACACGTCAATCCCATCGGGGTGGTGGTTGGTTCTTTCGTTTTTCCGTTTTTACAATGGCGGAAAGTCCTTTTTCGCATCATGGAGATAATATGGGTGGTTCCAAGGGGGATCCAAATCAGTGCGATGGTGAGGGTGTTGCCTCGAGTCAGGATGCGGCTGGTTTGACATCGTCGACGACAACGGACAAGAAGCCGTTACGGTTGCTCGATTTACCCATGGATATTTTGACAGAGATTATCAAAGAGGTAAATTGGTTATTCTCTTGTTTTCAATATTTCTGTCCTCGATCGCCATTGACAAGTTGGGTTCATATGTTGATGGCATTCTTGTTTCTGAATATTCCAAGGTTACACAGACGAACGATCTGACGTCGCTAGCTCTGACGTGCTCTGCTTTGCATGCGCTTGCTATCCCTCTTATGTATTCTCGGTTCGATATCGTGTGGCCTGATACGTTGACCACTTCGGATCATCCTGCTGGCGTGGATGCCCTTTCGTACGGTCTGGCAACCCTTGTAATGGGTGAGGATGTCTTTCACCAATTACCCCCTCCTCCTTCCCTTCCGTCGTTTAACACAAAGACCCCGGTTTGCGGCAATTGCGGTTGCAACCCGGGAGATCGTCACGATGTCTTGGACTCCGGGAATTGGGGCTTGCGGAGAATCCGACGAGGGAACTATTATGCTCAATACACTCGCAAGTTCTCTGTTGGAAATGGCCCCTTAGTCTGGGTCCAGGAGTACTCGGTTACGAAGGAGACGGGGAAGATGCTAGGAACACTGGTGGCTTTGGCCGTGGTGAGGATGATAAATCTAGAGGCTTTTATATGGGACATGCCTACGGGAGTGGTGAGGGATATTTGGATTGCTCTGGCTTCACTAGCAGATCGGCCGGGCCACGAGTGCCGGCTGGAGCGCGTTTGGGTGCGATGGCACGACAATACAGAAAACCGCATGCGCTCCATTCCGGGGGCATATTCGCCATCGCAGCAAGGGGGTTTGTCGTCATTCAATTCATCTCTGCCTCCATCGGGATCGTCTCAGCAGCTCCGAAAATATGGGCTGGTGGAGTATCCATCTCTGTCCATCTTGCCTCCGTTGAAGAGCATCAGCGTCCTTGATATCGATGAGCCTTCTTATCTTGAGGAACTTGGTATACTCGTTGATCGCTCGCGAGATCGGCTAAAGGAATTACGAATTGGTATTTCTTTGAAGGTTATGAGGGAGGCGCGGTTTAAGCCTTCGGGGGATTGGGTGTCCCAGGAAACGTCTACTGATCACGACCCCTCTAGCTGGCCTAGAGTCGGTGGAATACTTGGGATACTTCTGAGCCCGTCTGACCGTTTACACTCGAAAGGAACCCGCCGCAAAAAGCAAGACACGACTGGGGATACTGGTTCTGTCACTGATGTGCAGGCACTGGAGCCAGCCAACGAGCCAGTTTTCTCACCGCAGAACCACCAACAGGAACTACCTGCAGCACAGTTAGAGGACATGCCACCTGTGGACAGGGATCCTCATACAAGTGAACCTACTGGTATTGAAGAAGCAGCTTCCCATGAAACGGACCAACAGCAACTGCTGCAAGGGGATAAGATGCAGCCTCAAAACTCCAACTCTATCAAGTCCTCAGCTACGACTACGCCCAAGGCCCCTAAATTAAACCTAGAAATTCTTGAATTGGAGCGCGTTTCGCTTTCTATCCCGGTCATGTCACGCGTCTTCAACTGGACCAAGCTGACCACCCTTACTCTCCTCCGCTGCGAAGACCACGAGAAACTTTGGCGAGCACTTCGCCGCCAATTCACGCCTCCTGGCACGTCACGGTCCAAATCCGGGAAGTCACAATCCCCTGAGCAGGAAAATACAGAGTATCCCTTAAAAATCAAGAATATCCACACAGATGCCGTTTCTCCATACCTCATGCTCTTTATGAAGGAAACAATTGCTCCAAATTCACTTGAGAGCGTTTTCTTGCAGGAGAACCCGGACTATAATTCTCCAGTTCATATTGAAGGCATCTATAGCCATGTGTTCCGGAGGCATCGGTTGAGTCTAAGGAAGGTGTTAATCGATAGTACGGAACGGTCATCTTCTGGGAATGAAATTGCTTCTACTCGTTGGCGCAAGTGGCTGTTCTCCCGCGAGATCCTATCGTTTGTTACCAGTGGACGTATGCCGCAACTTCGCGAGTTGGGAATGGCTATTCATTCGAAAGATTGGGTAAGTTCTCGGCCCCCCGCGTTTTCTTCTCTTGCTTTTTCGCTTTGATCTTGCTTCAAGTCTTGCACCACGAGACTCATAGGCTGCAGCATTTTTTCCTCCAAAGACTCCCCAATATCCCCCAAGTTCGCGCTCTGCATATCCACCACATTGCCCAATTATTCCATCGCGACCCGAAGGAGCTCGCCCTGCAGGTCATAGATATTGTTTCCATTCGTCCAGAAATCAGCGTATGCTATATTGGCATCCAGTCAAAATGCTACGAGATTTTGGAAGGCAGAGGGAGCGATGAACTCAGCACGTTCGACGACTCAGACGATGGCCAAAGCGACCCTCCTAACACCGGGTGGGGTTTAGGCGATCCAAATGGCGATGGTTTTTATGAAGACGTGGAAAATGATGATGATGATGAGGAGGAGGAGGAGGAGGACGACGACGACGACGACGACGATGAGGACGACGAGAATGAAAATGACGATGAGGATGATGAGGGTGCGCCCTCCAACTGGGCCTCTGAGGTTTCTTCAACAGGACAGTTCTCGGATGAAGAGGATGGAGAGTCGGAATACAACGACCGGTCGGGTATACGGTTTCGTTTACGTGAGATTCTGTTCTACGATGATAAGATATCTATTTTCAAGGCGAGGCATGCGGCTCTGTGATCTATTGCTATACGGCCTGGGCATCGTATGGTTCGAGTTTTCGGTGTTGAGGTTGAAAATTCTCGTTTGGCTTAGGTTGGCTGGTTTCATCTATCATGCCCTCTACTGTGGGGTGCACTATGAGATACCATTTAGCGAAGGCGCTTGGCCTATTGAATAGAATATTTTTGTTCGTGTCTCAACTGAATATAGAAGAGAGTGACGTCTGTTGACTGTAGAATCGAAACAGTCACGTGAAATCGGCGGTTCTCAGTAACGTTAGTAGACTTGGCACACCAAGTTCATCCAAGCTCTCTCCATGCAGCATTAGTATCAAGACAGAGTACATTTCCACGGCCGCACAATCCACCATCTTCCAGCCGAATACGGGTTGATATTTTCATTCGCCGTTGATTTATCATCGATTAAACGTTCTAGAAACAAGAAACGTGTCCCAAGCGCGCGTTGATCGGCGCGTCTTCTACCAAAATGAAGCTCGTCCGGTAAGTCCTCTCAAGCTGCGCAAGGTTTGCGGAGAAAAAGAGAGACATTTTGATCTGTATGTTTTAATGTATTCGAGCATCTAACTAATATCGAACGTGGACCTTCAGGTTTTTGATGAAATGCGCCAATGAAACGGTGACAATCGAGTTGAAGAATGGTTGGCATTATTTATTTTCCCTTTTACAACATCTTTTTATTGCGTTCCTTGAATATACACTACTGGAACTGCCAAGCGAGAGTGAAAGAATAAAAGAAAAATCCAAAACTAACATGTTTACTCACAGGAACAATCCTCCACGGCACCATAGTCGCAGTCAGCCCACAGATGAACACGGCCCTGCGCTCCGTGAAAATGACACCTAAAGGCCGCGAGACTATCTCCCTTGATACTATCAATATCCGAGGCTCCACGATCCGATACTATATCCTCCCCGACAGTCTGCCGCTGGATACGCTGCTCGTGGACGATCAGCCGAAGCCGAAGAATAAGGCGCGAAAGGAGGCTGATAGGGGCCGGGGTCGTGGAATGGCGAGGGGAGGAAGAGGGAGGGGGAGGGGACGAGGACGAGGAAGGGGGTTCTAAGTTTTCTTTTTTGCTCTTGTCTTCTATCGGAATCTGCTTACGGTTCATCGTCTTTTCTTTGACCTGGGGGTTTTTTTTATGTCTGCTTTCTATATTGAGTGTCACTTTTTTTCATTCAATTGCGATTTATGCCATGGAGAGAAGCAAAAAGCTGTGTTTTCTGTCTTGTTGCAGTTGCAGCTGAAAGGTTTCGGTTTGAAGATGCGCATAAGAGTTCGGATGGATGGATGTTCCGGTCAGATGAATTTTGTTTTTGAGGGAACAGAATTCATCACTGCATCTCTTTCTCGTCTCCCTTCCGGAGGTTCTGACGAGAGACCTCGCTAAGAATCGTACTGTTATTGAGGCTAGTCACTGAGCTTAGCAGGAGCCTCTGCACTGCACGATTCTAACCTGCCGGTGATGGTTGATAACATGAACCCAGCAGGATCTATTCCTCAATTGACGAATATAAAACCTTCAGGTTTATCTGTCCTTTTCGGTGATCGTAGTAGAATCCTCAATGGCTCCTTTCCAAATCCTCACAATAACCAACTTCTCCCAACCAGCCTGCATCCCACTTCCCCCAACAGTCTCAGCCATCCACCCATTCCCCCAACCGCATATCCTCTTCTTGACCTCCTCGGGCCGATTCTGCTTGCAGAGAAGCACATACGCCACTCCACGCACGGGATCCAGCATATCCGGAAGTGTCTGTAGAAAGCGATTGGTAACCTCCATCCCCTCCGCACCACCAGCATATGAAAGGGAAAGCAAATACGACTCGTGTTCGAACCGGTCCGATTTCGACATCGCCTCTAACGACGTCACTAGCGCGGAGGATGGTAAACGAGGCAGCTCCTCCGTCGGGACATATGGAGGATTGAAAAGTAGGACATCGACACTATTAGGACGTAAGGGACCGTATAGGTCCGCATTCAGAGACGCCAGGTATTGCGTTTTATGCGATCCGCTGTCGACGCCATTATCATCATCTTTTGCATGGCATTGTCGCTCACGAATGGCCTTCTCCACTGTCTCTTTGGTCGCGAGACATGCGTCGCGGTTCACGTCCGTTCCTAGCGCGAGGACATCTCTCCTCCCGAGGATCTCTTGTGAGTTGCCCGCTACGAAGCCTAGGATGACGCCGGATCCGGTCCCGACTTCGACGATGAGTGGGGTTGCGGTTGAGGGAGTGTCGGTGCCAGGGCTGGAAAAACGCTGCTTCAGCCAGGATGATTCTGTCGGGGACGATAGGGTGTCGAGGAAGACGTAGGAGTCTTCGGCTGGTTCGTAGATGGCGTCGAAGGAGACGTGAGAGGTGGACGGTGTGGGGAGCATGTTTCCTGCTGTAGAATGTAGTAAGTTGAGGCTTGAGTTAGTATCTTTTTTGGTTCTTGGAAGAAGCTTATGATTAGATCGTCCTTCAAGAACGATTGATCCGCTGCATATATTGCAATTTGACGGATAATATATCCCACTGAAACAAATAGGACTATCATCACAATTCTATGCAATAGTAAATACGCACTGAATGCATCAAAATAATAATTATAGATCCTCGGCAGAGCCAACCGGAGAAAAGGCCGGATATCCTCACGGCCCAACTCAACTCACCCTGCAACTCACTTACCACTGCGCTTCACCTAATAATATATACCATTTAACCTATCGTCAAAATGAGAGCCACCCGTCTCCTAATGGCCGCCCAGTCCACAATGGGCTCGAAATCCAGTCTCAGCCAAGCGCTCGCCCTCCTCCCTCCCCTGCATCTCTACCGCCGCATCCTCCGCGTTCATCGGAGAAAGCTCGATCCTGAGATGCGGTTACTGGGCGATCAGTACGTCAAGAGCGAGTTCCGCGCACACAAGACCGCGGAGAATCCGTTGCATATTGTATGATGGCATTCCAGACCAGACATCGGAGGGTTACATATAGCTAATGGATCATTGGTTCTACGGTTAGATCGGTTTCCTGACGGAATGGCAACTATACGCACAGAAGCTGGAGGGGGATACATGGGTGGGAGACAAGTTGGATCAGGCCAAGTTGGACAAGATGAGTGGTGAGTTCGTTGGAATAGCTCCGTTCAGGCTGTTCTTTATTTCTTTATGCCAATGCTCATGTTGTTCCGGTCTCATGCAGATCAACAAATCGGTCAACTCTACGAGCTTATGAAAGTCATACAAAATAAGGACAGCGGGGAAGGACACGAGTAATAGCATCCTGTCTTACCTATATACTTTGAGCGACGTGGAATCGCTTGAACTCCGTCGTTCCGCGGTATCGACACACAGCCACTCCTACTTCTTGGATACAGCATTTGCTCACAGAATCGGGTTGGGATCAAACAAGTTTATGGAGAGCGACTATGTCTGTCTGCAGCTGGTGGCTATAGAGCACCGCTCCCAGGCGGGTTTCTTGGAGTGCGGACTCAAATGCAGACCTGGGGGGGTCGATAGGGACTGCTCTGTAGGGAGAAAGGAATTGTATCTTGAGGCTTGCTGCTCTGGCAGTAACAGTCTCCTTCAGAGAACAAGCGGGATCGATGTATCAGTACTAGTGTAATGGTCAAAAGCATGCAAGATATTATCACTCTAGATGCATGGAAGAGAAGAGTATCTCTGATATCGGCAGGTCCGAAGTCGGACTATCGCAATGATACATTTGTCAAGCACGCCCTGCGGAGAACATCTATCTACAACGTTGTTTAGTTTAAAGAACTACATACAACGACATACAACGCCAACTCAATCCCACATAACTACCAAGAAACCCAAAGCAAAGCAAAAAGAAAGAAAAGAAGAGAATGCCTTCCATCCTCGAAGACCCAACCACTAAAATCCCACCCCCCAAACCGACAGCAGCACCAACAGATCTCAAACCCCGAAAGGCAACGCTCAAAACAGGCCAGAGAGTAACCTTCTACCCCGTCATAGACGGGTCCCAGGGCATTCCCGCCCCCCTGGTAGAGTTCCTCAGTGCTGAGTTCAGCGCCGAGCTGGAGAGAGGGTGCACGTATCCGATTGAGGAGATGAGTCTGAATACGTTCCGGGGGTACTGGTTTGGGATGTTTGCAGTTGTGGTTGTTTTGGATGATGATGATGAAGCTCTTCATGGGTTGCGAGAGGGCAGGAATTGGGAGGAGGTGTGCTTGGGGACCTTTTATATTAAGCCGAATTATCCCGGTAGGCATTTTACCTCCTCTCTGCTTCTTGTGTGCTTTATTAGATGATCCTTGTCTTGATACCTAACCCAGGCCGCTGCTCACATGTTTGCAACGGAGGCTTCCTGACCACCAAGACTGCCAGGGGAAAAGGTGTTGGTAATGTCATGGGTGAAGCGTACCTGGACTTTGCTCCCAAGCTGGTACGTTCAGTAATTCACTCATGTATCCCTGCATCCAGTGCATATATTGATCGCTTGCAGGGCTACAAATACTCCGTCTTCAACCTTGTCTTCGCCAATAACATGGCTTCGATCAGGATCTGGGAGAGACTGGGTTTCAGCATCATCGGACGCGTTCCAGGGGCTGCAAAGTTGGAGAATAGTGAGGAGTTGGTGGATGCGTTGATTATTGGGAGGGAGTTGGGTGAAAAGTCGGAATAGATGAGTATATATTTAAATACCGCACGCATGCATACAAAGTACATAGCTATGATCTTTTTCTACTTTGCAGGATTAATAGATAGACAGCATTCTAACTGTTGAAATTAGTATACAGGAAATATCGAGTCAACTTCAACCTTCGCATGACTACTAACAGGCCCGGAAATCGCAAAAGACAATCAAGACGCATCCCAGGAACCAAGACAACTGCAACACCTCATGCGAGTGGGGAATCGAACAGAATAAATGACCTGGCCATGGTAACAGGGTCCCCAGTCTTTCAATGCAACCGAACCTATGCATAATTAACTGTAGCACGAAAGACAGCAACAACAGCAGAAGACCAAGCCAGTTGGTAAAACAAGAGCAACCCAAGACCAAGGTAATGAATAATGAGGAAGAAAATAGCAGGGTATTTGTGATGCTTTTGAAAGGGTATTGTTTAAGCACGTCCGAGTACTACGACCGTTGACGTTGAAGACTGGATGATGTAAATAAATCCCAATGTGGATTACAACAACCTAACTGGAAATGTAAACGGAAAGGAAAAGGGAAGAAGATAAAAAAAAGAGAAAAGGAGTAAAGACAATCGAGAAGATGAAATGAGATTGAAATGACACCAGGCCCACATGGAGAATGAAGTTGGAATAAATCTGGAATATAACCAAGTCATTATATCGCAATCACCTCCATGGTGGCCGTTCGTCGAGCTTACTACGAGACCCCGACGACGTATCCCTTCCGGAGCGTGCCTTAGGCTGAGGGAGAAGACTGATACGTCGATGAGAATGTCCCAGCGCTGTTCCCGGGCGAGCCTTTGGAGGACTGCTGATCTCCGGACCCCGGCCGGTTGACCCAGTGCTTCTGCTGAATGGTGACGCACCGGCGTAGCTTTGTCGCATGCGAGGGACATTGAGCATATCCGACTCCCCGGATTGCTGCCGTCGTTTGCTGTAAGGGGGCGGGTCGAGGATGGAACGAGCCGGGCTAGGAGACACACCACGGCTAGGAGTGCGAGGAGCAAGTCTCGATGAGACGCGGCTAGCGGGTCTTGCCGCCATTGGGGCAGGAGACCTAGAGCTCTCTCGGCTAAAAGAGCCACGGAAATCTGCAGTCGACATTGGCCGACGAGGGACAGAAGGAGACCTGGCGTATGGAGAAGGGGTGGTGGCGGAGAGTGGCTTGAAGTTGTGGCCGACATCCAAGTCTCTTGTGTTGGTACTGGAGTTCCAGCGTGGCCGATTATTCAGTGTCGACGACGACTGAGAAGCGCGTTTTGCCCGAGCAGCTGATGCAGGTGTAAGCGAAGATATGGAGGAAGGCGTATTCGGTTTGCTTGAAGACGGTGTGGTCGTAGATGGTTTTGGAAGCGCCGATTTCTTGGTCAGCGCTGTTGACACCTGCGGTATGCCCGAGTAACGCTTAACCTTGGACATGCTGACAACGGAGCTGCCACGTCTACTTGAGGTCTTACGGCCTGCCGCAGGAGTCATGACGACCGAAGAAGCCGGGGAGCTTCCAGGTGTATCAATGACACTGCTCGCGCCCGGACTGTCAAGTGTGAGGCTGCTCGAGACAGAATCACGCGAATGCTGCATCTTAAAGGCGTTTATGTCCTCCAACGAAGAGTCCATGACCTTGATACTTGTTTTCAAAGCGTCCAACCTCGCCTTCATATCTGACAGTGATCTCAGAATCTCACCATTCACTGTCAGGCGATCTTTCACACCCTTCTGGATGATCGTGATCACTTGTTCGATGGCAGGGACATAGTGCAACTTCTTGGCTTCATAGCCCTCCATGCGCTTTGTTAGCAGGGCGGTATTGTGCAAGTGAGCACCCATCTCGATAGCTTCCTGCAGCTTCGCAATACCCCTTTCCACCGAATCGAACATCCTTTGCGCTTGACCGGACGCGCTGCGGAATACTCGGACCCATCGATCCTCGCCGAGTTCCTTTCTCAAGGCCTCGGCATCTTCTGAGAGCCTTTTGTAGCTTCGCTCTAACTGGGATTGCCGTTCCTCTAACTCCTCACAGGCGCTAGGGAAAATGTCCTCTGCCCGAGATTGAAACATGGAAATCCTCATCGGTAAAAAGTCCAACGATGCGCGTAATGGCTGCATGCGCGCGAACAGAGCCGTGAGGTCGGAGAGACTTGTTTCATTTTGTGGTGTCTGGATGATAGGTGTGTCTGCCATCGGTGTTGACGAGAAGATGGGACCGATACTGAATCGCTTATTCGTGCTCATATCGCCACTAGACGGTGCCTCCTCCACAATTGTTTCGAGATCATTGATGTCTAACCCACCGCTTGATTCAGCGGCTACGGGCCCATCGTCGGCAACCTCATGTCGCTTCTCCTCCATCTCGAAAATCAATCGGCTGAGATCATCCATTTCCATGCTGACATCCCCCAGGACGTTATTCCACAGCTCTTCCCATTCCATGGCCAATTCCACCTGCTCTTTCACCTGTCTGAGTTTGGACTTGATATGAGCCCAATTGTTCAGTATATTTTCCATGTGGGAAACGAGCTTCTTGAGATACTCCGGATCCACGTCGGAAATGTCATGTCGCAGTTGGACATCCTCAATGGCCTTCACATAAACATTGACAACACTCTCAAAGCGGGTGATGGCTCTGTCTACCCCGTCCAGACCATCTCGTCCACCGGCCGCCGCCCACTCCACATCATCCTCTGCGTATAGGCCTGTGAGCACATTGGACGCCTTATTAATCCAGGTATGTATTTGCTCTGCCGATCTGATTAATGCTTTGATGGCCGCAGGCGCAGTAGGGATGCTAGATATACTAGCCGCGAGCGACGACGGTTGAGGAAGTGCGATGGATGTCAATTGTGCAAGTTGGTTGCTAAAGGAATTTCGTGAAAAGGAAAATACTGACTCGGCACGGTGCAGTGATGAGATGCTCGACGAGCGAGAAGGAAAGCCCTCATATGCAGTGGGCGACCCCCCCTCTCCATAATTCTCGGTGCTGCTCTGAATGTATTTCTCAAAATCTGTTTGACCATGCGATGTGTTGTCCGTGTGTGATTCCGAGTCCTGGTCCGGGCGCAGTAACGCTAAAGCAGACTCAATGGCCGACATTGCGGCGGTAGGGTCAAGAATCTTCTCACTTTCGGTCGCAGATCTTTCGTAGACAGCTGGGGGCTTCGGGGCGTGGGGAATGGATGCCACGATCTGTTCAGCGCTCAATGTCACCAGTGGCTCCGTGATCTCCGACGTGCGTTGCTCAGATTCTTCGTCGGGTTCTTCCTCGAGCTCCAGTCTCGGCGGCCCCAATCGAAGTGTAACTCCCTCTTTTCTCTTCTCCTCGCCCAAGTTCTGACCACTCCACGCCTTGCCTTTCCTTTCGACTTTGACGGACCGGCTGCTGCTCTGGTGAAGGCTGTCTAGTTCCTTGATTTGCTCCTCAGGGATCCGGCCAACGTTGGTGTGATTGCGGATCGAGATCGTCGTCTTAGCGTTTCCGTCCAGGAGTTTCACACGAGCTGCCAATCCCGGAGATAGTCGACGTAAGAAAGATGGACGGACTAGGGTCTTGTCAAGGCTGTCGTATTCTTCGTCGTGGTGATTGCTCCCAGTGCTCCGTAGGGACGATTTAGACTTGGCCCGTCGGGGTATAGAGTCTTCTGGAGAGGAAATTGTCACGCTAGGCGCGCTAAAGGAGGATAGTTGAGACGTAGACGCTGGTTTGGACAGGGTTCTAGGGATGTCCCTCTGGTCTGCGGACTCAGGAGTAGGATTGTGGTCGTTGGAGGTGGTCGACCTGTTGAATAAGGCACGCATGGGGATAATACCCACTAACAGGTAACCCTGTCCCTAGCGAGATCAAACCCAGAGATTGCGGGCCGGGAGAAAGGTATCTGTGTCTTCTTTGGGACGCTCTGGTGGGTGAAGCTGATAACACGGTGATGATGATGCTGTCCTCCCGCGGACTCTATTTACCTCCCCGTTTTCGTGTTGACGGCAACGAGATGAGAACAGAGATACATGAAAAAATAAAATAAAATAAAAATAAGACGGAATTACCAAAGGCCAGCTCCTCGGGAAGATAGGTGAGACCGACAGGACTACATGATTCAAGGCTGGGGATCCTGAGGTTGACATCAACAGCAGCGGGAGATTGGGCAGGCGTCGCGGTTCCCACTAGTGTTTTATGTTTGATCTGGCCGGAAGACAGCGCCGCGTCGCGCTTCAGGGTCTTTGTCCCACAAGAACTACCGCTTTATTGACTTTTCTTTGGGTTTCCTTCGTCCTTCCAGAGGATCTGATATTTATTCTCTTTCCTACACAGCGCAAAGTGCTGTGCGGTGCACACAAGCCGAATTCCCCAACACCAGGCTGGTTTCCAAACATGTCGCGCAATGTGAGCTGTCATGTATACTACTCAGTAACATACAGCAAAGAAGATATCTCTAGCATGACTAGCAAGGGGGTATCTAAGCAGAGCACAAATAAAAAAAAGTCAAGCCAGGTATGTGGTGCCAATAGTCTCATTCCTTGCGTCCGGTGTAAACGATGAGACCAGTCAAAAGAAACAGTATCAGTACTCCGTACGAATTCACTTATCCAGAACTTGCTACAGAACCTGTTGTGGGAGAATTCCCCGACCTGGTCCCAGGTCTTGTCTCTATCCAGTCTCGCGTCAGTTCTTCCCGAACTGCTTTACACCAGGCCAGGAGGGCCGCGTCGAATTGCCTCCAGGCGTCATCGCTGCTACCGTGCACCACGTCCATAACGTTCATTTCTAGCTTGGTCTCCCATCGGATCTCAGAAGCTTTCATCCAGTACTGGAGATTCTCTGCCTGTCGGTACGGTTTGCCTATGTCTTGATGGAAGTTCTTGATCTCGCAGAATCGCCGTTTGGATTTCTTGACGGCTCTGTTGTGCATCCGCACAAGATCTCGGCCGTCCCGTAGACGTTCTAGCATTGGAGTAGGAAGTTGCCCATCTTCGGTTGACGTCCAAACTGGCAGCGGTGTGCTGCTGTTGTTGTCCATCAGACTACGCAAGAAGGCCTCCTCCCGTTCTCGCTCTCGACCGGCCCAGTCACCGCGTGCCCAAGCCCAGCCTTCGCGATCTTTTGCTTCCAGTTCTTCCAGCTTGGCCTCTTTGGCCAACAGAGCGCGTACTTCGGACATCCAGTCCAAAAAGAACGTCCGCTCACCTTCACGTAGGCCACCGGCAAAATTCCGCGACGCCCATCGCTTTAGCACTTCAAGCACGTCAAGGAGCTCTTTCCGCAGTTCTCGTTCTGTTTTCAGAGATTCCAGGCGTTCTGGATACTCATGAGAAGTGTAGTATATTTTAGCCGCCCGAATGGCGAGAGTGAGCACGTCTAAGATGTGCATGCCTTGAACTTCATCCCATCCTGGTGCTTGTGTTTTGCGATCATCAGCAGGCGAGTGACTGCCAGAAGATACGCTGAGCCGTGGGCGTCTCGAATCTGCAGATGATTTCTCCATTAAGTTTATACTTTTATCTGCTTTGTCTAACGCATCCACAAGGTCTCTGCGGAGAGCCATCAAATCAGGCGGGGGTGGTATATAGTGTGTTTTGATGCTGTACGTGCTCACTGTGGGAGGAAGCATTACTTCGTCACCTTCGTCGAAATCGTCCATGTCGTCGATCTCGTCGATCTCCGGCGTTTCCATCGCCGTCGGACTTTCCGTGAGGTCTGGAATAAATCTCTCATTGGGCGTTAGGAGAAGCCTCGGGAGGTCCTCTGGCTTCCTTTTCTTCTTCCACTCGCGAAGTGTGCCGCCTCGCCCGTCTAGTAAACCGGTCCTTGCAAAATAGTATTGGAGATGGGCAATACTTCCCAAGCTCATGACACTCTCTCTGCTTTTGGCGGAGTTGGCAAACTCCACCCCCTGAGGGCGGATGTACCCTCGACGCCGTGAGGAGACAGACACTGACGACCTGGCATCTATAGAGGTGGCTGATGATGTGGAGAGAGAGGAGACGGTCGAGAACGTGCGATCTGGAGACGGACAGGAGGAGATGGCGGGAGTTGGCGGGATGGACGGGGAAGGCGAAGAAGCACGAAGAGGAGATAGTCTCGTCTCGTGGTCCGGGGGTTCATCCATACTTTTCGAATACTCCGCAAACGGGCGTTCCAAAAAAACTGGAATATATGTTTCCGTAAAAGCCTCCCCCGTGTTTCCTGTATCCGGTATATATATATATATATATATAAATATGTAGGGGCGATGGGTGGTACACTGGACCCAAGCAGCGTCCCGGAAATAACTATGACTCGACAATCGAGGGCGACTACCGGCGGACGGAGCGAAGCGTATGGAGTTCAGGAGGTACAAAAGCGATCGGGGGAAGCGTGACGGAGATCGACACAGAGATAAGGCTAGGGAAAATTCATAGTGAGTTGAAGAAGGAAAAAGGAGAAAAGAAAGAAAGCTTCTGGAAAACTAACATCACGAACTCCTCGCAATTCCAGGGGCACTTTAGCGTATCCTGTCGATCAACGGCGGAAGGCCGAGGGACGTTGCATGCCTCGAGTTTCAACTTTCGACATGTAGGGTTACCACGATGATTGACAGCAGCATCTTGATTGAGGTTTCGGAATACACTGGCAGACATCAATAAACATGAAACTGGCCTCAATGAATAGTGGTGTCTGCCGTGAACTGTGCATTTTTCTTCTCTTCACTATTGAAGTTTTACCGGATCCGGCCTAGCGCTTCCCATACCGACCCCGCATTTCCATTTTTGTCGATCCTGAAATTCGGATTTCGCTGAACCACGGCTTCACTACACCTATTTGCATCCATCCTGTTCACTCCCTATAATCTATTATTAGACGACTGCATTAATACGAACCTTCTCAATTTATGCTATGAAAGAGATGAAATCTAAATGCCAAGAACTGAATTGAGCTGTCGTCTATCTATTGTCTGGGTGTGGTACATATATCCGCCCTAGACAGCTCACCGAGGTGGGATCCGATGCCTGAGTTACCATATAGAATGCTAAATAAATGAATAATCAGACTAAAAACAAGACATCGATTTGAACCCCTCGAAAAGAAAAAGCAAATCCAAAAACCCCCAATTACTCCCGTTCCAGCCGGCATGATTCTGGAAAAATGCATGATAGAGAAGGAAAGAAAATGGCTAAAATCGGAGATAAGATAAGAGGAGGGACATCATTTAGATGACCTCTTCTCTCTCCCATCCAGTTTCTCTGAGATGTTCAATACCCTTCGACGGATGAGGCTGCTTAGGATCCTTGTATCTGGCAGCGTACGGGTTGGGGTCGTTCTCCTGGTTCAGGTTGGCCAGCGTGTGGTTCACCTCACGATGCTTGGCCTCATCTGCGCGCACGTACAGCAGCAGATCCTTCATGGTGCGATTGCCCTCCGGCATTTTCCAGTACTGAACAGCAATTTCCGGTGCCGGCATGTTCGCCCATTCGGGAACCCTTCCTTCCTCGATGTCACTGATGGCGCGTGTATAAGTAATGACCGCCTCCTCCTCGAGGTAGCCGACAAAACGGTGACAGATGCGTGGTGAGATCAGGTAGGAGAGAAAAAAGCCGTTGTAGAACACACCCTGCGCTCCAAGAACCATGAGACGCATGAAGAGCCCGGGACGGGCGACGTTGAGGAAGGTAAGAAGATGCATGCGTTCGTTGTATGCCTCTTCCAAGAGAGTCTCAATCCTGGTCAAATTTGTTGGCACAGTTCTTGTATCACTAAATGCTGTTCTAGAGGACTTACCATCCGTTATCTCTCCTCAAGAGCCTCAGACTTCTTAAATGCCTAAGGGTACCTCCAACCATTCCCGGTACCCCAGCGACACTTTCGAGGAAAATAAACCGAGTGATCCATTTTTTGTCAGTCATGACAAACTTGGACACATTCTCTTGACCCTTGGGAGGATGGCGGTATCCAGTTGCAGTGTCCATTCCCCATCGCAGCAGGCGAACAGCTGCTAGTGCCACCCAGTCGGCCCAATTCTTTGTTGAGCGGTGAGCTACTCGGACATCACGCATCTGATCATAGGTATACCTGTGGTCGGTCGGTCAGTTTCTTCTGGTCATCCTGGTTAAACCCCCTAGGGGGGCACCGCATGGCCTACGTATGGCGGTTGCTTACACAGGATGAGTCCATGCTGTTTCCAAATCCCTGATGTGAGGAGCTTGTGGTGCAAGAAAAATCCCATTTGTGGCCTGGTTCTTCTGTGAAGACGAGATGGACCGGTTGCCTCTCACTTTGGAGTCACTGCTGGACATCCGCATTCCAGAAACAGCCGTTGGCTTCAGCGATCTCCGTACCATAACAGTGGGAGCATAGGCCCTAGGAAGCGGGCCTGCTCGAAGAGGCGCCCGGGTGGCTAAGGGATTCATATTGCCGATGTGTACAGATATTGGGGGAAATGCGACGGTCGAGTCGTCTCGATATGTGTTGACTATCTCAAGACAAGGTATGTTTTTAATTAAGAGGAACAACAACTGGTCTTATATTCAACCAGATACAGAGGGATTCGAGGCCCCATAGTATTTATATGCGCGATGTTTTGGTAAAAAAAGAATCGGGAATAGGTCGGAACCAAACTATGGAAACAGCAGTCAAGCAGGCAGCAAAACATGGGCGAAATGGGGATGTGGAAGAAGCAGGATCGCCCTTGAAGAACCCTGATTAGCCGGTTCGTGCACCACCGCCGACTTACTAAGAATACACGCAGTGAAGATGCTAGCAGGAGCAAGAGAGTATGGGCGAAGCCCGAGTTCTAGTTCCGTTCGAGAACAGCAATCGCCGTTACACCGAGCAAACCCCGTCGTGGAAGTTCTACGAGTTCTACGAGTCGCCAGAGCAAAGCGGCAAAAGCACCTCAAGTTCCATCAAGTCCAGAGTTTTTGTGTCCGTCGTCGGGCAAAATCGGAATATCTTCAAACTGCTGCCATGGACATAGTACTACGCTGCGTGTTCTTGCCCAAGGCGGCCCGACTCGGAATTGAAGGGGAACGAGTCGGCATCGGTTTTTGAATCCTCGGCGTCTGGCCCACGGCCGTCAACGCACCATTGCCTTTTTCTGGCAACGGCACTTCGTACGGGGGCCGATACTATAATTAATTGCTTATTGTCAGGTTGATTACTGGCGAACACATGCGCTGTTTCTAAATAAAGTCAGTCTATCGATGCCAGACTGCTTCGTAAATGTCGCAAATCCAGTCGATAAGGGCGAATGACCTCATTACCCGTGTGGAGTAGGCTCCATATACCGGTGCCCGGCTCTTAGAAGACAGATATTTGGCTCTCCAGCTGGAGATCGAAAGAACATGAATCGATAACCTTGATCTTTTTGATCCTTTTTTTATGATTTTGTGATTCCTAGGCGAGGCTGGAGAGTATCAAGGGAAAAGGGATTTTTAGGGAGAGACATGGCCTACCCCTACTTCACCATCATCCACGAAAATGCTATCATTGCCTACCTACTAATATTCAAGACAGTCCCCATCAGATATCGCTTCCAGACCAGATGGAAAATCCAAGTCTCCACCCATGCTGCTACAATCCAGCTTCTACGTCTGCGCGTCCTCCAATATAATTTATTTACGAGCTGGTTTCGAGTATCCAAGATCACCGAGAGATTTCCGAGGCATTTTCTATCCTATTGCAGCCATGTATTCTGTCCCCATTCAGCGTGCAGCAATTGTAGCCAGCTTCTTTTGATAACGCGTCTATCTGACTGTATTTCCTGCTTAGCGGACAGCGTAAATATGGCATCTACCTACTGCAAGACTGAAAGACGAAAACGAAACCTGGCTTATCACGCTGGATAGTGGAGTCGCAACAATTGCATTTATGTTTTGACAGGTATCTTTGAGGGGATGGGCAAACCAGTTTGTCGCTGTTATTGTTCGCCAAGAAGAACAAGATGCAGAAAAAGCAAAAAGGGATGCAGGATTGTTATCAATGCGCCATTTCTTTAGTCGACTGGAAGAAATTAGAGAGGTGAGAGGAGGGAGATGCAAGTCGAAGGTCATGTCGGTCGAACGGACGAGATCCAGCCAGCCTAGGAATCAGAGGAATAAAACGTTGATCCGGAAGTGACTCGGCAAGAAAATCCCTCTTCGTCGCCCCGAGGAGGCACCTCTTTCTTTTCCACCTTGACAACATGCGCCAGGCGGGGTCCCTGGCCTATATCCTTCAGGAGTTTTTGGATGGAATCTTCGTCGCCTTGCGCTTCTCCTTCGACCTATTTGTTCATGAGGTTTAGTGTCGAGGCCAGGAAGGGGTTCGAACATCAACGCAATAAGGCTCAGGGCTCAGGGGGAGAGAATAGAACCGAAATGAGTGAAGAGCAATTTCGTTCACTCGTTTGCGGGCGGAAAGTCATAGTCCCATGGCCCTTCATGAAGGAAGTCAGAACGATGAAGAAAGCGACGAACGAACCCTTCCATCAGTTGTATTCTTCACCCAGCCTTTCAGTCCGTAGTAGACAGCACGTCTCTGGGTGAAGTCTCTAGAAAATTATAATAGGAGAACTTAGTATCGTGCTCGACAATATTGTCTGTACGAGTGTCCATGTCGTCATAGTTGGCGGGGGTGTCAGTATCAAATCATACCGGAACCCAACACCTTTAAAACGAACCAGGTTAGTAAATGACACGGTTGGAAGTAGGAGTATATCTTTCGGAAGCATGCCTACCTTGCACCACGCCGTGGACGCGGAATGCGATCTGCATCCAGGCATAATTAGCAGGTCAGTGTGTTCGACATAATACGCTGGAATGGGGGGAGACAATGAGCCTATAGAGGAGGGGAGGTAGTACCCTGTTCGTCGTCATATCTGGGTATGTTTTTCCTCCGATCGTAAAGCAACGATGAAGCAACCTTGCAAGGGAAAGCACAGACAAAAGTTGGATGAAGTTGAAGCTTGATCTGAAGCTCTGCAAGACATATGCGACTGCCTGAGGCATAAATCGCCTATTTGGGAGCAACTGGTCAGGTGATCTGAAACCTGGCGAGAGAAATAACTATTCGCGTTGGATGAATAATATAACTGAGTGGAAATCAAAGAGAATTGATTCGATTGCTACATATCAGTCCTCTTTTAACTGCATATCTCTATATATGATCGGCGTGGAGAGGTTGGCATGAACGTCCCGCCCTAACAGAAGTTCACGGCCGCTCTTCCATCTCCGCAATCACCTGAGGTACCTTAGGTAGCTTCCCCTGTCCCCGTCAGCCGTGTTTCTCCCACGGGCATGGACTACGCAATGCTGCTGTTGATAAAATGACTCTATTTATTTATTGGCTCCGGCGGCTCTATTCACTTGACACTCTCGATACCCGTTTCACTGCCTCAGCGGACACTCCCTCCAGAGTTGCTGGAGACGCACGACCTCCCTCCGAGAAAGATGCCCGCGCAAATGCAATTGCACACGGTGCTTCGCCATCTAAATGGCGTACGCCCGAATTTTACTTCTACTATTTCGTCCACCTCACTGTCGTGCCGATGATGTTCAAAACGGCGATGGATGTCTCGCAGGGTATGTACGGAAATCCAAGTCATCGTGGGTTGCCCAGTGCTGATTCATGCTTGATATATTATAGAGAGCTTTCCCACTTATCCAACTTACTCGAATTTGTTATCGCCAGGCTGGATTCCAGGCCGTAAAGTGGTAGGGTTTTGATGGATTTCATTGAGGCGAGCTTGCTGCTAACTCGAACTCCCAATTTTTCCCTGCCCAGGATAACTCTGATGCGCAGTACGCGAGCTTCCGCGATAATATCCCATACCTTCTTGTCCTGCTAGTTGCCCACCCATTACTCCGTCGTGTATATGACGCCTTTATAACTCCTTCGAATGCAAAGGTTCCTACAAAACCTGGAACCTCGTCTTCGGCTGCCGTTGGAGATGCTCGTCTCGAACGGCGGACGCAGTTCGACTTCTACTTTGCTCTTGTGTTTATTGCAGCTCTCCATGGGCTATCTGCGCTGAAGGTCCTATCCATTCTGTACATCAACTATAAAATCGCCAAGGGTCTGCCTCGATCTTATATTCCAGCAGCTACATGGGTGTTCAATATCGGTGTCTTGTTCGCGAATGAGCTCTGTGGGGGTTACCCATTCGAACGCATAGCGGCCCATTTTGCGCCTGCAATAGGTGACACCGGGAAAGAAGCCGGTGTTATCATGTGGGGTCGCTGGCTCGATAGTATTGGTGGTCTCATGCCTAGATGGGAGATTCTCTTCAGCATTACAGTGCTCCGACTAATCAGCTTCAATATGGATTACTACTGGAGTCTTGACTACCCAGCTGCCAGTGAAATCGAGGTAAGGTCTACAGCACCAGTTGTTCAAATAATCACCGTTTCTAACAGCCACAAGAAGAAGCAACTCGACCCTGCAGCGTTGTCGGATCGTGACCGCGTCAGAATCCCAGCAGAACCATCTACGTATAACGGCCGCAACTATATCGCCTACCTCCTCTATTCTCCTCTTTATCTGACCGGACCCATCCTGACTTTCAACGACTACATCTCCCAGCAAAGATATGCAGCGAAGTCCATTACGACTATCCGCACTCTGCTATACGGCATCCGCTTCTTTCTCATCTTGCTCTGCATGGAGCTCATCCTCCATTACATTTACGCCGTAGCCATCTCCAAGGCATCCCCAGACTGGTCCAAGTACACACCGGGTCAACTCAGCATGCTCGCCTACTTCAACCTTCACATAATCTGGCTGAAACTCCTGATCCCTTGGCGCTTCTTCCGCCTCTGGGCTCTGGTCGACGGAATTGATCCCCCCGAAAATATGATCCGCTGCATGTCCGACAATTACTCAGCCTTTGCCTTCTGGCGCGCCTGGCACCGCTCCTTTAATCGCTGGATCGTCCGCTACCTGTATGTTCCCTTGGGCGGGGGCGGGGGTGGACGTCACTCTAGCAGCAGAGGCAGTGGTAGTAGTAGTAAACCTGCCGCTCCAGTTTTCAACCTCCTCTCCAAGGCACGTCGAGTCTTGAATACCCTGGCCGTATTTACCTTCGTCGCCCTTTGGCACGACATCAATCTCCGCCTGCTCATGTGGGGCTGGCTTATCACACTCTTTGTCCTGCCCGAAGTCATCGCGACGCTTCTCTTCCCTCCCTCCCGCTGGCGCTCTCGACCCACTGCGTGTCGCGTTCTTTGCGGAATCGGTGCCGTCGGCAACATCCTTATGATGATGATGGCTAACCTGGTGGGATTTGCTCTCGGATTGGATGGGTTGAAGGGGCTCCTGGATGGCATTTTCGGGTCGTACTCCGGCATAGCGTATATGGTTGGTGCCTGTTCGGCATTATTTGTGGGTGTTCAGATTATGTTTGAGGTTAGGGAGGGAGAGTTAAGGGCTGGTATTAATTTAAAGTGTTAAGTTGGTTGTTGATAGAGTCGTTTTTATGTAATATAAACATTACTAGTACAATTAATTACTCTGGATTGGATAAATAAATAGGAATATCGATAATGAAAGAGATTCCATGAAATTCCTTTCCCCAATCTCTTCTATGTACTTTGTGCAGTTGCCTTATGGCAAGCTCCCTCTCTGCCATCGAATAGAGAAACCCGAAGAGTCCTGAATCGGCATGACCTGCCACTTCGGTACTACTAAGTAGATAGGTAGAAGGGTACCCGACAAGCCCAATCCCCTTTTTCGAATGAAACGTCTACCGGAAAATAATATTCTCCCTGGAAGGACCACACCCAACTGACTCAATCTTGACACCCAAAAATTCTTCAATGAATTTAATATACTCCTTCGCTTCGACGGGCAATTCGTCGTACTTGGTGCAGACGGTGGTGTCCTTCTGCCAGCCTGGGAAGGTCTTGTAGATGGGCTCGATGACGTCCAGGTCTTCCGTGTTCGTGGGGAAGATCTCGGAAACTTCGCCGTTGGGAAGACGGTAGGCGACTGCAGCTTTGATCTCCTTCAGATCGTCGAGGACGTCGAGTTTGGTGAAGTTCAGACTTGAAGCGCATTAGCAGGAGGATCATAGAAGCTAAACACAGAACAATGAACAAACCTGGTGTAGTGATTGACGAGGGTAGAATGCTTGAGCATGACTAGATCCAGCCATCCGCAGCGTCGCTTTCTACCGGTGGTGACTCCAACTTCCCGTCCCTTGGATTGGAGGTAGTCGCCGATTTCCTGCAGTTCTGTTATTAGATCTTCTGTTATGGAGGATGGGTGATGAAAATAACATACATTCAGCTGCTCCGTAGGCATAGGCCCATTGCCCACACGCGAAAGGTATGCCTTGGCAACACCGACAATCTTCTTGATCGAAAACGGGGATATCGCTAGGCCCGTAAATGCACCTCCGATGGAGGCGCTGGAACTTGTGACGTATGGATAAGTGCCATAGTCCAGGTCGAGCATGAGGGCATTGGCACCCTCGACAAGGATCTCCTTCTTCTGCTTGGTTTGTTCGTTTATCCATGCCACGGCATCCACCACAAGGGGTTTGATGCGAGGAGCGAGTTCCTACACACAGCCACATTTCGTTAAGCAGGTACAAGAAAAAAGAAGAAAGGAAATGCCGATCGAAAAGGGAGAGAAGGGTATACCTTCAGCTTCTTAAGTTCACCCTCCTCGTCATACGAATCCAGCAACGATCCATACTGCTGTCTGTAGTTCGCGACAAGCTGTCGGAAGTGCCGCTCGAAGTTCACCCAGGTCTCCGGTTTAAGCTGGTCAATCCGCAAGCCCGTCCTGGCCGCTTTTGTCGAGTACGAAGGCCCGATGCCTTTCCCTGTGGTGCCGACCTTGGCTTTGCCCAATGCGACCTCGCTCAGCTTATCCACGAACTGGTGCAGATCCAAGACAATATGTGCGCGACTCGATACGAAAAGGCGACCGTCCGTGTTAAGGCCCTTTGCATGAAGTGCCTCGAGCTCCGAGAAAAGAGAGGGGACGTGAACGACGACGCCGGTTCCAATGAGGTTAACTGTTTTGGGGTTGACAAGGCCTGCATTTGTTCAAATTGCGGTGTTAATTGGTTTCAATTGGACGCAAGCAAACCAACAGATATGAGACTGTAAGAAATATGTCTCAAAATAGGAACTCACCACTGGGTAAAAGGTGAAAATCGTATGTGATGCCATTTGCTACTATGGTGTGCCCCGCATTGTTACCACCGGCACTGCGGGCGCAGACGTCGGCGGACTCAGTGAGGATATCGACGAGCTTCCCCTTTCCCTCATCTCCGAATTGGGTTCCTAGAACAATGGTAACGTTCGCAGACGACATGGCGACGGTGGTGGATGGTCGACACAGTCGCAGGGGAGAGACGGCGGGCAAGAAGGGCAGCGAGTGGGGTTCCGATGTTCGCAGCAATCTAAGTTTTCAGCTTTGGCTTTGGCTCTTTTAACACTATTTATTAATATTCATTCTATTAATGAAGCAGCTGGATTGACTCATGCTAGGGCTCAGCCCTCGTCCCTCTACGGTCTTCTCGTATGCTATGCACCTCTGTCCAGTGGATCAGGGTCAATTTAAAATGGCCATACCTAGTCCTGACTCATGAGATCGTTCCTGCATGCAAGAACGGAGACATCCGATATATAGCTGCGATCCGGCCTGTCCTCGCTGTATATAACTATGTAGTGGTTCCGGTTCAACCGCACAACTGTTTCAACTGTTTTTCAGTGTTCAAAGTTCAGTCAGTCAGAGCTTGGCGGATCAGAAGCCAACAGCGACATGATGCGGTCCCTGGAATCTGCCCCTGGAGAAAGCGCACAAAACTCCGACTTCGACGTCGTACTACCCATCTGGTGGGCTGATTGGAGCGAATTCTGAACGATCCCCTGCCATCCATCCGAATGCAAAGAGCGTCTGATCGCTCTGTGCTGCCTACTGATTCGTGTGTGCATTTCCACAGAAGCCTGTAAAAGATACAGAGATCTTTCCTTCCTGAATAAAAGGAAGCCATCCCGAGCACTTGAGGAGGACGGACTGTATAAGCTGATTCTAGAAGAAAGCCCCGCATCGCGAATCTTCATGTACCTTGTAGCACTCAAGCCCGCACGTTCGAAGGTGGCAATTCTTGCACCGAATCTTACCCCAATACCCACACATACAACAGAAATGTCTATCTGACTTGCCTGATATTGGTGGACCGGCTCGGGCTGCGTGGTAGGTCAGTGGCGGCTCCGCGAGAAGCGCTTCCATGATGCGCTCCGAGGGCGCAGATGGGATATACGAGCGGAGAAGAGGATCGTTATCATATTCCGACTTAATTAATTTCGACTCGTAAACCTCATTTGTTTCTGGTGGTGCCGTGCTAGCTCTCTCCATGGGCGTCAGGGAAGATCTTGCGTGAGATGTAGCCGGCGTCTGCTTCCTTTGTCGGGCGGAATCCGGTCGTGATGCCACAGGCGTAGAACTTCTCCTTGAATGTTTTGTGACCTTGGATACACTAGAACGCTGTACGGTGGTTTGCGCCGCGTGCGCCAAAGCAGCCTCTTCGTCGTCGAGGTAGTTTCGGAACGTCTTCTGGGATTGGAGGATGCGCCTCACGTTCGAAGTAACCTTGCTTCTTGATCCTATCGCGGGATGAATGGTAAGCTTCGAGTTCATTCCGTGCGGTGTATACACTATGGATCTGTGTCCTACCTCTGAGAGCTGCCTCCTTCGGCTGCTGCTTCACAGGAATCGGAATCTGTACATCCTTATGATTCTCTCGATCCAGCTCTGCCAGATGACGTATGATTGCATTGGTTTGCCTCGATGATAAATCTGCTCCTCTACCAGGTTCACGGATTCCTCTCTTCCTTCCAAGCGTAGGCGCGATAGCAGCTTTAGCCGGGTCAAATCCGCGATCGGGAACGTAAGTCCACCCGGGTGTAGCATGTGTAGAACTGCCGGGGAGAACCTCGACACGATACATGGATATTAAGTCGATTTAAACTAGATTAATGAATGAATAGCAACGGGGGTTACGGGGTATGCATCTTGACAGGAGAGTGTTCAGAAGAAGTTTGCTGAAGACATGCACGGTACAGATACACGCATGTTTGCCTTGTTTGCACTGGCTGCAGCTAATTTGGAACTTTTGACAATGCTATGAACGATGCTTCAATGAGCAGGAAACCAAGAATTCATTTCTTCTTCTGCAATTGATCCGCCTTCGCCTCCAGCTCTTTAACGTAGCCCTGAAGCTTTTCTGTTGACTTTTGAAGGGCCTAAAGAGCGTCGCAGACAGATTCTTTGCATCAGCCAGAGTAACTACTCATGCGTCCGTAAAAACAAGAGGTTTTAACAACAACCCAACACGCAGGCTAGAAACAAGCACGAAAACAAAAGGGGTCATACATAGATATCATCCGTTAGAATTTCGTTAGAGAGCCTGTAATCGCCCAAAAAGTAGTACCAAATGCACACGCCGGAGGCGACGGTGCCAGCGAGAAAACCGAATACCCTACACGGCCAATTCAGTAAGCTTGGCTCTCGTCCGGTAGTAGCCATGGAATGTAATGCAGAGTCACTTACCCTCCCCGAAATGCACCAACAGGCTTCTTAGCAGGCAAAGAAGACGAAGACACGGCAGCTCTGGATGAAGCAGAGGTGGAGAATGGCCGCGGCTGTGGCGCGGAGCGCAACAGACGGGCGAACACAGCTGTATTGGCACTACGAGGAAGCATTTTGGGGGAATCAATAAATCAACTCTTGTTAGATCTGGGAAGATACTGTGAGTCTCTGGATCCTCTTAAAGAGATCATTCGATTGCATCGAAGGAACTGTACACGGGTGAATACGGCGTGATGGTCAAGGAAGGTTTTAGAGTGACGTCGCGCGATACACGGGTGAATACGGCGTGATGGTCAAGGAAGGTTTTAGAGTGACGTCGCGCGATCTCCCTGGCTTGGCTCCGCACTTGAAAGTCCTGCACAGTGCACATCGACAGCGGTATATCTAGCAAAGTATTTTGGAGGGTTTCATAGAGTGAAAGGTGTGTTCCGGTCAGCCATGTCCAACACACTAGATATATTTTGCATGTAACTTCAATCATCTCTACAGCAGAATGTAGCCTAGAAATAGCACTGCTACACACAAGGGACATATCTGATATAATACACATATATCAACGAAATTCTACCATAGAATTTCGTTTTGCTATTCCGCTGCCTTTTTTGGCCACACGTGACGCGAAAAACAGCGGCTTTTCAGCAACCATCATCTGCCACGCTCCCACACTTTTCGCTCACGTACCACCAACACAATCCTCAGGCAGCATTGTGGCTTTCATCATCTGCAACACCATTTGCTCCTATTGAGTTTCACAAGGGCGCTGAAAATGGCCTCCTTAGCACCCCACCAGCTGAGGGCTAGCTGGCTAGTTACCAAGCATATACACCTCCATCAGTATACGTAGCGAGGGTCCTGACACTCTGCTGATTTCCCCTTGTGCTGAAAGATCAGGATTGCCGCACACAAACCAGAAGGGTAAAGACATAGCTGCCTCTATATCCATACTCCACCCAATCCATCTAATCCCCCTTAACCAAGAAAGCCAAAGGTGATTTTGATTTCAATTCAACTTTCGACTTTTACTGTTTGCAAAGTCTCAGGCTAATATATGATTAAAGCTAGAGTGCAAATATCTCAGAAACAAAACCAGTGGAGCAGTTATTCCTCGATCTCCCTATCCAAAAAGCCCTCAACAGGAATGGTGGAATGCAGGTAGTTGAGTCCTGGGCTAGCATGTACATTGACGCCATACGTGATGGAAGGTTTGATGATGCTGTGTGGGTACGCTATCATATTAGTGGAGATGTGGAAAATGGCATTGTCAAAGGCTCAAGTAATATGACTGTGCTCAATGTCATCGAAGAAGATGCGTTGGAATACAGGGTGAATGAACCAGAATATGCCAAGGCTTTGTCATTCTATGCGAAAACTAGCAGTGCAGATGGGCATGCTAATGTGATAGAGATTATCAGCAATCTCACAGAGAGAGAGATTGCTCAGATGAGGGCTAAAATTGAGGCTGAACTTACAGATGAACCTGAGGAACAAATGTGAGCTCATTAATAGCCACCTGAGGGTCAAAATTTCAGGGTACGGGTTCAGGACGGCCAAGAAACGGATTCAGAAACAGATATTTATTGGATTGAACACGCAGACAGGCAGACTGCAGGTAGAGCTATAGTACAGGCAGGTCAACAAGGCGTAGCTCAAAGAGCTACAACAGAATCAAAACAGAAATTGGAGATATCCCAATGAGCCTCCCCCAGACAAACAGCAGTGAACACAAGGTACTGCCAATTTGTGCACCCAATCATACTCTCTTCAGAAAACAGAGGAACGCCTAGGAAGGTAGACTCCTGCATTGGAAGAGGATTGGAAAAGGGTGGCCCAAATCCTGTTTTTGGAAGATGAGTGTAAAGGTTCGAATATAAAATTCATTTTCGTACTAGATACACGAAGGATTCCTTGGGAGGAAGAAGGAGAGACAACGGTATGCCAGTAACAGACAGAACAAATGATACAAACAGGGCAAGCAGGGTGCTCAGGCGTTGGACCTGAGTTGCCATATGCCTGGGCGTAGCCCATGACATCCAGATGGGAAAGTCAATGTGGTTCTCGAATTTCCATTTTATGCAGTGACACATATTACACAAAGGAGCTATATATATACATCAGTGGCAGTGGCATGTCTAGTTAACCATTGTGCTCTCGTTGAACAGATCTGCCAGCAAGTCATCCCGGCAAGCTTCCAAATCCGGACTGGCCATGCTATACGTACTCTCAAAGGCATGGATACTGAGCCGGTCGAAGAATGGTCGAAGCACCCGCTCCACGATCTCATCCTTTGCCGTCTCCTGGATCCAGTCTGATACCAGCCAGGGTCGTCTCACAGCGTTATTAACTTCGTGGTTCTCCCCTGGTACCGTGGGGGATGCTATACCTCGAGATCCCAGGTTTTGTGACACTTCATCCGCAAGGGCCACAGACCCCCAGCGATCTGGTGGATAAACCGCATCGATAGTATCAGTAACAAAGAGCCATTCTAGAAGCTGAAAGTCATCAGGTGCAAGGACAAGGAGTGTATCAAGAAGCTTGCAGGCCTGCAGTAGCGAGTATGGGTTGTATAGGTCCGAATGTCTCCCTTGGTGCACAGAAGAGATGGCTTCCTGAAGTTCTGTATTGATTAACGGCCAGAACGGAGCCAGGGCTGCTGTCGAACTCCGGAGTACTAGCGCTCGAAGAACCATAAAAATCTCTGCTCTCGTAGCGGACGATGGCGATGACGATCCTGTAGCTGCAAGGAGATCCTCTAGCTTCTGGAGAAGGCCTGAGAGCCCTCCCACAAAATAATCATCGTTTGCAGCCAAAAGAAGCAGAGAAATCCGCCGAAGATTGAGCTGGGCCTTGCGGTCAGTATCCAGACGGGCAGCTGATGCTCCTACTCCGAACATTATTCCTGCAGCACTGGGAGGTGGAAGACGAGACATCAAGTCAGGCAGTCGGTCCTTGTCAACAAGAACCCATTGCCGTAAAATGTCCGTCCAGCCATTCTTCACAAGGTCAATGTGGGTGCCGAAAAAACGTGCATCGTTGAAAGCATCTGCGACATCTTTCTTCCACGACCTAGCAGCTGCTGGAATTTTCGCCATCTGCTGTAGCAAAACCAAAACGGTCCGATTCACATTGTTTGGAAAAAGTCTCGAACGGAATACTGGCGCTATCACATTGGCGGAAATACTGGTGACAGCTGTACTGATACGATCAGTTTCACCAAGAGTGGTAATGAACGCAGGAAGCGAGTTTGCAAGTATGCTAAGCATGTCATCTGGGCCGGCATGCGACACATAAGACCTCTCATTTTCTACCAGGGGCCTGCCCAGAAGTCCCGGGTCCTGGGATAGTCCCAAGGGCTTGCTGGTAAATATAGCCGTGAGAAGACGTAGTAATACATCCTAAGTCATAAGTCAGTACAAATAACCAACATATACACATTTGGTACATACTCCGAGCTCCCTTCTCATCCGCCGATCCTCACCAAAGTTAGTATTTTCCATCTTCGCACCGAGAATTGCGGCAAATTCGACCAAGCGCGGAAGAATGTGTCGATGTGGAAAAGGGTTACTGAGGACATCGCGTAAAAATGTTGTACAGTCTGTCCAAATCTCATCCAGAACGTCATCGTCCAGAGACCTCGCATAGGTCACCAAGAAGCCCGCCAGCTCGGATTCTGTGATATCGGAGGCCATGGCGGATTTGCGGCTTGGATCAAGCGCACTTGGGTTCGTCCGGGTATAAATGGCATTGAACACGGCCGGAATCGTTATTTTTGGCCGAGATCCATCCAGGGTGTGAAGTAAGTTAAAAATCAGAGCCGAGACCTTCGCATCTGATCTAGTCCACATTTCCACTAGCGTCTCAAGACACTCGAGGGCTTCTGCAGTGAAAAGGTGTTCTAAGATTCGGCGCGACCGGTTTCTCATACGCAGCGAGGTATATTGGAAGGATGCCAACGAATCTGCATCCTCAGGCGGGCCGTTCTGTTCAGTCGCACCCCAGGACCATATAGAGAAACAAATACGAACGGCGTCTTGGAAACAAAGCAGAACTGTGAGTCTATTATTCCCGACTGTAGAGCGGGTCTGGCTTCCTTCAGACGTAAACACTCCTGACACCATATTGCCGAAAAATCCATGCGGCTGATCTGGACTTTTAGCGAATGGGATATTTCCCTCTTCCGATAATAGACGTTCATGAGCATTTGCGATACAGGTTTCCAGGCCTGCAAGGAGCGCAATAGTAACATGCTCGGATCGGTCCTCGGGCCAGTTCTCCGTCTGTTGGAATGCCTTTTTAAGTCTTGTGTAAGAAAGCTGTATCTCCTTACAAAAGCATTCCACCAGCATTAGAAGAATCTGAAACACACTTCCTTGGTAAAGAGGGAGCACGTCACAAAGCAATAGAACCCATTTATCCACAATTTCACGAGACTTTGGGGAGCTGATACCCTTAAGCAGGCAGTCTAGAAGCTGTGGAGGGGGTTGGGGCAACGGGGGAGTTGGCGGTCTTTTCTCTCCCTTGTCACTAGTCAAAGACAGCAATGAGGCACTTGTTAAGCGATCACGAGAAACCATTCTTTTATGTTTCTGCTTGGAAGCCGGTGGTGGAAGAAAAGTCCGAGCAAATCGAACTTTCAATGCTGCAAGAAGTGTGTCTATAGTTGCTCCTTGTACCACAGCGCTGCCTTCGTCTAGGGCAAGTGATAGCCGATCTATAAGCAACGAATCAAGTCCGGATTCGATAAGTCCGTCAGCTTCAGGGCCAAGAAGAAGCTGGCGTAAGACAAAGAGTGAGGTGCATTGCAGTCTTTCCTCCTCGGTGCTCATCTGTGTTGCACTCGAGTTTCTGCTCCTAATGATCGCAAGCGAAATTTCAAAAATCGTCAAATGAAGGCTTTTCGCGTCACTGACATCTGCAAGATGTTAGATTAAGCACCAGAGAACACACTGCATAATATGCTCACCTTTCGACGCTGACTCATCATGAAGCCTCTCAATAGGTAAGAAGGAGTGGGTAAGGAGCGTAATCCAGCCATTGTGGGAGAGTGAGGATAGGACATTAGACATTGTCTGCAGTAGATAGTTACATTCCTTGAAATCATCGGGGGATATGGAGAGATCCTCATTAGCCGCCTCGCTGCGGTCCACCTGCAGAAAGAGAAGATCGAGCCTGCTAATTACAATACGTAGTAACCTGCGTTCTCCATGTCAGCTATTAATCGCAAAAATTCTCAGGTCGTTGGTGGGTCTCCTCACTTCGGAATAGATGAAAGATCGTGCAGCCACCTCTGAACATTATGAGAGGACTCGTTCGGCGCTTGAGAAAGTAGATCGAGCACGATGAAAAGTGGTCGCTCAAGCATTGAGGAGTAATAAGCGAACTGGCTAGTGGAATCATTATCCTGCTTCCGGGGAGGTTCATAACTGCCATTATGGCTATGGTTCCACAGAACATAGAATCTTTCAGCTTGATTGCGTGACGAAGAATGAAATGAGCCGCTACCTGGCGATTGGACCATCAAAGATGTTATAGAAGCCTCAACGAGGTGATCAAGGTGTGTCACCGAATGCAGGAGCCATAAACATCGAACGGCTTCAACGTGGAATTTTGGACTCAATGGTGACAGAAATTGCCAGAAGTAGCCAACAAGAGCGGGAATCAACTCAGATATATCTTCATAACTGATATAGTAGCCGGGTTTCAGGATAAAGTAGAGACTTGTTACTGCGGAGGTTATTGAAGAAATGACGGAGAAGAAAGCCGAGGATGGTCTGGCTAAGCCCATTTGCAGAGGTGTGAGAATGGCCGAGTAAAAACGTCTATCTCGAAATATGTGTGACTTGGGTAGCTTTTTCAGCAGAGAAATGAGGAGAGAGATCTGTTCTTGAAACAAAAAAGCGTCGTCGAGACTTTCAACCGCTAATATGACAAGTTCATAAGATTCCCGGAGGATTAATTCACTCATGAGTTTTGGAGCGAAGGGAGGTGAGGGAAGGTCGAGACTGCTCTTGCTTTGGTCATAGAAATCATGAACTTTCCTGAGGATGTCGGCCTTTTCGATTTCGACAGCTGAAGGGCCGTTCGCATCCTTCTTTTCAGGAGTTGCTTTCCTTGTAAAGGCTCTTTCGATGAGCAGCTCAAGCAACGAATTTATCACTTTCACCAGCGCTTTCAAAGCAACTTCTCTGTTCGAAAGCATTTTTGGGGAGCCTTCTCTCGTCGCAAATAGCTCTCTCATCTTCACAAGGGCCGATAAGAGTAGCAAAGGGACATGGACGAGGAGCATATCTTCTTCGTGGACATTGAAATTTTCTAGGATAAAGTGAGCAAGCTCCAGATCGAGTGATATTTTGTCAATGTCAGTTTCAATCTTTTCGGGTCTCCAGTCCACCAGATTAAGCAGCTCGGAGAATATAACTCCACTTTCAACCCCATCGAAAAAGGCGCTGGCGCTGCGGAAAACTTCGTCAAACTGGCTTCTAGAGGAAGCTGTATTTTCAAATTTCTGGACGCTTCGTATGATGGGGAGAAAGACCGCAGGCACTATGAAGCCGCCTACCTCCCATCGGTCCATTAAGGAAAGGGATATCCGAAAAGGCCTCGCCCTCTCAGGGGGTAGTCTGGAGTTCTTTTCAATCATTTTGAGAAGACTGTTGACAAGAGGTTTCAAGCCATGCCGACTAAAATACTGGGACTGCGAAAGATCTCGGTTATCAAAAACCGCAGAACTATGGTTCTTGGAATATGGAGAGTCGTTAGAAGTCCCATCTGTGGGTTCGCTTGTTGGTTCAGGACCTAAAAGCCATGCCCATAGCCTCCTATTCAAACTCATATCTCTACGGATGACTACTCCCACAGCAGCAGCAGCTAGTCTCTCGAGATCGTCCTCTGTTATTCTGGACTGCAGAATTGGAGAGTTGAGGGGTAGATGAGTCACCAGTAGATCAAGGAAGTTCCTTTGGACAAGAAGATTCTCGTCTGCAAGTCCTGACGCAAAGCAACGAATAAGCAACCCAGGCTCCGGCGAGATCACCGAGTTTGCCGCAGCCATCATGTCCTGCGGGAGTTCTTGCGGGCTGTTCACATCTGGTGCGCTCCCTCTTCGGTCTGCAATACCCAATTTTGGGAGATACCGGTTCAAGTATGCTAGGACGCCGAGTCGTCTGCTGGGAGCAGTGATGGATGCGAGAAACAAGGATTGCCAAAAATATTGAGCTTTACCGTCAACTTCGCTGGTTTTCCCCGTGGTCATCTGGCTCGCAACATTGCGGAATTTATTGACAAGCCGTAAAGTCGGCTCAAAATCGTCGCTTGTTTCTTCTTCGAGCCCGGGCAGTAGAGCCAAAAGAATAGCTTTCAAAGCCGGACGAATAACCCCTGGTTCCAAGCATGATATGTGCGTTTCTATCAAAGATAGAAATAGCGGACGAACTGAAAGTGAACCAAATGTGAGAACAGGAGCGATACCGGGTAGGTACAAAGGCAGGTCTTGCGACAATCCTTCTGGCTGGTGAGAAACAATTATCATTAGCTAAGGCGCATTGTAAATCGTAGTCCAGTCAGCCAAAGATCACCTTAATCAACCCGAATATATACGAATAGACTTCAAGGGCCTTCTGATGAACACCTGACGGGAGCGAGGGATTCAAACATTGCGCTAATCTCTTGGACACGGTGACTTTGCGAGGGACCATGGGCAGGTCCGGCGGATGGGACTGGAGCGCCTGCATTGAGGAGAGGAACATCAGCAATGCACTCAGGCAGTTTTGGGGGTCTGCATGTCATAGTCACCTTCAGAAGACGGCTAAGGAAGGAGATATAATCAGCCCATTCTTGCAATTCGCTGTCGAACAAGGAGAGTGCTCGTTCAACGCTGGACGCATAACGACGGTAATTCTTGTTTTTCTTGAACGTTTCTGCTTGTGACGAGACATGTTAGACTCCGGCAAATATACAGCTAGATTTGGAATCAATGGGATGCCCTGAACTACAGACCTTCCTTCCCTCGTACTAGCCACGACCGCGTAGAGCTTTCGGAATTCGCGGGGGAGCTTGACCGTGGAAGCGCGTTCGGATCAGGGATCATGATGCTGACCTCTGAGATGGAATTGAGTGGAAATCCGAGGATTAGGCCTCGTCATATTTCGCACCCTAGATCGGTCCTGTTTGCTGATGCGTGGTGGTTGTTGACTTGAAGCCTAGCAAGGGCCACGCAGCGTTTCTGGGCAGTCCGCCTTTGTTATCTGATCCCGCCCTGATGCCAACGACGTCAATGCAGTTCCCCCACAAACTCAACTTCATAGACCTTGCATCTTCAGACCTAAGAAATGTGTGCGTCACGTTCTCCTGATTGCTTGTATCTCATCCGTCGATGAAGATGGTCTGCGCATCTGGGACCTGGGAAGAGTTACTCGGGTGCGATTAAATAAATACGCCGTACAACATGGATATACGCACGAACGACGTACACACAAACTCTCAGAAAGACCAGCAGACCTTGCTGGGGAATAACGGAGGCGAGCCAAATGCAGGTACATTACTTCCTCCACCAGTCTCAAAATGTAGAGATCGCAGCGTGAGCCCCAAATCGCGATCGGATCCTCCGGGTGAACAAGCTCCAGCATCTGCTCCTATGCCCCCAATTCAGAGCAATCTACAAGCAGAGGCTACAACAGCTGTCTCTCTGACGGTTATTGGCTCTCAGTTGCACGAAGAAGGTCTCAAGGACGATTACAGCTTAAGTGCGATTAGAAGCCTTCCTGGAAACTTGAGAGCCAAGGCAAGTCTCAATCAATTGGTCACCCCGAAAGGAAGTGAAGCTGGTGATACGGCTAGCATCAGAAGTTCTATTCCTAATACAGATATGGGCGAACCAGAGAACCTCTTTGGGGATTTTGCCGTTTCTGAGCGCGGGAGCAACGCCCAGGATGCTGCAGGCTTGCTTCACTTTCCGGAATTCCAAGGGGGCGAGTTGGAGGATGATTTCGCAAGTGAATTTGACCCGATTGGTGAGGTAGATGAAGACGGAAACAATGAGGGTTTGTGGCCTTTCGCTATTAAATGCTTCTTTTTTTTCCCCCGGCATCGGGATTCTGACAGATTTACAGAGCTGCTCTTGGAGAAATGGAAAGCGAAGAGAAAACATTATATCATTCTTTCGGCCGCCGGAAAACCCATATGGACCAGACACGGAGACAGCGGTCTGGTCTCGACGTACGTCGGCATCATCCAAACCATCCTTTCCTTTTACGAGAATTCTGGGGACCGTCTTAACAGTTTCTCTGCTGGCGACACGAAATTTGTGATCCTGACTCAAGGCCCGCTGTATCTTGTTGCGATAAGTCGGATGTTAGAAAGTGATGAGCAGCTTAGGCTTCAACTTGAAGCTTTGTATATGCAGATCTTGTCTACGTTGACACTCCCGTCTCTATCACATTTATTCTCTATCCGGCCGTCCACGGACTTGAAACGACCACTACAAGGGTCGGAAAGCCTCTTATCAACATTAGCTGACAGCTTCACCAGAGGCTCTCCATCAACCCTCCTTTCGGCGATGGAATGCCTGAAAATCCGCAAATCACATCGCCACACTATTAACAACACTCTTCTTAGAACAAGGGTCAAAAGTCTTCTTTATGGACTTGTCGTTGCAGGCGGCCGACTTGTTAGCGTCGTGCGACCTAAAAAACACTCATTACACCCCGGCGACTTACAGCTCCTGTTCAACATGATCTTTGAGGCAGAAGGGGTTAAAGCCGGAGGTGGCGAAAGCTGGATTCCAGTTTGTCTACCCGGATTCAACAGCAAGGGATATCTGTTTATGTACGTCAGCTTTCTTGATCTCCGGGGAAATATCAACGAGGTCGCAGGTGATACTGCGACGAAAGAAGAATCAGTCGCGATTATCTTGATAAGTACCGACAGAGAGAGTTTTTTTGACTTGCAGAGCATGCGAATTGCTCTAGTCGAGGTTAGTTATTCTCATTTTTCTCGTATTCTACCACTGAACCTGGGCCTTGCTAAATATAGCGCTATAGCAAATGGAGAAAAATGGGAGCATCAACATCATCAGGACCGCCATCGAAAAAGGCCGTCCTGCCACAACTGATATCATACCGGGAACAGTCCTGCGCCATTTTCTATATAAGTCTCGTGCGAACGTTCAGTTCGCCATGTCTTCATACGATCCCGACTTCTCCTCAGCATCCAGACATCGCAGGTTCGTTTACTAATATCCAGCTCCATCTTTGCTGTTATGTCTTCATACTAATGGGACCTATTCTATTTATGCACAGGTTGATGTCAATATATGAGAGCATACACGCTAGTGTTCATGCTAAGCATACGCATGTAAAGATGCACTGCTTTGTTTCCCAATCTGCAAGTTCTTTTGCGTGGATTACCCCGGTCTTTGAATTTTATTGCGTCGCAGGACCAAATGCGAATCGCAACGCCCTTGCGATGAGTGCGAGTAAGATCGTTCGATGGGTGCAACAAGAGGAAGAGCGTCTATTTATTATCGGTGGCGCAGTAAGTCACTGTCTTCTATATCCTGCGTTACCAAGACAGTGAAGGCTAATGGGTTTTTCGTTTTAGGTGTTCTAATGGATTCGTCAATTTATATATACCCCAACTTACGAGATCTACGATATGATAGAGAGATGATATAACTTTGATCATTCCCAAAAAGTTTACATGACTATCATGGTAAGGCACTAGTAGTTAGTACATACGATGTTGTCAACAATAGCATAGCCTGTCCGCGAAAAGAGCTCGAAACTAATTTATCTATGAAATCAATCGATCGAGTCCTCCTTCAGTGCAAAAGCCTGTCTCATGACCTCATCCGACTTGGCCCTCAGCGCATTATGGTACATTGTGTTCGTAATGAACAGCTTAATACCCTTGATCTTGGCTGCTGTAGCCGAGGCCAGGTCGAAGTGAACGTACATATCATCCATATAAATTGCGGCGTACACTGGAACTTGGTTCTGGGAGAGTTGTTTCTCATCGTAAAGGGTCGGCCAGTCCGTGGTGGAGGCAAGAAGGTCGGCTACCTCCTTGAGCTCGCTGAGTTCTGTGTAGGAGGTGAACATATCCTGGTAGATCTGCAGAAGTTAGATGAAGTCAGAAATCTATGCCATGTTCTCTTCCTGTTTTCTTCCTGTTATATGGAAAACTTACCATCTCTCCTGTGAAGAGGATCTCGTTTTTCTCATCGATACTGAATCGAGGATTAGCTGAGCGGAACCTATCGGCTGACCAGTTCGATGCTTCTCTATACATTATATCAGTCAGTATAGCTCCTAGGCATGGTGAATAATGCAAACTGGAAGAGAGAATTGGCATATCCATACCCCTGGCAATAGATTGCTTCTTGTAAAATCGCATAGAGAATGGCATTATCAAAATCTCCGTAGCTCTCGATCGTCGTGAGAGTAGGACGGGTGAGGAAGCCGAACAGTTCCAGGTCATGCCAGGCTCGTAGAACGACATCTAGGCATTATTTCCCTTTAGCAAACACATCCCCTTTTTTCAATTCTTCGTTATCAAAGAGAAGGCAGTAGTGCATATTTACCGTGAACAGCGTCAAGGCCACCTGCTGCGTGTCAGAACGGAACGATTCGAGGCCCTTTTGACTTCAACAAAAGTATGTTATGCTTACCATGCATGCCAAACATAAGTCCAAGCTGTTGGAATCGTTCCGGAATTAGGAATCCAGAGGACAAAGCGACTTTGTTCTCCTTGAGATATTTGATGATGCGTTTGACTCTTTCAGCATCATCGGGATATTTAGCATAATACGCCTTGTTTCTCTGCTCGACCTTCTCTGCATCTAGCTCAGTAGCCTATTCAAGCTCTACTCATAGTTATACATACCGTAAGTCCGAGAGTAGACAGGGTCTGGCCCGTTAACAAGTGGGGGAAGCCCACCGAAGATGAAGGCCTCCTTCAGTCCTTCGGGGCTGTGGCACACCAGATTGTTAGATACGGTCATGAAAACAAACAAGGAAAAGACAGAATTGCGTACAATTTAGAGAGATACGAAACAGCGCAGAATCCACCAAAACTTTGGCCGATGACGCTCCATTTCTTCAGGTCATCAGGATACTCTGCAGTCAGGCATTTGCGGATAGCTTCACAGTCGCGGACGATATTATCGGCACGGAAATTCTTCAGGTACTCGGCCTGCTTGATCGCATTGCCCTGTCGCGCTAGTGTCCCTGCCGTGATGGTCGAGCTGAGGCCAGTACCGCGCTGATCCAGGAGCAGGACCTGCATTATGTATATAGGCCGTGAGCAGGTACAACATCTACTTCCCAACGGCCTGCGGACAAATTACCTGGTAGCCCTTATCCAGCACAAATGGAACCCAGGGAAATTCAAGAGGAGAGCGACATCCATATCCCGGTCCGCCTTGGAGATAGACCAACCATGGGAGCTGCTGCTCTTCTTTAGCAGGCTCGGCTGGGTTGGTCGAACGGCGGACGCTGCGTGCAAAGAGCCTCACAGTGTTTCCATCATCTGGTCTGGAGTAATCCAAGGGGACATCGAAGAAGAGCTCGCCGATGCGGAGTCTCCCTGGGACGCGATGTTAGCACTCCGTACAGCAGATGGACACACTCCACGCGTGTATAAAAATTGGGCGTACCCGGGAGACTATGGAAGCGCTTGTCAATCAGTTTAGCAACTGCCATTTTGACTGACTCAAATCTCCAGTGAAGAGTATACACGGAATGGAGAGAAAGACAGTTGGTTCAATTCAATCGGGCTGTGGATGTCGGATGTCCACAGATAACGGCAATGCTACATTGCTTGTAACCCCGCTGAATCTGATACCCGACAACGAGGGGCTTCTACCATGGCTCTCAGTGTCTTTTAAATACTTGAATCTGTATCTAGAGAGCGCAATATGTGGCTAAAGGAGTTTTCTAATTGTAACATCGACGTTGACGTCTTAACCATCTCAGACAGTGTATTATCTATCAATTCATATGTGCAGTTTCAGTGGCAGCAGAAGGACCAGCGCTCAACAGTGAAACGACACCATCGTATTGGGAGGAACAGCGGAAACAGTGGCATCCTCCGGCATCTGCTCCGGCGTCCGTCTGCTCTTCCGGCATTTGATATTTATTAATGCGGTACTAGTGCTTACCCAGGCATCTTGCCGGCTGGCTCACCTCGACGGATTCCTGGATCTGCTAAAAATCCAAGCGGAGGACAATTTGAGACCACAGCATGGAACCAAACATCGGAACGATCATCCAAGAGCAACCCCAGGTTCAATACGACTTATGGAAAGCAGCATTCGGCTTTGGGGAACATGGACAACGTTCCAATGTTCTCCCCAGTCCTGAAGCTTTAATAAGAGCAAGGAACTCTCTCCCAGAAACCCTTGCGGAAACTGGTGTCGGATTCAAAGCCATCCAGACACATATCCTCAATGATATCGTCCCTGCTACAAATGCCGGGAGCATCAGTCCAAATTACTATGGCTTCGTTACAGGTGGAGTCACTCCCGCCGCTTTATTCGCGGATAATGTCGTCTCGGCCTATGATCAGAATGTCCAGGTGCATCTTCCAGCTCACTCCATCGTGACGGAGCTGGAGTACAATACGTTGGGCCTTCTTGCAGATCTCCTTTATTTGAATCGAAAGGACTGGCAGAATGGCACATTTACCACAGGCGCAACGGCAAGTAATATCCTGGGTCTCGCGTGTGGGAGGGAATTCACTGTCCGAACTGCCTGTGAACGTAGTGGATGTCCCATTCGGAGTGTGGGAGAGTCTGGATTATTCGAGACCCTTCAAGCTTCCGGATTATCTGGTGTCCAGGTCTTATCGACGTTGCCGCATTCGTCTATTGGAAAGGCTGCCGGGGTCTTGGGAATTGGGAGAGCAAACATCAAGAACATCGTCTGTGCTTCGAAGGGCAATCCCCTCAGCTTCGACATGGACAAGTTGGAAACGGAGCTGTCAAACTCAAACAAGGCCAGTATTGTCGCCATTTCATGCGGTGAAGTTAATACTGGACGATTCGCAACAGCCGGCGTCGATGAAATGCAAGCCATACGAAACCTATGCGATAAGTACGGTGCATGGCTCCATGTTGACGGAGCTTTTGGAATCTTCGGTCGAGTCTTTCTGGAGGATGAGGACAGTTCGGAATTTGCGTCGATCAGAAAGGGATGCGAGGGAATAGAGCTTGCTGATTCCATTGCTGGCGACGCCCACAAATTACTCAACGTCCCCTATGACTGTGGATTTTTTCTTTGCCGTCGTCCGGATGTAGCAGGAAACGTCTTCCAGAATGCGAATGCAGCGTATCTGCGCGTGAGTGGTGACACCGAAGGTCCTTCTATCCCGTCTCCATTGAATATTGGGATCGAGAATTCACGGCGGTTCAGAGCGTTGCCCGTCTATGCCTCCCTCCTATCGTATGGGAGAAAGGGATACAGGGAGATGCTGCAGCGACAGACTCGGTTGGCGAGAATGATATCTGAATGGCTGTTTGACCATCCTGCTTACATTGTATTACCAGAGTTTGAGAACAAGGAGGCATTGCTGGATACTACATATATGACTGTTTTGTTCAGGGCGAAACAAGACGAGCTGAATCGCGAACTTACGGCCAAGATCAATACCATGTCCCAGATGTTTGTGTCGGGGACATCGTGGCAAGGACAGCCAGCATGTAGGATTGCCATCTCCAACTGGAGAGTCGACGAGAAGGACTTTGCTCTTGTAACTGCCGTCCTAGAGAATGCTGCCGCTTGAGGAAGCGCAATATCATGAGAGATGGAAGAACTTGTGTCATAACCATTTTGTTTCTATGTACTTGATATTGAGAGAAATGAGAAGTCCGTTCGGGTATCTCGCTCTGGTCCCGTTGTATACGCAGATATTGGAAATGATGTATCGTGCAAATAAAATAATATCATGATATCACCTCCGGCGTCCAGCACCACCTGCATTACCACTGGCGTTTCGATCAGCGATGCTGACCACCTCTCCGATTCCAGCAGCTTCTTGTTCGTCTTCAAGCGCCATGATTTCCTCCCTGCTGTCCCACCATTTCTCTTCAGCAAGGTCGAACGCTTCCTTCCGTAGCTCCTTGACCGACTTCTCCACCTTCAGATCCTTCTCCTTCATATTTTCAATCAAATATTTCTGCCACTCCTCAGATGTGCGGTTGAAGAAATCACGCAAGCTTTCGAAAACACGGGGAAGAGGCCTGTTGTCCTCCGGGGACGGTTCAGACTCCTGCTCCTCCACTTCTAATTGCTCCATGTAATGAGTCACAGACGGTACTGTTAACTCGGTAGCAGCAGTTGACGCTGCATCGTGCGACATTGCATCTTCGTCTTCTTCTCCCTCCTCCTCCTCCTCCTCCTCGTCGTCGTCGCCATCCATCTCATCGTCACTTTCACCCTGGTCCATCAAGTGCCAGTTCTCGGGTTCGTTGAAGAATATTTCCTTCACTCCATCGAGCTTCTCTAGGTCAATAGAATACATGTCGTTGAAGGTAAACTCCCGATCTCCTTTCTCAAAAGTGCCACCAAAGATGAAGAGAGTATCATCTTGCACGGCCAGTTGAGCATTGAATCGTTGATGTGGCATCTCGAAACGAACCACTGTAGGTTTTTCTTGCTCTGCAGGTTCCTCTACCTTGTGGGTATTTGTTTGCACAGGTTCTTCATCTTCATCTTCGTCGCCATTGCGTATCCCTCTTTTCTTCTCTAATTCTGCCAGGTTTCGGAGAAGCTCCTCCTCATCAGCTTTGCTCCTTTCTTTGGTCTTCACTTGATTTGGTAATTGCTTTTTACCTGGGCCCCTCGGGCGGCGCAGGTTCAGTTGGAAGAAGCGGTTCCTGTCAGTATTCCAGGCGTACAGTTGATTGAAGAACTCGCTGTCAATGCCCTCTTCAGTGAGCTCAATGTCGTGAACACCACCAAACATAACACCCCGACCCTTATGGTAAGCCATGGTAGCGCCTGCACGAGCTGGACTTGGCTGGTTAGCAGGCTTCTTTCTGCGCTCCCAGCGTATCATAGGACCAGCGGAAGCTGGCGCATCTGCTGCTGGGGGAGTGATTCGGAGGAACCATGTATCCTGATGAACCATAGGTTTGAGTATCATCCGCTGCGGACCACCCTTTGTCTGTTTCACTCCTGCGCTAGTAGATGCCTTCACGCGAGAATATCCACCGTAGAGAACAGCGCCTGTTTCATGGGGAAGGAATGAGAACGATGAGCGAGGATCGGGTTTCTGAGATCCCGGAGCTAGAGTTGGATTAAACCAGACGTATTTCTGACAATCATATATCCAGAGATCTTGAAGGTACTTTGTCTGTTGGGAAGTATCTTGGAAGCCACCAAACAAAATGATATAGTTCTGCATAATAGTCAGCGTGCCAGGGCCACCGGAGAACGTGGAAAATGAGAGTTCGAACCTTAAAATAGGTCATTCTGTGGCCGCTTCTTGCCGGTGGTCCTTTTCCCTTTGTCTCCAAACGAGTCCATTCTCTTGTTGCCGGATCAAGGTGCCAAAAGTCATTGTAATGGTAAAAGGTCCCTTGCTTGGGAGATGAAAATTCACCTGTACAAAACAACAATAGCAATAGTCAGTCTATACACCCAAAAAAGTACATCTTCATAGGACCTGATTATCTGCTTGCCTCCAAATAGATACACTCCCCCAGTGTTCCCCCCGCGACACCAAGAATGTCCGCTCCGAGGTAGAGGGCTGTTAGGGCTGGTAACCTGCCTCCACTCGCCCCGATCGATCAAGTAGACAAAAAGATCATTGAAAAAGGTGGCGATTGTCCCGTCAAAGGATTCTCCGCCGAAAATCAACAGCTCGTTCCGGTTCGACGGGGATCCGAGTACCGTAGCAGATGATCGTGGAGAGGGAGGGTTTGAGACGACTTCGGTGACTTTGAGAAATTTTGCTTGTTCTTCGGCATAGGATGCGAGAATTGCGTCTAGATCAACGTCCTCTGCATCGCTGTCAACGTCGCGGCCTTTCGACTTGGTTTTCTTTTCCTTCTGGGCGGCTTTCTTGGATTGCTTCGCAGCAACTCGTTCCTTATGCTCGGCGGATTTCTTGTTCTTCTTGGCCATGTTGGTATGAGTAATTGTCGGACTCTATATATTAGTGACAGCAGAAACAATTGACCAAGTCAATGCTCTCTGGCTGCGCAACTCATCAAAGTACTTTTGGTACTCTTGGGATTGGACGAAGAGTTTAAAAAAAATACCCCCGCATAAGGGTAATGGTGTTACTGCAATTTCAGGCAGAGAACTGTAAATTTACCGGGACAAATTGAAAAACTCTCGCCTCCTTCTGAATAATCACGTGACAGCGCGTATCAACGCGTTCTCTCTTTTGTTCCTTTTCATTTTGTTATCTACCTCGACCACGCTCGCCTTTTGTTCATAGAGCATTTTTCGACTTTGAAGACGATCATCGACGACGAACCATGAGGATACACACAGATCCCTATGACGAAAAATAATTTGAAAGTTCACCTTAAATGGCTGCTAGATCAAGGCCCTTCTCTATACCCCTCCTTGAATTCATCGACGCGAAACGGCATTCTATTCGATCAATCGGTCCGGGCAGACAGGCCGGTGGTCACGTCCCCCAGTGTTCATATTCCACAATCGACCGTCGAGGTCGGAATCGAAGACACGGCGAATAATGACCCGGAAGTGAAGTCTGATGTGGAATCCGATCTCGATATGGGGCGTCTGTCATTTGCGCCTCAATCTGCAAGCAGACCCCGAATGCTCCTTTTCCAAAATAATGATGCATCGCCGCGGATTTCCAAGACCCCTAGCCGGCTCTCCGATGAGAAGTTCCCTGTAAAACCGCGAAGTTCGCAACCTAAGAGTGTGATCAAAGGTATAGTTACAGTTGATTTGAGACGTGTGGTGGAGGATGAGAGCTGACAGGATGAATTCGACAAGAGAACCACTCTGATTTATCTCACCATTTCACATCAAGTCAACGGAAGAGACCGCGACTAAAGTTGGATTTTACAACAACTTCCCTAGACGATGTTGACGCCATTGACCTGACTGGTGATGTTGAAGAAACCACTTCTTCTGCTGGCACAATAGAAGAGTTCAGTGAAGCACGGAAACTATGGGCTGAGGAGGTTACTTCACGCAAGGAACCTGTCGAGAAGAGAGGGAAGAAAAGAAAGAGTGACGAAGCTCAACCAAGCCTGTTGTCTCCTACGAAGCATGCCTCCAAGAAACACTCTCCACTACGGAGCCCAGACGCCACGAGCTCACACTATTCTATCGTTCCAAGACCTCAGAGCTTTGCACAATATCCACGTGTTACGACCGATTTAAACTCCCCTCCAACAAATAAAGACAAAGACGAGGGGCGACCGGCTCATCTCGGTCGCTCGAAGGATGTTATTGCTGACTCTGATGATGAAGACTTGGATGAATTTGATTGGGCCTTTGGCGATCACAATAACTCGAAGAGTCCCTTAATACAGAATAATGACGAGTTATACCCTACCCTCCCTGAGCAGACTCACATACCGGAAAAGAAGGTGGCGCCTACTTCCTCCTCTGTCAAGAGGGATACCGCATTGCCAAGCCCTATCTCTGCTAGTAATTATCTGGAAGATCGTGCAATTCTTACGCCGAAATTGCAATCTCACCCGTCACCATTTCCGAGTTTCACCGGTTCACCAGATAAAAAGAGCGAGGACCTCGTGAAGTTCCTGGCTCTTCCAGTAGACTCGCTGAATCACATACACCAAAAACTTCAGCATACTCGCCAGCGAAATGCGGAAATTGCGTATGAGAAGACAATGCAAGGTCTACCAGCTCATGAACTGGTCGTCGAGAACAAAGCTCTTAAGACACGAGTTGAAGCCCTTGAATTACTAAAGCAACAGAAAGCTGCCTATGATACGTGCTTATCCAAAATATCCGGTTTGAAAAATTTGATCATGCAGGCTCTAGCACAAGGCTACGACCCGTCGACTAAGTCCGAGGAGATCGCACAAAGCAAAGTGCTGACCTCCGAGTTACGAAGCTTCGAAAGGAAAATATGTGAGCTTCTTCCTCAAGCTGACATTTTCACTGAATCTCCAAATATGCCGAATCTGGAAACATCACAGTCTGGTCTGGCGCCAGCATTGCCTCGCAAGGCAAGACTCACGCAAGCTGCTATTGATACGGAAAGTAATTTCTCTCTTGGAACTTCTCTCACTATTGAAGGTTCAACATATGCATCGCCTGCACGAGCCGCATTACCAAGCAACGGGTCTCGGAATCTGTCGCTCGCTTCCCCGATATGTACTCCGACTGTTGGCGAAAATTCCATACCAAGTGACATGTTCGACGATGATCTGACGATTAGTGATGATGAAAAGCCGTTCACACGAAATATGGGTTCTCCAATTCTTTCTGCTGCCGACTTGGATGAATTTGACATTGATGCGGACGAAGACGTGATGCTTGAAGCTGCTGAACATCTCGAAGGCAATCGCCCTGCTCTGGCCGGTCATTATGAAATTCAAGGACGCAAGGCGTTCTCTGAAGTGTCTGGAAACGCTGCTAGAATGCCTTCGCCCAAGAAATCATCCACAGAGAATGCACTGTGGCATCATCCATGGTCGAAGGATGTTAAAACTGTATTGAGAGACCGTTTCCACCTACGCGGATTTCGCCCTAATCAGCTCGAAGCGATAAATGCAACTCTGGGTGGGAAAGATACATTTGTTCTCATGCCAACTGGAGGAGGAAAGTCTTTGTGCTACCAATTGCCCTCTGTTATTACGAGTGGCTCGACAAGGGGGCTCACTATCGTTGTATCGCCGTTGTTGAGTCTCATGCAGGACCAAGTTTTCCACCTTCGACGCCTTGGGATCAATGCATCTGTCTTGAATGGCGAAACCAGTGCAGATGAGCGGAGAAGTATACTGAACGCGCTCAGTGGCTGGGATCCAGATCTCATGGATTTACTATACATCACTCCAGAGATGATCAACAAGAATCAAAAACTCATTCGCAGCCTGGAACAGCTTCACCAGCGACGAAAATTAGCCCGCATCGTTATTGACGAAGCTCATTGTGTCAGCCAGTGGGGACACGACTTTCGCCCAGATTACAAGGAATTAGGTGAATTAAGGCCTCGATTTCTGGGCGTGCCAGTGATGGCCTTAACCGCCACGGCTACTGAAAATGTCAAGGTTGATGTTATTCACAATCTCAACATTGAAGGCTGCCAAATATTCTCGCAGAGTTTCAATAGGCCCAATTTAACATACGAAGTGATACAAAAGAAGGGAATCGAACTTTTGGAGAGCATAGCGGATACTATCAGCACTTCTTATCGTGGGCAGTCTGGCATAGTTTATTGTCTCTCCCGAAAAGCCTGCGAGAAAGTTGCGGCAGATCTCAGACAAAAGTACAGGATCAAGGCTTCGCACTATCACGCTGGCATGACTTCAGACGAAAGAGCAAACGTTCAGCAGCAATGGCAGTCTGGGAAATGCCACGTGATGGTAGCCACCATCGCTTTTGGTATGGGAATCGATAAGCCTGACGTCCGATTCGTGATCCATCATTCCCTGCCGAAAAGTCTGGAAGGGTACTATCAGGAGACTGGCCGTGCTGGTCGAGATGGTAAGCGCTCTGGATGCTATCTATACTATGGCTATAAGGATACCATGGTCATAAAGCGCATGATCGACAGCGGCGAAGGCAGTGCAGAGCAGAAAAGTCGACAACGCCAAATGCTACGAAACGTCGTTCAGTTCTGCGAGAACAGGAGCGATTGCCGAAGGGTGCAGATTCTTGCATATTTCAACGAATATTTTCGTCGTGAGGATTGCAACGCTTCTTGTGACAACTGCAAGTCAGATTCTGTCTTCGAGCTCCGTGATTACTCCGAATATGCGGCGGCAGCCGTTGCTCTTATCCGACACCTCCAATTTACACTCAAGGAAAGGGTGACCTTGTTATATTGTGTGGATTTATTTCGCGGATTCACCTCGGGAAAAGTCAAGGCCCACCATAAAAAACTACCATGGTTTGGAAAGGGCTCGGGGTTTGACAAGGGAGAAACTGAACGTCTCTTTTACCATCTAGTCACCGAAGAAGCTCTCCGTGAGGAGAATGTTGTCAACGAAAGAAGCAAGTTTGCCACTCAATACATTAAGATAGGCCGAAGGGCAGCCGATTTCGAAAACGGCCGTCGCCATTTGAAGCTTCACGTGCGTGTTTCGCCGAACGGAAAGAGTGCCAGGAGGTCCAGAACTAGCAAAGACGACTACCCACTGTCTACAAATGTGTCGTCACCTATACAGTCGGCAAATCAACGTCGGCTATCCCGTTTCCTACACCGTGATGCACAAGAGGAAAGTTCGTCGGACGATGATCGGGATAGTGATGGTTTCGAACCTATCCGCGAAGTGGGCAAACCACGCCGAGAGAGGAAGCGCGAATTAGGTCCACCTATAACGGACGATGAAAAACTCAAGAGCCTCGACAGTTTACATATGATGGTTGTGGAGGACTTCATGAGCTATGCGAAGAGGGAGTGTCAAGATGTCAGTTTTTTTGTTTATTTTTCTTGTGCTGTGGCATTTTGAGGTACATCTGCTTACGCTAGACACAGATAATGATGCGGAAGAGCCTTCGTAACCAGCCATTCCCAGATGGCATCCTGCGAGATATGGCTATCCGATTTCCCAAAAGTGAGTATTGATCTTCGGTGACCTTGTGGGTAGGGCTAACTCTTCATTTTAGACAAGGATGAACTTCTCGCAATTCCTGGCATTGATCATGATAAAGTCGAGCGCTATGGAGCTCAATTCTTGAAACTTGTTAGAGACGCACATCGGCGTTATGAAGAATTGCGGAGGGACGGAAACGACAATGTTACTGGCATTGTCCCAGATCCAAATCACACGAACGTTATAACCCTCAGTGATGACGATGAGTATGCCGATGGCGATGAACTCTTCACGGATGGTGCATCATTCCTCAACCAGGACGAGCCACCTGTATCGAGTCGGTACTTCCCTGCTCAGAACTCTGCAGTAGACGGCTCACCTGATAACTTTGAACCTGGTCCCTCACGGCATGCTAATACTAAAGCTCGCAAACATTACACTAACAAGCGGCAGCCGCGCCGCAAGCCAGCGGGTAGCTCGGCTCCCAAGTCCAGAACCACGAAAGCGCGAACGAAGTCCCGCGATGGTGGCACTGGTAGGTCATCCTCTCACAAAGGTTCACGTAAAGCCTTACAGAGAACGAAGACATCGCTCGCATCCATTGAAATGATGCCTCCTTGATAGGTGGATTAACGGCCCAGTAAATCGAATGCTCGTTGGTTAATCAAATGGGACAAAGGCAAGAATCAATTTCATTATTTAATGTCGATGGTCTATTCTGCATTCCTAGGCGTTTTAGGCGAAGGTATTGTTGGTTCTGGCGAATATTTGCATCTGTACGCTATATATACCCATGGCAGACATGCATTCTAGTATCGATACTGGGCATGGCTCAATGTTAGAATAATGACCATCAGAAATTTCTCCCGTACGACAGTGATGTTAAAGGGACCCTTGCATGTATAGTGCCAGCAAGTACTAAGAGATAAGCCGAATGATATTGCAAGAGTATGTCTATCTTCATTGCCACATAGTAAATCATTCAATCATCAATAGAACGCCCGAAGTCAATCAGCCTTAGCCGCCTCGCGTCCCGAGGATGAAATTGTGCAACTTTCGCCTTCACCAGAAATCTCGAAACGGCAGAATCCCGAGGAACATCTATATAAACGGGTCCAGCTTCTAATAAGGCATCGAGAAGTGCGTGCATTTCGGCCGCCGCTTTCTCCCTCTTATTTCTCTGTCGTGTTTGATTGTCCTGACCTCTCTGGCGGTAAACAAGCTCATCAATACGCTGCTGTCCATCTTGATCATCTAGCGTCGCGGATTTTTGCTTCTTTGGTCTTCCACGGTTTGTATACCCTGCCTCCAGTACGGCATCAGTAAGATCTAGTGCGTCGCCAGCTGTGGGACCCCCAATGTCCTCTGCCGCAAGCATTGCCGCAAGCTTATCGTCGATAAATTTGTCAAGCGAAGATTTCATATCTTCTGTAGACTTCTTGAGCTCTTCGTTTTTCCCTTTACGTTGCCCTACTAGCTCATTAGCGAGCTGGGAAGGGGTCTTTCGTTCTTTATTCGACTTCTCCGTCCGGATTCTACTGATCCGCTCTTCGAGTCCGCTCGTAATAAGCCGAGCATCGCGAAGATTTGCCTCTTCAGCCTGTAGACGTTGACGGTCAACTGAAAGACTATTTGCTGTCATTGAGATTGACGTCTTGCTTTCCTTGATAAGCCGGCCGGTCTCCTCAATGGCAATAAGTGATGGTAATGGAGATGTCGGGGCTGGAAGCAAAGTCTCTTGTTTCAAGAGAGAATCATAACCCTTCTTGGCTCGCCTAACTTGGGAGAGTCTAGCCCAAGGATCTGTACTGACATCTGGCAGATCAATCGATTTTGTTGTGCGCAGCTAGATAAAAAGTCAGGACAATTCTAACAACTTGTATATCTCCTTTAGATTCCTGTGGACTGCTTCTCTTTCTGGAGACATACTTTGTTCAGTTCATCTTCCTGACGCTTCAGCCGGCCTTGCAGAAGTTTCAATGTCTCATCCAATCTCCTATTATAAGTGTGAAGGGCTTCATGACTGAGTGGTCGTTGCTCGTATGCTGCTTCGGCCTTCTGTCGTCTCTGAGAGAAACGCTGGATCTTGTCCACTGTCTCCTTCGACACGCTCATTGTGGCTAATGAGATTGGTACATAGCTCACTTGGAATAAGGAACCGAGTGATTTTAGGATGAAAGGTTCTCCGTTCCCATTCAAAAGACTATGAATTGGACGCGTATTCCCGTGTTGATTTCTTGAAGGGCTGTTCAGTGTTTCTGGTATGTATTTTCACGTGATTTATGGGCACCTTCCCCGATTGGATTTAGCGTGATCCCGTGTCTGGCATGACTGCAAACCTCGCTCAACATCATCTCTCCATGCTTCAGCGTGCTTCAACTCTGCAGCAAGGAAGCTCCCTCACTTCATCTTCCCTTTATAACTTTATCCTCCCTTATTTCATTTCTGGCAGCTCTGCTTTTCTTTCCTTTCTTTTTTTTCACTTCTACTTCACCCACAATCCACATTTCCCTTCTGCCCCTTGCCACCGTCGCGAACCACTGGTGACTTGTGTGGCGTCTTTCCACCGAGTCCTGACGCTGCGCATCGGGTTATCTTCAGAAGTGAAAGGAAGGAAATAAAGTATTGGGACTGGAATTGGGATAATATCTAAGGCGTTGCTTTGCTCTCGTCACTTCCTGTTCCCCAACATCCAGATCTTTACACGCTTCAACCCGTCGCTCTGAAACCCATCTCCGACCATCTCCATATCACTTCATCCAGCACCAGATCCTTCTTACCTCATCCGCTTCTCTCGTTACCCAACCCGGGCCTTATTTTGAGCACTGCTTCGCCTTTGGAGAAGTTTCCGTGCTCAAAAACAGGGCTGCTGTTTCTCCTAACTACACTTCACCCGTCGACCTCTCCTTTTCAAAGTCAATATTATATCTCTTCCACTTGTGCACGATCCACCAGCCTTTTTCAGTTCTCCAAGCACCAGATTTCCTCGCCAGCACCAGCAATTCTTTTGGGGAACTCCTGGTGTACATAGTCGATAAACTAAAAGCAAAAGAAAAGAAAAAAGAAAAACTGCTCTCAGACACTTTGACTTCCCCTGCGTAGGTGAAGCAAGCTCGGATCGGTGTCCAGAATCTCACGGTTAAAAAGCAAAAAAAAAAGAGTGATAAAAGAGAGAGAACGATGTCTGCCTCTCCGTCAAATATCCAATCGACCAAACGTCCCTTGGAAGACCCTTCTTCGCCTTCTGGCCCAAATGACCAGCCTGAAGCCAAGCGTCCTGCCTTGGACAAAGTAGTAAAGAGCGGGGAAGAAAAGACACCCGAAATTGAATCTTTGAAGACTGATGGTCCCTCAGGAGCCAATGCAGGAGCCGGTAGTGGCGATACTGCCGTTCATGATGTTCCAAATGGCAAGGGAGATGCTGCTGATACCCAGCCGATTCAGTCGACTGCATCTCATGCCGAGAGGGCAAGCTCTCAGCCCGAACAGCAACGCTCTCCCCAAGATGAATCTAGCTGGATCCATATTCGTGCAGTGATTTCCAGTCCAGAGGCAGCGACTGTCATTGGGAAAGGAGGCGAGAATGTATCACAGATCCGTCGTTTGTCGGGGGCCAAATGCACCGTCAGCGATTATTCTCGCGGTGCAGTAGAACGTATCTTGACCGTCAGCGGTCCCCAAGATGCCGTGGCAAAAGTAAGTTGGAAGGTTGTTTTACCAGGAGTTTTGTATAATGGCTTACCCATGTTCACCAGGCCTTTGGACTTATCATCCGCACCCTGAACGACGAGCCCCTCGATACCCCCTCTACTGCCCAGTCTAAAACCTATCCGCTTCGGTTGCTTATCCCTCACATCTTGATTGGCTCAATCATTGGCAAGGGTGGTGGCCGCATTCGGGAGATCCAGGAAGCGTCTGGCGCCCGCCTGAACGCTTCAGATGCATGCCTTCCATTGTCCACTGAACGATCTCTCGTAATTCTAGGGGTAGCTGATGCCGTGCATATCGCAACTTACTACGTCGCAGTTACCCTTGTAGAACAGCTCACGGAACGTTTTGGAGGGCCGGCAGCTTCTGCCTATGCTACACGTAGCGGTGGACCTGCGGGAGCCGTTCCTGGCGGCATGCAGGTTGTCCCCTATGTTCCTCAGCCAGCTGGGGGCCAATATGGCCACCCTGATAACTTCAGAAGACATCCTCACCCCAATCGGGCCGCAACGGGAGCTTATGGCGTTCCCTACCTCCATGGGCAGCCGGTTCCTACCCCCGTCACACAGCCAGCAGCACTACACTATGGTCCTACTCCTCACCCTGCCTACGCTGGTGCTGGTCCACACCAGCCTGCTCCATACGGAGCTCCCCAGGCAGCTCAAGCTCGTGGCACCCCGGCCACTCCTGTCGGCGGAGTTCTTCCTGGTCAACCGCTGACCCAGCAGATTTATATCCCCAATGACATGGTTGGCGCCATTATCGGAAAGGGTGGTGCCAAGATCAATGAGATCCGACATCTCAGTGGCAGTGTCATAAAGATCAATGAGCCTCAGGAGAACAGCAACGAGCGCCTTGTTACCATTACAGGAACCCAAGAGTGCAACCAGATGGCATTGTATATGCTGTATTCCAGACTCGGTTAGTGATACCTGTCTTCTGTCTGTCCTCCTGCCAATGCTAATCAATTTTTGGTTACCAGAGAGCGAAAAGCACCGTATCTAGGAGGGGATGGTTGCTGGATTAAAATGGGCCCTTACTTAATTGTGGGAATCGTTATGCGATGACCTGTATTCTTTCAGTTTTCGGGCTTTTTTCTTTTTGGGTATATGTACATCCGCGCCGTATTTTATTTTACTGAAGAGGCTTCTCTTTTTCTGTGTTTCTATCGCTTTTCCAAGGTTCTCTTTGTTGAAGTAAAACTTCAAACTATAGGTGTTCAGAGGCAATGCGAAACGTAATTATAGCAATATGTTCCAATCATGAATTTCCGGAGTCGAGTATGCCCATTCTAGGTGCGCAAAGTTACCAGGATAATGGCTCGTGAAAAAAGAAACGCTCAAACCTTCTGAAAAACAACGTGCCTCATATCCGTCTCATGAATAGAGGGCAGCATCCTCTCCCTTACTGGCGTAATAGCCTGGATGAACACCTCCTCCTTCTTAGCCTCCAGATGCACCTCCTTACTCTCCCAGCCAACGGCAAGGAAAGTCATACGCGCCTTCCCTGAAGGCGAATGCCTATGTTCTCTAGAACCCGGTCGCTCAACTTGTCCCGTACTCCACGACTTCGGCTTAAGGAGACCGGGAAGTTTCTCTACCAGTGCGCTTCGGAAGTCGATGAGAGCAGCGTCAACGGCTGCGTGTTCGTCCGGTGACATGGCGGCATCGAAGTTGAGACAGCAGAGCTCTGTGACGGGGTTCTTGGTGAATGTGTCTGTTGTCGATGGTGATGGGCTGAGGGTTGTAACTATGTGGGTTATATGAGTGTTCGGGACAAGAAGGGGAATTAGGAGGCTTGAGCGACTGCCGCCATCGTGGGCTGTGTTCCAGTCTATTTGTTGTGGAGAGTACATATATCTGTCAGTATGCGTATGAAGGTATAGTGGGGTGAGTGTATGTATATATATGGATGGAAATCAACAAACCAATAGCCCAGACAATGACGCTGTCATCCTCTAGGGTCCGTCCCCATGCAGAACTCTCATAGCCGAGCTGGTTCTTCGTTGCCTGCAGGGTCTTTATGAATTGCTGTCCTTCTTCATTGGTGGGGTCTTCTGGTTTAACTGATGGTTTGAGCTTGAAGTAGACGAATTCGGTGACAGGGAGTGACATCTTTATATTATTGTTACAGAAGAAGCTCGTAAACGTAGGGAGGAATTGCTGGGGATTAAAGTGTGGGAGAATAAGAGAGAAGCCAGACCTCTACAGTTGAAGAAGGGATAATTAAGAGTGGTGTGGTGGGATGGCCAGGTGATGTCACCGGAATGATGTCAAACCTCATCGCCCATCTGGCAGAACACGATGAAGCCTGGCATTTTTCCAGCACCAGCCAGGAAATAACGCGCTCTGATGTTGCATGATCGACCTCCGAGTGCCAGTTGCAGTCTTCTATGTACAGTGCGCAATAGACATACAGAAAAGGGAACAAGAGTGACATCATTTCATTCACAAGATGCGCCTGTGGTCCAGACTTCTCAACGTTCGAACTAACAGTAAAAGAGAACAGTCGAAGGCAAGATGGGATGGTATTTAAACTCGTATGAGACAGGAAAAGGACCTAAGGGTCATCTATACCTCTGACCTTCGACTTCTTCTCGTCCATCGCGTGTTTTAGATTGTCAAGGAGACATCTCCTGCGCCGCGCCTTTTCTTTCCACCTTTCACCTTCTTGCCGCACCACAAAATCTCCAGCGACCTGCATATTTCGGAGTCTGCTCGCCCTAGCTGAGCCGTTAATGCTGGATCGGAAAGGCAAGCCTCGACTGGCAGAATCTGGGGTATGATAAGCGGTTATGGCTTCGTCCCTGGAACCACGAGATCCAGGAGTAACAGGAATTCGGCCCAGAGCCTTTTTCGGTGTCGTGAATGGTGATCCTTCCCGGCTGCTCGGCGATGGCCCTGAGATATCAATCCCCAGTTTCTTCATTTTAGCTTCCAAAACATCAATGTCGCCGCTTTTCGCCTCCGCCATGCCCATCATTGTTGAAATGGTGGATGAAACGGCCTCTATAGTTGGCCGCTTCGTTGCCGCTTTACGGACGCCGGTAACTGGGTCAGGGGCTGCGTCAGCAATTCTGGCACGCAGAAGTGATACTCCTTGCTCTAGTTCTGCTAACTTGGCCTGGAAAACCGTAGAAGCTGACCGTAGATCTTGTTGAAGGTTGATCTGTTCCGCAGAAAGAGGTGCCGAGAGAATAGAGGCTGGGTTCGTATGCGTATCTAATATTCTCTGGATCCCAGCACACTGAGCTCGTAGAGTCAAGACATCGTTGCTCAGGATGTCTCCACACTGCTTCAACTTCTCCTCCACGCCTTTCACTCGACGCTCATCAAGCGATTGGGAAAGGCTGGAAACAAGATCATCCAGTTTTTCGATATCAACGAACAGGAGTTTCTCCTCCGAAATATCTGTTGGCTGGTCTCCAAGGAGGATATTCTCCAATGTTTTGTAATTCGACTGGTTTGGCATTTGTTGATATAGAAGGTATGATATTAATGACCGAGAATTTATGCCCAAGGTGTCCACCATCGAGTTGATGTCTCGATACAGCTTTTCAATTTGACCTGGGACTCCTGGCTTGCTCGTCCCGCCTGTGTAGTCTTGGTGAGGAAGAAAGGGATCAAGCGTAGGAACCGGCTCAGCAGGTTGCGCTAAGTCAGAACGAAGCCTTTCGTCTTCGTCATCATCTGAGAGGGACAGCATTTCCTCCTCTGCCTCGCGTCGCGCTTGAGCCACATATCGGGCCTGTTCTTCTCTGGCAATGGAACTGGGTCGCGGTTCTAGGCGGTGATCACGCTGTGCTGAATCCGTAAGGGCAGCTTTGCGGGCAGCCAAAGTAGCTCCAGGTACCGAGGGGGCGCTGATCGACCTGTGGCCCTCAGGCCGTAATAGCCTCCCGGGAATACCTACTCGTACCGGGCTGGGCGACCTTGGAACTTCGCGAGCCTTCTGAGCAGGTGGGAAATGAGGTTTAACCTCTCCGAATAGCTGCGACACTTTTTCAGGTTTGGAAATCCTCGAAAACAGATCCCCTCCAGGGCTTTTGTCCAGTGGCGCCCCAAAGGAACTTTCCGGCGAGGTTTTAAGACTCCGCACTCTAAGGTCTGGTTCTTCCTCCGTAGGGCTAACTTCATGTGTAATCTCCTCGCCGCTGTCTGCAAAATCTGATTCTTCTGCTTCTCTCTCAGACTCACTTTCCTCCGCCTCAGAGTCTCCTTCCTCCGCCCCGGACTCTTTTTCCGCAGGCTCAGATTCGTCATCTTCAGGTAGGGATTGCGAAATGGGTTGTTCTTCCTTAGGACTGGGCTCTGGAGGTAGCGGCTCTTCGAGAGCTGGCTCCGGCTTCTCCGTCTTCTTGTGCTGCGCTACGAAATCGGGAGGTAGAGGAGGCTCGCCTGCGGATTTGGGGGCAGGTTTTGGTTGCGTAAGGAAATCTGGAGGAAGAGGTGCGTCTTCAACGGAGCTCTTAGAGACATTCGAGGATGCAGATGTGTCACCCGGGCCAAAAACTGCCTTGCTAGTCGAATCAGGTGGGAGTGGTAACTCCATCACTGATGGCTCCTGTTTCGGTGCCAACCCCCCAAAGGGCGTCTTTTCTGGCGGTAGAGCTTTGTCGACGTGGGCAGCACTTGCGATTTGCTCGGTTTTCATTTGAGCGCCGGATAGTGGTGCCTGTGCCTGTCCGAGCGAAGTCGGCGTTGGTTCCTTTGACAGAGATGGGGATTGCTCTGGTGCAGTAGATTCATCTTCCATATCATCCATAGCCTCAGTCGGTGGGCTAGCTTTGGTTGGGGTTGAAACCATCTCGTCCAAATCCCCGCCTAAGGTGAACATTCCGGAAGGCTTTTCCGGCTTCGGTCCATCATTAACAGCGCTGCCATCACCCTTGAATGTCGATCCAAGGACGAAGCCACCTGGAGGTAAGCCAAAGCCCGTGGACGTGGAGTCTTTGGATTTCTGGGGGGTGAAAGCTGTGTCCTTATTCGCGGTGAGGCCAAAAGGAGAAGTTCCTGACAGCTTCGAAAAGGGACTTTCTGCAGCCAGCTTTCCGAATGGATTCCCTGGAGGAGTCTGTGGGGCAAGACTAGCGAATCCGCCACCCTTCGCATATGAACCAAATCCACCCCCAGAGATGGAACCAAAGCCAGGGGTTGACGGCTGGCCTAGGGAAGGTGTCTGGCCCAAAGCCCCAAAACCAGACTGGCCAAATTGCGGCGTAGCACGCCCCAGGGGGCTGGGGGTACCAAAAGAAGGTTTTGATACAGAAGAGCCTAAGACAGGACCACCGCCAAGGGCCGAGGGCGTCCCAAAAGTACTCGGTCGATTGCCGCCCAATGCAGACGGCGTGCCAAAGGCTGGAGTAGCAGAGGATTTTCCAAAGCCTAGCTGCGCGCCGAACGGCGAAGGAGTACCAAATGCAGCTGGTTGCTGTGGCTGCTGCTGTGGGCCTGTGCTCAAAGTGGACAGGCCATGATACGCCATTTTCTGCCGGATTGAGTCCGAATACACAAACCACCAAGAGGACAAAATCCCGTCGTTATTAAGTAGTAGAAGATTAGGAAGAGGGGTCGAGCTTTCTGAAATTTCCTCTCCCGGTATTGGTGACACGACATTCTCTGTGCTCGAAAGGTCAAGTCCGAAACCTATCACGGAAGTCTCCTCGCCAGCTTCAGTCAATGGGATCTCAGCTCGCTTGGTATCATCGATTATCTCCGTCGTTGTGAAAAGGCCTGTAGTCTGCTTGGCAGCATCGTCATCTGATAGCGGTTGGTCCGATCTTGTTATGAGTCCCACGTCCGTTGAAGCGGTAGATGCGAGGATTAAGAGATCCTTCAAGTGTGGTTTGAAATCTCTCATGCGCGCGATAAATTGATATGCAGGTGTACGCTTCATGCCGAACGGCAAACACAAATCGGGCAGCTTCTGAAACATGAACGGGGCCTGTTTCCGCCTGGTAACAATGTAATATGATGATGGAGGGTTAGACCCCATATCATCCTCGGCGGAGTTCGGGGTATAGACGATTAAGAAAACGTCATTCTCAAGCCATGATATTGACGAAACTAAGTACGGTTAGAAATGCCGATGTTCATATAACGTGGAACAAAACTCACCATGGCAGTTGGGTTCTAGATCAGGGGGGCGTGGTATCTCATCCTTCCTGGCACCATCGGGGGCCATTTGATATAGAGTACCGTCCCCAAGTCCCGCCACGAGTTGTTTGCCCTTGGTGCTCCATGAAACGCAACTGACCCCATTCTTTAATACAGGACCATTGGGCCCAGTAACGAGATTCCTCGCTTGTAAATTTGCTATTAGTAGATCGCCGTTCATAGTAACCAAGGCAACGAGAGGAGAATGGGCATCGGGCGGCGGCGCGGGGTTTGGGAATACACCACGCAAGCTGACACCGTTTGTAGGAATGGAAAATCCCGGTTGCGCATTTGGCTGTAACAAGCTCTCTGTCTCGTAAATTGATACCTGTGCTCCATTTTCCACAGCCAGAAGCAATGCGTTGTCACCTGAACAGAAGGCCACATGGGTAGGTCGTGCCGGAAGAGGTATCTTCGACTGGGGCTCAAAGGGCTTCGTCTTAATCTTTTCTTCGCCTGACGGCGCTGAGATTGCCTTCCTGATGTCTTCTGTTCTGGAAATTGCCAGACAATCGGGACCGGCACCGACGACTATTCCCTTGGTCGACGCGACGCCCAGGAGTGCGGACGTTGGTGGGGGAAGGGTATCGGCAGGCCAGGGGGTAGGAAGTAATCGGACGTTGCAATCACCAGAGATACTCTTAAAACCGACTTCCTACACACACATGTCAGACTGGCCCAGTTAGGGAGACGCAACTGCGACAGATAGGATATCCACGTACATTCGTAGCCACATCAGATAGCTCCGGTCCCATCTCTGCTGGATTGAGGCCATGCATCCCCATCGAATTAGATGCGAAGGCCATGTTGAATTTTCAGAAGTCGGTGGATATCAAACGAGACCGGTCGTTTAAGGGCAATTTTCTCCTGGGGACATTGAGATCGGGATGGAAGAGCTCAAAGTAAAGCTGGTAAAGAGCGACGATGTAGTGTTTCAAGGCTCCGATGAAGAAGCCACTAGGTACGCGCAAATTTTTGGCAGGATATATCCCGTTCCCCTGTCGGAGGGCCTGCGTGGACGGACAAGAGGTGGTAATGTCGACAAAGGTTGACGCGCTCGTTTTTTGGCGTGCCGAAGACGATGGCGACCTTGAGCCTGCAGCAGTTGGTGCCTTAACTTCCAGGCATAAAATCCAGCAGAGCTTCGTCACTCCAAGCTCTCGCCGTCATCTTCACTTTAAGCTTCCCCTTCTGCTCTCTTCCACCCTCGTCCCTGTCCCCACGTGGATATTTCTTTCTCTTCCTGGCAGATATTGCTGTTGTGGACCTCTCTGTCATCGTTTAAATTCTCCTTACGAGCGCTCTACTCCGTCACCATGCCAGGCTTCGACTTCTCCAACTACAATCGCAACGCGGCTCTCCACGCCAGAGGTGCACCCTTGCCCAAAGCTACAAGCACTGGTACGACGATTGTCGGATGCATTTACGATAATGGAGTTGTGGTATGTCTGTATAGTGACGGGGCAGTTTTGCTATGCCTCTGGTTTCCTGGTCATGTAGCCTTGGAACTGACCGTTGTTCTCATCCTCAGATCGCAGCAGATACTAGGGCCACCAGTGGTCCTATAGTAGCAGACAAGGTACGAGCATACTATGGGGTTTATTACTATCCTAACCTCATCCTCTTATATCCCGTTCCTTTTTCGTTCCACTCGTCGCGAGGGCGATTCGGGATAACATACTGATCGGGCCTATTTCTCATGATTCAGAACTGCGAGAAACTACACTATATTGCGCCACAGATCTGGTGTGCCGGAGCCGGAACAGCGGCAGATACAGAATTTACCACTGCTCTCATCAGTTCAAACATCGAACTACATTCCCTCTCGACGGGCCGGCCCCCGCGAGTCATCACCTGCATGACCATGCTGAAGCAGCACCTCTTCCGATACCAGGGGTACATCGGCGCATACTTGGTCGTCGCTGGTGTTGATCCGACGGGTGTAGGCCTTTTTACAGTCCACGCACACGGTTCCACCGACAAGCTCCCTTACGTAACCATGGGCTCCGGCTCGTTGGCCGCTATGTCCGTGTTCGAATCGACATGGAAGCCTAATCTCGATCGCGAGGGCGCCATCAACCTCTGCGCCGAGGCTATTAAGGCCGGTATTTTCAACGACCTGGGTTCTGGTAGCAATGTCGATGTGTGTGTTATCGAGAAGGACAAGCCTACTCAACTACTGCGCAACTACATGAAGCCTAACGAGCGTGGAAGGAAGGAGCGGAATTACAAGTTTGCCAGAGGCACCACCGCTTGGTTGAATCAGAAGATCATTAGCAAGGAGGACATGAGGAAGTATGTCACTGTGGAAGAACTCTCAGCTAACGTGGATCTCGCGACAGTGGAAAAGATGGAGGTCGACACTTGAGCTGACAGGCTTGAGCCTGTGATTTGTTTTCCTAGGAGAGAAAGTAATGTCAAACTCACATTTGAAAATCAACAAATGCTGGACTAATGTGATAAATTCCGTCTCCTGCAAGACCGTTACGAGAAGAAAAGGGAAGCAAAAATAGACCGTAGTATCTAGCGAGACATGCTTTGAACCCTTGAAATCAGTCCATAAGCTCTGTGGGTATCATTAGCCCATACATGATCCCCGAGATTCCAGAGTCATAGACATTACATGCAAACCCCCATAACTCTAGCACAATGCACAACCGCATGGCAATGGGCCAACGAGCCCAGTGCAAACGAAAAAAAGTGGGTATATACAACAGAGAACAACAGTTCAAAGGATAACCTGTTAAAACGCTTCCCCTTCAATGCTTATCTCCCGCCGATCAGTCATCATCATTATCATCATCAGACTTTCTTTGGAACTTCGCGCGGTACGGATTCAATAACGATTCAACCACTTCTGGAGTTTCATGCTCTTTCACGAGACGGAGGATGTAGTTGTATCTTGAAGGCGTAACACGCTGGCCAGTCCTCTGGTATCTGGTAACACCAGCATGGTATAAGGCTCGCACAAAAGCAGGCTTAATAGGAGCGTTATGTTGCATCAGGTAGCCAAAGAGCCAATGCACAAGATCAAATGCGCGAGCAGGACTAACTCTCTTAGCGCATGAGAAGGCGATGGCGAGAAAATTGATGAATTCGAGTGCGGCATGCGGGTCCGGACATTCTGATGTTCTGGGGAGAGGGTGGTAGCGTACAAGGACCATCTCGGAAGGATGAGGGATAGGATTCCAAGACCTGGAAAGAGCAACCTTCAGGGGAGAATGAGAGCGAAGGACCCTGATAATGGTCCAGATTGATTCAGAGTCACCAGTCTCCGCGATACGAAGGCAGTGAGTGGCAAAAGAGGGACTTGTAAGGTCAATCTTGCGAATCATTTTCTCGTAAGATCTGTACATGAAGCGCTTCGTGGCATTGAAAGTGTGGATATTTTCGAACATTGCTGTTAGCGAGATATTGCGAGATTCGAGCTGCCATAACGATTCCTGGGCAGACTCGCTCACACACAGGTTCATTAGCAAGTTGACAGCCCCCGTTAATACCCCGTTAGATGGTAGGTCAAGATCATGGATCCCCTTTACGAGGCTAGACATGAAGTCGCCATGGTCATGGAGCTGGGTGATGGAGCGGTAGACATTAAAGAGGTTGAAGGTTAGATAATAGACCTCTCCCGGTTCCCATGTTTGGTCTCGACGTGTGCGCGTGATCGTGCTGAATGTTCTTAAGATCCAAATGCGAACTAGAACTCGATCAACCACAGATAGTTCTGCTACAATCGAACCCGAACCATCACTGGGCTCTGAAAAATGCGCCTCCCATACATCAAACCAAACCCGGGACCGGAGAATAGAGGGAATAACTGGAAGTTGCGCCAGGCAATTACGCCAATATTCCAGGAATAATTTTCTCCGTAATTTCTCTCGTTCAGTAACAGTCGGAGAGAGGACCAAAGATTCAGCTACACGAATTATACATCTCGATGCAATGTCCGAATTAAAGCAACTCAGGAGCTCGTGGACGTATCCTGCGTCGACTTTCGGGTTCAAGTCCATTGAGAGCTTAACCCATTGAGTTATTAGTGACGAAGCCCATACGCTTGCATCTGAGCCCCGAGAATGAGTAGCGACAATGATATCGCGTGCCAGGAGCAAACCCTCCATATGGGACCCTGTGGCTGCCAGCTCACGAAGCCACGCATCAGCCAGATCCATATCCAGGTCCTTATGTGAAAAGACGTTGCAGCGTCCAATTGCACTCCACATCTCCCGGTAGCACTTTACTAGCCCCTCAGGATCTCGTTCCGTAAAAGATTGGCCCGCGATCTTCATTTTTGGCAAGGTCTGAACAATAAGGCGTATTTCATCGTTCATAATTAGCCCTAGTTCAAGAGCTCGATTGATTGCGCCAAGGAGCGCTTGACGTGTTGCCAAAGATGTCCTTTTGCGAGCTAGATATTCCGCCGCAGTGAGGTGGTTCATCGCTCCTTGAGTATTTAAAAAAGGGTCACCTAGGTAAGTTGAGATTTCCTCAATGACTGCTTTTGTACGGCCCACGCGTGAAAGGAGGCTGTTGAAGATCATTCGACTGTATTCCGGTTCTCGTTGAAGATCGATCATCAGTTGATGCAAAACATCCTTGATATCCGACACTTTCCAATGCTCTCTCAAATAGTCTTCTAGAAGTCGGGCGTGGGAGGGATTGTCCTCATTAAAACTATTCATGCTATCGCGCGATGCTTCGGATTTTTTATGCTCAAATCCTGCACCGTTGCAGTTGGCGCTGAAGGGAGGAATATCGAAACCACTCAACGGATTACCTTCCGACCCTACCGCAACGTTATTAGAAACAGAAATGAAGAGAATTGCAAAATAAACATAAGCAAAAAGCAGAGAGAAAGAATTCAATATCAAGTTCAATTCCACGCATTCTTTATCCTCACCTAGCAAAGACGGTTTGACGTCCGGTGGTTTCTGAGGCCGATGCTCCCCCCCATCCCTTCCAAACAGACATACCACATCATCCAACGGTCCAAAATCGCCTATTCTGGCTAGCGCTGTGTTCCTGCGCTTCGCAAGTCGCCTCCTGGCTTCCAATGGGCCGGGCACCTGGCTTCCGTGACGGCACTGAGCGTACGCGAAGGATCGAAAGACAGAAGCGAGGAAGTCCTGGCTGATCCAGACGTGGTCGGTGAAAGAAGTCTTGGTGGTTGGATGGGATGGCTGCAGAGCATGCCGGCAGGCATGTCTACAGACTGACATATGGGGAAAGGAGCATATGTATGCGAATAGATTACAATTGAGAGTGTTATTTGGTCAAGGTCGTCGGTACCGAAGGAGTTCACAATATGCTTCAATGACTCAGCATATGTACATATATCACGTGATTAATCTGATTATTTGCAGCTTCTCCTACTTCATCATTTGTCGAGTAATTATTATTATTATTGCTTTTAATATTTCCTTCATCTGGTGCCAAGTCTGGGTTCCAAGGGGAAGGACGTTGGAATTTCCATATCAAGAATCTATGTGGGCCCTTTTTATTATTTTGCATTCGTTGTATGTCTATTTGCTCCTGACTTCCATTTTTACTTGCGGAAAAGAAAATGAGTTAAAAAGGATGTCATACCGTCATCGTTATTCTAGAGAAAACAAAAAGACATGAAACCCTTCTGCTTGTTCCGCACTTTTCCTTTTAAAGCCAATGATTGGGACCTGGCTCCGTAACAAAGTACAGTCTATAAGAATTATACCTAGAGGAAAGGGAGAATGCTCATGGAGAAGAAGTGATCATGGATAATAAATGCCGGGGATATGTGCCAGAAGAAGAATGGTAAGAGGTATAAAGGGGGGATAGAAGGGTCGTCAATTGGATTGCTCGCCAGGGAAAGGTTTTCTCCCGGTCACGACATAATATTCTTGATATGCATGCACATCATGGTTTTGTATGCTTCTCCTCACGCTCACCAAGAATACTTCGATCTCTGCTTTGGACCATCCCAAGGCGAGAAACGGTTTATATGTCCATCCGCCCAGGCCTTCTAGCAGGTTCGTTTGGCTCCAGCATCCAATTTGCCTCATTCGTTCATCGGTGGGCCATGTATTCACAGGAACCTTGGAGACGCGTTCTTCGACGTCAACAAAGCCTACCTCTTTCATCCACCTGGATAGCCGGGGCGCAATGCGAAACTGTTTTGGAGGATCTATTACTTGCCCTGATCGGATACATAGATCAACCCAATCATGTAGGGCGTACTCGCTATAGCCGTCCGGGTTTTCTGGAGGTAGTGTGTCATCGTCGCATTTCGGTTTTAGGTCCATCTCGTGGCATTCAAGGTAGCCGCCGGGTTTAAGGTGGTTGTAGGCTTTGCGCATTAAGTCTTTAAACGAGGACATGGCACCGAGCATATGGGAGATGTGAATGAAGTCGAAGTAGTTCTCATCCCATAACCAGTCATCCGTGGCGTCATCAACTAGGAAATGGACATTTTCCGGGACCTCGGTTGGCTGGACGGGAGAGAGGTCTGTGCCAATGAACTCGGCATCTGGAAAGATATTCGCTAGAGAAAAAGGAGAAGAAAACAAGGGGCTATCGGTTAGTCCGTCATTCCGAAGTTACTGGGTTTAATGCGCAGGGATACGGCGTACATACCCATTTCTATGGGCCATATGCCAGACCCAGTGCCGATGTCGAGTATTCTCTTCGGATTTCGAAGAGGTGAAAAGTAGAGGCGATGATCGTTGACTAGCAGGAACATATGATGCTGCAGGTCTAGCCGATCCAGCTCCTGTTCGTCGTTTGGATATGGATATGCTGGTGGACAAGTCAGGCTCTCAGGACAAGCAGAGAAGCAATACAAGACGACTCGACATACCGCCCTCATGATACCTGTGGTACCGGCGCCCATGTTCAATGGGATAATTCGTCACACTGGAAGTCAATGACTGGGTATCGCTGCAACTGCATTGTTAGATCAGCCAGTCCGTTGAGTGAATAAATCAGGCAGGAAGAGAGAGGCTGCGAGGTAGGAATCACAAACGACTCGGGAGGGGAGCGCCCACCAGTTATCACTCGACTCCTTAAGGACAGATGTCAGTTTCCCAATTCACGAAACGGTTACTATCTTCGAGGGGGGAGATCCGAGAGGGTTGAAGAATTCATGAGCCAGCTGGTCTTGACAGAGGGCAACGCTTACATCAGGTTGTGTACTTGTCATTTTCTATGTGTCCTTTCTTCTTCCGTCCTTCTTACTTGGGCACTAATTAATAGACCAAGGATGAAGGCGTCACGTAGAACTGGATGTTGCAGCAGCAAGAGCCGCTGGAGGAATTGGGTGTAGGCTCAGGGGGGTTTAAATGGCAGCTGCAGCAGACGTATTTTTGAAGCGCATTTCGACCTGACATAGGGGAAATTGAACGCTGAATCCACAGTACAACCCTCTGCAGTCTCAATTTGCACCCTTTACCCTCAGTCTTCCAGGCTCCCGCACAAGCCAGACAGGGGAGGGGTGAAGGAGAGGGGGAGAATTGTGGGAGTTCACCATCACCCGACAGGCTGGATCAGGTTTCTTTTTTGGCAGGAGGAAAAGCATGACGGTGGTACTAAAGCACGCCCTAACACATACTAGATGCCGATTGACCAATACAGCGAGTAATAACCCCCGTTGGAACAGACGGCTACATCCTTGGTAGGTGTGGAGAGGGTAAGACTGGGGGTTTGTGTGTTGTCCAAGGCCGGCGCGACGGGATGCAACGAACCTCGGACAGTGGCCGGGCTACCATGCATTACGCTGCAGCAGGCAGGCATGGTAATCCCGTATTATTGCAATCATATGCTGTAATCGACTGGTTTTTTCCGTGGGAACCCCTATTTCCCTACTGTGAATCATTACGATTTGGCCCCAGCGTCCCGTAGTCCATTTTGGTTAGAGTGTGCATCATATACATATTGGAATTTGGAGATGTCGAGGGACGCAAAATAGGGAATTCCATCTTGCTATTGATCAGTTTTTCATGATTGGGTTGTATTTAATAATAATATTATTATTATCATTATAATTTTTGTATTATAATAATTGTTCCCCTGGAATGGCCTGCTGTCGTACGTGGACCATCTGCATATGCACTAATGGAGTTCTAGATACACCGTCGTTATTAATTATTTTGTCTAATATATTATATATTATTCTATCCACCCGGGAGTACGGATATGGAGTTTGGATTATGGGTATGTTACTATGGATATCCCTGCTCGTCAACCGCAGCTTAAAAAAGCACAGGCGTTCCAGGTGCTCGGGAACAAAGCACTGCGCATACGCTGAATAAGTGTACGCCGATGAGGCCTTTGGACATACGCGCTCCAATAATTGCCAGTGCCAGTCTGCTGGGAAAGCCCCTGCCATCCAATTTAGTATGAAACAGTACCATGGTTTCTCTTTGCACTAAGGCAATAATGAAAAAATAAAATTGAAATAACCTTGTTGTTTGTTAGTTCAACCAGTCCGATTACCTTTAAACCGAGTGGATATCTTTCCCGATAGCTATCATTGCGTGCTGGTAAATAATGCTACACATTCTACGTGACGTGTTGCGCTAGGTAGAGCTGAAACGCACTGAAGATGGATATTAGATACGCATTGCATCGTAGATGGGTTTTCCTTCCATAAGGAGTACAGGTGATGGATATGGAAATTATATGCTGCACTTCACATTATCCGCTGTCGATAACGCGCTGCACAGCGTGTATCGTATGGGACTTATTATCTAACCGACCCCTACGGTAACCTTCGGGGTCGCGCAATACGCGCGACCCCGAAGGTTACCGTAGGGGTCGGTTAGTACGTATTCCGTACATGCATACGTAGCCTGAGGGGTAAGTGATTATCCCCAATCCCCATTCTCATCAGCGAGTCAAGAATAATAATCAATGAATTATCTACGTGCTACGATATTATTGAATACAGTCTAGTCTGTAAACGGCCGGAGATAAGAAGGTTATGGGATCAAAACAGTATGGCAATAAACCCAATGATCGGGCAAGTAACTAAAGAAAGAACTAGCTAGCCGTAGAAAATTCTGATCCCTGAGACAGTACTTTTGTCAAGCAAGGTGAGGCGGTGGAAGAAGAAAAAGAAAAGAAAGCATTGGAAAGCACCGCTCCGTCCCAACCACCCGGGATCCTTGATCCCTTCCCCCGGGTACGTAACCAAGTTGCCGGGTCTGAGAATTACCCGGGCAAAATAATAACATGGCTTGGAAACTGGCACTCTCATTCATTGGGGCCTACCTAGGTTGATTACAAAGGGTTGTTCTTGTATTTCCATCCAATGTACTCCGTATATGGTACTAGCTAAGAATGATCTTCATACGGTAAATGATCTCTGCACATGTCCAAATCCTTTTTTCTCGCTCTCATTTCCGTTCTAGAACTCACCCGGATTTCCCCCTCTGCCAAAAAAAAAGCCTATCCACAGCACAGGCCAGGGAGAAAGAAAATTTTTATTTGGGCTGCCATGTAATCGTCTTACACTTGGGTCCACAATGGTCATATGTGACCAAGGCACGATGTGCGTCCAAAGCGAAAATACCCGGCCAAATACTAGGCTCTGGAGACACAAGCCTGGATTTACTCCAACGCATTTGACCATTTCGTGGAGGCCCTGCAAAAACAACCTTTGTGGCAGAGAGACCCGGCCAGTTGGGACCAATAACATCCTCGTCTGTCATGAACGAGACGACCAAAGACCCATCTTCAAAAGACGCAATCTGCGGTGAACCCGCATTTCGCCCTCGCGGCGGGGCGTAAACAATGTGGCGACAATGCCAGCTCGCGCCGTCATCATAGGAAATGACCGCTTCAAGATTGAAGGTCCCATATCTGGTCGTCTCGAAGACCAGAACAAGGGCTTCTCGACCATTATCCGTTGTCTGCGCGATTCCGGTCATCCCATCACGGAGCCTCTCCTCCGCTCCGGCAATGCAGACAGGTGTTGTCCAGGTACGGCCCTGGTCGTACGACTTGACCATCATTGTCCGCTGATCGTCATGTGCGAACTCCTGCGAGAATGTCATCTGGACCTCTCCTTGGCGCCCGATTCTCATGAACGGTTCCCAGAGACCAAATGGGGCTCCCTTCTCGGCGGCCTGAGACAGATATGTCCAATTCTTTCCTCCGTCATGGGACTGGCAGACTGTAATTCGGAACCAGGTCGGACCCGATGGGCCAAGGTCGTGGTTTCGGAATGCAGCTAAGACGGTCCCAGGGGGAGTTACCTCAAGCAGAAACATGTTGTCGACGTCGCCGTTTCCTCGGGTGACTTCCCCCCAATCCGCGAAGCGCTGGCCGCCATCGGTACTTCTTCCTACTTTAAGCACGCGCGTAGGGCCTTCCCAGCGGGTGTATGCGGACAGTATTGAGCCATCAGACAGCCTGGCGAGGCGAGGGTAGGTGCCGTTATTGCCATGCGTGGAAAGAGAACGTTCGTCGTTTTGCACAAGTCCGTGACCAGGGAGGTGGGGTTCCAGCTGGGGTTGGATGCCGAAGGCGTTGAGGAGCTTGTGTCCGAGGTGGCCCGGCATTATTTCTGTCGTCGGGCTCTTCCCTTGTTTTTCAGGTTGATGGATAATTCAGACAGCCATTAGAAGGTATTATATATACAATAGTAGCAAGTAACAATGTCTCGAGAGGAGTTTTCCTCCCAAGTCGAATGTGTTACCATGCGCACAGTTATAGTTGCACGTAATGCGGGTGAAGTCTCAGATGGCTATGACCTCATCTGCCCTGGTTTGGGTTTCAGGTTTTCCAGAGCTTCCAGGTTCCCGTTCACTTCCCGCAATGGCTTCGTGGTCTTCCTCCCAAGCCTCGCTGCTTTTGACATACTGAGCAGCGAGAGATGTAGGCTCAATAAATCCCATCAGCCATAACTAGTTAATAACTAACCTGGCATCAGCTTAGTCACTCGCTTAATCGTCGTTAAGTTAACTAGTAGTTAACTACCTGCCTGGCTTGGGCAAGTTGAGATACAGCCCTACTCTTAATCTAAGTTGAGAACTTACATATGGGTGATACCATGGCTGCTTCTACCAAACGAACGGCTGTGCACTGCGGAATATATAGCTACAACTGGTACCCGATTCATACAAGGAATTAAAAATAGCTTGCAGGTTGTTGCATCAGCAGTTGTCAGACCAATGTCTTCCTGCTTCCGAATAGCTAACAACTATAACTTCATTTTTCTAGATGATGTAGCATAGGTAGCAAATCCGAAGGCTACTACCTCCCGTTTTGGCATCAGCAAAGACAGAAAAGAAATTTATCGGCTGGTATTCCCGCTTGCTTATCTCCCCCAATACCCTAGCCGGTTGCTAGGATTCTCTCCACCGAAGCAACGTTGCCTTCCATGGGCTGGGCCTTGTCGGTCCTGCAAGACCAGTGTCAGAACGTTGAATCGTCCAAAGTAAGTCGAGGGAAAGGACGGGAAATATCCAGCATTTTCTAAATGGGACATCCAAGTCACATACCGAGTTGTCACACGGACGTCGGTTTGGATCCTTGCTATACCAGCCTGGTGAACCAACGTGTGGGCGAAACCGATGACTTGAAGGACCTGATCCCATGGCCCTTCTGTAGTTTCACTTGTTAGGTTGTCCAAGCGGAACATACGACTCTTCAACATAAACTGGAGTTGATTGACCTACCAACCGTGGTTCCCGTGGAATGCATCTGATATTTCAGACCTGACTGTTGAACCAGGCGCTGTATATCCGCAATCTGTTGAGAATACGAGGTGGTTCCTGTCCCGATCTGGAGAAAAGAAGGTGCATCTATCAGTTGCCACGATCATGTTATTTTGACTTGAGGATACATTTGAGGAACAACAGCATGGATAATTCCAAAAATACTAACCGGGACGAGGGAAAAATCAGTGGTGCAGAGCGAAGGAGTCGCCAATGCTGGAGTCACCGTCGTCGCAATAGTGGCCATGATGGAGTTCAACCTTGATATTTGACTTAGGCACACCTAGTTCTTTGGATGCCATTCACTACTATATGCAGTCGGAGACTTCTAATATACAGGTAGTCCAAGAGGTCTGTGCCAAACGTTAAAGTCATCGTGACGTTGAAGAAAGTCGCAAACCATTACATCAGGGTACATCAAGGAGCAGAGTAGGATATGTTCGAACGAAAATATTAGTATGAATTAGGAGACCGCCATACCCCTATCGTACTGCATCACATCAGGTTATTTCAAATAACTGTCTCTGCTGCCATGCCCGCAAACAAGACCCTCAAGGAAGGGATGTACGGTCGTAGCCTTTCAAAAAACCAACTATAGAAGCCCTACCAAGAGTAAGCTTATGATCCCCGAGAAGATAGATGTTATTGGAAAGGCAATAGCCAGTTTGCATCCATCTGAGATATCCTTTCCATCTCGACCAGCTGGTACAGCCATGCTCCCAAATTTGGCCTTAACCAGCAAGGATTGCACCAATGGTTTGGGCTTCTTCCCTCATGTTGGGACATCCCTTGTTTCACTGCATCTTCCCAACATCCCATCCAGATGGAGTGTCGGTACATAGGGCAAAATGGACATCAGAGTGGTTACAGAGTTGGAGACAGACGAGGAGTGTCCAAATCTTGTTACACACCATGCTGGGAGGTATCAAAAATATCTGCTCCTAATGATTGGTGCTAGATAATGGGAAGATATTTACACCTTGGAAAAGATTCCCGAGCATACCTAGAGTCTGGCATAAGGGTCAATTTCGCTGTCTTTTTTCAAAAGGGGACAGATGAAGTTCAAGCGACTTGTATCAGTACTGCCCTAAGATTTGGAAAAGGATAAAGAGTGCAAGGGAATATGGTACCCAAGAATATTAGACTTATTATAATTATCTCAGAGAGAACTTATGGTGTCGGGGATGCTCAAGGCATGGTAGGCAATTCTAGGCATAACCTTCAATCTAAAATCGACAGTCCGCACGGACCACTAGGTATCAATGCTCGACGCGTCGACGCGATTTGCCTCTTGGTCCAGCATCCCAGCGTCTCAAGACTCAACAGTCAACAACCAGATTCCATTACTAGAGAGCGCTTATGCTTTCGAGAGCCAAAGACCGTCAGCTGCAATGAGCCGACGTGAGAGAACCACGAAGATCACCAAACATAAAACCGACCACGACCACGACTTCGACACCCCAGACACAGACAAGACAAGCACACCCACTCATTTAATAGCGTCCAGACACTCGAAGACAAAGACGAAGAATTTACTCTCCTCCTCCTTCTCCTCCTCATTATCGAAAATACAGAATAGAAGTCTATTCTCGTCAGCTTCCACTACGAGATTTTCAAAGTCCACTTCATTCTCGAGCCCCAGTGACCAGACTACACTTACGCAGATAGCTTTCGTCACAAAACCACGCGAACCCCCGTCAGACGATGGCGGGCTCGATTATATTGAGGGAAACGAAGCCGATAAGGCGGACAATGTTCGGCAAGGCAAGGACGATGCAATTATTATAGACTCCGATTCTGAGAATGATAGCGACGCAGACAACACCAATACCGATTGTCTTCCACAAGCACGGCGGGTCCGTACGGTCAGATTCAGCGAAAGTCGTACTATCGGAGACAGAGCGAATTCACGGGGGAATGTCATCCGAAATAGAAACAATGCCGTCGAGAAAAATGCGGAAGTCAGAAGAAGCTCCCTCCCGGCCAAAAGCAACAAGAAGACAGCAAAGGACAAGACCCTCACACAAATGAAATTCGTACAGCCTATTGTGTACATTAAGTCTGACGGTGAAAACGACGAGGAAATAAGATTCGATTACATTTACGATAATCCCCAAAGGGCCAATGGCAAGAAAATGCACGAATTAACAAGCGATGATAAGGTGGAAGGTGATTTGAGCCAGGACCCAGCTTCTCAGCAGGAACCTGTTGGAGTCAAGAGAAGGAAGCTAGATGATGGTCCAGCGCAATTGCCGGTTGGCCAACAAGCGAACGTTAAAGGGGGAGGCGTTATCGAAGGACCATCTCGAAATCCAGTTACTCCGCGGAAGACACACAAATTTGAAATACCTTCTTCACAATCACCGGAGAGCCCTGGCATGGCAGTTATCTCTTCTCAGTTCTGCCGCGCCACTCAGACTCCATTGAAAGACCCGAGTCCAAATACTTCTAAACGCTGCTTGCCAGAAGGTTCACCCACTTCTCATTTGCTGGGGGATGCTTCTCTGAATTCGGATCATCCCTCCTCGCTCGGGGAGAGTACAGTCTCTGCTTCATCTATGATACGGAAGTCGCCTCTGCCAGGTGGATCTGGTGCCGCCGGCAATGAATCCAGATCTAGAACTGGCAGTTTTGGGAGGACTATTGTGTACGAAACAGATGCGGAGTCTGATGATGGCGACCTGGAAACCGAGTCGCTAAGTGTTACTGATTCTAAAGAGGCAGCTGGTGGTGAACCAAAAGTGTCTGCGGAGATCATCCGGGACTCCTTGGGGGATGATTCCCAGACTACTGAACCACCGGACATTTCTTCTAATGTCGACCTTGAACCCATACTCACCGATACAGAGCCTCCTATGTCGTCAAACGCATCAATTTGTTACCGAAGACAGCAATTATCCACGCAGTTCCCGGAAGGGCCTATACCGACATTGAGTACTCAGAAAATGGCCGAACTTTTCCCTCAAGATAGCAGCCCTCGAGTCAGCAAGGCGAGGGACGCGTCTCGACTACGGACGTCCTCCTTAGTCAAGTCCTGGTCGGTTCCCGGGCCCCCTTCACAAAATCAGGTACCAGAACCTACCCAAACACAGGATAATTATTTGAACAAGTCGACTGAAATTGTACCTGAATCGTCTCCTGTGGTACGACGAGATGCGCACGAGCCTGTGGTACAGGTGGAGTCTTCTCAACCAGCGGACAGAATTCACAAACAGATGGACTCCAATGGAGATGCCGGTTCTGAGGGGATTCTCTCCAGGAGCCAGCTGCTGCCATCCAGTGTCATGGAGAGTATACCAATGCCGGTATTTTGGATGGGAAGTCAGGATAGTGTTGGTGAGCCCTACACCCTGCCAGACGGCTAGTTAGGTTAAGGAGGGTATAGATTAAAGGGAGTAATGACGACTCTGAGCAATCCTCATTCTATTTATAATATAGGTATATAGATAGTTATATAGATTTACGATAATAATGATGATGACGTCCATGAAGCCGGAGCCGCACTACGCTACGTAGTCACTCTTAAATAGGAAAGCTTAAATAGGAAAGTGAGCTCGGCGGGGTTTCGGGCCGCCGCAGCCCCCGAGACAACATCCGACCATTCCTTCTCTTGACCTTTGACCTTTGACTGTATTACCGTCCACCAAGACGGTTTTCCCGCAAGTGTTATCTGAACTGCTAAATATCCTATTTCTTTCTATCGGCGGGTTGCACAGCTGCTAGCAGCGATGGACGTCGCGTACGATCATATCCAGGAGGAGATCTTCAAGACCGACTCCAAGTCGGCTGGCGGTTCCCAGGACGACGGCGCCAAATCTCAGCAATCCAATCTTGACCTCAGCACCGAATTCCAAGAGACATTCCGCGCATTCTCATCTAGTGCCTGGGGCGTACGCATTGGCGGTTTTATCGACAATGTCCGCAAACAAGGCGAGAGTTACTACGAAGGCGCCCGCCAAGAGTACGCCGCTGCGAGCGAGGAAGCTGTAAAGGGTATCTCTGGTTTAAGGGACAACATCGTTGGACGAACGCGCGGACTTTCTCTGAGCACCGCATTCTCAAGCAAGGACGAGGAGAAAGACAATAAGGATGAGGCGAAGACGCCCACATTGTCAAAGACAAAGGATGGCGAGCCAGTACAACAGCAGGGGGACGAGGGTAGTGCGGAGGCCGCAAGTGAATCTGGAGAGGGCTTCTTTTCCCGCTTCAAGGCGGAGGCTTCCAGGCGGCTCAAGGAAATAGAGAAAGCAGAGGAAGCTGCTGATGAGGCGATCTTGCGGTTCGGGATGAATATCAGCCAGAAACTTCGTGAGGCAGTTAGCATTGTACCCCCTAATTCGGAAGAGGCGAATAAGGGGCAGCTCCTGTTTGAAAGCAAGGATTCGGAGGGAAAGAGGGTCATCCATGCCACGCGCTTCGATGCTCAACTACATGTCATTCATTCTAATCTGGAGAACTTCACCAAGGACCCCGTCAGCGACGAGTGGCCAACTTTTAAGACGGGGTTTAATGTTGACAGCAAAACCAACGCGATTGCTACAGACTTGGAAACATACCCTGAACTCCGGTCAGTCATGGAGAAGCTCGTGCCTGAGAAGGTTGAGTACGCTGATTTCTGGTGCCGGTACTACTTCCTCCGTCTGGTCGTAGAAACGGAAGAGAAGAAACGCAGGGAGCTTCTTAAAGGTACATCTTTTGAGCTAAACAGTGAAATTTCATACATGTCTAACCTATCTCCTACAGGCGCTGTTGATGACGAGGAGGAAGTTGGCTGGGACGACGACTCTGACTCCGAGTCTGAGTCTCCATCCACACCTCAAGTCAAGGCAAACAAGACTGCTGCATTGTGCAAGCTGGACAAGGATGGTTTACTTAAGCCCAGCGAACCGCGCCGATCAAATGACCAACAATCCCAGGCCGATAGCGAATCCAGCTATGATCTCGTCAGCGGCACGACCAGCCGGGCTCCTGAGAGCCCAAAGGAAAAGACCCATCTTTCAAGCACGGCGGAAGATAGTGACGAAGAAGACTGGGAATAATTGCCTCCTTTCTTGAACCCGTCATCCATGGTATATTCACGGATCAACCATGGATTATACGAATCTCCTCAGGACACATGCGAGTCATCTTGTCTTCTCCTGTTATCTCAACTATTCCTAATAAGAGCATGATTGCTCACATTCATTATAAACCGGTATGCGACCAGGATGCCAGACACGAGAGCCGAGACTGGGTCTCAGTGAAATGGTAATAAGCTATGACGTACTGGAGTCACGGTTGGACCTAGCAACTTTTTTATTTATGGCGTTGTTTATTTTACAGCTTTCGTTTCACTTGTCTCGGGTCTTCTCTTAGGCGTTCTGCGGGTCCCCTTCTTTCTCTTGTCAGATTTTCTGGTTCCCTAACCTTGCTTTACTTGATAATCAGCATCCGTCTCCCTCCCTCATTGTTTATACTAGTTACAGGTTTCCTACTGAATGACTAATCTGTGCTTCCCTGCCGTTTGCAATCATGTGCTTAATAGTTTTTTTTTTTACAGTTTCGAGAGCTTGGAATTTGAGACATGTTGTCTAGATTGCATTCCTACCTAATCTGCGTCTCGTCTATCTTTTGTAGCCCTGTGTATGTACCTGCGGATATATGTGGATGCCTGTTCCTCGTCCGTAGCTCTAATGGGTAAGGGTGCAGGAAGGGAATGCCTCTTCCTCTTAGTAACATTACTCTTTATCTCTAAAAGAATATCTTCTTTAGGAGGATCATACGTCCCCTTACAGTAAATCCCCCAATCCAGTTACTCGTTATCTAGATCTTCTCCCACTGCTCGATTCCAGAACAGGCTTTCCAATTCCCATTTTCGGAACAATATCGTACTTGCAATCTGATCATAGATCGGCTTGTGCAGGGGTGGAACGCCAAAAGTCTAGCGGCTCTTTCTTGGACCTTCTCCTATATTCGTAGTGGTATCTCGGAGAGAATGCGGGCGTCTCTCATCTGGTGGAATGGACGGCGAAGGTCGAGATAGAGGAGTTTCGGGTGTATTCTCTCTAGAGCGGATGTGAAAACTTCTCGATCTGTAGCTAGGTGAGGAAAGATACTCGTCTCTCTCACGGCGGTAGCTAGCAGCAGGACTGCTCTCGGGGATGTAGCTGTGCTGATATTCCTCGCCCCTTCGCTTGACTGGGCTCTCATCGTACGGGTCCCATCCGACCTTGCGCCTTGCTTCAGCGCGGAGACGCTGGCGGTGTTGCTCGTCACCGCCGGCACCGGTGGACGAGGCTTCTTCCAAGAAGAAGTTCAAGAGTTCATCGCTGATAGAAAGATGGGATTGTTGCTGGAATTGTTGCAAAGATGTTAGACGAAGGAGCATCTCGAGGAGAGATAGAGAGGTGCGGATTTTGTTGAAGAGTGGATTTGAAACGGTGGTGGCTATGAAATGCCGTGGGGGTGAGGTAGACCGCGACATTCCTTGTTGAGGCGAAGATGGATGAGATGCCTCTTCACCGTGACCGAGAGATAGATTTGCCATCAGCCGCGGATCGACGATATCACCCGCAGAAGATGATTCAGGCCATTCTTCTTCTTTCTCGGATTCGGCATCCGTGCCATCATCCTCATTGTACACTTCGAATGCTATCCATTCCGGATCCAAACCCGAAGGAAGTCGCCACTGCTCGGGAATCGACTCTTGGTGCAGTGATAAGATGCTGGAAGTTGCTTGAGCAGTGGTTTCATTCAGTTGAGCCTGTAACTGCGCTTTCACCTCATCTTCCTCGTCTTCGCTTTCCGTTTCCTGCTCCTCGAGGAAAAGATCTATGTCGTCACGTTCCACCATACGGCGCGGAGGTATGGCATTTAGGTCCCGCTTAAGTAGTAGCACTGGGTTATTTATCTCCTCTTCAACGTTGATGTTGAGTAATCTCCCTGTGTCGGCATAAAATAATTTGGAGATTTCATGCACGGGGAGAATTTCACGTATCCCTGCGGAATTGACACCTTCATATCTCTGTGGGCGCAACTCTTCATTTTCAAAGTCATGAACTCTGCCGTCATCCAGATCCTCAACGATCAGTATTTGATAGGCATACTCGTCAGCTCTGGCTACCGGTGGAAACTGCTGTCGCCGTGCTTGACTTTCCTGGTCGAGCATCAGATCCAGAGGAACTCTTCGAAGCTTTAGGCGAGCCTTATGCATCACCTCCTTCCACGTTGCTTCGCGAACACCCTCTTGGCCATGCGGACGTCGATGGCTGCTAAAGAGCATATACACTGACAAGGTAAACGTCGGGCCTATCTGCACCGGTTGGAAAGGTGACATGCAATACTGTGTATCACCGGAACTGAGTAGAGTGCTGGCTTGCAACAGGCGAGATGGTGATACGGTTGATGGTAGGTTCGTAGATAGCTTGGCACCAGATGTTGTGATAGCCAGGTTCAAAAGTGGAACTACTTCCTCGATTCGATCAAGTAACTTCCTGGTATCTTTAATGATTCCTTCAACCTCTCTTCGTTTCATAGATAGATCTTTGGAAGCCTTTATCCCCTTTTGTACCGATTCGGCAAATACGGAAGCTTTCTCCAGTCGTTGACCTAGTGATTGAACTTCGAACCTAATCTCCTTGGTAAGAGAGACAGCCGATTCCAGTGAGGTGTTGCCACGGGCAGCACTAGAGTAAAGTCAGAAACTTGTCAAACAGCTTCCATCTAAATATGGAAAAGTCTTACATCAGGTCAATCATATCAATAGCTGGCGAAATTATCTGGATTTTAGTTAGCATGGTGTACAATGTTTCAAATGTTCAGCTCTGAAAGTATGTCATGTAGCAATGTATGGGGCACCAGCCTGCATTTTGTTTTTGAGAAGTCTTTGTAATGAGAGAATCTCAGTTGCTTGTTCGGGATCAACGCTCTGGCTATATATCAGACTTTCAACCCTTTAGAGGACACTATAAAGGGCTGCGTACTTTCGCGAGACGACGCCCTTGATTCCAGGTGTACTTGGCCGAGAGAATCATCCCAGAGCTAATCAAAGCAGGTGTAAGTTAGTTTGGCCAGAGACACATCAGTCATGTAATGATTATCGTACTTGATCGCAAGAGTCACTGTCCTATGGGTGATCTATAGATGCCACAATTAGCTCTCAGGTCTTAATTGTCGGGTAATAAGGCAAACATACAAGGCTAAGCAGCCCGTCCATTGTTGTTGGAAATGTCATTTCTGTTGACAAAGATAATTCACTGCCTTCTCACACTCCGGTCCTGAGTTTTGTTTATCACTGTCTCAGTAAACAATGTCGGCGAGGGGTAGTCTGTTATCGATAAGAAATTACTAGATGCCCTCGTAACATGTTGATAGAGGTCACCAGGCCTCAGCGTCCCCTCGACATCAATAATACGGTCCTGACCTAGGAGGATGTAGCAGAACGAGATGTGTATGCAGTCGCTGCGACTGCTCGACGGCCTCTAGGCGCGTTGTTGGAGGAGGATTTTGGGCACTGATGGAGGTGATGCGGCAAACAGTGCAAACATACAAACCATGCAAATGGGATGCTGAGTCAGCAGATGCAAAATCGAGTGAATCAACGCCCCTCACTTGGGCATCTCACTTCCTAGAGTCAAACCTCACTGTATACCCCGTCTTTCCCTGTCTCTTGTCTCTTTTTAGGTGGCTGTCATTCTTTATTGTTTCCCTTTCATTCATAGTTGTGTTGCTCTCAAGCTTGCTTTATTTCTTCCACATCTTGCTACAATGGCGGATCAGACACCTGATTCTTGGGAGGATGAACTCTCTAGACAGACTGAAGGTGTCAACTTGAACGCTAGTGCACAACAACCATCACAGGCACCTTCATTCCATCCTGGAGCAGCCTCTTTCTCCCCTGGGGCTGCTTCCTTTACACCTGGAGCAACTGCCTTTGTACCTGGGCAACCTTACCAGTACGGAGGCTTCCCTCAGTATGGACAATATCAACAGGGCTACGGTGGCTACCCGGCTTATGACCAGCAAGCATTTGGTCAGTATGGTCAATATGGAGGGGCATACACCCAAAATCCTGGTGGCTATAACCAGGGATATAACGCGCAGTACGGCGGTTACCGAAACAACAACAACAACAACAACAACAACAAATTCCAACAGGCTCACCAGCAACCTCGTCAAGCTGCCCCAGCGCCCGCGCAACAACCGAAGACTCCTGCAGCGCCAGAGACCACTGAAACAACATCGAAGCCTGCGCCTCCTTCCACTGCCGCTCCCCCAAAGGCTAAAGTGCTTTCCATCGGCGCATCGAGCTCTACCTTAGCGCCCAAGACCAAAGTTCTCTCTATCGGTACTCCTACCCCTGCATCGAACACTCCTGGTGATACCAAGGGATCCGCTGCTGCCGAAGCAGGCGCTAAAGTGACGGCTGCCAAGGCTATTGAGAAGACAGAGAAAAAGGCGGAGCAAAAAGAAGCTGCTAGCGGCAGGGCTTCTCCTTCTGTTGCCTCTGGTCGTTCCAGCCCTGATCGATCAAGCCCAGCTCGTGGCGAGGCTGCCAAGGCTTCCCGTGATGCTGATATAGTTGCGAAGGAGCAACAAGCGGATGTTGATGAAGAGACCTTGAAAGAAATCTATGGAGAGAAGAGAGAGCATGTCAATGTCGTCTTCATCGGACACGTCGATGCTGGAAAGTCGACTCTTGGCGGTTCGATTCTGTATGCCACTGGTATGGTGGATGAGAGAACGTTGGATAAATATAGGAGGGATGCCAAAGAAGCTGGCAGAGAGACCTGGTATCTTTCTTGGGCCCTGGATTTGACCAATGAAGAGCGAGCCAAGGGCAAAACTGTCGAGGTTGGACGGGCCTTTTTCAAAGTAGAGATCCCGACACCGGATGGTCCAGTTATGAGAGAGTTCTCTATCCTAGATGCTCCTGGCCACAAGTCATATGTGCCTAATATGATCGGTGGCGCTTCTCAGGCCGATTTGGGAGTACTGGTTATCTCCGCACGGAAAGGTGAGTATGAAACTGGCTTTGAGAAGGGAGGACAAACTCGAGAGCACGCTCTTCTCGCGAGGAACACTGGTGTTCAAAAGCTGGTTGTTGTGGTCAACAAGATGGACGATCCTACTGTGGAGTGGAGCAAGGCTCGATTTGAAGAATGCACTGTTAAAGTTGCGAAGTTCCTTGAGGCACTGGGATATAAGAAGGGTGACATTTTATTCATGCCTGTTTCTGCTCAACGTACCCTAGGTATCAAGGACAGAATCCCGAAGGACATTTGCCCGTGGTACGATGGACCCTCATTGATCGAATATCTCACCAACATGAAACTGCCTGAGCGCAAGATCAACGCTCCGTTCATGATGCCAATCAGCGCCAAATATCGAGACATGGGAACTATGGTAGAGGGCCGTGTCGAAGCGGGTGTAATCAAGAAGAACGGGTCTTATACACTGATGCCAAACCGCTCCCAAGTTCAAGTAGCGGCGCTTTATGGCGAAACTGAAGATGAGGTCCCGACTGCCACCTGCGGTGATCAGGTTCGGATTCGTCTTAGGGGCATCGAAGAAGAGGATATTCTTCCCGGTTTTGTATTGTGCTCCCCGAAACGTCTAGTCCACTGCGTGTCCTCCTTTGAGGCGAAGATCAGGATCTTGGAGCTGAAGAGTATTATGTCTGCCGGTTATAACTGCGTCCTCCACGTGCATTCTGCCATCGAAGAGGTCACCATTGGAGCCCTACTTCACAAACTCGAACCGGGTACCGGCAGAAAGAGTAAACGCCCGCCACCGTTCGCCAGCAAGGGTCAGACCATTATTGCTCGGATTGATGTCACTGGTTCTGCTGGAGCGGTGTGCGTGGAGCGATTTGAGGATTACAATCAAATGGGACGTTTCACACTGCGCGACCAGGTAAGCATTTGTCACCTCTTGTTAATTTGTCTGTGTCTCAGCTATGCTGACGAGATATAATAGGGTCAAACCATTGCCATTGGTATGATTACCAAGCTGCTCACCGAGAGCAATGTGTAAGGGAATTCAGAGCAAGGGCCTTGGTAAATATGCATACCATGTGCAGTGTCATCCTGCCCTGCATCATCCATACTAGAGTCCATATTTGGCCGCCGAAGCATCCATGAACAAGGAGGGATGGGTGGGCAGAGACCAAGCATGGTCCTTTCTCAACTCATCATGGCTTTGAACCTTGAGTGTTCGCTTTGCCTTTACATGTCTCGAAATAGATTTCATGAAATTTGCTAGTTCATCCAGAGAAAAGTTGTTTGAAATTTGGCTCACATATCATATGCGGTCATATCCACAGTATTCTCGTGTTCTGTTCGGGCAATCCATCATTTCGTAATTCAAGAAAAAAGAAACATTCATGCAGTCGTCGTCTATCCCCAAACAAATCACCGTTTCCTTCTCCCAACCACCTTCGTAAAGCCATCCTCATCAATCTCCGGCTCAACCCTCTCTCTTGGAGCAGCAACCAATTCCGGAGCTTCGCCCATCTCCACGTCGTCCTCATTATCTTCCTCATCGCTTGTTTCCTGGTCCGCATCATTCCCCTCAACCTTTTTAAACATAGCCGCCGTATCGTCCTTCCCCTTATTCTTCCTCTTCGTCTCCCAGTCAACCCACATCTCATTGATCTCCCCGAACTCCCCACGCTTCACCTGCTCCCTCATCCGCATAATCATCATTGCAACCCCCGCGGCACTCTCATCGTCGATGACGACATCAAACTCATCACTCATAACCTGTATCAGCACATCCTCGAGATCCTCCGCGTCCGTCTCGGGTCGATCCTGAAGCATATCTGAGATAGCACCACAGAGCCAGTCACGCTTGTCAGAGGAGGCTGGGCCGCCCCAGTTTGAGCTTACTGCCAGCGACAGAGCGGGCCAGGTATGTAGGGCCATGATTATGCCTAGGTCTAGGTGTTTCTGCTTTTCTTCCTCGGTTGGTTGTTGGGAGGGCTGTTGTGTAGGTGCGGGTGTTGTTGAAGCCATTTTGTTTTCCTTTCTTCGGGTTAGGTTCTCTGATAGTCTGGCCTGGCCGGACTGTATTCGAGGTGGATTTAATTATCGTGTCGTCCGATTTTTGATTTTGAAATGGGGTAGGTCAATTCGAATGGATTTGGAATTGGTGGGCAGTTCCAATTGATTTGTTGGGTGTATATCCAGTGCGTCACGATGAGGAGAGAGTATTTAGGTATCAGACAATGTATGCGCTGCCCGCAGAGTAGAAAGGTGGATAGGTCAAGTGGTAAAATCTAAAAGTTCCCAAGGTGCTGCCTTATCCGAATTTTTCTTTTTTTTGGTGGTGCTCGATCAAAGATAAGATACGCCAGTTGGCGGTGGATCTTGGGTATTACCACGCCCAGCAGTCTTCAATTCTAAGAACAGCTATATATCATTCCCTAGCAAGGGGAAATAACTAGTTCTACTTTATATTAACAAAAGAAATACTATTCAGTCTGCACCAGGCAACAAGAGCAAAAGAGGTATATATTCTATGTACAATAAATCCAGAGAAAATAACCAGAGTGAATATCTCTATAGAAGCAAAGAAACAACCTGAACGCCACGATGCTCCCATGCAAAGTCTATACTTACATAAATCCACCCATTCACAGAATATAGCTCAATATCTCCTGGCCTCTCACGGCGGTAGCAATATGCCAAGGAAGAGTGTTCCGCTGAACATGGCAAGTGCCTCGGACCCGTGCAAGACAGGCCAGGTCACGATACATTCCAAGTGCTTCCTTGAGTAACATTTCATATGTTGAAGGGACCCGCCGCGTGTATATGAGATTCACGGTCATGCTCAACATACCGTCACTTTCAGTAGGGCCCTTCCTGCGAAGGAGGTATCCGCTAGCCAGTGAAGGCTTGTATTCTGTCAAATGTGGAGAGTTGTTTAAGCGATGAGACAATATAACTGCCCAAGACTCATCGCAGATGTCCGTAAGCTGAGATTCGGAATCTATCTCCAACGGAAATTCGGTTGGGGTGGCAGGGTTCACCATAATGTTGACACCACTAGTTGGTGTCGCTGCATTTCCATATTGCTCTGGTGAAGAAACAGAACCACTGGGATTTGGTGTTGAGGCGTACGGGGATGATGTCTGAGGATTGAACATGTTGATTGGCATGGGCTGGGGCGGAGGTTCGAGATATAAATCGGGTGTGGCGTTGACATTTAATATTATCAGTTCCAAAGGGACCGTGTGAATCTTGTTGTGTTGTTCGACCAAGCTCGTCCATGCTGAGGATAGTGTTAACAATGTAGTTCTCCAAAGGTGCCTGCAGACAATGCTAACTCACCCTCAACCTCGTCCTGATCCACAGGCTCGGTAAGCGCGAGCATGAACCTCCACTGTGCTTGAATCTTTTCCATAATACCCTTTGTGGTCCCCCATATTTCATTTCGCACATCAGAGATAGAGCGAGTCGCTTTCTGGTTCCGGAAGCGTAGGCAGTATGACATTGTCCTTTGGAAGGAACCAGTATTGTCGCTCCAGGCTACTGTTATCCAACGCTGATCCAAGCTCCTAGAGTACGCCAGATGAAGGCATTTCCCTTCCCGAAGGGGCGATGTCCTCTCAGAGGTAAGCCTAAAGTTAATAGCCGTCAGAATTGGCTCCACAAGGAGCACAGGCGGCGCAGAGCTCAAAACATTCGAGGCGGAGTTCCGTGCGGCACATCGACTGTATACCTCCAAGGCTAGATTCATATACTCCGTCTGCGTTGGAACTACTATAGAACCCGCTGATGTGACGAATTCCAAAGGAATGACCTGTAATACAATTTCACTCATCCGTGGAGTTTGACGCCGGTCAACGCCGGTGAGGTATTTTTGGAGTAACTGCAAGAAGGCCGAGCAGATATCGGCCAACGCAGTACCATGATTGAATGGATTGATTATGTACACGACGACGTTGTCCCCGACGGGCTGGTTTTGCGAGAATAAGGACCCTGTCTGGTGTTAGCCACATGCTGAATCAATTAGAACTGCTGTAAACATACCAAGGTTGTCGCATAGAGCCTTCAATGACCGCAAAGCAGAGAAATACCCGGATGCGTCGGATGCTTTGACGCTCCATGGTACTAGCGCACGTTCGAACGCTTTGGATGCCTTTCCCCGTACATGTTTACCAAGACCACAGTTTGAGTACTGCAAGCCTAGCCGGTCTAAGAATACATCTGCCGCCTCGCCAGCAAGATGAGGATGGATACAGTATGCTGAAATGTCCTTAGTACCATGCGCAGGTTCTAGGCCGAATGTCTCCCAAAACCAAATTGCAGGTGGTAAGACTTCTAGGAAGTCTCTCCCACGGCGGATGCGTAGATGAGGAGGAGGTAATTTTAATAAAGAACCATTCCCAGACTCTCTATGTCTGGGTGTTTCGGGCTGCGAACTTCCACTAGAAGGAAATGGAAACTCGTTGTCCTGGAGTGAGACATAGTCTTTCAGATGAAGCCTTTCGGTCTCACCCACGAAGTTGGCGTCGTCGAGGAAAGTCGGTAGGGAGAAAAAATCTTTCTCAATATCCGAAAGCCCCATCCTACCATGAATCTTATGGTTGAGGGACGACAGTGTGAGCTGATCAACTAACAGTTGTGCGATTCGAACATACTCCTCCTTTCCAGGAAGCACAGGTGAGAGGCGAGCTTGTGGAAATGAGAAATAGCCCGTTAATGACCAGTCAGAGAAAATCGAAACGAAGTTTCCCAGAAACACCGAGATTTCGGCCTTGGAAGGAGTGCTGCATAAGTTCGGAATCACCATAGGCTTCTCTGAAGGCGAGGGCATTGAGTCGCCAGGATCGGAAAGAGACCGCTTCCTTTTTAGAACTCTAAGACTGCCTGAAGACGAATGCGGCTCCGGGGTCGTCTCATCGCTATCATCGCTCGAAACAGAAGTTGAACGTAATTGTCGCACCATGCCATCTAGATCGTTGTCATTTCTGTTTGCTGGGTTTAAGACACCGTCAAGCGAAGATGTGACCTTCCTACCACGATGACGAAGACCAATTGTAGGAATATCGCTCGCAGAACCGCCGGGATCTTGAGCAGTAGTAGCACTTGCAGCTGAGAAAGAAAATCGACCATCTGTTCCATACTTCTGATTCCACTCGTTGAGGTTCTGCTTGAAGGGGACTGGATTGTAGTCACCTTGCCTCCGACCCTCTTTAACTGAAAAATGGTCACTTTGAGCGGCTCCAGAAAATAGTATCCTCTTGATTTCCAGAGGGCTAAGAGGGGGGCTTATAGTCTGGCTATTTTCACGATGAGGTGAGGGTGGTGCATCAATCAGGCAAGCCTGGTTCTCATGGACACTTGTGGGTTTACCAAACGGGCTGGATAAAAAGGACTCGTGGAATTCAATATTCGCCATAGGGGTTTCAAGGTCGTTTGCTGGATAACTTTTGGGGGTCTTCTCGTCAATAGAAGACGGTACTTGAGCCACCTCAGGTGGATCGATCGCATGCTCAGTTGACTCGTTGATCTCCCCGGCTTCTGTGCCTCCGAGTTCCGTACGGCCCTCCATAATTCCTAATTCAGGGTCATCAAAGAAGCTGAAATCCGCGTCAGTTATCCCTTTGGATCCGAAGTCTTTATCATTCATTTCACCAAAGAGATCGTCATCGCCACTCGTATCATATAATCCAGAGCCCACAGTGAGCCCTGCGGCCGGGCCAAAGTCCATTGTCAGGTTAGGCTCAGGGTCTTCGGAAAATTGTGCTTGATCGGATTTTTGCACATTTCGGCCATCGGGCTGAAGAGAATCAGTGCCAGGATCTTCCATAAAGGCGTCCAAAGAGCTTTTGTAGTTCAGCCCCACTGCTCCGTCTGGCGGTGTTGGATACACGAGACTTGCGGTCTGAAGGTCTGGATATTGTGCTAGTCGGGAAAGGCTTTCAATTTCTTCAAGAGACTCTGGCCGCAAGGGTGACATCCCTTGCCCGTTTGGTTGCTGCTGTTGTTTCCGAGAACCTGAGAGGATTTCGGAACCAGCATCCTCGCACTTAGAGCTTGCTGCCAGATACCATTGCTCAGCGAATTCTAATGGGTTATTACAGGGCGAGAAAATGGACTGCCGATTAGAGGGTGTCTCTGGTGGAATTGGCGTCGACCTCGCAAAACAATACCTAGCGGGCCAGAGAAATCGCTTCAGTGGAAGTGCAGGGGTGTCCTCGCTCCTCCGAGATATTTCCCCAGCCAAACGGGCGTAGAAGAACTCGCAAACCTCGATTTCCACCCAAGGTTCGTCTTCGACAGTGTCAGTAGATAAGCCAAAGTTCGTTAACCACTCTAGAACATTCGACTTCCACTGTTTGCGATTCGCTGTAAACAGTCTTGCAGAAGTTTCCTGTACACCGCTGCAGCCACTTGGTGAACTTGGAGAAGACAAATCCGGATTATCCACGTTCGCGGAAACCAGTCGCGCAATCGATCCATTCGGACACAACCATAGATCAATATTAGGCTGCAAATCTGAAAGTTCGGAAACCAGGTCCCCAGGTTCCCAGAGCCGCGAGAGTCCAGTTTGCGCTATTGTTTGCATGGAAACGATCAGTTTCCCAACAGGAGTTAGTTGAATCTGAAGGGTGGTTAGAGCGGGCATAGAGACCGGACTGTCATTGACAACCCTAGGACTCTCAAAGCCATCTCTTTCAACAGCAGTGAATAGAGTCCGGGACCCCAACGGCAGTGCATTGTGAAGCCGAACAAATTTGAAGTTGATAGCACCGGTAATAGCGGAAATAAAAGACGCATAAATTGCAGCGGAGCTGCCGTAGTTATCCATCCGTCTAGGTAATGTAGACCCGTTCTGTGGTTTCTGAGACCCTACAGTGCTTGCACTGGAAGCCTGAGGGTCTGAGAGGTTCTTCACTAGTTCTGCTGATGTAATACTACCAGATGCCGAAACTAAAACCCATAAAATCAGTAGAGTGGATGGCACTGAATAGGTGGTTTGATACTAACGCTTTAGTGTAGTAGAGCCGACAAGAAGTCTGGTCGAGTTCCCCCCGCTTCCGTTAAGAGATAGAGAACTCACGCTCTCAAAGCCAGGAGTAGCCGAAAAGAGCCAAAGGCCAAGTCTTCTAGGATAAGATGACACCAGGCAACCGAGGTTCTTCAACTGAAGCTCAAGGTCTTTGAGACGACTAAGATGTTTAAGAATTGTGTAACCATTGGCCGGAGCCTCAGGTGGCAAGCTAGAGACAGCATGTTCGTCCGTATAAATTCTCCAGTGTATGTTGGAGAATCCATCCTTGAAATAGATGTTAATATCCACCAGATCTTACTGTGCGGTTTGTACTTACGATGACTCGCACGTTGGTGATGGATCCTCCGGGAAAGTCCATGTTTCTATTGCGACCCTGAGGGAGAGCCTCCGCTGCTCTTGGAAATAGCAAAGAAATGCTCCAAATCCAATCGCGACTTCATTTCCAAAGACTTAAGGCATATGGAACCGCCCAACTCTCTGAAATCAAAAGTCGAGTCCGATGCAGGTGAGGCCAGACAGAACATGGGTCACCTGACCGACGCCATCTCCCTACGCAGCGGGGATTCTGATGGTGGACGCGAAAGGGTATCGATGAGCTTGAGCCGAGGGTTTTATAGCGCAAAATGAAGCCAGCAGGCCAGGAGAAACCAGGGAGACCAAGGTGTTGCAGGCGATGCGCGTTGAAGAATCCAGAGCCTTTCTCCGCATGACAATACCGCAACAGCCTATCAACAGCCACAGTCACGTGCAGGCACTATCGATAATCTCCGAAGTATTTTTTTCCTTTTGATCGCCGTGCAAAGACAAAAGGTCAGACTCGTCCACCATCAGTGGGCGTCTTCGAGCTCGCCATGAAGCTCTCCAATCAGTCAGAGGTACCCGTCTATACAATCTCCGGGTCGAATACAGCTCGACCGCTTCCAGAGTGGCTTGCAAGACGTCGGAAGCGCAGTCTGAAAAACGACCCGGAGTATGCGAATCGGGTCGAACTCCTGCAGGATTTTGAATTCGAGGAGGCAAGCCAGTGCATCCGTGTCAGCGAGGATGGTGAATGGGTTATGAGTACAGGTTCGTGGTCTACTTTGTGAAATCTTATTATTACCGCAGCTAACCCTGGACCCGTCTTTTAAAGGAACATACAAACCTCAAATACATACACATTACTTGCCGCAACTATCTCTTTCCTGGGCTCGTCATACGGTAGCGCTCAATACGACGTTTCTCCTACTATCCTCAGATTATACGAAGTCCCTTCATTTGCAGTCCGATCGGTCTCTCGAGTTCCACACACCTCAAGGATGTCACTATACGACAAGGCTTCCCAGATATGGGCGGGATCTGGTCTACGATAGGCAATCGACTGAGGCATTGGTTCCCGCAGTTGGAGTAAACCAAGATGGTATGGGTGAAGTATTTCGGCTAAATCTTGAGTTGGGTCGATATATGCGAAGCTACGAGGTCGATGTTGGTGGCGATGATTTCACATCTGCCGGTGGAGGATCCTTGCAGGGAGGAGTCAATACTGGAGCTGTAAACACGGGTGCCATTGCGGAAGAGAGTCACAATCTTCTTGCTTTTGGAACGACAGTGGGGACGGTGGAACTCTGGGATCCCAGAGCAAAAGGAAGGGCTGGAATATTGCTGCCGCCGACACAATCTTCCCCGGGTGACGCGCGCTCTGAAATAACGGCTTTAGAGTTCCATCGTTCCGGATTGACTATGGGAACTGGGTCTTCCAACGGCTTAATACATCTCTACGATCTTCGATCTCCAGTTCCTCTGCTTAAAAAGGATCAAGGATATGGTTTCCCTATTCACACGTTGAAATTCCTTCAGCCATCGTCTGCTACTCGTGAGCAGACGATGGAACCCAAGATCCTATCATCTGACAAGAGGATCATCAAGATATGGGATCCGCGAGACGGCAGTCCCTGGACATCTGTCGAGCCTGCTGTGGATATCAACTCGGTTGCATGGTGCAGAGACAGTGGAATGATCTTGACCGCCAACGAAGGCCGTCAGCAGCACGCCTTTTTCATACCCCAGCTTGGACCTGCACCCAAGTGGTGCTCGTTCTTGGACAACATAGTTGAAGAGATGGCAGACGATCCAAACGACCCCCATGCATTTAGCACCGGTCAAGCTGGCACTGTCTACGATAATTACAAATTCTTGACGGTTCCCCAGTTGCGCACATTGAATCTGGATCACTTAATCGGCCGGACGAATCTTTTACGACCATACATGCATGGATACTTTGTGGCTCAACGCCTGTATGAAGAAGCACGACTCATCACCAACCCATACATCTGGGAAGAAGAGCGTGCAAAGAGAGTCAAGGAGAAGATTGACAAGGAACGCGAGAGCCGGATTCGTGGCAAGAAGAAGGCCGCAGTCAAGGTCAACAAGAAACTGGCCGAGAAGCTTATGGCAATGGAAGAGAAGAATGAACGCCGTAAGGCGCAGCGGGTTCTCAAACATGGTGGTGATGAGAATATGGCAGATGCCCCTGCTGCTGCTGCTGATACTCCTGCTATACAAGAAGAGCCTGCTAGGAAGGGTATTCTGGGCGACAAACGTTTCGCTAGGCTATTCGAGGACGAGGAGTTCGCTATCGACGAGAATTCTAGAGAATTCCAATTGCTTAATCCCAGCACGGCCCCAGAGCCGGCTGAAAGAAAAGAGCGCGGTCTTACAGCAGTCGAACAGGAAGAGATCGACGAGGTTCCCGGCTCTGACTCCGACTCCAACTCTGACGAATCCGAGTCTGAAAGCGAACAAGAACGACCCGCGAAGTCAACCTCTAACAACAGGATATCAACAGCTTCTTATAAACGTACGAACCGACCTCCGCCGCAGATGCACGTGTCTTCTTCTATAACTGCTAGTTCAGCCCGCGATCGCTCCTTTGGGTCACGCGCTCAGAAGATGCAGACCAAGCATAAACCATCCCGACGTGGTGGCGTGGTTGGAGAGAAAGAAGTCACCTTCGTTCCCCAGGCGAAGTCGAAACGATCCGGACAGAGCAGCAATGGCCCGGATCACTCTAGATCTGCTCCCAATTTCCGCACAAAGGAAAGAAGAAGTGCTTCCGGTAATACGTTCCGAAGAATGTAGCTTCTGGCGAATTTTATCACGAACGATCGGAGCGGCAGAGCATTGGAAGAAAGATATGTTTCCAATTCCAATTTTCCCTAGCCTTGTCACAGGGGTGTATCATGAATACGTTGCAACAGCGCTCAGAAAGGATACCTTTATCCAGCTTGCGAAAATTACATGCAAGAGCCAGCTCGCTCGCCCGCTACCTGGGGTAGACCGTGCAAGAGCGTCGATTGTAATGTTATGACACAACCACGATTCCGACGACATGAAATGAAGATCCCCTTTCCATCACGATATACGATATATATTTCAAACCTCCCCCATATCGACGTGAATGGAAGTTCTTCTTAACTAGCGCCTCTCAGAATCCCCTCCTCAAAGGAAAGCGATCGATGCTAGCAGCCATGGTCAACCCCAGTTTCTGTTCTTGGATTATCATCCTCTTCTGTCCCCAACTGTATGCCACCGACGAAACCGCAGTATCCGTCCAATCCAAAGAAAACAAAAAAAGATAGAACATAATATTCGAGACGTTAGATTATTTTCACACGTTGCTTTTTTCACGCTTAGGGGGTTCTTGGGTGTTGGCAACATCTTCTTATGTTTATTTAACTGGCAAGTAACTGTAAATACCCACCCGGAAAAGTTCTTTCTATATTTCTCGGTTCTTTCCTCGTATATGGACAGAAAAACAATAAGGAATAAGGCTTGAGAAACACCCCAGTCTACTTAGTATAAATATACCGTTTTGGGAATTGCAAAATAGTAGTTTGTTACCAGTGATATCTAATATCTACGGACTCTGCTCAAAGCAATAACAAATCACTTGCAAGTCCTGCATAGTATTCTTTTTAAATAAGGCCATTAAAAGAACAAAAGAACGCCGGGCTATCCCAACCTACCCAAAGTGAAACATGTAGCAGCGGGAAATGGCGCAAAGAAAGCAAGGACAAAAAAAAAAAACCAAAAGGTCAAACGACCAACTCGCTTTAGATATGAGTATACCGCGAGAAGGGGAAGTAAAAGCATGGGCATGAACTTGCACAGTTGCATCGATTCGGTCAACATATCAAGGCCAAAAACAAAGACACCCCCCCGGGCTATTCAATATCAAGCAGAAACAGTAACTCCGTAGACAATGACCTCTCATCCACTATCAACTAGATCAGAAAAAGAAAAAAGACCCCCAGCTGTCATCCTCTATGCTCCGAATAACTGGTTGCATCTTGTGTATCGTTCGGACATTGGTCTATAAAGATAACCTCCTCTGGAGAGACGTTATGGAGTAATCCAAGAACATCAAGTCGAATGGAAAAGAGGTGGAAAAATAATAATATAAAAAAATAAAGAAAATAAAAACCAAGGGAATCCCGAGGGAATACACACACACAGTACATGTAGTGAGTGGCATCTTGACATAAAAGAATAATGCTCCCTCAAGGTATTGTGAATAGAAACAGCAGCGAGCCAGCAGTATTCGTGCCATTTTAGTAGAGATCCAAGGGTGAGGAATGAATGGCATAAAAGATGTAGAAGAGCTGCTGGATACTCTTGTAGTGACGACATCTTGACCATGCCTAATGTAGGATTGCATCCTATAAACCGAGTAAGGGTTCTTCCAATTTTCAACAAAGGCCCCAGTAACGATAGATAGGGGTCTCAGTCAAGCGACGGCGTCCTAAACCCAGGCTCTTGATCTAAACTCCCTCCAAACTAAGGAGAGCCTCAGGACCATAAGTGATAGCTGGGTAGACCAGCATTTCGTCTTCCGCTACCACGTCTTGATCCACCAGCGCTCGGATTCGACTCACCATGTCCATATCGCCCTTCTTCTAAACTTCTCCTCGATACACCGAAATCACTCATGGCGAATAATAACGGTTCTTCCTCCTCAAATGGAGTCGCCTGAGAAGGTAACGCACGACCAGAGCTCGACCGCTGTCCAGAGCCTCGACGAGTTTCCGTAGCTGAAGTGGCACTGTTACTACCACTTCCGACACCATCACGATCAGGGTCACGTTCTGTCATGTGAGGAGGAATAGCAGCCCCTCGGGCCAGGCTGCTCGAAGCGGAGCTAAGAGAATGAGGACCTCCTGAAGATCCTCGTCCACGGGAATGGGCAAAGCGTGGTTGATACAAATGGTGGTTTGATGACAAAGTCGCTGAGGGCGCAGCGGCTATTGTGCCCCTGCGTGCGACAGTTTCACGATCTGGGCCGGAGAGAGAGCTTGACGGCACAGCCAAGTCATCATTGAGGGACGAAGGACGCCCCTCCCCGCGCTGGTTATCCGCGTTCGCGCTAGCCCTCTCATACTCTTGCCGCCGAAGGAGGGCACTGAGGCTCAAGTGAGACCGCTCCTCAGCCCCAAGACTCACGCTACGCATGCCAAAAGGGAAAATCTCATCATCGTCCGCCGCGGCGATACGGCGATGCTGAGCAGCAGAGCTAGATCGACGGTAGGGAATAGGCCGTGGCGAATTTGGTATGTCTATGGCAATTGCGGCCGATGGAATCCGTTCCATAGTCGTGTTATCAGTTGTATTTTCTTCCAAGGGCGGCTCATGTTCCTCCTGGGAAAGTCGACGTCGGTTTCGTTCTCTGCCTTCGCTGTACTCGATAATGCTATTGGAACTCAGACGAGATGGAATGGCAGGGGTATGAGGTGTATGGGGAGTATGAGGTGACATGGCTTTTCCAGGTGAAGAAGATGTTGAAAATGATGTACCTGCGACCATGGGCGGAACTCCAGACAATTGCTTACTGGACGAATTAGAGGATCGCTGCAACAGTAAGGAGGAGGACATCGAGTCCGAGAGAGCGGCATTCGATTCTCTCATACGTTGAAAACGGTTCAAGGCAGCACTGGTTCTGCGCGTAGATGCTTCCAAATCTGTAGGATTCAGCAGATCCTTCCTTTGATCCAGCAATTTGAGAAAATCGGAAATGTTCTCATCATCCGCATGGATGGAATCAGCACTCGTCCCAGTTGCATCCGCAAGCAGACCAGAGCCAGGCTGAGCACTGGATGTTGCACTAGCCCTACCACTGGAATTATCATCTTCAACCCGATTCGCGCTTCCAGAGGACGGCCGACCACGTCGATGACTGAAGGAACTACTGTACTTCGAAATTGGTGCGGGTTTCGGAGATGCCGAGTTAGATGATGCTATTTCATGCTCCTGGGTTCTGCGTGAAGAGGATGTCATGGCAGGAGGGTGCATGCTCTTAGGGTCATAGGAAGTTCCCATTAGGGGACGACCCGAGATCGTACGTGGTGGTGGAGCGAAGGGAGAATCGACTAGAGACGGGGATGCGGACAGGGGCGGTGCTTTAAATGGCTGGAAGGATGTAGATGGACGTCTCGCTACAGCAGAACCACCATCGCCTACAAGCGAAGCAGGTCTCCCAATAGGGCCAACCCTGGGTGCGGGCGGCAGCCTGCGAGAAGGGGATGCTGAAGAAGGGGATATAGATGTGGCACTTGAATCTCTGGCAGCTCGGAGCGCTGATATAGGGCTTGCGGCCATTGTCGGCCCAACTTGGTGGAAGGTGGACAAGCTTCCATATGCACGGGTGCGATCTGGATATTCGACCATTCGCTTCCCCGAGGGTAACGAACCAATCTCGGGGTTGGGAGATCCTGTCAGGTCTCCGGATGGAATTGAAGGACGGAAGACTTCATCATCGGCACCCATGAACCGCGAACTCAATAAAGCTTCAGAGTCATCGACCCGGAAGTCACAGTTGGTTCGATAGGTCACGTCAACGGAGAACGGCCCTGCAGGAGATTCTGTAACGCCAAAACTGTACGTGTCCACCACCTTGCCATTGCATTCGTACAGAGGTACCGCCAGATTATCAGGCTCTGAGGTTCGCCGGTCGAGGGTGTAGCCATCCAAAATCCGGTATCTGATCTTCAAGGCTGGCGCGGCTCGGAGTTTCCCATGGCGCTTCGTAAACTTCCAAGCAGGCAGAAACTTAGAATATGTGAATAGCGACCGGAAGAGGACAATGCTTTTTTTGTATACCGTGGGCAATATAGACCCCAGATCCGCAGGTAATCTATTAGATGGTTCACCTAGCTCGATCCTCCACCGTTCGAGGATGATCTCATCTGGGTTGGCCCGGGCTCTATTGAGAGATTCTTCCACATCCCACCGTTTCCCATTCCCATCAAGTATCACAAGGCTCTGATTATGCGTAAGAGCCGTACTATCCAAAAATGTCTCGATGACCAAAGGCGGCGGCCGATTCTCGGTAGCGCCGCACGTTCGCCATGTCCGAAGTTGTTCTCGGAGAACGTCAGTGTCCTCCACTTCGACGTTGAACTACAAGAAATAAAAGAAACAAGTCAGCTACTGGTAGGAGGGAGTTCTGCAGGCCGAAAACCCGTGGCTCAAAAGACGTGGAAGGGAAGAGGAACGCACCCATCGATTAATCCTTGGGGTTTCAGAGCCTTTGGCGAACGAAGGAGGAAGATCAACACGCGAAAGAAGGATCAGTAGAGCGGCTTTTGTATGGTAATTCTAGGAGAAGGGGAGGGAAAAAGTCAGTATTTCATGTAGGAGATAAGGAGATATAACTCGATGGCCCATACAGATATTATCTGGTTTAGTTTGGCCACAGCTTCTTTCGCAGGCACCGTATTTCTCTGGGCATAGTCGACGGACTCAGTCCCCGCTTCAACCCCAGGATTCCTTAAGCTATTTGCTCTGGTGTCGGAGGAATGTGAGTTGGACCCGAAGTCCTGTCCTCTCTGGTCATCTGCGCGAACCGAGCCGGGTCTGGTCGGGAAGGATGGTGTGCGCGCCGGCGATCGAGGATGTTGATGCATAGCGACGCTGCGAAAGGGAAACTAATGGGATCAAGCAGCCCAGGACGGTCCCTGTTCGAGCAGATATAGCGCCAAGGTTAACACAGAGCTGTTCTTTCTTATCAGGACGGACGGAAGCAGGAGACAGATTGGTTACGGAACCCATGCTAACTAACAGCAACGGTCTGAAGATTTCGAGGAGGTCCGTTAGACGTATTCAACGCAGTAATCCAGGACAGGTTACGTAGCACGCACCGTCGGCATCATCTGGTGTCCACGAAACAGCAATGAGAGCTGCGAAATCAAATTGTAGCGTGCTCTAGACAAGCGGACTTCTCCACATCGACGAAACGAACTGCGGATCCGTACTACTCAGGAGTTCCCCGGCCACGAGAGGGATGATTTAACGAGCCATGGTCCTCGAGCGAAAAGAGGGAAACGCGACAGAGGCTGGAGGCTGATTGATTAAATTAGGTGGAGAGGAAAGGCAGTGAAGTAACAAAGCAGCCGGCAGAGGAATGGACGAGGGTCAGTGACGCACGCCCGATGACTCGAGCTAGTGACGGGGTAGATAGCAGGTCAAGTGGACGCTGCGGCAAGACTACAGAGAAGCCGATCACGACATGCGGGATGATGTATAAATAAGGGATCCAACAAGGGACTAGCACACTCCAACAGACCAAGAGAAAATAAAGAGAGGAGAGATAAAGAGAAGAGAGAAAAGAGAAGAGAAGGTGAAGATGATGGAAAATCACGACCAAGGGTAAGATACGGTCACGGACGGTACCATACCCTGATAAGAAGGGCAGTGAGTGACTTGGGACCAGCAGAGGCTAACAAGGTATGAGGCAATGTACAGAATTGGAACTGTTACCCCCTGGTAATAACAAGGCCAGTATAGTAGTACCGTACACACACACACTCGCTCTCTCTCTGGAGTCTCTACATCATCCTTCTGCAAGCCACCAGAGCAACTTGGATTATGGCGGTGATTGCTACAGCATCCCAGGCACGGAGATGATCCCATTCTCCACTAGATCACGGCATGTTAGCTTGGCCTCACAACTGGTTGCCTCGCCGTCCCAGCCAGCCTAGCGATTAACCTGCCAATCACTAGCGTCTTCTGCCCGAGCTGTTGCGGCGTCCGCGAAAGCAACAGGCTACATACAAGCATACTTTTAGCCCTGCAGCTCATCCAACGATGAATCTATCTGCTAGTGGCGCGGTCTCGGATCTCTCTCGTCAATGGGAATACCGAGTTGGAGCCTACTGTGTACTACTGGCATATGAGCAGTCACTCGACACCTCCGTGTCTCCCCGTCTACAACCTGCACGGACGCTGTCCAGAGGTACCGCCCCGGTAACAAGGCTCGATTTCAATAATAGGATCAAGAAACGGAGATATTGCCATATTTTAAGCAACTGGACATATGGAGTACAGTGACTTTTTACAGGGGCCGGCCAGCTAGCCTGTACAGCGTACGGAGCACATCCATAGCGAGTTTCACTGCTGTGGGCTCTGCATCTCCGGTTGGAGCCATGTCTGATCCGGACCGCCTGCAGCTGTGCTTTAACGAGGCCCAAGACTTCTTTTTGTGAGGTGTAATAGCAGAGGACCCAATGAGGATCGATGCCTGAATGCGCTGGCCATCACTCCGCCATTTGGTTCCTCTCTCGCGCTCCGCGTGACTGTCGATTGTTTAGCATTATTTCCTCGTCTCCGCCATTGCAGCCGTGGTCCTGCAGAATCAGGATGACTGTCTATCGAGACTCCGAAGGGTGATCTTCTCCGGAAACTGTGCCAGCTGAGACCCATGCTCCGGACAGCCAAATGTCGTAGCCCGTCTTTAAGACTTCACGCTCTGTTCTTCATCATTTCCCCGTTCCCTTGCTGAGAAAGACACACTGAAAACCAAGGATGCTATGCCCGGCACTGGAGGATAGCAATGTGGAGGTGATATTCACCAGCTGCACACTGATGCATCACATGACTGTATCCTGGAGGAGATGCATTTAAACAGTCTTCCTTGGTATTAATCTTAATATTTCAGAAATTGTAGTGACTGTTTTGACTGCCTCGAGACCTTGCCTCTTCTGAAATGGGTCATGTTCCAAAGGAAGAAAGTGACCAGTGCTGTAGAACAGACACTCCATCTGAGTGATTAAAGCGATGACTATTCAAACGAAATATCAAGATTCCACCACAAGAAATCCGTGCCGTACGAGGAGCATCGTATATACAGCCTGAGGATCGCAGTCTATGACTCCACGCCATTGACGCAAGCCTTCTCTCATCGACTCCCGCCGCGACAACCCGTCCAACATGTCGATGGGGAGCAACGGAAACGGCAACACGGCTGATCCAATCCAGCTCCATACGCAGCGCATACACCCCCATCGATGGCTCCGGTTGCACAAGCTGCTCGTCGAAGAAGGGAGCATGGAGGGGTGTGCAGGTCCCGATTGGCCGCGCCGGTCATCCGAGCAGTTGAAAGCGCTGGGCGTATCCACGGGCCATTTCCATCTCCATTTCCACAGTCGTCGAGCCCCCAAAACCCGTCTGTCCTCTTCGTCTGACTCTGCATTTATAGCACTGTACTGTCGCGTCTCCTGGTCGCAGATAAGCAAATCCTCGCGTCGAACCTCTCTTCCCCGCCGTTCGATATCTGCAGAATCGAGATTACACTGATTGATAGATAACTACCTGTCATCGCCACCGGTCGCACATTCTCAGCGCGTCAGCTTCGTCTGCCAATCTTCCCGCCCTCTCATCTTTACGCCTACCTCCTTGAGATATCCCCCAATAGAACGAGAACCTGCTGCCACGGATTGCGCGGATACCCTCCTCGGCCCGAGTCCTTCTCGCAGCATCCTCTCATCGCCCACAGAGCTCGTCTCGCTTGTCGCAGTCAACCCTCGGGTTACCGCGACGCTCTGGCCTAGGGGGCTGATAAGAGGTTCTGCAGAACTACAATTTGCGGCACATGATTAGCAAGCTTTGGGAATACTTCCTCCGAGATGACGTCGAGAGCTTCCAACAGTTCTTGGCGAGTGCCGGCAATGCGCCTGGCAGCCAGAAGGCCTCTGCAGGAGGAACAGGAATAGGAAGTCCTCCTCCTCGGAAGGTCGGAAGCCCCGGGGAAACAGCAGGATCATCGCCTAGCAATTATTCGTTGAAAAATCGGAAATCAATTGTGAACTTCTCTGCCTCGTCCCTCCCCGACCGCAACGGTTTCCAGCGCGGCACGACATCATCACGGGCGGTGCTTAACGCACGCGATCAATTCGGTAGAACTATCCTCCATCATGTGGCTTCGTCCCAGAAACCTACTGCAATCGACTTTGCGCTTGTTCTGCTGGAGGAACCCTCCCTTGACATCTACGTGCAGGATTGGGAGAGCGGGTGGACCGCCTTGCATCGCGCGTTATATGCTGGAAACATTGCAATTGCCCAAGCTCTGGTGGCTCGTGATGTATATGATGCGACGAGTTTTAAGAAACCAGGGAACTCGAGTCATACGAGCGGGTCCTTGATCAAAATCAAGGACCGTGAAGGCTATAGCCCTTTTGACGTCTACGGCGCGACAATAACTTCACGCGATATCAAGCGGGCCGTTTCTGAAAGGAGCGCACTGCTTCCGACACTCCCTGAGCTCGCAGACAATGACGCTGCCTCCGATGCACCCTCTACTTACGAAGGCGATGGTGATGCCATACAAGGTGTGACATACCCACAGTCAAGCTGTGGGGATGAGGTGTTTACATTTGGGAGCAACAAAAACCTCAACCTCGGCCTTGGTCATCAGGATGACCGCCAGTTTCCTGAGCGAGTCAGTTTGAAGCGTCCAGAACATCTTTTGCAACGGTTCTACCGTGAATATCAAGAACAACTACCAGACTACCATACGCATTCAGCACCCCACCATTCGAACGAGCTTCCAGCTCTGATAAGGGACAAGCCTATGAAGTTTAATGCTATTGCTATGTCTAAACTCCACACGGCCATCCTAACCAGTGATCCGGAATCAAACCTCTTTATCTGTGGATTTGGACCAGGCGGGCGCTTGGGGACTGGCGATGAATCAACACAATTCAATTTCGTCTGCGTGGAGACGGGCGGCCTCGCGGGGAAAAGGGTCGTCTCCATTGCACTAGGTCAGGATCATACCCTTGCTATTACCGAAAAGGGAGAAATTCTCAGCTGGGGAAGCAACAAATATGGTCAACTGGGCTACAGCCTGCCCAAATCAAATAACAAGAATGACGCTCCCATGCAATTGATACCACGGCAGATCTTCAATCCGTTCAAGAAAGAATTTATGCTCGGGGCAGCTGCGTCTTCCATCCACTCAGTAGTCTTCAGCAGTTCCGGCCTCTACACTTTCGGGAAAAACGAAGGCCAGCTTGGTCTGGTTGATTCGGACGCTCGTTCACTCCAGGTCCAGATTACTCCTCGGCGTGTGGGAGCCTCACTCTTCACCTGTCCAATACAAATGGTGTCGGCCATAGACCGTGCCACCTCTGTGCTTCTCCAGAACCACGAGGTTTGGGTTTTCTCGCAATACGGTTACTCGAGACTTACGTTTCCGTTGGATGTTAGTTCTATTTTTATCAAAAACAGCTTTATGACAACTCGATATGACGCTGCGGTCAACCGTATAGTCAAAGTTACATCCGGTGGGAATACGATTTGCGCTTTGTCCAGCTTTGGTGAGGTCTTTACAGTCCAAGTTAATAAACCAGACATTTCATCTGCCTCTGCCTCTACAACGAATCCTACAAAGATTCGAAACTCCTTATCTCAGCCAGTTCGAGCTTGGTCTGTTAAGAAATCACACATGGCCGCCACAGATGTCGATGTTGGGCAGGACGGGTCAGTAATCATATGTACCAGTTCGGGCTCTGCGTGGAGAAAGGAAAAACGGGAACGCCGGACAGATTCCAAGGAAGATGCATCCAAGGATTATAAGTTCTCCCGTATTCCTGGTCTGTCTAGGGTTATAAGCGTTACCTCTAACGCCTATGGTGCATATGCTGTTGCACAGCGCGATTGTGATGTAACAAAGGAGCAAATTCACGTTGACCGCAGCACCTTATGGGATGATATGTTGCCCTTACTTCCCTTCGGTGTACTAGGGATGGCTAATACCCCAGACTGGGAAGATGCTATCGAGGATGCCAATTTTGATTTGCGTCCTATCACGGCGATTAAAAGAGCCGTGCTTTCATCCTCAGACATTGAGAACCAATTTCAATCGGTGGTGGGAACTTACGGATTGAATGAAAATTTGAGTGGAATCGTCTGGATCACAAGCAATCTTTCTGATGCTAAGATTCCTGTCCACGAATTCATCTTAACCGCGCGGAGCCCGGTGCTAAGACACGCATTTCATGAGTTTCGTCAAACATACTACTTCTGCGTACCGGATATCTTTGCCATTGAATATGGACAGGATGGCCAATGCCAAATCCAGTTTCAAGGTGTCGATTTCCTGTCCATTTTGAATCTTACTTTCTTTCTGTACACGGATGGCGTCTTGGACGTTTGGCACTTGGCCAAGCCATCGTCCGAAAACGCGTTTCGGTATCGTCAAGTCCGCACAGAAGTTATGCGCATTGCTACGCATTTAGGACTCCCAACCCTAGAGCGGGCGGCCAGACTGATGATCGAACCAGCCCGCCTGCTGAAGGCCGATATGAGCTGTGCCATAGAGGACCCTCACTTCTTCGAAAGCGCCGATGTAGTCGTCAAGCTGAATGGTGGGACTGCAAAGGTGCATAGCTATGTCATCTGCCAGCGGTGCCCATTTTTTGATGCCCTATTTCATGGACGTTCGGAAGGCAGGTGGATATCTGGACGCCGTGCGAACCAGACTGACACTGTCTATGTGGATCTCCACCACATTGATCCTTCTGTTTTTGACTTTGTGCTCCGGTACATGTACGCGGACACTGAGGAACAGTTGTTCGCTGAGGTTAGGTCGAAACATCTGAGCGATTTCGTTGATCTTGTTATCGATGTCATCTTCGTGGCGAACGAGTTGATGATTGATCGGCTGGCCCAAATCTGTCAGAGGATACTGGGCCATTTTGGTAAGTTCTATGGCCTTTATTGAAAGTTTATATCTCGTTCTTTTTTCTAAAGAGACTAACTTTCCTTTTCAGTGACCTTGCGTAATGTCTGTCATCTTCTTAACTCCACTGCGCCATGTTATGTGAGGGAGTTCAAGGATGCTGCCTTGGAGTATATTTGCCTTAATCTTGGAGACATGCTGGAGAATAGGTAAACCACTACATTATGGAAAAGAGATGAATAAAGGTTGTATGATCACTAACTTGTCTCGTAGACTTTTGGGAGACCTTCATGACGATCTACTTCTTGAGCTTGATGCTATCTGTCGGGATAATCAGTTGACGTGCTATCCTGTCTCTCGTGTGCGAAACTCCGAAGATTATATCTTCGAGAAGTATCCGGAGATCGTCCCATTGTTCGACAGGGATAGAAACCGAAGGATAGATTCGATGAAGCTAAGATCTCGACTGAACCAAGCGGAGTTTTACGATGGAGAAAGATCACGACCAACGACTAATGAGAAGGCATCTGTGTCTTCCACTCCACGGAAGGAGAGGATTTCTTCAATACAAGAAACGCCAAGCATGGCTCGCAGTCCAACTCTCACGTCAAAGGAGTCTAGCGGTGACTTGATGTTCCAAATGGATGAGGAGGCTTCGCTGTCATCTGGTATTCCAATGAAAGGGAAAGGTGCAGTAAGAGGAGCTGAGGTCAGAACATATGCTGGCTCTTTCTCCCCTGCTCTAGGTGGCAGCGTAGTTGAAGCTGGAGACTCGCTAGATGAGCAAGGTTACCTCGATGAACAAATGTCATCCATTAAGGGTTATTCCATCACTGAATCGCCATCAGAATCCCGGGCTGCAGCACTTCACCAAACGAGCTCCCTATCCCCTGCGGGCGCAGTGTCAAATGCTCCTTGGGGGCCGCCAGCGATTGCAACTGCGAAAAAGGATCTGAAGGATATCATGGCCGAGGCATCGCAATCCCAGCTTTCTAATCTTACTTTAGGCATGTCGGCTAGTCGTGATATCGGCGGCAGCTTTGCTCAGAGGCTATCGCAGAAAGAACGAAAGAAAATCCAGCAGCAGCAAATGCAGGATAAGCTTGCAGCCCAGCAGAAAACCAAGGGGCCACCACAGAACCCTTGGCAGATCCCAACAGCAAGCGGGACGGTCCCTGCCAAGCAGGGGAGTGAAAGTGGCACGAATAGAAAGCCTAATCCTACCACTCCTGATTCAACTAAGTCATTTCCGAAGCCTTCTATGACTCTCCGCCAGACAATCGCGGGGACTCCTCCCCCACATAAACACAAAGCAGGGATTACAGTTTCACAAAGTCAAGGCCGGAGCCCGTTGGGAAATATGCAAACTCCTTCAAGGCCAACTCCAGCATCGGCATTAAAGCCGGCTCCGTCAACATCAGGACCCTCTGCTTCCCCACTTGCTCCAATGAGTCCCCAACCTGCGATTCAATCTATACGCCACATACCCCGTCCAGAACCTCATCACCATAGCTTCCATTCACCGTCATCTGGATCGACATCTCTGGCCACTATCTTCCTGCAGCAGCAAACGGAGAAGGAAGAACTCCGGGAAGCCGCAATGGCAAAACACAACCTCCAAGACATTCAAGCCGAACAGGAATTTCAGGAATGGTGGGACAAGGAGAGCAAACGCGTGAGGGAACAAGCTGAGGCCGAGGCTGCCGCAGCGGCGGCAACAGCATCCCGTTCAGAACGAGGCCGCGGCAAGGGGCAGGGTCAGAGCCAAGGAACTCCGCGCAAGAGACGCCCCAAGGGAACCGAGAAGGCCTCGGACCCATCTTCCCCGACAGAACAAACCCCCAGACCGGTCACTGGGAACGTGAAAAAGAAGAGCCTCGATGGCCGCGCAGCACATCATCAACGCCGATCCTCGGGCAATAAGAAACAACATGTAGATGAAGCCGGTGGAAAGAATGCGCGGCGAGGAGGAGGGAATGTACGAAACAAGGGCAAGGAACGGGATCTAAAACCGTGAATAAGTCGAATGAAGGATACTACTATGAATTAATACCATCATGTACTAACACCTCGAGCCCTTATGATTCTTTGTTCATATATATATACCCCTTGTTCTCCTTCATCGTTTCCTCGGAAAAACACAATGTCCCCATGTTCCCATGTTTTTCTTCCCGAAGAAGTTCTTGATTCCCATTGCTGTCTCTTTTCTATTTCTATTTTTCACTTCATGGATTGATTCTGGAGACCTTGTCAGGTCTAGACCATTGACATACTTGATAGCTAGTTAACTAACCAACTGCCTAATTACCTAATCTAATAGATAGAATCGTAGTTAACTAACTAGATAGACCAGCTGAGCTAATTACCTAGCATCTTATACATGCGTGTTTGGCCTTATTACTCCCCAATGTACAGCTATATGCTATGGTACTCTTTAGATACTTGTATATCTCTAGAAACACGGGCTCCGACAATATAATATTATTTGATACGTTTCATGGCCGCGACGGGGACGATCTGGATGTACAAGGATGCTGCCTAATTGATAGTTATTGGAAGGTTACAATGCCATTCCATTGCCAACATGAGAGGGCTCAAGATTAGTCTAGGCAGTCATCAATCTCATTCAAAATGCACTACCTACAGACTTTTTTAAAGACAGTATTAAAAAGGAATAATAGCTATGGTAGCCCTACGAGCATGTGCAAAGAATAGAAAAGAAGAAAAGGATAGTCCCAAGAGCAGAATAAACAGACATATCCTAGCTCGTGGATGAAAGGGAGAGAAACTGGGTGATAAAAAAAGACAAAAACAGGAGGCCGCCCCGAACCCATCACGAACCCAAAATTAATCTATGCAAATGTAGAATCCAGGAACGCCCGGCGACTGAGAATCCATCCTGGAAGCGCGCTGAGTATGTAAAAAAAGGTCGAAGGAAACGAGAAAGATATTAGAAACTTCTATACATTGTGGAATCAAACCAGGAAGAACAAGATGGCATCATCCAGAGGTGGCCACTTCTCGGCTCTCCCAAAGGCGACGGATCATTAACTCAGATTCGGCAGGTAAAGAATGGTCTTCCAATTCTTCACCTGCCGCAGCATGACCATTCGGGGCTTCGTCAGAAGTGGAGAGGATACGTTGAGAAGGATGTTGAGACTTCGGGCGCTGCATAATATCTGCCGAATCGCCACTATTCGCGAGGTCGTCAGAGTCTTGGGAATAAGTCTGCGAGGCCGGAGTCCTTGTATTGTTCGCTCTACTTGATTCCAAGGCATTGAGCACATGTGGTCCCTTTTGAGCAGCAGAAGGCAAAAGCATCAGTGCCGGAGCAGACTTGACCGGTTTACTGAGTGCCGGACCTTGTTCCGAACTCGGATCTGGACCCTTCAGTCTCTTCAACATCGAACTTAATCGGTCAAAACTTTCCTCTGTCGGGGACTGGAAACGTTGGACGACAGCCAATTCTAACGCAGTCTTTTCGTACACCTTGCGAACATGCTTGGCCTCAGTATCATGTGCTGTCACGCCGACCCTGATACTTCCGTTAACAGCTCTTCTTACGGGGTCGTAAGGCCCGGGACCAGGCCGTCCATTTGCAGCAGCCCGGAACGCAGGATCCATCGCAGCTGGCGACACACTCGCCGACCCACCATGAGAATCAGGCGGTGATGTGTTCAGGGCAGCAGTGCGCTGCAGCCATAGTTTCTGTTGAGTGCGCGAATGTGGTTCGGCACCCCGTAGACGTGAGGGAGGAGATGCTTTGTTCGCCCTTGCTGAGGCTGTAGTGGTGTTTGGAGATGGTGGCGTCTGCGGACGATAATGAGGAAGGAATGATGACGGCGTATTGGGGTCTGAATCTGTACGTGACATGGGTTTGCCATTAACGATGAAGCGCGAAACTCCTCCCTCCATAGATGATGACGTTCCCTGCACGCTATTCTTAGGAGTGTGTTCGAGTGTGGGGTTGGACGAGGGCAGAACTGTGCGTTTGGAGGCATCGTGCGCAGCAGCCATGTTGGAGAGAGATGCGTTCCGCGAGACAGCATCCACCGCGGCTGGCCTTACCATTGCTGAGACAGAGGACATGGCTGGGGGCGCTTTGGTGGAGTGCGACGGACTGAGAAGCTGCGCAGCGATATCACCGTGCTCGGAAGGCCGGTCAAGCTCTACACGCTGTTCTTCAGTCTCAGAAGTTGGTTGATTGTCCTCACCTTGGGAAAGCTTCTCGTGGGCCAGGGCCACGCTACTTGGTTCGGGAAGACTCGTGGCTCGGGGTATCTGGGGATATGGGCGTTTAACGAACGTGAGGGGATCGACCAGCACCGCAGCGTTCTCTGCGCCCTCTTTGCCCAGCTGGATCGAGTCGCGCCTTGTGCTCTCCGGCGACTGTGTAGTATCCTCCCATTCACCTTCGTAGTCTGAGTCGGCAAGCTCAAACCCTACCGTCTTCTTCTTCCCACTGCAACTGTGAGGACGACTAGTGACCAAAGATTTCTTTGTTGGAACACCACCAGATGTATGCCGTCGAAGAGCAGGGCTGGAGTAGGTCTTCTTGATGGATGAGCCCTCCGCCTTGTCGGCCGAACCTCCCCAGTGGACGTGATGACTCCCTCGTGGACTTCCGGCGGGAGTGACTGGAGCGGACTTTTTGCGCTGATGCTGAATACGTGAATGGCCTTCCGTCGAAGTGAGTCTTTGCAGCTTGCTTAGTCCTTTGCCAAACGATGGGTTGCGACTATGCGTACGATAGCCCCCACCGACAACATGAGGGCGTGGCTTGTGTATAGGCGCTTTCTGGGTATGGGAGTGGGACAGCTCTTTTGGAGTGGACGGGCGCGTTGTCACAACGGCATGTGAGGATATGGCACGACGACCCAGAGCAGGACGCCTCACAGGGGATGAAGTGTTCGAGGCGTTGGTAGGCATGGAGGGGGAAGACGGACGGGCGCCCGACGCGGGCACGAGACAGCGGTTAGCAAACAGTCAGAGCGACAAAGACCGGCGGGATCAGCAAGCTCGGAGCGGCATGGGACGGTCGAGCTGTGCAAGGATGGGTAGACTGGGGCGGCTAGCGATTGTTGCTATTATCGTCCGAGGACTAATTAAAACGGAGCCACAATCTCGCAGATGCAGCAATAAACAGTTAACAAGTCAGACAACGCCTGTAGGATGGGTTACACCGAGAGCCTGTCTCGTCGGTAGTTGGTTGGTGCACGTGAAATGGAATGCAGGGAAAAAAAAAACGAGGCTGGAGTGGGCGGCTATTACAAAGCCTGAGGATGGCGGGAGCAGGAGGAAAGGGAAGAGTGGAGAGAGGAGAGGATGAAGAAGACGGCGTGGATGATGAAGATGAAGCAGAGCAGAAGAGGAGAAAAGCAGGAAATCAGTGAAGTCGAAGAAGATGGACTCGTGGAGAGAGGAGAGGATGAAGAAGACGGCGTGGATGATGAAGATGAAGCAGAGCAGAAGAGGAGAAAAGCAGGAAATCAGTGAAGTCGAAGAAGATGGACTCGGCCATACCGGATTCGGTAATACGCTTACCAGCAGCTCTCGCCACTCGTCCGGTCTACGATTCACAGCATACAGGGCTTCTAAGAGAGCGAAAGAAAATGCCATTCGTATCCTGAAAACAACCTGGTATCATGATGCTGCCACAGATTATAACATTACAGCAAAGATCGGCTACTGCTCAACACCGCAATTTCTCCGCACGCTCAAAGTTCAATGAGACTCTCCTCCACTACTGGCTGTGGCGGTGGTTGATACTGTGCAGCTGGGTGCACCCCGGTAGGCGGGGCATCGGCATATGCTCCGTAGCCATTCAGTACGGCTTGCGGGTATCCCGATGCTGCTGCCAACTGCGGTGGTTGTTGGAGTTGGTAAGGCTGCGCCGCAGCCCCCGTTAGCTGTGGCTGAATAGGAGCCCTGTCGGTGGGTGCCATATTCGGAGTTTCTGGGTATGGCCTATATCCAGGAGATTGCAGGGAATCTTGCTGTTCAGACGCACCAGGGCCAGGGGCTGACGGAGGCCCCATTTGCTGAAATTGCGAATCCCGGCGTGTGATGGGAGAGGCCGGATATGGTGTCTCAAATTCCCGCTGTTGCGGAGGCTGTCTTTGACCAACATCCGGCTCTAGCTGTGCTGATGGAGAATAGAAATTGGGGGTTACTTGTCCAGCAACGCTTGAGGAATCCGCAGCAAATGGCCCATTACCGCTCGGCGGCTGAGGGGTGTCCGTGTGTGAATAGGCACTCCAGGGCTGAGAATCAACATTATTCCGTACTGGCTGAGAGGGCAGTGCCTGCTTTCCAACGCTCATAGCATCACCAGGAACACCGCCATGTTCATAGTTATCTCTTTTCGGTTGATACTGTGCGTACGGCGTGCCGGATTGGTTGCGGGTATCTGCAACTGGACCCCCGAAGTAGAAATTCTCGACACCATCTTTCCTATCTGGTGCCTGAGCTCCCATTGAAGGGTAGATAATAGGATATTGTGGCCCGCCCGCCAACGGCCCGTATCCCAGCGTATGTTGCGAGTATGCGTTAGATAGCCGCTCCTCTAACATCCGATCATAATATCGAACCACCGTGGAAAGCTTTGCGTGAAGATCAAGAAGCGTATCTAGATACCTTGGGTTAGTAACCATACAAAGCAAAAAGGATAAGGATAGAGTGGGGGAGTGGAGTTACCATGCTTGCTCATAGTCTCTCCATAGCTCCGGGCAAGCTTCGGTCGAAGTGCTCCAATACTCTCGTATAATTCCTGAATCTCCGGCTCTCTCAGAATAGTACCTGGCGGTTGATGTTGCAGGCGATCAACGAGAGTGGCAAAAAGGTGGATCTTCTCGGCCTCCACTGGACTGAGTTCGTAAGGATTCTTGGGTAACGCTGCAGTTGAAGTATCACGAGAGGAAGTCTTGGTGGTGGCAGTATTTTTCAAAGCAGCCGCATGCTTCTTTTTATGCTCTTCCATGTCCCGTAGAGATGCCTCGATAGCAGCCTTTAAATCTGCATCTTCCGCCTCGTCGATGGCCGTCTGGTCAGGCAAGGGCTTCGCCGGTGCTGGGGATGGTTTGGCTTGCGGAACGTAACCAGCAGAACTGTTTGTTTGGGCTTCCTCCAAGCTCAACTGCAATGCCCGGCGCAGATCTTCGTCGAAGCCCCCTTCCGCCCTTCCTCCACGTGGCTCCATTGTACTAGACATCGTAACGGAATTGTTCTTGAAGGCTGATCGGTCTGACTGTGTGAGTGTCTTTGAGGTCAACCTGGCATAGCACCCATCATCAACCCGCACTGGCTGTAGTATTCCCAGGTGTGGAAGTGGCAGAGTCTTGCTAGAGCATTGGGCGTCAAATACGTTTCCGCAATTTCGACAATGGTGTTTACGGTTCATAAAAGTGAACGGGGTTCGACAGCGCATACAAACGTCAGAATCTATCCATTCCGGGGGCTGTGATGACCATTCAGAATTAGCATAACTGCCACTAGCAAACTCGACTGGGAAACGACGACGGGAAAGACCAACCGCATTGCTCTCCAGCATGGAGCTGGAGATCTCGGTTCTAGGAGGGAACCTAAAGCCCTCGCTCTGTAGTTTGCGATGGGTCTCCCCGATATAAGCAAGATCCATACGTCCCTGAGCTGCTATAGCCCAGTCCTGTATCAACTCCAACATCTTTTCTCGAACATCGATATTGAGAGGGACGCCTTCAGCCTTGAGTAGTGATACCAGATTATCCATGAATTCACGCGATGCAATTTCTGCAAGGAAATGAGATCCGCCATTTTTGACACAAGTATCTGTTAACTGATTGGATTTGTGGTTTATCCGTAAGTACTTGAGGCTGGTAATATCCCTCAACAAAAGAGAAGCAAGCCAACCTTCAACGTAGCCAGTTGGATATTTGGATTTCGATTCTCCAGTCGCCGTTTCAGAGACCTCATAGCATCCTTTGGTTGAACGCTTTTCGACCGTATGAGGTCCGATATTTCCAGGTTGAGCGCGATGTCCTCCCTGAAGATCTTATCAGCATTGATTCCATCGTCGACCGCATATTGAATTTGGTCTGACACTGCATTCCGGAAGAAGACAGAGACGTACAAGGAAGAAGACGTGGCCCGCTCAATTTGTTCATCGAGAGGAGATGCCGAAGAGAACCAGCTCGCCATGTTGACAGTAATGAGCTTCTATGCAATTCGGGATAGTTCTGACTGCGCTGGTCTCAAGGGGTGCCGTTGGATTGCAACGGAAGACGGCTAACGCACACGGTTCAAACAAGGACCAAACGAGCAAATAAAGCAATCCTGGGAGCGTGGATAAACTTCAGAAGGGTTAGACGAGGCTGAAGCGCGAACATCCAAGTTCCAGACAGTGTTGGGCGCGTTCGAGGCAGCAACAATGGGCCGGAGAGATAGATAATAACCACCGTTTGGACAGTCGCTGGCCGTGGCTGACTAATCAACGTGCCGCAGACGAGTGGCGTCATAGCCAAAGGCGGTGAGTGCTGGCTGTCAGTAACTGCCCGTATCTGCATTACCGGCGCCGCTGTTTCTCCGATCCCGTACTGCCCTCCGAGTCATTCGTCACGTGTATCACCTGAATCGGCGTTTTGGTGTTTGCCTGCAGAGACAAAGATGTCTGTTGCCTCTCCTCTCATCTCTGCCTCATCGTTTATCTCACATCATATCCTCCCATTGATGATTGTATACCGTTGGCCCAGCTGGATTCGTCGGCAGGCCCGCACGGAATTACTACGTTGTCGTCTCCCCAATCCCCAGATCATGAGTTAGCTTCTTTCATCTGTTGTGTAGCTATGTCGTCGGATGCGGCGTCTCTGCCTTCTCCTCTAAGCGAGCCGCCTTGGGTGAATGGAAAACGTCCTTGTTTTGTTGGTGGCATGCGCTCGTCAGGCACGGGACTGGTCTCCAGACCGGGAGCATATCAGAATGGCAGTCATGCACCTTCAGCTGCGGTTCAGAGGCCACGATTTCCGAATATTAAAGATCTTCAGGATCAGGCTGCATCATTGGAAGTGAATGAGAACACTCCCGTATGTTTATGTACTGCAATGGTCTAAGGGATCTATATGTTGGTTACTAACATGTTCTGCAGCTGAGTGTGCTATTGAAAACCGCCGGAGAGGCTATCAAGCAAGCCATAGACTTTGCAGATACGGATCAACTGGATAAAGCCTACGTGGAGTACCTTCGTGCGTCCGAGATCACGATAAATACCATCCCCCACCATGCTGATTATCGAGATACCGTCAACCAGCGGCCCGCATGGTACAAAGAATTTGCCGACTTGATGATGGTACGCCGTGCATTTATATGCTTCCTATACTTGTTGCTTTTGTCGGAAGTCCTTCTCTTTCCGTATTCAACTTCATGTAATCTATGGCGGTTGTGATAGCTAACTGGGGTATACAATAGGCTGTGCGTATGAAACAAGGAACTATGCATGACATCAAACGGGAGATCCTCGAGGATAATATAGCAAACAATGTGCAACCTGGCGCATTTCGTCGGACGAACTCTTCGTCACCTTTGGCTACCAGTGTCCCTGAGAGTTCTAGCCCAAGAGACCGCCAGAGAGAACCAGGAAATGGCATTCTGAGAATGCCAAGCCCTTCGAGATTTCAGAACTCCGCAGAAGATACACTCGCCCAGCGGTTTGCGAGACTGAAGACAATAACATCCCATACCGCAGCCGATCAAAGTTCAATGGTCAACAGCCAAAACGAAGCTTCATCGACGCCTTTATCAGAGGAACCTATGGACGATTATCCACATCGACCACGATCACATATGTCTCGAACGAGATATAGTGCAATCCTCACCTCACCTCAGCGACATCCTATGGGCCCTCGTAGTATGGGTTCTCCTCATAGTACACCGGTCCTCCCTCCCAAGATTCCCCTAGATTCGTCTCTACCGCGGGCGCCTGATCCGGCCTATAACCCGATATGGACTGTACCCTCTCAGCCACTCTCAAACCCGCCGCGGACGTCGACGGAGAGCAACCGGTCAAGCAATCCGAGATACTCGCAGCTCGCGAACTCTCCAAGTGGCAGTCCTAGTCGTGCGACCTCTACTGACAACCCATATAGAACACGCACGCCGAACGGCATCCATACAATGAAAGAGACAGGAATCAACTCCGCTAATCTTCCTTACAGTCCTACAATTAGCGTGCATGAGTTAATGGATTACCTCAGACTATATAATATCCTACTTATTGATGTACGGCCACGTGAGGAATACGATACCGGTCATATCTATGCGAAGTCTATCATATGCATCGAGCCAGTGGCACTGAAGGAAAACATCTCCGCTGAGGAACTTGAAGAGCGCCTGATTGTTTCGCCTGAGCATGAACAGTCCTTGTTCGAGAGACGTAACGAATTTGATATGGTTGTCTACTATGATCAATATACTTCGTCGGTTAGCTATCTGGCTGGATCGCCGGTTGGAACGACAGCGCCCCATCTGAGAGCGTTATATGACACTCTGTACGAATTCAATGCTTACAAGCCATTGAAGGACGGACGACCTCCGGCACTTCTTGTGGGTGGCCTGGATGCGTGGGTTGATCTTGTTGGGCCACAGTCGCTCGCGACATCATCAACCGCGGCTGTAATTGGGTCACTCCAAAGAAAGAAACCCGAGAAAAAGCCAGGGCGACCGTTAGGGCGAGTTCCGACGGTAGTGAGCGCTAACTCCAGCTTAGAAGTGAGGAAGAGGAGGCTTCGCGAGTTCACGCCTCTAAACTCTGAGGAGCTGACAGCGTGGATGGAGAAGTCCAAAAAGGAAGAGATTGATGCAGCTACTTATTTTGAGGAGGAGGAGGAAGCGTCCACAGAAAAACCAGGAGAGAATGAGCCTCATTCATACTTCCATACATACGAGGACTTCCTTCGTCGCTTCCCAGAACCTCAGGCAGTTCAGCAATCGATGATGATACCGGAAAGTTATCAAATGGAAACTTCCGTATCGTATCCTCTTGTTCCCTTTCCCCCTCCACCATCACGGCCGCCTCCTGCAGTTCCTCGACCAAGTTATAGCGGCGTATCGGACGGCCGACGTACTCAGCCACCTCTGGAGCGCCAGAATTCCGCCACCAGGGCTGCTCTGTATCCGTCACATTCCTTCGTCAGCCGTCTCAAGCTTCCTCGAACGGGCCTTACGAATTTTGGTGTCACTTGTTATATGAATTCGACGATCCAGTGCTTGAGTGCAACCATTATGCTGAGTAAGTTCTTCATAGACAATCGGTTTCGATACTATGTTCAGAAAAACTGGAAGGGATCTCAGGGTGTCATGCCTGGACTCTATGCGAATTTGATACGGTCGCTCTGGAAGAACGACGTAGAGGTGATCATGCCGACTTCCTTCCGAAATTTCTGTGGTCGGCTTAACCGCGAGTGGGCTATCGACCGGCAGCAGGACGCCAAGGAGTTCTTTGACTTTCTTGTTGATTGTCTGCATGAAGATCTAAACGTAAATTGGCAGAGAACACCTCTGCGGCCGTTGACGTTCGAGGAAGAGATGCAACGGGAAAGAATGCCGGTTCCCAAAGTTTCCAAGATTGAATGGGATAGGTACTGCCACCGGGAGGAGTCATTCATCTCTTCCCTTTTTGCTGGTCAGCATGCCAGTCGACTACGATGTACAACGTGCAAGCGCACTTCGACCACCTACGAAGCGTTCTATAGCATCAGCGTTGAGATACCACCTTCTGGGACTGGTGATATTTACCAATGCCTCCGGAGCTACTGCCAAGAAGAGATGCTTAGCGGTGACGAGGTCTGGAAATGCCCTTACTGCAAATGCGAGCGAGTCGCAACTAAGCAGATTATCCTCACGCGAGCACCGCAGATCCTAGTGGTGCACTTTAAACGGTTCTCTGCCTCAAAAACACACAGCGCTTGTAAAATCCACACTCCGATTGAGTTTCCCTTGCATGGCCTTAATTTAGACGAGTTCCTGATCTATCCAAAACCGCACGCATCAACCGAGGCTGGGTCATCGTCTTCTACTGCCGTACCGTCGAAGTACATGACCTCAGCCACTACGCCACCGTTTACCTACGATGCGTATGCTGTTCTCCGACACATTGGCTCGTCGATGAGCAGTGGGCACTATATTTCCCTGGTACGGGATGCGCCGCGTCGTTGCTGGAGGAAATTCGATGACGAGCGGGGAACGGACTTCAACCCACGGGAACTGCGGCACAGGGATCGGCTACAGAACGAACAGGCATATATCGTGTTCTATGAGCGTGCACCGGCCAAGTGAGCATGTCGTGGCCACTCAAGTGACTTGGCATTCTTATTCTTTTTGTTTGATTTTGGACTTGCGTCTTTAGCGAACAAGCTTGTCCGTGTATGCCACATCATGATTCCCAATAGAGGAGCAGCATCTGTATACAGCGGAGTTTATTTTCACCTTTGGGCTATTGCTTGATGATATCCTCGTGATGCATTGAATTATTTGTTTGCTTCCCAGCTGGGAATAACGACTTTGAAAGTGTCAAGCCGGGAGAGAAGAGGACGATTGACGGTGGGTTCTGTCAGTTCGTCTACTCTTGGTCATGCGTGTCGCTTTCCATATCTGACGACTTGACGAGATGGGATGAGAAGGGTTCTGTTTTTTGTATTGTACATAGATGCGTTCATGCCATGACTTGATGGACACCTTATTAACTCTCTGGTAGCGGGGGAGGTGTATGATTATAGTCGATTAGCAATTATGTATACCTCCTTGGTCATCGGAATATGCAGCTAGAGGCGACTAAACGTATGGGATATCCTCATCGGGTACAAGAATCCGGAATGGATGGTCAGAGCACAGATCTGGATCTGATAATGTAATCCCAACGATTCCCATTCTGGTCAAAACGTACGAATCGTAGAGATCGACTCCGCCAGTACGACGCAGTACTGCACAGCCCTAAGTGGCAGTGATAGTAATAGTAATCAAGCTTCTGTGGGAGGCGGATGGAAATCCCAGCACATCCATATCAGGCCACTGGATTAATATTCCAGCCGTCGTAGAAGCCCAGCATGATCAGAAAGACAGAGGGTGTCTAAACCACACCCTGAAATCAGTCAGGTGTAACAAAACCCCTGGCCGTACGGTACGTGACGCGTAATACATATTACCGAAAGCAACTGCCTTAAACTCGTTCTTATTCCCGGGCCTTTCTCGCCGTCGTCCACGACTCCTCTTCCTCCCTGCAGCGGGCATATCAATAACCGAATTCATCTCCCCCAGTTTCGCTTTATTTCTTTCCGTGCTCAGCAGTCTCTCTGCTTTTGTCAGCGTTTGGGCTTTTGTTGTTTATCCCTTCCTCAATTCCAGGTATGTCTGTCGCATATATAAAAAAAATTAAAGCTTACTCAACAAAATCCAGCAAAGAAGCTAATAACCTGAATCTAGTTCCAGACCATATACACGCACCACCGTAATTCATAATGGGCGAGTCCAAGGAATTCACCCTGCAGGAAGTTGCAGAGCACAACACCAAGAAGGACCTGTACATGGTTATCCACGATAAGGTCTACAATGTCTCGTCTTTCCTGAGCGAGCATCCGTACGTGGCTTTTTCTTCCCTCTTTTACCTTTTCCCCATTCTCCTTTCCGAGGATATATTATGTTATGGCAACGGATATCTAACTTCCACCGTGACACCACAGGGGCGGTGAGGAGGTCATTCTCGATGTCGCCGGTCAAGATGGAACGGAGGCCTTCGAGGACGTCGGACACAGTGACGAGGCACGCGAGATCCTAGATGGCATGTTAGTTGGTGACCTCAAGCGGTTGGTAAGTACATTCTCTCTCTTTTCCTTTTTTATCCCAGTGGACGAGCTGTTGATGAGATGATTGTTCTATCTATAATAGCCAGGTGACCCCGCCGCCCCCAGGACCGCCGCTCCTACTGCCTCGTCTTCCTCTAGCGGATCCTCTTCCAGCTTCGGTGTCGGCCTCTACGCTTTCATTCTCCTAGGTGGTGCCGTTGCTTACGGCGCTTACCAGTACTTGCAGACTTCCAACGCAGCCCAGCAGCAATAGAAAATTACAAACCGAATCCAGGGCGTCACGGCTTTTACATTTCTATTTTTTTTTTTTTGTTATTTATCATTTTCTTTATTAATTTACTTCCCTTTTCTCTCGTTCTGTGTAAAAACTCGCGGAGTGAAGAAAGGGGATCTTCTCAAGATATCCGGTAGCTATGCAGAGAGATATGTTAACTAGCATTTCATCGCCATCTTGGTGCATTTAGTACTGCTTATTATTAATCCCCATCTAAAGTTGCCAAGTTGCAATCAGCCAAAGATGGGGGTCCCCGACTCGAGAGGTAAATCCGTACTTTATTCTGCTCGGGCTCCATTAGATATTACGCACTGCCCATTGGCTGGCCCATGTCACCGACGAAAATGGCCCTAACCAATGTATTCCAACTGCTATTACTATCTCTCTTGGGCTTCTACGATATGTAATATAGTCTGTTCTAATATCTTTCCTCTGATTAAATCAAACATATCTATGCAAGAATGTCAAGTGGTTGTTCTCCTTCATTTCCAATCCATGTCCAGTCCATATCCGTCACTGGTAGAGGTATCTTACTGCCGCTGTACCAAACGACATGATGTACCGGGAAAAAACGAAGTGGAGAGGGAAAAGCATCAAGTGCCAAGAAACACACATATATAGAATAGATGGCATGCATGAAACCCATGCTGCTGTCGCTCAAAATGGTCGGTGAAAATACATATTTTTCTTTCTTTATCTTCTCAGAAAGCTCATCTTGAGCTATTGCTTAATCCAGCACGGACAGCTTCAAGGATGAGCTCCTTGGCGTCTTCCACGCTTTTCTTGCTTCCCTTAATTTCGATCGCTTCGCCCCTAGCTTGATCCTTGGGGACGTTGATTCTGCAACCGGTCTTCTTCCGGATTGAACTAATTTGGCTGCCGCCCTGTCCAACTACAAAGCGGTACGTCTTCGGGTCTGGTAGGATGAGGTAGCCTGTTGAAGACTGCTGGGATGCAGTGGAAACTGCCTTCTCCAGCGCTGCCTTGGCCTTACCAACGTTCTCCGAAGACCCAAGGAGGACCCATGGAATAGTGGAAGGCTGTGATGAGTTAACGGCTTCAGGGATGACGTCGATGACCTTCCACGAATGGGTTTCCGCAGTGTTACTAGGCTCGTCTGTTATCAGAGGCAAAGATCCGGTGCCATTGACGGCATTGCGAGTGTCTACCGGCGTAGGCTTCGGTGGCACTTGCTGGCCGGCGTGGTCAACTGTTACGTGATAGTCATTGCGCAGGCGACGGAAAAAGGCGCCGTTTTCAGAAACGGCATGGTGCAGGTGCCGGGGAACCTGGACCGTTTCACCTTGCTGCTCCTTAAGGAACAACAGGATGTGGCTGTTAGCCTCCTCAACAGCGTCTTTGGGTCCCTTGATCTTAACGTCCGAGCGACCAGACCCTTGCTTAGGAACATCTAGGGTAATGTTAAATTTTGACTCTAGCCCACGTCTGGTCTCGCCATTACGGCCAATCAGCAGGCGATGTTGGGCCGGGGGAACTTCCAGAGTGACAGTGACCTGATTTTCTCTCTCCGTGACAAAGTCTTGGATAGCAGAGATGATCTTGTCGACAACCTGGCCGTTTCCTTCAAGTTTGATAGTAGCCTCATTGCTCTCCGGACGGGGAAACTTCACCACGCGAGCAGCACTGCTATCCACAGGGCCGCCGGCTTCAGCAATAATTTTGCGGATGTTGGCACCTATAGACAATTAAAATCTGAAATCATTATATAGAAAATAGGAGCATTAAATGGCTTACCACCCGCACCTATCAAGGCCTTGTGGTATTTCTTGTCCACCTCAATAGTCTTGGTGACGGTAGCATCGAACTCCTTCGAACGTTGCTGCAAAATTTTCTTTGCCTCTTCAACTTGTTTCTTCGTACCCTTAATCTTGATCTCCACTCTACCAGAGGCATCTGCCGCATCATTCGCACCAGGAACATCAATCTGAGCGCCTGTATCAGCACGAAGTTTGTCCATTTCCCGACCGCGCTGGCCGATCAGCGATGGAATCTGGCTCTGCGCCACAGATACGGTCGCACTGTACGAGTGATCGACCACCCATTGCAACAAGCTCAGTATTTCGTCGCGGGCCGCATCGGCGCCCTTGCTTGGTCCCTTGACGATAACCTCATCCGAGGCCTGCTGCGGCCGATTGACTCGGGTGCTACCAATGTCACTAGCCGTGTCCGCCACGGACTGGTCATCCCCAATAGGAACAGAAACTGTAGCCCTTGGAAATTGCACACGGACGCTGTAGCGATCTTGAAGCCTGTTTACTTGGCTGCCCCTCTGTCCGATCAGCTCTCGGTGGTACTGGGCGGGAATCTTTAGAATGTAAGTGGTCTCGTCCTCCAGCTTTTTGCCCAAGTTAATGATCCTAGCCTTGGCGGCATCGGCTTTGGCCTTAGGTCCCTTGACCTCAACCTTGCCATTATCCACTTTGATATCAACATCAAACTCTTCCCGAAGTTTGTTGATGTTCTCTCCTCTTTTCCCGATTAGGAAGTGGGCAAACTTCTGCGGAAAGTCAAATGTGGTTGTGTACCCTCTTTCCAAGTCATCCTTCTCCTGTTGCACGACGAAAGCCGCAATATTCGACTCAAGCTCTTCCACTAAGCGTGAGGGGCCACGTAGCGAAACTTCACAGTGGTTCTCGCGCACATCACCAACAATAGACCGGGCAGGAACGTGATCCTCACCCTTTGCCTCTTGTTCACGGGCAACAAATTTCCGTACCTTCTCCCGGTACTTGGCAGGAACGCTGACAGACTTGGCCACGATGTCCGATTGGTCACCTAGGGAACTCATGAGGTAATCGTGAGCTTCTTGGAGCGCCTTCTCAAATGAAGCAATATCAGTGGCAGAGGGACGCTGCCTAGCAACTTCGAAGGGAGAGCCTGGCGTTGACGGGCCTTCGTAAATAAGGACGACATCTGGGTTGTCAATTTCTTCAGGCACGAGAAGATACACTCCGAAGTCATCCTGCAGCTTAGAAACGGTACGGGACCGCAGGAACGGGTGGAAATAGGGATCGACATTCGCATGGCGTAGCCTCGAAGGCGGATGGGCTTGAACGAGATTCATAATATCCGAACGTGCCCGAATGGTGTTCTTTCCATCTCTAGAGTAGACCTCCCAGGTAATCGGTCCGTCCGTAGTCGTTGGTAGTGCAACTCGAGCATCATACATAGATTCCAGCTCCTTGATAATCTGCCGTTGCTGCAGATAACGTGTAAGAGCCTGCGCGTGTACATGAGGCCCAGCTGGAGCATTCGGGTGCTGACGAGACAGATCAATGCTTGCCATCTGCATGCTGGTGGCAAGGTCCATGGCGCGGTTGATACCAGCTTCAATCCTGTCTGGTGGCCCAGTAATTGTGAGGAATTCGCTGTCAGTAGAAGGAGGAGGTAAGATGATGGAACATCCAGTATCTGCAAGGAATTCATGCAAAGCATCCTCATCATCCCCAAGAATAAACTGGTGCTGGCCGCGATTTATTGCTAGCTCTCGGAGCGTCAACTGTCGCTGCAACTCATTGGCCAATCTCTCAATCTCAGCGCGTGCTTCCTGTGCGGCTGACCGCTCCCCAGAAATGTGAATGTGCTTATCCGGGACAGGAATAAATTGAACTTGACCGGGGCTAGCCTCCTGGGGAGGTGGTTGCATTTGCCAAGTATCGTAGCGAGGAACATGGATTTGAGCCTTGGTGCGGTCCTCAACTTCCCTCAGGTTTGCGTTGTGAGCACCAGCGATAAATGGGAAGAATTCAGGGGGAATTGACTTTAATCGCAAGTTAATGTTAGAGGCGCGCTCCTTGACAATGGCCTCAATTTCCCGACGAGCCATTTCAGCCGCAACAGCGTCACCTTCGATCAAGACGTCGATAGAGTCACTGTCGTCATCGTCCTCCCCAGCAGCAACCCCTTCGGCACGGGGAACTTGTACACGAGCGCCGGTGCGCTGTTGAATGTCTTGAACAACTGCACCTTGTCTACCGATAATATGAGGTCTAGCAGAGGCTGGAATCGGGATACGAACAGATTGCTGTAATAAGTTGTGTGAGGGAAAAGATACCGGAAAGTCGTGAGAAAGGAAACATACCTTGGAACCGACTTGTTGCGCTACATCCTTGAGAGCCTGTCTGACTGCATCCACAGAACCTTTCCCTTCAAAAATGATTGAACCACCAGGCCCGCCACGCATGTCCACATTGGCTTTTGAACGTCTGGAGATGTCCCTTAGAATATCCCGCAACGGTTTCTTAAGTTGACCCCGCGGGAGCATCTGGGATGGTGCGAGTCGGAGCTGCTCAATATGCTTCCCAGGGAGAGTCATGATTCTTGGGGTATCAGAAGACCCGAACCCTGCAGCAGGAAGGTCGAGTTGTGAGTTTAAAGGCATACCAGTAGGCAAGCAAGGATAGTATTCACAATTGGAGTCTTACCTGATTTAGGGCCATTTAGATGGCCATTAGCAACAGCGGCCGCAGCTGACGGCTTACCCGCACCCCAGGTAGCAGGGGCAGGTGCCGCTGTCTTTGGTTTCGGGCCACTTCCCAAGGCAGGGAACAACTCCTCGGATTGCACATCGAACGCGGGGGCTTTCGCCTTCGGCGGCTGCGCCGGAGCAGGGGCGGCAGTTTCTGCCGAAGGAGTCTTCGCGGTGGTTTCTGGCTTTCGATCGTTCACTAAAGTAGAAGGCGGGGGGTGCTTAATATCTTCCTCATCCACGGCATCTTCCACGGTAGCTTTGTGGGCTTCATCTCGGGCATGCTGTTGCTCCAGCATAGCGGCCAGCGAGGATCCACCATTGACAGAGGTACTTGGAACTTCGGAAGCCATTGTGGGCGGAGGTAGGTGGAATCGGATTGCTGATATTGCCTAGATCGGTATGCGCAAAAAGACGGTGTATAGGGGAATACCCGGGTAAAAGGATTCAAATATTTAAAACTAATAAATAATACAAATCACCTACAAGGGTCGTTCAGTATAAGTGACAGCAATCGGGGCGCTGGGGAGCACACCATACCAGGGGTCAGCGAATTGACGAAGAAGACCTCCACGGAAATATGAAGTAGAATAATAATGGCAAGAATTGCCTCGAACAGAGCAATTCAAGTTAGAAGCAGAGTAGAAGCTAACAGGTATCCGCTGGCTTCAGGGACAATGCATCACAAAGATGACAAGAGATGCGGAAATCGAGGGGGAGGTGGGAGAACGGAGAGAAGTAAAAGAGGTGAGGAGAGAGAGAAGGCGGGATCAGGGGGATGAGCGACGAACGAGGCAGAGCCTGCGAGATGGATGGCAGCGACTTGGAAATGACACTTGGAGACTCGACCGAAGGAAGAGAAATGCGAGAGCCAAGTGACGGAGCAGCGTTGCTTATGTAACTGGCATGTGACCACGGGGCACGAGACAACTGGCGATTGCTATCGTAGCTACTCCAACCCTCCTCTCCTTTCCTATTTCCACCTCATTCGACATAGTCCCTACAGCGATATGTCTTGACGGCATGGATGTTGTTTAGACTCTGAGAATCATGGAAATAGCGGTGAATTGCTTTTGCACGAATGCTTGATACATTAGCGCTGGCCTCCCATTATCTCCGCTCACGGACGAGGAGCACAGAGTCTAAAACAACCTGTACTATCAATAGCAGAACAAGGGGGCATTTCATTCAAGAGGAATTCCTTCATATGCTTTGCATGGCTGCGGTTTTGGCGTCTCTTATACTAACAATATCTTTTGATGGCCCAGGGAAAGTCAGAACGACATCTTCCATCTGAACTTCGAGTAAGCCATCGAAGACATTCGGGTATCTGTCCCAGGTATAAAAATCTCTGGGCCTCCATCAGAATATGCATGGAGTATAGAGATTCAAGGTGAGGTGTTGGCTCATTTTGAGCCATAGTGGGAGGATGTTGCTTGGCGCGTAAACAAATCACTGCTTGACAGGTACTGTGCCAACTCATCCGAGTTTGTCAATCTCACGGAAATATTTGCAGGCGCAAATATTGGTAGTTATTGGTAAAGGAATCATATCAGCACAGTATACTGCAGGTGAAGATTTCTTGACCAAGCTTGTTGAGGTCGCGAGAAGAGGGAAAGGACCTTGATATACAGCAGACGTCACAGTAAGATAAAGGCATTCGCACTCGCCCTATATATCTTGGCCCTTCTACCCGTTTGGGATGTCTTTCGATCCTTCAGGGCGATAACCCGACTGTGATCCTAGCATCAGTTGACCAAGGAACTCAGCTAATTTATATGGGGTCCTAAGAAATGAAATCCCAAAGTCAAGATAAAAGAATATGGTGAAGCCACATATATCTTCGTTGTAATAATGTGTACCTTCGATATAGTACCGTTTTTCTATGCCCGTCTTAGAAAATTGGGACACGCCGAAACGGAGCCCTGGATATCTATTGGTATTGGGGCCGAATAGCAACATTGGCAATGCCTAGTATATAGAAACAAAAAAGATTCTCTCCATCCAAATCCAGCCCTTAAGGCTGTTCATAAGAGGAATAAGGAAAATGCAAAAAGGGCAGGGATTACCTGTTATTTTGCTGCTGTCCATCAATCTCTGGAGAATCGCTAGGTAGCGAGTTTGTTTCATATTGAGGATTCACCTGGCATTCGTAACATGGACCTCACCGCTAGGATTGATCCTGGCTTTCCCCGACGGAATAACCTAGGATAATCACCAAATTTTTTTATGTCTGACTGAATGCAGCCCGGGATGGTCTTTCCATTCAATTAATATGCCTGTGGCTTAGATATCCACGGCCAGAACCCTTATCCAAGCTCGGAGTCACTGTCAAATCATCGTCACTCTAGGTACATTGATGATATTCTGGATGATCCCTTCCCTCAGCCCTTGTTATTCTTACGTGGAATCTCGGTCATCTAGGGTGATGATAGCATCTCCTTTTGCATTAGTTAGAGTGCTCGTTATTAAACGCCTGGGGGATGGGGTGCATAGCAAGATATGCGATAGATCTATTTACCTGCTGTGACGATGTCGACTCGTCTACCGCGGTGTAGATACATCAGAGAACACAAGTGACCTATAGAAGCTTGGTCCAATGTGTTTGCTTGGTCCATCATATATTATCACACAGCTTTCTGTAGAGCCCGCTATAGGAGGGCATCTGTGGCTATCCTTGATGGTCTTATGCGACTGATGCATAGGACGAATCTCGAATACGGCTGACCACAGGAAGGCAGAAATGTCTACTGTACTTGCTGGGTTGTCCTCTTGATAAATGATATTTTAACACGTTTGATAATAATAATATTAGATAATCCCAACAGAGCATGGAGGGCCTCAGAGCCACCTTATTTGTCGGGTTCGTCGCCAACAGGTCCGCGAAGCTGTTGATTCCGCCCGGTTTATGAGTTGAGATGTCGGGAGGAGAAGCTATTAATAGTGTTAAGTGTGAAGTGTTCCTACCAGCCCATCAATGAAGTAAGGGAAGATGAGACAATAGAAGGGTTATAGTCTGTAGCCCTTGCGACTGGCTCCGAACGTGCGGATGCAACGCTTCTTGTCCTCGGCGGTGATGAGCCCATTTTATTAACCATGTTTCAGGAAAGCCCATGCCAATTTAACAAGCGAGGAGGATAGACTTTTCACGCCAAGGAGCAGTTCTGGCAGTAATACGTATAACCATAAAATGCTGTGATCTAGACCCATTATGACAGCGGAATTACTTCGGCATCTGGAAGCTGAATTGGATTAGGTCAGCAGGGGACGGAAAGTCAAAAGGAACCCGTAGCGAGCTACAAGCTACGGTGTTGATGTACGCTGCAGGTCTGCAGGGGATTGTGCCTAGTAGCAGGTGATAGTTAGCAGTTATTCTAGTACCTGCAGGACGGTAACGGCAGTGGTGATGAATAACCAACGACAGAAGGCAGTCCCGCAACAGCTCAATGATGACGATGATCCATGATGTTACCGCATCGAGCACGTATAGATGTATCAACTATGGATCCTGGATGCATGCTGGATGCGTCAAGTCAGCATATGACGACCGGGGATGCAACGGGGAACCTGGGATGAAGACGAGCTGGATGACCGTCGCGCAGATACTTGTTGATTCTCCCGCATGAGAGTGATAACACGGCGTAGACCCTGGGCAAGACAGACATTGCTTTGGGAAGCAATCCCATGCAGTCCTCATCAAACTCCTGGAACCATGGCTGCGTCGCTTTGCGGTTATTGGAGAACCGTGGCTGTCGGATCTCCGCCGCTGTTGAGTTTTCACGTTCTTATCCCACTTATTATTCCGTGTAGAATTTTTCCCTTTTTTCCCTTTTTCCCTTTTTTCCCTTATTTCTTTTTCTTTTTATTATTATTATTATTATTTATTTATTTATTATTATTATTATTTTTTTTTGCGTTGGTACTTTTGAGCCGGACCATTCCTTGCGCAGTCCGTGCGAATCGACCGTAGGGAGGCCTTCACGAATGGATGCAGTGACGGCTGGCCCCGAATTCAACGAATCCCCCGTTTCTCCGACTCCTGTTTCGCCCAGTTTCTGAAGCAGCATTGCGTGTCCGGTTGTCTGCATTGCTGTGGTTGCTTTTTACCTGACGGGGTGGAAAGAGAAGAGACAAGGCGAGGAACTATCTGACTGGCGGCTCTCCACGTGCTGTCGCGCTATCGCGGGTCGACGACGATAACAGTTTCAACCTTCTGTCCTCTTGCTTTGTCCCCCAGCCCATCCTCCCCCATCCTCCCTTCGCGTCTTTCATCCCCCTTTCATCCTTTCGTGCTGGGTGATTCATCTGCCGAGTCAACAGCCTTATTGTATCCTCCTGCAGCCCGTCACGGACTAAGCCCGCTAGTTGCCAGCTCCTCCGCGCACCGCCTCACGCAGTGGCTTCTCAACCAGCCAGTGAGTGAAGCGTCTAGCCGCTGCCACCTCCACTGTCAACCTATCCTGTCCTCTTAACCTTCCCACCCCTCCATCTCCATCCAGCCGGCCCTTCTTCCTAATCGCCCACCATGAACCAAGACGCCGGCTACTCTTCCCTAAAATTTCGTCGGCCCTCCAGCAAACTTCACAAAGACCGTCCGAACCTCAGTTCTCGCATCTTGAAGAGTCAGACCAGCACTACGTCGCTCAAGCGACACCCTTCTGCTCCCGTATACCCCAGTTTCTCTCCGAACCGGAGTCGAGAGCATCTGCGGACCAAATCCAACGCTTGCGGCTCTTCGTCCTCCCTCGACCAGAATAACAGCGCTACTCCCTCTCCAGTACCGTCAGGTGACGAATCTACTCAGCTTCCCTCCAACTACAATTCTTCCAGTGCTCGTCACCCTGGACATTACTCACTGAAAGATCGGGGCTCTGATGAATTAAACGGCAATTCGTTCGACGCGCGGGCCATGCTCCATGCTCTAGAAGAGAACCCCTCGGAGTCTGAACCAAAGCTGGACCAGCGACCCCCTCCCCCCCTGCGTACCAACTACACTAGCCCTGACTTGCGACAGACCCAGACTCTCCGACAGTCTGCAAGCTATACGACTTTGTTGCAGCCACGTATGGACGTTCAGCGGGCGGAGACGGAGCGGGGATTTCAAACGAAGAGACACTCTGATGAGGGAAATGGTACTAAGGTTTTTGGCTCCGGAAGGAGCAAAAAGAACAGTTTCTCCAATTTCGTCACAAACATGCTAGGTTCCCCCCGCAATGTCAAGATATCCGCTCCCGAGAATCCCGTTCATGTAACTCATGTTGGATATGACAACAAAACGGGCCAGTTCACTGGTCTGCCAAAAGAATGGCAGCGGCTACTGCAAGAGAACGGCATTTCGAAGAAGGAACAGGAGGAGCATCCGCAGACGATGGTCGATATTATGAGATTTTACGAGAAGACTACGCGTGGGGGCAGCGATGAGGAAGTTTGGCACAAATTCGACCATGCGACTCCCCAGCAGCCACCGGTAACTGCGCTCTACAGTCCTATGCAGGTGACGTCTCCCTCTTCCAACCCCCGATTTCCTCAAAACCATGAGGGCAGCTTTGAAAATCCTCGGGCGCCCCCTCCGATCCCACGTGCTGCACCCAGTACGGGATCCACGCCGGGTGGCCTTGTACCAAACAGAGCGGCTCCGAAGCCACCGGTTAGCCCTGGTAGTCTGGCACCTGCTCGACCTGCTCCTCAGCCACCAGTCTCAAGCCTCCATAATGGTGTACAGACACGACCTGTCCCAGATGCTTATATAACTCCTTCCATTCCAGAAACGCAACCGTTGCCCTCTGAGTCTCAGCGGAGTAGGTCAAACTCGAGAACTAACGGTGCGACGGCTCTACGAGTACCGGCAAATGCAATTGTTTCCCCAACCCAATATCAACAGCAGCAGGAGCAGGCGATGGCCGCAGCCCAACATGCAGCTGCAGAGAGACAGCTTGAGCGCAGCCGTAGCCAGTGTCAGCAACCACAGCAGTATCAGCACCAAACTGCGCAGACAACCCAGCAACTTCCTGTGGCAGCTCCTCCCGCTGCAACACAGCCGCGCGCCGCGCCAGCAGCTCGCCCCAGGCAGCGAGCCCGCCAGAGTAACGCTTTCGATGTTCGGGCACGATTGGTTTCGATTTGCACTCCAGGTGACCCGACCAAGAAATACTACAACTTGAACAAAATCGGTCAGGGTGCCTCGGGCGGTGTCTACACTGCGTACGAGACAGGCACGGATAAGTGTGTTGCCATCAAGCAGATGAACTTGGATTTGCAGCCCAAAAAGGATCTTATCATCAATGAGATTCTTGTTATGAAGGACAGCAAGCATAAGAACGTGGTCAATTTCCTCGACAGCTACTTGCATGGTTTGGATCTTTGGGTTGTAATGGAATACATGGAGGGTGGCAGCCTCACAGACGTCGTCACCTACAACATGATGAGTGAAGGGCAGATTGCGGCTGTTTGCAGAGAAGTAAGTCTGCGGTTACCTTACCATGAATTGAAACTGGCTTCTAACACCGTTAATATAGACTTTGAGCGGTCTACAACACTTACATTCCAAGGGGGTGATCCATAGGGACATTAAATCCGACAATATTCTTCTATCAATCGATGGAAATATTAAATTGAGTAGGTCCACTATGTACCATCGTGAGACTCTTTGGCATATCTAACATTTCTTTCGCAGCCGACTTTGGCTTCTGTGCGCAGATCAACGAGTCGCAAAACAAGCGCAACACCATGGTTGGCACTCCCTACTGGATGGCTCCTGAGGTTGTAACAAGAAAGGAATATGGCCGCAAAGTTGACATCTGGAGTCTTGGTATCATGGCTATTGAAATGATCGAGGGTGAACCCCCTTACCTGACAGAATCACCTCTCCGCGCTCTATACCTAATTGCTACAAATGGGACCCCCACCATTAAGGATGAGCATAACTTGTCGCCCATATTCAGAGATTTCTTATATTTTGCACTGAAGGTTGACCCGGAGAAGAGAGCATCCGCGCATGATTTGCTAAAAGTATTTTTCTCCCCCCCTTTATACCTATACCCGGCAATTGCTGACTCCGCTAGCACCCGTTCATGAATTACTGCGAACCACTCTCACATTTGGCACCTCTTGTGAAAGCTGCGCGGCTTAATAAAGCCCAAGAGAAAGCCCAGAAAGGCCATTGAAGCTCTCTAGACTCACCCCGCTCCTTTTTCATTCATCAATGTCTTCTGTCCTTTCTCTCCCAGATACCCATTACGTCTGGCTCTTTTTCTATACCGGTGTTCCAAGATATGTCTCCACATTATTCTCAACGATCTTCCATTAAGTCATAGATGGCCACGAATTAACGACATTCCCTTGTGCTCTCGCACTCTTCTTTTACCTTCTTCTGTTTTTCTGTACTTATGAGACCCACCTTCATGACGATGATTTGATGTCGATCGTCTGTTTGCCATGTTTTATGCTTTGGTTCTAGTTAGATGCCATGAAAGTGGCAGGTGGACCACTGTACTTCTCATCGAGGGCCTTTCTTCCATCCCTTTTCTTCTTTATTCCCCCTGTCCGTTGTCTGTTTCCGCGGTCAGACCAAGCAAGGCGAATGGACACATTTGAACGGTTCCACTCGATCATGTTCCATAGGGTTGACATCCATTCATACGCCATTATTCTCTCCAAGATTATTGGTGTCTCCGATGTTGGGTCTTCTCAGAGCTGGCGTACCGGGCTTGATTCTTCTTATGTCTTATGTCTTTACTCTCTTCTAGCCTTTGTTGTTTTGGCTACACTCGTATGAGGTCATGAAGAATAACAAAATGACGGAACAAAATTGGGTGGGACTGACCAAGATCTCTTACAACCATTGTTTCTGAATCTCATTATGTGCAGTGGCTGAGGTGTGAATCCAAACCACATTTGCTGAAGATTACCAAAACAGGCAGTAACTGTAGAACTGCAAATGAAATCAAGTAAGCCCCTCCTTTATTCAAACTTGGATCTTTCTTCTTTATGGCATGATATGCACTGTTAGAGCTGGTTCTATGCCAGTCAAGAAGCCTAGGGCGAAGAACTTGTGGCAAAGATGTACAGCGCAAAGAAAATGGCAGCCTAAAACAGTCTCATCATACTTTGTGAGGCTGAATGGCTCGACAGACAATTACTTGCAAACACCAGGCTACAGTCATTAACGTCTTCCAAAAAGAATAATAAGATAACTGGATGTGCTCGCATAGCGTGCTGTATCGCGCATAGATCGAAGAACCGCTGAAGGAACGCGTCAGAGGCGCAGTCGTCTCCTTAACTCCCCGCCGCCTTCGGGCACTTAGTAAGTAGCCTTCTCTCCGTGCATCGAGTCGCAAGCTGGAACAACAATACTCTCCCTACTTCTTCCTGGAGCCTGCTGTTTTAAAAAACAAGCAACTTATGGTTCTGATCTAGATACTTCTTCCCGACACCTCTGTTCCTGATCCAAGTGCTTCGCGATCTGAAAGGAGTGGCTGACGCCTTTGCCATTAACTGGCCCCGTTCGCTCGGGATCGATCGTGAACAACCTAGGATTTACTAAATTGAGTACGGACGATACTTTGATTCGTTTCGTCACTGAATAACCCGAGCTTCCGCGCTGGGAGGTTTATCTAAGGAGAAGTCATTTCATACCCGTGATGTTTCGTGGGCAGCAGAATCCGTTCGATGAGGCTGTCGGTAAGTGCATTATGACGGATTTATCGGTTACCAGTCGTGGATTTCATGTTGCTGACAGCTTCTCTTCTTTTTCAACGTTAGCTAAGGCGACAGATGAGAACCTGACATCCGAGAACTGGGAATATATTCTTGTACGGGACCCTGGATCCGGAAACTGATTGGGTGGAAGACATCGGCTGACTGTTGCGTTTTCCACGGTCTGTAGGATGTTTGCGATAAGGTTGCTGCAGAAGAGTCGGGGTATGCTTTCTTCACATATGGCTTCATTTAGTGGAGAGTTTCGAGGGTAGAGATCCGAGAACCCATGAGTGCTGATTGTGTGTTATCGGTATCTACAGAGCGAAAGATGCAGTTGCTGCTTTGATTAAGAGACTGGCGCATCGGAATGCCAATGTTCAGCTATATACTCTCGAGGTTTGCAGTCCCCCGAGATGCGACATACAATGGGTACCTGTCTCCCTAGCTAACTTATCTGCTAGCTCGCCAATGCCTTAGCGCAGAACTGCGGTCCAAAGATTCATCGTGAATTAGCATCAAGAAGCTTCACGGATGCTCTTTTGCGCTTGGCAAATGACCGTGTAAGCCCGCTTTGTATCCATTGCTCTTTTGAGGATATTCTAACGGGGCTTTCCTCTTTCCTCCCAGAACACCCACCAACAAGTCAAGTCAAAGATTCTCGAATGTATGCAGGAATGGACGGAGATGTTCTCTACAAACCCAGACTTTGGAATTATGGAGCAGGCGTATATGAAATTAAAAACACAGAGTGAGCTCTTGCATGGAGGCCTGCCTCTCTATGTTGTGCTGACTTGTTGGCAGACCCAAACTTGCAACCACCCTCGAAACCTACCAAGCGCGAGATTACTGATATTGACCGCCAGAAAGAGGAAGAGGAACTGCAGATGGCGCTTGCTCTTTCAATCAGAGACAAATCCGCAGCACCTCAGGAGACACAGGTCGAGACTAGCCCGTCAGGCTCTGACCCAGCCAGTCAAGCACAAGCAACACAGTCCCAGGCAGTTCCTTCAGGTACTTCCGCTGCCACCGTTTCGCGCGTCAGGGCCTTATTTGACTTTCAGCCCTCTGAGCCCGGTGAACTTCAGTTCCGTAAGGGAGATATCATTGCGGTTCTCGAATCCGTATACAAGGACTGGTGGAAAGGTTCCCTGAGAGGCCAAACCGGAATATTCCCACTTAACTACGTGGAGAAGTTGCCCGATCCAACAGTGGAAGAGCTGCAACGAGAAGCTCAGATGGAGGCAGAAGTGTTTGGCCAGATAAAGAACGTCGAGAAGCTGCTGACGCTTCTGAGCACACGCAGCTCTGATCTTAACGTTCAAGAGAACGAGGAAATCACAACACTATATCACTCGACTTTGGCGATTCGACCCAAGTTGATTGAACTTATTGGGAAGTACTCACAGAAGAAAGGTACGTACGCCTTTGGATCTGTTGGAGCATGTTCGTTTACTTACAACTATGCAGATGAGTTTACGCAGCTTAACGAGAAATTCATTAAAGCACGCAGGGATTATGAATCCCTTTTGGAGGCATCCATGTCGCATCCTGCGCAGCCCCAGTATGGAAGACCAGGCCAGCCACCGTATGGGTATCCCGGAGCTGCAGTACCTGTCGGATACCCCCCAGGCCCGCCTCGGGCTGACCCTCAGCGCTACTTCTCTCCTCGCCCTCAAGGTTCGTAACTGGGAAATGCGATTTAGCAGATACTCCTTACAGGTCTAAATTTCAATGCTCCTGGGCTAACGTCTTTCATTCCTATTTCACAGAACAAACGCAGCTTCCTTACCGCACAGCGACCCCTGACCAGCGCAATCCTACACCGTCAGGGGGAGCACCATTCCAGCCTCCACAGCAGCAACCTTCAGATTCTTACCAACCGGTCCATCACCGTCCTCAGTCAACATATGAGCATCCTCAGGAACTAGGAACCTCCGTATACGACTCTCCTGTTGATTATGCTCAGAACCAGCGACCGCCGTATTCTCAGGGAGCACAGGCAGCGCCCGCTGCTCCGCAGCAGTTTCCTCAAGCCCAGCGGCAAGATTATTCACCATCTACATACCCCCCTGGTGATGCAGCGGCGCCTTCCTCAATATCTAATCAGCCACAGCCCCCATACGCACAAACTCAGCAGCAGGTCCCGTATCCAACTTCTCCAAAGCCATTTGCCGGCAATCCAGCACACCCTGCATTAAGTGGGGCTCAGCCCACGCCTTTTGCGTCGCTGAATGTTGGTTCTGGAACGGACTACCATGCGTATCGTCCGCAACGTGATGGTCCTACTAGTTCGAGCCCGACCTCATACTACCGATAGTTAAGTTTTACCTTGCAGATATGCAGGATATTTTCATTTTATTTGAAGATTCCCCTTTCCTTGTTCCGTCTCCTTTTATGGCCTGTGTTTCTTCTGAGGGGATATCCTGTTAAATAGTCAAATGTATCGGTCTCACTATTTGCTTTTTTGAGACTATTTTCTTGTCCTCCTCATTCCCCTTTCCGTTCTGATCTTGGATGTGTGCCGAACCTGTACTTTTTGTAGGTTATTATATATGACTGCTCCCAGAAATGGGACTGTGATGATGGCTTTTGCCTGTGCAAGTCTGAAGCTTCCATGGCTGATGTAGAATGAGCCGTTGGACTGGAATATCACTACATGATGATGAGTCGACTGGATGGATTTTGCTGTGATACATCACGTGATAACATGTATTTGGAACCTCAACGACTGTCGTCGGAGTCGTGTAGGGCCCCTCTTGATCTAGCACTTTGCGTTCTTTTAAAACCTTGCGAAACAACGGATTTTATCCGGCCGTTGCCTTCTTTCGGCTGCAGAGAACCTTTCTTTTATATTTTCCAGTACGGTAGTGTATCCAAGATTGTCTCGCAGCTTCACATAGCTTCCCCGCAATCGCGTCCTAGCCGAAGAACAATGCTCGAGTTCGCCTTGTTGCCGCGCGGATAACGCCATCTGAGCATCAATAACAAGAAAACCAACCGACCCCCTCGTTGATATAAGGCAGTTCACAAACCGGGGACCCTTCCCGGAAGGGGCGTTGGAGTGTCATGGAGGCCGACTGGGATGAATTGTCGCGCATACCGGTGCCGCCTCCAAGTCTGCCCGCCTTGCCGACCATTGCGACGACCGTGGCGTTCGATGATGTCCAGGAACTATTGTGGGTAGGAAATGAATATGTGAGCCTTATTTCCGCTCTTACTTTGGCATTGGTTCTCCTCGCTAACTGGCCATTGCTTTCATTCTTGGTGAATAGGGCAGGATTACGTCTTTCTTCGGACCCGAGTTGCAACGGTATACGTCTATTCGAGCCCATCCGGTGGCCGAAGGGCCTGTGAGGCAGATTATATTTCATGACAGAGGGGTGATATCGTTGTCTTCCAAGAGCGTGCACATGGTTACCCGCCGCGGATTGACACAATGGCATCTCTCCGAGGAGGAAATGGTGGACCTTCGGTGTATGAGCTTCACCGCGCAGACGAATCGGATTATAGTCGCTGGATGCCAGCGGGTGATGTTCGTTGTTGATATTGACAAGGGGACTATAGTTGGCAAGTTACATACTGATTACAATTACACAATCATGAAGCGAAGTCGGTACCTTTGTGCTGCGACGGATACTGGCTCGGTGAATGCATTAAGCATGACGGATTTCAGTGTCGTCAAGTCCTGGAAGGCACATGGGACAGCAGTGAACGATATGGATGCTCGGAATGACTTTTTGGTCACCTGTGGATTTTCAGTGAGGCACCTTGGAACACCCATCGTGGACCCTTTGGCGAACGTCTACGATTTGAAAACCTTATCACCATTGCCACCTATCCCCTTTCACGCTGGCGCTGCATTTGTGCGCATGCATCCTAAGTTACATACGACTAGTTTCGTTGCTTCTCAGACTGGACAGCTTCAGGTTGTAGATTTGATGAATCCTACAGCGATCAGCCTTCGCCAAGCGAACGTCGCGTTCATTCTTGGTATCGACATATCACCATCGGGGGAAGCCCTAGCTATCAACGATGCGGAATGCTCGATCCACCTTTGGGGTTCGCCCGCGAAAGTCCATTTCAACGAGATGAGCAAGGAGACTGAATTTGCGGATGTCCCTACTCGGGCCCCTCCCCTCGATTGGTCTCCCGAAACCCCGTTGAATATGATTGGAATGCCTTATTATAATGAACGGCTCTTTTCAGCGTGGCCTAGTCATCTTGTCTTCGAAGTAGGAAGTCCGCCGGCACCCATTGATCAGTCAATAATACCTTACCTTCGTCCGGCCGAGTTAGGTCATGTTGCTCCGAATCCGAAGAAGACTCCTCGATACCAAGTTGAAAATACGCGAGCTTTGACTTCTACTGAACCAGCTCTCATCGCACCGAAGTTTCTCAGTGAGAAGGCCCGAGAGCAAAGCAAGGCAAAACTAGATGGAGCTATCAGCGATACCACTAATGCACTTGCCGGTGCAAAGATCAATGGACAGCGCGAAGACGATCCTCTTCTCAAATATAGCAATGTCGAAATCAAATATAGTAGATTTGGGGTTGACGATTTTGACTTCAGGTACGTGAAGCTTGTCTTTGAGACTGATATCAATAGCTTCTGCTTCATTTGCTTGGACATTTCTCACTTTTTTTTTTTAAAAAAAAAAAAAAAAAACAGATTTTACAACCAGACCACATTCTCTGGTTTAGAAACACATATCGCGAACTCCTTCATCAATGCCCTGCTACAACTGTTCAAATTCGTGCCGCTCTTCAGAAACCTTGCACTCTATCACGCCGCAAGCAGTTGTGTCTTTGAGAACTGCTTACTCTGCGAGCTTGGATACCTTTTTGACATGCTGGAAAAAGCAAACGGCCAAAACTGCCAGGCCACAAATCTACTGAAGACGTTCAGCAGCTTCCGGGAAGCGTCTAACTTGGGTTTGCTGGAAGAAAACCTCACCAACAAGTCCCTCTCTACAGCTATCCAATCCGTTAATAGATTTTTCCTCAATCAGATCTCGCGAGATTTTCGTATGATCTCGCCTAATTCAGACGATCTCGATCATACCCTTGCCACGCTGGCCTCGGAATCAATTCGATGCATGTTCTGTCGGAATGAGATTGTCAGGCCTGGAAATGCGCTCGTCAGTGAACTAATATACCCGAGCATTGACATAAAACAAGCTCGACGGAATCCATTACTCCGATTCTCGAATATCTTGAGGGCCGGAATTGAGCGGGAGACGCAGAATAGGGGCTGGTGCAACTACTGTCGCCGTTACCAACAGGTCACGATCAGGAAAACTGTGCATCGGATGCCCCCCGTTCTAATGGTCAATACCGCTTTAAGTAACCCAATATACAGACGTCTTTGGGCAAACCCTGGATGGTTACCTGGAGAGATTGGAGTTGTTATCGAAAATGGCCAGGTGATGTGTTTCGAAGGCGAGGATCTTAAAACTCGAGTACAAAACAATACTCCCGGTCTGATGGTGTATGAACTGGTCGGTTTTGTATCAGAAATTGATATCCTTGAACACCAGAAACCACACCTAGTGTCATTTATCAATGTCTCCATCTCTGCTCGACAATCAGAGGAAAAGAATCGATGGCATTTGTTTAACGATTTCTTGGTCACCGAGGTTGACAGCGATGAAGCTCTTAAATTCAGTCAGCCGTGGAAGGCCCCATGTGTACTTGCCTTCCAAGCGAAGGATGCTCGGCATGCTGTGGATGACTCGTGGAAGAATGCCCTTGATACCACTCTCTTGTTTCGCGAGTGGTCTATGAAGTTAGTAGTGTCCTTTCCCCTCCTAAGATTGACTAATATTGACTTATCTTAGTGGTGGCCGGCCTGTCGACTCTTGTCGCATACTTAGTGAGGATGAAAAACCGACGCCAGGCACCCCTGTCGCCCTCGACACCGAATTCGTCGATCTAGAAAAGGCCGAAATAGACGTGAAAGCGGACGGCTCACAAGAGATGGTTAGACCAAACAAGAGTGGGCTTGCTCGTGTTTCCGTCCTCAGAGGCTCAGGACCACAAGAAGGCGTCCCTTGTATCGACGATTATATAAACATCAAGGATACTATTGTCGACTATGTCACCCAGTATTCTGGTATCAAGCCAGGTGACTTAGATCCGAGAACAAGCCAGCACAATCTTGTTCCATTGAAGATTGCCTACAAGAAATTATGGCTCCTTTTGAACCTGGGCTGTGTCTTTGTCGGCCATGGCCTAGCCTCTGATTTTCGAAAGATCAATATCCAAGTTCCAAAGAGCCAAACAGTGGACACGCAGTATTTGTTCTTCCATCCTGGAAAGAGCCGCCGCCTTAGCCTTCGCTACCTGGCCTGGGCTGTGTTCAAAGAATATATCCAAGAAGAGCCGATGGACAACGCCGAAGGCCACGATTCTATTGAAGACGCCCGTATGGCGCTCCGTCTCTGGAAGAAGTTTCAAGAATACGAGGATGCTGGCATTGTCTCTCAGATGCTAGAAGAGATATTCCGCGAAGGTTCCAAGCTGGGATTCAGGCCGCCACCTCGGAACGGAACTACGACAGTTCTCTCTCGACCAGGGACAGCGGTGGCCATGCAGAATTCGAGTGGTCGAAATACTCCCAGCGCTCCTGAAGCAGGAGGCGTTTTGAGTGCGCCTGCGACACCTCGACAAGGATTTAGGCGATCGATCGCCCTGACTCCGAGTAATGGCAGTTTTACTGGTCCAGGGGCTGGAGACTTTTTTGGAGGCAGCCCGCTGAGGTAGTAGTGCACTGCTCTCTTACATTAACTTTCCTGATGATGGTTCTTTACGTTGGCGTCGTATTGTGTCACATAGCTTTGGGGTGTGTTTTCAAGTCTCTGTCAGGACTTCCATAGCTTACTGGCTATTGTGTGGTTTCTATGGGATTGGAACTGTGCTGCTTGAAAGATATTCCACATGTATATCGCTAAATATTATAAAAATGTGAATTATTCTGCCGAAATTCGCTGTAGTGACTACCTAATACTGGCAGTATCCCCTGAATTCCCCCCACCATGACGTGGTGCTGCCCACAGCCAAATCACTTCCGCCTTCAAAGCAAACCCCTCCCTGCAGCCTTGCCAAGGGTCGCAAATCTGCTGGCAAAGAATTCAACTCTTGTCTTTGTCAATACATTACCCTCCTTATTAAATTTGAGCCTACTGGACAAATTTGGCAGGATCGAAATTTGCACACTGTTTGCTAACCCCAATCTACATCCCACGTCTTGCTAGTCCCACGCCATGTCTAAACATCGCATGAAGAATGTGAGCTATGACGAAGATGATCTCGACGATGAATACGATTCCCTAGACCCAGAGCAGGAGGAATATCTCGAGGAGTGTACAACAGAGGTATCGAACAAGTTACGCTCGGGAGAACCATCTGTTATGGCGACGAGAGCGGAGGTGCAGGAGGCCTTGTGGCATTACTATAATGACGTGGAGAAGTCTGTGAATTATTTGAGAAGTATGTCTTTGCACTTGTTGGGTTCTCCTTTATTGGATAGCGGCATTGGATGCATTTCACGTCGATTTCAAGGCGTGATGTGATGGTGCTTCAGTTACAGAGATGCTGACGAGCCATCTTCGAATAACCATGCAGATAAGAAGATGAAGGAAATAAAAAAGAAGCAGAGTGCTCCTCCCCCGGCACCGAAAGTGCAGAAACGAACTACTGGTAAGCAATGGATTAGTTACTTGTCCTGTTTTGAATGCTGGAAGCGTTGTTTTTCCTTTCAATGTGGCTGGGCTCTGGTTTCCAGTTTCATTCTCGTTCTTTGAGCTATACAGGTACGTGGGAGCTATTTGTTTCATCTCCTTCACTTCGCTAGCAGTTCAGACTGACGCCATTATGAGAACTGAAAGAACGTTTGTTTCTAACAGGTCTTCTCTCAGTGTCACCATTTCCTATTCCCCCGACCTCAATGCGATCATGTACTGCCCACTTTTCGGCGGCCGAGTTCTTTCACGACTCTCCGTGGCTCAAGATACCTTCGCATCGAAGGGCAGATATCATTGTAGAGCCTTTATACCCTCGACTCGGTCTCCTGGGCGGTGCTCCTGAATCTAGTGGGAAGACATCCAAGTTAGCTGCTTTGGCTGCTGCGCGCAAGAAGAAGGAAGGCGTGAAAGTGAAAGCTGCGACGGCGGCGCCTTCTGCTGATTCCACAGTGACTGATCAGGCAGAGACATCTTCAGCCGAACGCAAAGGCACACCATTGTCATTAATGGAGAGGCTGTCCTCTTCCGGCAAGCAGCAAAGGCCTACTGAACCTGCAAGTGGATTGCGTGCTCTTGGAAAGGGGACTCGATCAAGGGCTCCTGCAATCCAGAAGCAGCCATCCCCGGACGCAAACAATCCGCCGAAGAAGCATGATGAGCCGCGATTGGAAGAACAACGACTCAAAAAGATGGATAGCGAGAAGGAACTGCCAAAACCCGACATCCGCGCGAAACCATCTCCTTTCGCCACGATCATCATCGGGGGAGCAACGCGCCCTATGAAAACCGAGTCCAGCCACTTGCACTCACAAAATGTTGATCTAATGCAGGTCTACGGACAAGATCTTACTGAAGCCTTTGATTTTGCAGGTCCTAGCCCAGATGATGTCATTCTAAACGCTCAAAGTTCAGCTAAAGGTTTGGCTATTCGTCAAAAAGTGTAAAACCTTCACCCTAATGGAATGCAGGCTTCAAATCGAAGCAGCTGGCCCCGAAAACAGCGGCAGACAAAAAAGCCCAGTCCGAATTAGCAGATGGAGTGAAGAATTTGACTGTTGAAGAGAAGGTGAATGTCAAGGGTAAAAATCTTGACGTGTTATCGGAGTACAAGAAATCTAAACGAAAGAATGCTGCAAATTTTGTCGTCATCGGTCAGTATTTATTTTTGGATATTTGACCAGAGGAGCTGCTTCTGATGATGAAACTAGGACACGTTGATGCTGGAAAGAGTACACTTATGGGTCGCTTGTTGACGGATCTGAAAGCTGTGGATCAAAGAACTCTTGAAAAATACCGTCGGGAAGCGGAGAATATAGGGAAAGGATCCTTTGCTTACGCTTGGGTGTTGGATCAAAGCGCCGAGGAGAGGGCTCGGGGTGTCACTATCGATATTGCATCGAACAAGTTTGAAACGGAAAAGACTGCCTTCACTATTGTGGATGCACCTGGACATCGGGACTTTGTGCCCAATATGATCGCTGGTGCTAGCCAGGCAGACTTTGCTGTGCTCGTTATCGATTCTGGTGTTGGCAATTTTGAAGCTGGCTTGAAAGGCCAAACTAAGGAGCATACTTTGTTGGTACGAAGCATGGGGGTCCAAAAGATCATTGTGGCCGTCAATAAGATGGATCTTGTCCAGTGGGGTAAGGATCGTTTTGAAGAGATCGAGCAGCAGATATCTTCGTTTTTGACCAGCGCCGGATTTCAAGCGAAGAACATCTCGTTCATCCCTTGCTCAGGGTTCCGGGGAGATAACATCACTAGACGGAGTGAGGATCCTCTCGCATCGTGGTATACGGGTCCGACTCTCATTGAAGAGCTGGAGACGTCCGAACCTCACACTTATGCCTTGGATAAACCACTGCGCATGACGATCGGCAATGTCTTCCGAGGTGGCGTACAGAACCCTCTCTCGATCTCAGGACGGATAGAAGCCGGCAGCCTACAAGTTGGTGACCAGATTTTTACGATGCCTAGCGGAGAAACGGCCACCATTAGAAGTCTGGAAGTAGATGAAGAAGCAAGCGACTGGGCCGTAGCGGGCCAGAACGTCGTTCTGAATCTTGTCAATATCGACCCTGTGCATCTTCGGTCTGGCGATGTCATCTGCAGCCCTTCGTCACCTGTCCAGAACATCACTCAGTTCACGGCTAAGGTGCTCGCATTCGAACACCTGATGCCTATGCCTCTTGACATTCATCGTGGACGACTCCATGTGCCCGGACGGATCAGTCGACTCATCGCGGCGTTGGACAAAGGTTCTGGGACAGTGATTAAGAAAAAGCCCAAGATAATAGCTCCCGGTACTGTAGCCCGGATCGTTGTTGAGATGGACCAGGCTGTCCCCTTGGAGGCACCCACGCGGATAGTTCTCCGTGCTGGTGGAGAGACGGTTGCTGCAGGGCTGCTGGAGTGAACATGTCGAGTTCTCTTAGACATTGTATGTACAGCGCTTCGTAGACACCGGAAACGAGTTCAGAAAGATTGGGAAGGTCAGGAAGGAGGAATGAATTACGTGCCACGGTATCGCCTACCATATCCGTTGCATATGTGCCATTAACCGGCACACTACGGGGCATTTGAAGGAGTCTTGCCACGGCTGTAGTGAAGGCCTTGGCATGGGGGTCTAACCGTAAACAGGCAGAGTATATAGAGCTTCTTCCAAGGGAATAGATTCATAGACATCTGGCAGGCTGAATAAGGCTTGTCCCAAACAGGAAATGGTTCGAGGCCACGTGGTTTTTCTACTTTGCCCGATTCTAGCAAGTTCGACAGTGGCGCTGTGATGTGATTGGTCCCTATCCCCACCGCTTTTGGCCCTTAAAAAGAAGGCGGTGTAAGCTATAATGAGTCAGCGAACAGGCTAGGCAACACCAGCAGCCAATCACAGCGCGAGAAGTAACCTGCAAAGGCGATTTCTAACGAAAAGGCCAGCATGGCCGCTGTGTTTCCTTCGCCGCTGCAAAGACATACAAGAAGCTGGCCGTGTCTTCCTTCTGCTTCTTCTCTTTCTTTCTTGTGTCAATCTCTTCTCCCTCTGACAACTTGTCATTTCTCCCTTTCCTGCTTTCTTCTGGACAGCAGTTCTCCTTTTTTTGTACTCTGTGAGAAGAGTCCACTGTCTATCCTTCCCTGGTTCAGTTGAACTTCTGACTAGGACAGTGAAGGATTGTGCTTTTATTTCTCTTGTCCATCTCTTCTGAGCTTTATTCTTTCCTTTCCTAGTATTGGTAAAGATACAGCTCATTACACAGCTTCATATCGTCACAATGGCGCGTCATGTAGGGCGCAATAACGCGTCCAAGCCCTTCACAGCTTGGACAACCATATTCTATTTACTCCTTGTTTTCATTGCTCCTCTGGCATTCCTAGGCACTGCACACGCTGAAAAAGACCAAGCTCCTCTACAAGAGAACTATGGACCTGTCGTTGGTATTGACTTGGGAACCACATACTCGTATGTGACTAACTTTGTCTGATATTGTGATCGTCGCGATCTTCGTGCTAACAACTGAATAGCTGTGTTGGAATTATGCAGAATGGCAAGGTCGAGATCCTTGTAAACGACCAAGGAAACCGTATCACCCCGTCATACGTGGCTTTTACAGATGAGGAACGTCTGGTCGGTGACGCTGCGAAGAATCAATACGCAGCTAACCCGAGAAGGACCATTTTCGACATCAAGTGAGTTCGGATCATCGCTCCCTAATTTTCTATGTGGAATTACAAACTTATTTTGTTAATTACAGGCGTTTGATCGGTCGCAAGTTCGACGACAAGGACGTCCAGAAGGACATCAAGAACTTCCCCTTCAAGGTTGCCAACAAGGATGGCAAGCCCGTTGTCCGGGTCGACGTCAACAACACTCCCAAGGACCTGACCCCCGAGGAGGTGTCCGCCATGGTTCTTGGAAAGATGAAGTCGATCGCTGAGAGCTACCTTGGAAGAGACGTTACTCATGCCGTTGTCACCGTTCCTGCCTATTTCAACGACGCCCAGAGACAGGCCACCAAGGATGCCGGTACCATCGCCGGTCTTAATGTCCTTCGTGTCGTTAACGAACCTACTGCCGCCGCTATCGCATATGGACTTGACAAGACCGGTGATGAGCGCCAGGTCATCGTCTATGACCTTGGCGGTGGTACCTTCGATGTCTCTCTTCTCTCAATTGATAATGGTTTCTTCGAGGTTTTGGCTACTGCCGGTGACACTCACCTGGGTGGTGAAGACTTTGACCACCGTGTCATGGACTACTTCGTTAAGCTCTACAACAAGAAGAATGACGTCGATATCACCAAGTCTCCTAAGACTATGGGTAAGCTGAAACGTGAGGTCGAAAAGGCCAAGCGAACTTTGTCTTCCCAGATGTCCACTCGCATTGAAATCGAAGCCTTCCACGAAGGCAATGATTTCTCTGAGACCTTGACTCGTGCCAAGTTTGAAGAGCTGAACATGGATTTGTTCAAGAAGACCCTGAAGCCTGTTGAGCAGGTCCTCAGGGATGCCAAAGTCAAGAAGTCTGAAATCAATGACATTGTTCTTGTTGGTGGCTCTACCCGTATCCCCAAGGTCCAGGCTCTTCTGGAGGAGTTCTTTGGTGGCAAGAAGGCTAGCAAGGGTATCAACCCCGATGAGGCCGTCGCTTTCGGTGCTGCCGTTCAAGGTGGTGTCCTTTCTGGAGAGGAGAGTGCCAGCGGAATCGTTCTTATGGATGTCAACCCCCTGACTCTCGGTATCGAGACCACTGGCGGTGTGATGACAAAGCTCATCCCTCGTAACACCGTTGTCCCCACCCGTAAATCGCAGATCTTCTCTACCGCGGCTGATAACCAGCCAACCGTCTTAATCCAAGTTTGTAAGTCGTGCTCATGTTCATCCTTACGTGATCTGTTACTGACTGCTTCTCCAGATGAGGGCGAACGTTCATTGACCAAGGACAACAATCTTCTCGGCAAGTTCGAGCTTACCGGTATCCCGCCAGCACCTCGTGGTGTTCCTCAGATTGAGGTTTCCTTTGACCTTGACGCCAACGGTATTCTGAAGGTCCACGCCAGCGACAAGGGCACTGGCAAGGCCGAGTCTATCACAATCACCAACGACAAGGGTCGCCTCTCTCAGGAGGAAATTGACCGGATGGTGGCCGAGGCTGAGCAGTACGCTGAAGAGGATAAGGCCGTTAAGGCCAAGATTGAGGCCCGCAACTCGTTGGAGAACTACGCGTTCAGCCTCAAGAACCAAGTTAATGACGAGAATGGTCTAGGTGGTCATATCGATGAAGATGACAAGCAGACCATCCTGGACGCGGTTAAGGAGGCGGCCGATTGGCTGGAGGAGAACGCGGGAACCGCCACGACGGAAGACTTTGAGGAACAGAAGGAACGTCTTTCCAACGTCGCGTACCCGATTACCAGCAAGCTTTACGGCGGCGCTGCTCCTCCGGAGGATGAAGATAGCGAGCCTAGCGGACATGACGAATTGTAAGATATTGACTTAGATTGGGTTCTTACGGAGTTTGTGACATTAGTTTTCTGTGATTTGCAAAATTCTATGACATTGGGAGCGGCAATGGCTGCCCATATTGTGTTCTTTCATGGGCATTAAGGAAATAGTATGATACCTTGAGATTTGAAGTTTCTGGACGATAAATTAATGTCTATCTTTTCAACCACTAGTAGTGAGGTGCGAGGCCTGTATATCCTCAACATGTAATTTTTTCTCTGCCAACGTTGAAGGCCTTCCGGTGATGACTAGTATTACGAATAGATGAAGATGGGGACGAGAGGGAGAAAGAGAGGAAAGATGGTGGGAACGAGGCGCGTGGTATAGTGTTGATGGGTTGAACTCGTTGAGTTGGTTGACTATACGGAGTATTGGAAGTCGATGCTTGCTTGTATTATCTCCAGCAGGATACAGTTGAGTGTCCTGTACTGGGTCTTGGCGCCAAGGTGCTTATTAATATTATTTGAACTGACCCCATTACCGTTTTCGGATCAGCCACTACAGTAATTAACAATTGTTTTCTTTTTCCGTACCATCGCTCTTTGTATGTTTCTTGTAGAACCTAATCTAGTTATATCATTGTTTGTCTTTCAATGAAATCCTCCCAATAGTGCAACTTGCCAAAAGTAACACTGAGATCCAAGCTAGTATACAAATAGCAAAGGAGGTATACAAGACACCTAACCGTCAGTACCACGTCCCATAGCAATAATAATAATAATAACACGTCAAGTCATGCAATCATGGACTCTTATATATATCCCCCTTTCCCACAAATTCTTCAATTATATGTTACATATATCGATAGACAGACCGATTGGCCGTTTATAGCGGTAACACAGCGCGCGGCACGGTGTGAGCTCTCGGCATCGACTCCATGGACGACGCGCCTCGCTGGAGATCGTCGGGCACGACGCGCACCTGGCCAGGTGACTGGCCGATGAGGAATAGGCCACTATCCTGGGCTTGTTTTCGGAGCCAGTATTGGCGCATTCTGTCGAGGGCTGTTTTGAAGTCGTCTAGGATGACGGTGTCGCAGAGGCACTTGAAGATGAAGGAGAGCTGTTTTGATCCCCTCTGTCAGTATTTTTTTTCTTCCTTTCATTTGACTAGGCAGATAAGCATGGATTGAGGGGATAATGCTTACCTTCCAGAACGGTTCGATCCCTGTGGGCAGGGAATCCTTGAATGCGTCGAGGACGCTGCATGTGTCGACGACGATGAAGGCGATGGAGAGACACATGGAGAGCAGCATGACGCCGAATCGGGGACTGACTTTCACTAGTTCTATGATGCCGAAGTTGTATCCTCGTTTGATGGTGTAGAAGAGGGAGCAGGTGGTGAAGACCCACCAGGGGTCACTATTTACCGCATTAGCAGGTGAGTGAGGGAACACTTGCATATAAGAAAAGGAAAAGAAGGCGTAAACATGCCGAAAAAGAGGCTCAAGCGGACGCGTCGTCAAAAAGATCTTATTGATATTATTGAAATAGGTGAAGTTAGCATAGATCTCCAGGACCCAATACGGCTGCACCAACAACACGGTGATGATGTAGAACCTCGACACCCGCTGCGACAAGAACGGACGATTCTTCATCCACGCGATGACATTGTGCAAGCTCCAGGAGATGTTGAGGCCGATTGCTGTGACGGAGAGGTACCAGCCATACGCTGGCTCGTGGGCGAAGATCCATGTTCCATGCCCCATGGCGAGGACAAGCTAGATGCTTTTTTAGTTAAATAATTCCCGAGTTGAGTCAGGATCATGCATACCTCTGCCAGAATCAACTTGTGAAGCAGATTGTGCTTCTCCATGTTGGAAACGGTCACTGCAGCCATGACCAGAAGAGAGCCTACCATCAAGCCCTGACCCCATGCCTCAAGCACCAGCCCGTCCGGGTTCGTAGGACGAGTAACACGGTCCGTTGATGACATTGAACGGCCGTTTTCATGGCATTATATATATATATGATACATATATGCTAGAGGAAGGACCGCAAAGCGAACCCAGAAGCAAGGCAAGCTCCAGAGTGTTTTTAGTATTAATATATAGGATGTGATACACGTCCTCCAATATTGGACGACTCGAAGTAACAATGAAGACTAACCCCACAGTTTCAGATAGGAAACGGAAACAAGAAGAACAAAGAAAAGGACCCCGGCAGATTTATTGTTATTATCCTTATTATTATTAAAATGCGGAGAGACATGAACCAAGATCCAAAGCCATCGTGCATGTAACCGCTTCCATGTCTCCGCCACTAGGTCTCTCATCACTCTGGATGTCAATGCAGTGATCACTAAGTGAACATGTATATATGTAGTACAGTCTGTCTTTTTTTAAAAAGAAGCCGGATTCGACCAGGATCATCAAGTAGTCCCATCAATCGGGTCACCCTATGCATTGGCCGTCAGCACCGCAGATATTCCCGACATGTTGGAAATGGGGGCACCGCTTGAAACTCAGCTTCAGATGCGAAGTGCCCGCATATGGTATAGGTCATTAATTATGTATAGGAAAAATTTCCATAAAAATAGCAGGAAGCGCCGAGATTTCCTCGGCGGGGAGGGATGCGCGGGCCATGCAGATAACAAAGAAAGGGCCCAAGCTGGACGTGGAGGTGGAGAGGGCTGAGCACGGATTGCCGAGAGTAATATATATATATATATATATTGGTCCATACTCGAGAATAGCCGTAGTAGCATCAGCAGGAAGCACTGTAAAATCAACCCAATAAGCAAAATAAGAATGCAAGAGCAATGCGCCGAGATATTGCTGACATCGTCATCACTGTGCTACAATAAGCACAGTTGTGCTGTCTATGCTCAGTAAGCCTGCAGCTCAGCCAGCCTTTGCAGGTGAGGCAGACATGGGGAATTCCCTGATTGACTGCAGACAATGTAAGCTGCAGCTTGACGCTCTTTACAGCTAGCTCGACTCGGAGTTACGAGTAGGCACCGCAGGGCTAGGGCTGAACATCGCGATGTATTTCCTAATACGGCGAATGACGGACTGGCTTGATGGCAATTTTAGGATTGTTCTAGCTGTCCGCAGCTTGCAGACTAGAGAACAAGGCTCAGAATCACAATGATCTCCAGCGAGAACGTTTCCTACAGTCATGTCAGCATTTCATTTCATAAAGGAGACATACCTGGGCTCTTTCCTGTAGTCTTGTTTTGGGGGATAGAAAACAACTCCAAACCACTTCATGCGATATCAAGTCGAATCTAGAATCGACTGTTAGCAATTCCATTATGGGATGGCCATTTACTTGGTTGTCTTTGCAGCGTTAACCGTTGACTCCGGTAGGCATGGCCATTCTATACGATATCTCTGAGAGCCAGTTTGCTTTGTTCAACTGGATTGGGGCTCACCAAAGGGTCTAGTGCGTAGTTATTCTTATTCCGGTTCATCGACTGTCCTATATTTCTTGTCTGTCTTTGCAGGGAGGGGACTTGCCAGTCCGCAAAGCCTAGAGCTTCTGGGTTTCTCTTAGATAGCCTCTATAGTGAGGGCTCGACCTTCACAGTAGTTAGTCTCGTCATGAGAAAAGGAGCAGGGTGAGTACTTCGCAGCCAGCACTTCTACTAGAATAGTGTCAGAGGAGATGGTGTATAGCATCCAGGTCCTACGAAGGACTCAGTTTATATATAGCCTGCAGAATTCTTGTCAGCCTTTCCAAGGGGAGCAACCACTTACCCCCCGTAAAGAAGCGACGTCCAGTTGACCATCCTGATTCATACGTCGAGATCGCATTGAGCATTTCTCAAGGTCTGATCTGCGAGCCCTGGTCACTTACACTGTAATATGTAGCGTTCGAAGGAGATTAGATGTACTCTTCCTATATATGCAACAAGACCAAGTTAGCAAATGTCATGCGTGCATGTCCAATCGAAGTAAGGGAATCAGGCCAACACGATACAATTGGCCTGATACTAGACCTCAATCCCAAGGGACTATTCACTGTTCAGTGACTGTTGCTTCTGCTGGAGGAGACTCGAAGGGAGATGGTGGTATTTATAGATGACCCGGTAGTCGATAGTGGGGATTGTCTGTTGTCGTTTCCGTTATATTTCTTTATGAAGTGCCTTGTTTTGTCTTTTGTTTTATCTTTGACAAAGACAGCATTGTCTGCGTTGTTTATATTGTCCTCGTACGAGATGGATAAAGCAGGGAAAGGAATTGGGGAGGAAGTTATATCCTCTACTACACACCCACTCGACCACTGTGAGGGTTGCTGCATATTGACACTTTCTAATCTGAGCCGTCGCCTTTGTCCTGGATGCGCAGTGGCTGATCCCAGCTGAATTCGCCGATTCGAAAAGGCTACGCGTAGATATTTAGGATGGTTTTTTTTTTTTTTTTTTTTTTGAAATGCTAACGATAGACAACTCACGACAAGGTATGATTTCTCTACCCTTGTACGCGCCTCTATAGTCTAGTTTGTAGTGGTTCTCGTCCTTTTTTGGGTATTAGGAATATTTAATCCCCAAGAATTATTATTCCCAGGTGAATATGTAATAATATTGATATGGGATTTTATGCGACCATTCAAGACCCGAATGAAGCGAGAAAGACCGAAGCGGCTTTCATGAACCAAAGCCAGTACAATAAAACAAGATCCGTAACCCAAAAGGAGGCTGATGAACTTCAGGCCCCCCCTTCATTATATGTAAGATGCGAGAAGGGACCGAACCTGGACATATACCGAAATGCGCACATGCGTATACCCCAATACAGCGCTCTTAATGAAAACTCATGCAACACCAAATCCGCGAGAGTTCTCCAGTGCTTTGCTCAATTTTTCCTCTAGAACACTCTTCGATGAGTATTCTGGCAGCAGCAGTCGGCCAAAGCAAGTTAAACTGGTCGGGAGACGCTGTGGAGGATTGTTAGCATCTTACCAACAATGTAAAAATAATAAAACTTACAGCATCACCCATGCCGTTCTTCTGGATCACAAACATGATGCTCGAGATACCATTCACTGGGACACGGTCGCTAGCGGTGACGAACTCCAAGAGCCTTGCTCTCTTCTCTGGAGAGAAGCGCCTCGCAATGCTCCAGAAATCGCGAATTACTCGGTGCGTAGGACCAAACCCACCTTCGTACCGAGCAAACCGTTCCAGTTCTCTCATGTCAATCTCCTGGATGCCTTCAACAACCGATTTCAGGGCCTCTGGCGTAAAAATAGAGAGCGCTGACCGATCCAGACAGGTATAGAATCCACGTGCAAAGGCTTCATATTGTGCGCGAACTGATTTGTCCGTCAACCAGAAGGTATAGTCTTTGACAAATTGGTGACGGTTCTGGTTTGTTACCAAAGGGGCCTCTTCTTCCTCTTCGTCTCCTGTGGGTGTTGGAGGTTGAGATGGTACTGCGTTGTCCGTCTTCTTATTGGCTTCACCATCCAAAGATGAATCAACTGTTTCAGCTACCATTTCGGGCTGTGAGCCAGACGTCCCCTCCACTGAGATAGTCGAACGATTCTTCTTAGACTGCGCATACTCAGAAGGCACAGGCCAAACAGCGTCTCGGTCAATTCTCTGCATATTGACCGTCCTTACGCTGCCGAACGCCTCGAAACTGAACTCATAAGTCCGTATGAAAATGTCGCCCACGTCGCCATCTTTCCATTTCAATAGTTCCTCGAGACCTCTGGTAAGGTCTGGCCAACCGTCCCTGACATGATCAAGGTGCTTCACCTTAAGCCCAAGCAGCTTGCGATACAGTGCGGTTGGGAAATTTATCGGAAGCGTTAGGCCATTATAAACTGCAATCGACATCAGAAGGCCCAAAAGCTCGAATTTGTATAACGGCTCCATAGCGCAAGGTTGGAACCAAGAAATCCGCGTTCGACTGTCCGTGGTGAACATGCCATAGGAAGGATTCAGAGCCTCTGCCATGGCCACTCGGAAGAATTCTTGTTGAACACCGCCGTGATCGACACCCTCTTCACCCTCATCCATTCCCATTTGCACCTTCAGCGGCCGCATAAGCTCCCGTCTCTCACGCCGCCAAAGCTGGTTCATAGCATCTGTGAGGACATGGTCCCGAGAAACCATAAGGACGAGATATGTCGACATAGACGTCTTCATGCGTGCTAGAAGTCCAACGTCGTCACTTACATGTATGGCACTGAAGGCCGTCTGGGTAACATGTCTCGTTGTAGTCATTGCCGCTTCGTAGTACTTGGACATAGTTGAATGGTTCACAGCACGGAAGTAGGTAACCAGTGCAGAGGGAGGGAAGAGGAAAGAATACGACAGAAGGTGTATTGTTTTGTTGTTGGGCGAACGGTTCAGCCAATCCACAGGCATTTCCATGGGGTCCAGCCTTTCAGATAGAAATGGGGTATGGAAGTCTTCCGGGACAAGACCTAACCGATTTCGTTCCTTATACATGGACGCCAATATCTGCACAGCACCGCCAGCAGCACTGCTTCTGGCCATCTCAGGGTTACCATCCCACTCTCTGAGGAGCAGCGTTCGCAGCCATTCGACAATGATAGCAGATGGCCCAGGGAACTTGGTCAAGGGTGGACTGCCGGACCCAGCCGTTATCAGACTATGGTGTTCGCTTAGGTTGTCTAATATTAAATCCAGGACACTGGGCCTGCGCTGTTTAGGGGAATCCTGTGTGTAGACTCGTCGCGTTTTTGATATTTCATGGAATGCCAATCGTGCCGTAAGAGCACGGACGAAACGGCTAACCAAGCGTAAAGCCAGTTCATGTTCAAGTTTGTCCGTGACCCGTACGATAAGTTGAGATTTAATAGATGAAAGATTTCGCATTTCCGCGTCTGGAGCCAGTGTCCCAGCAGAACGCATTTGAAGAATGCCACGCCAAGTTTGCGTATCTACCTCGGGAAGCGAGCTAACCAAAGCGAAAAGTGCGACAGTCGCAACATAAGCTGCGTTGTCATCCGATATATGCTCACCCGTCACCCCTTCAAACTCTCGGTATTGGTTTACGGGATTCGAAACGGGTGATATTGATGTCGAGCTGCGAGATGGGCGGCGGGAATGCTTGACAGTTATAGATAGCTCTTTGGGAGGAATAAATAGCTTTTCCAGAGCACCCCATATGCTCTGCAAAGCGATATCCCAGGGGCAAACGTCGAAAAGCCTCCGGAATGAGATTTGTAATTGTGGGAGGTCAAGGCGGGCATTCACAGATCTCTGTTTCCTTTCATTCGTGCTGGTCGAATCCTCTCGAAACGACCGAAGAATCTGCCTTGTGCTGCTGAGTACATAAAAGACAGACTGAGCCACAAAAGCGAATACTTGTTGTTGGCGGGGCGTTGCAAATTGCCATTCTGGATCATCAAAGCTACCTGCAAGCTCCATGCAAGATAGCTCATCCTTCCACCTTTGAGCTTCTTCATCCGATTGAACCATGATCTGACCCAACCCGTCAATAATATCACTTGTTAAGTGTGTCACCGTTTGGATGGACTGGGATGCACTATACTGGCGGCGTTTGTCTTTGCGCTTCGACTTCGAATCATGAGAGACTGCTTCAGCAGCTGGCCGATCGCGTGGCACCTGAGGCGGCTTTGGGGTTTCTCGACGTTGAGCATCATTTAGAATCTTCGACCCATCCCAGGAAACGCGTCTCTGTTTTTTATGTTGGCTGCGAATGACGCCATTTGCATCGATCACTTTGCCTCGGTGCTTCTGTGGGCGGTGTTTTAACGCCGGTGGGGAAGGCATGCTCACAAACTCATTGGACTCCGAACATGCATTGATTGAGAGTGTTCTAGTTGGCTTGCGTTCGGATCGCGTCTTCTCCTCCGGAGTTGGCCGTGGACTTTGGCGCCAGGAGTCGACCTCTGTAAATGAGAGTCGTTTCAGATGTTGACTAGGAAGTTTCAGTTCCAGGGCCGCCGGTTGACCACTTATGATTCGTGATGAAGGGGTCTTTGGAGTGCCTTTTCCCGGCAAGTTAGATCCGATTGTCCGGTCGTGGTTCGAATGAGACCTTTCCGTACTTGCATGAGTTTGTCTCTGCGGACTCTCCAGCCTCGGTGACTGCGCCACGGCCTGGGGAATCGACGAGTGATCGGGCTCCGATTCAAATGTGCCCATAGATCGACGAAGAGGAAGCCATTCTACCATTCGGAGCGATAGGGTGTCAAATAAATTTTGCGTGAAGGACTTTGGGTCCTTCATCCTCCGAGTTTGGGGATTTCCATGATCAAGAGAGCTTCCGCCTTGTGCATGCACATCGAAATGTGGCATATATCTGTTTTCAGGAACCCCGGCTAAATGAGTGGGATGGGAATCCCTTTCAAGAGGCACCTGACCTGCTGGAACCATCTCGTCGGTGCCCTGGTAATGGCCCGGTGGCGCATTGTGTTCTCCAATTCCATTGTGTGTATGTCTTTGTCGCCTAGGGCGGCGCATAGAAACTTGCGACGGAAACTCCGATGGAACTTTTGGAACGTTACGACATAGCCCACTTTCTGCATTGTCCAAGCTGGCTAAATAGCAAGCCAGTGTCCGCGCACTCAACTCCGTATAACGACGATAGGGTCCTTCGATCACCCTTTTCCGGAAGCTAGCACAAGTTGGAGTATGGCACTCGGGATCTTGACAACCGTAAAGAAGTTGATTCTTGTACCTGGTATCGGGCAGTTAGCCACCGGGCGCGTTTCAGAGTTCATAATCAGGATATGGAGAGGCTTACCTGCGGACCAAGAGATTGAACTGCCTCCTTCGATCGTCTCTTTGCCATGCCAGAACCCGGGCAGGATCTGACACCTGGATGGTGTTCAGAACGATGATATCGGGAGCATTCTGTGGGAGTTTTGACCAGTAGAATTGAGGCCTCTCAGTGGATAAGGGCGTTCGCGGAGTATCTGGCGAGCCTGTCGAAGCTCCCCGCAACCTGGTCATCTTCGCGGGTCGGGGCGCATACCTGATATAGACTCGGCAAACGGACAGGAAGGTCGCAGCAAGCTAAGTTGCTTGCCCCTTTATAGCGGGTGGATACAGAAGATCATTGGGGACGGCGCAGATGCGACACAGACGGCGCGCTGAGGTGTCTTACTGATTGTTGCTGATATCATCCTGGCGCTTCCGTCGCCACCTAAATTAGGTAATTGTATGCCTGGGGCATTAAATAGATAAATGTATGTCCGTCTCCGATGCACTAGTCTATATATGGTTAGCATAATATTTTTTAAGCGGATCACGTGTGCGGGACGTCATTGCCACAAGATCTTTTTTGGGTCGAAATAATCAAGGATTGATAATCACCTGCCTGCTTATTCCTTCGCGGTTTCTACGCCTCAATTCCATACCACGTTTGAAATCATTCTGTTTCTCCTTTGTTCTAGTCTTGAATCCAACTTCTATTCCAACACTCCTCGTTGAGACAGACCTTCCTTTGGCGGAGTGCAGTCAAATATGGCATCAGACATACCCGCATCCTCCCTCCCATACACTTGCAATACCTGCCTTGTTGCATTCCGCAGCAGCGATGCCCAGAGAGATCATATGCGCAGGGACTGGCAGTAAGCTTGCCTTGTTCGAACATTCTTTGTCCAACATGAAATCTAATTTGCAATTTACCCCGCAGTCTATATAATATAAAACGTCGCATTGCGTCTTTACCGCCAGTGTCCCAGGAAGTATTTAACGAGAAGGTCCTTGCGGCTAAGGCGTCATCGTCTGCCGCTGCCGCCAAGGCATCCTTTGAGAAAACATGCCATGCCTGTCAGAAGACATTCTACAGTGAGAACTCATATCGGAATCATGTCAACAGTTCGAAACATAAGCTCCGCGAGGCCCGCATGAGCAAAGACATCCCTGACGATTCATCCTCTGTGATGAGTTCCACATTCTCACTAGGTGAGCCTATAAACAAGCCTTCCGCAGACGTGTCGGCAGTTACCCAGGGTGTCAAGACAGCTACCATCGAGGAAGAGGAAGAGGAGGATGAGGAGGATGAAGAGCTTGCTGAAGAGCAAGGATTTTCTACTGCCCATTGCCTATTCTGCAATGCTCATCTAGGAGACACTCAAGAAAATGTTCAGCACATGTCCAAGAGCCACGGCATGTTCATTCCGGAAAAGGACTACCTTGTAGACCTGGAGGGCCTTATCCACTACTTATACCGCAAGATAACCGACAACAACGAGTGTCTCTATTGTCATGCTATCAGAGCCAATGCTGCTGCCATCAGAACACACATGCGTGACAAGGGCCACTGCATGATTGCGTTCGAGACAGAGGACGAACAAATAGAGATTGGGCAATTCTACGATTTCAGAAGTACTTATTCCGATGATGAGGGTGAAGAGGACACACCAGAGAGTGACGGCGTTAAGGTTCCCACATCCGATGCAGACGATGATGGATGGGAAACTGAGACGTCTGCTTCCTCAGTGGATGAAGACGAGATCGACAGCCGCAAGCAGGCACCTGTCATCTATCAGAGCGAGTACGAATTGCATTTGCCCTCTGGTCGTAGCGTCGGCCATCGCTCTTTAGCTAGATACTACCGCCAGAATCTTCACAACTACCCCTCTACCGAGGAACGCATCCAGCGCCAACTCGCCATCGAAAACGGCGAGGCCAAGGAAGAGGAAGAGCAGAGAGGGCGCAACCAGAACCGAGCTGTGGTCACCCGTGCGAATGGCGGTCTGGGCATGGTCGGTGCTACTGAAGTCCAGAAGCGTACAGCCCTTCGATCCGAAAGGAGAGAGAGGACTCGTGCCCTTCGTGAAGAACGGAGATACACCGCCAAGGTCAACTATGCCGCGAACAACCAGAAGCACTACCGGGTATGTTGTCCCTCAATTGCTATATACCATATAGTGGCTAATAATCTCTTTTAAATAGGATCCTCTCCTTCAATGATTTGACCTCGCACCACAGAGGGAAAGGTCTATTCTCTGTCCGCTCTGTATGCAATTGGATCATAATCAACTTTCTATACCCTCTCTTTATGTTATTGTATGCATGTGCGATATATATCATAAGCGATAGGAGGATTATGAATAATGGAGATGTCCAGTTTCTTTCTCATGCAATGCTAGGATCTTATGAATAAAAGTAGTTGTTTCCTTTCATGTGCTTTAGTTGTAGGCCACAAAATATCACTGGTGTCCATGACGCTATGCTGTTCATTATATTAGATGTTAGTAATATACTTACAAGGTCAATGCTATCCAACCCATCATTTAAGAATCTTCATACCAGTCTTATATCGAAAATAGGCGGGAAGGTGTACGAGAAAACCGAATCCCCAAAGCTTCTCGACATTCATCACTACATAACACGAGACGTGTATGAGACACAATTTTTTTATTTTCACTTCTTGGAAATGATAGAGCGGTTACAGCAAAGCCAGTGGTGGCTAGGTGGCTATGATATTCGTACGTACAGTTTCCCGATCGCTTCGCAAAAGAGAACAACCCAAAAGGGAAGGGAAAAGAAGTTTTGACAGTTTCTGGCCGGCAGAATAAAGTATACAACCAATTGCTTCACCATGAAACAAAAAGGAGGAGAAAAAAAGACGCCATAGTGCAATGCTACCTCACAGGCTAGGTATAAAGGAGAAAATGGCCCTTTAATGTTCTAAAAGCGGCCGCTCTTCATCCTTGCCTGAATTCGATGTGGAATTGGCAGTGCGCTTTCTCCGCTTGCGCCTCTTCTTTTGAAGACGCAGAATGGAATTGGGATCTTTGGGGGTGTCAGCTTCAGAACCGGCAATGGATCCATCCTTGTGTCCATGGCTATGGTCCGTGGAAGGTCTGGAAGAGGGCCTGTCGGTTTCAGAGGAACTCGTGCTAGTTGTGTGAAGAACCATTTTCCGGACTCCGTTAATGTCGACAACGTGTTCGGTAATGCTACCACTCCGCGCCGGACCATCGTGGATATAAAGGGGGCGTGATGTGGGTTTAGCACAGCTCGATTCAATGAACCGGGAGGCTGTACGTCCATGCGAGGGCTGGGGTTGCTGGTAGCTGTCATCTTCTTCATCGACAGCCTCTGGTATCGCTATTTGGGGAATATGCTTGGGTTTGGGGGAACTCGCAGTGGTTGCTTTGCTAGCTGACACGGCGCCGTAGTCGGTACTGGCAATGCCATCAACGTCGGCAGACTGCAATAGAGGCGCCGTTACCGAGGCACTCGTATCGCTAGGCCCGGATGGGGTGGGAGAGTCACGGCCTCGCTTGATCTTAACATTCTGGTACCGAGTCTGGCGTGGTCGGCTTGCCAGATTGGAGGGGCCCAGATGTTTGAGATGTTCACGGATCTCATCAGTAGCTCCAATATGCGTTACCCATCGATCCGGTGAGTCGGGATCTTTCTGGTAGTTTGGTATTCTCATTTGAAATCGAGGAAGGGGGGTCTCTATCGAGCTCCTGCGCAGTTCGCCGGAAGTTCGCTCTGTGGCTTCGCTCTGCGGTTCAGGATGCTCGCCTTCGAAATGTACGGCTGGTGGTTCTTCCACAACCCGACCCTTCGGGACACGAGCTTTCGGGGCCGGAGTCATTCTCCGAATGGCTTTATGAACGTCAATGAATACATCAGACTCGTCAATGATTTCCCTGCGCAGATGTCAGTATGCCAGTAGATAACCAGAAGTAGGTGGTAGGCCGTGATACGTACTCTCCAATAAGTTCCTCAATCACGTCTTCCAGAGTAACAACGCCCAAGGCTCCGCGGTCCTCTCCCGGATAGTCCGAGACCAGAACCATATGAGCCTTTCCTTCTTGGAAGAAGTTGACGATGTCCAGGCAACTTGTCTCCGGGCGGGTCTCCGGAAGCGTGGCCAGAGCAAACTCCCGCACTCTTCTGCAATCTTCCGGGTCGTACGTGATCAACATCTTGACAAGTAACATGCCGAGGAAGTTTCTGGGGTTATCGGGTGCATGGATGGGAATACGAGAGTACCCTGCCGAGAGGATCAAATCCATAGTCGGTTCATCAAGGACGGTATCCGCAGACATGGTGAAGACATCGTCCATGGGAGTCATGATGCTGCCAACGGACTTCTCCTTCAGATCCAAGACGGCACTGATAATGGTGACCTCGTCCGAGTTGAGCTGTTCTCCAGCTTCACCCAAGGTCTTGTGCAGCGTCACCAGCGTCTTCAGTCCGGCCTTTTTGTAGATTGTACCATGATCCTCACCCAGAAGCTTATCCAGCAATTTGGCGACGGGCCAGGCGACAGGCGACATGATATACATCAAGGCGAGGACGGAGGGAGCCATCCAAGCACCGATGGGGAGGCCGTAGCGGACGCATATCGACTGCGGAACGATCTCGCCGAAAATCACTTGAACACGCCTAGAAGTCAGTCAAAAGCCGGAGTAGGAACGAAGCATAAGCACCATACCGATCAGAACGGTACTGCCCAACACGGCAGGCCAGCCACCTCCGAGAGAGCGATCGAGAACGATGGGCAGGGTTTCATTGGTTATGACGTTGCTCAGAAGAAGGGTGACCAAAACCCAGTGTTTGCCTTTGCTCAGAAGATGCAGCACGCTAGCTGCATTCTTCCTTTCCACCCCTTCGCCGGATGTCTTGATAACCTGCAGATAAACCTCATCCTATATCGAGCGTATGCAGGCCACGTCAGTCCGGTCCGAGCTTTAAAATTCTTACGAACGCGACGTCACTGAAAGCAAACCGTGAACACACCTGGCCCATCAAAGCAATTGTCAATCCGGCGAAAGCACCGCCGCTCAGCACGAGAGCCGCAGCGATGCTTAGGTACAGCCACAAGCTGGGATCCGACGACGGCCGCGGCTCCAGCTCATTTTCGCCAAAAGGATGCAGGCTCGTCGGGGCCGCTGATATGACGGGGAGGCGGCTGATAGCCAGGAGGAGAATCTTGGCTAAACCAAGGACGACGGGCCGACCGGCCACGTAGCGGTTGACTGGGGGTGCGGCCATCTCACGGTGGGATGGAGGCGAAACAAGGAAGCTGGCTAGCTACTGGACCGGCATCTTATAATACGCTCGGCGTGAGCCAAGTGATCGACTATATAAGCACAGAACGTATGTAATACGGCAACAACGTGCAGCCACTGCCCGGCTGGATAGGACGCGTACCTTGGTAGACGCAGCAGAGTTGACGCGAGGACTGCCGGAAGCAGATATCAATGGCTACGGAGTAAACAGCTGACGGTGTCGAGCGCAGACGAGCTTTTTATTCTACCCGTAAAGAATTTCGTTTTGCTGAAAGGCTGCTGTTTTTGGCGTCATGTGCGGCCAAAAACAGCAGCCTTTCAGCAACTATTATCTGCCACGCTCCCACACTTTTCGCCCACGCACCACCAACACAATCCTCAGGCAGCATAGAGCATCATCATGGGTGTTGAATGTTGAAAATGGCCTCCACAGCACCTCACCAGCTGAGGGTAACTGGCACCTAGCCGCCATATTTAAAAGCCCAGTCACTCCCAGCCCCTCACTCAACCTTTGTTTCCATCTGGTTGACACCTAAGTCATCAGGAACAGCTCTTGCTTCATTTTTCACTGCTCTTTGCAGACACAAGTTTGATGGAAGCAGAATGTCCTCCTCCAGGGCATGAAACAGTCAAAAGGAGAAAAGAAAACACAAAACATGGGACCCTCAGTGAAAGCAAAAATGTTTCATCCGTGGAGCTTCTCTATCAGACCCATTATAAAGACCCAGCTGATGATACAGATGAGGATCTCTCCAAGGTGCCAGAGGACTATGGCAAATCAGGACGTACCAAAAAGCTCTAACTCTGTCTGACGGATCGCTGGGCATTGGTAAGTGATGGGATGCGCCAGCTGGGTTTCAGCCTGAGCAGGATAATATGGCAGATCATTAACTTACAGACTTGCTGCTAGTTACTGTCAGACTAAAGCAATCAAGCCATCAGCAGAGCTGAAGTGGGAAGATCCAGAAGAAGCGCTACAGAAAGCAACTCCAAATGACATTGTTGTGGAATATGCATGTAACTCAGGGAAGAAGGGCAGAATGAAGCTGTATCGACTACACGTACGTAGCCTACTAAGGAACGGATGCCATTCTGTTCTTTCTCTATGTCGCTTGCTCTACATACAATCAGGGGCTCGGATTCTCAGGGGTCAGAGAGGGAGCCAAGCCGCCATTCCACGTGACCTTTTCCATATCAATAATGGATAGGCGCATGTATGGTCGTATTACTAGGTAGGCCTGCCTGTGCCGTGAGATAGGTAGCGAGAGCGGTCTAGGACGGCAGAACCTCACGTGTACTAACAATCAAGAAGAGTCTGGGTCTGTCCTATCTGCTGAACGCGGATAGAGTCGGTCTTTTTGGCCTTGTGGGGAAGCGTAGGCTAGCAAGAGGTTGAGTGACAGCTATTTTAGTGTCAGGCCAAGCGAGGGCGGTCTACTATGACAGAATACACGTGATACACGTGACCTCTAACAGTAGTCGCGGATGGACAACTTTAAGATGACCAAGCAGTTCTCGGCTAGCCGCGGCAGTTGGCGTGTGCAGCAGCTCTCCCCGCAAAGATCGATGATTCTGGGGAGACAGAAAGAGTGTAGAGAGAAAGGCATTTCTGGCCATTATGCGGATTGTCTTGATTCTCCCTCTGCGGCTACATTTTCCCGTTCTCTCTCCCAACTCTCGCCTTGCGTCCGCTCTGGGTAGCTCTACGTAAACGGCGATCGCCAGAATGCCGGCCGTGCGTATCAGTCCATCTCCCATGCGGAGATGGATCCGCCCATGCCTGCAAGCAAGCCGTCTCTATTCCGGAGGGCCTTCTCCATCAGCACGGCTAAACCTTCCCATCGACTACAAATCCACGCCTCTTCTGCATCATACGCCCGGTTCATTGTCCAGTGCATCAGAGCTCCCGAAGAGCGCAACGACAAAACGTCTGAATCTGTACCAAGCCATCAACGCTGCTCTGCGGACTGCTCTCTCGACGTCCGATGATGTTCTACTCTTTGGCGAAGATGTAGCATTTGGGGGCGTGTTTCGTTGCTCCATGGACCTGCAGACGGAGTTTGGGTCCGAACGTGTATTCAACACCCCGCTGACAGAGCAGGGGATTGTAGGGTTTGCCGTTGGGGCTGCGGCAGAGGGCATGAAGCCCGTCGCAGAGATCCAATTTGCCGATTACGTCTTTCCTGCATTTGATCAGATCGTAAATGAAGCGGCCAAGTTCAGGTACCGCAGCGGTGCTACTGGGTCCAATGTCGGGGGCTTGGTGATCAGAATGCCCTGTGGTGCCGTCGGCCATGGTGCCCTGTAAGCAGAGTCGGATTCCTTCGCGCGATTGATTCTCTTTCCTGGGTTCCAAGGAAGACTTATTTCTACTTCAATTAGGTACCACACCCAGTCTCCCGAAGCGCTTTTCGCTCATGTACCTGGCGTCCGGGTGGTCATGCCGCGCTCACCTTCTCAAGCGAAAGGCCTGCTTCTCTCATCCATATTCGAATGCAACGACCCCGTTATCTTCATGGAGCCGAAGATTCTATACCGTGCTGCAGTGGAGCATGTTCCCAACGAGTCTTATACCATCCCGCTCAGCAAAGCGGACATTGTCAAGCCCGGAAAGGACTTGACCGTCATCTCTTACGGGCAGCCGCTCTATCTCTGCTCGGCTGCCATATCCGCCATCGAAAAGGCCATGAAGGGAGTCAGCATCGAGCTGATTGACCTGCGGACTATCTACCCTTGGGATCGCCAGACAATTCTCGGGAGTGTGAGGAAGACAGGAAGGGCCGTGGTGGTTCACGAGAGCATGATCAATTACGGTGTCGGTGCAGAGGTTGCGGCTACGATTCAGGAGGGCGCTTTTCTCCGGCTGGAGGCTCCTGTCAAGCGAGTTGCGGGATGGAGCACCCACACTGGTCTGGCATTTGAACAGTTTATATTGCCGGATGTAACAAGTAAGTGGCTATGATATCTGATGCTCTCGATCGACCTGCCCCTGACACTGTCTTCTTCTGTAGGGATATACGACGCGATAAAGCAGTCCCTAGAATACTGAACGCCCTGCTTGTTTAGAATCAATGGCCGTTGGATGTTATGTGTCTAGGATACTCGCTGGGCCTGTTGTAGTTGACGCATAGACACCATAGACATCGTGTAGAATGTGTCGTCCAAGGCAATGTCTTTCTTTCTTTCCCCGTGTCAACAACTCTGAAGAATGAGCATCGAGCAAGGCGTAAGATAATATATAAGGCATGTATTCTTAAATCCGAACTTCTCATACTCGCAATATAAAATACGCATGTAGCAAACGCATTTCCAATTCCAACGTACAGCAAGTTCCCATTCGAACAGATCCTACATCCCAGTCTCTGGAGCGTGCGTCTCTTACAGGAATGGAATACTACCTTCCACACTATCAGAATGAAGCCTGATTCTCCGTACGCGTAGGCATAGCAACAGCTGTCTCCACTGGATAATCTGCTGTCTACTGCAGTGGATCCCTGTAAGCTCAACCTGAAAAGACTTCACTGGCAATCCTCTCACTTGTTCGGATGGACGGCTCACCCAGGCTGTCGTTCATTGGGATCAAATGAAGAGTCTCGTAGTGAAGAACAAGGGCAGAGTCTCTTTTCTTCTTCTCTCCTTCACCTGCTTGATATTCTCTGAAGCTGTATTCTCTCTTCCCGGTCAGCAGCAAGTAGATGGGCAGCTCGACATGGCATGGCAAGCCCCTCCCTCTAGACCTACAGCATAGATTGCAGTAGAATGGGACATGCCTTATTCACTGCCATGCTCAGTGACTAACTGCTGGGAATTCCCTCAATATTCCCTCGGGCATATTTCCTCTCTCCCTCGAAGCGAGACTATAAAATCCCCTTTCTCTTCCTCCTTCTCACCCTGTTGCAATCATTCCAACTCGTTCTGCATGTGCAAGCGTAACCAGCTCAAGCAAAGCTCACACGTTACTCCCACTCCTTCTCCTTGAACAAAAGCTGTAGGTGTTTCTGTCTCTCTCTTCTCACAGTTGAAGGTCTTGATTGACGCGTCGTCTGCTCGACAGCGCCTTACTGAGCGTCTACTATCCTTCTTTCTATCCCACCAGTCGCAGATGGTCCTTCTGTAAGTCTTGATTCACGTTTTAATCTTGGTAGTTCCAGTTTACTGACATACCCTGCCATGTTCACAGCTTCTGTTCGTCGACGTCGGCACTGTTGAAATGACAACTCCTGCGGAACAGCTTTTCTTGTTCGGTGAGGTCGTCCCAGATCTACCCAGCTGGGCAGTTCTGGACCTGACGACCACTGGCTCGATGCTGTTCGCTGGGGTGTGTCTCCTCAGCTTGGTGGTCGGATATTTCGGCCATCTGTCATGGGTCTTTTGGCTCATGTACTCCTTGTTCTCGACCGTCGCATCGAGCCTCACTGTGGCGCCAGTTTATGCGTTGGCCTCCGGTGCAAGGCTAGTTCTTGCATCCACTAGCTCTCCCCAAGAGCTGCAGGTCGCGCTCGATCGTCTGCGGGACCGGTTCATCCTCCGTACTATGGAGTCCCGTCTCTACCGTTGGTGCGCATCCGCGCTTGGCTGGCTGTTCCCGGCAGACTCCGTCACCATGGTCTGTCGTTTGTTCGTTGTCGCCCTTGCCGCCAGGACCGCGTTTCCGGCTCTCCTCGTTCCTATGGCGGAGGCCCTCGCCGGCTTTGCCGAGGGGTTTCTGTCCGGGAACTTGGAGCTGTCCGGATTCTGCATCTCGGTCCAGGACTGGTCTGCGGGCCAAGCTGGTCTCAGCATACGCCAGTGGAAACAGCTGTGCTATTGCGTTGGGGAGGCGGCCGGGTTGGAGGCGAAGGCCATAGTCGAGGACGACTGGGGGTTCGACGACATCTACGACCGCGAGATCCACCATCTCTTCGCTCTTGCGTTCGTGGCCACCGCCTTGGTCATCACCACTGCTGTTGCTCTCACAAGGGAGGTTGTCGTGAGGTATGCTAACCGTGCTGTCCGAGAGCGACGGCGGGCCGAGGCAAAGCTTCGAGACGAACTCCACCGGCAGCAGGAAGTCGATGAGCTACGTACTGCAGTTCGCGACTATCAATTTCTGCTTGCCAATGAAAGCGGACTAGTCGCAGCCAAAGATGCGGAGCTCAGAGTGGCCAAGCAGAAGCTGGAGATGTGTCGGGCCGAAGTCAAATCGTTGAAGGCTCCGCGCGACAATGCTATGATTCTCCGCTGGCGTCTTCCGGATCCTCGCGTTGCAGAACTGCAGCAGAGTCTGGAGCAAAAAGTAAAGTCCTTCAATGCGGCCGAGGAGAAGCTGAGGATGGCACAGGAAGATGCCAATGCGAGAGAGCGATCCCTCGAATTCAAAGTGGCCACGCTGGAACAGCAGCTGGCCGAGAGGGAACAAGCGGATGACAAGTCCCTGAGTGAGAATGCATCACTCAGAGCTGCGCTAGAAATGCAGACCCGGAAGCTGGAGACTGCATCCCAACTGCTCGAAGCCAACGAGCACCGCCTGGCCGCCGTGGAGGAGCGGTGTGAACTATCCTGGCGCCAAATGGGCATCGAACGCCAGAAATTCGCCGCCGAAAGTCAACGCCTCGTCGCCGATTGCCAAAGACTGACCTCGGAAAGGCAACTTTTCGAGGCTCAAGTCAATGGGCTCACGGTTCAGGTCCGGCTCGAACAGGAAAAGTTCCAGCAGGCAACTGCCGAGTACAGGTCACTCCAGATTTCGTACGACGAGCTGATGGGCCAGGTCTTCGAGAACTCGGACCGCGACCAGGAGAACGCGGAACTGAGGCGTGAGCTCGAGGCGACGAAGGAGGCGGCGGAAGCAAGAATCGCGGAACTTCAGGGGTCAGTGTACCTGGCTAATCAATCGGCTAAAAGCTCCCGCCAGACAATGCACGACTTCAAGCTAGCCTGTGACACGGTTTGCGCACAGGACAGCAAGGAACATGCCGCGACCCTTTTGCTGGTCGAAAGACTCGAATCCGAGGTCTCCGACCTGGAGAGGAGACTCGGCAAGACCCTGAGGGATGCAAGCGAGAGCCGGAAGCAAGCGGAGGAGTTCAGGGAGCTCGCAAGGGCCACTGAACTCCGCCTGGCCAAGTACGAGCCTCTCCAGGGTAGTAGTTCGCAGGGGATCCCAACGTACCGTTCGGGGCGATCGGCCTGGGTCTCGAACGCCCTGGAGGAGAGCCGAGTGACCGTGGCACTGCAGTCGGCGGAGATTGAGCAGCTGAAGAGCAAACTCGAAGCTGCCAAGCAGGGTGCACCGAGTCCCTCCGAAGAGGCGATACATCAAATCGCACGACTGCGGAGCGATCTGGAAGGAGAGAGGCGTGCGCGCACCGAGGACCAAATCCGCTGGGACAGGCGGACGAGGGAACTCGAGGAGGAGAACCGGCGACTGCGGATCTCCCGGTCTAACGATGCCGGCGTGTTTAACAGACGCGCCGGCAGGCGTTAGATCTGCGGCGCGCCTCTCAACTCCGACCTGATCGTCTCCGAGCCTTCGGACGACGGTGGTTGATTTGGGCAGATTGCTCTCGGGAGGTATCTTCTGACCTGTTCGGTGGCTCTCCTAGTGGCATCTTTTGGAATGGAATGTGACTCCGGGGTTGAGGATTTATCATTTGATCGTTTCGTTTTGCACGGTTCGATTTCCTCGTATTGTCAGGATAGCATCGTCTCTCGCCTTTCTTCTGCTTCCCTTTTTTGGCCTGGAGACTCGTCAAAGGATCCTATGATCGCTTTGCCCACCAGCGCAAATGCGAAGCTCAGCGAGGACGTTCCAGAAGTCAGACATTCCGAGGTATGAAGACCGACAGCAGCCCTGACGCAACGGCATCGCGGATGTTTGGGCCAGCTTTAATTTACCTCAGAAAGCTAGCGGCAAAGACCCCTGTCCGGTGGAGTCTCTTCGTTGCTTTCCAGTGATGACCCTGTCGGAGCGCCAACATTATCTATGGAGTCATAGTGCACGAACCATCGCCTTTCGTCGTCCCCTTTTCCTCCAGCACCCAACCCCCTCTGTCACATTCATTCCCCCCAGTTGCAGATGCATCTGTATCTCATTGTTCGATCCCTCTGAGTGTCGCTCGTTTTCTCTCGTTGTTACTGCTACGTTTCTAGCTTCGTCGGTTCTGCGCGTTTACAGCTCTGCTTTGTAGTCGTGCCCTGACTGCAAGCGCCAGCTATCTTGGCGACAGTGGAGGACAACTACCCCTTGCTAATATCCTCGACCCAGGGATTGGACCCGGTGCAATTGCCAGCCGCTCCTTTTATCGTCTCGCATCAACTCTTGATCTGTCCCTCAGGAGTGCGACTGGTCTGAAACGCCTTGTTGTCACCCCTCTCTCCGGTAATGGTATGTGACCATGCCGCTCTAGCGGCCACTGTGAAACTCGCTCTTTGAACGCCGCGCTCCTCGTCGCTTGTTGTCCGTGTTCTTTATTCATCAGTCATTCTTTCTCTGGGCATTGCTCTCTTCCTCCAGCGGAGGATAAGGCTGTGTCTTGGGCTGGTCCAAGTTCAATTTACACTCGGGCCGTGTTTTCGTTGCGCGCGTGTCCGTTGCTGGCGAGATCGCCAATTTCCTCGACGCCCTGGCAGGTCCAGATCACGTACTGCTACATTCACTTTACACACCATGCCCTGCTTTGGGGATCGAGAGAAGGGAGAGGTGCGTGTGGAAGAGAAATGGGATTACATTGTAAGTGGTTTCGATCTCCCCGACTGGCTGCTTCTTTCTTCCTGACCGTTTTCAGAATCTCAGCGACTTTAAAGCACGGTCCTGTTGGACGCCATTCTCTTACTTCTTTCTCCTTTTTTTTCTCGTGATATCTGTCGCCGTCTACGCTGTAGACACTTTCACCGCCGTCAACCTTCTTGCCTTTTCCCGGTGGTCTGGTGAAATCGAGCCTGCGATACCGTTTAAAATTTCCAGATGGATTTTTACAGTCTGCATTCTCCTGTCCTTCGCTCTTTTAATTGTACGCTGGGTTCTTGCCATCCGCGCTATGCGATCCGGCAGCATCGCTGAAAGCTACCTCAACTCTCTCGCTGTGCGCGTTGAGAGCATTCGTGTGGGAAAGGCTCGCGGTTGGAAAAGGTTTCTTGTTTTTGCGGAACTGACAAAGAGTCGGAAAGGTGTTGAATACGTCGCTCTCTTTGTGTACTTCTCCTTTGAATGTGAGACATGCCTTGATCCCTGATGACGCATCTCGTGCTAACAGTCTGCAGCTTGGTTGAGAACGATCTTCGCAGATGGGCCACGCCAAGTTGTCAACGCGATCACATTGTATTCGGTCATGAGATTGAATCTACTCCCGGAAGGCGAACATGCCTCCCATGACGGCAAATCCTCCTTTGAACAATTTTTCGACAATATCAAAGCCATGGGGGAGCACAATGAACGGCAAGCTGTCGTCATGTTCGCTATGCTCTTCACGCTGATCGTCTGGGTCATTTCAATTTTGCAACTAGCTGTGGCTGTCGTCTTGTACCTCCTGTTTCTCTTTCATTACATTCCTACTGGAGATGGCTCTCTTAAGGGGTACTGCCGTCGAAAGATAAACACAAGACTCAAGGAGATCGTCCGACGAAAAGTCACCAAGGCTTTGAACAAAGGAGTGCCCCTGATGGACCGAAAGCCTACACAACCGAATTTCGGTCCAGGGGACAGGAAACCGACTCTCCCCACCCTTCCCTCCGTGGACAGCTTTGATGGTGACAAGCTACCCAGAATAAACTTGTCTCGAACAACAACCGAAACCACTTTGCCGCCATACTCGCGTCCGGGAACAACACCACCCGACCAGAATCCAAGCCTGCACAGGCAACCGACCATCCCGGATTTGACATTGTCTGAAGACCAGCTACCACTGAAACGAACTGTCACTGAAGCTTCTGCATATTCCGAATCGGCTTTTCTTACTGAACAGGCAGCGACAATGGGATATAGCCCCATTGATCATCGTCAACCCTATGCGGCGCCTCCTGTTCCTCCATTGCCAAAAGAGGGTCTGACGCGCTTCCAATCACCGATCCCCGGAGCGTCGACTGCTGAATCGCGATATACGCCTGGTTACCGGCCATCTGCCGACGGATTCAGCCGCAGAAGCCCTGCAACTGAGAACCAGGGTCCGACCGGTAACTATGATCCTTATACTACAGGTCCTAATAGTAATCGGCCTTACGGAGCGCTGGGTCCGGCAGCAGAGCCAAACGCACGGTCTTTGACCCCAAGAGGTGCCTGGTCGCCGCCAAATGACACATATCCTGGTCGTACGCTCACCCCAACCAACCGCGCTCCTTCCACGCGTCCGCAAGCGGACATTGACATGGGAGACTATCGAACAAATCCAACCAGGTCTGTCAGTCCGGGCTTCCAAGGATGTTCCTCTCGTGCCGATGCCTACCTTCCATTCGATCCATCATCGGCATACCGTGCACAGTCTCCAAATATTCGTCCCGGCACTGTGGCGCCGCCAAATGGATACGATAATCGTGGTCAAGGATACTCGGCGTGGAACGGTACTCCCTATCCAACGCGGTATGGCCCTAGGGGGGCATTTTAACAATATGGGCATAATTCAAATGTCCTGCACACACCAAAGGAGCTTGACTTCGATCCGGCTCTCCTTCATTTTCCAACTGTGATTATTACATTCGCTTTTTCTATTGATTTGGTTCGTCATTTCAGCGAGTTCTATTTCTCAGTCTGTTTTGTAGGCATGCATATGAAGCAGCTGGGATGCTTTCTTAGTTTCACGACGAGATAAAAGAGTTTGGAGCTGAGCTCGGCTCTACCATACCAACGACACGTTTATATTTTCTTTTACGAATATTTTCATTATCAAGCTGGCATGAACGACGGAGGCCTCTTGAAAATTATACCCCATTACCAACTTTTTTTCGATAATACCATTCTCTTCGCTTCGCTATTGTTCTATGTTGATTTCGCTCCTTGATCGCGTACTGGTAACGAAGCCAGACGTGTTACATTGAGCTTGTATGTACACACACGCATTGGAACACAGTGCGACTTGTTAAACTGCTAAAAAGACGCGTAGAGGCTTGAATATCAAATCAAACCCCCTGGTCGTGGATGATTAAAAGAACTAGTGGCTATAATTCGTATTGTGGCATTTTCTAGACTGTCAGAGAGCACTCGTCATGTCTTCCAGCGTAACCTATTCCTGCCGGAATCAAAGAAACCAGCCACCACGAAGTCACAGCTAGGAACAGGGGATTTGCTGGTGATAATAACCAAGAGATCTTCTCGAGCTTGTTTTAAGGTTGGAAATGTTAGTGCTCATCCGGAACGCCAAGACTGGTGACAGCTAACTTGAATCAACCTGTGCTTTCTCTGGTGAAGCTTCCACCTACCGTCACAGCGCGCGTCATTCCACTACCAACGCAGCACAATGCTGTGTCTTCGAATCTAACGTCCACTGCCCTTACCTATCTCCGTGTGCAATCTGCCACACATGTCACACCGACAGCGTACCCTTGAATCATTCACCAGGCACCTCAGCAACAGGCTGAAGCGGCGGTCTCGAACCCTGGAATCCGATCAAGTGACAGACGCCGACGCCGACACCACTGCCTCTCGATCCGAACTCTCCAATGTAGCGATAATGAATGATGATGGTTCCCTTGAGGGACTTGGATCAGCATCTGTCGCTCTGGACGGGATGCAGGATGTTGATGAGGATGGTCGGGAACGAATGGACAACTTGATGAATGGAACTGGAGACCAAGAGCAAGCGCCGCTATTCAAACATCCACGGTCGAAGACGATTTCAGCAGGGATGCATGTTGGCAATGGTAATAATGGTGATCGCATTACGAATGGGGAGAACGACAAACCTGGGCACGCGAATGACCATCGCTATTCGATTCCATCGTCAGGACAGGATCTAGACGCACTTTTTGAGCATTCGCAGCTAGAAACAAATGGTGGAAACGGGATATTCGATGGTTCCAGGGCAGCTACTGGGTTGATTGGGCCGTCTGGGGAGAGCTCGCCACGGAGAGGCGGTCCTGACAGAGTCTTGAAGCTGTCACCGTCGAAGATTCAGGAACTCACATCGTCGCCTGAATCGGTTCCTTATCGGATATTTCCCTTTCCCTCGACCTTGGATGAGGCTCAAAAGGATGAGTCAGAGCAGCTGCTGGATGGTGAGACGGAAACAGCAAGGGACACCCCTGTAATGAAAGTGCGAGGAAGGAAGGATTCGCATCCTAGAGGTCGACCTCATGCGTTGCGGACCTTTTCGACACCAACGCCGTCCCGCAGACCGGTACAGCTCTCTTCTAATAGCGAGCGTCTATCGCAGACCTGGGCATCGCGGACAAGACAGGGTAGACCCGGTGGTAACGGACGCATTGATCTCGACTTGAAGAATCCCAACCTCGTGCCCCCGTCGCAGCAGATCGCCGATCCCCTTCCATCTCCAATGCCATTGTCAATCCCCCTCCCTCCTCTTTCGATACCTACATACCTTCAATTGGAGCTGGCCTCTGGAAGACCGTCACCTTTATACATACACCGTTCCGTTCCAAGTGAATTTCCTTACGAGTCGTCTCGCGTGAAGCTCGAGAGACTAGTCAATTTTCTCATGCTCCCGCCAGCCCTGGAGCAGGTGCTTTGGTTTGGGGCCCTGGCATGTCTTGATTCGTGGCTGTATTCATTTACCATACTTCCGTTGCGGTTCATCAAAGCGGTATACATATTGCTTGAATCATGGGTGGTGAATATTGGGGTTGAGGTTCGGTATATTTCTACCTTTGTTGTGAAGGGTATCGGGAGAGTGTGGCGGAGAAAGACACAGTCCGTTGCAGGGACAGAGCTGGAAAGCCGGTCTCGAACTGTCTCTGGTTCTTCTGCCAGGGTCGAGACGCTTGATGGGGGAGAGCGAGATGCCAGAGGCAAATCCTTGGAACCAGGAAGACGACATCGACGCCCCGACGGGCAGAAGTCGCATCATCGCCGGCAGAAGTCGATTCCTTCGGCGCTGCTCCCTGACGACAAAGCGGATATCTTAAAGGGCCTGCTCATGATTGCAACTTGTTCTGTTCTTATGTATTTCGATGCAAGCAGGATGTACCACTGGATTCGGGGACAGGCAGCCATCAAGCTCTATGTGATTTACAATGTACTCGAAGTGAGTGACCGTCTGTTGGCTGCTATCGGGCAGGATGTCCTGGAGTGTCTCTTTTCTCGAGAGGCGTTGGAACGCAAGCCTGACGGACGAAGCAAGGTCCTCCGGCCGTCCTGGCTCTTCCTTCTGGCCCTCGCATATACCGTGCTCCATGCCACGGCGCTCTTCTACCAGGTCATGACTCTGAACGTTGCTGTGAATTCCTACTCGAATGCTCTCATCACTCTCCTTCTTTCCAACCAATTCGTCGAGATCAAATCGACCGTGTTTAAGAAGTTCGAAAAGGAGAACCTGTTCCAGCTAACCTGTGCGGACGTGGTGGAGCGGTTTCAGCTGTGGCTTATGCTCACCATCATTGCGTTGAGGAATATCGTGGAGACTGGAGCTTTCGACATCTTTGGCAGTCTTGGATCGAGCTTCGGCAGCAGCTTGTCAACAAGCACCAACAGTACGCCGCTGTCGACTCCTCCCCGTACGGCCACTTCGATACTCCCTAAGTCCTTTACTCTGTTCCCCTCCTCTCTCATCTCTTCTTTCAGCGGAAACTCCTTCATCTCGACTTTGGGACAGGTCATGGGCCCTTTCCTGGTTGTACTCGGGTCGGAAATGATAGTCGACTGGCTAAAGCACGCTTACATCAATAAATTCAACAACACTCGTCCTGCTATCTATGGTCGTTTCCTCGATATTCTGGCAAAGGATTACTACACCAATGCATTCGTTGACCAGAATCTCACCCGCAGACTGGGTCTCCCAGTCATCCCGCTGAGCTGCCTCTTCTTCCGCATCTCCGTGCAGACATACCAGATGTTTCTTGCCTCGCTGCTTCCTTATCCTCCCTCGTCATCAACAGCTGTTGAAGCTCCCACCCTCTCATCTATACATAATAGCCACTACTTCTCCTCTTCTCCCTCGCCGGCCGCTGTGCCTCTCACATCCCCTATTACGCTAAAAAATATCATTCCAACATCTGCCGCTCACATCAATGCCTTCTTCCGCGCTATGCTTGCCAATGCCATGCCGACGCCGGCCCGCTCAGTCCAGATTTTCACTGTCGTCCTCATCCTCACTGGATTTGTCGCCCTGCTGATTGTCAAACTGATGCTAGGCATGCTACTTCTCAATTTTGCGCAATCGAGATACAAATCCATGAAAAACCACGAAATTAGTCGCCAACAGCGGCAACAGCAACAACAGCAACAACACCATTCACAGACTCCTGCGGCTACGACTGCATCTACGTCCACTAGTACGAATAATAATGCGAGTGATGATTCCTGGGGGTCAGTCCTAGCCGATAGCATGGGCTCAGATTCCCGTAATCGTGGCCACGCCGTAGACGGCAGCCGTCGCGTGGGTGGATGGGGTGTTGTAGAAGTCAACGATGACAAGAGACGGTGGATCTATGTGGATGATCCTGAGGGATTGCGGCGGCTGAAAGAGAAAGAGGATAAGGAGAGGGAGAAGAGTTTTAAGGAGAGTACTGGAGGAATTGGTGGCATGGAACATGTTACGAGGTATGAGATGGTTGCGAAGAGGATATGGTGATGGTTCTCTCCTGGATTAGCCTGCATAGCTTCTGGTTAGAAGGTACTATAGGATTAAGACACTTTAATAGATAATAATGTAATCTTTGCACATGGTACATGATACATGTAAGCATCAAGCAAAAGACCCCCAAGAAACGCCATAGAAATACATACTATCACCCCAACAGAATAATCTAGTCCCCTTGAACAAGTTGTTCTATACCAGGTACTTTTCAGGCAACCTTTCAAAAACAAATTTAAAAATCTCCCGACTCTTATACAAGTTCTCTACACGCAGCCGCTCATTATCCAAATGCGCATTATCACTCGCCTGGCCGCAGGGCAAGTTGGCAGCTGGCGCACAGAATTCCTTCTCCAAGAATCTGATGGTGGGGATAGATCCACCTTCTCGGATATAGATTGGTTTGACCTCCCGTGAGGGGTGATGAGAGGTGATATTGGGATAGTGGGGATGAAGTGATAGTTTCTGATTCTGATCCTGTTGTGGTTGTGGTTGTGATTGTGGTGGCGACGAGGTAGAGGTCAAGGTAGTATGTCGAACACTATCAGACGCAGGATCAGAATTATCATTGTTGTTATTGTTAATTAGAGTCGACGACGTCGGAACCGGAGTGGACAGGGTAGACCGTTTCCGGGTGGCTGTTTTCCCCAGCGACGAAGACGTCGTCGACGAAATAACGCGGTCGATATGCGAGGCCAGACTATCCGAAGAGTCCTTCCGGATGAGAGTCTCCTGTCCCTGGATCCCCGGTCTGGCAGGGGCATTATTGTGGCAATCGACGATGTGCGAGTATAATCGTCTCTGGGCGACTTGGTTTATATCCGGGGTCCAAGCGGCGGAGATACCGCGGGAGAGGGTTTCGAAGATTTCGTTCTCGGGATCGCCTAGCCACGGTTCTGACTTTCCTGTTATTTCGACCGTGAGGTCGTTCTGGGATTCCAGGATGGCGAACTGCTCCTGTGCGTAGGCGGTTAGGTTTGCGGCTACTTCGTCTGCGTCTTGGTTTGGGACGATACGGATGGATAGGCTGGCTTTGGCTTTGCGGGAGATGGTTGTAGTCGCGTTTTTGCATCCGGGAACCTCGATGCAGTGGATTGTCAGGGATGGTTCGCGCCAGCGATGCATGAGGGAGTCGATGAAGGCTTCGCTGTCTGGAATCTCTGGGTGACGGGGCAGGATCGCTTCGGCAATGGCTGCGTATCGCCTTTTCTCCGCCTCATTCAGGGGTAAGACGGGATCGTGGAAGCCCGGGAGGTTGATTTTTCCCTTGGGACCGACAAGAGTGGCTAGGAGCATGGAAAGGTCCTTCAAGGGCTCGTCCAGAAGCGAACTGCCGTCGATTCCACTGTGGAGGTCGGGATGGTCGCTCGTAATGACCAGGTTGGCATGGACGACACCGCGAAGACCATACGTCAAGCAGGGGTAGTAGTCATCCAGCCAGTAGCTGTTGGCGAGTAGAATCCAATCGACCGGTCCGATTTGGGATTTGTGTTGTCGGACGGTCTCACGGAAGCCCTGTGAGCCCGATTCCTCCTCGCCCTCGATGAGAAAGACAACGTTGCATCGGAGTGCCTTGGTTCGAGCAAGATCTGCAGCGGCATACAGTGCTGCCAATATCGGGCCCTTGTTATCAGATACACCGCGCCCGTACAGGAAGCCGTTGATAGAGGTCAATTGAAATGGATCGGTCCTCCACTTGGGTCGATTGGTTTCCGCACTGACGACGTCGTAGTGGCCATAGAATAGGATCGTTTTGTCCACTTGGTCGGGTGAAGTCGCGTTGAATCTCGCATGGACGATAGGATTCGTATCCTGGCCGGTGGTGAGCAGACGGGTTTTGGCACCGAGGTAAATGCAATGACGACGGAGGAAGGCCGCGCCTTGGTGGCATTCCCCAGAGAACTTCGGGCTTGAGGAGATTGTCTTGAAGGCGACAAACTTGGCCAAGCCGTTTACCATTTCGTCTGTGAATCTCAATGTCAGCTTCATGATGGTACTGGAAGTTGCAGGTTGAATAGCATTCCCATACCATTGCCAATTGGGGGCAGCTCCTCTTGCTCACGAGAGATCTCAGTCAGATCCCATATTCCGACGGTGTTGTCGTTTCCTCCGGTTACGTATATACACCGGTCCTTGACCTTATTGGCGGCTGAAGCCAGCATAGTACCCTCGTGGGCGACCCAGCTCCCGATTTCCTCGAATCTAGAGTTGAATTTCTACGCAGGGCATTAGCGGGTATACATGACAGCCAAGGGGGATTAGGAAGTCACCTTCACAATTCCATTGGAATCGCCACAGACAGCTACACCTCTGATGATATCAACAGCCCACAGGTCACCGGTGTGCTTCGTAAATCGTTTCACGAGCTGCAAAGAGTCTAGGTTCCATATATTCAAAGCACCTCCGGCGACTCCGCAATACAGGAACGATCCATCGACTGCAAGGGAAAGAACGGGGTCACTATTGTTGAGCTTTGCAATCTGCACGGGAGCAGCGTCCGGATGCTGTCCCAGATGCCAAAGCTTGGCGGTGCCGTCTCCGGAACCGGTGACAAGTGTCTCTTCAGAAGGGGAGGACTCGACGAGACCTCTGACGAGCAGCATGGAGTACACGTAGCCATGGTGAGAGAACAATTTGTGGTGATCCCGTTTAAATGTCATTGCTTTACAGGTCGCCTGGGAGAGCGAGGAGACATTGTCATGGCTGGAATCTGGCCGCGGAGTGCGCTGGCCATCCGGACCCTTGGAGTCAAAGAATCGATGGGTCCGTTGCGATGGATGTGCAGAAGATCCATGATGCACTGCGGCATCCACATTCGAGAGATCGCACCACTGTGAAAGGTTTTAGACATCAGGGATAGTCGGAGGAATGGGGGGGATTTACTTGGATGCTGGTGTTCTGACCACCACAGTAAACAGTCTTCAAGCTAGAAGAGTAGACAACGGCAAAGAGATCGCCGACATCATAGTGAGAGTAAATGGAGTACAGCCGTTCAAAGGTTCTCGTGTTCCACACCTGCGTTTGGTTAGTTGCGTCCAATATTGACATCGGCCGGACAGGCACTTACGTTCACTACTGAATCACCACCACTGGAGAAAAGCAGGGTGCCATCCTCGGAAAGATAGAGGCCCAGAACACTCTCCTTGTGGGCATGGACGGAGAGCGCGAGGTCGTACGTCTCGAGAGACCATGCCTGGTGGTCAACCAACGTTGTTAGCACCAGAGCTACTTTGAATCCACAGCAAGCAGCTAATGCTCACCAGGATGTCTCCGCCCTGCAAACCGGCGAAGACGAACTCGTCGTCCAGGACCAAGGACAGAACCGAACGGCTGGCAACGACACGATGGCCAAAACCACATTTGGAGTCGTCATCGTCAACATCTCTGGCACGTGCCAGAGAGGGCGGCTCGGTCTCCCATTCCTTTGTCTGGTCATCAACCTCCGAGTTGGTGTCGGACTCCCCTAAGTAATCCATTGTTGAAACTCAGCTAATCTGTTCAAGAGTGGAGGCAGGCGGCAGCTTCTGGGCTGGCGGAGATTTCCGTGCGCCTTGGAAGTGTTTATTATTAATTAGGTTTTTCTTCTGCTCTCGTCCATTTATTACTGTCCTGCTTTCTTTTTTTTTTTTTTTTTTTTTTTCTCTCCCTTTTTGTGGTGCACGTTTCAGTGTATTTCTTTTTCTTCCTTCTTTCTCCCCCAATGCAGTCTTTTAAGCTGCCGTGGCCATTGGGGATGAACCACGGTTGAATCTGGTGTGGCGGTGCAGATCGAGAGACTGATAGAAGATCAAGAATAACAAATAAGAGACAAAGTCCTACTCACCAATGCTCATGCTATGCTCCATGGTTTTCCGGGGGTCCCGGCAGCAGGCTGGTCTGGAAGGAGATAGGAACAGTGAGAAGGTGAAGTTGTCTTGCAGTCTGTGCTCGCAGGAAGAATGACTCAACGATCAGAGCTCCGATGATCGGGAGTGTCTCTCCCTTTCACCCTCGCACTGTCTTCGACACACAGAGGCCAATGGCTCAAGGACAGCCGGGATGAGAGAAAGAAAGGAAGCAAGGAATCAGAAAGGGTATCAAGAAAGAAATCGACACTGACCGTGATTCCCACAGCATCCGCACCAACGGAGCTGTGCCGTTGTTGTCTGCTAAATATGGAGCCATTCCGGACAGCTCGTTTCTTGTTGTCTACACGTCTGGTTTACGCCATCAGACAGGAATATAATGGTGATGAGATGCAGTGAGGCGAGAAGATGAGGGGGGGAAGAGAAAGGGGGAGGAAAAAAAGGCTCAACGGCAGAGAGACGAATTCTTTGCAACGGGCTTATTGCGCAAGAATTGAAGAATTTTTTATTTACACTCGCTGATCGTCCTCATCCGGCGTGCATCATTTCCATCATCCCTGTTGGAAGTTGAAACAGTCCATCGACACCAAGAACCTCCAAGCTATGCCATGCCGCCGCATTATGGCATCATCGTCAATCAGGATGCGGGATCTCCGCCAGGTTCATTTGTCGGTGTATTATTATTCTGATGAGTCCGGAGGATCACCATTTAGCTGCACCTCGGACCCCGTATTAATCAACAGCCGCACTGTCTCACGGCATACTGGCAAACATGGTCGCATCTAGCATTGTACAACAGACTTCACGGTAAATGTCGAAAATATAGATGGTAGACCGTAAGACAGATACGTTCTTGGCGAAGGTAACTAGTATTGGGAATTATCCATACGTGCAACAGCATTCCTTGCCCGCAAGCTCATGCACCACCCACCCAGAGGTCCTTTTCCACAAAGCGATCCTGGTCCTATAGTCCATTTGCACGCAAGGATCTCTTTCGCCTTCAGTCACTGAGGGCGCAGACGTCTCGCTCAAACGCCGCGTGATCATCCCTTTTTGCTTTGGAGTCGAAGTGAGTAGATAGCTCACAGGGCGTCGATTGGGGAGGGGATCTTCCGTAGAGAAGTGCTGGAGGAGACGGCATTCTCAGTGGGCTTTCTGAATACAGCTTTTTGCGCCTCTTGCTTTGATGACGGCTGACGGCTGACGGCTTGTCTGATGAAGCGCTCAGATTCTTCGCTCCTTTCATAGTCAGGACTAGGGATTTTCAGAGCCTCTTCGAGGATTGAAGCCCACTCAATAGCCAAGTATATAGCAACAAATCTGCGAACCAAACATGATGAAGGCTTCCCTATATCGGAGTTAACTTGGGATGTGAAAATGGGGGACCAAAACACACAGAACAGAGGGGCATAGTACTCACTATCTTGGGCGTCTTTTCCACCCCTCTTTGTCCCACGTATCAACTTTATCAGAGGCCCCTTTCTGATAGAAGTTGGACAGTGAGCATTGTTTTGTACATGCAACCCAGAGACAAGAGGCGGCTGCACTCGAAGATCAAGACCATGGAATCCATTCTCTTCACATTCTCGGGTTTGAGTCATGCAGTCTTGACCCTCGACAATCCTCCAATGTAGTCCACAGGATCTTCCAGTCTCATTTCCTCCGATTGTCCGAGAGCGTACTGGAAATGTCGCCAAAGGAACAAGTTGCTTGATGGTTCAACGAGTCACGTGGTTATACACAGCCACCGTGGCACTGCTACCAGCCACCAGCCACAGTCATGTTAACATTTCCTATCGTTCGTCAGGCTTCGCTGCCCAACAGCTTCAAATCAGACTGCAGGAGATGGTGGGCGGTCTTGCTGCTACGTTGTTCCTCGCACTAACAGCTTGTGTCTAGGCAAATCACACTGTGACAGCAAACCGTTCCCCACGCGCCGACCAATCTATCCAGCTGGCGCCGTGCTAGATGCCTCATCAGCTAGCAGCGTAGCATAGGCCCGTCGTCTATTTTTACGCAGCACGCGTCCTTCCGGCTGTCCAGCCACAGCCTGTTAGTTCGGCCATATAATGTCTGAAGTTTATATGGCGCTCGATTCCGCGCGTATTACCAATGATAAACCCGGCTTTATCATGCTACGCCCAGGTGGCCAGGGATTTGGTCGCCCCTGCGTGAGTGAAGAGTAGATCTATGCATCAGCCAGCTGCATCGAGTCACTAGCGAACACTTTGGACCTTAAATAACGCTGCTTGCCCCCCTCTGGCCTCCTGGATGCCCAAATGAACCCATGTACGAATATCTCTCCCATTTACAGATAAAGCTGGCTCCATTGCGGCTCGCTTGCGCTCTGTCACTGCAGAGCTAGGTCCTGTTCACCGCTGGTTCGGCGACTTAACGCGGATCCGCCATTCCTCATAAGCAGCTCCAAGCGGACTGTCCAGCAGAGAAAGGACTGCCTGGAAGGTGCTAACTGTCGTCCTCTCGTCATCATGGCACCCCTAAGTGAGACGATTGCCGTAATTGACAAGTCCGGTAAGATTGTGAGCTCGGTATGTGAATTTGGCCCCAGATAAGCATGAAAGTCTTCTAGCAAACTGACTCTTTCCTCCTCATCTTGCTAGAGCAAACATCTCTTTGGTGTCTTCAGGGAAGCTAGGGATGCCTACAGAGAGTCCAAGGCCCAAGTTATATCAGAGCGAAATGCAAAGATTGCAGAACAACAGGCCCTGAAAGCACTGCAGAACTACCATATCGACGACTCTCCGTCCGTCGCTTCCTCTCGAAGAAGCAGGAGGTCCCACTCACAGCATCATTCCCGACGAAGCCATCATCCGCATGCGGCCGGTTCTCAGTATGAGCGATCCATTGCACCAGAGGCGCAAAGCTTCTACTCTCATCCGGGAGACCTGGTTCGCCGTCATACCGATTTCGATGCCGTGGTTCAGACACAACCGCAACGACCGACGACCAGTCGGTCCAAGTCAGAAAAAGACATCGACATGGATCTTGCATACGGGGAATGTCATCACTCCATATTCTCCCAACCAGAAGCAGCCCGCAAGCCCGATGGTGACCAGGAATTGAAGGTCCTTGTCTCCAGGACCCAACGGATCCTGGACGAAGCCAATTGTCTTCACTCCAGCGCGCAGGCCACCATCAACCATCTGCAGAAGAACCCTGATGCCATGGCCGCCGTGGCGCTGACCTTGGCCGAGATCAGCAACCTCGTCACGAAGATGGCCCCATCGGTACTTGCTGCGTTTAAAGCCGCCGCCCCTACCGTATTCGGCCTCTTAGCCAGTCCACAGTTCCTGATTGCTGCCGGCCTCGGAGTCGGTGTTACCGTTGTCATGTTCGGCGGATACAAGATCATCAAGAGGATCCAATCCTCCGACAGCGAGAACAATAATAATAGCGGGAACCCTGAAGGAAACAACAATAACAACAACTATGTCAACGGCGAAACGGCCCCTGAAATGGATGAGATGATTGAACTCAACACCGAATGCCTCAGTCACGTCGAGATGTGGCGCCGTGGCGTGGCCGATGTGGAGGCCAAAAGCTGCGGAACATCGGTGGACGGCGAATTCATCACCCCAATCGCTGCTCGTCTATCAGGCATCGATATAAGCACGGCATCAATGAGACGCGACCCTCGGTTCAAGTTCTACGACGATGACGAAGAAGATGACGACTATGTGTCCAGGGCATCATCGCGTCGCTCCCGACGCTCACGGGCTACAGGAGTTAGCTCGAGAGCGCCTCCGAGATCGCGTGCCGAGTCGCATGTCTACGCGCCGTCTCAGGCTTCTTCCAGAACATACACGTATGCACCGTCCAGAGCGCCTACGTCTGCGAGTCGCTCTCATGTATCCAGAGCACCTACATCTGCGGGCCGCTCCCACGTGTCCAGAGCCCCTTCTTCGAAACACGCCTCGCGGGTTTCGGAAGCAGAGAAGAACCCGAAAGAGAAGAAGAGGAAGCGTATATCGAACAAATTACGGTTCTTGCTGAAGACTTGATTTGATCTTCATGAGTCATGTGTATATATTACTTTTTTTGTTCTTTTAATGATTCTGGCTGTTCTAGGTTGGCGTACCTCGGTATATATATAGAAGTTTGGTGTTTGGTACATACATACGGAGTTGGCGCATGGGTCAATAACTCTTTATATCTCTGCATTGACAGGTGTTTGATTGGTATCATTCATTGCACCTGATGTCCATTCGGTATGATATACTACTACTGTATGGAGTAGTAGGAACTGGTCAATCATCACAGCAATACTGAGTCGAGACAATTATGAGACTATGAAATAGACAACAGCAAACATGGAGCTAGCTGCCACGCCCTTTTTCATGAACCTGTTCGTATCCTCAACGAAGTGTAGCAGTGAGAATAAATCGTCTGCGTATCCTTCCACTGCTTTCATATTCGTTACACCATTAGACCTTCCAGACAGAATATAGCAAAATATAAACATAAGACAAGGGCCAATTTTGAATAACCAGCAAAATAAAATTGCCAGGGGAGATTTCTCTCCGCCACAGGCAGAATTACATGGACATAGTCGGTTGTTTCCTTTTCTACTACTTTACTTTACATCTGCTCGCCAGCTCGTGCCTTCATTTCACCGTACTTCTTCAGACGGATAGCAGAGACGGTGATGAATCCGGTAGTTTCGGCAGGAGAGAAGTCACCGATCTCGTCCATGCTGGACTCGGTCATGTCGTACAGCTTCTCGGTTTCCGAGGAGCGGCCCAGGACGATGAAGTTGCCCTTGTACGCACGGCAGCGGACCTGTCCGTTGACGGACTTCTGGGAAGCAGGGATGGAGGCTTCAAGGAACTCGCGTTCTGGGGAGAAGTACAGACCATTGTACAGGAGCTGTCGGACACCGGGTTAGTAATGCCGATAACATAAATAGGGGCCCAATGACGATGAGGTGGGCATTGCTTACCTTGGAGTAGTTAACAGTGACGAATTGGTCACGCAGAGCACGAACTTCACGGTCCAACACAAGACCCTCAAGGTCACTGGAGATCGTTGTTAGAAGAATCGCCTAGGGCTGTTCTCAACGGGGAAGAGAGACATACACGTGAGCAGCACGCAGGCAAGTGAGACCAGGGGTCTCGTAGCAGCCACGAGACTTGATACCGATGAATCGGTTCTCGACCTATTCCAGAATTAGTCTTGCTATATACAGTTTTCGTTGTCCGTAGAACATATCATACAATGTCGATACGGCCAATACCGTTGCGACGCGCGATAGCGTTGGCGGTAAGGAACACGTCCACGGAGTCGGTGGCAACCTTCTTGTTGCCGCCCTCGGTGTACTCAAGCTTTACAGGAGTACCCTTCTCGAAGTGAATGGTAAAGTCTTCGGGCTTATCGGGTGCAGCAAGAGGGTCGACAGTCAATTTCCACATGTCGGTGGGGGGAGTGGTGTTGGGATCTTCCAGGATACCGGCCTCGTATGAGCAGTGGGCCAGGTTCTCGTCCATACTCCATGGCTTGGACTTGGTGGATGTCACGGGGATGCCCTTCTCCGCAGCATAGGCGAGCAGGTCGTTACGGCCCTGGAAGCGGTTGTAGAAGACAGGATCACGCCACGGGGCAATGACCTTGATATCGGGCTGCAGGGCGTAGAAAGCCAGTTCGAAACGGACCTGGTCATTACCCTTGCCGGTGCAGCCGTGGGAAACAGCGAAGCAGCCCTCCCTCTATGGTGGATGACTTCAGTAAGACGTTCTTCAGTGGGCGAGTTGCGAGTGATTACCGACCTTGGCAACGTTGATCTGGGCACGGGCAATGACTGGACGAGCCAGAGAAGTACCTATAGAGTTCACGTTAATACCTCAATCGCTGGATATTCTCATCCCAGGCAGGGCACGACATACCCAGAAGGTAGACGTTTTCATAGATAGCATTGCAAGCAATAGCCGGAAAGCAAAGCTCCTCAACAAACTCCCCTGGAAACCAATGTTAGACAACTCGTCTCCCTCGTAGTGCGGATTGCGTGTACGTACGGCGAAGATCAACGATTTCGCACTTGACAGCACCAATCTTCAAGGCCTTTTGTCTAGCAGCCTCAAAATCCTCTGAACAAGCAGCGTGTTAGTTTGCATGACGATTTGCGGACCATTGCGCTGCGCATTGTCGAGGTTTACCTTCCTGGCCAACATCGGCCACTGTTACCAGTTAGTCTTTGCATTACAGATAACCAAAGAGGCATGGACGGGAAAACCCACTAAACGCGACGACCTCATAGCCCTGCTCAATGAGGTATTTCACTGGCGGAATGAATCAATTAGCAACAGGACGAGCGCATCGAACCCGACGGGGAAGGGCGGTCAAGCGCGTACAGATACAGCTGGTGTCGAGACCGCCAGAATAGGCGAGGCAAACTTTCTTCGACATTGTGACGGTGTGAGCGGCAGTTTTGGAGTTCTGGAGCGGGAGTGAGACGGCGGGGAGGTGGTGGTTGAGGTTGAGGTTGAGGCAATGCAAGTGGAGAAGAGGAAGAGGAAGCATGAGTCAATTGAAAGAAAAACTTCTCTCGAGTCACGCTTTTCCCCGTTTCGGGGAAGCCGAAGTCGGCCGGCAGATAAGATAAGGACAAGATAAGAGCGATAAGATAAAATCACGTGATTTCAATCCTCAGGCATCAATATTAGCTAATCACTGGTTAGTTGGTTAACTAACTAGTTAACTAGTCAGTTAGCTTGCCCTATATTATTTACCGTTGTAGCGTTAAAAATACTAGGATATGTAGATAGGACTCTCTGCTGCGATTGATCAGAAGAGGAGAAGCGTACATCCTCAAATATCTTTAGCTGCTGCGTGCTCCGACTGGCCCCAGCTCACCGTCGCTGCTCCTAGACGATGCTAATCATCTGGGGCGTCGCCCTGTGCGAAAGCCAGTAGTAGTACTCCCTACCTACGTACTCTCCTGGGCACTCTCTTCGCCCGAAGGTGATAGCATAACAGGTCCCTCGGTTTCTTCACTTCCCTACGTCCTCCCAGGGTTGCGTGATCCTTAAAACGTGCGTAATTAATAATCTGCATTGTTTTGATTTCTAAGCCGGTGGAGCTTGTTAACTAATTACTGGGGATCTCTTAAATACAAATTAGTTCGCATTTCTACCAGCTTCCAAGGTTCTCCAGAGATGGTTGATCGCTGTCAAGGGGAGTATAGATATATATAAGGAGAGATCTCTAGCGTTTCCCCTGGATTTTGGATTACTTTCGAACTGGCATTCGCTCACACGGCCATGTCCACCCATCCCGATATCGAGCTCAAGCCCGCTCCCGGAGTCTCCTACTTCACTCCTGCTCAGGTTCCTCCGGCAGGAACTGCAGCAGACCCTCAGTCGGATGGCTTGAAGCCTCCCAAGCTGTTTAAGCCGCTCACCCTGCGTGGTGTCACCTTTCAGAATCGCATCGGGGTAAGTCTGTCGTCACTGTTGCCCCCTCATTCGGGGGATCTCCGCCGGTTGGGCCGGTGTCTGGGACCTTCATTCTCCCCGGCTTCCTTGGCCGATGCTGACAACGGTGGCTACCCAGCTTTCGCCTCTCTGCCAATACTCTGCGCAGGATGGCCACATGACGGACTGGCATTTGGCCCATCTGGGAGGCATTGCCCAGCGGGGGCCTGGCTTCATCATGATCGAGGCAACCGCTGTAGAGCCCGAGGGGCGCATCACCCCTCAGGATGTGGGACTGTGGAAGGACTCCCAGATCGAGCCTCTGAAGCGTGTGGTCGACTTTGTCCACAGCCAGAACCAGATCATCGGTATCCAGATCGCCCACGCTGGCCGCAAAGCCAGTACAGTCGCCCCTTGGCTTTCTTCCGGCGATCTGGCCACGGAGAAGGTCGGCGGCTGGCCGGACCGCGTCAGGGGCCCTTCCAACGTTCCTTTCTCTGACCGTTTTCCTGTCCCCAAGGAATTGACCAAACAGGGGATTGAGGATTTTAAGGCCGCGTGGGTTGCGGCGGTTAAGCGCGCAGTCCAGGCCGGTGTTGATTTCGTCGAGATTCACAATGCCCACGGTTACCTGCTCATGTCTTTCCTTTCCCCGGCCACCAACAAGCGTACGGACGAGTATGGAGGCAGTTTTGAAAACCGCATTCGTCTGTCGTTGGAGATCGCCAAGCTCACTCGGGAGAATGTTCCCAAGGACAAGCCCGTCTTCCTGCGTGTGTCGGCCACCGACTGGCTGGAGGAGTCGCTCCCCGGCCAGCCCAGCTGGCGGTTAGAGGACACGGTTAAATTCGCCAAGGCCCTGGCGGAAAGTGGCGACATCGATCTCCTCGATGTTAGCACGGGCGGCAATCACTCTGCCCAGCACATCCACGCTGGTCCTGGATTCCAGGCTCCGTTCGCCATTGCCGTCAAGAAGGCCGTTGGCGACAAGCTGGCCGTATCTAGCGTCGGGTTGATCAACAACGCCAAACTGGCAAACTCCCTGCTTGAAAAGGAGGGTCTGGACTTTATTCTGGTTGGGCGCGGCTTCCAGAAGAATCCTGGTCTCGTCTGGACGTGGGCGGATGAGCTGGATGTTGAAATCTCCATGGCGAACCAGATCCGCTGGGGATTCAGCAGTCGTGGAGGCGGTCTCTTTCTGAAGAAAGCATCACAGAAGGTTTAGACCATCAGCCATTCTGCTTGATGATAAAGCTAACGGCGGTCGATGCTGGATAGAGCAAGATATAGACCACGGTGACGAATGATGAAGGATACATACAGCATGTTGATGGAATAACACCTATATCTACTTCAAATATCGTGCAACCAAGCGAGTACTCTAGTCAGCGTACTCTAGTCAGCATGAACCCATCCGTGTAACCCACAGCAGCGTCGAGAATCGCCTGCGTATGAATCTCCCCAGGGCAAAGCGTAAGCTGCACCCTAACATCCTGCCCGCCCATCCCCCCCTTGCACCAACGACAGCCGCATATGCCTTAACATGTCTGCTGCAGTAAGGGCTTAGGGCTAGGGTAGAGACACAACTGGCAGACCATCATATAGGAACACGACAGCAAAGCGTTATAACATCAAGAAACATACACAGCCTGTAACTTCTTCCCTCTCCACAGTTCCCATCAGGAAAGAAGGCGTCATTCAAGACGGATTCAAATATAACATCTCGTAGTCATCGCAACTTTTGCATCCAGCGCCATTCCATGTTAGTCCGGAGGCATTCTTCTATCCAAAGCATTATGATTGCCTAGTGTTTACGTTTACCCAGTCTGGACTGCTAGGCCAGAAATCTCTCATGATTCCTGCGCTCTCCCTCCTTTTCTATCTACTATCTCTTTACACATCCAGAGTTCCTACTACATAAAATGTTAAACAGTTAATACACCTCTGGCCATCTTGTGTGGATTTCCGCAGACTGTGCTGACTGAACTTTAGTCAACAACTGTGAAAATATGGGCGCTCACTAAGGACGAATTTAAATCTGCTATTGGAAATGCCATCTCAGAAGGACTGTCGGGAACCGGGGAAATCGTGGGCTTGCTGTTCAGGGCCAGCAGTATGCAGGAGGAACAGTCGTGCATTATTCGAACCATGGCCTGTGCTAATGAACGCGGAAATGCGCTGGTAGGTATAACCTCCTGTTTAGTCCAAACTATAATATGGGTACTGTCCATGGAATAGATAATTTGTGCTATAGCCACAGTAATAACCTCCACAGGGTGCGGTTGTAGGGTTTGGTGTCTGAGGAGGGTCTCACTCGTCCTTCCAATGTGGATATATCAATCCCATTCCCACCGGGCGATGGTGCCTTCGTGTCCGTTTTCCATATCAATTTTATATCAATTTACTTCCCATTATCAGCCGACTTGACATCCGGCACTGGAGAAGCATCATCGACTGTTCGGGGGAAGCCCAGCCGGCACGTGATCGCCATGGCCTCGGTCGATCGTTTCGCGCAGCATTCTTCTTCACTGGCATTACTGTGTTCGTTCTCGGATTCCCCGCAGGAGAATGTGGGGGACAGAAGGGAGCGTTGCTGTCATCATCGCCGTCGGTCTTGTCAATCCGTGCGGACTGTGGAAGAGGAGTTTTGAAACGAAATGGCGACGCTACGGGGTTGTAACGCATGCCCTAAACCGATACATCAACCATGCTTTCTTTGTCTTGATATCTGCTCGATTCAGGGCGATCGCCATTAAAATGCTCATAGCTGATCTATATGAATGAAATACATCAGCTCAGACTGCTGCCGCCTCCGCGTATCCCTTCAATATCCCCTCACCTCCTTCACCAAGACACCGAGAGCTCTCCATGGGATTCAGAAAGAGTCCATTTATGTCCACGTTCCTGGCTGCAAGCCACCTTAACCATTCCGCAAACACTAGCAGCTTCATCAGTACCTACTCCAGGAGCACCAGGCCTCATCAGGCCTGGCCGTCCGCAGCAGACCGCACCCCGTACGCCGTCCTGGGGCTCCAGCCAGGTTCTTGCCCAAGAGGGATCCAACGGGCATGGGACTGAGGAAGCCTGAAATGTTGTTGTTCCTAGTAAACAGATGCCACACCCTTTCCAAGAAGGAAAGCCAATGACTCGAACCGAGTGAGAAGCAGCTAGTTAAAGGGGTCAGGAGATGTCCGAAACGCCTGCATTCGAAAGCCATCGCGATAGGAAAGCAACGGCGAGAGCTTCCCAAAAGGATTATCGGCACCCCTCACGCCGTGCTGTTACTAACTGATTTATCGGCGGATGCCTTTGGTATTGCTTTATAAATGTCTTTCGATCAGACAGGACAGAGCAGTGCCGTACGTGCTGTCAACTTCACAGTCGCATCCTTGCATACAACACAAGATGGGTTCCATCGAGACCCAAGAGCAGCACTACGACGTCCTCATTATCGGGGCTGGGCTCTCCGGCCTCTACAGTCTCTATCATTTGAGAAACCGCTTTCCATCGTGGCGCGTCCAGATCATCGAAGCCGCCGCCGACGTGGGCGGCACCTGGTACTGGAACTGCTATCCTGGGGCTCGAGTCGATACAGAGTCCCTCACATACGGCTACTCGTTCGACAAGGAGCTTCTGGACGAGTGGACTTGGAAAGACACATTCTCCACGCAGCCGGACGTGCTCCAGTACATCCAGCGGGTCTGCCAGAAACACGACTTGCGGAAGGACATCCAATTCAACACACGGATCACATCCGCTCGTTGGCAAGATGCAGACCGTAAATGGCTCTTTACAGACGAGCAAGGAAATCTGTACCGGACGAGGTTTTTCATAAGTTGCATGGGGTTTCTCTCCTCGCCGACTCTGCCCGCGATACCTGGTATCGAGGCCTTTCAGGGCAAGGCCTTCCACACATCCCGCTGGCCAAAGGACCTCGTCCTGAGTCGGGACTTTGCCGGCAAGCGGATTGGAGTCATCGGTACTGGGGCCACAGGCATCCAAGCCATCACGGCCATATCCAAGGAACCCAGTATACGGTCCCTCGACGTCTTCCAGCGGACAGCAAGCTGGTCCGCACCGCTCCGCAACGAAGAAATCACGCCCGAGCAGATGGAGAAATACAGGAAACAATACGACTCCATCTGGCAGGGATGCGCAGAGACGCCAAGCGGTTTCATGCACAAGGCCGATCCCCGGAAGTCCCTCGAAGTATCCGAGGAAGAGCGTCTCGCTCTCTGGGAGAGGATCTACGCCCAGCCCGGCTTCGCGAAATGGCTGGGTACATTCAGCGACACCTACACGAACCCGAAAGCGAACAAGCTCTACTCGGATTACATGGCGAGCAAGATCCGTGCGAGAGTACACGACCCCGAGGTGGCAGAGTCTCTCATTCCCAAGAATCACGGCTTCGGAACACGCCGAGTCCCTCTGGAAAGTGGTTATTTCGAAGCGTACAACCAGCCAAACGTCCACCTCGTCGACCTGCAGAAGACGCCCATCGAAAAGGTCACGGCGGACGGAATCCTGACCGTAGACGGCAAACTGCACGCGCTGGATATTCTGGTATGCGCAACGGGCTTCGATGCCATCACGGGCGCCTTCAATGCTATCGAATGGCGCTCGAAAGACGGACGGCCCCTCATCGGCAGTAGCAGCACCAGGGAAGGCGAAAATGCCATCTGGATCGACCACAGACCACGCACGTATCTCGGCCTGACATCTTTGTCTATGCCCAACCTGTTCATGGTCCTTGGGCCGCACCAGCTGTTTGGAAACGCGCCGCGGAGTATCGAGCACGCTGTGCAGGTTGTCTCTGATCTGCTCCAGTATTGCAAGGAGAACAACTTCCCCTTCGTGGAGCCGACGGAGGAGGCCGTGGACGAATGGACCGAGCACGTCTACGCGTGTAGCAGGGGGGCGTTGTCGAACGAGGTGGACAGTTGGATGACCGGTGTCAACAGCAATGTCAAGGGGAAGCATGTACGGAGTGTTGCGAGATACTCTGGGAGCGCTCAGGAGTATCGCCGGAGATGTGCTGAATGCAAAGCTGCTGGTTGGAAGGGGCTGCAGTTTGCTTAGACCGGCTGTTGCAGAATGAAGGCATGGAGGCATGGAGGCATGGACTGGCTTGTTGAGCCTTCTCTGCTAAGAACTAGACCTGGGTAATCCATTCATTATGGAAACGTAGAGGGCTGAATCCAACTCCATTATAGCTTCACAAGTCCAATCCGTCTGCCCTTGATCACCATAGCGTAATCAGCAGATCCAGCCTCCATCGATATTATACACAGCCCCGGTCACAAAAGACGCCTCGTCGCTCAGCAAAAACGCAATTACCCTTGCAAGCTCAACCGGCTCTGCCCTCCTCTAGTTACCGCAATCGGGCCTGCAACTTGGCAAAATAGCCCATTCTCTCCAGTGATCCTCCAAAGGGCAGCATACATATCCCGTTTAGGAAAGTTTCCGCTATCAGGTGCGGTCTATCACTTTCCCCGCAATCCACGTCTTCCCAGCTAGAGGCATGAGAGGACTTCCCCGCGGTTACGAGAGTGCCTCTTCAGCCGTCAGAATGGCAGCATCGACCGCGCCTGCGCACCGTCGGTCGTTCAACGGATGCATCACGGTAAGCGTCATGCCGGGTTTCCTCCCTGGACGGACACACCTCACTGACCCCCGCAGTGTCGCAGTCGGCATTTAAGATGTGACGAAGGGCGCCCAACATGCTCAATGTGTCGAGAGTACGGGCTTGTGTGTGCCGGGTACAAGAAAGACATCTTCTTCGACTTTGAGCCTCCGATTAGCACCGGCGAGGCTCGCTTCCGACGGCCTCTTCTTACGGAGGAAGAACGCCAGCGCATGAGCCAGTGGCTTGTCTCGAGCGTCTCGCCGCAGTCGGCACATCGGCTGCTCTCGCAGATTGACGATGAAGGCGAGAAGGCGAGCGCCTCTTCGTCCTCTTCGGATCACCTCCAGTTTATCCGCGGCCCGTTTGGGGTGTTCAGATTCGGCCAGGATCAAGCCGCTTCTCCTCCCAGCGAAGAAGCGCGAGAAGCAGAGCCGGAGGATACCAGCGCCAGCTCCAGCACGCCTGTCCGAGATCTGGCTCAAAATAGCGGCGTCTATGCTGTTCCATCAGAGGCTCCTGTGTCGCCATGGCCTCCGGGATTACTGGAATCGCCCTTTGATCAACCCGAACACGATCCAGGTCCGGCAGGTCTCTTCAGCATGATGATGAGCTCGGGTGGCATCGAAGACGCTACGCTGGCACTGCAGGAATGCCAATTCCCGGGGCTGACGTCGAATGCGTACTTTCACGATCCCATAGCGCCTGGAATCCTCCCTCCTCTTCCAAGTGCCAGCGCATCATCCGTTTCTCGGGATGCAGTGTTCCTTCTTCAGCACTACGGCTCGGCGGTCATCAATCTAATGACTCCGTTTCGACATTCGAAAACGCCTTGGCACGTTCTCTTCCTCCCGCAGGTCAAAAATTCACTGGCAGCGCTTACACTGGGCGAAGACTTGAATCATGCGAGCCTGTGCGCGTTTTACGGGACCTTGGCCATCAGCGCCTTTAGCCTCGGTGGTGTCTCTCGATCCAGGAAATGGCTGGAGCAGGGCTCGTCATACCGGCAGCAGGCTCAGGAAGAAGCCCATCTGACGCTGGAGACTGCGTATAATAGTCCCAAGGTAGCCAAGTACAAGACGACCCTGATAGCCCTCCTCACGATGGCACAGGTGTCCATGTTCTCAGGCAGCCGGGGCGATGTGGAAGATTACCTGTTGGAAGCAGAGCAGCTCATCCGGCTACGGGGCCTGGGCCGCAGGAAATCTCGAAAAGTCCGTCTGTTGCACCATTGCTACGCATTCCAGCGATTTTTCCACGAGAGCACATTTCTGTGCAGCGCGAACTCCAGCCGACGACGTCGCATCCGCAGAGCAATCGAGATGAGCGGGCTGGCGCGATACAGCCAGGACAGCCTGACCTTTGGCCTCCCCAGCTGGGGGAATTTGGACCGAGAAATGGCAAAAGTCAAGGAGCGGGAGGAGGCCGAGAATGATTTACATCTCGAACGGCCCGGGATTTGGTATGCGACTCTATATCCCGAGATCTTCGGGATCCCCGAGACATGGGTTTTTCTCCTATCCCAGGCTATCCGTCTGGGAAACGAAAAAGAAGCCGCCGAGCAACGCGTTACGCCGAATCCTCTCGGCTTGAGCGAGTTTGTACGCCGGGCAAAGGCCGTCGAGCGCTGTATCAACCACCTCCAACTGCCAAGTCATTCCTGTCATACTCTTCCCGGTCATCAATCCGAAATGGACCAAGCCGTGCTCGACAACATGCTCGAGGCTTTGCAGCATGCTTTGTCAATCTACTTCTACCGCAGGATCTACGATGTGGATTCCTCGATCCTCCAACAAAAGGTCCTTGCCGTCCGTGACTGTCTCCTGCGCCGTGATTGTGCAGACTCCAGCGTCGTGCACGGCCTGGCCGAGCTCATCTGGCCTGCTTTCATTGCAGCGTGTGAAGCCGAGGACCCGAAGGTCCAGGCTTCATTCTCCAGCTGGTTCAGAAGCGCTGCGCAACGGAGCGGGCTGTCGTGTTTCACGGATACCATGGCGAATATCGAGAAGGTCTGGCAGGAAAAGCGCTGCGCGAATGGGAGAAGTGTGACGTGGCTTGATATTATGAAGCATGCTCAGCTGCAGAATTCCTGATAGAGTACTAGCAATCAATTGACATTCGAATGATGCGTGATTCCATGGTGGACTATATCAATCCAAGTACCCCGATGTCCTTAGCACAGCCAGGCCGGGTGCCCCTGTCTGCTCTGCGTCTGCCTCTTATGGATGTAACAATTCGTGCTTTCACACGACAAGCTTTTGACAAGAATCCCCAATGATCTCCGGTCCCTATCGGGGCTGCTGCTCCACTGTAGCATCAGGAAAGTAAACGCGAGAGAATAGGAAGGTCTCCGCGTGGCCCCGCACGAAGATGCCTCTATTTATTCGCGGATACTCCCAGCGAAGCAGGAGGCAGTCGTCTCTATTTGCCATCTACAAGCTGTTCTCTGGAGACTCAGAGCCAACAATGGACATCAGCGGCATCGCAGTGATAACCGGCGCCGGATCAGGCATCGGCAGAGCGTGCGCACGCACATTCGCAAGAGACGGCGCAAAAGGCCTCGCCCTCCTCGACGTGAATCAATCCGGCCTGGCAATCGTCAAGGCCGAAATTGAAAAACAGCAACAAGGCAAGCCGCCCTGCCGAATCGAGATCTACGCCGTCGACGTCTCGGACGAAAACAGCGTCAACCAAGCCATCGCCGGAATAGCCCAAACCTTCAACCGCATAGACTACGTCGTCAACGCCGCCGGAATAGCAATGAAACACCAAGGCGGCGCGGCCTTCGCCGAAACAGCCGACTGGCAACGCATCGTCAACATCAACCTGACAGGGACGTTCTTCGTGCTGCGCGCAGCAGCCAAGATAATGCTGCAGCAGGAACCGATCCGGTCGGCCATCGACGGGCGACCGTTGCAGCGCGGTTCGATTGTGAATTTTGGGTCCATCCAGGGCGTTGTTGGGGTGCCATTGTCGACGGCTTATACGGCAACGAAGCATGGGGTCATTGGACTTACGCGGACGGCGTCGGAGGATTACGCTAAGGATGGACTGCGTATTAATGCGATTTGTCCGGGTTACACGGAGACGCCTATGACGACTCAGTCGCCGCTTATTCGGCAGGCGATGGAGGAGAGGGTGGGTAGTGCTGTGCCCATGCAGAGGATGGGGAGGCCGGAGGAGATCGCGGACGGGGTGGTATATTTGGCTGGGGGGAGGAGCTCGTTTGTTACGGGGACGACGCTGTTTGTGGATGGGGGTTATACGCAGCGATGATGTTTTTATGGACATATGGAAATATATAAGAGATATATTGTTGAAGACACGGAGGACATGAAAATACAACGTCCATCCTTCATGGGCTTCAAGAGGCTAGGGCTTAGGGCTGACTGAAGTCGAGTGGAAACAACCATCCATCCTTCTACTGCAATTCCCCCGACACGCGTTTCCTGTAATCCATCCCCTCGATTGCTTACTACAAACGAGCACGTAATGTCCTTCCCCTCGGTCCCCCCATCGAGTTTCCGGAGGGTGGCTTGGTCTGCTAGCATGGTCCCGTCGTGTGTGGCATCTGTGCCGTTGACCACAGTTTCCTGGACGGCATTCTCCGCGAAGATGAGGACGTCCTTCGAGGTTCAGCAAGAAAGCGCTGCCTATCGCGCACCGGCTCGTTCACCCGGGATCCGTCTCAGGCTCTCATCTATACCGATGACGCGTTCCTGGACCATGGCGTCACAGCACCGGCGCGAGGCTGGCTGCGCAGGAACGGGCGCACCACGTCTTGCGTGTAACGATGATATCCGCGTACAGCTCTACAACAGTTCCGTCGGAGGGTCTGAGCGGCTGTTGAATCTGCGCTATCGTTTATGTGCCCGTTTCGGAGAAGAAGGTGATGATGGCGATTTATACAATTCCAATAATAATACTGCCTGCCAGCGTCCGGAGAGATCAGTCTGCTAACCCATCGTTGAAAATGAACAGAGTTAAACGTATTTTAAGCGTCCATGTCAGCCAAGGAAGCCTTGCAGCTCAGTCTACGGCCTAAGCCTCAGCTTATCCACTGTCTGATACATTGGCAGATCCAACGCAAGAACCTGGTGCCCGCTTTCTCCTTCCGCCATATCAAGGACCTCTACCCGTCTTCTGGGACAAGAGCGTCGAGATGGTGCAGCTGATGGAGAAAGATCTCCAGGTATTTTCCATCTGTCCTGATCTCGCCAATCTCAACAAGGACCTCTGGGGCCCGGACGCGGACCAGTTCAACCCGGATCGCTGGCTGGGGCCTGGCAGAGCGAATACCGGCGGCGCGAACAGCAGCTATGCTGTTCTGACTTTCCTGCATGGTCCGCGGAACTGTATCGGTCAGGGCTTCTCCAAGTCCGAGCTTGCCTGTCTGGTAGCTGCTGCGGTGGGCAAGTTTCATATGGAGCTTGGGGATCCTAATAAGCCGCTCGAAGTCAATAACGGGATCATCATGAGGCCCAGGGATATGCGGGTGGAATTTACGGCATCGGATGGATGGTACGGTTAGACGTTTGTTGGGAAGAGAGCCTTCTTCGAACGTATTGACTGTGCAGTATTGATTCCTACCGTGTTGGAAACAGAGATCGGTCCAGTCTGCACGGGTTTCTCTTTAAGGTAGAAGATCTATCTGTGCCAACCAATCCCGAACTATCCCATTGAACTCCTCACTCCGCTGCTGATGCAGAAAATGCCCGCCCTCCAGTACCTCAATCCTATCCTTGGAAGTCTTGGGCAATTCCTCGTCCAAAGAAACAGTCTCAGAAGACCCCCCAACAACCAAACGCGGACAACCGCGGTCCGCAAAATGAGCCGTCGCATTCTCTCGTTTCGCCAGACTCCGACCTGATCTGAAGAGCCCGGTAGTACAATCCTTCATGACGTGAAACGGCAACCCAGCCGCGCGCGCAGTATGCCATTGAATCAACCACTTCGGCGTCTCAGGCGGGTAGAACCAATCCTTGAAGATCAGCCGAATGTCCTCCGGGGCCTCAAGATCAAGGATAGGCGTGGCCAGGTATTTGTCCGCATACTCGGCCGGGTTCGAGTAAATTGGGTCCACGAGGATGAGGGCTTTTACTTTCTCCGCATGCTGCACGGCCAGCCATGATGCGATGATCGCCCCCATCGCGTGTCCGGCGACGATGGCGCTGGGGATCTTCAGGTGCTCCAGGAGACGTGCGGCGTCGTTGGCGAATGTCTCCACCTCGTAGTCGGAGTCTGGGACGGAGGAGTGGCCGTGGCCTCTCTGATCGACGGCGATCGTTTGGAAACCCAGGCCATTTAGGAAGGGGACTTGGAAGATCCAGTCGTGCAGGTCGCAGGTCCAGCCGTGGAGGAGTAGGATGGGGGTTCCGTCGCTTGGGCCGTCGAGAACGTAGAAGAGGGAAGGGCTATCGTCGTCTGGTTTGAAGAAGGGCATGTTTTCTTTGGGATATTATCGGTGCTCTTCCAGGTTTGTTGTCTGCGTATCGTCTCTTATTCTGGGGAGCCGCCTCTTATATGCTTGACTCGGGAGGATCTTATACTAGGCTCACCGACACTGCTACTGCGATAGTAAGCTAAGACACGATTACTTTTTGACTAATTATGACCGGGTTTGAAACAAAAGTTACTATTAATGCCGGGTATATTAAAACTTAGGGCCAGATGTTCATTGCAGGGGATTCGGAAGGATTTAGCCTCGAATGGGATCGCCACTATTGGCAGATGCTGCATGCAGCTCTTGGGGCCAGGAGATATGGGCTTATAAGGCAGCTTTGCGAGAATGCCTCCTGAGGTGCCTCTCCCTAGATAGCTAGGCTTGGAGGAAGTATTGATAGTACCTACTGCGTACGCTGTATTGGCTTCCGCCCTCGGCCAAGTTGAGCACTCCAAGGATACCATGGACAGCGTAGACAGAAGGGAAAGGGGAAACCAATATCTATGCTCTATGCTAGTATGCAGTGCACGACCTGAAAGAACTCCATCTACCGATACTCGCCCCGGAAGACCATTACTCGCTCAATGTCCTCCCCATTATCCCCTTCCTCCACCCAAGCCCGGAACATACCACCGCTGTTGAAATCAAACACGACTTTGCCCCGTCGCAAATTCTTCCTCCCCACGAAGCTATGCGAAACGTTATCGTAGACATCTATTTCGGCTTCAATACCGATCATCCCACCCGCTCCCTCACCCGTTATCCCCCAGCGATTCCCTGCAGAACGCTGCAACTCCCCGTTCGGGCCGGCAACGGCCGTCACTGCTTCCGCAAGGGTCCTTGGGGATGCACTCGGAGACGAGAAGCGGAGCATAGCAGATGCCGTTCGGGCGGCAGCAACGCGTAGAAATGAATCACCGTTTCCGGTTCCTGAGACGGCGATGGCACGTCTCCTCTTGGCCACCCGGGAGGACGGTGGAGGCGAGACAAGGGGCTGCTTTTCGGATTCAAGGGGATAGGATGCATACTCGTATGCCGGAGGCTCGTCTCTCAGAGAAGCAGGCAGACAATCCGCCAGCAACGAGCGAGCATCACGGACCAAGTCCCTAACCGCCGACCCAAGACTACCAGCAGCAGCATCCTCTTCCGATCTGCGTCTGTATTCCATGTCTCCAACTCTCCTCGGCCCAACAACATCCTCCTCCCACGTCTCAGCCCAGAACCCCGCCCCGAACGTTGGCGTATCCCCTATCCTCCCAGGCGCCTTATTCGTCAAACCCCCGGTACTCGTCGCAACAGCAAGATTCCCCCACTGATCCAAACACACACATCCAACCGTCCCCTGGCTCATGGTCACACTCTCCTTCTCCCCGCGTAGACCACGAAGATGCTCCTCCCATCGCTTCTTCGTCCAGAACCATTCATCGGGCATAAACTCAAGCTTCCAGTCCCGCGCTAACTCCTCCACAAACGGCGCCGCAAGCTGAGAATGCATATTGCCCCCGTCTCCGTTTGGGTTACCCGATTCATCGTACCCAGTGCGCAGGAGACATTCCCGAGCAAGCTGGATGGGATGTCGAACATTTTTGACCCCGATAACGCCCGCACCGCGCTTAAACGGCGTCGGCGTACTACCGTCAGCTCCCCCGGCTGTCTCTCCATTCTCCATGTCCTGTACCGTTGTGACCATGACGGAGGCTTCCATCTCTATCGTCCCTGCAGAGGTGAAGACGCTACCGCGACCGCAGTTGAAGAGCTCGTCATCTTCCATCAGCGAGACGGCATGGACGACTGCGTCGAGAGCGCTGGCGCCGTTTTTGAGTTTCTCGTGCGTCGATCGGAGGTAGGAGCGGAGGGACGCGTGGTATTGGGCCCATAGCTCGGGTGGGAGGGTGGAGCGTTGGATGCTGCCTGCGCCGCCGTGGAGAATCAGGGCCGGTTTGAAGGTTACTGGTGTTGAACTGGACATTTTGGTGGTGGTTGTTCTGTTCTGTTGTGCTGTGTTCTGTATCTGTTGGTAAGTTGATGAGTCGATTAGTTAGCTGTCCATCAGAGAGATAAGAGTGAGAGGTGGTAACTGACCCTTTGTCAGTCTATGATTCTATACGGAATGAGGCATTGAGCTTGAGAAGATAAAAGCAGTAGACATTAGGATGAGAAATTCCTGAAGTAGGTATACAGAGGAAAAGAGGGGGGATGTGACGGTGTGCTTATCGCATAACCCGATCGAGTAATTAAAGCCGGGCAAGAAAACGCAGTGCTGAATGAGACTCGTAGCATTATTTTCCCCTGTTGAATCGAAAGTTAATATACATGAATGAACACGCTCCCAACAGGCCCCAGAGGCCCATATTGACAAAACTATCTCGTTTCCTCGACTTGAAAATTAAAGTTTTGGACACCATCGACCACCACCCGAAAAATAAAAAATGTGCTCGGGGAAAAGGATGGAGGAAAGCAGTAATAGAAGCAGAGTAGAAAAGGGCACCTCTATTTTCGTGTCGCCTTAAAAAGAAAAACAAGAGAATAAAACACCAGACCCAACACCAGGGAGAAGAGAGATTCGTATAGTATGACAATGCGAAGCGAGACTATGCAGAAACACTGCTCTAGGACGATCACCGTACGGGGAATTATGCGATTGCTTTCTCGGGCGCTGGAGGCGGGGGAGGAAGCTATGAAGATGCTCGGGTTAGTCGACAAAACTTCAGAGTACGAGTTTTATAGCTCAGAGCGGCAGAGAATCCGAAACTCACGTCTAGCCTTGTGTTGTCTGCCATCATCCTCTGGAAACCAATACCAACACCTTCGATAACACCCAGGAAAACGGCGCACATAATGGCAGAGTTTCTGGCGGCCTTGTAACCACCACGGATTGCCAAAGCACCACCAGTGAAGAAACCGGCAATGACTAGAAAAGAAAGAGGACGCAGTTAGAACCATCTGCTTGCATATTGAAAATCTCACCACTATAAAAGAAAACATACTGGCATTGTAAGGATCCTCCTTCTTCCTAATTCCTTTGATCGCACAGTCGAATGTCGAGAACAGACCACCCCACACACCAAAGTTACCTCCGAGAACGGGTGCTCGTGCCTTGATGGCCGTGAGAGCACCTATCCGCCGCTCACCATAGGGGCTGTTTCTGAATCCTTTGACACCGTGCCAGACAGCGCCACCGATAGCCTGGTAGAAGGGAAGGAAATACACTCAGTTCCGCTGTTCTGCAAGTAAGATGAAATCATTTCGTGGAAAACGTACACCCATGCAGAAAGCACCACCGAAATCGCTCAACGCAACCCAGGGACAGGGATCTCTGGAGTGATCCATGATGTATACTAAGCGGAATACAAGTGAATAAAAAGCGACGGAAAGTAAAGCGGAAAAAATATCACAGGTTCAAAATCGTCGATGCGTTGCTCCGAGGGCACCGGATTCCCGTGGATCGGATGAGTTGGTCGTCCCGCGTGATGAACAAAAGGTCCGAGCCGTAGTCGAAGCAGCTGCTGGATGAGCTGTGACACCGTCGCAAAGACCGCAGGGTAGGAGGTGGAATTAACGGCCAAGTTCAAGTTGTAGCAGACAGAGTCGGCGCTCGACGGGCAAAAACAACTAACTTTTTCTCTCTGGAAACGTGACCTCGGGCTTGAGCGCAGTCACGTGGCGGTTACCGGTCTAGTAATGGAGGTGTATCGTTGGTTGGTGACTAGCTAGATAGACCTACGTGGTGAAAAGGGTCAGCGAGGGCGGACCTATGCGGCAGAATCCCACGTGATCCAACATCTAGTGGCAATTTTACTCTTACTCCGGAGTATACTCGTATACTCTCCTACAACAGAATATCAATCAAAGAGGCAAATTCCAAATGAAATTCATCGCCCCCCCTTCATAAGCCGGAAATTGGCCTGCGTTGCTGATCCCGAATGGCGCCATGGACGGGTCAAAAGGCAAAGAAAGCCAGTCATCAGCAGCCATATCGTCTACGAAGGACATGAATCCTACATCAGACATAGCATCATGATCTTGCGAGGCGATAGCACCCTCCATTGCGCTCGTCTCATTGACATCTACAGATTGTGAAGGACACGCCGTTGCGGACCGTCCCATTAATCCATGGCTACTCCTCAAGGAAGCCGAGGATGCCAGTAGCTTCTGTCGCAGGCGCGAGACATGCATGTCCAGCAGCGTAGCGTAGCGAGAACCCAGATGAATATCGTCTAGAGCGTTCGATCTCAGAGATTGGATGCTTTTTTCGAGGATGTCAAGTGATTTTCCAAGCTTCGATTGGCGGGTTCCCAGGCTGAGAGCCTTCATCAAGAAGATGGAGGAGCTGATGATCCGGAGAAATATGCGGACGGGCGAAAATCGGAGGGCACCCCTGTCCGCCAGTTGAGAGATCTTTTGCAGAATTTGACAGCATCCGTCGATGACTTCCTGGATGAACTCGTAGTCTATCGGGTTCATGGTCGTGTGGCGTAGTTGTTCCACGTTGTTATTGTCGGGGTCGGCTTCTGCAAGGATGCGCTCGACTACTGCTTGCATTCCAACAGAATGTGTGTAGACGCGGACAAAATGGTACTCGATGTAAAGGACATCGAACAATGTTTCGTTCGGCACTGGAATTTGTCAACAGATGATTCTGAAAGGAGCAAGAGAAAAGACATACAATATGGCTGAAGATGCTTCTCCTTCCATTGACTGAGCAGCGGACGGAAGTGATCTAGCAACCCTACATAGCGGTCGCCATGCAGTTGTTGTCTCGCAAAAGAGACGGAAGGAAAGAACATGTCAGTGATAGACTTGGCCAGCTTGGTCAAATCCATCCAGGAATCCATAAAGGTCAGCCATTCATCGCCAGAATGGACGGGCTCCTTAACGGTCCTCCCACTGATGATAGCATGGTTCAGAGTCTGCGGCATGAGGGACATACGACCTATCCGCCAGGCCAGCTGGTTGATATAGATGTAGAGCAGTTTCTGTATGCGCTGCCTACGACGCTCTATCTGGTCAGTCGACATAAAACCCTGATAGCCAGCAGAACAAGCCCTATCGCTACTCTCCGTTTCAAACACTCCGATCTCATGTCCAAGGGATAGCGCAGAGCCAAGTAACATCCAGGACATCTGATCTGATCTCCTTGCAGGCTCGATCATATCCTCTAACCATCTATTCTCTGTCGCTGTAGAAGAGTCTGTGGAATCCGCTCCGATCCCGGACTCCGCGGCTGTCGTGGTCAAATCCCAGTCCCAGCCATCTATCTCCGGGGGGAAGTGAAGCGAACGAGGATGCCATTCGGATATCAGCAACAGAGCCTCAATAGTGCCGATTGTCCGGATTTTCGATTTGGACGATCTCTCCTGTCCAAAGATAAGCCGCACAACGAGCTGCTGGCAATACTGCCAGAGTCGATGGTGGACGAAGAAATTCCTCGACTCGCCACCTTCGCCTGGAAGGACATGGTATCGCGAGGATATCATTAAGATCGTGGAACAGAGAACGGGGTCCCGAGATATCAGCCAATGATGGTTCCTATGGTCGGCGTAGAAGTCTGTCAGAATAGGCGACAGCGGTGACATATTTTTGAAGAAACTACAGCGAATAGCCATTCCCGTCAGTTACATCCGCTTCTTCTAGTAAGCATTAGTCTTTTCTTTTCTTTTGAATATGGGGACAAACAGGTCAATAAAGGTTACTGCTTCTGGAGCAGTGAGCAATCCCATCTTGACGAAGCGACATGCTTCCCATACGTTAAGCACATCAAGGCTTGCCTGGGAAATCTTCACCGGCCGCACCTTTGTTGCGGGAAATCCAGACGGGACTAATCGGTTTCCGCGCGAGTTTGTCCGGCTCCCTCGACGGTATCCATCGCTATCGAGACCGGGGTGCGTTGGTTCATTTTCTATGTGCGCATTTGAACCGTTGGAGTCGTTTCCCCGGCTACGTGCCGCGGCAGCCTCGAACAGAATGTTCAACGCATCATTTCCACTCGAGACCATCGTACGCATCATCGAGCTTGACAGAGTGGAATCTGGTTCCTGATGGGAGTTCTCATAGCGGTACGATTGAGGCGAAGCGCTTGGACTATCCGCTTCATCCAGTGCAGCGGGTGTTTCGACCTGACGGCGAGCGGGGTTGGATGTCCTTCGACTTGTCCTCGACGAATGTTCCCCATTGTTATTGTTCGACGGTGCAGCTATCTAGGTTAGTTGGATTTCAGATGCATGTAGTAAACCTATTTTATGCTGTGTATGGAAAACTCACCCCTCTTCTTCGTCCTCTCCCACGCCTTCTTCTCACTAAACACACACGACTTTTTCTCCCGTCTGCATCGCGCACATGGAGGTCCCAGCGGAGACCCATTCAACCCCGTTCCCAGTTCACATTTGGCCTTGCGTTGCCGACAAGGAATACAGGCCTTGTAGGCCCGCTGATAAGCTCTGTCCGGTACATCGGCATTTCTGCCGCGTCGTAGTATATCCATTGGGTGCGAGGCTGGCGAATCACATCATACGAGATAAGAAACAGTCATAGAGTATGGAGCAGCCGTGGTTGTAGTCGGGATGAGAGGATATGATGGTTCAATCTCTGTTGAAGACAGCGTAAGACTGAAATAGCCGAACACGGCAAATAGCCGTCTATATCCGCTGCGGGGAGCTGGGGTCATTCGGCAACTGAGGATTCTGGGGTACAATAAACGAAGGAGTTCGAGTATTAGACATCTAGATATATGACCGATGATATTGAGGTCAGGCTGTTCATATAGAAAGACACAGCCATATCCTATTTATGGACAGACTATTATTATTGTGCAGGTTGTACAAAATACCATCAGTGCTGTAATATGGCTGTGTGATGGGTAGGCAACTTCCTTTTATAGCACTAGTGCCCGAAAGTTAACAACAACAAGGCCTGCTGGCCCAATGGTAAGGCGCTCGACTACGGATCGAGAGATTGCAGGTTCGAATCCTGCGTAGGTCAATCGGTGTTTCTTTTTTGCAATTTTATCTATTTTTGCAAACCACCTAACTTCCATTATTTACGTCAGTCAAAATATTGTTTCTGACCACCGATGTAGCATGCAACGATCTACTGATCACCTAACACAAATATAAACGGCATGCGGTAGTTTCCGTGGCTGCTTGGCGGACGCATTCCGCGCATCAACTCGCTTTCACCAAGGAGCGCAGAGTTCAGCGAAGACATGCATCCTGGCAGACTGCGTCCTCATACTGGTTCATCCACCGCGGAAGGATTCGACTTCTCCTCTTTCTGTGCACCGGCATTGTCGTGCAGTGCCCGGTACAGCCGGGACCCCCGCATCTCCGTGTAATCGAATCGCCCGGGAGATGTATATGGTTGCTCCGTGCTCTGCATCAGCATGCATGCAGCGATGGTACGATCCCCCCCCGATATCACAGGATGGGGGAAAGAAGCGTTACATATGGAGGATCATATAATAATATAAATGGATGTTCGAATGCGAATCCCAGCAAGCCCGTGATGCTGTGCTATACTGCTATTTGATGCCTGGCAAAACTCATCATCCATGTCGTCTACCTACCTCAACTATCCCTCTTCCACGCTCGTCTCACCCGGACAGCCAGATATAGTGCGGCGTACTATCGATTCTGAGTCTGTCAGAAACATGCACAGCATGACTGCTATGTCTTCCTCTTCTTCTTCCCCTAAATTCACGCTATACACCTACTTCCGCTCCTCCTGTTCAGCCCGGCTCCGCATCGCCCTGAACCTCAAGGGCATCCCCTATGTTTCCAGGACGGTAAATCTGCTCAAGGACGAGCATCTCACTGCGGAGCACAGCGCGATTAACCCCTCCAATACCGTTCCGGCACTGGTCGTCGAGTTCCCTGCTTCAAAGAAAGCACGCGGCTTCACCATCACCCAGTCCCTGGCGGCATTGGAGTACCTCGAAGAAATCGATGCAAGTCACCCGCTCCTCCCACCTGTATCAGACCCAGAGGCTCGTGCAACAGTCCGCACCCTGGCGGATATCATAGCCTGTGACGTCCAACCGGTCACGAACCTCAAGGTCCTGAAGTGGGTTGGGAAGCCCGGTGTCCACATCGACCGGGAGAAATGGGCGAGGACGTTCATCATGGACGGCTTCCGTGCGTACGAGGCTATCGCGGCTTCTACGGCGGGGAAATTCAGTGTGGGTGACCAGATCACCTTAGCTGATGTATGTTTGATACCTGCTGCATGGGGGGCGGAGAGGGTTGGGGTGAAATTGAGTGCATTCCCGACGATTGAGAGGGTGGTCAAGAGATTGGAGAAGGAAGATGCCGTGAAGAATGCGCACTGGAGGGCCCAGGAGGATACTCCGGTGGGTTTGAGATGAGTTGAAGCAGTAGATTGGCAGTGTGTTGTTCGGTTGTCTGCTAGCTGCATTTATATATTTGACTCTCCGGTCATAGCAGTATGGCATCTCCTCTCAACTGGTTGATTGGAAGAATCGATTCAATGGAACATTCTAAACCCAAACCGAAGAAATAAATATTCTCCCACCAAGGGAAGAGAATCAATCCAGCTTAAGAGCCGGAACAATCGTCCCTACACAATCCCCAAAGCCAACATAACCACCCTCGGCACCCGCAACGCCCCGCAGAACAACAGTATCTCCATCCTCCAAAAACAACCTCTTCGACCCATCCGCCAAGCTAATCGGCTCCTTCCCCTTCGTCTGCTCCAAAAGACTCCCCTGACTGCGCTCCTCCGTCCCAGAAATCGTCCCACTCCCCAGCAAATCCCCCGTATTCAAATTACACCCGGTAATAGTATGATGCGCCAACATCTGCGAAAACGAAAACAGCAGATTCCTCGAATTCGTCATTGAGACAACCGTCGGCTTGCCACCGGAATTCGTAATCTCGACTTCCAGAGCGATATCGTACCCGTTCACGGCACGCTTCTCGCGCAGATACGGGAGTAGCGACTCTCGATTCCCCGGTTCGAGATTGGCCGCCCGGAACGGCTCCAGGGCATCCAACAGCACGACCCAGGGCGTGATGGTTGTGGCGAAGTTCTTCGCATTAAACGGGCCCAGCGGCACATACTCCCACGCCTGGATGTCGCGGGCGGACCAGTCGTTCATGAGGACCAGACCGAAGATATGATCCTCCGCTTCGTCGATGGGGACGGGCTTCCCCAGCTCGTTACCCTTGCAAACGAAGGCAGCCAGCTCGAGTTCGATGTCGAGCCGCCGGCAGGGGGAGAACACGGGGATTTTCGGGGTGGCTGTGGGGTGTGCGAGGATCTGGCCGTTTGGACGACGAACGGGGGTCTTAGAGACGACTACGGACGAGGCCCTGCCGTGGTAGGCAACAGGAAGGTGCTTGTAGTTTGGCTGTAGGGCGTTCTCGGGCCCGCGGAAGAGAACGCCTACGTTGAAGGCGTGGTTTAGCCCCACGTAGAAGTCCGTGTAGTCGCCTATCTGCATGGGGAGGTGGTTGGTCACCTCCGACAGGGGCAGGAGGGCTTCATCCTGCAGACTGGCATTGTCCCGGAGGAGCCGTGGGTAGGGCGTATCCGCCTTGAATATTGCCTGGAGATATTCACGGACTTGTCGGTGGACAGGACGACCCAGCGCCGCAAATGCGTTGAGAGTGGGCTGGCTGAACACGTCGAGATGCGCCTGGATAGAGGGGAGCTGGGAGAAGCCGCCGGAGGAGGCGAAGATGCTCAGATCCAAGGCATAGTCACCGATGGCAATGGCTGGGACTCGTGCAGTGTTCTTGACGGTGGAGATGATGCCGAAGGGGATGTTTGCTAGGGAAAAGGGCGAGTTGCGGGGGATCTGGAGCCAGGATGCCATGTTTGATTCCATTCAGGTGTTGAATGTGACGGTTTACAGATGGCACAGGTCCAGAAGAATGAAGGATGAATACTTAAACGTCCCGCAAGACGCAGAGCTGCCATCTAACCGTGTTCTCATCTGTCTGCTTTCCGTCGTGCTCAGCGGAAACAATCCGCAGTCGCTTATCCCCGGCTGTTTTCCCCAGATTCACGAATTCCCCGCGTGGAGAATGCGGAATGTGGATATCCCGCAGAGCTGGATATATTGCAATATATTCGCCATGTCCAGCCGTTTGAGGCACGGAGTAGTTCGGTTCAATCAGACAGCAACAGCAAAATGCCCACCACTAACTTCTCCCATCCTGACCCGTACTCCTACCAGGTCGGATTCGATTCGTATCACGAGTATGCTTCAATCTCCGAACGGTAGTCCAAAATAACTAACTCTCGCCAGAACCGAAGCCGTCCCCGGAGCATTGCCCGTTGCGCAGAACTCCCCCCAGAAAGTCCCCCACGGCCTGTATGCCGAGAAGCTCTCCGGAACGGCATTCACAGCCCCTCGCCATGAGAACAAGCAGACCTGGGTCTACCGCATCCTCCCCGCAGCCGCCCACGGGAACTTCGTCGAGGAGGACGCCGACTCCTACCATACCCGCACGACCACGGAGACGTCCAAACTGCACCACATCCCCAACCAGCTTCGATGGGATCCGTTCGACCTCGACGACACGGTTGACTGGGTCCATGGCCTCCATCTTGTCGCCGGATCCGGGGACCCGACTACGAAACACGGTCTGGGCATTCTTCTGTATGCTGCCGGCAAGGATATGGGGCGGGAAGCGTTCTACTCTGCGGACGGGGATTTTCTCATTGTCGCCCAGCATGGCGCCTTGAACATCCAGACGGAGCTGGGGAAGATCCTTGTTCGTCCGAATGAGATCTGCGTGATCCCCCGTGGAGTTAGATACCGTGTCACCCTCCCCGCAGGTCCTGTAAGAGGATACGTCTGCGAACTGTACCAGGGTCACTTCCAACTGCCTGAACTGGGACCCATTGGATCCAACGGCCTTGCCAACTCAAGAGATTTCCAGGCACCGGTAGCTGCTTTCGACGACGATGAGGATGAACAGGACGAAGCAAAAGAATACCGTCTCTACAGCAAATTCAACAACAGACTCTTCTCCACAACACAAGACCACACCCCCTTCGACATCGTCGCCTGGCACGGCAACTACTACCCCTACAAGTACGACCTGGGCCGCTTCAACACCATCGGCACCGTCTCATACGACCACCCGGATCCATCGATCTTCACCGTCCTCACCGGCGCATCCGACCACGTCGGCACGGCCATCGCGGACTTTGTGATCTTCCCGCCTCGATGGCTGGTGGCCGAGAATACCTTCCGTCCACCGTGGTATCACCGGAACACGATGTCTGAATTCATGGGACTTATCACGGGCGACTACGATGCGAAGACGGGCGGCGGGTTCCGGCCTGCCGGAGCGAGTTTGCATAATGTTATGAGTGCTCATGGGCCAGATATGCATGCTTTTGAAGGGGCCAGTAATGCAGATTTGAAGCCGCAGAAGATTGGGGAAGGGAGTATGGCGTTTATGTTTGAGAGGTATTCCCCCCACTCTTCTTTTTTTTTTAACGATATATCTAACCTGTATAGTTCGCTCATGGTGGGAGTATCTGAATGGGGCCTCAAGACGTGCCAGAAGGTGCAGACGGATTACAACGAGCACAGCTGGCGTCCTTTGAAGAGGCATTTCAGGAACCCTAACAAGGGTTGAGCTTGAACTGGAACCACACATATAGCTAGTAGCAACAATAACGATATGAAGAGTACAGTACGATTCAACAAAACCGACTACTCTCAATCTCCTTCCTCATCGCTTCCTTAACAATAGCCCCGCACATCTTCGCATACGGATTCGTCCTCACAGCCAAACTCCCCGCAACCCGATTCCCATATCTCCCTCCCTGCGCGAAATCCCGACTCGCCATCTCTTCCAGTTGATCGGCACTTAGATCCAGGATACTCCTCGTAACAGCCGCCGTCTTTTTGGCATCCTCTTCAGACCGGGATTCGTAGATAGGAATCGAAGTCGAAACCATCTGGTCCTCCCGCTTTACCCTGGCAGCTTTAAGGAACAGGTATCCCCGGTGTGTATGTGCGTCTGCCAGCACGCGTGCCTGCGTCTTCGAGATGCGGTCGGAGGGGATTTTCGGGGATGCGAGGGAGATGGCTTGTGCCAGGTCGTTGAGGATACGGGAGGCGGGTTCATTATCAACCATGTTTTTGGATTGCAAGAGTTTGGAATCGGGTATGAGCATCCGCCGTGCTTGTGCGCGGTTCACGTAGGCGGAGGGATAAGTTGGGCGTTCTTCGATGAGTGTGTCTAGGGCCGTGATTGCTTCTTTCACCGTGTCCACGGAAGTCGTGGTGGCTGCTTGCAGCCGGCGGATGATGTCGACTTCCCTCTTCTGGAGCGATTCGAGGCTTTCTGGGGTGAGGCTCAGATCAAGGGAGTCTGGGTATGCAGGGAGAGAGGGGTCGATAGGGACATTTGTGGAGGATTCGGAGTCGAAGAGGGCGTTGAGGACGGCGGAGTCGTTGGTTGATAGGGATGTTGAGGCTGGCATTTCTGTTTTCTCTGCGTTTCTAGACTCGCACGGCAGTACTGAGAACGATAGAGCAGCAGTATAATCCATATAATCCTTCACTGAGAAGAGAGGAGATGATATACTCTGTCTGATGGCGATGCAGTAAGCCCTAATTCCGCCGCGGCTATTGAAAATATCCGCCGCCAGCCGTGCCTCTGGTCAAACACCCGCGCGAAAGCGACACAATCCTGCTTTTTCCAGTCTACCGAGCAAATATTACTGCTTCCAGAATCGACGACAAGGACGGATATGTAGGAATAAGCCGAGATGGTTGGGATTATGAATGGAAGGCTGTGTTGTGGAGTGGCCAGGAAAACGATATAAAGACAAAGCATCCATCCTCGCTCTGTCAGGCAACAACACCACCACCACCACCACCATCTCTGGTCGTAGCGACATACCCTAAGAGACAGACAGCTACAGCGGCTCTCTCAAGTACACCATGGCCCCCTCAGCACTCTCCTCCCCCCTCTACCTCCCCCTCTCCTCCTACAAAGCCTACGACTACGTCCACTGGTACGTAGGCAACGCCAAACAAGCCGCGTCCTACTACATCGCCCGCATGGGCTTCCGCCGCATCGCCTACAAAGGCCTCGAGACAGGCTCCCGCGCAATCTGCTCGCACGTCGTCCGCAACGGCGACATCACGTTCGTCCTCACATCCCCCCTGCGCTCCCTGGACCGCATGGACCGCTTCCCCCCCGAGGAGCAGGACCTCCTCAAGGAAATCCACCGCCACCTCGAACAGCACGGCGATGCCGTCAAGGATGTTGCCTTTGAGGTCGACTCGGTCGACTCTGTTTTTGGCGCTGCGTTGAGGAACGGCGCGAAGATCGTCTCGCATCCTCGGACGCTGCAGGACGAGAAGGGGTCCGTTAGGGTTGCCACGATCCAGACGTACGGGGAGACGACGCACACGCTGGTCGAACGGGGAGGCTACGACGGTGCGTTTCTGCCCGGGTACCGGGATGAGTCTGGCGAGGAGGCTCAGGATCCGATCCAGAAGCTCTTACCTGGTGTGCATCTGCGGCGGATTGACCATTGCGTTGGGAACCAGGATTGGGACGAGATGGAGAAGATCTGCGATTAGTGGGTTTCTCCGCTGGCTCTTCTTTGCCTCCTCCCTACTAACGGTGTCTAGCTACGAGAAAGCCCTCGGATTCCACCGTTTCTGGTCGGTCGACGACAAGCAGATCTGCACGTAAGCATGCCCTTCTACCCCAGTGACTGTACCCCCGCGGCGTGCTAACGACGAGAAGGGAATTCTCCGCCCTAAAAAGCATCGTCATGGCCTCCCCCAACGACATCGTCAAGATGCCCATCAACGAACCGGCGAAAGGCAAGAAACAGTCCCAGATCGAAGAGTTCGTCGACTTCTACAACGGCGCCGGCGTGCAGCACATCGCCCTCCTCACCGACGACATCATCAGGGACATCACGAACCTGAAAGCTCGCGGGATGGAGTTCATCAAGGTGCCGGCCCAGTACTACGAGGACATGACGGTGCGGCTGAAGACTGCGGGCATGGTGATCGAGGAGGACTTTGAGACGATTCGGAGCCTGGATATCTTGATTGATTTTGACGAGGGGGGGTATTTGCTGCAGCTGTTCACGAAGCATGTCATGGATCGCCCGACGGTGTTTATTGAGATTATCCAACGCCATAATTTCTCCGGCTTTGGGGCCGGGAATTTCAAGTCGTTGTTTGAGGCCATTGAGCGTGAGCAGGAACTGAGGGGGACGCTGGTGTAGCTGGTCCGGCCATGTTTCTATGCATTGTCGTTAGCCTTCTCCGGGCTGTCTTTCTACTAGGGATGCATTCTTATATACATCATTTGATAATGGCTCTCTTCGACAACACAGCGCAGTTCTCATTCAAATCCTCCCAGCGGTGCGCGTCGTAGCACGCCTGTCGACTCAGCAGCACTGCTCGTCGAGTGCGCTCTCGCAGCTCCTTCTCGTATCCATCGACGGCTTCCTTTTGCGGGATCTCTCCCTGGAACATGCGTTCAATCGCCGACACGAGGTGGAAGGCGTCGAGAAGGCCGTGGTTTGCTGCCTCGCCGCGATCTGGACGGAAGTCAGCACACGAACACGCGTCGAGCGCAATCAATCCAGCCAAAAGGGCCACTCACACATCGTCATCGCATGCGCCGCGTCCCCAGCGAGAGTGATGCGGCCGTCCCGGTTATCCCAGTCCAAACACTCCCAGTCCGCCAACTTGATCTCCGTGACGGGCGTCCCGTCTGGAATGCTCCCGACGGCCGTCTTCAAGAACGGCACGAACCCCGTCGCCCGTCGCTTCATGTTCGCTAGTCTCGCTTCGTCAGTCGGTGGCACCTCGTCCTCGGCCCCTCTCACGGGCCAGGACATGCAGATCTGAGCCCGGAATCGCTCCGCGTCCGTCCCCTGTGTGCCGTTCGCCTCGGGCGTTTCCAGCGTCGAGAACCACAGGAACGTCCCCGTGGGCGGATGGCAGCCCTGGAAGAGCAACGGGTCCATGTCACGCAGCGGCTTGATCTCCGCCGGTTTCAGGTTGACCGCGACGCCCGTGAACCGGATGGGGAGCGGTTTATTCTCATACGCGTCTGGCCGCAGCGTCTGGCGGATTGCGGATCGGCCGCCCTCGACGCCTACGACCAATCGTCCCGGGACGCGGGTTTTGTCCTCGAAGACCAGCTCGGCCTGGTCGCCCGCCACCCCGGCACCGACCACGCGTCTGTTCCAGTGGACGTGGCCCTCGATGCCCTCGAGGAGGGCCCGGCGCACTTTTTCGCGGTTCACGCGCCAGCGGCGGTTGGGCGGGATCTTGAATTTCGGCTCGCCCGTCTCGAGGTTGATAAAGAGGAAGTTGCCGTTGTCGTGTCGCGCTACCTCCGGGTCGACTTGGACTGCTCGGATTCTCTCCAGCGCGTCTTCCGGGAGGATCTGCTGGATATACTGCAGTGCCCAGTGGAGGGTGATGGCCCATCCCTGGCCGCGGGCGTCGGGGGTGGCGTCTCGTTCGTAGATTTCGAATGGGATTCCTCGCTGGGCTGGTCAGCTACAGGCCTGCATTTCATAGAATAGAATAGCGCCAATCTGGGCTACCTTCTTCAGTGCCTGACCAAGCGTCAAGCCAACAATGCCTGCGCCGACAATCAGCACCGGCGCCTCAGCCATGTCGGAGTAGGGGTATAGTCTAGATCTCAACCACTCGAATCACGCAAACAGACCGTGCTTAGAACGACCCTGCGGTACGAGTCCTCATAATAAGCAAGCTCGCAAGCAGAAATGGCAAAGAGGAGTGTCCCCGGGATAAGCAGTCCGCTATCTCGCCATCCCATGTCTCGCGTCTCCCGTGCAATGATCATCGTCCATGCAGTCCACGTCAATGCCGCCAAAAGCACGGGATGAGACGAGGAGGGACCAATACGATCCCTGTCCCGGCACCGTCGCATAGATAAAACCGCCAGGAAAGGGACCGGCTGTCCGTTTCTTATCAAAGTTCTGCTGCCCGTCGGCCGCCGCGTAGAATGAACGGGGGGCGAGCCAATAACCGCCGGTGGCCAGGCTGATGGAATAATATCGAGAGAATGTGGATCTCTGCATGATGCCGCAGAGGAGTGAGGGGAGCCGACGCAATAAAAGGTGATTTTCCAAGCCTGCGGCGACATGATCCCGGTCATAGATTGAGAAAAACACCAGATTTGGCCTGATCGTGAGGAGCGGCGCTTTCAAAACCACCGACTGAGCCAAAGGCCTGGAACACAATGGCTGATAGCAAGAACCACGAAGCTCTCAACCCCATCCATCCCTCTGTTCTCCCCCATCTGGATCCCACGTTCGTCCAGCTCTACAACGAGAATGTCGCCAATACGCCGAACAGACCGATCGACCTCTCTGTGCTCCGGTCGAAATACTCCGTGCTGTACTCGTACGGCACAGGGCCCGCCCCGGACTGCGCGCGCGTCTGGGAGACCGAAGTGCCTGCGTTCGAGGGCGCGCTGATCCGAGTGCGGGTGTATGAACCGGCCTCGAAAGGGCCGTGGCCGGTTCACGTCGACTTTCACGGCGGTGGTGTGTGAGCCAGCAAGCACTCGAAACGAAGAGCACCGGGCACTAACGAATGCAGGCTGGGGCCTCGGGGACCTCGACACCGAATCCCACATCTGCAAGCATCTCTGCGTGAAAGCCGACGTCGCCGTCATCGACGTCGACTACCGTCTCGTCCCCGAATACCCCTTCCCCATCGGCATCCAGGACTCCTTCGCAGCCCTACAATACATCCACCAGCACGGCGCGGAGGAATTCAACATCGATCCCACGCGCATCTCCATCGGCGGCGTCTCAGCGGGCGGCAACATCGCTCTAGTCTGCGCCCATCTCGCGCGCGACGAGAAGCTCCCCCTCCGCCTGGTGGTCGCAGGCACGCCGACGATCGACGATATCTCGCGCTATGCATCGGCGCAGGACTCGCCCTTCAGATCGATGCAGGAAATGGAACACGCGCCGACGCTCAACTGGGCCCGGCTGAAGTGGTTCGATAATCTCAAGTGGCAGAGTCTCTCGGCCGATCCGGCGGAGAAGGAGAAGCAGATGGCTGCTGTGAAATGGTATGCCAATGCGTTGAACGCGCCGGACTTCTCCCATTTGCCCAAGACGGTCGTCTACACGGCCGGGTGCGACCCGCTGCGCGATGAGGGCGAGGCGTATGCGAGGAGGTTGGTTGAGGCGGGCAATGAGGTTTTGCAGTTGAGGTTCTTGGGGGTCCCGCATCCATTCATGCATATGGACAAGGGTGAGAAGACGATCTTCTATCGCTTTGCCTAGCTGTTCGCCGACGAGTTGCTGACGATTTGCAGATCTGTCGCAGGCAAGGGACTTCATCGACCGGATGGCGTTTGAGATCAAGGTTGCGCTGCATGGAAAGCGCTAGATAGTCAATTATAATAGCATGACTAGGGATGCCAATCTACTGAAAACCGATTGTTTCTATGCTTCTTTTTTCTCCGTTTCTCGGTGTATTATCATGCAAAGACGCTACTCCATCGCATACAACTGCCTCGCCAAAGGCACGATCGACTCCTCCAACCCCCGAAACGACACCCCCAACAGCCTCTGCGCCTTGGAAGAATCACACGAATAATGCGTATCGGCAATCCGCTTCCCAGGCTCGCCCCGAGGAATGCGCGCCTTAGTCTCTGGAAGACGCTCGCGGACGATATCCGCGATCTCCTGCGTATCGTAGCTCCCCTGCGCGAGCAGGAAGCGCTCGTTGCCCGTAGGACTGTAGGTGAGAGCTTTCCGGCAGCATTCTGCGAGATCCTCGACGTCGATCCAGACTTGTTCATTTCATGAGCCCTGTTCCCGTCGAAGGGGTGTGGTGATTAGGGCTCGACACATACCTGGTGCTTTCGTCGGCGGTAGACTCCCCTCTTCCCCGGCCTTGAGAACATCCCATACAATCTGATTGCTGGCATTCAAGCTGGAGAGAGACCGAATGGGATGGATCATCCTCCCGAAGACCATTCCAGGGCAGAGCGTGAGCAGATCATATCCGACTTTATGGTCGCGGATGAAATCCCACGCTGCGCGTTCAGCGACGACTTTGGACGCACGATAGGCGATGGGCTAGGCGCTGTAATTAGTGCCGAAGCAGCAAGAGAAAAAGAAGAAGAAAAGCAGCCTACGACAGCAGCAGCATTCACCCCGTCCTCATACGAAAGCGGACACCAGTCGGTCTCCGTATAAACCCTCCCCGGCTGCAACCCCAACGAAGCATCGTACACACTCGCAAACGAAGACATGATCACCACCCTCTTCACCGAGTCGTGCTCCAGGGCAGCCCGGCAGATCGTCTCCGTGCCCCGTACGGCCGGCTTCATGAGCTTCTCCTCAAACTCACCCGGAGAAGCATCATAGCTGAACGCCGAGGCAAGGTGGAGGATCGCATCGCAGCCCCTCACTGCGCACGAAACGTCCTCCAGCACTGTCGGGTCGGGCACGACGACGAGCTCCAGGTGGGACCGGAGATTGGGGACGTTGGCGGCGGAGAGCGCTTGCAGGGCCGCCTGGGCCTTTGCGGCGGAGCGGACGGTGGAGCGGACGCTGTAGCCGGCGTGTAGGAGGATGGCGATGCAGTGGGCTGCTATGAAGCCGTTTGCGCCGGTGATGAGGGTGAGGGAGCTGGGCGTTATTGGGGGCATTTTCTTGTTTCTCTTTCCTGCTTCTCGGCTATGCGGTGGTTGTTCTGTGTTTCCGGAGTGCTGTGCTTGCCGGGGACGTTGCTCTTAAATCTCTCGTCCATCATTTTAGAGGATTCTTGTTGTCCAAGTATCGGTGCCGAGTACATAGCTGCACACGCCGGATTGAGATTGCTACGATTACGCCCGCCGTCGGCTAGATAGACTGTGGGCCTGGATCTGTTTCGGTTGATTCAGGAGTCAAGATTCTTCCCTTTAGTCATGGTTGCTCAGCGTCTGGAATAGCCAATTTAATATGGCATTTAATAGAATGCTGTCCTAGCCCTAAGTCCATAGCCGCATACCGAGAACCAACCAACAGACAGCAGACAGCAGACAGCAGACAACAGACAGCAGACCTCAAGCAGTCAGTAGACATATCGAAAATCCTTCTCATCAAACCCATCCGGCGCAGAACGACCGGCCAGCCGCCGTTCAAGCATGCTCCGAGCAGGCGTGCCCGCCCGGCTCGCTCGCGCATTGCGGATCCCATAGACAATGCGCAGAAGCGCCGAAATGACCATCGCGGCCGCGTTGACGGCTACGAGGGTGATTTTGGCGGGCATATATCTGGTGAGGTTAATACCAGAGTCAACAGAAACAGAGCTACGGCTTTACGTTACGTACTGCGGTGCATCTCTGGCCTGGAACGTCTGCGGGCCGATGATGTTGGCGACACTGAATGCCGCTGAAACCAGCCCGGTGCCTGCGACCTGCGAGGAAATCAGCGCCCGGTACTCTACGGGCCCCATGGCCGATGGCTCACCTTCATGGTATAGCCTTTGAAATTGGCACCGGTCCAGGCATATATCAACGCCAAGGGCGCGACCGTCTGCTCGTTCATCAGTAGAGCAACAGCGGTTCGACGAGAACCCTAAGCATACCGTGTTCACCAGATAAATCCCGGCCAAGCACCCCCCCTGATTGGAAGTGGGCATAAAAGACATCAGGCACGACCCGAGCAGCGTCGGAATCAGCAGCAGATCAATCGCCAGCCACCGCGAAAACCCCCTGGCAATAGCGTACGACGAGAGCATCGTCGAAGCAATACTCACCACCCCGGACGGCATATTCAGCAGCGCGCTCTGCTTGGGCGTATACCCGAAGCCCTTGATCAGGATGGACGAGAAGGTCGTAATCACGCCGCTGGGGATGGTGATGAGGATGGTCAGGAGCACGAGAAGCCACGTCTGGATATCACCAAAGGCCTCGAGCACCGACCTCCACCGGAACACCTTCCGGCCGACACCTGCGTGGTCTCGATGGAGTCGGGCGGCCAGCATTTCTTTCTCTGCCGGCGTGAGGAATCGGGCTTTCTCGGGCGACTCGGGGAGGAGGAGGAACACGAGAACGCCTATGATGACGTTCACGGCGCCGATGGACACGAACATGATCCTCCATCCTTCGAAGGAGAGGGCCGGTGGCGCGTGCTGTGCGCCGAAGGAGATGAGGCCGCCGATGATCTGTCCCATGCCTAGGCCGCAGTACCAGAAGCCGTAGCGGGGGGTGGATTCGGCTTTGGTGTACCACATGCTGGTGTACATGGTCAAGGCGGGAGCTTCCAAGGCATCCTGTTATTATATGGAACCCGTCGCCGACGTGGATATGGCCTATGGCTTACCGATCACGGCCTCCATGAGCCCCAGCAGGACTCGCAAGGCGAGCATGCCCTCGTAGTTGTGCGTGGCGGAAGAGCAGCAGAGGAACACCCCCCAGAAGAACACATTGACGCCCAGAACCTTGGCCACCGGGAACTTCTGCAGCAGGACGCCTGTCTTGCGGTCAGCCTGGATTCCGAAGAAAGCGAGCAAGGGATTGGGATGGGTGTATCGACCCTGTGGGAATTCCGCCACCGCATACGCAATGAAAAAGGCCGTGGCCAGCCAGGAGAAGTCGTCTCCCTTCATCTTCAGGTCCTTCTGGAGGCCCATCACATTTGCGTACTGCAGGCAACAGTCAGAAACATAGAGCCATAGAAACAGAACCGTGCTGTAGCCGGGAGCATCCACGGCTGCCATACATTCAGAGCAACCTTATCCAGAAACTGCAGGAAGTAAGTCATAAACATGAGCGGAAGAATCTGCCAATCGATCTTCCGAACGAGAGCCCTGTCATCCTCCAGCTCGCCTGGGGTGTAGTCCTCTAAAGGGACGGCCGTCTCTTCTACCGGCTTCATCTTGCCCGTTTCGTCCATGGTGCCGAGGTCAGGTTTCTTCAGTCCAGCGGGAAAAACAGACGATCAACGGATCATAAATACAAACCAGAATGCCGGAAAGGCAGGAAGGGCCCAGATCACGAAGCCTCGCGTTGTAGCTTTGGATAATTGAGCCCGATAGCTATCTCCACAGGCCTACAGGAAGAGAGGAGAGCGTAGTATCATCACCGCGTACCCGGGGGGGACATCACAACAGCAACAACCCCAGCCGTGTCAAAAGTACCCGGTGCAGGACAAAGCAAATATGACTAACTAATTAACCCTTCATCCCTGTTCCAATTACCCGTCGTGCCGATCTGCAACCTGCAGCCGTCGCGTAGATAAGACGGAGCTATTCGTTTCTGCTCGACGGTCCGCCGTCGCCTAAGATACCCGGCTTATCGCTGACAGGGTAGAAGTCGGAAATAGAAGAGGATACTGAATCTTGGATCGTGCAATGGAGAAAGGGACTCTGGCTTCCGACGTGGACGTTTCTGTCTCCCGTTGCTTGCTAGCTGATGCCGGCGATGAAGAGGCGGTCCCATAAATAGGTACATGAGTGTCGTGGGAAGAGAGGAAGCAGAAGCAGCAGCAAGGCAAAGCACTAATCAATTCAACAAGCTCGATCCGTTCAGCCCGTTCAGCCTTTCACAATGCCAGACTGCCTGCAAGTCGCTGTCATCGGAGCAGGTCTCGGTGGCCTCTCTGCGGCGGTGGCCCTGCGCCGTCAAGGCCACCATGTCACCGTGTACGAACGGTACGATTTCGCCGGCGAAGTAGGCGCATCGCTCAGCGCTGCGTCTAACGGGTCTCGGTTCCTTGAGCAATGGGGGGTGGATGTGAAGGGTGCGAAGCCGGTGAGTTTGTTTGCTTCAGACTCCGTGCAGCTACGGTGGATAGGAGCTTCCCACTGACGCTCATGCCCAGGTAATCCTGAAAAAACTGATTATGCACGACTGGGAAACAGGCGCGGTCAAGAATACATACGGACTGGGCGACTACAAGGCCAAATTCGGGACGGTGAGCGCTCTGTTCTACTCTTCTAGGAGAGATCAACGTTGACAGGGTATGGAAGGACTACAACAACTTCCACCGCATCGACATCCACAAGCAACTCCTCAAATCCGCCTTTGAAGAAGCAGGCGGAGGACCAGCAGGCGTTCTCAAGGTGAACCACAAAGCCATCGACATGGATCCCGTAGCAGGGACGATCCGCTTCGAGAACGGCGAGACGGCGACGGCGGATCTCATTGTCGCTGCGGACGGAATCAGAGTATGCATTCTTTGGCTTTCATGTGCCCTGCTTGAAGCTTCGATACTAACTGGCCAAAGTCCCTCAGCAGAGGCTTCATGGGCATAGCCCCCGACTTCAAAATGTCCACATCCTGCTGCTACCGCTGCATCATCGGCGCAGACAAGCTGCGCTCCCTCGACCTCTCCGACTATATCGACAATGAAGCAATCGAGTACTGGGGCGGCTTTGGAATCGAAAAGATTGTCATGTCGCCCTGCAGCAATGGCGAGGTGGTGAGCTGCTACTGTTTCTACCCTGCGTCGCATAATAACCTGCGTGAGGACGGGTGGAATATCTCTGCTACGCCGCAGCAGTTGGTTGAGACGTTCCCGGGGCTGGATGCGAGGATGAAGACGCTTATGCTGAATGCAGAGGACATCAAGATGTGGAGACGTGTGTTCTTTTTCGCCTTTTCTTCATCTCCTGGGTGCTGGTGATGCTCACGCGAACTGTTTCTTTAGTTTACGTCCACCAGCCATATCCATATTGGGTAAAAGGGAAGGCTTGTCTGCTCGGTGATGCAGGTTCGTGACCGTCTTCTCTACACGATTACACCGTAAACAACAACGCTAACTAAGGACAAGCACACCCCATGATGCCCGACCAGTCGCAAGGATCGTGCATGGCTTTCGAGGACGCCGGCGCCCTCGGCTACATCTTCCACAAGGGTTTCCAGAAGCAGTACAGCGTTGCAAAGGGGCTCGAATTGTACGAGAAGCTACGGAAGCCCCGTGCAACCCGCATCCAGAGCGCAAGCTACCGGGCTCGAGAGAATCTGAGTGAGCGGATAGGTTGGAGCTCGTCGACTGACCGGCCCGGGAAGTTGACGATCGAGGAGGTTTGCGGGTATGATATGCAGGCGCATTTGAAGGAGCTTTTGGAGGCTGGGAGCAGTTGAGAGTGAATTTGGGGGTTTCTACTAGCGAAAAAAAGGATATTCCTGCAGTTGCATTGTTCTCATTATGTTGATATTTGATGTCATACAAGTCCCTTGCAATGCGAGGACCTGCGAACTACCTTTCCCCGGTATAAGAACCCAGTATAAGAACCGACTCCAGCCTTTGCAGAAGGGGAGCAGCCCTCGTTATTCTGCCAGACAGCCTACAGCTGTGGTTGAAGGCAGAGCAGAGAGCTTGTCAAGCAAGTCCTCCGGATTTCGAAGTTGAACGAAACGTGACCAAGCCAAAGACCTCCAGCTTCTTGGCTGATCACTGCGGGTTCGAAGAATGGCCAGAGAGTTAGGTGCAGGCTCCCCTATTTTCGTCAAAACACGGCTGGTGCTCCGTTCGCCAACAGAAAGCCGTGTCGAGGTGAAGAGGCATGTGTAGATCAAATTGCGCGCCTTGCCAGGCAGCTGCAGAAACACACCGGGGCCTGGTGGTGCTGCTGCTTCCGCGGCCAAGCCGCTCTTTTTGCAGCCGGTCATGATGACCGGTCCTGAAGGCCAGAGAATATGGATATGATGCTAGCCAGAAACGGATGAAAAAAACGGACAGGAAGTTGAAGCCGGGGAGGGAAGCGGCGTGGTCACCAGGGTGGAATAAAGGGAGGGAGAAGGAGAAAATGGCATCTAATACATCGGAACATGAGGGGTTATGCCGTTTGTGAGCGAGTCGAAGCAGGCGAGGGCTTGCTGGGCGAGTGTCAACACCTACCAGGATGCTGGAAATAACACTGTAAATGGTCTCACTAGAAGCCGTTTTGGCTTTGATTTTCAATGTCCGTGAAATTAGAATCCGTTCCAAGCCGTAGGCTCCCAAGACCGTCCAAAGGAAAGACTCGCCAAGGTTCGTATCTCATAACCCTCATAACCTAGACAAAAACAACGCCCGGAAACCGGCTGTAGCGAACATACGCCCAATTCGGACCCCGTCCGCTGCCTTCTCCATACGGCTCATCCTCCCACACCGTCTCCAGCAAAGGCCGCGCATACTGTATATGACGGAACCCCAGGGTGTTCTCCAGAACCATCAGCCGTTCCTTGACGAACATTCGACGCTCCATGTCCGTACTGCTCGCGCCGGCGATCACCAGCGGGAAAAGCAGACACCCTTCGACCTTGCTGCCGTACGGAATCTCCAGGACAGCGGCCAGGATCCGTTGGATGGATGATTCTACCTTCTCATGCGAGGGATCATACCCCTCCACGATCTGGTGAAGGCGCAGCCGGATGGCCCACTCGAATGCCGTCGTGGCGGCGGCAACTTCCTTCGCCGGTCCGGTTAAGGGTGTATCTGTAATATGGTCTTGGTTTGATCGCCAGGAGTCCACCTGAGACTCGAGATGTGCGGCAGCGGTGCGGAATCCGATTTCGGATAGTTCGTCCACGCGACGATTACGGTGGTCGGCTAGGAGGTTCACCATTCCGAGAAAATCGAAGAGAGCCGGGGAGATGCCGTAGATAGCGTCGATGGAGCCTTTGGATTCAGGCAATGGTTCCGGAGGCGTCCGGGACGCCAGCAGGGCGGTAAAATCCTCGATGGTGCTGTCGCTGTGCAGTAACGGGGGCTTGCAGCTGGAGATGGTCGACATGGCGTCGAGATAGTGGAAGAGACTGATGCAAAAGTTCCATTCTGACTTGGATGCGAGGGAGTCCATCGGTAGGGATTTCAGGATGGCGCTGGCAGCTTTCAAGTGCCATTTCCATACCCGGGAGGTGCCGTCGAAGAGCTCCGTCAGACAGAGCAGCAGGACGGCGGTGCAGGCCTCGAAGGTGGAGCGTGGGTCTGAGAGCGTGAGAAGGCGGTTGATCTGCGATAATGCTGGTGCAAGGATCAGAATTGCGGACAGACACAGATGTTCACTCCATAGGACTTGCGTTACCTTTCCCCTGTCGGGTCAGCGCACGGTTCCATATGTTGGGATAGACTCTCCTCCAGTGGCCTCCGCTCAATCCCAGGATGACGTTGGTCACCGTGTCCGAGGTCGCGGCGATCGGGAGCAGTGTGGCGATGAATGGGTTGCCGTCCAGATCACTGGAGCGAGACAAGGCACGGGCGACGATGTGGACGTAGTGGTTGAACAGCGACCTGTCTTCGCTCGTCTGAAGGTGAGGATTCCACGAGCAATTCGGCGATAGGCGCATCCCCAGCGAGCGCGAACCCCGGGAGCTGACGACCGGCAACTCCTCGACCGAAGACCGACCCTCGTCGGAAGATGTTGTCTGCGGCGACAGGACCTCAGGAGTTTCCGAAGCAGCGCTGACAGACGAGGGGGCATGTCGGCTCCCTGCCCGGCTGGACTGGTGGTCACTCGGCCATCGACACGGGAGGTTCAGGCGTTGGCAATCGCCGCATCGAGGCATGATCTCGTCGCATTTCTTCTTTCTGATTCAAAAAAACCGAAATACCGTCAGGGATTCCCAATCAAAATTGACCGACCGCGGAACCGGCACTAGATCGAAGGGTTACCTTGACCTGCATGACAGACAGCCAGACCGGGACCTCGAGGCGCGAGGTCTGCGATTTGCAAACACCCACAGTGCTGTCGCATCGGACGGTCTTGGGCCTCTCTGGGCCGGATTTTGGGGCTCGCAGACATGACCCAGGCCTGCAGGGAGCCAAGAGTGCTGTTAGTGCTTCACTCGCTGCATAGCGGAATAGTAAGGACGAGGGCCAACACACGAGCGCAGCGCGAACACGGCATGCCGCCGTCGCATCGTTGCTTCTAGTACGGAGCGTGATTAGCCCTATTCTGGATGTCCAGCGGGTCGAAGGCCCACTTACGATGCGAGAACAACGTGCACAGACGCGACCAGAGGACATCTCGCTGGTGTTAGCGATGTGTTAGCGATGTGATAACAAATTGCTACAGCCTACCAGGCCGAGGACAACGGAGGAAGGCGAGAGGGGTGGAGGAGACGCCGTTCAAATCGACAAGCGACGGAGGGAGGCCAGTCTTATCAACGACACACGGAAGTGATAGGGAAGATGTGGCTGCCCAGCTGCGGCAGAGATAAGGGGTCGATTGAAGTGAGCTTCATGGCTGGACGATTTACTTTTGTTGCTGCGTCTGCCCCTTGCCTGGATGGAATAGGCCGACTTGCATGCAGAGCGATGTGCTCTGTACGGCTGGCCGGCCGCCCAACACGCATCTCGTGGTGAACTGCAAGCGACGTATAATAATATGCAAGGATCGGTACGCTGTCCTCCGTACATAGCTGGAGATTCCGGTAAGAACGGACGTCTTGGCGATCTCTGGGGTTCAACAGCAGCAAGCCGAATCGAGAGAGATCAAGTCCCGGGGCGTCCTATTTGGCCGGCGGCTGACGGCGAATTGAAACCACAGTGGGAGCTATCCTGTAAGCTCCCGGAGGAACCTAGTACCGCTGACTTGTATAGCCTATGCTGGGCATGCTAAGCTGGCACCCTTGCTTCTCCATGCACCACATGGTCCGGGTTCACATTACCCACACGTGCAAGCGCCGTATTGAGTTAATGGGGACCATTGCCATTCTTCATGACCTTATTCGGACATCAGCGTGATGTATCTTCAACGCACGGAGTAAGAGCGTCCAGAACACGAGTGGCCCGAGAAAAGGGATTGACATAGACATGGCTATGTGGATTACTGCGTCCGCAGAGCAGTTGTCTAGTTGTCATTGTGAACAGCAATGATCAGCAACCTCGGTTCTGCGGAGGAATACATCGAGTGTATGGCGTACCGGACTCGACACGCTGATTCCTTGCCTCCAGTAACCAACTAGCCATGCATCTCGGAGGAATGAAACTCAGGCCAACAGCGGTCCTCCGTGAACATCTGAAGATCCCCAGATTATCGCTCCGTCTTCCCTGCCCAAAAGGGAAAGGCCAACCCCGGAAGCGGCCCGGGCGGACGGATATATCTCGGCCTGCGAGGCCCGAGGCTCTGGTCATGTGATTCCGCACGCGGGGTTCTCGTGACCAAGGACGGGGGTTCCCCGGAGCACATCCATCCGCTACACTCCATCTATGGCTTAGCTCTTGAGATAGATGATAGCCAGCAAGCTGAAGCCATGATCACGTGATCCCCGAGAGGCACGATATGGATACGTCAAGATACAATCAAAGCTGTGCAGTCCCTGCCCATCGAACACGCCAGCCATGGGCCAAGAATCCAGGCCAGGGGTATTATCAGGACCTCGCCGCCTTGCCATGACCTTGTCGTTGTTCATATGAAGCAACATGCCCGGAAATAGAGAGCAATAAGCCTCGGGGGATCGACGCGTCATTTGACTTCTGTGCAGAAGTCTATTCTTGCGCGGAAAGTTCAATGCGGATGCACAGCTATCGGGGATCTTCCAGTGAGTGACCGCTGTATCCATTCCTGTTGGGATATCCAGGTTTCATGCCCCAGATGGATGTGTCATCATCCATGTGCGTGATGTGATGCCGCTGTCGGAGGCCCGAATCCAACTCCAGCTGCTCAGCCATCTTGTTTTGCCTGTCTGCCGTGCTGTGCATACCGAATTCACTACGCAATACAATCACCTGATGGCCAGCCTCGTGATCTGCAGAGACTGCTGTTTCTTACGGCCTTACGGCCTACTCCAGGTACTATGGAGTACCTGCCACTGTTCCACTTTGAGGACATAGTAGTAATAGTGGTGGCCAAGGGGCTGATAGATCCGGAGTGGCAATCGATGTTATGCCACACGTGAGTCTTCCCCAGTCTGGCTGGTGTGGATTATACTATACGTACGGGGTAAAATACACGGTAACAATACGGGTTGAATACCCAGCACGTGGCTCCAGGAACTGGGCAGATCCTTAGCAGTTTACTGGAAGGAGTAATATGATGCTTCCAAGGCCGACACTGCCAGACCAACTCACCCTCGGAGCCTGCAGATAAGCATGACCAAGGATGGAGGAGGCGCTATTATACTTCGCACATACAGGGCCATCCTCGAAGGGGAATGCTTACGTGTCCGAGACCAGGGACTTGGGAGGTGACTGAGCTCTTCACTTTTCTCAATGTGTCTAGCCTGATCGTATTGCATGGAATCATCGCGGACCGCCTACCAAGGACACTGAATCAGGTTCTTTTCCAGCACTTCGTAGACGAGCGGAAATGCCAGGCTTTTCTCCGAGCTGTGCAAGTGCACGCATGAAAGCCTCATGCTAGCATCGTCGATGCCGCATCTCGTGCACCTTCCTCCGTCTGTCCACGTAACATGGCTATGCTCCTGAAGCTTTACAATTACAAGCCAGCTTCCTCCAGGGAGTCGAGGGTTGGTTCTCTCGGGCCAGTGCAGCAGCTTTCTTGTCAACTGCTTCCCCCCCAAAGTCTACACCCCGGACGCGTGTAACTGTAACACTCCCATTCTAAATCCGAACGGGAAATCATCCAGATACGGTAATGTTGCAAGCTGCGGATAGAGGGAAACTTCCAGTGCGATCGTTCCATCCTGCCGAGATCATGGGCGGATGTGATGCTACAACGGCTGGTCACCATCATACATACAGTTCACTGACACAGGTTCCTCCTACCTACCTACAACTGAAATCTCTGCCCAAAACTCATCAAGATGAAATCGTCACACGATTATCCCTTGTGTGAGTGTGTGACGGTTGCCAAATCAACCGGGAAGCAGCAATCACCGTTCAATCAATGGAATCAACCACCCTGAGTTCCAAATCCCAGGATCATCTAGAGTTCGACAGCTTACACAGCACGGCAATATTTGGAGCCGGGGTCAGAGGTAGCAGCCATCATCACAAATTACATCTTTTCCCTGTAATTTCTCTCTCTCTCTCTCTCTTTTTTTAATTCTCTTTATTGTTTCGGATAGCTTGGAAACCAACCAACATGGCCCCGTGACCAGCTGCGGGCTTACAGCTGGACACGGCAGGTCGACGGCGCGCAGACTCGAGTAAATGCCATCTGCGGTCGTCAACCGTGACAGCTGTCCGGTCCCGTGCCTTGTGACTACCTACGCTGTACGGAGCGGCTTTGTGAGTTTGTGAGCTGGACTGTGACACTTGCTCCTTTAACTGTCTTCTCCATGCCTGGACACTGGGCAGTAGACCGACACAATGATCAGAGGTCCGTTAACAGGAAAATTATTTGAAAATCTAGTCCGTAGAGGGTTGCTTTTTAAAATGGCCCAGGCCGAGAGTAGCATGCCAGATCGGCAGCACCAGGCCAGTTTGCAAGACATCTAATGAGGATATATCTGTGATGTTCTATCGCGGCTAATAGCGTCTTGTCTTTGTCCTTGCCATGGATGATCGTTGCAACGCTTTTCATGGCTCGTGACTCCGGACAAACAAACCGGTTTGGACCGATTCTTCCAGGCCTCGCTAGGGCTTACGGGACGATTAACCGCCCCCTGAAACCGGTTCGATGATTCGATCAGCTAGCGCGCTGTAAATCTCTCATCTCATCTTGTTCTCAATCGGGCAGAGGATGAAGAAGGGCCCTTGAGGCAATAATAATAATTGCCATGTCGCATCAGTGCGATAGTAGGTCACAGTGGCGTACGATTAGCGGGACTTAGCACGAAGTCAGTATTTCCCAGAGTCCAAGGTTCCGGGTAGGCGGATTCTGAGTTTGAAAAAAATGAAATAAAAAATGAAGGCCATACTACTCCGGACCGTAGATAATATGCGAATGAAAAAAAAAAAAAAAAAAGAAAAAAAAACATACACAAATACAAATACCAATTCCCATCATGGCGAGTGGCTGGTAGCATAGTGGCCGATGGGGTATTAATCTATTACTCCGGATTAGGCACCATGTGAATTTGAACCGAGGTCACGGGACATCTTTCGGTGTCATTCCTGGCTTTCTACTTTTTTTAATTTTTTTTCTTATTTTCTTGCCCCCTTTCTTTGTTCTAGATTTCTTGATCCACGGAGCGAATATTTTTTATATATTTTTTTCATTATTCCCATTATCTCCTTTATCTCCCCTATATTCCTGGGGTCATCTGGCCAGGGCCCAGGGGGCAATCGATATCTACGGACAGTTCAATACGAGTTGTTCACCGGCGGATGGAGAATTACCAGGTCCCGTATTTGAAATACGGGAGCGTGCGTGGGGACGATGGAAACGGGACTGGGTAATGGTACTAATGGAAAAACGGTACTGGTAATTCAGGGAACCTTACCAGGCCAGTTTCTCTGAGTCCGAGGAATTGCCGGACTGGTGGATGGCAAGGCAGGTTTTGCTTCTCGGAACCACCGCCAGGCGTTCCGATGCGGTTGACGGGCGAATCAGCGGGGAAAGGAGAAATACCCCCACCGCCCTGTAATTGCGGGACGGCGGTAATATTACAATACTTGATTACCAGGTGGTCACGGGAGAAGCAAAAAAGAAAAAAAAAAAGGGCCGCGGTCATAATACCAGCAATAATTTATACCCTTTATGATAATAATAATAAAATATAATATTATTATACACGCACAGACGACAGTATATTGTGATTTGTATTATTGCCATGCCCATTATTACTATCCTTCGCTCCTTCCCTTAACAAGCTTCTCTTTCCTCTGCCTCTTCCTTCCTCCCTCTTTTCCCTTCCAGCCTTCCTTTGGTCCTCCATCACTGCCTCTCCATAAATCCCCGGTCATCATAACGTTACCCCTCCCTCATTGACGACATATCCACCGCATCCCGCATCTCCCCGCCGATTTCCCTTCCCGACTCTCAGTGCTCCTCCGCATCCATCTCCTCCACCCTTTCGTCCTTCGAGCCGAAAAGGGAAAAGAAGAATCCACTGGGAGAATTAAAAAAGAAAGAAGAAGAGAAATTCCGAATATTCGCTTTGAATTGCTTGTCTGGTGCTATCCTCTGTTGGTTGTCCTACGGCAGAGTTCACCCAGTCAACCCGTCTACCAAACTACGAAAATCGAAAGCATTGAGGACAGCTGAAGACAGCTGAGGCGCCAGTCCATTCATCCAGTCGGTCGTCTTCTGCACAGTCTGCGAAGACGAGTCTCGAAACACTCTCCTCGACCTTGTGGCGCTGCCCAGAAACAACGTTGCAGTCGAACCATCACATTCGCGCCGTACGACCACGATCGGGGAAGACGGCGGCCCCGGACCCAAGCCAGGCATTTGCTTCTGACCCTTGTACATTCGAAAGTGTGGCTTTACTCGACGATCAGGAAATGCCTTCACGGTTAGCGACGCCGGTGCTGACCGTGGACCCGGCTAAGATCCAGCAAGTGGACACCGCGAACACTCAGAGTCTTCATGGAATGTGGCTGGGTAAGTGCTCTTTAGTGCTTTGATTTTTACCCCCGTGATTAGTGCTAATTGTCGCCAGTCTTTTCAAAATGCGCTTCCTACATTGAGGAAGGCCGTCGACTAGAAAACCTTAGTTGGCGGCTATGGACGCGCGAGACCTTCTGCGTGGAACCGCAAAGCTCGTGCGACACCTCCGTTCTGCCATTACTGCGCTCAGAATCCAGCGACCCCCCTGAGCTGTCCGCCAGCGTCGATTCCGCTGCATCTGACCAGGCAGAGACGATAGAGGCTCACATTAAACGCCCTAGGTTCCCTGACTACCGACCGAGTCTAGTCCGCGATGACTCCCTCCTCAACTGGGGCAAGGAGAAACATATCACCTCTTCGGGTTTGGAGCGCATGGTTCTGAACATCAAGGAAAAGAAGCATCTGGAACCTCTGTCTTCGCCGCCTCTAACCACAATCGCGCCTCCCGCTATCACGAGCCCTAAACCCACCACACCCACTGCCTCTCCCCCATCGACGGCCACCGAAAGTTCTAAGACACCGACATGTCCCGCTGCCGCCACCGCACAGCCACAGCGGTTAGTAGAGTCGTGCTCGACTACGGCTCCGGAGAGCGAAGCAGCCGAGGTAGCGCCATCGGATACGAGTGTGTCTTCATGTGGGGTGCCCCCCTCCCGGTCTGGTCTGTTCAAATCCCCCAGCGTCGTGCGTGGCTTCTCCCCGTCTCAAGTGTCGTCTTCCTACCGGTCGCAACCCAGACTTGCTCCTGAACCTCGTCCCGCTGAAGCAGCCACTCTCCCCAAGCCGTCGCCCATGAAGATGAAGAAGGGCATGTTTACTTTGGGTGGATCTTCGGGTGATGATGATGAGAGTTCGTTCGAAGACCGTATGGCCGTTCATAACAACTACCGCAAGAGTTCTCTCTCCCAAGAACTGGGCAAGTCTGCACCACGCAAGTCCATTACACCCTTGAAGACGGCTTCGTTTCGGGATCAAGTGATCAAGGAAAGAGCGGGAGAGGATGAGGATGCCATTGTGACCGATGATGATATCTCCGAAAGTGCAATTGAGGACGATGAAGACTCGGACTGGGAGGATTCCGTGACAGAAAGTGGCCGATCGAGCGTGGAGGACAGAGACCTCTTCCAGCGCGTGGATTCCCGTCCTAATCTCGTGTCACGGCGCTCCCTTCTCACCATGATGATGCATCAGCCCGCCAAAATGCAGATGCAGATGAACCCCTCCCGATCCAGCTCGGCACTCCAACGCGCGCGACTCAACGGCCCGTCCGTACCTGTCTCGCCTCCAGAAGACGACGACGAGGAGGAGGAGGATAGTCTTACGATGCGCGGCCCGGATGTTCCGAGGTCGAAGCCGATTATCGTGAGACCAATGCCTACGCAACCCGTTGCCCACTCCCCACGTACTACACGGAGAAACATGCTGGCTACGGAGTTGACCGAGTCCCTCCGACGGCACCTGTTGTGGGAACGCCAGCAGAAGAGCGCGACGGCGAATGCGTTCTTGAAAAGGCGCCACACGGCACATGATGTTGCGAATCTCAATGAGTATCCGGGACCAGGTGGGCAGAACGGGCAAGCAGCAGCGGATGCTGCCAACCAGGCCAAGGATAAGGATGCGTCCAAGATCGGTTCGTGGAACAACTATACTGATTTCGGGCCGTGGGAGTATCATGCAAAGGGGTGGTAGGGAGACAGCGCGTCTGCTGTCCGAAGTTGCATAGCTGGAGCGGAGATGTACGATAATGACGTATGCATTCGTTGGCGCATTTGGGGAATTTGGCGGCTACTTGGTGCTTAATACCTCTTCTGCTACAGCGGTTTTTATTTATTGTCTGCTTTGTTTCTTGTCTTACTGCATTGCGCGGTTGTGTGCTTTGTGTTTTTGCTATGCAAGCCCGTCGAGGTCAGTCGTTGTTCCGGCGTTATCTTTACACTGTGCGGCCAGTGTTATTGTTGTTATTTCCCTTTTCCTGTGTGTGATGCTGTCCGCAGTGGTAATAATGGACACGAACGTGATGAAGAAGTGCATTTTTTCCATTATTTTTTTTTTTCCTAATGGGGTTTTGTTGTTTACCTGGGGGTTTTCGGCATTACCATAGATGGAACCTAAAAGTGCTGCATCGTCGTGTCTGGGGCATATTTATTTTCTGTTCTTGCTAGATACCACTATGATTTTGTTTTTACTATTAAGAGAAAAAATCCGATCCCATACAATATTCATCTGGATAGAGTACCTTCAGCTACATCTGAATACTGGAATCAGTAAAGTAAGCTAATGCCAATGCACATGAACATGCATACTCACCCCAGCCAGCTTACTTTTACTTTTATTGCCCGGATCAGTCCAGTCCTAGCTTCTATCTTAGTTGTATGACATATTGATATCTTTTCTATCTTTAGAAGACAGCATGTCAACGAGAGGTGGAGGGAGGGGCACAACGCAACAATGATGACTATGATGATGTGCATGTGCATGTCTAGAACTAGGTAGAGTGCTGTAAGTACTAAAGCATCAAGTACATACTAAGCATGATTTCATGAGAGTCAGGTTTTTTTTTGTTGCAGGGTAAAATGAAATAAAATAATGTTGAGGTGAAGGACAATGGGGATGGGATGTGGTCGATTTGTGTTGGAAAGGGGTTTAGGTCTAGAATCTCTGGATTATTATTATTGTTATCATAATTATTAACTTTCTTAACTTTGTCCGTGTCAGTGTCAGGACAGGATCATGATACTTTATGATACTCAGACTGGTTTTCAGGGATTTCCAGGGATGTCAGTGTCAGTTCTGTGATTTTGAAATGTATCTCTCATCTACAAGTTTAACAGAGGCAACATCTCTAACAACATCCTTATGGATAGGATATGGATCCATATTCTCCATGAAAGATATGATGTGACATATGATACAACCTCACCGGTTTAGTACATGTAGCAGTACTGTAATTCAGAACCAGCTGAGCCTGTAAGTACGTCACCTAACAAGGTATACATTTCCGTCTGATTTGATCACACAAAACAGCACCGAGAACATGACATTCCAATCGGCATGCCGAGTCGACTCAACTGGAATCAGGATCAGGTACGGAGCCGAGTACTCCGTGCCGGTCATGTTGCAGGTGTTTCTCCACAGCCCGGTGTGCAGTGACCTGTTAAGGTTGACATCGTCAGGCTCACAGCGGTCAGACGGTAGGCCAGATCACGTAGATATTCACGGAGTTGGGGATTATGATATGGAATCCACTGGATCATTATCATCATGACTTCTTCATTGCTGAGTTCTGTTCAAGTCGATCCATGTCCTCTGTAATCAGGGACTTCTCCAGTGCATAACCATAAGGCATAAGGTTCAGACCCACAATTTTTGCTGTGTTAATTGCTACAGACTCCAGAGTCGATTCTCGGTTCTCCAAAGAGACTCCAGGAAGTTGGAAAACCCAAAAGCTCTACTCCATTATGGCGCTCAGGCCCCTGTCAAAAACCGATATTTCCCGATCAGCCCGGACGATTCCTAAGCGATGGTCCATGGCGTTCCGCAGTTCACGGGGTCTCCGTAACCGAGACGAAACTAAATGGCGCGATCGACAAAATAAATGGGTCGGTAGTGGAGTTCTAGCTGGTATGGAGACATACCTAGGTACTACAATTACCGAGTGTAAAATGCAACAGACTGAATGCAACGTTATGGCTTCATTATTTCATATGATCGTTTCGACCGACTGTCAGGGGAATATAATGATAACCATAGCCTGGAGTGTTGCAATCTGTATTCCGGATTAGGAAGGAGAAGAAGGGAGCCAAGCTGATAAGCGGAGCACATGATCGAAAAAAAATTCACCAAGTGCACAGGGGGCTCTTCTAGAAGACTTCTGGAAGAAGCTTAATTGATGTGGCTTGCCTGTGCAACATCATGGCTATGTATTACCTCTTGCGGTATGGTTGCTTACTGTATCTGTATCTGTATCCGTATCGTACTACGTAATTATCAGGCACTCCATAATTACTGGTAACTAGCGGTAAGGATCATCGCGGTATTAATGACGACGGAGTAGATCCCTCCGGGGTACATGCTGGGGATAGATTACAGAGTACGGAACCTTGACATACTCTCCATACAGACATATTGCTATTCAAATATGCACTGGGTAGATTGTAGGCCGTGCATTTCGAGTCTCTTCGTGGACAGGATTAATTCCGTCGAATCTATACCTGAATTCCCATTCTAAAGGGTCACCTAGACCCTACGTAATGGACATGTCATGTATTCAAGACGGAGGACGCCGGAGCCGCTGCCGACGGCTGTGGGGAAGCATTCTGTCCACGTGCTGTAGGTACCTAACCTGAGGTTTGTATTGTTACCCAAACGGGTAGTTATGGTAATACCCCGTACACCTGGAGCAAACTGCTGACTGTGGCTTGCACTGTCATCCCAGTCCCTTGCAAGCCATGTTAATTAAAGTACAGAGGCAAAAGTACGACTATTGGAGCTCTGACTTGTCAAAAGCATAAATCATCAACGTCACACCAGACGAACCGTCACATGGCCCCTGATACGCCGATATCCCTGCAAGCGTCGCCAACGGCTCCCATCCACAGATCGATTTCTCCAACAGTCAATCTATGCAACTGATCACTTCATAAGCCCCAAGCCTTGACGTATCATTCTTTCTGCTCTGCTCTGCAGCATATTTCCTGTGTTGTCAACTTGTCAATCAGCATTTGCTGCCGTCTTGTCGATGTCTCCTGGTCACCGGATCCGCAGCCACAATCTAGATGCGTTGGCATCTCAACTCAAAAAATAAAAATAAATAATAGCTACCTAGTAGGTAACTTCCCCCTGTCCAGCCTCACTTCATGCTGGATTACTTCTTATTTGTTCGCTTTCCGCTTTTCGCGCCGGAATATTTATTCTTTGCAGTTGCAGTTGCATTTGCATCACACTGGCTTGTGCGTGCGGGTCATTGACCAACTTTGACATTGACATTGACAGAGCCGTTGACATTACATCATGACCATATTGGTCCATTTGATGTGATATCTTTGGGCTGTATGATGTCTCCTTCCTGTTCTAGGAACGTGTCTCTGATACCTGTTACTGTAATTGTATCATTATCATCTGTTATGTCTGGATTCTGTTCCTCATGTTTCTTCTTGCCAGTCCTCGGGGCATTGTCAGGGTTTGACTAGATATCCTGTGCTTCGTGATCAGTTGCTTTGGAAATACGGGGATTGTTTGCATTCTCAACACACACGGCACATATGACATCCGAGGTCCCAAATGGCTCAGCCCAGCTGGCTTGTTAAGCCCCCAGGTTCCTGCTTCATGATTGCCTCCCTTCCGGGGTTGCGGTTGGCGCCATGTCTTGGTTCGGTTCATCCGCTGGACAGCACTTCTATGACACGTACTCATACATTTCATCGCTTGTTCCTACCATGATTCACTTGCTGGACTCGACAACATTAATTATCCAGCAAATGACCATCCAATTGCGCTCCCATACTCTACCCGACAAACTAAACGGCTCAGCTGGACGATGCAGGCTTTTGCCCGGAAAGGGGCATATCTATTGATGAACGGCAACTATATGCTCTACATCTTGGCGCCTGCATAGCTTGTGCATCCAGCTAAGGCGGCAATCGAATCTACCACTTGCATGTCAGCTAAATACAGGCTCTGGGGTCGAATGAAGTCCTGTCGAATATTCTAAGAAAACCGATTGATATTGATGGCGTTCCCTGCAATATTCAGCCGAGCAAAGTTTAATTCTTGCCAGAAGATAGCAGCATTGATATGGAGGGGGAACGGTCTACAGGCACAGTATGGCTTGTGATGCACTGTGTCTGTTGACTAGGAAGTGCAGGGTGGCTATTTCTGACCAGAGAAGCTACATACAATTTCCTCTTCATCCCGAAAGCTAGAAATTGAATTTTAAACCCTTTACAGAATTTTATAGGAAAAATAGTACAGAACTAGTAGCGAATGTAACAAAAAAGGAATACATCAATGGCCTCATAATAAGGATCAAGAAATGCGGAGTCTTAATGGAGGTGTATCGTTGGTTGGTAACTAGCTAGATAGGCCTACCTGGTGAAAAGGGTCAGCGAGGGCGGACCTATGCGGCAGAATCCCACGTGATCCAACATTTTTCCTATGAGGTCACATGACCACAGCTGATAAGATAAACTTCAGAGGAAAGCGGTGGGCAGCAGCAGTAATCTAGGCAGCTCTGCGCCTTCCATCGTACTATTTATTAATTAATATGATATGATATGATGTGATATGAGTCTTTGTGTCTCGCTATGAGTTGCTTTGCTTTCTTTTGTTAAAAGCTTCATTTCTTCATTATTTCAGGACTGCATTTACTGCTGGAAAAGTTGTTGATTTGGGTGGTAGACTGAATTCAGCATGGAAGGCGTATCGGTTGATCATTCCTCTGTGGATGGTGAGTTGCAGGATTTATGCGGTGTTTTCGTACTTACAATATACTGTCCTTTCCCTGGCATTTGATTTATTTAGAATACCTACTGATATCCTGTATAGGCCAGCAGTCTCGGTCAGCCAGAGATGAGTTGGCTGTGGCGCAATATCAGGATGGTGCAGCTACACCCCAGTTGACTCCTGCCACCCAGCAATCATCCAGAAAACCAGCCAAATGTCGCTTCTTCACAACCAAGAAAGGTGGGTAGATTTGAACCTTCATATTTCACGGTACTAAACTCCATACAAGGATGTCGTGCTGGTGATGCCTGTCCATATCTTCATGTTTCCAGCGCAGAGCGGAATCTGGCAGCGCCCGGACGCCAGCCAGTACCTCAATCTCGTCGGAATACTTTGACAAAAGGCAAGGCCAGATCCGAGGCCCCTGTGCAAGATGTAGCGGCTGGTATGGCAAATCTGTCAACGGACAACTCCCCACCAGCCCCTAGTCCCTCGGTTACCCCGAACCCTAGGGCGGCACAGAGACCCGTCTCGAAGGCGCAGAGCCAGAATCCAAGAGAATTCCAACTAAACCAATTGAGACGGCGTTTCCGTCCAAATGAAGAGACGGATAGTGTCAAAACGTCTCTCACCTTTAAGATGGCCCCTTCGGACCCTGATTTCCCATTCGAATTAGAAGAGTTGCATTGCGTTTTACATATTCCTCTGACTTATCCGACCAAGGGGCGGCCGTCACTGGAAATAACCAATACTGAAATGGATAGGGTTTACCAGGAGAATGTAGAGAGGGGGTTTGACGATATCGTGGATACGTCTTTGAGGAACCATGGGCAAGCAACACTTCTAGGCTGGATGAACAGTCTTGATAAACACCTGGAGCGCTTTCTCTCAACGACGGAAAGAGGACCGACTCTTAAGTTCATAGCTAACGTTAATAATAAGGCAACTGCCGTGCCCATGGATCCAGCCCCGAGTCGGGTGCCATCGACTCAATCAAAAGCGGATAAACGGCCTGCTTCCAGTTCAGGGCTATTACCTGCGCCATCCAACCCGCGTCCAAAATATACTGCGGAGCAGTTGGCTCAAGCAGAGAAGCGCAGAAGAGATGAAACCAGGCAGCTTGAAGCCCGACTGGGTAGATTGCCTCTGTTTCAGAAGTCTTCTGATGGGATTTCATTTACTGTCCCTATTCAGCCTAGCAAAATCGATCGACTTTCGGTTCCACTTCGATCTGCCAAGGCAGCAAAGCTGTTGGTGCCCTTATTATATCCTCTGGAACACGCTGCTGTTGAACTGCAAGGTGTTGAAAAGACGGCAGCACGGCCCGTTGAAAGAGCCTTTGAACAGTGGGTCAAGGAGAATTCTAATTTGAATCTGGTGTCTCAAGTCAACTACTTGGCAAGCAATATGCACACTTTTGCCAATAAGCCATTGTTAGAGGAACCTTCCGAGGCACCTCTTGAGCAGGATATGCCACAGGATTTCCATACCACCGAAAATCAATCTGAGCCTATAATGCGAGAGCCCCTGCAGGGATTGGATCACAGATCCCACATACATGTTATTCCTCGCCCTCCGGAATGGGCCGCACCTGATGAAGGCAGTGACGAAGAACTCACTGATATATCCACTTCTGAGGAGGAGTTCTCCGACGAGGGTGATGAGAGTGGTGGAGTACCTATCCCTGACAGCGCCGCTGAAAGGGCAATTGGACGTGGTGTTGCACTATCCTTCCCATATCTGGAACTTTACGGGATTGAACTGCTTGAACTGGTTAATCTCTACATCACGATAAAGTGTGAACGTTGCAAGGAGCCGATGGACGTGGATAATATCCGACAAGTCAAGGACGCAAATGGAACATATGCCCCCAAGGTTGAAGTGTGCAAGAAGTGCACAAATACCATGAGTATTGGTAAATACCCTGCCCTTGCACTGTGCCTATTCCCGTTCAACCCTGGCTAGAATGAACCAAAAGGGGAGACTTCTGACTGATTTGTCCCTCTTTGCGTCTTTCCAGGGTTTCGACAACAATTGATACATCAAAGTTCCAATCGTGCGGGCTATTTGGATTTGGATGGATGTACTGTGGTTGATCTTCTTCCAAGGTGAGTTGCTCTGAATTCCTTGATTTCACAGTGACAGCCATACTTCTTGCAAGGTCAATAATCACGACTATTTTAGCCTTTCTGTCTCACGAAAATGAAAACTCGTTGCAATGGTCGACTAACGAGTGAGTAGCCTCTTCATTCCAACTTGCGCTGAATGCTCGACGCCATACCCTGCTCCAGGAGTGACTGCTGTCCGTGGAGAAAGTGCAATGGCCGTATGTCGCCATTGCCATCGCAAGATGGGTACGTACTTGAAGTAATATGCTTTAATTGCAGTTGCGCAAGGGACCTATATAACTAATACGTCACACATCATATAGTGTTCAAAATAGTTGAAGTCAAGTTTCTGCTCGTGGGATCTGCTGCATGTGAGTTGCATGGCGCTTCTCCCTTTACAGACCCTTATTTGGACAGGCTTTTCAGCAAGCAGTACTGATGTGTCTCTCATCTAGTTACCGCTCGCACTGTCCCGCTACGAAGGAAAAAGGTATATGAGTTTGCAATGCTTATAGCGATTCCATCTCTGACATTGAATTCTGCAGCCAAAGGAAACTCTCGGTATTGTCGCTGGCCAGGAACTTCCTCGACGTGGACGTTGCGTTCATTATGGGAAAAGCTATCGTTGGTTCAGGTGAGTGGCCTTGTTCCCCTTGTCTTTTGGATTTCCTGGAAGCCTATCTATACATGGATGACAAGCTAACTCGTAGCAGATTCAGCTGCTGCTCTAAAGTATTCCCCTGTGATAAGTATGTGACTTTTCTTTATACATGCTGCGAAACATCTTGCATAAGAAACCCTGCTAGAAAATAGAGTTATTCAATATGCAATTTACCCTTGTTGGAACTGCGAAGTTAACTAGCCAATCCGTCCAGGTGCCACGATGCAACAACTGATCATCCCAACGAACATGCAAACCGCATGATTTGGTAAGTTTCTCTCCCACACGCATGATACTTATCCATGATCGAAATCGAGATGGAGAGCACCTTATGTCGGCCTTTGGCTGACTATCCTCACCAGTGGCTTCTGCTCCCGAGAACAAATCTACCGACCAGAAAACTGCGGGATATGCCGTGCCGTCCTCGTCGGAAAGGCAGGCAGTGGATTTTGGGAAGGAGGAAAGGGTACGAGGAATAAAGTCCTCATGAGCCGTAAAGGTGCCTATATGATACCATGTCTTACGGGGGAACGCCGTTGATTTGCTGACATGCTTCTCAGATCCACGTAAATACAAACGCCGAGGAGGAACGAAGCCGGGCGGGAGTTCTTCGAAACGGAAGGGAGAAGCCAAATAAAATTGGCTTGCCTGCTTAAACTACAGTGGTATATACTACAATCGCTGAAACTTGGATGTCCAACGTCCATTACGGGCACTTGGTCCAACCGACATGCACCACTACGGGTGAAATGGATATTCGATGGTAGTAGGTTACAGTCGATTTCGAAAACTGATTCCCCCCATGGACTCACACGCATTGTTTCTCGGTCCGTACCTGAGACCACCCTAATCCGTATTTGCCCAAATCATAACTTACCCTTGTAACTATAAGAACAGTGTCTATGCCCCGCCTGTGCTGTCCGCGGTGGCACTTGGCTTCAGGCTTAAGCGTCATCCACGGTAGGTTGGTTCGTATACGACCGCCATCCACGGCTTCCTTTCTCACAACTGCGATCTTGTAGAACAATTTGTATCGACTTGAGAGTTCAAGTGATCTCGAAACATGTCACCGGTAGGGTTCCATGTACCTGACGTGGCACCATTTGATATCAGTCAGCAGAATCCATAAACCGTCGTGCTGCGAAATCCATATGTCATAATTCTGCAGCTTTCGGAATCGTTGGAAATCAAATGATTCGGTTGTTCTTGGCCCTCAGACGCAGCCCATGCAGGATGTATACGCCGAGGTATTGACTGACCTAGCGTTATTCATCAACATGAATATGTGTTTCAGCCGTGGCGGTTAGTAGGGCACCAGAAATAGCCCTCATTGAACCGTTCCTCTGCCGCCCGCCAACAAGCAAACAAGCAGTCATGTCCCTATGATAATGAGACAGAAAGCAAGGCTGGCACGCTGCGAGCTAAACACGGATACGCGAGCCTATCTCATCTATCATCAACAAAAGAGAGTGAATGGCTTAGAATTACACCCACAAGACCATTTTGGCCACGCCTTACTCTTTCCAATCGGTGCGTATTTCACTTATAAAAGACGCCAACAACCGGAAGCTGAATAATTCTCGACGTACAATGGGAAAGGCAAGAGAAATCCGTACAGTAGCAGCGCCATACCAGCTGCCTTGATGCCACTGGTAAAATGCACGTACACGTAGCAATGCGCCACCTTGTTGGCTGCTTAATGCAAGCACCATCACGGCAGACCTCTTCTGGTCTGCCCTTATTTTCGACCGGACAACAATGAAGGATTGATAGAGAAATCTTCGGAACGGAACGACCACTCTCAGGTCGTTATGCTCACACTCAGCCTTTCGCGTCATTACTGGGCTGCGGAACGATATCTTTGGGCAGCAACACAGTAGCTAGTAGCCAGGATATGAACAAAGGGAGATTTCCAGGGCGCCCACGTGCGCCGGAAGGCTACTTTGATACTACAGCAGTGTGAGAAAAATGTATGGTAAAGATGATGAATCCCAAGCCGCCACGAATATCAAGGCGGCCCTTGGAGAAGAGGGCCATTTTTGCGAGCCGTTCTTACTGTACTGAAATATGTAGCTCTAGAGCCTTCTCTCTTGATGATCTTAGCGCTGCAGCAAGGCTAGGCTCGAGGTTCAGTCTCTTAAACAAAGTAATGCCTGTGCCTTTGATCTTGCTGCAGATTGTCGAGTCCATTCGCACCAGCAGACGAAACGAACAATACCCCCGATGGCTATCAAGAAGACCATGATAGAACATGACCCTGGCGATGTCAGAAGGTTCTACGAAATGATCTGCTTCACCCGTTCTCTGAGCCCGGTGAGAGGTAACAGAATCAAGCAGGTGTTTTCTGTTGAAAGTGACGGGTTTGAAATCGCAAAATGCCGGCGAGATTTCGCCGACGCAATCGCGTATTTTTGCGCATACAGAGCCAATCCGGATAATGTCACTGCTGTAGCTCTAGGGAGAAAGAACACAAAAGTCGTCCTTTGGATTGCAAGCAACGCAAATGTCCCTGCAAAGGTGATTGACTTCTTGAATAATAGTGCGCTCAACGTGGTGCAGAGGCTGGCATGTGCAGACATGAAGCAAGGGCAGTTACCTCCAAGCGAACACGAGACAGCTCTCATGATTCTGGGTAAAATATTGCAGTTTTCCAGGAAGAAAATCTTCAAGTACTACAAACCCGCTATTGCAGCGTGGAAGGAGATTTGCAGAGTTGTGAATCCCCAAGGTATGGTCCTCAGACTCATGCTTCATCGGTCTTTGTTTGACATATGCTAGGTTCCGACAACACAAATTCAGACCTAGCTACGCTCTGCGAATGGTTTCAGAAGGAATTCTATAAGAGCGGCGTCATGCTAGAGGAATGCGACATGCCTGACCTTGCTATCAGTTGTTATATTGCACGTACGAAGAAGGCATTTGACATCCTCGACCATGGCTCGGGCCAAGGCAACGAACAAAGCCTTGCCTATGAGCGACTATATAAGTTGCTCAACAAACTAGGCAAGCACGTTTTGCTCTTCAAAAGAATGGTGCACGCCATCGTCGCTCTACGCCTTGACTTCCAGAAAGGCTTCGTAGTGGAGCCGATTACTGCATCCACTCCGACGCCTATCCCTCTTCCACAGCTAAGCAAACGGACTATGGAGAAGATCATAGCTCGTGTTTTCCCAAAAGAAGACGAAAGAAGTCGGTTTTACCATCATCTCAGCCAGTTTTATAACATGGAGGGAATATACCAGTCTCTGAAGTTGTACAAGGAAAAGGGTCGAGTTCGAGTCCACGCAGAGATTTTATTGATTGACTACTTCGACAAGATTGACGTGGACTTCCTCGATAACGACGACAAGTACGTTGGCTGTAGCAAACCGGCATGCTACCTTTGCTATCAATATATAAGCCAACATCCGGATCACTATACACTGCCTCAGACTCACCAGAAACTATACCATGCTTGGTGTCTGCCTATCGTACGAGCTAACGATCGCAATTATACTGACAAGCTCAGACGGCACAAGCAGTTCCTAAATCAAGTGACGGAAAACCTTCAGTCAGGCCTTCGGAATGAGATGCGGCAGCAGGTAGCTCCAAGAAAATATCATGCAGACTCGACTGCAGGGGCAAGTTCAATTGCCAATAGCAATAGAGCAAGACCAATACCGAAGACCTCCGACCACTCTGTCCGTGCTTTGATCCAATTACTAAGCAAAGGTTAGCCCTGTTGTTCCGTTTGTTCGGAAAAAGGAATTAACACAGTGATTGTTAACAGAGATAAGTGCCAAGGACGATGTTGACTTGGAAGATGGGGGCGTTATGCTTCACCGTTAATGCTGATCAGCCCTGTAAATGCGACTGTCATGTTACTCGCTAGGCAGGTAGCGGTGTTCTAGGGCTTGGGCTGTATCTTTTTTTTGGTTGAGCTGCTTCATATGTTTACAGGTGTTTCGTTGTGGCCAGAATTTGAAGAATCGAGGGGAGTGCCTCATGTGAACTTCAAGGTAGTTCCTGCAAGTGTGCCACAAAATAAACAGGTGACTCGTATGTGTTTTCCAAGGCCCACGGGCCTTGTAGAATGCAAACTAACGGACAAGTCTTCTAAGACTAAAACCGGCATCTGCCCTTGAATAGGACTACGTCCTCCGTATCTTGATCAGCGTTTCTGCCCGCACCCGAGGTCTCGTCTGAACCAGTATCAAACTCTGTGGTAAGTGGTTCGGTGGAAGCGACTGGATAACCAGGCGTTAATTCTAGACTGGATATCTGCGAGCTGTAATTGAAAATATCGTCATCAACAGGTGGTGTCCACTCAGTTTCTGATTCAGTGCAATGAGGCTGTAGGGCCCACTGGTTGTCCACTTTCTCCTCTAGCTGAATTCGGATAGTATTGATCAACTTCTGGAGGACATATTTCTGGTTTTCAGCGCGAGCCATGGCATTGCATTCTTCGCGCGAGATATCCGGTAGACGCCAATTTAGGCACATTCTGGAGCTCGAGGATATCATAGCATATCTCGCGGGGTGGTACGAAATGAAGAGATGACATAGATAGCAGCTTGGCTTTGTACAACCAATGTATTTGTCGCCTTCGTCAATGAAACCGCCATCCAGAAGTGTGTCAAAGTAGTTTATCACCAGGAGCTCGGGGTGAACTTCAGTAAGAACTGTCTTTGAATAGTGCTTTAAGGCTTGGGTTAACCCGGGTGGAGCGATCACTTCGAGCTTCTGGCGAAAATCATCCCCTTTTGAGGCGTCGGAGAATATCCGACCCGCGATGCCCTCAATAGTCAGCTTTCGTGGAAGAAGAGGAATCGGCAAGTTTGGGGAGGACGGTATGCTTTGTACCGCAAGATCATTTGCGAAATCTTGACGCAGAGAGATAGCAGACTCAAAAAGTTGAGAAGTCATGTCGATAGTCCGACTCAATTTCCGAAGTTGCTTATAGAACTTCTCAAAATGGGCAGCATGTTCATATCCATGACATATAAACCTTCTTAGAGGGTTTAACAGTCCAGACCGACTCGCATTAAAGCATTCTTTTGCTAGGGGCCTCATGTGTTCCTGAGTCAAAGGTGCGCCGTTTTTGTAGAAATTCTTTTGAAACCAAACATTGAAATCGACCGAGTCTACGTGCGCCTCCATACTCATGTCAGTATTCTCGATATGAATCAAGACAAGGCAATAATTCCGCGTACCATTTAGTCCCATTGCCATATCAGCCAAGCATACGGGAGCAATATCGCCGTGCAACAGTTTCATGTAGTGAGCAAATACTTTCTCTTTAGCGAATTCGATCGCGACGTCTGAAAGAGAGGAAAGGATCCTCTTCTTTTTGTCGCCCTTGATCTCATCTTTTGGTAAGTTCACGATGTTCGATAATCGGTGTAGGAGTTCGCTGAGAAATGGAACAACAATTCCATCAATATCGCCAGTGCCCGCGACTCGAACGATAAGCCCATCTGGCTGCCGTTCTACAGCAACGGCGATCTCGCACTCTTTTCTATATGCGCCGATAAAAGCGATTGCATCGACAAAATTTCGGCGACGTTCCATGATGCTGATCCCGTGAGTGTTGGTCGAGAAAATGGAGCGCGGCTTCGTTGCGTCCTTCATAGTCAATTCGTACAAAACTGCCAGGGGCTCATAAAGGCGACGAAGCTCTTTTGGCTTGTGGGTGTCATATTGGCTTCTGGAGATCATTCTTTTCTTCACGACACTAAACGTTTGAGCAGTTCAAGGTATTCTCAAATAGAGCTTAGAATCTGGAAGGCAATAATAAGCCCACGCGAATAGCTGGATTAAGCTCTCATTCATACCTTAGCTTTAGTCATTCAGAGACATAAAGACCACCCTATATCTGAGTGCGAAGGTCCATCATTCAGCCTGGTTTTCTCGAGCACCTCACCACCCCATCCTCTCCCCCTCACTGATTCTTCCATTTCTTCCAATGACTTAGCTTCGACGTACGCCACAATTTGAGAAATTGGTATTAATTCGCAGGGCCCAAGCGCACTTTGATAGATGATAGGCTTCTGCTGATGGTAGAGCTGTATTGCTGCCTGATCCTTGACCAAAACGTCCAAGCACATGAATCATCTGATCTCAGAAGGAGGCTCTGCTCGTCGAAATGCGGAATCATCGGGGTACTTCGTCTAAATGGCTTGTGCGTTTTAAACCCGCTAGGAATAGCCCCCTGTCCAAATAGCCTTATCACCATAGATCGAAGGGAATGGCGTGTTCCTCTTTTATTGGGCGAGCATATCTAGCCTTGTCGGCTAAAATTCCCATCTCAAAACGTCCCTCCACATCTCCACATCGCATTTAATGGGTTGTGGGCAGGAATGAGCCTGTGCTGAAATCTCATCATTGCATAACAAACGAGCGGCTGGCAGAAGACTTGGAGTCAGCACACGATTACAACCTCAAGCTAGAGCATATCAAACGGAAATGTTCAATTTGAGCTGCCAAGAAAGCACCATTGTTGCTGTAAGTATTGAGACTATAGAGTTTCATTAAGCGTTAATCCCCGAAAGATGGGAACAGGCACAGGAAAGACATAAATGTCAGACGCAGCTCCGATATGGAATCTCGCGAAGCTAAGAGTCATACTAGGTAGCTAACGAGTAACAGTTGATTTCCATAAATAGTGATATTGACGGTTTAGTAGCTTTAATGAGTGTATTGAGTAGTTGAGCTCTGGAGCTCTGGAGTGAGCACGTGACATCTAAGTGGGTTTTGATGTGGATCAGGGGTGCGGCGGCGTCTGGACACCAGATACTAAAAGGATACCGTAGGATTCGTAGGGATCGTGGTGAACGCTCTATATCGATATACTGCCGTCTCTACTACATCTTGAAGCACTAATCGATGCGCCTCCTTGAGCTCTCTATCGCTCCTATATACAACTTCCAGGATACATGTATGGTGGCCTTTCCTCCCGGGATATATATCCTCCGCAACCCGGGACCGGATTATTAGATAATCCACCTGTCCGAAATAGTAACTACATCCTCATCAGCTTTGGTTAGACTTGAGAAAGGACCATCGAAGTCGCCATTTTTGGTCGCTCGATAACTGTAAAATCATTAAATGGTTTTGTTTGCGAAAAATGGCTTCGAGGAGACCATAGAAGCATCAACATTTGCTCCATGAGCCAGATTCTGGATGTAGTCAATGTAACAGCTAGACAAAGATAAAGGCTGCGGAGGAAAAGGAAGAAATGGAAAGCCAGGAGCCATACAGGTACGCGGTACAGGCTCCTGAACTGTTGCCAGTTCCGCTGTCCCATAAAGCCAAACACGACCGTCCTGCTGGTTCGCTAGGGGCTATTGCTAGAGTTGTGTATCTGGAATGCTTTCATACCTATTGAATCGCTTCAGCTCTGCTTCAGACTGTGGGCTTCCCCGGATCAACCTAGGGAGATAAATTGAATGCTATTACATGACCCAAGTAGGAAGCAGTCAACCAGGAGGGACTTGTGATTCAGCCTTTACAGTCTTGATCCCCTACCCCAGTATTGGGTACATCGTATACGGCCTTCGCTTTCGTCAAACAGGACACTATCAGGAAATCCTGAAGTACGATTTGGTCGGTCCACTCCAGGAATATTGAAATGGAACAAAGTATCTTTTCTCCCTACAAAAATACTTTTTTTCATTACATTGTTCAGACATAAACAAAATTCGACCCTGTCGACAGCGCCGGGAGGAGGATTGAGCCCTCCTTATACAGCTTCTATTTCACCCACATATGCGACAAGAACGTTGTTACAGTACAGGCTTTCTAGAAGTCTTGGCTATCGTCACCGGCAATGATAACATTATTGATCTGGTTGGCCTTTGTTAGTATCTGATATACTCCAAACTGGAAGAAAGGTTACCTTAAGAACCATCCGGCAGAGCTGCGTTGCGAGAAGGAGTTGCTGGCGTTTTCCGATAAGAGGGTCGATGGCAAAATGCTCTTTCATATCTGCACGAATAAGTACACATTAGTGTCGATTCCACGAAGAGTAAGAGATGTCGTCCGGCACAACAGGGGACATACCGTTATTCCCGGTCTGCATGCAGTCAACGCCGAGGCGGGAGTTCTTCTCCTTTACTTGCCGTGACTTCACGGAAGCAAGGGTCTCAATGGGGCTCAACCCGGAGTTTTCGGCAAGTGCGAGTGGTACAGCATCCAATGCATCGGCAAAAGCACGCATGGCGTACTGCTCAATACCGGGGCTCTATGTACATTCGTCAGCCAGAGCGATAGACTCAAATCAGAGTGAATCTGCCTCATACCTTTACAGCAGCATCTTCTACAGCGAGCGAGCAGGCAATTTCAGCAGCACCTCCGCCATACACAACCCGGTTGTCCCGAACCAGATTGCGGACGACGCAAAGTGCATCATGGAGTGACCTCTTTGCCTCGTCGATGATCTGGAAGAAACGTTAGACCTTCGCGAACGTAAATCAACCCACAAGCAAACCAGGTCTCACCATCTTGTTGCTTCCTCTAACGAAAATGGTCACAGCGCGGCTGTTTGCGCACTCCTCAATGACTAGCATCTTCTCCCTTGTAGTGCCGAAGGTCATTTCTCGGACACGTCCCGCAGTTCCAAGCTTGTCTGCGCTCAAATCCTCGAAACGTGGAACAATCCTGCCATTTGTGGCGATGGCAATCAGTTCAATCTCTGGACCTCCAACCCATCGGACGGCAGGCAAGTTATTCTGCAGCAGAAGATGGTTCGCTTCATCATCGAAACCCCACTGACAGATAGCAAGGTTGGCCCCTGCATCTTTCAAATGGTTGATCATCTCTGTGAATTTCTCCCGCTCGTATGCTTGCAACCGCTTAAACTCTTCAACTGATGTGATATCGAGCTTGTGCTTCGTCTTCGGCTTAGGGGGTTCAAATGGGCAAGTCAAGATCGCCAGTTTGGCATCCGTGACCTCGTCGGGCATTTGAGGGTGAGAAAAGTCTTTGTCAATAATAACACCTTTGACCAGAAGGGAATCCTCTAGAGACCCTCCGACTTTCCCATCGACCTTGATCAACTCGAAGTCAACATCCTTGCGTTCGAGATCTGCAACAGAAAGGATCGCATCAACGGCAATATGCGCAAACTGGTCGTGTGACTTGGAAACACTAGCAGAAGCGTGAGCACATTAGGAGACGATGAGAACAAAGACAGTTGAGGAACGTACATCTTGCTTCCTAAGCTGGTTTTTGCAACCTTAACTAGGTTCTCGGTGTTGTCTCTGGTGAAGTGGATTTCATCGCTGATCTTGTCGAGCTGAGCAACAGCAATCTCACAAGCCTGGTCATAACCATCTGCTATCCGAATGGGGTGGATGCCCTTGTCAATCAATTCAGACGCCCTCTCCAACATGGCTGCGGCCAGCACAACGACACCAGTTGTTCCATCGCCGATTTCCTCATCCTGAGATTTCGATAACTGTACCAGCAATTTTGCGACGTTGTTTGTGATTTCCATCTGTGTGGACACCGGGAGTCAGTTACAGTCCAGATATCAGATGCTGGGGAGGACGCACCTGTGATAGGATCGTTGCTCCATCATTTGTGACAGTGATGTCACCATCTGGAGAGATGAGAATCTTGTCAAGACCGCGAGGACCCTGCAGGAAGCAAGTATCAGATTCCGCTCAAAACCCGAATGGCGGAATCAAAATCATACCAGAGAAGTCTTCACAATGTTGGCGACGGTCTTTGCAGCGACGATGTGTGATTTAACAGCGTCAGTACCATGCTGCCGTTTTTTCTTTCCCTGGCTATACAGAAATTCCAATCAGTTCACACTCTTTCGACGCATGTCGCTCAACAATGAGAAGTTGGACGGGCATCCCTGAAACGTACTCTCGAACGACGATAAACGGTCGGCCTTGCTCATCCTTCATAACAGCAGCTATCCTGATTGTTAGCTGTGGTTTCCAGCCACTAGCGAAAGCAGCAGACAGAGGTTATATTGACCTTGAGACAAATCAAGCTCTGAAGGAAGAAAGGAGTGGTCAGTAGACGGGGCTCTCGAAGACAAGGAGGGGCATCAGGAACATACGCATCGCCATTTTGACGGTCTGCCAGGAGGCAGGGGACAGAAATCAAAAAGATAATAGAACCAGCCAAACAGATATAAAGCCAACAACTCTTCCTGAGTGTTGTGCAGTGCTACCGTGGCGACTCTAGCGATCTGGAGGATCAGTGATAAATTCTGGAAAGATGAAGATGTTGCCGAGAGCGGCTAGCGGGCGAGCTGGTTACCCGATCGGGGCTAGCGCGTGACCCGCGCGTTTATTCGATTCTCTCGTTGCGCGCCCTCCATTTCGCAAACAATCGCGCTCGTGGGCACAAGGCCAGGCAGACCTCTCCCTGTTGCACTCCTGATCATTGCCAATTGCTATTGCGAATATCATCTGACTGTCGCGGCATCACCCTCTTCAAAATTGCGCGTTTCTTTGCCAGTCTGCGAGGCCTAGCCGCGCCCTTCGGAGCCAGAGCAATGCCTCGTATGTGGTCCTCGGTTTTTCGCCTCTCATTTCTCTCTCACCCCAGACTAACTGTTGAATTTTAGCTCAAGTTGAGGATGTCTCCGATGAGGAATCGACTGGAAGCTCTATCCCATTCGAGGACCCCAAGCGCAAGGACATTGGAGGCAACAACGATGACGATGATAACGATGACAAGGACGAGGACGAGGACGAGGACGAGGATGAGCAGGATGAGGACGTGTAAGCTGCAACACGAATAAGCCTTAGCGAATACCCTGAAAACTGACCATGCTAAGATACGTCGTTGAGAAGATTCTAGGGCACGAATTTGCGAAGAATGTACATTGCTGCGACCCCTTATGGCGCTACGTTTAAATGGTGCATTCGCTGATGGGCGCGATAGGGCAAGCTTTTACTCCATGTGAAATGGAAGGGATATGACAATCCAGAAGATGAGACAATGGAACCGGAGGATAATTTATTGTACGTGGCGTGTCGCGACGTCTTATTTTTACTATGAGACTTACATCTTCCTTAGGGAGGGCGCAAAAGATTTACTCGATGAATATTACCGTCTTCAAGGAGGTCGACCTGAACCACCAGCACCCAAAAAGCGAAAGTCTATCGGAGATGCGAAAGCTACACCGCAAAAGACGGAGCAAAAGCGACGCAGGAAGTCACGAGCGTCCGAAGAGTCTAAACCCGCTGACGGCAAGGAACAAGATGTACCGGACTGGGTACCGAAGACCAAGAGCTGGGAAAATGAGGTTGTGACAGTCGATACGATTTTGCGTGAGCCCGAAACCGGGATGCTTTTTGCATACTTGCACTGGAAGAATGGGAAGAAGTCTAAGGTATCCATTGAAACATGCTATGAGAAGTGTCCATTGAAGGTAGGCGCCCTTGTTATCGTATTCGTTTCTGGAGACTAACATGCGAGAAGATGCTCAAATTCTATGAGCAGCATCTGTAAGTGTTCTGTTCCAATTTCCATCTCGTATGGGCATTCTGACTATCTTTCAGTGTTTTCAAAGACGGTTGAGCTCGTGATATGCTTTTTTCAGAACCCGTCTTTCGAACATTTTTAGTTCGTTCAGCTAAAGGTATCAATGCTTGCTGGCTTGAGCATTTCATCTGGATTCTCTTCTGAAAGCTCATAGGAATCGTAGCGCAGAAATACGGCCTTTACGCTAGTTCAGATTCTCCCTTGACTGTTTCCTTGGTTTGTAAAACAAGGACCTCATACCGAAGGCGTTAACGGAAAACCTATTCTGGGAATGAGTGGAGGGTTCAAAATATCTGTCATTTAATTTCGGCCTTTTGATAAATGGCTCTTACCTTAAACTCTCCTCTGTATCAGTTTTCTCCACTAAGTATTTACTTCGCTTTATTGCATTCGGCAACTGGTATCATTATAGTCATAGTCGCTTTATTAATCTCCAGTGTTAGTTTCCAGGCCCGCTGCTCTGGCAAGACTGAGATATTCCCATCTGGCATTGAAGGAATCTCGTCCATGTTTGTCCAAAACGCGTTCGATGCTCCGCGCCTCTATTCCTTCCATGGCTTTGTCGTCCTCTGGCGTCCATATTCCAGGCGTGTTTTGCGGAATTCCTTTTCCTGCAACCAAGTGCTCCAGAACCTGATCTGCCAAGTGCGGATCCATGCTTGTGCAGCGCAACGCTTCAATAACCTGCACCACATTCTTCGCCTTGCCCGTTTCAAGGCGCTTATCGACCCATGCGTCAATATTTTTCTCGGATTCCGATTCCTCTTCTCCTTCATCTTCATCTTCGGGTTCAGGACTCAAAGGGAAGAAAGGAAGTTCCGTTAATATGTTAAACGTGTCATCCAGTTCGCTGGTCTTGCCTTTGTCCTTCTGAGTATCTTGGGGTTCCTGTTGTGTGTCCTCCAACTCCGTAGCTTGGTTTGCGGTCTCTGATACCTGTCGACGTGTCTCTGGGATTTCTAGTCGAGGCTGGAGTGAACTTGAAGAAAGGAGTTCCCTCCTTGAAGAGGCACGTGTTACTCTCCGTTTTGGACTAGTATGGATCTGCTGAGATGTGAGTAATTCTGCGGGGTCACCGTCGTGAGAGTCTCGCTTCCTCTTCCTGCTTTCCGGCTTGTCAGTGGCTGCGGGTTCAGCGCCTTGTCGGGCCATATCTTCTGCTATACGTGAGGGAGCGGAAGGTCCAGGAGATGCTTCAAGCATCTTTTGAATTGGCGGCATACTTGGTTCATCTATGTGAAAAGAAGGAGAAGGAGAAAGTCTGTCGTGAACTGTAACGTCTTGAACAGGACCACCGGGACGAGGTTTTCCGCGAAGTCTTTTTCGATAGTGATCTCGCCAAGATTGATAGGAATGCCTGGGATGCTAAAAATATAATGAGAAGCAGACTCTCGTGAGGGCTCTTCCTGACCTTGGGATAGATCAGGTGATCTCAGCAGCAATTACCTTCTCAGCTATCTGTTGGTAGACTTTGATACCATGGACACGGTGGCCGCCCTGTGTTTCGTATGCTTGCATGTAATCCCATAGGAATTGATCTTCTTCCAAGGTAAATTCATTTCTGTAGCTCTTTTTGGGGATCCAGGTAGCCCCAACGGGACGTTGTGGGCGGCGTCCAATTTGATAGTCTGCTAAGTTCTCCAGTTTCCCACTGGCAACAGAGTCCTCTACTAATTTGTAAGAATAGCTGTATTAGAAGTCAGCGAGTGAAGCCTGTGTACATTCACTTGTGATCAAATGTCTTACGAGTTAGCAGGGAGATTCTTTCGAACGTGGTCGACCAATTTGATATCTGCATTCTTCTCTAATGGTGTGATAAGACCACCATGTTGCTGCGAACATGTTAAAATGCTGGAATTCAATCATCGGAGTATAAATAAGACGGTAATCGTTATAGGTGTAGCAATTACCTGGATCGTCTCTATAAGCCTCCTTCTGGACGGGACATTCTGGGATACCCAGAAACTTCTCCCCTGGAAAAGACTGGACGTCCCCGCTCCCAAAATGCCACCACTGCTCTGTTCAGCAATAGTCTCCGCCATAGTGAATTTGCAATCATGTCCTCTGGCTTCTGGGAAAGAGATATTACTATCGTCTGGATGCTGAAGCGTCCGGGGCGCGGCGTCATCCAAAACGGCGACCCGTGTAACACGCGGTCACGTGCTCGCGCGTCGACGCTGGCGCTTCAAACAATGAACAAATTGGATGGTAGTAATGCAGGTTAATCTGCCAGTGTTCTGACACTGTTCAACAAAGAAAGTGAAATGAACCATTATCTGGGGCAATCGCCGTCAAACACTCTGGTCACGTGCAGAAGGGGATTCACCTCCATCTATTAATACTTCGTACGCCTCCGTTGCGACGATGACACCGTCAACCTTGGAAGCTGACAGCAACCGCAGTATGATATTTCTGTTACGCATCGACAAAACCACTGCGCGCTATCATTGTACATTCCTTTTACTGCTGCATTTCATAGTTACAGTCCGGGGTCCTCGCAACTAGTGAGGTTCGATTGCAGACTACAACTGCTGGACTTGCTACCAGTAAGCAGTGACAAAAATGGGGATTGTAAGGAATATAGCACTTGCCGTCCTAGGAATCTCTGGCATCACTTTCGTGGCTCTTTTTGGGAGACTTCCGGCTTTCAGGTACGCTGAAAAGTTGTAATTCCGTCGGTCTTGGGTAACAAAATGGCCTCTCTAGAAAAACACCGATTGGATTCCTCCACAGACTCATTTGGATTCATATTCCCAATGGACTTGTCTATGTCGATTTTCTGCTTTTTAGCGGCAAGATATCGCGTCGCTGCACTCGATACGCGAACTATATCATGAACGAAAATCATCCCCTCGTCCTGGTCGGTCACTAATCATGGAGGGGAGGAGCATCTCATTCTCATCTTGCTAATCTCGTCTTTAGATATTTTTCATTTCCCTTCTATCGATAGGCACATTGCTCTTTGTGCCAAGTTCATGGTCTAGAATGTCAACGGTCCATCGCCTGCTTGTCCCGCCGCTGGTCGCACTTCCTTATGGGCTCTTATACAAGTGCGTTGTCACTAAGCCTTTCATCACTCGGGAAAATTATGGTGAGGAAATGAAACGTTATCCTTATGACCATGTTATCTTCGATCCTGGAAACCGTTGCCGCACATGCCTCTTCCTGAAACCAGCACGAAGTAAGCACTGCAGTTTCTGCAAGGCGTGTGTTTCCAGGCATGACCACCATTGCATCTGGCTAGCCAACTGTGTAGGCTTCCACAACTATCGTTACTTTTTGTCCTTGCTACTATCGCTGTCCGTCTTGTTGATATATGGCATATATCTGGGCTACAGCTTGCTGCACCGAACTATGATACTACTTCTACCTCAAGGGGTGCAATCCACTAGGAATGAGAGTTGGTCCGGGGTTTTCCACCTTTTGAGGTTGGCAATTGCTTTCGATACTCGAGTTGGGACTGTGTTTCTGTTGGTGTTGATGACAGCGCCTTTGGCCGTGGCTTTTCTTGTGTACCATATTTATCTAATATGGGCTGGAATGACGACAAGTGAAAGCGCTAAATGGTCGGAATTGGGCTATTCTTGTGCTGATGGCCACGTTTTCAAGTCATTGAGGCCTGAGATTTACGGGCAATCGTATTCCCCTTATGGGTCTCGGAAGAGCACGGAGTCTTGGCCGATGCGCAGCGACCAGATCATTGTCCTGATGGAAGATGGGCAGCCGCCGAAAGTAGGAGATTACCTGTCGCCTACTTCCAACGATTTCGATTACAGTAATGCAGCTCCCGATCACAGATGGAGTCAAGTGAGAAGCTTGAAGGATGTGGACAACATCTACGATCTGGGATTTTGGGATAATTTACGCGATGCTATGGGACTGCCTGTGAAGCGTCCAACATAGAGTTGTAGCTTTGAATATTATTAGAGCAGGGGCTGCCTACTTGACAAATATGCTGTAGTTAGAGTCTAGGAAATTTCCTTTTAACTTCATGATACTCACTGTACAGCAGACGGCCTTTAGGGTTAAGACCGATACGCCTTCGGAGCCTGAACAAGTTTCATCCGGCTGCAACTTTCTTAACGGCGGCGGCTTCGATTCTTTTTCCTCCTCCGTCCTTCCTTGAGCTTTCTGAACCGCCCTGAAGAGCAACGGCTGCAGATACCGGTCTGCGCCAGAAATACAATCGAGATGACAGACCGAACAGGAGCAGATGCAAAGCCAAAATGCACACCTGCGGAATTGATGCTCAAGGTCATTCTCGCGGGTACCTTAAGCCATTATGAAACTCGAGGAATGATCGACGACAAACGGCTGGAACATATGCTCTCTGCTGGAAAGCAAATTCTGTACAAGACTCATCAGGAAAGTGAAGTCAGGTTCGTATTTCTTCTGATTCCTCCGCTTTGCGTCTTTCTTGTCTTGGTATGCTAAATACTCTCTCTCGACAGACACAACTTGGGCTTGTCGCCAGATATCTGGCAAGGCCTCACTGATGTCCTGACCAAAGCTATCCCTGTTCTCGAGTCACAGTCTTTTGCTTGGAAAAGTCCGCCTTCTACGAACTACGACCATTCTTCGTCCAACCTCATAGCGTACAATTACTTCTCTCTGGTGAAGGATATCGAGCGCCTCAATGATTTGTGCACTATCGCTCGCAATCTCCTTGCAACTACCAAGAAGGCACAGAATCTGGCAGCTGAGAAAGGGTTCGACCAGAGGATTCTAGCTCTGATAGACACATGTGTGAGGGTTACTGCTCGAGGCTTCGACGGCGAGACGAATGCAAGGAACGAAGAACGCTGGCAGAAGGTGGTCAATCTTTACAAGCGTCTTTTAATCACGTGTCTTCAGTTCCTTCATAACTTCATAATGCATAACGAGCAGCGGAAGATGGTGCTTTGGTTGGACCTTTTCGGGTATCACTCTACCGGCGATTCGAATATTATCCAGCCTAAGGAACCGCTAGATCGTGCGTCTAGCAAGCCAGAGGGGGTGGCGCCTATTGTGAAAACAGGAGAGAGGATTGTTAATCCTCCCATCCGGGCTCTGTATGACCAGACTGCGGAGGACTTATTATTGGAGACAATTTCTAACTTTCCGAGGGAACCTGCAACTATCAAGGAAGAAGCTGCGATGCTCCTCCTCGCGAACATCAAGGACCACATGGAGAAACTTCTCGGACGCGATCTCACGGCGATTCAGGAAATGGGTAGAAACCCCGAGCAAGTTAAGGAGATTCGCGCCGCTCTTACAGCTATTCTCGGTGCCAAGGTCGATGGATGGTCTGACCTTCAGGATAGAGCGAAGGAACTCCCACCTGCTCTTCCGGAGGATGAACCGCCTCGGAAGAAACCTATTCTCACCATTGATCGTAGTGCTACAGCAGGATTTCCTCGTGTCTGCTGGGCCGATATGCCCGATCTTAGCGAATTCAGTGCATTTGCATCAGGAGATGCACCGGTGACAGAAGAGGACACGAGCATGCCCCGTTCTGCCCAATCGGCCGCGGAGACACTTCAAGAAGCTAAGGATGAGCTGATGGCAAGACTGCAGGAATCATCGCAGATTGCCGGTGACGGAGACCATGATTATGAAGGCGGCGAAGGAGGAACTGTGGCTGATGACGACTCGCGCAGCCTAGATGCTGTTGCTGAGGGGAGCATCGAGGAAGAGGAAGAAGAGGATGAGGATGATGAAGACTATAGAGGCCGTCCAGGAGATCAGCAGCGTGGCCTCCTTACCGACATTCCTCTCGTGCTTGGTCCTGCAGAGATCGAGGCTCTTCCGATGATTATCCAGGTTGGCATCGTTGACAGCTTTGGACTCAAGGGCGGGGAGAGGAGCGGTGGAAGGAACATGCAGGCACTTCGATGTCACATCCTGCTTACACAGGAAACGGGACGCAACCTGCTCCGGGAGTTGTTGATTTTCATCGCCGCCTGGGACCTGCCGGATGATGAGCTCTACTTCAAGATGATGGTACAGATTATGGATGCTGTGCTGAAGAACGGTTTGATGTCCCACGCCTACTCTGACTTTGGACAGCCAAAGGATATCATCTCTCCTTCTCAAGCTGTTGTCATTAAGATACTCACGCATATTTTTCGATCTAAATACTCACCTGCGTCGGTCGGCGGGACACAACAGGGTGCTAACAAAGGCCCAGCACCGCTGTCCAGAGTGGATGTACTTACTGTCAGATTCATTTTTACCATCTTCCGAGGCAACATCATTCCTGAAACCTGCGCCCTCATTTACCTACAAGGCCAGATCCGTGCCCGACGGGCGCTGCCAGAGGACTTCCCCCTCAATCTCTGGGACATGGAGAGGGTGTATGAAGGTGTCTACCAATTTCTTGAGTTCTTTGCGGTCCTTACGGAAAATAACGACTGGAAGAATCTGCTGGTAAAGTGGGAAATCGTCTACGATCTAGTCACGCTGATCAAGGAGCTGGAAGCTAGTATTCCCAAGGGCAATCTGAGCTCGATGTCCGTTGGTAGCGCAAGGAGGAATAGCAGTCCATCTAAGGATCCACATGCCAGCGGATCCTCCACCGGCCCAGTTGCTGTCGAGCGTCCCTATGACCCAGGCGACCCGGATCCTGCCGATGCGACAGGTAGTACTGGGTCTAGAGCCGAGTCACCACCGATCACAGAAGACCCATCGGAGTTCGAATGGAGAAACCTTAAGAAGTTAGTTGTCCTTGTTCTTTCGTCTCTAGTTTGGAAGTGTCCGGAAGTGCAAAATCAGATTCGGAAGGACGGCGGTGTGGAGACGATTCTCTCATGCACCAACTTTGACGCCCACAACCCGTACATCAAGGAACATGCTGTCATGTGCTTGAAGTTCTTGTTGGAGGGAAACAGGGAAAACCAAAAGCTTGTTGAGGAACTGGAGGCCCGGCAGGTAGTCAAGGATGAGGGGGGAGTGTTGGAGAAGAGCGGGTTTGAGGCCGTGATCGATCAAGCCGGGAAGCTGGCTATTCGACCGAAGGAGGGGAAGAATATTTCATTATAAGCTGCATTTTTCTATGTATTATATTAAAATTTGGTAGGTTACTGCCAATCATCAGGTATTATTTAGCATATTCCAATCCCACCAGACAAGCAAGCAAGGTATTAACAAGATACTATAACCATAACTAAAAGACAAGCCACAAACGGACAAGGACTCATTTATCCTTGGTTTTCGCCTCCGTCTCCTCCTGTCCACTGTCCCAAGAATCCGGAACATTCAACTGCCCCCTCTTATGCGCCTCTATTAAATCTGCATTATACCTCGGATCCAACTTATTCAGTAATTTGCTATCATGTCCATGTGGCTTGTGCGGTTTTGTTGCTGCATGCCCGGGACCGGGGTATCCGGGTTCTGTATTCTTGTCATCCTTGTCTCTGCTGCTGCTGCTGCCCATGTCTTCGAGTGTCTCGGTTTGTCGGGATTGCGATTGGGAATTGTCAGATTGGGATTGGGATGGGCGTTGCGGTTCAGGTTGAGATTGATTCTAGGATTAGTCTTAGGAGCTTTTCTCGGAGGCTCGTCGTGTGCGAGGACAGTATTCTGGTATTTGTTCGGGGAAGGTAGGTGAACATATTTTGTTTGTCTATTGTTCTTCGTTTGTTGATATTCTCTCGGCAGCGTGTTGTATGTGTCTATACGGGATAGACTGGAGTTTGGTAGATTTCAACGGACTACCTGCTATATCAATGCATGCAGCATAGCTAACTAGACAGATGAAGTTTCTAACCTTGTTGGCTGGTATATATATAAAGACTACGTACCACTACTGGTATATGTGATAGAGGATGATGCGAGGATGAAGTCAGTCAGTGCCATACATCATTTGGATGTTATTCAGAGTTGTTGGCGGGTATTCTATGCGACATGTAAATGGACAAAAGATAACGATAGTTTCCTGGTTTTCTTTATACGTAAAATTGGCTCCCAGTTGTTGTCGTGTCGTATAGTCATTACTTGATTAGGGCTTGGTGGAAGAAGAGGATGGATTCACCACGAAGCATCGCGATGGAAGATACAGTAGTACAACGCGCTTCCACTGTTGGTAGTCCCAAGGTACATGGATAATTTGAACGTATATAGACAAGTCGATCTTGTAGTAGTGTTCGTTTCTCATGAAGATCTGGTCTCGATTATACTCCAGGCACAATGTCGAAATAGATTCGCGTCAGACATAAGTGGTATCTCATTATAGACGGCATTTAGATAGATGGATATCCCCTGATTTCGCCAGATACACTCAGAATACAACCCCATAGATCGCAGACCTTGATATGCAGAGGGTCAGCAAATTTCGTGGAAATAAACAGGATAACACACAGACAAACCATCGCATCATTCTCGTAAACGATGACTTCAATGTCATCCCAATCTCATGCACCCAGTAAGAAAAGGTCGACCCTGCATATCATGCATACATATCATCCCACTCCTCCTCATCGTCATCAACCGGTTTCTTGTTACGTGCCTCTGCCTTTTCCCGTTCTTTCTTGCCAAAGTCCACTCGATCTAAAGGACAGGTCCCCCGGAGACGGAGCCAGGGTCGGATACACTCGAGATCAAACAGGTGCGTAGGATGGCACGGAAGGCGGACGACGAGCGGGTACTGGTCGTCCAGGAAGGGGTTGTTGCAGATCGGACAGATCTGAGATGGTTTCAAGGAGGCACGGGGGACGCGATCGAGGGCTGTGAAAGCAGAAGCAATAGTGTCAGCAACTTGAGCTTAGACAGGCGGGCTCGAGTAGTCTGAACCCGATACCAGAATTTGTTGGCCAACAGTCTTACTATCGCAAAACTCCTCACTGACACCCTCGACCTCCCTAGGAGGCATATCGGCTCCTCTCAACAGAATCTGAATCATCTGTGTCAATAGGTCGCTGCCATCTCCCTCCTGGGTATCTGCGCTGCGCCCGCCCTCTGCCTCGCGACGCATAACTTCGAATGCCTCCGCAAGCGAGTAGTAGGCAGCACTCACGTCGCCTGGAACGGGGACGGCATGTGGTCTAGTCCGTGAAGCATCTGGCTGTGGACTGATTTCCGAAAGCGTTGCGAAAAAGGTAGAGAGGTCGGGACGGCGACGGCGGGGGTTTGCAGTGAGGGAGGGGTTGGTGGTATTGTGTTCGTCTGAGGATTAGAATATTACACTGTTTAGTACATGATCATAAGGATACTGAGAATAAGAGACAGGGGATACAAGCCGTAAGTACCTGCGTAGGAAGCCATTTTGAATGCTCTGGAGAGCTACTCAAGGCGCTTTCCGAGCGGAATTGCGTAGAAGCGCTCTAATTCCAGGTAACAGAATAAAGGAAAGGAACAATATAATGTAGACTTACTGCTCCAATGGACAGGACAGCGTTAGTTCTACTGGTATACTGAGCACAGTATCAGATCAGGAATAATATCGTCGGGGTCTTTTGAGGGGCAGTTTACGCGCATCTTTCCTACTTCGGCCACCGCCTTCATGAGCCGAGTTGACCATCATCATCATTAATAGTTACTCATCTCGGATGAGCAGAAGCTGGATATTGCAATAGTCCGCTTCTCACTATCCAGATGCGTCAGAGGATATTTTCAAAATGGCATACCAGTACTGGCACATATATTGAGGTATATGAGAATGGTACTGGAGAGAGCAGCCAATACTTAGTACCCATATATAACAAGCAGTCTAGGGAAATAAGGTTTACTCGGTGGAGACTAACTGGAATAAAGGAGAATCTCCGATTGGCAGAAAACTATCTAGATGTGTATTGTATGGAAAGCTGTCTTGAGGAATAACAGCTCTAATTTGGAATATGGAATACACATCGCAAGTTATGATTACAACCACATCATGGCTGATTCCTGGAGCTGACATAAGATACGATTAATAAGATCAATATGGCACTATAGGATTGCGCTATAGAAAAAATATTGATGCTTGACTGAGATTTCTGAATGAGATGGCGGAATCTATCCTACATGAAGATATCCCCATATTACCTTAAGGAAGGCATTCATCAGGTGAATGGGACTTCCTATTTAGGAAGGATCCTTAGCCTGGAGGTCGAACATGACCTCCAGGCTAAGGATCCTTCTCCTCTCTTTTCTGCTGCTTTTCCTTCCTGCTTCTGCTTCTGCTTGCCTTCGCGCACCTCTCATCCACGTCGACAGTAAGTGAACTGCGTATCTCTCAATTCAGTATCTGGGCCACTAATCGCATTGTAGGAATATCCATAGAAAGACAGCTCACTATCTGCATCTTTCATTGTCAACAGTAGACTAGCCCGTCTTGCTGTCTCATCGGCTTTGCTTCTCATTTGAGATTTGTGTTTGCAGGTTCTTCAGCACCGAGACCACTGTTGATGGCCATCACTGGAAAGTTCGCGGTCGATTCTCTGGAACTATCCTTGAAGCAGGCAGCACTAGCTGCGGGTATTTCACAGGTATACCCTCCCTAAGGATGCTCCAGACAAAGGAAAGTACTATCCATATTTACGAGACAATCGATGCGCTGATCGGAGATAAAGTCCGTATTGGACTCTTAGTTAGGGGTCGAGACCCTGGTAAGGAAGCAGGTAACTCTCTGGGGACTATCATGGTTGGGACACCTGGGTCTATAATGAACGCCATCCTTCGCGGTCACTTCTACCCAAAAAAAAAGTATCCAGCGCATCATATTTGACGATGATTTACATACTATTTAATCAGAATAACGCTGACCGCTCCCATCTCAAGAAGGCGATAGCTACCAGCTATCAGTGCCTTGTTGAGGGCAAGGCCGGTGCTACTGTGTATGACAAGGAGGATTACTATATTGGAAAACCAATCTGGCACCTGAGGGTCCAGAACACAGAACGACAAATCCTGATGAGGACACCAGATCAATGGAGCGCAACTGGCGCAACTGGATCATGAGAGCGACCTACGTCCTCGCTCCACAGCCTGCCTCCCGGACCAGTCGCAAGAGACGGAGAGCCAACGTTGGGAACTCAGGCCAGAGGAGTAGCCGCTAGATCCAGCGGTACTTGGAAAGGTGGGAGAGGCATCTGGTCTTTCGAATCGGCTTCGCAGTAACAATGGATTGACGGAAGATGGCAGACAGAATATTAAAGTGGGGAAATATTGTCAATGAAGAGATCGTTCCGGTCTATTCCATAAGGTGGCTGAATGCATATCCTGCGTGTTCCAGGCTGATAGTGCCTGTTCCTCTGAACAATTCGATGAAAAGATTGTTTGAAATTCGACGTTATCCAAAGAAATGGAAACATTACACTGCCACTTCAATCTGACATGTAGTACGTATGCGTTACCATGGCGAAGTCGGGATTGAGTTTATCCCGCATCTATTAATATCGTTTGAGGTTGGTTACGGTTATGTTATTCTTGGATCGGCAGCAACAAGTCAGACAGATCCTTGTCTTTCTGTGCCGCTCTGTTTTCCTTGCTGGCAGTGATATCTAGATGGCTTCATAACTCCTGGATATCATACGAAGTCATTGTCTACCACTCGCTCCACCGACGGAGACACCATAATCACCATCATCATCGTCATCGTCAAGTCTCACCATGCGACCACGATCAGTAAAACCGTCTTTCTACTCTCCGTTTCCTTTCCATGCCGTTCGCCTGCTCATCCTCCTGTCCGCCATTGTTGTCGTCCTCATCCTTATCGTCTTTATCGTGCAACTGCATAGCAAGTCGTTGAGCCTTCCCTGGCCGTTTGTCGTGGTGAGTACTCGGGGAAACGGAACCTCAAAAAAGAGAGAGAATGAAATCTAACAAGAGACAAGCAAATCGCTGCCTCTGCCCTTTCCATCATAGAGATCACTCTCACGACTCTCCTCTATTGCGCTCATGGCCTCAACCCCCGCTTCTCTCTCACCCTCAACTCCATCCTCTTCGTCCTCTGGGCCATCTGTCTAGGCCTTCTCAGCTATGCCATGGCCAACACCATCATGACCTCCTGCACGACCGCATACTGGGGCACATCAACCGGAATCAGGATCTGTCGCACCTACAAGGCTCTGTTTGCTTTCACCGCTCTCGCCGTCGTGGGCCATCTCACCGCGGCCTTCCTCGACGTCATCGCCCGTAACCGCGAGACCCATCGCGGGAAGTACGGCCGCATGTCTGTCGGCGATGTCAAGCCCGATGAGCAAAGCGATAACTCACTTATTTCTGATGGGGATCTGTATCACAGACTTTCGCCGCTTCCAGCGCAGCATAATGCCCAGCCCTCCAGAGTGACTCCACCGCCGGCGTATCACACTGCGGAACCGTATAATACCGTTGATCTTGCGGAGAGACATCATGCCGGGGAAGCGGCGGAGTATTACGATGCGACTGTTTCATATTCCAATGCTGGTTCTCGCGGTCGTGGTCGTGGGCATGTCCGTACGGATACGGGGGATAGCGAGTCGTATTACGGTGAATATGGTCATTCTTCTGAAGCGAGCAGGCTGGTTCCGGGTTCGAATCATTATTGAGCTATGATTTGTTGAATGAATATAGATTTCTTTTGGGGGCTTTTGGTCTTTTTTCATCTGTGTATTGCGCTGATGTCATTGTTCAATGTTTTCACGTGCTTGGTACTATGGATATCGATGGCTTTTTTTAAATGCATAACTTGGATGGGCATTGCTCAATCTATCGTCGAATAGATGGCTTTTTCTTATTCACCATTGTATGGATTAGAGTTGAGCCTTTTGCTATATGGAAGAGCATGGTGAAAGTATAATATATTTCCCCAATGATTATCATAGAAACGCATCCCATACATACTCCAAGTTCTTTAAATTAGATTAGTGACATGGATTGTGATAAGCTAGAAAGAGTAGATTAGATGCCTCAAACGCAACAGACTTTTACATGATCACCTCATTGGAAACATCCTACATTGAAAAAGACGTCAGCAGGGATACATTAACATATAGAAAAGAGGAAGGGGAACGTACCCTCTTTAACTCCTTATACGGAAGACAAACGCAGTTCTGTACCCGCACCTCGTCGCCGACATGACACTCCTTGCCCAGAATGGTAATACTCTGCACCTTAATGCCATGCTTCACGATACTGGTTGAATGGCTCGTCATGGGGATCGGGGTGCCCTCGACACGAGCCCAGGCACCGACACGACTGCCCCATCCAATGATCGAATGCATGACGCACGCATCGTGTTTGATCTCCACATCCTCCAGGACGATGGAATCCTTGATGCGTGTTCCTGCGCCCACCACGGCACGGGGGCCGATGGAGACATTCGGGCCGAGTTTGGCGGTCTTGTCGACAGTCGCGCTGGGGTGGATGTAGACGGGGGGTACGATGGTAGCGGAGGGAGGGATGAGTTCCTCCGATTGTGCCTGGAAGGCCTTTTGCAGGTAGAGAGCGTTGGCGGGGACGGCAGACCCGGCGGTCTTGATCTGGCGCCAGAAGTCCTTGGTCTCCAGGACGAAGAAACGGTTGCTATCAGCCAGGTCGGAGAGGATGTCCTGCTCGAGACGGAGGGAGTCGCTTCGCTCCGTCTCGTCGTCATCGGCACCGATGTAGGAGAAGTCAATATCTTCGGACGAAGGGTACGAGACTAGACGGGGTCGAGTGGCGCGGCGCTTGAGCGCGACGCGGATGGACGGGAATATGCAGTCGGCGGAGAAGAGGTAGACGCCGCAGTTGATGAGATTGGAGATATGCGATTCCGGCTTCTCGACGTAGTGCAGGACACGCTTGGTGTGCGCGTCAGACACGATGCAGCCGAAGTTGGTGGCAGCATCGTTGTTGACTCTGGTTCCCAGGATGACGGCTTCCGCATTCTTCTCCTCGAACAGCTTCAACATCTCACCCAGAGGGAACGAGCAGCACACGTCTGCGTTCAGGACGAAGATGCGCTCTGGCTTTCCCTTGAGAATGGCATCGCGGAAGTGGTACAGGCCCCCTGCCGTGCCCAAAGCTGTGTATTCGCGCAGGTACTGAATCCGGAATTGGGGGAAATCCGTCGCGGACTGCTTGATGAAGTCGCGGAACACCGATTCGTCGTAGTAGCCGACCAGGATGACTTCGCGCAAGCCAGGAACCTTGGCAAGAGCTTTGAGGGAGTGATAGATGATGGGGTGACCGGCGACTTCGAACAGGGGCTGTCAAGAGAAAACACTGGTTAGCGAACGGCGGTATGCTGTGAAGTACGGTAGTATGACGACCGACCTTTGGCACATCCAACGATAATGGCCTGAATCGAGTGCCTCTCGACGGACCACCGACCTAGGGGTTCTCTGGTCAGCTACCCAGAACCCATGACGCCCTCCAAGCAAGTTCATACCAGGATGATGGCCTTGGTGGTGTCCAAGGTGCTGTGCTCGCGCATTGGGACGTGGAGCATGGAGGAGGAAGGACAGGAAGGAGTCGAAGAGAAGCTCGGGATATTCTAGAGAGCTGAAGAGACGCGGAGATGTCTTCCCTCTGCAGGAACTTGCAACGTAGCGCCTGTCCAGGGATAAATAACAAGTTGGAGGCGTATGTAATAATAGAAGAGCGACCCCCGCAGAGCTAAAATTAAGTTGCCCAACTTGGCCTCTTCATCATTATTTTTGCCTCCGGTTGCCCCTGAAGCATTCGTCAAGAGATTCCATTGGCTTGAATCTGATCTATGGAGGACCGCTTGGAGATGTCGCTTTAACATGAAACTAATTTATTCATCTTTGCTGGGGAGCATTTTCAGGTGGTTGAAATATGAAGCCATTTGTGCCGGCACTACGATTTCACCAGGCATCTATTTACACAAACACGATGCCTGCAGCTAGAGAATGATTTATATTCTGGATACTGAGCTGCAGATGAAGTGGAAGATGGGCTGATGTGCCATGCTCCAGATCCTGCACTGCAGATATGACGGACATGTCCTCACCAAGAGAAGAGAATACGGCATCAAAAATGAGAGGATGAAGATGAGACAGCTATGCAAACTGAGACATCCGCTTATATTCACTGCTTTGGCAGTTAATGACCTTTCTTCATTTGCAGAGTGAAGACATCCCTGCCACTGATGGAACTTCCCAGAGGCAACACCTTCTCTTAAACCTCCTCTGCCAGCTTTCCTCCAGGCATCTCTTCTTCACATCCCTCCCCACAGACGAATCTGATCTGTGAGATTGCAACTTTCCTCTCATTTCTCTCTCAGAGTTGCCTGTCGTGGTTCGGTTGACTGGCTGGGGAGCATAGGAAGTCTTTGCCATTTGGCTCATTTCTCATCTATTCCCTTCTTTTTCCTGACGCCCTACCCAGACAAGTCCAAGAGACTCGACTAGCTCATGCGTCGAGGTTACCTAGTTTAATATCGACACAGTCAACGTGTTGAGTAGTATGCCGGCCCATCCCTTCTTCCTATTTGCATATTGACACAGCTCCTGAGAACGGCACAGGCTCTCATGTCAAACATGTCGCTCCCCGTCCAAGCGGACTCAGAGACGCACTCTATCCAGATCATATCAAATGATATGAAAATGCTGGTTAAGAAGATCCAGGATCTCCGCCATTTGGGCATAGAGGATAATAACATTGCCTTACCCAAGATCTGCGTTGTTGGAGACCAGTCCACTGGGAAGAGCTCTCTCATCGAGGGTATGAGTGAGATCAAAGTTCCTAGAAGCGCTGGAACATGCACTCGCTGTCCTATGGAGATCAATCTGTCCGAGAGCAATCCCGGGGAAGCTTGGACGTGTCGAGTACTGCTTTCGAGGAAATACATGTTTGACGGTTCACGCAAGGTGACAAAGCTCCCGAAGAAATCTCTGGGCCCCTGGGTCGAACAGGAAGAAGAAACGGAAGAGTTTTGCATTTTGAAGGATAAGTCAAAGGTCCAGGAGGCGTTGAGATGGGCCCAACTCGCGATTCTCAACCCGTCGCAACCGACTAACTATTACGCCCCTGACAACAATCCGAACACCGATCCTTCATTCACCCAAGTCAAGTTTTCCCCAAATGTGGTTCGTTTGGATATCTCTGCTCCCGATTTCCCCAACTTGTCCTTCTACGATTTACCCGGCGTCATTAGCCAAGCCGAGATTGATGAAGAACGCTACCTCGTCGCCCTTGTTGAAAATCTTGCCAAGGAATACGTCTCGAAGGATAACTGTATCGTCCTTCTAACGTTGCCCATGACGGACGATGCAACCAATTCCAGCGCTGCACGTATCATTCGGGATACTCGCGGGGCGAAGAACAGGACTCTTGGGGTGTTGACGAAGCCGGATCGGATACAGCAGGGCGAGTCACTCAGCCAGTGGATTGAAATTCTTGAAGGTGACAAGTTTTCTTTGGGCCATGGATATTACATCGTTAGAAACACCCCGGACACGTCAGTTGAACATTCAAGGGCTCGAGAGGAAGAGGAAGACTTCTTCTCGACTCATCCTTGGGCCACCGAACTGGCGCCTTACAAAGATCGGTTTGGAACCAGACGAGTGCAGGCAGCGCTCTCCTCATTGCTGCTTGAGCAGATACAGGGGAGCCTACCCCGTGTTATCCAGCAGATCGATGAAAAGGCTGCCCGGGTTGATGCTGAACTCCGGACGCTTCCCGATCCCCCGTCCGCCAACGTACCTTATATCTTGTGCGGGAAACTGAACCACTTCAAGGAGCAGATTCGAGCCAATGTAGACGGCGGATCGTCAGAATACCCCCTTCAGAAGATGTGGCGGCATCTTACGGAAGATTTTCAGCACTCTCTTGCAAAGACACGCCCCACTGTCGAGCTGATGTCTGCCCCTGAAAGGATGGCATACAAAGCCACGCTCAAGGCCGACATTGCTGACGATGATGACGGCGATAATGATGACGATGTAACTGCCATTGATGGGTTAACTAATCGCGAAAACCCTGTATACCAACAGTCCACCGCTGATATGAAGAAAAAACCGGCCAGTTTAGCTTCTGGATATAAGACTATCCATTTCAAGATATTCGACCAGCCTTTTAAAAAGTTCACTTGGGAGGAAATACGAGGAATCAATCAGGATTCGTACAGCGCGGGGATCCCTGACCAGACAGACCCTAAGGCGGTCGACATCATGAATCGGATATCTGTCCAGCATTGGGATAAACCAATGATTGTCTTCCTCACTGTAACTCATAAGCTAGTGAAAAACATGTTGCTGGGACAGCTTGACGCGGTTTTTAGCGAGTATCGCCAGACCAGCTTGTACAGAGAGTTAAAACACATCCTCGAGGAGTACCTCCACTCTCTCCGTACGGAGCATTTTCAGCATGCCGAGCAAAACTACAGCGTCGAATTCAACAAGCCATTTACTATGGCACTTCCAGCTTTAAACCAGGCGAGGAAGACTGCGTCTCAATATCTGAGCGCCTGCCGCTTTAGAGCCAGAGCTAAGGCATATCTGGAAGTTCGCTCAAAGTTCAAGCTCGGTGACCCGCGTAGGGAGAGCGAATTGAAAAGACTGACAAACGGGGACTTGGGCGACGATCCATACAGCCAGGAACTCGACATGATGGCGGTAAGATGTTTCCCTGTCTTTTTTTTAAAAAAAAGCCTTTTGGACAAGATGCTGACGTGTATCTTTGTTTTGTCAAGAGGTCTCGAGGCTACTATGAAATCGCTAGTTCCCGCTTCGTTGATTCGATCTGTCAGGGAGTCCAAATGAAGCTCTTTTCCAAATGCCGTGAGGATCTTGTTACCGTCATCGAGCAAAAACTGAGTATCTTCGATGACAATGGTATGTTTGCTGGTTGCTACTGTATCGAATATCTCTTTCTCTCTCCCCACGGAAACTTATAACGCTGACATGAATACGTCTCCTAGCATTGGATCGATGCTTGGAATTGATGGCCGAAGACCCTGAGCGCCAGCACCGACGTCAGGACCTTATCAGGGAGCGCGAGAAGTTGTCCAAGGCGCAGGAGTGGCTTTCCACGGCCAAAAAGGATGACGATGGCAGCGAAACGATGGACGGAATTGAATCCCAATTCGGTATGCGTTTGTCGACCCCTTTATTCAAAAAGGAGTACGATTTGGCTTGAGATTTCTGGATATGGACAGGAAGTATATTGTCTCGCGAACTCAGATAAATACTCTTGCCACTTTCATTCCCGGGAAAGAAATTTGTTGGATCCATGTCGACGTGTCCAAGGTTTAATTCTAGTTGGTTCTACTGTGCAGCAGGTACTGCAAAAGGCGCACTGTGTGGATGCTCCAGGGTTCGAGGATGACTGTAGACACACAGTTTGATTTATTATGGGTTTAGGGAATAAATGTTGTCGAGGCTGAATCTTTCGAGCTGTTCTACAGTAGAGAAGTCGAACAAGATAGCGGGGGCAAACGGGCAAACCCCGCTATCTTGCCCTAAACCCTAAGCCCCAACTGCACGTGAGAGACCACAATCAGCACCAGTCCGCCTTAGAAAAGGGTGTGGCCGAAGCCAGAAGAAAAGACAGTAACGAATCCCTCGTAGAATAGAGAAAGAACTGAGCTCCTGAATTAGAGAATAGTACGTCCCTAGACAGCGCAGCGTAAAGGAGCCAATCATACGCAACAGCGGCCGTGAGTCAAAATCTGGGAGAACCAAAGGGTCAAATCCTTTTCTTCCCGCCGCTGTCGGATCTCTCTTTTTCTCACTCTCCACATTCCCCTCCTTTCTCACATATCTGATACCAGGAATACATCTGCCATGACGGATTCTAACCCAGTCAAGGAAGTCGAGGCCGGCGTGGCCAACCTCATTCTCGACGAGGTCACCGGCGAGAAGGTCTCCAAGACCGAACTGAAGAGACGCCAGAAGGCTCGCGAGAAGGAGGCAAAGAAGAAGGAAAAGGCGGCTGCTGCCCCTGTTGCAAAGGTCGAAAAGAAGGCGTCTGCTGAGGAAGAAGAGGCAAATCTGACCCCCAATGTGAGTGTGCTTGGAAGTTCCTTTTTTCTCAGATCTGTCAAGGTGGGGTTAGTTGAATGCTAACGAGTGAATCTTTCGCTTTGCCGTAGCAATACTTCGAGATCCGGAGCAAGAGAGTCAACAAGCTTCGCGAAACCAAGCAACCTGATCCTTATCCTCACAAGTTCCATGTGACGACCGACCTCCGGCAATTCCTGAAGGACTACGAGAGTCTCGAGAAGGGCGAACAGAAGCCCGATGTCGAAGTCCGCATCGCTGGCCGAATCTACACCAAGCGGTCTTCGGGTGCGAAGTTGATCTTCTACGATGTCCGTGCCGAGGGAGTCAAGGTTCAGGTTATGTGCCAGGCTCAGCATGTCAAGAGTGATGTTCCTTTCGAGGCTCAGCATGAGCAGCTGCGCAGAGGAGATATCATTGGCATCGTCGGATTCCCTGGTCGCAGCAACCCCAAGAACCGAGCAGATGGTGAGCTCTCCATCTTTGCGACGGAGGTTGTTCTCCTCGCACCCTGCCTGCATGCCATCCCCTCAGAGCACTATGGTTTCCAAGACAAGGAGCAGCGTTTCCGCCAGCGTTATCTAGACTTGATCATGAACGACAAGTCCCGCAATGTTTTTGTCACCCGATCCAAGATCATCCGTTATATTCGCAACTTCTTTGATACCCGCGACTTCATTGAGGTCGAGACGCCTATGATGAACGCCATTGCCGGTGGCGCTACTGCCAAGCCGTTTGTCACCCATCACAACGAACTCGACATGAATCTGTTCATGCGTATTGCTCCCGAGTTGTACCTGAAGATGCTCATTGTCGGTGGTCTGGAGCGTGTATACGAGCTTGGCCGCCAATTCCGAAATGAGGGTATTGACCTCACCCACAACCCCGAGTTCACCACTTGCGAATTCTACTGGGCCTATGCCGATGTTTACGATCTCATGAATGTCACCGAGGAACTTATTTCTGGGCTGGTCAAGCACGTTACGGGAGGATACGAGACCACCTTCACTACCCAATCTGGTGAGACCTACAATGTCAACTGGAAGGCCCCCTGGAGACGGGTGGAGATGATCCCGGCTCTCGAGAAGGCCACTGGTGAGAAGTTCCCGCCAGGAGACCAGCTGCACACCCAAGAGACCAACGAGTTCCTCAAGCGCCTATTGAAGAAGACCGGCGTCGAATGCTCGCCGCCCATGACCAACGCCAGAATGCTCGACAAGCTCGTCGGCGAGTTCATCGAAGAGACCTGCATTAACCCCACCTTCATCACCGGCCACCCTCAGATGATGTCCCCATTGGCCAAGTACCACCGCGCCATCCCTGGTCTTTGCGAGCGGTTCGAGGCCTTTGTTTGCAAGAAGGAGATCGTTAACGCCTACACCGAGTTGAACGACCCGTTCGACCAGCGTCTCCGCTTCGAGGAACAGGCCCGGCAGAAGGACCAGGGTGATGACGAGGCCCAACTGATCGACGAGAACTTCTGCACCAGTCTGGAGTACGGTCTACCTCCGACTGGAGGCTGGGGTATGGGTATTGACCGTTTGGTCATGTTCCTCACGGATAACTACAGCATTAAGGAGGTCCTTGCATTCCCATTCATGAAGGAAGATAAGACTGCTGCAGAGGGCAAGCCTGCTGCAGAGGTGGTTGGCATTAAGCCTCAGCCCGAGGAGGGAATCCGTAAGTTTTTTCCCCGTTTGATTGGCTTTCCTAATGCCCCCTTGCTTTCGACAGCGGCTGACTGCTCTATCCACGCACAGCCCACAAATAATTATCTTAGACTTCTGATCTAGCATTTGAAACGCGTTGACGACGGCTTCATGCATGCTTAATCCCCGAGAGTCAATGATGCGAGTAGAATGTCATGACATCAATGAATAAGGAAATGAACCTATTCTCGCCGTAGGTAGAATAAAATTCTATTTGGTTTCTTGGGAAATTGTCTACTTTCCCCTCCAGTATTTGAAGATATGTATCTTTCCACTCGCAGCTATTGCTGCAGGTAAACTATGATACATCTGGATGAGCAATTGATCCCGGATTCTATCTGCTTGTCCATTACTTCCCTGATCCTAGAGCAGACAAATAAATGGACCGGTTACAATGATGCATGTGTGCTTCCAAAAGCATTGTATTTGAGTTATTTGATATCGACCGTGCATGTTTCAGTCAATGAACTGTCTTTCGCACTCTATTCCATCTGAATATAGTCCTTTCCTTTCTTCTCTTTCCTATCTTCTCGTTACTGATAGCCCTACTGGGCTCACATATATATATTATTGGCATCCTATGTACCTGCTTTCCAAACCCTGTCCTTGAGAAATCGTAGTAATACTGAATGCAGCAGATATACCAAACTGCGCTAGATACTGCCCATATTGTACGTATGAAGTGCGAGTCAGGCACTGATTGTTACTAGGATCAAGGATCCCATGGATTACGTCCAGACACCTGTTCCTACTTCTCCCAGTGTCCAAACTGTCGAGGGTGCAATAGACCAAGTAAACCTAAGCAATTGAATGCTTCAATGAATGCTTCACTATGCCCCAGATCAACGGTTCCCGTCAGTTGATAAGTTCGGGAAACTCACCATTTCTTCGGCTTCATCTGCGGGAGACCCATGTTTACAATGGAAGACACTGTCAACAGTCCTGATACAACAATCTTATCCACTGTACGTCCTTACCGGCCGCATAAGATCCCAATCCGTGACTTCTGTCGCCAGCGGAAGAGCCGATGCACGCAGGATCTGGCGAACCAGCCATGTCTGCTGTGCCGAATGCATCGAGCAACATGATCCCTTCGGGATTGGGCATAAGGAGACCCTTAGAAACTCGCAGCAGGAGGTGATTGGGTTGAGTGAGGAGGATATCACGGAACAGGATATTATTCTGGATGATCGGTATCATGGTGGTGTGTATGAGAGGGCAGCTGGCTCTGAATGCGTATACGGGAATGTAGATATTTTCAGTAGCCGTGCAACGTCTGATTTTTATTTTTCTTTCTTTGTGTAAACTACCAACAACACAATGGCCCATCAAGCCCTCATCAAGGCCATGACAGCCTACATGACCGACTGCATGTCCGGCTACGATCCCTCGCACAATCCAGCGCATGTCCACCGTGTCGTGGCGCTCTCCCATCGCATCCTGCAAGGCGAGATCGCCCGCCACGCAGACGCGGAGTCCCTCTACGACAAAACCATCATCACTCTGGCCGCGACCCTCCACGACATCGGAGACAGGAAATATCTCCCCGCCAGCAACAGTAGTCAGATCGACCCGAACCGGATCGTTCATGACGTGCTGATTTCCCACGGCGCGGATCCCGTGCTAGCAGAACGCGTCCAGACCATCGTGTCTAACGTCTCGTATTCCAACGAGATCAGACATCCTGACAAAGTGCGCGCCTTGATCGATACTGAGGGCTATCGCGAGTTGGCCATCGTGCAGGATGCGGACCGGCTGGATGCTATTGGCGCTGTGGGGATTGCGCGGACGTTTACCTTTCTCGGCGCACAGGTCTCAAAGAGAACGGCTAATCAGCGGTGGGAATTGGATGAGTCCATTGAGCATTTTGGGGATAAGTTGGAGAGGCTGGAGGGGATGATGAAGACGGATACAGGACGGGACTTGGCCAGGGAACGGACGAGGAGGTTACGCGAGTTTAAGAAATGGTGGATCGAGGAGACAGGGGACTGTTTCTCTCAGGTCACGATTTAATTATGCACTCTACAGGCTGCTCGCAAATCCCTCGAACAGTCTCATCAGCTTATCTGGATGAACGGGTTGAGACAGGTAGAAAAATGCAATGGGAACTCATGGTAGGAGGTTAGGGCTTCTCCCGAGACACTTTCTCCATCAGACAATAAATAGACAAGGAGACTGCTCGCAAAGGGATTGAGCCATTGGAAGACAAAGACCTTTCTCATCGATCACGGAGAGTCTCCGCCAAAAAAAGCCTTTAATCCGTCAGTATTCTCTTCCCCTATGAGCCTCGCAGCTATATAAACTGCATAGCATTCCACTAGAATGCCGTCTTTATCATTCTCCTTCTCCCCATCCTCATCTCCTAAGCACATTCTTCCATTGTCTAGCTTTGTCAATTGACATGCTCACAAAGCCCTAGACTCATTGTAAACCCCTTTCTTTTCCTTACCTCTCTCCCGGAACCCTTGCTGAAGTAAAACCCATACTTTCAATAACAACAACATGCCTTCTAACATCCAGAATGACAATTCCCCTCAGCCCCAACCACTCTGCCCGCACAATCCAGGAAACACAGGCTGGCAAGAACGTCTAGCCAAGTGGAACGCAGAAGGTGGTCGCTATAGAAACCTAGATGCCACTACACCCGCTAACAGTGACAGTAGCAGCAGTAGCAGTAGCTCACAGCAGAGTGTCTTCTTCCATCGGGACCCGACCAGTACATCCAGCATGGATCGCGGAATCTCCATTGAGACACCTACTACCTTCTTCGTGCGTGGCGAGAGACCCGAGGGACGACGAATCGTGGATACCCTCCGCGGTCCCCGCCATGAATGCACAGCGTACGAAGACATTATCGCTCCCACATGCAAATGCGATATCTGCGATAAGCGGAACGAGCTCGGGATCATGCGCTGTGTCGATTGCGGGTGGCAGAGCTGTCGGCCATGTATCCAGCGATGGAGACCTAGGTATGGCCCTGTTCTTGTGGTTCGGATTGGAAAGTAACATGGTACTGACGTTGTAGCTAGGGGGAGAGGCAATGGCAGCGGTAGCGAGGATGCAGCCGCTCGCAATGCCAATGACGACGATGACAACGACCGCCGTAGTTCTACCATTTCGGCAGCAGGAGAGCACGACGGAGAAACCGAGAGCGTGCTCGAAGGCGCCAATGCCCTCATGCAGCTTCATCGGGAGACCCTAGCGGTTCTTGACAAACTGGATAACGGAACTCTGACCATGCCTAGTGAAGGACCGCCCAGCCCCGAAGGTCATCAGCAACAGCAGCGTAGTGACGGCCCGCATTCTGCCATTGCTGGTCCTAGTACTAAAGCTGCGGTACCCCTAACGCAAACTGACAAGTTACAGATGATGGACGTCTCCATGCAGTCTGGTTCGGCCATGGACAAGAACAATGATACCCATGGTCGCCAGTTCAACACGCGTCGACGTGCAAATGCTCTGGTCTGGAACTGGTTGGGCACTTGGCATTAACCTGAATGCACCAGGATATGATGGCCGTTGATGTTATGGCTGGCACGAGTTGTGGAACAAGAACAGTTATCTTACTAACGAGCAGTTCTCTGGGTATCGTTCTGACCATAATCATGATGCATCTTGCTTTGGACCCTTGAGACACGGGATAGCATAGTATGTACATTAATGGATTGATGTTTGTATTCAGAATCAACTTCATACGGGGACCGTAGAACCAGAGGAACTAACCAGTGCCGGAGTAAGCAGTGTTGTACTTCCATCCATGTATCTACTTGCACAGAGATGTACTTACATAAATAAAGTCACAAATCCTGTTTTATTATACAGCATAAAAGAAATGCCTGGTATAGATGAGTAGAGAGGATATATAACACACATTCCGAAGAGAAGACGGCTCAGCTCGTCGGGTAAGCAGGAAACCGTGGTAAGGACATTGTTTCCTTCATAATACAAAATACAAGAACAGAATTCACAGCTTTCTAGCTGCTTCCGGAACTTTTCTGGAAAGCTGCTGGCCTTGGGTCTTGGCCGCCAACTTCAGCAGCCTGGCGGTTCTCGACGGGTGCCAAATGCGGCTGCCCAGCACGAACACCCAGGTCAAAAGGAACAAACTGCCTGCTTGATGGGCAGAGGCAAGGGGAATGGGAACAAGGTAGAGCAATGTTGAAAGACCCAGGGTAACCTGAAGACATGCGAACCCGAGGACTCCGTGAACTCCCTTCTTAGCGCTCCGGGGAAGGAGGTTCTTCACGGCAAGTGATCTGCGAGAGTAGATCGACAAGGCAATAACGCTGGCGAATGTAGTCAAAGCCAGAATACGATGATTCAACTGAACCAGGGAGGGGTTTTCGAGGCCATTTCTCCACCAGAGATCAGACTTGTCTTCACGACGAGAGTACCGTTCGTCGAATAGTTCGGACTTGGGAGGTGCAAGACCCTGGCCCATCCATGGGAACTCATTGTAGATGAGACCCGCATCCAAACCAGCAACCAAGGCACCAGACATGGAAGTGATAAAAACAAGAAGAGCCAAACCGGCAACCGAGCGGCGGAAGATCTTCAACTTGGGGTTGCGCAAGGTGTCCAGAAGCTGAGTTCCGGCTTGAGGGTCAGATAGAAGTCGGTGGGATCGCAAGATAGCAAGACCATTCCAAAGCATTGCAACATATACGGCAAACGCAGCCCCGAGATGTGCAGTCAAGCGATACTGACTGACTCGAGGGTGACTGCCTGGCGCAAAGAGATCATCTTTGAGACCCGACTTGACCATCCACCAGCCAAGGAAGCCTTGGAAACCAATCATACCAGCAATACCAGTGATGCGCAGAGCCATTGGCTTGGAGACCCTTCTCTTGGCGACAAAATAGACAGCCGGGAGGACGAACGACAAGCCAACAAATCGGCCCCAGAGGCGGTGGATCCATTCCATGTAGTAAATTTTCTTGAATTCAGACAGGTTCATGTGCGGGTTCAGCAGGTGGAATTCGGGTGATTCACGGTATTTTGCAAACTCAGATTCCCAGTCAGCCGTGTTCAAGGGAGGGAGAGATCCGGTGACCGGGCGCCATTCGGTGATACTCAGTCTAGAAAAAAAAAAAAAGTGAGCTTCCAACTTCTTGACAGTCTTAAACAACTAGGATATAGCCAACCCTGATTCCGTTAGTCGTGTCAAACCACCAAAGATTACAATGCCAAAGACGCTGGCCGCGCTTCCCAGTAACCAATACGCAACGATCTTGTCACTGATTTTTGGAAAACTGGACTTGCTCGAAGCGGCAACACTTTCAGCTGCGCTGGCAGCTGATGATGTGGAAGTCAATTTATTCGAAGTAGAAGTAAAGGATCGTTTTGATGTCGTGTTGAAGATGGGTGAGCTTGCTTTCCGGAGGAACGGCGGAGCCGTGGAGCGCTTGAAGAAAGGTGTGGTAGCATAGTTCTGACGTTGTAGCGTTTGACGACAAGAGAAAAAATCTTTGTAAAACCGGGGAGCCAGGCTCCGGAACATAGGGATTGACCCCGACCCCATTGAGGCCATTGTGCTGGCAGTAAGCTGGAAACAACACAAGGGACTGATCCGGGGAGGAATAAGTGAAGCTATTCGGGGAACGCGGAGATCATGCCATAGGGCCAATCAGTGTCATATGATTAGTTGGAGACCTACCGCCTTCCGTATATAGGATAATACTGGCAGAATATACAGTTCCTGAGGCAGCGAGGCTTTCCACGCGTAGAGCCTCATCCAAACTTCAAAGAAGCATCCTCGACAAACCACTACTCTGCTCAGAACTTATTTCCCCGCGATGTCGTACGCGGTCGAGACCAAGAAACGGAAATTCCATCGCGTTCTCGAGTCCATATCCAAACCACTATCCGCCGACGCTGCTACGAAAGCCACCAACTCAGTCGCCGCGAAGGAGCGCGATCGTCCAGCGCCGGAATTATCCATTAAAAAGGTCCGTTTGAGCAGTGGACATGAATTCAATCCGTTGTCTTTTTACGATTCTAGTCTGAAGACCATACGGCCCTCCGGGAGAACGGTCTCCCCGTCGTCAACGACATCCCGTCCGAGCTTTGTTCCCTGGGATCGAGAACGTTTTTTGGAACGCCTGGAGACCTTTCGTCGAGTGGACAGATGGTCTCCGAAGCCGCCCGCGATCAATGAGGTTCAATGGGCAAAACGCGGGTGGATCTGCACGGATCTGATGCGAGTGACGTGTGTAGGGGGATGTGGCGGCTCCGTGGTTGTCAAATTGCCGGACGAGATCGATGAACTGGATGGGTACGACAGCGATAAAGTGCAAGAGCGGAAGGAAGTCCGTATGTTTTGGCTTACTGGATTTTATATGTCATCGGTCGCTAATCTCTTTGTAGGTGTCCAGCTTGTTAAGAAATATTCGGATCTCCTGAGCGAAGGGCACGGGGAGAATTGCCCCTGGCGGAGCAAAGGATGCGACGGTATGCACTGCGACCATTCTGAAGCTTCCTTCGTTGCTGACATTTTCTGTAGCTACAATACATCGTTTACCGTTGACGAATCCTGAGGTGGCGGTCAGTAGCCTTCAGAAACGCTATACGGATCTTGTCACAATGGGAGACAAACTACCGACAGAGAATGCTATTCAGACCCCGGAAGGGTTCGATATAGAAGGGATTAATAAGATGCTGCCCGCAGAAGGCTTTCAAGAATCTGAAAAGCCCTCTCAGCAGAAGAATAGACAGGAAGAGCCTCCACAAGAGACGCATCAAACACAAGAACATCCACCCGAAGAATCTCCACCGATAGAACGCCCAGAGTCCAGACCAGGGGATACCCACTCCGTTGGTGGGAAAAACACAGAGCCTCCAACACAATCGCCAACAGAACCATTAATTAACCGCTCGGCACTTACTCTCGCGCTATTTGGTTGGGACACGGTATCTGATGGCACTGCAGGTTTAGTCGGATGCGGTGCATGTTTTCGTCGCCTGGGACTATGGTTGTACAAACCAAAGGACAATGGCGACGTGACCGTATACAACTATCTAGATGTGATAGCAGAACACATGGAATATTGCCCCTGGGTCAGTGGACAGGCACAAAGTGGCACAGGGAAACCGACAGAGAAGCCGGAGAATCTTCGCAACGGATGGGAACTTTTGGCGCAGGCTATCAGAGTGAAGCATCGCCGCACAGTCAGGTCAACAGCTTCCATGGATACTCTCCGAGCATGTGCGGAAACTGCATCTATCAATGAACCGGCTGTAGACGAGGAAACCAAGAAAGCTTCTGACCGGGAGTGGTGGTCTAAGATCCGTCGGATGAAACTGATGCTGAATGTTAAGGGGCCGAAGGGACATAAGTCTACGGGATCGCGATAATGATTTTATTTCATTTTAATTGCATGCGCTTTTTTTTTTTAAACCGTGTTGTTTAGTTGTGGTTATCTCTTTCCAGCGTGGCGTCCAGGATATTGTCAGTCATTGTTGGGATTATCATTTATTTCGTATATACTGTTTTGATTCATGATTTCCCCTGAACTTCGGAGGCAGTACTATCAACTTATTTCAAGCGTGATAAGGCTGAATTACATATCTACTACGTGTGCTTGTAACAATACTCGAGGTACCATTCATAGGAATCTTTTCTTTTTCGTACATTGGAAGTAAAGAGCCCACCCCTGCATCTTCTCTACCTGGCTAGGTGTTTGTATCTTCCATGGATAAGACGGTATCTTAGATCACCAGCCCACTACAGTCAGCACATAATAAATACATGGACCATATCTGATTGACAAAAAGGAACAGGCCCAGTGCTATTTGTAGGTAGCGAGTAAAGTCGAGGGTCTTAGTGGAAACCCGGGCGTGAATTTTGGCGCGCCATAGAGAGACAAAGTCATAATGCAGGCTGCTTAGATCACATCCTGTCTTTCCCAACCATTCTGCCTCTTGCCATCCATGGCCTTGCTGGGACGAGGCTTGCCTTCATCCTTATACTGACTAACATAAGGGTTTGGATCCTCCTTCCAATTCAAGTTAGCAAAGGTATGATTCACCTCGCGATGTTTCGCCTCATCGGCCCTGATATAGAGTAACAGGTCCTTCACGCTGCGGTATCCTTCAGGCATGTTCCAGTATTGGACTGCAATATTGGGTGCTTGCATCTTCTCCCATTTCGGTAGTTTACCAGCGTCTATGTCGGAAATTTCCCTTGTGTATGTGATGATTGCTTCTTCTTCGAGATAGCCAACAAAGCGGTGGCAGATGCGCGGGTTGACAAGGTAGGCCATGAGGAAGGCGTTGAAAAAGACTCCCTGGGCGCCTAGAACACAGAGATGTAGGAAAAAACCCGGCTCCGCCATTTGGAGGAATGTAAGTAGATGCATCCGCTCATTGTAGGACTCCTCTAGGAGCGTTTCTATCCTTTTTGCGGAGTCACCCATTGTGATCTCCAAAGTTTGAGAGGGGCGGGTGCTAGATTGTCAACGTACCAGCCATTGTCTCTCCTCATTCTCCGAAGGCTTCGAAGATGCCTTAGCATGCCACCAACCATACCTGGTACTCCGGCAATACTCTCAAGAAAAATATTACGAATCAGATATTTTTCTTCTGTCATTGAGTATTTTTGCTTGGCCATTGCAGGATCCTTCGCATGGGCGGCGACAGCGTCATCATGTCGGTAGCCAGAGACAAGGTCGAACCCCCAACGGAGTGTGCGGATTGCACTGAGAGCAACCTTATCGCCAAAATTCCTTGTCTCCCTATGGGAAATGCCGATTTGTTTCAGCTGCTCATCGGTGTATCTAGAAGAACTCGTTAAATAGTCAACTCCCTCATAAATCGAAGCGTATTACGTGTGCCATCTCGTACATTGGATGCGGCCACGCGGGAGGTGTCTTTCTAATGTTTTCTGTTTCGGTTGACGGAAGGAATAACCGGATGTGCTTGAGAGAAGATGATGAAAAGGGTCGGATCGATGTGCCAACCCTCATCGGCGGTAGCACTGGACGCACCACCGTGTATGTTGAACCGGTGATGTACTTACCGGTGGTCAATCTCGTCAGAGACATGGCGAACTGATGTTGATATTAAAACAAAAAAGGGTACGTATAGTATATCCTCTAGAATTGGCCTAAAAAAAACAAAAAATAAAAAGTCCAGGACAAATACTTTCTTTCTGCAATAAAGCGGCAAGAGAACCACGAAGTAGACAGTATACGTTAATGATGACGCATTTGACGTTCTGCAGACAGGAATAGAAGCCAGGTAAAAAATGGAAGAGCAGAGCAAGCGTCAAACAGGACGGTCCCAGACATCATATCTAGTACATCGGCTGAATTGCAATAGTTATAAAAAGGCATCCCGCCAACATCGGGTACGCAACTTAACTTGAGACTCTGTACGGGAAGTTGGCACTGCACACTGGTTGGGTAGTGCTAGGTCCACTTATCCGTTGATCCTGCCAGTCAGATCATCAAAGGTGGCTGCTGCTGCACTGACCAACGTGCTGTAGGTAATTCCAGACCTGAAATTGATAGAACGAAGGGGATCAGTATCATTAAGGCAAGATGAAGTTGAAGCAGAAACGTAGGGCGGTCTCCATGAGCAGAATACACGTGATCCCACGGAACACAAATTCGCACTAGTCCTGATCAGGAAATTGAGATGTTCCTTTACAAATTCACAAGGAAAGGGGAAGTTGATCCTGACTCGCCTCTAGACGCTATCCTGGACAGACAAACTTGTGTCCTGACGTCCTCACTGGTTTATTTTGTTTATCTGAAACCCCCATCATCACCAAGGAAGACTGGTGTGCATCAACCGGCATGTATGATCCTGCACGGGACAGTTGGGACCACTTGGTCGTGGAGCAACGCGACGAGCCGCAGGAAGACCAGCAGCGACAAGACCAGTCCCGCGTCGGAGAGTCGGTATGTTCTGCATTATCCTGGGATGGTTGGCTCTCATTTAGCTTGAGGTTGCCTTTGTCCTTCTTTTAATTTCGTTTTGCCATTTTTGCCATACTGCTCTTTGACCCCGGTGTCTATTCATAGCGCTAGGTCGATTTCAAGGGTGGATCCTGTTAGTACACGTGAGGTTCTGCCGTCCTAGACCGCCCTCGCTACCTATCTCACGGCACAGGCAGGCCTACCTAGTAATACGACCATACATGCGCCTATCCATTAGGTTATGAGCCCGTTTTAGCTCTACGATATTGAGCTTAAAAAAGCCTTTCAGATAGGCTAAATTGTGACCTCTCATTGGTCAAACCAGAAATCGAGCGCTTCTAAGCGACTCTGAACACCAGGACCGCCAACAATCGGCCCCTGAACCCCAGGATCCTTCGATCGATCCCATCCAAAATGGTGGTGCCTCGAACGCCCCCTACCACCGCTAGACGTCACCGTCGTCAGCCAGAATCCACAGATCCTTCATCAGATATAGGCTCCTCCGCCTCCTCAGTAATCTCTGAAGAAATGGACACCCCAACTGCCCCTAGAGCTCAAAGCTCTACTACAGCCAACACCATGGCATCCACACCAGACATCACAGCTCTGTTCCAGCAGATGCAGGAACAAATGCAGGAACAAATGCAGAAGCAGATGGACCAGTTCATGACTCGTTTTAATGCCCTTGAACACCATCAATCCCAATCCTCCACTCCTACAGTCCGGCATAACGCTACTCCCTACAATCATATTCAAAATAATACGGCTATTCCAGCCTCAAATCCAGTACAAAAAGACCCTTTTGATCATGTACAAGCTCAAGTTAAAGCGCTCCTACCAGACCGATGCCGAATCACACTGTCTCATGATAATTACGACCTCTGGAGTTCAGCCATTCAAAGAGAAGCCAATGTCCTGAACGCTAGTACAGTCTTGCATCAGGATATACCTCCAGCAGGATACTCAGCTTATGATGCTGAAGTATGGCATTGCAAAGCCACTGTCATGAGAGCCCGAATGCTTCATGCTATGACTGCCCAAGCCATTGACAAATTGGGCAACACATATGACCTATCAGCCCATGGTTTATGGGACCGAACTGCTACCTTTTTCGGACGTTCTACTGGTGAAGAACGAATGCTTCTCATAAAAGAGCTCAAGGAGCTCTATATAAAAGACAATGACTACCTATCCTACCAATCTGCGTTTACTAGGATAGTAGACCGCCTTCATGCTATAAAAGAAGCATCATTTGACAACCTTATTCACGACCTATTTTTTATAGGCCTCCGCGAATGGAACAAAGCATTCATTAAGAGTAAACTTGATGAAGTATACTCAACTGGACAAGGCCCTGTCATCAATCTGGACCTACCTACCATTCAAGCTCAACTCTCTATCCGTATGGGCACCCAAGCCCGTGAATCCCGCTCCCAACACGGAGGACGACGAGAGAATCTATCCGGACGAAGCTATTCCAAACAAGCATCTAACCCCATTGCTAGCTCTTCCGCCTCAAGTTCCAACACTAAATATAAACCTCAGGACCAGGACTCACGCAAACCAAAGACCCGTTGTGATTGGTGTGGTCATTTCCACCCAATGCCTTGCCTCTACAAGAACCCTGAGAAAGCCTCTGAGCATTGGCGCCGAGCCAATAAAAATACTATTGAAGCTATTCGTGCTTTACACACTGCTAAAGAATCTTCCACTGCTTCATTCTCTGAAGCAGAAACCAATGAACTGGTACCATGGACTTCTTCAGCTGCAAAAACAGCCATTGCTAAATCAGCCCAATCTCTCCAAGCTTCATGGTATCTTGATAGCTGTGCTTCATTCCATGTTACACCCCATCAAGCTTTCTTCACGTCCTATAAAACATTGAGAAAGGAGGACCTTACTCCAGCGGATTATATTGAAGATGCTCAAGGGAAGATTTCCAAACCTCATGGTATTGGCACCGTCGTCATTGATATTGGAACCGGATCCTTGATCCTTAGGGATGTACGACATGTTCCATCCTTCAATTCCAACTTAATCTCCATGGGAATGCTTCTCAAACAAGGTTTTCGTATCGAATTCCCTTCCAGCTCTCAAGTAGCACAAATCACAACCTCTTCTGGTGCAGAATTTGAAGCCATTTTGAATACCAACAATGTATTCATCCTATCAGATTGCATTTCTCCCGACGAGAGCTCCTATGCCTTTGTCACCACCCGGTCTGGCAAAGAGGCCAACCGACCAGGGGACCCTCCCAGAAAGAAACCTACAACATCCCCAAAGACTAAGAGCTCCAAAACAGCTCTACCAATTATGACATGGCATCGCCGTCTATGCCATTTAAACCAGCAGGATCTTTTACGCCTTGCCGCAGATCCTACATCAGACATTGAAATCAAAGGTTCCAAAGAACTACCACTTTGTGAAGCCTGCATCCAGGGCAAGCAAACTCGCCAATACAGCAAAACACCAAGATCCCGTATGACTGCACCACTAGCCCGAGTCCACATAGACCTTGCTGGTGGCGGCCGAACACTAGATATAGAGAAGCTAGATATGCCTCTACCTTCACGTACAGGAGCCAAATATGTGATGCTTATTACTGATGACGCTACACGTTACCGTTGGGTCCACTACCTAACTGAAAGATCTGCTGCAATTGATGCATTTCGGGGTTGGCTACAACAGATGAAGAATCACCATTTCCCTGCCCCAGCCTATATTGTCTCTGACAATGAATTCTGTTCAGCTGAATGGCAGAAAACCTACCGTCAGGAAGGCATTGAATGGCAACCAAGTTCTCCATATTCCCCTTGGCAAAACGGTGTCAGTGAGCGCAGCATACGCATACTCTTTGACCGTGCTCGGACATTAATGCTTGACGCTCCCCATATACCACAGCGATTTTGGGTTGATGCTTTAAAATATGCATCAGATATAACAAACCGCCTCCCAACATCCACAATCCTATTCAATTCACCTATCCCTGGGGGGGTCAATACCAACACAAAAATCAGCCCAAGCCCATATAAATCGCCTCTGGCTGCCTGGACCAACTCACCAACTAGTATCAACAAATACCGACGTTGGGGCTGCCCTGTCTGGGTTCATCGACATGGCTCAGATAAGCCTATAAACAAGTTCGATTCCCACTCTAAATGCTGCTTCATGATCGGCCAAATCAGTAGCCAACAATACAGAGTGTGGGACCCTAAAACAGACGCCATTTTTTCAACCAATGACACTATATTTGATGAAGAATATGAGGATCCCACAACTACACCTCCACAAGCTACTGTTCCTGAAGATCCAAGTACTCCTAATAAAGAAGATACAAACCAACCTGTTGAAGATGAAGACCAGGAAATATGGCTTCGACCCGCCAAAGGCATGTCCCTAGCCTATCTCACCACTTCAACTACTCCTTCGTCTGAAGATGACACGCCTACTTCCTATAAGCAGGCTATATCTCATCCTGATGCCACCAAGTGGCAAGCAGCCATGCAAAAAGAAGTCAACCAACTCAAAGAAAAAGGCTGCTGGCAACTTATCCGCCGCTCTGACCTACCACCAGGGACCAAGGTCATCCCTGGCCGGTGGGTATACAAAAAGAAAGAAATCCCTGGTACCCCTATTACAAGGGACTACCAAGCTAAAGCTCGCTGGGTGATCCGTGGAAATCTACTTGACAAGGACTTCATGGAATCATACGCCCCAGTGGTAGATGAAAATACCACTAGAACCCTTACGGCACTGGCCACTCTACTTGGCTGGCATACTCGAAAGGCAGATGCCATCCTTGCTTTCCTAAATGGAAAAATGCCCACAGATAAACGTGTCTTTATGACCCAAGTTCAGGGATTCAAAGAAGGCTCTGGAGACCTGGTTTGTGAACTCCGCCAGTCCCTCTATGGACTAATCCCATCTGCCCGTATCTGGTATGATACACTAAATGCTTTCTTACGACAAATTGGCTTCAAAAGCTCCGAATACGACTCTGGTCTCTGGATCCATACCACCCGGACCCAACTCTATGTGACTACCCATGTGGATGACTTCAAAGTCTATGCTAAGCATGAGAACGATGCCACTTGGTTTATGGAGTCTCTTTCTGCTAAATTTGACATAAAAGAAGTTGGAAACTCTACCAAATACCTTGGCATGGCCACCTCTCAATCCAAGACCACATATACTCTCTCCCAGGCCAATTATGCTGAAGACGTGGTTGCCTCTTTTGGCCAAGCACAAGCACACCCTGTTGGGATCCCCATGGATCCTAGTTTAATAATTGATGATGACCCAGACCCTACAGTGAACATCAAAGAATATCAACGTGGTGTAGGCTGCCTTACTTGGCTAGCCACCAAAACCCGACCTGATCTTAGCCGGACAGTTGGCGTACTATCCCAATATCACGCCAAACCTACCCAAAAGGCATGGCGTGCCCTTATACACGCTATACGCTACCTTAAAGGCTCCATTAACCGACAAATTACCTACCATAAGGCCACGGAACCCATTACATCTGACCTCCTCATGCCCAGATGTTATACTGATTCTGATTGGGGTGGTCAACTGACAGGCAATCGCCGGTCAGTATCTGGATATATATTTCTGCTTGCCGGGGCCCCAATTGCCTGGAAAAGCCGCAAGCAAACGTCCGTTGCACTTAGCTCCAACGAAGCTGAGTATATGGCTCTAAGTGAAGCCAGCCGAGATGCCCTTTGGCTCCGGAACCTCATCAACGAGCTCAACGTGCTCCCTACTGAATGCCCGCCAATTACTCTCTATATCGATAATCAAGGTGCACACGCCATGGCTGAAGCTGAGCTCACCACCAAGAGATCCAAACACATCGATATACGTTACCATTACGTTCGGGAGAAGATCCAAGACGGTATTGTTAAACTCCAGGCCTGCCCTACCAAAGAACAAGCAGCAGACGGCCTGACCAAACCTCTCCGAACTGAACAATTTGATCATTTCCTACAACTCACTGGCATAAGCTAAGCCGCGTATATCTCCCCCATTTTGGATATATTTTCTATTTTGATATACGGCATTCGATTGGCTAAAGCAGAACCTTCATTCCTCTGTTTATTTTTGCATATATTCACTCATTTGAAGGCCCGAATAGAGGCCGATTTCTGTATTTAGATTGATTCCATAGTTTGTAGGCTGCTCGTGCGTGGGGGGGTGTTAGTACACGTGAGGTTCTGCCGTCCTAGACCGCCCTCGCTACCTATCTCACGGCACAGGCAGGCCTACCTAGTAATACGACCATACATGCGCCTATCCATTAGATCCGTACTAGCATATTCCTGCAAAATACGAAGGTTCTCACCTCTTAGCTCTCCCACTGACTTCCCTGCAATTCTAACAGTCGTCCAATGGGCCACACCTGAACACCGAAGAGGTGCAGCAAGATCTAGCACCTTCATCGTCGCGCATCTCGTCTCCGGACAAACCCCCAGTGACCTCAGAATCTGAGAAAAACACTTCTCACCTTGCAGACAAAGCTACTATGCCCGCCTCACCCGGCTCCGAGACCCCCAAACCAGCTGCGGGAGACGCAGTGGTTGACCAGAAGAAAAAGGATACGTTTTCTAAGGAAGACGCGCAGAATGGGTCTATTGGGGAGAGGAAGAGGAAACTAGCCGATGACGAAGCTGTATCTGAGCAGAAATCTGCACCTGATCGCGCCGTCTCCAAACGTAAGCGGCAGGAGGAGCGACATCAGCGTCTGAAGAGGCGTGGGAAGGAGGCACCGTCGGCGTACTCCCGCCGTGATCGTTCAGAGAGCCGTGAAGCGACAGCATCTGATTCACGTCAAGAACGGCCTTCCGTGAGATCGCCCTCACCTCTACCCCCTCGACGATCCCCTACGCCAGAAGCGCGGGCTCGTCAGAGAAAGCGACCCGGAGGTGGGGCACGGATGGGGATCGTCGACCGCGAAACGCTGCGACGAAGACAAGAAGAAAGAGAGCGTGCCCAGACGGAAGATGCGCAACGAGCACTCCAGGAACGTGGGGTATCAGATGTGGTTCGTCAACACTATAACACCGTACCGGAACGAGGCAAGGAATGGCGCAGGACCGAAAGTAAAATTAAGGGTCTACGGAGCTTTAACAATTGGATCAAGAGCACTCTCATCCAGAAATTTTCACCCGACGAGAAATTTCTTTCACAATTTAATGACAACAAAGACTGGGCAGACGGCGTGGCCCCCCTTACAGACGTTCAACGATTACTGGTCGTGGACCTAGGGTGTGGAAAAGGTGGAGATCTAGGCAAATGGCAACAGGCACCGCAGGCAGTGGATTTGTATGTTGGTCTTGATCAGGCGGAGATTTCGATCGATCAAGCTCGAGATCGGTATAATGCATTGAGAAGCGGACGAGGACGAGGACGGCGCGGCGGACCCCCGATTTTCCATGCCGAATTCTTCCCCAAAGACTGCTTTGGAGAGTGGCTAGGGGACATTGGTATTGTGCAGCAAGTCGGTATCGATCCAAACGTCGGCCCTGGAGGTTCGGTGATGAGCTCACGATGGGGCGGGGGCGGTTTTGACGTTGTTTCGTCCATGTTCGCGATTCATTATGCCTTTGAAAGCGAGGAGAGAGCACGGCAGATGCTCCGGAACGTCGCAGGATGTCTCAAAAAGGGCGGTCGATTTCTAGGAGTCTGTCCCAACTCGGACGTCATCAGTGCCCAGGTGACGGAATTCCACAAGAAGCGCAAAGAACGAGAGGAAGCCAAAGAGCGGAGCACAGAAGCCCCTGAAGATGGAGAGGTTGAGGAAGACGAAAGCAAGAATCCTGAGTGGGGGAACAGCATCTACCGGGTGAGGTTTTCGAATCCACTCCCGCCGGAAGATGGGGTCTTTAGACCTCCTTTTGGATGGAAATACAGTTATTTCATGGAGGAAGCGGTGGAGGAGATCCCGGAATATGTAGTTCCCTGGGAAGCATTCCGAGCGTGAGTGCACATGCATACCACGGATGAGTCATGCACTGAATCTGACTGCTTGCAGACTGACCGAGGACTACAATCTTGAACTACAATATCGCAAGCCTTTCTTAGAGATCTGGGAGGAAGAGAAAGATGATCCTGACCTTGGGCCACTAAGCGAGCGCATGGGAGTACGCGAACGGGGTGGTGGGCGGTTGCTAATGACGGAGGAGGAAAAGGAAGCAGCCAGTGAGTCTTCATGTTGATGAAACCGTTGTGAGATCTCGATACTAATTGAACTAGGCTTCTACCACGCATTCTGTTTCTACAAAGTGTAACTGGTTGAGACAATTTTATTCATGAAGAACTGGGTCAGCAGTTTGATATAAGCCACAGACATAGTGTAGTTCATCAGATTGCCAGACCAGAAGTAGCAGTATCTACGAAAGCAATCCATAAATCGTATTCCCGAAGCAGGATCATATATTTCCCAGAACGGACTAGCGTGTCACGTCGCGTTTATCCTCCGAATGGAACAAAGCCGATTCTTCAACTTGAACATGAAATAACATCTACATAGACCAAGACTGTGGACATAAAAGATGCCCGAAATATCATCCCGTCATCGACTCCACTATCGACATGATGCTCACCGTCGCCGCACCAGCAATTACAATACCAACAGTAATGAGGCCAGAACACCCACAATTCCAACATACCAACCGCCTCTATATCCGCTAAATGCAGGCGGAAAGCACGCCCTCTCCACGCTCCTACAAAAGCACTCCCAGCGCCGCCTCCTACACCACCTCCAGCATGTATCAGAGAAATTAACTGATTCCGCCGGCGAAGTGAACGAGCGGCTAACGGATGCCCGCGCGAGATATGAGCGCAAAAAGAGCCGGAGGAATGACAGCGAGAACAATGATGGGGGGCATGAAGGAAATAATGAAGAGTACGGTAGTGGAGATGTGGAGCTGAATCAACTCGCGCAAATGGAGGAGCGCGTGAAGGATGTCACGGGGAAGTTGGAGGAGAGTATTCGTGCGGCTATTGATGCGGAGGTTAGGGTGGGGGGATTGGGGGCTATTGTTGCTGAGATTGCGAGGGAGGAGGGTCCTCAGGGTGAGGATGAGGGTTTGAGTCGTGGATCCAGGCGAGGGAGAAGGAGACCTATTACTCGGAGTGGTGCTGGTGGCGAAGAGGATGAGGACGAAGATGAAGATGATGACGGACAGACACAGCAAGAGGAACAGGAACCTGATCCCCCATCTAACCCTCCCTCGCGGAAACTGGATGAGAAGCTCACGAAGAGTTATGACGAATGGGCCCGACTCTCCTTAACACAGCGGTACGTATACATCAAAGCAAAGCAAAGCCACAGACATATCAATCAAAACCGAATCAAAACATTAATGTTGACATGCGTGCAATCCAGCTATTCCACCCACAACACATACATAGGCTTCTACCGTATCGTCCATGAAGCCAAACACCCCTCCAACGACATCCCACCCCTCCCCCACGCCTCCACCTGGTTCTCCCATCTCGAACAACCCAAAAACAATAACTCCTCATCAACCCCAGAAACGGACTCCCATCAACAAGACCGCGCAGCAAGCAACTCAGACGACGACATCGCAATCGAACGCGAACGCATCTCCCTCAAATGCCCCCTTACACTACTCCCCTTCAAAGACCCCGTCACCTCCACAAAATGCCCACACAGTTTCGAGAAACATGCTATCGAAGATATGATCCGGCGGAGCCCGATGATGGTCCCTGCTCCGAACCCAGGAGCAGGACATCAGACTCACGGCCGGGAGAACCGGAAGCGTGTCCGCGCGGTAAAGTGTCCTGTTTGCACTGTTGTGTTGACGATGGATGATTTCAGGGCAGATGTGGCGTTGTTGAGGAGGGTGAGGAGGGCTGAGGCTGCTATGCAGAGAGAGGAGGTGGAGGAGGAGTTGGATGTGGCTGGTGGAAAGCGGAGACGGTCGAAGGGGGGAAGGAAGAGTGGGATCACGGTTGCTAGTGATGATGAGGATGAGGATGATAGTGAGGAGGTGGATGATGAATCCGATGATGATGAGAGCAGAGACGGTCGTGCCATTAAACGACAGCTCGTCAACACAGTTCACATTAAGTCTGAACGAGCCATGACAGAGGATCCCATGGCTATAGATGATGAGTAGTCACTATTCGACTCCAAGGGTGTTCCATTGTCGATAATTTTGGTTCAGGCATTCGTTTAGTAGCAGGGCATTTTCTGGTTGATTGGAACTGGGCGTTTCTACATCGTACAATACTTCGAGCCATTCATCGATGTTGAATTCTTGGAATGTTCTATATATCTATACCTGTGATAGCCCTAATCTTAAAACGAAAGCGCTGGGTATAACCGTCCAGCCCGACAAAGCAGGAAAGAATAGCAGCGGTATGCGCAACAATGTACGAACAACGAACGAAAGCAATGCGCACTGCGCCCCGACGCCCAGATATCGCCAAAAAAAAAACAAGGATAATAAGGCTGTCCGGCGTTGAAATACTACCCTGCTCGCAGGATCTTCGCCTCCAGAACTTGCATTATTCCGTATGCCTTGGTTGGGATAATACCGTCCTTTTTTCCTGCTGAAGTACCGCGATCTGCAGAGAATGAAATCTATGTGCATTAAACGATGTAGTCGCCTTCCAAGCAGGATAATATCAGTAGCTTGCCAGTCGAATCATCGCAGCGGATAAGAATAATCCAAGTCGGAGGAATCTATTACTAATGTTTGTTGACATCCACAATCGGCGTGATCGTCTCAACCGTGCCCAGCATGGACCTCAACATTGGCAGTCCCGACAGCGTGAGCATCCCCGTCTGGGCGTGATTTCCACATGTTGTTGGAGTGGTGGACGCGAAGGGATTATTTCGTAAGGAAGTTGAGGTAGTCAGCCACGAGCAGCGTAACCATGCTTGACAAATCGGGTTAGCGCAATACAGCCAGAAAGGGAAGTGGGGGAGACTAACGCATGAGGCGCGATTCGCACGTAGTAAGTTCCAAAGCCACGATAGAACCTCAACCAGCCCTCGTCGCGGACCACCTTGCGAGCACAGTCCAGAACGCCCCTGTATGGCAGCTTCCCGGTGGCGGGATCCTTCTGTTGCTTCTGCAGCCGAGTCTTGATGAAGTCGAACGGCAGGGACAGGAAACTGGCGAAGAACCCAGCGATGGCCGACGCGGCAAAGGTCTGGCTGCGGGTAGAGAGCTGAGGGGCGTGCTTCTTCAATTGTGCCTTCGACTCGGAGAAGAAAGCAAGCTGGCCGAGATTCAGAGCCATTGCGCGCACGACAGTTGGGAGAGCACCTGCCCACAGCGCTCCAATACCCTCCGCCTTAGGAATGCGGGCCAAGGCATCGATGACAGAACGGTAGTTGGCACGAGCCTCTACTGGCTTCAACCCATCCGCCTGCATACGGATGAGAGCCAAATCAGCCGGGTTACCGATCACCGCAGCAACTCCCCCGGCAGCCAAACCGGCCACGGCACGCTCCCCAAACGTCACGCTCCTGTTGGAGGAATCGGCAGTCTTCTTCAGTGATGTCATGAAGGTTTCGAAAAACCCTAGGCGAGAGGTGGTGTAGACGGCCTGCCGAAGCAAACCGGCAGACAAACCGGTGTAAAGGTCCAGAACCTTGCCCGAGGCAATGATATTACGAGCCACGCCGAAGGCGGTTGGACGAGGGCCTTCACGAACACCCTCACCAGCTAATTGCAAGCGCACTTTAATCATGTCAACAGGCTGAATGACAACGGTAGCCGACATTCCTGCCAGTCCACCGTTGACAAAAGGCAGAACTGCACGGGTGTAGGGATGGTGTAGGAAATCCGGAGCAGGCTGAGGTTTCTCCTGGGTAGCGCTTTGGATAGCGGACTTTTCAACCGTGTTGGTAGCCATTGTTTGAGGATTATAGGTGTCAATACCTGGTTTCCTCGGTAGTCAGTACGGTTTCAAGAACGGCGAGACGGCTTTCACCTGGAGAATTCCTACCGGCGGATGGACTATATATATGTTTACTGAACACGACGGCAAAGCGGAAGCAGTAGTGGCGTCGTAAACCTAAACAGGGATTGGGAAGGGGATGGCGAGTGGAGGATCTGCTGGTGGAGGGGAAGCAAAGCCAAATTCTGGATCACGAGACGGGCCAGCAGCCAGTGAGGGAAAATGATGAGTCTCCAGGGGGGAAGCACAGACAATAGTAAGTTCGGAGGACAGAAAACAGTCGATGGTTGGGGGAAATAATGACAGTCGCACGAGAGGCAGATGGGGGAAGAATGGGGAGACGGGTACTATTAATGGCGGCGAGCCGGGAGATTCAGGATGGAGATGCGAATCCACGGGAAGAGAAGAAAAACAGAACAGGGCGTGGAGTAGCTCTGGAGAAGCGTCTATATTGGTTATGTGATTATCACCAGTCTGGAGGAGCGAGTCCGCGGTCCAGCGGAAGCTGCGTTCGGATGTTGACGACTTGGCGGAGCAGCAGAACAGACTCAGGCATCAAGGTTGGCCATACAGGACGGGCGGGCTATGCGATTCAGATATATATATTCACGGCTGGAGGGTCTCCCCTTCCCCTTCCGAGGCTCTCTTCTGTTGCTCTGCCTGACGTCCGTCGCAAGCAGGGCAGAGCGATTGGGCATATGCATGTCTGTCCACGCAGCGATCTGACACTCCCAACTGGGAAATTGCAACACGAATTGGCAATGGTCCACCTTTTAGGCCGGTTCTGATCTACAGGCAAGACAGCCAGAACCATTCACAACTACCGAAATGCCACGCTGACAACTCGAAACTCGGCTTTCCTTCGCTCCTCGGCGGTGGTGGCCCACTGCCGGCGCTCTCCCCCAACAATGCTAGCTACAGGCTATGCCTCATCATATCCATTCCCAGTATCATTATCCGTCTCTCGATAACGCGGACCGCTGTAGGCCGCATTCGGCCCGCGCAGAAGTGGCCTGTTAATCATATCATTGCTACTGGTCTAAATTGCGGGGTACAGGAGTTTCTCCAGTTGCGACGATCAGGGCTGTGGGCTGCGAAGTCATAGCGGGGACAATACCAATCAGGGTGGTTCTATTGTCTATCGAGCCGTGCGCAGCATCCGAGAAAAGCGCGACCTGGAGCGTAGGTTTTGTTGGACTCTGTGTTCTGCGGGGATTGCAGACACAGCTTTGATTGCAGAAATGTGACGTCGTTGGGCATGCGCTAGGCCGCTTTAGGATACGTGTGTGAGCTAGTCCCGTTGTACATTAGCGCATCGTACCTAGTCCCCTTTCAGACTAGCGCTGCTCAACCAAAGTCACGCCGGTTTCCATGACTGACTGCGGCTTCCCCGCCTTGGAACTTCGCGTCTCCCAACAGGAGGAACTCACCATCATTCGCCCTTCTCCTGATCATAGCTGTTTCACTGTCGCATCAATCCATGGAGGACCCTGTCCGCCGTCTCTTCTATCTGAGTTCTGTTTACCGGGCCTATAGGCTATCGTCCCCCGGACGGAGGACCGTCCTCCGCTCCGATGAACGAAAATTCCGAGAATAGGCAACATCAAGCAGCATCCATTGACGAGTGTCTGCATCCAGATTAGCAATGCGAAGCTCAGAGCTGTCAACCTGTCGGAATGCGGTCGCCAATCAGCGTGATCCCTTTGACCATACTTGCCGTAGCTTGTCCCCGACCACTGACCAGAATGGCTCCGTTTACCGAGTTGCTGCCCGAGTTCTGGCCGTCCTCCGCTCTGCTCCACGCCAAGCTGCTTCAATAGTACTTCCCCCGGAACTTCCGAACATCGGATGTTTCCAACCATGAATCTAGGCCGAGAAGACCACGGACAGTATCCGTTATCCTTCCGGGGAGAAGATTCCCTCGGCAAATGTAGGGGCTACTGGCAATGGAAGACGGGTGTGAACGTCCCTTTTCGCGTTTCGACGAGAATCAGCGTTGGTGAGGTTGACAGTGCTCTTGATCATATCCAATTTCATACCGCAGCATCATGACTTACACAGTGCGCCGATACCTCCGACGGTCTTTTCGCCCAATAACAAAGAACGGTGCTGGATGTCGGGAGCTTATATCTTTAGAAGCCTGCTCTCTGACTACGCTGGTTGCCCGCCATGTTGACCCTAGTTCAGCTATGAGGTTCTCATAAAGAGCACATGCGTGTCATGTCTTCTTCTGTTGGTCAGTTTCTCTCAGCATGGACTTCACCAAGAGACGATGTGCACATATGGACCCGCTCAGGATTGCCCTCGGTATCTCAACTGCATGCTTCGAATTCGAAACACTCATACGGCTGAAAATTTCCGACGGTCTCTCCAGATATTCCTCTGGGGTTAGGAATGATTATTGCTGTGGTATCTACCTATATCAAAGGTGAGGAAACAACACAGGGAAGGTGGGTAAGGTACTGAAGCCACTCAAAATGCCGTGGTATGAGACTCAATTCTCTAGTTCCCTCGAACTTTTACCCTATCAGATCTGGTCGAGATGCTGGCCAACAAATGCCCTATGTTCCTATTACTAAATCACTAGTGCATATTAGGTCCATCGCACTGTCTTGATTCTGATGAAGAGCTGCTCAATGTCTTGCATGCCAAATACCACTGGACAGTTGGTGAGATCGACCCTATTTCCGAACGCTTCGACATTATAACTTGGTCATCATATCGTCGCTACCTGCAGTCCCACAGAGATGGCAGGTGCCGAAAGCTGCCGCTTGACCGTCCAGCCGTAAATGGTTATTCTTAGCGTCTATCTGAGGCCAATCTGGCGCCCAGATACCAGGCAGTATCAACATTACGGAAACCCATTCTTCCACTTTAGGTAGATCTTATTCTGTATATTTCTATCTATTAGCTGCTGTATCCTCAACAGCCTTGTGTATCCTTACTGGCGTCCACACGCAGGGGCAGAAAATGGTAGGCCGCAGAATGATCTCATCTCTCTCACAGCCCTTCTGGCGCATCACGTGCCAGCCTCAGCTTCCTCGAACTCTCATGCTGAACTCGAGTCTTGCTAGATTCTGTACAGCCGGTTTTCTTGATGCATGTTCTAATGGAGGTGTATTGTTGGTTGGTAACTAGCTAGATAGGCCTACGTGGTGAAAAGGGTCAGTGAGGGCGGACCTATGCGGCAGAATCCCACGTGATCCAACATGTTCCCATATAGCTTAGTTTAATGATATACCGAAGCGGTCCCCTCTGGCTTCCGTATCGCTGTTCTGGAAGCAAGTGCAGAAACTTAGTAAGCGGACCTACACCGGTTTGAACCGCATCTCCAGGCTGCATTGTGCAAGGATACACCGCCACATTTATGTAGATGGAGGGAGGCGCACCAAGAAGAAAAAGGGGGGCAGGCGTGTGAATCAGTGCAGAATGATGAGGGAAGCAAACGGGGAGGATGCAAAGGAGAGGAAAGGCGCGGGAAACGGGGTGAGGTCGAGTTTTATACCTTTTCGGAAGTTGGCTCGGTATTGTTACTTCCTAGCTTACCGCAGCATACAAGGTCCTTTTCGTGTTTCCCGCGAGCATATTTCATGATATATTGATGGAGGTAGTGTGCCGGGCACTGCGAAATCCCAGATCTCCCGCATTTCCTTATAATTCCTTTTCTTAACATATCTAGTACATGCGACCACAGGGTGTGGAAAACAGGGCTTCCCGTCCGCTCAGCCGTACTTAAGCCACACGCCGGCCGGTTAGTAGTTGGGTGGGTGACCACCAGCGAATCCCGGCTGTTGCATGTTTTTTTTTTATTGTTATTTCATCCACAGGACCTACCTAGTATTAATCAAGGTGTGCCGGGGGCACTGCGAAATCCCAGGTCTTCCCATATTTCCTAGCGTAGAACGCCGTAGAGTTGCGGACTCCGACAAACTAATGTATGATGGAGCCCGCGGCCGGAGTACTTAATGGAGGGTTCCCTCCCAGATAGTTACGAGAAATTGAGCATTTTTTTGGTTTCTAAGTTGCTTCACTAGTATCATTATCATTGTATAAAGCAGAGTGAGGCTCCTTCATTGTTGTGTTTCCTTTTATCATTATATCATTTTGCTAGATTGTTCAGTGTGTCCATTCCTGAGATCCCTCAATCACAACCCGGTTCCTATCGCAGGGAACAACGCACGTACGCCCCCCTTTACAGTGATAGTCAATTTTGGATTGCTCAGGTGTGAGCCCTGCAAGGATCCATGGTTTTTGCTTGCTCTTCATCCAAGACTTAAGCTCTGGGTATTGTCACGGAACTCAACTAGACAATGAATAGGATGCTATTCAGCTATCTGGGCAGCTATTGACAAGAACTTCAAGCATGGAGAGGAAGGAAAAAGGAAGAGATCTACGTGAAGCTGGACGACGTACTCCTATCCACGCGCCACGCTAATCCAAATAAGGAAGCTCACGTGCTCATCCTGGTCTACATGGCAAGGGCCCTGACATCAACTATGGGAAGCAGAAGCAAAGTCAAAGTCTGAGTTGCTCAGGCGTATGCAGGGCATGTACACAGTATACCTGTCAGGGCCCTTGCCATGTAGACCAGGATGAGCACGTGAGCTTCCTTATTTGGATTAGCGTGGCGCGTGGATAGGAGTACGTCGTCCAGCTTCACGTAGATCTCTTCCTTTTTCCTTCCTCTCCATGCTTGAAGTTCTCGTCGATAGCTGCCTAGATAGCTGAATAGCATCCTATTCATCGTCTAGTTGAGCTCCGTGACAGTTGATGAATTTCATGTTTGGCTGGATGGGTTGGAAATTTCTTCATAAAGTTCCACTGCACATGGGTCTTACAGAATACCAGAATATGTGGTAAATGCTCTTGCCACTCCCGAGATGGATCAATACTGTGTAAGAAGTCTCCAAAATCTGAAATATGCTTAGAATATGCTAAACATATGCGTAGGATCAGTATCATCTATATTGGGGGCTCTAAATACCTACCAGGTGCTTGTGTTGTGGAATATGCATGTAACTCAGGGAAGAAGGGCAGAATGAAGCTGTATCGACTACACGTACGTAGCCTACTAAGGAACGGATACCATTCAGATCTTGTCTCTCTATCTTACTCTCCATACAATCAGGGGCTCGGATTCTCAGGGGTTGGAGAGGGAGCCAAGCCGCCATACCACGTGACCTTTTCCATATCACGTGGGATTGTTGAGTGGTCACGTGATCTCCATTAGCTAGATAGGGACCTACTCCGCCGACCCCTTTATGAATACAACCACGTCGAACCCGTCACATCCAGCCTCCCATCCACCCAAGGGTTCCTTTCTCTTTGAACAACTCGATTTCAACGCATTTGTTGACTACAACACGATGGTTTTCTGGTAAGAAAGACATTGATTTATTTGCGACGCATTGCGCTAACAATGAATATAGCAAGGCTTCCCCGCCAATCGAAGTATCTGTCACGAAATTGGACCCAGATACATATCGGATGGGCTCCAGATTTCTGTGCAAGAAGGCCGTGTGCGGAATTCCAGAGGCTGCAGTTGCCACTTGGAGCGATGATGATAGGCAGTACTATCTTGTTGAAGCAACCAACTCCAACTCGCTGGAGAAGGCAGCGGATGGCCTCATTCACCAGGTTGGCACGTCATCCGCCGTCTGGGGGATTGGGGCAAATGCAATCTGCAAGGTCAAGACATGGTCTGTTGGAATGGAACAAGAAAGCGATACTCTTGCTTTTGTCGCGTCCAGGTTCCCACATATCCCAATTCCTGAGGTGATCTATTCATGGGTCGACGAGCAACTCAGCAGGACCTTCTTGATTTTGCGACGGGTCCAAGGGCAAACGCTGGCGAGGGCCTGGCCGTCGCTAAGTTTAGAAAAGAGAGCAGATATCGCCCTCACTGTTGCACAGTACTGCCGCGACCTTACTGAAGCGACCTCTGAGAAGCTACAGTCTGCAACAGGCTGCGGAGTCCTTGAACCTTTCTTGACAGTGCATCCAGAGGCGTCACACCCGTCTTGGAAACCCAGACCCTTAGGGCCACTCACTCGCATTGCGGCCCAGAAGTATTTCCAAAGGATATCCACTCTCCCGCCACCCTCTATCGGAGATAGATTTCACTTCTATCATGCTGATCTTGGCCCAACCAACATTCTTCTCTCAGACGGCGGCGATGTTGTGGCTATTATAGACTGGTAGTCAGCTGGGTACTACCCGAAATTCTGGGTTGCTCTGAAGCCGTATCGCAGCGGAGGATTCAATCTTGACACCTCAGACAGTTCTCGTTATGATTGGACCGATCTTCTCGAGTCAAAACTCTCAAACTTGGGGTTTATTCTTGACCGCAAGGACGTCGAGTGGCAAAAGTCTTTGGATTTTACTTTCTTTGATTTGGACGAGTTTGGTGAGGGCCCTCCGTGATGTTTCATTCAAAGCGCTCTCTCTAGCTATACAAACAGGATCTCGACCAGTCCCCTCTTCCAGATATGCGAACTCCAGCTAAAATATCACGCGCATCGTAAGTGTGAGGATGTTTCGGGACGAAGGAAGATCCTACGAGATGTCAGAATGACCCAAAGGAGACACGGGGATAGAAAGTTGCACCTGTCTTCGGAGGATTCATCTTCATCTTCCTCCAGTCAATTGCGCATCGCAGTTTTCGCATTGCTGAGCACCGGTAATGTTATTATGGCCGCATTTGTTAACATTTCTCGTAATTGACTGGGAAGGAAATGGATGCAGCCATTGCAAGAGGTTTGCTGGTCGTGAGTGCGAGAGAGAGAAAAGATTTCAGACGTTATAGAAAGTTCTCGTGAAGAGGTGAGTCTGCTGAGACAAATGCTCAGATTCTGTGGAAGGATAGCCGCATTTAAGCACTGGGACCAACTGAGGCCACACACCGAACACATCAGATGCCATAACAGCCTCGTGAGGGGGTTAGAGGTCCCTGCGCAGACCCTGGTAAACACCCAATGATGAATTCATCCGATGCATGAAGCAAATATACTGGCCAATAAGAGGTGGGCGAACACGTTGGAAACTTGGCTTGAAGCACATGAGTTGTTCTCGAAACAGTTTCTGGGCCGCAGCTAGGCTCCATCCAGGTATTCTGGACTTCGATCCTCAAGAACAGACCACATTAACTCGCCATGGCACCCGCCTCTTACATTTGCGGCGTATAAGAGTAATGAGGTCATATATATAGTTAATTGTCATGTTCTGCTTGGCACGACGCTCGGAAAACAGCCGTCAGATAGACAACAGAGCCATCCAAGGCGTCGCCTCCTGGGACGAACCAAGAATCGACCCTAATTATTCCCGACTTCCAAACAATGAACTTCCTACTTCCTTCGGAGAACTTTTTGTCCAAGAGGACTTTCCGTCGCCCAGGATAATTCATGTAACAGGCAGCTAAGGGGCCTACATACTAAGTTCCCGTATCGTTTAATGATCTACTCGGCGTTCACTTTACATTGGGGACATAAGGGTATAGGTTCTTGCGAGAGATTTACCATTAAACCTGGAGGAACTTTCGATGATGCTTTCTTGAAGGGATCGCACTAACGATCTGGCCTTTCTAATCTGCATCCCCCTCTACTCTTGCCTTCAGTGCCTGGAACTCCGCCTCCTTTTTATCGAGCTCCTCTTTCATCGCCGCCCATTCCACATTATACTGCTTTAGCTGCTCCATCTTGCTGTTCACGAACTGTTCAACCTCAGGGCCGGCAACTGTCACGAGTTCATCAATAGAAGGTAGGAGCTGTCGAAGAGCAAGCCAGGCCCGGCTGTCGGGAGATTCGAAGCAGGAGTATATCAATTCATGAAACCAGAATCTTCCGTCCTCCATGGATTCGCGCATGAGGGTTGCCATACTGGGCACTAAGCAACTTTTGGCTCTTTTTTGCTGCTCCTCGTCCAGCACATTGGTGAATACCTTAAGCAGGGAATTGTACTTAGAAACATCCTCATCTTCCCAATCAAATGGCCTCTTCAGAAGAAGCCACCGCGGAGGCGAGTAAAGCATCTGAAATGGTGCTGTATACGCCCATTCCCAGTCTAGCACAGCGACTATCTTCAGATCCTGTGCGTTGTTGACGAGCATGTTCCCAAACCGGAAATCGTCGCAAGTTAACTTGAACGGGCCATGGTCATACTTATTGTCAACGAAATGGGGAACAAGGGCCGCAAATATCTTACTATGGAGATATTTGCGACGAGCATCTTCCATATCATCAATTGAATTCGGTTGGTCCAACAGATGCTGCATGTCTTGTTTGGCCACATTTTGAAAATAGCTGGTGGTTGAAGAGAATGTTCCGGAAAGAGGGCCTATGGCATCCGCAGTGTCAGCGGGCTGCCTTGCAATGATTAAAGGAAGGGAGAGCACACCACCAACGCGAACGCCTCCGTGACTCTCTATTTCATTCATCTTCAGCGTCAATGGCCTCGAATTAATGCCACTGTTGAAATCCGCGTTCCCGGAGAGCGAACCTATTTGCGGAAAATCATGTGCCGACAGGCCCAACAGAAAATTCGCAATTTGGCGGTATATTGTTTCCAGTTCCTCGTCATTGATGTCAAGCCGGAGAGAGTGAGCTTCTTCCGGGCCAGAACCTTGCCTCAAGATCACATCTAAAGGTTCTCCCTCAATGAACTCCATGATGATGAACGCCCCCAGGCCAAGCGGATTCTCGTGACTGAGTCCCCATGCTATAACAGATGGTACAGGGATGTTTGTATTCTCTCTGACAAACCGCATTGTGGCAGCCTCGTGGGTAATTTTTTCATCACCATCCATTACCCGGCCAGGCACAGCAAACCGTACTATCCATTGTACACCATCGTCGAATTTTATTCTACAACTCCAATTGAACGATCCGCAGCTATCGCCGACGACCTCTGAAGGCTGATTATCTCGAAATGTTGAAACCCAGGTCGCGATTGGAGGCCCCTTGGCGCTGTTAAAACGTCTGGCCCAAGAAAGGGACTCTACATAGTGAGAAGCGTGGGTGCGCTCGTCTCAGTCCATGGCACAAGTCGATCGCGAAAGCAACTGGCTTGACTCGTTTATATTCTGGGCAAATCGGGGGTAGACGAGTTGACAAAGAGGATGTGAACCGACTGACACTCAGCGGGGATGAGCTTTAGGTCCAGAAATTCAGCCACAAGTCTTTTCCGCTGCTGGTCTGGAGTTTCAGCGGAAGAGTGGTCCCAGTTTGTCTGTAGGTGCCGAGTTAATGTTTTAATGTCCCAAGTGCAAAGTAAAGGAATGACAAGGTGACAAGACGATCTTACAATAAAGTACTGTTCAACAGCTAGGTCGCCCCATGGGGGGCCAGTCTTGTCACACTCGTCAGACATGATCAGGATGGGGGTAGGAAAGCCAATACGATACTCACCGCCTCGCAGAACCGGTTGATAAGTAGCCAATGCTATTGACCCAAGCAGACCAGCACTGACCAAAACTCCCACCACAGCCTGTGAGAAAACGTAGGGTTTTTGATGGAGTAAGACAAGTCGGGACCGTTGCCCGTTGGATATCAACACAAACCAAAGTAAAAGAGATATACCAGCACATAACGATGCCATCGCTGAAAGGATCACTTGGGAAGAATCAATTTCTGCCATTTTGATTTAATCATTTTGTTTCTACACTGTCTGTTCGATGGGTTACTTATAATGTTTTGCCTTCAGATCTGATATCAGAGGACCCGGGATAGCTTCAGGTGTATGACATTTCTAAAAGCAATCGAATATCTTGCGGGCTATAGTTCTTTGTTTCTCAAAAAAATTGATGACTTATCAAAAGGCGGAGATAGGCGGAGATAGGCGTAGATCACGGCGGTTATTCCTGCTGCACCGGGCCTTGAGGACCAATGAGGGAGACTCTGCACGGGCCTGTCATAATTGGCGCACTGCCTCGGAATGGGTATCTATCAATCTACATACTCTACACCGCATGCAGGTCGATAGAAGCAAATCACAGACATACCCGCTTTCTTTCCCAGCACCCCACTCCGATTGCGCTTAGCTGAATTTGGCTAGAGAAGGTCCCCTGTGGCGGAGGTAATCTGTTTCCGAAATCTACTGTATGCCTACCTTCAGTCAATCACGGTTGCCGGGGAGGCTGTTGCCTTGACGAATCGAGCCATTGATAGGCGGCTGGTCCTTGATATGTACCATAGATGTTGGTAATATGCCTAGGCCCCTTGGGACCGGATATTCACGCCGCCTGGACCGGGTTCCCCGCTGGCTTCACGCAACATTGTCCACGCGACAGACATGGTTTTCCAGCTATATCACTCCTACATATTGATTTTCCCTTATGTACCACCATCCCCAGATCCTCCAAGCAGCGCGCCGAGGGCCTGCAAAGTCTCCTTCGGCGCCTCGAAGAGCGGTTAGGCTGGGCTTTCGTCGACCAATGTATGGGGGTCCTTTACCGCCGAGAGTGTGTCATGTAGCGCGTCCCCTCGTCTTTGATTTACAGTTTTTTGCCCTTTTTCGTTTATTTAAAGCCTCTACAACATGGGCGGGTGGACTCTACAAAGCATTCAACCAAGGTCTTCTCTGTAGATCAATTTCGGTCTGCCTTGCAATCAAATCCGCTGCAACGTATGCTCGTTTTCAATTTCTTTTTCTAGCTCAAAGCTAACGTATCCCATGATCAAGTCTCTTGAAGCATCGCAAAACATGAGTCACAGTTCCGGACGGTCAGGGTTTTGCTCTAACGCGGCATGTGGTCATGCCAACGGCCTCCATCGTTACGAAACATGCCGCTCACCCGGCTGTAGGGTTTAGTGGAAGAGGTGCACAGCTCCTAGCGACTGCAACGGATTGTATTACAGGATCTGCAAGCGTTGTTCTGCTCATCCAGGAGGTATCCCGGAGGATTGGATCTCAACAAGCGATATTCCACGTGGAACTTCATAAGATTATGTGATCAGGAAACGAGTTGATCGTAACTCCGAGTCGGCGAGGAAGATGGACATGTATCTACGAATCCGTTTTATCAACCCAAGTGAAAAAACCCCTTGCTTGGCGATCAGTATCTTATTACCCAATTTTATTGAGCCATGATTCAATTTGAGCCTGACTTTGACCGACAAGTTTTTGAGTATTGTCATCATCAGCCTCATCGACTTCCATATCACTTTCTTCCCAAATTTCTTGAAGCCAATCATCTTGATAGATCTTTTCAGGGGGAAGGCCTTCCCCGTTGATAGAGAACCAGCGAAAGATATCCAACGAGGCTTCTCTAGAGGCCATTTGATCAAACTCTTTCGATTCAAAGATTTCCAGCCTCCCCATATCAGGAATGGAGGGTTTATCCTCTGGACTGGATGAAAGTGATCTTGAGAACCCACGATCCTGAACAATCGCCCCATCTGCTAGCTCCCAATTCCAATGGTCATATTGGTATTCATGTCGAGGGCATTCCAAGTGTGAAGTGACCCGAAGAGCACAATTTTTTGTTAGAGATGCCCCACAGGGTGCCCAAGGTGTACCGGGCCGGTACGTGTAGCAAGAGCCATCCTCTTCAGTCGAAGGGAGATGTAGTAAACGCCACACGTCTGCCCTTGAGATGTATTCAGGGTTTTCACACGTATATGGACCTGAACCAGCAATGTCCATGAAGCTTTGCGGATAGCCCGTCCAAGGATGGCCGAGTGGATCAAGAGGAGGTCTGCCTCTCCGGACATTTTGAAGAATTTTTGGGCCCAGCCCGCTTGCAATTGCTCCGATCCAAAGTGCACTTAAACCCGGTCGGCGAATTGAGCCCATCAAAGCCAGAATTTCTTGATCATGCCCCATAGTGACAGATGCCTCGCCCAAGATCTCATTAAGAACCGGATGTAGCCAGGAGCTGACGAGATTGCAGGGGACCTCAAGTTCCCAGAATGATCCACAAAAAGCTGACATCATCACTTCCGGACTGCAACTGAGAGTTATGTAGTAGGGGAGCTGGTCATTCAAACTCGCCCACGTCGACGGGATAGCATCGATAGGAGTAGTTGATTTCTTCCCCCTGGCTGAGCTTGGAAATGGCAGTTGGACCGTTGAGCCATAATATCTGTGTGTTGGAAAAGTCATGGCTATCGCCAGAGCAATGGGGAATTGACTGCCCAGTTCATGTAAACGTGCGAACTCCGCAAGGGCTTCAAAAGCTCTTTCTGAAGGTAAAGGGGTGTCGACGAAGGCGGGGGAAGGCCTTCTCTGTTTGATGGCAAAAGATATTTCGCATGTGCGACAGACTGTCCAGGGGGTGAGGAATTTGCGATCGGATCTTTGATCCACAACGCCTTCCCATCCTTTCTGTTGAGCGAGTATCGCAGACCACCACCGGGCCACTTCCTCATCCACTTCTCCAACATCGATAATATAAGTCCTTGAAGACTGCGGTACGTTCTCGATGTAGCATTCGGCCTCGGATTTTGTGTATCGCATATAAGCACCCTCTCCGTGTATTTCAACGAGCCGTGCCGAGAGTATGTAACACCAGCCGATTGTGAGGATCCCCAAATAATTAGGACCGGTGGATTTTTCTTCCTTTGTACCGATCCAAGAATTGAAAACTCTCCCATCGAAGTTGTAAGGGATGGCAACACTGATGCCAATCTGTAACAGGGCCGGGTTTGATTTTTCTTTCTCGAGTCGATCACAGTCTGAACTTCCTACCAGCTTCCAAGTAGAAGTCGCTTGTGAGCAAAGGGCGGGGTGTGGAGAAACTCCATAAGGGCGCGCATAGGTTTCTTTGGGTCGGCCTTGGAATTTGGGCAGTTTGTGAAGAGTACGGCAAGGGTTTGTGTACTCCGGAGCCAAGCCATGACGCAAAAGGACATACGCCAGTGATGCAAGGTGATACCAGTAATCCCGGCTCTGTTCTAGTGCATCAAAGACTTGTTGACCGTCAGGTTGAAGGCTGTCGTTATTCTCAACGATCTGTTACCTAGCAAGTTAGCCAGGACTGTTGTGGGAATAAGGTGAACAGCACCAACCGAGGAAAGACGCGGTGGGTGTGTTGAATGGTTCCGCAGTCCTTTCGAAAACTGTACTGGGCACATGTCAAGAGGGAGATGGAGGGAGGACAAGGGCGCTCCGCTAGGGGGCGACGAGTGTTATATGCTCCTTTGTCGGAGCTGATGTGGCTCGAGCTTGGAGGAATGGCTGCGCTGACCAATGCCGTCAGCGCGACCTTTTACCGCCATAGTGCAAGGGAGAGGGAACAAAAGGGGATGAACTTTGTTTACTGTGTAGCTGAGGTGAATTCCGCTTAGCCATTATTGTGCACTCACCCTAGCTCACCCCAGTCGCGCGACGGTACTCGCGACGGTACTGTAAAGCAGCGCTCACCCTTGGCTCACGCGAGCGGCACCCACCCGGGTATTGGCCACGTTTAAGCCACACGCCGGCCGTACGTGCGTTGTTCCCTGCGACAGGAACCGGGTTGTGATCGAGGGATCTCAGGGATGGACACACTGAACGACCTAGTAAGGAAACGATATAATAAAAGAAGAAGCACAACGACGAAGGAGCCTCGCTCCGTTCTATACGATGATGACGATACCAGCGAAGCAACCTAGAAACCAAAAGAATGCTCAATTTCTCGTAACTATCTGGGAGGAAACCCTCCATTAGTATGTCAGAGACTGCGACTCTACGGCGTTCTACAATAGGAAATATGGGAGACCCAGGATTTTGCAGTGCCCCTGGCACACCTTGATGTAATACTAGATCCTGTGGATAAAATAACAATAAAAAATTAAACATGCAACAGCCGGGATTCGCTGGTGGTCACCCACCCAACTACTAACCGCCCTCTTTACATCGAACCAAAATCCCCAGATTGACAGATCAATGGCTGTCCGGATATAATCGATTCTAATGCTGAAGACAAGCTTCCGGGTCTAACCTTCGCTTGGACCTTCCGCGGTGGAGACGGATAATCAGATAGGAGATTCCTCTATCTTGCCAGATATCACGACATCCGCTACAGATATAAGAGTCACTCCAGCACTCAACGGATTCCTTTCTTTTCGCCGTGATAACTTCATTCAAAATGGTCTCGGACCCTGCTGTACGGGGGAACCCATCAGTTCCCTCACTTTCAATCGAACTCCGAATCAGCGGCTTCAATCCAGATCAATCAACGGCCAAAGACTTCGGTCATTCTTCCAAGATCCTTGTCGTCGGTGCCGGCACATGGGGTGCTTCGACTGCTCTCCATCTTGCTAGAAGAGGCTACACCGATGTGACGGTGTTGGACGCCTATCCGCAGCCCTCGGCGATTTCCGCGGGGAACGACGTGAACAAGATAGTCTCATTCCGTAGGTTCTGTCCCGTCCAAAGACGCAAATGAAATAGAATAGCAAGTAACTAATCAAAGGAAATTAGAAAATCCGCCATCTGAAGATGACCCAGACTACGTGAACAAAACCTTCTTCGCAGCCCTCGCCAAGGGCTTCAGAGAAGACCCCGTCTTCAGACCCCATTTCCACGAGACGGGGAATATCATCGCCGCGTTCTCCCCCGGCGGACTGAAAGCCATCCGAGGACGACACCGGGAAGGCTTCGACGTCGTCGAGCTGAATACCCCGGAAGACTTCCGGAAGACCATGCCCCCCGGTATCCTCACGGGACCCCTGCCGGGATGGAAGGGCTTCTGGAGAAAAAACGGGGCGGGATGGGTGCACGCACGGAACGCGCTGGTATCGGCTATTACGGAGGCGAAGAGACTCGGCGTGACTTTCGTCGGGGGACAGCTGGAGGGGAAAGTCGTCCGACTACTCTACGACAGTGAGGGCAAGGATGTGATCGGTGTGCAAACGGCAGATGGAAGGCAACATCTCGCGTCACGGGTGATTCTGGCTGCCGGTGCCAACGCCGATCAATTCCTGGACTTCAAAAAACAGCTTCGTCCGACCGCGTGGACGCTAGCGCATATCCGCATGTCGCCCGAGGAAGCCCAGAAGTACCGTAACCTGCCCGTGCTGTTCAACGCAGACCAGGGCTTCTTCATAGAGCCGGACGAGGACAAGCACGAGATGAAGGTCTGCGACGAACACTGCGGTTACTGTAACTGGGTCATGGACGAGAATGGGGAACGACGCAGTGTCCCCTTTGCGAGGCACCAGATTCCTGTTGAATCAGCGGAGCGTATCCGCGGTCTTCTGCGGGCTACCATGCCGCAGCTCGCGGAGAGGCCGTTCTCATTTGCCCGGATCTGCTGGTGCGCTGATACGGTCGACCGGAACTTCCTAATCGATTATCATCCTGATCATCCTTCACTTCTTCTGGCCGTGGGCGCGTCTGGGCGGGGATTCGCCCATATCCCGTCTATTGGGGGGTTTATCGTTGATCGACTCGAGGGTGTGCTGAATGAGAGGATCGCGTATGCAGTTCGCTGGAGGCCAGAGCAGGCGGTTAATCGGAACTGGGACGATACGCAGAATCGCTTCGGGGGATCCTATAAAGTTATGGATTTCCAGAAGGTTACTGAGTGGACGGATATTCCCCATGAGGATAACGCGTTGCCGTTTGGGAGTGTTGTTCCTCGTATATGAATAATGAGCTGGAGAAGTATCAAATTTAATCATTAGTCGTTCCATGTAGATAGATAGCTATTATCATCAAATACTCCGGCTAACAAAGCATCATAAACCCAGAAGACAATAACATATATCATAGCCATCAAATAATTACATTACCCCGGTTAGTGTTATCCAAGACCATTCTCACGACCCCCTTTCTTCATCCACCCTGGGAAACCCAGGAGACGGGCTTAAAGGACTAGCATAAGACACATCCGAGACATCTCGAGGACGGCCCGGCCCCGAACTACTACCTTCTGAGATCTCAGACAGCTCAGACAGGGGCGAGCTAACGTCGCTGTAGTGGCGGCCATGATAAGGATATCGTGTAGGGGGAGAATCACTGGAGGAAGCATCCGAGAAGCCCCCGGGAGACCTTTCCGTAGACGGTGAGCTGAGCATGGCATCGAGAGAACGCGGTTCGTTCGTTGCTGAACCTGGACGGTGGTCGTCGGAGTCGGGGTTGGTTCTGACAACGTTGAACTCGGTTTCCATTTCGAATCGCCCTGGGACAGGGGGTGGGTTGTCCGCTAGACGTGAGTTAGCCAGCCATTACTATTCAAATCCGAACAAATCCTCATCTGCGTTTAACTTACTATCCAGCTCATGCACCGCTGATCCATCCGCTTCTTGCATACCAGAGCTTCCCACGCCCGTCGAACTCGGAGCACCAGGCGTAAGAGGCGAAATGGAAGAATGGTGCGTCTGGGACATGTGCTCGTCGCCCTGAACTTGTGATGCCGACTCCTGCGAGATAGAAGGATGTCCGGGACCCCCCGGTGGCGTCTTGCTCATCCAATTGACTATCCAACCCGGGGCACCGGGACCACCAGCTACTTCAGTTTTCGTGGCGGCAGTGTTTGCTTTCCGATTCTTGCGTCGCCGGTATAGGAACCACCAGGCCAGAACCAATCCCACGATGAGAAGCACCCCGAGTACTACGCCGATGATGGCTCCGGCCCATCCTGGGAAGCCGCCTTTTCCTTTCGATGGAGTCTTGGTGGCAATGTAAGGGTAATACGTGGTAATGCTACCGGTGTATTTTGTCGAAAAGACTTGAGAGAGTGCGTCGTCGTCCCAGGATGCTGGCGCTGTCTTGGTGGCACTGCCTTTGCCACTAGAAGTTCGTCAACGTCTGCGAGAAAACATAGATCAATGACAAGTGAAATAGACAGCTAGGCTTACTTTCCTCCAATCTGCGCTGTGACGAGAGATGGAACTTCATAGTCACTATAGCTAGTTGGGTCATATGTATCCTGAAAGCGTAAGGTATTCAGGTTGAAGACTTGGAGGATGCTCCCGCCCAGCTCTTGTTCTGGATTTCCAGCGTACGAGCCTCCCAGGACGAACATCTGATCCGGATACACCTTTGTGCATTTATGGCCGCTTCTTCCATGTACTGCTCCATCCCCAGAATAGGCTTTAACCCAAGTGAATGATGGGACGGACAGGATATACACGTCGTCTGATGGAGTTTCACTCACGTTCACTCCATCATAACCTCCATAGATATAGATGTTGAATGAGCTGCGGTCCGCTGCGGGGGCCACTACAGAGCAGAAGAAGGCTAATTGAGGTGGCGTGTCGCCAGTGGTGTTTTGCAAGTACCTTCAGTTCCAGTCAGCACTGTACTAAGAAAGTCTAGTTCAGGACGGTGGATCCTACCAGTTTTTACTTCCGACATCATAGACAGGGATTGACTCCATGTAGGTTGGACTAACGTCATCCTGCGGAATGTGAGAGTTGTACCAAAGGGGAACAGCAAATATTCACATACAATATACGACACATTGCTCGGTATAGTCGAATCGGCTGAGAGAACAGTTGCATTGTACACTCCACCAATAGCAAGGAGGACCCCGGAATTGGAGACTGGAAGCCAGACCAGTTCCCCATTGACCCTGCCAGAAATGTTGCTTGGTAGAGTATCATTAGACCACTGTGGCTTCATCAATGACATATCCACCGTAATGAGAGTGTTGGCAATGACAGTCGGGTTGTCGTAAGTATTGACCGGGCCCCAGTCTGGTGCACGCATGCCACTGAAGTAGAATCCAAGGTTCTCGCTGGGGGCAGAGACACCAGCGCCGTCCGTCACGGAGCTGGTGACATTTGACCCGAGAGATATTGAGCGAACTCCCTGCGACCAATCCTTTCCCTCGAATTGCTGGTAAACCTCATAGCTCAGAACTTCGCTGTCCGACGGGAGATCCTGTCTGGCCGTATCAAAGGTTATTCCTCTTCAATACTCTGTCAGCGTTTTTATACCCTTTCGGCGAAGGAGGAGACAGGTCTCGGCTCCAGCTCACCCGTATAAGATGAACATATCATCATTTGCAAGCATCGCACCGTCCACATATCTCGGGGCGATGTTATTTGCAGCCCCGCCGTCTGTCTTTGAGAACGTGTGGAACAGCGTTGTCGTGTTTCCATTCGCGTTGAAGGACTCATTCAGGTAGAGCTTGTATGCTACGCCCGTATTATCATCGCCTGCTGGGCAGTTAGCATTAGTCGCAGCGCCCTGTCAAAAGGAAATGGTCGTGCATGCCATTAGTCGTGTAGTCTGGAACTCCGCCGGAATAGTTTCTTAAGCTACATCAGCTACGGCTCTGAGGCAAAGACAAGAAGATACTTGTGGCATCGGGGTCGCAACATACAGCCACGTTATATCACCTCCGTCCAGGTAGATCGTATCCCGAATGATGTTCGCTGTGCCAGTACCTATCAGCTCGCAGTTCCTTGCTCCGATTCAAGTTGGACTCACCTCGTAATCGATCCCAACTAACTATTGTCATATTACTAGCAACCACGATTCCCACCCACAGCGACACCAGAGCAACATGGCGAGAGAAAAACGGCTGACGACGCATGCTGTCCTTTGATATTGTCGTGCAGTCTCACTGGAACAGGGCTGACATCTTCCGACTCCTGCCAAAATATAGCGACTCGGACTGCGACAGGATAATGCCTACTGAACTGACAAGCTCCGTTCTGAAGATGCGCCTGCTATTTCCAGCCGTTGGCGATGGCCGTTAAGGAGGCAAGTGAGCTGAGGAGGCGTAGATTCGATCGACAACAGCCCAAAGCTGGAGGAAATTTTCCGAAACGACGTATCAGTTGAAGAAGAAGCGCATATTCCTCGGGCGTCGTAAGAAATTGGGATTGAATTAGACTATGCCAGTCTTCAGATGCAGCATCAGGCGAAAATGCAGAGTAAGCCCCTCATAGATGACAGGCAATATGCGTAACTGCTCTCCGGCAGGCGGAGAAGGACAGCAGGACCAGGCTGAGGGATGAGCCTAGACATATTCTTCCATCCCACGCGTGCTCAGGCGAGGACCTGTCATCATTCAGCATCGCCCATGATCCCTGCAACATCACAGGGTATCATCCCAACCTGATCCCGGTTACAGACGAATAAGCGAAGAGCCTTGTGAAAGATGGACCAGAAATCGGTGATAACTCGACGGTAAGACGGCCAAGTTGCGATAAACAGAGTGCAGATCAATGAGCTGGAGGACAAAGGAACACGGCGCGAGAGGACTATAGACTTTGCTAGGCGAGCGTCTTGTCAATGATTCATGCCTTTCAGCCCACGACGGTTTCTAGTGCTTACATAGCTGCATAGGTGTCGTGCGAGGTTACATCACTGCCATTCTGCGTGATGAGGCTCTTCAGGAGATTCACGATGTGGACACTGGATTCCGGGTTTCCTCAACGTACGGTTTTCTCAAGTACGATTGTACACTCCTTTGTCGCGAGAATTCCGCTTCGAGGTATCGAGAGAACTCGAGACGAACAGAACAAGACAAGGACCAGGGTGTCTGGAAGAAGAACAAAGGATGCTGCAGAGGAGTAATTGACATGGAATGATCGGAAGTGACTGCTATTCTTCTTCTTCCTCCTCTTCCATCCAATGCATGTGTTGCATTGCGCCACGCCAGGGCTGAAACAACGGTCAATTGGTGTCTTTATTACTATTCTTGCTCTTCTTTATGTTCTCCTCGTCCCCTTGGCCGCGACTCTTTCAGTGGACGCTGCATGCGAGGTCAGCCCGGCGTGACGCTGTCCATCATCGCCAGCCTCAAGCCGTGCCCAGAATCTGCTGCAGGGCCCGTGCCATAATGCTCCATTGGCATTCTCATCCTTCTTATTCTTCTTACGAATAATATGTCCGCCGGGAATATCATCCCAGGACTGGCGGATTAATATACTCAGCCGGGTTACCTGGTATGATGAGGCTCCATGTGACGGTATTTGTTCAGGTACCGAGCCTTCTTTGGACTTCTTTCACAGCCGTCCGGGGGAGAGAGATGTTGTGCTATTATCCCGGCGATTCTTCAAGTACACCAGGTCCGTATTCATGGCTGTGTGTCGCTTCCTCTTTTCTTCTCCCATATTTCTAGATACACCTGCGAGAGGACAGTAGTAGCACACATACACGTCCTGTCTTCGTGCTAGCCAGACAACCTGCCTCCGGGCGACTGCTGCCATGCTCCCCAATCGGCGTACCTGGGTTCTGGCAATTGCTGCCCTGCTCATTGCACAAGTCACGGCAGACAATGGATCATCCTATCCCGCTGTGCCAGCAGCGGTGACTGAGACCGCTACTGTAACTGTCCAGCCTTCCTGTGCGCCGGCGTCTCCATCATTAGCGACGGTCACCGTCACTGTTCCATTAAGCAGCAGTCAAGCTCCTGCCGCTCCGACGACAGTGACCGAGACGGTCACGGTGACCGTTCAGCACAGCAATAGTCAAGCACCTCCAGACCCGACGACAGCCGCTGTCCAGCCAGGCAGTAGTCAAGCTGCTCCGGCTCCAACTACTGTAACAGAGACTGCCACTATAACTATCCAACCAAGCTCCGCAAAAGCTCCTCCGGCCTTAACGGTCACCGTAACATCGGTAGGTATCTACAGCATGAAGTAAGTGAGCCATTAGCTGACGCTGTATATCAGATTCTCAGTGTGCCTGCCGCGGGAACGAGCTATGCACCACAGTCTTCTCCGGTAAGTGTTCGGCTGCCATGTCTTCCCATTTGGGATTCATTATTCTGACCCATATTCAGATATCTCCACAGGCTTCCTGCCCACAGACATGCTCGCCTGTTACAGTCACTGCACCGTGCCCTACCGTCTCTTCGGAGCCGCCTCCTCCTCCGTCCTCTCCTCCCCCTTCGACGACTGCACCGTCTATTGTCCCTCCACTACCCTCGCTTTCTTCAATTCCACTTCCATCACTTCCATTTCCGATAACAGTGCCGTCCGAGACATTTTTCAGTTCAGTTCCAGTGTCTACGAGTACGGATGCGGAGGGATGCGTCATAATCATCTACACAATAATAGAAATCTGGCTTGAGCTGGGTGAACCGGGTGGGATAGGTGGTGGGACGACAACGGTGACCACCACCAGAATCTCAACCGTTACAGTGGGGACAACAGGCACTGTAACTGTGACTCAAGAGACAACCCTTCCTGGGCAGACAATCACAAGGATATCTACTCTTCCAGGTGAGACTGTTACGGCTCCGGGGACCACTCTCACGGAGGAGACTACCCTGCCTGGGCAGACTGTTACCATCACTGATGCGACAACCATCCCTGGAGGGACAATTACTATCACCAGAGAAACAACTCTGCCCGGAAGCACTGGAACGGTCACACAAAATATTACTGAGATATCAACACTGCCCGGACAAACAATCACTACCACCAAGCTGTCCACTCTGCCCGGGGGAACAGAAACTGTCACAGCTCCTGGCACGTCAGTGACAATCACAGAGGAAACAACACTACCTGGACAGACAATTACAATTACGGATGAGACGACTATTCCTGGAGAGACAGTTACTATCACCAGAGAAACAACTCTGCCCCGAAGCACTGGAACGGTCACACAAAATATTACTGAGATATCAACACTGCCCGGACAAACAATCACTACCACCAAGCTGTCCACTCTGCCTGAGGGGACAGAAACTGTCACAGCTCCTGGCACGTCAGTGACGATCACAGAGGAAACGACGCTACCTGGACAGACAGAAACCGTTACTGCCCCCGGAACATCAATCACTATCACTGACGAAACAACTATCCCCGGCGGAACAGTCACTGTGACTGACGAGACTACTCTGCCTGGAGGAAGAGCCACTGTCACTGACAGAACAACTGTCCCCGGTGGAACTGTAACAATCACCGATGAAACCACTCTTCCTGGGTCAACTATCACCACCGTCAGAGAGACTACTCTCCCTGGAACGACAGGCACGATTACCATAACAGAGGTATCAACTTTGCCTGGGCCGACAATCACCACCACGAAGTTATCTACTCTGCCTGGAGAGACAGACACGGTGACACTTCCGCCTACAACGAGAGATGAAACACAGACAATCACTATTACTGATGAGAAAACCCTACCTGGGGGCACAATTACACTTCCTGGAAGTGTTACCATTCTACCCGGGGAAACAGACACTGTCACCCTTCCAGGTAGTATCACTACTCTACCCGGAATAACTGACACTGTAACTGCTCCTGGCCATACAGTCACCCTCTCAGGAAATCTCACCACGCTTCCGAGAGAAACGAATACTGTCACAGCCCCTGGCAGTACAATCACGCTTCCAGGAAGCATAACCAGCATTACACTACCTGGAACTACTGTTGTTTCCATTATTCCTGGAGTTGGTACCACGGAGATTGTCACCCAGCCTGGGACCACTCAGATTATCACTTCAACCATTGTGCAAGTGATAACTTTGCCAGGAACTACAGTCACCACTGTGAGCAGCATCCCGCCAAGCACAGTTACAATCCCTCCAGTTACATCTACACTGCCGGGGTCCACTTTCACGACGACAGCATCTGTACCTCCCAAGACGGTGACACTTCCGGGAACAGTGACGACTCTTCCAGAGTCTACGGTGGTCTCAACGGTGACCCAGCCTCCGAGCACAACGACGCTGCTGGGGACGACCTCGACGATTCCGGCCTCAACGATTTCGACAGTAATCATCCTCCCCGGCAGTACCTCAACGATTACTGCCACTAGCATTCTTACTGTCTTTGCTACATCTATCGGTAAGAGTTTGGTTAAATCTATCATTGCTGTATTTTTTTTTTTTTTTTTTCGTTAGAAATTGATGGAAAGCTGACGACTGTAGTCTCCGCAACAGTAACGTCGGCTACTACGGCGAGCACGACTAAGAGCACCACATCCACAGTCACAACGGTTTCATTCTGTCCAAGCCTCACACTCAACCCAACATACACGCCGCCAGCACCACTGCCGACGAATTATCAATGGGGCTGTCCACCTGGCTTCCTTTGCCATCCCAAGAGAACTGCTGCGGATGGTGACTGCAATCTCGACATAAATCCTCCAGCCGACACGTACTTCTGCAGCCCGGATGAATGTATACCCTCGCCACCACTTCTTCCATTGTTGAATGACACCAGTCCCAAGTTCAACGTGTCTCCAGGATACTTCAACTTCGACCCGGCCGGATTTGGTCTGAACTCGAGCATCTTCGAGTTCCCCTTGGGCTATAACATTAACTCCAGTTACCTGCCTAGTTCGACGCCATCACCGCACCGGAGGAGCTCCATCCTGGCCTTCCCTTCACAGTGCTACCATACATGTGACTATATGAACATTGAGGAGCAGAAAGTTGGGAAGGACCCTGATGTACTCTGTGAACAGGGCTCTTTGTTCCAGACATATGTCAGTAGATGTCGCAGTTGCATTAATTCGTACTCTGGTGATGTCAATCAGGTTCCCGACTCTTTGCCTGATTTCTTATGGTTGATGACGTATTGTCAATCTCTGGGGGCTGGGACAACCACATCACCGCTCGCGGATACGACGTCTACATCGGCTTCGAGTTCTTCTAGTTCCTCTTCTACGGGAGTGACTACTACGAGTGAGACCAGTACGACTAGTGAGTCAACTACATCTTCTAGCTCAACATCTGCCTTGAGTTCGAGCACGTCCAGTACAAGTGCCAGTTTCACTTCAAGTTCGACGAGCTCGACATCAAGCACAAGCACCTCCACGTCTAGTACAAGTGCCAGTTTCACTTCAAGTTCGACGAGTTCGACGTCAAGCACAAGCACCTCCACGTCCAGTTCCCCTTCGAGTGTGACATCAAGTTCGACAACGTCAAGCAGCACTTCAGATACTATTTCAAGTACGAATTCAATCTCGACTTCGGAAACAGTCACGCCAAGCCCGACTGGAAGCCTGTCAAGCTCTTCTGTACCCAGCTTAACTTCAGATTCGATTTCAAGCGCCCCCATCAGCGGTAGCAGCAGCAGCAGCACCGATATTACTTCTACAACCTCAACTGGTAGTATCACACCTGTAACCTCAGGAACCGTTAGTCCTTCTAGCAGTGAAACTTCCAGAACCTTGGGACAACAGACTAGCCAGCCAACAGATTCGTCAAGTCTAACAGGTATCCCTGTTGGATCGGGTTCAGGTTCGATTGAAACAATTTTGACCTCTTCAACTCCGACACCAGGTGTCAATGGTGGTGGTAGCGCCAGTAGCACAGGCGTGGGCTTAGGTTCAAGTACAAGTCCAAGTACAGCCACAACCACAACCACAAGCGCAGGCACAGGCGCAAGCGGAGATGGAAGTGGCAGCGGAAGTGGAGGTACAGGAACAAGTCCACAGCAAAGTCCAGGCACAGGAACCGGTACAAGCACCAGCACAGCTACAGGATCAAGTAGCAGCCCGCCCCTCTTCGATGGAGGAGGAAGCCGAACGGTATCCCGTCTTTCACGGAAGCGAGTCCTCACCTTCTGTGGTGCTTTGGGTGTATTGACTATGTTCGTCTGAGCACCTATAACCCAACTGCAAATGCAAATGCAAATGCAACAAATGAAAAATGAAAAACACGAGACATGATCGGACGCATAATGATAATGGTAATATGCCGCTTTGATTTGATTGATAGTGATTCTGGGACTCTTCTGTATTTTCCTTTGGTATCCCTGATCTAAACTTGATTGATTGATTGCAATATATAACCCCCCAACTGACAGTTTTATGTTTTAAATTGATGTTGAGATTGTCTATTTCATTTCATTTTATTTCATATGCCCTCCTCTAGTATCTTACCTTATTCTATTCATGGTTTGGCTCTTCTCTCTGTCAATGGCATATTCAATACTTGCGCGGCTGATGCTATGTCTATCATGTCTATTTTTCTTTTATGATATTGTCCTTGTTATTATTGATGGATGTTTACGCTCCTTAATGAAAGCATTTTGCAATACTATACTTTGTACTGAGTACGGTGGATAACAATATAGCCTGCTCATTAACACTGGATCAAGGAATAGTAATAGTAGTCACTTCACTTGAGTCCTTCCTCTCTACGCGGCAGAACTAGGAGTATGAATAACCGTTCCATTGTAATAACTAATATTCATGACTCATAAGGCCAATCCGCAGTATCCGAACAACCCAATTTTCAGCAGGGAAAGGCCAAGATTAGAAATAGTGACCCAAAAATAAGGACGGAGGCATGGCTTGCCGCTTTAGATGTACAAGCGGAGCAAGTATGGATACAAATTCCCAAGAATGGGTGAAGCAAGAATAAAAATCGCGGCTCGCCATGCAAATAGTGATGAAATCGGGAAAGGAGGTTCAACAGAAGACGCGCGACGGGGAAAAAAAAAGAAAGAAAGAAAGAACAAACTCGAAACCGATTTACTCCTTGACCACCGGGCCCGCCGCGATGACTTCCTTGGTTGCCTGGTCAGCGTACTTCTGGAAGTTGGCGTTGAAAAGCTTGGCAAGCTTGTTGACTTCATCGCTGAAAGAGGTCTTGGCGGTCCAGCTGTGTCTGGGGTTCAGCAGCTCGCTGGGCACGCCGGGGCAGGACTTGGGGACATAGAGGTTGAAGACATCGTAGACCTCGTACTCGGCCTTAGCAAGCTCGCCGCTGTGGATGGCGTCGAGGATGGCACGAGTGTACTTCAGAGGGCAACGCTTGCCGCCGGTGGTGGCGCCAGCGCCGACCCAGCCGGTGTTGAGCAACCAAGCATTGGCCTTGTACTTCTGGATCCTGTCCGCAAGCATCTGTGCATAGCGCATGGGGTGCAGGGCCAAGAAGGGCTGAGCGAAGCAAGACGAGAAGGTTGCCTGAGGCTCTGTGACACCGTCCTCGGTACCAGCCATTTTGGAGGTGTAACCAGAGATGAAGTGGAACATGGTCTGCTCGGTCGTGAGCTTGGAGATCGGAGGCAGCACACCGCGAGCATCACAGGTGAGGAGGATGATGTTCGAGGGATGGTTGTCGCTCAAGCAGGGGATCTTGGCGTTCTCAATGTACTCAATGGGGTAGGCACTAGAATCCGGGTTAGTCAGATTGCCATCGACGATGTATGAACTAAAAAGAGCGGGTGTCCTTACCAGCGAGTGTTCTCCGTGAGGGTAGCATCATCGTAGTCGACTTCACGGCTCACGGGGTCGAAGACGACGTTCTCGAGGACGGATCCGAAACGGATGGCGTTGAAAATATCCGGTTCCTTCTCCGCAGAGAGACCAATGCACTTGGCGTAGCACTAGGCCGAGTCATGTCAGTCAAGTCTCGGATATAAAGTTCCGGAAACAAGGATGATATATCACTTACGCCCCCCTCGATGTTGAAGACACCACGGTCGGTCCAGCAATGCTCGTCATCACCAATGAGCGCACGCTTAGGATCAGCGGACAGAGTGGTCTTGCCAGTACCGGAGAGACCGAAGAAGACGGTGACGTCGCCATCCTTGCCCTGGTTGGCGGACGAGTGCAGAGTCAAGACGTTATGCTTAACAGGCATCTCGTAGAAGAGCACGGTGAAGACACCCTTCTTCATCTCACCGGCATACTCGGAGCCGAGGATGACCATCTCCTTGTCGGCAAAGTTGATGGCAATGGAGGTGGAAGAGGTCATACCCTCGGTGTAGCGGTTGGCAGGGAACGACCCGGCGTTGTAGATCACGTAGTCGGGGTGGAAGTTCTCGAGCTCCTTGTGCGACGGGCGGATGAGCATGTTGCGCATGAAGAGGGCATGGTAGGCACGGGCGCAGACGACCCGGACGCTGATACGGTATCTCTCATCCCAGCCGGCATAGCCGTCGACGACGTAGATGCGGTTGCGCGTGTTGAGATAGTCAACAGCGCGCTCGCGGTTGATGCGCCAGACCTGAACGGGGTTAGCGCGGTCCGATGGTATATGACGTCATAATTGGAGATGAAAAAGGCGGAGAAGCGGAGAAGAAACAGTAAATATGACAAGGCCAAGAAACACGACCGGTTGGAAATGGACATCACGACATCGTCTGCGGAGCAGAAAACGGGATCTTACCTCGGTGCTCATTGGCTTGTTCACAGGACCCCACCAGACATCCTTCTTGGACGAGTCCTCTTCCACGATACGCTTGTCGCTGGGTGAGCGGCCGGTTTTGGCACCGGAGTATGCGGTCAGAGCACCGCTGGATGTGATGGCGGTTCCAGTTTCATAGACAAGGGCATCTTCGTAGAGGGCAGCAACGGAAGGATTCGCAATCTAGAGTCGTTCGTTAGCCATGTCCTTGTCCAAGGAGGAAAACATCAAGAGGAAGCTGGATCTTACGATTGCCACTCGGTCATAGTCAATGTGCGCTGTCTCATGGAGCTCCTCCTCAAGCTCCGTGTGTCCTTTGCCCGGCCTAGAAAGAGCAGAAAGAAAGCAGATGTTAGCGAGATCGAGTCACAGGGAAGGAACGACTGGAAGTAGAACGGAGACAAAAGGAAAAAAGCAATAAGAAAAGAGAACAGCAAGACCTGTTGTTGTCTTTGGTGCGATAGATGTAGTATGCAACGGAAGCAGCAGCAACAAGACAAGAAAGGAAGACGTACTGAACACCACCAGGGTGCAGGGCGGTCCTATTAACAGATGTAGCAACCATGTTTCTGAGTGAGGTCGAGTGGTAGTTGTTCTTCTGCTGTCTCGCGACTTGCTGTCGAACAAAATCCGAGTTTGCAGGAGCAGGAGAAGCAGGGCGAAGGGGGGGTATATGAATGTTTGCAGCGGGGGAAACCATGAGGGCGACGATAAGTTGTAAAGTGTCGAATATGCCTCAGATCCGCAGAAGACTTCTCGCTGTCTCCACCGTACAACGGGAGATGTCGGGGTCGTTGCGATACGGGGAGTGCTGTGGACAGCGCGGTTTGCGTCAGGGAAGCGAAGGAGAGCGATTGACGGCCAGGATTTGGGCTCCGGACGATGAAGTCAGAGCAGGACGAGGCATAAACACGCCCGAATTCGCCCGAGCGGCGAATCAGCGCGGGCTAGGGCACGACGGAGCACGGGAAGCTGCAAGTTTAAAACGAGTTTGCGGGGAGACGCGGAGCCCTGGTCGGCTAGGGGTTAGGGCTTCTCGGCTGAGCCTCGGACAATCCCGGGACGGCCGTGTGCACCACCTGGCCCGGCCGTGGCTGTAGAGGGTCGTGACTGCCGTAACCCCCAGCCGGACTAACGGGCCAGTTTTATCCTCGGATCCGCACGGCCCCATACTGTATTGCCACTGCTCCCCTGCACGGCCTGTGCCTCAATCTATTGAATCTAGTAAAACGTGCTGCATGCTTGATTCCCCAGAATGCGCCATTTTTTGGCAATTCAGTGCCATGTGTACCCGAGTCCGATCCCAATCGTCACGGTTTCTTCCTAAATGTTCCGGGTCGGCACGCCTGCAGTACAGCGACTCCGGCAAGAAGTACCCGAAACCGATAGATAGGTAATAAATAGACACATGCACACAGAGACATCTAGCCTCTGGTCTCTGCAGGAGGAACCGCATGCTGCTGGGGGGAATATGTATCCATCAGCTTCCATGTGCAGCAGACGGGAGTCTAGCCTCTTGTTTGGGCTGCGTGGGTTCCTGGATTGCCCGATTGCGTCGACAGGCGGTCCTATTGCGATGTGTATCTTACTATCTATGCCTAGGCATGGACGGAATACTATCGAAGTACAAGAATAATTCCGGCTCTTCTATCTACTTGCCGGTGTTTCGTTAATAATACTGGCATTGGAAGTAAGAAAATAGATCGCCGCCCTGGCTGGACCGATTAGTCAGCTACGGAGTAAATGCGGGGTACAGACGGGCTAGAGCCGAAGCGGAAGGTGGTCGTTTCTTGGTCTTCCATAATTAGCTCCTCCGCGCGCGTGACTTACCTACGAAGTATCGAATATCGAAGGAATATTCAGACTGTCCACCTCCAGTTCGGGTCGTTCCACCCCCCCACCAGGTTGCGCGTCATAACGTCTGCTGCGGTCAGGTGCACCCCCTGCGCCTTGTCGCGCCGACGGTTGTCGATGCGGAACCACACCCCGAGACACACAATGACCACGACTCCCGTGGCCAGAAACACGCTGTTGACAATCAGCGCTGGCATGTAGTGCGGCGCCGTGTTCGCTTTGAAATAGGATCCCAGCGCAGTTGGCGGAGCCCACGAGGAATCCCACCGTTGCGGCGCGCTGGCTCTCATTCGTGACGTTGTTCGTATGCCAGCTGTGGAAGATACTGCTGGGTACAAAGGCACCGCAGGCCAGTAGGAAACAGGCAAAGTACACGACGCCTTTGTGTGCTTCCACGTCCACGGCGATCAGAATAATGTACCCGATGAAGGTGACCATGAGCGCGCTCGCGAGGTGCATAGACCGTTCGCGGAAATGGTCTGAGGAACGGCACATGATCCACAGTACGATCGTCCCAACACAATACGGCGCCACGGTGTACAGGTTTGTCTTGACGGTCGAGTAGCCCAGAAGCGCTACCATCTGCGGGAGGAAGTTGCTCACGGAGCTCTGGGCCACGCCGTAGCAGAAGCAGCTGACAGCCCAGACGAGGATGCGCCAGTCGAGGAGAGTCGACAGGGCATCCTTGACATTTAGCTTGTCTTCTGAGCTCGTCTGCGTCGAGCCATCCTGCAGGAGACGCATTCTGGCCACCGCTGCCTCGCTTTCGCTGAACCAGTGGCATTGCGATCCGCTCAGCGGGAGCCACCACATGGCAAAACAGGCGAGAACGATAGTCGCGCCGCCTTCGATGATGAAAAGGTACTTCCAACCAGGCAGGTTGTGCTTGATGTGGAAGACTCCGAACGAGATGAGGCCAGAGAAGGCGCCTGCGATGGTCACCATGCCGTAGAAGATGGATAAGCGGAAAGCGATCTCATTTCTCTTGTAGAACTGTGTTAGGTAGAAGATTACTCCGGCTTCACCTTGCGTCAGTTCAGTTTCCATATGCGAAGCGAGTGATACCTCATACCGAAGAACCCGGCCTCGAATATCCCCATGAACAACCGACAGACAAGGATCCCAGCAAAATTAAACGCCGCACACTGTAATAGCGTGACAGAACCCCTGCGATCATCATCAGCCAGTCCGTACTGAAAAAGGAGCACCAAAATTATACGACGGTGTATGCTACGCCGAAATAAAGGTTAGCGTACTGGCAAGCCTTAGAATAAAGATATCCCCATTTATTCTCCGCAATACCCCACCATACTTTGCGCGCATCATGATATAGAACAAGAGAATGAACCAAAGAATGATGGAGATAAGAAGAAATAATCCCATATTGTCCATGGGTGTTGAGTGAACGGGGCTGAGAGAATATCCTCCTCTCGTTAAAAGTCGACTAGTAGCTTGTGATGAGCGACTATTGATCGATTTCAATGGCGTGCAAGAAATCAAATAGGTTCCCAAATGCTTACTTGTTGTATCTCTTGATTGAGAATGATTTCAAATTCGAAGCACTTAGAAATTAGGACGAGAGGGAGATACGGAGCTTAATATATTCGATTACGGATGATCCGCTCAATTATCTATAATTCATTCGAGTTCGAAGCTGAACATTTCGGGCTGAACACAGTCACTATCCTTGACGGCTGTATTGCTGCACTGTGTATAATTTCTGCGGCTAAATGCATATTTCGCATCTCGTGTTATCCTCTCCTTTTCTTTGGACAGATCTAGCTAGCCTAAGCCCTAGGAAGGTCAGAAGATTCCAATGTGAAAAAAATCCACGGTACTCATTCTCTCTCATGGCTCCTCGGCCTGCGAGGGGCAGATCTCGACGTCGTTCTTGCTACTGTTCGGGTTATCAATTGCGCTGTTCATCATGAATAATTAAACAAGAATGCTGTGATCACAGTTCCATCGAAAAGATCCACCTGGTCTAGCTATATATCTCTGCCGATACATTGAAGATAGCAGATAGCACAGCTCGTCCTTTTCACGGTACCAAGAACTGAGTTATCACAATTCCACCAATAACCACCCTTATCCCCCTTCTCTGAAGCCTTCAAGGTCGATGGAAAAGGAAGCTCCGAAGCATAGACCGTTGATCTTGATAAGAACGGGCTTCGGACGTTGTCCGTGCAACAGGTACGGTTTATCTCGTCAGGGTCATCACAGACTGCACTGATTGGGCTTTCTATCGCGCTTCATGCGGGTTGAGAGCTTGGCGATGAGGGCTGTACGCTGGGGAAAGTCGAAGCGAGATATTATCATGTAATGTACATACTACAGTGTTCTGTTCCCTCGAAAGGATCGGAGTAGTTGATTCATATCTACCGGTGAATCAGGCATTTCGGATGTCGCGCCGATACTGCGGAGTAATAATAGATACTCGTAGATATAAGATAAACATCTCAGGGAATCTCCGCAGTTGACAAAAAAAAAAAAAAAAAAAAAAAAAAGAAAAGAAAAGAAAGAAAGAAGGAAGGAAAAGAAAGGAAAAGAAAAGAGACAGTCATACTACTCCGAACAGTCATGAATAACACCAAAATGTCACTCAACAAAGAATCCCCCATCGCAATCGTAGGCGCTGGCGTCTTCGGCCTCAGCAGCGCCATCCACCTCGCTAAAGCTGGCTATAAAAACATCACTGTCTTCGACCAACAGCCCTACCACGAAACCCAGTACGACTTCGACCGAGGCTGCGACGCCGCCTCCGCAGACTGCAACAAGATCATCCGCGCCGCCTACGGCCACGAGGTATGGTACCAGGATCTGACGCTGGAAGCGATCAAAGAGTGGGAGTCGTGGAATGAGTCCCTCTCCGACAATAGTAGTAGTGGGCTACAGTTACTTCCACCCGGTATGAAGAAGGGAGAGCGCATCTATGTCAACTGCGGAAATTACCATTTCGGGGATGGCGAGAACCAGAACCACAACGACAACCACAACCACAGCGGACAACATGGGCTGAACGAGTTCGAGAAGCTGTCCGTGGAGAATCTTGCCAAGGCCGGACTGGGACATACACAGTATATCTTCAGTGATGATGCGAAGGAGGCAGAGCGCGCGAGGGCGGATGGGCTGGGGTACGCGGTTGATCCGTTCAATCTGGGCGCGTTGAAGGATGGGAAGTACCGTGGCTATCTCGATACCATTGGAGGGTTTGTGTATGCTGACAAGGCGTGTCGGTATGCGCTACACCTTGCGCAGACGCTGGGGGTGCGATTCGTCCTGGATCGACAAGCGGGACGGTTTGACAGGTTCGTCGAGAAAGACGGCATAGTCACCGGTATCCAGATGGCGGATCGGACGACGCATCCTGCTGCGTTGACTATTGTCGCCTGCGGGGGATGGACGCCAGGCCTCATCCTGCCTGAGATGGACGGACTGTGCGAGACAACAGCCGGGTCGGTCGTGACGATCCAGATCCCTGAGTCCTCGCCACTGCGCCAGAGACTTTCACCAGACAACTTCCCCGTGTTCAATTGGAATGTTCATGCTGGGGAGAATGGCAATCTGTACGGTTTCCCACTGACGGACAACGGGGTCCTAAAGATAGGATACCGGGGTACGAAGTACACGAACCCACAGAGATTCGAAGACCGATCATCATCGTCACCTTCAAAGGTCCGCAGCGTCCCAATAACCAAATGGACCTCTCCATCCATCACCGGTTTGCCCGAGAAGTCAACAAACGTCATCCAGGGCTTCCTGGATACATACCTCCCCGAGCTGCGGGATGCTGGAATCAGCACCGGCTCTCCCAATTTCCACACACGGCTGTGCTGGTATACGGATTCGTTTGACAACCACTGGGTGATTTACCATGTTCCTGGTAAGTCCGGGGTCATCGTGGCCACCGGGGGCAGTGGACATGCGTTCAAATTTCTGCCGTTGCTCGGCCGGTTCGTCGTCGAGAGGGCCACGGGGGCTGGAGAGTCGGAGTTGCTTAAGCTGTTCCGGTGGAGGCATTTGAAGGAGGGGGAGGAGGCGCATAACAAGCTGATGAAGGGGTTTGATGATGTTAATGCTTTGCAGAAGGTGAAGTTGATCGGTGGAGGTGTCAAGGGTAGGCTGTGATCAGAGTACCCGTAACGAAGGGTCAAAGGGCCTTCTGATGCTTCTTGAAGTTTCTATGTTAGGGTAACTTGATATGCCTTCTATACATTGTATATGATCATTGAGAAGCATGGAAACAGCGGTATTGACACACCCATTTCGGTCCAGGATGCCCTGGACCGGCCTCGCGTCCAATAACCCACCGTTGAAAACCCAAGGCTTTGGCAGAGGCACATCCGCAGGCGTAGCGGAGAGTCGTACAGGAAACAGCTGCTTTCAGGCTTCTTCCATCCCCTACTTCATCATCAGTCGTGCAACACCCTGGCAACTCATGCTGGTGGGTTGGCTGTTTCTCCTCTTCTACCTCCTCGACGTCGCCTGGTCCTTCGCGAATCCAAATGCAATACCCGACAATCCTGGCCTGTCCATTCCCATAAAGCAGTGGATTAGGGTATGATCACCAGCCACAAGCCCTGCTGTGACTCCGTCTAGGTGACTCCGTCTAGGCTACAGCCCATCCGTTTTGAGAGCGGGAGCCATGTAGGGCGGTCCAATATCAGATTCAGATAGGTCTACAGACATGCTTCTCTCTCCAGATAGTGCTATGACACAGCTGCAAAGGTCAACCCCCGGGTTTGACCCTTCTCAGAGCGGGCCGCTTGCCTGCTGGAACAGTCTGGATAAACTCCAGAGGGTATAATACCCAGTTTTCCTGCCCAACCCGCGGCAGTGAGTCATACGGTCGGCTGGCTGGGTCCACGAGGATGAGAATATCCATTATATTATCATGGCTGGAATCCACTACCTGATCAGTTTGAGCTTTTATTCATGGGGTTGAAGTCCTATGTTAAGCATACAGCAGCCAGACAAGCACATGGTATACGCTCTTGATCGAGGCCAAAGCAACTGTAGAGGTGTCATTATTATACCACCTAGGTAGAATATTTATTATGCACTGCAAGTGTCAGAAGTATCCACTGACAACCTGCCAATCAAGGCAGTGCCAATTCACTCGCTACTACAGCGTTGTATTACTACTAATAATAATGACTGTGGCCACTGCCGAGTAATAATAATAGAGGTATCGTGATCGTTCGCTTCAGACCGATAGTTAGTTCTATTCTCTCCCTGCCGGTGTAGCGAGTATATATATATTCGTTCCCACTTCCGCCTTCGATTCATCCTTGCAGCCTAACCTGCCCTCTTATTCTTTAACAAAGAACCGGTGATCTCCACAGTGTATGTTTACTGTATCATCCATCCCGTATGTGCCTATGATACCTGACAAGTCGCACCCAACAGCTCAAACAACCAGCATGACCTACCACCCCAAGTGCCCCTCCTGCGGCGTCGCCCTGCACTCTGACGGGAAGACCTGCCCATCTTGCGGCAAGGTATATATCTACTATCTCCTGTCCAGGATAGCCGTTCGAAAGAAATCAACCAGAGAGATACTAATAGTGGCTGCTACGCAGACCTGCCCCGCGCCCAGCTCGTAAATACTTAGTGCGGGGTTGACGACACTACGGCACTGCCTTTCTTCGGTCCTGGTTCGGATACCAGACGACTGTGCGCGGTTGATGGTAGTGAGATGACGATGGCATGGATGCGGAGTTGGGTTGGCTGGGATGAATTATATGAAATACTGCGATGGAATTGAGTTGAATTGACGCGGATCGTTCATTCTCCTAAGAGTGGGATTCGTAGGAGCTGCCTCAGTAAAGATTAATACTGCCAGTGCGTCTTGCTGGTTGTAGCAGTCAAGCGTATACATTTAGTCCACAATTATCAGTAATTCATTTCGTGCTGTTAATGGTTGGGGTTAATAGCATTGTCAAAACACTATCCAATGGCGCCCAGAAACGAAGGAAATAGAAAGGCACCAGCGTAAAGAAATCAATAATAGAGTAAAGCCTGATCCAAGAATAGAATAATCCTCTATCAAATTAACAGTCCGTATGCACATCAGCCCACGTCAGATCCGAGCTCCTACCATTCCATTCCATTTCATGCTGCCGTCTTCTTCCACTGCGACCATACGCCTATCAAACTGCTAATTGTACCGGCAATGCCCACGATGCCTTCATCGAAACTGACAATCCCGAGACTGGAAAGGGGAACGGTCAAATCGCACAGATCGGAGAAGAGTTGGATACGGGCGGCGGCGCGTTGGCTGATAAATTAGCAATAACATCAATTATACGCTGACGGAAAAAGGCTCACCGTTCAATCTTCTTCGCCTCAACCACTCCCTCGCCCTCCTTCCGGTTAACCGTCTTCTCCGTCTCGCGCAGTTTCCACAGCGTGTAGAAGCCCGCCACCGCGCTAAACACCAGCCCGGTCAACCACAACCGATACGCAGCCTCCTGGTACGGCTTGATGGAGGAGAGTTTCTTGACCTTCAGCAGGTCTAGCACCGTGAAGTTGTCGATGGTCAGGTACCCGGCGTACCCGAGCTGGCGGCCGATAGCGAGGTATTTGAGGACGGGGTCGGCGGGGGTTTTGTTGTCGTACGCGACGGCGGCTGCCTTGAGATTCTCGACGAATTTACCCAGTCGGAGGAGCTTCCGTGCTGTTCCGAATTGCTTCTTGATGGTCTCGTACGTGTCGATGGAGGATTGGGGACGGTTGGTTCGTAGGAGGTACCATGCGTAGAAGCGGGAGAAGTACTGGAGTGTTCGGAGGGCCTTGTCTCGACCGACTGGTGATTAATGGTTAGATGTTTTCTTTTGTCCTTCATTTCTTCTTATCGAGGAGAAGTCTCCTGATTCTGGTGGGGAGGCTAGATGGTGTTTTTCGTCGCAGGGAATCACCCATCAAATACAACCACCGCACCACGTACCTGTTGTCGCGACGAAGCGCAAGTAATGCGCTATGGCAGGATGATGGACCAGAGTATCTGCAACCATTGTTTTGCAATTATTTGTCTCACGGGAAAAAGAAAGAAAAGAGTCAGGAAACACGAGTCCGACAGAGAGGATGAATCACCACGGGCGGTGTCTGTGAGTAACGAGTAAATATAGACCGAAAATGCCCCGTTCACGGTAGAAGAACAGCCAGGAGGGTGTATCCCGTCGGAACCAAGAACGAAGAAGAATAATAAGAATAATAACAAGGACAGACTCAGGAGGCTTTGGGGTCTTGCCGGGCAGTTTTAGACGGGAGTTTAATGGACGCTGCCTCACTTCAACCTCGGCTTCTGCTGTCGGTTTTTGGACTGTGAATTCCTGTTTCTTCCCCGCATTCCGTTCTACCTGTTTATGACTTATTATTCCTGCACATGAAGATGGCTGCAATAGTGTATTTTTTGTACTCTCTGGGTGCCTGAAGCTATTATAACAGACATCTTTTGGCAGCAGAGTTGTCATCGGTACATTTCCGAGTTGAGTCACTGCAGGCTGTTCCAACTTGCATGTGGCAGTCCCTCTTCCCCTGTGATAATCGTAGCAATCCGGCGCATGATGTGCTCTGTATGGAAATAGAATAATGCTTTTGCAACCCAGTTGGCTTCAGCCATTCGTTCCGGGCAGAAACTGGCGCCTCACTGTGGATTCGATTTAGGCATGACCACAGCACAGACAGGGGCTGCTCACACTGCACCGATTCCCTATTGAGTCCACGGTGTGCATTGTTGCCTGGGAATAGGGTCTGGTGTTGGAGTAAGCTGCCTGGAGGCTACGGAGTATACACTGCACAATCCGAATACCATCGCCCCTTTCTTCAGCGTTCAGCGCGTCTTAACTCCTGAGTCCTAAGGCTTTTGATGCCCCAGGTGCCAAGTTACCGAAAGAGGAAATACTAATGACCTACACATAACAGTTCGGATGTCCGCAGATCAGGAGTCTCCAAACCTTTTTTTTTTTTTTTTTTTTTTTTTTTTTTTTTTTTTTTTTCATTCTAACTGCTTCCACCACTCCGTACTTAAGTGTGGAGCGTGTAGCTCCATCTCCGGGCCTTTGATATAGCTAGGTCGGTTTTACCCCAACCTAGCTTGTGGCGAGCAAAGGGCTCCTAACCTGTCAATGAATGGTTGTATGCAGGCCTGACTGGGGTTGCTGCTCCAGAACCTCTTTACACCATCTTCCACTCTCTGGACCCCGTATTAACTGATTCCTCATCCTGACCCGCTGCAAATGTTGTCTTCATCAAAGCAAAGCGTTGTCCGGACATCTAAGGATTACGGTTCTCTTAGGTTGGATATTTTCTGTTCATGTCACCTAGGTTCCACGCTCTAACAGAGTTAGCTGTAATGGATCTTGATACGTTGGATCTCAAGAACTGTTGCTCTGAATTCGATATAGATGGTGATTGCTGTAGCTGTTGCAAGTCTGCTTTACCAGTGGATGGTTTTCGTCATATGCTGGAACAGAACCAGGGTTATTTGAATTCTGACCTAGCCGCGCTAAAGAAAAAAAAAAGAGAAGGACGGCTGTTCGCTCTTCAATACTTGGCTGCTTCAAAGGCAGTTGTCTGTATAATCGATCCTTCCGAGAGGGGTCTGTGAATGTAGTTCTTTGAATTCAAGCTCAGCCAAAGCGTAAAGATCTCGATCGAGGCTCCGCAGGTGAATCGCCCAGGCATGTGCTCTCGATTAGTCCGCATTTCCGTTGAGTTTGCGGAGGTGGTTCGGGGTTGTTCTGGTGGTTTTGGTTAAACTGGAGGGCCTTGGAGCCTTGCATCTCCTAATGACTTTTGTGACAAGATGCAGATTGGATTTGACAGCCTTGATAGATCTCCATGATGGTTTGTCGATCATTTCATGAATTGGGGGCCCAAGGCTCGGTTGCTGGAGCTGTTGAGAGCACGTCCGAAACTGGAAACTGTTTGCCAGTCGTGATTTTGGAGATACAGCACATAGAGTAGGATGGTAGGATTATTGTATACACTGGACTATAGAGATGCACAGAAAGCTGTTGCAGTTAGTAGATAGACACAATGGACATGATGGAGTATTCCCTACGTACCCATATCCGTGAACTTTCTTTCCCTTTACTGGTGATGGTTCGATTAATCTCATTGGATTCCCTATCCAATATACCAGATTCCCGGTACTATCACTGTTCATGGTTTAAAATACGGATTCTACATTCTTGAGTTCTACGGATAGTTGAGCTAACAGAGTCAAGATTAAGCATTAGTATACATATATGCGAACTCAGGGCCATCATTATCACGTAAATCTCAGCTATACCGCATAAATTCAAGTCCTATGGTAACTTCTATCGTTATACGTCCGGTTTCCGTGCACTTCATGCTGCGTTGGGCTGCGTCGGGCTGCGTCGCGAGGGGTACTGAAAGCAAAGGGTTGTATAAGCAAATACGTATCAGAGAACATGTTCGGTTGTTGTATTGCCGGGCGAAGGGCTTATTTGATCACTCGTGCCGCATTTGGGGGGGATACTAGAGGATGTCGCACAAGGGCCGTTCACAGGATCGCAACAAAAGACTGCGGGGGCGAGACATACATGTGAATGGGCGAGGCAAAGGGCGAGACAAAGGGCGTCCGTCAACGTAGAACGGGCATAATATGGGGCCGCAATTCACATTACGCATCATCTGAAGTCTGGGTCCGTTCTTTGTTCCCGAGGGTAGAGGTGTCGTAGCCATGGGCTTCGAGCATTTCACGAAACTTGCGATCTTCCTCGGTGATCGTTTCCTAGAATCCACAATCAGCTCGGTCGGCTCTTCAAGCTAATGGGACGAGGTTCATGAGACACACTTGTCCGATATGTGGCAAGCAGAAGATTGCGAGCAGGGCGCTGAAAATACACAGTGAACTCGAGACGAAGAAAGGGTCTTGGCCAGAGCGCGTTGCGTTGGGGGCATTCTTCTGAATAACTGGAAAGACGTAGGTACCGACGAAAGCACCGATCTTCCCCATTGCCGCTGCAATACCGTAATACTGACCACGAATGGCAGTAGCACTGCTCTTTGCTGCACAGAGACCGATATTGTCACCGGGGCCTACCTCTCCGAGGGCTAGGAATATGCTAGACACGTCATGTTAGTTTAATAAATGAGAAAGACAGCGTTCAATGCAGCTCACCCATAGACAACCACAAACGCAGCCACATTCTCGTGAGTTGCCAGATACTTATAACAGCCTGCCATGATAAATCCGACTATACCCTGGAGACTCACCCCAATAGCCAACGTTTTGCGAGGACCAAGCCAGTCACTGACATATGCCCCGATTAGGGAGCCCGGGATATAGAAGGCATTCGTCAGGGTGCTCCAACCAAAGGATTTCCAGAGCGGGGCGCTATCACCAAGAATGATCTCCATCCATTTGGAGGAGTAGATACCAAAGGAATAGGCCGAGAAGTCATACACGAACCAGATGAGGGAGACGACGGCCTATTGTCAGGTCAGTCTACATGCGTCTTTTTGAGACAAGGTGCCACCTCGGGAGAAGGGGCGGAAGTAAGAGAAGAGGGGTTTCAAACCAGGCGAAACCAATAAAATCTAAAATAGACCCAAAGTTAGTCTGAATAGTCGAAGAATGAGATCAGGGGTGAGGGGCCGAGCTCACTTGAGAATCAACCACCAAGGGAACTTGTGCATACGCTCCCGGTTAAACTCTTCCGGTTCCTGCAGCTTTACTCGTAGATAGAGTAGACTCAGAGGAGGAATGACACCCAGACCGAGAGTCAAACGCCACACGGCACGGAGGTGGTTTTCTGAGAAGATCAACACCAGAATCATGGGCACAAGGGTCGAAATGGCAGAGGCAACGTCAATCGCAAAGTTGGTAAAGAAGATGAACCATCGATTGCGATGGCCCTTCTTGAGCTCTCCCGTGTTCTCTGCGGCCGCGACAGAACCGGCAGGATACTCTCCACCGATACCGATACCCAGGAAAAATCGATATGCAGTAAGGGCAGCAAACATGCCGTATGAGCTATCATGAGCACCATACGCACCGGCGCAGAGGGCGGAAAATACGATCAGAATGAGAGTAGAAATCAAAAGAGACCACTTGCGCGACCAATGGTCACTGAGCCATCCGAAAGAAAGTTGGCCGACGACGGTGCCAGCGAAGGCAATCGACGAGACATTTTGGCTGGCAGAGGATTTGGAGTAGGTTTGCACATAGACCTTGTCCAGTATGGTATTGACGGGACCGATGGCCTAGGGTAGAGCGGGTCAGCATAATACGCTTGTCACGTAAATCAAAGGGATGTTAGAGCCACCAAGGCTACAGTAACGTGCGACATAGACTGTAGATACAGAAGGAAAGGATCAGAGAACGCACTCCATTGAGATAGCCGTCGGAGAAAAGACCAGCACCGCAGGCGATGACCGGCCAACTGCGCTCCCAGCGACCTTTTGGGATTTGGTCGAGAATAGCCTCGGGAGATTCCGTCGGCTCTTGCGTAGTATAAGTCTTTCCTTGCACTTTCTCCCCGATACTCGGCTCCATTGCTGACCTCTCTCGCCGTGCTGCTGTTCAGGAGGATCAATGTGTTCTGGACAGGCGGGGGAAAGAGAAGTAGATCAGGTAGATTGGTACCTAAAGTATAAGACGTTGGAAAGTGGGTGTATGCCGTCACCAACACGACGGAATGCACGTCTTCTTATATACGCAGGATGCAGAGAGAGGGAAGGGGGTGAAAAGAAATGGGGAAAAGAAACGGGAAGATGAGATTCAGCTGGATAGCGAGGTTGCATCGAGGCAGAGAAAAGGCCAGTGAACGCAACCGCTTTATCGCCATGGCAAAGCTTAGCCCCAGGTAGGGCCAGCGCCCGTCACATGCCCCTCCCGTGGCCGAACAGGGAAATGGGGCAACGGGTGGGTTCAACCCTAGATCCATCGTGTTAAGCCTTCGGGAGGGCCCGTCACCCACCCATTTTGTCGCTCGCTCCATGTGCCAGGGCCCAGCTCTGCCGTTGGCCCTTCTGGACTGGGGTTGCGTGTTTCCTCAACCGTCGATGAATCTCCTGCTGCGTTAGCTGCGATCTGGATCGGTTTTCGTTCGTTGTGAATACTACCTCAGTTCGATGTTCCACGACCCGATATTTGCAAATTGCGAGCCGGTGGCGTTGATGGCCTACTTTCTGTCCAAACGGCTTTCGCGGTCGGGTTCGATGGACCACATCGGAATTCTTTTGTCTTCCGTGGAGATCGTAAGTATAAATTATTAAATGTTCCGGTGTAGCTGGGCAGGCAGCTACTATCCACTATTCAGCCGTACGGACTACGGATACTCTGCCCTTCGATCCCCTAGATCCACGCATTGCTAAGGAAGTGGCCACAGAGCCCCTTAGGATGATGATGCGCCCTGCAGTTCAATCCTTCTGTCGGTTTGCTAGGCATTTGTACGCTCAACCTGCATTTGGTGGATCACGTGATTTATGACTCGAGTCGGAAGAGTTGGGTTCTGACTTCTCAGGCTACGAGCTTTTTAGTAAAAACCTATCACTGTAGATAAATCTGGCTGTAACATGGAGTACTAATAATGTTGGACCTCGATCAGATCCACGCTGTACGGGGAGTGGGAGATTATTATTACGTCCATCACCATACTCTAGGTACATGTTCTGTTCTCCATGCTCTCGGAACTGGAGGAACATTCCTCCAGCTGAGCTTGCGCTGACGAGCTTCGTGGATGACCTGCCTCCGTCCATCAACAAGACAGCCCAACAGCCATCTTTCCCCCGATACGCTCCAACTATCTCTCGAATCCCTGTTTCTAGCTCCTTATCATCCCATTTCTTGATTCTTTACCGTCAGGATGGGGTCCGATCCGCAGTACATCAAGTACCCGGACCTCACGATCGCCCAAGATGTCTTCAACATCTCCAACCCGTCATGTTCGCCAGCTGTCCAACAGACATCCTTGAAGAAACTTCAACATGCCATTTCGGAACATAAAATGGCTCCTCTGTACAGACATCTCGCGCACCCGGTCGAAGGTATCCTGAATACCTCTGGCGAAACCGCATCTGGTGCCGCTGGCTCAACGAAGCCTGCAATCGTGTCGAACATTCTGGCATCTCGAAAGTCGTCACCGAAGATCGAATTTCCTTGGGATGAGAAGCTATACCAGTCGCTAGTCGAGGATAACAAGAAGGAGCTGGAGGAATTTCAGAAAGAGGAAAATGAGGCGCAAGAAGCCGCTGGGGATACGGAGGTGCTGGCCGCACGTGGAAAGCTTGCTGAGTTCTGGGCCCGTGTTGGCGATAAGGTGAGTATTTCATGGAGGGGGGATATATGATATATGCGGAGAACGTGGATTGAACCGGGCTTACGTGCTTTCGTGCAACAGGACAAAGCCGTCGAATCCCACGAAAGCCTTATCGAAAAGACATCGTTCCTTGGAACCAAGATCGATCTGGTGTTGGCTCTCATTCGAATTGGCCTGTTTTTCGGTGACGCGCTGTACGTCAAGAAGAATATTGACCGCGCGAATGGCCTGGTCGAGAGCGGTGGTGACTGGGACCGAAGGAATCGCCTGAAGGCCTACAAGGGACTGCACCTACTGACCGTCCGTTCATACAACTTAGCTGCACCGCTACTCCTGGACAGTTTGTCTACTTTTACGAGTTACGAACTTTGCAGTTATTCCGCACTGGTGATCTACTCCGTTCTTGCGGGCTCACTCTCGCTGAAGCGAGTAGACTTCAAGGCCAAGGTGGTTGATGCCCCAGAGATCAAGGCCATCCTTGGAGAAGGAGAGGACCGGTTGGCCGGACTGACCGGTGCAGTTTCTGCCGGACCTGGTGCTCGCGATGAAGAGATGAAAGATGCGTCCGCTTCGACCTCCACGCCGGAGACGGCAACCACAGCGGTTAACCTTACCACGTTTGGCACGGGTTCTGGTATCCAGGCGGATGTCGAAGCGCCTATGGACTTCACCCCTCTGGCCAATCTGGTCAATAGTCTCTACAACGGCAACTACCGGTTGTTCTTCCTGGCACTGGCGGCCGTGGAGGAACGCTTTCTCACGCAGGATCGGTATCTGTACGAGCACCGCGCGTGGTTTGTGCGGGAGATGCGGCTGCGGGCTTACCAGCAGTTGCTCCAGAGCTACCGGGTGGTTGGATTGAACACCATGGCGATGGAGTTTGGCGTCACTGTGGATTATCTTGACCGGTACGTGGGATGCGTTCTTCACCCTGTCCGAATGAGGTAGACAATGTGCAACATGTGAACCGACTGTGCTGACAAATACGATGACTACAGGGATTTGGCAAAGTTCATTGCCAACGACCGGATTTCATGCACGATCGACCGGGTCAATGGGGTGATCGAGACGAACCGCCCGGACCATAAGAACAAGCAGTATGCGGACCTGGTAAAACACGGCGATGCGCTGATCACGAAGCTCCAGAAGTATGGCCAGGCAGTGCGGTTGCGAGGCAGCGAGCGGAGCTAGGTCTGTCAGGAGCTCTAGGAGACGGATTGGGCGCGAGGTCCCGGGAAGTCGTATGGTCCCACGAGCGTAGGAGCATAGACGGTATTAGTGTGACTTAGAGCAAAAGCATAGCCATATGTAACTTAATGAGGAAAGACAAGTGGGATGAGAAACCCCTGAACAACTTGTAGCATGTGGGCGTCGTATGATCCTCTGGAGTAGAGTCCCCCGCGTCCGCCAACTCCGCAAGTATGGAGTGCAGGAAGTAGCAACAACCTGGAGAGAGGGAGATGGAGAGAAGAAAGCTGAACACTCTGATATATGCATCCAGTACTCTCCGTCTGTGTCTACTATCTCAAGATGCACGACAGAACTGCCTGCATGCCGATGAATGGCCAGCAATGCCGACCTCCGCCTTGCCGCCTTGGCAGATCCCCCGGAGGTGCTTTTTTTTTTTTTTTTTCTTGAGTGGACTCTGTGGAGAGCACGTCTGCTGCAGTCGCTGGACGCGCCACCATGCTCTCGTCCGGCTGTCGATTTGCATCGTCAAACTCTCGGCAGTCTCGTCTGTCTCGTCCACGATTGGCCCCTGTTAATACCCGATCAGACAGCCCTTGTCGTCGCGGATTTTCCTGCTCGTCTGCCTCCAACACCCCCGTCTCCCGTCCACGTCCATATCCCTCTGGTTGTTCCCCGGTGGGCTGTGCGGGGCTCTCTACAGTGATATTGCCAGGTACGCTCCATTATTATGCTTCTTATTAATTTTTATGGTTGCTCTATCTCGGAAATCCTGGATGCATGAACCTCCGTGATTGGGTCCTGTCTGCTTCTTCTGGCCCAATAAAGGTCCGGCGGCTGCGATGCCTGCTGCTCGTATCGGCCGTTTGGGGCTCTCCCTGTCGTCCTTGTGACCGCGCGGGCTTGGGGATGCGTTGTTCGTCCCGTTTTATGGGGTTGATCTCCCGAGTCATACCGATGGCCTCCCTCGATTGCCCCGCGGACGGAGCTAGGCGTACTTGTTCTGGACGGCATTGCTGGGCCTGTGGTGTCAATTGAAAGGGGAGGGAGGGATAGAAAGAGACAAAAATAAAAAATAATAATAATCATCATCATAAATATCAAGAGATAAGCTGACTGACGTTGCCTGCTCAATTTGCTATTTAGCCTCTCCCTCATCCTCTTCCTTTCTTCCCGGAACCGTTCTGCCCAACACTTTTTCCTACTCGCATACGTCGAAGCGCACAATGGCTGCCACTGCACTGCGTCGTCTCCAGCTACACAATATCAACCCTAACGTCAAGGCTGCCAAGTATGCAGTTCGTGGCGAGCTTGCCGTCAAGGCCGAAGAATACCGTGTGAGACTGGCCCAGGGCGACAAGTCGCTGCCGTTCGACAGTGTCATCTTTGCCAACATTGGCAACCCCCAGCAGCTGGACCAGAAGCCAATCACCTTTTTCCGTCAGGTTCTGAGTCTCCTGGAGAACCCCCTCTTACTCGAGAACCCAGAGGTCCTCAAAGAGACTTTCGGGTACAAGCAGGATGTCATCGACCGGGCGAAAACTCTGTTGAACAGTATCCACAACGTCGGTGCATATAGTCACAGCCAGGGAGCACCGGTGATTCGGGAGAGTGTGGCCAAGTTCATCGAAGCGCGTGATGGTTACTCTGCCAACCCACAGGATCTGTACCTCTGTGCTGGTGCCTCGTCCGGTGTCAACACCCTTCTCAACGTCATCTGTCATGCTCCTCACGCAGGAATCCTCGTCCCCATTCCCCAATACCCGCTCTATACGGCAACCCTGTCCCTCTTGAACGCAAACTGTGTCCCGTATCTTCTGGAGGAAGAGAAGGCTTGGGGTACTGACGTCGACGCCATCCGGAAGTCCCTGGAAACGGCCAAGGCCTCTGGCATTGACGTCCGTGCCATTGTTGTCATCAACCCAGGTAATCCTACTGGTGCATCTCTCAGCCCGGATGACATCAAGAACGTTCTCGATCTCGCTGCAGAGGAGAAACTGGTCGTGATTGCGGACGAGGTTTACCAGACTAATGTGTTCGTTGGCGAGTTTACCTCGTTCAAGAAGAGGCTCCGCCAACTTCAAGCGGAGGTTCCCGGCAAGTACGACCATATCGAATTGGCCTCTCTTCACAGTGTTTCCAAGGGTATGGTTGGTGAATGCGGTCACCGCGGTGGCTATTTCGAATTGGTTGGGTTTGAGCCAGACGTCGCGGCGCAGATCTACAAGTTCGTCAGCATTATGCTCTGCCCTCCAGTCATCGGGCAGTGTCTGGTGGAGCTCATGGTCAACCCACCCAAGGAGGGCGAACCCAGCTACGAGCTATACGAGAAGGAGTACCACGGAATCCGAAACGGCCTGCACCAGCGTGCCCTAGCTCTCTACAAGGCCTTCCAGCGCATGGAGGGTGTTGAGTGCCAAGAGCCTCAGGTGAGTAGTTTGCATTCACCCTTTCCCCTTAATCTGTTTCTGACATTGTCTAGGGCGCCATGTACCTTTTCCCCAAGATCACCCTCCCACCCAAGGCTGTCGAGGCCGCCACCGCCGAGAACCGCAAGGCCGACGAGTTCTACTGCCTGCGTCTCCTCGACGCTACTGGAATCTGCGTGGTCCCTGGATCTGGATTCGGACAGAAGGAGAACACGCTGCACTTCCGCACAACGTTCCTCGCTCCGGGAACTGACTGGGTGGAACGCATTGTGAAGTTCCATTCCGAGTTCATTGAAAAGTACAAATGATGTTCACAAAAGGCGGAGTGATAAACATAGAACTTCATTCTTTGTTTATATGATTTGGATGGACTTGTTTATATCTTTTTTTTTTCTTTCACAGTGCAGGTATTTATGCCGGATACATAGACCATTTACTATACATGTTTATGTTAAGGAACTATTTTTGATCATGGACATATATCGAAGCAACATTTCCAGTGTCTCCCAAGCAGTCCTTGACAGCGTACTACAAATGGGATATAGGTACCTGTGGAATCGACACTGAAAATGACCGCTTCAAAATAAGCACACTCTCCTCGGAGGCTCAAAAGCAACAAGATGAAATGACGGAGTTAGAATAACTACTAGACAACATGAGTACCTATGCATTATCCATAAAAGCCAAGGCTGTCATACCAGAGTACGCTGTAGTGCACCAAAGGTGCAAAACACAGACTTCATCACTATCAACAGCAACAACAGAACATACAGATACACACCAGCTGGTATCTTTCCATAAAAGATTAATATGAAGTTCTACATCATTACATTTATATTATTGGCCAGGTATGAATTGTCAATCGGAGTCATTAATGAGGCACGGCTACAGCCCGAGCAGTAGACCACAAGAGTCTAGATCGGCCAAAATGTCATAGCCCTAATCAACCAGGATGGATTCTCCATAGCTGAGTCGTCTGAAACGGTAAGCGAGCGTTCCACCCTAGACCATGATCTAGAAGGACAGGGGGCAGTATCCCCCAAAAGCGTATATATTATTAAAAAAATAATTACTATAGCGATTAGGACATTACAATCGCTTATGTCCAATAATATGGCAATTACTACACTGTGGTGGTGCCTGTACATGCTGCTCAACTGCAGCCGGTGCTGGTTCAGTAGGTTGAGCATTTTGAGCTTATTAGACCTCATTCTCACATTGTAGAAGCCGTTGGCCTTCTTGGATAGATAGACCCTCTGTGATAGCTATCTGCCACCTAGATCACTTCCTTTTTTGAAGCTTCTTCTCATGTGCAGCACATAGATTGTGACGATCAGCTATAATAGGATGAGAAGAGGAAAGCAACTCGCTATTTGGCCGTACTGTCTAGGAATATCGTACACGAGGAGAAGAAGAAGGAAAGAGGCGAGGGCAGCTGCCTGCCCTCAGCCCTAGCCCTGTGCCCTACTTGCTCAATCTGCTGGCACCTTCTAAGACGTGCTAGGGTCACATGCTGACGGTCATACCTCAGGTACGGTCGTCACATAGATCATGGGCTTCTTTCTCAAGAATAACAACACTATTCATAGCCATCTCACACTACTTAATAAGCTGGTTTAATGCAGCGTTTGTTGGACTTAGGGGGCTTTTTATATAATGCCTTGGAAGCTGCTTGATTGTAGTTGCTTCTCTAGTTGCTTGAGATTATGGGGTATTTTGGTGCTGAATTCTGTCACGGAACTCAACTAGACGATGAATAGGATGCTATTCAACTATCTAGGCAGCTATCGACGAGAACTTCAAGCATGGAGAGGAGGGAAAAAGGAAGAGATCTACGTGAAGCTGGACGACGTATTCCTATCCACGCACCACGCTAATCCAAATAAGGGAACTCACGTGATCGTCCTGGTCTACATGGCAAGGGCCCTGACAGTGACCAGTGTGAGAGGTGTGGGTTCTTGCTGAACAGACCAGTGCGCTCCAGCATGCCAGTAGGATGAAAACAATCCTTACAGAATATGGGTGTTAGGCCTAGTCTGTATAGATGTTTCCAGCCTGGTAGTAACCGCTTGGCCACAGCTTGGTTCTTTTTTCGTCACAGTAGCTTAGTAGCATGGCTGGAATGCTAAGTTGGGGTCGTGGTTTAGTGGTATAACGCTCGCTTAGCATGCGAGAGGTCCGGGGTTCGATTCCCCGCGACTCCATCTTTTTTGCTTGAAAAACTGTACTGGGTTTATTTTTTTTATTTTGTCGGGTGTCGTTGGTAGATATCAGTTTCGGAAGACGATACAGGCTGTAATTGATTGCCAACCAATATATGCCTCCATTAATATCTGTCGGAGGGGGTCAAACTCGCTGAGTTGGTTGACCTAGCTAGGGAGTCGGGCAAATTATCTACACTTATGCTGACTAATATGGACTAAGCCTAACTAGGAAGAAGCTGAACCATGGGAACCATCAACAATATCTAGGTGCCCGAACCAGTTCTACTAGGCCAGACGAGGCGGTCTAACCGGGCAGAACCCACGTGATCTCCAACAGCTTCTATTCTGCTTACTAATATAAGCCAAGCTGGCCTAGGAAGGAGCTCACCAACACGACCTGAGTGTATATGAGAACTTTGACAGCCCATTAATCACTATGATTGTACAGAGAAAAAGAGTTCAGAGCATTGATGGAGTATTCTTACATATTCTGTACTCGGGAAGTTATAGAGAATCGCTTACAGGGCGGAGTACTTGCTAGCCATGCTGAATGTGACATTCACCGTCGTTTTGTCTGCAACGGAGCATCACATTTCCCATCAGTTGGAGATATTTAGTATTAGTAGATAATCATAATCCATTTAGCAAGTGTTCATTCTCATATTCACAGGACCCAGTATGATTTTGTTGCGTTCAACTTGTGTTAAGAGAAGAAATGGACCTCGGATACAAGCCAAAACAACCCCGTGGGGATTCCCCGGATTTGACTCCGCTCAACATGCTAAGAGAAACAGAACGCACACTCTCACTGGGCACGGATCGTTTGCTACCTGCTAACTGCGCTCATATCTGTCTATTGGCCAAGAAAGATGAGTATTCCATTTATATTTTATAATTAATCCATGTTCCTTCTGTGTGGGTCAGGAATAAGGCTGTCTAGTGTGCAGATTCCACGATGATCATGGTTCAATCCTCAGAAGCTTAAAAAAGATAAAATTCAAATTCAAATTAAACAAAACGATTATATATCTCAGTATCTTACCCAACTATATATAAAAACAACACTAGATGCTCTTTTTTCTCTCCGAAGTTCCCTCCATCCGTGGCAATGGAGTCCCCGCTAGTCCGCTTAGTCACCCTGGTCATGTCATCGACTCCACGGCGACTTTCTCCCTCGAATTCAGTTCATGAATCATCCTGAGAGAAAACTTCTCTTCATCTGTTTCTTATGTGCTCTCTTATTCAATATCATATCCATGGCATCCTGTAGCTCGAACTCCCCGTCCAGTTCTTCAGGAGGTTCCTTCTTCCTCTCTTATTTTGGAGAAACGGAGTTCAATGAGTTGCTCCAATTATTAGGTCCCGGAATAGAGGCGGGCCCTGACGTTAATGTTGCTTCCATGACAAGCCGTTCCTTCGAGGATGATACTGGTGGTCCCTCTTCTAGCGGGTTACTATCGGTATGTTCTCGTTCCTGAAATGTCCATGAACTTTCCTGCTAGAAACCATTGTTGATGATTGCCAATTACTTTTCTTTATACGTTCAAAGGGTCCCGAGCTTGACTATTATCATATCCCTGTCGATATAGGGAATGATACCGCAAAGGCTTCTTCATCCTCATCATCATCGCTTCCAGTGGCGGGAAATGATATTGATCTTTCTTCCTACGATACGTCGATCCTGTCTACTGCGATCAGTCCAATAGTGAATTTGGCCCGAGAGCTTGGAGCATATCGTATTCCCCGACAGCCACTGCGTGATGAGCTTGTGCGACTGTATTTCCGAGCAGTCCATCCGGTCTTCCCTGTTATCAACGAAATCGACTTCTGTCGATCATATTTCCCCTCCGAGGGCCGGGAGTTACCAGAGGATATTCCCCTAATCCTGTTTCAGGCTATGATGTTCGCTGCATTTGCTGTAAGTCTGTGCACTCGATTGTTCACCCCTGCCACTTACTAAGTCGAAAATAATGTGAACAGCATGTCAACAACACAGAGCTGCGTCGTTCTGGTTTTCAATCCATCCACGAAGCTCAATATAAGACATTCCAAAAAGTGAAGGTATTCTTCCCATTTAGTTATGTACTCCTTCAAAAAGCTCAATATAAGCAGACCTGGTGCTAATATCATTACTGCAGCTTCTATATGCCACTGCACGCGAGAGAAACCACTTGCTCCTCGCTAAAGTCTCTGTCCTTCTGTCTTTATGGAGCCCCCAAGATTCCAGCATGCATGTTAACAGTTATTGGGTTGGAAGAGCTGTACACCATATACGCCTCTCGCACGCATCGCGCCCATTGAATTGTTCTGAAAAACCTAGGGATCGACGCCGAATCGTAGCTTGGTGCTGCCACAACCGCGACACAATGGTGGCCTTTGGACTCCGGCGACCCTATCGGATGCATGATCTGAGCAGATTAATATCTGCCATGAATCCTGGACAGCTTCACCACGACTTTGACGCTCATGGAAGTGGTATTTTCGATTCCGTCGTCATCGACGAGACCAGTCGGAATCGGATGATATCTAACTTTATATGGCATTGCAAATTCTGTCAACACATACGCACTATTGTAGCCTTTCAGCGGGATCTCCATTTTCAGAAAAGCTGGGCAGGTCCTGACGGGGATACCATCGACGATGAACATATCCGCCAGGTGCAAGAGATGACTTCAAAACTCGGCATGCTGAGTTTAGAGCATGACGATATTATAAGGTCCAATCCTACAGCATCTCAGAGCAATTCAATATTGGTATTTGACTCTGTTCACCCTTACATGATGAAGATAATGAACCTGTAAGGCTTTTCCCCTTGACTGTATCAGCGACGGCCGTGGAAATTAATGTGCATTCGTGGCTATATAGTTCTACCATCGTCCAGCTATACCTACCATATGTCAATTTTGATGGGTCGGCAGCCTGTGATGAATTTTCCCAAGAGGCGGTCCAGAAAATGCGAAAAGCCTCGCATGCTGTGGCGTCAATTTGCGGCAGACTACTTGCTGCTGTGACATTGCAGCACGTCCCTGTCTATATGTAAGTATGGCGGCCCGTTGAATATTTACAGGGTCATTCTGATAGATGGTATTTAGACTGGCTTGGATTATTGGCCCAAGCGCAGTCCTGCTGCTGGAAGAACGATACTGGACGGATACGGCTGCATCCAACGGTGAAGGTCAGAACTTGGGACGTTCCTCCCATCCTCGCGGAGATGTACAGCATCTGCTACGTCTGCTTGACTTTCTCAAACAACGTTTCCTGGCTGGCGAGTATATGTGCCGTCTGCTGGCAAAGATGGTTCATCATGTGGCCGCTCAATACCCAGACAACTCCGAACGGATCAGAACTGGCGATAATAGTGACAATGTATATCTCAAGCGATATCAGATGGAAGCCAGTGATTATTATGATTCAAGCACCAATAATCACCAGGGAGAACGCGAGGTCCTTGACATGGCGATGAGGTTGATGGAGCTTGATTTGGCATACGGCCGACCTGGTCTCCAACTGGGGCACGTAAATCAGCCAGCAGGACCCTCGCATATTCAACCGATTTGATGCCATGACTCGGCAGTAGTTCCTTGTCAGAAAAGATGCATATATACATCTCGATAGAGCGTCTTCGTTCTTCAAGTAGCGTTGTCATTGGCCTGGACATGCCCCTGAGGGAATGCTTGAGTTGATATAGCCTCAACTGAGGACTGATACGGAGTGCCGGTTTACTAACAGGAGTCACAGGGTCACAGCCTACGTGCACGTCGACGACTGACCATAGGACTCTTGTCTCTCTCGCGGACGGCCCAGGTCGACTTTGTTCTAAAGATCTGATCCAGAAACTTTAAACCGGTACCAGAAGGGGCCGCTAGACGGGAAAGCCGCCGGACCAAGGTTGATGAAATCTCACGAACGACCTTCAGTGGCTCCAGACTGCACAGAGCGATACTTTTTGTACAAAGTTCATGGCTGGGAACGTGGACATTAACATGTCTATTCCGTGGACGTATTCGGGTCTGACTCTCGAGGACCAGGATTCTTCCAGCTATGAGTCATATCTAATTTATCTGCCCTATATAAAGCCGTGGATCATCAGTATATAACCAAGCTAACAATAGACTGAGAACGATGGTATTATGATATCTATTTGCAATTCCCCATCTCCGCGAAGCTTGGCTGTCATCCCAAACAGGCAATAATAACCCAATATGACTGACAAGTAGCACTACAAACACATAAGCAGTCCCACTCCCAAGAACTTCCGAAAGAAATGAGTCTAGATTCATTATTCTTCTCTTTTATTATAAATGCCCGATTACCATAGATATCTACCGTCATCCTGAATCTTGGTATAGTCTACCAATCCGAACATCAATCAATACTAAGATTGATAAAGCATCTACCACAAGGGAATAGTCTGTAAATTCCTCGACTAGCATTCTCTCTCATTCTCATTGCCATTGCTTTCCATCTCATATAAAAATGTACCTCCGCGCCATCCACGCAGAATCCAACATCCCCCTCCTCCAACAATTCATTCGCGACAACCCCCTCGGCATCTTAACAACAGCCATCAAATCCCCGCTCTACCCATTCCTTCAATCGAGCCATATCCCATTTATCCTGGATGTGCCAGACATAACAACCCCAGGAATCAGCACCGAAAATGAAAATAATGAAAATGAGGCAGTAGAACAAAAGCCATTGGGCATTCTTCGCGGCCACATCGCAAAACAAAACCCCCAAGCAAAAGCATTGATCGATCTAGCCTCTACCCTCACCAACAACAACAACAAAGAAGCAAGTCTAAATCCCACCCCCGAACTCCCAGACGAAGTCCTAATCCTCTTCAACGGCCCATGTCACCACTACGTCACACCCAAATTCTACAAAGAGACAAAACCGGACACGGGAAAGGTAGTGCCCACGTGGAACTACGCCGCCGTGCAGGCGTATGGGAAGATACGGATCTATGCGGACTCAAGGGATGAAAGAACGAACGCGTTTCTGCAGAGGCAAGTGGAGGATTTGAGTTCCTTTGCTGAGAGGGAAATCATGGGATATACCGGAACCGGTGCTGTCACCGATGCGGGGGAGAAACCGTGGGCGGTTTCGGATGCACCCAGTTCGTATGTTGAGATTCTCAAGAGGAATATTGTTGGGATGGAAGTCAGGATTGAACGGTTGCAGGGAAAGTGGAAGATGAGTCAGGAGATGAAGGAGGGGGATCGGGAGGGTGTTGTTGAGGGGTTTGAGAAGTTGGGGAGTGATGTTGGTAGGGAGATTGCGCGGACTGTCAGGGAGCGCGCTGAATTGATACGCCAGTAGATTCATTAAAATACAGCAGATAATTCTGAAGTGCGTTCCCATTTTTATTAATTTTCCTTCATTACCAGTATATTAATCGCAATGCAGGGAAAACCGACTAGAAAACCGACTAACCGACCCCTACGGTAACCTTCGGGGTCGCGCGTATTGCGCGACCCTGACAACCACCCGAGCACCCCAGCCACCCGAGCACCAATTTTAGACCCCCCTTCTAGCTTCAATATCTCAACGAATTCTATAGTATTTAACTTCAAAATATATTTAAACTAAAGCTCTACTCTTCAGCTTGGGCCCTAGCATGTCGTTGCCTTCGTATAATAATTCCTCGTCGAATGCACACATCCAGCAGCTCTGGTAGGCAACGCTTATACTTAGTCCTCCACCTCTTTATTTCAGCCTGCTCATTAATATTCGCAGTATTTCGATTTATAGCTTCAAGCTCTGAGCTTGATACTATGCCTCCCTTGCGAATCCTGCGCCTAGAGGCCTGTGATCAAGCTGCGCGGTCCCTAGCAGCTTTAATATACCGGTCAAGCTCAGCTTCGATAGCAGCTGAATATGATGCTAGCATACTACCACCATGAATAAGCAGCTCTAGGCCCTCATTAAATTGATCCTTGTTGATATCATGAATCTCCCATATCCTATCACCAATCTCCCTAAATCATTCAGCTTTTTTTTGGCGTACTGCCCCAGGAATCAACATCATTGGTATTGGTGGATGAAGAGGATGGATGATGTGGTTGAGGCATTTGATTGAGTACAATTGATGGATTGAATGGTATGATGCCAGTCTTTTGGAATCCATGCCGAATAGTACGCTTTTTGAATGTCTTCTTGCGAATTGCCCCTAAGGCATGAAGGAATTCAACCTTAGTAAATTTACTGTATTCTGAGTAGGTTGCATCTGCAACTGCTTCTGAATGCCAGTGCTTATATGCATGAAAAACACCAACATCCAATGGCTGCAAGAAATGACTTGTATATGGAGGTAAGAAGAAGGTGATGATATTGGTCTTCTCACAGAATTCAACAAATTCATGTGTTAGATGGGAGCCGTATCCATCACATATAAGAAGGGTATATTGACCCTTCCTATATCTTTTAGTATGCCGATAGAATGACTGAATCCATTGGAAGGCAATTGTATCAGTCATATAGCCATTTTCTGATACTCCAATTGAATAGTCTTGTTGAATATCAGCAGCTTCAAACCAATTTGTAAGTATACAGCTACCACTCATGAGAATAAGTGGTGGGCAGGTCCAGCCATCTGCATTGACTGCTTCAACCACAGTAACATATTCACAGTTTGAATTCATCCCAATATGAGGCTTATTAATATTGAAGTCCCTGGTAATAATCCATTGATCACAACCAACACTGATATTGAAGCCAGTCTCATCAAAATTGTAGATATCCTCCTTTAATATCCCATGGTTCTGGATGGTCTGATGGAGCTTCTGAAACCACTCCTGAATAACCTCATGATCCTCTGCACGCTTGTGGTCAAGCTCTATAGCTCTAGAGCGACGTCTTTTATATTCAGGATGCCTTCCTAGCCATCAGTTTAACCATTTCTCGCTGACAGTAGGTGGAGGGGTGTCTAGGCTGGTATGGGTTGATCTCAGAATAGAATTGGCACTTGATTGGATCATTTGTGCAAGTGGCTTTATATTTAATTGCTCTAGAGTATCAACATAGTGACACAGAGCCTTTTCTTGCTCTTCTGATAATCTGGTGTTGGTTGGTGGTCGTTCACATAGATTGGACCGTCCCTTCCACCTTGCGGAGAGGGTTTGCCGTTTAACTCCATATTCACGTGCAGTTTTGGCGATATTTGGGGGATTTTGTGTGCTTAACGCGTCAATAGCTTTGAGCATTCGATCTTCATAATTTTTATTGAATTTGGGCATGGTGGTGGTGGTTGAATTATATGATAAAGTTGATGGGTTGGAATTCTACGAAGTTCTAAAATCGGTGCTCGGGTGGCTGGGGTGCTCGGGTGGTTGTCAGGGTCGCGCAATACGCGCGACCCCGAAGGTTACCGTAGGGGTCGGTTAGAATGATGTCTTATCAGCATGAGTGGAGAACCCGATGAATGCTCCGCTTTTTACCCCCTGTTTTACTCCCTGAAAAAGAGACACAATCCCAATGACAACCCCCCCCTCCAATCTGAACCGCGACACCAGCTAACGGGACTTGCGAGATGCAAGCCCTGCAAACACATTCAGATAGCCTTCCTTAGTAAGCGCAGTAAAGTCGACGAAAATGCGTCCGTGGGCCTGCGTGGGTGGAGGAGCACTAGGTGATGTTGCGCTAAATCCTGACGATGCACCGGTCATGTTTTCTGTAGAGAGAGCAGGCGGCGGGGAGGACGCATTCGCTGACACACTACCTTCAACGCCAACAGCGAGGTCTGCAAGATGCTGCAAGGAGCGCTGTTCATTCGGACCCATCACTGGAGGTTGCTGTGCATTCTTGGTGTCGGCTTCCTCCTGGGTCTTACTGTTGGATTGTCTCCATTCCATGAAAGCACGAATCTTAGAATCCCAGCCAGACGCCCCGAATATATTGTCAAATTCTCCCTCCTCGGCTGTGTGTTTGGCACGGCGATCCAGTATCTCTTCAACCTTCTTCAGAGAAGTCCAGCATCCGCTCGCGTATTCGGGGAGCACTGTCGCCTCCAGAAGGGTCATCGAGGCCAGGGCCAAGCTGTGAAGGTCGAAAGGACTAGGAAGACGGGGTTGAGGAGTCGCCTTGTGCATCTCATTGACCAGTTCTTCAGCACAGTAAATGATCTCGTACGGGCTGTAGACAAAAAGATGCCGCTTAACAAGAAGCCGAATCGTCCAATACAATTGCGCCTCGAGATTGTCCAAGAAGTTGTGAGCTGTTGCTTCTTCCGGTGTTTCGCGGAACTTGCGAGCGCGTTCTATCTCCGCAAGACGTTCAAGCGAAGCCACCAAGTTGGCTCCCACCACGCGGCCCAAGCCAGTATTCGTTTGGCAAATATTCGGTTCGAGACTCACGATAGCAACCATCTCCGTAAGGAACGTAGAGTAAGCTATTGTAACCTCTTGTCAGTGCTTCTACATCCAAAAATAAATGAACGAATGAATCGGCATCCGCCCGACTTACAGGCTATCTGAGACGTAGCTGTGCCAACGACTCTTTCATCCTCCAAGCCGCCTATCTCATAATTTCCAACAAGACTAGCATCCGCCACACCCAGAGCATGCCAACGAGCGAGGATAGCCAAAGAAACCCAATTCCGCCGAGTGAGGTTGGAATCTGAGTCAACATCCGAATCGGAAGTCCGTTTGCCCCTCAACTGACCGAGTATCTTGGCCAGATCGTAGCCAATTTTGGTTGCAGCCTGGATTAACGCGTGTTTCGGAGCGCCATTCTTGGCCAGAAGGTTCTCAGGTCCACGAGCATCGCAATCAAGGATCATTAGAAGTAATGCCTGAAGGCATACCAAACTGACAGCAGTCGGGCGAATAACAACCGGCTGGCGAGCATGGTACGACAGCAGCAGGTCCTGAGCAGCATCGTACGAGGCAACTTTCTCAAATGCATTCGCCACACGACCCATGTTGGTGCACGTCACGGCGTAGAGAGCATAAAGGAACACTTCTTGGACCTCACGGCTACACTGGTGTAGAAGCTCAAGCAGGCGCTCCTTGGAGTACGGAAGAACGGGAAAGATGGGAAGTATCTTATGATGGTAACTGTAGTTTGTTAGACAGATATGCCGGTAGTAAGAAGAGGGGCAGGGTAACGCACGCGTTGAAAGCGCCATCATCAACATCCAGGGGTGTCATATCCTCTTCCGTAACTGCCTTCACCTCACCCACGTCTAGTGCGTCTGGCAAGCCATGCTCTCCGGACCAGAACAAATTCCCGGCTTTAGGCACGGAACCATTCGTAACCGCAGGGTTGCAGGGGTCTGTAGCTGTATTATCTCCTGTGTCTGCGCTGGGTTAGACTAGGGATCCTATCTGGGGCTTAAAAATATTGGAATACGAACCAAACGCTGCATGGGGGCCACGAGCATTGAACGGTGGCTGCGTAAAGGACGACGAAGGCAAGCCTTCGAAGACGGAGTAGGTGCGTTTACGCGGAATCGGAGCCGCGTCCATTGCTGACGAGAAGTCACTGTAGCCCCTTGGAGACGACACTTCATTCATGGGTTGGTATTGGATGTCAGGATGAACCATGGGAGGCTGCATTTGACTCTCGAGCGTATGCAGGCGCTCTGCCAACTCCTTGATATACCTGTCATGCGAAAATCAGCTCCGATTGTGTTCAGTGCATAAGAGAAAGGGTATCCACGTCGCTTGGCTCCTCTCAAGCATAGTAAACAATGCGCAATCCTTACCCCTTACTCGGACCGCGTTTCATAGGGACGCGACTGAACTGGCAAGCGACTCCAAGACGGCGACAGTTCGAACACGTATCGATTCCAGTTTCCGTGCTTGCATCGCAACGGACCTATTTCGGGGTAAAAGAAGAATTAAGCGTGCCATTCAGTTTAGAGCTAGCCAGGAAGATGGGAGGTTACCTTCTTGCGTCTGCATTCGTCACAGGCACGGGAGATCTTTGATCTTTTCCTGCGCGCACTCTGATCTCCATAGCTCAAGTCATGATTTGGATCGACACCAACCTGTTGGCTTGGGGGGAATTGGAGCATGTGTTGTTGATGGTGATCTGGCGACGGAGGGCGACCCATGTCGTGAGCACCAGGGTTGGACGAGCCTAGAACCATCGACTGACCATGGTGCACGCCGTTGGTTGAGCTATCAGTGAGGTTTGCACCCCCTGTTTCACGGGAAAGTTCAGCAGACAAGAGTTCGTCAGCAGTCAACTGTCGATTTGTGTAATACTGCATGGTTCCCTGACCCATCTGCGTCGCGTTGGGCGATGGGTAGGATGACGCGGGAGGCATGTCAGGGTGGTCGCGCGAATTCATCGTGTTCCAGGACAGGGTCAGGAGGAGGGTAGGAGATGAGAAGATTGATAAGAGTGATGCTGGAAGATAGCCAGGGGTCGTTGTGGGGGGGGTTAAAAGGGGAGAGAGAAGGAGAGGAAGTGAAGTGAAGTGACAGAGAAAGAGGACGGACGCGCAGGTGTAGCTACGGCAGGGAATTTTGGTATTGTGACTGGCCAAATTCTGCCTGGTGCGGGGGGCGAGCACATCTTCTGTGTCTTGCGAGTGCCCAGAGCTCGCGCTGGCTTCTGGACTCGGCAAACATGGCTTTTCGGCGCGACAGGACTGCGAATTCGACGCTGGACTCGAGGCCTGCTGAACGGATTCTCCTGGATGTTCGTTCCCGTCTGCTCTTCTGCTAAAACGCTCGCGGAGTTCCGGCTTTTCGTTTCTGCGTCCTGCGGATTAACACTATTTCCTCGCTTCCACCCGGCCTGTTATTCTACTTCTTGCTGTTAATCAATGATTGCCGAGCAGGATGGCATTGTCCTGCTGGTTCTGCATGCCCGTCGAGGTCTGTCGTCGTCTGCCGTCTGCGTGTTTCAAACCTGGGCTCCACGCTACACAGTCTACTGCCTTGGTGGTGAGTCTGGGAAATGGCCATAACCAACGCAAAAAGGCATCAGTATTCGACGTTATGGCAGCTCTTGAATGGTATTTCCAACCCTAGCGTGCTATTTCTAATGGCTACTTCCTTATGCCAATGCCATCGCGGTTCTCCGTGGTTTGTCGCGACTGGGAGATACGACATTTCCACAGTCATACATGTGGAACATCCAAAGCAGAGTGCGTACATCTTGATCGATCCTCTTGCTGCTCTGCACCATAGGTCTTGCATCCTTCGAGGCATGTCATCGAAGACTCAACCGGGCTAGGAGAGACTGAATTATTATTATTATTATATTTATGTGTTTATTTACTTTTATTTTTATTTTTTGCTTGCCCTTTTCCGAAGGAAGAAGAGAAGAAAAATTTTTCGTTAAAAAAGAAGAAAAACCCCAAAAGTCCTCAAGCGATCCTGGACTGATAATGTGATTAGTTCCATAACAACCAGGAGTCCCAATTCTCCCAGGACGGCCTGTCTGGCCTTTGACGAATCTGGCCCCTTTCGCCGCGATCTCTTCCAGTTGACAAAGTGGCCGCTGCGGCGGCAACAGAGTCATGACGAACTCTCTGCATCCAATCTTCCGGGCGATTGCGGGAGAGTAGCGGAGCGACAGTAGTCAGCGCGCTTCTTGCCCCTAGGGGCTTCGCTACGAGCAGCTTCACGGATGACTACTGCTGCCGCAACACCTGTTACAGTTGCATTGTCAGGGCTTTCGGCCGCCGGGCTCCCGAGCAAGCATTATTAAATGACTAGGACAAGTCTTTAGATAGATTCCATCTTGCACTTACATTCGCTGTACCAGGGCCTTCCCCACTGGCGATTACAGGACGATTGCAGTGAAACACAGTATCCAGACACCAAAGAAGGTCCAACCACTCCATCAAGTCTCACTCCATCAAATCTCGGTCTTGAAGTAGGGAGTCTCGATTGTTCCGTTCATCTTTTTGATTAATTCCCTTCTTACAAATGCAAAAAAAAGAATAACGAAATCACTCAAAATGAAAGTAAAGCAACAATAATGTGTCTTGTCGTTCTTATCAAGCAAAGAATCTCCATCCTTCACTCCGGCTTCTTCTTCTTCTTTAGGTAGGTGAAATCCCTCCACCGAATACAGCAACCACATTCAATTATGCAATGGGCAGCTTTTCCCCTCCTGGACTTGGCCTCTGGCCTTCATGACCTTCGCGGGACTTCTCACAGCAATCACGGTTTCGGACACAACAACCTAGCATCTTTGCGCAAATGTGCCCATCCAGCTCAAACACCTCATCCGGTATCTCAAGTGTAATCTCTAACCCAAGCACCAGTGGGATTCATCAGACATATATCACCGAAGCTCTGTGCATTATCCCAAAGGCGCCGTTTTGGCCAGTTCGCGTTCGGTTTGCTCCAGTAAATCTTATTCTTCATCTTTACTGGAGCTTCCTGTACTGGCTTTTTTGTTCAGCAAATCTCTCTCTTCAAGGGGCTATATATCCCGCTGGACGATCCCATCAAATGCTGTCATTGCGATAGAACAGACATCTAATTTCTTGCTGCTTTTTTCTGTCTTCCTTTGAGGTGAGGTTCTTTCGAAGTATCCCCACAACGCTCATTGACCTCTTTCAGATGTGTCTCTTAAACCAATCATCGAAAACTAAGAGGATGTTAATCTCAGCTAACTCGAGAATCACTACTATGAGCACGGCCAATAGTACGTTGGCAAAAGTAGAAGCGTCTACATCGTGTTTTGAGAGTAATTCTAAAATATCAGGAGAAAATGTCCCTGAAAGTCGTCGTCAGTTTGAAATCTTCTATCATTGCTTGCATATACCAAGTCTATGGCACGACTGCATTGTCATAATACGCGTGAAAAACAAGTTAACTAGTTAGACTTACTGTTAATTACCTTTCTTGCTACTACATAGTAGATACTACTGTGGATTGAAGAAATAAAAGATAGCTAGCAGTTGAAGCAACAGAATGGCACTGGGTTAGTAGGCCAGTATCGTTACTGTTGCAGACTTGATTAATCTCAAATTGTCCGTTGAGATGATCAAGATGAAAGTACAATAACGGGTGTGTTCTGTTTCGGCGAACCTGAAGCAGAATAATGAAGTTGATTAAGAATGAGAGACTCAGCAGTGAGCACTTCTTCCAGCATCGACACATTCTCATTTATTTAGCTGCCCGTGCATTGCAACTCCTAGCATCTGACAACATACTTACTGTACATCGGTGTTGAGTTGACTGTGGGTGTTCCAGGAGTCTTCACTACGTGGCAGCAACGTGCACTCCGGAATTGTTCTATGAGGGTCTATATATTTCGCCCTCACATCAAACGGATAATAGGTAGTAGAGGAATTCCGAATTATCCGTGTCGCGCATTTTGAGAAGCAAGAGTGACCTTCCCACAACGAAATACACGAAATATCCCGGTCGGAGAGACGAGCAGCCGCATCTCTTCAAGGTGAAGGGGAGACTACACAGTTGTTTCTTCTGCGTCTGAAATCCTTCGCCAAGGCACTATCGGAATCGCAGAGCCGGTTTCTGACAGTGGCTAACTGCACCAACACCGATAATAAGCGAGCGTCGTTCACCTCCCGGGGCTCCTTGGAGATAAATACATCGAACTTGACAACACAACTTCATGTTCTTTTCCTATGTCGGGAAACGGGAAGATATAAATCGTTTGAGTCGCTGAATTCGCCGGGTCGGCGCCGAGATGCCACTCAGGATGACAGTTTCCCACGCAACCTGCGAGTGGTACCTGTCAAGTAGATAGATAACGCAGTGCAGTCTGCTGGACCAGCAAATGGAGACCAGACATCTGTCTAGCCCGGTTAGTTAGAAAGGAAGGAGACAGGAGTTAGGTAGAAGCGTGCACTGGGAAAAGCAGACGGTCAGATCTTCATCGCCAATGTACAGTGTTGTCGGGAAATGCAAGCTGCAAGTTCGACCAGCCAGTCATGAAGCGAATCGGAAATTTCTAACAAGTGCAGGGGAAGGCAAGCAGTGCCGCTGCAGCATGGTTCAGGACTGAAGTCTGCACGTAGTCCAGTGGATGTATAACCCGGTATGGGTCTGTTCACTTCCTCATTGAAACAGAAGGAAGGAAGGAATAATGATGAGTGTAAGATCTATAGTTTCCTGGAGTTAGCAAAGACAGTATAGGTTTTTCGATGAGGTAGAAGGGACTGTGGGAATAGCATATTGGCATCATTCTACTACTCGGCAATTAGCCGTCCACAGATATCATGGCATCGCCAAAATTCCACTCTTTGCATGGAATTGCTGACCGGGAGACACGTTAATCAATGTCGAATGTGATATTTGATATTATTATATTAATACCAGCGATGCTGGCGCCCGGCTAATCCCACCATGATCGACGGGCTGCCAATGGGGGATGTGCGATTCAGTGGCATGATCCAAAGGGACCGTGAGTCGGAATAGCGATAGGAATAATAATCTGAATCAGTCATAAAAAATAACAGCAAATGATTCATCTCCGAGATTCTTGACAGTTTTCTTCGTGAAAGATGGAGTACGGAGGAGATCCCCCTGATAGGCAAGGGACCGCACTGCCTGCAAATTGCCGGGTACCTCTGGGTAATTCTGGAGTTCCGAGCTGGGGATGGCAATCATGGCATTAGGATCGATTCAGCTTCTCAGATGCAAGGATGACATGGTTATGCACCCAGCCCTGCGATCAGTCGTCTTTGTCTTTGCATCTAGAGGCTTGCATCTACAACGTGGATTGACAGAAGAGCCGAGGGCTCAGGGCTGGCCCTCACCGACGCGTACCGTATCGTCCTCCCGTCGGGGACGTAAAAGAACTGCCTAAGTAGGCAAGGCGTGCAGCCATGGCAAGATCACCACCCTTGTTATTATTAGTATTCGATATTAGATATTAATATCGGCAATCTCGTGCTCGCCAATGCAACGCAGCACATCCCGTCTGCCTGACCAGGCCAACCCGCTAACGCAGACGGCGCAGCACCGCCGTCCAGTGTCATCATAACTGTTTTCTGTCGCTTCCCTGCACGCTGTACGGTATATACGATACGCTGTACCGCTGTACGATGTACATACCGTACGACGTCATCGCCATCTATACATAGCAGCCATGGCCCAGTCATAGCACCCAGGTAGGCAATGATATGGCGATATCCCAAATAATCAACAGGGCTATAGCGTCGACTGTCATGCGATGCAACCTGATCAAGGACATTCAAGATCTCCGTTCTCAGCCCAGGAAATGCCAAGGGGCATGCAGTGGATCTCTACAAGTTCAACTCTTATTATTACAGGAAACGCATGGAACGTGTCAATGGAAGCGGCGGGCCTTCGGGAAACAGGCCGAACCGTGCTAACTGGCTATCCTTTTTAGGATTAGCGCATGCGCTACACGGTCACGAGGGTTGGCTCCTCCGGCGGCCTGCAGGCGCCAGGCACGCAGCCCTTTCCCCCGGCGGGCTACTTCTTCCCGCCCTCGTCCCCCTCCAAACTCTCCGTTGTTTTTTCCCTTCGCCAGGGTTCCCATCCGACTCTGCCTTTCCATCGAGCGAGCTTTTCGCTGCATTTTGGCCGCCACTACCGGTATTTGGTGTCCTGTCTCACGGCCGGCGCCAAACGGTGCGTAGGCTTTGGCCCCCCGCGTTTCCTTTTACCTTGTCCCTTTCTTTTGTGCTGCGTTGTCTCAAAAATCCTACTTTTTAATACTTCGCTGCCACTGCCGGTGCTACGAACTCGAGCTTCAACAACGCCATTGACTTGCCTTGTTGCCACTCGCGATATCAGCGTCACTGGTTTTTGCGACTCCTTTTGGATCTTTGCAAAATTCGCCCAAGATACCCCCTTTGTTGCAATCCAATCCGTTCATACTACTGGCACACAGTTCGGTCGGGTCGCCCGTTGGTCATCGATTGCCCAGTATTGGCTGCCACCCCTGTGTACTCAATCAATTAAAGCATAGAAGAAAAATTCGAAGAGACGGGAATTACAAAAAGACAAGAGAAAAAAGAGCAAAAGAAGTTCCCATTTGGAAAAAAATTAAAAAAGAAAAAAGAAAGCAATTGCTGGATCCGCCTTGACGGCCATTCATTCCTTCCGACATCTTTGTCCGGTTTCATTTCCTTATTTTCTTTTTCTTGGTTATACCAGAAGAGGAGGTCTTCAGGAGATCTTTTCTTATTACTATTATTCCTTGACACCTTTTTTATACCCTCGTCGCTAGTCGTCGCATGTTTTCTTTATAGTAACCGCGATGCTTATTGATGGCGAGAAGTGGGCTTGTGAAGCTTGCGTCCGGGGTCACCGTGTCAGCAGCTGTCACCACAGTGGTAAGACCTGCTCCTCGTTCTTGGTTTGCCCGTGTGTGTCAATTGCTAATTGCTGAGTGCGCTACAGACCGCCCTTTGACCCATATCAACAAGAAAGGCCGCCCAGTCTCCCAATGCCCTCACTGTCGCGGCCTACGCAAGTCACGGACAACCCACGTAAGGTGCGGATGCGGTGACATGAAGAAAAACGGCCGGAGGCATGATCTTGATGCCAATGCCGTTGGTAAACGAAATTCAAAGCGTGAGCATGTTGACAATATTACTCTGATTCGGTTTTTCTGATTTGCTTCGTGTTCTTTTCCGACAGAAGAATCCCATCAATGTTGTGGCTGCTCTCATGGTCAGCGCTGCAGCTGTGCACTGAAAAAGGAACATCACCCGGGTCCTGTCCCAACGACAGGCTTGCCGTCCTCCCAGCCTCCCGTCCTGTCCGAGTCGAAGACACCCTACCTCCTAACAACGACTAAGTCGCAGGGTACACTGACTCAATTCCGGGATGGTCATCACAAGCCTGCCCATAAACACAATGATATGGCCCACAAATGTGGACAGCCCTACACGATACCACGTTCCCATACCTTCCATTCGACCTCTGACGTGGCCCGTCGGTCTGTGGAGCGTCTTCCCTCGAGTCAGACCTTGATGGGGGAGAGTCTGTCCCAACGTGTGGAGCGTCTTAACAGTGTGGCGCAGCGCCTGGTTAGATCGGAACATGGCTCACCTGAAAGTGTCCCCCTTACGGCTTTGAATGATACGACAATGCCCGTACCGCCCCTCGAACTCGCTTCTTATGTCGACAGCTTTCCCGCTACTTCTCCCTCTCAGCCCTTGGAGCCGTCGAGTGATTGCTCTCCGCAGCACGCGTCGGTTCCTACTTCCTTGGATACACTGGATACTGTTCCTAGTGAACAGATTGTCACATCCGTTCCTCCGCTGGACGTCTCCCTTTCCTCTTTCCCTACTTCAAACCCCTCACCGACCGCTTGTCCTTTCCGTGAAGCCCCTTACCAGGATCACTATTTTGCATCTCCTGATACCGACTTCTCATTGAGTTCTGCTGCTTTCAATGCTCCACCGGTTGACTGGTCGAGCTTCCCCTTCTACTCAGCCGATATGACTGCTGCGACCAGCACCCAGGCTCCCTCCTACGCCAGTCTTGACTACGGTTCCGCCACCCATGGATTGCCCGCACCATCGTCATCTGGTGACCTCTCTGAGCTTGAGGATATGGGACCCTTCCCGCATGATTTTAGCAGTGGGAACGAAGGATCAGATTTTGACCATTTCCGCTTCAGCTCCGCATCTGTGGGACTGCCTCAGACGCAACTCCTGGCGTCAAGTAATCTGGAATCGATCAGTCTTGATGACTTCCTTAAGTCTGCCAATGCGTCGACGGCGGCATTGGAACAGCAGCTGCAGGCTAATATGGGCATGGAGCAGAAGTCTCTGCCCACGCAAAGTCCATATGCTGTCAGCATCCCGATACCGATGGCCACATCTCCAACTGACCCGGTCTGGTCTACTGCCTTGTTCGACTCTGTCCCCACGTCGGGTGAGGAAAATTTCCTTCCCCAGACATGGATATAGTGACCGGGTCAGGTGAAAGAAGTGGGTTCCTGGCCTGCAATCTCTGCGCGGCGCGTTACCAGGATGTGCCATCAAGTTCTGGTGACGAGTGCATGTCTTCATGACTTTGATGAGAGATGACGACAATTCCATGTTCAATTAGCCAGCAGTAGTAGGTTCGGAATGCTTCATACCGCTATTTGTGGAGGGGTTGCCAATTCTTTGTATATATATGCCGCCTTGTATACCCCGTGCCTACGCGCGAACCATCACGCTGCCCGCTGGGAGAAAACGTGTATACAGTGATTTTCATATTGCTACTTGCTTTCACTTCTTTCTCTCTTTCTCTCAATATCTTCTTTCTCTCTCTCTCTCTTAATATCTTCTGGGGTCTATGACCCCATCACACTCTCTTGCCGTTCCTTTTCTACTGCTTTCAGTACTGTTATTTTGATGAGCCGAGCATTCATTCTCTCAGTACCCGGGATTTACCCTCAAGTCTCTTGTCAGCACTTGTTTTTGTAGATAGTTAATGTATATATAGTGTTGGATGAGAAAAGCAGTGATCTTGGCCAGCTGACATGAAGCGCTCGTCAGCCTTCACATGTCGGTGGTATTGCAGACGGCTACCTAGGCTAAGTTCTGGCGGTGAACACTATTTCATAGCGCAAACTTTAATCGATGCAGGTGAATAACCGGGATTTCTCTAACGGGAAGTAGTCGGAAATATTAGTCGTATCCACCGTACACTTGTGTCAGATAAATACCTGGGGTACTGTATTTTACGGTAAGGGTACATTCTATTTCATGTGGCTAGTACAGTAATAGTAATAATAAAGAAAAAAAAAAAACAGTCCTTTCAACTCGGGAATCGGCACGTATTCCGTAAGAAATAATGTCATAATGATAGCACGTGTTGAGATAGCATAACAAGCTTTGGTGCGGAATTGCTTGTCGCGACTTGGCTTTTGGCTAGTATCTTTTGTTTACTTGTCCGTTGCGCATCCCTGTCGTGTTTTTTTGGGAGCTTCGGGATGATCAGCGAGTTGCTCTGCATGCATTTTACCGTGTCATAATACCAGGTGTGATGCTGTCAAAGGAGTAGGCTACTCTAACTATGTGTCACACAGCGATAATACTAAATATATTAAAGGGTATCATAATTCATGATAACAATACCTAACAATAGCTGCCTGCTTAGATTTCTGCCCTTTTCTTTTTGGCCTTCTCCACTCAGTGCTAATGGATATCACATAATAATAATACCCAGTAATCCGTGCCGGTAGAATACTACCTAAGTACCTAGGTAACCGTGACTCGAATTAGCGCCCCAGCGCAATCCGTTTCCACACCCCCTCGACATCCAGGCATAGTTGAAGGAACGCATCGTCCTCCAACTGCTGGCATACCCAACTTTCAACCAACGCCGCGCGCTCCGATGCGGGCACTGCAAGATACGCTGACAGATCGGCCGTCGTTATCCTATCGGACGGCAGCCCGAGACGGGGCTGGATACTATGCGGATCCATGGTTGTGTCATTCTGAGTCTGGACTGATCGTCCCCTGTCTTGGTTATCTGTGCCATTACATGGGAAATTATTATCACCATCTTGTGCGATTAAAATAGCCGGGCGCTGTGTTTCCGGTTCATGGTTCCTTGTTGCCTTCATTTGCGAAGGAGACGGGGAGATTGTTTCGTTGTTGCGATTCGGCTGCGGCAGCGATAATGAGTCGTGTCTCCCTTGATCTGTTATCATCGTGGTTGCTTCTGAGAGCGGCTTTCTCGTTGTCTTTGTGGTCCTCGTCCTGGTCGCTTTACGCTGACGGGGGTTCTTTGTTTTTGCTGTTTTACTAGTTTCTAATAAAAAAAGTCCACCGTCAACGTTATGTCGGCTTCTCCTAGCAGATCTTCTCTCTAGACATACCAGGATGAGTTACTGGGCGTTTGGCTGTAGTGTCAGAAGGGTTCCCAGCCTCCACTGTTCTTTTCGGTGCTGGTTTTGAAAATGGCAGTTCCCTTCTCGGAGGCAGCAGCTGGTTTAGAACTTGGATGTCGTGACAACCCGTGGCTGCTGTGGACGGCCTAGATCCTGTATTTGAGCTGCTTTGGATTGTGCCGGATTCCGATGTAAAGTGATCTTGTTCAATTGTGGCGTTCCTATTCCCAGGATTGGAGCCTGAAATTATGTTCGCATTGTTCTGAGAAAGGTGGCTAGTCCCGGATGGGAATGATGGCAATCCTAAATAGACACAATTCTTAGGTAAGTCAATTTCATGTTTTATTGACAGAACAAGGTGAATACCGGTGGTGTCTGTCCCCGTAACAGAAGCTCTATCTGAGGGCAGAAATGCTGATTTATCAGAAGGAGCAGATACACTAGAGCCAGCAGGAAATGACCCCCTTGTGATCATACTAGAAGGGGCACGTCCATGATGCCAAGCAGACGATGCTAATCTCGATGTTGGCCGCGAGCTAGTTCCATTAGGTTCTGAGAAGGGACACTTGATATCACTCAATATCGCCAATGCGGTATAGAAGTCACCGTCAGAGGAGAATTTTATCTGGAATCGACGAATCTGTGGTTTTAGTGTGAGCCTCAAAATTAGATTAGATTAGATCTTTGGAGGTATCTATCTTCACATATTCACATACATATGGTCCAGCCGTAGTATATTTCACCGCTAAGCAGGGCAACTTGACAACCACGGCGAAGTGTGACTTTGTGTTCCCTAGAAACTGGGCCGTAGCTTCTCGGGAATAATAAGAAAGATCAATTTCTTCCTGAACAGAGAAGTAGTGCGGATCTCATCAGTTCCTGTCTTCCGAAAAGAGTTCTCCCAAGACTAATTACCAGTAAATTATAACCTTGGAAGACCTTCAGCAAGGTTTGCGTTGCTCCAGGAGCTAGTATCGGGAGCCTTTCGAACACAGCTGCAATCTCGCCATTTCCGATGATATGGGTCCAGCTGAACGGACCACTGTGATTTATGGAGGTTGTTGTATGGGAGAATTTTGCGAGCGTCAACCGAGCGATCTGAGAAGATTCGCTGGGTTTAGATGAAATGGCGTGCATCATATAAACAATTATTATTAGATGATTTTAGAAGACAGATAGCCACTGGCAGAAGACCGGAGAAATAACGATGTCGCAGTCGCGAAGCATGGTCGAGTAGAAGGCTGATTGAAGTTCGATTACTCAGATGTATAAGGATTAGATAGACAGTATAATGGGGACTTCTTTGAGTTAAATCTGGCTCTATATCAGCGACGAAGGAAAGGAAGTCGAAGGATGTAGAACTGCTCTGCACCTGGCGGGATGGAAGAAGCTGGCCATGCAACAACCATCCCTACAGCTGAGCCCTATGCCCTATGCCCTAGTCTATATATACCTGCAAATAGGACAAACATTTAATCGGAGCGGAAGAACCCTATGCCGGGAGGCGCGCGTCTAGCAAAGCTGTTCGGCGGACGGACTTTGGCTAGGATGGGATCTCCACGACGGATCGCAGCACCAGCATTCGCTCCCAGCGATCAAGCGTTGAAAGCAGCCCACAGCGCAGGCATTGAGCGTTCAGAAGAAAAGCCCGTCTATTCCGGTGGATCCGCCTCGTATGCGCAAGCTCTGCTCGAATTTCCTTATGGTCGGTTGAAAAAGGGTCACCTCGTTTTTTATCCTTCGCATTCTTATCCCTTCCGTCACTCTGCCTTTTGACTTGCTATAGCTTAAAAGCAGCGCTCGGATTTGCAGTGATCTCACCTCCCTTCTCGGGTAACGCTTTGACCAGCTTTGCGAACGCGTTTTCCGCTCCAGACGACACCTGGGTTTCTCGTCTTTCACGGCAGTTTGGCTGGATAAAAATAAAGGTTTTCAAAAGATTTGGTGGCTTGGTTTGTGGGAAGTCGCACTTTCGAATGCTGCTTGGTACCCGGATATCTCATCGGAAAAAGAATAAATAAACTTTCGAAAGTTTCTGAAGAGGTCTATCTCCAAGAACCGTGGTCGGCATTCTTGTGTAGTATAGATCGCGCCAACGGTCGCTGTCAGGTCAACAAGGGCATCTGGAATCGGTTCCTCGTCGGCCTTTGAGCCACAGAGAAATCAAACTCACGGTAAAAATATTTGGCTTTTTCCAGAGCCCAGGATGTCTGGTAATACTCCGACGAGGTCGTCCCTGCGAGGTACATGCCCGGCCTTTAGCTTGTGCTTTATTCATATTGTCTTGCTGACTGTTGAGGACAGAGGGCTTACGACAGGCGCCTAAATCCCACCAGCCTTTTATCCCCGATACTGCCCCAGTCCGACGTTCGAACGTCCATAATCAACACAATGCCCATAGTACGCATTCATCTCCACAGCCGGCAGCAACTCCCTATATGAACCATGCGCACCTTGTGGCAAACCCGAACACTGCTCATGGTCAATTGATGATTGACCATGGGGATGGAAAGGAGCAAATATTGGTCCCAATGTCGACGCGTGAGGTCTTCACACCGGGGAACAGGCCTGGTCTTTTTCTAAGCCCAGCCGACAGGAGGAAACTTGCTAAGCAACCAGACTTTTATGACCCTTATTTTCCTCTCAGGTTTGTCGAGGTTCCTAAATGTAAGTGACCCCGTGCTGCCTTGTGTCTCGAAACTTGCCCCTGTGACCAGCGCTAATGTTAGTATCTTCTAGCTGATCACATCTACAAACGCGCTCATTATGGTCTGCAATCCGGAATTCCAGATGAGGTTGACTTTGCACTATATCATCTTGTGCAGATTTCTAACCAACGATGGGACAAATTCAAGTTTGAAGGGTTCCCATTGCTCGCCGAAACCCTCATGGAGAAGGCCATGGAGATTACCCTTCTCTGCACTGGCATTCGGTGGGAGCTCCAGTATGATTTCAGACAACCGACTGGCAGAGTCAACGTGTTGAATTCATTACGTGGCACGCGGAATATCTTAGAAAAGATCAAGACGCTCCCAATAGTTTTGCCCGAGGATACTCTTGAAACCTACGAATTTAACCACCACCTTCGAAATATCAAAGAGGCCACGCTAGTTATACGGAACATGGTCCTACTGAGGGAGAATGCTTATTACGTGTCACGCTATGCTAAGGGCCTGTTACGAGACTTCCTGGTAATCCTAATCAATCTTCCGAATCAACCTCGTTTGAACGAAATAAAGAACGACGCGCTGGATATCGCGGAGGAGGTCACTAAATTTATGACGACCGATCCGGATGATCCACTCTGGATATCCCTAGTTGGCTGTCTTGAGTCCTCAGATCGTGCTCACATTGTCCGAGCACTCTGGGCCATGACACATTTCTCAACAGAAGTCGAGTATCCGGAAAACAATCGAGCGATGGACCGCGTGTCTACACAGACATTACAGCAGTTATTCTATCACACCCTCCTAGACATGGACAAGGATGTTCTCAGCGGTGCACTAGATTTCTGGTACCAGTATACTCTCAACCCCGACAATGTCGAGAGGTTAATGGGCATTTTCAATTTCCCGTCGGTCTTCGTTCCCCGGATGATTACTCTATTAACCTACGAAGGACGCCCTGCCAAGAAAGAAACGGTGCTCCAGGAAGAAAAGGTGGCCCCAGCACCTGCAGAAATTCCGCGTGTACCGCCTGAATTACTCAAAGACTTGATGGAGCTCGGGGAGCCAGAACGCAGCTCCCGCTGGCTCCGTTGCTGTTTTGTCGAGGACCCCGAATGCGAGATCACACAGATTGCCCTATGGCAGGCATATCAGAGTCGGTTTGCAGACCCCCGTGTGCTGGGAGGTGGTGTCCTCCCTGCTGCGGAGTTCATCAAAAACGTAAGCACGACATTCAGCAACGCGCAGGCGCAAGTCATCAATGGACCCGGTTCTGCGACCAAGTTTATTATCAAAGGTATCCGACCTCTAGAAACGGCATACACTTTCCAGGGGTTCCCGTACAGTTACTGCAAGTGGGCAGATAATAGAAAGCCCTCCAAGACGTGCCAACGTGCCTTCGCCACCCCTACAGAACTCCGTCACCATGTCTTCACAGACCACATGAACCTCAAGCCCACCGAAAACCCGGGTCACTACAATCTGGAGAAAGCATCATCACCCACCCACACCTGTCTCTGGGATAACTGTAGCAAGTTCCGCTCTTCCGGCCCCAGCGCTAATACCGCCATGGTCGCCGGCCACGTCGCGTCCCACCTACCCGAGGAACGTCCCGCAGATGCGGAACCGCCTAGCCAGAAGCGCCCAGTATTACAGGACCGCATCGTGCGCAAATGGTTCTACATGGACACGCCGTGCAATGAACGCGGAGAGCCATTCGGGATTGCTTACAAAGCCGCCCTCGTTCTTCGCAACATCGCGTGGAACCTGCCTACCCGCATCGCACCGCCGGAATATAACGGTCTTTCGTGGAAGCAAGCAGTGTTCCTCAGCCATCGTCCAAAGATCATCGATACGTGGGATCGGAATCGGTCCTTGCGCAAGGAACTGACTGAGTTGATCATGACAATAGAAAAAGAGGATGATTAATGTTTTTTCCACCCACGCCTGACATCTTGTACTATTAATACCCTGTTTATTTTTCATTTATTTATCTATTCATTTTCTTCTTTATTTCTCCCAGGCTACCATCTTGTAACTCTTATGATTCTTATCGCCTTTTCTCTTGTTCATGCCCTGCTAAAAGTTACTGACTATGAGATCTTGCTATTACATGGTAAGTGAGTGAGTGAGCGAGGTGAGGTTTCCTTTTCAACTTTGCACGCTTTCTTGTTTGGTAATCGTTGCACCTTTGTTTTTCTCATTTTCACAAAAGACAGAGCATAAATTAGCAGGGGCAAGGGGGGCTTTCTATTTTTACTTTTATGTTTTCTCTTTCTTCTCTTTTTATATATTAAATGTTTTTGTGATACATCAGGAGGCGTTAGTGGCCATGTATGAGATAGGTAGAAATGGAAATCTGTATTTCTTTCTTGAAAGGCATTCAATGGGCTTCAAACAACTGTAAGTTTTATTTATGTAGCTATATAGACTTTTGATTCTATCATTACAGAGACTTTCCCTTTTGAGATGCAACCACTTTCATGAGGATACTCAGGGTGACTCTCAGTGCGTATTTCTCATCATGGGTGAGCACTCAGTGATCAGTCACGTGCAGCTAGGAGCTGCTAATGGAGGCATATATTGGTAGGTAACTAGCTAGGTCCCCCGCTGCCCTTTACCATCACGTCGGTCTACCTAGTTAGTGACCAAAACAATACATATGCCTCCATTACTTATCATAGCAAAGTTAGCAATTAGTTCTTAAGAAATAAGGACCTTACATTTCCTCCCCTAAGATCATACTTAGCATTCTCCGTATCAATGCTTCTTCACGCCATCATCGCCATCCAGCTCTTACACCATCAGTGTCAGTTCAAGTGATTGTATAGATGGCATACCATCAGCATAAGGGGAACAGACCATACAAACTACTTCAGCCATCTCCTTGCTCCTCTCATGCTTGGTGACCCTTTGGTAGTAGCCTCAGAAGTACTTCTAGTCACCCTTGAGTGTACTAGCTTTTTTGAAATCCTTCAGAGGACATCCATTGAGGTTATACTGTAGCTTAAGATACCAATTTAGAAACTGGTGCATGTTATTTGGAGTGGCTTGCTGCAGTGCTTCTTCCAAATCTTCTCACTTCAGCTCTGCTGGCAGTTTGATTGCTTTGGTCTAACAATAGCTAGCAGCAACATCCATAAGTTAGATGATCCATCATATTTCTCACTGTGCGACCTCTGGGAGCATTCAGAGGCTTAACCGCTGCACTGGCAAAAGACTAGATGTAGAGCTGGAGGCTCTACACTGCTCTCTCTCATATATATATCAGGCAGGACAGGACAGGCACTGTAACAATATCATCCATCTCAGGCTGAAACCCAGCTAGTGCATCCTACCACTTACTGTGCCCAGCAATCCATCAGATGGAATTTGAGTTTTTTGGTACCTCTTAACTTGCCATAGTCCTTCAGCACCTTGGAGAGATTCTCATCCATATCATTAGCTGGGTTCATAATAGGTCCAACGAACCAGCTCCACAGATGAAACATTTTTGTCTCTGCTGGGCTTCCCACCTAGCTTTTTGGCTGCTTGAAGCCCCGGAGGATGGCATTCTGGTTCCATCAGATTGGTGTCAGAGTTGGGTTAAAATATTTGGTTGTTGTTAGTGTCAGTAGATACACAAGTGCTTTTGCTGGAGGAGGGGGGCCTCATATTGATCCATCTTTAACAAGGTACGGCTGAAGGCTTACAAAAACTGTAGGGTAAAGTTGTTGAGAGGCTTAAGGTAGTGACAGTCTCTTGCAAGAGAAGAACAGTGAAGAATAAAGGAGTTGAGATTGACAACTTGGGTGTCAACTGGATGAAAACAAAGGTTGAATAGGCAGGAGTTGGGAGTGACTGGACTTTTTAACCATGGCAGCTAGGTGCCAGCTAGCCCTAAGCCGGCGGGTCGCTGAGGCCATTTTTGCTGAGGGTGTTCTGGACAAAAAAATGCTATGATGTTGAATTTGTGGCCTGAGGATGTTACGTCAAGTTGGTGGGAGCATGGCAGGTGCCAGTTGCTGAAATGTTGCCGTTTTCAGCATCATGTACAGCCAAAAAAAGGCAGCGAAACGGCAAACCGAAATTCTAAGTGGATAGAATAAGAAGTACATATGTAAATACGGCATACAAGGATATTCAAGTCCGAATTATTTTCAACGTTATCTATGTACAAGCAAACCTCGATGTATCCGGTACACCAAGACTTTCAACGCGACAACGCTATATTTCATACAAGGGAGAAGAAAAGGAAGAAAAGCCGGATCTAGAATTTATGGATGTGATCCTTTCTATACCCTAACTTGCCCAAGATTCCCTGGTTTCTGTAACCCGTCAACGACGCTTCCATGGCAGGCGGCCCACAGACAAAAATCTTGATGCCCTTTTCGTCAGGGCCCTTCATAACCTCTTTCAAAAGTGATTCTGTGATACGACCCTGTTTGTAAGATGGGTTGGATGGAGATGAGCTCCCGTCTGCTGTTTTCGATGGGTCACTGACTGTATATACCACGTTAAAGCGGTCAGGGAAGCGTTTCTTGAAATCATCTAGCTCATCACGGAGAACTAAGTCCTGTTCGGTGTTTACCCCGAAGATGAGTGTCATCTTTGTTTTTTCCTCTGGGTTGTTCAGAACGCCTTGGATCAATTGGTAGATGGGAGTGATACCCGCTCCACCAGCTAGTAGGTAGACGTGTGAGAATTTATTGGGGGACCAGGGGAATCCCTTTATCGTTCCCGCGAAGGTCACGGATTGGCCGGGTTCTAATGAGTGAAGATGAGAGCTGGCCTTTCCGTTTGGATATTTCTTGACCATTAGCTCGATGAAGCCGGGCTCACCTGCAGGTGATGATTAGCGAGGCTTTCCAGGCACATTTCCACGAAGAAAGGTTGAATTTACATGTGTAATTTAGTTTCAGGAAACACAAAATAGGCCGAACTTACGGAAATCATTTATCGGAGTGTAGGGTCGGATAACTGGGAGCCAACGACCCTTCGGCCTTGTAATGGTAAGGAGTGCCGCTAATAGAGGTCAGCCACAGACCAAACTATCACCACCTAACAATCAAGTTGACTGAACTAACATGTTAGGCTGAGCCCACATCGTGCGTCTTTATCAGGCAGCTCGAACAACAACCGTTTTGTGTTATGGTTGACTATCTGCACACTGTAGAGGCGCAAGGAGGTCAAGTTCATGCCACCACCACCAAAGTAAACCGGTGGCTCCTGGGGGGATTCAGCGAGAGCGGTTCTGGAGAAATATCTTTGAAGAGAATATGCGCCTATGCCGGCCACTGCAAGCAGGGCTAGGGTTCGGGACGGTGCATGGGCCACAGGCATAGTGTTGTTATCGCAAAAGTCACTTGGTGAAAAGGAGATAGGCACTAAGAAAATAACAATTGGGTACTGCATTCGTGACAAGAGCAGGATTGCCCTCTTCCAAGCATCGAGTATAAATACCCAGGCTTCCTCGATGAGATGGCGTGTCGGTTTCTGTCTACGCTGGTGGCCTTGTACGATCGGTTTTTGTCGGAGTCTGCAAACCCCGATCCCGAACTGGATTAATTGTCCGCCTGTCAGTTGTGGATTCAAGAATGAGTGAGAACATTTCAGCTTCCGTAGTTCTTGCTGCAGATATCGTCGATCACGGTTGGAACAGCTTGTCCATTTCATTCGGAGTTCTGTCACTCTCATCATCCGATTCTACCCTTGTTACTCCACATATTGGCAACGCCAACGTTGCAATCTTGAGAAGCCTCGTTTAACCAAGGATCGGCATGGCTTCATTGCTCTCATATATGCCTTCAATGAACATCTCGTAATTAGACCACGAGCTATTTTGAAGATTGTCGATACCGCCATATCCAGGGTCAATCTCATCCCACATAGTTGGCCACGGATCCAGCCAGTTGCAGGGCTCCGGAAAACCCATGGAAGAAACCATTTGCTCCTGGCCGCTGCTTTCCTGGCCCACAATAAGAGGAAAAGATAGTTGCGGCTGCAAGTCGTTTCCGGAGAAAGAGGGCTGCTGCGATAAATCTGTCGCTGCTGTTGGGAAATGCAATTGTGCATGCTTCTCAGCTGCGATGGAAACGGTTTCTAGCAGCTCATGGCGCTTGCTGCGCGCTCGACTCATGATATTTTCCATGGGGCCCCATAGCATTCGTTGCTGGGAGTCGGTCACCACACTGCTGAATCGATCATAACCTTTCTCCACTATGGGGAAGTATTTCTCCATCCGCAACGGATCATCACAAACGCAGATTTCCGCGATGGCGACTGCAAGTGCGTGCCATGGGGCAAAAATGCTTTCGAACCAACCCCAGAGATGGCCACGAGGATCGGTACTAAGTTCGTGAGTCTTCTGAACAACATTCGCAGCTAGGTTCAAAAGACCAGCCGGCTCTTTGACTTGCGGAGGCGTGAAGTTGGCATTCCGCTGTAAAGGCCGCAGAGCAATTAGCTGCAATGAGGCATGGATGCATTCAGCCGACTTCCAGGTGAACCAGTGGAAATCTATCGCATCTGGTTGGCATTTACAAAGTAAATTTGACGCTGTCTGCTGAAAGTCTCGCACAACTTGTTGCCGTAAATGCATGTACTTCACTCCCGGCTCTGAGAAATCCGAGAAATTCAGCGACCTTAGAGCATATTGGGCCTTTGCGAGTATCAACGTAAATGTGGTGTCGGTAAACTCATCGGATGCCTGTACCGGTTCCTCCATATCGAACCTAATATCGTCGTCATTGGCGTTAGATGGTGTATGGGGTTCCAGCCAAACCGCCTGCATCATTGGTTCAGATGCACGGTCTAGGGAAGCCTGAACATCAAGGAGACCAATCGCCTGATATAAACGCCTGCGCAATTCCCGCTCAAACGGCCGGACTGGGAAAGGGGGATCAGTATAATGGAGCGATAGTGCTTGGGCTACACGGAGGGCCATGCTCAACATGGTCCATACTCGCCTGCCCTGGTTTAGTAATCGAGCGGAAACCTGGTTCCTTCGTAGTTAGCACCGAAGGACTCTTCTCAACGTTAGGGCAGAGCCCAACTCGGTTCCAGGAGACCTACCAGCGAGAGAACATAGGCCTGCAACACAGTCAAGTCATTGGTAGTAACAACATCCGCCGTCACCAGCGCCGCTTCTGTCTCTCTTTGGCACATTGCAGTGACGAATTCTTTCTTCTCTCCGAACATAGACCGACAGTCCTCGTTGCCGAGGCTACAGACTGCGGCATAGCAAACGGCACAGGCAAGTGCCCCAGGTGCAGCATGCCCGGGGTCATAATTCAGGTAGGGTTTGCCTTCTTGCAGGAATTCACGAAGGGATGGTCTATGAAGAATCTTGAAGACAGGATCCACCCGATCCAAGAATACTTGACACAAGAGCTCCCGCACCCGCGGGACCGAAGCCATGGAGCCAGGAAGGCTATGAGGGCTAACGGGGCCCAACAAAGCCGTGCCATAATCGGAAGTGGGCCCCAATGGGGGCCTCTGGCCCTCTGAAGGGCGGTCCGTGGCATTTTGTACATTTCTAGTCTGTTACAAAAATCAGATATGGTTCAAGCAGCCCTGACCGAAAAACGCCCACTTACCTGATGTAAGAGATCTTCCCAGAAAGTACTACCCAGATACATCTCAGGTTTCTGTGCACCTACATTTCTGTTGGTGGCTGGGGGGCCGACGACGGTCCTCCTTGCCTCCGACCCCGATTCCTGGTCGATCCCATCGTGACACTGGGGCTCGTGGTTGGATACATCAATCCCTTTATTTCTCCTGAGGAGCTCTTCAAGGAGCTGCTCAATCCTGGCTACCCGGTCCTTCAAAGCTGCACCCGATTCTGAAGGGCTTTCAGCTGCCCGTCGGACACGGCCTCGAGGCAGTCGCGGGCGCTGAACAGGGACGCACACGGTACCGAGTCGCTGGCAATTCGTGCAGGGGGTAAGTTTGTCACATTTAACCTTACGCTGGCGACACATCTCACAGCTCAAGCGGACGCTCGGAGCGGTAGACGGGCGTTGTTGTAGTTGTACAGGCTGCCTCCCAAGTGGAGGATCCGCCATTTCGGGTGTTTTATGGAGTATTATAGTGTTGATCAGCCGTCATCATTTCCGGGATCCAGAACGAAATAGAGAGATGGAACATGCAGGCAGATAGTCTAGTTTTGTTTTCCGCGTTAGGAAGAAAGCGTCATGTGCTCGGCGGTCTGCCGTCCCGATCTCCGAAAAACCCTCTTAGTCTACACTCAAGTTGGATAGCCTTATACATCTACCAATTCTTTCCTATAAGTCCAGCCTTTTTTTATAGACAGAAATAATAAGGAATCCATGAAAATGAGTAGCATTAATGTAGCAGATAGAAGGAACAACATGCTATGTGCAATTCAAGCATCATCTCTACTCCCAAACGTTGGAGAACAAATCATCAGCTCCCCCAAACCCGCCTGCCGGTTTGGACGAGGTAACAGTTTGAGTGGTGTCGGTAGCAACAGTCGTGCTGGTGCCTGGTGAAGTCGGCACCGCACTAGCCCATCCACCAAAGTCCTCATCGGCAGCTATAGTCGGCGCTGGCTTCGAAGCAGCGCTGGAAGACGGCACACCCCAGCCCGCACCGATGTCATTGGCCGTCAACGTATCGGGAACTTTCATTATAGACTCTGTCTTGGAAGGCACTGGGGGTGCTGGTTCAGGTGTGCTCCAGGCATCAGCTCCCCAGGGATTTGCCGAAAACATGCTTGTGGCAGTCGAAGTTGCTGCAGAGACATCGGCTTTCGGTGGCGGGGCCGGATTGGGCTTGGAGAGGTTGAAGGCTGACTTCAAGTCCGGCTGCTGGGATTTCCAGCCAGGAGGTTGTGGTGTAGGTTTGGGCGCCGAAGGGGGCGGGCTGTTGAAGCCGAATGGATCATTAGATGGAGGTGACTGGAAGGTCTGTGCGGTATTCGCTGGTGTAGGGCTCGTAAACACTGAACCTAGGCCATTAGAAGATACTGATGCGGTACGCTGTTGCGGCTGGGGAGGTAGGCCAGGAGACGTGAGACTATCGAACAAGCTACCGCCACTGATGGAAGAAGTACGAGAAGTGACCTGAGGTGCCACCGGTGTGGACTTTGCGGTGGCAAAGGATGTCAGACTTGCAAAAGGCGACGGTTTTTCAGCTGGCTTCGCAGGCGGCGGAGAGGCGGCCTTGGACGACGGGAAGCTCAACCCGCTGAAGGCATCAGTCAGCCCGCCCAGCTTTGAAGACGATGATTGCGTCGACGGAGAAGCCAGATCTGCGAAGGAGGACGATCGCTCGTGTTGTGCGGGAGCTGGCGGGGGCTTCGAATAGAGAGATAAGATAGACTGCTTGAGATCAGGCCGAGACATCCCCGTTGAGTTCGTACGAGTTGATGCTGGGCTGGCCGAACGGTCAATCGTAGGAGCCTGAGTGCTCCCGAAGAAGTCCAGCCCAATCAATGTATCCCCTGAGCGACTTGGTTTGGGAGGAGCCTGGGGTTCTTTAGGCGGCGGTGGGCGTGTGCTTGGCTGAGTTGTGTTCGGGCGGGCTGGAGGAGAAGCCACATCGTTATCACCGCCAATCAAAAGATCAACCGCTGGCTGTTGCTGCTGTCGAGTCCGGTGGGCAACTAGAGGTTGACTGGAAGATGCTGTTCTCTGAGACGCGGATCGCTGAAGCTTTGCCTTTTCCTGTACAACCGCAAGGGGCTGAGAGCGCGCAAAAAAGGAGCAAGGGAAACCGAAATCAGAAACCACATAGAAGTACAAACAATACTGGCATTTCAACCTACCACATCATCATCTCCATCGTCCAGCGTGGAAGGGTCGGGCATGGGGCCGTCCATGACCCATCTTTTCGATTCATACTTGGTCCGAATGAAATTCTCAATCTTACTGATCCACAAGAGCGTGTCAGCAAAGTATGATCCAGCGCAGAAGGAGTAACAGAAACTCACGCTTCCGAGGGAATATGACCAGGCGCCAACTTCGACTCCCAATACCTAGGCGAATTGTCCCGTCAGCACCAACCCCTTTCTCTAGAAAGAAGCCTCTTCACATCCGAGGATACGAACTTATTGGCTCTCGAGTTGCCCCATTTCACTATACTCTGCAGCTGTTCATCTGTCCAGGCATCCAGATCGACCGACTTGACTCTGCTAATATGGGTGCCCATGCCCCTGTGAACGCCCGAACAACGGATACAAATAAAGACGCCCAAATTCCAAGATGCCCATCGCGGATCTAGTAGGAAGAATCTGCGTCAGCTCTATAGCTTTTTTACAGAACAAATAAGTACCCAGGGATAGGGAAGACCGTAGTATAAGCCTTTCCCAGGCGGACAGGGTTAGGAACTGACGTTTATTGCGCTTGCAGTCAGCGCATATCTTATTACAGTCGAGTTTCAGCAGACCTTTGATGATCTGCTGATTATGCGCAGCTTGTGCCGGGGTAGCGCGTCGAGACATGCCGGGCTGAAGGGGCTATGCGAGCAGGACACAAGGGAAGTTGGAGTAGAGAGACGTCTGGCAATGTAATATTAATATTAATTAATGTCGGGCAAGGTGGCGGATGCTGTTGGTGCCTGAGGCATTCACTACAGGTGACCAGCATGTCCGGTTTGGGTATTCTATTCATTCTTCTATGCTTAACACGACAACACACATCTGCATGTCCTTTCAGGCCAGCTCAAACCTTGGCCTTCGTCGCATCTTCAGTAAACTTCAAGCTGATACTATTCACGCAATGTCTCTCATCCGTCGGCGTGGGATACCCTTCTCCCTTGAACACATGCCCCAAATGGCCCCCGCAGTTACTACAAACAATCTCTGTTCGCTGCATTCCCAAGGAATTATCCTCGAACCTCTTCACCGCGCCAGGAATGGAGTCGAAATAAGCGGGCCAGCCGCATCCGGACTTAAATTTGTGTGAGGCTCTGTAGAGAGGCGCATCACAGCCAGCGCAGGTATACACGCCCTCCGACGGGTAATGGGAGTCGTATTTGCCCACGTAAGCTCGCTCTGTGCCCTTTTCACGGAGAACATAGAATTGTTCTGCAGTTTTCAACCTTCTAGTTAGTTGAATTAAATAGAAAATAGTACAAATTGATGGATAAGAGGAGAATGCGAATGCGAACCAGGACTCAGGACAGCCCTCCACTCATCCTCGCTTCTCTTGTCTGGATAAGACATGCTGCTAGCGTCTCCTGGCTTCTCGGCCTTCGTGCTCGATCCGAAGAAGGCACTGAGGAATGAGATGGTTGGCGCGGCTTTGAGAACGGTCGCTCTGGAAGCGGGACGTGGGAATCGAAATCGACGAGAGTAGGAAGTAGTGGAATATGAAGATGAAGATAGGAATACAATAGACGTCCTAAGACAAGGTGGGGTTCTTCCAGGTCTAATCGGATGCAGCGATCGGACAGTAGACGCTGCAGTCAGAGATCGCATAGAGCCGTTATGCCTTTATATCAACGGTATGACAGTGGGATGTCCGAATTCGTGCGAATGATATTATTGAAGTGTCAAATATTATTATTGATAAGTTGCAATTCTTAATTTCCGAATTTCCAGCTTAGAGAAGATTCGCTTTACGTCATGCGGGGATCCCAAGCATAATTTTAAGAGGAATCTTAACAGGAATTTGAGAGACTCAAAAGCATGAAGAACAAGGAAGACCTACACGCATGTCCTTCCTTGTACTAACTACTCCTTCAAGGAACTTATTCATTGTCATCCGGTGATCAACGGCCTGACTATTTGGGCTGAGAAATAGTATGATCCACCAGATATGAGGAAGACGGATGACAGCAAAATCAACAGAAGTAAAAGGATAACTCCGTATCCTCGGGTATCTCGTACATTATGTTCAGCAACATATCCAGATAAATCCAGGTAGATAAAACAAGCGTCTATAGACAGGAGCATGGATGTTCATCGACGTCTAACGACGCCAACGACGGTGAGAACGCCCTCGTCGACCTCGAATCTCCAGCCTTCTCGAGCCAGCATTTTCCCCACAGCCGGACCCAGACGCGAAGTTCCATCGCGACTATGTCGACCGGCTCCAGTGACGATCCGATATCCCTGTCGGGTAGGATTGTTCCCTCCCCGGATATACTTCGCATCACCCTGTGCATCCCACCATTCCGCGACTTTGTTATTGGCAATGCGAACGGCATCTTGCACCGCCACACCGTGTAGATCTAGCATCGTCGGCGTCGACTGGGAATCCACCAAGGCGTCCGCAGCGGCCGAGACCTCCCGCTTCGCCTTCTCCAGATGATCGCGTCCGACGGCGGAATAATAAGCTGCTGCACCACCCATCAGCCGATCAGACCTGCCTCGGCGATATGCTGTTGTTGCTTTTGAGAATGCTTCCGCGCTGGCGAGGAAGTAAGACCCCGCGGTGTAGTGGGCCAGGTCGTAATTCCGTAGCGATCTCGATCCAGCAGCGCTCCGCTTTGGAGTCTCTTCGTCTACGTCGAGAGCAATCGGTGGAGAAGTAATCTTGATCATTTCTGACAGCGGAGCTGGCGATGGACCTTTGACCATGGCGGTGGCTAGCTCATTGGCGGCCGAGATGGAGCCCCTCGTAATCTTGAGTAACCCAGCAAGGGTAGTTAGAGGCACAGAAGAGAATTCATGCACAAGTTCAGCCACCTGAGAGGCCAACACTGTATCATCACCAATCTGGTGTTCTTCCTTGGGAGCATTCGCGGTAGCCAGAGAGCGAATGGCTGCAGGCAACGAGGCTCCATTCGCATGGTAAGCCGAAGCAACTGCTTCCCTCTTCAGGAGAGGAGACGTCCGCGAATAGATAAAATCAACATCCGCCTTGCCGACATCCCACTTGTTGGCAGCCGAATGGGGCTCGTCCAGAGAGGACAGAGACTGCAGCTGCTCACGGCTTTTTCCATTCCGGCCCTTTGCCTTTTTCTTTTTCTGTCGCTTCTTGGGACCAACTGCTCCATTTGATTCTTCCTCGAAGCCGTCCACGCCCTTCGGAATAGAAACCTTGACTCCATCATCATCTTCTGGCTGCAGCTCGTCGAAGAAGGCGAGGTTGAGCAAAACGTCCATCGAACGGTCAATATCCTGGTCGCATTTCTTCAGTGTATGCCGGACGGTAAAGAGGTCAACCGATGGAAACATCTCCGAAAGATAAACCACTTTGTCCTCCAGCGTGGCACCAGAAAGACTGACAGACCCATCAGCGCCGATGATATACCCTATCGAAGATCGCTGAGTCTTGTTTTTGGATAGATTACTATCGCGCGCGATATTATTATCATTATTGTCACCGCCCACACTCATGCAGGACAACTCCGAGGTGAGGCTGGTGATATCGGTCTCCCTTGTGCCATTTCGCGATGTGCTGTGCTCGGACAGGGCATCCACTCCGTTCACCGCAACACTCAGCCCACTTGTCCCCGATGGATCAAATGGTAAGTCCTCCTGCTCCCAGGCAGATAACTTGAGCGTATCCAGCGTTTCGCGGAGCTGTTGAACCTGCGCATGATCCGTGAGATCAAAGTCGGAGACGATAGCCGTGAACAAAGCTGGGTCAAGAGGCGGGCAGTAATTCTTTTCGAGTTCCTGTAAATCAAGAAAACCATATATTTAGTAAGGAAATGAAAGTAACTACTCATAATAAATCATCGGTGTCTGACTTGGAAGAGCCCATCGCTATTGTCATCCATCTTCAAAGTCGCTAACCCTGTGCCGTAGAATCTGTCGGGGTATTCTGTGCATTCCTCTGTGACTCAAGACGTTCAAAAACATAGATGGTCACAGGCCCTTTTATCTTAAAAGATCAGGCCCGGCTGTTGTGATCGAGGGTGGCAGCCTTCGGGAGCGTTTGCTTGCGGCAGACGATGTGCGTTGTGCGGGTTTTCGGCAGAGTTAAGTCTTCTCCGAAAATGACATAATGGACAGTCCAACCGGCCATGTACGCAGTTCCTACAGCCTTCCGGGTAGTTCTATTTTGTCAGACTCCTCGTATCCTGTATGGAAATCGTCTTCTATCCCTGAAATACAGGGGATTAGTGGGAAATGCTGGGTTGAATCACAGTCATGTTCGGCGCAGCACTTCTTTGGCAGAATCAATGAACCCTACTCCAAACTGTATGACCGATATAGATCCCTAAGAGAGTAGAGATATCTAGCACAGCTTGTCTAAGGGGAAATAAATTCTTAATGGCATTGTACCTAATCTCCCTGTTGAAATGCCTAGGAACAAAAAACAGAGTATTGCATCTGACAGCCTCGCAAAAACCAGCTGTGGGAACAAGAACCATGGTCCAGAAGGACAAGAGGAAAAAGTGGGCAAAGGATCCAGTGAGACCGGTAGAACTTCATTCCTATGGAGTAGTGGAAGGGCAAAGGCAAGGAGTTGTCCCAAATATGTAAACAGAGAAGAAGATGAGAGGGATGCCACCATACACAGGGTTGACCCTTTGTCTCATCGCCGAGAGAGAATATTCAGTGTTGATATTCACAGCATCGCCCTTAAAGGAAAACAAAAAAGAAAAAAATATTTGCCTTTCTTCTTCAAAGAGCGTCAAAGGCATCATCATCCCACAAATCCATAGTCAACCCCTTCCAGAGTATGGACTTGACTCGGATTTCGATCAGCCATGACGATATCCAGCATCTCAGGCTCATCAACGTCAACAAAAACAAGAAAAGCAACTCGCCCAGCGATACCGATAGACACCAACGTCTGGAGAAGCTGAAAACAGCGCCTCTGTTCTTAGCTCATGCTTGTATGGCGATAGAGAACCATGGATCCAGTACGAGCTGCACATTCCCTCAGTATGGATTGCCGGGGCTGCAGGTTCACGAAGACCCCCACACCGTCGACCATCGTAAACTGATGTACGCCAATGTCTCCATGCCTTGGTCGGCGTTCATCTGTGAAAGCCAGGGCAGCGGCAAGAGCCACACGCTGTCCTGTCTGTTGGAGAACGCGCTCATCGCGTCCTCTCCTGCAGGAAATGTGTCCTCGCCTCTGGCCGGCATGGTCGTCCACCACGACAAATTCACGTCCTTTTCGGGCATGCTGTGTGAAGCGGCCTATCTCTGCTCATCCAACATCCCCGTTCGTGTCTTGGTCTCACCGACGAACTACGCTGCAATGAAGGAAGCGTACGAGAATCTCCCGTGACTAAAAGGAGATTCTTGTTCTCTGGAGGTTGTACCGATGTACCTCTCCCACAAGCGTCTGGCCATTACCATGATGAAGACGCTCATGGGAATTGGCACCGGAAAAGACCAACCGGTGTACATTGAGGTACGAGCAGCGCTTAAGTGATGAATGAGTGAATGAACAAAGCTTACCCGTCAGTCTAGGTGGTGACAAAGATCCTTCGCGAAATGGCCACAGAATCTCAAGGGAAACCGTTCAATTATAACGAGTTTAAAATCGTATCGAACAGGCGGGATTCCTAAAAGGGCAGAGTCTCCCGTTAAAAATGAGGCTTGAAGTTTTGGAATCGTTCTTCGGGCCAGGCGCGGCTCGAAAGAAGGGCCACAAGAAGGGGCCGAGAAAGGATCCAGCAATGAAAATATGGGAGTTCAAAAAAGGCAGCTTGACTATTGTCGACTTGAGTTGTCCGTTTATTGGACCTGACGATGCGTGCGCGCTGTTTAATATCTGCGTCTCGCTGTTCTTGGAGGGTCGTAGTGACGCCCGGACGCATAATTGCACTCGACGAAGCTCATAAAGTACGCATAGTGGTCCCAACCCAGCCTCTTTGAGACTTGACTGACAATTGCATCTTATCCTAAGTTCCTGGACACTTCTTCGGTAGAAGCCGTCGAGTTCACCGAGACACTGCTGTCCATCGTCCGGCAGCAACGACACCTGGGGGCCAGAGTGATGATCGCGACTCAGGAACCCACGGTATCTCCAGCATTACTGGATCTGTGTAACGTCACGATCATTCATCGATTCAACTCACCTGCGTGGTACAAAGCAATTGAGGCGCACATCGCAGGTGCCGCAATGGCGTCTCGAAAGGCATCACAGGCCAATGCATCGGATCTATTCCAACAGATCGTACAGCTGGCGACGGGAGAAGCACTCGTGTTCTGTCCCACGGCGCTCTTGAAAAGTACTGGATATGCTACTGATGTCAAAATGAGCGAGGATGAAGATCCGAAGACATCAAATACGATCTGGGCGTCCCTCGCAGGATCCAGGTCTGAATCCCGCCAGGGATTTGGAAGTAAGGGACGTGGAAGTAAGGGACGATATCGCCGAGCTTGGATCAGGCTTATGTTCGCCTGAAGATTCGGGAGAGGATCACTGCCGACGGGGGAAGTATTCTTGCATAGACATTTTTCTGCGCCTCTTCTTGGAACCTTCTTCCCGTGTTCAGGCACAAAGCCGGCGATCTATTCGCATCCTGGATTGGATGAGACGGTGGGTTTGTCAGATTGGATGCCTCTGACGGAGCAGTCGGGTCATGTCATGGACATATTTGTTTTCATTTCGGGCTTCTTTCATTTCAGACATGTCCAGCAGTCGATGGGGCCATATTGATGGGGCTGAAGGAACAATTATTAATGTCTCTGCAGTGAAAAGTAAAAATAGAATAAAATTAAGATGCCGCAACGCAGCGAACGGCAAGCAAACCAAGGAACCGTGCCTGACTCCCTATAGAGCCATAGAGTCATAGACAGTGGACACCGTCACAGTCGGCACACTAGGAATGATGCCAAGGAGAAGAGCAGATATTTTCATCCTGGGAGATGCAACTGTCTCACTTTGGCCAGCTAGTCGAACCAAACTGGAGAACAGTGGAGGCTCAGCCTTTCTAGTTGTTAACTTATTATGCCATTGTCTTTTATCTGCCGGTTCATTATTATCTTCAGTCCGAGTCTCCGAGAGCCTTGTACGAAGTTGAACCGAACTCCTATATTCAGGGTTCAGACTTCACCCTGAACCCGGTGGATGCTCAACGACATCAACGACATGTTCTTATCGTGACGCTGGCAATTAATGTTAAACCTAAAACCAAGATCAACCGGGATAGGCTGTGATGTTCGTATTGAGCGGCCAGCGGAGCCCCTGTGGCGTTGGGCAGAGTGGGCGATATCTCCATTCCACCATCGCTCTCGCGTTCCGTGGGAACAGGCCTAATAATAAACAGTTAGAATCGGTTAATACGGAAGACGAGCCTCGCACTTACCTGACAGCGAATGATCCTTTTAACCAGACTGAGACAATGCCTCTTGGGCGCTGTTCTGACTGGTCCATCGTTATTTATCGAGTGACGACGATGGTGAGATGATAGCTCTATGCAGGGTGTCCACGTCTTATTATACCGGGGCTCCCATTCTTATTATTCTTCTTCTCCGTTCTTGGTTTTTTATTTCCTAATTTCATCGTTCCTTTCGTTCGCTGTCTGCCGTTTATAGCTCTCCTTCAAAGCTCAAGCCGTTCATTTCCACTCGATAATCCCCCTGTCCTTCGCTTGTACGTACACTGTACAGTCTGTCGTTCATCCAGGACATTCGTTCATCTGTTCACAATGCGTTTCTCCATCGCGACATCCGTCCTCACTTTCGCTGCCTATTCTGCAGGTATGTTGGTTGTTAGATGATATTCGTCTGTTCCGTCTTTAGAGCATCCCCGTGCTGACTCGCGCCATACAGCTATCAGCATCACTTCCCCGACCAAGAATGAGGAAGTTGACTTCTCCGAGGGTGTCACGGTGAAGTGGTCCTCCGTCAGGTGTGTTTCGTTCCCGGCTGCCAAGGCAAGGAATGCAGGGAACTAATGCCAGACGCACGACAGCACCGACCCGTCGACTTTCGACCTGTATCTCGTCAATATGCACGTTTATCCCAATGTCAACACCAAGATTGCCAGCGGTGTGAAGACCTCTGACGGTTCCTACACCATCAAGGGCGTTTCTGGAATCACCTCGGGGTATGGAGCAGCCCCTATATGCGACCTCAAAGCGGATATATGTACTAACAGTATATACTGTACAGCGATGACTACCAGGTCAACTTCCTCTCCGATGACCCCCAGAATAGCGGTATCCTGGCCCAGTCCGAGCAATTCAGCGCCGAAGCTTCTTCCTCTTCTACTACTGCCGCTTCTTCCAGCTCTGCCAGCACCAGCACCGCTTCTTCTGAAACCACCTCCACTGGTTCAAGCACTACCCTGACCGTGGCTTCGACAACCTCTGGTTCCTCCACCGCCACCGGCTCGTCGACCTCGTCCGGCTCCTCTACTTTCGGTACGTATATTATAATATACACCTCTTCTCCAACAATATGGACACTCGGGAGCTAACAATGTAAAAGCTACCTCCGCATCGAGCACCGGTTCCTCCACCAGCTCTGCCACCGGCACTTCCAGCAGCGGCGCTACCCACGCCTCCAGCTCCGCAGAGCCCAGCTCCACCAGCAACGCTGCTGCCGGTCTCATTGCCCCTGCTACCGCCGGTGGATTCTTGATGGGTCTCTTCGCCCTGTTCCTGTAGGTCCTTTACTTGGAATCTCGACCAGGACTTTTACTTTCAGAGCTGCCATTGTCAACTTTATCCCATCAGCTCTTCTTCTCCCTCAAATGGGAGTATTAGATGAAGTTATTTATATAAACGCCGTTGAATACCTTTTTTCCATATATTGTTTATTCTTTCTCCCTCGTGAGGTAATAATTTATCTGATCTATGTGGTTTTTGGTTTTGGTTTTGGTTTCCCTTCTACTGTCGTCGGGAATAATGAAATGAAAAGAAAGAAGATGAATAATTGCTCCGTTAATGATTTGATTTGGCTTCATTCCAATTCCATTTCATTTGGGTGATTCTTTGGTTTTCTTGATTTCGTGTCCCCTACATCGACCCTTTTTCTTTCCATTCTACTATGAATACAGATGATCTACTCGCATCTTTATGAAGTTGTATAATATGGAGTAGGATACATAACCGATTATATAATGACATGATGTAGGTTTCTTCATGCTGGAAGTTGTACGTCTCTAACCGCCCAATTTCACTGTAGCATAGCTACTGTCATTTCTGTCACTATAAACTAGGAGGCCGGTGATATATACAATAGGGTTTCGATGGGGAGTTAAATACATAAAATCACACGTATATAAAGTCAATATTCCACAAGTGCACTCACTATATATACAAATAGAACAAAACCAATGAGTAAATGCAACCAATATTTGCATCATAACACTGACCCTAGTCCGGAGTCAGTATTGCCCGACGATGAGTAAATATCGTGTTTGTCGCTAACGCCTTCTCGGGGACGGTTCCAGGTGCGGATATGGCCTGTATTATAGCAACGTCAGAGATCCAGTGCCAGTCCACATAGCTATAGGTCATGATGAAAGTTCGCGCAAATTGAACGGCCGAAAGGTGGGGATTAGACACACGACAAGACATGACTTACCCTCGAGTGAAGAAGTTAGGACGCAGTCTTCCTGGAATCCTACCCAGCAGATCGGATCTTCGCCGACAACCTCGGACTAAAAGCGCTATTGTTAGTTGCTTAACAACAAGCAATCGATATCATGGACTAAAACATACCATGATGGGTGGTAGCAACGCTGTGCGTGATCTAGGTTCAATTGGATGCCGTGCAGTCTGGTCAGAATTATGATCCAACTTGCGAGTGCAATCTGAATCGGGCATTATTCGGTTGCCAAGGCTATCCTCTCGATGTCGATTTGCATGATGTTGATGGTGCTATTTCCAGTATGAGTCATGTCAGCCATCGGTTTTACGATCGCTGAGAAAAACCACTAAAATTGCTCTAGTTCGGCAATAGCATTGCGCATCATTCGCAAGGGATAAAGACTTACGGCTTTCGGTCGATGTAGCATGCCAACGCTAAAATCCCATAGAAGCAGCCTGCAGTCATCACCAACACTGCCAAATCGATATGTCTTCTCATCGCAGCGCCACGGGTCAAAAGCCACTGCGGAAACCCATGAATTGTGGCCTTGGCACCGTGCAACGATCCGACGTTCCGGTAGAGACCATATCGTTACGAGATCATCCTGACCACCGGTGACAATGTATTTCCCGTCCGGAGACCAGCATACGCATATCAACCCGCCATAGTAGCTCCGGAAGACGTCCAGTAATCTAGTACATGAATTAGCAAAAGAAGCCCAGACGCATCACCTGCAATGGGGTAGAAGGACGCACTCTTCCTTAAGGTAATCTAAAACTCGTAGAGTACCATCTTCCAGTACAACGGCTAGATGTCTCTGGTCCGGCGAGAAAGCAAACTGCGAGATCTTCTGGTTCGCCAATTTCCAGACAGAAACAGGGTTTGTTTTCTGGCTTCTTGAGTTTACTGACTTCAGTACCTGCAAGGGTCGTGGATGAGGAGTCTTCTCATCCCAATAATAGTGTGTTTCTGGCTGAAATGGAGCATCCTCCTTCTCCTTATCATAGACAACAAGCTGGCCGTTTGCATGAGCCGCCATGAATAAGTTCTCTGACCCAGGAATCCATTTGATATGGGACACTGGCGAGTTGCAGACGTTACCATTCTTGTTGATCCTAGCGTACTTTTGTGTAATCGGCTCGTACCATATTATATCGCCAGCGGATGAGCCCATTATCACATCGATGTGCGACGGCGATTTGGTCAACTCATTGACATCGTGACACAAAATGTGAGCCTTAGTAAAGAGAATCTTTGCAAGTGGCTCCTCCTTTTGCTTCGAGCTAAGATCCAGCCACTGAAATGCGCGGTTAATGTTGCCAAAGCAAAAGAGACCATCGGCATTCCGTTCGCTAAGTCGCTTTGCACATGAATCATGGGTAATAACGCGCGAAACGAATGATGAGCTGCTCTTGATGATGTTGTTTTTCGGCTTTCGCCTCTTCAAGCCATCCTTCGCTGGCAGTCCCGCTACGGCCGGGTTCCATTCTCCAAATACAGGTATCGCTGCGCCGTGTCGTGATGCGGCGGAAGTAGGAGCCTTGTTTCTGTTATTGACACTGACAAGCGACAGTTTCACACCAGAAGTTGGGGGGGTTGGGCCGGTCGCGAGAGGGTTTGGGTTCACAATAGGGGCTTCGGATGGGTGTGGAGGAGGGGTGGCTAGAAGTAAATCGTCTTCAAGATTATACGTTCCTATGTTGATTCAACCGGCATTAGCTTAGGTGCAGGTATTGAGGACAGTTAGCGCATACCTTCTCCGACCTGTAATGGACAACCCCCCTCTGGATGACTGATGATGTTGGTAGTCTCAACAACAGGCACTGCCATGCCATTTGAGGCTCCCGCAGCATAGGCAATAGGGACCGAGTAGCGCGGCGGCGGTGGAGGAAGGACACTACTTAGAGCACTTAGCAAGGATACATGGGGAACACGAGATATTGCAGTTAAAAAGAAGTGAGGCAGCAAATCCCATACTCGCAAACGTCGGGTAGCAGAGTTGAACGGCATCATTGAGCCTTCTTATCCACAACCTCGTCGACGATATCCGCACAGGTATTTCTTCCTAAAACCAGTCTGATCTTAAAGGCAACTGGAGGAGTAGGCGCGAGAAAAGAGAGGGGAGCACTTACAACATGATTGCGGTTGTGAAGGGCTCCCAGGTATTGAAAGCTCAGGTTCAGCATGCGCCCTCTAGTGGAAATGCAAGCTTGAAACAAATGCAGGCAAAGAAGAAAGATAACAAAAATGCAAGTCGTAATGAGAATGCAGCAATGCAGAGTCAAAAAGAGCAGCCTGTTGCGTGATGCTTGTCGATGAAGATGCGATCCCTGCGTCTCTGGGAGTAGCACCGTAGATGGTGCAGTCCCAGACTTCACCAGCTCTTGTGCAAGAGTGGATGTGATATTGCAAGTTCAGTAGCAAGATGCATGCAAAGAATGGCTGAACGGAGCGGCAGTAAGAGTAGAATAGAATCAGCTGCGCTGTTATCCCGGTGTGCCGCTGCAACACCTCTCTCCGTCTGGACTCTGCTTATCGGGCGCGGTGGGTCGGCAATAATATGACTTTCCGAATCGAGGACCTCACACAACTGACGGCAAAGACAGGAGACGACAAGGGAGGGGGAGGGGGGAGAGGAGGATATTGAGATGGATATGGAGAGAAAAAGAGCTAATTAATTACCCCGGAGTACTAGAGTCGTGGAGGTCAAAGCGGATTAATCTTGGGTGGAGAGGATAATAATCCATCGTATATCATAATCACTGGGAATACGCTAATCTTCTCTCGCTCCGCAATTCAGCCATCTGCAAAGAGGAAATGAGACGATTAAGGTGTTCTTTTTTTGCAACCTCATTGTGTCTACAATGCCTGCTGAACTTCAACCCTTGCCGCACCAGATGATCCCAAGAAATAGGTAGTATTATCATACATAGACGGTATATCTTCTCAAGCATCTGAGGACTTCAGTCAAGAAATGTTTGCGAGGGTATCTTGTTGCGTATCTATTAATTTTACAAAATCGACGCCAGCCTCTCAGCTTCCGCTCCCACTCACTCTTCGCCAGATCATAACTGCCGCAGCTCCTGCGCAGACCACCGCTCCGAGCGCAATTCCCCACGCCATCCACTTGCCTTCGTCATCTTCCTCGCTGCGCGGAAATGCCGTGCTGGGCTCCATGGCTGCTTCGGCAATATGAACAAAGACTTCCTGGATCGAATTCCAGGTCACGCTCACATGGAGCGGGGGCCCTGGCATTCCCAATACCGCTGTGTACTCATGCGGCTGATACTCGGCCCTTTGCGTGGTTCGATCCAGATCGGCCTTGAGAGCGATGAACACGCTCGGGAGTTCTTCCAGATGCGGGTACTTGGAGCGCAGTTCAGGGATATACGCGAAGGAGTCTGGATCCGACGAATCATAGGTGTAGGCAATGACGTCGCACTGGTCCAATAGCTTTGATTGATTCTCCAAAATGGCGGGCTCCAACTCCCCTAGCTCATCCAGGATCAGATAACACTGTTTGCCGCCAGGAAGCTCGACTGTATTCACGGCCGTCCGCGGTCGGATCGTGGGGTGGTAAGTGGTACTGAAACCCCGTGAGAGAAACGCATCGAGAAGGGCCGACTTGCCCGAACCCGGTGCCCCGAGAACATGGCAGAGGACAACATTACGTCCTACTCTCCCAGGGCGTCTTCGCCGCTTTCGGGGGCGGGTGACTTTCAAGGCCGCTGTCGTGGACGGATTACTTCTGTCTGATGACTGGAACCCCAGGTAAGCAAGGTACTCCAAAGTTGTCTTGGGTGATGTGAAGGTAGTCATGCTCCACTGAGCAAGCCAGCCTTGCAAGGTGACATGTCCAGCTTCATTGCGGACCGTGGATGACGGGAATGAGTTTTCTGTCCACGAAGCCGGCAAGCCAGGGGTTGGTGCGAAAAGCGAGGCTAACTCTGCGTCATTCAAACCTCCGTCATTGTCCTTGTCAGAAAGAAGGAAGAGATTCACCAAAAACCGATAGCCTTCAGGAGATAGCTCGGCCGACGCAAAAGGTGGAACATCGAATCGCGGATGGAGAAAACTCTCCTGTAGGGAAAGATTATCCGTATATTGGAAGGCTCGCAAAATTATCCAAACAGTCTCGTGACGCCCTTTCTCCGCATATAACTTATTCAAATGTAGGAAACCATGGCAGTCAATGCCAAACTCAGTAACCGACTCGGGCAGTGCCTTCTGGATGGTTTCTTTGATGTAAATGAGATCTTCCTGGCTCAAGGGCTTCCCGAAACATCTCATCTGGAACTCTTCTATCTCCTTATCAGAGAGATATCCGTCTCTATCCTTATCGCTGAGATAGAATATGCGTCGTAGAGCCGCGATTGCTGCCGGCTTCAGGGAGGATTCTTTAGAGTCGAATAGCGGCGCGATAGGGTGTGTCACAGCTTTCTGGCAAAGGAAGAAGGATTCATTGACGTTTCGATGTTCCCGAGCGCTGGTGCGAATACATGAGTCGATTTCTTTGAACTCGGCCATCAGCGGCAACATTTCATCCTCAATGACTTGTGTCTCGCTGTGGTCTGCGGCGAGATCGGACTTGTTGGCGCACAGCACCACCGGAACATTGACCCCCAAGGAGCGAAAATAAGGTAACCAAAACAAAGCCACCCTTTCATAGCTATAGTGATCTGAGTAAACCAGTAATATCACATTGGACTTCCGAATCTCTCTGGCCAAGCTGCTCCGCTCTTGGGGGAGGGCAGAGGTGTCGACGATTGTTGTAGTGGTTACATTTTCTGGAGTACCAATCGTTGGAGGAATGGTGATCTGCGGCAAGACAGGTTGGATCTTGTTCGTCACGAAGACACCCTTGACAAGCGAGGTGATGAGGCTGGACTTGCCAGTGCCCTCATCCCCGCAGACGCAGATTCGCACTGGGTAAGAAAAGTCAGTTCCAAAGACTGCTTCAACTTATCCGATCATGGCACTGCCGAACCTGTAGCCATTTCAATTGAAAACACGGACCAGGGATAGATTGATAGCCCCTCACGGGATTCATGACAACATGATGCAAAACATATCTCCTTGGTCATAGGATGGCTCAATAGCTAGTTGTAAACTTGAACAAAGCTGAGCAACCTTCGGCGGGAACATGTGACCGGTCCAGGCTGTTCCCGGCTAGCAGGAGATTATCAGTCGGGACTCCGAGTCCCGACTGATATTAAGGTAATTTTATTTGAATAAAAACAATATATTGCAATCCGAGAAGAGAAATAATAATAAATAAATAAATAAAAAATAAATACTTTTCAGATAAGAAAAAAGAAATGCTTGACCTACGCAGGATTCGAACCTGCAATCTCTCGATCCGTAGTCGAGCGCCTTACCATTGGGCCAGCAGGCCTTTGATTGTTGAAAATTAATATCTTTATATTAATATAAAAGGAATACTACTACTGAGGATTTCATTTGGCACGTGGTAGCCGAGCGACAATTGATGCCTGGAGGCTGGAGGTTAATACTACTTGGATCGCGCGGTCCCTGGACAGGTTATATAAAGCTGACAACGAGCATTCTGGAATCATCGTTCCTGATGTCATTTTGCATTGCAGGCACGGGGAGTTCGGAATCTTGAATATTAAGCCGCAGCCGAACCCAGTCGTCATTGATCGATACATCATCACCAAGAGCCAAGGCCTACGCATCCGGTCATTTGACCCCGCGAGCAGTCAGCGAACGCCTCCACTGAAGGCGATCTATCGCGCCCAACTTCTCTCTCACCTTCATAGATATTTTTTCTTGCCCTCGAGTCGCACTTTCAGATCTCGAGTTTCGCCAAGATGGTTCTAGGGATAAATAATCCGCTCCCATCATCCCTCAGCAGTATGTTTCATGGACTGCTACGCATACTTCCCGGCAATTGGTGTCATAAACTCTGACGCATTGGACAGGTGAATGCAGAAAGGCTGGCAAAATTCTTGCCTCCTTTGTTGATCCCCGACAAGCCTTTGGTCCCGATAAGATCATTCCTCCAGAGATTTTGGCGGGCGCAAAGGTGAGTATCCTACTTCTTCATTCCGGCAAGATTCGGGTGAATGCTTCCATATACTAACCTTTCTCTTCTCTCTCCTCCTAATAAAGGGCCTTGCAATTCTCAGTGTCTTGAAAGCTGGTTTCCTGGGATCCGCTCGGTTTGGTTCTGGAGTCGTCGTCGCTCGCCTGGGCGATGGCACCTGGTCAGCCCCGTCGGCTATTGCGACAGCGGGTGCGGGATTCGGCGGTCAGATTGGGTTTGAGTTAACTGACTTTGTCTTCATTCTGAACGATGCTGCTGCAGTGCGGACATTCTCCCAGGTGGGAACTTTGACTTTGGGTGGTAACGTGTCAATTGCTGCAGGACCTGTCGGCAGGAATGCAGAGGCTGCCGGTGCAGCAAACACTCGGGGCGTTGCGGCGATTTTTTCTTACTCGAAAACCAAGGGGCTTTTCGCGGGTGTCAGCTTGGAGGGAAGCATGCTAGTGGAACGCAAGGATGCGAACGAGAAGCTCTACAATGGCCGAGTCACGGCGCGCCAGCTGCTCAGCGGAAGCGTACGACCACCACCTGCGGCTGAACCCCTTATGCGCATCCTAAACTCGCGTGCATTCCAAGGCGTTGCGAGAGTGTATTCCACGGATTCCATGTATAATGATATTCCCATCTACGACAACAACCATGACGATGTTGTCTGGGAAGGCCGGCGCGGACAGGCGTATGGCGAAGGCGTTGGTTCTCGACGGGACCGCAACAGGTTCGATAGATACGACGGCCACGACGATTACGAATATCGTGACCGACCACGCGCTAACACATGGGCTGATGACGTCTATGACCGCCCTGCTGGTGGCTTGGATCGCTCTGGTACGACTCGGGGTGGCCGCAGCGATTCATTCAACCGCGGCGGCTACCCATATGAGTCGTCTTATGGTCGTAGTCGAAGCAATACACTTGATGATGACTACGTGTATTCAGACCGCAAACCCAGCCGCCCCACGGCGCCGAAACCGGTCTTCGGACAACGAACGGGGCTAGCACCCGAGCAGCGGAAGGATCAGGTAGTGGCTTTGTATACCTTCGATGCCGACCAGGACGGCGATTTAGGATTCAGGAAAGGAGACATTATCACAGTCATCAAGCGGACGGACAAAAGTGAGGACTGGTGGACGGGACGCATTGGCGACCGGGTTGGCATCTTCCCTAGGTAAGCCTGGGAGTCCTTCCTTGCTCTCGGATTGGGCTATGACTGACTATGCGTCCAGCAATTATGTCGAGGCTCTCTAGGCCCATCGGTTTCTATGATGCTCGTTTATGTGGAAATGATACCAATTAGCAACAGTCGTCTTTTTCATGCTTACGGTCTTATCTGGGTCTGGAACTATAGTCAATAACCGCATGTATCACCCTCTGCCAGCGTTTTAACTTGTCTTTTCTCTTTGTGCTTCCTGAACGTCAACGAGCATGCCCTGCGAAGGCGTCCGTGTTTGTTTCTTTTTCGAGCTGTTGGGATTTCTAGTGCAAATTGGATCACTCATCCTCTCTCTGTCTGTCTTCTTGTCTGTTGTGTACTATTTTTTTCGAAATATGCTTTCTGCCCGCTGCTCGTTTCTGATTGATCTACATGCTTGCAGTTGTGCTTATTATTTACTTGGCCTCGTACACCGTGTCATGAATAATAGTAGTAGTTGGTAGTTCATTCGGTTTCCAACGCTGTGTAACCCGGCTTGCAGATTCGGTCACGTGTGCATGCTACTCGTTCTCAAAGCGCAGGCTACTTTTGAACTGAGTGAAGCTATGGCAGAAAATAAGAAAAATAAGAAAATAAAAATAAATAAGTATATATATATAAGGAATGATGTGCACCATACCAGTCGCTGATAGGGATGCATTACGCACTATGCTTAAACAAACAGAGCCTAATAATGTGTAGGCATGATGAGTGACGGGTGCTCACTGTTCTGATTGCATCTTATACATGAATATCATATTTTATACGAGGTCAATAAGTAATTATTCTTAATGCGCTGCAATGTTGTTGTTATTGTTGGCCGGCTTCCCAGGGGACAGAACAATTCAATTGTGCAATGTGCAGTGAGACTGTATAGGAATCCTCGAGGCTATATATATATCTCTCTCTTGGAGTATCTACCTAGGTGCGTATATTATTGGGCAACAGCAGGAAGGCGGATGGAAAGGGGCCCATAATGTCTGCTGCCAAAGAATTGTGCGATGTACGGCGAGAAAGGAAAAGACAAGACGAGGCAAAGCAACAGCAACATTGCCAGCTGCATTGTTGTTCCTGACTCCAGTCGTCGCCCTGACCTGACCCATTTAAAATCTCTACCCCCCCGATCTGCTGTCACCTCTAGTTTTCCACCACTAACCCAGCTTCTTTCTCTCTCAAAACCATATACTATATATTCCCATTGCTATCATCGTCGTCTCGTCGCCGCCTTCGTTATCGCCGTCATCTGTCACCATTACCTGCCGCTCGCTGTCTTCCCGCTCAACTCCCTCTTCCATCCATACAATTACCACCACCCGCATCTACTTGATCGTGGCCGGATGCCTGTCCTTCACATTGATTTTGTCCCCGGTCTTTAGTCTCTGTCGATACTCGCTTCCCCTTGTCTGTGCTCCTTCGAGCTACTGCCCGCTCCCATGCCCTTTCGCTGCCGTCTTCCGACCAAGGTGGTACATTTGACACCCTTCACCTTCGTCCTCCCCTGTCTCGGATCCTCCCAGTGGGCCTTTCGCCGTTTGCTTATTCTCTAGCTGAATATCGGAAATCGTTCCGTACCATCTTAAACCTTTCTCATGCAGGTTCGTTAGTGGTCATACTTAGCTTTCCCCGAGTGGTCGTTCTCGACTCTCTTTCCTTCCATATGCCGGGGTGTCTAGCCCCTCTAGTGATTGCCCACGGGCGCAACATGCTCACAGTCGTCTTCTTCATCTCCTATGAAGATATCAGATCATCATGTGAAACATGTTTTCTAACTCTACAAACCTCAGCACTTGCAGGCTTCGGCGCACAAATCGGAGGTTGACGGAGAATCCTCGACGCGAAGAGGCCATATATCAATAAGCGACCCCGGCCATCATGTTACGGAGGCTATTGGCCATATGTATGATGACGACTATGATCAGAGTGATTCACGCCGTCTCAGCTATCTTTGCACCCCGCTGACCGAGTCGATCTCCGTCTCCCCTATTTCCAGAACGTCCTCGAATCCTCAGCATCCAGATGAAGCCCACTCTCTTCAGGCGAATGGGCGCTCGCGACCACCAGCCATCAGATCCAAATCGTATGACAAGGACCACAATATGGGCTCGTCCGGGTCAGATCGATCACCGGGAGGAACAGCAACCTCGTCGTTTCCACTCAATGACATCGATTACGAGTCAGATCCTGCCGCCGTAGCCCAAGAGCTCAGCAACTTAGCTGCGATTCGCCGGATGTCCATGGATGCAGTAGCTACGGGCGATCCTGATCTTCCCTCATTTTCCTCCGATGCCTCGGTTTCTTTGCCCCCTTCCCCGTCAGCAGACGAGAATGATGCGTCCCGACTCTTCTGGGTTCCGGCACGTTTGCACCCCGAACTAGCACCTATGGAATTCAAGTCGTTTCTTGAGAGTAAGGCAGAGCAAATCAAGCGGAGATCTGGCGATAGTTCCTTGTTGGGCAAAGACCTAGGCAAGAGTCTACAAAGGAAAAGATCAAAGCTGTCCAGGCAGATTGACAACCCTGTTGGTTATATGGACGGCGCCGAGCGACTAGAGCGCAAACGATCTGATTCGAAAAGGAGCCCGAATCTGCAAGATTTGGAGACGCTGGTGGACAACTCGAAGCAACTCAACAAGGAGGCCGCTTCTCTTTTGCAAGGGATTCAAAATCTCGATATTTCTGCCGATGAAGATAGACCTATCCTCCCTCCTGCACCCCCTGGCCACAGCCTCAGACGATCTACCAGAACCCAATACCGGAAAGGAGGCTCAAAGAAAGGCGAGAGGCCGCTATATTCCAAGCGACATGCGAGGACGTTAGATGGGACTGACACAGCGAGCAACCAGTCGTCACTCGGTCGAGTCTCAACCGATCCTACCCCGAGCGCAGGTAGGGGGCAATCTTCATCTTGGCCTCACCGAAGTCCTGCGAATACTCCAAGCGATCCTGCAAGTCAAACGCCCGGCCCGGCCTTGGACCATAACGAGTCGAGGAACGGGCCCACACAGTTCATTAGCTCACAGTCTAGTTCGTCTTCAAGTCAGGAGGACTCAGGAGATAGGCAAAATGCGCCAGGTCAACGAAAACAGAGACAGTCTCATACCAGTACCAATGGCCGATCTATCGCGCAGCATTCTCCGTCGACGCAGGGAGATGTCTCAGCGGTCGGAGACACATTGTCAGTTAGACCTAGTCCGCCTCCTGGCATCTCAACCCAGCAGAACCACAGACAGGAAGAGCACGCTTCTACTGGATCCTCAACGCAAGAGAATACTACGAAATGGTCGAGCCGTGCACGTCATTCTACGAAGGAGAGCCGGTCGACACTCAGTGGAATCGCCAATACTCCCCAGGCCCTACCGGGCAACAACACCAGAACCGACACCCTTTCGATAATCCCTACCATGACTGAAGACAAAAAATCAGAAAGTAAGAAGTCGAAAGATAAGAAGGAAGAGGGTGGCAGAAAATCAAGTTGGCACTGGCTCCTGGGCAGCGACGAAAAGGACAAAGAAAAGAAAAAAGACAAAGACGGTGATTCAAAGAAACATAAAAATAAATCTGCCGAAAAGGTACACGATGCTGCGCGTCTGGACGTTCTACAGTCATCCATCGACGGAGGTCAGCGAGGTCGCGAGAGCTTGATCCTGGATCGATCCGAGCATAAATTGGAGGAAGAGCGCCGGAAGGATAGCGCCAAGGGATTGCTGGGAGACTCTAAGAAAGAGAAGGAATCTGGCCTGTTCTCATCGATATTTGGTGGCGTGAAGAAGAAGAGCAACGGGGATGGTCATCACAAAAAGCACGTCTCGCGGAATCTATCCCCCGACCCTCCTGTTCGTGAGCTTCGGCCAGATATCGACTACGCTTGGAGCAGGTTTTCGATCCTTGAAGAGCGAGCGATCTACCGAATGGCGCATATCAAACTCGCAAATCCTCGACGAGCGCTTTACTCTCAAGTTCTTTTGAGCAATTTCATGTACTCCTACCTTGCGAAAGTGCAGCAAATGCATCCAACAATGATGATGGCCGCAGCAGCTGCACAGAGGCAGCAAAAATCGGACCAAACGGACGAGTATCTGCAATATCAGAGATACCAAGAGGTAAGCCAGACCCCGTCGTTCCGTCTGTGCTTTTCACCAAAATATACTAACATCAAACCACAGCAACAGATGCAATTTGACGATAATGCCTATGACAATCCTCAAATGTATGAGTACGATCACGACAACAGGCATGACGCTTACGGATCGAGCCGTTCGCACAGTTATGATAGTGGAAGTGCATATGGCCCGGGGCATTACCAGCAGTATAATTATGCAAACCCGGCATATGCCGGACAAAACCAATTAGATGACGATGACGATGACATGTTTTAAGGGAAGCTAGACCGCCAGTAACTGGTGTTTCTCTGCTGCTATTTTTGTTTATTCTCGAGCGCGCGGAAAATACCCTTGATTTTTGTGAAGCTCCAAGCCGTTGATAGAATTGCACACTGACGACCGATATTCTTCTCTTGTCCCGCCTTCTTTCTGGCTTCTGGCGAGACGAGAAGGCTAATGTTCATATTGTTATATACACCAGGGAAACTGGAGTAAACTGCCAGGACTGATGCCGTCCAAGGGCCGCAGTCTATTTCATTTGATATACTGCTGTCCTTGTCATCATTGTGCCCTTTAAGACACCTTAGGTACACAACCGAGCATATTCTTGATCTTGACTCTGCATACGGTCTGGTACCCGGGAAGTCTGGCACATTGTCCGATTTCTGACTTTGCATAGCGTCTGCGTTGGGTTTTCTTTGGTTCTCGTTTCCCTGTTAGTACTGCGGTCATGGTCTATGAAATCTTCCGACAATTTGGCATTGACCTCACTTTGTGATAGTCCAAGCAAAGCTTAGGCCTTTAGATTCCATAATTATGGATTCCGGTAACAGTTCTGCGTCTCCTTCCCATTTCGTAAAAGCATCGGATAATCCTCGCTCATTCGTTCAAGGGAATTTAGATAGATCTTTTTGGTGAGATTCTTCGATAATCTTTTAAGCTGTGTGTGACCCTATCACACCTGCAGAGCCCATTATGTTGTAGCCATTGTAGGTCTACGTGCCCTATATTTCATTCCTTGTATGCTACACAGACAGTTTTTATATTTATTCCTATATTGGAACTTCTGGTAGTCGTTGGCAAGTAGAGACTGGATATGGGCTATGGCAACTGGTAAATAAGGGGAGACTGGATTAATATTATTATTGGAAGAATATTGTCTATGCATGCATGCATACACGGCGCGAAATCGTGTATGGAAAAATGGCATCCGCACCAGAGCTGCTGGGTAATAACTACAACAACAATGTACACTGACCTTATTTAAATCACGTACTATCTCTGTGTTAGCAAGAGGCCGTCGAATAATAGAACTCTTGTTGCCGTAACCCGACTTACTGGGATAAAGAGATAAGGAACCTGTCTCTCATACTCTTTCCACGCATCACCATATTTCTGTCTGCATCGGTGGATATCTCTCATCGCACGGTGCGCAATCATGGCACAGAAGAACACGGGATAAAACCAGGGAAACGGACTCTCGAAGCTGGTAATCAAACCCCAGGCGAGAGCAAAGAACATGTCACAGGAATAGTGCACCTTACGGGCTAAACCGTACCAACCATCGACGAGGATCTTGTCTCCCGTATCGGTTGCGATGGTCCGAGGGTTATAGATCTCCTGCCACGGAAGCTGGGGGAAGGTCTTGCGCTTCACGAACGTGCCGCGTTCCATCATTCGGAAGGAGTTCTTATGGCTGTTCGCCGTATCCCATACCCAGTAGACGAAGAGGTAGGCCAGGAAAAATGAGGCTAGGGCATATTTGTTCCATGCGTAGACAGATGGGTCGTGGTTGGCAAGATACAGCGTGCAGTGGCAGTAGGACATGGGGACACCGGCCATGTTCCAGAAGATCAACATAAAGCCCATTTTCTCCTGGTACATGTCCCAGGTGGTCGTGATGAGGTGTTCCCCTTTGGAGCATGCGTTGGCGTACAAGAAATGGGCCATGACGAGGAACATGACCTCGCCTGAGACATAGCCATAGTTTTCGTACTGACGAGCGGCGGCGGCGCAGGTTAAACCAAAGAGGATAAACCATGGGATGCGAACTTCATGGAACATCTTGAAATCCAGGATGCCGAAGAGGCGTGGGTTTAGCTCGGCGCCCATAAAGAAATCGTAGATCGGGTAGCCGGTGATTCTGTGTTGGGCACCGCGGGCAAACGCAGAGAAGTAGGCAAAGTAACTGGCCAGGAAGCCGGAAATGATCGAAACCGACATGAGGGGACCGAATTCATCCAGAAAGGTGTAGATGGGGAATAGTCCGGTGCCATGCAAAACCGCCATCACTAAGATGGTGACATAGAAGCTGGTATAGGCAGAGCAGTGGTAGACGAGTTGTTTCCCACCCAGGTGAGGCAATGGCTTGCCATAAGAAGTGAAGCCCGGGAGAAAGATGTAGCATGCAGCCTCGAAGATATAGTAGGTCCAGTAGATGCGCCACGCCCTAGCATGAGGAAATGCCCCCGAGTAGACAAGGTGCACCATATGCCTGCCAAAGTCTCCCCATAACTGGCCATCCTTTGGTAGTGGTAATTTGCCATCGTAGTAGGTGGCTCCAATCCACATGTAGTACATCAGAAGGGGGAAGCCGATCATGAGAGCCAAAGTCCCCAGAGAGCCCCCGAACTCAAAATGGCCGGAGTAGTCAACCCTGGGATCCATTACAGGGCACCGCTCCCTCGCAAAGTCCTTGGGAGTGCTGTTGGCTTTCTTGTCCATTTTCCCGATGGTGCCATTGGCATGCCCTTGACGGGCTTCCACATTCGCTGAACTTTGAACAGCCATATCATTACACAATACTAGATAGAATAGCAGTGCCTGTTAGCGAGTGCGATGATAATGATCCTTAATAGGAATTGACCTACCAATTGAGTACTGTGACAAATGGAAGAAAGTCCACGACGTACTGCAGAGATAAAAGGAGAAATGGGTCAACGAGAATGACATAAGGCAGCCATCCTGGAAGAGTGTAACGCCTCCATTTAGACGAGACACTCTTTGTTTAGCTTACTCCTGTCGATGGAGACGATTAAACATGCTGCCTAGGTACTAAGTATTATTAGAGGGTGGCACTGGTCACGTGAGAATTTCAAGATCAAGGGTTCAATCTGGTTCCTTGCATCTCCAGATCAGAACTGCGTTTCTCTTTCTTTGATCCTACTGCATACCACGGATAAGCTTCAACAAGAGTCATTTCCAAGATGGGTGACGCCTACGAACGCGAGCAGTAGGTTCTTTCATCCCCAGTCTCTGTTCCATATAGTGTTTGCGTTCACCCTTTTTACTCTTTCTTGTTCCCCATTCGCATCTTATCTGTGGCCAGGATACTAACAGAGAACTGCATAAACAGACAAAATAACGCACTCCTTAATTCCCTCTCATCCAAGGTGTCGGCTCTCCGATCTGTCACGGTGGATATCTATGATAATGCGCGAGACCAGGAGACCCTTGATAATGCGGTTCGTACTTCCAGCCCCCTTGTCCTCTTCTAGCAGATTCTTCTCACTGCGGGATTTATGCTTTGTTGGATTGGCCATTGAGACTGATGTTGGTGCTGAAATACAGAATGATGTCTTCGCGTCTTTCTCAACGAGTCTGAAAGGCAGCGCCTCCCGTCTCACCCGGATGGCGAAACAGGGTGACACCGTCGCTGTGTTGAAGGTGGCTGGGATCTGTGCCGGTGTAGGTGTGGGAATCTGGCTGGTCCTTGGTTGGATCTTTTAGATGAACGAGACAAGTCTGGGCGAGATCAACGCCTCTAATTACGGCTTTGCTTTTTCGAATATTCCTTTCTGAATCGTCGTGGTGCTATCTCATCCCCCGCCACTTAGCCACGATTTGTCTTGCCGGTTCAAGACGTTGCTTCCATTCGTGGGTTATCTGTGCTGCCAGCCCCCTTGAGGAAGGTGTTTTTGCAAATGCACACTGGAAGGCGGACCGGATCCCCTGTTCATTTCGTCTCAGATGCAGTTGCTCGCGGTACGTGCCGATGACTATACCCGAAGATCATAATGCCCAAAGAGAAAAGCCGACGGTAGCTCAGCTTTACCGGCGGCGAACATCTCATTCCAAGAAGCTCAGCCGGGAATCTCAACTGAACGTTGTGGTCCCTGCTCATTAGGACGACCGGTTGCAAGCATACGCAGGAATGTAGCTTAGGGGGGGCTTTTATTCCGACTACGCCTTTCTGATCTTGCCTGTTTGATCTTCACATTGCAGCTTATCGGTAATATGGACCTTGTCTGTATAGTCTAAGTCAGTGGAAAATGGCATCCCACTAGAAAGGACCTGGGGAATAAGCTATGGTTCTTAATACACTGCTAGTTGCAATACCGCGGCTTTCACTTCGACAATAGACTGTTCACAGCATGCTAGACTAATTGTATGCCATAAGACATAAGCTTCAACTTCTCCATCTCGGCATCTCCCCAGACTACGGAGTATCCTGCGTACGATCACGTGGACATCACGCCGACAGGAGAAGAGGCAAGTCGAGACATCATTGATTATCCTGATGCTTCATAGACACCTTGCAATTGATGTCGCACAGTGTATGAATTTCCACCCATACTACATTACACTCTTCACAGTGCATATATGAACCCAGCAGTCTTTCGAGTCTTTCGTTGTCCACGGCGCAGCCTCATTTAACCTCGGCTTGTCCGAATCACGGCGATTCATCCACCAAGTTCTGGAACCTTGTCTCTCCAGACCTCGTATAAGCAACTCTCTCTTCATCCATCTCCGCTTCGTATTCCGTCATCGTCATCTTCTTCTCCTGGGTTTTCCTTTTTGTTTAGTTATCGTCCCTTTTCTTTTCTGTCTCCTGTTGTTGAAACCGCGCTCACGCCACACCGCTATCTTTCCGCAAGCCTGTGATGTAAGATGTCTAGCAAGACTACCAAGATCCACTTAGTTCCTCTGCCAAAGGGCTCCGTTCTCCTCCCGGGTGTCACATCGCGGATACCAGTTACCAATCGCCCTGATATCGCAAACCTACTCACTACGTTGCTGGATCCTTCCACCAAACGAGAAGGTACTCCTGTTACATTCGGTTGCGTCCCGCTCAGCTCCCCGCTTTTGAGTAAGGATGGTACACAGCTTATAGAGGATGGAGGCCTGGAAGATGAAGAACGAGAAGAGTTCGAATCAATCGATGCCGGCCAGGCGAGAAAGGATGATCTCTTCCGATATGGCACGGTCGGCAAAGTGATCGGGGTCCAGCGTCGTGCCTTTGCGGAACCCTTTCTTATCGTGCAAGGCATTCAACGGTTCAAAGTCAAGCGCGTCTTCAGAGAGAGGCCTTTCTTTGAAGCCGATGTCGTTCTCTATGAAGAGAAAGGTAGAGTAAAACCAAGTTGAATTTATTGATGCCCCAGAAATTGGCTAATTATCCATGTACAATTGTATAGAGCCAGTTCCAAACGACTCGGAAATTCTCGACCTGTTCCAGCAGTTGCGGCGTCTTTCACGGGAGCTTCTAGCACTTCTGCGTTTCTCCTCTCTGTTGCCTTCTGTCTCATCGCCCATATCGCCGATCGTTGCGCGCAAGTTCGAACTGTATATATCGAAGACAGCCCTGTCACAGGCAGGAAAGCTGGCTGATTTTATGGCGGATATTTGTGAATCAAGCTTTGAGGAGAAGCTCCGAATCCTAGCCTCATTGGATACCAAGCAGAGACTCGAAAGGATCATTGAAATCCTCAGCCGTCAGGTTCAGAGCCTCAAGGGCAATATCAAAATTACGACGATCACCACTCCCAAGGCTCATCAGAATTCGGGGCTCGACATCACTCAGATCGGCCCACGGGAACGCGACATGCTGATGAGACGAGGAATTTCTGGATTAGGCGGCCTAACACCACCTGGAATGGGAGGCTGGCGTGGTGGTGAGAATGATGAGAAGGAACCTAATGAAATTGACGAACTTCAGCAGAAGCTTCAGGATGCACAGCTTAATCCCGAGGCAAGTAAAGTCGCCGATAAAGAACTGAAGCGCCTGCGAAAGATGAACCCTGCCAACGCTGAATATGGAGTTTGTCGGACGTACCTCGAGAATCTTGCCGAGATTCCATGGACGAAGACTACAGAAGACAAGCTTGACCGTGAAACGTTGAAGAGGGCTAGGAGGCAATTGGACGAGGATCATTATGGATTAGAGGGAATCAAGAAGAGACTCCTTGAATACTTGGCTGTGCTGAAACTGAAGCAGTCTACGAACCAAGGGCTTGAACTGCAAATTGCCAAGCTTACGAAGGAGCTCAGTTCCTCCGCCGATGATGACGAGAAAGAAACCGTCCTGTCCGAATCGGACAAGGACGCTCATGAGTCAAAACTCCGCCTTTTGCAGTCCCAGCGTGCGGTCGATAAGTCTCCGATTCTCCTTCTTGTTGGGCCTCCTGGGACTGGTAAAACCAGCCTAGCGAAGTCTATTGCTACATCCCTCGGCAGAAAGTTCCAAAGAATCTCCCTCGGCGGTGTCAGAGATGAGGCCGAAATCCGAGGCCACCGGAGGACCTACGTCGCTGCAATGCCAGGATTGATAGTCAACGGCCTGAAGAAGGCGGGTGTTGCGAATCCTGTATTCCTACTTGATGAGATCGACAAGATCGGAGGCCCTAACTTCCAGGGGGATCCCTCTGCAGCAATGCTGGAGGTTTTGGATCCCGAGCAAAACCATACGTTCACGGACCACTATGTCAACATTCCGATTGACCTGAGCAAAGTCCTCTTCATTGCGACTGCCAATACGCTAGACACGATCCCCCCGCCTCTACTTGACCGTATGGAGACCATTACGCTGTCCGGCTACACGACAATTGAGAAGAGACACATCGCTAAACGGCACCTTGTTCCCAAGCAGATTAGAGCGAATGGGTTGTCTGATGGGCAAATAGTTCTCTCTGACGAAGTGCTTGACAAGACGATCACCTCTTATACTCGTGAATCAGGCGTTCGCAATCTCGAGCGTGAGATCGGAGCGATCTGTCGCTACAAAGCTGTCCAGTTTGCGGATGCGACAGATGCAGGCAAGGAGAACACATACAACCCCGTCGTTTCTCTTGACGACTTGGAGGAAATCCTCGGCGTTGAACGTTTTGACGAAGAGATCGCCGAGAACCATAGTCGCCCCGGCATAGTCACCGGCCTTGTTGCATACTCCACAGGCGGCCAGGGCAGTATCCTTTTCATTGAAATCGCAGACATGCCAGGAAACGGTCGCGTCCAACTTACAGGCAAGCTGGGCGATGTTCTCAAGGAGTCTGTCGAGGTGGCCCTGACCTGGGTCAAAGCCCATGCCTTTGAGCTAAGTATCACTCCTAATCCCAACGAGGACATAATGAAGAATCGCAGCGTGCATGTCCATTGTCCATCCGGTGCCATTCCCAAGGATGGACCGTCGGCCGGTCTTGCACATACTATTGCTCTGATCTCCCTCTTTACCGGAAAGCCCGTGTCACCATATATTGCCATGACGGGTGAAATATCTCTTAGAGGCAAAGTGATGCCTGTGGGAGGCATCAAGGAGAAGCTCATCGGCGCCTTACGTGCTGGCGTCAAGACAGTCCTATTGCCCTACCCAAATAGAAAGGATGTCAAGGACGTGCCTCAGGAGGTCCGCGATGGTTTGAAGATAATATATGTCACGTAAGTAATTCCATCACTCCTTTTCAAGGGGAAGTTCCACTAACCTCTTCGTACCGTAGCCACATTTGGGAAGCGATCAAGCATGTGTGGCCCGATGCACACTGGCCTGGAAAGACACAATTGGATGTCTTTGAGAGCAGGCTGTAGAAGAGCTAATCCAACCAACCAACCGCCCATTGGGGGTGAGACGAGATTCGAGAATTCCGTTTCTGGATATTGTTACTATTGAATAGGTCAAGTCTGTACATGTTGACTTTTTTTTTTGCCTGCTCTTTGTTTCTGCTGCTTGTTTGACTCTCCATTCTTCCGTATCAATATGTTGCATAGCGCCAAACTGGACATATACCAGATAATATCCTTAAGCATTCAATACGAGTAATTGCGCGACTGAAGTCGGTTTTGCTTTGTGAAGAAAACTGTACATTTGAACTATCTTTACAAAAACTTGCCCAAATTCCAAGCCCACTCTGGTAAATATCACAACATAGATAGTAATATAAGAATACATCCATAACAAGTAAAGCCCTTGTCTATTCTCCGCAAAATAACAGGGCAAAAAAGTAACCAGTGCGGAAGAAGAGGGAACGAAAAGGTAACACAAGCAAACAAATCTACGAGCTGCTCGTAGAACTCGACGATCCCTTGAACGCATCCTTGATAATCGATGTCCGATCATAATTAAGACCCAGCACCTGCCAAGTCGGTTTCCAGGCCTGCTTGTTAGTCCCCTGCAGCGCGTCGGCCTGTTTCTTGAACGCTTCACGTTGCTTTGTGTCCGGCTTCTGCGCAGCTTCGGGCGACTCTTTATCTTGTTGTTCTTCGGAGTATTTTCGTCCTTCGTAGAAGAATTCGGGTTCCCATCTGTTTTTGTTAGTTGCTAGTGTTTGTGTATAATACATGCTGCATAATGTACATGAAAAGAAGATTGCAGAGAAAGAGACAGGGCGAATAACGTACGCAGAGAAATCCTTCGGCTCCTCAGGCCATACAAACGGCTGCCTCATCTCAACAGTCATCCTCTTCTTCGACTGCGGTCTCCTCAGTTTCCCATAGCCTGGTTTCGCGAGCGGTCGCTCCCGAGTGATCTTTTGTTGCTCCACATAGCTGCGGACAGAGAGGACATTGACACCGTAGACGTTGCGCAGGTAATCGCGCAGATCGAGCTTGTTGAAGTGGAGAGGGACGTAGAAAGAGGCGTATCGAGGTGGGAGGAACGGCGTACGGATGAGTGCGATGGTGAATTCGGGACTGTTTATCACGGAAAAGAAAATAATAGTTAGACAATCGAAGTTCACCACTTCAATTCAAATCAATTCAAACCAGTTGAACTCAATTCCTTAGAACGATTGGGTTTGAGTGTAGACATACAGAAATATTTGCTTTCTGAATTGCTTCGGTGCCGGGTATTGCTTCTTCGGTACCTTGGGGAATTTCCGGACCATTTTGGGCGAAGGTTTTCAGTGAAAAATTAGATAAAGAGAAGAGGTAATGCGTTGAGAGAAGGAGAATGGAATGGTAATTGTTAACAGTCGTATAATCTGAAAGTCGGCGGATCTTTTCGATTCTAGCTGCGCAGGTGGCCGCGTCGCGTACCGTAGTCCACTGTGTTGTGCATATACCACAGACGCATACAAGCATACACGCTGTTGTATGTACAGCGACGTTGGATGGGTGATTACTCGAACCTACCATAGCATTGATCATAAATTACTGGCAAATATGACATCGTCCCTATTTAAAGCTTGCTCATTACTCATTATTGGCCCTCCTTGCGAAAGGGACTGTTTCCATATCATCCAGAAGACCCGGATATGCTCAGTTCTCCTAACCTCCTGGAGCTTTCCAGGTGTGCATCTTGCTGCTCCTTGTTATCCTCCGTCTCCTCATGTGCATGTTCTCCCTCCTCGTTTCCTGATTCGACTTCAGAATTCTCGCCCTCTTCATCGTCCTCGTCCTTGATATTATCAGCATCCCCCTTTGCCCCAACTTCCTTCATATATGCTTCTAATTCTTTGGCCATCTTCTTTGAGAACCCAGATGCCTCAACTTCCACATCAAGCCGCTTCCCAGGGTTCTTCTGCAACAGCTTCTTGGCGTCAGAGAAAAAAGGCCCGGGCTCGTCGCTGACAAAGTGGAACCTTCGCTGGAAAAACCGTTTGATACAGTTGACATCTCGATCAAAGTACATCTCCGCATTTTGATGATCAACAGATACCATCTGTGGGAAGTCAATGAGAACCGGAACCAGCCGGACATCATCAGAAGCAGGCTCTGCATTTTCAGGAGCCTTCCCCTTTGCATTGGGATTTTCTTCTTCCTTGATAAGGATATTGAACTCATTGAAGTCACCGTGAATCAACCCAAACCGCGCTAACTGTAGGATCATATCCATGAGTTCCGAGTAAAGCAAGGCAGGTTGAGGAACCCTTGATATTTGACGTAACGGGAACGCATCGATCAGACTCATTACGATCGTGTGTCTGTTTTGCGCTATCGGCTCCGGAACCGAGAATCCATTTTCTCTCAAGGCTTTCATAAATGCAAATTCCTTCATGGCCGCCAATCGAGACATGTACATCCACGAACCAGTGTTGCGATTCCGTAGGTAATCTCTGTTGGTCTTGACCGTGCGGAAAGAGACGCGGCCCAATCGATGGATCTTGAGAATCCTCTGTGCTCCAGTGCGATCCGCAACCACGTTGATATCCGATTCCTTCCCGACGCCGATCTGGTTGCCGACGGAGTAGACAGTCTTTTGCTTCTGATGAGCATTCAAGGCTAGGTAGTCGAGACCGCCGTAAGTGAGTCGGTAACCGTCATCTGAAATGATGAAATGAAATAGAAATTAGCAATGTTTCTGACAGTTGAAGAAAAGGAAGAAAACAGATGTATATGCACATTTTGCATTCTTCACTTTCGCTATCAGATTGACCTTGGCCAGATTTGAGATCGACTTATGCACCCCACTACCACCTCGGAGGCCAGATAGTTGTACGATTAACGGCGTCGGTACGACTTCATGATTTCTGCTTCCTGCTTCCACCTAGTAATGAATGACATTTGGTTAGTAACTGAAGCACCACGCCGCGACAGACAAGATACGTACCGCTGCAAGAACTCTGAAGTCCTCTGAAGTGAGATAGCGAATAGCTTTCGGGTCAAGCTTCATGGCTGTGCCTAGTTCTTGTCCAATTTAAACCTAGGCAATTCTGGAAATAAATATATCAAGTATTCCTGCTCTCTGGTGACGCTGCGAAATAATAATATCAGATGCTGAAAAAGTTACCGGCTGCGGGGAGCCCTATACCCTACCTTCCTATTATGATAGGCGGTATGGAGGCGGTGTATTTAATGCCGGCATCCATAAGCATATTCCCAGTTCAGGTCTATCAAGCCCAAAACTGCATATAAAATACATACAAGGAAATTTGCAACAATACTAAGGGAGAATGATATGTAGTATCTTCCAGAGTGTTTTGGATTACATTAACCCAACCATACCTGAGCACCTGCTGTGTGTTCATATCGCAACTCTAGATAACCTAGCCCACAAAAGAAAGCAACTTCACTCAAAATCCTCTCCTTACCTAGGATGGTTCCTCCCATTCGGGGTTCTATTGGATGGTGTTAGATATCAGGAGGGCAAAGAGACTGAGAATGATGAGGAGAAACATACCTTGCGGAGAATGACCAGCCCCTCAAGCGTACTGCTTAGGGGAATATATTGCTCATCTTCCAATTCCGCTCGTTCACCGTACGCCAAAAGCACGGGTGTGCTTTGCGTTTGCCATCCAGTAATTGTCTTGGGTCGCCCGGCTTGACCAACAACGTCCACAGCCTGTCCTACTCGTACGTTCACCGTCAGAGGCTGGAGGTCCTCATCCAAGGTGATAACAAATCGTGGGTACATGGCTGTGATGAGGAAGTAAAGCAGGTAATGGTGTTCGGCGAGGATGAATTGTTTGGCATCGATCAATGACACGAGAACGGTAAGTAGGCCCGCAGCTGCAACTCGTGACAGGACTTGACGATCAGTGTGGAACGGATTGAGAGTAAGTGTACCCTTGCCCATGTGCAGAAGGCCCTGGGCTATGCGAACCATAAATAACGAATTTTGATCGCGATGGTAGTAGCTGGCCAACTGCCGGAGCAACTGTGCCAAACGAGCATTATTTGTGCCGGCCCCGCAAAGTCCCATAGCAAAGATGGCGTTTATGGCAACATCGTTATCATTATCGTGGCTGTATCGGGATAAGGTATCGTATACCTTCATCTGAGGATTACTAGGGCTGATCAAGCCCATAGCAAGGGGAACAGCCTTTCGAATGTTGCTTGCGCCGTAGTGCATTAAGTGACCAAACTGCCGAAGGATCATCTCTTGCCCAACATCCTCTCCCATGGCAATGAGGGATAGACCCAAGACAGCATAAGATTGAACCAGCTCTTCATGGCTCTGATCTTCCTTTTCTTCGATAAGATCGTTGCAGATGTGAAGAAGCTCTTGGATCTTCAAAACCGTGCCAGTCCCAGCCCATGCGCATACAGAGGCAAGGACTGCTGTAGGTTTAGCCATAGGATGGTCAACAGCCTTGAGAATGTCAAGAACAACGTCGACCTCCTCCTGACGACCAAAGTAAAGCAGTGCCAAACCAAGGGCCATGAAGCGAGTCCACTTGTCCTTTAGATGCTTCTGCCGCTCCTCGTCCATCAACGTCGTAGCAATAGCTTCGCTGACTTGGTGGTTGGAGGAACCGACGAAAATGAGACCTAGAGAGACAGCTGCCATAGCAGATAGCTGCATATCTAGAGAGACATCCTCAACAATAGGCAGCAGAACCTCAAGGAGTTCTTCCTTGTTGGATCCAGCATAGGCCAGACCAAGGCCCATGATGGATGCTACTCTCATTGGGACATTCTTTGCCTCAAGGTTGTCTGGGTCACTCAAAAGAGCCAGAGCAGGATCAGAGTCTATCCTAACTCCGGAATTAAGGACACCAATTGCAAGTAGGGCACCTGCTTTGATTTGATCTTCCTGAGCATATGTGAATTTGTCAATCTTATCCAGACCTACTTCGACGTCTCTATGCAGGAGCATGCCCATGGAGGCTGTAGTCGACATCATGCCATCCTCCTTAGTCTTCCAGACCCATGGACCCTTATCACCCTCGACAAGCATCATCTTATCGTTCCCAAAACCGGCATTGACAAAAGAGTTGACAAAGGCGCTGGCAAGATTGTGTCTCGCAGAGTCGACATTTGTCAGACCAGCCCCACGACTGCTGTCCAGGTGCGTTTTGTAAATATCTTCTGGCATTTTTGGATCGAGTATATTAAGTTCTTTCCCGAGGGCTTTGAAATGCTTTGGGATCGACGTGTTGTTGAGGCAGTCCATTAACGTTTGGTCTTCTTCGTCCTCGGGTGGGAGATCGAGCCATATTTGTTGCCTTGCGACAAGGAATGCCATTTGCTTCTTGAGAGCCTTGTCTGTAGTAGCACTGAAGTCGCTCTTAATAAGATCGACATCGTTCAAGCGAATAGCAAGAACAATCGCTTGAGCGAGTTTATTATAACGGACATAGATCTCATGGGCCGTCCGGAGGAACTGCTGGTCTTCGGGATAGGTGAGAAGGTTAACCATGCTGACCATGTACAGGCAGACTCTTGGATACGTGTTTTCGTCCAAGAATCGCGGAATCTCCTCTATTATTTCGAGTTCGCTCAAAAGATCAACCGCATCGGCCTCGGCGTTATGGCTCAAAAGGTAAGGAACAAGAGATAGAGCGAGATCGACCAAATCCTGAACGTCCTTATCAGCATTCAAGCGGTGTTGATATTCCTGTCCTATTTCCAGCGCCAGATGTCTGATGTATTCATGACCCCAGGAAGCGAGATCCTCTGCCTTGCATAAGAGGCGGTACTTCAGAGTCTCAAGCTTTTCCTCATCGCCGTATATCATGCCTAGAATCGATAGCATATCGGCAAGAGAGTCCTATTTGCTCATTTAGTTGTGTATTTCAAACTTGGCGACCGTACGCGGGGACCGACCTTCGTTGGGCCTGCCGGCCACTTGTCATATAGCTCCGTAAGCTCATCGTAATGAGGTCTTAGGAATTTGAGTGGTTTTGGGACGGCCGTCACGGAAGAAGTCGACGTCTTTATGAAATTCTTGATCTGTTCTAGGGCGGGTCGATACAGGGAAGTATCCGGCTCCTGGTACGTGAAACAGTGGGTTAACGCAACCGCTCTATCAGACAACACAACATAGCTTCCGTAAAGACGTACCTTTAACCTCTCAACAAGCATTTCCAGCTCATTCTTTAGCTGCTGGTCCTCCTCGCTCAGTTCTTCTGCTAATTTGTCTAATCAGCTCCCATTCGTGTGCCAACGGAGGGTATCGCGAGAGGACGCAAATACGCGCCTCCGAGTGCTCGCCTACCTTCCTTCTCCTCGTCCTTCTTGCCATTCACTTGTGACTTCTCTTCCTTCTGGGGCTTCTTACTGCCGTTCAACTCTTGAACATCGTTGACCTTTTCCTTGCCCTTGTCAGCGGCAGCAGACCGCTCGCCTTCTTTCGCCATCTCTGACGGGTACCGCGCAAGAAGGTCTGGCGGTGAGGGTAGCGAAATAGTAGTTTAGAAGACGTGAAAATGAGAAGTAAGATAAAACAGCAACCAATGAAAGAAGAGAATGATAGGAGTATTTCACGGGGGGATGGACTGGATATGGTCAGTATTTACGAAGCTGGAGGTGGTTGAGCTCTCGTCGGCGTTGCTTCAGCAGTGGAGCTCACCCGTCCGCTTACGTAATGCGTCAGTCGCCAAACCCTCTTCGTCATCATCCATAGCTGACTAGTACATTCGATTAATTAATTGTACTCTATAGATGCTAGTAGTATACAGCTAGGATACCAAATGAGAGTTTTCTCCTAAAAGATAGAAGAGAATTCTAGCACCAGTTCTACAAACCCAGGCAGAAAAGGTCTTGGTGCTCCGGAGAATCCGTATCAATCCCTGACGCAGTATCATGGCAACCTCCAAAATTAACTCGGAATTTCTTCAGATATTCCTTGGTGTCTTGTCTGTAATCCTTGATGGATGACTTTTCTCCGCTAAAGGACAGCAAGTCAAGAGTGTTTAGCGGTGGAAGAGCAGTAGAAAATTGATCGGTAAATGCCGTCAATGTCAAAGCCGGATTCAATGGCTTCTTGATGAACCCCAAATCTCCTATGGGTTGCCGGTTGGAATCTTTCAACAGTTCATCCAGATCTCTTTTTAATTTCTCTTCCGTCATTAATGAGGTATCATATGAGAACTCCTCCGGCGGACGATATAAGTCATTATGCACCGTCACTAGAGAAAATGTGCCCCGGGCTGCAAAAGATGGGTAGAGCATGTAATAGCCTCTGGCCCGCATCAGTTCAAGCAGGTATTCCATAAAGGCAGGATACCTTCTTGAAAGAAGCTTTTCATGAGAGGGAACGTTAGGGTTGGCTTCCTGAATGGCAAGACGGTTAGAGAGGAACGAATGGAACTCGACCCATTTATCACCAAAATACAATGCTGCATTGCTGTTTGGCGCTTGCCAGAGAAAATGCGGCAATGCTTCTTTATCCTTCTTCACTAGGTCATCTCCAAATGACATAGGCAGCGGGGGGTCAAAATGCTCATCACCAGCAGCAGGTTTTGATGATGGAAGTTCCAGGGAGATCCCAAGTAAGTTCGAAGATCCCTGTTCCAGGGGAAAGGTTTGTTTATAATTCAGCATAGTAAATTTCAAGTAGTGGTAAAATGACGGCGCCACCTCTACTTGCGGAGATAGGACTAGGACGTGAGACATGCTAGGATCTTTGGGGTAAAAGGCCTCGACGGTCCTGACTGAGGACTCTGCGGATGTTATGTCGTAGGGCTGCACACGACGACGGAGGGTAATTTTGCTTGAAGAACGAGGAGGCCATTTCATGCCCTGCAAGAAGCGGAGTAGCTGGGGGTCAACGTGCGAGGGAAGTTCAATAGTCAGACTGGGAACCGATCCGAGATAATCGGCCTTCTCCAGTGACTGGATTAATCTGATCAATGATCCAGATGACTCCGAAGGAGCATGGATGAGCATTTCAATGTTAACCTCATTCCAGGCTATTGAGAAAGCATCAGCAAATCAAACTCCCAGAAATAACTGTTACGCATTTCGCACGAACCTCCGAGAGCGGTACTGTCCAAAGTAGACATCCACATGATATTCCTGGACATGGTTGGAAGTGCTACGTGAGCGACACCTGCATCGTGCGCCCATCTCGTCACTCCATTCCAGAAAAAGCTATCTTCCAAGCCTGCTCCTTGAGTGATAACGGCGCGCGGATAGGTAGCGAACTGTACGCGAGAGAGGCCAGCTATGACGGCGCTTTCCATGCGAGAATCCCTCGACAAAGGGGCATTATCTGGGCGACCATCTTTGATATCTACAATCAGAGAAGGCTATGGCAGATGAGAGCGAGATTAAAAACATACCGTGCCACAGCACTGGGCAGTTATCATTATTTACGGCGTTCACTTGCCGTATCCCCTCGATTGAGACCTCATCTCGCCCCATTATCACAAAATGCACAATATTTTTCTTCCTAACTGCCATTTGACAGGCGAGAGGTATCAAGTCTGAGATGCTTGCTAAGTTCGAGCCGGCAAAGACGACGGCACGACTGAAGAGAGGTCCTTCGGGGCCTGGTTTCGGCAGGCGACCCAAAGATGCCATCAGATGGCTCAATGAAATATCTCCATCATAATAATCGCCATCCTTATTCTTATCGATATCCTTCACGGTCTCGTCTCGCGGGGGAGCATCCTGCGGGGGAACACCGGGCGACGGGTTTGAAGGGGGCGTCTGGCCTTTCTGTCGCGCTCGTGCGAGTTCAGGATTATAACGTTCTGGGGCAGGAGTAAGATCGGTAGGCATGTTCTTAAAGAAAAGATATAGGAGATAGAGGCCAACGACGGCCAGAAGAAGTCGCCGTGGACGAGGCGTTCTCCACGAAGGCCTGCGTAAGGGTCTCTGTCGAGGCCGGTGGTCATCATTTTTCTTCCCAAGTTCTTCATCGGCCATAAATGGCTGTATGGTGGGCGGCATCTTGTGTGCATATGAAGAATTGCTCCTCTGGAGCCCTGAGATCCTTCTGTAGCATCTACAGCAATTGGCACCAGCTTCAAGTGCTGCAAGATGAAGGTTGTTGACTGACGTACCTTTTGCGGGGAACGAACAGCTCCCATTAATCAATTACTAAACCTGGAGACGCGGCACGCGTGGCAGTCTTTTTCATTACTTTCAAAAACCATATATTTCGCGCCATGAATATCGACCTGAAGACTATCTGTGAAGCTGAGGGCGTCCGATATTTAAATCCTAATAGTCTCAGGGACATAGAAGTAACTCCAACCTACGGGTCTGCAGTGGCATTCAGCCTCATAAGCAGCATATCCATGCCGTCGACTGGAACCGCACAACATTAAAGAGCTCATTATCATCCAAACGCAGAACAAAGCAGAGATATATGAATATTCCATGATTACAAAGCAGGAAAATGGAGGAAGAAATGAATCTGGATGTTGAGAGCCGTGGCACAAAGCGACCGGCTCCGGACGCTGACGTCCCACAGAACCCAAAGAGAATCAGGGTCAGTTGAATCAGTATTCTCATGCTGGATATATCCCCTGACTGAATCGATATGATACAGGCTCTTGACCCCGATGTTGTGAACAAGATTGCTGCTGGTGAGATCATTGTGGCACCTATGCATGCTCTGAAGGAATTGATAGAGAACTCTGTCGATGCTGGCTCGACATCTATTGAAGTGCTGGTGAAAGATGGCGGGCTGAAGCTTCTTCAGATTACCGATAATGGCCATGGGATAGATGTGGGTTGCCTAGTTATCCGGATGTTCGAGTTATTGACTGTATGCTAATGTCGACAGCGAGACGACCTCCCCATTCTCTGTGAACGATTCACGACATCCAAACTGAAGGAATTCGAAGACCTTTCATCCATAGGAACGTATGGATTTCGAGGTGAAGCTTTGGCGAGTATTAGCCATATTGCACATCTCACAGTCACTACGAAGACAGCCGGCTCGAGTTGCGCATGGAGAGCACACTACAGCGATGGAAAGCTTGTCGCACCGAAACCGGGACAGAGCGCTGTCCCCAAACCTACAGCCGGACGCGGCGGGACGCAGATTACGGTATGCAGGCATTCCACGAACACCCCGGGAAAAGGCCAATAGTCAGCTTTCGGACTAATGCATGATTTAGGTCGAGGATCTATTTTATAACGTCCCAACGAGGCGTCGCGCTTTCCGGTCATCAAGCGAAGAGTATGCCAAAATTCTGGATATCATCGGCCGCTACGCTGTGCACAGGTCCGGAGTGGCCTTCTCGTGCAGAAAACACGGCGATTCAGGTGCCAGCATTTCAACGCCAGCAACCGCAAGTACGGTCGACCGGATCCGCCAGATACACGGGAGCGCCGTGGCTAACGAGCTGGTGGGGTTCAAAACCGAGGACAAGAAACTGGGCTTTCATTGCTTGGGCTTTGCCACGAACGCCAACTATCATGTTAAACGCACGACTATCCTTCTCTTCATTAACCATCGCTCCGTTGAGTCAACTGCTATTAAGAGAGCCGTTGAGCAGACATATTCTGCTTTTTTACCAAAAGGAGGTCATCCTTTTGTCTACATCGATCTCGAAATCGAGCCTCACCGAGTAGATGTGAATGTGCATCCGACAAAGCGAGAAGTCAATTTCTTGAACGAGGATGAAATCATCGAATGTATCTGCGACGAGATCAGGTCCAAACTCGCACAGGTCGATTCGAGCCGAACATTCATGACCCAAACCCTACTTCCAGGGGCGAGGGCGGTAGAATCTCTTGCTCGAGGAACTGATAATGATGATGAAGGTTTTCATCCTAAAACCACCGCAACAACGAGGAAACCATATGAACACAATCTTGTCCGTACGGACTCGAAAGTCCGCAAGATAACCTCCATGTTGTCGTCTGCGGCGCCTCACACGGACGCGGAGACGAGTACCGAGAACACCCTGGACGGCCTGCAATATGAAATTACAGACCGCGAACCACTCCGCATTGCCCTCACGTCGGTCAAGAACCTCCGTGCCTCTGTCCGCGCGTCGATGCATAACAGCCTAACCGAGACCTTCGCCTCGCTCACCTACGTCGGGCTGGTGGATGAACGACGTCGAATCGCAGCCATCCAGTCCGGCGTCAAGCTATACCTAGTCGACTACGGAATGATCTGCAAGGAATTCTTCTACCAGATCGGACTGACAGATTTCGGGAACTTCGGAGTAATCAAACTCGACCCGGCTCCGAACTTAATCGATCTACTTAAGATCGCCTCGGACGCAGAACGCGAGGCACGCAGAACTAAACGAAAGCAGCAACAAAACCAAAAAGATACTGAGAACGAATCTCAACAAGAGCAAGAGCAAGCGGAAGAAGAAGAAGAAGAAGAAGAAGAAATATTCTCCAAAGCCCCAGAAACAATAACTAAAACCCTTATCGACCGCCGAGAAATGCTAAACGAGTACTTCTCCCTCGACATCTCAGCCGACGGCACCCTCCTCTCCATCCCCCTCTTGTTGAAGGGTTACGTCCCCTCATTAGCAAAACTGCCCCGGTTCCTCCTCCGCCTAGGCCCGTACGTCAACTGGGTTAGCGAGGAGGACTGTTTCCGGACTTTTCTTACGGAGCTTGCTTCGTTTTATACCCCGGAGCAGTTACCTACTCCTGCTGCAAAGGATTCTTCTAAGACCGGTATGACAAGTGCGGGAATGCAAGGTGAGAATGGAGATAGTGATAATGATGAGAAAGAATTCGAATTTATTACAGCCCGTTGCGCCCAAATGGCTCGTATGCTGGAATATGCCATTTTTCCGGCTCTGAGGGCTAGGCTGGTCGCTACAACGGACCTCCTTCGCGGCGTGGTGGAGGTGGCAGATTTGAAAGGTCTATATCGGGTATTCGAGCGGTGTTGATCGTCGCTTGAATACAGCGTAGCCAGGATTGAACAACAACAACAACAATGATAAGACTATATATATCTTAGAAGTATTTCCTATTTACCTTTTTTTAACTTCAGAACCCTGCATTATGACACAAATGCAATGGGGAAAGAAAGAATTCCACAAACAGTTGTGACCCCGCATTTTGCAGGAAATTGGAAAAGTGTCAATCGATTGACGTACTTTTGGAATCGAGCTCCAGGCAGAGAATCAATAGCGCTGGAGGGCAAAACATCGAGACCATCATGCTATAATGTTTCAGGACCATAGACCACGTCCATTGAGCTCGAGACATCGGAGAATGAAATAAAATCGAAATATAATGGCACCTGCTTTAACCACGTCACGATCAAAGAGCAATTAAACACAGTGTACGTTCGGAGACGGCGTGAACAAAGAAATCACAGCCACGACGACGAATGTAGACACGGAAAATGGAAAAAGGAATAGCGTCCGCCCAATGTAAAAGAAAAAAGAATAACCATGAAGCCGAAGAAAGCTAACCGGAAACCAGGCAATGACAGATACAAGAATCGCCTCCATGTTGAAAACCTATAGCAGACGGTCCAGGAGCCTGAACGCTCAAAACAAATAGACCCAAACCAAACAAGTATGAGAAAGAGAAATCCTCTGAGCCATAAAAATGAACAAAACATGAGACATTCCCACAAAATCAATCATTAAAGCGCACCTCCAACTTGGCTTCCAAGCCAAGTCAAGAACTCCAGTGTCCAAGAAGAGACAATTTTCATGAGTCGTCCCATCGTTTATCATTGTTTTCGTCGGTAGCTCGTCCAGTTGTTCTTGCCTTTCCCTTCCCTGTTTCTTTCCTGGAGATCGTTCTCAGATCTCCCATCTTTAAATATTGAGTTATGTAATTCGATGTAAGCTCTAAGGCCAAGGAAGCTAGGAATACGTATATATGTATAGCATGGCGCACATTCCCAAGCTGGGAATCACGATGAGTATAACGTTATTTTCACGTAGAAAACGGCATGTTCATAAGGGTGATCTCGCGGGCAATATGTGGCCACTCCATTTCCCGTTTTAAAGGCAAGCCACGCTTCTGCAGTTGAAGCTCTTCCCATTTCAGAAGTTCGTAGCTTGACCAAAGGTTAGTGAGTGCTTAACATTTATGTTAAAAGGGGGACAGAAGCAAGGGAGACTAGATACTATGCGGAGAGGATTAAGACATAAAGAACTTACACAAATCTTAAATGTGGCTGAATGATTACATTTAGTCTTCGGGCTCGGACATAGCAACTATTAAACCGATTAATAACCAAAACCAATACTGGTGTGAGTACGATTGCTTACTAGGCGCGTGGGAAAGAAAGGCCGAGGGATGCCATGACTTCGGCAATGCATATTGTTGCAGATCGCGAAACCCCTACGCGGCAATGAACGAGGGTCGCTGTTCCATCGTATTTGCCCTTACCTATAAAGCTCGACTCGTCAGCACTACCTCAACCCGGACCAAGGAAGTGGAAGGGGAGCTTACGAATGAATTCTAGACAACGGTCGAACTCCTGGGTCAAAGAATCGATACCGTTATCCTGAACCTTGCCAATATACATAATATTCTCTTCTCCAATCCTGTCGATGTCCGACTTATTCCAACGTACGGGCTCTCCAATGCTCAAAACACGTCTGATACCGAGCATCCAAAGTAAGTCTGGATTGTTGGCATGGTTCAGATTGCCCAGATACATATACGGTAAGATACGACTGGGTAATGATCCGTCCATAGCTGTGAACCAGGCTGGGACGGGAAGGCGAGAAAGTGTAAGCGATTCTGGCACCGGACTCGCCTGTAACAGGCGCTTCTGGACACTTCTCAATACGGCAACATCAGTGGAGTAAGCGAAGAAATTGCGATTTTTATCACAGTGAAGCCTCTTCCAGGCCTCGTGAGCTGGAACCCCCTGGGCAAACATATAATATGCGATCATAAGCAGAGAACTCTCTGTATAACCATCCCCGCAAAGTATGATAATCTTGCGAGGCTGCTTGGTAGGCGTTTGGAGTGGTGTATGGCCAGCATCGTCATCTTGCTGAATTGTGGAACCTGGGTTGGCTAAATTGTACATCCAGCGGAGAGTGTTCAAAAAGTCTTCGACCTCTGTGCTGTCGTCTGATGGCGGCATCATGGATCCTGAGGATGGAAACTCCAGTCGTTGATGGCCGAATTCCAGCAGGTCGGTTATCTGCTGCAGAGCGGTTTGACATGGAATACTAGCGACATCGGTAGTATAAATTGCAAGGTCGAAGTTATCATTGACAAATCTATATTCTTCCAGATTTAACGAATGATCTGGCATCGGGCCCACCCAGACATTGGTTGCGATTTCCGACGCCTTGGTCATATAATGCATCTCTGCTCGTTCATATTGAACTAGAATCATATTAGGAATTTACCATTTGGCAAGAAGGTCGCAACACTCACAGAAATCCATGATTTGCCCAGTCGCCTGGCCTAGAGAGTCGACTGCAACGATATCTGGGTAATTGTCTTCCACCTCTCGGAATGTAGCTGTTTGACTATTAAGCTCACATGGTCCCCTCAGGTTGCAAAACAATAATAGCCATAGTGATAGCAGGAATGAGTATACTCACAGGAAAGAATAAAAGTGCTAAACAGCGGTGTTCCTGGATCAATACTATTCCTTACCAACCAGTCTTCTTGTGCAATGGCAAAGCCTCCAGCAGCCGCGAGTAAATCCTTCTGACTGACACCATCCTCGCCGTAGACAACGATGTCCGATAAAGGAGCGACCTTCGCTGTCTGTATCTGGAAATTCCGTACAGAGAACCCCTGTGGGGGGTCGATATCAAGGAAAGCTGTGCCTGATGGTCCAAGCACCTCATTCGGTGCTACCGCTCCTTTGAGCCTTGATGTTGTGATATCACCTCCGACTTTAACTAGGGTAATGCCTCTCCAGCATTTTGGAACATGGCGAGCTGACCGTCGTCGGTTTGCAAAGAAAGCCAATTGAAATTTGTTGTCCGGGTGGAGACCATGTAACCATGGGAATACCTGGTTCGGATCAGGCAGAGGTTGAGATGCTATATGATCGAGGGCTGCAGCCAGCGTTGAAGCGTCCAGCAAGTAAATAGAAGGAGAATCGGACACGCGGGGAAACTTGTGCGGTGGATACAAAAGCGAGGAAACCTGTGTGCTAGAAACTCGAGTAATAGACGATGAAGATGATAACACAGTAGTAGACTTAATGGAGTCCGTTGGCGGAGAGATGGAACCTGTCGAGTGTACATGCAGGACATTTCCCGGGACGGGACTCAAGGCTCTTGGGATGGTGGTAGGAGGGGTATCATGCCTGAGGGCTTGTTGCTGGACCACGACAGTCGCCATGATGATGAAAGGGACCGCTGCAGAGGCTATGTCAAACAGCAACTGAGCCGAGTATATTTGCAGATTCGTTAATTATAGAGGATGTTGAAGCCCAAAGGTGCAGTCGTCCAGGTTACCCCTCACAGCACCCAAGGCAGATGTACTAATGCAAGCAAATAAGCTTTAGAATAACCTGTTCCGACGAAACGCAGAATAAAAATCCGCGGCCAATGGACGGGTTCAGGTCGCGTGATAGATACGGGTGCTTCCCCCGGTGGGAGCCGAGCACAGCACCTGCGGAAAAGCATGTATTAGCATGGAGCTACGTCGAGACGTCGGAATGAAAAGGTCCATAGTAAGCTTACCAAAGGGCGCACGGAGAATGCAGACAAAAGGAGCTCCTAGATTTGCTGGCACCAAGAACAACCAGGCGTATATAACAATGCGGGCGAGATGTCTTGAGGATGAAATAGGACTTCTCCGGGATGCGAAAGGATCATGGGGGAGCGCGGATCTGATACCCGGTGATACAGGAAGACAGTCCCGGAAGGAAGAGCGTATGAGGTAGGTTGCTAGTACTGAGTAGAAGCGAAATAATACGACAGGAGGGACCAGCTGGAAGCAGGAGACAGATAGATGAATAGAGGATACAGCGGAAGGGGGGAGATGAGAAGGAGAGAGAGGGAGCAAGACAAAGCAGCTCGTGGAGATCGACGTACGGAGTAGATAAGCGGATTATCCTTTACGGATAAGACCAGCCCACCCGGGGGGTGGGGGTGGACCCGCTCTATCTTACCGTACGTGACAGCCGGTTCTATACCATTTGCAGCGCCGATACAGCATGTTACATACTGACAGCATCCAGGAGGTTATGCTCACCACTCTCAGAGTGTTGTAAATACCATAGTAGATAATAATAATAATATATGTAAGAGTATAAATATACCTAGGTACTATGACTAAAAAACAGCAGCATCTTGCCATGTGTTGCATGTTTACAGTCTGGACTCTTGAATCTTACCACCAGCACTAGCTCGATCTTGGCCTCCACAGCCGTACTTTTATCATCGATATCATGACACCGAGATCATGCCGATAAATCATAATAAATTACAATCCCCAATGATAATAATATTGACTTAAACTTCTGGCTAGACGGCTAGTGTGTTGTTTATCATGTACAGCACAGAACACCCCTGTCAGGGCCTCTTCTTCCTTGGTTTCCTACTCGTTCGTCTTGATTTCCTACGTTCCATTCAAGGATGAACACTGAAAAATATTACAATAAATTACTTATCCGCTCTTTAATCAAGTTTTCCATGGTAATTCTAAAGGATGACGTCCTTGCACGGTATTAATATTGTTTATTGGTTTGTTTACTCTCAACATTCTTGCGCCTAAGTGACGTTGAAATCAAAACGTATATTTACTCATTATGAATCCCTAAATCCCGCCATAAAAACGTCCCAGGAATAGCTGTTATTTAGCAGCGACGAATTCCAAATCCCACATGGTAGTATGCACTGATTCTTCACCGCCCCTGATAGCAGAAATGGTTGTATGATCAGTCGGATGGGTGTCTGCCGCTAGTACGGGACTTGCTCCCTCCTCAGAGACAGCTAGAACTCCATCGGAGCTGATATCGTTTGATTTGCCTACTGAATGCTCCGTTCCAGAAACATCATGATAAGCAATAATACTAGTAGCTGCGGCGGCCTTCTTTCTAACGTCAAGCACCATTCCAAATCGAGAGGCAATATGCTCGTCATTAGGAGCGATGCGCAGCAAACATCCTTGCGTAGACGTAATAAGACGATCGTGGATGGTGAACTTGCACGGCGTTAAGGCAGCGTAAATGGTGATGAAGAAGTAATGATCAGGTAAGTCTAGTATTGAGGTTGCACCTTGCAAGCTGGAGCTGGATGTACGGGGGTGAGGAGTTGGTGCTGGTGCAGAATATAGCTCAAGCGATTGGAAGAGAGACAGGATGGCGCGGGAAGTACGCAGAGCAGCGGAGAGGAGATGCTGCGATTCACAGGTGTTTGTGTTGGCCGTAGGGCGCAGTGAGACACGGTAGAGCAGCAGGTAGCAGTGCAAATAGCTAAAGTGCAGGCGTACTGAAGCAGCGTCATGCTCGTCTGGGAGGTTTATTAGTCCCTTCATGTGTCTATACCACCAAGCACAAGCTGACCTAGAAGATATCCCCATTCTGCTCGCCATGCCGCCAATTCAGTAAACACCAATTTTTCATCCCCACAATCTGTAGTTAATGCCGGTAGAGATATTGCAATCTTGCATTCTCCACTTGAAACTGGCTGCTGCACCTGGACGTCTTTCAGCAACTGGTCCGTCTTCCAGTACAGCATGACTTCAGCAACAAGTCGGCAATCATCGACATATGAATCCATATGGGAGTTAGTCCTCAATGATTGCAATTGCAGCAATCCGGTGCAGTGATCGATGAACTTTTGCTGGACCATGGACTGACGACCGTTTCCTATAGAGAACCTACACCACGTCAGAGGGCTCTGGAAAGACTGCACACAAAGCTTGGGGGGGGGGGGAGAGATGTACTGGATATGGGTCAGGCATAAGTGATTCCAAAGTCGCAACTTCTGTATCCGCTGGTCAATCCCACCTCTATCATGATCATCATCATTCCGAGTTTCATCCTGTCCCATATTCATCAGACTGTTGCCACCTCCACTCTTCCCCATCCCAAGATGCAATGTCACATGGCTGATCGCAATCGCACTCATCGGCCAACTATCAATCGGCATGGCTGTCTGAACTGTCGGACTAAACATCGCCAGCAGTAGTAGAGCCTGCACCTCATTGTACCGAAGCGGCGGCTAATCGGCGAACGAGCAGGTACATCTCATGGCCGACGGATTTCGGGAGCGAATGTGGGTGTGTATGAAACCGAGCAGCGAGGAGGCATGCGGTACTAAAGAGAAGCGGAGATTGTTGGGAGACAGCAGACAGATGTGGTTGGGTAGCAGAATGGATAAACTAGTAGGGGTTGAGATCCACTGGCTATAGTGCTCGTCGAAGCTGCCGTGCATTTAATATCATATTTAAAGTAAAGCTGGATTTAATGAGAACCATACGCACATTGTCATAAGCCGCTGGGCGGTTCCCATGCTGATAATCCCGGCTGAAACCATTCCCAAGCGTCAGGACCTCATCTGAGAAGTCTTTTTGGGCCCGAAAAACCGCGTCTGTAGATTATGAAGTAGTAGCACTGGCCGCGTTGCTCGCCGTTTGGATGGGCAATCTCTAGACGACCACTGTCAAGCATTTTCTCCAGACGAGACAATCGCATCTCCGCAGATTGGTGATCATAATGCACCGCTGTTCCTACCTCAGCTCCTGATCCCAGTGGAACTACAGCAGGTTCCTCCGGAGATTGATGAACCGATGGCCACGATTCCCTTCTTGCATCGCTATCTACCCCTGAAAGAGAGACAGCAGGAGGCAATTCACAGTCAATACTAGACTGAACAGGTTAGCTGGTGTCGAAGTTGAAAAGGCAAAGAAAACACACACACAAATACGTCAATTGCAGAGACATTCCTACTAGAAATATAGATACACGTGTAGGTGTTTCCAGAACTTACCCTAAGAGAATACAGCGTCTACAGGCCCTTTTAGATGCGTGGAGTATTACCTCGCATCGCGTCTTCTGGCGGCGGCATCTTGCACAGACGGTGACGAGTTTGTTTATACGGCGCTTTTTGCTAGCAGGTGACGACGGGCTCGATTGGCTAGGCATTTTATTCGTCGTGGATTGAGTTGCAGCCTTTATCCTCATGGATTAGAGAAAATGAGAATGTTAATGCTATTAGGTTTGAAGTACACTCGGTTTACGTATTACTCTGCGGGGGCTTATCTAGATACATGCAGATGCAGTCTGCGCACAACTCTAGATATCAAACTTCCAATTCTCCCCTGGTTAGAACTCGCAAGTGCACATTGCCAGAAACACCCTCACTGCCATCTCCCTGGAGCTTCAGTACCCCCAAAACTTCGCCAATCTGATTTCCATCACTAGTACCATCCATGTATACACTGGGGAGGACATCCGGCTCATACCACTCCTGTCCCATTCTCGAATCCGGTATCGGATTAATCTTACACAGTGCATAATAGGTCCCAAAGCTCAAAGCCAGCCCCATCGGATAGGCAAAATAGTACATCCTAGTTGCAGACGTGGTGACATGGATACCAAACACACCCAGGAAACCGTAAAAGTTGGGGACGATCCCGACAATGTACGCGATGTAGGTGCGGTAGTTCCACCCGGAGGAGTACCAGTACGGGCCCATTCTCAGTGTGTCATAGAGGGAATCGATTTGGATGTATCCACGACAAATGAGGTAGTAGTGGCAGAGCATTACTCCGGTAATGGCAGAAAGAAAGACTCTGATTAAGTGGTAGTACCATTGATTAGTTTCCACACAGCTGAATGGCACGTCATGGGGGGAGGATAAAACACACTGGTACGAAGCCAGCCATGGAACAAAGCTCGAAGCTGAACCTAGGTTGTACCAGGGGCACATGGCAATACGAGATCACTGCGGCAATGTAGAATCCACGCCTAATTGTAATGAAATGAGGGAGCAAGGCCGCCAGATCGTTACCGGCTGGTAAAGAATTTTCGTATATGGACGAAATGACAGAGGAGTATGTGAACCCTAATGAGATGAAAAACACCCCGGCGCGAGTGCCGGGGCTGTAGTGCTTTGTCAAAAGAGCGTCCATTAGGTCAACCGGATTCCAGATTAACTATGGAATGATCATCAGTCTCTATTTGGAAAAGAGGGAAGTATAAACCTACACTCCCCGCAATAAGGACCGAACTCGAGACAATCAAGTTCCCAATTAATCCATATATCAAAGTCGACAGCGGAAACCCGACCATCTGCAGCCACCATGCGTCGCGCAGTCGACGAGCGTACCACAGAAAATCTGCTGCATTTATTGCGTAAGTCGCCCCGTTAGCACACCCAGATGTAGCGCGTTATCGTCCACGATTTGGTTGCCCCGTGGATCGTGCTGCCTTGTCGGGCGACGGAGCCCAGCCCACCAGCTTCCACCAGCGACCAGACAAGCAGAGCGATGGAGCATGCCGCAAACAGCACGAGCTTGGTGTACATGTATGGCCTCAAATCCAAAATTTTGATATGCAGGAGTAGGCTGTTACGACCCTAAGTTTCACAATATGATCGTCAAGCGGAACTTCCATGGGTAGGGAGGGTGTGGTAATAATCCCCACCGAGGTTCAGCAACGATGGACTTCTTACCAAAATACCATGAACCCAATCATGCCCCCCGATGTGAGGGCCGACTTTCCCGGAGGAAAGATGTCAGGAATTCGCGCGATCGAAGGGAAGATGGCATGCAACAGGACATAGGCACACTGCCCTCCCTGGACTGCATTGACGCCGGTCCAGACCAGCGTCATCACCACTCGGTTGACGATGGGCCAGTAGGATCCCCAAATGCCAAAACAGGTGCGTGCAATGACCGGGTAGGGGATGTGGTATACCGCACCTGGACGCCCGTTGAAGCAAAACACAATAGCGATCATGACTGTATATGAGCTCTTAGCCATTGTTTCCGCATTGCAAGCAGTCGAGAAGACTGACCCTGTTCCCCAAACTGGCAGGCCAGGGCCTCCCAGACACTCAAACCGGCAGCCATGGCTGCATTGACACCGTAGAATGTAGCGGGAGTTGCATTGGCTGAGAGCCAGAACCAAAAGTATGCCAAAGTATGCCAGCCAGTCATACGTGCGCTGGTTAGGAGGCACAGGTCACAGGTCATCGTTGTCTAGCCATTGATTCCGGTTGGAGCCTCGGTTATCCTTGTACTCCGTTGTCTCGAGGAGGTGAAGAAGGCGGCCCATCTTTCGCCTTGAGGCGTTCCACGAGCAGGAGCAAGGAAGCAGGAAGAGTTGTCCTGGCGAAAACCGGGGAGAGCTATTCCCCCTGCTCTGTTCTTATATCTTCAATATCATTGTCATTACCATGATCGCTATTCGCCATCCATCGAGTATAGCCATTTGATATACTCCGCACAGGGATTTTGATAGGAGAGGATAGTCTTGATGGATGGACGATAGAAGGATAGGGCAGCGTTGATATGCGTCGGATCTCCGATGGAGATCCATCGGGTTTCCCATCCTGGCAGCAGAGGAAGACTCGTAGGAAGTATTTACCTACTAGGTACTTATAGAGAAAGTAGGTGTTGATATTCTTATGCCTGTTCTACTCTCCTTCAAGCTCCCAGAGATCTCTATCCGCAATCAGAAGGTACTGTGCTGTTGAATGTTAAAAGTCATGGCTACCACGACCACCGCCACAACATCCGCATCTCCCGCATCTACAGTGACTCCCTAGAGGACCGACAGGCAGTTGCGGACGAAATTCGGACCGCCGCCACCACCATCGGCTTTTTCTACATCAAGAATCACGGCATACCTATAGAGACTATTGATGCCTGTCTGGAGGCAAGCAGAGACTTCTTCCACCAGTCACTGGAAATAAAGCAGCGTGTGAACCAGGCCAACTCGAAGTGGTTCAACGGCTGGAATGCCCCCAAGTCCCACCGGGCCAACGCGACGGAGTCCTTAGATCAGCGGGAAAGCTTTGGATTTCGTTACGATCCACGCTATGACCCCGCTGTGTCCGACGTGGACTCGATACCCCCGGAAATAAGGGCTGGATTCCGTGCAGAGGAATACGGTTGGGAGCAGACAGCCAATCTAGCGCACTTCAAGCAGGATGTACTGGCATATTGGTGGTCATGTCTGGGACTGGCACGGCGCTTGATTCGTGTGTTCGCTCTCGCACTCGACCTGCCGGAAGACTACTTCGACAAGATGACATCTCACCCCGACGCCGCCGTAGCGCTGAATTACTATCCCAGCATACCAGCAGGCGCTGTCCGTGATTCCAACAATGCAGAGATGGTCAGCATCGGATCACATACCGATCTGCAGTTTTTCACGATGTTGTGGCAAAATATGAACGGGGGGTTGCAGGTGTTGAACCGCGAAGGCCAATGGCCGAATGCACAACCTATTGAGGGGACAATCGTGGTTAACATTGGAGACTACCTGATGCGGATCACGAATGATAAGTTTGTCTCGACGGTGCATCGTGCGAAGAACTTCAGCTCCAATGAGAGAGGTTTAGTATGCCTTTTATCTTGGGTAGGGTTTTCTTCCCACGTATCTCCAGCATGGGCTAATATTTTTAGGCTTCAACTTCAATGAAACGTGCGGTCTGCTCTCCAGCTGCTTGGATGAGAAGCACCCAGCCAAGTACAAGCCTATCTCGTGCGATGAGTGGGTGCAATTGCGGTTCAAGGTGACAAACCTGGAGGGTGGTAGTGGTAAATAAACATGTGCCCTAGTGTGCATGGCATTTGTGGTATAATAATAAAAAGGAACTTGTGGATAAAATCGAACGAATCCATTTCGCATGTATGACCACAACCTGGTCCAGAAATATGTTATAGGAAATCCAGTAACTATCACAATTTGAGACCATAGTGCGCCATTAGGAGTCGGCAGTTCCTCCTCATCGTGGGCGGAAATTTCGTGGTGCCCGGCCATCAATGCGTCTGACTGTCCCATCCCGAGTTGCCTTGAAATCGGCATCAAGCTCTAATAGACGGGCGAAAATAGTGGAAGATCTAAAACATGAACATGGCACTTACTTTGCCTTATTCTTGCCATTGTTCGTATCCAAGGATTGTTCAGATTCCCTTGATACCAAGCTAGGGTCACTGGGGATTCGGCAGCTTGACGGCTCGGTTTCTCGGGATTCAAAGAAGCTATCCGATATAATCGTCGCGTCAGACATGAATCTGGTCCGTATGAGCGCAGCTCGAGTGAACATTGTACATGCATGTATGAAAAGGGGGTTTGCGCACCCTAGACAGATTTTCAATCTACCTACGTAGATAAAGGTAGAATAGACACATGCACAGGAATAATAGGACAGATTAGACTCTCGCCTTTTCCTGCAGTTCTTGAGCAAGTCTCATTAAATAAAAACGGGCCATATCATGAGGAAGTGATTCAAAGGACTTTGCGATTTTCTGCAAGTCGGTTCTCGCTTTCTCGTACGCATGCAGGTCACGATTTCCGTAGACGTCCCTGCCAGAGGCATATCCCTTTGGAAGATTGCGGAAGAAGACATTAACTGCGACAGTTACCTGCCCTGTTGGAGATGCAGTGTGCAGCCACAGGGGAGGTATAAACAGAATTTCCCCCGGCTTTAATATGACCTCATGTGGCGATGTGTTTGGGATGGATGCAATTGATACATTCTCAAGATCTTGGAATATGTTGATCGTTGAGCTCGAGGCTCCTGCGGGGATGTGTAGGTGCTGAACATCATGAGGAGGAAATATTATGAGGCGTCTCTCTCCACGAATTTGACAGAGAACATTTGCCATTACCTACAGCCATCTAAGTCAGTTCCCTGTTCTCCAATAACTCTTGTGCTGGTAGTCAGGATCCTACATCGTAATGGAGCCAAAGCGCCACCGGGCCTGATATCCTCAGTGGAGAGCTATGGGCATTGTCGGTTACCAACGACAGCGGTTCCGGTAGCTGGAAATCATTGCTCAGACTTGGGAAGTCCGTAGCAAGATTTGCAGGGAGCTTGCTAGGCTGCTCGGCGGAAATTGTTCGTAGATACTGACGACCACCTTCATGCACCTCATTCATAAAGATCCCGAATTCTTTGGTTACATAGTCGAAGTTTTTAGATTGGAAGTTCATGTTTTCAGATCGTGCTTCATGTACGATGACCTAGTTTGGTTCTGTCAATTATTCTCAAGCACGAAAAGGGAAGAGGCAAGCCAAACCTTACGATCGCGACCGACGGCATTAATCATGTATTCTTTCGTCCAAAGCGAAGTGCAGGGCCCGATATCACATCCTTCAATAACCACTGGCTTGCCAGCGGCCACAATCTGCTGAAACTGGAAAGCTGCTTCAACCCTAACACGAGGAATTGACGTGATTTCGACTTTTCCGGATCTTTCGCTCTCAAGGCCGGGCACTGGCTCTATTGCATCTTTAGCGGTTTCCGCAATTTCCGGCATCATGAACCACGTATTCGTAACTCTCGAATCTGCACGGTTCAGAAGCCAGGCCCCTTCGTTCCAGAAAGTCCCAAAGGAAAAACATACTGCCCCGCCACCGAGTATCAGGACCTGGTTTGGATTGACAGCGCAAGAAGCATGACCGATCAGGAGAGGCCGTCGCCCTGTGAATTCAGCCCCAAGACCGATCGCAGACACTACCGTGTGGGTCAAAGGTACTGTAGAGTCAAGACAACGCAATAGCTCTATTGCATCCAGGACCATAATCTCCTTGTCAAGAGGAAGCGTCTTTCGAGGAATGATGCCACCAATGATGGCTAAGCCCCACGAGGTGTTGTTGACAGTAGCCCCGAATCGGTTGATGTACTGAAACAGAGGCATTGCGGATCGCATGATTTCTGTCCGGTCGCTCAATTCGACAAATATGGACCCATCACTCCGACAACACGTTTTCCACGTCCAGAAATCTTGCAAAATGGTTCCATCCTGCCCGATCCCACCAAACATGACACCAGATGTCTCTGTAATGTTTACCATACAAGCCCCAAACCGAGCGGCAGGTTTGGAACCAGCTCCAACTGTCTCAAGGGCTTGCCATCCGCTCCCTTCGTCCCATTGGAGCCAACTATCCAGCGTATTGCCATTGCTGGATTTCCCACCGTAAACAATAACCTTTTGGATGCTACCGTTTATGGTTACATTTGAAGCACTGTGTCTGAACCGAGAAGCTGGAAGATTGTGTGTAGGGCGCCACACGTTTGCCTGTCGCAGCCAACAATCTTTGAGAGCCGAAGCTGGAGAGGCTCGACCACCAACCAATATGCAATCATTACCGGCCAAAGGGGTGACGGTATGAGACATGCGTGCTGGAATATTCCGCGGAGGAAATGGATGAAATGGTTTGCTGATATCTCCAGAGCTTGCGTAAAAGTCCGTCGATGCCAGCCGTGACTGGCGCCCTAATCCCCCATGATATCCCACAGAGTCCTCGCTGTCCGGCACTACGGCGCCGTACTTTCGCTGGTCACTTCCCGAGGGGCATTGGGGTAGCAAAACAAACGGGCAAAATGTGCTGCACCGTGAATATAGCTTTTCAGTCGGCTCTAAAGTAGTATCCGCATCGGGCTGCCGTGTAGATGCCATCAAAAGAAAATAATGAGACGCGAAAAGAGCGAATTCTTCCCATTCATCAAACGGTTCGACAGCATCCAACGAGCTTCTCAATGAACCACTCAAAAATTTGTCGTCCGACCAAAGATCCCAGAGATTTCTCGCCTGCGCTTGATTCCACCCTGCATTCTTGAAACGCTTCTCCTGGTCTGTCAGCGACGGATACTCGTGGATAGAGTATAAAGGTGCCCGCAGCTTGTTGAAGTGTTTCATCATGGTCGATGCAAACGGATGGTCTAGACTGTCTGGGAAAAATTGTTCTAAGAGGCAAAACTGTACATCTTCAACGTGTCAGTCAATGCCGGTACGGTAGCCATGTACTTCTTTTCCTTACCATTACTTAGCTTGGAGGCGAAGCCGATAACAGCATCCGCAAACTTGACATCCATATAGGTCAGAGAGACCTCTGCAGTACAGAGGATTGAACACTCAGAAGGTAGGATGTCGGATTTCAGCGCATCGCCTAACTTCTTGAGGTTTTTCAGATCGCACCCCAGAGCGATGTACTGCTTGCTGCGGACCTGAACAGCATTCTCGTCAGGCAGGAATTCTATATCTTCTAACAGATCCGTTATCTCATTCGTCTTTTGGATGGCCGTTTTCTTGGTTATGATGAGCTTCTCGTAGTCAATGTCCACAAACTTCGTATTTCTACATAGAGACTTGTCGGCACTGAGGAGTAGGAACGGGAGAGGGTCACTACGAGAGCGCAACTTAGCATACAGTCGCCGGTGAATGTTATTTCTACGACTCACAATCCGCAGCCGAGATTCAGGACGTATTTGGGCTTATCTGATGGCTCCTGCATGAAACGTCGTACCGTCTCGATCATCGCATACATACGCAGCCAATATCCACGGTTTATCAACGGAGAACGCCTTTGAGGTTTCTTCACGAAATAGCGGAAAAAATGGGGCTTGGGGTAATAAAGCATCTCCACGCTCCGTTTCGATACAATGCTGCTGCTATTAGTCTGGAGACATGGTCAGTGGGACGAAACAGCACTACAGACGGAGTCAGAGAGGCAACTCACCCCCATGACCAAATCTGCCTCCTTTTCAGCCTTGCTCGCGGCGCCTGCCATCGCCTGCTGCTTTTTTACGGCCATGATTGCCCGACAATATGAGGTTTGTGAATACGGTTGAAGACTCGAAAGTTGCCGGAGAAATCTCCGGCAAGGCAAACGGCGCTAATCAAGATGTGGCCCGAGCATGGCGCCAAGCTCGCTTGTCGCGCTTACGGTGGCTTGTTGCAGCTTGCGCCCCATGAGGACCTCCGCCGGCATCATCCGCATGGCTGCGTTTGGTTCTTTTATATATCTCTCTCATGTTGCGGCGGCTATTGAACTCAGACTTCTTCTCATCTATCACTCATGATAAGTGCAGAGACTCTTGCCGACAGTAGATGCGACTGGGGGACTCGGTGTCTTTTGCAGCGTCCGTTTTGGTTTCGTCACGAGATTCTGAGGTTGCTCCTTGCGCCTTTCGAGGCGACAGGCGTTGAACCCTCCGTTTCAGATTAAAATAAAATAATTAATTCCGGCTTCGCTCGACAAGATGGCAATGAACTTTGTGACTTTTAATCAGGACTACAGCTACTTAGCTGTTGGTACGGTTTCTTCGCCCCTTCTTCCTTCGAGCGCTACTTGACATCCTACCAGCTACCTCCAAGGGGTTTCGTGTATTTACAACGGATCCCTTTTCAAAGTGCTATGAGACAAAAGAGGGAAATATTGCCATTATTGAAATGCTATTCTCGACATCCCTGGTTGCGCTCATTCTGTCTCCGCGTCGCCTTCAAATCGCTAATACCAAGGTTCGTAGAGTATCATCCACCCCAGCAGACCCATGTGTTAGGACCCTATTCCCCTTCACCTAGTTAAAGATGTCCGATAAAATAGAGTTGCATGATGCCATTCTCTCTATTTATTACCTTCCATTTTTGCCAATATAATGTTGATTTTCTTCTTTCATTGACCTGAGCGACATCCATAGCGTCAATCTACAATATGCGAGTTGACTTTTCCGACTACCGTGCTAGCGGTCAAGTTGAACCGGAAACGGCTCGTTATAGTTCTGGAGGATCAGATTTATCTTTACGATATTCAGACTATGAAACTGTTATATACGATTGAAACGTCCCCGAATCCCACCGGTAAGGGCTCATTACCTTCTTGATATATTGCGCCAGGAGTGCTTCTAATGTTGAATAGCGATTTGTGCCTTGTCACCATCCTCTGAAAACTGTTATCTTGCATATCCTCTTCCCCAGAAGGCCCCTCCTTCATCATTTACTCCTCCACCTCATGCCCCTCCGGGGAATACTCACATCTCACCCACCAGCGGTGAAGTCTTGATCTTTGACACTTTGAAACTGGAAGCAATCAATGTGGTTGAAGCTCATCGATCACCCTTAGCATGTATTGCGCTGAATAGCGATGGGACGCTTTTAGCAACCGCTTCTGACAAAGGAACCATCATTCGAGTCTTTTCGGTGCCGGACGGGAACAAGCTTTATCAATTCCGGCGAGGGTCCATGCCTTCAAGAATTTACAGCATGTCTTTTAATACTACATCCACGTTACTCTGTGTATCATCATCAACGGATACCATCCATATTTTCAAACTGGCCCATCAGGGTTCGCCTTCTGCAGGGTCGCTATCAACTACTTCACTCACCGCACGAGATAGGACTTTCAGCCAAAGCTCTTCTGGTGGTGATGGTGATGATATGGGAGGAGACGCTAGCACAGCTGACTTTCCTTCTCGAAAACACAATGGTACCTTCATGGGAATTATCCGTCGCACTTCTCAGAATGTTGGAAGTTCAGTTGCTGCTAAGGTTGGGGGCTATCTTCCAAAAGGAGTCAGCGAGATATGGGAGCCCACCCGGGATTTTGCATGGATTAAAATTCCAAAATCAAGCCAAGGACAAGGGGGAGGAGGGTCACTTAGAAGCGTGGTTGCAATGAGCAGCAATACACCTCAAGTGATGGTAGTCACAAGCGACGGCAACTTCTACGTCTTCAATATTGATTTGTCGAAAGGTGGAGAAGGGACGCTGACGAAGCAGTACTCGTACGTTAATAGCCCTGGTGGCTTCAAATATGAACTGACTGATTTTGACCAGGGTAATTGATTCGAACGATAGATTAGGGTATTCCGGCCTCGAATACTGAGATTCCTTCCGTTTCTTGCAATGATGCTTCCTCTATTATTTCACACTCTTTGCTATCTTCAGTGGTTTAGCAGCGTTTCTTGGCCTTTCTGTTTTTTGGAGCGACCCTTTTCATCGGACATTGGTTTGCGTGTCATTCTGTGATGTTCTGAGATACACCTTCATTGTATCCCAGTCTCCCCTTCTTTAGTCGATCCTTGTCTACACTTTTTTTTTTCTTACGATATTATATAATGCAGGAATACTCGCCTTGCGCATAGTTCTTTTATTGATGTTCTATCTACCCCAAGTGTACCTACCTAGTCCGCCACCTCTTCCATAGAAGAGTCAGCCCTGTTTCAAGTACAATAGCACAGTGGCTAACGGGCAGGAATGGCAATCATACTCTGTACAATATCACAATGAACATCCACAGGGTTTCCCTTTCTTTTATTTTTAGATATCTAGTCTCGAAAGATCTTCCGGTCCTGGAGTCTCAAATTTCAAGAGATGTCCTTTTAGTCTTCAGTGGTCACGTGTCTTGCTTGAATAAAGAAATATTCGCATAACTGCCACTGTTTTCAACTGTGATGAATACACTGTCACTTTGTCAACTTTTTAGAAAACGGAAGATAATACTTGTTATATACGGCTCTATTCTTCGTTAAAGGCGAAGCAGGATCAAAAAGAGACGAAATATATCAAAATCACAAGTTGGACGTGACTAGAAATACCACTGATTTTACCGAAGAAAGACATCATTAGAGTCATCCATTATCCCATTTTGATCAATTGTGACGTTTGCCGATCGTTATATGGCATTTATTGCTTGAAGTCATTAGCAAAATTTATGGACTGCCGATACCGTCTGTCTCTTCGGCTCTAACTACGCACTCGAGAACGATGGAGTTGATCCTCCAAGAGCAAGGTTCTGATTCAGTGACCAAAAGCCACAATGGCAAAGGGCGGCCACACCAAGGTAGTAAAAATAAACGCCCAGAGAAGAACACAATGAATCCTCTCCAGGCTGGAATCCGAGATTTCATCGCACATCTCTCGCAGAGTGTACTTCAAAAGCATGAACTGGATTCTGAAGCGCTCTTATCATCTCTCCCAAAAAGATTTACTGTCTACGAACCGATGCTCCTCCTGTCAGCAAATGCTTTCAATGCTCCTCCAGCTTGGGGTATGCTATACACTAGTATGGATAAAATACAACGGACGGCTCTTTACGAATCAATTGTGAAATCCTTCAGCAAAATGGGCGTGACCCATATTGCAATGAATGCCCCGATTGCACTGAAAGATGCGCACGGAAAAGAAAACAGAATGCGAAGTCCTGTTGGGCTAGTACCTCTCTATGGAGATTTTGGCCCCTTACCTTCGGGAAATGGTGAGGACACGCAGCCCACAGAGGCGGATCTTCAGAAGGCATTCTGGGTGCGGACTATGCAGAACCATGGGATTGTTCAGATTTGGGCGCCCCTGTACACTATGTTTTCTCGAGGAAACATTACTGAGAAGGCGCGCATATTGGGTCAAGGAGCAAATTTCGAAGGACTTGATTCATCTTCTCTCCAGGGAGAGGACGTTGAAGAAATCAGTGTCGTTGATATGTATGCGGGTATCGGCTATTTTGTCTTCTCGTACCTCAGAAGAGGGGTCAAGAGGGTCTGGGGCTGGGAGATCAATGGATGGTCGGTTGAGGGCCTGCGAAGAGGCTGCGTGGAGAATGGATGGGGCTGTAGGGTTGTTAAGATACAAAATGAAGGGAAACCGGATATTGCCATTCCTGATCTTGTCGAAAGTCTTTGCGATACGGATAGGGTTGTGATATTCCATGGTGACAACAAGTTTGCTGCAGACATATTGCACGAAATAAGGAGTATCATGGAACAGGGAAATAGGTGGAATAGTGTTAGGCATGCCAACCTAGGCCTTCTTCCTTCATCCCGCTCGGCTTGGGAGGGCGCCTGTAAGATGGTCGACCTACGAAGAGGAGGTTGGGTCCATGTCCACGAGAACGTGGACATTCATGAAATTGATCAAAAGAAGGAGTACATTGTTTCTGAGCTACAGAGGCTGAGATCCAAGGCTCATCATGATCAGACCTCATTTGTCGAGGGAGTTGTTGAATGTCGTCATATAGAGCAGGTGAAGACGTACGCGCCAGGAGTCATGCATTGTGTCTTCGACGTGGAGTTATCATGATTGGGATGATATGTAGCAAAGGATTCAACGTCATGGCTTCAAAATAGAATCACTGAAATTGTCTAAAAATCAGTTTAAATGGCAATTCGATCATCATCCAAAACCGTATAGATCATAGCAAATATTGTACATCGGCAAAAATAAATCACAAAGTTAGGACGACTTGAGGAATTTCTGCGGGATATTCGCTTCGACAATCCGCATTTTCTCGAGCTTCTCGAGACGACTCGCGGCGTCTTCTTCCTCATCATGCTTCTTGAAGTGTTCGATATCTTCAGGATGCGTGAGGTCCTCTTCCTTCGCATCATCCCCATGATACTTCTCAAAATGGTGGATCTCGTACTCATATTCCATATCGCCATGATGGCCAGGACCAAAACCAAAATCAGGTAGTCTAACACCGCTTGCGATCAGATTCAGCCAATCGTCGCGGCTAATGGAACCGGTATTGGCGGGGTCGAAGAGTGCAAAAATTTCCCGAACAGCTTGCTGCTTCTTCTCTTCGCTCACTGCGGAGGTCGATGCGTCATCAAGACCATATGTCTTCCGAACCTCATCGGGCGTCCAAGCCCCTGAGGAATCATAGTCGTGCATTGTAAAGAAGGAACCGGCATCGAAATTGTCAATATGGTGCTCCTCTGTCAGATAAGACATTGGTTAGGTCCTTTTAATCTCATATTAATCAATTTTAATTGCATAAATGCAATTCAGCACTCTCGCTCGCACCTTGCATATGCCGTGTTGCCCAGTCTCCCGAGGGATTCTGCTCGTCCGAATGAGCTCCATGTGCGTTTGCGAGAGTGCTGCTGAGAGCAAGCACAGCAGTGGCAAGACCAACTATCCTGGCAAGCATTGTTGGTATTTCCAGACTATATAATGTAATTTTCAACAAACATAAAAGAAGGTATGATGTTTCAAAGTGGGAGAAAGCCTAGGAGGTTGACCATGTTCGATGTATCCTGTCTTCTCGGATAGCTTGTTTGCACCGTTTGCAGTGGCCCGTAGATTTCCACCACGGAACAGTCTGAATTGCATCAGACGATTCCCTTCAAGCATCTCTTTCTCCCATCTCTCCTCTCTTCGCCCACCATTGACTTTGACTGGGCACAGAAAATGCTCGGCTAAGCCTTCCACAGCTTTGTCTGTCATTGCCCTGTCAATAGTCTGGCGGATATGTCGCGATAATGCAGAATATCTGGTCCCGCTCCGCTCCGCTGCAGACAACCTGCCGTCGTGCCTCCCGTATTCATACCAGCGCCAATGGATTGACTTCTCGCTCTAGCACGGCGGCGAGGAGGCGTCTTCACGTTGGAAACTCGATTACCGCCCTATACTCCAGTATCTTCGCAGTCGCTGCACTGGCAGATGCACAGGCTAAGGATAAACGACGGCATGAATGGGATGAGAAAATCGCGGCGGTGAAAGAGGAAGTCAATGAGTTGGTGGATGAGGAGAAGCGTATTTTAGAGGTCCTTTCGTCGCGGACAAAGTCTCGCGTTTTGAATTGGCCCATTCAAATACGGCAATACAGCTCTTCCAGCGCCCCTTCGGCTTTTGACGAGCAACCGGCTACGAGAAATCAATGGCCAAACCCATCCATGGCAGAGAGAATTTCTACGGATGAAGATATTCATTCACGGTCCTCTATCTCTTTTGGCAGGCCACAGAGTACGAAAACCAGACGGCCAGTTCCGTCGGTGATTCAGCAAATTTCCTCGGACGAAAATTTAGATGCCGAGGTCCAGGAATTAACTGATGATGCTGAGCTTAATGATGACAGTCTTGTTGATGAGCTTGGTGTAGCAGGTGGACAATATGATCCCCTCACCCTGAAAGCCTTACAGAAGCTTTCAACAAAACAACTTGCTATTCGACTTCTTCTACGTCCTGTTGTGGCCCACGAATATTTGGGAATGAAGAAAGACTACATCCTCCCAGATAATCAACTCCCTCGAATAAAGACATCCCAACTTCTGACGGAGCTACGCTCCATTCGACGGAGAATGGAGTCATTGAGCCGTGGTTCTAGTCTAGATGATACGGAAATACGGAGTTTACAAGGTCTCCGTATGGGTCAAAAAAGTAACCGGGAACTGGACGAGGAACTTTCACGGGACGTCATATTGTACATGAAAAATAGGATGTCCTTGCCCGAACTTCTCCTGCGGCTGTCGAACAATCTCGTCTCATCAACAGATCCCGATCGCCCAACTGCTTTTCGAATCATGATCGTTGCATTCACCAAGACTCGGCAGAATGATATCGTGGCATTGCTTCTACGGACATTGATTCCTTTTGGGTTTACGTTGACAGGACCGCTCATTGTTTCGATAGTGAGCTATTTCCGAAAGAGCAAGAACCTAAAAGATTTCGACTCGTTCTTGCAGATGTTGCGAGGCCATTCGACATACAAACCAAACCTTGGTGGAATGGCACCTTTCAAGCTTGAAGTAGTAAATGGTGTTGAGATTACGGTGCCGCCGTTAGAGAGCAACAATTCTCTAATATGGGCCTCGTTTATAATTGCGGCGTTAAGGTTCGATCAGCCTGAGCGTGCTGACGCCTGGCTTCAAGCTGCGCGGGTGCGTGGATTTGGAGATACTCGTGATACGCTTTTTTCGTATTTGAAATTCTATAGCATCCGAAGGGATTGGCAAGAAGGATTGAACGTTTTGAAGAGAGCGCTCGCTTACATTGCGTCCACGACATTGCATGAAGAGGAAGTGATTGAGCGGTTGATTGCGCTGATGGTATCGCTTTGCGATAATTGCGAGCAATACGAGTTCTCGGAGGCCTTAATCGATGCTGCTATTGGGAGCGGCTTTGATCACGGATTCGCAGAGAAACAGTTGGATCTGAATTTCCCCTTTGATAACGCCTACGAACGATGGGCGAAAGCCGTGGAGAAGTTCACTCCTGGAAATCGGGACAGGGATACACTGGAAAAGTGTCATTCTTTCACAGGCATCATGAGAAAGCAACTACATCTCCTGATTTCCAAGAAAAATAGGTATTCTTGGAGGAAAGATATGAATGGGCACTACTCGGAAGCTTCCCTCTCAGTTGCACTTTCTGGCTTTGACAAGAACTGTGCCCTGAAATCCGAGGTGGATGCAATTGAGCCTCTACCTCAAAACCCTGGCATATTTACTAGTGAAACTACTACGTCAGGAGCACAGAACGATGATCTGACGGCTCTGCGAGCTGAGGTTGCGCAATTAAGACGTCTTGTTTTGGGACTGGCTGGCATTAAACCCCAAGATACCGCCGCCGCCACGGCGATAGAAAACGTCAAGTCTCCAGTGACATCAGTTAAAGAGACCGAGTCTCTTCAGAATACTACCGCTCTCAAAAGAGGATGGAGTGCCTCTAAATTCGCGCAAGGGGAGGCTCACACTACCGCCGAAAAGAGAACGCCACAGGAAGATGGTCTTCGCTACTCCATACAAGACAATGTAGCTCCACCTACAAGGTCAAAATCTATCCTATTAAAGAAAACCACGGCCCCTTTCAACCGAAAAATGCCGATCGAGAATTCCTCCCGATACAATCCCGTCAAGTATATAGAATTCAAACCGAAAAGACGTGTGGCGGTCAAATACGTGAGATCGGACCCTACAGTCCGCCCTGACGACTCGAGTCGCGATCAAGAGGCTTCTCCATAAGTTGAATTGGCAACCTTTTTGCGATAGCCATCAGACGTTCATTTGTTTTAATTTTATTTTGTTCCCCTTTCATGACCCTGGATATACAGGCTTCGGTTAGAAAGGCTGGGGATTCTTCATATCTCATAAATAGTGCGAGATTTGGCAAGGGAATAGTTTGAACTGTATTCATATAGGAATGTCGGATGTCTTGGAATATTTTATTTTACTTTTTCTCTTCTAGCGCTTTCTGACTAGAACTCAACTTTCCAAACGCAGTTGAACAGTCTTAAGTAGACATTAAATACACCCGAACAACACCGTTATTGGGAATACATAACTCAAGCAAGACAAAGGCTGTCTGGTCTAACAACTCTAAGAGGAAATGTTCCATGGCCTCTTCAAAAATGTAAACAGATAGAAGGGAAAGTTCATCTTCGATGCAAATATTAATACAAAAGATCCCAAAGCTTTTTACCGTCTCTTGCCTGGATCAGCACGCATCTTCTCCTTCCGTGCAAGTCTGTCAGCAGCCCGAAGAAGAGCAGAGCGAATGTCACCCTTCGGAAACGTGGAGATATCATAATAAGCGGGGGCAATTTCCTGCGTATTGAGGAACACGGTTAGTAAGGATTCTTAGTCCTTTTTGGCATGCATTTAGATGAAGAGACAAGTAACATACTAGGAGCCATTCCGGCTTCACAGCGGTGACAGTCCGAATATAATTTTTGGTCGTGAGGACAAACTCGTTATAAAGAACCCACTCAGCATCGTAACCCAAGACAGTGGACGGGTGCAGGAGGACGTTCTGCGTATCCTTAACTGTAGAGTAGATGCTTTTGCCTTGGCTTTCCTTCCTAGCAACTTGCATGAAGAAACCGGCGCACAAGGCACGACGGATGTTCTCATAGTATTTCTTGTCATCAAAAGGAGTGGATATCATTTCAAGTTCTTCACGCTCCATAATGCGAAGAAGCTGCATACGAACATTATCTGCAGATTGAAGCGATCTCAGAGATAGGAAATGGTCGTGGCACCATTGCCTGGGGTTCTCTTGGGCTTCAGGACTCTTGAATGCATGATATACGTTCAGAAGAGTTAGGTGGTCTCCATCAGGATGGGCGAAAAGGTTCTTCATCTCGTCAGCACGCTTTCTCTGGGATGCGGGCCGAACAAAAACCTGTGGAACCGATAGCAAAGCCGTAATAGATAAAATCTCGTTAGAGCAATAAAACTCAGGGGAGCTGATCAGCATGACGGCAAGCGCAGGGTCTAGAGGGAACTCCGAAGCGAGGCGCCCCAGAGCCGTCAAGTTTCCATCGTCATCTAGACAAGCCAGATAATTGAGCTCCTCTAAGGCCCTCATTAGAGTTTCCGGTGCAGGAGGGTCCATCAAATCAAAGTGAACCAAATCGTCAATTCCAAGCTTCTTCAGCTCTAGGACGGTAGAGGAGAGATTGGACCGAAGGATTTCAGGATAGGTCTGATTAATCAACTCTTTTTTGAACGCGCCTTCCGTGTATAGACGGAAACACTTTCCAGGGCGTGTACGACCGGCACGACCGGCCCTTTGTTGTGCGGAGGCTTTGGAGATCGGGGACACCAAGAGTGACTCCACGCGGATGCGTGGGTTGTAGATCTTCTGCTTCGAGAATCCCGGATCCACGACATAGACAATGCCGTCTATTGTAAGCGAAGTCTCGGCAATGTTAGTCGATACAATGCACTTCCTTCCCGGACGCCCACCAGGTTTTCGTGGGGCAGGTGCTGGTTCGAAAATACGTTGCTGCATTGCCGGAGGAAGACTGCCGTAAAGCGGATAGACCTTCATGGGTCCAGCGTCTACTTCTCTCACCATCTCATCTGCTTCTAGAGAAATCTTGCGGGACGCATCTTCGATCTCTTCTTCTCCGGTTAAAAACAGGAGAATATCACCTTCTGGTTCGGTGGCGTGAATCTGTAGGACCGTACGAATAGCAGCCTCCACGTAATCCTGTTCTGGCTCAGGGGTGTAGAAAATCTCGACTGGATGAGTCCGACCTGGGACGGCAAGGAGAGGGGCATCATTGAAATAACGCTGGAACTTCTGCGCATCTAATGTGGCAGACATGATGATGATCTTCAAATCCGGGCGGCGCTTAACAACTTCCTTGAGAAGACCCATAAGGATATCTGTAGCCATAGTTCTTTCGTGGGCCTCATCAAGAATGATCGTACTGTAGCGTGTGAGGTCATGATCGTTCATGGCTTCCCGCAAAAGCATACCATCCGTCATATACTTCAGGAGAGTCTTGGGGCTCGTCATATCTTCGAAACGGATGCTGTAACCAACTTCCTCCCCTAGCTTGACATCTAATTCGGTAGCAACACGCTGGGCGACTGACATGGCAGCGACTCGACGAGGCTGGGTACAGGCGACGAGTTTGCGCTGGGTCTGAGGAAGGTCATCGAACAGGACGAACTGAGGGATTTGGGTCGTCTTTCCGGAACCCGTCTCACCGACAAAGACCATGATCTGGGATTTCTGATAGATTTGCAAAAATTCATCTCTGATTATAAGTTATGGGACTAATCCATTGCGAGAACAGAAATGGGCTCTGAAACACTCACCTCTGAGCATGCACCGGGAGATCGCGGCGGGTCTTAAGGATAGAGAAGTATTTCTGGGAGAAACCTCGGCCGGTAAAGGGATTTATCTCTCCATCTTCGACGCTTTTTGCCTGTGCAGCGGTAGTTTGATGTCTCTTCAAATTGGCAAAGGCGGCGTTGCCGTTGGAAGTCTCGTCGGCGTACATATGAGCCAGATAAGGGTTGTCCTTGGGATCAACGGCCGGCGTGTTCATCTTCTGACGTTTTGCACGAGAGTTGGCTGAATCTGGACGTCGATCCGCCATGGTGAGACTTTAAGAGAAAACGAGATGGCGTTTGTCGCAGGATGTCGCAGTCGTCCAGCGCAAACGAAAGTGAGGAATTCTCCATAGAAAAAAGGCACGGCCAAGATAGGAAATTAAGCCGAGGATCGCCACACCTTCCTATCATGGCCACCGCCCGCCGTTCTGCCGCCGCATTTCCAAAAGCCTCAAAACCCCTCGAATAGGAAATGCTCCATCTGTTGATTCTGTGCATATCGTTTCCTAGGAACATTCAACGGAAATGGATTCATCGTTATAGCAAGCTTTTTATGCCAGCTGGCCTTCGCCACTTATCTCTCCGTTCTTACATCTAACCGTAAGGAGGATATCCTTTGGGGAGTCTTATTAACTAGATAGCAGTCTATCCCCCTGTACAGGTGTACTCTCCATTTGATATCATTCATTGTTATCTGACTGGGATATTTATTGGGCCGACTATATTCTTTTTTTTATTATCGGTTTCGGCTTTTAAAACAGAAAGATGGATTCTCTTAGTCCTGAGGATATGGCTCCTCCGTTCTGCATTGGTCAGCATGAGCCCAATCGCAAGCTGCCTGTCACGCCGCTGGTAGTCCAGAAGGCACATGAGAGCAATGTATGATTGAAAATATCCCGCTGGTTGACGATGCTCGCCGTTGTTACTAACTTTGTCATCCCAGTATGATATGCTCACTACCCCGGTCACTACACCGTATTTCCATTCTCGAGTACTGTCCCAGCTATCCTCCCATCTCTCGAGCGCTCAAGCACCGACATATGACGCTAGCGGTACTCTGGCTACAACTCAGAGTACTCTTCCTTTGACCATTTCCCCACTGTCAATTGCAGATACACACCTGACGCCTAATGAGTCCACATCTCAACTCATTGGGGTTACCAGTACATGGATCGACCTGGGTTCTCCAGATCCGCTGATAGCCAACATTTCTCGCCAGGTTTTGATGTTGGAGGTTGCTTATGCTGCATTTTGTGGTATTGGTTATCTTCTGATCCCTGGCCCAAAGCTTCACCATGGGGATATGCATTCCGAAGGGTTGGTGTATTATGCGAGGGCTGTCCAGGACGCTCTTAGCACAGCTCCTTATATGCAAGTACATATCTGGCTGAGAATGCTCGATAATCCAGATCTTGAGCTTGACGAGATGGGCGACCTTGCTCCTTTAGCGCGGACGGAATATCTTCATAATATAGACGGCGCGCCATCAGGAAAGGTGGATCCGCTAGGGACTTGGGATGCTTGGGATCTTATCCGGAGAACTTGTAAATATCATGGAAGATTATCCGTAGGTAAGAATATATCTTCTTCCTTCGTTCCAATCCTTTGTGATACAGTCGCCTATGGCTTGTATAATCCTCCGCTAAAGACCAGGTCGTATCAGCACTTTCTTTACCGAAGCAGCTTCCTGCTACATTCGTCCAGTCCCGGTGGCATTCAGAGCCAGTACGACTACTTACTATCGATACAACGGTGTTTATTAAGAACCAAAAAGGATATCCTGTCTTACCAAAGCCCCATCAGGCTCTGATTTCCAAGTTCATGGGTCTGCGCAGTGCTCCATGGATTCTTCTCTGTGATGTTGGACCGATTCCAAACCTGGATGAGGCTCATGAAGACAATGCTTCTGGCGTATCTGGTGCGGATTTTCCCAGTCTTTCTCAGGCTGCAACCTCGAACAAAAAGCATTACGACCCGACTCCACACCTTTCGTACATGAGGAATCTCCAACAGCGACAGAGCTCTCGAAATGCCATTGAAAGATTTGGAATGGGATATCAAGACTACTTACAGGCGCCACTGCAGCCACTGACCGTCAATTTGGAAAGCATCACCTACGAAGTTTTTGAGAAGGATCCCATCAAGTACGAATGGTATGAGCGAGCCATCGCGAAAGCGCTGAATGACTGGGCTGAACAGAAGAAGCCTACATCTGATCCGAAGGGCAGAGTTGTCGTTGCTGTGGTTGGCGCAGGGAGAGGCCCCTTGGTAACCAGAGCCCTGCGAGCTAGCGCACAAACAGGCGTCGAGATCGATATGTGGGCCGTGGAGAAGAATCCTAATGCCTTTGTCCTGTTGCAACGCCATAACCAACATAGTTGGGGAGGAAAGGTATCCCTTGTCCAGTCGGACATGAGGAGTTGGAAGGGCCCTCGAAGAGACGGGGATGCCCCTGTCTCCCATCTGGAGCTTCTGCAAGATGCCGACTCCTTAGTACCTGATAGCCCAGGGGTTGAAGCCGTTCATACTCGTGTTGACATTCTCATCTCCGAACTACTGGGCTCCTTTGGCGACAACGAGCTATCACCCGAGTGTTTAGATGGGGTGACCCATCTCCTCAACCCAGTGCATGGCATTTCCATACCTGCATCCTACTCTTCTCACCTCACGCCAATATCAGCCCCGAAGCTTCATGCCGACGTCATGAATCAAACTTACTCTAATCCTGCTGCCCCAGAGACCCCCTACGTGGTCATGTTACATGCGATCGACTTCATCTCTACCACCCAGTCAACTTTCCCCGTCGATAGTCCTCCTGGGGACACCGGTAGCAACGTCAGCAGTAATCGTTCTCGATCATCGGGACACATATCGCCCCCATTACCAGTCATGGAGCTTCCAACTCCACTCGTCCAAACGGCATGGTCCTTTTCACACCCCAACAGGAACATCCCCGCGCAGCCTCTATCATCGACAGCCTCAAACTCCCACAACATCCGCCAAACTCGTCTCACCTTCCCCTGCCAGAACCGTGGCGTCTGCCACGGACTGGCGGGATACTTTGAGACGGTGCTATATCGAGACGTAGAACTCTCGACGAACCCCGTAACAATGGATGCTAAAAGCGCCAATATGATCAGTTGGTTTCCGATATACTTTCCACTGAAAGTGAGTCTCCCTCCCACAGAAAAAAAAAAAAAAAAAAAAAAAAAAGGGGGACAGGCATACTGATCAATTCTCAAACTAGACTCCCCTCAACGTCCCCGATAATGGCGAAATAGTAATAACCATGTACCGACAAACGGACGACCGCAAAGTCTGGTACGAATGGATGGTTGAAGTTTTCTCCCTCGAACCGCCCTCCTCCGACCCTAGACAAGGACAGGAATACTTTAGACAGCCGGCCCATCAAAGTCAAGGCCACGGCTACAGACGCGTTCGAGTTGGGATTAGCGATCTGCACTCTAGCATTAAGGATGGGTGTCTTATGTGATTGTAATTTCCATCTTTCCATGATATAGGAAGTTAATAGCTTGAAAGTAGTCGGGAGAGTTTGTTGCCAGGGCTTAATTTTGTTTGATTCCATAAGATCTCACTAGCACAAAATCACATTGATACACATCTATAAACAATGCATATGCCAATGTCAGCCTGACTTTTATAAATGAATCCAATTTCCTGTGTAGACACCATATGAACTCGAGTTCACCACCTATGTATGCATCTATGTAAAGAGTACAGAGTATGGCATGCACCAATACACCTGTCCTAATTGATAAAACTAGGCCCAGTCTGATAGCTGATCCGTGTACCTGGAGCTGAACCTGAATCATTCCGACAAGAATATGTGAAAAAGGGAAAATACAATGGCAGGGGCAACATGATTAGATACAAAAAATTCTGGGGGGTTGAGAAACGGACGAGTAAAAAGAGAAAGGGAGAAAGAGGAAATCTAGTAATTGATAAACGGACTGGGACCGCTTTACGTTCAAGTAAAATGGGCTGGGGAAGAGATGAACAGGAAAGACGAGTAAGAATAAGGGAAACTGGGATAAATAATGCTCGCCTGGCTGGGACAGGCCTGAAAATTGAACAATATGAAAAGCAAAATGCCAACACTTCTAAAAGCAAGTCAAGATCAAAGTGTCGGACCAGATTTGACCGTCGGAAAGCTCTTCAACACGGCCTCTGGTTTGATATGAACAGTGTTGCCATCATCCAACTGCTGAAGAGCAGGTATCGTCATTGACTCCCCGGCACTCTCCGCATTCGGTGACGGTGTCGGTTTAGGGAGCGGAGAGGGTCCAGGAGTGAGCCTCTTGTTGCGACTCTCCGTGAGACCCTTCCGGATAGCAAGGACAGAGTCGACGATGACAGCATCAATGCCCTCAACAACTTGGCGCTGGAAGAAGAGGCGTCAGATATGCTCAGGTTCTCGAAGGCCTAAAACCAGCACAGAGGAAAGAAGGGAAGGGGCGTCTTACCTTGACATTTACGGGGTCATTGTTCAATGTTCCGTACGAGACACAAACGAGACCAGACTCCTTGACAACCCTAACAAGACGGGGGCAAAGGACGAACGGTTCGGCCGCAGACACGACGCCGAGAAGGTTCCATCTGGATGCAAACCTAATCGCTTCCTGCAGACTGCTGGCACGGATATCACCGACAGGTGAAGTCCCGGCGTCCGACAAGAAAAGCACGGGGATGGAAGGTTGCTTGAAAGAAAGGAGAAGACAAATGTCTGGGTTGAAGCTGGAAAAGATCATGTTACGTCCTTTACCGAGATCATAGACCTTGGTCAGGACAGTATCCACGAAGGAATTCAGCTCAACCGCGTAAGTGTCCATCTCTTCCTCCTCGCTCTCATGGAGCATCGGGTATTCTGATGACCTAGGTTAGATCACCTCGTAGCCATTCTTTTCTGGGTCTCTTGGAAACTCACTCATTTCAATATTGAATCCAACCGACTCAGGAAGTTTCCTAAACAATTCTTCCAAAGTGGCGAACGGTGCCTGGATATGGCTACCGCGAGTGTTTCCTTTAAAGCCCTTCTTTTTGAAATCACGAGTGTGCTTGATCCTTTCGTTAAGTTCCGAAGGATCGTATTCCGTACCCCCAACCGACATCGACCGCTGTCTGACACTAGCATCGCTCCAGTAGTCCTTCCGATTAGAATCACTCCTCTGGAAGGGAGAAGCAGATTGTAGCGGACGGTTCTCGCTCAACTGGAGAAACTGCTCCAGAGTAAGAGTGTGAACTGGGGCGTCTATGCCCGTTTCGCTGACGAGAAAGTCATGATAAATGACAGGAACATGATCCTTGGTCAGTTGCACATCGAACTCCACGTAAGATGCGCCCAGATTTGCGGCTGCAATGAACGACTGGACAGTATTCTCGCCCAGCTGCAGAGATCGTCGACTGGCAAAATTCTTGCCAAGACCGCGGTGGCCGATGACCATAGTGTCGCTCATACTCGTCCAATAAGTCTGCTCTCCTGTGATTGACATTTTCGGATGCTTGAAAGGTGTAATAATGAGGAAGTTGAACGTGACCGAGCCGATAACCTCTAAAGTGTTCGCAGCAACGACAGGCACCGTCGAGTCGCCTTTGAGACTGATACGATTAGAGCCAATATTTGGCTTGATAGAGGAAAGAAGAGCGACGCCACGTCCGACAATCTTGTCTTTCGATCCGGCGTACGTGGGGATGAAATCAAACAAGAGCCGGACCTTGGTAGGGTCTGCTGTATGGAACACGATAGGTTCGGTTGAGATATTATCTTGGATCGGTAGGTCGACAACTTCAGGTTCTCCGTGCGCTCCACTAGCAGAAACGACGACTGACAGAGCAGTGTCCAGCTGGGTGGAATGAGCGTTCTCCATGGGTATACGGTCAAGTTCCACAGCTGGCTGATGTTTACGCATGTCCATGGACCCGAGACTGACCAGGATCATGGCCTCGTCGGTGAGATACCGGTGTCCAAAAGACTTAATAGGCTCAGGAGTTCGCGAACGAGAACTCCCCCCAGAAGCAGCAGTATCGGATCGACGTTCAGTGAGAGAGGACTGCACAGGTGGAGAAGATGAAGTGATAGGAACAGGAATTACGGGCTCTGGATCAACGATCTCAGACTCCGGGGTGGCATCTGCAAGACGTGTCGCAATGTCAAGATGGCCTCTTAATGCTGCATGTTCTTTCGCAGTCCAACCGGAGGAATCGAGTCTGGCAGCATCCGCGCCGGCCTCAAGAAGAAGTTCCACAACGCCCAGAGATCCATCGACACTGGCGATGAACAATGGCGTCCAAGAATAAGTGTTCTCGACCAGTTCGGTATTGGCCTTTTGCTCGCCAGTACCCTGCAGTAAGATCTTGGCGCAGGCATCGTGTCCAAAACGGGCAGCAACATGCAGTGCAGTTTCGCCTTGCTCATCCTGATAGTTGATATCGACACCAGCATCGACCAGAAGCTGCACAATGTCAACAAAATTTGCCTTGGTAGCAAGCGCAAGAACTGCACCCGATCTTAAAACACCCTTCCGGATGGCAGACTTTTCCTGGCTGACACCTTTCCAGTTCTCTGCGTTGAGGAGGGCTTGTGTAGTCAAGGGATGACCACCGACCACGCTTAGATGTAAAGGAGCCCAACCATCATTGTCCTGCCAATATGGACCATCGATACCTTCGCTAACGTCGAACATATCCCAGGCTTGGAGGTGCTCAATAATGACCTCACATACAACTCTGAATCCATATTGCGCAGCATAGTGAAGAGGCGTGCGGCCAGCTAAATCCTTGGCAAGCAAAGCACCCCGATCCTCGGGCCGGAGTTCGTCCAACAAAAGCTGAAGGAGGGACACGGCAGGATCATCTCGCCCCATGAGCTGCTGCTGGTTTGACTCCTTCACGATAGGGCGCGGAGCTTGCAGGGTAGGAGGCGCAGCTGGTGTGATGTAGTTCAATACATCGGGAGGGAAGTCAAGAACCATAGATGTAGATTGTTCGTTATCGGCTGTTGTTTGAGCCCTTCCGATCGAAATGACAAGGCGATGAATACAGTTACGTTTGTTGATATCATCTTCATCTTCAAATGTATCGATCTTGCCAAGCAGCGAGGTGACACAACTCCCGGCGCGATAGAAGATAGCACGTTGCAAGAGGTTCTTGAGGACTTTCTGGTAGACGGTATCACCGATCGCGTCCGATGCAGATTTCAATGCCTCCTGCAGCTCCAACAGAACGTGAATATCATCCTTCCGGAGGGCATCATCAACGGCCTGGAGCACGCTCGGAGGAAGATTCAAATTGGGCCGAGTTGGTCCCTTCTTCAAAGAGCGGGAGGAACAGGTGGAGCTGGCATCGTCGGCAACTTTCTGGTCTCCAAGCACAGATAGCCAATCATTGATCTTCTTCAAGGTTTCAAAGACACGGGTATTTGACGCGAAAGGAGCCGGGTCGACTTTGGTCTCCAGATACCTTTTCTGCGCCTGTGTGCCGGCCTTCTTGTCCAGCTTCTTGGTGATCTTGATAAACCCGCGACGATTAACCTCGCCATACCACTGCAGCTTGCGCAGTTGACCACGCAATTCGAGCAGGGCAGCCAGAAGGTCCTCGATATCCTCCGAATCAAGCCGGTGGTCCGTTTCCATGGAATGACCATAACGCTCCTCTAGTAATTTCAAACGGCGAGAGAAATCCGAGAATTTCTTGTTGTAGAAGTAGTCGACATCCTCGAGATTTCGATCAAGGGAGTAGAAGAATCCTGTTTGTACATGTCAGGGAGGACACACAGCGGCGTACAACAAGAGGTATCAATGAAAACCAGAGGCTCACCGGCCAGATCCGCCTCTTTTCCAGCCTTTTTATCTTCCGCGGCCGATTTGATGAGTTTTTTCAACGCCTTGTACTTTATGTACGAGGAGCTCCACTCAGGAACGACATTCCGTGGTAAATTGCGACCGAACTTCATCTTGGAGGTTTACTTGAGAAAAATAAAGAGCCAAACGGACAATACAACAAGGAAAAGAAAATGAGACAACAATAAATGAAATGGCCAAAGTATCCAGTGAAATCTTCCGTAGCTAGAGAGAGTAACACGGTATGAAGAGATCTCGGACTTAGGTACGACGCAGGATGCAATAGAGATCACGGGCTCAGACGGAAAGAGAGAGAAGACTCGTCAGAGAAGCGTGAGATAAACGAAAAATGGGAGGCGCAGGATATGAAGATGCCATGTGAGATTTGGTCTTATCTCGAGCTTCGAGATAGGACAGCACGGAGGATCCTTTTCTGGGAAACTGAAGGGGAAGAAGAAAGCCAGTCAGTGCATAGTTATAAAAAGACGACTCATACGCCTCCCCAAGCGGATTCAGCTTACCTCTTGCCTCACAGGTGACCGGAAAAGACGGCTGGGGGAAAGAAAATATGACGGGGAGGGATGTACAAGGAGAGGGAGGTAGCACGCAAGACGCGGGATCAAAAAAAGAATAACAGAACAGAATGAGTGAAAGGTCCTCGACAAGGGTGAATATGATGGCGAGTAAAAAAGGAGGAGCGGCGCACGGTGAGGTTTGGAAGCTCGAGAAACGTCGGAACAGGTTTATATCAGAGCAAACCCAAAAATAAGGCGAAGCCCGCTAAAAGTGCGCGACTTAGATAAGATCTCCGCCCGGCCTGCTAGCGCCCCCGCTAGGCTTCTAGATGGTGCGTCTTATTCGCCTTGGCCACTGTCGCCACGGCCATCCTCCAATGGCTGCGGCAGGCGCCTGGGCGTGCGGCGTTCGTCCAGGGGCAATTACTGTTCCAAGGTAGAGACAATAAGCTTTATATGTTGCCATTCATACACTTCTATGAAAGCACGTAACGTTCAAGATCATCCCGTCTCTAGAGATAAATGTTGAAGTACACGCATAGCAATCTAGCGAAGACAACGAATAAAAAGAAAGGCTTTAGAAAACAAGCTCTTGCGCCGAACCGAGCCGAGACGTACGCTGGAAGGAATTAGATAGGCAAAAGCAGCAGGCGTGACTACCAAAAAAAACGCCATGAATAATCTCCGAGAAAAAATAAATTCATGGATGGAAAAGACTTGAAATGGCTGGAGAGGAGAGCAAAATAAAAGTTCGCGCAACCTCCTCAACTTCTCCCCGTTCAATCGACCAACACTTTCAGGGTTTCAACTGCCACCTGGAGAGCAGCCATGTTCCCACTTTGCTGTTCTCTCTTGAATAGCTCCGTCAGAATCTGGACTGTATCGGAAGCCTTCAGCACTTCCCGGGCAAACGCGCCTGTATCCCCAGACGCGTTGGCCAGGTTTTGAATGCACACGACGCCTCGGTGTGCCAGCGCTCCGTCTTCCTCCTGGCAGAGACGAAGAAGCAGGTTCAAGGAGCGAGGTCCTCTCGCCTTCGAATCATCATCTAGCTGGTGGAGATAATCCTGTGCGCTCATCTCGGCGGGTCGATCCAAGATAGCCGTTATCACTGCATCGTATTCCGTGAGCATAGCGAGAGCTCCCCCAGCGGCTCTTCGCGTCGCAATATCCTCTGCATCGGTGAGAGCCAGGAGTATTTGAAGGCGCTGCGCAGCCCTCTTGGTACCGTCTGCAAACTTGACTATCCCCGATTCGCAAGTCATCAGGTTGCAGACCAGCTCGCATGCCGCCCTCTGGATAAGTGTATTGTTCGAAAGCAGGAGATCCTCCACAACTGTCCAAGCCTGTCGGACTATGCTTTCCGGGGCTGATATGTCCGGAGAAGAAGCAAGGTTAGTAAGTGCGAGAAGGCTCTCGAACATAGGTAGAAGATCGCGCGGTTGATCAACAGAAATTGGCGCTTGCTCCGGGGGAGATAGAAGAGAGACCAGAGGTCGAATCGCAGAGGTTATTTGAGGGACGCCCGACGATGGGAAGACGAGAGACGGATTAACCGAAATTAGAATACGGGCAAGAGCGTGGGATGCGTGATGCACTGTTTCGTCAAGACCTGTGCTACCAGGCTTTGGCGTCCCGATGCTTATCAAGAGCTTCACGGCTCCCTGCTGAGCCAGTTTACCTCTATTCTTCCGGTCTGCGGCAAGGGAAACCAATATCTTACTGATGAGACCATGTACGGATGGTAGACTGCACTTGCCGCAGTCAACCAGAAGAGGCATAATCCCAGCATTGACGATAGCGGCGCAGCGTGCAGTGACATGTTCGTCATCATCAAGAGGATCTGGGCCCGCCTTGGCTTCTGAAGCGGAAGCATTGGCGTATGATTTGAGCTGGGAAATCTTCTTCTGTTCTTCGGAGAGTTTGGGAAGAAAACTGGTGAGGTTCAGGATGACCATTAACCCGCCATAAAGCACCGATGAGTCTTCTGAATTTGCCTGTAGAAGTTCGAATAGGTCTCGCAGAAACGCAGAGTCCCCGGCAAGCTGCTCTTTTGCTGTCGGCTTCACGGACGAATAAGCCAACCCTTCGATGGCGTTTTGGATGTTATCGACCTTTTGCTTAGACATCAGTCCCTTGAATCGATCCACTAACTCCGGGATACTGCTGTCTGCCTCCTGGACCTTACCGTTCGATCCAGAAAGCGCGTCCTTCTCGGATGATCTGATCTTTGCTAGAATCACGGCAGCCAATTCAGAAGTCTGATCAGTGCCATTGCTCAATAGGTGCGACAACCAGTCAGAGAAGTTCTTGGAAATCGCCTCGCGACAGTTTCGATCAATACACGCAGCATTCAACAATTCGAGTTCCGAGAGCTCCACGCTCCGGCTCTTAACGCCTCTGGAGACCGACGTGAGGAGAGACTTTACAAATTCCTTGGACAAGAAGAGACTGGCCATGACGTTTGGAATGATGGGGAAGACAGCAGCAACTGCGGAATACGCAGCAATCAAATCGTCACTGTGACCTTTCGCTATTTTAGCGGAGATGAGCTTAGCAAAACGCTCCTCACCGATCTTCTTTGAAGCTTCGAGGTACCTAGCCATGGCCAATGTGGCCTGGCTCCTCAATTCCAAGGAAATCCGGTTGTCTGAAGAGGAAAGAATAACATCCAAACCTTCGTCATCGACGAGGTGCTGTAGATTGGCCGCGTCCACAGCAAGCAGCCGCGTGATTCCCTTGAGGGACCTACCGTCTAGGTCATGGCCGGATTCCATTAGCTTTGCGATGAACAGCAGGAAAAGCTCACGCTCACAATGTGAACGGGCATCCTCGGAGGGCCATAGCTTTGGATCCAGAACAATCATGTCAAGACACACAGCAGCCCCATCTCCTCTATCGTAAATCTCATCAAAGAAAGCAGTCACGGAGTCTTGTAGTCGAGTTGCGAAAAATTGTCGCACGCTGGCATTTTGTCGGACCAGCCCCGAAATGATAACATCCTGTACCGGTGACAATGTATGCGGTTTCTCTGCCAGCAGAAGTTTCAGGCAACCCAACGCAATATCTTCGGGGGGTTTCAGCCCATCCGTGCGCAGGTAACGAACAGCCTCTTCCCCAGCATCCTCATTCTTCTCGGTGATATACCGTCGACAAAGATCTAACAGCTGATGACCGTCCTTCTCGTCTTGTTGAAGCTTGAGAAAGGCCTCCTTGACATGGACATTTTCTGGTGCTAGAGAGAGGGCTTCTCGGAGACTGCGGGATGCTTCCTGTAGAGGTAGAGAAGGTAACAGTTCAGAATACGTCAAAAGAGAATTAAAGGAACTGAAGAAGTGGAAGCAATGTCAGTCAAAAAGAAAGAAAAACCTACTTCTGGACGACCAGCATCTAGCAGCCCCAAAGTCGCCTTTGCCAAGTATTCCGCGCGCTCCTCATCTCTTGTCTGGACCATGTCAGGCTCCAGTCAGACAGAAGCAGCGGAACGCCTCAGAAAGAGAGGGAGAGGTTCTCGAGAACACGGGCGATCTGCTGCAGGGAGACGATAGAAAAGACGAGGAAGCGTGATGGCTGAGAGAAAAATTTAAAAAAAAAAAGACAAGAGAGAAAAGGAGAAGCTGGTACGTAGTGTTGCAGTCGCTGTGTTAGTCGATATTAATTAATATCTAAATACAGACTGCATGGAGGGGTCTGTGGGTATCCATATATTTATACAGTTGAAGTAAATTTTATTATTAAGACCGGAACAGAACATGGGGTTGATCAGAGGAATAATAATGCGTTGGGCGGATCAGATGGGGAGCTCGGCATGCCTTGATAGGTTCAGACTCCGTGCAGCATATGATCTATGATTGCTTTTTCAGCCAGCTCGTCCTCTTGCTTCTGCAGACATGCATTGCATGAGCATCGGCATGAGGCTAACCTAGGCAGATATGTAGATAATAAATCATAAAGAGAATCTCCGTAATATAATAAATATTAAATAATGAAGGGAAGCGGAAATCTCATATGACATCGCTGGTGAGTCATGTGATTGCTCTCCTGTTCACCCTGAACCGTTTGCGACAATCGACTTCTCTACTTAATCTGACACTGATAATCCTCTCACATAGAATTTCGTTTTGCTGTTTCGCTGCCGTTTTTGGTCGCACATGATGCCAAAAATGGCAGCGAAACAGCAACTATCACCTGCCACGCTCCTGCACTTTTCGCCCACGCACCACCAACATAATCCTCAGGCAGCATCATGGCTTTCATTTGCTTCCTATCGAAGTTTCACAACGTCGCTGAAAATGGCCTCCTCAGCACCCCACCAGCTGAGGGCTAGCTGGCACCTACGTACTGGGTTATCATGTGACCACATTGTAAAGGGAGGCGTACGTGCGTTGTTCCCTGCGACAGGAACCGGGTTGTGATCGAGGGATCTCAGGGATGGATACACCAAAACGATGCTGGCTATACCGTACGGCACTGAACGATCTAGTAAGGGAAACGATATAACGATAAAAGGAACCACAACGACGAAGGAGCCTCGCTCCGTTCTATACGATGATGACGATACTAGCGAAGCAACCTAGAAATTAGTATGTCGGAGACCGCGGCGCTACGGTGTTCTAAGATAGGAAATATGAGAGATCCGGGATTTCGCAGTGCCCCCGGCACAATGCATGCAGCTGATTAATTCAGCAGCACGCTTTGCCAGCTCAGTCATATTGAATGTAGTGTGGCATATCACCATTTTGTGACTTTCATTCAAAAGAAAGTGGCCTCTTGTATAGTGAAACCAGTCATCACTGGTGTTCCAATCTGAGTTAACTGGACAGTTGAGGTCAGTCCTTGATTGGCTGGTAGAATAGGATGACTGCATTCTTCCTCATTTCTTTAATAGGAAAATGACCTTGCATATCATTATGAGAGACAAGTTGACATGGGTGTGGGGCATTTTGAAGAAGAAGAAAAAGGGGGGGATAGAGCGCGACATCGAGTGTTCTCGTTAGTTGGAAGCTCCTTGAAAATGAGCCAGGTACGGTGAGGTCCTCACAGCACCACTTTCCTAAAATGTTTTGAAGCTAGTAAGACGTCTGATATAGCCATCCTCCTGAGCTTTATGGTGGTGAGCCACTGCTAATATGGCTACATCTGAGCCTAACACCCCTCCAGAGGGACCCCACCTACCTATCGCCCTGCCAAACGAACCCTGTCCCAATGAGGGAAGGAATACTCAAACAAGGAACCTGCACCAGTTGCTCTGAGCTTGGTCCCTGCAGGATCTACTAGGTCTAGATATATATATAGAACTACCTAGTAGATATCTCCCTTTATCAGAACCCCCTGGGCACCTGATAAATAGATATAGTGTGACAATGTGCCGGGGGCACTGCGAAATCCCAGATCTCCTATATTTCCTTATTTTCCTTTTCTTAACATATATAGTACATGCGACCACAGGGTGTGGAAAACAGGGCTTCCCGTCCGCTCAGCCGTACTTAAGCCACACGCCGGCCGGTTAGTAGTTGGGTGGGTGACCACCAGCGAATCCCGGCTGTTGCATGTTTTTTCTGTTCTTATTTTTTTATACTTTTTTTATATTGCTACTTGAAACTCTCCAAGTTCAATCCTTATACAACCAACTCAGACTTTCTGAAATGAACCAGGAAGTCCGTGTACTGAAGCATCTTTCGAACTTGAAAGCACATCATCATGGCAGCTCTCTCGTCGGTATAATGACAGAGGAGTTTGAAGTCACAGGGCCAAGTGTGGAGAACGCATGCCCATTCGGCTACCTCCTACATCTCTCGTTGGAATTTTGAATGATAGGGGAATCGATGGGTCTTCTCACATCGTGTTCAACTCAGATCGTGATTATCTCCAGATGGAATATCTTGAGCGTCCTATTAAATGCGGTTCTCTGGTGCCAAGTCAGAGCTCATTATTATTCTGGTACATGGGTAATTACGGGGATTTTCTAGATTCTGAACAGCAAATTGAAAAGGAAGTTGTGTCTTCCAAATATTTCGTGGACTGTCATGCTGTGATCTGCCGCGGATGGTCCTGTACCTTTGAGAGAGCTTTTCTCCGGGAATTGGGTCCACTGGACGATTGAGGACTAAAGAAAAACTTAACGGCCACTCGAGAATGAGAAGTTGGTGATGTGTTAAATGGCAGTTCTCACACTATCACCATATTTTCTCCAATGCAGTCGGCGATGGATTTACATTCAATGCCCAAGCTTTCTCTGGTGGTTGAAAGACCAAAATGCCAATCCTATTATCTCATTCTGCTACAGACATCGTTATATGGATGGATTTCCGTGTTTGAGATAGCTTGACTACTACTGGCAAAAAGGGCTGTTATTCGAGATTTCAAACAATCTCATGGCCGTTTCTTGCTGGTTAGAGATGGATGCCTAGGTACCCTTAAGTCTATTCATAGTAGCGGAACCAGAATCTAATCTGATCGTCGTAGCTTGACAAACCTTAAAACTTTCCCCGAACATCCAGCAACAGCTAACGACACTGCTCGCTGATCGACCATGAACGCTGTAGACGCAACAGAGCACTACGAGGTAGATGCAAAAGGCATGCTGAATAACCAAGAATGACGAAAAGGTATCAAAATATTCGCAACTAACTAACAAACCCTCCATCCAGATCTCGCCCCGTCTCTACTCACCGTCGTCCTCGACACAAACCCCCACGCCTGGGCTATCCTCGAGGACTCCCTCCCCCTTTCAAAAGCCATCGCGAACATCCTCGTCTTCATTAATTCCCACCTCGCCTTTAACTTCGCTAATGAAGTCGCCGTCATCGCTTCGCACAGCGACAGGGCCGTTTGGCTGTACCCGTCGCAACAACCACAGGATCGTACAACGACAAAGAAGAATCCCGAAGGTGACATCCCGATGAATGATGGATCCGAAAGAAGGCCCTCGATTGGTCAAGTCAACAAGTACCGTCCTTTTCGCATCGTTGAGGAGCAGGTCACGCAGAACATACGCCAGTTGCTGGAGTCGACCAGTGTCGATCGCGTCAAGGCTACAACCTCGACCATGATGGCGGGCGCGTTGACGATGGCTCTAAGCCATATAAATAGGAGGTCAATTTCTTGGGCAGAGGCTCATGGAGGGTCGAATTTGGACGCCTCGTCGTCCGAACTACGGTCATCCGGCAGATCAGGCCCGGAGAATGTCGCTGGGGCTTTGAAGTCGCGGATTCTCATCATATCGGTCAGCAGCTCCACGGGTTCCGCTCATCAGTATATTCCGATTATGAATGCCATCTTTGCGTGTCAGCGTCTTCGGATCCCCATCGATGTCTGCAAGTTGAGCGGGGATGCTGTCTTCTTACAACAGGCTTCCGATGCTACAAGAGGCGTGTATATGTCTCTCTCTGAACCCCGTGGCTTACTCCAGTACTTGATGATGGCCTTTTTGCCTGATCAACGCTCTCGCCAGCATTTGATATTGCCAACGCGTGTGGATGTGGATTTTCGAGCTGCTTGCTTTTGCCATCGCCGTGTCGTTAACATAGGCTTCGTTTGCTCTATCTGTCTTAGCATCTTTTGCGAGCCTCCTGAAAATGGCGATTGTCTGACCTGTGGGACACATCTCAGCCTGAGCGATTATGGTGCCAAGCCGGCCGTTGTTGCTAGAAAGAAGAAGAAGAAGAAGCTCCGCGCAAATAGTGCTTCTGCCACCGCCACACCTACACCTGCTCCTACTCCAGACGCTTGATATAGTCCTTTCTCCGTGGAGAGAGTTCTACCCAGCCTGCACATTACTGACGACTGCGGTGTCTTAGCCAGATATTTGAGAAGCAGTTAACATTCTGAGATACGAGATGTTTTACGCATCCTATTGAATGACCTTGCAGCATCTTACTGGAGAGGTGTACTATTAATAATATATGATTTTGTTCTTTTCCGAGAATCTAGGAACATGAATACACTGGGGAACCCAAATGACAGCACGATCGACGCGACAATCCGTGTGTCCAGTTGATACCTTTAGGTAGGCCAGGATAGCCGACGCTGCAGTTCAGCAATGTCGACCCGCCTTGGCCGGCCCTGAGGCTATCCCAAATGGCTATCTCAAAGCCACTGAGGCAGCGTGAGGCATACGTGCGAACAAAGACATCCATTTAAGGATGTAAAGATGAAGTATCGGGACAAATGCTAGGGGCTTAGGTTTTGGTCACTAGGTTCAAGCACTTCGTACCATTGAAAAGAAAAAGAAATCGGAGGCAGATGGGGCGATTATGGGGCGGAATTCGCGTGATGTGACGAAGGCTCACTGTCGCAAGTCAGTGTAAGCGGGAAGTCGGCGAACTCTGTATCTATAATCCAAGTTAGCTGCAATGCCGGCAGTTATTTGGCGGCTGCAGGTAGTCCCTAGGCTATACAATACCATCACAAGTAGTAATACTATATTCGAGATGCATACCTTCTGTTTCGGCACGCGCGGCCACCCTGAGCGATTCTCCCCTCCCCGTTGCTGCGAGACATCACACACATTGGCTTATTATCCTGGCTAGTCATCGAAGCGAGTGCCTAAAATGTGTTCAATACATTGAGTTGTCTTTGGACCCGATTTTAGGTCCTACTTACGAAAGATTCGGTGTTGTGTCCAAAGTAAAGAAAGACACCATGCGTCGTTTTCTTCACAGCCATGATTCCAATGGCTCCATGGCAGTGGCTGTTTACCACACCAGGATGTCCTTTTAAACATCCGTCAGTATCAGTTCCATTGATGTATGGGTTGTCGATGGGGGAAGGTGAGCTTACCCATAAAGTCTGTTGCAATCATCTCATGCATGGCTTCTTCCTCGGTGATGTCTTCATAAGTGCCGTCTTCGCCCTTGCGTTGACTATGATAGATTCGGGACGCGCAAGTGTTGGCAGCTATGGTTGTAGCAATGTGCTCTCCTGTCCCTGATGTGACAACTGCAACACAAGTCCCATCAGGGTCATTCGGATCCTCCGGGATCACAGCGGTGCCGATGCCTACGAGGGCTGCTGGGCCAACTCTGCCACGGCGTTTCATGCCAATACCACCAGAAGATGAGCCTGCAGCGATATTCCCCTTTGCATCCACTGCTATTGCCCCTACAGTGTCTGTGATATTGTCCGTGATAGCATCGTGTTTGGAGGCCCCATCATTGGCAACATTTGAGGCGTTGCCTGAGGTGGACGTTTGTGTAGGGAGTTTCCTGTCTGTACAACAGGGATCGGCATCATCATTTTTTTGAATGTCCAAGAACTCACTTTCCTTCACACACCTAGGATCTCTGACCTTGCTGGATGCGGGTTGTCCACTATTTGAACAGATTCCAGGACTGTGGCCTAATTCTTGAATTTCAAGGGTGTTGTGCGAACCACCAGAGAAATGCCTCTGACTTTCAGTCGTACCAGAAAAAATTGGAGAGTTAACTGGAGATTCTGAGCCAAGGCTACGAGGCGTGGCAAGTAAATGCGCTGGATGCATTTTAATAGGTCGACGGAGATAGGGTGTTATATTGTCTGTTCGAAGACTTGTTTCATCGTCTCTGTGAGCATTTCGCAGTTCCTCAGTCCAGCGCAGCCATCGTTCCTTCGCTGCTGGAGATATCAGCCCATCATCATGCAGAGTAACAAGACCGTTTTCGTAAGCGTAGTCTGTAGCCCCCATTCCCACAAGAAAGTTTGGAGGCACCCTATTCAAAGACAATTCGATGGTTGAATGATTGAGAATGACTCTAGCCAGCGATATTGGATTTTTGACCTCTGCAGATTTACGTCACGGACAGAATTAGCAGACAGCATCAGATAAGGAAAGAGGATCAAAGGTAGCTTACGTTCGACCGCTCCCACAGCGCCACTTCGTCCCAGGTGATCGACTATGGTAGCATCGCACTCGACAGTACCATTTATGGTCAGGTTGCTGCCATACCCCGAGTTTGTGATTTCATGGTTCTCGAGAGTCACAATAGCAATTTCAACGGCATCTACTGCTGAGCCTCCGGCTCTGAGAACCGCCATCGCGACCTTCGCTGCACTATAAATGGTCAGAGACTTAACTAGGACGTAGCCAATAGAGGAGCATCATAAGATACACCTACTTGTCGCAGGCTTCAAGATGGGCCTTTTCGTTGTGATGACTGTGAAACCCCGCTCCAGCGTGGACAAAGATTGCAGGGAGACTTCCCGGTTGCCTGGAACGCGACATAACTTGTTGAGGCTGTTTAAAGGAATAATAATTGATACCTGATGAGTTGGAAACGCGCGCGCGACTGGTTTCTGAGTCACTAGAGATGTCGTGCAAGTTGATAGTACAGTCGTTTGTAGACGCTGAAAGCCAGTCACATGGAAGTTACTGGTGCTCGATCACTGCAATTGATGCAAAATGGCCATTCTGTAGAGATCTTAGGACACAAATGATATAGGAGAGGTACCGTGATCAATTCCTTGATAGAGAATGGAGAAGGAGAGGATGAAAGGACAGACGAAAGAAATAAAGATAGGCTCTGAGGGTATTATAGGGCCGGACAGTGAGTGAATGGCAGTGGAGCACCTGGGAGCAATGAGTTACTGACACATAATAATGATCAAGAGGACCCAGGAAGGATAATACCGCAAAAAAATAAAGAAGATAGAAAATAAGCAGACTGGGGACTCTTCACGGTGCTTTCCGTTGCCTCCTCTGAAGCTGTTTCTATCAGGAAGCCGCAGTTACAGAGTCCAGACTCTCGTGGCATTCTCTCTCTCCATACGTTACCCCGTGATTTTTGAAAAGAAAAATAGCAAAACAAAGAATATGGAGAATCTACAACAACGACCAGCAGCAGAACCCCCATCAGCGCAAAACACTGCCGTTTGCTGTCTCAAGAAGTCCTCCAGAAGCAGTAGGGCTGGGCACATGACGCGGCTTGGCACTCCCACCTCCTGGACGCCGCGAAGCTTGGACAGACAGGCAGCACCCCGCGCTCCTCGTCCTCTTCTCCAGAACTCGCCCGGTCGGCTTGCGTTTGGGAGGACACGGACTTGCTATCTACTCGGCTCTCTTCGCAATTCCCCCTCGTGCTCAATTCTTGCGTCGATTTCAGCCACCCAACGGAACGAAGCCCCTCGACGACGTATAAGCTTACGCCATGGCGTCTCAAACACCGGCCGTTGTCATGGACAAGTACGTTTGCATCTAAACCCCTGGAATTATGAGACTTTGTTAGGTGAATCTGGACTGATTTCGTGTCTTTCATACAGCGGAACTGGCTACTCTAAACTCGGTACGTTTATCCTCGTGCAGCAGGTGTCTCGAGCCGCCGTAAGCTGACGGATAATAAGGATTCGCTGGAAATGACTCCCCATCTTTCGTTTTCCCCACTGCGATTGCGACCAAAGCTGGTGCTGGAGCAGGTGGGAGCTCCGGGTCTGGACGACCGCCGGTTGCGAATAAACCATCGTTTTTAGCCGGAGGTGGTGGAGCAAGTTCGCATCTGTCTGCGAAACGTGGAACAGAGGACCTGGATTTCTTCATTGGTGATGAGGCCCTGGCCGCTGGCGGTGGTCCTGGTTATGCTGTCAATTATCCCATTCGCCACGGCCAGATTGAGAACTGGGATCTCATGGAACGTTTCTGGTCAAACTCGATCTTCAAGTATCTGCGTGTTGAACCCGAGGACCACTACTTCCTACTCACTGAGCCGGTATGGTTGTTGATTTTGTGTTAGATGTTGTTTACTGTATGCTAATTGACAAACTCGGTCTCAATAGCCCCTCAATCCTCCCGAGAACCGTGAGAACACGGCCGAAATTATGTTCGAATCGTTCAATTGCGCCGGTCTCTACATCGCTGTTCAGGCCGTTCTTGCCCTCGCTGCATCATGGACATCCTCGAAGGTGACCGATCGATCCCTTACGGGAACCGTCATCGACTCCGGTGACGGTGTCACCCACGTCATTCCCGTTGCAGAGGGCTACGTTATCGGTTCCTCCATCAAGAGTATTCCCATTGCTGGTCGGGATATCACGTATTTTATACAGAGCCTCCTTCGTGATCGAGGAGAACCAGATAGCAGCTTAAAAACTGCAGAGCGAGTCAAGGAAGAATACTGCTACGTCTGCCCTGATATTGTCAAGGAGTTTGCCCGGTACGACCGTGAGCCCGATCGGTTCTTAAAGCACACTGTAACCTCGCCCAATGGACGGTCAGTGACTATTGACGTCGGATATGAGCGATTCCTTGCACCTGAGATCTTCTTCAACCCCGAAATCTACTCCTCTGACTTCCTGACCCCTTTGCCCGTTGTGGTGGACGGTGTCATCCAGACCTCTCCTATTGACGTCCGGAGAGGACTTTATAAGAATATTGTACTGTCTGGTGGGTCTACTCTCTACAAGGACTTTGGCCGTCGTCTGCAGCGCGATATCAGGCATCTGGTGGATGCTCGTATTCATGCATCGGAAGCCCGCAGCGGCGGAGCCAAGAGTGGTGGTCTGGACGTGGCAGTGGTGACACACAAGCGACAGAGGCACGGTCCTTGGTTCGGTGGCAGCCTGCTGGGTCAAACTCCTGAATTCAGAAGTTACTGCCACACCAAGGCAGAGTATGACGAGATTGGTCCTAGCATTGTTCGGAGGTTCGCACTTCTTGGTGGTCCGGGGAGTTCATAAAACGATTGGTATGATCATCCATACTGTCTGCTAGTCATTTGTCCTATAGTTCTTTTTCCCTCTTTTATGTGGTCAGAATATCAAGTTCATCATGCTGCTGTTCTGGTCGTTTCTGTAGATAGAGGCTGGTGTAAAAGGAAATGCAATTGTTATTCCTAAGCAATCGTCCAAAAGCCAACGGACTAGCATTACACATGTGTACAAAAATATATACCAGGATGAAGCCCCCTTTCATCTAAATAAACTGTACACGAGTTCCTCAACGCCAACCACAAATTGTCTGAACTACCTTTTTCAGAAATAATTGTCAGAGCTTATTCAAAATAGCAACCCCCTCAACGTGCCCTGTCTGTGGGAAAAAGTCAAAGCCCCTGATACTCTCAATGCCATAACAAACTTTCCCCTTAGAATCACCCTGGACCATAACAGCGACATCCCGAGCCTGCGTGTGCACGTTGCAACTCACATAGATAATGCGACGGGGCCCGAAGGATAGAAGCTGTTTCAAGAAATCCTCACTGCAGCCTTTCCGGGGCGGGTCGATCACGAGCAGAGTCTGGTCAGGAGGGTACGGGACGTCTTTGAAGAGGGTTGCGGCGTCGGCGGCTGCGAAGCCTGTGTTCGGGAGGTTATTGGCACGGGCATTATCGCGTGCTGAGACGATGGAGTCTCCCGAGACATCGACGCCAAGGCTGGATTTGAAAAGTGGGGATAGAGTAATTGTAAACAGACCCGAGCCTGAGTAGGCGTCTAGAAGGTATTTGATGGGTTTGGGGTCCTTGTCGTTGTTCTTGGGTATGGCTTGTTGACGGATGTATTCTGTGAAGCCAGAGAGGATGGAGTTATTGTTCTGGAAAAATGCACCGGCTTTGTTGGTGAAGACGTAGTCGTCGACGTATTCGACTGAGATGGCGTTGTTGTCGGTGACGCAGCGTTTTTCCTCGATGTAAGAGTCATGTTCGATGCGGATCACATCACCGGAATCTTTTGCTGGGGAAGAGGGAGATGAAGCAGGGACAGTGGCCTCGGACTGTTTCTCATTGGTCTGTTGATCAGGGCCGCTGTCTTCTTTGGGGATCCGTGTTGTTGATTCTCGGAGAAGAAGCGTGGCTCCCTTGGGAAACTTGTTAAGATTGTCCGCGACCCTCTTTCTCTCTGATTTGAGACCTCGTCGAACAATATCTGTCCCTAACGGACAGTCTTCAATATCCATGTCCATGCGCCTATTCTTCACTGTGTATCCAATCGGTGGTACTTCCTTAGGCGGTTCCCTAGGCCCTTTCTTCTTCCCTCTGCCACCTGTCCCAGGTATCGAGAAATGGGGAGTAAGCTTCGTCCGGTATCCATACTGCAAAGGTGATGGAAACGTTTCGTCGATAGTAGGGATCACTTCCGGAATCAATCCGGAGAAGTTGGCATATGCCTTTTCAACGATTCTTTTTTTATGCGCAAGCTGATCTTCGTAACGCATCATCTGCAATTGACACCCGGAGCACTTCGCAAAGTATCTACATCCAACGAGTGAATCATTTCTCAGCGGCCCTGGTTCAATGACCTTCAGAAAATCCGTTAAGCTGTAGGACAAGGACGGGAAATGTTTGGCGACTTTGGCAAGCACTTCATCCCCCGGAACGGAGAATGGCACGACATAAACATGATCCGCATTCTCTGACAATGCAAGTCCATCTCCAGTAGATGATAGCTGTGAGACTTTCAGTTTAATTTCCGTGAAAAGCTCCGGTAATGTAGGCGCAGGTGTGGCAGCGTCTGCCTCTTCGTCATAGATGCCTTTCTCTAGCCTGCTCTTCTTGAGCAGTTGGTCGATATCGATTTGAAGGACCTCATCAAATCCACTGCCTTTATTTGCCCGCTCCTTCTTAACCTTCTTGTGCTTCTTCGCATCTGCGTCTGGTTTTGCTTGGGAATTCTGGTTCTGCATCATGGTTGCGGGGAATAGCGCATTGCGAAAAGGCTTGTAATGGGCGAAACGCAGGCTGTTGCGAGCAACGGACGGGGAGGGACTGGACCGGAACGACGACAGCAGCCTTTGACAGAATACGAAGGACATGAATCGTCCGTAAATAGTGGCTGTAGAGGAAGAAATAAGCACAAACGTCGAGTCTTGACTGAAGAAATTCGTGAAAATGGAAAAAAATAACCAGAGACCGCCCGGAGTTGGCAATTGCCTCATTGGTCGAAGCCGCGGGATGAGAATTTCGCCTTGAATCTTCGTCTTCATCGAAGCTCAACGTCCGCACGCTTCCATTGCCCGTCTCTCCCTCTGTTTTCCTTCTTCACCCCTGGTTGAATCTTGCTTGTAGCTCTACTGGCCAGGGAGTACGGGTTTTTCTTTCTTCCATTCACCATGAACGTCTCACGGACTGCAAAATGTCTTTTCTGCAGCTTTTCTCGAGCAGCATCTACAGGCACTCGCGTTGCTCGACGACAATTCCATCCCTCCCCTGCACGGCTCGCCCATAAAGAAGTAAAACCTCCAGGCGCCGTCGAGGCGAACGCCCCTGCGGGAAAGCGGCTTCACGAAATCGCGCGCAGTGTCAAACCGGAAGACTTCAAGGCGTATACGGAGGAAGAGAAGGCTCAGTTGCGGGAAGTGTACTCACCGGAGCAGATTGCTGCGATTGAAGCCGGAGAGTCGGCAATTGACCCAAGGGATCTGGCGGAACAATTTGGTATCCGCAAAGATCCCATGAAGTTCAAATACCTGGATGACTTCTCGGTCATTGAGCCTGGGATTGATAAGCCCGTTCGCGCCCCTGAATCTAATACTGATTACAATGCCCGCTTGAAAACGGAGGACGAATTTGTCGATGACTTTGCACGGTATTTCTCGGAACTACCTGAAAACGCTAGCGCCGAGGACTGGATGCGGTTCGTGGAGTCGTTGCGTGTGACTGTGGGCAAGGAGGAGAATGAAATGAACCCTCACAGCTCGCTCATGCCCGACCTTTTTGGCCCTGGAGAGTCTCTATCTGGGAAATTTCAAGATAAATCGTTGGCAGGCCAGGAGAAGAAAGGCCCACAGTCTGCGGAAATGACGGATGCCTTGAAGAGACTACTTTTGTCTACAGGCTATACGCTGGATACGCTCCGCTTCTTGAAAACGAAGGTGCTCGTTTCTCACTCAGTCGTTAACCAGACCCGTCTGGGAAAGGTCCGTCGACAATACTGCTTGTCGGTTGCGGGTAATGGGAACGGTCTGCTGGGCATCGGAGAAGCCAAGTCTGAAGAAAGTGGTGATGCGATGGTGCAGTCCAAATACCGAGCTATCAGGAATATGCAGCCGATTCCCCGGTACGAGTCTCGTACAATCTTCGGTGACGTCCGGGGTAAGGTAGGAGCTGTGGAACTGAAATTGATGACCGCTCCACCAGGTGGGTTATTTTACGGCTAACTACTTTACAAGTGTGGCTAATTGAATGGACAGGGTACGGTCTTCGCTGCCAACACCTCATTTTTGAAATGTGCCGCGCAGCAGGGATTCACGATCTAGCTGCTCGGGTGACGCGTTCGAGAAACCCGATGAACACAGTCAAGGCTGCGTATGAGGCGCTCATGAGCCAGAAGAACCCGGAGGATATTGCACGGGCACGGGGGAAGAAGCTCGTCGACGTCCGGAGGGTCTACTATGCGGGAAAAGTCTAGGTGATTTGGTCGACTGGTTCTATTGCTATCTTCCTAGACACGTTGGCTTCGGCTAATATACATGGCACGGCGGGCCTTGAAAAGCAGCTGTACGAGTATGGATACGGGTGCTTTTTTTTTTTTGTTTTTCAGTTTGAGTCTGGATGGTGTATATAATCTTGGTTTTCTTTTTGTCCTTGTACTTGTACTGCAATAAGCATAAGAAATGAGATAGTCACAGATCTATTGGAGTCGAAGCATGATAAAACTAGAAGTACAGGGTATAAAACACCACATAAACCCAACCAAACCAGGAGAATAGCCGTAGAAAAGGGAGGTAATAATGGAATTAACCCCGAAATCCAGCATAACTATCCCCCTCAAACCCAGCATAACTCCGCCCCTGCTGCATCGACAGATCATTATTACTATTCCCTTCCATGTCGACATCACCACCACCACCACTGACACTAGCATCCGCATCCCTCCTTTCACTTTCTGCCTCATTCCATATCTGCTGTTGCAAAACAATGCTGTACACACTCGCCTTGAGCAACGTGCAGACCGTAGCAGTTTTGCGCTCGAGAAGCCTCAGTCCGTCAAGTGTGAGCGAGGAGGGGGAGCCGGCTAGGTCGGAGAGTTTGGTGGATAGCTTTTTTTTTTCAATTAGTTAGTTTACTCGTGACAGTCTTGTATAACTATTGCTTATATTTCCGTCGTAGGAGGGATATATACCTTGTTCACATTCCCAAGTAATCGGGAGTATTCGTCTAGAACTTCTTGCTCGAGGTTGGAGACGAGGGGGTTTGAGTCGCGGAGGAGAGGGTTTTCGGTTTCGATGGGAGAAGAGGGTTCTTCAATTGATGACATTTTTATTTATTTTATCTTCTTAACGCCTGTTTTGGTTGTTCTTGATGCGGTGGTGGGATGGAGTATTAAGTGTTTTCTTGATGAAGTGCTGGAGTGATAAGATATCCGCCGCTTCCCTCCAGCTTCTTCTGGGTGTACTACCTAGGTACTCTGTATAGTTATTATGGTATAGAAGATTATCTGCAAGTTTCTACAATTGGTATTATCTATCTTTCATTTCACTTCTATACCATTTACTTTTGTAGTGGTTCCCATTGAACCATAACCGCCAAAGCACTTTTACTTGTAATGCTTATAAAGAGACTTCCTACTCAGCCCTCAACTTCCTAAACTGCCCCCAAGAAAGACCAGCCCAACAAACCTCCATCATAGCAAACAAAGCCATACATATAGGCTGCAACACCCACATCCCCATTGACTGACTCACCACGCCTGTAATGAGCGGCAAAACAGCACCCCCCGCCGACCCCGAAGACGTAATAAACGCAATAGCAGTCTCCTGCAAAGACCGATCAAGCTGGTGCGAGAAAAGCGTCGTAGCACAGGGGTAGATCGGTCCAATGAACAGGCCAATCAATGCAACGGCCGTGGCGCTACCGATGACATTGGGGACGAGCCAACAGACCAGTTGCATGCCCAGAGCCGCAAAGACCACGGCGTATGTAAATGGTACTTCGCCGACGTAGCGGAAGGCGATGTAGCTCAGCAGGAGACGGCCGACGGCTATCCCCGCCCAGAAACCGGAGGGTACGTAGCCCATGCTCTTTGGGTTGCCGTGGCGGATGTCGATGAGGAAAGATGAGATCCAGCCGGCGTTAGTGACTTCGGCGCCTTGGTAGGCGAAAATGAACAGGGCGCCGATGATCGTGGTTCGCTGTTGCAGGGACCGTTTGAGGATCTGTTGTTTTGAGGAGTGATCATGGATGCTTTCGTTTCTGTTTTTTTCCATGTTGAGCCGGGATTCATCGTCTACTCGGGCAGTCGTTGTATAAGCAGCAGCAGCAGTATCAGATCGTTGGAGGTTTTCAGCATCATGTTCCAATCCCCAGAAAGCCCAGCAGGTGAAGCAACCTGAAACTGCACGCAGACATATCATGAAAATATAGAAGCGGGTGAAGATATGTCCAGCAGAAATAATGGCCGTGGCAATGATGGGAGCAAGGGCACCTGGTTTCTTTAGCATGGCTGAGAAGGGGAAGTAATAGGAAATACAACTTACCCCCAATACCATATAGACCATGGTAGAAACCAAGTATGACCGTCGAATTTGCAAAGTTGGCGCAGTAGACATTGTTCAAGGCCAGATTGATGGCCTGTCCAAACCCGCAGAATAGGTAGCTTTCTCTCATTCAGCATCTCGTAGAATGAAAGTCAACGTATTTGACACTCACCCCAAGACATAAACAGGATACGGCGGCGTCACGACCATCATAACATATCCGGCAATAGAAATCAAGTCGCACAAGGCAAGCGTATAGCTTCTCCGCAGCCGCCGATCGACTGCATCAACACAGAAAGCAGCAGAGATGAACCCGACAGCGACGGCAACGAAGATCATAGCCATAATAGAATAATCCACATGGTAATATGCCTCTGCGGCGGTGATAATGGCACCAGGAGCTTTTCAACAGTCAATCAATCAATCAATATCTCTTCTTCAATGGATGAGATAATCTATCAAATCCCAGTGCATGTACATACCGCTATCGTTTGCTCCGTTCCCGAAGCATTGGAGACATGCAGCTGCTATCCTCCACCTGTTCATTCGGGGATAGGACCATATCTGCTTCGCAGGGATAGCTTCTACCGGGGCGACATTGACATTGTCGGGAACTTGGGGGTGAGTGGTAGGAGTATACGTCTGGGGATCTTGATCTAAGTCATACGCATGCTGGTTTGATGCGCTTGATGTCGATACCGTAGTTCCCACATCGTAGGAATACTCATGGAGTGGGATATTGTAAGCTGGAAGAGTAGGATGAGTGCTTGACAGGGAAATCGATGATATGCTGTGGGTAGACATGTCGATTGATCCAACTGCGATTACTAGCCCAAGATGCAGATAGCAAAGGGAAATGGTGGGAAAATGGAAAGAGGAAGAAGTGGGATTGTTTTTATACTTCTATTGAGATATACCTAGTTAAACATTAATACGAATCATGCGTAATCCAGAGTGCGTGGTCTTTGGATCAGAAACTGTGGTTTTTAGGGCAACAAGCCAGCCATCAATCTCAGTTGACTTTGAAACAGAAGCTGCCTCCCTCATCGTTCTTGCGCTGAGGGATACTATGTGATTCTCCTCGTTGACGCCCTGCCCCTATCTCAGTGTCTTGGTTGAGTACTGGTAACGATATTAGCAATTCAATCCATGCTTACGGATCTTGTATTCCCTTACCCGGCAATTGTTTCTCATGCAATAGAAGTAGGTATGAAACTGACCGTCAATATGCCATAAACAATCGTGTTCTCCTTCCTTTCCTCCAGGTATGCTCTATGCACCTTACCTAAATTAATTAATTAACTAGATGGTTAGCAGTGTCACCCAGTAGGAATGATTTCACTTACTATATGCGAGAGCTCGAGAGTAGGATCAACCAGGTAAAACAGCCAACGCTTATAAATCAAGAGTCTCGTAATATTGAGACCGATGGTAGAGAGCGGAATATACTTCCGTCTACTAGATTCTAGCTGATTGCTACGTGGACAACCTCGTAAACACGGTAAAGGAAGGGCCTAATTGGGGCCTGGATGTTTATCTATCTATACCTATATATGTTAGGTAGCAACCTAAGAATGCACTGCCAAAGACTATTTGATCCCGTCGGAGCCGCATGATATTCATTCGGCTTCCCCGTCGCAACAGTCATTCGGCACAAAGGGTAGGCTGTATGTCGGTGTCTTGTCGGCATCGACAGTATGCTCAGACCGAAGTGTTGCTATCTTGGAAATTTATGTTCGGCGGGGGTTTGACCCTGAAAATGACCTCAATTCTTCGACTGAGGACAGTAGACGTTATGGAGATCATTGTAATGACAGGCATAGCTCTTCACGGATGATTAAAACCATCCGTTGACTTCATTAGGTGGCAGTCCGAAAGGAACACGAACATCAAAGTGCAAGGGAACGAGAAAGCATCCATGTCAGTCTAGACATAGACAGGGTAAAGAACAAAGTGAGCTGTTCCACGAAAACAGTATCGCTTTTGCCCAATTGAAAAAAAAAAAAAAAAAAAAGAATTCAAAATAGAACGCCGTCTCCTGCGACAACACTCTAGCAAATAGTAGTAAAAATAAGATTATGCCCCACCAAAAGACAAAAATCCCGAGACACCAGCGAAAGGAAGGAGAGTAAAAGAATAGCGACAGACATGCTCAAAAGGAACGACGGCGCATCTACCTGCCCGCCAGTTTATTCAGACAAAAGCAGCGCAGAATTTCATAAAACCGTTTCACACTCCATACACCGTTAGTGATAATAGTAGTCGAATGTTGCAAGACTTTAGAAAATGAGAAGCATCTTTTCGTCATGCATGAGTCGTCAATGACAGGATGGGAATAAGACGTGGCACAGTGGTGATGATCTAGGCGGCAGCCATTGCTACTTCATTCCATCAACCATTATCATCATCCTGATGAACAAGGCGTGCCGTTCAGTCTCCGTCATGGTGAAGCGTAACACTGTTGAATTCCTCAAAAGGATCGGCGGCCTCTCCAGTAGGGGTAGCGAGACCCGAATCCATAGGGACCCCTTTCAATTTGGATGGGTTGACACCTCCAATATCGACGCTAGCGCTCTCCTTTACATTGCGGAAATTGCTCGTGTCAATACCCCGACCCTGATGTGGTATCATCGGCGGTTTCATATGGCGAATGAGGGCCCACTGCGTTGGCCGGAAGAATGGATGCGTCTTCACATCCGAGGCGCCAGCTCGAGCACCGAGGCGTTTCGTCTCATCCTTGATCAGGAGTTTGCGAATTAGAGACTTGCAGACACTGTTTTTTTTTCGCCAGGAATCAGTATAATAGATCTTTTTTTTTTAAAAAAAAAAAGCCACAGACAAACACTTACTTGGAAACCTGCTGCGCACCGCTGTGCTCCGGGAATTGCACATCTTCCCTTAGAATGTTGGCAAACGTAGCATTCCTATTCTTCCCCTTGAAAGGCGTTGTCCCGTACAGCATCTCGAAAATCAAAATACCAAGAGTCCACCAGTCAACGGCACTGGTGTGTCCACAACCCTTGATGACTTCCGGTGCGATGTACTCTTCTGTTCCCACAAAAGAATTGGTCCGGAAATCAGCGATACAGGACTTAGTGTCGATTGTTGGGTAAGACGTCGCTGAGTTCCCGCTGCGCGCTGGAATCATAGTCGGAGCACCACCCGGCCCCGATTGCTTCGATAAATCGAAGTCTGAAAGCATAATGTGACCGGACTGGTGGAGGAGGATATCTGCAAAAGTACACGCGATCAGCAAGAAATTCTAGGTCTCTCCAGAACAGAAGCCATGGGATATACGTACTCTCCGGTTTCAAATCACGGTAGATGAAGCCCATGAGGTGGAGATATTCCAGCGCGGCTGTGACTTCAGCCGCATAAAACCTGGAGGCATCTTCGGATATGCATTTCCCTGGACGCGTTTGAAGGGCTGCAAGTCATCATCAGTCAACGGTCCACAGACCGACGTACTGCTAATAAGGATATACGCACCTCGGAAGAATTCACCACCACTGCAGTATTCCATGCAGAGATACAAGTGTTCCTCTGACTGAAATGAATGGTACAATGTAACAATGAAAGGATGGTTACTGGTAGCCAGAATCTCCTGTTCAGCCAGTGCCCGCTTTATTTTGTTACGCTTGATCATCTCTCGCTTATTCAGAACTGGGCGAAGTTAGTACAATGGATCTGTCATTCAAGATGTTGACACAAATACGTACCCTTCATAGCATATAAGCGACCAGATTTCTTTTCCCGCACCAAATATACCTTTCCCACATCACCCTTACCAATTAACTTAATCTTATCGAAACTGCCGGGGCCCACCTCCACATTGCTAACTTTGATCGAAGTAGAACTATACGTCCTGCGGAAGCCACCACTGCTCTTGCTCTGCCCCGAACCAGAGGAACCAGAGATCTTGACATTTGGGCTGGGTGTGGGCACAGCAAGGTTGTCTTCTGTTCCTGAATGATCGACTTGTATCACCTCGGAATCAATCGATTCTTTGCCCACTTCGGACACATTTACAGGCTGAACCGGATGTCCATTCTTAAATAGGGCCTGAGAGTTCGGAGCGGATGCGACCCGACGCAGCTTCCTCGCCAATTCCTGCTTGTTAGCTGTACTAGCCTGTTCAGCAGCAGAAACTCCCTCAACTTGCAGTTCAGGCGTGTCCGGAGGAGAGGAGGGAATTGAGCCATCGTTGCGATGCTGCAGGGAGGGTTGGCCTTGGTGGGCGAAGTACGGGTTTGCGGTAGCAGTGGGAGAAACGCCCTCATCAAGCGGATGCCCCTCGCTGGCGACGGTCGTCGAACGGTTCCGACCAATTGCAGGAAGAAATCGGCCCTGTCTGAACGTCGATTTTGACTCTTGTTTGGCAGGGCTAGAATGATGGCCTCCCTCCTTGTGGTCCCGGTCGCGATCGTTGCCGACATTATGATTATTGTTGGAATTGCTGTTGTGGGGGCTATGATTGCTGCCAGAACTGTTGATGCGGAAGAAGTTCTTGATCTTTGTAGGGAAATGGCCCGATTCGCTCGAGTGTTTCCAGTTCAGACCAGGGAAATTAGGGCGCTTTTCAGTCGTCATGGGGGACGGACTGGAGGAAAACAACTGAGTCATGGCGGAAGAGAAAAGATGGGCCAGCAAAGGTGTCCGCAGTGTCGAAGAGACAACTGGGAGGGAACAGGGAGCGCGTTCGATAGACTAGTGAAAGCGTGGCAGATAGCCAGATGCCAGTAGATACCGCCGTGTACCGCGGGTAACGATGCAAGCCAGGAGGTTAGCAGCGGGGCAAAGGAAGAAACGGACCACGCCAAGGTAGTGATTAGGGAAGGGAGTCAAGCTGAGGGATTGAAGAATGAGAGACTGCGGTCATTGACAGGAGGACAACATGATAGAGCGGATGGGGGATGACAGGAGGAAGTTTGGGGCGTAAGTGAGACAAGACGTGGGCGAAGATTAGGTTAGCTGATGAGATGGGTCAGAAGTTAGAAAGCAGGTGGATATGCGGAGGGCCAAGAAGTTGACAAGTGAGAATATTTAGAGGCAGGATTGACAGGCGACGACCTGGAATGCGCAGCAAGGGAGAGGGAGATAGAAAGATACTAAGGTTAGGTAGAAAGATGAATACTAATCATGCCATGAGGATGAGGAGATAAAGGAAACGTACGGAGCCCTTCCAAGATTCCTTTTCGGTTGCGCTGCAGTACGCGTACCGTCCTGTACCTTAGGTGGTATTTCTTGCCACCACACGAAAGTGGTCTTGGCGCTAGTATTGGCTACCGCCCCGTATCTCGCCCTCCGTTACCAGGCCGTACTATCACCTAACTGGGCATTACGTCCTTAGCCATACAGAAATACAAGGTACCTGGATAAACCATATTACCTAAATTAATCATTTACTCTGCATGGAATAGCGGGTTTTCCCGGCTCTTGGCACTGCGTGTTATCAGGTTTTAGCAAAGGTTGACCTCAATAATCAATTAGCAAGTCTAAATTTTTGGCTTTATCCTTTACCATCAGATAGGAGTGATAGCTCAGTGGTAGAGCGAGGGACTGCAGTGTGCCATCTCTAGGTCGGGGGTTCGACTCCCTCTCGCTCCTTTATGACTAACAAATTCTACGGAATTCTTTTTTGCCATTTTTTCCCCCTCGGTCAACGTCCGTATTTATTCCACGAATTAACAGCACTCATCTTTGAGTGGCACTTTTTTTTATTACTGTATCGTATTCGCCATTGTCATGCCCTGCAAATGGTCTGGTTTTGGTGGCTGTGAATGCACGGTCCTACCATACCCTTCCGTACAATAATGCTGCAGATTGTTAAGACATGCAGACCTTAACGCAACCGGTGAGCGAGCGGCGCACCTCTTTGCTTCATATAACATGACACTTTTTAAGCCCTTGATATCTCAAGAACAAAGCATCCAGAGGGCATAACATTCGAGATATGGGGTAAGCTGACACTATATTTATATACATGAAGCAAAGAAATCTCTATAAATATGTGTTCCTCTAGCTAAGGTCAATTACAGCTGTGTTTTTTTTTGTTATTCTAATGTTCGGTGCCAGAAAAATTATTTAAAGGATCCAAAAAGAGGGCATATTTTAGAGCCAGTTTATATATTTATCTTACTGGTATGCTTCTGCACCTATTGGTTGTTGAGATATCAAGGTCTTAAACGTGTCATTTTTATATGGAATACAGCTTACCGGTTACGTTAATGGGAATATTTACTAATAGCTTCATAGGGATACATTATTCCTCCCTCCCTAGACAGGCAACTCTATGAATGTATATCCTGTGTTTATTTATTTATTTGGTTATAACTTGTTAGATTTGTTAGGTTGGTAGCATCTTTAGCGCTGGTGTAGAGAAATATATATTGGTAAGGCACATCCTAACTACTAGTCGTACGAGGAGATATCATTGTAGAGATCTCTAGTTATTACAGATTGATCAATAAGGAACACCATTAACAACGGCCGAACGAGTCCACGGAACCAATCACCTAGACATTATCTATCCGTGCTAAGCTTATCCCTATTCTTAACCTAATTCTACTCTATCTACGGAGCTCTCAGACGCATTTAGGAAGCATGCTGTCATGCAATAATAACCATCATCGCTCCAATACCTCCAATATCTCCCATGCTTGTGGCCGTCCACATTGCCTCCGACCGGTAGCATATTAACGAAACCGCCATCTGCGCATGGATGCATCTCTTCCCCCCCAAACAGCTAAGGAATGTTCAATCGAACGATAACGCATTCGGATGTTCCATATGATACTTGTAAATCATGTTTGCTTCTTCCACCTGGATGCGATGGAAGAACTCCCGCAAGATTGCTGGGCTTGGCTTCTCTCGTCGCTTCTTCATGTACCACGGACGTTGCTGCGAGTTGCCGTTTTCTGCTCCTCCGAGTGCAAGACGGTCATCAGTATCCGCCTGGGGCTGCTTTGAGACCGGTATGTCCCCAGCGCCATCGAACGGAGGAAGAAAACCATGTGCATTGACTTTCTGCGAAACTGCAGCGGCGGGCGTAGTCTTCTGTGAGATGAAGTCTCGTTTGCCGTTAAGACACTGCGTGAGAAATTGTGGATAGACTGGTTTCATGCTATCTGATACAGCCTGCTCGACAGGGTTGGTTGAGTTGTTTGACGCCGCTGAGTCGTGTGCCCGATGGACAGTCGCCCTCTTCGCTCTTGCGCTGACTTCAGAATTTTCCCATGCCCTGTTGACAATTTATCAGTCATACGGCCCATTTACAAGTGTAGAATTGCTCACCTTGCTTGAAGTGCACTTCCTTGATGCCCAATTTTGTTACCTTTCCCAGACCGCTTATGGGTTTTGCCATTGCTACTCCATCGTCAGTAACTTATTGCAAACCGTTAGGGCAAAGAGTACTCACTCTTCCTGACTGGTAGCCCACGAATCAGTCGAAACATAGGACGACGAGCGAGTCCTCATACTTCCTTCTGATTTCCATGTCCTTCTTGCTGTATGTGCTTCCCGCTGTGCATCCCCTTCAGCCTTTGCGGGCCGGCGCGTGGCATAGTTCGGTTCAGAATTGCTCCCCACACCAGCTACATGTCTATTCACACCCTGCAGTCCCTGACGGCTGAACGACCGAGTGCTCGGAGCAGACATGGAGGCCTTGGACAATCGCTTGGGACCAGGTTGTGGTGAGCCATTGGAATTGTTATTCGTCCTCGCATTTCTTGCCGTCATTGCCGCGAGGTCTTTAATGAGGTCTTCGACGGAATCGCCGCGGCTGATCGCATCTTCGATTTCACGATAGATTTGACGGATATTGGCGGGTGCTGCTTTCACTGGGTCCAGTGGTTTCTTGCTCCCTGTTGACTCGGCATCCAGTGATTGGAAACCATGTTCCATACTTTCTCGACCCGCACTCCAATTGCATCGAGAATCAAGCTCATAGGAGTTATTCGTATGCATTCCTGTATGGACACCCGCTAGTCCTGAACTGTTGTCGAATGAAGACGGGTTCTCGTTTCCTTTCAAATTGAAGGCTGCGTCGAATGGCTCGTTTACTGGCAGTGACTGGGGCAGTCTACCAACAGGAGAATATAGGACGGGAGTTCCATAGTTAGCTATGGAATTGGGCCAAGGAATTGGCATATTATGCCCATTTGCGTTGCCTCCAGCTACGAACTGAGCCGCAGCTACTGGGAACTCCGTTGATGGTTGCTTTTGAGTGTCCAGTCTGGTTGACTCTGACGCTGTGGCCACCGACTCAAGCTGTTCTTTGTATGACCGTACCGTGTCCAACTCACGAACCAGGTTTATTCGCCGTTCGACTAGAGACCTTTTTGAACGCGGGCTTAGTTCCCATGTATGCAGGGCCATGTACCGGTCCAAACGGGAGAGCTGCGTGGAAAGTACTTCATATTCTTTCTTGATGCCCTGCAGTGATTTAAAACCCGTCATTTGGTTGAAGGTTCCTCGATGAAGTGGCACGTTCATTGCTGATATATTGTTAGCGGCCATCCGTCCCCCGGGATGTCCAGGATGCCCAAGAAGTGGAAGAAGCGAGTCAGAGCCAGGCATCACTGGATTGAAAAAGGGTTGATGATTCACCCCGAACAAGCTGGAGCATGCCGGGCTATCTGACTGCATTCCTGAACCAACAAACTGTGACTGGCTTGACGTAAAGGAAGCAGAAGAGTTCTGCGAGCTTGACGGATGACTGAAGCTAGGAACCCATTGAAGAGGCTCTGCTCCTAAATTTTGCAGAAGGTAGTTTGGGAAAACCGTCATGTAGTCCTGCACCTGTGGTTCTGGCTGAAGAAGTGGCTGACTATTGAACGGCAAGGAGACATTTGGTTGCAGAAACGGGGAGGAGGTGATTGGAACAGACAGGAAATTTGGAAACAAACTTGGAGCTTGCAGCTTAGGGCCAAGTATGGGATAACCTTCCGACAGCTTTGCACATTCATCAGTCAATCTAGCCGAACTCGAAGGGCCATTGAAGTCATCGCTGAAGCTGGGATTGCCTTCCAGACTATTGACAGGTGTCTCGTTGGCATCGCGTCCATTCCAGGTTGGGGTCATTGGCTCTCTGCCTTTGTATTCATTTGAATCCTGACTCGTTTCTGGCAACTTCATCTTCGGAGCCGGAGCAGGGCTCATGGGGACGATTCGGCCGCCAGCAGTAACTCGTTGGTGTTTAGGAGACGCATGCTCCTTCAGGAACCGCGCAAACCCAGCGTCAGTCTGTGCCAGTGTTCCTTGCGGGGGGTTACTTGGCTGGCGACAAGGAAGCCGTTGACTGCCTCCTGTAGCCAAGGAAGCAGCCTCCCTCTGGTGTGAAGTATTCGACGCATCTCTTGATCCGTTGATAGTGCGTTCTGATAGAGCACTCATATTTGCATTTCTTCCACGAATCAAGTTATCTATGTAACACACAAGAATATATGTTAGAAAAGCGACCCATTATTTTTTCTATTGTATCATGGAGGAAAGATGCATACTTCCTAGTGCTTGGGGACTGAATTTCTCAACACTTATACGAGCGTCGTGGCGAAGAGCCAGTAGAGTTGGGATATCATACTTCATCTTGCTTAGAACAGGGCCTCTGCAGGTGTGGATGGGCATAGATGACGAGGATAAGATGGAATGAGAGACAAAGGGATGGAATAAGGACAAGGGAAACAGCACAACTAAGCAAAAGCAGATAGCCTGGATGTCTTCTATCCTTGGTGATGCTGTTGCTGTTTCCGATCTGGGTGTTGTAGTCCAGGACGAGAAGGAGCGACCCAACTGGATGCGTGACAAAAAGCAGCTTCCAGGTAGAGATAAAGGCATGGGAATTCACTGGGCATCCAGCTACCACTAGGTGGCAAGTTCCTGAACACTTACTACACGAGAGAGAAGGAAAGAAAAGTCCAGTGAATGATCGTTCATATGACCATAAAGGCAGATAAGAAGACAGAACAAGTATGGAGCCACCCATAGAGGAACTTCCCAATCTCAAAGATTCTCCTGGACCCCAACCGGCTTCAATCTACTGTTTAATCGCCATTCCTCCTCAGCCTCGTCCTCAAATGTCGTGTGTGTCTTCTGAACCCTTCCAGGAACGGCGATGATGTCCTCCCTTCGCTGGTCCCTCTCCCAGCTGCTTGAACACTCGCTTGCACTACTGACCTGGTCATGACTAACTTTCGTGATTTCTGTCATCCTAAAAGTTTCATGCGTTGAATTCTGAGAGGCTACGCCTTGATCGCTCGCCACTCTACCGCTGCTTTTGAAGCTCCCGAGTCCGGCCTTACGCCTTCTTTGTAGGCGGATACCACTCAGGAGGAACGCTGGTATGGCAATAAGAAGAATAATGATGACAGTGATGACAGCTCCAATGAGAGCAGCAATTGCAGGATTAAAATAGGCGCACGACTGATCCTTGAAAAAGGATTCAGGCGCTAGTCCAGAACAAAACACAGCCGATGAATTGCATCTCAGACACCAGTCACGAGTAGGACCTAAAGAGATTCGGCTCATTTCCTCCCGAAACTCGGTATAACTGATCGCGATATTGCTAGGGCCACGACCAAAGAGAGGGTGTGGTGAAAAGACAGTGGAAGATTTGGTTCCATTATGAAGTAGAAATCGCACATAAAGATTTGATATCGCCGGATAGATGGGGGATATTTGATCATCAAAACTAAACAGCTCAAAAACCACGGAGGCACCTTGTGTCGGGCGGGAATAGAAATTGGCCTCTCTCGGAGATGCTAGTCGCATCAGAGAAGCGAGAGCAACGGGAGGTTCGTAGCTGCCAAACGCAAGCATCATTTTAACCTTGGAACCAAGATCTGCTATGTTTTGCTCAAAAAGCTGAAGAACAAGTGATGCCAAAGTCTGGCCTGCGACTGAACGGATGTTCTTGCTTGGTGTGTTACTTGAGGAAGAAACATCGCTATTTGTCGCATAAACATATTGGTCGGCTAGCCATCGTGCACGGTCTATGTCCTCTTGGTCCAGGTTATCGAAAAATGTTATATTATGCAGGGACTCGTAATCCAAGTAGTCCGAAATATAACGGGCGTTGCTGTAATGGACCTGGGACCGGTCGAATACGTGGGATAGAGCATTATCATAGAGGCGAGCATAAAAGCTAGCCGACTGTTCCTCAATCTGTTGGAACTCGATGCTCCCTTCGTATTCCCGCTTGGACAACTCATGTAAAGGACAAGCGGCGTGGCCGGCTAGTTTCTCAAAGCCAAGATCGGTCATGCCCAAAGTAATGAGGCGAGGGAATTGATATCCACTGAGAGCATATGTTGCCCATGATCCATTGGCCAATTGAGAGTAACCGTCAGTATATGTCTCGACTGGAGGATAGAGTCCTTGCATAAAAGCCTGTGCTGACGCAACGGTAAACTGATCAGTAGTTGAGAGGACATCGACTTCGTCGGAGTCCAGAGTATAAGATGAGAGGTTCTGAACTCTCGTGTTCTCGTTTAGCCGCGTCTCAACGTATCGATTCCGAAAGGCGGATCCAGCTGCGTACAGCTGCTCGGCTCCATATTGAGTGAGCGTCTTCGAATGATGTGGAAGAGCCGGAGTGCTGTCTCCATAGGCAGTGTATGCGAAAACTGCCCAAACCTTTTCAGTTGAAACTTGCGCAGAAATCGAAGTAGGCCCCAGTAAAGCTAATATGAGGGCAATAGAGTAAAGGATAGTCGACATGATTAGTCCAATAACATAGATCGAAAGCTCACAACTGAATTCAAATAGAATCGAGGGTAGCTATGCGTCCAGAGTATCAGTCACAGATAGGGACAGAATTGCAATGATATTTCAACGAGAAGGGAGCGCATCCAATTATCAACATAATATCATTGCGAATTTGAATACCTATATAATGGCCTTCAGATAATAGAATTCAGCGAACCGTGGAATGATGGCGGAGTAGGCATTTCTCATGATGGTTTAGAAGAGAGAGCTTAAACCTAGTATGAGATTCCAGAGACATCATTTTGAACCAACCCAGGCAGAGTGCTCCAAGTAGCGGCTCTCTGGTATCTTGCTTGATCTCACCACAGGTAGAAAGCGTCGTTCTCCAGAAAGGAATAGATAAGAAGTACTGCTCTGGCGTCAATTAAATCCCGCACATCCAGCAAATTGTATTGCGAAGGTTGCCTTGTTCCAGATCAAGAGCATGGCTGAACCGTAGTAGGCATACACAAAAGGCTTTTCTGTGCTCTGGTTTAAGCATTCCTTCAACTCAACCCTTGAATTTTAATCAGTTGACCCGAGTAGACGAACTGTGTATCACGTCAGTGTGCTGCAAGTTACGGGGCAACGAATGGATCAACCGCGTAATCCGCGGAGGAGTGCGGGAGCAAACTCAATCAGGTTCTGGAATTGTGTAGGGTAGTGAGTGTCCTCGACGAGTACAGCGCCGTTTGTAGATCGAGCACGGAATAGTCGCCTCAGGAACTCAGACATAAAACATGCTAACTACATATGGTTAGTGTATTTGATCATACCAGTTAAAGGTAACTTACATAATAAACCTAGTTATTTGCCTCAGGCAGAAATGACACGAATAAGTGGAAGGAAGGCAGAAAATTCAGTCCCTGCAGTGAATGATTCACCATTCACTGGAGTTGTTCAGTTACTAGATTTTGAAGGTAACCTCCTCCTAGCAAACAATTTCCCCTCCCATTCAAACACTTCTTTTTCCTGCGATGCCTACACTGTGAGAGCCACCACTGGCTGCTGAGTGGACGCATCCAACCAGCGGCAAAAAGCATAAAACCTGTCACGCTATCTCCAAACCTCACCTTCTTTTGAGCCCTATCCTTGCGCCCTACCCCTAAGCCCTCATTTCTTCTCTTGGAAGTCCAACTCGCATCCCATATCTTTGGACGCATCCAAGATGGTAAACCAGCATGAAGGAGGACTGTCTGTGGACAACAATGATAACACAGAGTCTTCCCTTCCTACCTCCCCCCCTCCAAAGGTAGAGGATGATGGCATGCAGGAGGACTTTGGTGAGTCTCACATCCCTACCGCGGATCTCCTTGTCTCTTAGCAACATAAACCTTTTCCTATCTATGCTACAAAAAAGAGACTCTCCATCTGATCATTTTTGCTGTGTGAAATAAATTCCCTAACAAGTCCTTGCAGTCAACACGCAGAAGGAAATCCACTCTCTCGATAATGACAGCAGCCCTGCCTCCCCTCGAGCCTCCAAGAAACGCCGCACTGGTTCTGTATCCAAGAGCGACACGGTTCCAGAACATAATGGATTGCCAGGACAATCTGCAGATAATCAAATTGAAGAAGAGTTGGCTTCAGCGTTGATCTCCGGAAGCGTCGACACGGTCGGACTTCGCAATGGCGGAAACGGTCGCGTCGAGGGTATTATCCAAAGTGATGCTCCTCAGGGACCTAATCCGGAGATTTCATCGGACATGGCAACTGTCATATCGGATATCATGAATCACTCCGGACGCGTCGAAGAGCAGTATGCATTGGGCCAACAGCAGTTGGAGAGCGGTCCTGGCCAGAGCACCTCGACAGGCTTGGTATATATCAAGGCAAATTCACACCTTAAGATCCAAAGTCTGCCCATTCTGGACAATCTGGTAAGCGAAGTAAAACGTATACACAGCAGAGTCATTAAGCGCTCACACGTGAATCGTATTCTAGTCAACTCAGATTTTAACTCTGCTGGCCAAGTCTACCTACCAAGACATCGCTGCCTTCATCTCCGAACCTGAATCTGAAAATGGCGAGGCCTACGCGACGATGCGCTCTCTATTCGATCACACAAAGAAAGTGTATTCTTCTAAGAATGCATTTCTCTCGGCCTCTGATCTTGGCTTTAACGAACCCCAACAGGTAGACATCATCCGTAAGGCTAACCTGGCCTCCTTCGTGTCGAGCATTTTCGGAAGTCAGGAAATTGGATTTTCTGAACTGAATGAACATTTCCTTAATGTTTTCGTTCCAGAAGGCTCCCGTCTCCTGAAGGTGCAAGGGGCTCTCTTCCTTGAGCTCAAGACTCAGGCATTTATAGCCTCGATGAATAACGCGGAACGCTCCAGGACGGATATACTTTTTGACTTGTTTCCCGAGGATCTCGAGCAGCGTCTGCTTGACAGGCGACCTGGCTCTCGTCAACTCGCCCCAAGTGAGACAGATTTTGTGAAACGCGCAAAATCGCGCCGTGATATTATCCTGAATGAAATCAACAACGAAGACGCGATGAGAGCGTTGCCGGATAAGTACCACTGGGAAGACTTCTTGAGGGATCTGGTCTCCTACATTTCGAAGAATTTCGATGCGACCAATAGCCAACAGGTCTGTCTTCCCCTCTTCCCAAGCCACCTGGATCTCCTGAATTGCTAATGGCAACATGATACAGGCAAAGAAAGCAGCCAAAGCTCGGCAGACATCCACTTCAAGTGGAGAAACACAGGAGCCGCCGAGTGCACCTCTACAGAGCCAATTCTCGGTTACTCCGCAGCCTCCTGATGCACCCGCTGATAAGGGCCCGCATAGCGATCTTGTCGCTCGTGCTGCTCGTGCTGCCCAAATTGCTTTGCAGGGCCATGGACTGAGACGTTCACAGCAGCAGTCCCAACAGTCTCGGCAGCAACACCAGCAGCCACAAAAGTCCCACCAGGGAGCTCAACACGGGACCCAGACTCTTCAGGGATATTCGCCCGCACGACCGGCCGACCAATTTCCAGTGCAGCAAGGTCCCCAGCAACATTATCAGAATGCACCGCAAGGATATCAGCAGCCAGGACAGCTGACATTCCAGCAGAGTTCCCTTCAGACAAACTTCCAACAGTACAGTCCTGGCGGTCCAGTTCCGATTCCTCCGAGGCCGAACGGGGGAACTGCCAACCACGGCTACATGCCAGGAATACCCCACTACTCGCAGTCCCAACCTACTCAGGTTCTCTACGAACGTGCTCGAATGGCAGCTTCTGCGAAGTCCTCACCTAGCAGCCGCAAGTCTGGTCTTCCAAGTCAGCGTCGACCTTGGACCACCGAGGAAGAAAACGCGCTCATGGCTGGTCTCGATCGGGTTAAGGGGCCGCACTGGAGTCAGATCCTTGCCATGTTTGGACCCGGAGGTACCATCAGTGAGGCGTTGAAAGATCGCAACCAAGTTCAGCTCAAGGACAAGGCGCGTAACTTGAAGCTATTCTTCCTGAAGAGTGGAATAGAGGTGCCCTATTATCTCAAGTTCGTGACCGGGGAACTCAAGACTCGCGCCCCTGCCCAGGCTGCCAAGCGTGAAGCCAGAGAGCGTCAGAAGAAACAAGGAGAGGAAGACAAGGCGCATGTTGAGGGCATTAAGGGTATCATGGCTCTCGCTGGTGCGCATTCCCAGCCGGTTACACTTGGACCAAGCCCGGAAAGCATGTCAGCATCACCTAGTCTCCCTCCTGACTCTGCGACCCATTCCACCTTTGATCAGGAGGCGGAGCAGAATCTGATCCAGACTCTGAGTCAAGAGGTTCATGGGGATAGGTATGCAGCTCAGCAGCAGACCCACCACCAGGATCACGTTGAACAGAGCGCCAATGCTGGACAGTAGAAGGATCTCCATCACAATCCAGCATGCCAGTTCCAACGGTTTTAACTAATTCTCTTTTTACTCTTTTCACTACTTTGATTCTACCTGCCTTTAATTGAAAGTGGACGGTGATCAATTTATGCGATGTCAACATTTCCAGTGTGCTTTTTACCAATTGTTAACCAATGTATGAAGATTATCCAAGGGAACCAGTCCTTATTGTTCATCCAGTGTTTATCTGGTATGTATTTTCTACCTCTTTATGTTTTATTTCATTTGCTTGCTTGCTTGATACTATGGGTACATCCCTCCTCTCCAAAGCACTGCAATGATATACTGAAGCTTTTCATTGAGAGAGACAAGTATGATGCCTTGACATTGGAAATCTATTCGATGATAGTATGAGCACTCATCTGGGTATCCAATTGTCAAGGCAGCTCTTCTGTTCTGTAGCAATAGCAATTATCGAGTCAATAAACTGTTCCCAATGTTCCGGAGTTTTATGCAGTAGTCTATGCCATATATTACATAACCACGCATAAATAGTTACAGCTTTATCAACGGCAGGGCTGAGCATCAAATGGCCCTGATTTAAATCACCTGCACCTACCATTCACCCATTCGACAGGGATCATCCCCCCTATATCCTGCAGTTAATAATTATCAATCTTTGTATAGGTGCCTGTTTTAACTGGCTCCCTTTGTTTCCCTCCAGCCATGGCCGAATCATCCTCTCAGCCGCCTCCGACTACAGTCCCTCCATCAGCGCAACCGCCACAACAACCATCGCAGACATCGTCTCAAGATCCAATTAAAGCAGAGATACCGACGGCCACACAAGCTGCACTCTCAGTTCCAGCTTCAGTTTCGGTACCGGCAGCAGCTTCCGATCCGCCGTCGACGGTAGTTGTGAAAGAAGAGCCCGATCCGGTGGATGGTAGCCAGGTGCTCGATACTGCCATAGACCGGGATATCGATATGAATACTGCAGAGAACAGTCAATCCGGTATGACAGTAGGAGGCGATAATATAGCTACAAAAAGTGCGGAAGCTCCAGCTGTAGCTCCTGGTGTTATCCCGGCCGATATGGACCCTCTCGCTGCTGCTGCTCCGCCATCCAAGAAGGAGACAAGTCTGCGGGAATTTCTGGGGAAGATGGATGAATATGCACCTATCGTAAGTATGGGCCGTTTTACTCTTCAGTTGATGAAAATAGCTATCTGATTTATTCTTGTACTTTTGTTACCTATTAAATCTTAACTGACTATTCATCCAGATCCCCGACGCAGTAACAGCTCACTACCTCACCGTCGCCGGTCTCCCACCTCCGGGACATGGTCCGAATCAAACACCACCCCATCTTGCCCGTCTTCTCGCTCTCGCAACCCAAAAGTTTATCGCCGACATCGCAGCCGACTCATACCAGTACGCACGCATCCGCGCGTCCAACAGTTCTTCCGCCAGCAACCCAATGGGCAGTCTTAATGCGGCCGCCGGTCTCAGCATGCCCGGTGCCGGTGCCAGTGCAGGTGGTGTAGGAGCGGCGGCTGGGACGGGGGGCGAAGCTCCCAAGGGCAAGGCTGGTACACACCTTGGGATTCAGAGACCTGGTTTTGGCGGTGGTGGCTCTGGAGGTTCTGGACAGGGACGGACTGTACTCACTATGGAGGATCTGGGCATGGCAGTCGCTGAGTACGGCGTCAATGTCAAGAGGGGCGAATTCTATCGTTAGATGTGATACTTAAGGGTGAAGAGAGTTTCCCCCAAATGTGTCGATTTGACCAACTTCCTGGCCCCGATTCTCTCTTACACATGACATCTATTTCCTTTCATCTACAATCGCGATATGAGGGAATAAGCCGTGAAGTCGGAGTCTCAGAGCACTGCAAATATCGACGTCCAACATTCCTTCATCATTTGTACAATGGCCAGAAGGCAGGCAGGGCAGACGGACATTGTTAGGTGCTTACGAACTGGTTTGATTGAAGGCGTACCGGGCGGGAGGAAAGATATCCATGCTGCTTTTTTCTTTCTTTTTCTTTTTCTTTTTATCGGCTTAGGGATCACTGGGACCATTACTTTTTTCGAAAATTATAGGTATCTGTCGGATATGATACCGGTAACAGACCTGGTCTTGCACTGGAGTTAGGCGTTTGCGCAGGATGGGCAAAAGAGGCAAAACTTGCTGAGCTGTCACTTTCCAAGTGTCTTAACATAGAATATGCAGAATCGAAAATATACCAATATACAATACACAGACATTCTTGAGTGGGAAAACAAACTAAAATATACATGTGAAGGTATAAGAGACGCCAAGAGAGCCAAAAACACCAAGACCGAATGAGTTGTTCACTGTGCTGTTTCACGGACTTCCATATATCAGATATTCGTCAAAGATGAGTCCTCTTGTGTCACTTGGTCTCAGGCCATGCTGTTGTCACAGGTTATAGCAACTGCAACAGTGTGACAGATACAGTACGACTCAGACTGCGCTACCACAACATACTGCACCCATTCTGCGAGGCCAAAGACAAAATCAGAGGAAATAGCGAATAGGACCGTTTATTTATTCTTCGATTGCTTATAGGTAAACCGCTTCCGAGTCCTACATGTTGACAGACAACACATCAGTACGGTCCTTCCCTCTATGTATTTCCACCCTCTGTGTATAAAGGAAGATATCATTTGGGGATGGAAAGATGGAAAGAAAAGAAAACAAAGCGGCACATACGGGACATATTCTCCCAACTTCCTCCCTACCATCTCTTCCGTAATTACGATTTCCTGGTAATTCTTCCCATTATGCACCGCAAACTTGAGCCCGACGAAATTGGGAAGAATCGTCGCTGCTCGCTTCTGTGTCCTGATCGGGGGGGTGCCAGGCGGAGCAGGAAGTTTCCTTGGGAGAGGGAGACTATTCGTTGGATTGCCCATTCACGTTAGCATATCACGGCTCGTATGGATTAGTACATGAGCGTCTGTTGCTAATGAATGATCCGATTGACAAGATCGTCAATTGGCAAACGCCTTTCTTGCATGTCATGTAGAAGAGAAAAAAAGGTGAGTAATTCTGTTCAGTGACATACGGGACAATATTCGGGCCTGTGATGTGATACATAGATGTCAGCGCCAAATGAGTTCATATCCAATAACTTTCTGCCAGATGCCTAATTATCATATATTGTTCATGACTGCAATATATAGAACGCACCTTTCCAGATAGACCGAGCCAGCAGGGCGCGAGTAGGAAACATCTTGGTCGTCGCTGCGACTGGAGTTGAGGTCGAGATAACAAATTCTCGAACTCTCCGGAAATGGCCAATATCAGATTACATAAGCCGCGATGCTCTGTCTTAATATCTTGGGATTCTCAGATTCTTGTTTAAACCAGATCTATCCTAGACTATCTTAGGTATATATGTCTGTTTAATTGCTAATACCAAGATGAAAACAAAGACAGAAAACCCCCAAACACCATGTAACTCCTTGTCTAGATGCAAGAGAATTAGATAGCAGTTGCATTTCTCATAGGTCGCCAGCGACATTCGGACGCATAGATGCTTCAATTCTCAGCTCCTAGCAATCTCATCGAAAATCCTGATCAAGCTTCTCACTCCCATGAGAACGTTCTCATCCGGACCCTGGCCCGGGGTCCATTGCGCATGAGCAAAGTCGATCAAACGAAGATCAAGAACTTTTGGTGGTTCCTCCTCGTCTTCCTCCTCATCCTCCAAGCTTGTCAGCTGTGCCGTTCTAGGATCGATGCTAATGTTGATAGCATTCTGAGATAGAGCCCCTTCACCTCCGTTGATATCCATGACTTTGAAAGAGCCACCATGCTGTAGAACGAAATCCTCTTCCTCTTCCTCATCTTCGTCTTCTTCTGCTGGTGGGTTTTCCGCGGCTTTTTTCTCTTCATCAAGCGCATGTTCCAGCACTTCCGGATCGCCTTCGTAGACAATTAAGGCACTAGAAGAGTACATCCGGCTTTCCTCCGCTTCCAGGACCTGCTGTATATTGCGTAAATCTCCTGCCAATCTCCTAGCAATAAGCTTGGAGTGGTCTATTTTCCCGCCTTTGGCCCCTGCAAGGAAGGTCTCAAATCCCTCCTTTACGTTCTTGTCGCTGAAAGATCGCCCATACCATCTGTCGTAGCGCATGTAGCCGTCCTTCTCAATGACTTCACCCTTTTCGCCCTCTGATCCCTCGTGCTTGGTTTCATAGGGATCGGTTCGACCACCGGCGTCAGTTTCCCCCTTTACTCCGGTCCACACTTTCATACCAGCGATCCGAAAACCCAAACTACCGCTGGTCGTTTCTTTGGAGACGGCATCCAACCTAGCTCGCTTCGAGGGATGCGCATCATCGGCCCACAGCCTAGCTCCGAGTTTTACATCCAAGACATTTGGTCTGGTGAACCCCGAGGCGACATTTTCTAGAACAATCGACAGGCCCGTCTCAATTTTCCGACCAGCGGAGGGAACCCACGGCACTTCTTCTGTAGGGGCGGCATTTGATGATGAAGGTCCAGCGTCAGATTGAGCCGCACTGCCATTGACAGGTGTATTGAATGCCGACGATTGAACTGATTCGGGGACAACGACTCCGCTTTGCCCGGCTGCTGCTACAGAAAGAGGTGATTTCTGGTCTGCTGCAGATAGCGTACCGATGTATATAGGCATGAATTCCCGAAAGGCTGGATGAAGGGCGCTGGACTCGTAGAAGGCAACTTCTTGGGCCGTGCATGGCTTCGCAATCAGCGAACCGGAGAGCGTGCAACGGACACCATCACTATAGAACAAATAGAGTTCAGTAAGCATTTGCGATGAAGCAGATGAGATAAAGAAACCTACTGTCCGGCTGCGGCGTGATCAAAGGCGACGAAGCTATCGTGATCTAGCTTCTGTGCCTTCAAACTGCCTGGCTTTGAGGATGACGGCATTTTCCAGCAAAGAGAGACGTCCAGGACAGCAGAGCTCTATAACTGCATTCCGCACGCAAAGACAAAAAACAGAACAAGATAATCAGATCAAAAAAAAAGATACCGAGTAGGTGGCTTAGATAGATAAACATTCCATGACGATAGCGGGCGCAAAGAAAGGCTGATCGGCAGGAAGAGCTAGGGGTGTTGATATTAAACGGGGCGACAGTTAATATTCTTTTTGAGGTTCTTCGGATATTCATTCCTCATTCTCCATCTATGCGAATATCACAACTCTATTATATAAATGACATCTGTTGAGCCTCATAAGGTAATCATGGGTGAATACTGTAATTCATTGCTATTATTCTCACCTTGGTATCCGAGCAGAATCATGCCTGAGCTTCAATGCTGTTCTCCAAAGCGTCTGGAATCCAGGCAAACGGTAGCAGACACATCAACAAGTCTACCATGGGATTCTTCTGACGGCTCAGCCTTCATCATGTATGAGTACATCCAGATATTCCCGCTCTGTGGCTTTATCAGTGGAAGCAATGTGGATGAAAGAGCGCTGTTTGAGGAGTAGACACAGGAGTGAATATGAATGGAATGCTCTGTTTGCTCTATCCAGCTGGCATGGCATTGCTATTGACTGACCAGCGTGAATCTATAACTCATTCATCTTCCTCTCACCCCAGTCTGTCTTGTATAAAATTCCCCTTCTCCGAGTGTCTTCTTTCTTTTATCTGAGTAGATGCACTCCCACTTTCTCTTTCCAACAATCTGATATCTCTCAACGTCAAACAAGATCATCCTGACCCATGGCGGACGAGAAAGCATCTCCAAGCCCTTCTGTCCGCTTCGCTGACGATGGAGATCCCCCCAAATCCCAAGAGCCAGAAACTTTCCCGGAGACCAAGGACGACGCGGAGAACAATGACAAGGTCGAGGAGCAAGACGAAGATGAAGGGGCTACTGCTGAAGTCGACTTGGTCCAGCCTAAGAAAAGGAAGCCGAGAAAGCGTCGACCCAAGAGCAAGAGAGGCAAGGTAAGTCGCATAAATATAGAAGATTCTGTTCTGTTCTGTTCTATCCACTAGCTGATCTCGTCTTTGCTGTTTAGAATAAGCCTACTGGGTTTGAGAAGTACTACGTCGATGCCCCTGTGACTCCTGAAGAGTACGAAGAAGAGCAAGCCTTATATGATGTGTATGTCTTCGTCAGGTCCTGGAAAGGAAGAATCAGTGCAGCTAACTAATTGCCTCTAGTTCTCGGCCTATCCTCCAGTAAGAACATGCGCTAGATGAAATATACTGCCCACGGATGATGCTGACACTTTGCCTTGTTTAGTCGTTTGGAGGACGCTATTCTGCGTTTTCAAAAGAAACGTCGTATCGAATCGGACAGAGCTGCAGTCTTCATGAAATACCTCTCCTATGGAGGAGTTGACGTTTCACAGAAGAGTTTTGCCGGATTGGACGCACGCGAGATGCAAGAAATGGACAACGAGCAGATCCTCATTGCGAGAGGGCAGACTAGCATTTCCCAGGACCGCTCTGATCTGGACATTGATTTCGATGCTGTCGTTAGGGGATACCTGTGAGTGCGTCTGCAGCAAAGTGAAGGAAAACAGGCTCCTAACAAAATCATGATAATAAACAGCACATCATTCTTCCCTTACCACTTTAACCCGGACACGGAAGAAATGATCAACCTTGCAACCGTTACTATCAGAAACTTCCTCTCCTACATTCTCCACCATGACGTCTGTCCAGAGTACAAGGAGAACATTGACGAAGCCCGGAAATCATGCGACATTGTGACAAAGGAGCTCTGGAAGAACCAGCAATTCACGGCGAACGGACCCGGAAACTTCAATATGGCTAGCTCCATGCTCTTCGGCGGCTACTTCTATGAGACGTACTTCGACACCGACACCTGGAAGAACCAGAAGGACGACGATGATGATCAAGTGAAGATGACCAACGACATTGCCCGGAAAGTCGTCAAGTTTGCACTCGCAGGTGCCGGTTCCAAAGAACAAGCCACTCGATTCCGGGACCTGGCTAACCAGAACGCTCTCACTGCTACCCACATTGAGGACATCGACGGCTTTGAAATCACAGCCATCCTTCCGCCAGACGAGGGAACGAAACAATTCTACCATATCCACGCACCGGACCTGCAGCCCGTTGGAAAAGTTATCGCCAATGCGTATCGTGATCCGGGAAAGCCCCCAATCGACCTAACCCCCGAGGAGAAATCTGAATGGGAGAATGGCAAAGTTGTAGCGCCTTCTAAATTCGAGTTCTTCGTCGAGGAATCCTTGATCCAGCATTGCTATCCTGGTATGAAAGTAATCACGTCGGTTTGGGAGCTGAACTGTGGCATGCATTACTTTGATGAGGTCATGACGGCTTATTGCTCGATCTACACCGTTCTTGCCAACGATCTCATGCTGGGATGGAAGAAACCCAGGAGTCTTGTCTGCGGTGAAGAGGATAACGAGGATGGGAATGGAAACAAAGATATTGAGAAAATGGCACAGGATGCAGCTGAGAAGGCTCTGCGCGACGCTGGCCTGAGTGGACAGGATAAGGAAGAGTAAATTGTGAGCACCACCTTCACTGTTGCTTCCACTATGTTTCTATATTGAATTCAGATGGCACTTTCATGCACTTTTCTATGAATCAATGGGAAAAGTATTGTCATTCCGGTCATTTAATTTGTTGCCAAAGTAATATTCAAACCCTGTGCCGTACAAATAAGCGTGGAACGTTCAATGCGTAACAGACATGCCTAGGACTAATCCATATATACAGTTAGATGCAATGTAGTACCATTCATGGCCGCAGGAGCAGCTTGCCGGTGGTCTTTCGTGCTTCGAGATCCTGTAAAAACAAGGAACAAATTAGCAATCCTGGATCTAATTACCATTCTGGAAAGACAAGACATACACTCTGAGCTTGAGCTGCTTCTGCCAAAGGATAGATCTTGTGGATCCTGACCTTCAGCTGGCCGGACTTGAGCAGATTGAAGAGCTCGTTGGTGTAGAACTCGAACTCTTCCCTCGTCTGGATGTAGCCGAATAGCATGGGCCGGGCGACCTTGACACACTTAGGGGAGAGTATTCTAATGACTCGTCAGCATGATTCATGAAACAACATGGTGAAGTGAACACTCACGCAAGATTGAGTGGAGGAACCGGACCGCTGGCATTGCCAAACCAAACGATGGTCCCCTTCCTTTTAACAACCTCCAGACTTCCCTCCCAGGTATCCTTTGCAACGGAATCATAGACCACATCCACGCCCTGGCCTCCAGTTACTTCCTTGACCTTCTTAACCCAGTCCTTCCCCTCCTCGCTGCGATAATCAATCACCACATCCGCACCGAGGCTCTTCACCAACGCAACCTTCTCAGGGCCTCCTGCTGTACCAATAACCTTGGCACCAATCTGCTTGAGCACCTGCGTCATCAGATATCCCGCCCCACCCGCAGCAGCATGCAGTAGCACCCATTCCCCCTTCTTGACGGGATAAGTCTCCTTAGCAAGGGTGAGCACGGTCAATCCGCTCAGCAACGACGCCAGGACTTTCTCATCCTCAATTCCATTGGGGATCTTGACGGTCTTTGCCGCAGGAACGGCAGTGTACTCGGAATACGACCCCGTACCGAGCCAAGCGACACGATCACCCACTTGGAAGTTATACGGATTGGGACCGGGCCCGACTGCGACGATGGTACCCACGGCTTCTCGGCCGAGGACTTCGGGTTTGGGAGATGGATACAGGCCTGAGCGGAAGTAGGTGTCGATGAAGTTTATGCCGGAGAGGTGATTCTTCACGAGTAACTGGCCTTCCTTGGGGGTTGGGACGGGGTAGTCTGTTCTGTACTGGAGGACTTCGGGTCCACCGGTTTTTTCGATAAGGACGACCTTCTGGGTTTTGGGGAGAGACATGGTGATGCGTCTCTGCGGTTGAAGCGGCAGAGGGGTTATAATTGACGGTGAGGGATGGAGGTGATTGCGGATTGTAAGGAGTCTGTTGCTGATGCGGAGAGATGCAGACAGAGGTCTGGTGAGAGACATAAGCCAGGAAGAAGAGGAAGGAGATGTTTATGCCATATGAATGGGCTGATGGATTTGTCGTCTGCGGAATTCGTCCGGTCACCTTAATAATTGCTTCTCATCCGCGAAGAAGATGATGTTATCGCCCCGCAGGACGGTAGCATCCCCGCAGTGCCTTCGATTCTGCATCTCGATATAATATACATACTATACTATAGACAGACAGAAGTTGGGATTGAAACGAGTAGTGAGATGATCCCCCCGCAGACGTTGATTTGAAGCTGATATAGGAATAGATGATATTCTCGTCCAGATTCAGTAGTAGGATAGTTCTCTGGTCCCGGCATGCCACTGAATATAGTTCTACACTGGTTCTACGTGGCTGATCCATAGATGCCTGTGAAACATGGCACTCTTGCATTTATTTACTCTTCTAGATATCGGATATATATTAGTACGAGCCCAGCTTTCCATCCGATGATCATTGGAAACTGGTCTGGGCCGCGTCTTCAAAGGGATATTGGGCATGAGGACTCTGGGATGCAACCACCACCGTCATCATCGTCATCATTGTCATCCAGGCGCGGATGTTCCAGAACCTCCGATTCAAGCTTGTTCAATCTTCAGAGCTGTCGAGAGAGGACGTGGAGTGCATTAGTATACCGGCTGATTGACAACGCTGCCGCGTCTATACAGCAGCTAGTATCATGACGCACATGCGATCAAGACTGTTGACTCGACCGGTTTCTACCTAAGTCGCATGTTAATAGACTATTACTATCGATCGCAATCCCAACGGTTTCCATTTTAATGCCGTGCACTGCTGATATCTCCGGTTGGGCTGCTGTTGGGCATCCTTCTCTCATCTCCCTTCTTCTTCCTCCCTTCCTGACCCACGACCTCAGCCTTCTTCTCATCCCCTGTTTAAAGGGACCGCTCATGTTCCTACATTACGGAATTCGCCACTGTTACCTATTCCTATCTCATTTCCGAAATGCCCCAGTTCGTGGCACAGTGACGATGATCTTCACTTGGCCTGGCTGCTTGCTCCGAGAGCCTTTGTCCCCTGTGAACCACCTGGACTGTGTTCCCCCCTTTGGCTGTGTTAGCTATAGGCTTGCAGAGAGAAGCTGAAATTATTGCGCTCCTCAATTGCTTGTCCTACCCCATCAGGCTGTGAGTGGGACCCGATTAGCCTACTGCCTGGATCTGCTCTGGCTCTCTCGGACTCCCTGAGGGACAGGTGTATTGTTTCACATTGTGCTTCCCTCTTTTCCTTTGTACCAATTCATATATTTTCCCTCCCTTTGTTGTGAATGATGACTGTGCCGCATGCTATTATTATTACCCTGATCCCCTGTTCCCGCCCAACACAAGGCTGCGGCCCTATCAGGCTTCAATAATAATACTCTGGCGAGAAGCGCTGTCCAATGGATGCTGCTTTGGCGCCTGAATTGGGGATTGACAGACATTATTGATTTTTTTGGCCCCCGTGGGATTCTTATTGTTGTTTTTCTCTGGTTGTATTTGCCGCCTTATAAAGGCTGCGGCGTCTCGTCTCATGCGCTCCGTACATGTCAAAAACACCAGCGAAAGCCCCCGGATTCGACTGTCCCTAATATACTCCTTTCATGCTCGTTTACACATAGCTGTGAATACTTTCTTTGCAGTGCTCCCTACGAATCTACTATGCTACCAGTACACCGAAAGCAGCGTTTGATTCATTGTGCTACTGCTACAGGCTAGTTTTCTGCGTGTTGGCTACGCCACTTTTGTGACAAGCATCCATTGTATCGATTTATTTGTTTAAAGAATTCCCTTTTGTTCTTGTATTTTTCGGTCTAAAATGTTTTCATTCTGGCGCCTGCGTCGTAGCCAGCCACCTTCTCCTACGGTGGAGGACGAAGTCGCCTCTCTCGCTCGCGAACTGCACGCCGTCCCCTGCATCATTGAGAAGCCAGGACTAGAAGGCGTCCACTGCAGGGGATCCATTGACCAGTATCCGGTGCTTCTGGCTGTGAGCCTACCACAGTTACTGCCGCCGACTACAGAGTCTAGGGTCACAGAGGTGTCCGATGATTCCCCAGATAAAAGCGCAAGCTCTTCCGCGTCGTCCATGAGCGCTCCCAACGAGACTGCGCCCCGATCTGAAACGAGCACCAAGTCGACTATTGCTCCTGCTGCGACTCAATCTCGGAACAAGGAGAACAGCATTGAGAGTGATCTGTCTCGAGGACAACAGTCTGGTCACCAAGCTCATCCACAGACACTACGACCGCTTGATACTAAAAGCGCGAACAATGGCCAGAAACGAGCACCTTCACGGAATCCATCTTCCAATACTGAAAAACAGACTTCCCCGCAGCGTGATGTCTCTGTCAATGGCAGCCATTCATCATCTCGGCCCCTAAAGGACTTGTCAGTTGCTTCTCAGAATCAACTGCCTCGTCAAGAAGGCAAGGCCTCTATGTCTCAGGACTCGAAAATCAGCCGGTCACGGAGTGTTAAACGCGAAGAATCGCAGCGTCCAGTCACCAGCACAAAAGCCCAAAAGCCTCCGATGCCTTCCCACAACCGTGTGGAGGATCCTCCACAGCCAAAGACAGCTTTCCAACCTCCCCAGTCAAACACAGCTCGGTTCAACAATGTTAAAAATGAAGGATCCACCGAACGACCAGTCGCTAACCAGAAGGTCTCGATCACTTCATCCAAGGGTCCGTTGAATTCGGTAGCATCTGAGCGCAAAGAAACCAGCGACAGCAAGGCCCAAGTCGGAAAGGAGCATCCGAACCAGTGTTCGAAGGTCGCTAGTTTTAGCGAGCGACTGGAAGAGAAACTACGACACCGACGGGAATTTCAAGAGTCAAAGGATCGCACGGAGAATGATGCACAGAGCAAATCCGATCCTAAAAAGACCAAGATGCACACTGTCCAAGCTGTCCCAGTGAAGGAAGATCGAGCACCTCAGCCCGTGGTGCCCGTCAAGGTACCGCTGGATAATGTTCCTGCGGCCGCAACACAGACGCGAGCTCGAGATTCCTCTTCAAAGTCTCGAGAAAGCAGCACGCATGCCTCGGGCACAACCTCTAGGTCACGAGCAACTTCCACATCTCCCAAGTTGAAGCCTGCTTCTGGCTCTTCAGACAAAGATGACAAAGTCGCTGCTACATCTTGTACTACTATATCAATCTCCCAGTCGTCGCCGCCTTCTTCATCTTCAAAGGACGAAGCCACGCCAAAACCCGGTACTGTGTTAACAGTAACAATAGCGCAACCGGCGCAACCGACGCATTCCCGCCGAACTAGAAGTCAGACTGTAACGCTTCCTCACGAAGTCATTCCGAAAGCTGTCTCGACATCCGAAAAACCATTAGAGGTGGACAAGACTCAGCTCCGTTCCCACTCTTGCCAGCGGGATATTGCTTCCTACAAGATGGAGATGTCCACCCAATTCTCTCCGGGAGCAGAAAATCTCTGTCTTCTACCGTGCCCCCGGGCGATCCCAATGGCGGGCTATCAAGACTGGTACACGATCAAGGGAATGCCATACCTCGACATTTGCCCATCCTGCACCCAGCAACTGGTGCAGTCGAAATTCCGCGAATTCTTCATCCCGGGCCCCCCGAAGCCGCGCAGCCAGAAAGTCCGGTGCTCGTTCAGCGAGCCCTGGACCCGTCTCGCCTGGGTCCAGGCTATCAAGAAGGACTGCGAAGACCTCAAAATGCTTCATCAGATCACTCATCCCCCGCAAATATTCAAGCCGTGTCCTGGCCGTATCACAACAGAACAGTACTGGTACCGCATCATCGACCCGGAAACAGATACGTACCTGCCTCGCTTCAGCATCTGTCCAACCTGCATCCGGAACCTGCGCATCCTCATGCCCTCCCACCGCGACACGTTCGAACGCAGTCCCACCCCGCGCGAACGGCTATGCGACCTCGCTACCTCCTCCCCCCGTTTCGTGCAGTACATCGACCTCCTCGACGCAGCGGCTACCAGGGCAGAGCTTTCAAACTCCCCCCTCGTCAGACCAGTCGATATGGACCCCTTCCTCGCCTATGCACGCCGCAAGGTCGTCCTTCGTGACTGTCCCCGCGACCGCCTCATCTTCAGCAACTGGCATTACCTCCCTCAGCTACCCGAATTCACCGTCTGCGAGGACTGCTTCGATGACGTCGTCTGGCCGCTCGTGAAGGCTAATTACCCAATCGCCCGTATGTTCTCTACCAGTCCCCAGCTCTTACCGGGGGATGGCCTGTATGGGTGTCGCGAGGCGAGTTGTCAGCTCTATTCGCCGCGGATGAGGGTGCGGTTTCGCGATGCCGTATTGAGAGATAGCTTCTTGCTCTTGGAGCAGGTTGCGCTAACGAGGTATAATGCTGAGAGGAAGTTTAGGGAGCGTAAGCTTGAGTTGCTTGATGAGGATCGTAGGGGGTTTGATCGTGATGTTGAGTTGAGGGTTAATGGGGAGGAGTGGAGAAAGTGGGAGTGATTTCTTTCCTTTTTTTTTTTTCTCTTTCTGTTTATGTGCATTGCGTATGGTGTTCTGTTGTGTACCCTGTACGCTATAGGATTGTGTCTGTGTCTGTTCTATTACAGTCGTTCTCATGTACTTATTATCTCACATGTACGGATATTATGAGGGTATAGAGGATAGAGATTATGAAGTGACTTCTTACAGTTCAATCTTGAATTCAATGTAGCAGAATATAAATACATAGTCCTACATATAACTACTAACTCAACTCAGCGATATTTTTTTAATAGATATTAGATGATGTACCCTATTAACTACCCAACCAACCCAACAACCTGACCAGGCCATTTCCGTCCCCAAACAATAGCCCTCGAAGGCACTCTCCCACCAACAGGAGCAAGGATACGAATCTTCCCCTTATCCCTATCCACATCAGCTACATACAGAAAACCCATGATGCTCGCGTCTCGAATTTCCGACACGGAAGCGTTAGGCGCCACATGTGTGATTGCGAGGAGGGAGTTCGCTAACCCAGCGGGTGGAGGGGGAGGGAGTTTCTTTAAAGGCACGGAGGATGAAGTTGAGGGGTCAGGGGATGATGATGACGGACCCCCTGCCATGCCGATGCCAGGCAGAGAGAATGAGGAAGCTGAAGGTGTGTCTGCAGGTTGCGGTTTCAGATCAGAATCACTGGCGCCTCCTGGGAGGAAGGAGTCTGAGGTTCCTAGCTGGGATGGATCGTATTCGTCCTCATCTTCGTCGGAAGATGTCGTATATTGGTAGATGAATAGGCTGTCAAAATCTAGTTGTGAGGCGTGTGGGGATAGAGTGATATTGGTAAGGGAGGTCGCGGAAAGAGAGAGGGCAGCGGACGCGGTGGATGGAATGGGATTCCCGAAGAAATATGACCGGATTTGAGCTTCACGGATACCCTTCATGAATACTGCGTCACGATCAACACAGCCGCCAGACTTGGAGAGCTTAACGACTGAGATGCGTTCATCTGAGGCCGCCGCTGAGGCACTAGATGTCGGTTTGTTATCATAGCTCTTCACCATGCTGCTATATAGGCGTTCCGAGCCGATGACGAGGATCGTTGAGACTGTTGTGGGGATTAAAATTAGTCTGACAAAACAGAAAGAAATTTGAGTCCTTACTAGAAAACTCCGTCACAATATGTTGTATCATCTCAAGCGCTCCGGGTTTCCCTTGACTCAGAATACCAGGCGTGTCAACAATGATCCCCGTCTCCCTGGAATCCTCATCCTCTGCCATCCTCCCCATAACCGACAAGGCCAACCTGGAGACAACAGGCCTGTATACAGCACCATCCGCCTCCAGCGGACTCTGCATCGGGTAGAAATACACAAGAGGCAACTTGACAGGCACGGGGCTCGGACCAGACATGGGACTATTGCCCCAGCCCTCCTCGACATCAATCATGGTCCGAAACGCCGTCGCCGTCAATGTGCCCGGAACACTCAGCAAGCCCTCGGCCGGATCCAAATTTACCACGACAGGCTGCCGTCCAACTTTGGTCGCGTAGGCTGTTAAGATTTTCGCCAGGCTTGTCTTCCCCGCATTCTCAGGCCCCAGGATCAAAACCCGTGGGCCATCCTTCCCTGTAGCTTTGGCCTCCTGTCGCATCGTCTCCAGCGCAAAATGTACGTTCGCGTATTCTACCATTGGCGTTTCTTCGGCCGTGTACTCGCTCTGGCAGCCACCGGCTCCTTGGCCGCGCGTTGTCCCTGCTGCCGCTCCATTCGTGGAGGTTGTCGTAATCGTCGAGGAAACGAATCCATCTAACCCGGGCGCCGCATCCCCCGCGCTGACCTCAAGTGTACAGCCATGCCAGGTGAAAATGGCCGCTTTTGTTCCGGAGAAGGTGTATGTTTGAGAGGCAGCAAGCTCTGTTCCGAACAATTCTGCAGTACCGGCTAGGAGCTTGGAGAAAGAAAACAGAGAGTCAACAACCTGCAAAGAGGAATGGATTAAGAAAAACTCACTTTAACCCGTACAGCTGTCCCAAAAGCGACCTCGAATCGCCATTCCGAGCCCTTGGACAAGCTGATCTGCGTAGGCGGTGCGGGAGCTTGCTGTCTCTCTGCTGTTGGCTGCGTGAGGTCTAGCCCGGGGAGAGACATTGCATTTCTCGAAAAAAAAATAAAAAATAAAAAAAAATAAATAAATAAATAAATAGACAGGATTAGGCTAAATGATCTAGGAGAGTTCGTGGTGGCTTTTGACTTGGAGAACTGCGGAGGTTGGGGAATATCTCCGTTAGAAAGAGAAGAATGACGGTGTTTTGGTTGTTTGCACCGCTTCAAAGATCAATTCCTAAAGCAGCAGAACAGAATGGCCACACCAAAATCTTTCCTTTCGTCTTTTCTTTCATCTTGACATTTAATATTTATTTCTTCTTGTCTGACATCTACCTAGCAATAGACAATCGAATCATTCTGACTGCCGCTGCTTCGACAGTTACACAACAGTAACATAGACCAACACGTAGAAATCTCTGAAAATAATCTAAGGTCTCGAGCAGTAGGACCTCGGTTCTCTCAGTCTCTTCCTTGGTTAAAGGGAGCGAATTAAATGAAATATGGAAATTCAACTCCTCCATCTGATTCAAAGAATACCCAACAAAACATAGCACGCCAAACCAGAATACCCTCCAGTGACACCACAAAAGCAAGCACTGCACGATATTAAAAGGGGTAGAAGTGAAAAAAGAAGCCAGGGAACCACAGCAAAAGCAGTTACGCTATCAAATGTGATGGATCAGGGGAAAGGGAAAGAAGGGGAGGGAAAGGGTTAGAAAAAATCCTGAGCATACCTGAAGCTTCTCAATGGGGGCATGCAGTATAGAGGAACTAGGGGGCATAATGAGGAATTTGGATCTCTGTTGGACTTGCAGGCTTTGTCTTAGAAACTCAAAATATCAGCAGGGGAAATATGCTTTGTGTAATGGAGGTTGCAACAGTGGCAGTACTCCACAAATTGACATCAGATCCATAAGCCTTAATATAAGAGTAATGTTGGCAAAAGTCGATTTAATGTTGCGATTCTGTTCCCAGGAGAACAGGATAAATATGAATGCCTCGTCTAAAAGAAATATGGGAGGGATGCACTAGACAGATAGTCAGGTATCCACTCATCGAAACATGGAGCGAAATACTTACGCAATTGCCAATGCAGCAGTAACACCAACCAAGGCGCGATTCCTCACGCGCTCGCGTTTGAGCTTCTCCTCCAATATCTTGGCCCTCTTGACCCGCTGGGCCCGGTCTTCCGACGATTTTTCGTCTTCTTCGTCTTCGGTCAGATCCTCTGTCTTACGTTTCGTGGCCTGTTTCTTCGCAGAAGAATCTGCTGCTTCGCCTTTCACCTCAAGATCCTCCTTAGCTTTCTCGACCATTTTCTTCGCTTCCGCTAGCAGCGCCTCCGGATTGGCCTCGGGAGGCAACTCAGGGAGGAGCGACGGTTCATCTGTTGAAACGGTGGCCTTGGCGGCTTCAGCATCCTCCGCCTCTTCGGCGGATTCGCCGTTGACTTTAATCTCCTCTTCTTTCTTGGGAGCCGCCTTGCGGGCGGCCCAGGCCCCCGATTTACGAGGTTTTGGCTTCTCTTCGCCGTTCACTTTCACTTCGATTTTGGCAGTCTCTTCGATCGTTTCGGATTCTGCGGTGGTTGCGGACGCGTTCAACGTAGACTGGAGGGTTTCAGTCGCTGCGCTTGCTGCGGCGGAGCTAGCTTCCTTTGCGGCCCTGGTCTGTCGGGATTTGCGAGGCGAGGCAGGTCTTTTGCTGGGTGATGCGGACCGGCGACTTCGGGTACGTGTGGAAGGAGGAAGCTCAGGGGCGGTATCCAATGGGGGCAGTTCGAACTTGGGAGGAGATGTGATCTGCTTCGATGGACTCTGGATGATCTCGGTCGGATCAAGGAGAGCACGGACCCAGTCATACATTTGATATTCCTTAGCTAGCTCAAGGGCTGATCGGAAACGAATGTTAATGTCAATCGAATTCCTCATAGGCTTTCCTCCTTCAACTTACCAAGAGTTGGAGAAATCCAAATATTGCCGGCGATCTCATCTTCACTGGTCTCCTTTCGGGCCTTCAGATAGTCGCGTTCTGAGCGTTCCTCGTCTAGTCTAGCCCATGGGAATGCGATCTTAAACATGCCAGTCGCGCTAACGTATCCATCTTTACTGCGACGCTGTTCCAACGGAGAGAGATACATTGGTCAGCGACAAGTCTAATGTAAAAATTTTTTTATTCGAAACGTGTAGTACAGCAACTCACCATCAAAAAGTAAGTGGGATGATCCTGGGGAGTGTACGACGGAAAGATCTCGGAGCCCTTGAGATCCCCGGGCAACGGGGCGCGCAAATGGGCATACTCAAACGGACCCAGGTTCTCTGGCTTTGTTGCATTGGACATTCCGATCTGCGTGGGTTTGACGGCTAGATGCGTCTTCCCGAGGCGACGACGCGCGACGAGATCTTCATCTGTAGAAATGAAAAGCACGGAGTCAGTGGCACTGTGTTATTGACATGAATGTCTTACAGGAGACACAAGAAGTCGTGTCGGACGCGACGAAGTGGTCGCAAAAGACGAAACTTACATGAAGGAGAACCATCTGGAAGGATGTAAGGATTATGTTTCTTGGGGAGCGATCGCACCATCCTGGAAAATGGCAGACCACGTCAACAAGAGATCTAGACAGAGAAGTCAAGGGTATGAGGACGGTTTCGAGGTCGAGGACTGGGTATGGGCTGAGCGATTTTGACCTCAGCAGCAGCAGCAGCAAGTAGAACAGAACGGGTACGGGAGGAGTAACGGGTATGTATGCGACCGGGTGGGCCACGTAGCAGGCGCGTCTTCCCCGCCTACAAAGAGGCACCGGGACAGGCTCACGAAGGAAGTGGGAGGTCGCTGATGTAAGACGCGTGGGACGATGAAACTGGCGACGAGACAGGCAGATGCGAAGGACGCTATGATGGAGGTGATGGAAGAAGAGTCGCAGGGATGTTTCTATGTTCCTTGGGAGATTCTGCCGGAAAAGGCGGCTGTATCATGTATCATGTATGCTGTATGTATGTAACTATGTAACATATGTAATGTAAGTTACGGTAACGGTATTGTCGCGTGGCATTACCAATGCCGGGAGTGACAGTGACCACTGCGTCATGTCGATGATGATGATGATGATGATTACTGCCTTTGTCTGTAGGTAGCAAGTCTGCATGCTGCGGGTAACTGATAATACTCCTTACATCTACATCAACACCCCTCATATTACAATGTCATCGAGGTAAAGCGCTCGGATTACCCTTCGAACAAGATGGAATGAATAAACTTCGAATCCCGAGCTGATTAAGTTATACGTATGAGTTAAAGCGTTAGATGCTCGTGCCAACAACGGTCTGGACATGATCGATTAGCTGTTCATTCTGTTCCTCGAGCAGAGAATAGTACTTTATACAGTGTAGTTATACTACTCTGTATATATCTAGCACTTCCGTCACCTCAGAATATATAATGGCCACTCGTAGGAGGAATTAGGAGAAATATCGGTGTGGGCATTGACAAGCTTTCTGCTGTCCAACGGACGCCCCTAATAATAATAAACCCATCCCCTATCCAACGTCTGCAAGACTTGAACAACAATAGAAAAAAAAAAAACACCTACCCCGCTATAAAACACAGACCACCTTAAATCTGCTAACAAATCCCAAACAACCTCCAATAAACTGTTTACCTACATACAAAGCTCCAGCTCCGGAAACCGCAACAATGGCCGACCACGAAGATGATCTCACCGCCACCAAGACAGAGGGCTTCAAGGTTGGCGAGAAGAAGACTATCGAGGAGTACACGAAGCTCGGTAAGTCAGGGCTCTCCTCCCTGATCCTTACCCCTCTCTCCTGATTCTTTGACTGACCTCTCAATTTCAAAATAACAGACCAAAACGACGAATCCCTCAACAGATGGAAAGCCTCCCTAGGCCTGAATGCAGGCGAACCCATCGGTGACCCCAACGACCCCAGAAAATGCATCATCAAATCCCTCGCCCTGGAGGTGGAGGGACGGTCCGACGTCGTCATTGAACTCACCGAGCCCGGTGCCCTGAGTTCCCTCAAGGACAAGCCGTTTACCATCAAGGAGGGCGCTAGGTTCCGCATCAAGGTTGTCTTCCAGGTTAACCATGAGGTCCTGAGCGGTTTGAAGTATCTCCAGGTTGTTAAGAGGAAGGGTATTCGGGTTAGCAAGGATGAGGAAATGCTGGTTAGTCCTCTTATACCTATATCCTTCTCTTTGATAATATTTGTAAGGGTTTCTAACTCCCTACAGGGTAGCTATGCACCCAACACTACGGGTAAGCCGGTTTACGAGAAGAAGTGTAAGTTCATAATACTACCGTTCTTCGGGGGAAACCTGGCAGAACTAACAACTCTCATAGTCAATCCAGAGGAGGCACCCTCAGGCATGATCGCCCGCGGTCACTACAATGCTGTTTCCAAGTTCGTCGACGACGACGACCATACCCATCTTCAGTTCGAGTGGTCTTTCGATATCGCAAAGGATTGGTAGAAAGTTAGAATCTTGATTCCCTTTTGTTCGTCTATTCTTTGCTTTGCTGGTTCCCGCCTCTTCTCCCCCCCTTCTCCCGGCGAAATCGTCCCACCAACCGAAACAAAAGATCATTCCCCTGGAGCTATATTACGTGCATCTCACTTGCACATACCATCTATTGCCGCATTCATAGCGAGTCATGAATTCAGTTCAGTTTAGTTGTTGGTATCTTCGAATGAATTATATATACACTTCGCGTAAGGAGTGTAAAATTAGATAGCTAGCTTTCCTGTTATCTACCATCTTTTCCATAAAGTATATTTTCTATACATGGCACTGAATGCTTACACCGAACTCCAGACTTGCATTTATTTGAAAAAAGGGGTATCACAAAAAATAGTCAATGACAGGATTCTCCCCATCCCTATTCTGTTGCGCCTGCTGCTCTCCACGATGGATATCATTTTCCGGAGCCGCGTCGAACACGTTGAAGAATCTCTCGCCCGTATCACTTACTTCCAGGACGCTAGCCAGATTTCCGCACCGGTAGCAGTAATTGGGGGCACTCCAGACCGTGCTCAGCCGGTCGTCGTAGAGAACCTGATAACCCTCCTGACAGAGCTGATGTGCTCGCAGGATATGAGACATGCTATTCACCTCGAGGAATTTGCGAACCACCTGCGCACCGAACGTATATCCAGCCCCTCGGGGAGAAAGGGAGAACTCGTCCCGGTCTGTATCGGGATCCGACCATACTAGATCAGCCATGGGGCCCTCGTGCGGGATCTCACGGAACCGGTCTATGATCTTTATCTGGTCGATGGAATGGATGGACGGGGATAGCCCACCGTGCACGCAGAATATCTGATCATTGATCACCACGCTCAGCGTGAGGAAGTCAAACATATCGGTGAAGTAATGCCAGACATTAGCGTTGCCGTATTTCCGAACACACTCGGTATAGAAGCCGTAAGACTGTGTGACACCTCTCGACTCATGATTGCCACGGATGAGATGAACGCGGTGAGGGTATCGTAATTTCAAGCAAACAAGAAGAGAAATAGTCTCTACGCTAAACAGGCCGCGATCCACGTAGTCACCTGCATCGGTCAGTAAGGAACCACTTAAAAATGAAGTCCTCTCACCTAGAAATAGGTAGTTGGTATTCGGACAGAATCCACCAATCTTGAATATCTCCAGCATATCAAAGAACTGTCCATGAATATCTCCCACAACGGTAACCGGGGCAGCGATGTGAACCACATTGCTCTCCTTCATCAAAAGCTCTTTCGCCTTGGCGCATATCGCCTCAATGACCAGATCTGCCAGCAATTCTTTCCGATAGAGTCTCTCAATGCACTCGTCCAAATCGATACTAGCTGTCCGGAATTAGTACGAGGGAAAAAAAAAAAGAAGATAAGACTCCACGAAACAGGGAAGAATAACAGCATACTTGGTAGGCCCGGCATTGCGGTGGAATTCTTATAACTACCAGCTCTCCCCGTGGGTTCACCAGTAGGTATTCCCCTGTTATTCTGTCCAAAGGGGAAAAAAAAAGAAAAAAGAAAAAAAGAAAAAAAAATCTGTGTCGTATGTCTTTCTCTCTCTCCGTAACGGCGAATAGAACGCGCGGGAAGTAGAAAGAATGAGCGCGCAGAAAGAAAAAGAGAGCAAACTAATTAAACAACCAGGCGAAGAACAGAGTCGAAAATGAAATAAGACACTATGATGGCCAAGTTGGAAGGGGATACGTCTGAAAGGTTCGTTCAGGAGCAGCTCGCATCATGACCAGATTGAGAAAGACAAGGAGGGGAAAAGGGCGGCGTCCGTTCTGGACTTTGAATTCTGTGAGGAACCTAGACAGACGTTTCCACACAAGCCCCTCAAAGAGCTCAGTATTGCATGTTGCTCTATTCCTCCTCTTTTTCTCTTGTCACTCTGTATCTGTGTCTGTATCTGGGGGTCATTGCTGCAAGAATGATGATTCAGGTGCGAAGCAACATAACCCATATATTTTACCGCCTTCCAAGTTAGGAATTTCACATCTCAGTGAACGGCAGACAAATAGACCAGCATGCAGGTAGCAGACTGTATAGTCTCAGCCCCTCATGAAGTATTAAACTACATAATCCATACAAAGGCAGAGTTTCTATTCTCTGTCCATTTCATGGAAATGCTACGGCCATTCATACATTTGCTATATTGTATAGCACAATGAACATGGACGACACAGACACAACGGCCGACAAACTCAGATGAAATGTATTTTCAACAAGGGCGTCTATTTCAGACGAGGAAAAGAGAAAGTAACCAAATAAATGCCCATAACCATCTATATTCTCTACCGAATTCAAGCAACCAAAGCCTTAATGCTCGCCTCCAATTGAGAGGGGTTGGCGCCGATGACATCGTCCTCGAGTCTCTTTCCATCCTTGTAGAAGAGGAAAGAAGGCATGGCCCTAATGCCCAATTCGGCGGCAAGGTCAGGCAGGGTGTCGACGTCGAACTGGTAGAACTTGGCCTGGGGGTAGGTTTCGCTGAGCTGAGCAACCTTGGGGGCGATGGCCTTGCAGGGACCGCACCAGGTGGCGAAGCAATCGATTACGACGAGCTCCTTGGAGTCGATGACCTTCTCCTGGAACTCAGCCTTGCTGTATTTCTCTGTTAGCTCAGGATTGTCTCTTGGAGATTACACAAAATGAAAAAGGAGAGGGAGGAAAAGGGACAACTTACGAGGTGAGAGCGACAACCCTTCCGTGAGACATGGTGGGAGATGCCTTGAATTGAGATGCAGATGTAACTGAAAAAGATCGTTTGGGAGATAATACGAAGCTTCGACCTGGGGTCAAGCAGGCGTGTCTGGCAGCACTGGTGGTGGTGGTGGAAAATGCAGCAGCAAAAACAGCAGGTCTTCTAGAAAATATCCTAGAAGGGGAAGCTAGCAGGCTGGAAAGAGGCCTGAAAGGAGACAGGGGAGCGCGAAGGGATGCCACGGTGAAAGATAGAGGGAACAAAGCCGAGGAATATATAAGTAAGCGTCAAATGGAGGGGCGTGCAGGGAGGGGTTGATGGTGTGCGGTCCTTATATTTTTCGTCGATGATGACGTTTGGAGACGTGTGGCTGAGTAAGCAGAGCTCCAGCCGGATTACACAATAATAAACTTACTACAAGGCAGGGTGGCGACGAGCACAGCTCGCAGTATTAATCTGATCTGACAAATGGCATCGATATTCCCCTGGATACGCTTGAGTTGAACAGAGCTATTGCCTTGCGAAGAGAAAAGAAATCAACCGAAACAACAGATACCGCAGTCGAATGGCGTGCTTCCTTCTGGAGTCTCTTGCTTACGAATCGCAGCCGGTCTGGAATCCTGGAATTGATAATGGCATCTTCTGCTTCTTGGCCCGTGGAAATAAAGGCTGATACTGCTTCCGGAATTGCTCTTCATTATTGCTGGATGGCTCAGGGAGGTGATGGGATACCGATTTTCTTCTCGCAATACCAGGTAGACCAACTACTTCGTCTATCCCTAGACACAAGAAATCGGATGCCATGATAACTGTTGTGATCTGTGTTCTTTATTTCTCTTTTTCTCTCTTTCCTTATTTGTTTGTAGTGCAATTAAGAATACATGCATCTAAATGGGGGTATCAACAACATCGCAGCAGGGGGAATCCAGGAGAAAAGAGGGAAAACCTGGGCAGAACATGCTGGGATAATAGTCGCAAAAAGGGGGAAGAAACCGGAAATAAAATAACACGCAAATACATCGTACAAAGGAACATCCAAATGAGCGACTAGGGTCAGTTCTCCGGTATATTCGACAACATTTGATATGTATGCGTTGTATGAATACTATGTCAACGACCTCTCAGCCAGGGTCCCCCAGGAAACCGGATAACAAACTACTTCGATTGACAACTCTCAGGGTTATCCGACTGTCCCTGCTCGCCATTTATTCCGCCGGCTGGGTCAACCTCAGATGAAGGCTCTTCCATAGCGTCGACCTCGATCTCCTCTTCTGGGAATATTGGTGTCAGCTCACGCACGCTCTTCAATAGTAGGACCTGCGTGGACTTCGGGCGGGTCGTCGGGCTGACTACGACCGGACGCCTTCCAATCTCATCATGCCAAGTCTCCCCGTCACCGGCTAAAGATCTACCTTCGCTATCTTCGTCGTAGTTGACGGAACCGTCACCAAGGGCGTGGCTGCTGGCTCTTCCTGATTCCGCAAAGGAGACACGTCGTTCATCGGAGTTGGGTGCGTGCCGCGCTCCCTTGGACGTGGCATCCTGGCCGTCTTCCTCCTCTTCAAGGGTGTCGTGACCCGCGGATCCGATACTCTGTCGAACGGAATTGAGCCGTCGCTGAGAAATACGCCGGAGGAATTGACCAGACATCCAAGATCCCTCGGAGTCGACAGAGGCTAAAGATTGAGACAAAGGGATGTTGTTATCGTCCCAGGTTTCGAGACTTTCATCATCCCAAGAACGATGTTGGTGGGTTTCTAAGTCACAAGGTTCCGCTTCCGAAATAGGGGTGTCAAGGGACATCGGATCGACGTCCATAGTCGAGTGCTCTTCATCCGCCGGTGCTGATACATCGGGGATGGTCTCGGGGATCTCGGGCGACTGAAGGCGAGAATCCGGAGGGGAGAGAGGTTCATCACCAAAATGTTCTTTGAACTTGGACTGTGACCGTTTTATGGTGCCAGTGCCAAGGAAGAGCTTCTGAGGAGCTTGGGGAAGAGGCTCAGGCGATGACTGTGTGTAGACCTTGAAGAAGGATTCATGCGAAGAGGTGTTGGAGAAGTCTGACTGTTGGTCACGGGCCTGCGCACGATAGCTCCGTTTGAGACGTGAGCTACCGCGTCGGATAAACGAGGACAGTGAATTCATGCGCCGGCTACTTTGATCAGACAGGCGTCGTTCAGACTCCACTGTTCTGGAAATGTCCGACATAGATCCAGGAGCGAAGCTGAATTGTGATCCGTTCGCACTGCCGAATTTCTGTCGTATCGATTGAGATGGTGAAGTGGTAGTGAATGACATCCCTGTGTCCTGCGACAGAGCAAGACTGGGACGTGTAGCCAGTTTTGGTACCTGGACGGAACTGTAACTGTCCGTGTTGCCCACAGCGTGCATACTCTCCGGGCATTCAAGAGTCCTTTCTTCGCTGCCACTGGAGGAATCTTGCGGCCATGTGCCAGATCGGGTCTCCGGGGCCTTGGGTGCATTGTTCCGGTAACCGTCGTTTTCTGCGGAATCAGACTGGGAAGCACGTCCACATGGAACTCCGATTATGTTGCCATGCTCGTCCCGGGCACCCTGTTCGGCTGGCAGACATGCTTCTTGGTCCCGTTCGGCTCTCCGCTTCAGTCTGCGGTCCCGCTCCTTTTGTCGCTCGACGCGCTTTCTCTCCTTGCGACGGCGGTCTCTCTCTAGCAGCTCCCGTAAGGCCCCAGCGTCCAGGTCGTCTGCCAAATTCTCGACCCTGTTATTCGCATGAGAAGTCTCGTCCGAAACGGTAGCCTTCTCTCTTCCAACAGATGCTGTCGACGGATTCCGGCTTCTTTCAGCGGGGGTTCGCGGGGGTTCCACATAGTGAACGGCCGGGCGAGGGGTCCAGACAGCAAATGCGTTGACCTTGAAAGTGTACGTCTCGGATATATCCGAGCAGGAGGAGCCGGCAGAGTCGCGGGCAGAAAGACTGGTGTCGGAACGAAACCGGTCTGTTCGCCGGCTAGAAGATTTGCGACCTCTCCCGGTGTCCATAGAAGAATGATCACCATGTCGATGAGGGATGTCGATGGGGGCCGACGCTAGCAGCCGAATCTCATGTTCTCTGGCGATGTCGTTGGCCTTTCTTTTGCTCATTTTTCTTCGCAGCAGACCCGGTCCGGTGTCACCTTGCTTGCCCTTGAAGAGAGACGCAGCTCGGGGAAATGCCAACTGGTCTGAGCCAGTGCTGGGATACGAGGTACGGTGGGGATTGCGATAGTTGTTAGGATCGGTATTGAGTCGACGAGGGTTTTGCAGGGACGGGTCCTGAGTTCGTTCGTTGTTGGAGTATGGTGTGGTAGCAGCGGCAGGATGGCTGATGGACTCTGGGAGCTCTTCATTAGGGGGCAGGTGACGGTTCTTCTGGCGTTTGGATCGCTTGCGAGAAGGTTTCCTGCCTAATTTGGACTCCAGGGCAGGGTCGGAAGGGTGGAAACCCCCCTGTGTTTCAAGTGAGCCCAAGTCGATTGTATGCCGCTTATTTTTGCGACCGAAGGGCCATATCGCCATGGCGGCTTCGGATGGGTTAGTGTGCGAATGGCCGTGGGTTTTAAAATTAGATCCAAGTCCCTAGTCGTTCTTTTCTAAGAGATCGTCCCGGATAAGAAGCTGATCGTTTGCCCCCTTCCACCGATGAGTTTCAGATGTCTGGACCAGTTCGGACTCAAGACCGACTGGACTCATTGGGGACGGGCAAAAGAGAGGTCACGCACGGGAAACCGCGGGGACGCAGTAGGGTTGATTAAGACCAAGGGAAGAAAACAAGGAAAAATGAAAAGCAGCAAGGAGAAAGAAACTTTTAATAGAATAAAAAAGGAATACGAGGAAAAAGGAGCAAGGGCAGACGGCTAGGGACAAGTCAACTGATGGGTGTTTGTTGGCAATGGATAGGTAAGAGGTCTTCCGGCGCACGAGACAAGCTGGCGATCGGGAACCCGGGCGTGTGGAAATTTTCACAGGAAGACGTGTCTGGAAAAAAGAAAGTTTGAATGTTAGACCCGTATATATTCCTGGCGATGGTGAGGGTAGAACTGACCTGTACGGTGGTGCTGCAGGCATACAGACAGACAGCAGCAAGTCTACGCTGTCGAGCCCCTCCACGGGAGGTGGGAGACGAGGCAGACAGGTTGTCAGGATGTGAGGATGTGAGGATGTCAGGATGTCAGGATGTGTGCGCTGTACACTCCTCGCGTACAGAGAAGATGAGATGAAATAAGATCCAGGGCAGAAAGTGTAACGGCGAGGAATGGAATGGTCGAGACAAGGACCGACCGTTGGATTACCGAGAAACCGCCCAGGCACGAATGGAGCAGAAACTTTGCCCAGAACAGCGCCGTTGGGTCTAGTCAGGTAGGGCGGCGGTACAATGCAACCTGGGCGTGACACGGCGCAGGAGACGAGCCGCTAGATGAGATGGCAATATAATATGGGATGAAGCTGCAGGATGCTTGCAGGAAGATGCTAATAAGGACAAAGTGCGTAGTAAGTACTCCGTACAGAGTGGTGGCTGGTGAGGATGGAAGATGATTTTTCTTTTTCTTCAGGCTCTTCCCACTGTGGGGTTGGACTCGTAATGCGCCCACCTTCTCGATGGGGATGTCAGTCGACTTTATCCACAGGAGAGAGCAATATAGTTATTCTTACTATTACTATCCTGATCGTGCCAAGGAATCGACCTACTCCTTGCCTTCCTACGTCTCTGCTGTGGCTCTTTTTTTTTTTTTTTTTTTTTTTTTTGTCCGTTGTACTGGCAACCTCGAGATCGGAAATAAACAATATCGCTGGGGCATCTGACTGGTTTCAATTTTTCAGATGCACGGCATAAGCTGTCATTCAATCAATCATACTCCAACAGGGCTATTGCTATTGAGTTGTGCCTGTGCTACCTCGTAACTAACATCATACTTTCTACTACAACTACCTGGCCTAGTTTAATATCTTCAATCTAGACGACGGACCAAAGGTACATACAGGAACCTGAGATCCGAGGCTTAGATACATATACAGCTTACGATCCATGTTGCAAAACGACCTAAGAGGCTAAGACATGGTCGACTGTAAGCTGATCTCTATTGATCTCATCTCATGTAAACGGTTTGCTTTGTTGTCATACTGCATTTTCTCCTCTCATGTACTCCGTATCAGGGCACGGATATCTGCAGCACTTGTTGTACGGTGGGAATGAGGCATCTCACAGTAACTGATTGTGAGATGCATTTCTCCTGAAAGAGAGATCAATGCGTAGATGTAGTACAGCCCTTCCTTCATGAACTTTGATGAAGGTAAACAGTTATGGAAGTACGGTTTGCTTTAATTATTTCTCAGACTCGAATGTTCTTCGGTGGACTCCATGCCAAACATAGAAACCGTCTCTTCTGCTTTCAGACGGCTAAATTGACTTCGTAATGTTTCAAATATCCTATATCTGGCTCCTTTGTGGTTTTTTCTCAATTTGAAACATATCCGTCATCCGTACCAGGGTCGATGCAGGATTCCCTGCTGTCGCCTCCTTTGTTCCATTGACTTAGAAATCCGGAAACTTGGGAACTCCGACTCTTCAAGAGCAATACCCAAGTCCGCCTCATTGTCCTTGGGCTCACACAGACGAAACACAGCCCATTATTCACCACTTGCCACAATATCTAAGATTTCTGATAAAGGTCAGTCCAAAGGGTGAACAATTGAAGATAGCATAAGTGGCATTAGGAAAAGCATATCTCAAGAGAAACATAATCAACATGCCTTTAGGACGCGCTGCAAAAGGACTCCCACTAACTCCCTTTCTATTAATGTTTCCATTTTTTGAAGCCCCTTCCCGGCCCTGCTTACTTTATTTAAAGAAAAAGAAGTACTTTTGTGTCTCTTCCATTGGCCTAAAACCAGATCTTGATGAGTTCTTCGCTGACCGCACTCGGTGTTAAAACACCACTCTCCGTGATTAACGCGGATATCAGATGTGGTGGAGTGTAGTCGACAGCCTCAGTCGTGAACAACTGATGGTTTCCCTTACCAGACTGAACGCCCTGAGAGGAACCGTCAGTCTGTTCCACCTTTGCTTCAGAGTTATCCTGTGATGGCCTGACTGCGCACTGCTCCTTTGCCTCATCCGTAATATCCTCTTCGGTCTTAAAGTCGATGACGCGCTGCTCGATAGGCAGATCATACTGTCCAAGTGGGTAGAGACGCACAAACTTATGGCTCTCAGCCACAACATAGAATGGCTTCCCCATTGCCTTGGCAAGCAGACCAATCTGATATGTTCCCATGCGAGAAACGACTCCCCCGTTTTCTACCACACCCTCAGCGCCAACAATTACCATGTCTGCTTTCCCAAGAGAATAGGCGACAGCAGACTCTGGAATTGTCGCGACTGGCACACCCATCGCTCTTAGAGCACGTACTGTTTCCATGCCCTCGGGCTCAGCAGCACGGCCGTCCGCGCTCTCTTTCGTAGACGACAGAACGTAAATGACCCGAAAACGAACTGCCGATGGACCACCTTTCTCACCCGCTGCCTTTTCCAACAAAGATGCCACCACCCTTGAACCACCGTTTGTGAGAACCGTGCTATCATCTCGGACAAAACTCCTCCCAAAAGAAGCGATTCTGTCTCGACTTTCCTTTGCGCGCCGAATGAACAATCGCCCATTGGAGAGTAGATGTGCTCTTATCGCATTAAAGTCTCCAGAGAGACCTAGTTGGCCCGGCCTTTGTAATGTTGTAATCAAGTATCTCTGAAAGAGATCGGTCCCTGCGGAGAGGCCGATGGGATTCGGAATCGATCTTTTCAAGTGGGTGGTAGATTTCTCCAGCAAGTCTAGCGTCTCGGATATCGTCGATGAGGGGGAGTGTGTGAGCAGAAGTACCAATGCCTCGATGGCCGCAATCGGCATCGTCAGGTCAGGGTCTGAGCGGAGCAACTCATTGTAGGTCTCAACAATGCTATCCCAGGATAGTCAGTCGAATGCCCATGCGTCAGTTAAAGGCCTTGAAGCGTTTCTTACTCAAACGGCTTGACGTCGCCAGATGGAACCGATACTGAAGTGGCCATCACCTCTGTTAAACAGTCTTGATGGATGAAATAAATAAATAATATTGGTGCAGAGAGATAAAAAAAACAAGATATTAATAAACTGCTGGTCACGACTAAATCCGCTGAAGAGTCATTTAGAGAGGGCAGTTTGTGGTGTTTGCATCGTTTGCATGTAATGCCCCTCGCTGTCCGCAGATAAACAATTATCAGCATCCGTAAACATCGACGCTTTCAAGGGCAGCCAACACAGCTATTCAGGATTCTTGGGCTGTAGCATCGAAGAAAATACGGTCGCTACATCATGGCCTACAATCGCATGAGCCAGCAATTTCATGGCTCACAGCATAATCGAAATCGCAAGAAAGAGGATGTAAACGATGCGTTGATGCGCCTAGTGAGTTTCCCTGTTCTTGTGGCCGGACTTTCTCCTCGTCTTCCCTTGCAGCGACTGACAGGAATAACAGCCCGATAAAGAAATCGCAGGCTGTATAAATGATATCGGCATACCTTTTACTGCGGCCGACTTGGTCAAACCTAATGCACAGCAAATTCAGATGGTGTTCGAATGGTTCGCAGAGCTTCTCATGAATACAACTCGCGAGACGGTCGAACCTGCAATGCGCGCCGCAACGGAGTATATATGTGGCGATTATCCGGATATTATATCTGCTGATACCCGCAATTTGATGGGCTTTTTTATCAGCCTGAGGAGATTAATGATGGAGGTATTTTCTCGCTTCCCGTCATACTGATTGAGCTGCAATAGTGGCTGACCCCGGTATGCACCTCTTCCACTTAGTGCGGAGTAAACGACTTTACATTTACGGATTTGACAAGACCTACGCATGACAGGCTCGTGAAGATATTCTCGTACCTGATTAATTTTGTTAGATTCCGCGAGTCCCAGACCGCAGTTATTGACGAGCACTTCAACAAATCGGAAAAGACAAAAACGCGTATCGAGGCTCTTATTGTCGAGAACCAGGAGATGGAACAGCACATTGAGGAGATTAAGCGAAGTCAAAAGGCCGTAGAAGGTCAGGTGAAGGAGAAAGTCAGGCGGAACGATGAATTGAAAGCGAGGCTGCTTGAGTTGAGGAGGAACCAGGAACGAATAGCCGAAGCACTTGAGCGAGCCAAGGCTGATAAAGCAAGGCGGCAGGCCCTATTTGAAGAAAAGATGGAAAGGCTTGTGCGCAGTCGACAGGAAACGGAGAAGCTGAGACCGTACGTGCTGGAGAGCCCAGCTAGTCTCCAGTCAACCCTGACGGAGCTATCCGAGAATTTGCTCCGCGAAAAGGCCCAGATTGATGCCATGGAAAAAAGGGCGAGAGCCCTCCAAACTTCGTCAGATACGTTCACAGTCGTCAGCAATGATATACAGGCCTGTATCAAGCTCCTGGATGACATATCCGTTGAATTGCAGAAGGAGGAAGAGGAGGAATCTCGGGCTTCCAGAAACAAGGAGGCAATTTCTGAGAGGGGAAACAACGTTAGGGAGGTAGAGCAAACCGAGCAACTGCTACAGCGTCAGCTAGCAAAGTGGAACGAACGGATTGAGGCATTGCGGAAAAATGCTCAGGAGAAGGCAGAGGCAGTACAGGCTCGGATGGAAGAGCTCCGGAACGTCCAGAAGCAGCTTCGCGAAGAACGCGCCGAAAAACAGCGTGATATGGAAAGGAGGAGAATTAGGATCGAGCAGACCGAGAAAAAGGTATGTTACGGCGGCTCATGACATCTCGATCTGCTGACTGACCACTTTCCCAGATGGCCGATCTAAAGGAAAACATTGAAAATGAAGTGCATAGCGCTCATGACCAGTATCTGAAACTAGAGTCACACATCAAACTGTACATCACAGAGATGGAGAAATGTCTTTGAGCAAGTCTTTGTGTGTTTAATGGTTTTATGGTCCAGGAGTTTGAGGTCGGCTCTAGGATACCCGGATTTCTTCGTTTGCTTGTGGAAATTGATAGTATATGCATGCATGTCTGAATAAACTTCTCTTGCAATTCCATGTTTCTAGACGTCTGTAGATATCGTCTTAATCCGGCTGTTCTCATCGAAATCAAACCACCTCCGCACAACCCGTCTCACAGGCACACCTGGCCCCATGCACGTGTTGTCATCTCCTTCCCCAGTTTGGACGAGGCCTCGCAGCAACGGTACATCCGCGTGCCATAGTGCCTGGCCAGTTTCCCCGTCCGCGTGATATGTGACATCTGCGCATTCACTAAGCACAAGGTCCGCAGTCTCCCGAGCGGCAGCCTCAACCAGACTGGCAAGTGTTCTCGATAATCCCTGGGCAGAGAATTCCGGGGTCTTATGATGAAGAGCGAGCAGGTCCAGAATTGCAAGAACCGGCCGGCTGTCGCGCTGTACTATTGAAGTCGTCATTTCACTGGGAAAGGTCATATGGGAGCCCGAGATATAAGCACGGAGACTCTCCACAGTCGGGCAGAATACTAATTTGATCCTGCTGGATTTAGCAAGCGAACCAATGGTATTCGTGAGCAGCCTGTGGTTGCCATGCTCGTGTTCCTTGCATGAGTCGTCCGTTCGGGTAGGAGTCTGTACGGCCACAAATAGTTTCTCGAGGAAGTGATGTCTGGTCGAACAGACAACTAGAAATATAGCACACGCATCATTGTGGAATATGTATTCCTCCAAGAATTCTGCCACGGAAGCGTAGAAACGCACTTTTCGGGTTGCCATGTCTGCTCACAGAAAGTTGATGGAAGAAGAGGAGCCTCACACAAGGGATTTTGTTGGAGATGCCAGAGATTTTTTTGGTAATTCCATTTCCGCCTCCGTCATTGAAGCAGCAGCCTCATTAGAAGTGCATGGCCATAAAGTTGATGATGGTAGTAGGTCGTGCTGTTCTGAGGCTGCGGAGATGAAACAAGCTGATCTCGCTTGCATCATCTATCCTCCGCGCGTCTGTTACCAGGCCCCCTCCGCCCAAGCTTCCCTCCAAGGAAGGCCACTCAATTCGCAGACGTGCCTCTACGGGGCTTGCGATCAAAATGGAGACGATATCTAGAATCTCGTCTATGCTGGAAACAGGTAGTTACCCTCTTTCTCCGTCAGGCTATGACTTTTGTTGTCCTGTACACCGCTAATGGTTTTATGTGCGCAGCTCGAGGGCTCACTCTGGAGGCAGCACAATCAGCTGCTAGTAACAGGGGCACAAGCACGGATCCTACGTCGCGAAGCAATACTGCTGTTCATATCAAAAAGCTCCTAGACAGTCGCAATGATCGCGAAGTCTTGGACGGAATGCGGAAGGTCATCTCGGTATGGAGCGTCGAATACCTTCCTTCTTTTGAACTGTCTAGACCTCAAATTTCTGACAATTTCACTTCTTCTCTGTTTCATAGTTGATGTACCGCTCCGAGCCTTCTCTCCAGTTCTTCTCTGCTGTTGTCAAAAATGTGGCCTCCGCGAATATCGAAGTGAAAAAGTTGGTCTACATCTATCTGGTACACCATGCTGAGGCGGAGCCGGACGTTGCGCTTTTGTCCATCAATGCGATACAGAAGTCGCTTACCGATCAAAATCCCCAAGTCCGGGCCATGGCACTTCGGACAATGTCGGGTATCAGAGTTCCTGTCATCAGTCAGATTGTTTCGTTGGCGATCAAGCGCGGTTGCGGTGATATGAGTCCTCAAGTCCGTAAAGCGGCCGCTTTAGCCATCCCAAAGTGTTATCGCTTGGATCCAAATACCATACCGCAGCTTGTTGACTATGTTTCTACGCTGCTAGGTGATACACAGTATTTTGTCGTTGGACCGGCTGTATCTGCATTTCTGGAGGTGTGCCCTGAAAGGATCGATCTTGTGCACAAGCATTACAGAAGTCTAGTTAAGAAACTCGTGGATATGGATGAATGGGGGCAACTCGCAACCCTACGTCTTTTGACTGTTTACGCAAGGAAGTGCTTCCCACAAAGGACTCAAAAGGTGAAAAAGGCAGTGACAAGAGGATTCTACGACGACGACGATCCGGAGACCGAAGCTGCTGATGAAGAGCACGAAATATTAGTTGTGGATCCCGATCTTGAGCTTTTATTTCGGTCATGCAAGCTTCTTTTGCAGAGTCGCACGTCCGCAGTCGTTGTCAGCGTTGTCCGATGTTTTCTATATCTGGCACCACCTGAGTATCTCGATGCAGCTGTTGGCCCTCTGGTAGCCCTACTCCGGACCTCCCAGGATACCCAGTACATCGCGCTTTACAATATTGTGGCTGTTTGCATGAAGCATCCCAAGCCTTTTTCCAGATACGTCCGTCACTTCTTAGTCCATTCCGTTGATACACCGCCCATCTGGCGTCTCAAGCTAGAGATTTTGACAATCCTATTTCCGCACTGCGGGCTGCACTTCCGGTGGCTGATAATCAACGAGCTAGAGCACTTCTCACACGGGACCGATCCGGACCTGGTCCAGGAAAGTGTTCGAGCGCTCGGCCGTTGCGCGCAAAGTGACCCGAATATGGCAGACCACTGCTTACGTGTTCTCCTCGATCAGATTTCGAGCCTGGATGAGAATCTCGTGTCGGAGTCCTTAACGGTAATTCGACATCTGATCCAACGAGATCCGGCATTGCATGAACAGACGGTCATCGAGCTCGTCAAACATCTTGGGTCGTTAACCAACCCTGGTGCAAGAGCCACTATCATTTGGCTTGTAGGAGAGTTCGCAGGTATCGAACCCGAGAGAAACTTTGCACCAGATGTATTGCGTCTCCTGGTGAAAAATTTTGCCGACGAATCAGAAATCGTCAAGCAACAGATTGTACTTCTAGGAGCAAAAGTCTATCTACATCATCTTTTGCGGAATCCACCAGAGGAACCCACGCCGATACCAAAGGTGGAGCCCGAGTATAGCAACGAGTGGACTGAGAACCAGGAACAACATGGTGGCGAAGAACAAAAGCAGGAGCCACAAGAACCAGAGGAAGAAGATCAGATCACATTACTATGGCGATACGTCCTTCTCCTCGCAAGATACGACACTTCGTATGATCTTCGCGATCGTGCTCGGCTCTACAAAGCTCTCCTCGCGTCGCCGTCAAGCACACAACTTGCCAGCTTATTACTTCTCGCACCGAAGCCGGTTCCCCATGAACCAACACCGTCGGAATCACGAAGAGACTTGCTCATCGGCACTTCGACGCTCATCGTGGGACCGGAAGTCAGCCACCATGGCTTGAAAGGCTACGAGAACCTCCCAGATTGGGTTGAAGCGGGCCACGAACCCGAGCCGAGTCTCCGGGACCAGGGGGTGGGCCCGGAACCAGCGGAGCGGGTCTCGGTGACGGCTGGCGAGCGTCTTGATAGGGCGCTCAAAGAGCACGAGAACATCGCTGTATCTCGTTCGAGGCGGAATGGCCACACAGCAGTCCCTGTAGGAACTAAAACATTAGATGAATGGCTTGAGGATGAGGAAACTGAGAGTGAGGAGGAAACGGAATCCGAGGAGGAGGAGGAGGAGGAGGAGGAGGAGACGGGATCGGAGGAAGAAACGGAAGAGGAAACGGAGGAGGGTGAGGAGGACAATGAAGAAGACGAGGAGTACGAAGAGGAGTCTGGATCAGAAAGCAGCCATGGGAATAACACGGAAGCTAAACAGCTCCTAGGAAAACCGTGACCATGGTTTGGGCAAGATCGATTAATATAGATTCGAAAGTTTCTTCTGCGATTCGTAAACTCGTACTCCGTGTTCAGCTGAAGTAGCGAGCCACGGATCCATGGACAGCGGCGGTTCTTAACTCCATACTGTTTACCCAAGAAGGCAAGTCAATAACTAATTGACGCTGAGATGATTTACTAATTATTACTCCATCGCTGCTAAGCGAGATGGCACGTCTTGAACGAAAAAGGCCCACTCGAAGCACCATTACGGAGAATTCATCAATATTATCACCATCATCATTATTATTGTCGCATTTGATTCTTACAGATAACCCCTAAGCTGTCTTTTGCTGTCGCTGTAATCAACGCAGACCGGGCGGTTCGGGCATTTACACCTGCAGCATCCCTGAGAGCTGAGAGAAGATCGCTGTTCTAGCGTCGAACCCTCCAAGGATCTCGGGACCCGCAGGAGACCCTTCCTTGCCTCCTCCCGTCGATTCGTTCGTGCCCAGATTATCGCCCCATACAGCTCCTCCGGGTTGATGGCGATGCTGCCAGGCCCATCCGCTAGGAGAACTCTTGACTCGGCGCTCCAACAATGTTCCGGCAAAGTTTGAATGCAGGGTCTGCTACGGAGAATTTATTCTATTCGGCAAGCTTCACTCCTGTTCGTGGCGTTCTCCCCCTAGCTGAATATTTGCGGGGACCTCTCTGGTTTTGATGTCCTGTTGGCAGGACAGAGGTCCAGCAGATCATCTTTGTGGCACTCGTCGGCGTTTTGCGTGCTGCATAAATTAAGACGTTAGTCGTCATAATGCAGATAAAGAACTCTTTTCCCACACTCTCTCTTGTTCTTCAGGGGGTGTTGCATATGAATACGACGCTTTTTCCCGGCATTGTTCTATATCCTGTATCCTTCGATGTCGCTTTGAGCTCTGCGTCAACCTTTTTGATCCTCCGAGTAACGCACTTGCAACATGGATGCAGGCGTCGTCGGGTCGGAGCCTTCCCACGTCTCATATCTGCCGGGGTACATCGTACTCTCCTATATAGTGAGCTTCGTGGGTTGTGCAACGACCCTGGAGCTGCTCCATCGGCGGACTTCGAGAGCAGGTTTCTATAATTGGTGCGGTCTTCTTTCCTGGATAGCTACAGCTCTCCCTTTTCTAACGTTTCCCTTCCATCTCAGGTACCTATTGCTCATGTCTTCGATAACGATGGGAGGAGTCGGCATTTGGTGCATGCATTTCATTGGCAATCGGGCGATTGTCCTTGGAGACGGCAACTCTTCGATTCAGATTGCGTACAATGTGACCTTCACGGGTGTGTCATTCGTGCTACCTGTGTGCGTCGTCCTTACAGCGTTTTATGCCATCGGTTTCGAAGAGAAAGCGGGCTATATTCGTATTATATTCGGTGGCTTTTTGACCGGTGCCTCGGTTTGTGGTATGCATTATGTTGGCCAGCTGGGTATTGCCAACTACCACTGCACCTACAAGGCCGGGTACGTCGTGGGAGCCGCCATCATCGCGGCCTTTTCGAGTACCGCTGCACTGAGCATTTTCTTCCGGTGGCGAGCCACTTGGACCAACAGTTGGTGGAGACGTGGTATCTGCTCTGGCTTGCTTGCTATGGCGGTTTCTGGGATGCACTGGACGGCTACAGTTGGTACTGCCTACCTGAAGCCTACTAATCACATCAAGCACAACAGCCAGCTATCTCGGGGCCAGATCGTCACTATTTGTGCCGTACTGGTGCGTGCCTTCTAACACCCTATTCGTTGTATTTGATATTAACTGTTTTCCAGTCATGTACATCCTGCGCAGTCCTGACTGCATGCGCTATTATCGCAGGAGATAATCGTAGACGCTCAAGCACAAGGGCTCGCCAATTGGTTCTCGGCTGTGCCTTCTTCGATCCAAAGGGACGAATCATGGTGACCCCCCAAGCGCTCCTCCCAAGCTTGAAGATTGCAGACCACTACGTTGGACGAGTAAGTCATGTTTTCCTCTAAAAGATCGACCTCGCCTCGGGGGGGGGCTATGTCTCCTGCTTAACCCCCTCATCCTGATTCTGTTCTAATCGTACGGTTATCTGCCTTGAATTTAGACTTTCAAAGATGACGACCTCACACGCACGCATCCTGCTTTTCTCTGGGCCTTTCGAGCGAGTAGGCACTGGAACCTGATCAAGGACTTGGTGCCCTCCATGAAAAATCGACTGCAGTCGGATGAGGACTTGGCACACCGATATATCAGTTCAAAGGGTTGTGTGACGGATGAAGAGACGGAGTTGGAAACGGACTTTGACACATTGTTCAAGCAGCTTTTCTGCGTGACTGCACAGGAGCTCTCTGATCAACTCCACGTACCGCTGCCAGATCTGGGAATCCTATACGATGACGTTCTGGTCAGTAGTTCCACGACATCATTCCTTTCCCGGGCTATAGGCAAGCGTCCTTCGGTCACCCGGAAAGGTCAGATGCTGTTTACCATTCGGCAGTTGGACAAGCAGGAATCATCTCGCCTAGAGGCATCGGGATACCGTTTCGCCCCGGTTGAGCACATCGTGCCTGCGCTCTCACGCGGTATTCATGTTTCCTCAGCCTCACTAGACTCCCACATACGAGATATGCGAGATTATGCTACTACCGAACGAAGCTTCGAACCCGGTGTCCACCTCATTTCCTTCGTGATGCGTCCGACCGTGAATGATAATTTCGAGATTCTAACAGCCAGGGGAACCCGTAATCCGCTACCATCCGCGTCCCTGCCGATGAAATCTCTCAAAGCTCAACACATGCGAGTAATCTTGCGCATGACTGGGTGGACCATGCCAACCTGCGTCAATTGGTTAGAATCCAGGTGTGCGGCAGAGGCCTATGGGGAGACAGACAACTTCCGTGGGCTTATGGGAGAAGCGATTGAAGCTCTATCTGCCTCATTACCACCTGATATTAATTCGGTCTTGCGCTTTTCGGGGCGTGTTCTCTTCGCTCCTTCACGTAGCTCAAATGGGCGCCCCTGTACCCTCTTGGCGTTCTGCGCAGTCAGCAACCTCGACACTCGGGTCTCGAATTCCAACTACACATTTACCCCTTTTAGCGTATTCAGGGCAGAGCAGCAAATGCACGATCAGTCTATAGGCAGAGACCTGTTCGCCAGGGACCTCGCCAAAGAGATCATCCACACCAACGCGGCTCCGTCCACCACATCTACGGATTCCTCACCCTCCCTCACTATCCGTGCACTTTCCCGCTTCCTGCCCTCAAAGCGATTACGAAACCTAACTGGTACCAATCGCGCTGGCTCCTCAGCATCCAGCGTCTCGGAAGAGTCTCTTGTCACGCCCTCCCGCTTCCCCCTCGGTGATATCACGGTCTTCAAAGAGGTGCGAGTGGACGTCGCGCACATGGACGAAGCCATGGTCCATTCTTCCCAGAAACAAGGATCGCAAACAGTTGTTGCAGCTGGCGATATCGTATCGTCCGGTACCTATGTGGATGAATTGTATAGTCTATGCTGCTCACCGGGGGCCAGGTTTCTTCCCGATTCGATCTTTCAAGGAACGAACACTCCAGCTCGACCACCTTCCAAATGAATGAATTAATGCACGACATATTTTTGGATTCTGGCTCGCTCACTCCTACTTGCATTTATTATGATTTGATTGGGCATCTTATAATGGATTGCTATGTTCTTTTACTTTTTTTATTCCTACTTCTCGTTCGATGAATCTCGGTACATGGGCATTTGCGGATTTCTTATGTTTACATGTTTTCTGGTTATTATTTGTCCGTTTCCTATATTGCATTATCACGGAGTTGGGAGAGAAGGTGGGTATGTTGTCTCTTTTTAATGGTACGGAGGCATTTATGATTCTTTCTGTCTGGTTTGGTTTAGAATGTATATACAAGGCAGGGATGTAGATATCTGAGATAAACTGTGTTGGATCTATGATGCTGTTACTATGGCAGTAATAGTCGAACGTTACAAGGGGATTACTCTGTCCGCTTATCTCTTTAGATGTAGTTCAAGCATAGATAGATTCAAATCAAGACGGTAAAAGAGGTTTCAGGAATTCAACATTAAATTGTAAGTAGTATCGTAGCAATTAAGCAACAATTCATGGACGCTTCAGACGCGTCTTCTATAGTTCATTAATAACCTCTTTCCCGAAGAAGCAAACAACAACAACCGGGCATGAGAAGGCGCCGGATAACACTTTTTCTTTTGTGGTAGGGTTAAAGCAAAGCAAAGCAGGTCGCCTCCATAGAACTGAACTGGACTGGACTGAACTCGCTAGCAAGGAGAATGCAATACCATACCATCCAAAACGCCTCGTCACAGCATATCGTGTATTTTCATGGAGGGTAGACAAAGACAAAAGAGAAAGGGTGATGGGATAGAGAGAGATGGTTATGTAGTAAGGAAGGGGTGAATGTGGGAGGTTCCCGGCACAGCCGTGTCTTTTTAGGGGAGAAAAAAAAAAAAAAAAAAGGTAAAGGAAAGCAAAATTTTAGCCACCTGCTCCGATGCAATGGCGAAATGAAATGCCGATTCGATAAACCCAATGCGCTCGTAATGCTATGTATGAATTTCTAAACCACGCTGTGACAAATGCTAGTTCTGATTCACGAATGAGAAAGGGTTTGTTTGAGGGCTGCCTCATGGAAGTTCGCTTTTTTGATGGAACCCACAAAGGCTAAAAGCTGCAAAAAGGAGGTTTGATAGAATGTTTGTTTTGGTCAAGGGTAGGTCTTCTTTAGGATCCTTCGTTTAGATTGCGAATTTTCGTGGTGCGACAGCTACGTCGAAGGGACTTGCCACGGATAGGTTCGGTTTGATGTTCGCGTGAGACTCGCTGCTCAGTCTCGCGTCCACTATCTTGATTTGTTTCTGGATGACTGCCTGTAGCAGCATCCTTGGACTCCATATCAGGGCTAACTCGTAGTCGCAAGGAGATCAAATCATTCTGATCGTCTCTAAAGGCAATACCAACAGTGACATCAGGTAGGATTCGTTTCTTCTGTTCGCGTCCTCGACCGCGAGCACGCCGATTTGCGGGCCGAGGATCTTCTTCTTCGGGGTCACTTTCCGCAGAGCGTTTACTTCCTGTGCTGAAAGGAGATGACGAGCGTGAATCATGAAGCAACTGTCTCAATGGCATTTTCGGGGCCATAGTGTCTGTTTGGGCACCGTCCTCATCAATCAGATTGAAGAAGGCTCTATCAATATTGCCGCGACACTGCTGGAGCATGTCGACTATAGTCTCTCGGGTGTACTTCCCACCGAGACCTTCCTGAATGACGGATATCTTCCAGGGTGTGGCCATGTCCACAGCGGTATCGCTATTGGCTCTTTCCGCGTGTCTCTCCTCCTTTTTGACTTTGAGCTTCTTCGGAATACATGGGGGGCCAGTATGAGGACCATCCTTGTGACGAACGGAGGAATAATGATTAAAATCCTGCAGATGCGTTTGAGCCCTCGTCAGTATCCAATTCCTAGGAACCATTTGTTAAAAAAGTTCTGGTTCTTACATGAAAGGCAATATGAACCGTCGCCCTTTCCTCACCCTCAGGAGCATTTACGTCCCGAAAGCGTTGGACGCCGTACATTGTGTACACGTTCACATCAAGCTTGAACGACTGGCAAAAGGCTTGGATCTCCTCAGCCCCTCCCCAGACCCCACTCTTCCGGCTGTATGCCACCTTTGTATCAAAACTCTGCTCGTGATCCTTTGCGGAAGGCCGGTTCGCGGTCGAAGGCAATGAAGGGCAAGACGAGTATCTCACAGCCAATGAGGCAGCTCTTCTAGGAGCTCGACGCTCTCCGCCTGAAGCAGCAATAAAACTCATGAAATACTCTTTATTTTCAGACATGTGATCTGCGAGACGCGTACGGATTTCCTCTCCATGGGTGAAATCACCGTAGACTTGGTCGGACAGGGCATAATACAGACAATTGCCTAGAACGATCAATTGACGGCTTTTCTCAGTATTGTTCGATGAGGAAAGCAGGTGTATGCCTGTGCAAAATGATGAATTAAGGGGGGAAACAAAGAAAACAGTAATTACCATCGCCTTCAGTTGGGAGCGCATAAAGCCCTAAGTCGTCCAAACAGGGGATATGAAGACATTCGGGCTCTGAGAACAACCCGTTGCGTTTACCCTTCCGCGTCCTTTTGGAGACTGCCTCAGGAGCTTTGGGGGAGGACTGCGAACGGGAAACAATAGGCACGATTCTGCCACCACCTTCTGTACCGTCAGCCATGGTTGCGAAGGCACTGCAGGAGGAAACGCCGTCATTGGTGGCGGATTGCCGGAGGAAAGAAGTAGAAAACAGGAAGGAGAGCAGAGCAGAAGATACAGGAGTGACAGGAGGACAGGCGAGAGCAGCAGGACCGCGGGGAGGGGTGCCAAAGTCAAGGCGAGATAGTGAAAGACGGGCAGTGAAGATGATCTCAGCGCGACAACAGGGAATCAATGGACGCCTATTCCCGTTTCGGGGTTGTGTGGCTGCCTGAGGCGTAACAACAGAGCAAACCGCGCAAACAGCCGCTCAGAGGCATGTTTTACCTGCCGAAACAGGGCGGTGAGAGCCATCCACACCATGCGATTGGCCGATCTGCGCGTCGCATCCCTCAGTCCGGTAAGATACGGTCACGCTGGAGCCTGACCGCCTAAATTTCTGCCGGCCGATGACGAAATAATACGCCGTTGAAAAACGCCGGTGGTTTCCCGCGGGAAAGCAGCCACATTCATGCTGCTACATCGTGAATGCAGCTAGCAATTGACTTGAAGACACGGTGGTCGTGTTATTTAAGGCCAATTCCAATGCCTCATTCGCTTCTTTCCCAGCAGCAGGACGGAAGAGAACCGCGGAAGATAGGCGTGAAGCTGGGAGCCAACAACGTGTTTCCGTTATCGCGTGACCGGTACGGTACCTCAATCCGGTGCCAAGATAGCATAGGTAAACATCCTGGCCTGCAGCTGTGTAGAAGAAGATCAGAGCAAGCAGGGACTGGGATACTGCGAGGATTGAATTAGCATAGCTATAGCTAGAACTAGAGCTCCAAGGATAAGATCTCATTGTGCGACGAGTGCTGTAATGGACCGTCCCTGCAGGAATAAGCTTATCGCAGTGTTACAACTTTCTCCCGCTTATCGCTGCTATCGCCGGAATCTTTGCAGAGCCAAGAACGGCGTACTTCCAGTCTTTACGGAGTACTATTACTAGTCATCCCCGCTCGCGGAGGAGTATCGGTGTGCTCCGTCTATCTATATAAAGAAAGCTGCAGGACGCTGATAATAATCTCTGCTCACTTGCCCCAGCGACTCCCCAAAACAGACACCATGGCTACCAACAACATCGTCATCCTCGGGTACGTACCACGGGAACAATTGACGGCGCCAGACTGACAGATCTCTGACTGACTCTTTGCTTAGAGCCGGAGTTAGCGGGTTGACTACCGCATTTCTCCTGTCTAAGGACCCCTCCAACTCGATTACCGTGGTTGCGAAGCATATGCCTGGGGACTATGATATCGAATACTGTTCCCCATGGGCCGGTGCTAACTACTTCCCGTACGGTTGTTACTATCCAGTGCGTTGCACTAAAGCTTACTGACATGTTTCCAGAGTCGGGAAGCCAGGCAGCAAGCATGCAGAATATGAGAAAGCCACCTGGCCAGTCTTGAAGGAACTGACGGAAAAATACCCCGATGCCGGTATTCACTTCCAAGGTACGCATGTGCTTTGAAGATTCATTGAAAGAACCACTTTCTTTACTGACGACTGGTAAAAGATGCCGTTACATACAGCCGTAAGAAGGACCAACAATCCACTAGTGGCAAGTGGATGTCCGAACTTGTCTCGGAGGAACCCTGGTACAAGGACGTCGTCCCAAACGTGTGTCAAGACCGGAAATAAATCACATGGATCTATTCTGGTACTGACCAACTTGTATAGTTCCGCAAAGTTCCTGTGGACCAGCTCCCTCCCGGCATTAACAATGCCTCTCGTTTCCAGTCTGTCTGCATCAACACGGCCGTCTACTTGCCATGGCTAGTTAGCCAATCCCGCAAGAACGGAGTAGTCTTCAAGCGAGGTGTCTTCAAGCACGTTGCAGATGCCGCGAATGCACACCACTCCGGGAATAAGGCGGATCTCGTCGTCAACTGCACGGGTCTTTCGTCCAAGTTCCTGGGCGGAGTCAAAGATGACAAGCTAATGCCCGCCAGAGGCCAAGTTGTGGTTGTGCGCAACGACTCTGGCATCATGGCCTCAACTTCTGGGACCGACGATGGAGAAGATGAGTTGGTGTACATGATGACCCGGGCAGCAGGTATGCACCCCTTTGTCTCGGAATCGTAATAGATACCTAGCTAACGCCTATTTTAGGTGGTGGTACAATCCTTGGAGGCTGCTACCAGAAGAACAACTGGGATCCGCTCCCAGACCCTAACCTCGCAATCCGGATCATGAAGCGTGCCATCGAAGTGCGCCCCGAACTTGTCGGTAAGGGCCAGGGCATTGAAGGATTAGATGTCATTAGACACGGTGTCGGACTGCGTCCGTTGAGGGACGGTGGACCGCGCATCGAAGCCGAAAACATGAACGGATTGGTGGTTGTGCATAACTATGGCCATGGCGGGTTCGGTTATCAGGCGTCGTACGGCTGTGCCACGGCCGCAGTAAACCTGGTCAATGCAGCCCTGAAGAAGAAAGATAAGGCCAAGCTGTGATCTGTGCAGCGAGTATATACTTTTTGCGGTGTTGAGTATATATCTATATGAGAGCCGGGGGGGCAATCCTGCTGTGGATAATCGTACACCAATGTAGTATTCATTGCTGCTCGGGTCGATTGGTCCCTAATGCGTCATGGGGAACTTGAAGTTTTCCTTAGAAGAATGTCAGCAAGATATCCTCTTTTGGGCATATTTGATCTTTTACCAATCATGGTCTCAAAGCTAATAATAATAAACGAGGCCCGGGGTTCAGCTGTTCGGAGATATCCGTGGTGCGGATGGAGCCTAGCTTGCTTAAATTTTTGTTTTTCTTCCATTCCCTCCGGGTTCTCATTATTATTATTATTCTCCTTTCTATTGAACTGGCACTCAGATCTGTACAGAGCCAGAAAAGTTCCAGGTAAGAAATAAACGAAATGCCTACGTCTCCCGAACACTCGAACACTGATACGGTCGCTAGTCATTTGCATTATCCATCATTATTACCAGCCTTCGATTGCGGAGGTGTTTTTGTCCCTGCTCTCTCTGGTCTATATATCTCTTCTCTTATTCTGTCCGGTACATACGACCACAGGGTGTGGAAAACAGGGCTTCCCGTCCGCTCAGCCGTACTTAAGCCACACGCCGGCCGGTTAGTAGTTGGGTGGGTGACCACCAGCGAATCCCGGCTGTTGTATGTTTTTTTGTTTTTTTTGGTTTTTTTTTTGTTGTGGATCCAGTCTAGCCCGTTGGCTTCGCTTCTGGAAAGGGGAAAAGAGAGTATTGATTCATCAGAATATGGCAGAGTCCAAAAGAGACAACCAAATCAATGCCCGTGGTGATCATGCCGTGGAGACGGGAAGTTCTCGAGAGCAGCATGAGCTTGACATGCTGCCCGAGTCTCCGAACTCGTCAGATTCGGAAACCATGATAGAAACTGGGAATGGTCGGGGGAGATTCCGTGTCCTTGCAATTATGGTTGCGCTGTCTGTAAGTAATCCGTCTATGTTGATCTAAATTTTCAAGGCTAAATGTCCCCAGCTTTCAGTCTTCGTAGCTGCCTTGGACCAGACTATCATGTCCACGGCCATACCGACAATCACTGCAAAACTGGACTCTGCGGCCGGTTATACATGGATCGGGGGTGCTTATCTCCTTGCCAATGCAGCCGGTGCACCCATCTGGTCTAAGTTATCAGATATTTGGGGTAGGAAGCCGATCTTGCTGCTGGCTGTTGCCTGGTTCTTCATTAGTTCCATCATATGTGCCACGGCTGTCAATATGCAAATGCTGATTGCCGGCCGTGCTCTGCAGGGCACGGCTGGGGGCGGTTTATTCCAACTGGTCACAATCACCATCTCTGATCTCTTCAGCGTCAGGTAGGAGATCTCCCGCTATCACGCGAATTCATTCTGTGTCAGCTAACCTGCTGCTGCTGCTGCTGCTACTCCAGACGTCGTAGTCTATATCTTGGATTCATAGAGTTCATGTGGGCTTTAGCCGGTGGAGTTGGGCCTCTGCTTGGAGGCGCTTTCTCTGAATACGTATCCTGGCGCTGGAACTATTGGGTTAATCTTCCCATTTCGGGGACAACATTCGTCCTCCTACTCCTCTTCTTGGACGTGCACAACCCAAAAACACCGGTGCTCGAGGGTGTGCGTGCTATTGACTGGTTCGGATGTCTCTCTATCCTGGGACTGACGCTGATGGTCCTTCTGGGCATTAATTTTGGCGGAGAGACATTCCCCTGGAAATCACCGCAGGTGATCTGTCTCATCATTTTTGGCTCTTTCTGTTCCCTCTTGTTCATATACAGCGAGAAGCGTCTGGCCAAGTACCCCATCATGCCCTTCAGTCTGTTCAAAAGCGCATCGAACATAGCCGTTCTTGTAGTTAGCTTTACGCACGGTTTCGTGGGTGCACCTTTTGTCTCCTGGACTTCTTTGACCAACGAGGAATCAAATATCAGCTGACGGGAACAGGTTTTCATTGCCAGCGAGTACTACCTACCTTTATATCTTCAGTCCGTCAAGCAAGCATCCCCCATGCGCTCAGGTCTCCTGGTCCTCCCTCTTATCGTCGTGGAGGCCATGATGGGCGTGTTGTCTGGTGCCATCATCCACCGAACAGGTCGATACCTGGAACTCATCTGGATCGGATGCGTTCTATGTACAGTCGGAAACGGATTATACATCCATCTGAACGCGACCTCGTCTTTGGGTGAAATCATAGGATTCCAGGTTGTCATGGGTCTCGGAGCGGGCCTCCTCTTCGAACCCCCTCTGATCGCCCTGCAAAATCTGGCTTCACAAGAAGACACTGCCGCCGCAACGGCGACGCAGGGCTTCATACGCAACCTGGCAACTTCAGCCTCTGTCGTCATCGGCGGCGTCGTCTTCCAGAACAGCATGAACAAGCAGGCATCCAAGTTAAAAGCCGCTGGATTACCGGACAGCTTGGCTCAGAGGCTATCGGGGAACTCAGCGGCAGCGAGTATCACCATTATCAAGACCATAAAGGACCCCCTGCAACTCCTCGCTGTGAAAAAGGCTTTCTCGTGGAGTTTGCACAACATGTGGATTCTATACACGGCTATTGCGGCCGTTGGCATCGTCGCGAGTGCGTTTATTACGAGCGAGAAACTGAACAAGGAGCACGTTGAGACCAAAACGGGTCTTAGAAAGGAGAAATCTGAAAGTGGTGGTGTACTCGTTACTGCGGTTTGAGCACTTGCTCTGACTACGACCACATTGCACGTGTGATGGTTTCAGCTGCAGGAGCTGTCTGTTCATATGGACAAAATAAAAGCATACTTACTTTTTGATTGACATATTTCTGAGAGTCTTGGATGGATATTTCTGCTTCACTTCGCGTGGCACCGCGTCAGTGGTGGGAAAAGGAACCTTAGTATATTCAGGTTAATCACATATTTCATGATCAACATTTCAGAGCAGTACAATCTGTGCTGCTCCCAGTCTGAGACGATTCAGATAACACAGTAACAGTTTCCAGGTGTTGAATGGTGAAGATAGATAGACTGGCTTAGATTACTAGAGACCAAAAATTGCTCATAATGCATGAACAAAGACAGTGGGCTCAAAAAAGAATGTAATCACCGGCATCCTAACTCCTGCAATTTAAGGAAATATACGTGTTTAAATCTCTTGCTTGGCTTTTCAGCTAGGTCAAAATGAGGGTAAGTGTCATCAATACGCTCTCCCATCACAGGTTCATCATGCTCATATCGACCTACACTATTATTCTCTCTCACTCTTCTGGCCTGCCTGAGCATCTTGGGTCGCCACCTTGCCTTATCTGCCGCAGTCCCAGGAGTCAACGATGTTGACATTGTCAATATCAGAGACGTACCCGACAATTCCACCGCTATCCACGCGGACGGCGATTGGTCCCTCGTCCTCTGGGACGCACATAAAGACCCGAACAAGCGGCAATGCGGTGGCAGCGAGCTGCACATTCTTAGAGATGGTGACGGTGACATCTGTTTTGAACCCAAGGGAGGGAACAGCGCCCATTGTCTCGAACTTGAGCTCGACCCTGGTAAATGGGTCAAGTGCAAGTATACATTCAAGAAGGATTGCAAGGACAAGCATGGCCACTCAATTACTGTTGACGCGGGTAAGAAAAAGATCGAAAATCTGCCTAAAGTTCAGTTTGTCTCGGTTCACTGCGAGAAGAAATGAAGTGCTTTTTCTTGCATGGAGAGACTGTGCTTATGCCCGGGAGTAGGGGGAGTGTCAGTTGTTTCCTCTCGGCTGTCAAACATGACTATAGCGCTGCCTTCGGGTTCTTATACATGTATTTAACCAAGATTTGAGTACCTGTACATAGTGCATAGTGGTTGTATCTGGTGCGGTTGGAGTGATGGGAGAAAGCCGAGGGTGTGATAGGAGTGGCAGGCCAGCAATTGAAAAAATACAGAGACGATAGAAAGAATGAAAGAGTATATCATGTTGGAAAAAGCACCTTGACGATCCATTTGGAATACATTCATGCCAAAAAACATCAGTTGTCGTAGGTTTCTTGGGCCTCAATATTTTCGATTAGTTATCAGATTTGACTTCAATGCTGAGTCATCCATTCCTCTTGGCAGGCCGCGACAATAAAGAACAGCTATTATTACGCTCTACGTCTTCATCTCCGCAAGCTTCCCCCTGGCTCCCCATCTCAACCTTCAAGTCATATCCACACTCTTCTCTTCATCTTTTCCTCTATCACATCACTGAACAGTGACTTCCTGTCCCTTCTCCAACGCGCACCCTGTGCAACCCTACCCTCGACTACTGCCAACTGTCGGAAGGCAACCGCATAAGCTTGAAGCGTCTACCGTGTTCGAGCTTCCTCTGGTTCCGAATTCCAACACGGAACGAATTGAGCTTGAACCGCGCGCTACCAGATATTTCGAGAATCCGTGACGATTCTCGGTTTCGAGACAATTGCATTTGGAAACCGCGGTCGCGAAGCTTAGCGGATTCCATCGGTCAAGTGTGAATAGCGGACTGCGCAGGAAGAGACAAGATGGATTTTTCGAATATTTTGTATGTCGCAATCTTTCAGCTAGGAATTGGGGAATGAATTCGACTGACTGATGATGTCTGTGCCAACAGCCGGCTCGTCAACATCGCCGTTGGCGTGATTATGGTTCTGGGCGGTATTAGCCAGTTCTTCCCCATTAGCCTGAGCTCAGTTATCGTTGGAGTCTATGTTATCTTGTTTGGCCTTAGTGAGTCCCGATCAAGCAATTATTTTTCAAGGTATGCGCGTGGTTATTCATTCGTGCTCTTATTCCATCTCTAGTTGTCGGCGCGTTGGAATTTCTCCCGACCATTCCGGATTACGTGTACCGCTATGCGTCTTTCCTCTTTTCCTTCCTGGGACGCGGTATTTGTAAGTGATTCTTCAACGGCAGTCTCTCGTGTATTGTAATATGCTAACCAGACACTTCAGTCTACGTCTTCGTTGGATCCATCTTAATACATGACAATACGCTGAGGATCATCGCTGGGTCGATCGTGGGCTTTATCGGAGTTGCATACGCTGCTCTGGAGTTTATTCCTTCCATTGAGCCTCCGACGAACATGCGCGAGGCCGATCCCGGCTGGGGTGCTGAGCAGGTCTAAGAGGCTTAGCCAGTCGCCATCTCGTGATTTGGACTGTGGCACTGGGCTTTGGACTTGATTTGTGATCTGAAGTCCTGGATAGAACGGGATCCAGCGGATGGATCAAGGAGAATCGTCTTTTAGGGTACGGTCCACGTGATGTAACGGTGTCCACTGGTAGTTATGGAATGATAACGAATATGTTGGGTCTAAAAGGGCTGGTGGCTGTTTGTGATGGCCAAGAATAGGGAGGTTGGAGTCGAGGCGGCTTTTTTGCCTCTCTTTTTTCTTTGTTTGTCTTTTTCCAGTCTTTCCTTTTTAAGTATCATTTTGCTTCTCACGGGAGCACTTGTATTATATATGTGGATAGCATGACTGTTGATGAGTTGCTCTGGATATCCAATGTGAATGACAGTTTTGCAAGAGGGAATACCGGGTAGCTCTTATTGCAGCTACGCCTGGATAGCTCAAGGCTGTCTAGACAATACAAATTACAACCGAAACACATTCTCCCCTGCTTGCATCGATGCGGTCACTACAAATAGCATCCCACACGGATTTGACATCCCCATGCTCGACCCCCACTGCAACGAGAGACCCGGCACAGCACCCCCATCTCAAACCTCTTCCAGGTGTCCAAGAAGCTTTCCCACAACCCCACACCCACAATGTCGGAGGCGCTGATCAGTATCGCTATGGGAGCGATGCTATCAGCGTGCTTTTGCATCAAAGCTTCTGGCGTCTCGACGACGGGCGTGCTGCCGATGTTGAACAGCTTGACGGTTTAGACATGTGGGTTGAGCGCTGTGAACCAGTCCTTCGTGCACGGCTTCCAAAGTCCATTAGGACGACGCGAGTCGAGATGTTCAATCCCAGTATCTTTACGAGATCGTCTGCATCCGCGGATGCATTATACTGCAGTACCCTGTCGTAGAACCTGAAACGTCCACGACTTCACCGCAGCAGAAGGCAGGGATAACTCGGATTCGTCCGGACTGAAGACGAACCGACTGATGCCCCAGGATGTGAGGAAGAGCACCTGCACAACGAGCTCCAGCCCAGATAATCCGGGAACAGGGCATCAACCTCGAAAAGAGGATACTTCATAGCGATTATAGAGCGATATGGCATGCTGCCTGTGGGGGCCGGTTTCTAGCACCTCGTACTTATTATCTGCGCAGGTGCCGCCAGGTGAGATCTACGGGAAGAGCACCGATGGGGAGGTCAGCGAAGGTACTCTCGACGACACGACCAAAGCCCCAGGTTGAGATGCGGCCGTAGCGCTGCGGGTCGCTGTATTCCTGCGGGATACTGAATGGGAGAGGGTGGATGTCCCACCAGGAGGGAATGAGATTGCCCAGTTTGGCGTGTATGGTGTTGTTTACTGTTAGGGACATGATCTCCGTCTTCGATCGGACGGAGGATGGGGGGGGGGCATCTTCAGCCGGGACGGGAGGATGAATTACTGAGAGAATTTGTGCTTACTAAAAACTTGGATTTGGGGGGTCATGGTCTTGATGATGCAGACCTAGTTGTTGGAAGAACAAATTAATAGGAGATAACTATTACATCCCTGCTAAGTAATGGTGATAGTTAACTGACTAACTAACTAACTAGTTCGTTAGTTAAGCATCTATAATTAGTTAACTAGTTAGCATAACTAGTTAATCAGTGAAAAAAAAAGAAGTATTACTAATATATCAACCAATCAAAGTGCGACTAATGGTGCTGACGGTTTCCGGATGCAGTGCCAGCCAATCGGCAGTGCGTAAAAGACGCTTATTCGCAGGTGGTGCCTAATAAAGTTAGAGCGCCAAGAATTGACAATGCGCTATTCCGCAAGCGGCAGAGGAAGTCGGCTGCTCCCCCCACAGCAGAATCACCTCATCTGATCTGATCGATTCGGATCTGCTGATCAGGAGACTTCGCTATCTCCTTGTATTCCCTGTATTTTAACATGACGATCAGACATGAGGGAATAATGGTAAGAAGAATATCTTCTCCCCGCCTACTGCCGACAGATCCCCGATCGAGCAGTGTAATGATCCTGATGTTCGTGCGGTGGATGTAGATGCTAGATTGATAACCGGCGAAGCGTTCTGGACTTGATTGATAGGCAGCGCATTAGCGGGCTTCGTAGCGTTCCTTGACAAGGGAATCGAATGATAATAAAGGCTTCTTCTTTTCCCTGCGTTAATTCCTCCATCACTCATCATCATCATCATCATCATCATATCTTATCCCCGAACTCTATCCGTCACATGAGTTGAGGCTTTTTTTTTTCTTTCTCTTCAACTTTCATTTCCTTTCTGTCTTCATCGTTTTCGTTTTCACACTCGCTCGTCCTTCCCCATACTCCATCCGCGCCAAGATCCCTCTCTGATCCTTCTCCTCCCCTTTTTATCTGATCATCCCTGCATTCCTCCATCATCCGACAGGATTCCGACATCGCCACCGCGTGCATGCCTTTTGTCTGGATTCCTTTCGGTTGCTGAGCCGAACTACGTGGCGTTCTGGAGAGGTTCTTTTCTCTTCTGCGCCTTTTTTGTCTCTTCCTCGCTGCAAGAAGAGAAGAACAGAAGTTATATCCGACAGACTTTTCCTAATTTGCTTACCGATTTCGTGCTGCTTACTGGCTCCTGCGGTGTCAGTACTGCACTTCCATCTTATCTGACTGTGATACTGGCTGCACCACGTTCCTCCTGGCTACTGTGGCGTGCAACGTGACTTTCCGTCCCTTTGCCTTTTCTTTTTCCTTTCGTCTTGTCCTCCTCCTCCTCGATACACTCCTTTCTCGCTTCACCGCTACATCCTCTGAACAACTGACGGACAAAACGATCCGCGACATCCAACGGTGGCGATGCTGGCCTCCATACCCCAGATGGAAACCGCCCAGTCTTTCCCGCGGAATTCAGATACCCTCATGAAACAACCGTCTGCGGAGGACCTCGATGCTGCCCAGCAGCTGGTATCTTCAGCTCAGGCGGGTCGCGAACACTCGGTAGATCGTTCTCGAGATGATGCAGGTGCTAGAACGGCCGACGCGGACACCAACGCACCAGATGGACCAACGAATACGTCGCGAGAGGCGCCCAAGGCAGAGAGTACGGGTGAGAAAACGCCTTCTAAGTCTCAGAAGGATACCTCCTTCTTGGGACATTCGTGCAGGTTCGTCTTGTTCTAATATCCCACTCTTCTACTTCTCACATGCTGACCCCCTTGTCTATAGCAACTGCGGAACCAAGAGCACACCTCTCTGGCGGAGATCGCCCACCGGGGCTATGATTTGCAACGCTTGTGGTCTCTATCTGAAGGCCCGGAACGTCGCTCGCCCTACCAAGCGCAACCGTGCACAACCCGCCTCGGCTACCAATGAGTCGTCGGGCGTCTCGTCCGCTTCTCCCCAGGATTCGATGGAGGCATCTGGTGAAGGATGCCACGGCAAGGGTTCCTGTCCCGGAGGCGGGAACTGCAATGGAACCGGTGGTGCGGATGGTTGCGACGGATGTCCCGCTTATAACAATCGTGTATACAAGTCCATACCCCGAGGAAGCGGAGTCGCTCACTCGTCGTGGGGTCATTCTGCCAGCCCGGAAAGCGATAAGCCTGCGCCATCACAGGAACATGATTCCCCGCGCGATGCCGCTCCTGCTGAAGGAGATGCTTTGCTGGTCTCGTGCCAGAATTGTGGGACGACCGTGACGCCTCTTTGGCGACGAGACGAGAATGGTCATCCCATCTGCAATGCTTGTGGTAAGTCATGGCCATGGTATGTTTGAGCGGAGTATATCTAACGAGAAGACAAGGGTTGTATTACAAACTTCACGGTTGCTACCGTCCCAGCACCATGAAGAAGACAATCATCAAGCGGCGCAAACGCGTCGTACCCGCAGTACGGGACCAGTCGCCAACCAGTGCCACTCGTTCGTCTAACGGTTCATCTGCCTCGCCCGAGGCATCACCCGCCGTACTACCACATCTCCAGGATGACTACAGATATACAAATGCAGAACCAGTGCAGGCAGACCGTATCTCACCGCAAGCAGCCCGCCGGCCGCTCACATTTGCACCGCCTCCGGTTGATTTTACCGGCTACGCCGCGGGATCACTTTCTCTGCCACACCATGCGCCCCCGCCTCCTCCAAGGCTATTGGAGCCGGAGAACATCAACATGTCGTCCCATTCACCCGGCTTGGAGTTTTGTCGGCGATCGATGTCGCCCAATCAGACCGGGAACCTGAACCCCAAAAAGCGATCTCTAGCGGAAGTGGCTTCGTCGGCGGATGCTCTGACAATCCCGACGTCTCTGGGATCTGGGTCCAATCAACTGCCTCCCATCATGTCGTCGGCCAATCCGTCGCCACCGGCTAGACTGAGTTCCATTTCTACTATATTGAACAATGCGGGCAAGCACGACGACCCTCGTCTGGACCCGTCGTTAGTGGCACTCAGCCGGCAGCAGCAGCATCAGCATCATCCACACCAGGCTCCACAGCCGCTGCCCAGCGTGAGTGAGCTGGACAATTATAAATCTGAACGGCGTGCGCAGCTCCAACGCGAGGCGGAGGAGATGAGAGAGGCTCTTCGGGCGAAGGAGAGAGAGCTGGCTCAATTGAACAGTTGATTTATATCTTGTATTGTTGTAATGTTTTAAATTTTGTAATATTTTTTCTTTCTTTTTCTTTTCACTTTCGTTTGTCTCCTTGGCCTTCGGATTACAGCGCAGCGCAGGTTCTTTTGTTGGAGATACCACTGGGTCGGCTGATTGAAGCAAAATGTATGGATAGGAGTACTAATGGCGTATAAAATAAAGTGTCCTAGAACTTGGCAGATTGGCGATGTCATGATTACAGTAGACTACGGAGTAGTTCTATGAAACGAGGACACCTGCGAATAAACTGAACACACCCTTCAAAACACATACGAAGAAGAAAAGAAGAAATGCAACCGAGAACCTTCACCCTCAACTTCATCGGCGACGTGATGCTGGGCCGTCTAATCGACCAACTCCTCCCTCCACCCGCAACCACGAAAACACACAACCCCAACGCTACAACAGACCCAGATACCTTCAAAAAAGCATCAAACTTCATCGCATCCTATCCAGCTCTGAAATCCTACTCTTACAGCTCACCATGGGGTACGACACTCCCCCTACTCCAACGGGGTTCAGAAATGAACCTAAACCTCCTCAACCTCGAAACAGCCGTAACAGATTCCTCGACACGATGGCCCGATAAAGCGTTTAATTTCAGGATGCACCCTGTTAACATTCCCGTTTTGCTTGAGGGAGGGGCGGATTATGTGAATCTCGCAAATAATCATGTGCTTGATTTTGGGGTTACGGGGCTTAGGGATACACTGAGGGCTGTGGGGAGTGTTGGGGTGGAGTATTCTGGTGTTGCGATTGAGAAGGGTCAAGAGGTTCTTCCGGCTGTTTTGCATTTGCCTAGGTCTGCTGCTGCTGATGGGAAGGATGGGCATACAGTACATGTGTACTCTGCGTCGGATCATCCGAGGGAATGGGGGAGTGTCTCTGGTGTTGGATTCCATTTGATCGATTACTCTGCTTCGACGAGGAAGCGGTTGAGGACGCTTCTTAGCCCTAACCACACCACAACCAGCGATACCAGCGATACCAACAACAAAACAGAAAAACCAGCACTCCGAATCTTCTCAATCCACTGGGGCCCAAATTACACATGGCACCCCCACGGGGAAATCAAATCCCTAGCCCACTTCCTCGTGGACGAATGCGGAATTGACATCGTCCACGGCCACTCGGCGCATCATGTTCAGGGCGTCGAGGCGAGGAACGGTAAATTGATCCTTTATGGCTGCGGGGATTTTGTCGATGATTATCGGCTGAATAGGGAGTTTAGGAATGATCTTTCTGCTGTTTGGAGGGTTTCTGTTAGAGAATCTCCGGGGGGAGTAGCAGGGGCTGGAGACCAGTTGAAACTGGATAAATTGGAAATTTTCCCGACAAGGGTTCAGGGGTTTAGTGCTATTTTACTTGGGAAAGAGGATAAGGATCATAAATGGGTGAGGGAGAAGGTGACTGAATTAAGTCGAGAGATGGAGACAGTTGTTCGGGGTGAACTTGGGGATGAAGGGCAGCTTATTGTTGATTTATAATAAAAAGGCATTAACTATGCTCATGAGTCACATAAAATTCCTTTTTTATTTTAGTCATATCATCGTTACATTATATACAATATACATATCACCGAACGATCAACCTCCTCTCACTCTCCGTCTCCATAGCGGACCGACTTTCGTTCGGACGCCCACTTTCTTCGGCCTGGTGGAACTCCGTCACCACTTCTGTGGTGACCTCGATACCACCGAACGGTCTCGCGGTCGAGTCTGTCGTCTTGACGTTGGCCAGAGCCAGATCGTAATCGAAGTCGTAGAACCGTCTTTCCGGGCGGTAGATCTCCTCGACGTCCGGCATGGAGGCGGCGGCTTTCTTCTGCTCTTTGTGCAGGGCCGAGTCGGTGGAGAGAATCTTGGGGAAGAGGTGGCTGATTAGTGGGCGGAGGGGGGGGGAGGCAGGCGCAGATGATGGCTGCGTTGCATTCTGCTGCTGTCCAGCAGGTGCTGATGGCGCTGTCCCCTATCTCTTGTCAGTACCCTGATGTACGTAGATAATAACAAGCATAGAACGTACAAGACATGTCTGTGCGTCTTCCAAGGTCGTAGATGCTGTATACACGGATGGCGCTGATGATTACCACCCTAGAGACGTTAGCATACTCGTTCCAGCTTGCATTCCACAACTACCGGACTTACAATCCACCCATGGAAAACATAAGCATCAAGCCGATCTTCTGCGGCTTGGGCAGCTGCAGCTGCGCGAGCGGATACATCGGCAACGCGAGCAGAATCAGATCCGTCACGATGTTCATGACAGAGTTGAACACCCACACGCCCTCGAAACTGAGACAATAGCCCGGGTCGGATTCGGTCCAGAAGTCGGAGATAGGATTGCAGTGCAGGAAGCCGCTCACGATGGTCCAGATGGAAAAGGATCCCACGATACCCATGACTATGAAGCAGGCCAGACGGAAGGAGTGGTTGGGGAAGATGCGGAGGTATTGAAAGAGGATGGAGAATCGGGTGAAGGATAAACTGGCGTTGTAGAAGGGGAATGATGACCAGAGGCGCTGTGTTTGTTAGCTATCATAACGATATCTAGCATATGGTGGAGGAGACTACCTTCAGCTGTTGCCCAAGCTCTTCATGAGGGAGGTTATATGAATGGTATCCGAGTCCGAAATGGACTTCGCTGACGGTTAATCCTAGGTATACGAAGGAGCATGCCTGTTCTTCGGTCAGTCTGATAATTAACACAGTAATACGGTAATGTTCAGAAAACTCACCAGAGCGGCTATAATAATCCAGTCTTCGCGGCCAATGTACTTGACCAGCAGAGATCTTGTGAATAAACGCAACACGACGATGAAGCCCGATATACTCGTCAGGACTGCCGTGGTGACCAGCGCAGCGTGTCCTCGATACGGGCCATATCCATCATTGCTTCGGGGCATCAAGCCCAATCCCAGTTCTAGTTCCTCCATGCTGGTGATGTGAGGCTTGAATCAACCCGGACGGACGGCAAGGACAGCAGAAACGATTGAGTCGAACATGTAAGGATCGTCGATGGAACCAATGATAACGAGAGTTTCCGATAAGTACTTTTTTTCTTAGTGTTTAAAGAAAGTTCAGATAGAGTTGAGCTTAGTCGAGCTTCAGCTACAAAAAGCCCGTCTATAGGTTCGTTCAAGGAGGGATATGCTGCATGAAGGAGGGAATGTCTCGTGCCCTGAAACTGCGATGGGACGAACAAGGAACAGATAACAATTATAGAAAAGAAAGCCGTTTGACCCTCCATTGGGGCCAGACAAAATAATATACCCGGAGTTCCCCATCTATTACTCACATCACAGGACCCGGCGCCGGAAGCCGATGGAGAAAAAAAAAAAGAAAAACACCGCTGAAGAGAAACATCAGACCTCCATCGCAGAGATTCCGTCTCCAGAACGGGGACCTAGCCGGGTCGAGTAACGGTTCGTAGGGTCCTTCATCGTCTCAGGGACTTTGGGGCGGTGGGATTCTCCACCTTCGGCATTGTGGTTGTGGGTTCGATAATATCACCTCTTCGAATGGCCGGGAGCCGGGAAGTAATAATTATCGATTGAGCTCGGCCTGGTCGACGACTAACGATCGTCAGGGTGCCCGTGGGATGTGATCCATCCAGAGAGAAATTAAAATAGTGCTCCGTAGAAACGATTGCAATTTTGAGACAGTTGATCCACGGTCACAGACCACGAGAACAGGCAGCAGTAGGCGAAGGTAGCCGCGGCACAATCCAATGTATCCAGCGCAGCAAGAACGGCAGAGCGTCCGCCGTCAGGTACACACGACATGGCCAGCAGATGAGCCACTGGGAGACTGCATATGGACCGTCACCGTGCAGAGTGCATGCAGCTGCCCGGCGGGTTATTTTCGGCATCCACAAGGCACAACGAAAACCCGCGGGCTCCAGATGAAGCATCCCTCCACAGACCATCAGAATCCATTGTGAGAATGGGGCGAGGCGAAGTCGAGACCCGAGATGTCATGCAGGGCGAGTGGCATGATGCGGACGTTGAGCAGTCACAAACGACGTCGGCGGCGCTTTTAGTTTTTGTGAGATCACAGCCAAAGAAAGAAAGGCAATAAACAAGGCGCAGCATTGGCTCTTTTCTTTAATAAAAAATTTTTTCAACGCATGTCATTGACTGTATCGCGTAGTTATTCTCCGGAGAGAGATTTTCTCCCGGTATATCCCTCAGTGGCACCATCAATCAAGACTTGTTGAGCATCTTGAGTCTAACTGTCCGGAGTTCACTCTCTTCCTTCGGTACGCCTCCGAATGGTACCGATGGAACGAACAGAGAACTGGCCACACTCTGTTTCTATCTCAAGTTAACCCAGTCCTTTGGAACCGTTGGGTCTTGGAGTTTGGCGCCACTCGTATGTATTCGCATCGAGATACAAATAACAATCATCCTCGGCCGGCTCCGTCGTCTCGTGTCAGAAGACTTCGTCTCGAGGATAATATTAAATATCGGGACAAAGGGCGAATTACGAGTGTCCTGCAGTTGCAGCCATAGCTCGACGGTTATGGCCATAAACTCATGGCCGCGACCATGGATGACAGAGAGTACTCTGTAGTAGTTACCGGGCAGTTCATTAATGGCTGACTCTGTCTCCGAGAATCAGAATTCCCGAATTCAATAAGAATAAACTTTCATACCTTATTGACAGTTAGTTGTATGCATTGATCACTGAAGGAATAAGAATGTCCCTACCGAAGAGCACCGACCGCTGCAGAACGCATCGCCATTGGACTTGGCCGTCATCAAACTCTCAACGGCGTCTTGAATGCTGCTATTCCCCGTCGGCGACCATGCACGCATCTCAGCTGAGGCCATCTCCGCAAACGGTAGCTAATTTCGCCAATTACGGATCGTTTCCCGCAGATTACGCGGAACAGAGATATCCAGGACAGGTGATGCATTGTCGCCATCTAGACCGAGATTACTCAACGGACGGTGAAGGTGACCACGGTGTAGATGTGGATGGAGTTGTCTCGTAGTACGCCACTATCTGCATCAATTGACTCATTGATAGAGCAAGGAGGGTGAACCCGGTGGTAATTTTCTTTTAAAGAAAAACTAAAACAAAAAATAGAATCCGATCCGTCTAGATAATTAGGTTCTCACCAATTCATAATGAGTACGGGCCAGATGTATGACATGTACCGACTATTATCGTATTGACGAGAAATAAAAAACAAAAAGATATGACAAGAGTGGGATTCGAACCCACGCCCCTTTCGAGATGCGGACCTTAACCGCACGCCTTGGACCGCTCGGCCATCTTGCCAATTCGATGTTATAATGTTTCCACTTGGTGTCTTCTCTTCCAAGGGAAATTGACGTTAATTAATCCTTACCGCCTACAATTATGCACAACATACAACATAAAGCATACTCCATAAAGAGATATACTGTACCTATCCCATATAATATCTACGGAGTACTCTCTTCATCTCCTTTTCATTACCTATTTAGATTTCGTTTTGCCGTCGCATAGTGAAATAGTTGACATTTATAATGCGACATCAAACTGGGCGTATTTCTTTCCCTGCTAAATTCAAAGTTCCACAGACGCTGGCAATTAAGCCAGCGTGATATTTGGGAGCCGGCCTGCCTCATGTAACCGCTTAGAGCATCTAACTAACATCGAATTGGCAAGATGGCCGAGCGGTCCAAGGCGTGCGGTTAAGGTCCGCATCTCGAAAGGGGCGTGGGTTCGAATCCCACTCTTGTCATATCTTTTTGTTTTATTCTTTTGGTTCTTATTTTTTTTTTTTTTTACTCCCCCGTATAGAAGGACACTACACATCAACTGCCCTTGTGTCAGGCGATGAGCCAACACACCGAATTGGTAGTGATATGTATATAGGCAGTGCTCGCACATGGTGGCTTGACAGCTACCGAGTTGCCTTTTTTCTGGCGCCTAGTATCTCGGCCATCGCATATAGTCTCCCAGACAAGACACCCTGCGCATGTATGTCGCCGTTGAACGTTGCATAGGGGAGTCCCAGTTACCCACTTGTATGCGCATATTCCACTCTGCTCAACCAGCTCAATCCCAAGTGCCTGGACGGAAGCTGCGGACGCTGGACCCTGTAGAGACCCATACCAAGCTCGGAACAATTAAACGTAGCAGACTAGTCTATCAGCTAGTAAGACGGTTGTGATGTATGTCAAGTCGGGATTTCACAGGATGAAACATTCCGGCGCATCCGGCAGTCTGTTATCTTGTCTCGACACCCACATGTGGATACCAACCTTGACAGCTCAGTTAAGAGCTCCCGGGCTCTAGCAGACTTTACCCAGCATTCTGGTTGAAGCTCCACCTCCCGTCGCCTCCTGCGTTTCCTGAATGGCCCGACCGCATTTCGTAAGTGTTGATATGGTTCGAGAACCTCCTGCTTCATTCGACATGCTGCGGATTTGTGTCTCCTCTTCACATCCTTCAATGTATTGATCAGACTTGTCGTGGACGATGACGTCGAATCTTTCTTTGGCTGGTCATTGTAGATAGTCTGACTGGCACTTAGTCGTTGCTGTTTGTTGCTATCGATATTCTCAGTTAGTGGGGAAGTTAGATTGTGGGTAGGAGGACAGCTCTCGCTGCATGTAGAAATTAATGATGGTGGTTGCTCGAGCTCGGGAGCTGGTTTCGATATGTCAATGCCCATCCTATCCTGCTCTTGAATTACCTTTGGTCGGGAAGCAGAGTTGGACTCCTTCAGAACACCATCATCGGGTGCCGAGGATTCTTCAGTGGCTGGAAGCCCCGCGACATTGTCCTTGTCATCGCTATTGTACATGGGATCTTGGCTGTCGAGATCAATCGGGACACAGCAGGCTCTCAAAGGTGAGGGCTTCCCTTGTTTATTGCGCCGTCTGAAACGTATCTGCTTCCTGTGCCTAGAGTAAAGCTCACCATAGCCATCACTCGTTGCCTGCGCCCATTGCGTCCTCGAACGGAACGTGTTCAGCTGAACGAACCCATTACTGAAAGCAGAACACGGAGATGTGTAGATGTAGTAGTTACCGATATCAACTATGGTCCTGTCATTCCCTTCCCGGTGGTCGTCGGTCCAGTGGCCGTGTTGGCTGTAAAACTTGTGCACCCGGCCAGTCACAACGCGAACCAGGTCCGACCCTCTGAGAGCAAGGTCACTCCATCCACGCTGGGAGTCAAGGTCCATGATCACCGGGTCGATGAACTTGGTAGCCCTGGCAAGAATCGCGTGTATGCGCCACTCATCAGAGGGCGATGGTATCTTGGGCCGGGAAGCCAAGTACATCAATGAGACTGCTGGAGGGGTCGCGCTGTACTCGTAAACCGGATGTCCTAACCAGTTGAAATGGTGGATTTTGCAAGGATGATGACGGGTTGCCTCAATGCAGATTTTTCGAAATGAAAATTCTTTGTATATCTCAGCTTCTACGCGTGTAATGCCGTTTTTGATAGTCTCATCGTCAGAAAGAGAGCTGTCAGAGTCGCGATAGGTTCCGTCGGAACTGTCGCTATATATTGTGCCAGGGGAAGATTCATATTCCAAGAGTTCACTGTCTAGAAAAAGGTGTTAGTGAGTTGTTTATATACATATCGCGAAATTGGCCTCAAGTATGTAAAGTTTCCACCTACAGATACTTTCCTCGACATCCTCCGCCCAGTCGAACCGGGATGGATTCAGTAAGTCATCCAACTGTAGTGGTTGCTCAGAAGCAACCGTGTGGCTGGTCTCCATATTGATTGTATGGACGTTGAAACTGGAATGAGTAGTTAGTAGGGTGGGGAGAGTTGATTCTGCTCAATCTGCCGAGAACAGTCTGCTTCTGTAATATCTTCTTAAACCAATGGACCAGAAAGCTAGAAAAATCATCCTGATATATGAAATGATACTTTGATCCAGGCCAGTAGGCTGTGCTTGTATGACAAGTGAACGAAGTACAGCTAACAAAGCCACCCAGTCTTTCAGAGGATCAGTTTGTACAGCAACAATGTACAGTAGCCTTGTTCTAGATAAATGAGAAACGCAATTAGAAACAAGACAAGGCCAGTCCTTATTGCCATTGTGTTATGCTGTCATTGTTGCAACGTCTGTTGTCTGCTGTGAAGGAAGAAAGAATCCATCTGCTCATGACTGATCCTTCATTCCAGATACGTGAAGGTTGATCTGTTACGATCAGAATAAAGCCCCAGAATGCTTGTTCAACCAAGGAAAAAGTAATATCTGGTCGAATCCTGACAGAAGACAAGAATAATAGTAGATCAGGGGTTCCAGAGAGGAAATCGAGCAGAGATAAAGAAAGATAAGAGAAGCGACAGCTTATCTGGTGATAAGATAAGTTCGAGATAAGCGCTTATCACATGACGTGTCTCCCCCACCAAATCACGCTTCCACTCCCCCGCCGACGTCGGCCTCTGCTCCGACTGTGCTGGACTCCTTCTCTCGACTCACTTATTGAATTTGCTTTCTCTTCCTTCGTAAAGCTCGTCAGTTTCGTGGAAGCCTGTATGAACCACTTCAGAGCTTGTATTAGATCCATTGGTCATCTACGACAGCTGAATCCTCCTGCAATACTTTCTGCGTCCTCTCCATCTATCCGTCCTACGATCCGGTCAGCATTCATACAACGTACAATGGCAGCCGCAGTGGCCAAGCGCCTTGAGGGCAAGACTATTGTCATTACTGGAGCTTCATCTGGTATTGGCAAGAGCACAGCCAAAGAGTTTGCCCGTACTTCCCCTAAGAATCTTAAGCTTATCCTGGCCGCGAGACGCATCGACAGCCTGAAGCAGCTTGCCGAGGAGATCAAGGAGGAGGTTGGTGAGGGGGTCAAGGTGTTACCAGTCAAGCTGGATGTGAGCAATCCCGCAGATATCAAAAACTTTGTTCCGTCTCTGCCAGCCGAGTTCCAGGACATCGATGTTCTGGTCAACAACGCGTAGGTTTACCTCACAATCAACCAGAATGTGCAGACACTAATGTCAACTAGTGGGCTTGTCAAAGGTGTTGCACAGGCACCCGATATCGCACCCGAGGACATCGATGTTATGTTTTCTACTAATGTTACTGGGTTGATCAGCATGACCCAGGCCATCCTTCCCATCTTCAAGAAGAGAGCTGATGGCGGCCGTGGAGACATCATCAACATTGGAAGCATTGCTGGACGTGAACCATATATTGGTGGTAGTATTTACTGCTCAACTAAAGCCGCAGTCAAGTCCTTCACGGAAGCACTGAGAAAGGAGCTTATTTCAACAAGGATCAGGGTCATCGAGATTGATCCAGGCCAGGTGGAGACGGTAAGCTATTATCCACTTTTTTTCTTTCCAATCTCGTGATTAGGCTGACCAGTACAACCGCTACCAGGAGTTCTCGATCATCCGGTACTACGGAGATAAACAGAAGGCGGATGCAGTCTATGCGTAAGGACATCCAATCTCGCGTCGGAGGACTAGAACTGACTTCATGTGCCATGACTGCAGAAACTGCGAGCCTCTCACACCCGAGGATATTGCTGAAGTTATCGTCTTCGCTGCAGGACGCAGGGAAAATGTTGTGATTGCTGACACACTGATCTTCCCTAACCACCAAGTGAGTGATAATTCCACCACAACCTTGGAGTCAGACATGCTGATAGCGTCAAAAGGCATCTCCAACCCATCTGCACCGCAGATCGTAGATTTCCAACACGCGATTTACAAATTGCTACGTGGGGCACATACGTCATGTACATTTGCATCGGAATAAATGGCATGGGTGGATGTCGATCAGGACTGCAAATAGTAGACTGATATTGTTAATGGATAGGCATATGTATGGTCGTATTACCAACTAGGCATGCCTGTGCTGTGAGATAGGTAGCGAGGGCAGTCTAGGACGGCAGAACCTCACGTGGTACTACCAATTGTCGTGCTCAAGCAAGCTTTGGAATCGACCTTGTGGCCACTGTATATAGATGGTTGAGTATTCTGACACGCCCCGCACGCTGTGTATAACAGTGACGGGAATAAATAATGGAACATCTCTCTGTGGATGTGTCTAACTAATGCTGCGCTATTTTCGTTAGTCGGAAGACTTTCCAGTTTGGTAATTCCTGGATACCTAAGAACTGACAGCTCAATTGGAGAACTCAAACATGGAGACAACGCCGGAGGCGTAGAGTTCTCGCATTCTGCATAATATAGTTACATGCATGATTGCAATCTCTTCTATTTGATTCGAGTGTGTCCATGTTCCTTATGTATGTTTCAACGCATCCCGACCTGTCCAGCCGCAATTGGCAGTCCACTAGTTAATGACATCCCCACCACCTAAGACTTCTAGATGGAATACTAGGAATCGAGTCCGAGACATTATTATTACTATATCATAGTGGAGGCTTTAGAATAACAGAAATTTTCTCACCCCGTGTATTTTTAATTAATCTGCCAGGCCGTGTAGGGTAGTAGTGAGTCAAACCTTGATTAATTAGTATACTCTGTACTCCTTCTCGCACGAAAAATGCACCGCAAAGGATCCTTAGAACACATGCTGTTTATCCATCTAATCAGATTTTGAACTGCAGGATGTGGAATGTGAACGCGCGTCGACGCTGCCCGACTGCATCCACAGGTAATACGAGCAACTCAACCGAATAAATTGAACGGACTCCAATATACTCCGTACATCCAGTAGATTCTACGCGTGATTCAGATGGAGCAAGGTTGCCTGCCGGAGACAGGCTGGCTTTTTTCGTCTGACATTGGTACTGTTCCGTGTCTAGTAGTATTCTGGTAGAGTAGATGCCAATTACATTCATTCCATGCGCAAGTGGGCTGATGAGCGCATGCTACATACCTAGATCTGACAGTTCACGGAGCACTGCTTGGCAGAAGCTTGACTATTGCGTTAATTATTACGGCAATCATATTCATTTATATTATCAGATTGATCCTGTAGACATATCTGATCCAGCTCTTCCGTGGTTGGTTGAACACTCACAGGGCGGACTCAGACAAGCCCACCTGGAGTGCGGATGCTGTGGTGGCCTGTAGGACAGCGCATATTATTCCGTATAGGTACCACGGGGCTAGGATTCGAAGCAATCGCCTGATCCCCGGGAGTACAAACTTCTCTGTATCCCCTTTCGGGTCAAGTTGTATACACACGCGGATCTATAAAGGCTAAATTAAAAGCCCGCTGCAGCCACTCCACTTGACATTACGGAATATTCTCCCTCTCCTCCATGGCGGAATATGCCTCTCATTTCGAATAAGATACCGGCCTGGGATACCAGGAAGATCCTGAACGCTCTCAGAGCCCCCGGAAGACGCACAACAATCCAAGCAACAGCTTCGACCCAGCTTCCAGATACACTGCACATTGTCCCTGGAAGGCCTGTTCAACATGAAACAGTCGAGACCGCCGAGATAAGTGAAACTTCGAGCGCAGATCAAGGCGGCATCGATCTTGAGAAGCAGCTTCCCGAAAAGACGCCCGTACAGATCACAGACGATGGTGAATCTCCGAGTCCGGACATAGACCTGGGCGAAGCAGACCTGGGGGGAAGAAATCCGTCCAGATTCGGGCGTGCCTATGACGCAGTGACCGCGTTCGCTGGGACCAGAATCACCTTTGGCTTTACGTTGACCTGTCTGATTGTCTGGGGTATCGTCGGCGGCGTCTGCGGAGCAACCGATACGTGGCAGATCGTCCTGCAGGATGCGAGCTCGATTCAGTGCTATTTCTCAGATTCATTGCTCATGCGGCAGCAGCAAAAGAGCACTCGCGAACTGACAACGTTAATTTGCCACTTGCGATCCCGAAGTGCTACGTGCAGACGCCTGGTGGAAGGGAAACTGCGCCAGGACAACATTGAATCCAAGGTACCCAATGGTCCCGTGGAGATTGAACTGGAAGAAAGACTGAGGGACGCGATCAAGCTGCCCACGGAAAATATTCTGGATGTTCTGAGCAACTGGGTTGCGTTGTCGTTTGGGTCGATCTTCGCCTTCATCGTGTTCTGGGGCGGCATTATCGTGTGGCTTGCCTTTGGGAACAAGCTCGCCTGGGGAAACGAGTGGCAGCTCTACGCCAACACGGCCACTGCGGCAGAGCTCACGTTTACCAGCATGTTCCTGCAGAACATCAGACAACGACACATGACGTACCTCAAGGACTGTCTTCGGTCCCTCATCAAGGCAGATCGACAGATGGAGCAGCGAGCACGGGAGATCACCGGAGACGCCGAACCCAACCCCATATGCCAGGTTGCGCCAGAAAAGATCACCCGCGGCAACAGGGCTATTGACTATTACGCCAGCATCGTAGGATCCGGGGTGGGACTGTTCATCTCTGCGCTGGTCTTCATCGCGTGGATAGCCGTGGGGAACACGATGGAGTGGAATTCCAACTGGTGGCTGATCATCGGTACGTATACCGGCCTCGTGGGCTTCATTGACGGATTTGCCCTGCGGAACGTCTACTTCCGCGAGACGAAGGGCCTGGATACGTACTTCCAGGCGCTCGCGAAGGAGGACGGTGCGCTATACGACCTGCTTCGAATCCCTCCCTCCACAGATGCTCTCCCGGCGGAGGATTCGATCCAGTATCGCATCAGCTACGGCATTGGCATGGCATGCTCTCTTCCGCATTCAGTACTGGCGTCGGTGGTGATCGTCGTGGCGCTTATTTGCATCGCAAGCGGACTGCGGTGGTCTGTGACTGGGCAGCTGCTGTGCAACACACCCACGATGATCATCGAAGGGTTCCTGCTGCTGGTGTTGATGCAGGCGCACAACATGTCCAACCGACGACGACGGGCGCAACTCAGGGAGATTCTCGTGCGTCGACTGCGGATAAACGCGCAGATGCAGCGTATCTGGAAAGATAAAAAATAAAGAATTCCTTTTCTGTCTCTATTCTTCAACGGTTCGAAGGAACCAAGGAGTATGTACGTTAGTTCGCGGCATCTAGTGACGCCCCCGCAATATATTAGACTTTGTGCATAGATAATGAAGTTCACCCTTGATCCATCAGGGATCTCCATTCTGGATCCATCGTAATAGGGCTCCCGGCGTTAAGTGGGATGTAGACTTGATTGAAGGGCCTGTGAACCGCCGACGGAGAGAGAAAGAAGAGCCCCAAGCCTGCTCTCTCTTGGATGTCGGAGTCAAGAGATCTTGAAAATGACATTCTTAATAATAATATAGTAATCCACGGGCAAGAAAAGTGGGCTGATTCCACGCATCCAGCAGCATCAGTTGACGAAGAGAGCTGCAATGCGAGCCACTCTGAAGTCTGGTTGGGCCAAGCGGCTAGAGAGAGGCGACGGTTCCAGGGAGATTTATTATAATCATTACGAGGAATTACTCGTTCTTGGCTCGATCTAGATAGGACATGGAGATGGAGATGGGAACTGGTGAATAGAATCATAATTAGCCCTTCTCGAAGCCAACGGTTTGGTAGTACTCCGTAATGCTGGAAGGTGTTACGCGTGCCACATTGCTTTCTCTTTTCTGGCACTGGATTCAGGGATATCATTTCATTATTATTACGGAGCTCCTCTTCGCCCCAGCGCAATAATAATGAAGAATGAGCCTGTCTCCCCACCTTCTCCTATTCCAATGACATCGATGATCGTTCTAATTACTCGTAGAATTAGATATTATTCTACTAACTCGAGAGTTGTAGACGAACCCCTGATTTGTGCCCGTGGTTCTCTCCCCTGTCCCAATAAGCTTTGCGCCCAATAGTCGATTCTTCGGCCGCCCGTCCTTTTCTCCTGTGGATTCCTGCCACTTTGAGCGTCGTCGCCGAAAGCTGTTCGCTGCTCTTCCCTGCCAAATTATTCCCCGTTCAGCGTTGTCGTTGCTGTCGCGTTGCTGTTGCTGTTGCTGTCGCTGTCGTTCTTCTTGCTGCTACCGGTCTTAGCTGCGTCTCGTTTTTGCTGGAGAACCGTCCTGCAAACGGTCCTTTGCTCCTTCTCTCTCCCTTTCCCTTTCCTCCGTCGTTCTTCTTTTTCTTCCTCCTTTTCCTCCTGCAAGGGACAAAAACACCATGGCTTCCAAGGTCAATCTATCTCCCTTCTCTCCCCTCCATCATCCATTCCTCCTCGCTGACTCGTCTCGCGATTTTCCAGTTCCTCAGAGAATACAAACTTGTCGTCGTAGGCGGTGGTGGTGTCGGAAAGTCTTGTTTGACCATCCAATTGATTCAGAGTCACTTTGTCGATGAATATGATCCCACAATCGAAGGTGCCTTTTTTTGTCTTCTTTTGTCTTCTTTTTTCTTTTCTTTTTTTCTTTCTTTCTATCTCCATCCGCGCGCTCACATATTCCCTCCTGAACAGACTCCTACCGCAAGCAATGCGTCATCGACGACGAAGTCGCCCTGTTGGACGTCCTCGATACTGCCGGCCAGGAGGAGTACTCGGCCATGCGGGAGCAGTACATGCGCACCGGTGAAGGCTTTCTGCTCGTCTACTCCATCAACAACCGCCAGTCCTTCGAAGAAATCAAGACCTTCCAACAACAGATCCTACGCGTGAAGGATAAGGATTACTTCCCCATAATCGTTGTCGGTAACAAGTGCGATTTGGAAAGTGAGAGGAAGGTTACTCAACAAGGTGTGTGATGCACAGATGCAAGTGATGCAGGATTTGTCTGGCCCACTAATCATGCTGTTCCTACAGAGGGTGAGGATCTTGCACAAGAGTTCGGCTGCAAGTTCATCGAGACCTCGGCCAAATCTCGCATCAACGTCGAAAATGCCTTCTATGACCTCGTCCGCGAAATCCGACGATACAACAAGGAAATGTCAACCTATTCTACCGGCCCTGGCCCGCTCGGCACGCGTGCACCAGAAGGCAAAATGGACGTCACGGAGCCTGACGAAAGCCCTGGTTGCTGCGCGAAATGTGTTGTGATGTAATTGACGGGTTTCTGGGTTCTATACAGGTGCAGGGCGCACAAGTCGAAAAACGAATTAAAAGGAAGAAATCGAATTTTTTTATTTTATTTCTTGATTTCTGAATCCGGACCAGGAATGCAGGGATACGTCAAAAACCTGAAGGTCGAGAACCTTGACCCATGACACTTCCGGGTGAATCCATCATCTCTTTTGTGGTTTTTGTTGTTTCATACACCACCCGCATGCTGCAGCCTCGAAACAGCCATCTTCTCCTTCTAGCCTTCGGTCCCTCCGCTTTCTTTCTTTCTTTTTTTTTTTTTCCCCTCTCGTTGCTTCTCGGAAGTACGCTTTTTTGACAATTTTTGATTCTTCAAGGGGGTGAGGGTGGTGCATCCGTGAGCTGTCTGTCTGCACTGTGTGCAGATACATTGTTCGTTGCTAATATCACACTGTCCCAGTGATGTATTCATTTTTTGTCTTTTTCTTTCTTCTTCCCCCCTTTTTATTCTATTTTTTATCTTTTATTTTTTATTTTTTTCATCTCCTGTCATATTTACTTTCCTCCCTTATATGATCTGTCCAAGTTCTGATATCCCTTTCGCCATTGTTCAATAATTCCTCCCCCCCCATTTCTTTTTTCTTACGTTTCTTTTACAGTTGGCTTCTTGTATCATCTGCATATTCCCGGACGACATCTATTGCGACGCATACAGGCCATTTCAGATCCTATATTTCAAGACAGTTAACAGCGTGTTGGCAGACAGGGCCTTGAAGACAGTACATGTGCGCAGTCTCTAATCCTCCATTAATTTTTCTTTTCCTCCTCTCTTCTGTCGCTTTTAACCAATTCTTTATGTGTCATTGAATCTGTGTTTGGTTTAGGGTGCGTACTAGAAAATTAGTGATCATGTTTTGACTTCAGTTTCTTACTACATTCTTTGGAGATGTTGGTTGGCTTCGTTCCTTGGGAATAACCATTACAACCTACCACTGCGCATAAGATGTCCCATTGGCAATATGTAAGGGATTTTTTGAAATAAAGACAGATTTACTTACCCCTTGACTAACTACTGTCATTTGTGCTGACTGTAGGTAGAAATATTCCATCAGACTGTGTAGGAAGGTGTTCAATCCGCAAGGAGGAAATAAACCACGGGTATGATCACCATAAGGGGAGGCCTTGTGGACAACGTTCTTTCAATGTCCGGATCTTTTAACACCGAGACTTCTGCCCTTATAAAAGCCTCCCTATCAGGGCCGTATACCATTTGGGTACCCTGATCCCGCCCTCCCATTCCACTGCAAGTGTTTTGGCCTGTTCTGCCCGCACCCGGCATACAAAAGCGGTTCCAGGTGGAAAGTCAAGCTCTCTCATGGTAGATGGAAGAAGCCATCTCTGGACCTTGATAAGGACCTTCTTTACTATCTCCTACGTGCGCTCTTCTGACTATGTGCCCGGCCTGGAGATCGCGTTACGGGGAACCCGACCCGCCTGTTGTATACCCTTCGAGTCATCGTCGTTAAGGCAGCCATTGAGGACCGCATTCCAATCCCCCAAAAATGGAATATCGGGCATCAAGACATCCAGACATGACAAGATAAAGCTTGACGTTGGAGCAAAGAGAGACATCTCCAAATGCTATCGTGTCCGTATTCATCGTGGGTCCCTGCCGAGCTTATGCCGCGAAGGAAGACTCCTTCAACCAACACCCAGGCACGTTCTGCCTCCGGCCCACAGGGGCTACTGTAGAGACAGCGCAGAACGTAAGTGAGGGCGTGCCATGGGGTGCACGTTGTGAAGAGCCATTTGAATCCTGAGGCTAGACCCCCATTCAGTAACAGGTAATTGCTTTCCAGCCCATCCCATGCCAACTCGAAAGATGGCTCCAGCACATCAGGAGCATCCGCTTGCGATCCTTTTTGCTTTTGCATGCTGATCCTCCTCTCGCAATTGAAGCATGAACTCCATTTTCTTGTACGCAGTCGTGGAATGCTGCATTGCGATGCGGGATAGATCGCTGGGTGGTATTTTGGCAGAATAGATGCTTTATCTAGTTGACACGTATTGGCTGCTTTTTTGAATCATCCTCCTCTCTGCTGCGATAGCCGGAAGAGTATCTGCGGAACGCTGCTCTCGAGTGTCCATAACCGGATGAAGTTGCCTATACGACTCGGTTTGAATTAGAAAAAGGGACATTTCCGTCCAGTCCTCCGACTCGATTGGAAGTTGGGCCATCTCTGGACATATCTGATTGCCATTGATCTTCAGGGGAAATCGTAGCCCCCGGTTCGTGATATCGAGTGTGAGCTCGAATCGTTGGTCCTCCGGGGCACGAATCAAGCACACACAGATGCCACCAGAGGCGAAGACGCATTTCGGTAAATGGACTCAGTTAGCGGCCGGCACCATCTCGGTGCAGACCAATCGATTGGCCTGCCGAATTGCAATCCATTCAGGACCCGTGGACGTTGATCCGCGCCAGATTGAAGCCGAGTCTCAACCTCGCCACAAGCGGCTCCAGGGACTGGACTCTCGGAGAGGTGGGATAACGTTATCTCCAGCTGTTCCAGACAACTGGCGATGCATTGGAGGGAGGGGAACTTTTTGTCTGTCTCTGGGCATGATGGAATTGGAGAGACTGTGTGCAGCAGAGTGATAAAAGGGGACCTCGGAGTGTCGGTGCTGACATCTTTGCAGACGCATGCTCGGTGTTTCGGAGTATATTCTATATATATGATATATAGGGCTGTAATAAGTCTGACTGATATGGCATACTTCTTTGCTGTGGCAGTTGGGTTGCCCGCTGCATTGTTGTAGTACGCCTCGAATACAAGCAGGTTAATGTCAAGTATGGTTTAGATGTGAAGCCGCGACTACCTCTGTTAGGGCTCAAGGGTCAGCCCTAACATGGTAATTGCTGCATAGATTCTTCTAGACGGCTATTGAGGGAGAACATTTATTTATCCTTTCTTCTCTTTGTCCTTCCCTTGCCTTTGAGTGAATCTGAAAGGCGAGTGAATGTATTCAGTGGCTATATTGGACATTATTTCTCCCTTACTCTTCCCACTGTGCTCTGTCTTCTCATCCGCCACTTTCCCACGATTCTCACCCTCCCCATATTGACTTAAAAAGATGGCATGACAGCCAAGTAGTGTCTATTTGTTCCTAAAGTCCCAAAATTAGCCTAGACCCTCTTATGTGACTAATTGCTTTGGGATCATGCAGATATCCATAATTTGTCGAATGGCGACCCCTCATCTAGGATGCGAACTTGGCCGAATTTCGAATCCCATTGTGTATGTATCAAGTCCAAAGTCCTGGGGTTCGTGGAGAAGTATATCAGACCTTGAACCCGGATTCCTCGCAACTTTCCAGCGTGCTTTTCCTTCCATGGGAAAACGATGACATGGACCATGGATCCATCGAAACAGAACTGTCAACACATTCAAAAGCATATTTAATTGTGACATCGAGTCCTTCTACTTTGGAGTCTTAATGCTACCATGGCTACTAGTTTCTATGCCTCTCAGCTTGGTTGTCGAGAATGATGGTGAACTATACGTGGCTATTTAGATGGCAATCCCACCCCAGTGATCACCCTCTACTGGACCTTCCTGGGATGCCTAAAAACGAAGAGTATGATGACAATGACAAAAGAAGTTCACGTGTTTCAGTAGCCCGCTGATGCTAAACTCTGGAAAAGAGAGTCATTGGAAGCTCTTTCACGCATACTAATCGATATTACGCTTTTTGTTGACTGGCTGGAATCTCATCAAGAGAAACTCGCAGCATGGAATCTGTCAGTATAAGATTATAAAGGGTGTTAAAAAGAGGGAGGGAATTGGTGTTTATATTGTCAATGATAGATGCCGTTGCCCGCTATGTCCTCGTTAGGCATTGATTGAAATGACCCTGGAACGAGGCTTCTGTGAGTTTCGTCAGATCTTTACCTCAGGGAAAAGGGGGTTAAATATGAAGCGGAATGCAGCTACACTCAAAACCAACGCTGCTATGGACTGAGTTTACACAAGGAATATAATTTCAACCTTCTCACCCAAAGATGCCCAGTCCTCAGTGTACAACTTATGTAGAGGGTGAACCCCCAGTATGGCATATTCTATTAGGACTATTTATATTGTACCCACCACATACAGTGACCAGCCCAGCTCAGATCTGCTCCAAAAAAGCAGCATATATATACAGAGCTCTAAAATACTCTTAAAACAGACAAGATGGTATCCTGTTAGCGTTACTCGAGATTCACATTCATTTGCTTCCCTCGACATCAGAATCAAGCTCATCCTCTGCGGAAACCCTTTTCCCCTGAGTTCGGGCCTCGACAATCGGGACTAAAGACTCCATGTATTCCTTGTTAGGTCCAACGAGAGTCACAGTATTCCGCTTCTTCCCCCACCGCGGATAACTACCGATCTTAACGTCGTACGGTGCTGCTTGCATCGCTAGCTCCGTCAGATGCGGAGCCACTGCACTTTCAGGCAATGGCGTGCTGATGAGGAACCGGTAGATACCTCTTCCCTCGGGGTTGGCCAGACGCGGAACCAAAAGCGGCTTGAGATTCTCCAGCAAGGACTCAAACAAGCGCGGTACACCGGGGAGAATGTGCACGTTACCGTTGACGACGGCGATAGGTACCCACAGGGAGTCAGCGACGAAGAGGGCCTGTTCAGCGTCCGTTCGCTTCGGGTCATATGGGAGCTCCACCATGCGCAGTTTCGCGGTGAGATCTGGTGAGGGCGTGTTCCAGTCGAATTTGGGTTGGAGCGGGTGAGGTTTCGAGAGACGCTTCATGCGCTCGAAGGCCGGCTGGTGCAGTTTTAATTCTAGGTTGAACGCTCTGGCGATAGATTGGTAGGTTATGTCATCGTGACTGGTTATTTATGGTGTTATTTATGGTCGTTGTTAGCCGTTTGAGTCTTCCTTTGAACCGTGTCTGCGGTCTGGTTTACTAACGTTGGTCCAATGCCTCCGCTGGTTACAACAAAGTCATAGCGATTGCTCATCCGTTTGACGGCTTCAACGATCTCGTCTTCGTCGTCGGCTATCACCTCAACGCGTTTTAACTGGATTCCGAGAGAGAAACACCATTTGGCGAAGAATGCGGAATTGGTGTCGACCGTCTAGAGGTGTGGTTATGTGTTTTAGAAATCTTCCTCGGCACAGAAGGCGATGACCGTCGCTTACCTTACCGCCAAGGACTTCATCACCGATGATCAAACAAGCCGCCGTATGTATCAGCTTGGGACTTGGATTCACTGCGGACGCCATCGTGGAGAGCGTTGAAGGAGGGCGCGGAGACAAGACGGAGGAAGCTGGTAATGCCAGGGACGAGGTCGGAGCTGCGTAGTTCGTAGCGACAGCCGGGCGAGCAATATGACGGACTAGCAGGTTGAGTCGACTGAACATGGAGGAAGTCGAGTTGAGGAGGATTTAGAGGAAGAGTTTTGTCATTCCATCCGTGTCGGAGAATGATGATAATTGCAGCCAGAAGTGGGGATGGTGACGCTGCTGAGTTTTGTCCCTGCACGCTGGCGGTACATCGTCATCTTCTCTTCCCTCCACTGAACAGAACAGCAACACCACCGTTTCTGCAGATTTGCGGTTATCATAATCATCATTTCTATTCGAGGGTTTTATTTCCAATCCCTTTATTTCCGTCCTCCGTATACCCAACTGGCAGTATACGATGGTATGTACCGACACAACTTCTACCCCGCATCGGATCAGTTCTTAAGAGACGCTGACGCACGAGTGCATGCATTTGCAGTCCTCTGAATCCCGATTATATACTTTTTCACCGGAGACGCGGGAGAAGCTTCGCAAGTTCCGCCTAGGAACATCCAGAGCGAAGGATGCGCAAGCGATCATCTGTAGGCCTACTGCCACACCAGAGCCGAATATCAACCACACACATATATAATGGGAAATAATAACCGGCGGGGCTCGATGGAATTAAAACAGATATAATCGATTCGAAAACGCAAGAGATCCGCCCTGAAGATGGCACTGTCTACTCGAAGCTTGAGGATATAGCTGACGAGCTTCCGGAGTCGTCTCCTCGGTTTGTTCTATTAAGCTACCCTTTGACCCTGGTGAGTTAGTCTACGGAGCATCTATGCGCAGTCATTTGACCAATTTCTCTAGCCGTCCGGCCGCCTTACGGTCCCCTATGTCCTTCTTTACTACCTCCCTGAGAACTGCAACCCGTCCATGCGAATGACGTACGCCGGTGCGGTCGAGTTGATGCGAAACACAGCCGAGGTGAACAGGGTTATCGAGGTGGAAAGTGAGGAGGATGTGATTTCCATCGCGTCGAAACTTGGAGGGACCGATTGACCAGGTTTGCTTCTCGGTAAACTTAGGCTTGCGGGAGCAGATGAACAGGATCCAGTGTTACATGTGTAGTATGTCTGGCGTCTATCGAATCGAATGGGGTCTATTTTGGTCGAACCAGCATGGCAGGGCTCACGGGTCTTCGTATTTATTATCCACGGCTTGCTCAGACATGGCCAGACAAGGAACTTGACAATGCAAACCCGGGAATCCCCCGGTTAATAATAAGGATGTGACAGCTGGATGAGGAATGGAACTGTCCATGCTTGGTTGACAGAAGGTTAACCTGCTGGAGCGCAGCAGTTCCTTGATTCTGACGGACGATGGCCGGTGACCAACCTGTCAGAATTGGCGTGGGCCCCGGGTTAAATGTCAGTCAGTGATGATTATTATTTTGTTCTGGATCGTATGTGCTGGTCCGCGTAGGCCCACCTCGACAGGAGTTGACATGACATCAGGACACGAGATGCATCTACGGTCAATAGCCATAGCAAGGGCGAGGATTGTATGACGCATCATTCTTTTATGAGTTAGTTCTGTGCATCCTCTCCATAGAAGGTTGACAGGAAAGTCAATTGACTGAAGGAACAATAGAAACCAGGAAGTTCTGGCATGGATCCGCGGATGGTGTCCTTTTTCCGTGAAGAATCGAAATGATGCTCCTCTATTAATTAATTGAAGACAGTCTAAGAGCGCATAACAGACAGAAGTACGAGCGGCTAGGTAGGTAAACCGCGAGGGAGTGTGGTGTTACGAGGCCAATCCGCATCGTACCGAGGAACAGTGGCATTATTATTATCATTATTACTATTAATTCATGGACAAGTCATGAGAAACCTGCCTGAGTGGTGATACATACGTGTAAGACTACGGACTGTGATTCTGATTTATTTACACGAAGGCACTAGGCAAAGCCCGCATCGACCGGCAGTTGACGGTGTCCCCTTATTCTGCATGGGGGCTGCTGGATGCGGCAGGACCAGGCTATCGGACAGCGTCAGTGGATGAGTCGCGCGGGTTTACTTTGCGCTAGCGGAGGGAGGGCGGAAGTTAAGCCCGGACAGTGGAGAGAGGTTTTGGTGACATGGCATGAAGTAGTATTAATATAGTACTGTATAGCATAGGTGTTACAACAGAGATCTCCGGAATAGAACGAGTAAATAATACTACCCCTGCAGAGCAAACGGAGCTCCGACTCGAACAGAATAATAGTAGTAGATAACAGTAATAATACTAGGATCACCGAGGATCTCCAGCGGGTGGCGGCCCGTCGTTCCCAATAAAGTGCCCATGGAAGCTTCCGCCTGGCTTCCGTACCGTGTAATTTTCAATCGCTGAATTGGGCAGAGATTACCTTTCTGGGCGTAACAGTCAGTAACGGATTTGATCCGTTACATACTATACTGTAATGTGCTGTACATTACCGCAGCGGAGAACTCGTTACCACGGAATTGCCTTCAAAGAGACTTTGCTTAGCTTCTTAGCAGAATTGGTCAGCTTGCTGTCTCTCCTTGTTTCTATTCGTAAGTTATTTAGCCCTTTGCTTTCCTTCCCTATCCCCTGTCCTTTTCAAGTTCTTCCAACTTTCAGTTCACCTGTTGGCTTGCCTTGCCTGATTCACCTCCCCTGGCGTAGCCGACGCCAATAGCCACGGCCCAGCCAATGACCCTTGCCGCCGTCACCCCTCGATTTCGTTTTGCCCTCGCATGATTCACCCGCTCCACTGGGACTCCCAACCCTCCGGATCCCCGTTCTCCAGTCTGACCTGTCATTAAACCGCATCACTAGCCGTCTCGACGACTATAATAATAACAACCTCGCCTTCCCGCTGCCATCCCGGCCTCGCTTGTTCACTGCCGTTATTTTGTCACAGACCCTCCATCGTCCCATCACCCATTTACTCCAAGATTCATCCCTGGACTTGTGCATGTCTCCGTAAAGATGTCTGATCAGAGCCATCAGAGACATCAAAGCGAGGACAAGGAGGGCATCTCCAAGTATATGAAGCGTATGAAGACCGTGTTGAGAAGAAGCTCCGTTGCGTCCGGCTCTAGCAGCCATGGCGATACTTCTGGTGAATCCAGCAAGGCGGCTACGTATGCCCTTCCCCCTTCATTTTGATCTACCCCCCCTTTCCTGACCTGACAGTCACAGTCGTAAGTCGTCCGTAGCTCCTGCTGCCTCACCGACTACCACCGCTGCTGCTACTGCTCCCGCTGCTCCAACTCCTGCACCAGCTACCACTGTCGCTCCCGCCAAGAAGAATCCTATCCTCGTTTCTCATTGGAGTGCGATTCAGCAGGAGAAAACCCGTGCTCTGTTTGCCAAGTATGGTTTGGAGTACCACACCGCTGATGCGAACCTGCCCGGCGACAACGTCCAGCGTGTTGTCAAGCCCGTTCGCATGCGTGTCCACCGCACCTGTCATCGGTGCCAGACATCATTCGGAAGCAGCAAAACCTGCGTCAATTGCCAGCACGTTTGCTGCACCAAGTGCCCTCGCTACCCGGCAAAGAAGAGCAAAGAAGACGAGTCCAAGGCCCAGTTCAAAATCCCGACCAAGACCAACAAACCCGCTCACAAGCACCCGCTTACTATGCCATCCCGTACTGGTGGCCAGGACCTGGTTCGCAAGCAGATCCGCCAGAAAGTCCGTCGCTTCTGTCACCGTTGTAATACCATGTTCGAAGGACAGAGCACCGAGTGCGCCAAGTGCAAACATACCCGGTGCAAGAAGTGTCCTCGAGACCCGTATGTGGAAAGGCCCTTCCCCCTGTTTTCTTCAGCCTGACTGACTGCTGTTCTAGACCCAAATTACACAAATACCCTGATGGATACCCAGGGGATGTCGAACCACCGAAGGAACCGCAGCAACGAGTCTGGAGGAAGCCTACACGGAGAGTGCGCTACATATGCCACAAATGCTCGACAACCTACAAACCTGGTGATCCCAAGTGCTCGAACTGTGGTCAGACGAAGGGACCGGATACTTTGCGCGACCCGTATGTTGCACGCTCCGATCGGGAACTGTGCTGGGAAACGAGGCTGACTGCTTTGAATCTACAGGCCGAAGAAAGTGAAACCCGAACCCGACCCGGAGATAGTCAAACAGGTCGAAGAACGACTGGCGAAACTGCGCATTGAGAAATAAGGCATGACGACCTGATGACGAATTTCCCTTTGTGATCCGACGTGTGTTCTGCGTGTATGCCACTCTCAATGTAGCCAAGTCGACTATTTGATTATCATCATCTTGAGTGAAGTTGGTTACCTGTCTGCCAGCTCTGTTTGCTTTACGATGCTCACTCATACCGCCCACTTTCACTTCGATGTCATTCATTTCCTTTGCATTATACCATGACGTACCCAGTCGACCTAACTCAGTCAGAAAGGGGAAGACCAGACGAATTACAATACCCGAAGAGCAAATGCTCTCCGCTCAATCAATCGTTACGCTATGAATCCTACCAACAAGATGATGAGTTAAGATGAACGTGGAATGAATTTGAATTAACAACCACCGTACTGCTTTGAATGGGCCATAGTTTACGGAGTAGTGTTCCGGTAAAGCGTAATGACAGTAATTAAGAGAGCCCGACGGGAGCACCAGCTGTACCCATGGTCTGACCCGCGGGTGGGTCGTCCAGTGCAGGTGGGTTCTCTCCGTCCCGCCCGTAGCGAACAGTGATCCATTTGGATGATTACATGGAAGTTGGCAATGGATGATATGATTATCATGGTTGTATATGGACTCTGAGGGCCCTATTCATATATATATATATACATATATATGTGGATATATCATACATATCATCTATCCAGGTACTTGGGTGCTCCGATTGATTGTTACCATTGTTACCTCCGTATGTACTATAAATACCGGCTAATCAGCGGATGTTGAGATTCCTTTGTAATTTTCAGGAACATTGAACAGTCACAGACAGACAAAACAAAAAGAACTGGACCCCTATTGACAGCTACCATGGAATTCAGCCATACATCTTGACAGAGCTCCATTTGAATTTCATTCTGGATGAAGGTTGATATCCTCGCTTGGCAGTTTTGCCCTTTGCCTGGAAGTGTACTCCGTACAGTACAAACTTTTTCACTTTTACGTTTACCGGAGAACAATCTCGAATGCGATGCATGCACTGCCATGGCAAAGTATATCTGAGCAACTGCAGTTGATTCAGCTGCAGCTTTTGCTTCATTTTCCCAAATAGTATACTACAGAGTAAACATGAAGACACAAGAATAAACCTGCAAATACAGTTTCCCTATACCTACCTACCTCGCTTAGATACTTTTAACGCATACACTACAGAGTACCCATACCAACCTCGTATTAAGGTTGTCCACTTGGGCAAGTGTCCAATGTCTAGTATGATTAATTACCCAAAAATTAGGCAAAAGGTTCAACGGACACGAGCTGATATTGGGAGAGCGTACAAGGGACCTTTGGCTTGCGAGAAATAAGCATCGTGGCTTTTTCTCGCTTCACTATACAGCAATACAATATTTGTACTAAGCTAAATGTTACGGGGTATTCAGGATCGTCAAGTGTCGCAGCCAAGCGCTAAGCGTCTAAGCAGCGGCAAGTTGGTGCAGGGGTGAGTACTTATGAGTTACTACTTAATACTTATACTTTGTGGTGTTTGCTGTTTAGTGTCAGTGCTGGCGTTGTACTGCCACTGTGACGTTACATTTGTCGGGTGTCGAGCGTACGCCGTCGGTGTATACGGTACAAGTTACACAGGGTAGGTAGATACACTCGGTAATACCACTACGTATGGGGTACTGTATACAGCGATATGGATAATACAAGTTATGCAAGTCTGCTGGCTACTATTACTCACGGTGTATGCATAAATTCTAGCATAGCTCATGATGCCCTCTGCATGTCGCAAACATTTCCGAGTCGGTCTTAGTGACACTTCAATGTTAATTCCATCTCCACGAATCATCGAGAGTGATCTACAAGCAAACCAAAATATAAGAATGGAGACCGCTCTCCTGGACAGTGGGACACTAACTTAGAAGTTATGTACAAGACAGCGGAGAAGTATTATTATTAATTCTTATTCTGCGCTATCTACTCCGCACTATTTACCGTCCGCTTGGTTCGACCGTGTCCTATTCCATTTCGGGTATTATCTCCGTTATTACTGATATGTTAGTGATGTTGATCCTACAGTGTCGTTGACATGCTTCTATCACCCGAGTACGAAAAAGTACGAAAATAAAATAGCGTAGCTTGATTCAATATTTAGTCTTTCATTCTTGTGACATGGTGCCGGCAGTTCAACCAGCCATTGACCCGTGCATTCTGGATATCGTGAAGAGCTGGTTGTATTACTCCGAGAGATCCATGGATGAGCCTTGCTTATCTCGGACAAGCAAACTCATGTACTTCATGACGCGTGCTGCATTGCCACTAATCAGCAGTGTCCACTGTCAGGTACGATAGACGATAAACAGGCATGTAGAAACTCAACCTCAACTGCTTCAGCAGAGCACTAGTTCAGTCAATTCCGATTGGTCATGGTTCCAGTGCTAAGCTAGCTCTTATGCTTTCTGTCTGGGCTCTCGGGATTGTCAATGGGGGTTTAACATTCCGGTCCCCTATCTCGTGTTGTTGGGGAATACAGCGATAGTATCCTACTCCATGAGTCCATGCGGTACTATACTCTGTACCCAGGTATCTTCCACAGGCATTGACAATCATCAACTGCTGAGTGTCATGTCGGTGCTCAAACCAGACGTGGCTGTGGCCGTTACGCCCTGCATGTGCCCATGTCCTTGCAACGGGCGACGCTAGCCCCAAGACGGAAACTGGGACGCCACGGGCAGCGATCGGCGGCTCGGTCCGCTGGTAAGGAGGCTCGTGCGCCGAAAGTCATGTGATCCCATCTTCGGAAAAATACAGCCGTGGTTCACCGCTCCTTGCGTTTTTTTTTTTTCATTCATGAATACATACAGAGTACCTGGTAATACTCGAGAATTTACAGTAATTACTACTGTTACTTATTGGTCTCTGCTCGGGCCGCTTCCTTCGTACTTTTTCACCTCGCCACGGGTGACGGACAACAGCCTAGATCTATCTATATCCTCCAAGCGCCCATTCTCCCCTATCAATGTTTTCTGGCCCAAGCGGGCTCGAATCCACCTGCCGCCGGAAACATTTTCCCACTAGGCTGGCACTGTGGCAAGTTGCAACTGCAAGGCTTGGGCATTGCTCGATATTACTCTTTGTCCGACTCTCTGTCCGACGAACAACGCCTACAGTGTTTACAATACCGGGCTGTCTAGTCTGATCGGCGCTGTCAGCACCTTGTCGCAGGTAACCGACATACTGGATTTCATGTGCCGCTTCTTGGCTTTCCCTTTCCGTTTTGGTGCTCACCCCCTGCTCATCGAGTACATCTGAGCATGCCCTGAGCGTGAGATGAGCAGGGGTGACCTGAGTGGTGAGTAATATGTAACCTCAATAAATTGCACCCAGTTCTAGGACCCCTCAACTACATTGTTGTTTCACCACGTCAGTCGATACACGTTATTTGCCAAATTATTTCGATTGGAATAGGTGGCGAGGTCCACTCCTGGGAAAGACGCTATACTAGCAAGTCACCATGCCTCAAGACTCCTTCCTTCATCAATCATCTTGAGATCGACCTAGGCTTCTTCCAGTGTTTCCATCCCATGTCGGCACCTTCGACACCACACGTGTCTGGGCCAAGCAGCCCGCTAACCCTGAGGAAGAGGCAGCATCCATTTATTGACATGCTTACAGAATTGATTGCGAGTGTAGGCTCTGATGCTGGTATGTTGTACCCAATCTTCATGTATAGATAAGACCCCCACGCTGATCTTACCTCAGTTGGACTTCATTCTGGAAGGGAGAGTCTTCAGAAGCTATTGTTGAGGACACTTATTGCAGACTAGAAGCACATGAAGAAGAACTTGCAGTGAGAAATTTGCCAGTCGAAGGAAAGGTCCACATTGAGTCTTAGATTCCAACTAGGACAGATATTATCAGTGGTAACATTGGCTACACTATCAGATATGATATTGCCATGCCATTGATGCCGAAGATGTTTGAGAGTACCTCGCTCATTGTAGAAGTGAAGAGGAAGTGACTTGAGAATCTTGTATAGGCTTTGACATATGGCCCTTGCAGTTAGGGTGTGTTAATAGGTCAATTTTGCAGTTGAAGTTATCTGGTGATACTTACTGCCCTTCAGAGATTTTCCCCCGGGCGGAAGGTTGAATGTTGCTGTCGACCATGACCAGGAGCAGTAATGCATACACCTCAAGAGAATAACATTCACAAGTTACTTGCAGACACCATTTAGCGGTGATCTCAAGGCATAGCCTGTTCTGCCATATGCACAGCGCTGCATCCAAATAAGGCGACGCGCCCAGGCAAATCGAGGTTCCATAGTACGGTGGTTATCATGCAACATTGTGGTGAAAATACAACTCTAGTAGTTGCAAATCAAGGTGGAGTGTGGGCTGAGTGCTCAATAGATGCCTCTGAGCAATCTGTGAGCAGCCGATATATGCCCAGTGAGCCTGACACTGGGCACCCTCCCTCATAAGAGTGGTGGCAGCCAAACTAGGCAAGCCCAACCCGCTATAGAAAATTCTGTACATAAAGACCAGATAGGCTGTTGGAATTGAAATCAGGCTTGTTTACCGAGAGCTGCGTTCCCCGCCTCATTATTGCACTCATTCGTCCGTTCTAGAATCATGTTCAGGGGAAGGTGGGGAGACCTTCATATATAAGCTATTCTTTCTGATCAACGGTTCCTTTTGCACTGGGCGACGATGGAGCTTTCCCAATACCTCTCAATATCTTGTCGACCAATTCCTGCTGGCGAAATACATTCCGCCAGTTGGATCGGAGCCGGCGCCAGGCCATAGCTGTCGTGGCAGGATGAGACTCGGGTGATTTTTCAGATTCATTACAACACTCTATGGGCCTCTGGAGTCGGGGATTGTCGCCACTATTGATTGTTACATGAGGATAATCACGTAGCTCTACGGCGAAGACTGTCTCTAGCATCACGCTCGGGTGACCGTCTTGCAGCAGGTGGGACCACAGCGTCGAGATTCCTGCTGCATACTTACTCCTGAAAAAAAAAAAAAAAAAAAAAAAAAAAAAGTCGATCCGGTCTACGGAGGATTACCGGCCCTCCTGCTGTTTCATGGACAATCGAGAGCGTCGGCGTTGCAGTCCGGACTTTGTCGGTATGCGATTTTGAGATGCCGAGTTCTCAATAATATGTCGACTTGCCATGTGATTCGGATCCGCCTTGGTACTTTTGATGCCAGCACTCTCCTCCACTATTGCTCTACTAAACGCCGGGCTGCCTAATCCTTTGAATCCTTTGAATTCTCGGTCTATGTGGTCTCTTAATGGGGCCTGAGAGATGCACCAGATTCAATCACATTCCTAGAAACAATCCAGAAAGAAACATGAGTACGTTCATCCGAACACGTCCAGCACTGCTGATGCTGACTCGCCGATCATCAACTTCTCCAAAGCTTTCATATGCCAAACCGTTACCAGGCAGTAAAAGACATCCTCCAGCGACCAAGTTCCGCACCAAGCCTGGTCCAACATCACATCGGGAGACACGATGTCTTTAACGTAGAATGCATTTTAGGACTGTAGCCCATTTTGGCATACTCGTCGTGTTCGCCCCCAAACGTCGTCAGTTCCCATTCCAGACACCGCTCGCAGAAGGCCTTCTCGCATGAGACAATAACAGTAAAGCAAGCTTTCCTAGCAATCCTGGGCTGCATTTGCTTTCCCACAGTTCCGGCAGAGTTTGACTTGAAGATCGTGACAAGATGTTTCTGCCCAATGCGGTGCGCTCTCGAAGCAGCTTGTTTCATAACTCGAAGATTCCGGTCTTGGTCTGGGAAGGCCACGGTCGATAAACTCATCAGGTTCAGACCTTTGCCACCAGCGCGGATTGAGATCAAGAAAACCTTGTTGTATCTATCATCGTTGTTGAACAGATAAACGTTGAGGTTTCTCCACCGCTTGATGTCCTACCATCCACTCCAGTCTCACAGACCGGAAAGGGGTGTTGCCATCCTGACAAATTTCTAGAAGGCCTTCCACGAAATCAAGGCCTGCTTCGAAGCCGGAAAAGCGCAGTAAGTGTCTTCATGTACCAATGGCATTGAATTTCTGAGAGTGGCAGTGAGAGTGTGATCTCCGTCTTTGGCGGAATACCAAGGTCCTCCTCAGGAGACTCCTTGGTTCGGCAAAGCATGACGATCCGAAGGAAATTTTTTTGTTCAGTTCAAAAATTCCCGGTCCACTTTACCCTTGGTCAGCGAGAAAGCCTCTTTGAATAGCTTCAAGGTGGATTTTGTGAAAATATCCGGTGTAACCAATGGAAGGTTGACCAGAGTTCTTTGATATCAATTTGTACCGGAGTGCTTCGACGGGTTGAAATCAATGCATACTTGAGATAATGGTTGGTGGGAGACACTTCCGAGAGCACCAGCTTGAAGGCCCTCCTCAGCTTCTGAAGGGTCTGGGACTTTTCGGTCAAATGATTTTTTTATCCGGTGGCCTTCGTCCAGAACGATACACCTCCAGTCGAATGCCTTTTAAAACCACTACACATCAGTGGTTAGCACATCGGGAGTCGTGAGGACAATGTCAATCCCGGGCTTTCGAGACGATACAGATTGAGTGGGTTATACAGATCCACGTTGACTCTGGCTCCCTGCAAGCACTGTCCTCAAGTGTCTGTGGTCCTCCAGTGAGCCATAGTACTTGAGGGCATTCAGGAAGGGGAACCCACTTTTCAGCCTCGGAGGCCCAAGATCCAAGCACGGTCAAAGGACATCCTACTAGGAAAGGAGCAGGTATTGACCCAGTGTCTCCTTTTCTCTCAGATGTTGAAAGAGGGCAAGCGTCTGCAAAGTCTTTCCAAGACGCATCTCATCGCCCCAAATGCCACCAACATCATCTTTATCTAGGTAGGCAAGGAAAGAAAGTACTTCCAATCGATGGGGTTTTAGCTCCGCTCGCAGACTATTTCGTGAATTGGTCAGTCTATAGCGTTGAAAATGTCAATGGATCATGTTCGATTTTGGCAAAAGAGGGAGGTTTATATCATTCTTCTTAATGAAGAAGGCATTCATCCAAACTATTTAATTGCCACACAACTACACCTGGCATATTGAATTCTTCTCGGTGCAGCTGAGACTCGCATGGTATCTTTCCGGATGATTGCGGACTGTGTGTGGACACCAGTTTTATTAGGAACCTGGGCTCATTCCATGTTTGCATAGGGCTTGCTTCCATGCACAGGATAACCAAGGAAGTGAATATTAAAGTATAATAATGACCGTAAACGTGATAAGGTGTATGTAAAAGTCCACAGGACTATCATATAAAACACTTATAATCTGTAGACACTAGAACTAGAAATTGATATTCACAGAAGTTCCTAGTGAGATAAGTCTGTTAACTTGGAATCAGATATGCTGCTGAACATGAGGAATATGAAAGTCATGAAGAGTAATTGACTGCTTCTATGGATAGAAGTATTCTCTCTGCATCCCCAAATCCATAGAGCCAACCGACCTCGGCACATCACGTGAGACAAAATTATCTTATCAATCAACAATCATCTCAAAAAGTCAAAGGCATCAACTATTCCTCATAGCTCATCGATAAAAATCATCATCCCATGAGGAGTATCTATTAATCAAGACAAATAACTCTAACAAAGGCAAAACACCAACATGTCCACCTCCACCAAACCCCTCAAAATGCACATCGCCCACCAACTCCTCGCGCGCGCCCACTCCCCCGACACAGCCTCGCAGCTCTTCACGGAAAGAATCAAGCAGAAACCCCTCTACCTCCGTCCCACCTCGCCCACACCCGCAGACAACCGATCACGACGTCGTCTCCACCGTCTCCGCAAGAAGGAATACTTCCTCCGTAAGCAGAAGCCGAAGCCGCTGTCCGCGCGCGAGAAGCGCATCTCGGGCATCTACGATATCCCCAAGGATGAATGCAAGTATGCCATTTTCAAGGGGTTGCACGGGCTGTGGGTGGAGTATATGCAGGAGGTGCTGGATTTGAAGGACCTGGATCAGCAAGGTGCTTCTGGGAGAGCACAAAAAGTGACTCCCCTGTCCCATGGGAGTAAATTGGCCAGTGCCGATTTTCATGGTGCCTTGCTTGAGGTTGTTAGGAGTCGGTGTTTTGGGAGGGTTGGGATTAGGGGTATTGTTGTTCGTGATACTAAGTTTACCTTTGTAGTTGTGACAGAGGGGGATGAGGTGAAGAGTGAGTAGTCCTTCGCTTCAAGACTTTTTCTGGTTTACATTGCTAATATGTGAACTACTATACAGCTATTCCCAAGGAACAAACTGTTTTCCGCTTCTCTGTTCCTTTACCCAAGTTTATTTCCGAAGACGCCGAATCCGATGTCAAAATGACTGGACACGATACTGCCAATTCCAATTCCAGTCCTAGTTCCGATCAGAAGGAATTCGTGTTCGAGCTACACGGGAGCCAGTTTCAGAATCGAGCTGTCGACAGAGCCAACAAGAAGTTCAAATGGAGGAATATCGACTACGTATAATCTATTTATGGTCGGATCGAACAGAGATGAGAATTGGCACGGTCAACTTTCTTGCTTGGTGGCATACATTTTCTGCAAAGCCAGACAGGATGGGAGAAAAAAGTCCACCCGAAGCTGTCTGGGACACAGTCACTGCATGACTGCCAGACCCAGCGTTCGAATACCAGTAACTGATGGCATGTCCAGGGATGAATCCCGAGGTCTTGTCCATGCTCAGCACTGGTTTACAGATGTTTCATGGCCAGAGGCCTATCGTGCTATTGTGTCAGGAGGCGAGCATCCTGGTAATTTGCTGCCTAGTTCGGCCTGATAGCGCAAGGAGCCCTTGTTCTCCTTGGAATTGAAGTCGAGGAGCAATAGAGGTTGTCGACTAGAATGTCTACCAAGAAAGCTTTTCTTGCAGGAAGATACTTATCTATGTATCGGTGCAGAAACAGTTGTGGCAGATAGTCAAGAGACATTGCATTGATAGATAGCAGACAGGCTAGACCATTTTCTGATATAATTAGCTCTTACGCGAGACATATTCGTGATTCTAGGTCGTCTGCCAATTATCAGAGTAAGCAGATTAAGGGTGTTTCTCTCAAGAGATAACAACCAAGGGAGTTGAGTTTTTACAACACCGACGAATTGTGTCGTAGCGCTCATTTGGCATGGACTCCTAATAGTAAGCACAGCATCAGCACGGCCCTGAAAATGGCCGCATGCTCAATTGCCCCTTGCAATGCCTGTATTTTCGGGAGAGCCCTAGGTGGTTTGCCCAGTGTCCCCAGCTAAGGAGATGGTGCGTGCCCAGATGGACAAGAACGGCCAGCGATGGTTCACATTCCGGCCCATTCGATGCTGAAAGTCCTTATGCTATCATTTCCCTGGGCTTCAGAATGTTCGGCTTTCCTTTCAGCCCCGCCGAGGAGAAATCCCTTTTTCACACCTGTGCCCAGTCGGCCCCCAGCTATGATATCCATCAGATCGATTTCCTGATCCCATTCGGCGGAAACGACCAGAAAGTGGGAGTGGAACCGGAGGGGATCGCCGGGGTATGCAAGGTACTCGCACCCGAACCGTAGACCGGGAGACAGAAAATAACCCTTGGAGTGCAGATGTGCAAACAATGGATATGAAGACGGGACCTTGGGAAGTGGCAGGAGCTGCGCGGGCGACGGCCGAGGGAGAGGAGGATAGGATGTGGCAGGCGTGATGCCCATTGCCATCTCAGGCGAGATGATGGAAGCGCGAGATGATGCCAACCTGCTCTCCGGAAGCGGTTCAGGTGCAAAAAGGTCCGAGGGTGCTAGACTTTCCTGTTTCTCATCCTGCTTCTCACCGGAGGCAGTATCCTCATGTTGTGGATTCTTCTTGGCCTTCGCAGCCTTCTTTTCTTCCAACTGTTTTAAAGCTTCCTCTCGTTGCTGCTCTTTCCGACTCATCTGCAGCCGCATGGCTTGGGCGCCCTGGGATTTCAAATCCTGGAGATATGCTTTTCTGTCGTTTTCCACGAGGGCTTTCATACCATCGTTGTGGGCTCTGGCCTCATCTACAATGTAAGCTACGCCTTTTTCCACCAGCAGGCGCGCCTCCTCGGGCATCAGCTCTAGCGGAAGCCCCAGAAAGACATTCTGCTGCGGTATTTGGGGCAAGGTTCCGATCAGGACACCACAAATATGATGTTCCCGTCTTAAATACGTGACTGCATCAATAGAGAAAAGATAGTAATTACTCGAAATGTACGAGATAGGAATTGGAAGGTCAGGTTGAGAGGCCATTTTGATGGCTGGCTCCAGTGACTATCGACTCAAAAGGTATTTCACTGTTCCAGGACGATGTTAGCATCCATGTTTGAATCGAAATGGAAGCAAGACAGCAGTATAAAGCAAGCAAGTCATTCTCAATACGTTTCTCAATCACATGTGCTCGATTTTAAAGATATGGTAATGAGCTTCAGGGGATTGACAGATTATTTGTAGTTATATAATCATGCAAGGAAGACAAGGGAAGATATGTTCTTATGCAGACTTACCATCAATAAAAAATAGTCATTATATCTTATCCAACAATGTCCCTCTCATCAAGGACGCGAGTTGAAAAGCTGAAAAGTGGGAGATTTGGAGATTTTTGGTGGGAAGAAAAAAAAGCGAAAGAGAAGAAAAGACGCCTTTCCTCTTTCGGCAATATCCGACAGCCCGACTCCGCATTCCGACATCAACGATGCTTCTTGATTCTTGCTTCTTGACCAGCAACGTTGCCTCGATCGAGTCAGTTACTCCGCAATACAGAATGAACTTCTGGTTACTTGTCCTTCTTGTCTTCTTCTCACCGTTCCTCTTGCTTCTAAGTTACTACTATCCGTTCCCTTTCCCATGACGCTGCTGCTAACTGATTGATTCTCTGAAGCATGGCTTGGCCTTTCGTTTTGTCTAAGGAACGCTCCGACTGCCCGCGTCGCACATTATTTTCATAGTCAAAGCGCATATGGGAGGGGCTATTTTCGATCCATGGCTAGTACCGGGCCTGCCATGTCCGAACAGATCGAGCTGGAAGATATGTTTGCCGAGTCAGAACCAGACCGATAGGCCTTTTAGCATGGGATCAGAATTCGAGGTCCGATTTCTTGGGCATTCCACCTGAAACTGCCGCTTCCTGTGCCTCCTGGTCCCCTTCAGCAGGAGGCAGGCTGAACGGTTTGATGTCGAATCTCCTCCTGCTTAGCGTGAATGCCCAGTCCTGTCCAGTGTGTTCTACATTCCCACCACCCCGTTCGTGGAGCACTGGTAGCCGATGGATCTTTAACATGCCCTGTGGCGGTTCCTCCTGAGATGTTGCGGCCCCCGAGGTTGCAATGGCGTCTGAAGAGTGTGGGAAGGGACAAAGCTCGAGAACCCCATCGCAGATGATTTCCATCCACCGCACAAGACCCGACGATCGAGGGAAAAGAGATAGGGGCAACGTGATTATTGCCGTGACTCGCGTAGCATATGCGGCCATAAGGGCCCTGAGGGAATGAAGGAACTGCAGGACATATTCGGGTTGACTGGATTCTGGTGGGTATATTGTGGGGTTAAGCAGGGAAGGTATCACAATGCGATGGACCGTGTTAGGAGGACTTGAATTAATAGCAGACAAAAGTCGCTGATGGATTAGGAGAAATGGTGATTCTCTCGAGGGCACGACAGGTATGAATGTCATGCTGGAAATTGAGGGATGGGCAAGACGCTTTGTGAGGTCGAAGGAATGGCAGAACGCTGGTTGTCTGTCCGGGCTGCTGTCTGCTGTAGACTTACTCGGATCACCTGAGGCTACGGGAGCTGGAAGATACCATTGATTATTAGCATGCTAGCTCACTGAGACAAGGCAAAGAAAAAGACCGGCAATTCTCACTTCTTGAACCTGCAATACCCGTTCCAAACTCTCCCAGGCGTTCATACCGCCACGCAATCTTCATGCGCTCATCCTTCCGCCTCTCAGACTTTTCATCTCGAGTGTCTGCAGGTCCTATCAGCCCAGGGAGGCTTTTCCCCCACTGTTCGGGCATCCCAACGACATGAACCTTCTGATCCTGCACCACGCCCTCAGCGGCATAGTACCTCAATAACGTCCCGGTAAAATCTGTAGTTCCGTTCTCTTCAATCAACAGCATCTTCCCCAGGGGAAGTCCAGCATGTCCGGCCAAGAGGTTGTCGAGGGAAAGAGTTCCTGTGGAGGTTGTAGGCCGACCATCATCGGGCGACGGACGAACGCCGGGAGTCGACTCTGGAACGAGGGCAGGAGGATGCGGTTGCGCAGGAGCATTTGCTGCCGCTACCCGATCGGCTCCTGGTGACAGACCTATGTTTCGTTTGCGGAATGACATGTTGGATGCAGACAAAGTGGTGAGCTCCGGTGAAAAGGCATGCAGATAGATTTCCATTTGCGGCGGGGCGCTTCAAGGCGGGCGGCGCTAGCAGGAAAAAAAGCTTCCGCTTTCGTCTCGAGACTTGCGCCTTGAACATCCTCCAGCCCCGTTCTGCGTCTGCTCTTTCACATCCTCACCGTTTTGTCTAGTGTTCTCCTAGCAGACACTGCAGATTCTTTAAACCCGCGCTTCTCTCCCTGCTCCCTGCTTCCTGATTTTACCCGCAACCATGGCCGATCCGCTTCTCTTTGAAGACACCTTCACCATCACCGGGATCAATTCGCAGAAATACGATCGCGTCTCCCGTCTGACATGCACGTCCACTGACTCATTGACAACTTTTACTCTCGATGTCAATACAGAGCTCTACCCCTGCTCTGTGGGAGAGTCTGTCTCCATGGCCCTCGCGTCGACGCTTTCGCTCGACGGCAAGGAAGACACCGGGGCGAGAACTAGCTGGAGGGAAGTTGGGATAGGCGAGCAGACTCTCGCGAATGATTACGACTACGTCTGTCATGGGAAGATCTATCGGTTTGAGGAGGGTTCTACTACGGGAAATATGTAGGTTTTCGTTTTGTCTTTCTGCTTTCCTTCGTTTGAAAGAACTCTTTGCTCAGAGTGACTAATAAATCACGGGTAGGGCTGTCTTCATCTCCTTTGGTGGATTGCTGCTTTATCTTGAGGGCCCCTACAAGAAGCTCGCACCGTTGAGGATTGATTACGTTTACTTGCTTCTTAAGAAATGAGTGATATACATTGCTCTGCTCTTCCTAATCTCGGGGATTCTTTTTTTCATTCTGGAACCAGTCATAACGGTCTCCGTTTCATCTAAAAAGTGCGGTTGTATATGTTGAATTTCTTTCGGGTGCAGCGTCGGCGTTCGAACGGTATTGGGTATCGAATAATAGATTATCAAAAAATACAGCCATGCATATGATATGATATATACACATGAATCCTCGACATCTATTTACTGGAATGCAGTGCGAGTTGGGAATTCTAGGAGACGGTGCAATCTGGAGATGATCTCCAGGTAATCAGGCTCGTTCTCCGGCGTCAGAATGCCGTGTCTGATGAAGAAATCGATGAGGACGAGGGCGCAATTTGGCTTGAACTCCCCGTTTGCCAGCGCCTGCTTGCATTGCTCGATGGAAAGTAGATAAAACTCTTCAACCTCGGAATCGCATGGCTTGGGAATAACATTGGCCGGTAGCTTCAAGTCGTAAATGTATTCCACTTCCGGTTGCAACAAGCCTGTTTCTCCCCCGGCTCGCGAATCCCTGATGTACACATATGAGATACAACCAGCTGCAACCGCATTGGCCTTGACGACGTCTTCCGGGAGAGAGGCCTCCTCCATCGCTTCACGCACGGCACACTCAGACGGTCGTTCTCTCGTGCTCATCCCACCAGCAACGGTGTTATCGAGCATGCCCGGAAATGTCTGCTTCGTCCTCGACCGTCTAGGAATCCATAACTTCAGTCCACTGCCGTCCTCCGCCTCCACGTATCCTGTAAGGTGCACGCCGTACGATACTATCCCGAAAAGCGGAGTCGCAGATCTCTCCATCTCAAGTAAGAACTCCCCTTCAGGGCCGTATATGGGATACATTTCATTTCGCCAGCCTTTGAGGATCTCAAACTCTCCCCAACGGATGGTCTCAGCCAGCGTCTGCGCCATCAGCGCGCTGCGCTGGGTGGGGGTGGCATGTGAGGCCGTGACGAGAGTAACGGTTCGGTTTGAGGAATCAACAGCCCAGCAACTCGAGGGCAACCGTAGCTTGTTCACCACTTCATTAGGGATGTATCCGAGAATGGCGTCGCATCCGGTGACTTTAAAGGAATGGTAGTTTTTCAAGTTGGCTGTGTAGAATGCGGGGTCATTTTCGTAGTACGGGAAACTGGGAGGAGTAGTTGTCAATTGGATGTTATAGAGTGGGAAAAGGATTTTTTATAGGTATATACATACTTGTTGCATTCCTTGACCAAGTCAAGATATGACTTCGCCATCGTGGATGTCTGAATTGCAGGCTATGTTCAAATTGCATGAAACCTGATTATTACTGTAAGAGTAGTAGATACCGGTTGACTGCCAGATTTATAAGGCATTTTACACCTTTCCTCTTCCGGATAACCCTTATCGATAAGGGCATTCGATTTCGTCACATTCTGCGAGATTCCATCGGCTGATCTCGCAAGTCAACAGGTATTTCTGCTGTCCATCGCCACGGTTTCCCTGCTACACGGGCTATTAAAGGGCAATTGGACTTGCTAGGACTATGCGCACAACTCACTAATCCGTTACATTGCAAGCAGTTATATTCCTCTAACCGCCGATCCGATCTGAATTTCCCTCCCCCGCAATCGAGTGGCGACAGCCATGTTCTCCGTCATCATCCCAGGAAGACCATGTCTAACAGACATTGTGGCCGTAGATAGCCAGGTCAACCCCTCGAAATTCACCTTCACTTTCCCCTTGAACCCGCAATTCTCCGAAATTGCCGTCTTCTACCTCCCCGGCACCGTCCTGCCTCAGGACACCGCTGCAGCTGTCTACATACAACTCCCAGACGGGCGCAATGTCAACCCGTTCCAAGCACAGCAGCCTCCTGAGTTTAAATTCCTGGGGGCATTAACAAATGATGAACCGTCAGCCATCTTCAGAGTTCGCGACCCGAGCCCTCACTATGGCCAACGAAGACGGACAGAGGCTGAAGAAGAAGATGAGATGCTTGATGAAGGCGCCGCGAATGGCCCCGGTGGAGCATCGGTAGATGGCACCGTGACGTTGGGGATCGCAATTGAGCCGTTCCAGGTCGTTGCGCCGCAAGTGGCTCAGTTGAAGGCTACTGCGGAGTCCAAGCCGTCGACGGATCTCATGGTTCAGCCGCAACAATTACGACAGCAGAAACAGACCACAACCAAGGAGCTTGCGCAGAGGATTATCGGGAATGCATTCAATTACTTGGCGAGCTTTGCGTCGTCGGATAACGATTCTGTTCCGCTGAAGACGTTCCGGGATTGGTGGAACAAGTTCGAGAGGAAGCTGGAGATGGATCCGACGTTTTTAGAAAAAGGGGAAGTGAATGAATAGTACGGAGGTATCGGGGAGTTTGCTTGCCCGGCGTTTTTCTGTTGTAATTCTGGGTGGATATTATCCATCTCGGGTACATGAAAGGCCTCTATATTTCATGGGATGGAAAGAAAAAGAGATATCTATTCAATGCATCAGGGTTGGTCGCGTTCAAATGTATTTCTCATATGTACAAAAGAATCAATGAAAGGTCTATATAAACAAGTCTAACCCATGTCTAAGGCAGTACGCTGTACAAGAATACTGATATCAACTCTGTACTCCGTCCACATGCTTCATTCGAGCAAAAATTTCAGAAAAGTAGCTCCAATGGCAACCCCATCATTCTCGAAGCCCGCTCTATGAATGGCATCCTGGGCCTGCTCCTCGGAAAATACACCAGCACTCCTACGCAGTGTCACGATTTCCGTTATGATTTCCTCTGTCATCTCCGGATGGCCCTGAACCGTTATGAAACGACCCGGTCGGTACATTGCTTGGACAGCACAGAGCGGGGAAGAACCCAGTGCGACGACGTCGGGCGGGTAGTCGAAGACTATGTCGCGGTGCAACTGTTGGATTCTCTGATACGTTCATTGGTGAGCATGGGTGTTACGTCTGGAAAAAGCGCGTGATATACTCACGAGCTTGTCCTTTCCAAACAATTGCTTGCCCTGATCGGTCAAATCGACATCGCACACAGCCAACTCCCAGCCCTTGCTGCTTGGGCCGACTTTGACGTTGAGCGCGCGGCCGACGATCTGGTGTCCAAAGCAGATGCCGAGAAGTCGGACCCGGTCGTGCTCGATGACCTTCCGGGTGAAGTCGACTAATCTGTTGATCCAGGGGATGTCCTCGTAGGAGTTGTGCTCTGTGTACATGGGTGGCTCAATTAGCTAACGTCAACAACGATCGCAGACAGCTATAGTGGAATAAACGCACTCGATCCCGTCAGCAAGATGGCATCCACATCCTCCAGTTTCGGATACTCGGTTCCATTCACGATGTCGAACCGGGAGATCTCTAGGCCAGATTCAGGGTCTAGCTTATCGGGTTCATTCAATGCCTTTGCGCTCTTGCGGAGGAGGGATGTGAAGACGCCCGCATAGCCGTGGTACTTTGCGTCTGCTTTGGGGACGGGTGTGTCGCATTCGAGGACGGCGATGCGGAGGGGGAGGGGAGGCATGGTGCTGTCGACTGCAGGGTCTTTTCTTTCCTGGCCAAGGAGTGTCGGGAGTTCTTGTTCTTGTTGGGATGTGAGGACCTTATCATTGCGCTTTTGATGGAATACGAGATGCGGGGCAGGAACAGAAACCTCTTTCTAATATCTAATGTTTGTATCCATGGAACGGCCTGGCTACGAGTATTACATATCAGTCAGACTCACTCCAACGCTTCTTTCTCCCTGGCCAACCTCCCATCTCATCAATTGCATCGCGTCCCACGGCAAGCCGGACGGGCAGTTTCTTCCCCGCAAATCTCCCTGTCCTATGGCCACTGCTCAAGAGAGTCGTCCGGAAATACATCGTGCAATGGGCCAATGCCCCTGTTGAATTTATCTGTAGCTTTCCTGCATTTGAGCTCATGGGAGGAGGCTATCCGTCTCCAACCTCCGAAGAGATGTGGTTAACTCATCTATCTTATGAGGTATAGCTCTGCTATACTACTATTTGCTAGCAACTACGGCCCAAAGGCAGGGATCAGCGAAACTGACAAGCGGCGTTCTGATCACTAATGGGGCAGAGAACATCTCCAAAAAACAGCGCGTCCTCGTGGCACCAGGAAATTCATGTCTAAACATCGTCACATACTGACCCGACGCAACAGATTCCTTTCTACAGAATGGTGACGGGGGTGGACGATGGGTACTTTCTGCAGTCTGGATATTATCTGATGAGAATCGATAATTGGCAAAGTGGATACAAGCAGGTGAGGAAACCATTAACCTCACCTCTTGCGCTGGACAACGAGAGGCTGACAACTTCGGTGATTTAGATCTAGTTATCAGGTTCAGATTGATACACGTATTTTCCGCCAGCCGAAGAGCCAAGAATGGACCGTCGATCGTGCTACCCTGCGTCATATCGGCATGTATTGGGGTGTTGTCAAATCCCGCAGGTCTTGCTAGCAGTATCATCAACGCGCTGAAAAGGTCCCATGCCACCTTGGTAGTCTTTCATGCCACTCAGGTCAACACGATGGCTACTTTGGATTGCTGTTCTGCATCGAAGCAAACTTCCATTGCCCTGTTTCTGGAATTCCAAGTTCGGCGACGCGCCCTTCTAATCTCGATGCGTTTACGAGCCAATTTACCTGTCCCTGAGAGACCGTGTTGAAAATGACCAAATCTTCGGCGAAATGCATGATGAAGGAAGCATGGGGTGGGCCAGAAACCACACTGCTTTGAGGCATCCAGTGCGTTCTTCTGGAACTGTACAGTTGAAGGGTATAAAACATGGGACTTGAATAATGTACATGTTCCTCCACAAGTTGGTGAGGATAATGCAGTTTACAAAAGAAGAGCTGGTACGGCTGTGAGGTTATATTAGCCGTCAGTGCCTCAGGCGTTGGCGGCTCACTGAAGGACTGAGACATAATAATATTGGGCTTACACAAGGAATATAATAATGTGAACAGTATATTTACTCACAAATTGTAGATTGCGCAATTCAATGCGGGATTCCCCATAATCATCCACATAAAATTATTAAAAGAGGTGAATGATAGCGTCGATAGCGTGTGTCGCGGGCCGCTCGGTCTCAGCAATTCTGTGAACTCTGTCAGTCACTCTCAAGTAATTGCTCTGGAAACACCCCGGATTAACCCCAAATGATCCCAGAGTCAACGTTTCCTAAGTCCACGAGGCGCCGAAATGCATCAAGAAGACATAGAGGGAAGATCCCAACCACAGAACAATGCCAACGAGTCAACCCCTCTGCTCGGTGACCGCTCCTCCGCACCACCGCACAAAGGCGCCGGCTATACTGTCGCTGAAGACACGGAGTCCGATGCGGACGACGATACGGCCGTCCTTGGGCTCGCGAGAGTCAGTTCGATCTCTCAAGGCGTTGAGGTCGGGCCGGACCTGGAAAGCATCGCACCGACTGCCGCAGCGTGCGATGTTCGAGAGACTTCAGACGAGGGAGATGACTATGCTTCTCGATTTATCAATGTATCTCCAGTCAGGTTTTGGCTGATTTTCTCTGCCATCTTGCTGGGATGCGTCATTGGATTTTTCGACTCGACCATCATGGCGTCCAGCCATCCTGTTATTACCTCCTACTTCCATGCTTCCAATGCCGCCTCGTGGCTCTCCACAGCTTTCCTATTAACCTGTACCGCGTTCTCTCCTCTCTTCGGACGCGTGTCGGATACCCTGGGCAGGAGACCGGTGTTCCTGTTCGCAATTTTCATCTTTTTTGTCGCTACGGCGTGGTGTGCGGCCGCTCAAAGCATCGGTAGCTTTATCGCCGCCAGAGGTCTCTGTGGGCTCGGTGCTGCCGGCGTCTTTTCCATGGGCATGATCCTCTCCAGTGACATGGTCCGGATAGAGTATCGCGGCATCTATCAGTCATACATCAACCTGTTCCTCGGCTTTGGCGGCTCCATGGGTCTCGCATTTGGTGGGTTCCTGTGCGACCAGGTAGGATGGAGAGGCGCATTCCTCGTGCAGCTCCCCTTCATCCTTCTTTATTTCATCATCGCCGCTTTGACCGTCCCCGCCGATATGGGACTAGTGAGGCCCAAGTCCGAACGTATGACCTTATCCGAGTTGATCAGAAATGTCGACTTGACCGGTTCCTGTATCTTGGTTGTCGGCGTCACGGCATTGATTATGGGACTGAACCTTGGTGGAAACGTCTATAGCTGGGGCCATCCCATCGTCATCACATCCCTGGTTGCTTTCTGCGTCTTGGCCGTCTTCTTCATCAGCTACGAACGGCACGTGGAAAGGGCAGTGATGCCAGTGGAACTGTTGTCGAAGAACCCTCGTGCAGGTCTGATTTTCGGAAACTTCTTTGGTTGCATCTCCGTCAACACCGTCTTTTTCAATGCCCCGTTGTATTTCCAAGCTGTTAAATTGGCAAGCCCAACCGACTCGGGTCTCAGAATGGTTATGGCTACTATAGCCGTCACTGGCTCCAGCGTCTTCACAGGCTTCTTGATCACTTGGACGAAACGCCTCAAGCCAGCTGTGATATTGGGTGGGGCGTTCCTTTTGCTGGGTGGCCTTGCTGCAGGATCGATGGATATCGACACCCCGGAAGCAGTAGCGATGACCTTCCTGTCCCTATCGAGTCTCGGACAGGGTTTTTCGTTTCCGTCCGTGACGGTTGCGACTCTTGCTACTAGCAAACAAGAGGAACAGGCCGTGGTCACAACGACTCTGGGCCTGTGGAGAAACCTGGGATCGATAATGGGAGTGGCCATTAGCAGTTGGATCTTTCAGAATACCCTCTTTTTCCGACTGGAGGAGATGGTGACGGAGCCGGACAAGGAGTCCATCGTTCTTCTCGTACGCAAGTCGGTCCGTGCTATAGTGACATTGGATCCGATGCATCAACGCCAAGGTTTGCGCTTGTCTAAATCGAATGGAAAGGAAACTGCATCATAAAGCTAACCAAGTTCAATCCAGTGATCGGTGCTTATGCGGCAGCACTCCGTACTACGCTCTTCTCGGCGGCCATCTGGGGGGCTGCTATGCTCTTCTTACATCTCGGGGTGCGATTGCCACGACTAGGCAGAAAGGCTTAGAGAAGATCATCTCTCACAACTATCCGGTGCTGACGAGAAAGACTATCGGATGTGCTGGTGGATACGCATCACGGAATTCCTGGAAAATGAAGGAAGGATATATTGCCTTCGAACCACAATGATGACACTGATGAAACAGCATGTGAATACAAATTTATATACTTATGACACAGCACATACGGAATGAATAGACACTGAGATATCAAAGGTATGGATGGATTTTCCATCCTCGTAGGTAACCAGTCTTGAATAATCAAGGGGATATCATTCAGTCTTGCAAATTCCCAAAATAGGTTTACTACAAGGCGTAAAAGGAGACTCCCCATACGAGGACGACTTGTTCAAGGGGGTTTGCGTCGAGGGACGGATACTTGAGCTCCAAAGTGCCTTCGCATAGAAGCTCATGAAGGAAGTCTCTATCCCCAGTGGTAGGACAATGGCCTGCTCAAATGATATGCTATCAGGGATAGGCGAGGTCAGGTACTCCGGGGCCACTGTATAGAGCTGGAAAGAGCCGTAGACGTCTTTCTGGAAACCCATGGATGTTGCCTGAGCTATGACTCGCTCGCCGACGCGAAAGCGTGAATTGTGGCTTCCGACTGCCACGACCTCACCGGCGCTTTCGTGGCGAGAACACCAGGGTAGCGGAAAGGGACAAACTCGAAGTCCTGGATCTTCCTGTTGATTTGGTTAATGCCTATAGCGCGCTTTTGGATGAGAATTCCATTTTCGCCTGGGAACTGGTACGGTGACTCTTGGGTTTCCAGAGGTGCCTTGCAGGGGGGCTGTGATGAAGGCAGCACGGTTTTGTGGCATGGTGAGACCTCCTTCTCTTCAACTTTGTCTTTTTGGGTGGCGGTACATGTGTACGTCTGCAAGGCTGCGGATATATTCACCAGTTGATCTCACATATTTATTGGTCAAAAACACTATAACACAGAGTCAGTAGCATGGTTGGTTGTATTTTGAGCCGTTGTAGAAGTTGTAGAAAACAGCAGTAGTTCCAATTTTATGCCTCGTTTTCCAGGCCGTTTATGTCACGTGATGAAAAATGATTCCATCATTCGCAAACTCCTTTCCCTGTGCAATAATAATGAGAATGAATGTGGATTTAAAATATTCTGAAAATAACGGTATTGTATTCTGCAATAGACTGTGTAAAATTGGCCTTGGTTTGCTAAAATACGCCTGAGAACTATTGGGTTCTCTGACCCAGTTTGGCATGGACCCATTCAACGATTAATGCATCTTCAAGCTGGATCAAAGTTCTCTCATTCTCCCAACTCAGGGTAAAGAAGCAAAAGGAAGATATACATATAAACAGATATCATCCCAATGAGCAAGACTATCACACAGAAATCCTCCTCGGTACCTACTCCACTATACATTCTCCGCGGCCATGTCTCTCCCATCCACGCCCTGCATTTCTTCAACAGCAACCTCCGTCTTGTATCCGCCGATGCGGACGGCTGGATTATCGTGTGGGACATGGTAAGTAAACGAGCAGTGGCTGTTTGGAAGGCTCATGATGGAGGGGTGCTGGAGGTTAAGGGCTTTCATGTTTCATATCCTGGAAGTGGGAGCATGACGGAGGTCTATACGTAGGTTGCCTTGCTTTCCTTTCCCTGGTCTATCTAGATATATTTTGCCTGAGCTGACTAGGGTGCAGACATGGGAGAGACCATAAATTACGGCTATGGAGGTTCAGTGCCCGGGACGAAGAAATCCTGGACAAAACTCTCCCCGTGGACCAAACTGAACGTCCTCAGTCTGAGGCAGGAACCAGGAGTCAGCCATGGTTGCTGCATTCTTTGGCTGTGAATGCGTTGAACTTCTGTCCCTTTTCTATTGTGTTTCTTAATAGCAACAAGACGCAAGCAGAGACAGAGGAAGAGGCAGAAGCACCACGACCGGTTCTGATAGCCGTCCCCAATGCCCTCAATTCGGGCGCAGTCGACATCTTCCACCTCCCCCATGAGAAGCGCGTCTGCACAATCCCCGCAGCTCGCGAGGAAATTGGAATGGTCATGGCAGTCAGCATCTTTTTCAATCCCAACTCCTCCGGGGCGTTATATGTGTGCTCCGCCTACGAAGACGGACACGTCATGGTCTTCGCTTGTCGGAACCCGAGTCCTAATTCCACGGGCTTTCAGGAATTAGAGGAACTGATCAATGGTAAAAACAATAACACACCCTGGCAATGGGAAAGGCTGTATTCGAACCGTCCTCATTCTCAGCCCATTTTGGGCATCGACGTCTCCCCATCGAAGGAATACTTTCTCTCTTCTTCTGCAGATGCCGTTTTGGGGATGCATCCGATTCCTTCTTTACCTTTACCTGCCCTCTCTACTGGATCTTTGATTCATGGAGTCACAGTCACTGGTGAGAGTGGTAGTATCTCCGTGGAACAATCTCCCTTGAAAATAGTCAACACCAAGCATGCCGGTCAGCAGGGTGTTAGGATACGATCGGACGGGAGAATCTTTGCGACCGCAGGTTGGGATTACAGAGTGAGGGTCTACTCATGTAAGACGATGAAAGAGTTGGCCGTGTTGAAGTGGCACAAGGATGGGTGCTTTACTGTTTCCTTTGCCGAGATTTTTGGCTCTGGTGATGGCGAGACAGCAAGCAGTGATATCTCACGACAGGAACATTCTCTCGCTGCGCTTCAACGGCAGAGATATCACAAGGTACAGAGTACCCACTGGTTAGCGGCTGGTTCGAAGGATGGGAAGATTTCATTATGGGATATCTACTAGGTTTCCGACGGATACAACAAAATGCTTTTTGGCATAATATAATAATGGCAATAATCGAAACACGTAAATGCTAGATCAATTAGGCCAGATTGAATTCGCTAGCTCCAGCCATATGCTCCCTCATCTTTGCCTTCATCTTCCGCGCCGCCTCCGCCGCATCTGTTGCAGAAGCTTTACGCACGACATCATCGTCATCATCGCCGCCGCCGCGACCAGAAGAAGCCTTCCTCTTCTTACCTGCCGCAGACACGGCCTTCCTTTCAGCCTTGAATTCCTTCTTCGTCTCATCCTTCCCTTGTCTGAGACCGGGCACATTGATCTTACTTGGCCGATCCCGTAGCGCAAAACTCTTCGCCAAATGACCGAGATGCAGCTCTTTGATATTGAAAATCGAGCGCTCGGCAGCAATGTGCGTCGCATAGGCGCGGATGTGGGACTGAAAGGCTCGGCGACTCATTTCGAGCATCTCTGGATTTTCAAGTGCCCAACGCTCGACGTCGAGTTGCCATTCTGTGGCCCTTTCTTCCCAGTTCTGATTCGCTTTGTTGTCAGCGAGCGTGGATCCGAGTCCGAACCCGCGCTTGAGGATGTCGTTCGTGTCTGTTCGTGTCAGCACTTTTCCCCCGTCCCGGTACGAGCGTTTTAGGATATCGATGTAGTTCTCTTCGCAGCCTGGTAGGAGGAAGATGTGTGCGCGGCCATCGCGGCCTACACGCGCTGTACGACCGATGCGATGAAGGTGCTCTTCTGAGCTGAAGGCCGGGTCGTATTCGATTACTAGGTCGACGTTTGGCAAATCCAGACCGCGAGAGGCGACGTCCGTGCAGATGAGAACGGACGCGTTGCGGTTTTTGGCGAAGGAGGATAACGTGGAAGTTCGGACATGTTGAGGGAGTGAGCCGTGGAGTTTATGCAATGTTACCGTATTTGAGGGATTCGAGAAAGCTGTTGCGGGGGCTATTGTGCCATGGGGTGAGGGAGGTTGGGCAACGGTGGTTTTCTTTCCTTGGTGGTGTGCTGCCTTCTTGTTATCACTGTCCTCGTCACTGTCACTGTCGCTGTCATTGCTGCTGTCGGATTTCTCATCTTCTCCTCCTTCGTCGTTTATGGTCTGTTTTCTTGTGAATACCTCGAAGTGAAAGTCGACCGAATCCGCACAGGAAACGAAGACGATGGCCTTCATTACCGAGCCCTTTCGCATAAATGTTCGCTTCAGGTATGCAGTTAATGTAACCAATCGTAGCTTCGCAGCCACGATGGAATAAGACTGTTTGAGCTGGGCAGGCACCCTAAAGGCCGAATCCCCGTCCGCTGCCTTTGCCGCCTGTTCGGCTTCTTCATCTTCTGGATCCGCTTTGATATGCACTGCATCCTTCAAACTTATCTCTCCCAGCTTCTGCACATTCATCTTCAATGTGGCAGAACAGAGAATGGTGGTTCTCTTTGCAGGAACGCCCGGGATCCGACTCGGCCGTTGTCTGGCATTCAGCTTCTGTACTATCCCCTGGAGCTCTTGTTCGAATCCAAGATCCATCAACCGGTCACCCTCATCCAGCACAAGCCATCTGACATTGCTGACATCCAATACCTGTGTGTTGTCGAGATGGTCCGCCAATCTTCCCGGTGTAGCAACGAGGATATTCAACCCTTTCCTCAGCCTAGCTTTCTCTGACTTCTTCTTCTCCCCACCAATCACAGTCCCTGCAACTATCCAATGCGCGCAACGGAGGAGACTCTCCAATACAACAGATATCTGTTTGCACAATTCTCGAGTCGGCGCCAGGATGATCGCGAATAATCCACTATCACGATGTACAGTGGCCTGTTGCTTCCCATTTTGAGCTGCCTCCAAGGATTTTTGTGCTTCGGCTTGACCATTAGAATTTTTTGAAAGATCCATAATCCTCTGTACAATAGGCAAAAGATAAGCCAATGTCTTTCCGGATCCCGTCTCAGCTTGGATAAACGCATCGCACTGTTCCTTCAGCAGCTGCGATATAGAACTTTTCTGAATTGCGGTAGGAGCTTTTAATTCCAGTTTCGTAAGTAAATGCGCCGCTAGAGTTGGCGAGAGTCCCAGATCGGTGAAGGTATCAAGTCCGTCAATCAGGGGCGCATTGGTCGGCTTAGCATCTTGAGCCGCGCCTTCGCCCGCACTCAATGTATCCTGGTCAATTTTCTGGGGCAATGGATTTCGCGAAAACAACGATGACACGATCTGGCGGGGCTGCTGCTGGTTCTGCTGTTGTTGAGGGTGGTTCTTATTCAGATTGGATGAATCCCCACCATCATCCATCCTCTGTCGCTTAGAAGGTCGAGGGAAAGACGACGAAATCTGTATCATGTTTGGATTCTGCTTTTCCTTGCCATCCTTCCCGTCATTTGCGCCTCCTCTCGGTCCTTTGGAGCGACGTTGTACATTTTTCTTCGCGCTCAGTCGGTCGCGCCAGGTCCCTCCCTTAAATTTGGGTTCGGTCTTGAGGACATCATCACCGATGGAGAAGTTGAGGAGCATTCCATCGTCGGCCATAATGGATTGCCGAGATCTGGTAGAACAGTATTCTTTGTTGTTGCTGCTGTTCTGAACGTAGAAACTGTTCCGACTTTTACTCCCCGCGAAGCTCGGATTACTTCAGGGAAATTTTCTCGGCCCGGTATAACTCCGAGCCCTACCATTTTGCCCTAGATATTGAGAGTTTCCTTTTTTGCGTGCTGCAGCAGTAGCTGTTTTACTCTTGTCATATTTTCGATGATATAGAATATGCTGCTCAAATCTGATTCTTGTAATCTTTTTTAAGCTGTCTAACCAAGTGAAGATGAACTTCTAAAAAGAAACACCATGTAATATCAACAGGAGATCATCTAGTATACAAAGCCGAATATTTGGTACATAACAAGATATTTTTTGTTCTAGGGAGTGCGAGGCTTCAAGATGAGATTATCAATCAGCCTCACGGGAACTTTGCCGTCGCCCAAACCGCAGTCTTCACCGGGTATAGACTGCTCCAGAGGAAACATCTTCACGGCACCACTCAAGATGGCACCTTTTGAAGAATTGACCTCATCTATCTCATCAAGGGTGTCGGGGTCTGCGAGGGAGATATAATCAACTTCGAATAAAACCCGATCTGAAGGCGACAAAACTTCCTGCTCAGATAGAGTCTTCTGTGCCACATCGTTCGCGGCGCCCAGAATGTCTGCTCGGCTGTTCTTCCCAGACATAAACGCCTCCTCTGCCGCTTTGAGGGCCCGGAATAAAACAAGGCCAACGGTACGACGTCTCGTTCCAAGATATGCATTTCTCGAACTCAAGGCTAGCCCACTATCTTCGCGAACAGTAGAGCCAATCTTGACCTCGGTGCCAATGTGGAAATCCTGGACCATTCGCCTGATGATTACCGTCTGCTGAATATCTTTCTGGCCAAAGTAGACGCGGTCCGGCGTGACGATATTAAAGAGTTTCGTGCAAACCGTTGCAACCCCTCTGAAAAACACGGGGCGAGAGGCACCTTCTAGCTTCGACGCAAGCGGGGTTATAGTGACAAACGAGCCGGGTCCGTCTATCTCGGATGAGGGCGGTAAGGAAGGGTACATGACCTGAGACGTGGGAGCAAAGATGGCCGTAATCTGTCCAGGCACATCTGATGATGATTCCACACTGCTCTTGTCCCTCAGGCTAGCGAATTCCCGGTTCAGTTTCTCCAGTTTCTCTACGTCACTATCCCAGGTGCGTGGATAGCTATCCAGATCTTCATTCACACCGAATTGTGTTGGATTGACGAAGATGCTAACGAAGATGTCCGTATTCTCGGATGCTGCTTGTCGAATAAGGGAAAGATGGCCCTCATGCAGTGCTCCCATTGTGGGAACAAGGCCTACGGTCCGGTCCGAGAGCAGCAGTTGGCGCCGTAACTGACGTAACGGGGAGACATCGCGAAACACTTGGAACGAATGCGACAACCGGGGCGCCATTGTCGCCTCCGCACGAAATGGCGAAACAGCTACAAGCAGATTAGGCGTCAGGATGAACTGTCTGATCGAAGGACAAGAACACAGTACTTACTGGAGAACCACCTCACCCAACGAGACATATCCGCGGATTAAATTTTCCCACACAGTGGGGCAATAACCACGGGATCAAGGGACTGGGAGAGAAGGACGAGAGAAGGGCCAATGGAAACCGAGGCTTCTAGATGCAGAGAGAAGCTCCATGTCGACGAGCGGCCGCGCTGGGGATTCACACTTGGCGACGATGAAAAGTCTGCCGTGATGATGTCTGCTGCGTTGAGCTCATCCTTTTAGGTAAACCATGTGACATCCGAGGCATCAACAGGATCAGTAAGAATAGCCATAATAATGATGATAATAATACGATAAAGAAGCCACTCTGACTTGCCCCGGACTGTCTGGAATTCCGCATTGGCTGCTTTCCGGGGAAAATCGCAGTCTGGTTGTGCGGAGTGCATTTTGTTGGGGTGACGCTTGCATGCTGCAGTCAACCACTTTTCTCCGTCCTCTTTCACTCCTCTGCCTTTCATAATGCCTTATCGGCCCTCTGTACGCCCTTAATCACTATCCAGTTTCTCTATCCATGGCGCTGGACTCTTTCTTCGTAGTTCTTCCCATTGAGCTTCACTAGACGACTCCCCGCCGGCACCGAGTTCCAGTCCTCCGCAGGTCTCGAGGCCTAATCCTAACAGACCCCCCTTCCCATTGTCGTCGCAGATCTAGCAGAACAAGATGCCGTCTGAGAAGGTCTCAATGGATGATACTAGCGAAGCTCCCGATCTTGAAATCGTCGGAAATAAGATTACCATTCAGCATGCAGGCTTTACGGGGCCTGAGCACCCTCAAGATGGCGCGATCACAGAACAGCACCTGGTCCGCAACATGGTGCGCTTCAGAGAAAGACCACTGGATTTCCTGCGAGAAGTGAGCCTATACCTGTCGGGGTCGGGTTGGAGAGCCTATGACAATGTGATCGGCCAGCCGGTCTTCTACCCGGGATACTCGGACAGAATTAGAGACAAGATCTTGAAGAACCCAATCCTGCAGAACAAGGTTAGGGAGCTTGCGGAGGCAAGACTCAAGGTGGAAGAGGAAGAAGGGCTGTTAGAGCTGAAGCCGGGTCCATTGGACAAGAAGAGGGAAGGCCGTCGCAAGGAAATCGAAGGCAACTTACACCAGGCCTTGAACACGATGCTGGATAACATGATCTGTAAAATGGATAGCAAACGGTTTATCAGGGGAGCATACTACCTTACTACGCAGCTTCTTACTCGCGCCTATCACCACGGTGAGTTAAATGAATGATGCTTTCTTTTTAAGTACTCTCGAGCTTCGGCTAATTGGCTTATTTAGGAATTCATGTTTCTAGTGAGGAAATCTTGCGTTTAAGGTCTGTCGCCGAGGAAGCCACTAAGAAGAAGCATTCGATTGTTTTCCTACCTTGTCATAAGTCCCACGTGGACTATGTGTCCCTACAGATCATCTGCTTCCGTCTAGGAATCGGTCTCCCTATTGTCGTTGCTGGTGATAATTTGAATTTCCCGCTAGTAGGGTCCTTCTTACAACACGCAGGTATGTTGAACTGGACGCTCCTTTACGACTCTCTATTGACAAAAACAAAACAGGTGCTATGTACATTCGGCGGAGCTTTGGAAACGACCCACTCTATACTACGGCAGTCCAAGCATATGTCGACACTATCCTGCAGCAGGGGTATAATTTCGAGTGTTTCATCGAGGGTGGGCGGTCAAGAACTGGAAAGCTTCTGGGACCGAAGTTTGGAATCCTGAGTTTCATCCTCAACAGCCTTCTATCCGGCCGTGTGGAAGATACGATCATTTGTCCTGTGAGCACGCAGTATGACAAGGTCATCGAAACTGAGTATGGCACCGGACTTGGACCAGCCTTCTGAGACAAATACTGACATTTGGTAATAGGTCCTATATCAGCGAGCTTCTAGGCCAGCCGAAACCGAAAGAAAATTTGGCGAACTTCCTTTCTTCCTCGTCTATCTTGTCTTTAAAACTCGGTCGTGTAGATGTCCGGTTTCACGAACCATACAGTTTGAGGGATTTTCTCAACCAGCAACTCACCAGGCTAGGCAAGCAGCCTAGCATGAAAGCTGAGCTGAATCTCAGCTTGACTGAGAAAGGCCAAATTCTCAGAACTCTGGGATATAAAGTACTTTCTCAAATCAACAATGTTTCCGTCATGATGCCTACAGCACTTGTTGGGACAGTACTTTTGACACTTCGTGGGCGTGGGGTGGGTAAATCAGATCTGGTCAGACGGGTCGAATGGCTCTGCAACCGCGTTCGAGCTAAAGGGGGGAGAGTTGCACACTTTTACGGTGCACCAACTGGGGAGGTCGTCGACCGTGCCATTGAGGTTATGGGTCCAAAACTTGTCGGTGAGATCACTGGTTTGGCCGAACCAACTTATTATGCGGTTGATCGTTTCCAACTGTCTTTCTACCGCAATATGACTATCCATCTTTTTATCACAGAAGCCCTTGTATCTGCTGGCATGTATACTACAGTCAAACAAGGCAGCGGCGCTGCAGACCAGCGCATCACTTACGATGCTCTCCTTAGCCAGGTCTCATTCCTATCGCAGGTGAGTCGACCATTCCACCTTCCAACATTTCACTGGGCATAACTAAGGTTGTTACAGCTTTTCCGTGGCGAATTCATCTTCCCTCCTGACGGTCTGACTACCAACTTCGAGAATACCCTTCGCGTACTCGAAAAGGACGATGTCATCAAGGTCACGCGAAACTCTTCGGGATCAGTAGAGTTCATGGAGTTGAGTGATTCAGAACGACACTGTGGACGGGAAAATTACGATTTCTATTGCTTCTTAATTTGGCCGTTCATTGAAACTGCCTGGCTTGGTGCAGTGTCTCTCCTGGGACTGACGCCGCCGTTGAACGGGCCCAAGGATGTTTGGGTTGATATGAAGAAGGCCCAGGATAATGCCCAATTCGTGAGTTCAACCTGTTCCATTAACCGTTAGTGAAAATCCTTGACTGACCCCTTCTGGCCATGCAGCTTGGTAAAACTTTGTTCCATCAAGGGGATTTGTCCTATTTCGAAGCGGTTAACAAGGAGACGCTCAAGAACTGCTACCAGCGGTTTGAGGAAGAGGGCATCATCCTCGTCGCGAAAAGCAAAGAGTTGCGCTCCTCTCCTACAACCAGGCTAGCTCCCGAGTGGACGCCAGAACGAGACCCTGAAACGGGAAAACTGCTGGCTCGTGGTCGTCTATGGGACTTTATAGAGATGATAGGACAAGCGCGACGTGAGGGGAAAAACCGTCGAGATGGACCAACTGTGTCTTCAAAAGTGCTTGCCATGTCGGACTCGGTCGGCCGCAAGCTATTTGAGACAGCTGCCACGCCTAATCCCACCTCCCCTTTGGCAGGGAACATTGACGTGTCATCACCAAGGAAGCGTCGAAAGGACTTTGGCGTGAATTCAAAGTTGTAGGGGGGGTGGCATCCTCTACATTGGACCTTTGCCAAAAATATTCTAAAATGCATAATTTCCGAAGGCGGCATTTTCTCGGTTTTCTTTCCTATACCCCCCTTTCTGTTTGTTTCTTTCCATAATCTTTCATCTATTTGTTCAAGCGTCCATATTTAAGATATCTTTGTTCCTGCAAATCTGCATGGAAGAAATAGCAGCCAGCCGAATAGAAGATAGCATATGTACATAAGCTGGAAAGATTGTCCTGTCTTAGTCGTAGAATAGTCCATTCAGCAGATGAGACGGCGACTAGAATCGCATCATGGTCCACGCTTTCAACTGAAGCACTTGAAGAAATTCCTCATCCGGAAGAAGTTCCTGTCTATTATCCGAACCCTTTTCCATTGGATCGAGTACTTTAGGCTGAGACAAGCATGATTTCACTTGGGAAGACAACTAGGGGACTTCGGCATTTGCCACGGGAAAAGGGGAATGAACGATCTTGGTCGTCTTTCCCTGTTGTCCGTAGATGGGGTATCCTGTAAGAAGCAACACTTATGGATCGTCGAAACTCTGGAATAGGATGGTTTGTGATAGATCTCTAGGGATCACATCTATTTTTATGCATATGCATAGGGCTGCAGGTATGAGATGCCAAGACCATTGGCCTGCTTTGTGGAAGGAAACTTGGGGAAGTTACTTCGGTCCAAGTGCCTAATGCGGCAATGGATACAATAGTCGTGCTAGTATCTAGTCCTTGAGATGGTGTTGAATGGCCATGTCTCACTGAACACTACGTGTACGAGTCTTTTGTGTCAAACTTACTATCTCCGTGTCTTAACTCGGGTTTGATCATGATCTCTACGCGAGGTAACAGTCCAGACGCTTGTTGGTTTTAGAAATGGGCTTGAACCCGATGTTGTCCCCTTCATCCAGCTCTCTTGGCGGTGATCTATAGCCGGTTCTGTACGCCGTACGGCGCTGTTCTCTTGTTTGTCTATCCGAGAAATGACAGACCACACAAGCGACCTTCCATGGAGTGCAACAGTCTGTATGTCATGACGGTGATCATGATAGGGTAGAGTTTAAACTGTCGGATACCGACTGACTGTGCATAATAATGAAAGTAGGCCTTAATAAGAAGGCTCTGTTCTCTTCAAGTTCAAACACAAGCTGTGGGGAGATAGCCGGGGTATTTTTGATGAGACTGCAGATTCATGGCCGTGCATTCTGTGATACCAACCCCGAGCAGCGGCTTCATGTAACATAGATAAAGACAAGAAAAAGAAGCGGCGGGCGCGTGCGCTGGTTTCAGGCAGATCTTCCCGTGTTTGCATGCAGGGCGCGAGAGCAGCGAATGCTATAGGCGCGGAGGTACACGGGGACGGGAAGCAGTGCTGGAGGCTGTAACGGTCGAGCAGTGTAAGTATGACACGAGGTTTAATATGAGAGGAAGAAACAGGAAATGGGATTGCGCGGCAATGAGATAGTGCATACGTACGTCCGGCATGGATGATCGGCCGCTAAGAGGCTGCATTCAATCATCCCGGATTGCCAAGCATTTGCAAGTGAAACGTGCAGCAAAGCTTACGACAACTGGGAGATGATGTAAAATCAAAGGGCCCAGTGCAGACAAGGAGGTTGAACGGGCTCTATTTTTGTCGATGGAGGACGTAAGGAGGCTGCTCACTGCCATGGAGATGGAGAAAGATGGAGAGATTAGAAGTAGTACTACTAGTAGTAAGTACTGTCAGAATATGATGGTAACATACCGTAATACCACGGCTTCCTGGCCTGGAAATTGAAACACCTAGCCAATTACCGCATCCGCTGGTCCTAAATTACGCCCGTCCCGTCATCCCATTTCGCCTGATTCCCTGCGGCGTTCCAGGCCTGGTAAGATTTACTTGTTCCTTCTCCTTTTCCCTTCCTATTTCTCTCCTACTACGAGTGCATCCATCTCCTTTTATCTTCTCCCTCACTTCTTCCTCTTCCTCTTCCTCTCCCCCTTGGGACTCCCCTAGGACGATCCGAAGACAAAGTAAAAAAAATTAAAAAAATCTAATTATAATCTCTATTCCCACGTCGCTCGTTTCATCCCCTCCTCGCACCCCTCCATCTCAACCATATCAACGCCTGTTCGTCGTTGATTATTTGCCCTTCTACGCCATACAAACTACAGAAGGAGTCGAGATTCGCTTCGCATCGCTCAGCGTCCGTATTGCAAGAGTCCCCGTGTGGGCCTTCGTTCTTCTTCCCCCTTGATTCTCGCACTGCAGTTCGCCACCGTCGGGGCCATGCTTTGCTGTTGATTTCCCCCAAAAGGTTCACGATCAAATGGGCAAATGTAATTAGAATATCATTTATCTGCTGTCCATGTTGTGATCTGTCTCGTGGCCTAACTAACATCGACACGTCAAATGCAGGGCGCTATGGAGTGGTCCTGGATGCAGGCTCATCTGTATGTCCTGTCCTCGAGACTATTTAATTGCCTTCGTTATTCGGCAACGTGATTCGCTAACTATCGTCCTCAATTTTTCAGGGGACGCGACTTCACGTTTATCGATGGTTGGAAAATGCGATTACGCGGAAGCAGGCAGATGCGAAAGAGTTGAAATCCTTACCGGACATCAAGACAGAGGAAGAATGGACCAAGAAAATCCATCCTGGTGAGCATGCGCAGACGCCCTTAAACTGGCCCGCCGACTGCCCGAACAGATACTAAATTGTCAATCAACCGCGATAGGCGTGTCATCGTTCGCCGATAATCCGGAGCAGGTTGGTCCCGATCACCTGGCGACACTTCTGAAGCATGCGCGGAGCATCGTACCAGATGATGCTGTTAGAGACACTCCGATATTCCTCCTTGCAACTGCCGGTATGCGGTTGTTAGATACCCCAAAACAGCGGCTTCTCCTAAACCAGATTTGTTCCTATGTCCGCACCAATTCCGATTTCCTCCTCCCCAACTGCGATGCCCATATCCAGGTAATCTCCGGTGTGACAGAAGGGCTGTATGGTTGGATTGCCACCAACTACCTTCTGGACAGCTTCGATTCTCCGGAAACTCACGACCACGGGCAGGGCCATCATACATACGGCTTTTTGGACATGGGCGGTGCTTCCACGCAGATCGCTTTTGAGCCGAACGCTACAGAGGCCTTAAAACATGCAGATGACTTGAAACTTCTTAGGCTGCGGAACATCGATGGTTCCTCGCAGGAACACAAGGTCTTCGTTACGTCGTGGCTTGAATTCGGTGTACATGAAGCTCGAAGGCGCTTTGTGACTGCCCTGAAGGATGCTACTGGACCGGAGCACGTTCACGAACTCCCTGACCCTTGCCTCCCTGCTGGGCTCCAGACCACACTCGATGGCAAAGCTCTGTCTCCAACGGAACCAGAACCAGGTACTCATCTCCTGGGAACCGGTAAATTTGATGAATGTCTTCGGCAGACCTATACCTTGCTTGACAAGGACGCTCCGTGTCCGAACCCGCCATGTCTGCTGCATGGAGTTCATGTGCCAGCGATCGATTTCGATGTGAACCACTTTATTGGAATTAGCGAGTTCTGGCACACGACCCATGAGATTTTCGATGTTGGCCACAAAGACAAAGCATATGACTTCCATACGTATCAGCACCGGGTGGAGGCATTTTGTTCGCAGGATTGGCAAGCTATCGAAGACGGCGTGCTTCACGACAAATGGGGAAAGAAGATCAGCCGGGAAGCGGCATATGAGGTCTGTTTCAAGGCTTCGTGGATCATCAACATGCTGCACAATGGTATTGGTGTCCCTCGTGTGGGCCTGGAAGAGGCTTCAAATGCCCACAATGGGACCAAGGAGAGCGTTCCACACGGTGCGAACAAGGGATACCTCGATGCTTTTCAGGCTGTGAACAAGATCCATTCGACCGAAGTGAGTTGGACGTTGGGCAAAATGGTCCTCTACGCCTCTTCCCAGATTCCCCCTGCGGACGAGGATACCCTTCCGGTGGGTTTCGGTAGCAATGTACCTGGCATTCCTGCGGATTTCCAATATCCCAGTGTCGAGCTAGTCCTGGATACCTCTGCCGGAGATGTCCAGAGCGAGCATTGGCACGATGCACTCTTCCGTGGGCATTCGTCTCGCAGGATCCCAGGGTTTGTCCTGTTCCTTTTCATCATTATCCTCGCTGTATTTTTCCTCTGTGGGCGAAGTCGCCGGCTGCGGGTCTACCATAAACTCGGGAACCTTTTCCGCCGTGTACGTCCGTCTCATCCGAATTACCCAAAGCGGAGGAGGCTTTTTAGCGGGAAGCTTTCCTTCCTCAACTCAGATCGGCCTTCGTATGAGCGAGTGCTGGAAGATGGCAACCGTGATTTTGAGCTTACTGCGTCCGAATCCGATGGGAGTGATATGGACGGTGGTCGCCCTTCGGATGCCGATTCTAGCCTACGACAGCCGAGGCGAGCGTCGACATGGGGCAGTAGCACTCCGACTTTGAAGTTCGATTTGGATAATACTTCGACGACCAGTGTCGGATTGGGAATCAGCCTGGGCTCGGCGATGGATCGGGAGGGTCTGGTGGTTAGGACAGAAAGCCGGGACCACCTGGTTCCTGTAGCCTTGGGCCCGATGCCAAACGGACGCCGCTCGCGGACGGGCAGTCCGGCAAGACCCCACCAGTATAAGTCTCCTATTACGACTCCATCGGCGGATGATTGATGATCTACTCCATGTTACGTATTTCGTTGAAATCCCTTTTACTTCCTCGGGTTCGTTCATCATGATGCCTGTGTGATGTATGTTCTCTGCGCAAAGACAACTCGCCTGCGACGGGAAAGGTTCTCCAGGAACTGATCTCGCTTTTCTGTTTCTTCGTCTGGTATTATAGGAGTATAAGGACTTCATAGCCCGGCTCAGAGCTTCGGTGTTTTCTTTGCTCTTGTTGTCTTCGAGCCGCTTCGGGTTGGCGCTTTTCCCTTTGTTTTGTTGACGCGTTTCCATACAAATGACCCCTTTTAATGATTCTTCAACTGTACAGATAGATCTCAGCCCTGTGTGTACTTCTGCGCTATATAATGTGTCTATACGGGCGATTAGCACGTCTCTGCTAATTGTTTGGTTTGGTCTTCTACTTGGGCTTCTGTTTTGGGAGGGTAATTGGAAGCAGCACTTGAGTTTTTGGGCCTCTCATTGCTTTGTATATACCATCCTTAGTGACTCGTCTAATGGCAAATGACCAGGCTATCAAGCAGGTCCATTGAAATAACCATGAAGTCAGCTTGCTTTCGGAAATCGTAGCCGTCCGCGGTTCCCGAAAGGATAAGGTATCCTGGCCACAACTTCAGTGCCGTCATCCATTGTCAACAGAAATGCACTGTTGTAGGCCCATTCTGATAAGATTTGAGATTTGCGTAGGAGCTAGGATTGACCGATTTAGCAGCCACTTCTTTCGACTTTATCAACATTGAGGGGTTGATAACGTTTGCGGAGCTCAGCAGTCCCGTCCCAAAGCTAGCGACCTGAGCGAACGAAACAAGTAGTCATCTTCGGGAGATTTATCAATTGCATCTTAAACTCCGGACTTTATTAGATGTATTACTATGCATACGTCCTCTTGTTGGGCGCGATCAGACAGGCTGACCGTTTGGTGAAATGAGATGTTAAACTAGTCATAGTTATCAATCTCATCTCAAATAGTCAGTTACACGTCTTCACGTGAATGATGACTAATCTTGCTTCTCACCGCCTTCGTCAAGCTCTTGAGGTAACTTCTCCATCTCAGGCTTGAATCGACCGAATAAATCCAACAAACTACGTGCAGGTCCTTTCTTCTGTCGTCCCGTTCTTTCAAAAGTCTTTCTTGCAGCTTCGCGTCTATCCGACACCGATAGGGTAAACGGTCAGGTCTAGCAAATTGTCGATTACACTGTACAAAATAAAAGTCGGTTTCCAACAAGCGTCGCACCCTACTTGCCCGCAATGCGATTGACGGTCGAACTTATTCAAAACTCGCTATCATACATCAACCCGCTGAAAGATCGTGAGCTAGATCTCCGAGGTGCGTTTTAATTGTTGATTTTTCTGGAAAGAGCAGATACTACACTTTATCTTTCTGGAGTTTGCATTTACATTTGCATTTCCCTCCCCTTATGCTTTTGCCGCCCCAAAGTCATTGAGAGCTGGATTGATACATATCGTTTTGCTTGTGTTTGGACGTATGTAGGGCACAAGATTCCTGCGATTGAAAATTTGGGTATCGCCAAGGTTCGTCCGTCTTCTCTGCGTTACTATAGGGCAAAAGTACTGATCGGGAAATTTGAAATGGAATCTAGGACCAAGATGCGATCGATTTCACAGACAATAACATCTCATCGCTGGGGAATTTCCCCTTCTTCCCGCGTCTGCGCATGCTTCTCCTAGCCCGGAATAGAATTAATCATATTCACCCGAAGCTGGCCGCTTCAATCCCGAATCTGACGACGCTGGTTTTGACGTCGAATAATCTGGGGGAGTTGGCAGACTTGGATCCGTTAGGGGATCTATCGAGTTTGACACATCTGGTATTGATGGAGAATCCAATTACGAGAAAGGAGGTTCGTTATCTTTTTGAGGGTGGCCTGCCTTTGTATCTCTTCTCCTCTGACGCTCGCATTCAGCATTATCGCCTCTGGGTTATCTGGAGAATCCCCAACGTCCGCTTTCTGGATTACCGAAAAGTCAAGGACGCAGAGCGTGCGCAAGCCAAAGAACTCTTCGGAACCCGAGAAGAACCAACGGCACTTGCATCCAAGATTATGGGCATCAAGTCCCGCACATTCGACGTGCCATCTACAACGCCAGGGCAGCTTGCACCGGCCGACAAGGCTATACGCGTGAAGCTGACTGACAAGGAAAGGAAGAAGGTCGAAAAGATGATTCGAGAAGCCAAGAGTTTGCAGGAGATTACTAGGTTAGAGAGGGAACTGAACGAGGGGAGGATACCTGGAGGAGCATTTGATGACGATGAGGACTCAGAGATGAAGATGTAGTGATGTTTGTTCAAGGTTTGAGGTTTCAAATGGACTATGTTTTGTTGTTTCTGTGTCTTCTAAACTCTGGAGTTGACTGCATCACGTGCCAGGCACAATATCGTCGCAGGTACGCAGAGAGGCCAGAAGTGCAACTATTGCGTGATTTGCATATGGCATGTCCTCATTTGGTTTGTCAGCAGAATTCCTGCAAGTGGCAGGCGGTGATATCTTTTCTCCATCACGTCATGGCAGAAAGTGAAGAATTATTGATTCTGCGCAGGCAAAGCATGGAGACACACAGCGGGCAGACCGGGGCTGCTCTGCCTCTGTTTAATTTCCTCCCTGCTTCTGTCCCTCTCTCTCCCCTCTACTCTCCTATCCACCTCCTGTCGTCCCCATTACCTCAGTCTTTGTGCTGCCGTTAGCTGGCTTCCTGCTTGTTCCTCTTCGTCTGCGGTCCAAACCCTACGTAGGATCTTTCTGCCTTTGTTCGAGCCTCTTCAGTCTTATCCCCCGTTGTTAGAAACGATGTCTGTCAGATCCGCCGGCAACTGCTCCTCCGAGTCTACTACCGAGTCTGGCTACGCCAGTGGTAGTGATAACGAGTCTTCCTACCTGCCAGAGATCGTCTTTACCCCTGCCCATATGCGTTTCCTCAACAGGACTCTCCAGTTCCATGAACCCCAAGGTCAGCATGAATCCATTGCCTCGCCTGCAAGCACTCCGCTGCAGTCTGGGGCACTTAAATGACCCTCGCCGGGAGATATATGGCTGACTTTTTGTGCGTAGAAATCCTCAAGTGGTGTATAACATCACTGCCCAACCTCTACCAATCAACTGCATTCGGTCTTACCGGTCTGGTGACTTTGGACATGCTTTCCAAACTCGATGTGCCCCGTCCTCAAGTGGTCGATCTCATCTTTCTCGACACCCTTCATCACTTCCCAGAGACTCTTGCTCTCGTTGACCGTGTTCGGGAGAGATATCCCAATGTTACTGTCCATGTGTACAAGCCAGCCGGCGTCGACTCCGAAGAAGAGTTTGGCAAGAAATACGGCGAGCGTCTCTGGGAAACCAATGATCAGTACTACGACTTCGTTGCCAAAGTTGAGCCTGCTCAGCGTGCCTACCGTGAGCTTAATGCCCATGCCATCCTGACCGGACGTCGTCGCAGCCAAGGTGGCAAACGTGGTGATATCAATATCATTGAAGTCGACGAGGCCGGTCTTATCAAGGTCAACCCTCTTGCCAATTGGACCTTTGACCAGGTTCGGCAGTACATCAAAGAGAACAATGTCCCGTACAATGAGTTACTGGACCGCGGATACAAGAGCATTGGCGATTACCACTCCACCCAGCCCGTAAAGGAGGGCGAAGACGAGAGATCCGGCCGCTGGAAGGGCCAGGCGAAGACCGAATGCGGCATCCACAACCCCCGATCCAAGTATGCTCAGTTTCTGTTGGAAATGGAGCAGAAACGCCAGCAGGAGGAGTTGCAGAACAAGCTGGCAACTACCACTGTATGAGCATCTTAACTGCTACACAGCCTCCTTGTTTTGACTCCTTTTTAACGACTTCTTTGCATTCCTGACGTGGCGTTTATCTCTGAGTGGTTTTCTATTCAACGGCGGGCGTTTTCTACGATACACACAAAGGTCATGTTCATACATCTAGACGGGCGTCTCTTAGGGTTATGTTCGACGAGGGACTTATGTTTCTTTTTTTTTTACCCTCGCGTATTCGATGACGATGTTTTCTTTTCCTAATTCTTTCACCAATGCACCATCCTATGCTTCATTACTGAGATGATCATTCATAAAATAGCCCTTTTGGCAAATCAGAGGAGGAAAAGTTGTATCTAACAGGGTTACTCAAAAGTTAGACCTGGATGTGGTTTCAGTTGCAATTATCTAATATTCATTGGGATCTGATATTCAACAATTGAACATATGTAGTTCCTTTTCCCCTTTTGGCTGGCGTGGGGGCGGATATCAACACCGTCTTTGTTCACTAAATCTACAAGCATTTTTGGTCGCGTGTAATCTAAGCCAGCCTAGCTTCACCGTCCAACTCTCAAGGACTGCAATGTGCCCATCCACTTGGTCATACGCAAAGCGGTCATCAATCGTGGCAACGAGGGAGGTTCAGAGGAAGTGGTAGTGCAGTACACGGATGGGCTGTGGAGTGCTTATCTACTTGCAGAGGAGCATATCCTTCCCTACCTGCTTCCCGGAAAGGCATCCAGGCAGGTCTAATATTCTGCTGTGTATATTAAACCTTTTAACCGAGATAGTTAACTATAACCTTAACCTCCTGCCATCTATGTCCATAATCTGAACTTCTTCTACCTAACCTCTCCACGATTCCCATTGCTCTCGCTTTTTCTATTTAGCGAAATGGCAGAATTCAAAGCCAAAAACCACTTCAAGAATTTCAAGAGTGGTAGCTCCTTCACCTGTCTGAATGTTTCAAGGATCGCCGCATCAAACGCTGTCTCGCGGTCGCGGACGATCAACTTGAAGATGCCCTCGTCGAATCTACATTGAAACCTGACTACAACGCACGTATCCATGGGTACCTTGGCATGCAGTATCACTATTTAGTCGGCTGGCTCTCTTTGCTTTCCCTAGAGACTCTTCTTAAGCTGCCGCCAGGTCTGATGGATGATGTACTATCTCTGGGCGGCGCTGTTCGCGGATGGGACGGCTGGGTGAGCCATGAAGATTTCGAGCTGCTCAAGAAAAAATTGCTATTGTGAGAGAATAATTCATCGAGTATTTTGCTTGTGATAATAAAGAAGCGTAGGGTTTTAGGGTTATTATTGTCTGCAATAATGTACATAGTTCGCATTCCTCAGCCCTGCAGCCAGCCCAGTCCTAAATAGGCTAGCGTATATAGTTAATCACGTGTGATATAAATATGTACGTGACGTAATGTCTTATTAGTCATCATGTGATCACGCAAGCGCCAAGGCAGATGTCGTGATCAGTGCGACTATCTAATCAGCACGTGACATTAATCTGCTTCTTATTTCGGCGTGAAGAGTTGTCGATGTCATGAGGTACGTCCAACATCTACAGTCAGTAATAATGAAAGGATGGAGGGGGTTTAAGATGGGAAGGAGACAGCGATTCGCATGTCATGATCCTCATCAAGGTGGCAGGAAAGATTCAGTTATACCACTCCGTCCTTGAAGCTGCAGGTTACCTTCCGCGCGGAGATATACAACGCAGTAGGGGAAATATCTCTTATGAACCACACGGATCCCCGGGAAAGCAGGCACAGAAACCTCGTTCGAGAGAATCAAATAGCCATATTGAGCATGAAATACCGTGGTCAGCAGAATACGCATGCAAACTACTCCAGTATTCCTTATCCGGTTGCTCCTAGATAGATAGAGAGATGATGAAACGTAGCACGGTGACTTGCTCCACTGTTACAGGGAAAAAGTCATTGAAAAAGTCAAAAGCAATGAAATCTTTTTTAATAATAAGGAGTCATAATATGAAAGACCATCAAGGCGTGCCCAGACTTTGCAGGACCAGAAGTTTGCCTTAAATAACCCCATTGCGCCATCCGCAGAATATTTTTCCCCTCATTTTTCTTCTGCAGTTCCTCCTCGGCTACTTTCTCTCTTCCTCCCCATTGTTCCTCTATTCCCTCCTCTGGCTTTGGCAAATCCCCTCTACAGGAACCGGTCTCCATTGCTTTCTCCTCAGATCACATCACAATGGCCAATTCACCTCATGGCGGGGTCCTCAAGGACCTCCTTGCTCGCGATGCCCCCCGCCACGACCAGCTGGCCGCCGAGGCAGAGACCTTGCCTGCTGTTACTCTGACAGAGCGTCAGCTCTGCGATCTGGAACTGATCATGAATGGAGGCTTCAGTCCTCTAGAGGGTATGTTTCCAATGCCCTTGTTTAGCTGTTGTCGGTTTCAAGGGTTGCTAACAAACGATCTTCTCCCATGCAGGCTTCATGAACCAGAAGGATTACGACCGGTACGTTGCTTCGGACAGCTCCTTAATTTCTCAATTAGCTTCCTACGATGGTTCTAGAGTGGCCACAGGCCGGCTGACAATCTCCTCCCTCGATATCTAGCGTTGTCTCGGAGCTCCGACTGGCGGATGGCAACCTCTTCTCCATGCCTATCACTTTGGATGTGTCGCAGCAGTGGCTGAATGAATCCAAAATCCAACCCGGATCCCGTATCACACTACGCGATTTCCGAGACGATCGTAATCTTGCTATTTTAACCGTCGACGATATCTATCGCCCGGATAAGTGAGTGTTTTCTCTGTGAGCTATTGAAGTTCGGTGTCCGGCGGATGTTAGAGATCCGTCTGAAACAAGCCATGGTTCCATCTTGGCAGATGGGACGTGTTTGAGTTTTTATCCGGGTTGTACTCGGGCCTCCTTGTGATTTTCCCTGCTGACGCGTCCCTCCCTTGCCTAATTTAGAGCCCGTGAGGCCAAGCTGGTTTTTGGCGGAGACGAGGAGCATCCGGCGATCAAGTATCTGAACACGCAAGTTCAAGAATTCTATGTTGGAGGAAAGGTGGAAGCAGTGAACAAACTGAACCACTATGATTACGTCGCATTGCGCTGTATGTTATTGTTACTGCCAAGCTCCGGGGCCTGGACTGGACGCTAACAGTGCAGTTAGACACTCCTGCGGAGTTACGTATTCATTTCGACAAGCTCGGCTGGACCCGAGTCGTCGCTTTCCAGACCAGGTAAGTTGTCATGGTGTTCTAAGCTTGTTCATGGCCCAGGGATTCTAACGGTCAGTAGAAACCCTATGCACAGAGCTCACCGGGAGCTGACTGTTCGTGCTGCTCGTGCTCGCCAGGCCAACGTCCTAATTCATCCAGTCGTTGGCCTCACCAAGCCCGGTGATATTGACCATTTCACCCGGGTGCGTGCCTACCAGGCCCTTCTCCCTCGTTACCCCAACGGCATGGCGGTTCTCGGTCTCCTTCCCCTGGCCATGCGTATGGGCGGACCACGTGAAGCCATCTGGCACGCCATTATCCGTAAGAACCACGGTGCCACTCACTTCATCGTCGGACGTGACCATGCCGGCCCGGGTAAGAACTCCAAGGGCGTCGACTTCTACGGCCCGTACGATGCTCAGCACGCCGTTGAGAAGTACAAGAATGAGCTCGGCATCGAGGTTGTCGAGTTCCAAATGGTCACATACTTGCCCGATGAAGACGAATACAAGCCCATTAACGAGGTTCCGGCGGGCACCAAAACCCTCAACATCTCCGGAACTGAACTCCGCAAGCGTCTCCGCACCGGCGCGCACATCCCTGAATGGTTCTCCTACCCCGAGGTTGTCCAGATTCTCCGTCAGTCCAACCCGCCTCGCTCTACTCAGGGATTCACCATCTTCCTGACGGGATACATGAACTCGGGCAAGGACGCCATTGCTCGTGCTCTGCAGGTCACCCTGAACCAGCAGGGCGGGCGGCCCGTGTCCCTTCTGCTGGGTGATACTGTCCGACACGAACTCTCGTCCGAGCTCGGCTTCAGCCGGGAGGACCGCCACACCAACATCCAGCGCATCTCCTTCGTAGCCACTGAGCTCACCAAGGCTGGTGCTGCTGTGATCGCCTCCCCCATCGCCCCTTACGAGCACTCGCGCCAGCATGCGCGCGAGGCCATTTCGCAGGTCGGCTCATTCTTCCTGATCCACGTGGCTACTCCATTGGAGTACTGCGAGCGCACCGATAAGCGCGGAATCTACGCAAAAGCCCGCCGTGGAGAGATCAAGGGCTTCACAGGTGTTGATGACCCGTATGAGGCTCCTACCAAGGCGGATCTTGTTGTAGATGTTTCCAAGCAGAGTGTTCGCAGTATTGTGCATGAGATTATCCTCATTCTTGAGAGTGAGGGTTTCTTTGATCCTAAGACCGCATAGACATGCATGTTTATGGATAGAGATATATGCATGTTAATGGTTATGGGAGATGGCTTTTTTTAACGGTTTTGTACTTTCCGATTCCCTTAGGTTCAAATAGATCTTCAGCTTTGTGATGTTATGGTTCCTGTCCTTAGATGCATGTCTTAAATGATTACGATTTTAAGTCCAGATTTCCCTTATTCACAACAGCCATGTTAGATCACGCATAGAACCAAGGCACGGCACTATTCATTGTACTTTATTACCCTCCATTACCCTTACCAGCGACACAACCAGCAAGTCTCAAACCAATTCAATCGCCGTCGCAGCGGCCCCACGGCAAGTGTCGAGAGTAGAACCCTAGAACCCAGACCAAGCCAACCAACCCGACACGCAGTAGCATACAACGTAGCAGCCCAGACAACCTGCGTGGGCGACGAAATGGCATGGTCCCGGATCATGCAGGTAATAGCGCCCTCCAGGAAGGACAAGATCCTGTACGGATTCTCAGGCCACGGACCCCCCCCCCCCCACCCCGACCCTATACGGAGTGGGTGGATGGAGTTCCGAGGGGAGTGCCTGGCTGGCGATCCCGGTCCTATTAGGGGGGATAGGGAGATGGGCCATGCTATTATGTATGGGATTGCGGCGCGGGCGAAGCCGAATGCCTACATGTAGCCTGGTAGAGATACCCAGGTAGTACCCCTGCTGCGGCTGGTATTCTTGCCTGTCTGATGCCCAGGGAGCAGTTTAGGCTGCTCAGTGAGCAAGCAGTGGCAAGGGGCGAGCACTAAAATGGAGATGGGAGGCTACGGGTGCATGTGGGAAATCAAGCACGCATGCATAGTAATATAACTAGCATTATCTAGACAATTGGACTGGGAAGGTCTATCAAACATCGAAGCCATGTATCGGCCCCAGATACGTCTTCTCAACATCGCGACCTGTTTTTGTAGCCGTCTAAAAGACAGCAAGGGAGCACCACCCAACTCGTTCTCCGGGTTTGGTCTGAGTATGGATGAGTACCGGCGAGGAACCAGAGTCTCACGGCATGTAATTCAGGGTGGTATATGCTTGGCCATTAGGTATGCCCCAAGAATTTGGTAAATTGTTGACTGGTGACAGGAAATACTCACTAAAGCAGGCCTTTGAGTGCCCTCGTTAAAGTAGTTACACCTGAGGAGGAAAAGTTGCTGCAGCGGTAGAAAACCAAGTCCGTATAGCAAGATATATATATATATGTATTACACCGATAGTTAGGGGTATAGGAAAACAGGCAGTACACCTGCACGGATATATGTGATGAGACTTGGTTAAAAGGAATTCTATATTGATCATATAAAAATCAAAAGGGATTGGACATTGAATTTGCTATTTAATGTTTATCAACAAATATGTTGCTTGTCGAGAGACCCAGTGAGTGAGTACGGAATGCATACGTCAATGCAAAAGGCTATATCAATCGATTTGTGGACCTCACTTTCAACATCGGCCGGCTGGCCTAATGGTAAGGCGTTGCTCTCCTATTCCTGGTCCACCAGGGTCAAGCAAAGATTGCAGGTTCGACCCCTGCGTCGGTCGTTTCACTTTTTGGATTTCAAATTTTTAATTACTATTAATTTTTTTTTTCTTTCATTTATTTCAGACCCCCCAAAAAAGATAAATGAATAAATAAAATAAAATAAAGAAGTCTTTCTTTCTGTTCATGATTTCCTTCTCTAATGAATGACCAATGGGATCATCAGCAGGGCCAGGAGCAGATACGCGAGACATGGAAGCAATGCTACGAAGAAACTGGCTACCATAGTTGGTATTATCGTATGCATCCTATGCCACATGTTCTTACGTCTTGTTCGTAACTGCAGCGCTTCTGGCATAACAAGACCTAGTCGCCATGATCAATACCTTTTGTGGTCTCTTGAAACGTTCTCCAACTCCATGAAACGACCATACCGAGGATCCATTCCGCATACGCTTTATTCCCCGACTGCAACGCGCATTCGTCTCTGTTCCCCGCTTATCTAGCTCGCTCTCTGTATCATCACAGCGCTACCTCATAGCCGCCCCCCCGTCTGCACCATGTTCACCACTATTTTCAGCCTGCAAGGGATAGCGATCGGTTTATGGGTTCCTCTGGAGGGGCCCGCAACAAGGACCGCTTCCATCGTCGTTGGCCTCTTGAGGTATGCAATGCCGTAAGATGGATGGGTGGCTGATAATAGTAAATTTAATACTCCATAGAACGGCAGAAGATATTATTATGGGGATTGGCGGGTCCAAGGCAACAGACAAGGCTGGACAGGCCATCTCCAACCATCCTGAGATTGTTAAGTGATCCCTTTTCCCTTGCACTCCTGCACCATCTGCCAGGCTCCATGCCTCTGTTCAAGAAACACAAGAATTCGTCGCAGTCGCCTCTGCCGATTGTGGATGGTTCGCGACCCCAGTCCGCCCGCGAGCAGCCCGTGTTTCCCCCCGCATACAGCGCTTCTCACAGCGTCGACACCGCCGTCGTCTCAGCCACTACCCGCAGCGACAACTTGGACGAGAGCACCAAACCTCATTACCACCACCTTCGACACCTCCATGAGCAGACTGCTTCCCGTACAGCCACTGCTCCAGTCGATTCACAGCCCTTCGATGCGGACAGGCGCTTTTACCCGTCGCCCGTGCCAAATCCGGACGCTGTACCCCTGTCGTCTTACATGGTAGACCAGGAGAAGCCGCCCAAGTCAAAGAAGAGCCTCTTCAATCGACACTCGACCAAGGACTCCTTGGGCTTTCTGGACCGTCGTGTTTCCCTCAAGGGGAAGAAATCTGGCTGGCATCAGCAGCAACGCTCGTCTCTCCAGCTTCCACACGATTCGGGCTCGAACAGTCAGGACGCGTTTCCAAGGAGCCATGTCCCGGTGAAGACCGAGCATGGAGTAGACAAAGACCACACTACGGAACCGTATCCAGCATCTCACACGCAGCAAGCATCTGCCACGCCTACCAGCCCTTCCTTCGAACACCCATTCTCTTCTCCAAACCCCTCCCTCGAATCATATGCTATCCGACGCTCGAAAACCGAATCATCCATCCCAGACCCCTCAGATACCAGAGAGCAGGACATTGGCCTGCGCGGCGGTCAAAACTCTCCCTTTCCTTCCTCCCAACCACCGCCCTTAGACGCTTCCTTTCGACACACGCCTGAGTCGTCTCATGCCATACAGGATCAAGAGTATCTACGCAGGATATACCTTCAATCTGACCAGGAACAGAGCACGCTACCCGCTTCGCAGCAGTCACTTGCACAACCCTCACCCCTACGGGCTCCCTATCTCCGACCCGGTTCTAGACCTTCCGTGGATCATTCGCAACCTGCTCAGCTCCAGGGAAATATGCACTCGTCAGATCGCCCCGGCCGGGTGAAGCCCCCGTATGCTGAATCCGGGTCACAACATGGTCAAAGCCGAGATAACAAGGGTAGCGGTCATCTTCCATACCCTCATGGTTCAAGTTCCAAGAACAATGCATCTCAGCAGAGCCTTCACGAACCTCCGCGAAACACGCCAACACCCTTGCAAGGTAGAGGTCGGGATGAGAGTGAAATTGACGTTCCGGCCCTGCTACAAAAATACGAAGAGCTCCGTAGGTCGACTGCTCCTTTTTCAACCATGCATCTATTTGTTTCGACTAGACCGTTCAGCTAACTCTGCCGCATCTAGAGGCGAAATATTCCAAGGTGAAGAGGTATTACTTCGAGAAAGAGGCGCAAGTCCAACAACTACAGAATACCATTGCCTACCAGCGCATGGCCTCTTCCCACACCCTCCTAGATGATAACGAGTATATTAACCGGTTCAATCGGCTGGATGGAGCAATCAAAGACCTCGCATTCTCTATTCGGAAAGATTGGAAGAGTGTGCCTACGTGGCTACAAGGGAATGTTAACAGTGACGCGCACACAGTGGGTACCAAAGAGATGACGGCAGTTGGTCGAGCAGTGGTCAGCCGTTGGCTAGTGGAGGAGATCTTTCACCGGCATTTCCATCCTGCACTTGATCAAAACCTGAGCATGCGACTGAAAGATATTGAGATGAATCTTCGATGCCAGCCTACGAACACGTCTACCGACGAGGACAAGGAGAATGCGGTCGCTAGAATCTCGAACTGGCGCCGCACGACTTTCGATGGTCTTGGTGACGCCCTGAGGGATAAAGAAGCTGGAGAGAACCGTTCCCGGCTAACCAGTGATCTCGTGTCCAAGCTGGTGGAAAAATTGGGAAGTAATCTCCGTGAGACGACGCCAAAGGAACTGGAGAACGCGGCGTTGATAATTGTGGAGAACACTGTCAACCTCTGTGAAAAGATCCCCCTGGAGTCACGGGATATCCGTGTTGAGTACTTCTTGCCTGGAGTTCCTGTCGTCGAGAGTTTGATGAAGGTCGAAACCGGACTGCCTCCGCTGGCCAGTCTTGACCAGTCGTCAAATCAGACATGTATGTCTACGGACCAAGAGCGCTCACTTGGTTCCCGAGGGGATGGATCGAATGGAGAGGTGGATATTGACCAGGACAAAACATCCATAACGTCGACGAGAAGTTCTCCCGGGAATAATACCAGTTCTGTTGCATCTCATAAAAAGGAGTCGAGGAAGAAATCCATCGTCGGCTCCCTCATAAACAGGAAGAACTCCCCTGGGACCACCCACGTACCTCAATCGCCTGACCTGGCGTGCCGCCGTGCATCGGTGGCTACCACCGAAATCAAGGGCCCCGAAGATGCTGAGAAACGTGACAGCCCGCCCCCTACTCCACGCATTCGCTTTGCATGTTTCCCGAGCGTGGTGGTGAGGGGAAAGGGGCCCGTAAACGCACTTATCAAAGCTCCCGTTTATCTGGTTGGGTAGAGGGATGTTTATTAAGGAGGCTGAGATATCAAGATTATTTTATCATATTCTCTTGCCTTTCCCTTGTCTGCTATCCTGCTATCATTTTACTTCTTGCCTTTTCATGATTACCATTCTTCCCCCTCGGCGGCAGCAAGTCCATGTATATCTCTCCTTTCCTTTCAGGATACACCCAGACTTTATACTTATGACACTGTGTTGAGTAGTCACGTGATTCCCATTAGCTAGATAGGGACCGACTCCGCCGACCCCTTTATGAATACAACCACGTCTAACCCATCACACTGTTATTATGGTCACTATATATGCCACTATGTAGGATTTTTATACTACTACCATAGAATTTCGTTTTGCTATTCCGCTGCCGTTTTTGGCCACATGTGACGCCAAAAACTGGCTTTTCCGGGCCACATCGTCGTCCAACACCATTCATCTGCTTCCTATCTAGTTTCAGAAGGGCGCTGAAAATGGCCTCGCCTCCCCAGCAACCACCAGCTGAGGACTAAGCTGGCACCTAGCTGCCATGGTTAAAAGCCCGGTTACTCCCAACTCCTACTCATTCGGCCTTTGTTTCCATCCAGTTAACACCCAAGTATCAGGATCAGCTCTTCCTTTATCCTTCACTGCTCTTTTCTATTTTACCAGGGTCTGTCACTACCTCAGACCTCTCAACAGCTTTGCCTTGCAGTTGGCATAAGTCTTCAGTCAAATCCCGTCAAAGACAGATCAATATGAAGTCCCCTTCCTCCAGCAAAACTACTAGTGCATCTACCGACTCCGACACAAGCTTGACAGAACCAGCATGCCCTCCAGGGCCTTAAACAGTCAGAAGGAGAAAAGCAAACACAAAAGGCAGGAATCTCAGTGAAACAAAAACATTTCATCTGTGGAACTTCTCCATCGGACCCATTACAAAGACCCAGCTGATGATACAGATGAGGATCTCTCCAAGGTGCTGGAGGACTATAGCAAATTAGGAGGCACCAAAAAACTCCAACTCTGTCTGACAGATTTCTGGGCGCGGTAAGTGATGAAATGCACCAGCTGGGTTTCAGCCTGAGCTGGATAATATGGCAGATTATTAACTTACGGACTTGCTGCTAGTTACGGTCAGACCAAAGCAATCAAGCCATCAGCAGAGCTGAAGTGGGAAGATCTGGAAGAAGCACTACAGCAAGCAACTCTAAACAACATGCACCAGTTTCTAAACTGGCGTCTCAAACTACAGTACAGCCCCAATGGACATTGTCTGAAGGGCTTAAAACAAGCCCATGCACTCAAGTGTGACTGGAAATACTTCTGGGGCTACTACCAAAAAGTCACCAAGCATACGATAAGTAAGGAAATAGCTGAAGCAGCCTGCACAGCCTGTTCTCTTATGCCAATGGTGTGCCATCTATACAAGGGCTTGAACTGACACTGATGGGCAGGGTATGAAACACTTAAATAATAAACATGGCTGGAAAATAACATCGCTTCCGAAACTCCACCTCCACTACCAGGCACATTAATTCTCGTGATCGTAACCTGTGCTCTCGTTCAATACTAGTGACAAAAGCACCACCGAACAGAAGAGGGTCGAACAGAATCAACTTATAGCAATGTCCATATCGTCGGGCGAAGAAGCTCGGCGAGCAAGAGGGAAAAAGTATATAGAGCCACCGTCCTACAGAATAGCGAAAAACCCAAATATCGGACAAGTAATATCTTCAGGTGAAGAGGCACAGAAAAAGACACAGCGCCTATCCACTCTGGCATACTAAGACCACATAGAAAGGAACAGGAAGCAAGACAGAATAATGCCCAGCACACGAATCAAAATCATTGATCAACATCACCAAACCGTTTTCTCAGCCGATATTTGTACTCCGCCTCTTCCTCACCTTCTTTTGAATAAAGTCATCAGCTCCTACGTACCAGTGTGGACTCACAGTTTGGTCAAACACTCGTTGACTGCAATGCCTCTCACAAAATCTGCATTGGATATGCTCGTTGAAGACTTGGAAGAGTCCTTTTGGGCTATGTACAGCTTGAAAGTACCAGAAGCTTCCTTTATTCCAGCATGTTCTCATTATCTGAGCCTGGGAAGCATTGGAGCCTTGAAGCTTTTGCTCCTGTTCTTCAAAAGCATCCATGAACTCATTGATGATTTTGTCGAATGTCCGTGAATGCTCTCCATGTTCAATGTCGTCAATAGACCGACCAGATGGCCAGTAAGGGGGCATTTTTAGTTTGACGGGGAAAGAACATGCCCATTCTAGGTCAATAAGCGATGTAACATGCCAATCTTCGTTGACAAATATATTACTTGGGTGAAGACCAGTAAGCACAAGGAAGAATGGCCCGTTACGATATCCACAAGATATAAATTGACAGAGGAGACCACGCATCATGGTCAAAGCGGCGAATTGTTCCTGGCCGTCATTCAGGTCATGGATGGCATTTGGCTGGTAGTAAATCCGGTTGTCATGACACTGTAGAAGGTCCAGAATATAGGGCTCTACCGTCCGGTAAGTTGAGTCTCTTGGGATTGTAGGAATGCCCTCATTTTCCAATGATTGGAGTCGCAGTGTTAGGGGCGGGTTTGTTAAACTGATTTCACCATTTTTGTTCAAAGTCTGAGACCTGATTTGCGACAACCAGCGCTGGGCCATCAATCAGTTGCTCAACGGACAAACTGTTTTCCATCCGTTCAGCAAGGGCAAATAAGAACCCAGCGCCATACTGCGTACCGATCGTTAGTGCAGAAATTGAGGTTGCCTGTGGAAGCCCAGTGCGAGCTTGACGAGTTCCCCATGGGCAATCTCCGGGAGTTGGGAAATCAGGCCCCGCAGGCTTGCCGCCTGGTCAACGGCGTCGCGAACAGGGCGCAGGGAAGGGACTACAGTGCGTGGAGGCGCAGTGGTGGCCATACTCGACGTACCGGTCGAGCATCTGCCACATCAGCGACGACGGGCCACCAGCTACCTGGTGGGTAGTATTCCGAGAGCATACCCATGCCATACCCATACCCGATATCTCTGCTTACATCTGACATTGTCACAGGAAGTTTGGACCGCTAAACGGGAATCGCGGCCCTGGGAGTGGAAAGCACTTTATAGATGCCTACGGCTTCGATTCGCAGACGCCCAACTCACTTTGCTTTGCCTCGTTCACTTCCACTAAGGCGCCAGGGACTATTACAAACACAATGACAACTGACCGTGGCTCCCGCGTTCTGGACGATGACCCGTACGTGCCTCCTCCTCCTAGTCCTACTTAGCAAATGTCTAGCTGGCAGATCCGTCTATATAAGCATGTACGGCGCTGCCTATGGCTGGCCCCGACAGTCCTGCCGCTCCAATCCAGCCACGTCATTGATGAAAAGGGCATGCGGCTCAGAGAATCCACTGGCCCAGAAGAAGAAGGGCCAAGGAGGTAGCATGACGGTGGCAAGGAAGGCTGCTAGGGAAGGGTCAAGCCGTGGGCGGAGAGCCTCAGCTCCAGCACCATAGGTGGTAAAAAAAGGTGCTGTTGCTATGTAAACTGGCTGGCGTGTGGCCTTCAGCAACCCAGGCGTAGTGTATGAGGTAGTTATGGAGAGCTACACATCGTGCATGATCCATCCCCGACAGATCAGTGCGTGGCTGCGTTATGCTGTAACAAGCAGGCCATCCGCATTGGGGAGTTGTGAAACGTCCATGATTCACCAAGACCAGTGCTGTAGTTGTTAAGGTGAGATCAGGATAGCATATACTGCACCCAGGTGTTGGACCCAGCTCTAGGGGAAAGGGTAGTGATATAGGGACAAGTGTGAGCAGAGGGGGACAACGGTATATTGTCTTTCCTTAGGAGTGCTGCAGCTAGCTTTCCAGGGGCTGTTTGTCAGGGCCCGAAGCACCATAGTTGTCCCTTAGGTTGATTAGCGGCGGCTGGATCGGGCCTCGGACCGCCTTCCGCAGCCCCACCCACTCAGCTGAGGGACGAACAAACAACGGCGGCATACGACACTACGTGAAAGTACCTCGTTCTCTTTCTGTCTGACGCTGAGTATCCATCATCATCATCTGTCCGGGCTTTGAAGTCAATTTTCAGCTGCTCCGCTGCAGCCGCCATTGGGCTATGGCGCCGGCTATGTCACGCAAAAATCGAGTGTGGTCTCGGAGAGAAATCGAGGGATTGATAGCAGATGGGCGAAAGATAATCATATTGGGTGATCAGATCATAAAGGCCGACGCGTGGCTACCATATCACCCAGGTGGGGATAAATCAATATTGCACATGGTCGGTCGGGATGCGACGGACGAATAACAGCATTGCACTCAAAGGAAGCACAGGCTCATATGCAGAAGTATGTGATAGGAAGAGTACACGGAAGATGGGAAAATTTCTTGCCTCCGGTACAGGGAGGAACATTCAGGACGCTGGGATTAAAGCACGTCAACGACGAAGCACTATATGCCGAAGAAGATGTCAGCTCATCTGGAAAATCAACACCACCATCACCAGTCTTTGATACTGAAGAGACAGGAGATGAAGTTCGTCTGAGGCGTGCAAGCAATGATATACCTATTTCTCGAGCTTCATCCCTATTCTCATCAGAGCCGGAGCCGGGGAAATTCAGATCTGCGGAAGTATCAACAGCCCACGCGATATCTTCAAAATATCCTCGTCTTGATAAAAGGTCACAAGACGAGGTCGTCTCAAAGTACCGCCAGCTCGATGAAAAATTGCAGTCTGAAGGGCTCTATGAGTGCCCATATGGCTCCTATGCTGTTGAATCTGTCCGATACTTGATTCTTTTCGTTCTCTTCTTGCCATTTCTTCACTATACCTATTACGCTCTTTCGGGCCTTTTCCCCGGGTTACTCTGGCACCTGCTTGCATTCACCGTTCACGAAGCCGGTAACATAAGCATAACCCATGAATTCCACACGGACAGCTGCATCGGGATTTTCATTACAGATTTCCTTGGTGGTCTTTCAGTCGGTTGGTGGAAGCGGAATCACAACGTGCATCACATAGCAACCAACTCGCCTGAACATGATCCAGGCATCCAGCACATGCCATTTTTCGCCATCTCTTCTTATGGTAGAAAATTAACTATGTATATGGGACGCATATAACAATCCATTAGCTGCCGGATTGTGTTGAGCGACTCGTATAGATTAGGTAATCAGAACGGGCCGAAAGAAGAGGGCGGTGAACATAGCGGTGAGCAGAGATGCGTCATTTTGCCCGTCGAGTCATCTCCCCGCGCAGAGTCATTTTAGTGTTGGATTCAGCTCTTCTCTGTCTCCGCAGGGCGTCCTGTGCCTGGGCTCGTGTTCAGTTTGACTTCTCCCTTTCGCATGACATCGGCATTTGTGTGTATTGCCGTATCTGTCTATTGTGCGGTGCATTCTCTGGCTCCTATGCAGCTGCTATTCTAGCTCTCGCCGCACCCGGAGATAATGAAACATGAGCATCCAGGCATTGAGCCGACCCCGGACCGCGAGGTCTTTTCTGCTGAATGTGGTATCTCCTCGAGTCAGAAATTTGCCTTTCTTTTTTTTTTTTTTCTTCTACTGATAGCATTCTTCAGTGCGAGCAGTCTTGTAACCGGATTACTTGTACGCCCCATCCGCAATCTCGCTCGTTTTCCCAATCCTCGGTGACCGCCCTCTCTCCCTCGGCAGACCGTCGAGTCAAACAAAGTGCCGGTTTCTCCAGTACTGCTGGAAACTGCAGCCACTTGGGTCACCGCGCGAAGGAGAAGCTCCTCGATCGGGTAGGCATCCTGCATTACCATCTCTCTCTGCAGTGTCAAAGCCTGACAATCACCACTTGCAGGAATTCTTCCTCAGTCTCCTGAGTTCCGCAACTACCAAACGAGAGGCAAGGCAGTATCTCGCTCGCATTAAGGATAGCTCATCGGATGGAAGCATTAAGACGGTTGCCGCCAGAACGAAGGATCCCGTTCAATTTGTCTCCGAGCCCTCCCGGCCAGGCGTTGAACTCGGTTCCTTCTACGGCGCCTCACGATCCGTCTATAACAGTCCCGTCTTCAGACTCGATTCCACACCGTCTCCACTGGTGGAGGGGTCTCCTGAGAGGATACATCTGGCCCTCGTGAAGATCACCACGCCGCAGTTGCTGGATGATTCCACGGTTGATGGAGTCGCCAAGACGCTGTCCCAACTCACGCGTCTTGGATTGGCGTGCTGCGTGGTGGTGGACCCGGGAGCCATAAATGACGCCAAGGCGTTACGAACGGTCTCGATAGAACAAGCGACTCGGATATCGACGGCAATTGATGCACAGCCTGACTCAAAATCCTTACGCCTGGACTCAGTATTGTCCATCACACCAACAGACTCTACCCCGAGGGTGCTGTCTCGAAAGGCCCTATTGCGGCCCCTTCGAAGTGGGCAGATTGTCATTGTGACCCCCATTGCCTACACAGAAGACTCTCCGAAGGCGGTATGCCTGCCGGCGGACGATGCTGTTCTTGCCCTCACGAAGGAGTTCGCCGGACTGGCTACGGTTTCATACCCGGATGAGGAGCCATTGGTTAGTGCACAAAGAATTGATGGTCTACAGAAGGAGGTCTCCTTGGATCGGCTGATCCTTCTGGATCCTTTAGGTGGTATCCCTGCGTTCAGCGGCCCTCAGGGCTCGCATGTCTTCATCAACATGGAACAGGAATTTGACAACATCCAAGATGAGCTGTTGGAAGTGATGCAGTCCGTCATCTCAGGAACTGAGAGCCCATCGGTACGAGAGAAGATTGCCGCTGTTCTTCCTTCGTATGGCAGTAATTCATCCCCGAATGGAGCTTCCCCGGCTCCTCTCTCCCCCGAACGTGTCCTCGAGGGCTACCTTGAGAATCTCCGGCTATCCCGAAACACCCTGGTCCTACTACCTACGACATCGTCTGGCATCATTACGTCGCCGGCAGATGTTGCTACCTCGGCGAAATCATCGCAAGATAGTCCTGGGCCATCTGCAGTCGGTACACGTCGACTGCGGAATCCTCTCATTCACAATCTACTCACAGACAAGTCTTTACACTCACCGTCTCTACCTCTCAGTCGACGCGTAGCGACCGGCGGATCACAAAATTTTCAGACTAGCCAGTTTGCCTATCCCACGACGTTTGTCAAACGCGGAATGCCGCTCACTATCTTTCCAGACCCACGGTTGGAGCCATGGACAGCCCAGAACCGTCCGAAGTTGAATCTCGATGACCCAAGCATCGATCTATCCCGGCTGGTGCACCTGATAGAGGATTCATTCAATCGTAAGCTCGATGTGAAACATTACCTGGATCGAGTAAACGGCCGCCTGGCCGGACTGATCGTCGCCGGGGAGTACGAGGGAGGCGCCATCTTGACCTGGGAAATGCCACCGGGCGTGATAGACGACGGCAGCGAAGCAAGTACGGCGCGACTAGTCCCATATCTGGACAAATTTGCCGTGCTGAAGCGCAGCCAGGGCGCAGGCGGGGTGGCCGATATCGTCTTCAACGCTATGGTGCGCGCATGTTTCCCCAATGGCGTGTGCTGGCGTAGCCGCAAGGACAACCCGGTGAACAAGTGGTATTTCGAACGGTCGCAGGGCTCATGGAAACTGCCCGATAGTAACTGGACCATGTTCTGGACGACGTCTGGATTGCCGGACAACGCGCAGATGTTCCAGGATTACGAGGCGGTTTGCCGCAGTATTCAGCCCAGCTGGGCGGACAAAAAGGGTGTTTTGGAGTAGTATCATAGAGTAATAGTATAGTGAAAATATATAAATAGGTACATGTTTTCATGACCTCATTATGGCAGCTTCCGCGAACTTTTTGTCCACCTGGTCCGTGTCAAAACTGGCGTTATGTCACTCCAAGTCCAGCTTCAATGAAATTCCACCTGCATGCTTCATCTAGTCTTCTGCGGGTCTCTGCGCAATCACACAGATGTCCATCTAACTAATTGACACGATACCCATCACACCTGAAATCCACTATGGTAAATAGCCACCAGATCGCGCCACAACCGCGACGGACCCCCGCAGACGATGTCGCCGCCGCTCTCAACGACGGCAAGAGACACTTGCTGCTAGCAGCAACAGGCTCAGTCGCGACCATCAAGCTCCCACTCATTATCTCCGGGTTTGCAGACTGTCCTAATATCTCGATCCGAGTCATTTTGACCAAAGCCGCGGAGCATTTTTTCGCTCCCTCTCGGGAACACCCCGCGGGTGTGCCTCTAGCCTCCCTACCAAACGTCGACTCGGTTCACCTGGACGAAGATGAATGGGCTGCGCCATGGACCCGCGAGTCGGAGATACTTCATATAACGCTGCGTCGTTGGGCTCATATACTCGTCATCGCGCCGTTGAGCGCCAACACATTGGCCAAAGTGGTGAACGGCATCTCGGATAATTTGCTTACGAGTGTTGTGCGGGCGTGGGACACGACGGGTCGCATCGATGGGAAGAGGCGTAGGATTGTCGTCGCTTTGGCTATGAATACGGCCATGTGGATGCATCCTATAACGGCGCAGCAAGTACGCGTTTTGGAAGAGGATTGGGGGATCAACGATAAAGACAGGGACGACACTAAGGAAGTCGATGGGGCCGTGCAGCAAGGGTGGTTCGAGGTCCTTTATCCCATTAAGAAAATGCTCGCTTGCGGTGATATTGGGGCTGGTGCTATGATGGAGTGGCCGGAGATTGTGAAGATCGTCAAGCGGAGACTGGGCCTGCCTCCTGCTGTTGCTTCACAGCCCGTGTGACATTTTGACGTGGATCTGGGATGGGAACAATTCGCCTTCTATCTCGGTTTCAGTGGTTGATTCGGTATAGCAGCTACTTGGGGCGTTCGCGTCAAGCCGAGGTGATTCCTTGAGTCATTCTTGAAACCACCGGAGTCGTCACTCTAAACCAGTCACAGTTGGCCTTCGACCATCTGTATTTCTTTGAGACCAACTTCCTGTCAACTGGCTTCCAAAATCCCGGACAATCTCTTGCGTCATTTGTCCTCTCCGCTTTTTCGAAGACGGCATTGACAATCTACTTTCGAGTCCGATTCCTAAGAATTCATTGTCAATGGGCTACTGCTAGGACAGTCCTATTGCGCCAAAGGGACGGATGCATTGATTCAATACTAATGATGGAAACTATGGTATATCTAATCAATCTCTCTTGCCTGGACGACATTGGATGCAATGAATGGTCCACAACCCTTCTTAGGGAGGCTTTTAGTTATATACGAATATTTATACAACATTCGGTTGTCCTAGCGAATGATGAATTATATCGTCACCATTCGATGATGACAGCATCAAGATTGGAAATACATCCAGGCTTCGATGTTCACCCCTGAGTACCACGGAACCATTTGCCTGTTTCCACGCGGTCGTTGTCAATCTCGTAGAATCCATGGATCTCTTCATCATGGCATGCTCATCATCTATGTTTAGCATAAATCGAGGACGATACCTTGGGTCCAACGGTAGCTACCCGCATCAAGTGGCAACCGCAACCATGTCCATGTATGTACAGATTTGGAATTGATGACTGCCCATTTTTTCATGATAGAAAGAAGACTGACGTCTATGCCGTTAGGCACCCATCTCCTCTATTCCTCTGTTGCAAGGTTTTCTTCCTTCCAGGGTCACTTTGTGCCACAGCGGCATAACGTATCGCTCATTCCGCAATTCTAGACATCATCAACAAGACATTATCTGAAGCTCTAGGATAGGGGAAGATGAGAGAATTTTATATCTCCCTGATTATTGTCGCATGCATCTCTGCTCTTCTTGTTCTCGCCATACTTCCTCTGGTGGTTTTATCAACCAAGGACACCGTTGCCGTCTATTCATTTTCTTTGCGCGATAGTATTATTTCAAGATGGCGTCTTCAATCGATCCTCCATGCAGGAGACAGTATGGAAGTCCTGTCTTTGCCAGGATACAACGTTTCCTCATGGTATAGCGTCGGGTCTCGGGGGACCGTCATGGTCGGTCTCATTGAGAGTGGTGTCTACAATGAAACGGAGCTCTTTTACTCCGATAACCTACAGAAGATCATTCAAAATCGATCTACCTTTTATTCGCCGTGGCTATACAGGATGGAGTTCGACGCCGGGAGCAAGTTTCCAGACGGAATGCACCTCTATCTCACGACCCATGGAATCACCGCCCAGGCTGATATCTTCGTCAATGGTGCTCTTGTGGCATCTCATAAAACCCAGCAGGGCTCGTTTGTTGGTTGGAAATACGACATTGCCGCATCGATCAGAGAGGGACTAAATTGCATCCTCATAAAAACATACCCGGCTTCATATCACCGGGATTTTGCGATTGGGTTCGCGGACTGGAATCCTTACCCACCAGATAATGGGACGGGAGTATGGAGGAATGTAGAACTGTCTGCGAGTGGTGCCGTATCCATCTCACCTCCTCGTGTTATTACTACGTTCCAACAGCCAGATGCGAGCCAAGTTGATATCATCGTTACGGCGGAGATCACCAATCACCAGCCGCGAACTGTCGTCGGAATGGTGACTGGAGTCATTGAATCAGAGAATAAGGACCAGGTGCTCCGCATGGCGCAGTTCTTCATGCTGAATGCGCACGAATCCAGAAGTATTGCTCTGACGACCAAGCTCGATAAGCCTCACGTTTGGTGGCCTGCTTCCTGGGGAGAGCAGCCCTTGTATACGGTCTTGCTCAACGTCACCACCGTCGACAACCACCCGTCAAATGTCCGTACCAGAAGCTTTGGAATCAGACACGTCACTTCTCATCTAAATTCGTATAATGATAGGGAATTCACCGTAAACGGATACCCGTTTCAAGTCCTGGGAGCCGGGTACTCTCCCGATATCTTCTTGCGATTTGACGAGAACCGTGTCCGCAAGATCTTTAAGCACGCCCTGAACATGGGCCTGAACACTGTTCGTTTGGAAGGGAAATTGGAACAGCCCGAACTGTACGAACTTGCCGACCGAATGGGGATAATGGTGCTACCCGGCTGGGAATGTTGTGATAAATGGGAGGCATTTGATGTGAGACAGCCATTGCTTTTGAACCAAGAATATACCGGTACTGACATATAGCTGGTCTAGTATAACGATGATAATAAGGCACTCAGATGGGACGAAAATGACTATACAATCGCTGAAAACTCGATGCGTCACGAAGCAATGCAGTTGCAAAATCACCCCAGTGTGCTCGCGTTCCTAGTCGGTTCCGACTACTGGCCTGATGATACTGCCACGGAAGTTTACCTCTCTGCTCTTCGGAAAATGGATTGGCAAGCACCCATAATTGCCTCCGCTAGCAAACGCGGATCCCCCAAACAGCTAGAAGGTTCCGGTATGAAAATGGTCGGCCCCTACGACTGGGTTCCGCCTAACTATTGGTACGAGAGCGAAGAGGATGCAGAAGGAGGCGCATTTGGCTTTGGCTCCGAATTGGGTGCTGGTGTTGGTACACCAGAGCTTAGCAGCCTAAGGAAGTTCTTATCCCCGAAGGATTTGGAGGATCTCTGGACCAATCTGGACAAGGGGCTTTTCCATATGTCGAACGATGACTCGCAGTTTTGGCAGAGGAGCATTTACAACAAGGGGCTGGTTGAGAGGTACGGACAGCCGAGCAGTCTGGAGGACTACGTACTCAAAGCGCAGGTGATGGATTATGAAGCAACGAGGGCACAGTTTGAGGCGTTTTCCATCAGACAAAGTGCTCAGCGTCCTGCTACAGGGATGTAAGTCTAATCCCCTTTTTTCTCCGCTTGTTTGCTTGCCTCTACTGACTGTTAGCTATTTTTTTCAGGATCTACTGGATGCTCAACAGCGCCTGGCCCAACCTCCACTGGCAATTATTTGACTACTACCTTAATGCTGGAGGCGCATACTTCGGCGCCAAAGTCGGATGTCGAACAGAGCATGTGGCATACGACTACGTCTCGCAAGGAATCTACATCATCAACCATACGAAATCCACCAAAGCCAATCGTACGGTGACCATCGACCTAATCGACATGCAGGGTAGGCCACTTTTCCACCACAACGAAACAGTTGTGACGAGTCCACTGTCCTCGACACTCGTTTCGACCATTCCTGAAATTAGTCAAACCGTCTTCCTGAGGCTCATTCTCCAGAACTCTGCCCGTGATATCCATGATGATCCCCTGAGCAGAAATATCTACTGGTTATCTGAGAATAGAGACGTTCTGGACTCGGAAAACGCAACGTGGTATTCCACCCCCGTCTTGGAATATGCGGACTACACTGCCCTATCGGAACTGGAGGATGTCACTGTCAAGGGCAGACTTAAGACCAGGATTAATCAGGATTATGATCAGGAGAAGGATGGTGAAGTAGAAGTATTCGGCCTGGTAGATCTGCAGAACGAGTCAGACAGTTTGCCGGCTTTCTTTGTGCGGATGATCCTGCTGGATGCTGAGACCCAGAATGAGGTTCTTCCTGTCTACTGGAGCGATAACCACGTTACGCTGTGGCCTGGGGAAAGTTTAAATGTGAGCTTTACGGTTGAGTTAAAGAGGGAGATTGCGGATTCTGGACTGCTTGTTGCTGTTGATGGGTGGAATGTTGAGAGATTCACTCTAGATACTGAGGGCGATGCTTGACTTTTGTATTTTGTTTTAAAATCATTATGATGCTATTCGGAATTTGGGATGGTTAGGTTGGTATTTTAACTCATGACTTTTGCTATATAGTTACCTGCACAAGACTAATTAAACCGCTCATCTTGCGATTCATTAACCCAGATTAAATAGTAAAACACAGACTGAATCAGAATTCCCGCAAAGACCTGCTTCAGAGTCCTGGCCGACCCTTATATCTATTCTCCGGTGAGACTCCAGACTCTGTAACCATCGTCGTAACACTCTTGTATATTCCCATATTGGGACTTCCCTTGTCCAACTCCCTATCTGCAGAGTCCGAATGATGACTCTCCGCAAAGATCATTGTCGTAGTAATCGCATCCCTGTCTGGTCTCAGTTCCGCCAAACTGACCGTCCGTCGGTTGGAGAGTGCGTTTGTGATAGGAGTTTTAGGAGGCGTGGGGAACCATAATGTTCTGTTTGTAGTTGGAAGCGGGCCCACGTCTGTTGCTGCGGCTATCGAGAATGACATTTGTCCCGTCCTACAGGTAGGAAGAAGTGCTGAGTCCGAATCGGGCTTTCAGAGCTTGAAGGAGCGGGCGGAGGGTTGCTGCGCAAGCTGCAGTAATTCCGACACCTAGTTCAACTGTAGACCAGATATCTAGACCTGCTGTTTTGTTTGGTATATTATATTGTATAGAGAGAAGGGTGTGTGTGCGTATGTGTGCCCACAAGGGAAGACATACAGAGAAAATCATTTCGGGCATCCATGGGAACGAAGGTATGGTATTCGGACAATGGTGGCAGCACTCCCACTGATATAACACAACGATTCTCGTTAGCCATATTCTTCTGCTTTACATCACATTGGATACATACATCGCAGCGAATCCAAGTACTCCCGAGATAATGGCCTTGTTTTGTCTGGACATCTGCAGATCCCGAATGATGAAGGCTGGAAGCAAGCCAAATGTCCAGTCAGCGGCGGCGTTCAAAGCCGACCACACATACGAGCTATACTCAAGCACGGAAAACGATATGCACTTCTTTCTTTCCACAGTCCAATAGTTGGATAGGGATCTGCATTGCAGAACCGTGACAATGAAGAAGTACAGCCCGAACAGACCAGTAGCTATGATGGTTATGCGAATGCTCCAGATATGCACATTTCGAACGGAGATGCGGAGAAGAAAGAGACCAACTGACGCTTTAAGGAGTGTGATGGCCGGGACGTAGAAGATCTGACAAAGGAAAAACAAACTGGTGTAGGTCATCAGTTAGCAGACTGGAGCATAACGCTGATGAATAGGTAGGGCAAAGGGGGTACCTTGAGCCCCTCCAGGATTGTTTTCTCAGGTAAAGAAGCCATGTATTTCCCAGCGCCATTCTACGGCGTGAATCCGGCATATGAGCCAAGCGGTATTCAAAAGCTATAGGGAGGGAATCAATTCCTGGCATGGAACTAGATGTATTCACTGGAAATACTCAACCTGCGTGACTACCATAAGCCAGTCGTCCAGGCCAAATGACCTGCGCATGATGTCCTAACGAAAGCCCGCAGTGCTAGGGGAATCCATGTCAGGACAAGAACGTGATATTGACTGCGAGGATTTGGTGACTTCGGTCTTCCATGGCAGGCCGCGAGGGATATGCATATTGCATAGGGACAGGAGGACCGGCAGCGAGCGAAAAAGAGAAGAAGACACAGAAGGGAATATTAATAGCGATGCCTCAGCCTAGTGTGGACAAGGGGGAATCGTAGTCCTCAGCTTTACGCTATGCATTTACCACATCAGGGACTTCTCGTCTCTGCAGAGGCGTCTGTGCATTGCACAATGTAGGTGCAGTAGGATACACAGTAAGATTTGAGAACCCATAATGGGCACAAGCAGCCGTTGGAAAATAAGCCCAGAGAAGTCCAGTTTCCCACATGCTGATCCTTGAGCCGTTCCTTTTTCGGAACATCTGATCTGGGGTAGTTGAAACAGTTAGACCCCAGCCCCCGCAATGTCCAAAGGATCCAGGCTGCAGGGCAGTGCTGGCGCCTGCAAATGAAATGTTGCCCCCGATCCAACAAGCTGCAATAGTCGGACGACAATGCATAAGAAGCGAAACCGCGGGTACTAGCAATAGGGACCGTCGGGGCCGGTGCATTCTATTTGGCCCGACTCGGTAAGCCAGGAGAGAACGACTAGTACCAGGGAATGTCATGAAAAGCCCAATTATCAGTTCGAAGAGGCCAGAGCTTTGAAAATGGAAGCTCTGAATGGATATCATGCGAAACAAGGTTTTGGGACGACATTGGAGATCAACGATGGTTCGAAGGATGGAGACAACAAAGCGGAATTGCAGCATCGTTTTCCCAATGCCGTCGGCATCCAGTTCTTCCCTGGTACTGTGTCGCAACACCACAGCCTAGGGTGCACATTGCACAATAATGGAGCAGAAACGAAATCTTCCGTTTTTCTGCCATTTTCCAAACCCCGCTTTTTCTCTCCCCGGTTACCCCTAGGGGCCTGCCAGCGATGAAGATCTTGGATGAGCAATGCTCGCTTGCTTGACGACTGGCCTTCTATTCTATTGCCGGGTAGGATAGGCAGGTAGACACATGCAACGTGGGGATTCTCGTCAATTTGTCTCGACGGGCTTGCATGAGCCAGGTGGCTCCTGGTGGAATATAATTTCAGTCCTCCCTAGGAGAAACTGCTTAATGCCCTGTCACCTTGTAATGGAGTCCGGCCTGCTCATCCCGCTATTGAAAGTCACATAAAGACACCATTGGTGCTGACAGTCTTAATTAAGCGTCTTGGCTGAGCTCCTGAGGATAAGACAGTATGATTGCTTGATGGGATTGCTGGTGGAAGAGAACTGATGCGATTGATAAGATAAGGGCTTGGCCCTGACCGGTGTAGTATGCCACGTGATATCTCGACGTCGGAGTTTCCTGTTTGGGAAGGTCGAAGAGCATTCCAAAGGGGCCTCCTTAACTGCTTCAACAACCTTCATGGCTTGAGACAGATAGCGAAGTCCAGCAGTAGACCACTCGGAAGACCTAGTAATATCATATGGATTGGATTCTTTTGGCCCTTTTGAACAACTCCGATTGCCGATAAGATAAGCGGGCTTTTCCCCGCATGAGCCTGACTATAATACTCGGAAGTATCTCTTCCTCCAACTCAGACATCTTCTGCTTCATACTTAGCAAAATATATCTACTTAAATATGAATTCAGACGACCCATCAATACCTTCTTCAATCCTGACTACCGCCGACCCTGGCCTGCCCCGACCAAACCCTACCCAATCCTACTGGCAGCACCGCCCTCATCCCCTCGCCAACGTCCAATCCGCCCCCCTGCCTAGTACGACAGACATCGCAGTGATCGGTTCTGGCATTACAGGCCTATCAGTCGCGAAGAACCTTCTGGAGCAGCACCCGACGGCCGTGGTAACCGTCTTGGAAGCCCGGACGCTGTGTTCCGGCGCTACGGGCAGAAATGGCGGGCAACTTGCTCCCAATGCGGCCGAGGAGTACTTGACACTCCTCCGGGCTCATGGGGCCGAAATGGCCGGTAGGATAGTGCGGTTTACCTTGAAGAACCTCGATATGATGATGCGGCTGATCGAGGAATACGCTCCCGAGGAGGCGCAGTTGGAGAGAGTGCGGAAGTTGAGGGTTTTCCTGTCCTCCAAGGCATTTGCTGCGTTCAAAGCCAGTCTAGCGAAGTTGGAAAGAGATCATCCTGATCTGAAAGGGGTATATGAGGTTGTTGATGCCGAGAGGGTAGTGGAGGTGCGCTATCCATATATCCGTGGCTATTAAATGACTGGGCAGAAAGAAGTCCCCTTACACTCCACGATAGGAATTTGGTATTTACGGCTCTGCTGGTGCAGCGCTTCTTCCAGCTGGGACTGCATGGCCATATCGCATCGTGACGAGCGTCTTTGCGGCCCTGCGCGAGAAATATCCCGCTCGACTCGCAATTGAGACCAACACTCCAGTCACTGCCGTCTCCTACGATGCAGAACCCTCAGCGTACAACTCCCCATATCCGTACACGCTGCACACGGCCCGAGGCCCTCTTCGCGCTGGCAAAGTCACATACTGCACAAATGGCTACACAGGACACCTCCTTCCCAAGCTCAGAGGGCTCATCTACCCCTTCAAAGGTTCCATGACCGTCCAGGATCCAGGTCAGTCCGTGCCGAACCGTGCTTCTTCCATCTCCTGGGCCTTTCACTATCCGGTGTCTTATAACAACGAGAACCAGCACTGTGACCATGGTCTGTACTATCTCCTTCAGAACAGGCAGACAGGGTACTTCTTTTTCGGCGGCGAGAGTGCCCCCTGGTCCTACTCCATTTCCGCCGATGATAGCTTCATGGAGCGCTATGCTGTTGAGCATCTGCAACGTGACCTTCCTCGCTATTTTGGGAAAGCCAAGTCCGGTTCGGGACCAGGGTCAGATTCGGATTGGCAACTAGTAAGTGCCTGGAGTGGCATAATGGGCTTCTCATTCGATGAGCTCCCCCTTGTCGGTAAATTGCCTCGTTCCCTGACAAACCGGGGGGGGGACGGAGAATGGATCGCTGCCGCGTTTAATGGCTATGGCATGGCAAACTGTCTGTTGTCCGGCGAGGCCCTTGTGAAAATGATGCTGGGAGAGGACGTGAGTGCCTGCTTTCCAGGGGCGTATTTTATCGATGAGCCCAGGTTGATGAGGGCGAAGCTGGCACTACCTAAGCTTTGACGGATCAGCTGCGTACGATTCCCTGTTGAAGATCCTCTGTCGTGTTCATCTCATGTTAGCAAGCATAGGCCACAAGGGCATAGAGGTGTTGATAACGGTCCTGTGCATCTATCTATTGCGCTAACTGATGTAATGCATCATCCAGGATAAAGACCATCCAATGCCATCTACATGAATATTATGTTACCAACCGCATGCTGGTTGCGGGCCTAGTTAAGTCGCCTAAGTAGAGGCGAGAAAGTTCGCCATCTAACGGTAGGCTGATCAATCCTTTGATGCCTCGGCAAGAAATTCCATCAAGCTCTGCTGTAAAGTCATAGGATCTTTTGCCTCGGGAGACGCTGTCCAGGTGCATGAGCGCATCTCTTGCATATTCTTTTCCGCTCCCCGTTGACCAAGGCTTCCTGCTCCTCGGACGTAATGAGTCTGCAAAGTCAGCTTGTCACGAGTCAGGATAACTTTCATTTTCTTATTAACTCCCATAGCCGGTGAAAAGGCCAGCAGTTCTCCGTGATGCGGATAGGTGGCTTCCCACGTCAAAGGATTCTTCGCAGCCTCGTTGGTATTTTGGGTGGATATGACATTAGAATTTGTCTTATTCGGTCGATAGGATGAGATAGCGGACACAATATCGAGAAGCATCAAATGTGTAATGACTGCCGCGGCATCATCCTTCAATCCGACTCGAGAGGGAGGCTGGACATCTGGGAATTTGGACAAACGGATAGAGAAGTCGTAGTTCGTACCGAGAGGTGGGCCGGAAAGATTAGTGCGGATATGGACTTTGAGTGAACTGCCCGGAGTAACCAGGTCGCTGGAGAACACAGATTCCAACGGACGGAGAAACTGACCGACTAGAGCTTCCGCCCTTGGCCTAGAAATATCATCGCCAGGAAGTTCGACCGACGAAAATGGAGTAGATGTATACCCGCAGAGAAGTCCAGATGATTTCACTGTGGCGTGGATATCCTTCATAAACGACTGTAAGAACTGCAGGTGGAAGTTATGCTGTAAATAGGCCATGGAAGGACGTAAAAGATGGTACTCCGGAACACGCTTTCTCTTCGAGGTTAAGGGTGCAGGTATTTGCATTCTTCGATATAAGTTCTGGCGGTGGGAATAAGAAAGGAGGATGTGGATGAAATGCGAAAGCCCTTCGGCGAGCATACTATTCTGCTGAGAGGAAGGTACGGGTCCGTCTTCGCCGCTATCTGCATCCACAAGATCCAACAGGATCTCTTGCTCTCCCGACACGGGGAACTGAACTAGATTCTGACGAGTCGTAACACCTTGACCTGCCATCACTCTCGCCTCGCGTACCAGCTCATGGAAAAGCTCCTCCTCGAAAATGTTGTCCCGCGCCTGCAAGATATGACCTTCTACTGAGCCCATGTTAGATGACACAGCTGACTTATGCAGTTTCGAGCATCCAGTGATCTGGCCATTCTCCTTTATGCGAACGCGTACCGCTCGATTCTTGGATGGAACCAGGCCTTTGTCTAGTAGTAAACTTCCATCATCCGCCCTCCGTAGAGATGCGAGACCCCGGTCACGGAATATTGGAGTAGCTGCCAGGCAGCAGTTAGTACGGAAACCAATGCTGCACACATGAATGGTGGCTTGCCTTCTAAAAATCCGTATTGTACCCCAAGGGCCTGTCGCTCTCCTGGCAGCCGGCACACTTTCCAGCCCTTGTCCTTGACGGTCAATACTTCACCCCAGTATCTGGTCTCGGACTCGACCTCCTGCTCCAACCTTGCCGCCGACTTCAGCAATTTATCAGCAGCAGCGTTGAAACTTTGTAGTCTCCATCCACGTGAAACGGTATTTATGTCTATTTTGGCCGCCTCTGATTTCGGAGGAGGGTTGACGACTTCCGCACTCAAAGAGCCCAACGGAATCATCTGTTTCAAGAAAGGTGATATGGACATTTCGGCCTGGCGGGGCGCATGTTTGGAAAGAATCAGGGAGACAAAGTCTAGGGCAAACATCGTCTCCATGTGTGCCTGGCTAGAGAACCGTTAGTATCTGCCGAGTGGACGAGGAAGCAGGGCCGGCCATCTCACATGGCAAACTGGGTGATCTCCGCCCGACGTTTGTACAATTGCTCCAAGCGCTCGGCCGTATCGATGTCCGCAGGAGGATTAACCTTGGAATCTTCTGTTTCAGTCAGAGCATCTTTATCCTTCTCTGCTTCTAATTCGGCGCGGAGACTGGCCTCGCTGACATCACGAAAGGAACCCCATTGAGCATTGATCTGGGCGATGGCGACGGGTAAAGTATCTTTCTGATGGTGCGTCTCGGAAAGAGGACGGAGCGGGAGGGTGAACGAGTCGCCCATGGTCGGATAGTCAATGGGGTATTTCTTTTGGCAGATCGCGGCAGCTGGTGCGGTTGACGATGACGGTGATAATCCATAAAGTTGCTGTCGTCGCTCGCGTCAATCGACGGGGCACGTGACAGAACCCGATTAGGAAAGACGATCGACTGCCATCAACATCAACGTGGAGGATGAGAGGGAGACAGCAAACAGGCATCGTTCAGTTCCAATGCCGTATCTTCGGCATCAGGAGACTGGCATGATGTGGTCCACGCAGTGGCTACATGCACTGGTGTACCGAAGCACATTCTCAGTGCCCATTTAGTCACTACTGGAACTAGCATTTACGAGAGTCCCAAGAGAGAGAGCTATGCGCCTCTCTGTACCAACCAGAAATACTGTCTGATGAACATCCAACAGCATCCGCCACAAGGATAGGCGAATGGGGATCAGGGGTTTATGGTATGTAACATGCCATCAGGAGATACGGCGTCTGATCATGCAATCTGACTGGCACCCAGGGGCGGCAGGTAACCGCTGAAATCAATCAAATCCACTCGATGCTGAGCATGCTATGGATGCGAACAATAGGATTCGTGCTAATGCTTGTGTCTACAGGATCGCCACTGAATCCACCTACAGAAGAGCCGTCTTGGAAAGGCAGATACCGCATTGCTCGCTCGTTGCGTGTTGCAACAGTACCTGAAGCGCATCCTCGGCTGGCATACCCCTATCCATCCGTCGGAGATCGCAAGCTTGGAATCGCAGGAACAAGGGGGCATCACAATAATAAGGAATAAGGAATAAGGATTCTGGTGGCAGCAAGTCGAGGACGTCAGTGAACCTGGGTGGCTGCCTTAGTCAGCAAAGTGACGAATCCTTAAATAGCTTCACGCTTCCCTGAAGCAGCGCAGCCCGCTCTGGTACTGCTGTCTGGCATCATTCTGTGCGTCTTTCCACCGGATTCTTTCTCGTTTCCCGACCCTCTTTTCTTTATTTTGCCCCTTCCATTACCCATCTGACATCCACTGCTGGCCCGTTTCTGCAAGTGCCGTGGCCGGTGTCGAGCTCGACTGGTGACGTTGGTGACGTATCCCCTCCCCTCTCTCTGCTTTCTTCTCTCACCGGCGCAGCACCCCACCTTGGCCGCTTCATCCATCTTTCTTCTAACGCGTTGTCTCTCTCTAGACTAGAGTCATATCATTTTAAAGAGCAAAAAGAGCCTTCGGTGCTCCTTTCTTCTTCTTCCCCTTTAATTCCTGTCCCAGCTTTTTCGCTATTTGCTGGTTTACCCTTGTCTATAGTTCTTCTACCTTTGTCAGCGGAGAACTCTTCTCCATCCTTCAATATGTCGATATCTGCCCCCCAGATCCCAATCGAAGTGCCCAAGCGGCGTCGTATTGCCGTCTTGACCTCCGGAGGTGATGCTCCCGGCATGAACGGCGCCGTTCGCGCCGTCGTCCGTATGGCCATCCACTGCAATTGCGACGCTTTCGCTGTCTTCGAAGGCTACGAAGGTCTCGTCCACGGTGGCGACATGATCCGCCAGATGCATTGGGAGGATGTCCGAGGTTGGCTCTCTCGTGGAGGTACTCTGATCGGGTCCGCTCGTTCCATGAGCTTCAGGGAGCGCACTGGCCGTCGCAAAGCTGCCAAGAACATGGTCATCCGAGGAATCGACGCCTTGATTGTTTGCGGTGGTGACGGCAGTTTGACGGGCGCTGATGTCTTTCGCTCAGAATGGCCCAGTCTGCTTCAGGAGTTGGTCGAGGCTGGCGAATTGACACAGGAGCAGGTCGATCCATTCTCTGTGCTCAACATCGTCGGACTGGTCGGTTCGATCGATAACGATTTGTCTGGCACTGATGCCACCATTGGCTGCTACTCATCTTTGACCCGCATCTGCGACGCCGTCGACGATGTATTCGACACTGCTTTCTCGCACCAGAGAGGTTTTGTTATCGAGGTTATGGGGAGACACTGCGGCTGGTTGGCCTTGATGGCTGCCATTAGCACCGGTGCCGACTGGCTTTTCATTCCCGAGATGCCTCCGAAGGACGGCTGGGAGGATGTCATGTGTAGCATGATCACGAAGGTGAATTGTCCGTCCAGTTGAAACTTGAACTGCACCGCGTTCTATGTGACTAACCTATACCTACCACCAGAACCGTAAGGAGCGGGGAAAGCGCCGCACGATCGTCATTGTTGCCGAAGGAGCCCAAGATCGGAATCTGAACAAGATCTCGAGTACAACCATCAAGGACATCCTGACCGATCGATTGGGTCTGGACACTCGTGTCACGGTCTTGGGACACACACAGAGAGGCGGCCCTGCTTGCTCGTATGACCGCTTGCTTTCGACTTTGCAAGGCGTCGAAGCCGTCCGAGCGGTGTTGGACATGACACCCGAGACACCGTCGCCTGTCATTACTATCCGCGAGAATAAGATTGAACGCATGCCCTTGATGCAGGCAGTTCGCGACACGAAAAAGGTAGCTGCTTGTATCCAGGCCAAAGATTTTGAATCTGCCATTTCCTTGCGCGACGCCGAATTCAAAGAATACCATCGGTCCTATCTCCATACAGCCACCCCGGAACACCCAAAACTAATTCTCCCAGAGCATAAGGTATGTCTTCAGTAGATTTGCATTAGCATGGGACTCATTACTTACGCATCAACAGAGACTTCGGGTTGCCATCATTCATGTTGGAGCACCGGCTGCCGGTATGAACCAGGCTACCCGAGCTATTGTCGCCTACTGTCTTACTCGTGGGCATACGCCTCTCGCCATTCACAACGGCTTCCCGGGTCTCTGTCGACACCATGCGGATAAGCCAGTCAGTTCTGTTCGTGTAGTCGAGTGGCTGGAGTCGGATAACTGGGTCAACGAGGCTGGTTCGGATATCGGAACGAACCGCAGCCTACCATCAGAGGACATGGAGGGCACTGCGAAATGCTTCGAGCTTTACAAGTTTGATGCCTTGCTTGTTATCGGCGGTTTTGAGGCTTACACTGCTGTGAGCCAACTTCGAAAGGCCCGCAGCCAATATCCTGTTTTCAAAATCCCTATGGTTGTTCTACCGGCAACTATCTCGAACAATGTTCCCGGCACAGAATATTCACTAGGAAGTGATACCTGCCTGAACACCCTGGTTACGTTCTGTGATGCCATTCGGCTGTCGGCTTCATCGTCCCGTCGTCGTGTTTTTGTGGTCGAGACGCAGGGTGGAAAGTCAGGATACATTGCTACTACTGCCGGTCTAGCTATTGGTGCTGTAGCAGCGTATATCCCTGAAGAAGGCATTAGCCTCAAAATGCTATCACGGGACATTGACTTCCTTCGTGAGAACTTTGCCAAGGACATGGGCGCTAACCGCGCTGGCAAGATTATCCTTCGCAATGAGTGCACCTCTTCCACATACACTACGCAAGTAATTGCAGATATGATCCGGGAGGAAGCACATGGCCGGTTCGAGTCGCGTGCTGCAGTGCCAGGGCATTTCCAACAGGGCAGTAAGCCATCGCCAATGGACCGTGTGCGGGCCTTACGTATGGCCATTAAGAGCATGCAACATGTTGAAGAATACACGGGAATGTCACCCGATGAGATCGCGGCCGATGAAAAATCAGCCTCCGTCATTGCCACCAAGGGAACCCAAGTCCTGTTTTCGCCTCTCGGCGGCAAGGATGGTCTGGAAGTGAATGACACCGACTGGGATCGCCGCCGCCCTAAGACTGAGTCCTGGTTGGAGTTGCAGAACACTGTCAATATCTTGTCCGGACGCTCCAATCCTGGTAGCAATCGTGAAGAGGGATGGACTTGTTATGAAAGTACGTAATGGTTAACGGTAACCCCCCTGGTTGACTATTGCACTTATCGTTTGGTTGAATTAGGACCATTCAGCTTCTATCTATCGAAGCTTTGATGGGAAATATACACCAACTGCGTTTATTGCTTGCTTGATGTTTTGTTTTGGGATACCAGTTTCGATTCTGCATAGAGCGAAATACGCTGTTTTATACCTCTCCCCTTTGATTACTGTTCTTTGCATAGTCGTATTTATCCAATGCTCAGCAAGTGTGATTTGGCCTTTTAGTTCTGGATTGTTAACCTCTTATCTTCTCATATCAGGCTCGTCAGATGAAGTAGTGAATCTTCCAGTTCTTCCGATCCCCACCAGAAAACAGGCCATAGAGTACTAGATCCAGCATGGAGAAGATGCTTTGGGATGATATGAATTTAAAAGTATGCTTCATGAGGCAAAGTTAAATAAAATGGGTGTGTCTACGGTCACTGGAGTGGGAATGAATACACATGGCTGGTCATGTTTACTGGGGGTTTCGGAAAGGGCTTGTAACGGGGCAGAATACATGAGATTTATGTTGTCCAAGGATGTGTTGCATTGTGGTCCTTGCTCATGTCACAACTAAATTGCAATTATCTGGGTATAGACTCGTTAAGCATGTATTTCGTCATCATTTAATGTCCCTCCAACTCGTGTAGTTCGTCAAGTAACTGGACTGTCTCTGCCGGACTGGAAATCCATGCCGTTGTGCTTGCCCTACGGGCCTGTACCATAGAAAGTTAGGTTGAATTCAACTTTTGTATCTAAAACAGCAAGGAGGGAATACCTTGAAATCATTGGCACCGGCCGACAAAAACTGGTCGCCGATATGTAGAGTCCTAGCAGGATCAATGCCTCCAAAGTATTGCTGACAGGCTCTTACGCCCCAAGACTTGTCACCTATATCAACGAAGACGTCATTTCCTCCTTCAAGGGAGTCAGCATGTTTGCTTGCTTTGAAAGAAATGGATCAGGCCACGAACCGTTGAAAGCACAGAAGGGTAGTCTAGACCCAACCGACGATCGTTCGATGGTATTCTGCACCACGAGGACTGTTTCCTCCAACTGCTCGCGATGTAGCTTGCTCCCGGCCAACGGGTAGATGCCGACGGCACGATCCTTGCGGAGAACGGCAACGGCGAGATTGAGGTTTGATACGCAGGCTCTGAGAACGGATTCTGCGATGTCGAGAAGCTCCTTGATGTCATCTTCCCGCCAGATTTTCATTTCGTCGAGCAGCCATTCCTTCCTGGGAACGTAGGCAAGTTTACTGTTGTTGTCGTTGTCACCAGCACTGTCCGGGGACAGCGATGACGACGACGACGACTGAGACCGGCTGTCATCGTAGCGAAACAGGAAATTGCTCTCGCCACCCATGACGATGAGGCCATTTTTCTGTGATTCCGTCAACAGCGTCGAGGAGTGGATGGCGTCCAGCAGGCCCTTAAGCCGCGCGTAGTATTTACTGGCCTCCGTGTATCCGGCCGCGGTGACGATGCCAACTTTCCGTCCCTGGCTCAGCAGCCGCGTAATTCGCGGGATGACGGGATTGTCCTCTGTCAGGTTCTCACCGTCATCGTATAAGGTCAGGTCACCGTCGAATGTGATAAGCTCGACGGAGCTGGGGAACGAGCGGATGATACCCAGCAATTGGGCGGTGTTCAGGATGAGACGAACGTCATTGAATGAAGGGGCAACGAATCGGCGGCGGCTGATGCAGCGCCTACGATCCTGGTACTTGAAGGCATCTTCGAGGTATAACGGAGTAAAGAACGTACCGACCGTCGGAACGAGGAGTTTCAATTTGGATTTCCCGGGGTTCTGAGACCGCGTGTGGTTGACTGCCGCTCAGGTCAGTCAGGAACTTGCGGACCCCAAGACGGGGATCAAGCGGGGTGCAGAGGTACTATGATCTAGGATGAGATTCTCGACATCCAAGAAGATATCGGCATAGCGCTGATGGGTGCCTTCAGCGACGGCAGAGAGCTGAGCGCTGTGTTCCTGGTACACAGCGGTAGGTTGCGAGTGTAGGACGAACGGGACAGCGAGAAGGCCCTGGTGCACAGGACCGCCGAGTCAGTACAGATGAGACGGCACGGCGACGAGGCGGGCCCGGTGGATAGCACATACTTTGATCCATTCAATCTAGAGTTGCAGGGCGTCAGCAAGAACAGATGCAGGTGCAGGGGTGATGAGCAGATGACTCACCAGCTGATCACGACGGTGAGACTTGGGGATGACCAGTCAGCGGAGACGTCGATGATGATATGATGTAGAGACATACCTTGAGGGCATCTGGACAGGGTTAGTAAGGGGGTCAAAAAAGAACTGGATTGGATCCCTTCAGGAAAGTATCAGAAAGCTTACATTCAACGCGATAGCGAGTGGTCATAGTGAGTTAGGGCGATGCAGCTGGAGAAAGAAGGAAGCACGAAATGTGGAGGACGAAGCAACGCGGAGGATGACGTGGGTGCCTGAAACTGCTGACTCAGTTCTAATTGAGTTCGCCCTAACTAACTAGCCCTAGTTTATCAGCTTCTGCTTTCTGCGATTATTCTAATTTGCCATGCAATTTGACGCATGGCGAGTCAAAACTTTCAGAAAATGTTGAGATCTGTCCGTCTTATCCAGTTCACAACCCTCTCTCTGCCTAGGCAGCAGGATTAGTCTGCATGAGTCCTCGTAGCCGATGGATGATTGCCAGTAGTAGGGTCGTTCAATCCTCCCGAAGGCAACACAAGCAGCATCCATGACTCCAACAGAACGTGACTCACTGCTATTGCTGCTGACTGATCAGGCATCAACTATAAGATGCCCGTGTATGCCATGGGCGACACACTGTCTGCTAGCACACATCGTTATTCCGCTATTCAATATGGAAAGCGCCCAAGGAACCCCTCCAGCATACACAGAGTCCACATCGTCTTACGATCCGGCCGAAGACAGATTGCCTGCCTACGATGAATCACATCTCCTTCCTCCTCGTCCAGGAGAGCCAGGCTATGCCACTGAGTCTATCCTGACCCGCGGGCTAGAGGTCCCATCCAGATCAAGATCCTTTTCTTCAGGCTTTGCCTACCCTCCATTTCTGGCGAACTACTATGTCTCCGAGCAGCAATGGAGCCAATTCACGCAGGAGATTGTCACGGAGGCCAAACTTTCCCCACGGCGATGGTCCATTGCCGTGGGGAAGGGCCTAGGCATGCTCGCTATCGGCTCCCTCATGATCGGCTTCTTCAGTACAGTCCCAGCCTATCTGGTGGCTCGGAAGACGTATCGAGACCTCGAGCACCGAAATCTGGTATATGCGACATCGCAACTGTCGCGTAAGATCGGCAAGTGGAACGAAGATATCTTTCGGCCGCGAGGTCTTCTCATCCGGGTCGACCTGCCCGCAGACGCTGTAGCCGATATCCGTACAGCAAAGGAAAAGGAATATCTCAAGGGACGGGTGGTTATAATTCTGTTGCATGGCTGATGCAGGACATAGCTTGACGCAAGCTCTGCGACCCAGTGCAGCCAGGAATCGGGATCGATGGGGGTGGTTTCTCAATACGGGAGATTTATAAAGTTGATGTAAAATGGCACTTAAAAAAAAAAAAAAAAAAAACTTAATTCTAATGAATGATGAGTGATGAACGTTGCTTTCATGACAGTCTTGGCTGTAGTCGAGAAGAATATAGGTGCAAGTTCACTCTGCTATATCGGGAATATGTTGGACGAACTCCACGGCTCCAAGGAACTCAGGCCCTCGCCGACTTTCAAGTTCGATCGATTGCAGTCTGCAAATATCATGTCCTTCGCATGCAGACGAAGTCTAATACAGAAAGAAGACTAATCGGGATAGGAAACGCATAGGACTGACAGTTGCAGCTCGGAGTGCACCTGGAGGCAACCAAGCAAGATGAATGAACGGAGTTGAATGTGATTTCCATGGTAACTGCAACAGAAAGGCCGTACGAGCACTTGCGCTCAAGGCAAACAAGTGAGAAGACCGCCCAATTTCTCCAAAACCACGTTCTGCGCGTCTGCACTGGCATCCAACTTAGTACTAGCGACGCCCACCGAGACACTCACGTAGCAGCCCTTTGTCGCCATCACCTGGATATCGATTGGTAGGCGCTTGCTCCCACAGGTTTCGACATCATCGGGTGTGACCAACGGGACGGCCGGGAATATCCGCGACAAGACAAATTCGAAATCTTGTACGTTATTACAGCTGGAATCGCTTACTTCGGGGAAGTTCACGTTCAGCCAGACGTCCTTGGGGAGGTACGGTTGGTCCGATGCAAGCAGCCGGTTTGTAAGATTTGTAGCCAATTCCGCATAGATCGGGCTGTACGCCGGGGGTGTGACGTTCCAGGCGGTCTGACTACCTGAGGCACCGGAGAAGGCAATGGCGGGAATTTCGCCTTCATTGGCAGCATATGTGGCTGCACCCGCTGTCCCAGAAAAGAATACCGCTGCTCCCAGGTTGGCGCCAACATTTGGCCCCGAAACCGCCAGGTCCACTGGAGAGTCGCCAAAGAACCGTGGAGCCAGGGAATCGATCCCATGCTTCATGGACGTTAGGGGGAAGGAGTTCACATAGTTGAAACGCGGCTCAGAGGCATTGAAGCCGTACGGGGGGCTTCCAGCGGGACAGCTGTTAAACTCGCAGGGGTCTCTCAAGGCGGTGGGAGTGGCATCAAGAGAGCCTGTTCATTGATGGGGACGCCGGGGGGTGAGCAATGGGCCCGTATAGCAAGGATAGCACAGAAGCAGCACCACCAAACACGCAGGTATCGTACCTTTGCCACTTTGATTTTCTGCCGGCGCAGAAATAACGACTGAGTGCCCAGCGGACGTCAATGAGTCGTACAGTTCGCGGATGTTGATCTCCGCCCAACCATCGTCATTCGAGGAGATGATGTTGACCCCGTAGGCACAGAGAGGGAGGAGGGAGGTTACCACGGCTCGGCGCATTGTGATTCAGGCAGCAGAGTTGCCGCACAGAGAACCCATAACGACGAAGCACGGCTTTAAGAATGATGCTTGTCAAGCAGGCCGTCTGCGTCAATTTCCTCAATTTCCTCCACTGCCTCCCCGGAGTTGCATCGGTCGCGGTTGTAACCGATCCAGAATAAGCGAGTCCTGCGCGCCGATCAGGAACCGGACAAAGGCAAATGAAGAACCGTGCGAGAGCCGAACAAAGCCATTGGACTGCGATGTTTTCGCGCCATACCGATACCGATGTCAAGCGTATCTGGAATTCTGAATCAAGGATCACGGCATAGATCGATCGATTCACGGTGACGGCCGGTTGCATCCGTACAGCGTACTCCAGAGGCTCCGTCACGGTGCTGGCCCAGAGGCCCTGTTCTGCCCGTATATCTCCAACTTCTGTTTTGATCCTGTTGTAGCTCTTCGAGCTACTTCTTGTCTATCTGCCTGTGTCCAATCCGATTGAATCGGTTTTCTGAATCCGTTTCCTGACGGTCCCGCACCTGCACCCTGGCACTAACATCCACCAACCTGTGACTACCATGACTGTTCATCTTTACCTGCTGCATGGCCTTCTGTTTGATTTGCCGACTGGTGTCCTGCCTTGCCCATTGACTTTGCAGGCTTATCCACAAAATGTTGCTGTCTGCCAAGTTGAGTTGCATGACTGTTGACCAAACACCCACGCTGAGAAGCTACAGTCTACTGTAGAATGACATGATGTAAGAGCAAATGGAATGAGCAATTTTTCTAGTAATGCTCGTGGACGTCAAGCTTGCAAAAAGGAGACACATGTTCGAATCATTGGGACATCACGACCCTGTCGTACCATCTTTTTATCTCGCAGTCTGTGGCCCAGTTTGCGGCCTTCTGACCATTAAAGCTACCTAGGTGCTACGGAGGTGATGGTGCCCGTGGAGGTGTGCCCAAGCTCAACACGATATTTATTTCTGGGTGAGGCAGATCTTGATCGTCCACAGAGAGTATTCACCTGGCCCGTGATTTTTCTCCGCTCTGGAGTGGCCGACCCGGCTTTTCTTGCAATTTTGGTCGGTATGAACAAGAGAGGATGTTGTGAGGTCGAAGTTCATAGGACCCAGTCCGTACAGCTTACGGATCACGTTACCAATGCCACGATCTGTGGTCACATGATCATTATATCAGCTACCGGGGATCTCGCTGTTGGCTATGTCCTGGCTATCGTTGTCCACTTGATGGTCATTCGATCCCCATAAGCTTTTTGCATGCGTCATTCTTCTCATGGGCACATTGATGGGCATTCGCAACTAAATGGATGCGCCTGGGTAATTCGATTGATTGATTGATTGCATTATTTAACGTCTGAAAGCAGGGTAATGTGAGAGTGGCTACCCGCACAAAATAGAGGAGCTGGGCAGCTCAAGGTAACACGTGATTGATCACTGAGCACTTGAGCGCCGAGGTGAGTGCTCATCGTGATGTGACATACTCACAGATCATCACCCTGAGTACTCTCATGAAGGTGGTGGCTCCAGAAGAGAAGTCTCCGCGGTGCTAGAATAAAAAGTCTGATAGTAACATACACACCTCGATGCATATATACAGAACATGCCCATGTGTACATGCACGAGCTTTTGGGGTATACAAAAATGAACCTTATACATACAAATAAATGCAAACGCCCGCCCAAAACAAAAAGAAAACGATAACATGACCGGGGTCAGACCAGGTTCTGCGTGGACGAGTCGTCGTGTGCCCCACGTGAGGAACTGCCCTCGGCCACCTCGCTCTCCACCTCGACAACAATATCTGTCTGGATGGTGACGGCGTTGTTGATATCGAGTTCTTTTGGCTCCTCCATCCAAATTGGCGGTGCAGGCCGGTTCCGTTTCCCTTCGATATCGACCCAGTTCCAATCCTCCGTGACCATTTCGACAGCGGTTTCTTGCGATGAACTCTGGCTGAGCCTGTGGCCTCCGGGATACAGGTCCAGGCGGCCCTGGTTGCGGATTGTTTGGGTTTCTCCAGCGAAGCCCGTGTTTTTATGGGCGGTCCCAGCCCTGTGGTGGTCGGTAAAGAAGAGGAGGAAGAGACGCGCGACGGCTGCGGCGCTGCCGAGCAAGATGCAGTAATTTTCGAGCCTGGAGTTGGTTAGCAGGAAATTATGAGACGGAAAATACAGTAGGGACAACTCACTTGGTCCAAAGGACAAAGTCCAGGATTTTATCTGGTGTGTTCTGTTAGGGGACGATTTCTTGCATCGGGTGGAACTGTATCACTGTCATCCACTTACAGGTAAAGTCTTGTCGGCGTCCCAAGTCCTTCGTAAGCTGATATTTTCCATGTTAGCACGGATTCAGCGCGTCTCAAGACACTGAAGGGGCCGTGCACTTACACAAGTCTTGACAATGCAAGCAATGCCAGAGAAGAACAGCGGCCCACTCAACGTGACCGTCTGCCAAATTCGGCGAGAGCGAGCTGCCGGATTCATGTCTCTGATATTCGAGTAGATGGACTTATGCCTCACACCCCGGTCCATGGTTTGCAAAAGAGAGTACCACAACTCCACGGCTGTCAACAACGTGACCAGGAAGTCGACGGCGGTATTGACCGCTGTTTCAGATGTCAGCCGGATTTTAATAGATCAATTGGTAGCTGCCTTGCTAACGAACCTCCTTGGACGTATTCGATATTCATTTGGACAGAGGGGGGATGACATTTGATAGATCCATCTGTAGGCAGAGGATCCCACATGTAATGGAAATAGTTGATTCGGTCCGACTAGACCAGCCATTATTAATACCTTCTCACTATCGGGAACTGATGTTTCTTCTTACAGATCCATCCGGTCCACATTGGGCGACGATTTGAAACAAGGCAATCAGATTGATGATTATCTGGATGGCCATACAAGGGAAGACTGTCCACTTGACTCGACGGTCGTTATTCAAGCATGTGAACACGAACCACATCATGCCGGTTCGTGAAAATAGGGCAGCCGCGATGGCTAAATGATGAAGCAATGTCAGAATAACGATAAAACAGCGAGAACTGGAAACGAGGGCCCTACCCAACGGCTGTGAAATAAACTGATATTTGATGGCATTGGTTCTTTGGGCGGTTGACAAGAACTTCTCATGCCGACCCAAACCCCAATCATAGCTGTTTGCAGACGTCAGCTCCATCTTGTCCCGCTGGGGCATGTTGGTGGGAAATGGAACGGGACGGACCTCTTCTGGATACAAGCCATGTGGGCCATATCCAAAGCGAAGCCGCAGATATAAAGGACATCCTCGATGCCCCATACCCTCTCCAGACTGCCGAACCGTGGTAATTTGCACCGGACCCATATCTTGATTATGTACCGCAGAAGCAGAACGGATGAGACTATTCCCGTGAGGACCTAAGCACAAGGTCAGAAAGCGAGAGAACAGAGACAAGGCGAAGGTCTTCGTGGTCGTACCCAGCAGGCTATTATGATCCCAGTTCCTGTGGCGAATGTCAGCTGAGATGTCCATTACAGGCCATTCAGGTAATCAAGGCAGCAAGGCACAGGTCTCGTTCTATACTCACCACCGTTGTGGTCACCGGTATGTGATGACGAACTCATTGTGTAAAGAATGTGTGTGTGCGTGGGTGTATTGACTCAAAGAAACAGGAACAATGGAATGAACGGCATTATACTATATTATGTATAGAGCGAGTGACTTAATGGGTTTGCTGGAGCATTCCACAATCGAGGACCCTTTCCCGAGAGATCTGAGAATCAAAATTGGTCTTGATCTGGAGCTTGGTGCGCCCACCGGCTCGTCACATTTGCAAAAAAAAAATAAAAAAATAAAAAAAAAAAATAAATAAAAAGAGAGCGGCGAATGTTATTTGGTGATGCAGGGAAGAATGACACGAAAAGAAATAGGAATATTTAAAGAAAATAATAATAATCTGTGACGACGCCTGGGTTGAAAGGGATCTCAGATGGAGGGGCATAAACGCATAATGCATGAAGTCCAAGAATTAAAAGACGGTAAGAGAACTACTGATAGAGCACCGAGGTTTTTTTTTTTTTTTTTTTTTTTTTTAATTTTTCTTTTTAATATACCTTTAGTGTAAAGTGCACTAATTATAATAATCTAGCGGTACAACACCGTCGCCCAACTAGCTCGTCCTCCAAGTCTCACATTTGAGTCGAACGGCATTTTATCTGCCGATGGCAAAAAGGAATTCCGATCCATGCTCGCTGAAATTATGCAGCCGTGTGAATCAACCTTAAACGGTTAGGCCATGCCGGTTCCTGCAGGATAGATGTACAGAGACACTGAAGCAATCACATAGTCACACGGATTCTATACATCGAAGAGACATGCTATGGATGGACGCGATCCTTGCAGCTTTCGGCGGTGCTGAACCATGGCCACCGGAAGCAGCTCTCATACGATCCAGTTGAGTCTAGTCCAATCGACGATATTATTCAGAGCGCAGAGTCGTTCGTTCGTCATCAGGAACCCCCAGATCTTGCAAGAACCAGGGATTTCTTGTCAGTTTGAGATTCCGAACGATTTTCGATGGGCCTGGAGAAATTTCTTCTTAGTTTACGGTGCTGTACACGTAGTTCTCCGTCTGTGGACCGGTCGAGTCCAATGGTATATTGGCAATTACTACTGACGATCGATTGCGGTCCGCGTTCCCCATGGGCAGTGTTTTCGGAGTGGACCTTTGCACATACTATACTAGTATACAGTAGTATGAATGGCAAAGGTTTATTAATACAGAGTCAGACAGGGTATAAATTAAAAAGATACAGCCAGCATGTAAGATTCAGTTTGAACCTTGAAGCTTCGCAGCCTGTTCGCCTGTAAGGAACCTACCTCGGTGAACTCTAAGCGCTGAAATAGGTTCGGAGAGGGTACCGGCGCACCGTAACCCTGAGTTTCGGATGCAGCGTATCCGGGGTTAAACTTTTACTGCCATGTGTTCCTGAGTTTAAAGGTTGGTTTGAGCTCGGAGCCCTGGTTGAGGTTGCCAGAGCACCCATACGGTGTATCTGCTCTCTCACTGTAGCCGTATCCGTATCGACGACAGAGGGAATCGGTGTCCCCAACTCGAGCAGTGTAGCACCGTAACTGCGAATTTCTTCTGACACGGCCAGAATCCATCCGACGAGAGTCCCAGTGGCATGATGTCCCGCACCGGAAAATTTCATCATCTCCGGTTGGAAGAATGCGCTGAAGAGCCGGTGACTTCAGCCGCTGCTAAATCCAGGACCGTCAGCCACGTACATCATCTTCTCTGGCTATCGGGTCCGCGTGTACCTGCGTTCTGTATCACAATGTACCTTACAGCTACGCACAGGATCCTTTCCTGCTCTTCAGATCACAATCACAATCGGCTATAATTTCCCGACCACATCGGACGGACACCACCCCTCGGCCACCTGGTCCCCTTCCCCCTTCCCAGATGATAAATGACTTTGCCAAGCACGTGGAAACGCAACGAAATGAGCGCTGTAATCTAGACCAGATCGGAGAGATTGACGGCCTCCTCGTGGCCGAGAAGTCCCGAGCTTGGTCGTGATGAGCCATTTTTCCCTTGCGCGTTCTTTATGTGATTTGCTCTCTTGCCTTTATTACTGACTCCTGCCATCCAGTCCGCAAGTTCGCGTGCTATTCGTGGAATAGACGGACAAGCGGGAGAAGTAGTATATCGCTAAGTCCAGTGCCTGATGGACGTTTTGGGATAGCCAGGGCTTAGGGCTAGAGAACAGGGCTACTGCAGTCACTGACTCGCGATGAAGTCCAAATTCCTACATCTAGATTATCATTACGATACAGTGTCCACTCTTCTCTTCAGCTGGATATCCCCTGTCTCTCCTATGGCTACGTTTGTCTATGCGATGGGACGCTAACTTCTAGACTTGCTCCCACTCTTTGTGATCGGCGCGTCTCCATCCCTTGCCTTGCCCTAGGCTTAAGGCGTATCCAACCTCCTGGAAGCGCTAGGAATACGAATGCCCATCGTTACTCGACTGAAGATCACTTGCCGTGCTCGTGGCAACCTGGCGGCTTCCAGGACCCAGTACGCCTGCTACAACACCAGCAGTCGTGTTCATTTTCTCCCGCTACCTCGAAAGAAACAACGTATAACTACGCCTCGAGGATTCACCGGTGCATCCCGGCTAGCACAAGGGACACGGAATAAACCCGGATTGGATTTTCCTACGAAGTACCAAGAAGAGACATAGGCGTGCTGTCTAGTATCTGCCATTGACATATGCATGCTGACATGTGCCAGTGAAATAAATCATCCTTGGTGGGCATCATCCCGCCTGCCTGGAAACAATGGCTAGCTTCACCAAGGGATGGAAAGCTTTTCAAAGTGCCTGTTCAACTGCGGGACGAAGATTGGTTCTCCTAGAATACCTATGGCGTACGGAGCACAGGCTCCAGCCAGCCCTCCTGAACCCTTTGAAGTTTGCCAAAGCGTTTATCTGGACGAAACGGTGGAAGGTTCGCAGATCCCTCCCGGGAACGCGAAGGGCTCATCATACTCTGCTCCATAATTATCGGATCCAATAATAATAATCCAAAGGAGGATCGCAGCTGTTTCTCGAACTGGACATGAAGCCGGGGAGCTGGGTCGGAGAAGTGAGTGGAAGGCGAGACTCAAAGATGAAACTCGGGCCTGGGCCTGGGCGCCAGGATCCCAAGGCACCGGCCTGGAAAGGAGACAATCCCATTCAAGGAACTTTCCTCCGTGCTATGACATCCATGCCTTTGGGACGGTTGCCCGGACATTATTATTATGTAAAGAACGGCTAGCTACCGATCGATCCCATACAGAAACATATTAATTTCGGTGACGCCCCGAAATGTGCCTCCCCAGACGCTGGCGCATGTGCCCGCCGTAATTGGGTAGTATTCTCCACTGCCGGATCTATTTTTTGGCCATCTCTGAACTATTGATTTGACAAGAGTTCGTGGCTGTTTCAGGATTCGATCTTCTCTTTTCGTCTGTTAACGATGGAAACGGCCATTTTCCTGCCCACTGTATATACAAATATGATGATCGTCGAAGGATTCTGTCAAATTAGCGTGCCAGCCAGCAGCAATGCAGACACAGGATGCATTGCCTCGCATTGCATTGCAGCAAGAGGGCCGGAAGTCAATTCCGTACATGAAGATTCGCTGTCGCCCAATACTAGCCACAGCAAACCCAACGCCCTTGATTATTCGGCCAATCCAATCCGCAGTGGGACGATAATTGACTGTTGATCTTCCTGTTCGAGCTCGACACATCCCTTTGAGTTTCCAGTACCGATCACCGTTAATCCTTAGTCGAGTACGGAGTGCTCCCTCCGTACCAGCGTCGGCAACGTCGTCGGCGTGGCTGATCTGCTGGACCCTCTATGGAAGAAATTGTCTGTTTTCCTCTTCACAAGAGTCATCCTCAGGTTGTACTTGCTCTGGCCTTACTCCTCGACCCGAGGCTGGCTCACGGAGCAAGATTTGCGTACACATGCTGTTTCCGGTCGCCATAGGCACGCCGCCCCGAAGAAGCTGCGGTCGCTGATAATCGCAGCTGTGCTTCGAGTCGGTGTGTGTTGCTCATGTTCGATTGCCAAGGCATTTCTTAGCATGTGCATCCCAGGACTTCGGCCGTCTCATCCCATGGTCGTTGAGTAGGGGTCTTACAGTCTCCGACATTCTCGCTTCATTCAACTCTTGTGCTCCCGCAACGACGCACTAGCTTCCTCTGGTCCATGTCGGTATCTCTCAATTAAGAGCTGCCATATAGTGTATTTCCGCTTAACTGCAGTAAGGTGAAAAGTTCGCTTGTATAAACTTACCTGTCATTTAACCTTTACTCCCTTCCAGCCGTCATTATCTGACCTGTACGAGACTTCTGACGACGACACCTGTAGTTGAGTCCCATTTATCTGAACAGTCCATCGAGATGATTTTGGGTTTTCTATTCTGTCGCTCGTTGCAGGGCCTCTATGACATTCTAGTCCCGTACAACGAGACGATTCTCTGGGCAATCTGGCACCTCAACTCTTTTTATATATATCTATCTGTAGTAAGCAATGGGCACTGGCTGGAAGGAGGTTCGTTATACGGCTTTAGGATGCTATACGAGGTAGAAACTACCACAAAGGATAACTAAAGGGCTAATCAGGCTTGTCCATCGAGAAAAGATCAAATCGAATTAGAATACAGATGTGAGAATCAACGGATATTCCATTTCTGTGAAAGGACTAGGACTAAACCGCACAACTATTTGATGTCATCAAACATTCCCCCCCGGGAACACAGCCATAAACCCTCGAAATCTCCGGCAGACTTTTAGATAGAGCGCAGTTAAGGAAATAAGAAACATCATAGACGGAACGTCACGTCCATCAGAATGACGGATGAAGACATGCGCGCAGGATCAGCATTTGGTCCCGGCAACAAGTACATACCAGTGGTCGGAGTCAAGCCTCTTCCCGTTGAAAGAATCGTGGTTCTCGTTCGTGCACCTGTTATGAATTGGCCAGATATAACCATACAGAATATCACGGCACAGGCGATCAACACGGTGCGGACTCTGTTGAGTATTATGTCGTTAGTACCCGCTGTGGCACAAGGAGCAACTACGGCTCGCAAGAGGAACTCACGTCGTTGCAGAGGAAGATGCCTGAATTCCAAGAGCAGGAGATCCGGACGCAGTTCTTGGGACCCTCGCCGGCATTACACACTCCAGCTCCGTTGCCGAATTTTTCAAGGTAGGCCATCCCTTCCTCGATCCTGCCATAATTTGCCTTCTTGTAACCGTCAAGGTTACAGTACACAGGATCGATCGGGGTACGCTTGTCCTTGCCGCCGTCCTCAACGGAAGTGGCATTCGCAAGACGACTGCGGACGCTCGTGAAGTCAGGGGTTTCATAGGCAGGGTTAAACTGGATGATTTGATCGAATATCTCCTCAACAGTTCCGGCGAGAGTCACATTTTCACCATTGGGACCGACAGGGCCAGTGAACTCGAGTGGAGAGATCTGATAGCCTAGTGCCTTCAAGTTGTCCGCGGCGTCCATGGTCACAACCGGGTTGCACTGCACCTGGGTGAAACGCTAGCCACATGTCAGTGTCTGGCTTGACTTGGGCTACGCATGAGAGTAATTTGACTTACCCGAATGGCGACCAGACCGCAGAAAAGAGTGGAGAGGAACTTCATGATGAAGTGTAAGTATGAAGACCTGACTAGGGTTGGATGGTAGTCGATGGCTCCGGGGATGTTTGATGAAGAGTAGAGTAGGCGAAGTTGAGAGCGAGATGAGGAAATGAAGGTGGTGAGGAGAAAGAAGGGAAGATGCAGAGACGAACGATGATATTTCTATAGCCCTCACCCTGGCAAGTGAATGCTAGCCCTAAGCAAATTTTCATTGAACTTCTTAGAACATGCAGTAGACAAAGAAAAGAGTCAACTCCGGTGGAGCTGGCAGAGAATGCTCTCCCAAGAGTCTCCAAACAGAATTCCCACTTTCTGACTTGAAATGCTTCTCACCATGGTGCTTCAGAGCCTCACTAGTACCATTTGACCCCCGAAAACACCCAGGACAAGCAGGAGACTCGCCGTCAACAGACGCATGGTCTGCATCGATATGTTCAGAAGTCCCAAGAGAGACCCAAGGTCGAGTGACCGTGCTATTCAGGCTATGTGAAGGGATGCTGAACACCCTGGAATCCCATATGCGCCATTGCAAGCGTTTCTCCAGGCTTATGCTCGAACGTGATACAGTCATCTGCGCTGAGAGTCTTTTGCAGATATCTGCACATGGATATTTCATGTCCCTGCTCAAGCTTGGTCAAGCAACCCGTTGATATCTTCACTGTTAGTATCAAATCTCACCTGGGCTGAGACTCGACCATCGCTCATGGTTCCGTATCCAGAAGAACTCCTCGATAGAGGAAGGCCCGTGGTTCTGAATTGCAGTCTGAACGGGTCAAGAGGCGCTTCTGTTTAGTCTACTCTCCTTCCAACACCCACGGCAAGGCCAATGCTGTCTTTTGGCGTCCAACGATCGATGCACGACAACTTCTCTCCATCGCGGGATAGAAAAGATTAACAAAGAGACATATCTACCGTCGAGTGCAAGGGGCCAGACGAAACAGTTACCAGAGTCCGCCGCATGACGATGATAATAGATACGTTTGCATTGCATTATTGGCCCGCAATATCTCCAGCTCGTCGACGACGGCCTGCGGCGAGTTCCGTCGATTATGCTGTGGAGGACCAACTTCCTATCGCTTCCGCGCCTCACAGATATCTTCATCTTCATCCAATCCCTCTCGAATGGAAGAAATTCTCTTCAATCCACCACCGGAATCGCTGGAAGCCCACGGCAGACAAGGCCAAAGATTAGAAAACGGGCAAGTGATGCGACCCCTACTCCCCATCTGGATGGATCCCTCCCCACGGTGATCAGTCGCGGGGCGGGATTCAATGAGTCCAACAGGATTGCCTCAACTGCTTTACAGGACAGGTCATCGTCGTCGAAGCGCGTCATGGCTCAACTAACGAACCGCAACCTCTACCCTCCGCGGAACCCAATCACGATGGCCCAAGTGACCAAGGCGCTGCATACCTGTCTCGCGCTTCAGGAGACCGCGCGAACCGTCCACGGCAAGCGTCCGTTCTTTTCCATCCTCCTCGCACCCGACAACGAGACCGTCCTCGCCAGCTGCCCCTCCATCTCCCACATTCGTCACTCGGAGACGGAACTCGCGCGCATGGTTGCGGACCAGTTCTCGGAGGAGTATCTCTGGCAGTGCACTATGGTCGCCACGTGGGAGCCGTGTGCGATGTGCGCGGGGACTCTGTACTGGGCGAACATCGGGAGACTGGTGTATGCGGCACCGGAGACGGAACTGAGGAAGCTGACAGGGGAGAACAACCCGGAGAACGTGGGACTGGACCTGCCGTGTCGCCACGTTCTGGGCAAGGGGCAGAAGGACATAGAGGTCATCGGGCCCGTTACCGAGGGCGGATGGGACAAGAAGGTGGTGGAGGCCAGTGATCGATATTGGCGACCCCGGCTGCATGGAGAACAGCATGCGTAAGCCGTCGAGGTCTATACATGGACGCCGGGATATTGCTATATTTCAACCCATACCTTCTAATCTCGCATGTTGTACTGCATCCTGAATCGCAGATGGTTTTTATGACGTAGATTCCTCTCCTCATGCCTTGGACACCTACACGCCGCTGGCTCCCTAGCTCGACTACGAATGACATTGCCAGACGCCCGCCAAGGAACGATAGCACGACTTCTCCATTTAGTCTGACGGTGCAACGTATGATTATTGTGCCTGAGAAGACTCGCATCATTGCTGTCATTATTGTGTGACTCGAATGCCGATATCGACCAGGGAGGTCCTGTCTATAATATGTATGAGTAATACGTGCCTGTTTGTGAATAGCGCCTAGTTCAACTTCCAAGTTCCAACACGCCACATCCGGGCACGGCATTCCACAAGAAGCATTTGCCGGATGCTTCACGGTGCTTGTCTATTGCGAACCCGTCTGCAGGAGGTCGGGCTCCATCGGGGATGACACAGTATTGCCAGTCTGCTGCAACGGTATGCCGTCGACAGCCGAACCATGCCATTCCACGCGATATACGAGGGTATTAGTGATACCATGGTGTAAGATTTTATCGTGAGAATCTTCAAATTGCAGGATCCACGGGATCGCCGCTGACTCAGCCGCCCAGTCCTTCTGGAAGGGCGCAAATCATAAGTTGCAACTCCAACCTTCGAGTCTTCCATGCCTCCACCAGCCCGCTCTGTCGCCACGCTTGCAGCCTCCGGCGTCGCATATCCACCGTTCCATGGTCCTTCAGCGGGTCGACCGCAATCCACCGCACACTACAGGAGCTGTGTGGATGGCTTCGAGTCTGCTCCCAATCATAGCCGGATGCGTCCGCCAATCTTGCAGAAGCGCGTCTGTCATTTGCTCCTAGGCTTCGATATAATAATAAGCTTTCATAAGGGAATCAGTTTCGCAGCCATTAGCCTATCCATCCCTGTCAGAGTTTCAATTTTCACTTGTCGACCCGGATGTCGTGGATACACACCTGATAAGGGTTCCATTTGGCGCTGTTATATGTGCGCCCACTGAGCCGAACATGCGCAGGTGAATAATAGAAACCCAGAAAAAAAATATATCTGCGACATATTCAAAGCAAAGGGTCTCCCCTCGCGGTACACCCGACAGGCGTTTTTGCACATCGAAAGGAAGGCATGAAATAGTTCTTGACCATTCGAACCCGACATCACTACCCTCACTCTCCTACTCCTTCCATTGTCCCCTTCGGGTTCAATCATGACCTCTTTCAAAAAGGAATATGAGGGCGTTTTGTCGCCTGAACATCCTCTGCCACCCGACCTCGCTCCCGACTCCGTGCCCGACGCGTTGGTGAACGATGTCATTACCACCCACGACAAGAACCATCCCATCCACTGGCCAACATGGCTGAAATGGCTTATTGCAATCACATACTCGCTCCTCCAGGTTCTCGTTACAATGCAGTCCACCAGCTATGTCAGCGTCGAGACCATCATCCAGGAGAAATTCGGTGGTTCTACACAGGTGATCGCGTTGGGTCAGAGCATGTTCATCGCTGGCACAGCGGTCGGCCCTGCCTTTATGGGACCATTGTCTGACATCGGTGGCCGGAAATGGGTCTACGTGGTCTCTGTGTTCATCTATGGACTCTGCCAGATCGTAAGTGTGGCTTGAGGCTGTCGTGCTTGGGGTCTTCCTGACTAAGGCGACGCGAAAACTTTGATACTTCTAGGGATGCGCTCTCGCTCTCAATCTCCCCATGATGATCATCTTCATGCTTCTGTGCGGCATTGCAGGCAGTACGGCCTTGTCGAACGTTGCCGGTACCATCGCGGACCTTTTCGGAGACGCCGACCATGCTGCACAGCCCATGGCCTTGTTCGTCATGTCCGCGAACACCGGTCCCAGTATCGGGAGCCCAATTGGTGAATGGATTGGGTTTAATCCCCATATGGGCTTGAATTGGGTCTTTTGGATCAAGTGAGGACAGAACCCCAGGGATAAGAAATGGAGTGGAAGGACTCCCCGATTGACATATTGAATCAGCTTGATTTTTGCCGGCTTCTTCGTAGTGGTCATGTCGTTCATCCCGGAGACTCTGCCTAGGATGGTCATCGCCCGCGCCGCGAAGAAGGAGCTAGCCGCTAATGAGGCCGATGTCGTTGTCACCCCCCCAAAGGTGAATGTGTTGAAGGAAATGCGTTTCGTCACTACCATGACCTTCCGTATCATGTTCACGGAACCGATTGTCGCATTCTTAGGTGGGCCCAAGCCATCTCACATCCGCTGTCGGGTAATGCTGACCTCTTTTCCAGGTCTCTTCAATGGTTTCGCCTACGGGCTCTTGTTCTTGTATCTGGACGGCGTTTACGATGTGTTCGCATTCAACAACCATCTTTCGTACGTGCTTACCCCGTGTCTTTCCTGGGGTTGATACCATACTTACCACTGCTGCCTTTCTCCAGCTATATCGGTGCCGATCTCACCTTCCTCAATTTCGTCGTCGGTGTCGGGATCATGTTTGTTTTCTTTGCTCCCATCCAGACATGGTTATATAGCAACGACCGAAAGAGGCACGGGAAGGCGCGCCCGGAGGCCCGTTTCCTCATTTCCTTGGTGGCAGTCTGGGGATTCCCGATCTCGCTCTTCTGGTTCGCTTTTACCTCAAACGGCAAGACTTCATTCTGGTCACCCGTGGTGGCAGGTGGTATGCTGGGCGTGTCGGATCCTTTGCTATGGCTGAACATGCTCAACTACATCACCGATACCTACCCCAACGTGGCTGCGTCGGCAGTTGCCGCATTTTTGATACCCAGTTTCGCCCTTGCAGCCGGGTTTGTGCACATTGGTAGGTCAACTGGCGATCCGAAGCACGGTATGGTACCAGCAAGCTGACAGATACGATCCATAGGCATTGTTATGTTCGACAGAATGTCGACAACTTGGGCTTTTGCAACCCTGGCGTTTATCTCGTTGGGGATTGTTGCCCTGGTCTACGTCCTTTATTTCTTCGGCCCCGCATTGCGCAGGATGTCCAAACTTGCAAGACGGCTCTGAACCGTATGCGCCGCAGCCATATTATCGACAGTCGGGGGAGGGGGCTTGTTGTGTCCCGAGCGCTACCGCATGTGCTTGTATGGATGTCCCTTTCTTCTGGCTGTATATATACCATTTGTAATTCGATAATTCATCATATAGACGTCTTCTCTCATTTCGTTTCTGCCAATGACAGATATTATACCCATCGAGTTCTTGGATGCTGTGGAAATTGCTGTTTCTCTGGTCGGCCGTCAAGCAGCAATGTGTTCTGAGCCGAGTCGATATGAAATAACAGAAGTGATTGTCATGCTATATGATATTTAATGGTCTTGGATTCAAATATATTTCAGATCTTCGATATGGTCTTTTCTAACTGGGGAATAAGCAAGCGGTTTGGCCGTTCTCCCTGTCGATCTTTTGGGCGATTCATCGAAGCAGCCTGAGGCAGTGATTCTTCACGTGGGAATCGGAGTTCTGCCAGGCGGAGAGTTGGAAACTCCGACTTGCAATAATTAATAATTACCTCTTCTTCCCCTGTCCTCCCCACAGCGCAGCTTTTGGTCCATCGCGGGGATAACGCAGGATTTTATATATTAATTAATAACTACATCATATACCTTTAGTCTGCCAGCGGAAGGTGCCGTGCATCATCACTCTCATTCGTGGATCCACGCCAATTAACGCGCCATGGCCGACGGCAGGAGTTCCGGGGTCGATCGGAGAAGGCGTTTCGCAAAAGTAAGCAATGTCGCCGTTACTCTTGTTATCTGGCAGCAAGTGAATGAATTCCGTTGACACGATCTCCCGCCTGGAGGCTTGCGATCCCTGTAGACGCCGGAAAGTCCGATGTAGCGGCGTTCGGCCGGTGTGTGCGCGTTGTAGCCGCCTAGCCATTACTTGCGTCTATGCCGATGTGGATAAGCCGCCTGCGCGAAAGCGGAGGTAATAAATATGATCTCCTTTCGATATGATATTGGCTGAGCCTGCATTGACTCTTCGAGAACCATAGGTCGGCCCGACAGCCAGCTGCTACACAGGTCCCACAGCAGCCCATTTCGACGCTTCAGCTGCAGCAGTATCCGGATGTCGACGGTTCTTCATCCGCGGTAACAGGCGCACCCATTTCCCCGCATGTATCTATCCAAAAACCGCCAGCTACCGAGTCGCTGGGGAGGCCGGGGGAGCCAGAGACACCCGTACGGCCTCAGGGATCCGTCTTTGGTGGACTTCAGGACATGAGATACTTCGGTGAGTCTTATGCCCATCGAGTGGTCCGAACGGGCTTGAGTCCTGTTGCCTAACTGGTAGATTCAAGGCCCATCGTCGGCCTTCTCATTTTTGTCTCAGAAGCTCCATGACCAGATACATCGTAAGATAGAAGCGCCTTTTCGAGAGGGTAGCTGGTCCACTTGGATGCATCCCGCTCTATCAGGGGTATTTCATCGGCGAATACACATCCCCCTTCCACCATGGACTGAAGTGTTCTCTTTAGTGCAAGAGTTTTTTGACGAAGAGAATGTGGCCATGCCATTGTTTCATCCTCCTACCTTCATGGCTCTTTGGGACGGCAATACTCCCATGATCTTGATGATGATCCGGCTTGGTGGACTGCCCTCAACGCCGTCCTGGCTATCGCTCAGAGGCGACGCGCCGAAAGGGGGACAAGTGCTTCTTCCAATACTGATCTGGCTTGGAGATATGCTTCCAACGCTCTTGAAACAGTGCTGGACATCATGATGCGCAACACTCGGCTTCTGTCCGTGCAGGCATTACTGAGCCTCGCTTGGTTCTTCGTGGGGACTCCCAACCCCCAACCAAGCTTCATATTGACAGCGAGTGCGGTGCGGTTATCGCATTCGATAGGTATACACAGGGATGATTGCCATCCATCCCAGAATCCCATCGAAGCTGAACAAAAGAAACGCGTTTTCTGGGCAGCAGTGATTATGGATCATTATATCTGCTTCCGCACAGGAAGACCACCTGCTCAAAACTGGGCTGATTTCAAGCTTGACCTTCCTTTGGAAGTGGCAGAGGACCGCCTGGGGATTGTTGCAACCGCAGATGGATCAGGTTTGGCCGTTTTTCGCGCCAATGCTCACCTGTCAAATCTCGAAGCAAATGTATATAGCCAGCTTTACACTAATGCAGCACTGGAGAACCAAGACGAGCCCTATAATTATGAATCTTGACAAACAGCTCGAGCAATGGAGGGAAAACTTTCCCGCATTTCAGGCCCACCGCCTGCCTCCGCGTGGCGAGCATCTTTCTGTACTGCGTCTCTACTTTACCTACCACAACTGTGTTATCTCCATTCATAGGATGAATGGAAGACGATACTGGCTTCCGCATGACGAACCCACTCCTCGGCCTCCGTCTGACATCCTCTGTTCTATGGAACGATGTGTTGAGGCGGCTAGGATGCTGCTCAAACTGCTGGACTTGGTCCCTTGCACCTTAACGAGTTTCTACTGGTAAATAATCCTAGTATTAATGTAGCGTTCCCGTGCTGATCATAAATCTCAGGGACATACTCGGTTTCAGCGCAAATGCACTTGTGGTCCTCTTCATTCACATCTTACATCAGCCCCATAGCACCCACGCTGCTTCCGACTTACAAGCCATGAAAAAGGGTCTTGGGGTACTTCCTATTCTAAAACCACACCATGGTGCTAGTTACATTCCACAAGCTCAAATCATATGCGGAGAGCTGTGTAGATTAGCCCAAGCAGCGATCGAATCGTCGTCTCAAAAGGAACCGCATATTCCTGCAGCTTCTTCTGCGAACGGCACACACAAAGAGCGTCATGCCACTCAATCTTCGCCTGCATTCAGATCGAATGCAGAGGGTTTCTCTGCCATGCATGGGTACAATGCTCCTGCACCTGGGTCTACCAACTTCATCATACAGCGGGAACCCCAGGGAGGCAACAGGAACGCCAATCCAGCGCCAATGATGTGGGATAAGGGTGGTGGACAGTATCTAAACGCGCTACCTTTTCCATGTCACCCTGATGACTTCGCTGGGGGGTTTCTCAATTTGGATCCAGGGTTAAACGCCGAATTGTATCGCCTTTTTCAAGTCTAAAGATGTCAACCAAATTATTCAAATGGATTTGGGATTTTAATGACCTCAGGACAACATTAAGGGAAGACGACTTGGGTGCTTTACGCAGCAGGCGAATAGCGAGCTGATAGGCCTGCAGATTCAACCAGCTTCCCGAAAGTCTCCTGGCCCACGTCTCGTTCCAAATTCGGTTGGTTGGTATCCTGCGAGCTGAACTGTTAACTTCGATATGATATCTTGGCAGTTGTTTGCAAGCCGATCTCCTGGTGACATCGCTTGCTGCGACTTCAATGAGGGTATTCAAGACAGAGCTGGTCTCTGTTTATTTCATGCTACTTTGTTTTAATGGACACCGGGCTGAGAATTGCCTCTGATGAAAGTGACCTTCTTGCCCGCTTCCGTAACGATCTCTCGTAGAGTGAGTGACTGCTAAGTTTGAATGGATGAACGAGTAAACGCCCCTGCAGAGTACAGTCAGCTCCCCTGAGCTTGAACTGAGGACGATTCTTGTCCTTCCTGGTTCTTTTCTTGATTCAGCTCTACCTGTGCTTCCCAAAGAATATCCGAAACACTGACACATGCGAGGGCCGGAGTTTCAACTCCAGTGGAATTGTGGCAGGGGGTTCGGCAGAAGGAATACGCATAAATACGATGCTTCTGCGACATCTGGACGATGCATCGTGAGACCAGCTTGCATTATTGAAGGCATTGTTGCCGATTGCCGGTACTGCTATAAGAGAGTACAACCCCCTTACGGGTGAACAGTGTGAGGGAACGATCCATCTTCCCTCCATCTATCAGTTATGACTTGGCGTGAAGGGGAGTTCGGCCGGCGCCCTGTAAGGGTAGCGAACTGTTCAGGATGCGATGGTGAGTATGGACAAGGCCGCTTGGGTCGGTCAATGCGGACTCTATGCTTTCGTTCATTGACCTGTGCTGACCAAAGAATGATCTCGCAGTCGATCATCCTACAGAGTTGTACAAACAAGTCACTCTCGATGATATCGACTTCATCACGGGTGACATCTGGCTGGTATTAGAACGTCCAGCTACTTGACACCGGTGCAGTTGCTGACGTGACGTCTAGAGGTAAATATCGCCAACAACGCCGAGGCGTATGTCGCAGGGAAGTACCCTGGCTATGAGGAGACAGCCTGGGCGGGACTGAGGCAGACAATCGAAGTACTTGACCAGAAGAGGATTAAGGTTGCCATCAACGGCGGTGCTTTGAACCCTAAGGGGCTAGCCAAGAAACTGGCTGCACTGGTCAGTTTTCCTCTTCAGGAAATACATTACTGGCGGTGGTAATGGCTGACTGAGGATATGTTTCCCAGGCCCGTAAGAAGGGTCTCAGTCTACGAGTCACTTATGTTTCTGGGGACGACATTCTCTCCCAAGTCGGTTCAACGTTGTCGGAATCCAAGAGCGCGGTTTGGCCTCATTTAGACTCTGGTAATCCTCATGTCAAAACGTCTGAAGATGTTTCTGCTGTGGTGCAAGAAACCGGCGCTCCAGTTCCGATCGTGTCTGCAAACGCTTACCTCGGTGCCCGTGGCATCGTCGAGGCATTTAGGAAAGGTACGGATATCGTTATTTGCGGACGAGTGTCGGATGCCAGTCCAGTTATTGCAGCAGTCCGGTACTGGCACTCCTGGTCAGCCGAGGACTACGACAAACTGGCGGGCACATTAGTCGCCGGCCATCTCATCGAGTGCTCTGCCTATGTGACTGGTGGCAATTTTGCCGGCTTCACACGATACGACCGGGACATCTTCATAGATCCCGGTTTCCCCATTGCTGAAATTGCACATGATGGAACCGCTGTTATCACCAAACATCCTGGAACTGGCGGAATTGTAGATGTCAACACTGAGATGTCAACTGCTCCACGAGTTGCAGGGCAACGCTTATCTCCATAGCGATTCCAAAGCATTGCTGGACGATGTTCAGGTAGAACAGGTTGGCCCTAATCGGTAAGTGCGCTCGTTCCGACGACCAGTTTCTTCGCTCACATATTGACAAGCTTGAATACAGTGTCTGTCTGAGTGTCGTTAAAAGCTGTCATCCGCCACCTACCACCAAGGCGGCTATCTTCTATAAGGGAGGATATGAAGCCCAATTGCTTTTCAACGTTAATGGCTATGCTTTTTCCGAGAAGTGCGACTTGTTCGAGAAGCAATTCAAGACGTTCCTGGGAGAAGAGGCCCTGAAACAACTCGACATTTGCGAATATCAGCGGTATGAATAAACAACGCGGTGGATTGATGGAGGGATATGCTGACTCGTAGACAGAATTGGCGTACCAGCACCCAATGGTCGCACACAAAACAGTAGCACGATGTACATTCGAACCTTCGCTACGGCTCGCACCACGAAGCCCCTTCTCGCCTTGCTGGGTATTCTCTCAAAGATGTCTCTAAAGCATTTCCCAGGTTCGAGACCTTGTTTTCTGTTCATTCTGGCTTGCCATCCTGACACTCCTACCTAGGTTTTCATTCCTCATTGGACTTCCGAACCGCTTTTTCACACCCGCTGTTCACTTACTACCCGGAGATTTGGAAACAGGACGCGTTGGACGAGCAGGCTCACCTCTTGGAGTTGGATGGAGAGGCTGAGACCACGTTCTCAGCCAGTCACTCTCCCCGGTACGAGCTGGGACCCCGCGATAACTATGAGACTGCATCTCCGGTATCTTTCAACGGGCCTTTCAAAACCGTCCGTCTGGGAGATGTCGCCTTGGGCCGATCTGGCGATAAAGGGGCTAATGCTAACATTGGGCTGTCTGTCGACACGCCCAAACAGTGGGAATGGCTTCATTCGTACCTCACCCGCTCCAAAATGCAGGAACTCATCGGCGATGACTGGGATGACTCGTTCTACATTGAACGTGTAGAATTCCCGCGGATCTACTCTGTTCACCTTGTCATCTATGGCATTCTGGGGCGTGGTGTGAGCAGTTCTAGCCCTCGATGGTCTGGGTAAGGGCTTCGCTGAATTCATCCGAGACCGCTTGGTGGAGGTGCCAGAGGAGACATTTTAATTGTCTGTACTATACAACGCCTCCATTAATTGGATCAGAGATAACCCAGCTCAGAGGCAATGGTTAGCTTCGATCGTTTGTATTTGGCTGTATACATAGTCCGGTATATCTTGTGGGAATAAGTAGACAGCTGAACGCGTGCCACTCCTAGGCAAAAACTTATATTCTTTAATGTCCGGCACGAGAATTTCGACGTCAAATCCATCTCAGTCATGGGAAGTCACTGGCGGTTTAGAACGCGTTAGTGGAGAAGATATTTGAAGCGTAGCATGAGTCGGAGAAAGACATCTCGTCGAAGGATGTGCGACGGAAACTCGCCATGGATACTGGTCTTCGTCGTCTTCATCGTCTTCATCGTCTCCATCCGTCAGAGGCACAGGAGCGGCTGAATTCAGAGTTGGCAGCAGATGAGGTCGACGAAGAAGCCCGGGAGAATAAAGACAAGGCGACGGATCCAGGGGCTCCGCATCTGGTTACTCAGGGAACGTATGAGATTGAAGGTGCAAGTCTCGAGTATGAGAGCGACGGAGTACAGGCTTGACACAGGATGATAGTCTACGGAACCAGAATAGATGAACAATCCTCTACAATATTATGAATTCGCACAAATATAGAAGCATGACCGCTAACAGCAAGTATCCGTTAGATGGGACTGTCTAGGCAATGAACCGTCCAGATCAGACGCAACCCACTCGGCCAGTAGTAAGCTACGCCTTCTAAACAAGATTTCCTACTCGCATTAGTATTATTATAATCGATAATAATATGTATAGCCAGTATACTGAGGAATTGGCGGAGACAGCACGAAGAAACCGTGGAAAGCCTTGCCCGAGGCTATCACCGCACACCCCTGTCGAGATGACGTGGTGGAAGCAGTCTGTGATATTAGCATTATATTATTTTTCGAACGACTTGGATTGTGATATGTATTGTTCTGTTCCCAGGTTCCAGTCTAGAACACGGTTCCCAGTTGAAATGGCGAACATGGTTGACTTCGAGGTCACGTGTTCATAGTACGCTTAGTGTTGTTGAACGGTCCATAAGCGCAGTGCAGGCCAGAGGCCAATATCATAGCATTTCCCTTTTGGCCGACTCGCCAACAAGTGCTGATGGGGGTTGAATATTGGAGGTGTGTCTTGTATTGTGTTACTATCTAGATGCGCACTTCCTAAATCGGCAGTGCTAGGCTCGGCGAGGGCGGTCTAACCAGGCAGAACCCACGTGACCTGTAACAAGGCCCGTTTATTTACTAAGCAGAACTATTCCTAACTAGGAAGGATCTGAACCATGGGCATCAACTGCTTAACCGCCTACTCAATACACTCATTAATGACGCTGAACAACTGCATCTGCGATACCTGTCAATATCCATTGCATCCAAGGCCAATTCCGAGAGGGGGAGGATATCGCGACAAACCGTACAACACCGGCTGTGCATGATCTTGACCTAAAGGCTTATTTACATCAGCGATGGTGATACTCTTCGATGCAGAGGTGCGCTGCGCCCGCAAGGCCGTGAATCGCATCAACCGGAGTTAAGGAGATAGTACCGAATGGAGGCTCAGGTCAATAAGAACAAATCTTCGCTATATCCGACCGTACGCATTACTAAAAGAGCGAAACACATCTACTCTTAAAGCCCAGAAAATACAACCCGAACACCATGAATTTCACCGCGTCCGAGCACCACGACACCTCCCACAAGGGCCATGCTGTTCTGGCCACCGGCGCCTCTCGAGGTGTCGGCCGCACGATAGCCAGCTCCTTCGCGCAGGCCAGTGCGTCGGAAATCGCAATTGCTGCCCGCACCAATCTGGACGCCGTGGAATCGACCATCCTGTCGCCGCTACGTCTGCCGGCCACCCAGCGCCGAAGGTCCTGAAGCTGTTGTTAGACGTCACCAGCGAACCTAGTGTTACCGATGCTGTTGCGCAGGTAGAGAAGCAGTTCGGGCGGATCGAAATTCCCGTCAACAATGCTGGCTACCTTGAGACCTGGCGCCCGGTCGCCGAAACAGATGCTACAGACTGGTGACGGACGTGGGAAATCAACCAAGGGCGTATACATGGGGATACGGGCGTTTCTGCCATTGCTGCTCAGGGGGAGAGCAAGACAATCGTCAACGTCAGTTCCGTGGGTGCACTGAAGGCCTTTCCGGGCGCCTCGGTATACGAGACAGGCAAGTTCGCGCTGTTACCGTTTCCAGATTGTGGACACCGAATATTCCAAGCAAGGAATCGTCGCATTCGCTATCCATCCCGGGGGAGTTGTGACGGAGCTGGGACTAGGCAAGCCCGACGTAATGCACGGCCTTCTTCAGGATACACCCGCTTTTCCAGCAGATACCGTGAGTTGGCTGACGCAAGAACGAAGACCATGGCTGGGGGGGGGAGCGGTACATCAGCATCACCTGGGACATGCCGGAGGCGAAAGCCCGAAAGGATGAGATTATCAAGGATGATAAGTTGAAGATGCGTTTAATAGTTTGAGGGCATGGTCGTTCATATTTTTGATGTTGTGGGGGCGTCAGCATCGCCGAGGACGCTACATGGACGTCTCACTAGTTCATTAATAATATATGCAGGAAACCGGAAGTCCGGCACGCCCGAAGGAAGGAGAATAATAATAATAATCTCCAGCAGACCAAGCTTTGCCCTAAGCCCTACGGGGCTTACGCAGCAGCCGTAGGGCGTAGAAACGATATGATACGCGGAGCTCTGCATGTTTTGCCTGTAGCTAGAGAATCAGATAAGCCGTGTATGTGGACATGACCAATACCCCCACATGCTGCAATCCAAGAGTGCATATATTAGCGTACCAAGCAAGACTATTGAACTAAATGCTGGGATCCCAATGCAACCCTGCAAAAAGCTTACGCGGACATATATATTCTCGCCTGATCTAATCTGATCCCAAGAGATGCAGACAAATCTGACAATCCGATTCTTTATCGATCTTTCCAAGCAAACAATGCCCTTTCGTTGTCCGGATTGGAGCTTCATGCTCCTACTTTCAGTCACCCTGTGTGCCTTGTCAGCATTTAACTATGGCTTCAGTGATCAAGCTTTTGCCTCGTGTCAGGCCATGGACTCCTTTACTCGGCAGTTCGGCGAGTACGACAAGGAAACAAAGACGTGGAAGCTCCAGCCAATGTTCATTTCCTTGTACAACAGTCTGAAGGCTGGTACACAGATTATCGGTGCGACCCATCTCTGCCTCACTGGAAAATGTCTAACAAAAGCAATTCCTCCCAGGAGTCTTCGTCGGTAGCTATGTGAGTAAGAGATATGGAAGACGGATGTGTGTCTTTGTCATGAGCGTATACGCTCTTGGAGGTGCAGCTGTCATGACCAGCTCCCAGACACGGGCTCAGATATTGACCGGAAGAGCCCTACACTGTTAGTACCCAGGATCCCGCAAGCCTGACATAACCTCTGGATACATCGCTGAACCCTAAGACGTCTATCTCGGCATGGAAATGGCCGTCATCCCAACGACGCTGGCCGAGCTGGCTCCAGCCAAAGTGCGCGGAGCCATGGGGGTGCTATACTGGCTCAGCGTCAAAGTCGGTGGCCTTGTCGTCACGTCCATAACGCGAGGGACGTCCGGAATCCTTACGAATGCTGCTTGGCGGATCCCGTTTGGACTCATTCTCATTATACCTTCAATTCTTATCTCCCTTGTGTGGTTCACACCCGAATCCCCGCGGTGGCTGCTTCTGGAAGATCGACAGGAAGAAGCTATCACATCCTTGACCCGGTTCAGGCCCAACTCAACATCCCCAGGCGAAATTCACGAGGAGATTGAACGGATCTCGCAGAAGATCTCGACTCAGATGCAAAGGAAGAAGTTCGGAGACCTGCTTGATTGGCAGAACCGACGACGGACGTTTATCGTTGTCGCAGCCAACTTCTTCCAGCAAGCCACTGGCCAGGCATTTGCTTCGCAGTATGGCACTCTCTTTGTCAAGAAGCTGAAGTCGGTGAATCCGTTCAGCATCACGATGGGGACGAATGCGGCCGACATTGGAGCTCTGTGTATTTCGACGTCGATAAGCGACCGACTTGGGCGAAGGTACGTTTGCATTCACTAGTTCGCTAGAAGGAAAAGCTCTCCTAATGAAGCCGCAGAGGCCTCTTCCATACCAGCGCCTTGCTTCAAACCTGCGCACTGTTTACCATGGGCGGCCTGGGGATGTCTGATGCGAAGAACAGGACGGCCAAGGAAGGCATTGTAGCCATGTTGATGGTATACAGCTTTGGCTGGTCGCTGGCATGGGCACCCCTGGTTTATGTGCTAGGAGCCGAACTTCCCTCTGCACCGCTGAGGGAGATGACTCTACGGGTTGCGTACACGGTGAAACTGGTGACAGAGTACGTTCACTTTCCATGGCAGAGGTAGATCCGAAAACGATGTCTTGGTCTAACACACAAACTGCGTCGAAAGGTTCGCGGTCACCTTCTCCTATCCCTACCTGGAAGCCGCCCAAACCCCGGGACATGTCGACCTCGGGGGTAAACTGGGATTCATTTACGGCTCGTTGGCAGCCGTGGCATTGCTGTTTGGATACATCTTCATCCCGGAAACTAGGCGCTTGGAACTGGAAGACATTGGCGAAGATGTTGCTTTGGTATCCACCGGCGCAGCCGAAAAGAATGTGGTGCACAAAGAAACGTCGATCTAGGATCGGAGCTGTCAACATGTATATGCTGGCGTAGTTATCACACCAAGCTCATGTTGTTGATCATCTCAATGGAATAGCCCAGTGGAACGTACAAGTCAAAGCATCCCCCAGACTGCCGGCGCAGTCCCTTTATTGAACCTAGTTATTATTTGTCTGACTTCAATGCCCAGGATGTTTCCCATGCTGCTGGTAAAACTTGCTGGCGCAGGGAGCTCCTTCCTTTCAGAAAGTATGCACACGGTCCTCTTTCCTCCATGTTCCTTTAATTCTCGTTCCTTCAATTCTCTCTTGGCCTTGCCTGAGTCTTCACATCTAACCCGCATACTTTACAAGAAAGCTCTATACATCGATACATTTCCATCCCGCATTACTTCCTACCTCGCAACGATGCGTCTCGAGCTCTCCATCCTCCTGGGACTTGCCATGTCTGTGAAGGCTGGATGGCTCGTCAGCGCCTATCCCACTCTCGAATGCATGGGCGGAGTAGATGAGATCGGGGGTCAAGGCAATCTGGGCTGCCAGCCTCTGCCCGAGGGAACGGTATCTGCCCAAGTAGACCTCGACCATGGCAGCTATGTCAGGCTCTATGCAGACACGGAATGCAAAACGCTGATAAATGAGGCCCGTTATGGAGGGCTCTGTTACACAACCTACTACCGGACAGACGGACTCCATTACCGGGGAGTCATCGGCTACTGGTAAGCTCCTTTAGGCCCTCTCCGCCGAATGTTAGTGGCTATTGAGACTAACCTTGACCGCGGATAGAACCCCTCAGTTGCTGGAGCCCTTCGAAACAGCGGGTGTGAGGATATCAAATGTGAAAGTATTTGCTGGGGGAGAGCATCAGAACTTCCGTTCTTCATTAGCCGATTATGCATCGGCATGTCTACAAGCATTGTATCGAGAGAAAAGAGACAGGCCCTAAGATGTCCACGGCGGTATTCTAAGGAAATAGAAGAGCCATCCACTGATCCTATATCCAAAATCTCCCCACACAACACAACCTGAGTCAGTTTGCAAGCATGCCTTCGTATTAGCACTGGCAACTTGCAAGACGGCTTCATGCTCAGCATAGGATTGGCCTAGAACTCGCATGGCTTGGGCAACCAAACCTTATATGCCGTGTTGCCAGCCGCCTTTCTCTCTCCGTAGAATATGGGAGATAGCTCTACTTTCCCCGTATGATTATTAGCTGAGAGCGGGGAAACGTGGGGAAGAATGCGGAGACTTGCCTCGTGCAAGCTGCTCGGCAAATGCGTATAAAATAGCGGCAAATCTACAGTGTCTCGCAGCAGCTTTGCCACCAGATGCAAGAAGCTGAGAGACCCTGGATACGAAGAGCTAAGGGAAACAAAGCGGCAGAATACGCCAAACTTCGTCTTGTCAACTGCGCTACAGCGTACTATTCGCAATGTTCTCACGTCCCCAACACTTTCAAATCCTTCGGATCCACACCATGGGTGCTAGTGAGACTGCCAGCCGAGAGAACCCAGGCCCAGGCCATTCAGGATGGATAAAAGGCGTAGCCAAGCAGTGGGGAACATGTCTTTCGTCCAGATTCTACGTTGGATTTACATCCCCGCAAGTTAACCGGCTCGATAAATCAGGGCTTGCGCGCAATGTTGGGTTAATCTCTGCTAATTCTTCAAAACTCAAACCAGTTTAACACGCCACAGCTTTCAGGATGCCTCGGGATACACCAAAGGAAAAGAATGTACGGGACTCAATCAGTGAAAAAGCCCAGACGGTGTGTTGTGAGAATGCACCCGACGACAAACTCGATGCACCATTTGAGATCGACGCAGAGACCAACAAGCGCCTCCTGAGAAAGATTGACCTGCGGATCATGCCCGTTGTATGTACTGTATTGCCAGAGGACTTTGGATGTTGCTGATGCCGTCGAGTTATGTTTTACCTACGCCGTCCAATACTACGACAAAGCAACGCTCAGCCAGGCGGCCATCTTTGGCCTCAGGGACGACCTTGAGCTCAACGACGGGCTGAAATATTCCTGGGTCTCCTTGACTTTCTATTTTGGCTACATGGTAGGGACCTACCCCATATCCGTCCTGGCCCAGCGATTTCGAACCAGAGTTGTGTGCACCGTCATATGCATACTCTGGTCGGTGGTCGTCGTCTGCACGCCCACCTGTACCTCTTACAGCGGGTTTCTCGCCAACCGATTCTTCCTTGGGATCCTCGAGGCTGGAGTCTCTCCAATCTTCATGCTTGTCGTTGGCATTTGGTACACCCATTCCGAGCAGGTCATGCGTTCGGGCTGGTGGTATTCATTCAGCGGCGGATCTCTCCTCGTGTCTCCTTTGATCAACTACGGACTTGGTCATATTACGGGCGGCTCGTTACATCCCTGGCAGTACATGTATTTGTTTGCAGGCGGCGTGACCTTCTTCTGGGGAGTTGCCCTCTGGTGGCTCTTCCCAGATGGTCCACAGGATGCCAAGGGCTTCACCGAAGAGGAACGTCGGATGCTTCTGGAACGAATCCGAGCAAATAACGCCGGTGTGGAGAATAACCACTTCAGATTCTACCAGGTTAAAGAGGCGCTCATGGACTATCAGTTCTGGGGGATCATGGTTCTCTCCCTTGTCACGTCAACTGGATCCGGGGTTGTCACTACATTCGGGTCGATTGTGTTCAATGGCATGGGGTTCAACACCTTTGTCTCTCTGCTGATGAACCTGCCAATCGGTGCTCTTGCGTTTATCTGCATTCTCGGGTCAGCATATCTGGGAAGGGTTCTTCCCAATGCCCGGTTTCATGTTCTGGCTGCTTCCTGTCTGCCAGTTATACTGGGATGCGCCTTGCTGTATGTACTACCTGTGCCACCAACAGAGATAAGCTGTCCATCGATACACTAACCCGTATCAGGTGGAAATTGCCCAATTCGATGCGAGCTGGACGCGTTATCGGCTTCTACTTGATAAACTTCTTCTCCTCTGCCTGGGTGCAGTGCATTGCCCTGGGCACGTCGAACGTGGCAGGCTATACCAAGAAGGCAGTCTACGCTGCCGGCACATTCATCGGCTATTCCATCGGCAACATTGCTGGCATGCTGCTGTTTGATGCGTGAGTCTATATCCATGGCGAGCTCCTGTCTTAATGTACGCGTATCTGATCTTACAACGCCCCAGGAAATACGCTCCCCGATATAACCAAGGCTTCATCGGTGTCATGATTTGTTTCGCCCTCTGCCTGTGCATCGCGGAGGGCCTGCGCTTTGCCCTCGCATGGAAGAACGAGAAGCGCGAACGGAAATATGGCCCGCCCGGGACTGCCAATGGACTGGAGGACATGACTGACAGGGAGAACAAATCCTTCAGATACTGCTTATAAGGGTGTACACGGCGGCTACAGATATCCGGAAGACGTACGGGGATGATAACAAAGTCGTAGCTGCTAGAACTCTTAATAATGTTGAAAAGACCGATCCGAGCATTTTAGCCCCTGCGTTCCATGAGTTCAGCACCATGTTGTAATCGGCCAGGGACCCTGGGTGCTCGCCAGCAAGGAGCCCCCTGATCGGCAGCTCCTGACTACCGAGGCGCCCGGGAGATGACGTGCGTTGATCGACATCTCACCAAGGATGAGTTCATCAGGTTGATGTGCATTGGTAAGGCTGATGGCGCAAAGTTGTACCGGCTGATCAAGGACTAGTGTTCGTCTTCTCGGGTGACCTTCCTCGGCGTCGGTGCATCGTCATCATTGAGCCGTTACAGTAGGTGACCACCTGCCGCCCGAATTCCCATGCAACAACAATTTGAATTATATCGCTATCTTTTGGTGTACTAATATAGGGATTGTGAAGAAGCTATATAGGGCCTTTAGACCTCCCTAAAGCGGTGTGGTAGCCGAATTTGCCTTCCTCGGCGAGTTAGTATTGGGGGGGCCTCTTCAACAACTTCACCAGCTGGAGGAGCTGTAGGCTGCTGGTCTTGACATAAAGAAGGCTTAGAAGGTGTCTTCTTGCCTTTCTTGACCTGCTTGAAGTCATTTTGAAGCTGTAGATCTGCCTCCTTAGCTAGCTTCTCCTCTTCCTTCTGGTGTTTCTTTTTCTCTGCCTCCTGAATTCCGTAATTCTCTATTTATTACCCGGATTTGCTTCCTTTCTTCAAGCGATTGCTGCTTTTCTTGCTTAGCTTGCTGCCGGCATAGCTTATCTTCCTCTTTTGAAGCCTTAGAAAGTTGTAGTTCCTTCTCTTTTTTTATTTGAAGATCCCGAGCTTGCTGGATCTTCTTTGGGGAGTAGAAGACAGCATTACCATCATCAGGAGAATATAGATTAAATATCAGAGGCTTCCCACATTGGTGCTTCTTCTGCTCATTCTGGAGGGCAGCTTCCAGGCTTTCACAGCATAGCTTAAGAAGGATATTTTCTGTGGTCTCAATTTCTTGGTGTTTTCATCATAAACATTGGTGACAACTTGCCTTAGCAGCCTCTCTATCTTCCGCCAGTCTTCTGCATGTAGTATAGAGCTTGAAGACTCACTAGAAGATGGCCGTTGATCCTCATATATGGTGAAGCGTGTCAAAACAACCTCTGGGTCCCAAGGCCATACCCCACTAGATCTCCATGCGGATTCAATATTTTTGGCTGATAATGCCTTGCCCCAGCTTGGCCAAAACAATCTGAAGAAGTCCCATTTGGTAATATGACTTAGGCCCTGACAAGCATGAAGAAAACCCTCCAATTCATTGCTATACGCAAGAGATAGTGGCCCAAAGATCCCAACATCAAGTGGCTGCAAAGAATGTGTTGAATGAGGTGGGTATGTCATCAAAAGGATCTTATTAGCATCACAGAAGTCTATAAACTTCATAGTAATGTGGGATCCATGACAATTAAGAATGAGAAGCCTCCAATGCCTCCTAGCCTTATCCCTAGTCTCCTGATCGAGGATATCTCTGAGCCATGCATATCCGATTTTGTCATTGGTCCATCCACATGGTGAAGAGGTAAAGAAGCATTTCATGAGATGGATAAAGCCCACGATCAGTAAGATTGTTGATCCATTTTATGATCTCTTTGGATTGCTGGTTGAGAACTCACTGGCTTTCATATTGGTGTTCTTTTGAATGCCGGACCCCGCGGTGGTGTCTTGACAATGTTGTACGGCTCATACCATAGAGTTTTGCAATTTTAGAGTAATTGATTGGTTCTCCTGGCTTCAAGGATTCCATATCTGCTAGAGCGGCTTCAATAGACCCCATTTTGAATGAGCTGTGTTGGTTTAAAAACTACATTTAGAACGTCGGTGTATCGATAATTCGGGCGGCAGGTGGGACTGGGCGTCAGGTGATCACCTACTGTATCTAATGGAGGTATATCGTTGGTTGGTTACTAGCTAGATAGCGTGGTGCCAGCGAGGGCGGATCTATGCGGCAGAATCCCACGTGATCCAACAGTATCAAGCTTTTCGTGGGGTCGCCCGATATGCCGTAGTCCTTGCACAACCGCGGGCTCTGCAGGAGTCTCGATTCCAGCTGGAGCGTACTGTTATCATTATTTCAGGGGGCCGTGCTCGGTGTTTAATAAACATGCCCTGCAAGAACGTTGGGTCGTGCATTTCTTACTGCCTTCCCTGATCTACGCCATCGGCCGGAAAAGAACACACGAGAAATCTAGGATTCCATTGCCGTAGTAAAATAGAAATAGATATACGTGGCCTAGGAAATTGCTAGTGTGAAAGAAAGATGCAGATTCCGAAGTTGGCGCTCTAACCGAGCGCCTTGTGGATCTCTCCCTATCTTGCGAGGACAATATACACGCCTACCAACCGTGGCTGTTAGTCTCCATATGCGCTCATAGACAGCCGAATAGTCTCCAATGCGGATACTCCGTGCTTCCACGGGATAGATACCCCTAGACAACAGCCCGGGATCAATAAAGTTCGCATGCTGAACGGGAGAATAGACTTGCGTCGTTGCAGATCTTCGTATTGCCATATATTAAAATTACCGGTTCCACTAGAACGGAGTCCCTAGACAGCAGAATAGACCAAAACCGGTATCTCTACTCCGTATCACACAATAATTACTCGAAAGAGCCCGAGGTACCCCACTGGAACCGTCCGTTAGGGACAGCTGCAGCTGGGACAACCAGACTCACGTAGCTAGATGTCTGGCTAGCATGGAGGATCTCCACCCCGGGACAGGATCGGCGTGGAGTTCCCATGCCCCTAGATATAATAACATATCCAAGCATGCACTTTTGACCGGAAGGGTTTGCCCTTCCAGGCTCATCCTCGTTCCTTGGTGGAATCAGGTGGTCTTGTCATGTTGGATTTACTCACTTGTGCCTCGCAAGGACACCACAATGAAGCTTTCATTAGCCATCGTTACTTTTCTTTGGCACACACTATGTTCGTTAACCGGTGCTCTGGGCTCTCAAAGCCCCCTACCCGGTGAGTTGGGACAGATGCCGAGCTGTGCCGTGAGTATTCAAGTATCCGTTCTATGGGTGGACAGTACGACCGGAGTATTGACTGGACAAATCTCGCCGGGGTATAGATGACCTGCTTTGAAACCTCCCTTAAGAGTTCATCCTGCGCGACCTACTCCGGGTCCGAGTTACTGGAATGCATGTGTCCGAGCGCGCAACTTCAAGAGCGCCTTATCCTCTGTGTGGCCAGTTCATGTACGGCCAAGGAAACCCTCAGTAAGGATAGCACTTCCATTGCCCATGAACGAGTTCGCCTGACCGCGCCGATTCCCAGCCGCCACGCATGATATCAACACCAGTTGCGGCGTTCCTGTCCAAGATCAGTCCAAGACGTTTTCCGGCGTCACCATTGCATTCACGATCCTGGCAGCAGTCAGTGTCATCCTGCGAATCTCGCTGAAACTATCGTACATGCGAACCGACATCGGGCTCGATGACTACCTGATCGTTATCAGCATGCTAGGAGGCATCGCATACTGCGCGTTGAACGAAGCCGGGTTGGTCCCGAATGGACTGGGAAAGAGTGAGTGGTCGCTTTCCTTCGACCAGATCACCCGTGTTCAGATCTACCTCTATGCCACGGCGGCCCTGTACGTGTTTGACGTCGCGGTGACGAAGCTCTCGATGCTCGCCTTCTACGGGCGCCTATTCCCCACGCTCGTTGTTCAACATCTCGCCCGGGGCACTTTTGCTTTTGTTGTTCTGTGGGGTACGGCATACGGCTTCTTTTCCCTCTTCCAGTGTCGGCCTGTCAGTTACTTTTGGACCGAGTGGGACGGCGAACATTCAGGGAAATGCGTTGGCAGTCTTCGTGTAATTTTGTCCCACGCGTCCTTGGGCATCGCTATTGATGTCTGGATGATCATTATCCCGCTCTGGCAGCTGGCTCGTCTTAACATGGACTGGAAGAAGAAGATGGGTGTTGTGCTGATGTTCCTCGTGGGTACATTGTAAGTTCGAGCCCAACTCCCCGGAAGCAAGCCCGAGCCGCCGGACTAATCCTTGTTCAGTGTCACGGTGGTTAGCATCATCCGCCTGGTCGAGATAGCGAACGCCTCGCATCAAACTGATCCCATTTTCGACCAGTGGCGCACGTCCATGTGGTCAACCCTCGAAATCTACACGGGCATCATTTGCACCTGCATGCCCGCGATGCGACTGGCAATATTCAGAGGCGCCAAGTACGTACGGAGGCGTACCGCTAGCGTAGGCAGTGGCCTGAAAAAGTACACCAGGACAATAGAGAGGAGGCAGCAGTCCCTGATCTCAGGAGAGGATAAGGGCGTCATCATGCTCTCGAGAACACTAGACGTCCAGTATCAAGATATCGAGGACAATAGAATCTATCCCATGCAGGATATAGAGACAGCGCAAGGGCGGGAAGTACATAGCACTCAGAATCTTGTTTAAAATATGGAATACAGCGTAATTTCCCGTAGCCAGGACGCGGACATCAGAGCTTGGCTTAATCTTAGTCATGTGGACATTACTAAATGATGACACAGCGCTAATTTTCCGAGAATAGTAACTAGCCAACTAATTAGTCGTGATGTCATTGCCACATTCGGCATAGACTGAATCCATCAACCCTGGCTGTTAAGAAGGTTTTTTTATTTTATTTTATTCCCCCCTTCAATCGAGAACTTCAAGGTTTCGTAGGGACAATCTTCGAAGGAACACAGCTCTCTCTTGTCAACAGCTAATAGTTGCGAGACTATGGTCCCGAACAAGCAAGAAACGTCTCACGGCTTCAACCACGACTCTTCTGGCAGGGTGCAGCACAGGATGCCATTCTCGCATCGGAGTCTGAAGCCTGCGGTCCAGCCTTTCGCAGGCAGGATTGGTGGCAATCAAGAGCTTGTGCTTGATCGCGATGATCCAGAAAATGCAGAGCTCCTGAGACGGATCCCTGATGCAGCGCCGTTGATGGCCTTCAAGGACGGCTTTGACCTGCGCGGATTCTGGGACGTCGGCCTTTGGAAATTTGGCTTTGTTGAATGCATTGGTTAGACACAACTCGTCTTGGATACATATCGTTGTTATGCAAAGTTGGGGCTCATTGCCGACTAGGTACCATGATGCATAGCTTTGTGACTGTCTGGGCCTCGATACATCCCAATTCCGCTGCAGTGCCGGCGACCACACCGGCCGGTGTCTTTTCAACAGCAACCTTCCTGGGGCCGCTTGTTGGTGGCATCTGCAATTGGTTATCCCTGACACTCTTCATCTTCACGTTTGCCAACGTGAGTGGAGCCCATCTCAACCCTACCATCACGTTCGGCACCTTTTTCGCTCGCCTGATATCGTTCCCCCGGCTGGTGATCTATGTAGGAGGCCAAACCTTAGGAGGCGCTCTAGCTGGTTGGATGCTCCGCACCGCGCAGGGATCCCGCTCCTTTGCCGTCGGAGGCTGCTCGATAGATACCGAACTCGTTCCGGTCAAGGAGGCATTCGTACTAGAGTTCATCTATTCTTTGATCCTGATTTTCCTGTCTTTCGGCGTCGCTCTGGATCCGCGACAAGGCAAGATCTATGGCGCCGCTCTGTCGCCTTTCCTCGTCGGCATGGTCCTGGGCGTTCTGAGCTGGACCTCTTCGTTTTCGCGAATCGGATACGCGGGTGCCTGTAAGTGCTCAGCAACTCACCGCGCCGAAGCAGATGAGGGCTGCGGAGTATATGAGCTTTGCTTACAAGATCCATTGTTGATAGCGATGAACCCGGCACGCTGCTTTGGCGTCTATGTGGCGACTTCTTTTCCGGGTTACCACTGGATTCACTGGGTACGCGGGGTTCTCCTAGACTGGTGTCCGATATTCTAACGTTTGCCTGTGCGCACAATATAGGTCGGCCCCATAGTGTCGAGTGTCGGCCACGGGATCGCTTATTTCTTTGTGCCCCCGTGGGGAGCTGTTGAGCGGTTGGCCTTACTCAATCGGAAATATCACGAGTGATGGCACAAAACAGAGTATAAATAGCTTCTCTGTAGCCCGACTTACTGTATCAAGCGACACCCGCTGTATGTTGAAGCCACGAGATCGATGGCGCGGTAAGAACCCTTCCATTTCCGAGGAAAAACTATCCTTGGTTCTATGCTGAAGGGACCCAGCGAAAGACTTGCAGGATGATAACGCCAACAGCCTGTCGGACGTTCTCTTCCTTTCCATGTATAATAGTAGACTAACAAGTATAGTGATATTATCATATCGGCGTTACTTGATGGTAATTATTTGAGTCCAAAAAGCACAGTTTAAACCAGGATTGAAGAGTAATGGGAATGTATTCGTGGGACTATCCGCCAAGTGTCGTTGGCCAATCGCGCTTGTTCCATAAGAATCGCAGAAATATTTGATCACGGCTTCGATTCCACTTCGCGATGTCTTTCCCAGTCGTTCCTGGAGCAAACCGTCTCGTGGCCGAAAGATACTGATGGGTCCAATCGAAACCCAGCGACGACGCAGACATCAAATTCACCGGTCCCGGGGCTATCATGGAGCTCGACCATACCTGGCAGCGACGGAGTCAAGTGGACCAAGAGCCGCGTTGCCGGGGAGTTGGCGCTCGGAGGGTCTCATGCGAAGATGATAGGCGTCCGTCAATTCTGGTGTCGTAGAATTTGTGGTTCCTTGAGCGGCGCTCATTGCCATCCCATATCTTTCCTCTTGGGATCCCAAAGCTGCAAAGGCAGCGTGCCAGATCCTCAGCCTAGTTAACAGAGCTTTTTGTGGATTTGCCAATTTCTGGGGAAGGTCAGAGCCACGAGAGTTTCGTAGATACTCATCACACGTACGCTGAAATAGTTGGACCTCTGCCGTTGGGAGGATGGTGGTTTCTCGAGCAGACTTGAGGGAGACAAATTCCCGCATCAATGCAGGTTCAGTGTCTTGCAACAAAGTGCCCATTGGAACCTCAGAAACCGGGAGAGCAATTGCTTCGAGACGGATGAAGATGGGAACAATTGTATCCGACAGCTACTTGAGCGCCTGAAGCGAGAATGAGACGCACACCTTGACAATAAGCCGGATGGCCTCCTCGACACCTCCCTGCATGGCTTCGATGCAGATGAATAGTATACAACTAATCAGCCCAATAAAGGTGTCTGACCGACCACGCTCAATCTGCTGACGAATGGCTGACACCGAGCGCGAATACCAGCTGAAGCTCAGAACCAGAACCGTGAGCGCATCTCATCAGCGCCACAAGAGCTGCAAGAGCTGCAACAGCCTCAGCCAGCCAATCCTAGACAGTTTGTATGCCGAAGGAGTCACCTATCGGATCAAGAAATGGGGTGGAATAGAGATGGAGACACCGCATATCGTTCTTCCTTGTGCGATCGAAGCCATTCCTTGAAGCGCCTGATGCAGAATTGACCCGACCTTGCCAAACAGCCGAAATCCTACAGGACAGTTGCAGAGGATGGGCATCTGAAAGAACCCAACATGTGCCAATCCCTCCAGTATATAGATTCTGTGTTTCAGAGGAAGTCTGCACGGTAACCTCTAATTCCCCCGTAACAAAATACTGTGGCCATGCCGTATGGCCGCTCGATGAGAAAGTTCACGAGGAGTTTTACCGCAGAACAACAGAAGGACCAAAGGCTTGGAACTTCAGCAGAAATATGGAGAGAGAAGTGTAACATATGCAATTGGTCAGGGATGGCTTCAGTTGTCTAATCCAGAACTGCGTTGCCAAGTCCCGGGGTGGTTGCAGCTCGGCTGGACTCGGTTTTTACCTCCGGCGAGCCGTTCCTGCTTATTAAGATAAATTACCATCACGTGATGCACGCACCAGAATTTACCCGCCAAGAAATAAATTTCAACTCCTTACCACTTAGTAACCATCTAAACCATGGCCGGCTAGCTAAGAATGTAAGTTTTATCAGTTTCAAAGTCATAATTGAGCAATTACCATCATCAGAAGCTAATCAACAGTCCCGGGAAATGCTTCGCTGAGGGGTGCCACTTAGTAAGGATCATTATTGTATCACCACCTCATAGATAGAATTTGCTGGGACGGAGTATAATAAATCAAATCCGAATGCTGAACTCAAGAGAGGGTCGAATAGCTTCAATCTAGGTGGCTTTAGCAACACCGTAGCTAGCTGACGATCTATTTGACATCTTCCCCTGAATATTACCATCGTTTACCGTTATCGTCCAACATCTCAACTGGAACCATTCTTCCACTTCAAAGCCACAATGGGAACTCGAGGTCTTGAGATTGTGCGCTTCAACAAGCGCTACTACATTCGCTACCACCGGCTTGATGGCTATTTCGAATGCCTCGGTGCTAAGATCGTCGCAAAGATCCCCGCCAGCGCAGAGGAGTATCAGAGTGAGTGCCACTGCCATCGAGATAGAATACACAGGCTATAATATGCCAGAATTATATGCTAAAATGGATTTCTAGCATGGCTTGGGTCGATGCGGGCCAAATACGCGGCCCTAGAAAACACCTTTGAACAACACATCCACGAAATCCGCGCTGGAATCACGCCGGACTGCCGTCAGCTCGGGAATCTAGCGGCACTTCCATCTGAGTTGCCGCGATTGGATTGCTTTGACGCTCAATACGTCTATATCATCAACTTGGATCAGGAAGTTCTCACAATGGATTTCAGCATACACTGGAAGCTGAACAATATCCCACGTGAAGACGACCTCTGGATTTCCGCTATTAAGGATAGCATCTTCCCATACAAGCTCACCATCTGCCCTGATACCTGTTCCGAAGAGCATATGGCATCCCCAGCCTTAGAACTGCCAGCGAAGCACAGGAGAATTCCCTATCACTACCATGTTGTGACCCCAAAAACACGCATTGTGCAGGCGCGACAAGCATTTCTTGTACACTTTCTCGCTGAAGTTATGATCGGATACAAGGATCATATTGTCCAATTTGGTAGGGAGTGGGCTCCAGATTCATTTCCTTTTCGCGAATTGACCTTTGCCCTCGTCTCAATTGCCTCTGATAAGGCCAAGTTTCATTCACTATCTACACAGCGGTGCAATCCTCGGCGGTGCCAGTCATTTTCCTGTGACCAAAAGCATCTACCGGAGCCGTGGTTCGGGTTACTTGACCAAGAATGGGTTAACGGTGGCGCTCCGTTGCTCGAGTTTGGGTCCATGTCTCATAGACCCGGCCAACCTCCAGGCGCAGCGCCCACTGAGACTATGTACTGGCTGGAAGACGTGCTTATCAGCATTGTCATGGTGGTTGACGGCAAAGCCATCGGAAAGGCAGTCAAATGGGGCTTGTCATGGAAACATAATTTTCAGATAGTTGTCATGTCACTTTTCAATGTAGCCTTTGCTGAGGTGACTTCTGGCTCTAGTGCGGAGAGACCAGTCGTTGAGGTCAGTGAACCCATTAATCTTTCGCCATTGCGCATAGACTACTGTATGAGCACACACCCGCGTGAGAGACCAGTGAGAAAGCCTGGAATGACCATCACTAAACAGTATGGGGAGCTCATAATGCAGTCACACTGTACGGGTACCGCTCGGAGGCTACGAAGCCAGTTTCCCGGACTGGCGGCGCTTGTGAACTTCTTTGATGCGGCTGCAGGGCGCCATGCAGCTTCCAAGCCAGCAACGGGTGCTTCTCTCCCGATAGAACTGCTCAGTCTGATTCTAGATTTTGTCGATTATGATACTTGGAAGACATGTTTGACTGCCGCGACTGAGCTTCGCTCATGCTGCCTTCGCAAATACAGGCTTGACGATCGCATGAGCATCATTGCAGGCCCCTTCGTGAGGGTGCAAAGATATCATGGTCAAAATGAACGTCTGCTGTCGTATAATTTTGAAGATGTTCGAACGGGTCAGACCGTTTCAATGATACACCACCCAAATCGCTTCGGGACGGAGTGGAACTGGAGGCCGGTCATCGGCAGCGGCGAGCGAGAGGCACTCCTTTTGGATATAGATGTTCAGTTCGAGCCAGCTAAAGATGTGCCCGTGGAGGTTGACAGCGATGATGAAAGGTCTTGATAGATGACCTATTCAATCGTGGTGAATTAATTTCCATTCCAGATACATAATTCGCGCTTTTCTTTGGTCACCTCGTCTAGCTGCAGGTATCAGAATCATCACAACCAGTATGCACTTCTGTGCATAGGCAAGGTGAACCTCACTCTTGTCGACCGAGCTTACAGCCGGCCCACTGTAAGCTCGGCAAGCCCTTGTCGTCTAGCTGCCCTGATGCGGCGTGCTAGCCTTGAAAAGCAGGAAGAGAGCTGAAGTACTTCAGCTGCTATCTTAGCTCTAACAGCAGTAATAATAGCATGGCAGTAGTGGCAGTTGACTGGCAGCAGAGTAGCAGCATTTGAGAGACGGTCGTAGTGATAGTTGGAGTTGCAGTAGCAATTAAGGTGGAGGCTGTAGCTTTCTATTTTTTTTTTTTTTTTTTTTTTTTTTTTTTTTGTTTGCTAAAGTAGCATTTCAAATAGCAGTTGAGTTGACAGTTGAAATGAGCCCTTTATCCCCTGCTTGAATCCCTCTTACTCACGTCCTACTCCGGGCTGAGACGCATTCATCTACAATGTCGATAAATGTACTCGTCTAACCAGTCCATAGTCCTGATGGCTTCACTCAGATTTACCACTGCATAAGCAAAGTCTTAGGCCGCCAAATCAAAGACTCGATTTGGATAGCCATGAATCCGAACTGGAACTCCTGAGGCGTCACCTATGGGCCGGGTTGTGTACAAGAGGATTGGATTTAGAGCAGAGGGTGCGGGAGAGGACCTTGTGTATGAGGATGAGGAAGATTCAGGAATCGCGATAAGCTGGAGATTTTATTTATGCGTACCTGGGCTGGCCAGTGAAAGCTGTAGTGATAGTGTTGAGCTGCATAATAGAGAGTTGAATTGATCCGATTCGTATATGCACATAATCATATTGAATCAAGTTAAGCACCGGGGACAACGCTAAGCTCTGCGGCGGCAACCCTAAGCTCCTTAGGGCAGGGCCGCTTCCTTGCCTCAAAGAAGGAATTTATGGTCCTCATGTACAATTTGAATCCGATCTTCGTCATGATCTTCTTGCCCTTTTTCGAAAGCTAGACTTATCCGACGCTTGCCAGAAAGAAAATCAACTTCTCGCCCGAGCACCGCATCGGCATGGGCCTCTTCAGTGCCACGCTTGCGATTGCATACATCACAGGGATTCAACACCTCATATACATGACTGGCCCATGTTGCAGCCATCCACTGAAGTGCCTTGCTGGAATGAACATCCAATGATGTCTCCGTTGGACTTCAAACGCCGACTTACGTATTTCTTGTGTGGGCAGGGATCCTTGCGACCGTGTCAGGTACCGAACTTGCTTATTATCGGGCCCCAGCAGGTATGAAGTCGATTGTTCAGGCCCTTTTCAACCTTTTCAGTGCCTTGGGCTCGCTGTTCAGTGTTGGTGCGTCGTGTGCCGCCTATGATCCAACATGGTCATTGTATATGGATCCATCACTGGGCTGCTACTCTTTGTCACTTTTGCGTTCGGGTGTGCCTATCTAGTCAGAGGCAAAGCCTCCAACTGAACGAGAACATCCGTGCTTCTAAGAACGTATCACAAATCGTTATGGCGTCATTACATGATTGAGGAATTGCGATCAGGGTCCCAGTAAAGGAAGGGGGAAAGTTTTGGTAGGATCAGAGTCAAAGACTGTAGGGCATTTCAAATGCACTTGAAAAGACAACGGAAACTGTTATCCACTAGATTTGGGGTGCTAAGTGTTAATGTTATTTATTCTCCGCATCCTGGAGCTGATAGATAGAGATCCTGTAGCTAGCCTGAGTATCAACTACCTAATCTATCTGTTTCTCACTACCTGTGAGCTCGCACCTTGACAGCATCCGCCGTTATCTGGCGATACAGATCTGGCCTGCAGCGTTCAACTGCATCTGGGTGAACCAGGTTTGGCCTCTCCTTCCACAGTCGTCTTCAAACCCCGCCAGGTTTCATCTGTCTACGTACATTTGCCTTGCTTACCAGCCAATGGCAAAATTGCCGTATCCCTTTCATTTCAGCATGTTTGGGTCACGGGGGTTGAGTTGCGGCACCCAGATACGATTGGCACAGGAAACCGGATCCTGGCCTCCAGATGGGGCTCGCCGATCAAGACGGACATGTCAACAGACTCAATCTAGATGCCGAGGGCGATGGAACTTCGGATTGGTGTTACCGATGAGAGAGTCAGAATGGTGGACTACCGAATGGCCGAGAGTAGGTATAAAGTCCGGTGATATATCTCACCATACTTGATCGGGCTTGAGAAGCTTTTTCTTTTGATCTCTCCAGACTTTCGGCCTCCCGTATACGTCGCAGTTTCAGATAAATTGCGAATGCTAGGGATATCTCCTGAAGAATCGTCGTTGTGGTCGTTGCACTCAGAGTTGTCATAAATTTGTTTAACATTAGAATGGCTGTTGCTTTAAATGTAAAAACACAACATTTGGTCTTTCTGCTAATACAACCTGCTCATCCTATCCTTGCGGCCACCCTCAACTTTGTAGCCTGCGAGATAAGCCAAGTAGCTACCGTACGGAGCAACCCCTTGTCATTCGTCATTTCATCGTGCGCCGCAGACGATAGGGAACAGCATGGTTCCATTAGAGCTTTGGCAATGAATTCTTCCTTCGTCATCTTCCCGCTATCTATGAGCGCTTTGCTTTCCTCCATCTTCTGCAAGGCTTCATCATACTTCTCCAACTCCTTGACCTTCCGCGATGCGAATCCCTCAAGCTCTTCTGCCTGGTCATATTCCTTCTCACGCTTCGCCCACTCGGCAGCTCCCAAATGTTGACGGAGCTTTGTAAACGGAAAACTGCAATAGTCATTAAAGCCAGATGAGAGGAGCATGTGCAACCACATGGCCCCAGAGGCTTGCGACCACTTGACAAGACTAGAGAGCTCTCTCTCTTCATAGCCTGGCATTTTTGCCTCTTCCTCCTCCAAGATATGCATAAAGATATCAAGGTACTTCAAGTACCGAGAGGCAATCTTAGGTAGCTCATCACCCTCGCAGTCCCATGCACTATTAACAGGTCTGTCTTGGAGAAGCCACCACGGTGCTGAGCCAAATAGCTGGGCGGGTCCAACATATGACCACTCAAGGTCTACTACCCCAACAACAGTAAGATCTTCTTTGCCACGAACAATTAGATTTGCCAAGCCAAGATCATCGCAAATCAATTTAAATTTGCCATAGTCATACTTCGTGTTGACCAAGTCAGGTATCAAGGTTTTAAGGATCCTAAACGCCACATATTTATCCTTAGCATCGTATTCACCATCGGTCGAGTTTGGCTGGTGAACCAGCTGTTCCCAGTCCTGGTCGACAATCTACTGAAAATACTCGGTTGTCGTTGTAATATTGGGACCTGTGAATTACTAGATCTGGTTAGTTTTGCCGTTCCCGGCCTAGCGCCCCAATACACCGTCATGTAAGCTCTCCCTCCATTGCCCCGACATAAAAAGACCCGACCTCGCCCTTTCTCCTCCTTTTCTCCTCCTTCTCCCTCTCTTCAACTCCTCTATCTTGCAGAGAATCCAAATTTCCTCGGCTTTCTTATCATCTTTTGAATGGATGCTTGTTTCGGGGGAATTTACCCACATCACACTGTAAAGAACCAATATGGCTGGACAGCCTTGCATACCATTGGCTTTGCCGCCCAAATACGGTCTCAGCGCTATCCACCGCCCGCCGGTAATACAGTAGAGCGTTTACAGCATTCCCCTGCCTCTCCCATAGAAGGCCAAATTCCCCAAGCGTGTTCAAGGCAGGGATATAGGTCGAAATTGAGGTCACGCCTAAAACCTTCTCGAGTCCTTTCAGTGCTCGTTCATACATCGCCTGTGCCTCTTCTAGCCGGCCTTGATCCGAGTAGAGGTGCCGATAATGTCCACCCACTTGATATTTAGTTGATGTTCATGTTCCCATCCAAGGTCGTCTCTACTCTGCTGGGACCTTAAGGCTTGGCAGTCCAGAGCCAAACAATTTATTTAGGTGCAACCCGATTTCAGGAAGGGCTAGCGGGTGGGGCCAGTCCAATTTTATACACAAGGAAAGGCGATGTGAAGGTGCCCAAGATATTCTTAAAACAGCAAGCTCCCCGCAGAACTGAAAATGAAAGTACACGTCTTTCTCCATCGTGCACCATTACTTATTCATTCGAAATGAGCTCAGACCCTTGCGCAGCGTGTAGCTGGACCACTGAACGCCAAAATCATTGCAACTACCAAAGCTACCTCAAACTGTTCTATGAAGCAGGCGACCGAGGCGTCTGGTCGTTGGGCTCAAAATTGATATTGAAAGATCGAGGTGCTAGCCTTCCGACCTTCGAGGCACCAAATATTCAATTTGTGCAGGAACAGACATCTATTCCTGTTCCCGCTGTTGTCGAGTCTTGGGAGGAAGACGAACACACCCTCATATTAATGCGACGCATCCCCGGCGAACCCCTCAGCGAAGCTTGGCCGAAGCTCTCCACGGATGAAAAAGAGAGGATAGCAAAGCAGACTGCTGAGTATCTACAACAACTTCGCGCGCTCCAGTCTGATAAAATTCAATCTCTTGGCGGCCGTCCGGGTTTTTCAAACTTCCTGTTCAAAGATAAAGATTCCGAGACTCCTCACGGTCCTCTAGCATCCGATGATGATCTCTGGGACGATATGGAACAGGGACTGAAAGAGACGATCCCCGAGGCTGCACGAACACGGCTTCGACATTGCATGCCTTCCGCTACGCCTTACACCTTTACGCACGGAGACCTCACTAATGTGAATATCATTGTTGACAATGGCTCCCTTACCGGCATAATTGATTGGGAGATGTCTGGATACTTCCCAGTGTGGTGGGAATATGTGTGCACCTCGGTTCCTGATAGCGAGGAGGACAGGGAGTGGAAGGCGTTGTTACGAAAATACATGCCTGATCATAGCGCTGCCCGTGAATTCTGGCTGGACTATTATTATCTTTGCAGGGATCCCGGCAGTGACAGAGCTACGAAGTTCATGGAGAAAGAAAGAAGTGAGGCCCGTTAGGAGGCGTGTAACCTTACTTCTTCAAATGGGTGGGATTTCGTATTGGTACATCAAACACTTCGTCTCTCTATTATCGTGCCTGACACGTAAATTTTCTGGGTGGGAAATTCAATTTCTATTATCGAAGACTGCTCGGCAATAGTGATTTGAATAAATCCTTCGATGAGACGGTTAGGCTTGAAAGGATAAGGAAATGCCGAAAGAGTGAAGACATATTTTCAAAACCGGAACCGCACACTAAAACGAGTGGCAAAGAGCCAGCCGAGAATTCCCAAATATCACATTGAACGCAGAGAAACGCGGAGACTCGAACTGAGAGAAAGACGGCCCGTTTCTCGAAGTACTTGAACACGGCACAGCTGTTACTCTTGCGTGTGACTGAGAGTAAAGAGTATTTCCTCTATTCGATAAGCTTAAGGTATTGAGTAAAAAGAAGGAAGCATACCAGGAGTTCAAATCAATCCTCGAGATCGACGGTTAGAGCTAGGACTCTTTCATTGCCTTGGGCAGCTGAGCACCACAACTCTCGCAATTGTCCTTGTAGGTAGGGTTATTGTGGTTGCACTTGGGACACTTCATGGCTGATTCTTGCGATGGAGGATGAAGCAAAAGAAGAAATGAGGCAGACGCATTCATGGAGCAGCGTACATCTTACCACGATACCCACAATCGCCTTGTGACCATTTTCCTCCGAAAGCTGGAGTATTATCAAGGAATTCTTTTCCTGACTTCAAATCGGGGTATCCAATTTGATGACGCAATTCTCAGCCGGATCCATTTGATCACTGAGTATGAGAATTTAACGAGAGAGTTTCGCAGAGATCTCTGGTCAACTTTTCTGTCCAAGGCACGTACGATGCAAGGACCTGCCGTTGTCAAGGAGCACGAACTTCGACGATTGGAGTCTTTACCTCTGAATGGACGAGAGGTGGCATCTGAGCGCTGACCTGAACATCTCACTTGCTGACCACTCATGAACCAGATCAAAAACATCGCAGCAATTGCACACTCTCTGGCTGAGGCTGACATCGACCAGGTGAACTACAAATACTTGGAGTTAGCCGCCGAATCAAATAAGAAATTTTCCAAGGAGTTTGGCAGGGAGAGGACTGCTGATGGAATGTATGTCTAACCGCATACCTGGGAAAGTGATGTGGATATTTTCGTTCTCCAAGGTTGTCGAGTGGTTGGGCGTTTATCGCAAGATTTTCGGTTAGTACATGACAGTCCATAATATCGGTCGTCAAGCTTCTTAGTTGATCAATGTTTTTCATATCGTTCATGGTATCACATAAAGTCAAGTCCGAGAGGTCGAATTATGACCAATTAGTGATTGTCAAGTCGACGCGTATAGAACCGTATATCACCTGAGGCTAGTAGGTGCAGCAGAGAAGCGGGCATCCAGAAAGATAATAGGTAGGAACTCGGACCGATCCGTGAGGCCAGAAATGCTTCATATTTAGTTATCATGCATAATTGGTCACGTCACACGAAGACATTTGGAGTCAACTATCTCTGATTGATCTAGTCGCCGTTTTATGGCTCGCGGCCGTCGCAAATTCGGTCGGCATTTCAATGAGGAGCGGTGAAAGTCAATGAGTAAAGCTCGCCCAAGTTCTTCATTCCACAAGACATTGTCACGCCGAAGGTCTCCGTGGATGATTCCCAGAGCTCTGATTTCCTTGTTGTTTTTTTGAATCTCCTGCAGAAGCGTAGGCGTCAGATCCATCGATGCCGTACTCTCTTCCCCCCGGCCCATCACGAGCATATGGCGAATCTCTCCAGCCCCATGAAGGAAATAAATTTTCGCCAAGTCGATCTTACCCAAGAAAACAAGCACAGCGGACCCTTGCGCCTTCTGCAGAATCCGGTATACCTCCGCTTCGCGGGAGACCTCTTCCCACAGCCCGGATGTGGTTCCTTTTCCGATGACAGATATCTGGAAATCGCCGCGGAGTCAAATGAGAGACTTTCGGAAGAGTTCAGTCGAGCACGTTGCGTTGAGAATATGTACCTCTAGGGCAGCTGAGTCGGTCTTTGTGATCTCTCTACGCAGTATAGGTCAGTACACGACGACAGTTTGGGATGTCTCCAACCCACGTAATGGAATATAATGACTAAGAAGTTTTTCATTCCCAACTTGAGTATCTTGGCGATTGTCAAATTATAGTAGATAGTCCTCACCAAGTGAACACGATGCGGAAAAGGTTTCTAGTCCTAGAGCGGCCGGTTCAGTGGCAGCGCCAAAATAGAAGCGCACAATCCAGGTCAACCCTATGATCTAACAGCACAGATACCCCGAGTCAGCTAGCAGTTGACTCGTGGATCTGTGGAATGGCATGTGCAGACAGTTGAGCTGGACAGGAGGCTTTGCCCTGCTTTTCCTCCGTCCGAAGGCGATGAGCACTCCGCGAGTTTCCAGATGTTGGTTGCAGAGTTCGACGACGCTTCAACCATCTCACGTCCTCCAAGTCAATGACAATCAAACGCCCACTCAGGTCGTTCCAGAGCATATTGCGCCACTCGCTGTCGCCGTGGATAACTCCACACGACCGGAGCACGGCTAGTGCTTTCTCACGCTCTTGGTGAAAGAAGCTGGAATTCCGATCATTGATGACATTCTGAAGCCGCATTCCAGACCAGCTCAAAACCATCATCTGGGCCATCAATTCGCCGTGGTACCAATATGCAATGCGAGGCTTAAAGACCCCAAGGCAGACAGGGATGCATTGTCCTTGCAAGCTCCCGAGACGGTGATAATTGTCCACCTCCGCCTGAAGGCGATGCTGCTTCTCCACGGTGGTGGCTTTAATGATCACAGTGTATCCACGTGAAAGAAGGGTGGCTTTCATGAGGTAGCCTGTCCTACCACAGACATGCAGCTGTTCGAACCCAAGGTTTCGGTCCCGTACAAGCTGACGGTGAAGCTGGCGTATGAACTCCTGCGGCCCTAAGGAGTGACGTTGGGTACCGTGGAGTTTCCAGTTGGGACATTTTTTATCCAGAGGGTCTCGGTTGACTATCCCACGTATGCAGGCAATAGTACAGTATGGTCGTGTAGAATGCCCATCTTTTTGAGAAGTCTGTTTGTTGTCCCGGCCGGCTCTTGTCCGTTCCCTTCCCCTAGTTGATTGACGGCTGTTTCCTCGGCTGCGGCTCGATCGGCTGCGTGACGCCGCTGCAGTAGATGGAGAATGCGATTCCTCCCCACTGCTGCTGCCTTCAGTCGACGAATGCTTCGGTGTAGATGCTCCGGGCTGACAACGGGAGCGAGCGTGGGAGCGTGTGTTGTGTATCTTCCGATCTCGTTTCCGCTCCCGTTTCCAGTGAGAGGGCCGATAGTTAGACGACCTCGGGTCTTTGCGAAGAGTCTCGGGGATTTCCTTCAACACATCGAGATATTCGACCTCCCAGGTCGTTAGCTTGGCGTCTGCCACATCGTGCCACTCTTGAGAGGGAGCTTCTGCGGCCAGCGCTTGAAGGGTGAAAGCGAGCACCTGCCCGATGGCGGTCCGGTGGAGGCGCAACTCATCGTCCGGCTGCACATCTTGATTCGGGACGCACAAGAAATATTGAACAACCGTTGGATCATCTTTCGGGATATGGAGAAAAACAAAGGCCTCCCCTGTGCAGATATAGCCGTATCGAACTCCACTGTCGATCATGTATGAGAATATCTGAGTGACCACGGCGGCGACAAGGCGGGTAGCATAAAATTCAAATGTGTCGCCTTCTTGGCCAATGACATCGCGAGCCAAATCCATCTGGTGTAAACCCGCCATCAATTCGGGGATTGTCACCTTGTGCGGCGCTTTGAACTCCACTGCATACACTGGTATTTGTCGTTCATCAGCCACAAGGTGCACGCAGAACTGGTCGGCGCGCCGATTGCGTCTTCGCACAGTGCCATCCCCCTTCTGTCTCTGCGCCGCTCCAATCCCCCTTCCCCTGCCTCTTCCATTCTTAGTGTTCGCCAGTCGTTGGGGTGTGCGCACATCCTGAAGACTCATTTGCTCCAGGCTATTCTCCAGTGAGGTCTCCGATGGGATGGCGCGATCATAGAAGGTGACTCGGCCCTCGATTCCAAACTCGCGTCGAAGGGGTTGATCGTCTCGCAACGCGTTCACGACCTTTTCGACAAAGTTATCCACCGTGTCTCGCTCGAAATTCCGAAGAGAGGCTTCGGAATAGATTGGCATGTTCTTGATATTCGTAACAACATAATCGATTTGGTTATCAGAAGGGAATATTGGGCGCGAGGTAAAAGAAGCAGTGCGGTCGAATTTCTCCCAGACTTGTTCCTGTAGTTGGGGAAAGTCGAGCCAAGGGACGACGTGCTTGGGGTAGAGTCGATTTACGGGGTCGGCCGCGTCGCCCTGGGTCGTGAGGGTCGCATCCGTCTCAACTTGGATCGCTCGGGACAGAGAATGGTGGCAGCGATCGAGGAGGCGCAATAATGTATTGTTCTGAAGTTGCCCTTCCGCCTTCTCTCGCGCTTTTCTCTCTTCTTCTCGCGCCTGTCTCTCTTCGTCTTCTCGGCGCTCTGCTTCTTCTCGCGCTTTTCTCTCCTCTTCTCGCGCCTGCCTCTCTTCTTCCAGTTGACGTCGTAGCTCAGCGATTGTTTCTTCCATCCCTTGTCGAAAACTGTTTTCAGCAGATAATCAAATGGCCCAGAATGCAAGTCAACGGAGCAAAGCGGTCGCCGTCTAACACATGGAACCAACTGTTAGGGGAATGCGCACCTGAATGTTTACCAGCTTACTCTCACTGTGGGTCGAGTTGTTGGTCGGAGCGTAGGGAGGTGGGGAACCGGAGCAGGATAATCTATATAGCCGATGGGATTAGTCATGTTATGTCCACTTCAATTGCAAGCTAGCGGCCAACTGTTGCTATTCCTACTGTGTGGCCCCCTCTGCTCCGGCAGTGGTTTCCTGCCGAGTTTTAGTCCCTCTTCGACGCTGTACGCCGCTTTAAGCCTCGTACCTAGACTGGCAGTCAGTGACTTGGAGCTCTTCTTTGCAAAATTCATGAAGTACAGTCACCGTGTACAGGGTCATTATCTGGCAACAGTCGCAAGGCCCAGCTTTTCGTTACCCAGTCAAAACGCGCCTTGTACAAGATATGTCGCATGATGTAGCTGTGTAAAGCTGGTAGTCAGCGAAAGTCCTTATGATGCAGGGAGGATTGGCTTACATCTCTGGTTGTTTGTCTGTTGGCGAAACACGACTGGGTGCTCCAGGCTTTAGAGGTTAGAACTCATGCAATCATTTCAGGAACCTTATGGTAAAGGACTAAAGGGCGTACCTGACCTATCTGAGTCGGTAAGTTGCTTGTCAGGAACTGAGAAACTCGGAGTGGTCAGTATATCTGTCAGTAGCCAAGGGATACAGCTTGCACATACTCCGTCCGTATCGGGGTATGATGTTTATGTATTCACAGCGGGAAGCAACAAGGCAAATGATATGACATTTCAATCATCTGTAGATTGAGAGACAGAAAGCATGAGAAAGTTCATTGGTATTTATAGCAAAGATACCTTGAGATAGACGCAACATGACCACGCTAAGTGCCCTCAATTTTGGGAGACCGAGAAGCCCCCGCAAGAATCAGAGGGCCGGTGAGAATTCTGCACCCCGCAGAAACGCATATTTCCCGCACAATTGAACCCCTCACAATTGTGTTTCACGAGCTTGGACTATCGTATCACTAAGCTACACTGACTGTATTACTTTGACCCGGTCGACGCTCCGTGTCGGAGCGTAAGGGAACCCGGGAGGATAGGGCTGTTCGGCATGCCGCCTACTTGCCCGGCACTTCAACGGTCATCAATCTGGTATTCTAGTAATCTTCTGTCACGTACCTCTCCACCAGTTCCCTAACTCGCCACTTTCACCACTACTGGGGCCTTCAACGTGCGAGCCCGCATGTTTTAGCCGCGGTCCTGGCTAAGGAAGTAGCCCCGGTAAACATCTGGTTAGTCAATGACCGTAGGAATGACTACGCTCATTACTTGCTCCTGGGACTACTACGATCGTTCCTCGGAGGGTCTGGGCTAATGCTAGGAAGCATTCCTCAGGCTCTAGAGCTCCTAGAGCCGGGCAAACAGTTCCTGGAGCCAAACCAGGTGTCGACAGGAACTGAGACTACAGTTGGTGAAAGCCATAGATGGACAATGTTTTTCCCTGTGCCCCGAAGGTTAGCACTGGGAACCGTCCTGTCTGTCTCTGGCAACATGAACAACCTCTCCTGGGAGAAATATTGCTCCTGGAACTCTAGATAAATGATGAACCCTCCAATTTGAAAAATACACGAGATCGAACCAGCAAAGTAAAGAACGGCCCAACATCTCTGAATCCACTACTGTCCACCTTTCCTGAATCCCCTTTCTGCACCGGCTGCTGACTTATGCAGAAGATATTGTTCCTTTCGTGGAGCAGCTCTAATCATCTCTTCAAACGGTCTAATCGTCCGGAGAGCTCGAACTGTCACCCTCCACATCAAGAACGGCTTTTCACCTTTCCGCTCACTCATGAGCTCCCAGTCAAGGCAAACATTGGAATCTTCACCAGGGCGCGATACACTCATCAGGTTGAGTGCTCCAGTGACTGTGGAATAGTTCAACCAGAGACTTTCTTCAGGACCAGGCACACCATACGTGACGTTGCAGGGCGCTGAGTAGCGAATCATCCCAGCAAAAACTCCAAGAAAATCCCCTTCCTGGACTGGTATGATGGGGCAGACAGAAAAGAAATTCTTTCCTTTGGGCAGTATGGTGACAAATATAGACTTATTTCTCATCCCCTCTGCCCCAGAATGGAAGTCTAGAAACCCACCAAATTGTGCAAATGATGGTTGATGCGGCGTTCGCGATTGAAAAGTAATAGCTTCCTCGTTAGAATGCCACGGGTTACTCGCACTGTCCCACGCAGAATCTGGAAGCTTTAACCTCTCCGCCACATTGGGCTCACTGAGCCATAGTCATCCCGTGAGATCACCCATACTCTCTTGAGTTACCCGGCTTCCCAGCTGTTTGATCTGCAAACCGTACATGTCTTCCCAGCGTCGAACCATCTGTACCAGGGACGTCCCCCCGTCTTCTGACGGATAGGTCTTGCAAAAGCGGTCAAATTCCTTAGTCCGATATAGGAGAATCTTGTCAACGCCCATTTTCCGCATCTGGCAAAGCCTCTTCCAGAAAAGGCGGTACTGACGCTGGTTAGCAAGGCTGAGGCCATAACCCGCTTCTCTCATGAAGCGCTCGGTCGCAACCTTCTCGGAAATTGTGAACTCATCAAGAGGCCCTTTCGGCGTTGGCAGACTCTTCGGATCAAGGAGGTCTGCACCTTTCTCTATGATCTCCCAATAGGCCGTTTCGTTGTACCGAGTCTGGATGTTCTTGCTGGCTGAAAAGGCGTTTTCTTGCTTGATCGCTTGGATGGCATCGGAGTAGTCCAGCTGGATAATTTCATCGACGAAGCTTTGAATAGTCTTGACCTTGGTTGTCACAGTTGTCTGTACAGATCGTTGCCCATACCTTCCCAGCCGATCGTTCAACCGCACACAATTGATGAGTATATTCTCCAGGATACTATCTGGCACCCTGTTCAGAACCGTTTCGATCCCTTGGATGTTCACGGGGACGCCTGGTTGGTTGGAGAGCGCCTGAAGCTGGAGGCAGGGGGAAACCTCCGCTAGTTTCTCACTCGTCGAGGGTTGCGGGAGAGGAGCACCGCCTTCTTGAGTTACCACAGCGTCCTTTTCCTTCTGCGTATTATCATTCGCTACATGGCCACCCTTACAATTATCCTTGCGTTTCCTTTTCTTCTTCGTAGATGGCCCATCTAGCCCGGTGTAGTCTGGTCTGCTTCGTTTATCTGATGTCGACAAGAATCGATATGACCCACGCTTTTCATTCGCCGCTGCGTCAGGGATCGGGCTGTGTCGGGGTGTAAGTATCGGCGGTGGATCTGTAAGTCCTACCTGCAGTCTTTGATCATGGACTTCGATGCATCAGCATACAAGCTTTTCTACACTGCGACTCGAGAGCTCACCAAAACTGGAAATGGCGAGGATATGCTGTTTGATGGGTTCATCGCTACAGTCACCAATCCCACAAAACACTAGCAGTTCATGGATCTTCCCTGCAGTTAGAGATTGAAAGACTTCCTCCATACTTGCCTTGTTCAGTGGAAGTCGGGAAAAGAGGAAATGGGGGAGGGGAGGGGGGAATCGAGGATAGACCATTCTCATGCAGAGGTTGCACTGATCCCGAACAGGTAGGATTGGAGCCTAGAATCTGCCTCCCAAAAGTGCGACCGAAACAAATGGAAGTTTGAATGTGCAAAAATGCAGAACCTGAGTGTGGAATAGAAACCAAAGCTCCAGTGAGACGATTCTTGGCCCATGTTCATGACGTATTACTATTAGTCAGAAACCACACCCCCACTTGTATAGTAGCTTCCCCAATCGGGATCAGCAGGTTTAAAGGTCCAGTTAGGGAAGGTGTTCGTGCCTGTCCAACCAGATACAAAGACCACCATCCAACACCAACTTTTAAGTTTGCCTGATCACCCGCCATCATGTTCTTGAGTTGACCTAAACGTTGGCCCAACGTTGAAGTGCCTTTTCTGTCTCCAAATCCGTCAACTTGATTGTTAATTGGTTATTCCCGTTTCGGTTTCCAGAGCGCTCGCAGCTCCCAGGAATAGAGAGTCTCGAAACCACGCTAGCCTATATGGACGATGGTCCGACGATGCACTTTCCAGAGCACGAACATGACGGCCCAAGACAATACCGAGAACTCGTTGAAGATTGCTGTCAAAGAACCAATGCAAGTCGCGAAGGTGGGCTCATTAATACAAGGATCCCTTGGGTTCGATTGAATGGTTCTGCATCTCGAATACGTCTATAAGAAAAATAATATTTAAAGATAAAAATGGCGGAGATTATTATTAAACGGTGTCGCTTTCGTAGAGACTGGTGTTCTGGCCCATTTCTTCGCCTGCATCACGTGCATCTCCCAACGTGTCGACATCCCCCAAGAATTTTCTCAAGCACTTTGGTCTTACGGCGTACTGTCTCCTTCCCCCAGCGATGACTTTGTTGGTGCCTGTGGTGCTGTTCAGGACCTCTCAGTATTGATTCATCGATCCTTTGTCGACAGCGAATTACTCAAAGTGGCTGGTCGGTCGGGTCGGTCCGGCCCAGCGGCCAGGCGGCAGATCACTTCCACCGCGGCATGCGCTAAATAATGCTAGCTTTGAAAAAACCATTGTCTCTATGGGTCGGACGCCCAAATTACAGTATACCATTAGAACTTGTGTATGCTCCCTCTGAAAATACTGACAGTATTCTAGATCTTCACACCGTAACAGCCAGTCTAGCAGTCGTTGGCCATGGCTTGCTAGAGACCCAAGGTTAATTTGATTATATAATGTACTTCCAATCTGGGCTTAGTGGCACTTTGGACACTGCCACCGCGCAAGTTGGGACTGTTTGTTGAGTGGAGTGCGTTCAAAGGGCCTGCCTACATGCTTTTCACCTTTAGGGTTTTTTTTTCTGTACTGGACCCTTTACTTTGACTACTTATTCTATGTACAACCCCCGCCATGAGATCTGCCATTGAAGGAGCCGGTTCTACTCTCATTATTATCACAAACGCCCCCGGAATCCCTGTCCACGCCCCCTCGGATACCTGGCCGATTGCTGCATCGGTCCGCTCAATTGTCTCATTCCTTGCGTTGCCCTTTGTGGCATTCTGATAGTTGCCTGGGCCACTGTACACACTGTACACACTGTGACTGAGCTGTACTTTTTTGCGGTGTTCATGGACTGGCATCGGCAGCAGCAATAGCCTTGTTTGTCGGGACCGTCCCTTTGTTGACCAAGGACCTTGACAAAATCGGTACTCGAGTTGGAATGGCGCTTACCATGATCAGCTTTGGCCCGTTGACTGGTCCGTCCGTGGCGGGGACATTGATAGCACGCACGCTACTGGAATTGAGAGAAGCTGGTAAACAAATAGGAAAAAGGGTACACGGATCCGAACTCGATATTGGACACTTTTTACGCGAGACTGTAGAGTCTCCGGTTGCCTCAATTATCGAAGAGTGGGAACGTGACTTTCGAAAACCATGCCAACACACTGACGGATGAATCTAGAATAGTCACAGACATGAGCTCTTTGAGTTTGGAGCAAGAAGGACCTCGTCGCTCAGAGCGCCTGGCGAGACGGTCGAGAGACACCTCTAGATCAACTTCACGGATGAGAAGAGAAATGACCGCACAGCCACGCCGCGCTCGTCCGTGCGCGGACCAGTTCTGCGTTTATAACAGCGGACTCGATGAGAAGATTCCATCTTTTCTCATCGAATACAAAGCCCCGCATAAGCTGTTTCTCGCCCATATCAAAGCCGGACTGCAGGATATGGAACTTGACCGCATCATTCAATACCAAAAAGACGAGTCACCGGAGGACATCTGCCGCCGTGTTGTCGCCGCAGTGATTACACAGCTCTCTCACTACATGTACGAAGGCGGAAATGAGTACGGCTGCGTGGCCACGGGCGAAGCATTCATATTCCTTCAAGTGCCTCATGATAGTCCTTCGACCATCCTATACTATCTATCAGTACCGAAAGAAGATGTTCGCAACACCACTGGTTGGCCCAGAGGTGGCAATCGGCTACATCTAACCGCAGTCGGCCAGCTGTTAGCTTTCACCCTGCGAGCTCTGCGAACTTCTCCACGGGATATGGAAAATGGTATATGATGACCTACTGGAGGAAATCGAGGAGAAGGACATTCCTGCTTCTGACTACAAACCACCGCCCAGCCGAACGAATTATTGCCGCCAGTCCCCAGTGAAGACTAGGTCAAAATCTGTGATGGCCATTTCCTGTGAGCCATCGCAAGAATCACGGTTATCAGATCATGAAGATGAGGCTGATGATAGCTCCGATCCACCCACTCCCAGCCAAGCACCCTGTGACTCTGGGTTTCCTCAGCGTCAAGCTACAGCCGCCACAACCTGAACCACTACCAGGTCACAACAACCGGCCTTGAAAGGCAAGTCTTGAAAGTATTGTACGCAACAATGCCTTCATATCCTGTGCTGGAAGGGACCACTGGATACGAAGTGTCCCAATGCGAGCGAGCACGGAATCAATTGACATCTACTTAACACCAAAACGCTTATCAAATTATTGGATCGACAGCTCTCCGATGACCCTGACCCCAACTCAGAGCTTGGATTCGAATCACTTCATGTACACGGCACACGTGGGGCTCTTTTTAAAATTACTCTCTGGTTGCATGGGTACACCTTTGTTGGAAAAGGTGTTCCGATCGACTTTGTCGAGTGTGCCAGGCAGGAGGAGATGATGTACTCCCATCTCTGTGCGATTCAAGGACAGTGCGTCCCAATCGTATTGAGCGGTCTCAATCTTCGTTGACTGTTTTCATACGATGTATCACCATGATGGTTCGCTTAACTCTGATGAGCTATGCTGGGAGAAACCTGGCCAGACAATACAAAATCAATGAGACGCAACTCACTGCACAGGCTGAGGCGTCTTTACATGCCATTCACCATCTTGGTGTGCTCCACAGCGATCCAATCCCGGAGAACATGATATGGAATGAGGAGAACCAACGGGTGATGTTCATTGATTTCGAGCGCGCCAGCTATTAAAAGAGAACACCATTGGGCTCTATTGTAGCCAATCAAAGACAGAAGCAAGCGGCTAGCATCTGGGATAAAAGCCCAAATAAGCGACCTGATTTCTTTAACCGGGAATTGTCACGTATGAGGTCTGAACTACGATCTTGAAGGGACTTCATAGCTTTTAAGCGAGCTGAGGAGAAACATTCAGGCCCTGAAGTATAAGATTTAAAGCTACCCTGAAAATAAGAGCCCTCTTGAACATGTCAGGCAAGTTATTGGTCGAGTGGTTCATGTCTTCTGTCACCAATAGCCAGATTGTGCGAACAAGCTAGCCATACACCACAATCCACATATAATAGGGGAATGATTTAATATCCCAATGGCTTAACTGCTACTTGAACAGGAGAACAGGTCACGCTTCCTCAGGCTCTTCAGGACTATATCCGCAGTATTAGCTTTGATTGAAAGATAAATAATAAAGGGGAAGAAAGGCTTCGCCTACAATTGCCATCTCAAAGTTGCTGCCCGGGCATAATGAATCAATTTCATATCGCGTTTTTCATCATCTGTCAACTGCATCATTGATTCCACGGCTGCTATAAGTGGCTTCTCATAGGGCTCATCATAAGGACTCATGCACGGAAGCGCCGCAAGTTCGTAGAACCGTGGATAAAACCCAGCATGGGCCCAATCAAGAAGATAAATAGATTTTTTATCTTCTCCAAGTATCATATTGCGACGAACTAGGTCCATATGACAGAGGACCAGCGGATATGGACTTAGATCAATAGAGTCATTTCTCAATGACAGACGCCTGTTGAGATAACGATTCAAATGGGCAATAGACACAAAAGGCTTATCCACACCATCATCACCCCAGAGATACCCCTGTGGACCTTTTTCGCCGATTGGACCTGGCTTTTGTCCATGTTTTATTTGTCCGAGGTGAGCAATGATATGGGTGATGCGGGGTATAATATCTGTGTGAACTGTGAGGTCCAAATCCGATAGTTTCTGGCCAGGAACATAGTCCATAAATAGAAAACCTCTCCCTAATTCATCCTGGAAAAAGCGATAAACCTGAGGTACTCGAACAATGTTATGATTCACATTCTTGTAAGCGAATTCTTGCATTGCTGCTTCAGTGGCGGTCACACTGTATCCCCATTTGACAATGATGGTAGGAGAGACTTTGACCACTATTGCGCCTATGATGTCGGCAAATACGGCACCTTCCTTTCCTCTCTGGATGCAAAAACGAATCAGCTCCTCACTGCTCGCTGTTGTAACATGCAAATCCATCACATATAGAAGCACTAGGTAGAAGTTAAGTCTTGTAAATAACGTTGAGATAGCGAGATCACCATGTCTGATTGAGGCGTGGCGCGGCTAGCTTTAAACTTAGTCAGCGAATATTGTAACTAACGTAATTCCCGACCGACCTGGCCACCCCCGTGAGCTCCCTCCACCACATCAAAATCAATATTTTTCAAACATCCACCATGCCACGAAAAAAGCCTATTTCATCAAAAAAACACACCGAGCAAGAGGGGAGGATCCTATTAGCAATCCAAGCTTTGAAAGAAAATCAGATTTCATCTGTACGACAAGCTGCAGTGGTTTTCAATGTTCCTAGATCAACACTCCAATCAAGACTTCAAGGACATCAATTTCGCTACGACGGGCCCAACAACTCATCTAAATTGACAGAATCACAAGAGAAATCGCTTGTACAATGGTATGGATTCACGTGGAGCAAGTCCTCGGCCTATCCATATACGAGAGATGGGTAATCTTCTTGTGGGTCAAGATAGCAAGCTTCAACTGGGAAAGAACTGGGTATCTACTTTCATTCAACGTCATCCTGAGCTGAAATCAGTCTATTCTAGACGATATGTTGTAAAGGGGGGCGTACGTGCGTTGTTCCCTGCGACAGGAACCGAGTTGTGATCGAGGGATCTCAGGAATGGACACACTGAACAATCTAGCAAAACGATATAACGATAAACGAAAACACAACGACGAAGGAGCCTCGCTCCGCTCTATACGACGATAACGATACTAGTGAAGCAACCTAGAAACCAAAAGAATGCTCTCTTTTTCGTAACTATCTGGGAGGGAACCCTCCATTAAGTACTCCGGCCGTGGGCTCCACCATACATTAGTATGTCGGAGTCGGCGGTTCTACGGTGTTCCAAGATAGGAAATATGGGAGATCCGGGGTTTCGCAGTGCCCCCGGCACAATGTTTATCAGCGAAAACCTTCCCCTGGTGGTCCGTGTCAGGGCCCTTGCCATGTAGACCAGGACGAGCACGTGAGCTTCCTTACTTGGATTAGCGTGGCGCGTGGATAGGAGTACGTCGTCCAGCTTCACGTAGATCTCTTCCTTTTTCCTTCCTCTCCATGCTTGAAGTTCTCGTCGATAGCTGCCTAGATAGCTGAATAGCATCCTATTCATCGTCTAGTTGAGCTCCGTGACAGTCCGTGGTGATATCAACCGCCCTGACATTCACTATCTGGTCCAAGCACACCCCCCTAGGCTCTCTGGCGCCCGCCGCTTCCAATATCTTTTGAACCTGATCCGTGATGCACGCCAGGCTGGGCAGATCCCCCCTAGGGGTCAGGTGATCATCTACCTTCCCTATAAGGGCATGGTGGAGGAGTTCCATCAGGCCTATCCCCAGGAGACTGCCTATTTCCATGCCAGCATGCCAGAGGAAGACAAGACAAGGCAGGTGGAGAGCTTTGACCAAGGGCAGAAGCTCGTGCTCCTTGGGACAGCTGCCATCGGGGAAGGATATGACTTTGCTCATACTGCCATGGTCATTCACTGGGGGACCAGGTGGGGCATCAGCCAGTTCCTTCAAGCTACAGGGCGTGCGGCGCGGGGTGCTGGGGAGATTGGCTGGTCATATGCCATCATCCCCCCCCTCTCTCAGCCATTCCCAGCGCCAGCGGGTCTGGAAGAACAGTTTTTCCATGAGTATCTGCAGGCACAGGTCTGCCGGCGGTCCCTAATCAATAGGGAATTCAATGGTCGGGCTACCCAGGGGTGTTTGGCGCATGAGAAGGCATGTGACCTGTGCCAGGCCCGGCAGGGAGAGCTCCACGCAGTTGCTACCCAGGCTAGGGCAGTCCTCAGGGAGGGTGATGGCCTTAGGCGAAAGCTGACTGCCTATGTGGAATTTTTCCTTTTAAAAATCCTATAATTTCTATCTTTAATACCTCTCTTCTCTCTCTATTCTCCTATTATTTTTCTTCATTTTTTAATTATTTTATTCTTATACACATCTTCTCTAATATCACTTAATATTATTATCCCTAACCACTTCCTTCTTTAATTATAAAAAATCATCTTTTTTATATTTTATTTCTCATATATATCCTATTCTTAACCCTAACCATTTTATCTCTCTCTCATATTATTTCTTTAATCTTTCTTAATCATTCCTAATTTTCTTTCTTTTTTATTATACTTAATTCCTATACTGTGCCGGGGGCACTGCGAAACCCCGGATCTCCCATATTTCCTATCTTGGAACACCGTAGAACCGCCGACTCCGACATACTAATGTATGGTGGAGCCCACGGCCGGAGTACTTAATGGAGGGTTCCCTCCCAGATAGTTACGAAAAAGAGAGCATTCTTTTGGTTTCTAGGTTGCTTCACTAGTATCGTTATCGTCGTATAGAGCGGAGCGAGGCTCCTTCGTCGTTGTGTTTTCGTTTATCGTTATATCGTTTTGCTAGATTGTTCAGTGTGTCCATTCCTGAGATCCCTCGATCACAACCCGGTTCCTGTCGCAGGGAACAACGCACGTACGCCCCCCTTTACATATTGGCGTCCCCGGGAAGGCCTACGCTTGTTGGCGCTTGCGAACTTCGCTTTGGGTTCTAGGGCGCGTGGGAAGCACCCTGGCTAGGGATTCTTGGGAAAATAATCAACTGAGAGGCTTTTCCCGGAGAGATTGGGACACGGGAGAGTGCGGGAGTGGTGAAAACTCTGAATTCAGCTAAGTTAGCAGTTCCACGGTTCTGTCACGGCGTTCCGTCGGTATTGCCTACTTTGGTAAGGAGATGTCGTCAGAGAGCGACCGCTCGGAGCATCGGCCTCTCCCGGTGCATGTGGAACAAGGGAGTCCACTTCTTACACCGGGCGATGCAAAGGGAATACCGGCGCCGGCCGCAATGCCCACTACTCCGAGCTTGTCTGGAATGTGGCAGCCGGAAGGCATGCCGATGTTGATGATGCAGATGTTGGAGAAACTGTTGGGGACACCCAGAGGTCTGCCGTTGCGAGGAACTTCTGGAGCCCCAACATTCAATGGTAAGGAGGTCAGTGAATTCTTGAGGACCTTACATTCGTTGTTTAGGAACCATGGAATCACGCGAGAGGAGGACAAGATAGGTGCCCTGTGTGATTATGTATCAGTAAGTGTGTGTGAGTGGGTAGAGAGTCTCCCTGAATATGAGAGGAAGGACTATGAAGGATTGGAGAAGCGGCTCCTAGAGGAGTATCGGGACCAGGATTCAGCACAGGCCAAGCTCAACATAGGCTGGCTTAGCAGGTTTGTTGCTCAGAAACGGTCAACAGATGACAACTTGACCAAGTATGTTCGCGAATTTAGCAACGTCTCTGGTGAACTGATGCGCCGAGGCCAGCTGGTGGAATTCTTGAGAACAGAGATGTTCCTGCAGGGTCTGCCGGAGGAGGTGCAGGTTGAAGTGGTAAGGAGGGCGAAGATTAGCCCTCAGAAGTTCGAGACTATGAAGTTCGCAAGGGCCCGGGAGGCAGTTGAAGAATATCTGGAGGAAGTGGCTGGATTAAAGTTAATTCGGCAGGGTCGTGAAGGGAAGCATGTGAACTTCGCAGGGGAAGTGTCAGCTGCGCATAGCTTAGTAGTTGTGCAGCCAGATGGGCGAGTCCCAGATGAACAACGACAGCCAGAGGACAGAGAACCAGTGTCTACAGGGAAGCGGCAGGTGCCAAGAACAGCCCCAGGAACGAGACACCAGGAAACGCTAGATGACCTGGCTGAACGGATGAGGAAAATGGAAATCAGCCTCATGGAGTTGAGACAGAACGACTTCCGAAGACATGGGCTAAATGACATACCCAATCGACGGGGGTATGTGCCAATCGTGGGTGACCAATGCCGGTTCTGTCTGGAAACGGGTCACACCAACATACGGGGGACATGTCCACGGTACCAAGCATTGGCTGCCCAGGGTCTATGCCATATTGCTGAAGATGCCAAAGTCCGTTATGGACCGATTGGAGGAGCCGGAGAGGTGGTAAGGGTAATTACCAATGGTAAGAGCATGAAGGAGTCCATTGAGGAATATGGAAAGCAGCACCAGACTGGGAACAGTGCAGTGGGTTATGTACACAACATGTTAAAAGAAACTGCGTACATTGAGGAAGTGGAGGAGGAAGATGAAGAAGGATTTATGGAAAGCTTTGTTGAAATGGAGGTTAATGCGCTGGTTAATGCGGAAAAGAGAAAGATAACCCCAGAGGGGCGTGCAGACCCCAAGCGACGTGCACTGGACGATGTGGCTAGGAGGGAAGAAGAAATTCCCATCTTGAAGACAGTCCGTCCAGGAAGATATGAGGAAATTGAGGAACCTGACGCAGATGTGGAGATGGAAGATCGACCGGACTACCGAGTTAGGGATGTGGAGGAAGGTTTAAGAAGATCGTTTGGGGCCCCCAAAGCAAGAGTCCCCCAGAGGAAAGATGCCCCAAAAGCTAAGCTTAACAAATTGGCGGATGAACCGAAGAATTCAACGGACATTAAGGACATACGGAATCGGACTCTGAATACCACGGTGACATTATCACTCCAGGAGCTGCTAGGGATGTCTGATGGGCTGCATCGGAGCCTTTTCTCAGGAACCTGACAGCCGGTGACAACGTCTATCGAATTCAGCAAAGGAACAGACCCAGGGGTCATTGCGCGAGTGGGGAACTTAGGGATGAGAAGCCGCAAGGCGAACCAGATGGATTTGGAAGAAATGGGGTATGATGATGAAGAACCTCCGTTATATGTCTGTGGAACTCTAGCAGCGTGGATCCAGATACTGGAGGATCCACAAAGGGTTCAGGCATTGCTGGATGGAGGTGCGGAAATCAATGTGATGCAAGCCTGGCTAGCGGAAAAACATGCGCTGCCAGTCACTCTGCACGCCAAAGGAACGATGAGAAGTGCCAACGGAGGTCTCACGCCGTTTGTTGGAATCTGCGAGCGGGTCCCAGTACGGATTGGGAGTTTCCAATATTATGTCCCTTTCTTCATTGTGGACACGCGCGGCGGACATGCAGTGGTGCTGGGGAGGCCATTTGAACACATGAGCCGTATGGCGCACACGAACACAGCTTCCGGGGCGGTCATGACAACGATTTATTCAATGGACAGGACGAAGGTCGCGAGAATGAAGGTTTTCACCCCCGGAACGCGTAGGATGGAGACCCGGAGGGACGTTTTCGAAGATCGGAGGTTAATTGGAGAGGAGCCGGGAAACTAGCCGCTGGGTTTGTACCGAGCCCAGGACCCAGCGGACGGAGGGGCTCAAGGCCATCATACCAAAGTATGGCGGATGTTATGTCACGTGATGTTGGAGAACGGACATACATGAGTATTGCGGAGTTGGAGAAAATGGCTCCAGTACGGGAAGTGCGGTTCCAGCCGGCCCTTTGCTGGGATGGAAGTGGAATAGAGCCACGGATAAGCCGACGTGTGGACTTGGTGACACTGAGACAGCAGTATTTGGTAAACACCAAATACAAAAGGAAAGCAGATAAGGTCCTGCCAGTAAACAAGCCCGATCCAACAGGGGCGGCACCAGTTGGAAATGGGGACTGGCGGTTGAAGGTTCTGAAGAAGTATTATTCGAACCAGTGGTCAAGAGTGGAGGAGGTCAAGGGGGAATTTCAAAGGAGTGTCATTCCCAAAATATCAGGGATCGCGAGAGGGTCACGGTTGACACCGGAACGGGTGACACGATTAAAAATAGGGTTGATAAAGCCAAAGGAGAGAGAGCTCCTTATGGAGGTGTTATATGCGCGGGAAGCAGCCCTAGCTTGGTCGTTCGCAGAGATAGGGCAGGTGCGCGAAGAGGTCTGCCCGCCAGTTGTCACGGAACTCAACTAGACGATGAATAGGATGCTATTCGACTATCTAGGCAGCTATCGACGAGAACTTCAAGCATGGAGAGGAAGGAAAAAGGAAGAGATCTACGTGAAGCTGGACGACGTACTCCTATCCACGCGCCACGCTAATCCAAGTAAGGAAGCTCACGTGCTCGTCCTGGTCTACATGGCAAGGGCCCTGACACCCCCCCCATTCTAACTGAACCTTCTGCAGTTGCTGAAACCAGCCCTTTATAACCTCTGGATCTTTACACTTCGCGCGTGAATAGTTGTATCATCGAGCACATTGGGTTTTAACCTCAGGATTTTGATTAATAAAGCTAGAGATCCAGTTCTTCCCAAGAGGTTGAGCTGCAGAACCAAGCAGAATATTAGCCATCTCTGCCACATGAGACGGCCCAGGAGCAACTCCATGCGCAATCTCTGGATAAGATCCATTTAACTATAGATGCTTCCTCATTTTTAGAGAGCCTGTGGCCATTGGCGCGTTGCTTGAGTCGATATTACTTTCCCTTTATTCGATCGCGTAATGTTGAGTAAGGCACATTAAAAACCTCCGCCGCGCGACGAATTGACGAGATGTCAAGATTTTTCAGCGCAGATATTGGGAGCTGAATCCTCGCCTCTTGCCCCACTAAGTTTTGATTCAAAATACGCAATTTTGGTGGCATGGTGGTTGTTTAAATAGTTACGCGTTGAACCGCGATGAATTTTTGAAGAGGTGAGCGGGTCGACCAGGCGGTCGACTCAGTTGGGAATTACGTTATTGAACGACCAGGTCGTGACAGTTAACCTGTAATTTGCCTAGTTCTCTATTGTTTTATACATGACTTGCCCACTCTATTTCTCTATCAGCACAAGGATAAATATGGCCTGTAGGAATAAGGATACAAGGTCTGGTTTCAAGTCTTTTAAGAACACTCCCACTTTAAATATTTACATTTTCCAAAATGCCGGCACCGAAAGTTGATACCACTTCCAACCACATTCCGCTGGGCATGATGCTCACAGGCAGCATTCTGTGTTTCATGTTTCTGATAGTGAGACTCTTCCGAGACTTCATTGAGACTCCAATTTTACAAGCCAATGATACAATGCCGGATTTCTTAGTCGTCCTATGCTTTCCATTGAGTGCCCTTACATACTGCGTTCTCATGCTATACCAACTCCGATACCCCGCGAAGTGCAGCATCGACTCTCTTGCAACAATTATCTTGGTCTGGGCCTCAACAGTGCCATTTGTATATTTCCAGTTCTATCATGACAACTTGTTTTTATATATATTCATGTTTGTTATCTTCTTCAATATGGCTCGCCTTGTCAGTTCCATGATATGCCTGGAAGCACCTGCATACAAATGGTTATGCATACAATTTGCAATCTCTTGTTGCCTGCCTGCACTGTATGCAACTGTCAAAACCTCAGCATGCCGATATGCAATGGTGTCTGCATTTTTCAAGTACTTGCGGTACAGCATGCTTGGATCTCTGCTGAACGCCATTATGCAGAGATTGGGTCTTATATCCCAAACCAGTCAATGCCTGGTACAGAGTGTCATCATTGGGACTTCCATTAATTACTCAGGAGTATTGCTTCAGGCATATATGTCAGAAAGAGGGTCACCAGCTCATTGTGAGAGCTGGGTTGCTTAGAATATGAAAGGACAATAAGTCCTACTTTATGTACAGCATCAATTTTGCAATGTCACATTGGGTTTTGTGACAACCGTACCTGAGGTATGACTGTCAGCATATGACCCTGGCACTGGCACCTCTTAGAAGGTGCCAGCAGATTGAGCAAGTAGGGCACAGGGCTAGAGGCGAGGGCAGCTGCCTGCCCTCGCCTCCTATTTCCTCCCCACCATGTCTTTCACCTTTTTGCCTTTCCTTCTTCACCTCATGTACGATTATTCCTAGACAGTACGGCCAAATAGCGAGTTCTCATCCTATTATAGCTGATCGTCACACTTTTCATCTGATATGGAAAGGTCACGTGGTATGGCGGCTTGGCTCCCTCTCCAACCCCTGAGAATCCGAGCCCCTGATTATATGTAGATAGAGAGAGACAAGATAGAATGGCATCCGTTCCTTAGTAGGCTACGTACGTGTAGTCGATACAGCTTCATTCTGCCCTTCTTCCCTGAGTTACATGCATATTCCACAACATAGACAAAATAAATTACGTTTTGCCTGCTTCAAGAACGAATTGATTTAAAAGCCCCTGCTTAAGGACAGCCGATATCATCCTGCGATGTGAATGGGTCCTGGGAGTGGCTCAGCGCTTTTGTAAGAATGCTGCTATCCATTAAGAGTCCTCACGAATTACTCCTATGGGCTGGTTTCGAGAATGACCTGGTTTGCCATGAAAGATATCAGGGCATGCCTGTCCGTCGTACTGTTTTCCAAACGATAGGGCTGAGACGAAAAGGACTCTTGCTTATCACCTGAAACCCCAAAGCTGCTGTGCCCTTTGAACAATGACAGCACATTTTGAGTAGTAGATATTAGACATGTAAATAGGTATTACTAGCTATCCCCTTTAACTGCACGTTTACCCTTCTTGTCCTGTTTCTCCAACTGATCCACAAGCCTCTTGCTGTTTGCCTGGTACTTGTTGACAGTCCAGTCAAAGATGCCGTCGTACTGGAAGAGCTCGCGACTAAACAGATCCCGGAACATATTCAAAATGGTCTTTCCAAAGCTAAGGTCCAAGCCTAGCACCACAGCGGGCATCTCTGCGGTTAAGAATGGGCGTTTATTGGCCCATGGGGCCTTCACCTGAGGAAGCGGGCCAGAGCTGCGGGATGTGAAGCAATGCAGGAAACCTGATACAAAGAGTTAGTTCCAAAGATGAGTCTCAACCCGACGGAACAGCTGGGACACTCTGATATGAATAGTGACACCACGATAGAGTGTCCCAGGATTGAATATTCTGGAAACGGCTAGGACGTACATCGTAGGACTCACGACCAGCAAGGTTTGAAGCTTCCCTTGGAGATCAGCCTGGGGGTTCCAGGTCGAGAACGGGTGAAAGACCGTGGTTTGAACACCTGGGTAGTAAGGCGGCGTGCGTAGGCCTTGTGATGTAGAACCAGGCACGCCAGACCTTGCGCTCCCGACCTACCTGCCTGGTCGAAAGATTAGGGTCGTACGACCAACGCAGGCGGAGGACCGGCAACTGACGTCCATACCAGGTGCAAGACCCATGCGGTCGTCTATCCATATTGTTGCGACTCCATTGGTCTACAGACCACCCATTATTATTGAAATCACTTTACAAGGAATGCTGCTTCTTCTTTATCATCATCTTGTTTTTACCGTTTCTTATTGTTGGTATTGGCAAAGGATCTCAAACTGGAGGATATTTGTAGCTGAAAGTTCTTGCATCTCCCTGCTGGATGTCAGCTCAGGATTAAGCTTTACAATGTTGTGATTAAGTGCGCTACCATCTGATGGGGGAACTCGTCTTGGGAGTGCTGAGCGCCAATATAACTGTTTTGGTATATCCTCTTTTCGTTCGCCACCATAGTTTCTGGAACTCCCTTCGTCAGTTCCAAATGAGCCTTCGACCTCCGCTCATATACACAAGGGTGAGAGTATTTGCATGCCCTTGTGCAGTCATGTTTCTCAACTTGATGCCATACGCTGTAAATGTATAGCGTTCAAAACGGCAACCCCTAGAATTAGAAAGTATGGGGGTTGAAAATCCATGCAAGTCAGGGAATCGGCACGAATCCGAATCCGTAGGATTTTGAGATACGTGTAAGAGCTAGTGGAGGATGTGTGATGGCTTTGAAGGGTGGGTGGCCTGTGGGTGTCCATGCCCAGGATCACTTGGAATCATTCTGACTGAAAAGAATTTCAAATAGTGCAGGGGTTCTGCTTCTCGGTTCGAGGTAAGCGAGGCGCCAAGAGCGCGAACGTGCTGTAACCTACGCCGCAAAATAAGACCGCGTAATCGACGATGAATAGTGCTGCCAGCAGGGTTCAATCGGAACGCATAATTAGGCTTAGCGGCGAGGTTATTAGTTTTAATTGGGTGATTTGTCTTGGATATAATTGGCTATGTTATCAATTGCTCCACCATACATTAGTATGTCGGAGACCGCGGCTCTACGGTGTTCTAAGATAGGAAATATGGAGACCTGGGCTTTCGCAGTGCCCCCGGCACAATACCTAGTATATGTAATATTTTTAACAGATTCATCCAGATATGTAACAAGCCAAGTTAATACGTAAGATATCAATGTGAAGGCCTATCATGCTAAAGATAGCAAATGGCGAGCATTATATATTCATCAATCTAATGAACAGAACAGCTAAAGTCTGATGATGACCAAAAATGGAGTGCAAGTATGACGGGTTCGACGTGGTTGTATTCATAAAGGGGTCGGCGGAGTCGGTCCCTATCTAGCTAATGAATATCACGTGACTACTCAACAAAGTAATGTATATACATGGTGAAGACAAGAGCTATGGCCAATTCAGTCAATTGATTCATTTTCTTTTTTTTTTTAGGATCTGGGCTCTGATAGAGAACATCTAAAACAAATTAAGTATTGCTGAAATAGAAGGCGGTTCTATTAGTAACTAATTTACGGAAGCTAGCATGCTGCTTGAGGTGTGCAAAGATCTTCCTCCACACTCTCAGTAGTAGGGCAATGATTTACCCAGGAATCTGGGCAGCCTTGGCTGAGAGGATGCCTAGGGCAATAAGATGGACGGCGAGTTGCCAAGGAAGGAGGGTTTCGCAAAGCAACTGTCTGTACAGTCGACGGCCTATAGTCAGCAGGTGTTTTACGAACCACCTGCCAGCCTTGTTTGACCTAAAAAGAGGTCAATGATAATCATATAACTTGTATGTCCTAACTCACAATATCTTGTTCTGTAGGTTGAGGATATCCTGGGTCAAACTCATAGAGCCGACCACTTGGAAATTGCATAAGACACCAAATTTTTATGTTATATCGGTCAAAAAATTCTCTGAATCTGCAGAACAGATTTTCACGCCTTTTTCTGACTTGTTCAGAAAGAGAACGATCCCATTTCTCAACCCTATGCCACCTGTCAAACCTGTCTAGTTTCCTCTTCGTTTTAGAAATCCTTTCCATTGTGTGTTAGTTATTTGGAGCCAATGTCTGTGATGCCTGTCGCAGTAAATCAGCTGAATTTTAAATGTGTAGTAGCAAAAAGGAAATACGAAATTACTATAGTTTCTACCCAGAATCTGTTAAACATAACAGGTTAACATGGTTGGAACTACAGGGGATACCATGTAAAACTGGCTTGAAGGCTTAAATTATAGGTGGACCAAGTTTCTAGGGTCTATGCTTGTTAAACTGTCTGAAACAAGGTTCTCAGGCGCTCTAAGTCTATAGATGTCAGATCCACTGGGTTGAAGGCAGGAAATCTGTTTTGTCCGCCCATTTCTTCTTCCAACTTTCTGCAGCCCCAGCCTCCTCCATTTGGATTCTCATAAGTACCAAATCTAGCTGTTTAACTGCATCATAAATATACCCATTTCCAGATGGTTTTACCTCAGGCTCAAAATAATGCTGGAGGTCTTGTATTTGTGACTCTGATAGCAGTTTAGTAGCCACCTCTATTGCAGCTGGCTGTAAGACTTTAAACAGGTAGTAGCATTTCTCATAAAAGGTATTTTCCCATTGGAGCAGCCTGAGTTCATGTATCAGTGCCTCTTTTCGTTTCTGGCACTGTGCTGGCTGTCTGGCCTTTGCTAGTTGCAACCGGCTGTGTATTGCTTCTAATGCAACCGTTGTACCATGTATATCACCAATCTCATGATCAATTGCGGTGGCCTCTGGGTGGTCTGGCACTGATGATATGAATGTGTTGATACGCTGGTGACTAGGGCTACGGCCAGCTATAAGTCGTTCAACATGCCCAGTGGATCGACTATAGATACTTGATGCTTCATCATTACATCTAGCATCGGATGGCACAGGCAATACTTGATCCATTCCCAGAGGATAAATAAAGGCAGAAGGGGAATCAGCAACTGATTTTGAATAGTCCTATCAGTGACCAAGTCTTCGATCGCATTTCACCATGTCTGGCACCTGGTCTGCCACAACACAGGCTAGTTATATATACTTCGCAATAAAAAGGAACCTCCTGAATTACTAACCATCTTAGAGCAGGCCCGCATACCTTCACATTTGCCCCGCTTAAACCTCAGTGGAATCTATCATGGCCAGCAGCAGTTCCCTGTTCCTCCAAATCAGCGGGTCATGCAATGGACAGAAGAGGGCCACTCGAGAAACTATACAGCACTTTATCGCCAAAATGCTTGGCTCATGGAGCTCACCATGCGATTAGCCAAGGCCATTGACCATCAGCACTCAGGCGATATAGAACCAGGACAGCAGTCACCATACGGCATGTCAAACCTGGTTACTGATCTTCAAAAGTGCCACATGGAGAATGTGCAGTTGATGGATATGGTCCATTACCAGCAAGGGCTCCTCGAAAACCAATCTCATCAGATTTCGGTTCTTTCCCAGGCTGTGGCTGCAGGCGGCCGTGAGGTTGACCAGAAAATAGTTGAGCCCACTAGGGCGAATATGCATACACCACTACCGGGTGGTGCCTATAAGCCAAGAACTTTCAGTGTGTCCAGCTCCTAATTGTCATCTACATTGTCTGTAACACCACAAGGGAATACTGCAAAGTATGTATGTAACTACATGTCTCATGCAGGGCTTACATGGACCATGAGGAGAGAGATGCTCATAAAGATGGGTGGCAATACATATAACAGGGTAGTTGTGATACTATCATGTACTTGGATATTTTATTCTTACTACATCCTTAGACAGCCCTAAGTACATTAGAAAGATTCATGATAGGCCATCAAAATTGCAAATGATAGGTCCCAATTAATCCTGTTCAGACCATGATTCCATTTCTGATTAAGTCCGGGCCCTTTTTTTAATTCCTTCAAGGCCAGAAAATACTCATTCCCACAGAGAACTAGTCACAGTTATTGTGATGATCAGCTATAATAGGATGAGAAGAGAAAAGCAACTCGCTATTTGGCTGTACTTCTAGGAATATTGTGTCACGGAGCTCAACCAGACGATGAATAGGATGCTATTCAGCTATCTAGGCAGCTATCAACGAGAACTTCAAGCATGAAGAGGAAGGAAAAAGGAAGAGATCTACGTGAAGCTGGACGACGTACTCCTATCCACGCGCCACGCTAATCCAAGTAAGGAAGCTCACGTGCTCGTCCTGGTCTACATGGCAAGGGCCCTGACATATCGTACATGAGGAGAAGAAGAAGAAAAGGACAAAAGGTGAAAGACGTGGTGGGTGTGACGGGCTAGGCCCGATATAGGGCTTCGGATACCCTCTGCTAATACCAACAGCAAGCAACTAACCGACCCTGAAGGTTACCTTTGGGGTCGGTTAGAAGTTTGCAGACCAGTCTACAAACTTCATTCTGCCATCCTTCACCTCCCTGTTTATGTTACGTATTCTGTCCCAAGCTCCCTAGGTAAACAAACCCTTAGGAGCTACACCACCTCTTTCCCTTCCTTTTCTTCAAGATTTAATGTACTTGTAGAGTGGCCTAGCTAGTTGAATAAACTACCCTGAGACCGTTACAGTGGGGAGCAAATAGGAGGTGAGGGCAGCTCGACGGTCATACCTCAGGTATGGTCGTCACAATATGACATTTGGGCGTGCAAGTCTTTCATATTGAATATTATGGAGTTGCCAAGAGTTGTATAGACCTCAATAAAAACATAAAGATCTAAAATCTGAACTGACTGACAGCTATGGTGTTATATATATAATGGACGTAATGTATCCAGGCCATTCAAATGACACATACGTCCATGGTCACTGGACTCTTCCGCCATGAAAAGATATATACATCCGTATACTTTGGTCTGGTACATAATAACATAGAAATGACATATTTACAATCTCAACTGGCTGGAAAATCCAGTTATTTGAGCACCCACCGACCCCTTCCTCCAAGACATATGGAACTATCACATACAACATCGTTGGATATTCATAGACATATCCTTAATTTGATTGCAGATTGGGCAGTGCATTTAGATGTGCAAATTTTTGGTGCTAGATCGAGTTAGATGGCTGGCTGACGTAGGAAAATCACAGAGTCTAGTACTCACTTGACAGTGTCTTCCCAATTTCATTCATAGATAATGCCAATAGTCATCTGTTCTCAAGAGTTTCAAGCACATCTGGACAGATTACTGGAATTAATCAGAATTGGTTGGTCTGTTTGAACTGTCATAAAGCTAACTCACCTAGCAGCATCCCTTTAACTTTAGTCACAAGATCGCTAATCGCTGGGTCTCTGCTGTCAATGGTAACAGCAGCTGGTTCTGGGTAAGTGTGTTCAAAGCTATAATTTCGGCGACCACCCTTTATTTTAGAAATATGGCCTGTGGATAAAACCCTAGCTCTAGACTCCTTTGGAACCCATCCCCAATTCTGTTGGTTATACTTGCCACGTATGGACTCAACAGAACGTTTTTTTCCAAAGCGCTGTGCCCAGAGCAAGGCTATCTGGTTCCATGAAATAGAATTCATCCCATTTTTGTGCTTTTTGATAAAAGGCACCAATTCATCCAGCTCTTTCTTGTCCCACCGCATGGCTGTCGCTGTTTGGAATATGGGAACCTCTAGTTTTCAGGGAATGGGAAGGCGAAGGGAAAGTAGGGGAGTTTAAACAGTTTGCGCTTGAATAATTCAGTTTCTCTTCCCTAGGCTTGACGGTACCAAGTGCTGTCTGCTGAACAAGATCGTCCTTTCCAGTAGCGTGACCGCTCAACGGCTATGATCCTCCTTTCTCTAACCCCCCGTTGCAGCTAATTGAGGTAAATAAAGTTCGCTAGTCAACCAGGTCTGTTTATCAGCATGGAAGTTCAAGGACTGCCTTGATCCTTCGGACTCAGGTAACCGGCATGGCAGTTCAAGGACTGCCTTGATCCTTCGGACTCAGGCAATCAGCATGGCAGTTCAAGGACTGCCCTGATCCTTCGGACTCAGGAAATTAGCATCCAGTAGCTAGTACCATGAGATTGCATTGCTGGTAGTTGACCAGGACCGTTTGGCAAGATACCAGTCCAGCTGAATAAGCTATCTCATGGCTCACCTGTTGCTCACACTTTATAAGGTTCTAATTCCATGTTTACCTTCTTAAATTTGATACCTACTCTAGCAGTCTTTCTGTCTCTCATCCAGCCTTCTATCATGGATAAACAGAGAGATCAGAAGAAAGCAGTAGCGAAGAGAGTAGGTATTCCTTAACCCTATTGTTTTAGTTTTTCAATCTAATGCATACAGAAACTGGCAGAATTGCTTTGGTCACACAAGCCATGCGCAAAAACGATCAGTAACCTGAACCAACGACAAAAGGATGGTCTGCAAGCAGCATCTGAGGCGATGGAGAAATGCAATGAAGTGATGGAAGCAATGCGAATGATTCAGGGGAAATACAGTGAAGCGATGGAACAGATGCAAACAACTCAGGGGTATTTGTATCGTGTTCTTAACACTTTACAGAATCCCAACAACACGCTTCAGTCCAGGACTACTCCATACATTGATCAAAGTCAACCTAATAGCACTACAATGTTGCGGCATCCGCCTGCTCAACCAACCCCCCAGCCTACGCCAAGGCCAAGTCAGCAGGCTCATTATCCAGCAGGGGACTTTAACCTGCCTTATGCTTCACAACCCAACCACCCCATGGGCAGCAATACCCATATACAACAGCCATACACGCAGCCTACACCACAACATCCTCATTATCCACATTCTGAGTCTCCTGTATTATCCACCAACAACCTGATGCCTATGCAGAACAGTTTCCCTCAGTATCCCAACCAAGAATCAGCTGCAGGAGAGGTCATGGAGGAGGATAATCTAGATTTCTTTCGTGATACTGACCTGCTGGACATGCTAAATGCTAACTAGTCAGTATAAAGGAAAACTTGAGGTCCTATGCATGCTGGGGAGGCGAATAATAATTTCCTATGTTCAATCCAAGCTTTATCCAATGCATTCGTAATCTACCAACATACTAGTATGATTAATCCTGTAACAGTAATATCATTTCCCCATAAGCTCCTGGAGGATCACTGATCACTTATACAAACTTCAACAGATAACACCAGGTCCCACTCTAACTATATGATGATGATGACTTCCATTTTAGAGACCATCTTTCAGTCTAAGACTATGCATGGTCTACCCCCTTCTGAAGGAGGATTTGGGTCAGCTAGCTAAGGACATAAATAGGCTTTGCTATGTAAGAGTCAGATGATAAGGGTCACAGAGACAGTAGAATAAAGATAAATAGTAAATAATATGAGATGAGGATAATAATAGAGTGGAGGGATATTCTGTAGATAGTAAAAAGGTATAAAGAGCCACTCTGACTATAGAATGTATGTTCACCCAGACTCCCTTGTTACGCTTAGAACATAGCACATGTAAATATTATCATAGCTGTTAATGGAGTTGAATTGACCAATGAGCTTAGGTAACCTTCAATCAAAATAGTTAACTAGTGAAAAGACATATTCCTTCTATGATAGCTATATATGTCGATCTTAGAACCATAGGCTGTCATATCATCCGAGCAGATCCGTAATATGTGGTTAGCCATCAAGCAGAATTTAGTAGGTCTGCTAGCATGTAATCTTATCATTTAAAATAAAATAACAGTTAGTATACATTTTTGTATACAAATGAGCTATTCAAGGCTCTAAGAGGAAGACGGAGTAGGTTGGCAATATCTTTCTTTCAGCATATTTTTAGTGTCTACTTGTAGAGTAGTCTGGGCAGATAGGACCATTGTCAATAAACCTCAATCAACATGTCTTGGTTATTAGCAATGAATACTTCCAGAAAGAGAAAGTATGATGCAGCAGAATAGGAAGGCAGTTTGGTTATAGAAGCCTTGCTAAACCAAGCTCAGGCCACTCCTAGACATGAGGACAAGATCATTCTATATTTACAGTGGCCATCGTTGATCATCACAAATTGAATTTACCGGTTAGTAGTCATAACGCCACCTATCCCTATAGGAACTCGTACATATCCAACTCAACTCCAACCCTCTGAATGTGAATGTGCCGCTGAAACCAAATCACCCCAACAACCAATAACAAAAATGCCTCACTATTGCCTAATCAAGGATAAGATAGCAATGCAGTCAACACCAACATCATGTTGACAGAATGGCTGGCAGTAGATGACATAGTTGCGGAACTAGTTGTCACGGCGCTGCTGCGGATAGCAGCTAGAACCGCTGGCGTAGGATCACACCGCCATACCGAGGTAGGTATGACGGAGTTGCGGCTAGAGCCTGTTCTGCCTACACTGACCGACCACGTGATCCACAACGAAGTTATCTCTGACTCCTGGCCCGGATCCTGTTGTAGCTCTTTGAGCTACATCCTGTCTATCGAGCCCGCCTGTACCAGCCTGCTTGCAACCTGGAGCTGATAGATAGAGATCCTGTAGCTAGCGTGACTATTAACTACCTAATCTATCTGTTTCTGACCACCTGTGAGCCCGTACCTTGGCACTAGTGAGCGTTTTGTCTAAAGGCTGACAACTCCGAGCTGGTGTGGGGAAGATCTTCTAGCCCCCACCTGTAACCAAGACACCCAATATTAAATGAGGCATAATAGTATAGAGGGCTTTCCTAAATAAAAGCTTCAAGGTCGAACAACCATAATTATAAACAGGGTATGAGAGTCATGAACACTGATGTCATATTCCTGTTCCTATGTGATAATAGCAAATGATGTTCAACAATGAAAGATGATATGGAAAAGGTCACGTGGTATGGCGGCTTGGCTCCCTCTCCAACCCCTGAGAATCCGAGCCCCTGATTGTATGTAGAGCAAGAAAGAGAGACAAGAACTGAATGGCATCCGTTCCTTAGTAGGCTACGTACGTGTAGTCGATACAGCTTCATTCTGCCCTTCTTCCCTGAGTTACATGCATATTCCACAATAAAAGAAGTACCTAGGTATGAGTTGCAGGTTACATCAATTGATTATTATTATTATTTACTATTTAACATCGCTCAACAGTCACATGGCAGGTGTCCAGTGGCCTCCCGAGGTGAGATGCCGCGCTAGTCAATCAGTTGGGCTAACCGAATTCCGACTTACAGTTAACTATCATTCGTAAATTAGTAAATTGTAGAACAGAAGCTCATTGGTTACCAAAGAACTGGAACTCTTGTAATGGGGTGTACGTGCGTTGTTCCCTGCGACAGGAACCGGGTTGTGATCGAGGGATCTCAGGGATGCACACACTAAATGATCTAGTAATAAAACGATATAATAAAAGAAGAAACACAACGACGAAGGAGCCTCGCTCCGTTCTATACGATGATAACGATACTAGTGAAGCAACCTAGAAACCAAAAGAATGCTCAATTTCTCGTAACTATCTGGGAGGAAACCATCCGTTAAGTACTCTCCAGCCGCGGGCTCCACCATACATTAGTATGTCGGTGTCTGCGGTTCTACGGTGTTCCAAGATAGGAAATATGGAAGATCCGGGATTTCGCAGTGCCCCCAGCACACCAGCAGATTGAGCAAGTAGGGCACAGGGCTAGAGCTGAGGGCAGGCAGCTGCCCTCGCCTCCTATTTCCTCCCCACCATGTCCTTCAGCTTTTTTCCTTTCCTTCTTCTTCTCCTCATGCACGATATTCCTAGACAGTATGGCCAAATAGCGAGTTGCTTTCCTCTTCTCATCCTATTATGGCTGATCGTCACAGTATGTGTCAGGGCCCTAAGTCATATTCTGTACAATGACCCAACTTGGGTCTGGTGGGAAATTAGAATGGGTAGTGACCCTAAAAAAGATGGGTCAGAAATTATTTTGACCCATCTTTATCTCAAGAACTAGGCCATATTAGGAAGTCAGACTAGTATCATAGTGATCCTAATCAGGTCTAGTTTCTGCTAGTATAGTTCGATTGATGACATAAGCAGGTTTAAATTAACCCTAAGCCAGATAGGGTAATATGTAGATAGCACTGCTATAGGCTATCTAGTAGGCCAATTGAACTCAGAATTGAATATGCTGATGTCATTGGGGTCTAGAGGGGTCAGGGGACTTTTATTTCCCAATTAGGAAGGTGTATATTCTGACTTGTACTATTCATCAAACGAATCAGGAGCCAAAAAGTCACGTGACCTAAACTGCCTAATTAGGAAGGTGGTTGATCTATAGCTCATTCTCAGGCATTTTATGACAGGATTACAATGAACATAGTCGCACTCCCTGAAGTGGTCTATATAAGGAGATATCACGGTTTGACGATAGGACTTCTATCATAGCAAGATAGAAAATGACTATACTACTATTCTTATACTCTTACTCTAAATTTGTCAGGATGTTAGGCCTATTTTAGTAGTGATACAATAGAATCCTAATCTATAAGGTATAATTACTGCGTATATATTGATATTGCATATATATACATATATTATATGGTAAAAGGGATAACAAATGATTAGTAGATATATTTTCTAGCCTAATATGTAGCCACTACAGGCTATATAGAAATATTCTCTAGGGGTCTGTAGCCCATTCAATGCTCACAGAGGGGTTTGTCAGGGCCCTTGCCATGTAGACCAGGATGAGAACGTGAGTTTCCTTATTTGGATTAGCGTGGCGCGTGGATAGGAATACGTCGTCCAGCTTCACGTAGATCTCTTCCCTTTTCCCTCCTCTCCATGCTTGAAGTTCTTGTCAATAACTGCCTAGATAGTTGAATAGCATCCTATTTATTGTCTAGTTGAGTTCTGTGACAGGGTTATGTGACCTTGAGTTCCCAATTAGGAAGGTAGTCATTTAATAATATAGTAGCTAAGACAATAGCAACTAATAAGAGTATTATAATAAATAAGGTCTTGCATTCTAAGGTGATTTAGAGAAGGATATATAGAGGTTTAGAGTTAGAAATTCTATTGCAGTGAAGTAGAAAAGGTCTCTTATTAATACACTAATAATATTACTATAGTTTAGACATGGTGGTAGAGGTATTATATACATGAGATAACATATATATATATATCGATATATTAGAAAGAAACCTAAACAACTAGGCAGGGGCATCAGCCTAGAATAAGATGATTTGAAATCAATAAATGGCAGGATTAATAAGATGAGGGATTTTTCAAGATCTGCAATTGCTATGGTGGCGCAGCTAGATAGGGGACACGGCATAGAGTGGGGGGGACGGCACAGAGTGGGGGATCGCTCAGCTGGACTTCAGGAATACCACCTCCCAGAGGATCCTGAGGATCCCAAAATGACACCACCACAAGTATGATATCATCTTTTGAAACTGAAAGAAATTAAATTTACAACATGGAATGTCTCAAGCTCTTCATATTATAATATAAATAGGTGGTTGACATCCCTCGAGGTTGGTCCTCTAGCTAAGTAATATTGGCAATATTTCTTTTCATATTACCTATATCTCCATTGCTATACTGTCTTCAACTTTCTAAACCCTCTACTTATTTTCCTTTTTGATTTACTATTCACTATGGCCACTGAGCTTCCTGATTTTTTTATTTACTACCCTACCTTCCATATCCTTATTTGTAAGGAATGCCATACTGCTCTTCCTAAGAATAAGGCTGTGGAACACCTTAGGAAAGACCATTTGATGACTCAACATCAAGTTATTAACCTTGGCTATCAGGCTATCATTGAGAGGCTTGATATCTTCCCTCTTACTAGGTCTCTTCACCAAATTCAGAATGACCAGCCAATTGCTCCCATTAAGGGATTGAGCTCTTTTCAAGCTAGGGAATGTAGTGCTTGTGGTGAGCTCTTTCAATCCATGGACAAAGCTAATCGCCATATTACCAAGGCCCATCAGCACCAGAGAGGTCATGCTCAGTATCCTACCATTATAGATACTCTGGCCCAGGCATTGCAGCCAAATCGTTACTTTTTCAAAGTGCGGCTTCCATCTCACCCTCTAGGGGACCATGCTCCTACTAGGGCAGGCACCTCTAGTCCTTCACCAACCCCTGGCCCATCTCAGCCACACTATGCCCACCACGCTAGGTAAGAAAATATGTATCAGGTGCAATATGCACTCACTAACTATTTCCTAGGGTGGTTGAGTCTAGTGACTCTGACATTGAGATGGTCTCTGCCAGGTAAGCATTCCCACTGCTCATTTTGAATATATATCTTGCTGATTCTCACTGTATAGGGATGTCAATACCTCTCTGAGAGCCCCTTCTGCCTTTGGACCCTCTGCCAGTCTTCCTACCAGGTGTGGTCTATATATTTATGTAGATATGTATCCTCTACGCCTTCACTAATATGTATTTCTAGGCCTGGTTCTTCGTCGCAGCCTGACTCTGGCATCACCCCAGATCTGGTGGATTCCCTGCTCCGTCAGTACCAGGAAATCCAGAAGCCCCAGCCAGAGCAAGCCAAGATCTATCTCTCTGGGTCTAGGGATGAGCTCAATGGATTTCAGCTCCACACCAGGTATCCAGAGTTCCTGCAGCAACGCTCCCTCCCAAAGCTAAGAAATCTCTTCTCTCTATCCCTAGAGCATTCTGGTGAGTTTAATTTCTTTTCTCTGAGGGATACCTCTACCACTCTAACCCATGTTTCTTTTGCCATATATTTTGTATGGGGAAATGAACAACCCTAACAATGCATGTATCCTTGTGTTTGATGTTCAAGAGTATTTAGAGCTTATATCTATATCTATCTATTGATATATATATATATATATATGGCATGCACTAATTTTTTTCATATTTTTCTAGATCGAATCCATGATTTCCTGACTGCCTGCACCACCTATATATTCGCCAAAGGCCAGAAGATCATCCCTCTCCTTTCTCGCCATGTTCGATGCCTTCTCAATAGTTTTGACATTGAGCATGTGACTCTGCGCCCTTTCAAACCCCTCCAGGAGGCAGCCAGTGCCCAGAAATATGCCCGCGTGCTTCACAGCTTTCTCGTTTTTCTGTTGGAGAGCTATCCCTACCAGGTCACTAGGGGGCCTAGGGATAGGGACCTGAATCGACTCTATGCTATAGATCACATGGTCAAGGCGGGGATTCAGGAGCTCAAGGACCTGCTACTATCCCCCACCCTAGCGGAAGAGGATGAGGAGGCACCAAAGGCCTCAGGCCCCTTGCAGGCAGGCAGTGCCCGTGCCTATATTGGTGATGACCTTGATGGTGAGAATGATGAAGAGGATGAGATCGATCTGGCCCTGGACCTAGGGGGGGATGATGGTGAGGAAGATCTTGAGGACTCTGGTGTTCTCGAGAAGCTCGAGCGGCAGGCCTGGCAGGCCACCAGTGGTTTTCAATTCACTCAGGCGGCAGTGCACGAAGGGGTGGCTCTCATTGAAAAGCTCCTCATTGACCTGGTCACCAGGCATGAGTCATATGACATGAAGGGCCCTATCTACGCGTTCCTGGCCTGTTTCAGTATTCACTACCAGGAGGTGACCTTCAAGCGAATTGACCGCATCAGCCAGTCCTACTCTGCCGTTATCTACGCCATGCAGCTGGTCGCCATCAACCACCATTGGACCCCATGGATCCGGAGGATCCTTGAAGCGAAAGAGGATGGGCAGGACCAAGCGCTGGCTAATGCGGCCCCATTTCATGCTGTCTTCGGCCCCTGGCTGCAGACCTACTTCAAGCACCAGTCTCCTTACCCCCTTGGAGATCTTCTGTCCTTCAGAGCCTATGCTCTCTACTACAACACGATCTCCAGCGTGCAAGGCAACCAGGTGATTGAACAAGCACCCCACCACCTAAGATTCCACCATCTTAGTGTCAGCCGTCTGCAGCTCCAGGAATTTTTCCAGAAGTCTACCTTGGACCTGGCACACTCCCTAGTAGGCTCGCTGCTGATCTGGGAGGATGCCCAGCTTTTCAACCAGATCCAGCTGGGGGAGGCAGCTCGATTTGAGGATTTTGCCATGGAGGGAATGGATTCAATTTCCTAACATTGAATGAGGACTACCAACACCACTACCAGCCCTATCTCGTGAAAAAAATCCTGGATGACCCTACGCGAGCCAAAGAATGGTTCAAGCCAGTCAGTATCTCCCGTATATCATCTATCTGGCTGAATGGCATTCACATACTAATATATATATATATAAAATATTATATAGGCTGGAAATCGGCTCCATCTCATTCCCCTACCAGCAGAGCGATATTTATTTATGGCCAAGAAGTTCCTGCTCCATCTGCTTGTTCTGGTGCACATGACCAGTGGCGCCCCTGCCCGAGGCACTGAGATTATTCCACTCCTGGCATCCAATTCCATCATCAACCGCCGAAACCTCTTTCTGGACCCGAAATCGAAGCTCTTCCTCATTCGGCTGCGGTATAGTAAGGTGCTGGCGACCACTGGCATGGAGCGGAATGCTGTCCGAGCCATCCCCAGAGCTCCATCCCATATACTACTGGTCTATCTGGTGGTTGTGGAGCCATTCATTCACTATCTCCATCAGGCATTGAAGCTCCGAAACCGCCGCAGTCTTCTTTTTTTCAATTCAGGGCGACCTCCCTACCAGCCGCCAGGTCAGTGACACGCTCCGCCATCGGACCAGCGCCCTGATCGGCCAGGGCATTCAGATCCATTCATGGCGCCATCTCGCCCAAGGCTTCATTCGATATGGCATGGGGGAACGGATGGAGGGGACTCCATTGAAGCGCCAGAGCTGAGTGAGCTTGAGAATGAAGCTCTAGCAGCCGGCCAAGCACACCACAGCGTCCGCACGGCCATGCTGGTCTATGGCCGGCCACAGGTTCAATTTGGCAACCTCCCCATCAACCAGCAGGCCGCCTACATTGACTTCAGCCAGCGGTGGCATTCCTATATCGGCATGGGGCCTGATTTCGACTTTTTGAGCTTTCTCTATCAAGGGAGACCGCTGCCTCAGGCCCCCCAGGCCACAGCCAAGACCCCCCAGGGCCTATCTACCAGCTCCTTTCCTCTCAACCAGCCCTGCCTGCGCTTCTGGTGGCAGAGATCTGCCTCTTCACCATCCCCTAAGATCCCTATTGGTCAGTTCAATGCATTCATGGGCTCCACAACCCCCACATTCACTCCAATCGACCCCAATGTCACTGAAGGCATTCCCGATGGTGACCCGCGCCTGGCCGAGCTGGAACCAGGCCAGCGACTGCGACTGCTTGCACACCAGCCATTCCCTCAAACCCCTAGGGGCCTTCAAGCACCAGACCTCCTGCTTGGGCTCTTTCAAGAATTCATGGGAACGCCTCAGGCTGAATTTCGAAGCGCAGAACAGCGTGAGTGCCTCTACCATCTGCTGAAGCCAACCCCATTCCTTCTCATGGCATTACCAACTGCTGGAGGCAAGACCACCCTGTTTCTGCTTGCTGCAAGCCTTGCCTGGGCGCATACTACTGTCCTGGTGGTTCCCCTTGTTTCATTGAAGCTGAACCTGCAATCTAAGCTTCAAAACCTAGGTCTGCCATGGGTGAATTGGGAGGATCAGTAAGTACTATCTATCTATCTATCTATCTTTATATATTTACTAATGCTCTATATAGGCATGAGGAGACCCCTCCTACCCGGCTAGTGCTAGTATCCATTGAGTCTGCTGTCAGCCAGGTCTTCATTAACTGGGCCATGCAGCTCTACCACCAAAAACGCCCTGGACCGCATTATTTTTGACGAAGCCCATCTGATCCCCCTGGCCCGCAGCTATCGGGGGGTGATGAATGATGTAAACCGCCTGAGCCAGGTCCCAGTCCCCAAAGTCTTTGCCTCTGCCACTGTGCCGGGGGCACTGCGAAACCCCGGATCTCCCATATTTCCTATCTTGGAACACCGTAGAACCGCCGACTCCGACATACTAATGTATGGTGGAGCCCACGGCCGGAGTACTTAATGGAGGGTTCCCTCCCAGATAGTTACAACAAATTGAGCATTCTTTTGGTTTCTAGGTTGCTTCACTAGTATCGTTATCGTCGTATAGAGGCGGAGCGAGGCTCCTTCGTCGTTGTGTTTTCGTTTATCGTTATATCGTTTTGCTAGATTGTTCAGTGTGTCCATTCCTGAGATCCCTCGATCACAACCCGGTTCCTGTCGCAGGGAACAACGCACGTACGCCCCCTTTACACCACCATGACCCAGCCTGCCCTGGACCAGCTCCGCCACCAATTTCTCCTGCCGGCCCACCTTCCCCTGGTCATCCGTGGTGATATCAACCGCCCTGACATTCACTATCTGGTCCAAGCACCCCCCCTAGGCTCTCTGGCGCCCGCCGCTTCCAATATCTTTTGAACCTGATCCGTGATGCACGCCAGGCTGGGCAGATCCCCCTAGGGGTCAGGTGATCATCTACCTTCCCTATAAGGGGCATGGTGGAGGAGTTCCATCAGGCCTATCCCCAGGAGACTGCCTATTTCCATGCCGGGCTGCCAGAGGAAGAAAAGAAAAGGGAGGTGGAGAGCTTTGACCATGGGCAGAAGCTGGTGCTCCTTGGGACAGCTGCCATCGGGGAAGGATATGACTTTGCTCATACTGCCATGGTCATTCACTGGGGGGACCAGATGGGGCATCAGCCAGTTCCTTCAAGCTACAGGGCGTGCGGCGCGGGGTGCTGGGGAGATTGGCTGGTCATATGCCATCATCCCCCCTTGAGCCTGGGCAATTCCCAGAACCAGCAGATCTCGAAGAACAGCTCTTCCACGAGTATCTCCAACAACGGGTGTGCCGGCGGTCCCTGATCAATCGGGAGTTTAATGGTAGGGTCAGCCAGGGGTGTTTTCAGCATGAGAAGGCCTGTGACCTCTGTCAGGTCAGGCAGGAGGAGCTTCACATGGTCTCTGCTAGGGCTAGGGAGGCCCTTGGGGATGGGGAAGGCCTCAGGCTGAAGCTGAAGGCATACATTAAGTTTTTGAGTATGGTATCTGCCTCTATTGCTTTCTGATGACCCAAAGTAAGTGCTTTCTCCATCTATCTCTTTATATATATATATATACTAATTGCCTTTGTTCCTAGTAAACCCATCCCAGCCAGGAATGGATTATCATCACCATCATCAGCAATGTACTCATGCCCAATCTCTAATTTCCAGCTTCAACAAGCATCGCCACCAGTTCCACTTTGAGCCTCATGGGGGATGCTTTCTCTGCCTACTTCCTACCAGAGCCTGTGGAAATAGCACTAGAGATGGAGATCAATGCTTTTTTCCCCCTGGAGTTCTTCTTGTCTGGTTTATACTGATTATAGCTTATCCTGATGTGATGACCCATCTTCAGCAAGAAGGCTTCATTCATGAAAAACCCCCTCATAAAAAGGCAATTGCCAATCTCCTTTTAGTGTTGAGAGGGATCCTTTTCAGACAGAGGCATTTATGGGGGTGATCTATTTCTTTGAATGGTGTGAAAAGCATGTTCAACTACCTTAGAGCTGATATTTTAGATCTAGCATGATCATCTTATTTTCTTTAGCTAAGTTGTCACTATCCTTGTCATCCCTTAATATTTTATTTTAATCTATATCTTCTATCTTTTATTATACTATAGCAGTGCTAGAATAGAACTTCTGTGTAGCCCTATCCCACTATATTCATCTTTAGTCCAGTAGGGTTCAATGCTATCTAGGGGTCTGCAGCCTATTCAATGCTTAGGGACCAGTCTGCCAGGGGTCTAGTCTAGCTCAGAATGGAATATGAGAATACCCTAATAGGCTAGATCAGCCACATCACCTTAATTTCCTAAGTTGGAAGGTAATTATACAAGAGCTCATATGAAAATCCTTATAGAGAGTATTACAGGTCTGACTTTCTAAAGTGGCCTAAACAAGGAGATATAGTAGGATTAAAGTTGGTGTTCTATACTAGTAGTATAATCTAAAGATTGTATTGGATATCTATAATATATAAAACTAGTATAGAAGAGAAATATAGAATCAAATCAAAGTGATATATAATATATAAATCAGGTCTAGTAAATCCATATGGAATAGATCTAAGGATCAGAAAAAAAAAAGAGAGAGATAAAAAAAAGAAAAAATTTTTTAATAGAGCTATACTATTATTTAATTCTCATAATAAATTAATTATACAAGATAGCAGAGAAATATATATAAGAAGCATAGCCACAACTAGTATCACTATTGATTAGGTTATATAAGAAAAAGCTATAGGAGACTCTAGGTTTAGATCCTTGAGCACCTACTAGGGTGATATATATAATCAATATCCCAAAAGAGAAGGATCAGGTAATATAGAGTGAGAATATAAGTTATAGTTCTAGAAATCAGTATAAGATTCTAAGGTCAAAATCTATCCTATTGACACTATGGGTTAATGGCATACTTATCTAGCCATCCCTAGAGCCTAAGCTAACTCCAAACCTATTAAATATCTAACTAAGCCTACTGTTAAATAATATTATTTATATAATCTCTCTGTATTGTATTATAGCTACCTTAGGTATATAAATATATTATGAACCTATAGAGAAATAAGATTAAGCCTTATAATATTAGTAGAAGGACTATTAGATATTAAATATATATTATATATCTCTATCACAAGTAATCTTATATCCAACTACTCAGATCCTAAGATTAAAATCTATTGTATTAAAGCTATAGATTAATGGCATACTTATGGCTTATATTCAAGCTAGAGCTCACTCTAAACTTATTTAATATCTATCTACACCTACTATCAAATAATACCACTTATATTATCCCTCTTTATTATATCAGAGCTATCCTACTCCTATATCTATAGGCCTTTAGAAATTTAGTAGATGATATATATGAAAGAGATACAAGTAGATAGAAATAGCTCAATAGAAGCTAGGAAATAAAAATATATTTATACTTAAGATAAACAGGATATTATATATATAGTATTAGAGTAAAGAAGGATGAAAGTAAGATATATATTGAGAAAGATAGGTGTATATATGTAGTCTTATAGAACAAGACAGGCTGTGATTCAGGAACTAGAGGCTTCAGGTAAGGTAGAATTATACAGATTAGAAGGAGAAGATAAATAATTAGAATAATAAAAGGAAAAAAAGTAATAATATTCTTTAACTATCAAAGATAAGTGGTCCTACTTTGACTAACTAAATGAAATACTTCCTATATAGCAGAATAGAAGACTTAAACTAAGGGTCTTATATTATAGAGATATGCTTTGATTCTTCAAGAAAGAAAGGAAACTATCTAATAGGAAGGGATACTAATCTTAAATCTATAGTTAAATATAGAGATTGGCCCTCTACTATACTAATAGTATTATAAGGGGGTGTATGTGTATTGTTCCCTGTGACAGGAACTAGGTTGTGATCAAGGGATCTCAAGGATAGATATACCAAGATGATGCTGCTATACCACATGGCACTGAATAATCTTAGCAAGAAAATGATACAACAATAAAAAGAAACACAATGATGAAGGAGCCTCACTCTGCTCTATATAATGATAATGATACCAGTGAAGCAACCTAGAAACCAAAAAAATGCTTTATTTCCTTGTAACTATCTGGGAGGAACCCTCCAATAAGTACTCCAGCCACGGGATCCACTATATATTAATATATTAGGGTCAGCAGTTCTAAGTGTTCTAAGATAGGGAAATAGGAGAGATCTGAGGGTTTAGTGCCTCCCTGGCACAGTATGGTGGGGAATTTATATTTGCTATATCCCTGATACAATATTGGAAATAAAGATGACAAATAAGATGATGAGACATAAAGAATAAAGAAAAAGTATTGAAGATTATATTCTAAAATATCATAAAAATCTTTTAAAATCCTCTAGTCCTTCTGTCAACTTCTATCTTCTAAAGAGATTCTATCATATTCTATATTTAAAATCCTCTTTACCACTACTATGAGGCATGTCTCCTACTTTGCCATTCTTTGATTTCAAAGCAGACTATTTTAGAAAGGTTCAACTGTATTATAAATAGGCTTATCCTCTCTTTATATCTAATTATTCTTTAATTTGTGAATAATCTCTTATCTATACCTTGACAGGCATAACAAATTTAACTAATTTTATATTTTCTTTTACTATTTCTTATAACTAGAAGAATAGAGAGAGAGAGAATAAGATAAACAAGAAATAAAAAAAAATTGAGAAAGAAGCAAAAAAGAAGAGAAGAAATAGAGAAAAGGATATAAAAATAAGAGAATAATTAAAAAAGAAGAATAAATCAAAATAGAAAAGTGATTACTAAGTCATATATTCCAGACATGGCGGTAGAAGTACCTCCACATAGAAAAATAAGGTTTCAGAGGTGGGTCCAGACTTACCGCCAACATCGAGCATTTCTAGGCCCTAGGTCTAGCTCCTAACAATAGGCCATATTAGGAAGTGAGACTAGTATCATAGTGATCTGGATTAAGTTAGTGTGTTTCCTGCTAGTGCTGTTGGATTGCTGACATAGAAGCAGTTTTAAATATACCCTATACCAAATAGGGTAATATATTATGGCCAATGCTATTACAGGGCTATGTAGGGGTAATCTTCAGCTCAGGAATTAAATATGATGATATCATGGGAGGTCTAGAAGGTGCACGTGACTTCAATTTCCTAATTAGAAGGTAGTCAAGTAAAAAGCTTAGACGAAAGTACTCATTGAGAGCATTACAATGAACATGGTCTGATATTCTGGAAGTGGCCTAGAAAAGGGCGATATAG